TTGAGCAGGCTGAGCGGGCGTCTCTCCTTGAGCAGGCTGAGCGGGCGTCTCTCCTTGAGCAGGTGGATGAGCGGGCTGAGCGGGCGTCTCTCCTTGAGCAGGCTGAGCGGGCGTCTCTCCTTGAGCAGGCTGAGCGGGCGTCTCTCCTTGAGCAGGTGGTTGAGCAGGCTGAGCGGGCGCCTCTCCTTGAGCAGGCTGAGCGGGCTGAGCAGGCTTTGCGGGAACCTCTGGCTGAGCAGCAGTCTCTGACTCGTGTTGAGTAGGCGTTGCGGGCTGAGCTGGAGTCTCCGGCTGGATGGACGTCTCCTGCTGCGGCCCGGCAGAAGGCGTGTTTGGCACAGTGGACGGAGTGTCTGGTTGAGTGGGTGGCAACGCTGGCTGAGCAGGAGCGCGGTCTGGTTGAGCTGGCGACTGTGGCGTATCGGACTGAGGGGGAGCCTGTGGTTGAACGGCGCCAGGCTACGAAGGGCTTGTTGGAGGTTGTTTCTCTGGCTGGGCAGGAACGTTGGGCTTCGCCGGATCATTGCCCTGAGCAGGTGGAGGCTTGACTGGAGCAGGGTTTGATCCATGGAAAGGTGGCAGAGGCGCGGGTACTGGACGAGGTCGAGGCTGAAGAGGCGCTGGCTTCGGGTGCGGTTGCGGCTTCGGCTGCGGTTGAGGCTTCGGCTGGGGAAGTGGCTGGCTTCCTGTCGTCTTTTTCTTCTTCTTGTCGCACTTGCCCTTGTCTACGCGATGGAAGATGCGTTTTAGCCCCAACATATTCACATGTCGCATCGCACTGATACTCACAGCAGTACCCGCTCTGGCAGTCGTCATCTGCGGAGCACTTGCGCCCTAGGGCCTTTCTCACATCGCACTTGCCATTGTGGCAGTACTGTGACTTGCATTGAGTTGCACGCTTGCAGCTGACACCATTGTCTCGATTGTTGCCGCGAAGTGGGAGGCTGGGAAGAGCCTGAGCCGTCGATAGGGCGAGAAGGGTGAAGGTGAAGAGCGTCGCGAAGCGCATCGCAGAGGGGGAGGGAGGAGGGAGAGGGAGGGGTGGAGGTGATGAGGCCACAAGCCTTTGCGGCGATCATGTCTCCTTATGTAGCACCTTGTCAAGCCCACCTGCTCGTGCAGCATCGTTGATCTCCTTCTCATCCTCGATGGAACAACAGGTGTTGCGACGCGCCGCTCGGACCCACATCTAGGTCCAGGCCCCGATTGAGGGGAGATGAGATGCAAGAAGCGTCCCGCTGTGGTCCAGAAAACTCGCAATAGCTGCTCCGCCCGACCTGATCGAGATGCCAGCACGCTTGAGCACCGCGGCGCTCGACACCCCTTGGCGAGAGAGGTCCGAGCGTCCGGGACGTAAAGTGGTGCTCTAGAGCTCCTCCTGCGCTGCTCCTCTTGCGCTCCTCTTGCGCTGGTCTTCGGCTGCCCCGCCTTCCACGGCGTTTGGCCGGGATCAATGCACTGCAGGGGGCTTCGTCGACTTCTCGAACGCGAGCCCATCGAAACAAGCCACGGTCATTGTGGGGTAGCCGCAAGTGCCCGAGACGCAACGTTTGGCCGGAGCCTTACCATAGCTGTGACTCCATTGTGTGGCGGACTTGCCCGTGTAACAAGAGGAGGTCCGGCTCTTTTCAAGAGTCTGGACCTCATGATCTCACCATGCGAGATGTTCCCTTGGCTCGCCTGTGAGATGCTGAGCTGGAATCGTCGCTTCGCGAGCGGGAGCGAGAAAGAGGCAGGAGCAAAGTGGGTGCTATTCTCAACGGCGGGCGGGGAAGAACACGTGGCTACTTCCGAAGGTCAAGCCTCGTTCGTAGATAGCCTGCCAAAGGCCTTAGCCTGGTACCATTGGGAGTGAAATCGTCCCAATCTTTCGTCCCAATCTTGATGTCATTTGCGTATGATGGGGGCAAGGGCATCGTCCTCGAGCGCGATACGTGCTCGCGGGGGTCAGGGCGTCAAATGAGCGAAGTGCCGCCTGCGCTGCGCGAAAGATAGCGGCCGGATATTGGTAAGCAACCGCGAGCCGCGATAGCAGCAACTACCTCACCATGTAGCACAATGACAGCAGAGGGCGACTACCGACCTTGACTCCTCTCGCCCCCGCCACCACCACCACACCACCGCTCAGCATGTTCCGCGGAGTCCTCGCCGCCGTCCCCACGCCCTTCAGCGCTGATGGCCTTTCCCTCGACCTGTCGAAAATCCAGCCCCTCGTGGATCGTCTAGCCGACGCCAATTGCACCGGTGTCGTGGTAACGGGCACCACGGGCGAGTTCACCTCCCTTACACCCGAAGAGCACAAGGCCGTCATAAGAGCCTATGTGGCTGCGGTAGGCGATCGCCCCTTGAATGTCGTCGCGGGCTTCGGTGCGCTCAACACGCGCGCTGCGGAGGAGATGGCGCAATGGTGCGCTCAGACGCGGGGCATTGATGCCATCATGGTCGTGCCGCCCTTCTACGAGCGTCTCTCCTTCGAAGCGCTGCAATTCTTTCTATGTGCCGTCTCGACGGCGTGCGGTAGCTTGGATATTGTCTACTACCACGTCCCCTCGGCTACGGGGCTCCCCCTCACCGCCGACCAGATGCGAGAGTTGGCCAAGATACCGCGAATGCGCTACATCAAGGACACGTCGGGCAATGCTCCCCACGCCATCGACCATGTATGCAACACTGCTGCTGGGCAGAGGATGGCCCACTTCAACGGCACGGACACCTTTACCTTTGCCGCTCTGGCCATGGGCGCAGAGGGCGTCGCATGGGGTGTCGCGTCCGTTGCGCCGTACGAGTCAGTAGCTCTTTATCAGGCTCTGGTCGAGGAGCAGGACCTCAAACAGGCAAAGGAGATCTGGTCACTCCTATATCCTATTGCCGCGTGCCTCGAGTCGGTCAACTACCCTGCGGGAGTCAAGGCTGCGCTCGATGTGCTGGGCCTGCCCATGGGTCCTGTACGCGCCCCTACTCTGCCCTTGTCAGGCGACGATGTTGCGCGTCTCAAGGGTGTGGTTGCTCGTGTCAAAAAGTAGACGTGCGTACACGCCAGCGCTGGTTGCTACATTTTCGCTTTTCCTGTGCTCTCAAGCGTCCTGTACATTCCATCGCTGCCCATCAAAGCCAGGTGCTCCCTCTTTATCTCGCCTACCCGACGACAGCCCATCAGCGCCATGACGATCCTGAACTCCTCTTCCAACAGATTGAGCGCCAGCCTCACCCCTTCCTCACCCTTGTATGCGAGGCCCCAGACCGCGGGTCGACCGATCCAGACGTGCTGAGCGCCGAGAGCGAGAGCCTTGAACATGTCACTGCCGCGCCTGATACCGCCGTCTAGGTGGACGGGAATCCGGCCAGCTACCGCGTCTACGATGGCTGCGAGACAGTCGATAGTGGCGGGTACCCCATCAAGCTGGCGTCCTCCGTGGTTGCTGACGATGAGTCCGTCTGCACCTGCCTCGACGGCGAGTTCCGCATCCTCGGGGGTGAGGATGCCCTGCGTGCGCGTGGGTGAGCAAGTCGTGAGCGACTCTGGTAATCTTCAGCACAGTACGAGCCTCTCGCCTGGCCCCACCTTGAGCCAGACCTCCATACTCGTCACCCCCTTCAACCACCTGACCGTCTCCCATCCTCCCTTGGTCTCATACTCCATCCACCCCACAGCCGTCTCGAGGGACCCGGCCGGATTGAAATGAGGCAGGTTCCCCCACTTGAGATGACCAGGATAGCTGAACCCATTGCGTTGCTCATTGACCCGCTTGCCCAGATACACACAGTCCACCGTAACGAAAAGGGCGCGATACCCCGCCGCCTCGGCCCGGCGAATGAGCTGAAGATTGGTGTCCTCATCCTTGACCAAGCTTAGCTGCTGTGCCAGTGGTACTCTCCCCGCCGTAGAGGCAGCTACTGCCTCGAGGCTAGAATTACTCCACGTCGAGAGGCACATCGCCACCTCTTTGCCCGCAGCAGCGCGGCCCGTTCCCTCTTCGGCGTCAGGGTGGGCCAAGCCATGCCCTGCAGCTGGGGCGATTCCGCAGGGAAAGGAGACGCGACTACTCAGGCAGAGAGTGCTGAGGTCGATGCAAGTCACGTCCACCATGACGCGAGGGCGAAGACGATATCGAGCGTACGCGGAGCAGTTGTCGCCGGAGCTGTGGAGGAGGGAGGTGGTGTGCAGTTCAGTGCTGGAGACGACAAGCTACAGATGTGTGTCGATTGAGCGTGACTGACGTCTGTTCATCCATCGACCCGCCGTTGAGGTAGTCCCTCGCCATAAGCGACATCTTGGCGCTGCCCTCTCTCGCCAGGTCCGAGATGGTGAAGACGAGGCCGTCGTAGCTTGGAGATCTATTCATACTGTCGTCAGAGGAGCGAGGAAGGCATGATGATTTGAAGATGGAGATAAGCTAGACGAGAAGGCTTCACAGCAGCGTGAGAAAGCCGGAGCATCGGCGACGTGGGTACGGGCACGGTTCCGGGTACGGGTTCGCGGCAATTGACTGATTGAGGAGCGAGGATGATGAATAATACTTTTCGATGGCGATGAGCCTGCCCTCTAGTGCCTGCGAGATAAGGAGTGAGTGATTGGCGAAGAGCATTACAAGTTGCGCATGAGCGTTTAGAGCATTGCTTTGGATGACTGAGTGAGAGCGCGCATGACCACGCGCGTCTAGACATTATTCGCAGAAGAGAAGGAGGGTCGCTCCGATCTCCCCGGCCCCGCGGTCTGCTGCTTGCGCTGTCGTGCTCCATTGGCCACGAGGGGTGGACCGTCCTGCTCCGAGACGGCCGTGGTAGTCGCCGCAGCAGCAGAAGGAGCGTGCCCTGCACCACCACCGGGGAAATCTTCGGTCATCCTGGCCTGCACCTTTGCCACCTCGGCATCCCAGTCGGTGCGGTAGACAAGCCACATGCCTCCCGCAGAGGAGATGGTCAGGGCCACGGTGAGGCCCATCCACATGCCCGGCAGACCGTACTTGCCCTGGAAGGTGAGCCACGTACCCAGCGGGAGAGCAATGACGTAGTAAGCTACCACGTTCAGGTAGGCGCCGAGATGCTGGCGACCCGTACCGCGGAGGATGCCGCCCGTCACGCCGGCTACGCCGTCGGTCACCTGGAAGAGGGCGAGGAGCGGGAGTGTCTTGAGGAGCAGATCGATGACCACCTGGTCGGTAGAGAAGAGTCGGGCAATCGGATCGCGGAAGATCATGATGAGCGAGCTGTTGACCACACCACAGGCAAGGCTGAGCCCCACGCCCGCATAGCTGCTAATTTGTGCGTCTCGCGGCTTGCGTGCCCCGAGCAAGTTTCCTACTCGCACGGCCGCGGCGACGGAGATGGCGAACGGCTGTTGGTAGAAGATGCTCGAGCACACCAGGAGGACACTCTGTGCTGCGAGCGGGGTGGTGCCGAGGAGGGAGGTGATGAGGGAGGAAATCTCCCATGCCCACCATTCGGAAGAGATGGCCAGGAAGCCGTAGAAGCCGAGGGAGAGGCAGGGAAGGATATTTGCTGGTTTGGCCGCGGAGGAGAGGGACCAGCCGCCCCAGGCTGTGCGAGGGGCGATGTAGCATTGTCCGAGTGCGAGGAAGAACATGAGCCCTGCGCGCGCGAGGAGCATGAATAAGGGTGGGGAGGCAGGAATGGTCAGCAGAGGACAAGACGAGGAGTCAGGACGCGCGCCCACTCACAGTTGGAAATGGCACTCGCCAGCGGTGCTCCCACGAAGCCGAGTCTGATACTCTCCGGGCCCCACACAAGCAGGTAGTTCATCAAGGCGTTAAGCGGCGAAACGAAGAGCAGCACGACGGTGGATGCGCTCATCAACCCTTGCGCTTGTAGATAGCGCCTGCACACCTCGAAGCCAGCGTAGGCGGGCACGCCAGGCAGCATAACACGCAGGTACACGCCACTGAGGCGCGCTACCTCCGCCTCCTGACCCAGAGCGAGCAGGAGCTTTTCGGCGTAGAGCCACATGACGGCAATGGGCAGGCAGAGGAATGCGACAATGATCGCCATGCTCTGCGAGTAGACGCCTACGCGCTTAGGCTGTTGCGTGAAGGCGGGCGGGAGGAGGGAGTCCAATGCAGAGATGTAGCCGGAGAGGAGGGAGAAGGCTGTGACGTTTGCCGTCATTGAGGAGAGGGATGCCGCGGCGAGCTGAATAGTGCCCAGGTGACCAATGGAGAAGACGGACACGACATTGAGGGAGAGCTCGAGGAGGTGGGTGCCCCAGACCGGAAGAGAGTACATGGTCATGACGCCCAGCTCGCGACGGCGAACATGCTCCGTGGACTCATGGGCGATCTCGTCTATGTCCTCTGCGTGGGGCGGGTGAGGGGAAGCCAAGTGGCCGATGTTGGACCAGGCGCTGCTCGAAGGGTGGCCGAGGGCGTGCGGACCTCCACCGCGATGCAGATGCGGGTCGGCGGATATGATCGACTGGTAGCCGGCTGAGCTGGATCGACGATTGGCTGCGTGATGCTTCGTGTCCGAGGGGGAGCGAGGCCCACCCGCGAGGAGGGGAGAACGCTCCGAGTGCGCTGCTAGGCCTGATTGGCCCTGTTCTTGGTCATTGTCGAGCTGTTGCCTCGTCAAGGAAGGTCGTGTGAGCCATGAGTCTTGCAGCAATCGGCCTGGCATCGGTGTAGGGTCGTTGTCCTCCCATTCTGCGCCATCGCCATCTGCAATTGCCTCTTCCTCTGTACGCATGTCTGCTCCAGGTGGTGGCAAGTAGGCGTCTCCGCCCAGGAGTAGCGAGCTGGAGAGCAAGCCACCAACATTGTGCGGCGGCGCATGCTGGTGATGCGCATGAGCAGCCGTTGGAGGAGACATGGCAGCGTCCTGCGCCTCGATGGCAGACATGGTGAGTGGCACTCCCCTTCCAGTGCGCGCATAGTACGACTGCGACATGCCCGTGTCGTTCGACGCCTGCCCACCACCGGCAGCCGCAGCATTGTTGTGATCTCTCGATGGCCTCCTGGGCGTACGATCGGCATCTTCATCGATGCTCAAGTGGCTCATGCTATCCTCGGCGTCATGCCTAGACGAGAAGGCGTCTGCATCCTCTGACGCCTCTTCGTCCATCGATGCGAGGGCCTCGCTGCGCTGCTCGACCGCCTCCGACTCGGCTGCTTCGTCGGTCGACTCTGCGATGCGTTGCGCGAAGGAAGACGAGTAGGACGAGGACTGGATGAGACCGTAGTCTCGTTGCATTAGAGGCGCTGTGGGCGAGGCGCGAGAGAGCGAGAGAAAGAGCAGTCATAGGGGAGCGCTGCGTTAGTCTGGTGTCTTGGAGTAGGCGCGACTGTGACTCACAAATGCCTCGATTAGGGAACGACATGATGTCTGCTGCTGCTGCAAATGGGCAGACGGCGGCGTAGCTGCGATAAGAGGGTCGGCGTCGGCGAAGAAGTGGTTGCTATTCGTAGACCAGCGGGGAGAGACAGAAGAGTAAATGAAGATGATGATGACGACGAAGACGACGAAGGTGATGGTGATGCCGAGTCTAGTCTGCTTCTACGACCTCTGAGATGAGGCAATGAAGATGAAAGAGAAGAGTCGAGAGTTGTGTTCGTCCTGCCCGTCGGTGGCTGCTTTGCTTGCTGCACGACGTCGTAACGGTGTGCGAGCGGCGGCGCTCAGATGCAAGGGAAGATTTCGCGGGGTTGAGCCGCCTGAGCGACAAGCTCGAGGGCCACGACGGGCGCACCAAGAGCCGGTCGAGGCGATGCGATGCGATGAGACGCTGCGACGCTGCGAGGCGGACTGAGAGAGCAGCGCGCCACGCGATTGGTTGGTTGGTTGGTTGGTTGGACCCCTTGAGAGCTCAAAAGTCGCAGCGGGCCAAAGTCTGACCTGACGCAACCCATTCTCACTACCACGACGAAGCGTCAGTCACGGCGAGCACTTGAGAAGAAACGAGGGCTGTGGTATGGTACAACAGATTGATTGATGATCGATGGGGCCTCTGCAGTCGACGCGAGAAGTAAAGAAACGTTGGGCGATACAACACGATGAATAGAGTAGCGGTCACGAAGTAATCAGGTAGCAAGGATCAAGGTAACTTCACCAGCACCCCGGTGCGAAGTAGACGTCTCGCATGTCGTGGCGGTGCGCGCCTCGATGACGCGGATGATGATGGGGGCGCTTGCGATGACGACGATGGCCGCGGTGGGAGGATCGCTGACGATGGGCGTCAGGCTCGAGCTTTTCATCCGCTGCATCAGTCTCACCAGCGGGCTTGTGATCGTCTCGCTGGGCATCTTGCTCGTCCTCTGACCCAGAGGAGGAAGAAGAAGACGAGGAGGAAGACGACTCGGTCAAAGATGCAGTCTCCTCCCTCTCATCTTGGCATTGATACCACGCTGCGTGCTTGCAGTGGCAAGCACGGCGTGGCGGGCGTGGCGGGCAAGGTTCTACCCATCCTCCCCACGACGCGCCTCGGGCCTGGACGGGAACCTCGAAGGGTCTGAACTGCCCGAGATGATGGGTAGGCGCCCCTGAATGCCAAGCGTGATGAGGCGGAGGGGACGGGGGTGGTAGACCTGGGCAGTACGATCGCCTGCCTCTGCAGCTGTGTTGGTGGCCTCCCCGCCCTCTCTGACACTGACGTCCACGAGGTGGGGGTGGAGGAGGGTGGTGATGATGACGACGATGTCCACGAGGTGGGCCGTGATGGTGAGCATCATCATGATGGTGCTCATCGAGAGACGGCGTCATATCGAGGCGGACGAAGTCATCTTCGAGGTGGGCGAGCTCGTTGTCATGCGAGTCCGTGTCATAATGACGATGATGGTGGTGGTGGTGGTGCGGACCACGAGTGTGGTGGCGGCCATGTTGCGGCTGCAGGTGATACCAGCCTGCGCCTTGTTCATGATGAGGCGGAGGCGGGGAAGGGCGAGAATGACAGCCATTTGGGCGGTGGTAATGCGGAGGCGCAAAATCATCGCGGAGGCCATGGAAGGGAGACCGGCGAGTCCCTGCATGGTGAGAGGGTGGTGAAGGGGGATGTCCGTGAGGAGGGCCTGGTGGGCCGTGGGGATGATGAGGATGGCGAGAAGGAGAGGGAGGAGAAGGCGGGTGAGGCGCATCAGGTGGAGGCGGAGGCCCACTTGGTGTGCCATACTGGCGTCCAAGGCGATGCCATTCGCGCCCACAGCCGCCAGGATGATGGCCACCACGGTGGCGAGCGTAGCCGCCCCGCCCAGGAGCGAAGAGGCCAGGTGGGGGCCCTCTCATGTCAAAGCCACAATTAGTTTCGAGGGGCATGTGGTGCCACGGACCTTCAGCATATCGGCGAAGTCCGAAGCTCGTAGGCAACTCGAAGTAGTCGTAGGCTTGACGAGGGGCAGGGTAGGCTGGTGCGTGAGGGGGAAACATCTTGGGTGGATGAAGAGGAGGGGCAAGACAGAGCACTCCTCCATCTCGATGGGCACCCTTTTATACCTTTTGTCGTCAATCCACGCTGAGTGCTCAGCATGCGTTTCGTCTTCAAGAGTCCGCAGCTCTTGCCACCATCCATGCCTTCACAGCCACGCCGAGTAATGGCCTGTCTCCGGCCCTGTTGCTGCGCATCGAGACTGAGCCGCGCCGAGGAGAGTGGGGACGGAAGGGGCGCGTGGCGGGCGGTGTTGCCAAACGGCAGCGCAGCCGGCATAGCTTAGGCAGGCCAGGCTCAGCGTTTGGCTGCCCTGCGCTTGACTCGATCGACTTCTTCGCAATGCTCAATGATGGCCTCATCTGTGAACAACGTCAACGGCATGGTATGATTCGTATCATCGACCGCACTGCGTTTAGTGACTCTGTATGCGGTGTGCGACCGACTCGTGGGAAGCTCTTGCCTCTGTCCGTCTCTGCGTGTTGGGATGCAAGGCTGCATCTCGCTCTCCCCATTTCCTCCTTGGCGGGCAGCCAGACGAGGCGCGAGATGAGGGGAGACGACCGACACGAACGAGGCGGGACGAGCGAGCGAGCTTCTTTGGAACCCCTGTCCGCTCGCGACTGCCCCCCTTTTCTCTATCATCTCGCAGCTAGCTCGTTGGTGGCGGCGTACGAACAACACTCGACTCGAGGCTTCTTCCCTTCTTCTCATCTTCTGAGCCATCATCGTCTCAGCCACGAAGACGTAGCAGCCAGTCGAGTCGAGAGTCTCGGCCGCCCCACATCACGATGTCATCGTCGCGGCAACAAGGGCAGCCGCCGCCGCACACGCACACGCAGCACACGGAGGAGTCGCTCCTCTCCTCACACGACGATTCTGCGGCCTCACTCAGCACAACGCCGAAACAGAGCTACATTACAGCGTCGGCGGGTGGCACGGGCACATCGAGCAACGAAACCAGCTGGGCGCAATCGCCTGGCGTCAACATGAACAGCCCCTCGTCATTTCGACCTGGCCCACGCGGTGGGGTACGCAATGCTGCGTCATCGTCCTTCTCTGCGAGAGATTCAACATTTTCTGACGAGGGGAGCAGTCAAGGTGCGGGGACGACGGGGGGAGGCACACTCGGGAGGGGAATACCGCCTATTACCGTGAGTTGATTGATTGCTTCAATCCACGAGGGCGGCGAGGGCGAGCGAGATAGCTGACCCGACTCGTCGTTACCCACGCACGCAACGCACGCAGCAACGTCCATCGTCGCGCCTTCGTGGTGGATCCACATCCAGCTCAAGAGAGTTGACATTCACCACCTACCCACTGCAGCCAGGCAGCGGCCCCAATCGCCTTGGCACCGCCGCCCCCTACTCGATGTACGCCCCCTCGGACGTAGACGCGCAGTCCCTCTCTGGGCTCTCGGCTTCAGAGCTAGGCGCTGATGAGTCTGGAGAAGAGCTACCTCCTCCATCCGCATCTCGCCCCTCCAACACTCGAGCTGCAGCCAGTAGCCAGACCGTCTCTACGCAAGCTACCAGCAGGCAACATCGTCGTTCCTCTGCTGCGCCTGGCTCTCGATCCCAGTCACGCCAACGGCGCTCCAGCGCAGCCTTCGCCCGCTCGGGAGACGACGACGACGATGATGATGACGACAATCGCGGCGCGTACGGTCCACTCGATGAAGAGGACGATGAGGTAGTCCCGCAGGATCGCGGCGAGGAACTTGTCCGTCGCAGAATGAAGGCCAGACAGAAGGAGAAGCGCAGGAAGGAAAAGGAGGCGCAACGTAAAGCACAGCGAGCAGAGCAGCAGCAGCAAATGCAGCAACAGCCAGCTTCACGCCCCACCTCACCCCGCATTCGCCAAGCAAGTTCAGCCGCCCTGGCTCGTACAGCCAGCCCGACCCCATACCTTCCTCCCGAGTCGGCCGGCTCAGTCACGAGCGATCCCGGCGGAGGAGCAAGCAGCACTCTCACGCGGGATGGTCGTCCCACCTACATCCCGCTCCCCATCCCTCCGCGATCTGCGGCAGAAGGGGGAAGACTCTCTCCGGGCCTGGCAGGTCCGGCAACGAGCCCTGGACCCATGAGCTTTCGTCAGGCACTCTCATCCGCCGGGGCAACTGGCAGCAACGCCCCCTCGAGTCATGCTGCATATCCCTCCCCACATGGACATATTCGTCGTCCCAGCGCTCCGACCGCCGCTGAGAGAAGGGCAAGCAGTATCGCCCCTGGTGCTATGAGCCTGCCAAGGAACGCTTCGGCGCAGAGACAGAGTCAGGCACCCGACGTTTTCTTTGATGGTGCGGGTGCGGCGGCAGGAGGAGGAGCTGCAGCGGGTGCAGGAGGAGAGTCTGTTGCTGGAGCTAGCAGTACGAGCGACGAGGAGGAGCATGGAGACGAGGGCAGAGATACCGTTGCTGATCTGCGCGAGGCACGTCATCCTCCCCAACCTCAATCGCGACGAGGAGACGACGGCGAGGAAGCGGATGGAGACGGAGCAGGACCTGGCAGTGGGGACGACGAAGGCGACAAGGACGACGAGGAGGCAGGCGACGAAGACGCCCTCTCCCCTGAGGACTCAGCCTCTGCGTCCGACGGCGCCGACCCTGAAGACGTCGAGTATACCCTCAAGGACCGCCAAGACGCCATCAACATCGAGCATCCCTTCGGTCTTCCTATCTGGAAGCCCGCGCTCTACAAGAAGAGCCGTACCGTCACCCGCAACGCTGAGAATGACCTGCACTCCGTGCCTAGCAGAGCAGCGGAGCGTCACCTCCTCCCTGGGAATATTCTGTGGACCGTCCTGTTTGGCAGCTGGCTAGGCGCGCTCTGCGTGCTGGCTAGCCTGCTCCTCCGACTGGTACCCATCGGCGGCACGCGCTATGCACGAGTGGCATGGGAGCTTGGCGGGTACCTCTTCTGGCCATTTGGCAAGTTCGTCGAGGTAGAGATCAGCGCGACCACGGGCGAGAGGTCGGCCCCCGCTCGCATTGACGGGAACAACAAGTGGTCCTTCGTGGCCAAGGACGACTCGCGCAGCATGCACGACGGGGAGAACAGCACGTACACCACAGCATTCACGCCCGTAGCTGCTCGCTTCCCACACGACCATGAGCACCGCATCGCGTTCAACGCTCGCAGACCGAGGCCCGTCAGTCACGCCGAATCGGACGCTTCGGCCGGTGGAGGCTTGGAGAGATATGATACCATTCGCCCGGGAGATGTAGCTGCAGCTGAGGCGGGGGGGAACAGCTCTGGCTCGTCGGCATCGGAGGGAGCCAAGCACTCCAATGTCATTACGCCCAAGGCGAGCGGCGATTCAGGAGCAAGGCTGTCCTCCGCATCCATGGGCAACACTGCCGCCTCGGAGACGACTCCACTCAAGGGCAAGGGCAAGAATCGCAGCAGTGCTTCGTACGGAGCCACAGCTGATGGTGATGACGAGGAGTCGTTCGAGGACGACGATGAAGCATCCCGCATCGAGCGCGAGCTGGAGATCTACGAGTACGTCGCTGATGACCAAGGGCGGGATGTGGGCGTGAGTGGAAGATGGCTCGGCGCAGCGGCGTACGGCCTCGTCTTCTGGCTGGTGATTGCGCCTGTGCTCGGGCTCATCTGCCTCGCCTGCTGGGGAATGGTCGTCACCATTCCGATGGCGAAGCTGACGTGGGTTTTGATCAAGAACCTGGCCAACCGTCCCCTAGCTCTACACTTCGGCTCTGCTCTCGAGCAGCACGAGGAGCGCTCATCCTCCGATGCTACCCTCGACGATGCGGCGAAGAAGATCTTCCTTCCCCTCAAGCCTGGCCAAGCGAAAGTGGGACCCCTCAATACGACCAACGGCCTCCAACCGCTCTCTGCCCGCCGAAGCAAGATTTTGCTCTGCACGTATCGCGCCATCGGGCTGCAGTACTACAAGTACACCGTGGGCGGCGTGAACATCCTATTCGTCAATACGCTCCCCTTTGTGGGCTTTACGATCTTCGACTTCTTCTTCCTCGAGCCGTACGTCATCAAGCACCCGAGTCTGCACGGTGGCCTTCTGGCTTGGGTTTCCAGCCAGTCAGTCATCTTCGTCTGTGCGCTGGGGTCGGTCATCCCCTTGAGCTACTTCATCGGTATGGCAGTGGCGTCCATCTCGGCGCAGTCTTCCATCGGTATGGGCGCGGTAATCAACGCCACCTTCGGTTCCATCATCGAGATCATCCTCTACGCCATCGCCTTGACACAAGAGAAGGCTCGCCTTGTGGAGGGGTCCATCATCGGCTCCATCCTAGCCGGCGTGCTCCTCATGCCCGGCCTCTCCATGTGCAGCGGCGCTACCCGCCGAAAAGAGCAGCGCTTCAACGCTCGCTCGGCAGGCGTCACCTCCACCATGCTCATCATGGCCATCATCGGAATCCTGACGCCCACGTTGTTCTACCAGATCTACGGCACATTCCAGCTCACTTGTACGGGATGCCCGACGGACGGGGTGGTGGGACAGGACTGGACGTGCAAGCGCTGTTTCTACGAGCACGTGCCGCCTGCAACGGATCCCTTCTATCAGCACAGCGTCAAGGGGCTGATGTACACATGTACCGTAATCCTCGTGTTGAGCTACGCCATCGGGCTGTGGTTTAGTCTGCGCACGCACGCGAGCCAGATTTGGCAGAATACCCAACAAGCTGCGGCGCCTCTCCATGCTGGGCCGGGCCAGCATGCCACGCAACAACACCACGCCACTGGAGCGCCAGGCGAGACGATCACGACTGCACCTACCTTCCTGCAGATCCCGTCGGCGCAGCGAGCGTCCATCTACAAGAAGCTCCTCCCCGCGTCCATGATTCAGCAGCTCCTCCCAACGACGAACGCTGCGGGCAGCAAGGGCAATACTCTGCGAGCGGGCGGCGGGGCTACTTCTGGCGATGGCGCAGTGCAGGGTCTACCTACCTCCTCTGAACCGCCACCATTGCGCCTGCCCGAGTCCTTCTCGCAGGAGGACTACGCCAAGGCGATGGCCTTCACGGCGAGTGCTTTCCAGACGGCCATCCAGCAGCATCAGCGCGAGCAAGCGGCGGCGGCCGCAGCAGCAGCGAGTGGTAGCAGCGGATCAGGGGTTGGCTCTTCCCGCCCTGTCTCGCGAGTAGGGTCGCATCAACACCAACGCTCTTCGACGGCAGCCACCGCCGTGCCGAGCGAGCAGACGCACACGGCGCGAGGCAACTCGATGGTGGAGACGGAGCCCGACCACCACCACCAGCAGCATGGCATCAATGTCCCCGCTCCAGCTGGAGTGACTGGCGCAGCCCACCCGCCGGTCAATCAGGCAGTAGGAGGCGATCACGGCGGCGGGCACGGTGGGCATGATGCCCCCTCGTGGTCACGCGGCGTCTCCCTCACTGTCCTCCTCTCCTGCACGGTCCTCTACGCCATCATCGCCGAAATCCTCGTAGACGTAGTCGACGTCGTCCTCGACGGGTCAGGGATTGACGAGAAGTTCCTCGGTGTCACCCTCTTCGCCTTGGTGCCCAACACGACGGAGTTCATGAACGCTATGAGCTTCGCCATCAATGGAAATATCGCGCTCTCCATGGAGATTGGGAGCGCGTACGCACTGCAGGTGTGCCTGATCCAAATACCGGCCATGGTTGCTTGGTCGGCGTACTACAACTACTCGCGCGGAATCGGCGGTGTACCGCTCATTCATCGCAGCTTTACGCTCATCTTCCCGCGCTGGGATGTCATTGCGATCATCTTTTCGGTCTTCCTCCTCACCTACACGTACATCGAGGCCAGGAGCAATTACTACCGCGGGTCGATCTGTATACTGAGCTACTTGGTGCTGGTAGCGGGCTTCTACTTTGCGCCGGGGACGGGAGATACCGAGGCGCCTGGAGATGGTGCGCCTGAGGACTTTGTAGCGGCGACGACGGTGGGAGTCTCTATGGCGTGGGAGACGGCCAAGGCTGCTGGTCTTGGGTGGGGCCAGATGATGCAAGCGGCTTGGGGTGCTCTGTACACGCGATGAGAGATGATGCAGATGTTGATGTAGACTTTACGATTCCTACTTACTCTTTATTCTCCTCTAACGATTGATTCTCGCCTTGCCGTAGTAGCTCGCCGCCCTGAGATCGGGCCGAGAGGTGACGTGACGCCCAGCTGCATGAGCGCCGCCCGCCCAAGGCAAGGCGAGTGGAGTCGAGCCCGAGTCGACTGGACCAGAGAATCGACTTGCCCTGAGCGTCGAGTGCGGACTGCTGCGCCTTGACTCCCCGACTACACCGTCACATCGAATCACCAGATCATCCTGCTGACTCCTCCATAGACGTTGAGCACAGCGACGACGACGACAACGACGACGACGATCCTTGGTGCTCGCCCGCAATGGCCGGTCGCCACCTCAATCTGCGCATCATAGCGCCCCTGACGCTCTTCCTCGTCGTCCTCTTCTTCGTCTACCGGGATCGCCACACGGTGCAGGACACACTGAGCTATTCGACCCGACCGCTATGGGACAAACCGTCCGACCCTGCTGTACTGCTGCCTCACTTGCATGCCGAGGGCTTGCCGTCAGACGATTTGGCTGCGTGTCAGAGGCATGGATGGGAGAAGTTGAGAGAGCCTACGCCGGGAATGGATCGCAGGTATCTCATTGATGCGGTTCTGTTTAGTACGGAGCTGGATCTACTCGAGATTAGGTTGAGGGAGCTGTGGGATGTTGTGGATCAATTTGTGGTGGTAGAGAGCACGCATACGCTGATGGGAGACGAGAAGGTCTGTGCTGCCATGCTGCGAGGCGAGAGAGAAGACGACTCACGTCATGCTGATGACCTGCCGAAATGCTCACACGCTCGCTCGCCACAGAACCTCACCTTCGCCGCAAATCGTCTGCGCTTCTCCCCGTGGGAGTCCAAGATTGCCTACCACAAGTACCAAGGCCGCCCCATGACGCAAAAGGACGGCGCCTTCACCCTAGCCAACGAGATGCGCGTCGGAGTCAACCACTTCATACACAACGTGCTCAAGCCGCCAGCCTCCTCCCTCCTCCTCATGGCAGACGTCGACGAGATTCCCTCGCACGCCTCTCTCTCCCTGCTCAAGGCGTGCGCCGCCCCATTGCCCATGCACTTGCAGATGCGCAACTACGTGTACTCATTCGAGTGGGTGACAGACAATCGTAGCTGGAGGGCCCAGCTGCATGAGTTGAACGATGGCAGCTCCTACATGCATGGCAAGACGAGCGACAACGCCCTCGCTGATGCCGGTTGGCATTGCAGGTGAGTACGTTGGGCGTGAGCACAGATAGAATGTCCCCCCTCTCATCGCCACCACCCCTTCGCTCCCCTCGCCAGCTTCTGCTTCCGCAACCTCTGGGAATTCACCTTCAAGATGAAGGGCGCCTCCCACGCTGACAGGCTCTACCATCGCCTAGACTGGCAGTCCTACCTCTCCCCGGAGCGCATACAGCGCAAGATCTGCTCAGGCGAGGATCTGTTCGACATGTTGCCCGAGGCGTACACCTGGGGCGAGTTGATCCAGCTATGGAGGGGGGCCACAAGGAGCTACTCTGCCGTCAATCTGCCAAAGGCTGTGGTGCAGGATGCGGGGAGATTCGGCTTCTTGTTGCCGGGAGGGTGTATGAGGGAGGCGTAGCAAAGCAAACGGGCCGGCCAACGTACGGTCGCTGATACCGCGGTGCGAGGGCATCGCTGCGTCTACGTAGGCTCGACGCAGGGGGCGGTTCATTGAGCTTCCGCAGTGTACTATAGTAATGAGGAATCTGATCACTTCTCCACGAGCAGTCGCAACGTCACGTCAGACACTGAGGCAGTCCCAATGAGAACGAGCGGACCATTCTATTGACAAGACGCGACGCTGCTACCATCTACCGCCGCCTCTGCTACACCTCTAAGCCTGCGTAACATTAAGCGGCAGATCCTCATGATAGAGGTGCGTAGCCTCACTCCCCTTTGGTCCCGGCTGATCAAACTCAATCTCTGCCACGAGCGTCGTAGCACCATCGAAGCTCTTGTCGACGTAAAAGTCAGGAGCGGTCATAGCGAATTCGGCATGACGGTAGTCCTTGGGTACAGAGGAGATGAGCTTGATCTTGCGATAGCCATTCTTGGCGCCGATGACAAAGTTGAAGCGATTCGGCTTCACGTTGGCATAGTCGCCGCAGGGCTGGTCGTAGGTGACGTGGAATTGCTGCACCGGGGGGGAGGGGGCACGGGTGGTCGAGGGGGGGCAGGGGGAGAGGTTAGCTGGTGTCTTTTCAGAGGCGTCACAGCAATCGCGCTTGCTTGCGCTACACTCACGCGGCCTTCCTTGACCTGGGTCTGGGCGAGGGTGAACTTGCCAAAGCGATTGGCCTCGACGCACGTAGCACGCTCCTCGATAGCAGAGGCGGGTGCGGCCGAGATGAAGGTGGTGGCCGTGGCGAGGAGGCCGGTGAGGATGGCGGCGGAGAACTTCATGCTGGTCGAGTGTGGGAGGATGCTTGGTGTGTTGTGCTGGCGTGTTGCGCTGAAGAGTATTGATGCTGATGCTGATGGAGCAGAGGGTAGGAGGATGACCTCAAGGCTGCCCTCTTATAGCTTTTGTCTTCTCGTCCACGTCTACACCATGGTTCAAGACGTCGTCGTACGTGCGGGTCGCACCGTCGACTGCTCGGGGATGCGACGACCTGGTATGATCAGACCTCTCTCCACTCGCTTGCAAAAGTCTCCGCCTTCAATACCCCAGCCGTCAGTCAATTGAACCAGTCATCGACCACACCATTGCACGGCCAATTTCATCCCCTTGACTCGCCACAAAGTGATCGGAATCGCTCGTACGAGGAGGCCCAAGCGTCGTCGACCCCGCTAACTGCTCACCGCTCACCGCTGCTCGTCCTCGGAGATCCCGCGTCGCCGTCCTTACCGCATCGCGTGGAAGCCGGCGGGGCCGCGGGTGGGCGCCGAAGCAGCATCCCTCGCTAGGAGCTGGGTGTCGAGGGGAGCTCACTCTGGTTCACGACGGCCACTGGGCGACGGCGACGGGCGACGTCATAGCCATTGCGATTTTGGGATGGCCAAGATGAGACGGATGCGAATGGACCATGATCGCGAGGCAAGACGAGACGAGACCAACGACACGAACGAAACGACACGAGCGACGCGACGAGACAAAGAGACCTCCGGAGCATGGGCGATGAGCACTAGCCCCAATCGAGATTTGCCCCGCCCTCCTGTGACCTGTGCCTGGAGGTGGAGACGTCCACGTTCGCTGCTCGGCATCGTGGGACGGTTGTAAATCACTTCGTCGACGCTGCGAGGTTGAAGATCGCCGCCAGCTGCCTACTATTGATCCCTTGATGAGACGATTTTCAGGTCAAGGGCCGCAAAGCAGACGGACGCAGCCACACCTTCTTCTCGCTACCACCCGCTGCCGTCCATTTGCATCGCAGGGAGGCCAGGCAGCACAGCATGACAAACACAATGCAATCACTTGTCGTCCTTGCCCCTCGCACTCGCACGGCCGCGTCGTGTCTCTCTCTCTCGCTGAGCACGAGGAATTTTAGCCTCATTTCGATTCGAAAGACAGAACGGCGATAGGCCCGCGAGTCTCTGCAGCAGTCAGTGGCTGGGCCGGGCGTGGCTGGCCTCTTGCTTGGCCAGGGCGCAAATCCTGCACCTCGTGCGTCCGAGGCCCCGTGGGCATGCCCAAAAGAGCGGTCGGGTGAGGGATGAAAAAGTTGGGCGACGGCGCGAGAGGCAATTGTTGGCTGCGATGCTGGGCATGGTAAGATCTAGAAGGCGTGATCGTCGTCGAGCATGGTCGTGGGAGCAAAGACATCAGCAGAGCGCGGCAGTCAGTAAAAGGAAATGGCGCGGTTCTCGGCATGGCAGGGAGGGAGAGGGGACTGATTGCCACTCTCGTCGTATTGAGGAAGCGAGAGGAGGGGAGAAGCGGCGGCCGGCTAGGCGACGGAGCCTATCTTGCAGCGAGCAGTCGAGGTTGAGCGAGGCCCGCCGGCAGGAGCCTGGGCAAATCTATCTTCCTTTGCTTGCCACCACTCTTTTACACTTCAGCTGTTGCCCCTTTAGCCGCAGACACGAGCCGCCGCCGCTCTTCACATTTCTCCTCCCTCGTCCTCATCACGGATCAGACATTCGCAGAGACTTGGGCGTGACCTCCCCCTCGCCGCCGCCGCTCTTCACCTGCGTTCCCTCAACTCCTCAATCACCAACACTCTCACGCCGCGCCATGTCCGCTGCCACTCCCAACTTCGAGCTGGGCCGTGAGCCCCTCGCTGCATCGCAAGAGCAGCAACAACAACAACATTCTCTCGCCCACCACGACGATGAAAAGAAGGGCGCCCTCGCCTCATCAGACGACAGCGACTCTGACCGCAATGGCGGCATCGATGGCGAGAACCCCACGTCGACTGCGACTGCCAAGCGCAAGTACGGCCAGCTCTCGGGTGTCGCCCTCATCTTCGCGTGTGGAGCATCGCTCTTCTCTGATGGTTACGTCAACGCTATCGCTGGTCCGGTCAACACGATGATCACAAAGTACTCGTACGCAGACGCGCCTGCCGATGAGCTCAAGCGCTTTACGACGCTTTTCCCTTCGATGGCTTTCGTGGGGACCGTCGTCGGTATGCTGTCATTTGTGAGTTAAAGCGCGCGCGAAGTCATAATCAACCTCGCGCGCTCAAGCTGACCTACTTCACCACTACTCGCTCGCAGGGAGTTCTCGCCGATACCATTGGCCGCAAGTGGGGCATGCTCGTCTGCTCCGCGGGCCTCATCCTCTTCTCTATCCTCGCCGCAGGAGCATGGGGAGCTGGTGGCTCGACCGGCGGCCTCTTCGCAGCTCTGATCGCCTATCGCTTCCTCATTGGCATCTTCATCGGCGGTGAATACCCCTGCGGTTCAGTCGCCTGCGCCGAGAACACGGAGCAGGACAACATCAAGAAAACGCGCCAGCAAGCATGGTTCGTCCTTGCCACCAACTCGTGCATCGACGTCGCCTTCATTCTCGCCCCCTTCATTGCCTTGATCCTCGTCTGGATCACGGGCGAAGGCGACCTCAACCCCGCATGGCGAGTTCTCTTGGGTCTGGGCGCCATCCCTCCCCTCTCGCTCCTCTTCTTCCGTGCCCGCATGCGCGAGCCCGACTCGTACAAGAAGGCCGCCATCCGCAAGAAGCTGCCCTGGTGGATCATCATCAAGAAGTACTGGGTCCGCCTCACCGCCGTCTCCCTCGTCTGGTTCGCATACGACTTTGTCTCCTACCCGGCCGGAATCTACTCGTCCTTCATCACCACCGAGCTCTTCCCCGACGCCGGGCTCAAGACGAACCTCGCCTTCTCCATTGCCATCTCCGCCTTCTACCTCGGCACGTTTGTCGGTGCGGCCGTCATCGACAGGCTGGGCCCCAAGTACACGATCATGCTCTTCCTCGCGCTGCAGGCCGTCTTCGGCTTCGCCCTCGCAGGAGCATTCGGGTACTGGCGCAACCACGTCGGCGGCTTGATCGCCATGACTGGTCTCTACATTGCCTTTGGTGAGGCTGGACCCGGAAATTGCCTAGGCTTGCTCGCATCCAAGGCCGTAGCCCCTACTGCCGTGCGAGGACGATTCTACGGCATTGCCGCTGCCATTGGCAAGGTCGGCGCCTTCGTTGGCACGTACACCTTTACGCCGCTGCAGGAGCGCTTCCCCGAGGACAGCGACAACTACTACGCTGCGCCCTACTACGTCGGCTCGGCCCTCGCTGTTGTGGCCTTCTTCCTCGTCTTGTTCTTCGTCCCGGCAGTGCAGACGGATGGAATCAGGAAGATGGACGAGGAGTTCCTCACGCTCCTTCGCGAGAGCGGCTACGACATGGACAATGTAGGTTTGGACTCGACGAGCACGGGAGAGACGATCGAGAGTGCCAACAATGCGCCGCATGTCACGCACAAGGAGCACTGAGTGGGCGCTGAGGCGGTGAACAAGAGGAGCGGTGCGCCTCGCAGCTGCATGGAAGTCGCAGTCGCAGTCGCAGTCGCACGTATATTTCAACAACAACACGCACACAAGTCACAGTCACCGTTTCTCGTCTCGTCTCCTATTGTCTTGTCCTGTGCTTTAGCGCCCCGCGCTCGATTTCGAATTACATCTCAACATGTTGCAATGCGGTGTGCCTTCGTCAAGGGCAGCGAGTGAGAGGGCGTGCGCGGGCTCTCGAGCCAGAAGGTGTTGGTTGTCCCCTTTTTCTCCGGCGTGACCGTCTTGAGACCGCATCGCCGCCTCGTCTGGCTCTCAGCCCCTGTGCCTGTTACCTGTGGGCGTCTCGAGCGGAGCGGGGCGGGTATGCGCCGTGCTTTGCGGGAGGGGGAGAGAGAGAGGTGAGCTCAATTTGGTTGGCCAAGCAACGCAACTGCAAAGCAAGGCAAAGCTCACTCGTCCGGCATCTGCACTACCGTCCTTGCCACATCATCAACAACATTACCATCACACTCGAGCGGCCCCTTGTCTCGTATCGATACCCTCTGACGCTGCTCAACGACCGCCAAGCCAGAGCAAGCAGCACTGCCCGTCGGCCCAGGCAGTTCGCCAATCATCACCATCTTCGACCGGCGGCCCGCCCTCAGTGAGCGGTACGTAAGTGGTTCGTCGATCTCCGCCGTCCCTTAGCATCAGCGTCATCATCATCATCGCCGGCGTCGGCGTTGACGGACATCACACCACCACGAGGCAGCATCGAGGCCATCCAGTCGCGGCATTATGACGGCCGCGACCTCGAACCCATCCTCCTACGCCTCTCCCTCCTCCTCCTCCTCGTCGTCGAGCCGACGATCGCCGTACACTGGAGGTGGCAGCAACGGCGGCGGCGGCGGCCCTTCCCATTTGCCAAGTTCAGCCTGGTCAACGAATCGCCCCTCTCATTCGCCCTACAGCTCTCCGTCCCTGGCATCGAAGCCATTACCCCTCCACCCGAGCGAGCATAATCGACCCCCTCCGCAGCAGCACCAACAGCACGCCAATTACTACAGTGGCAGCGGTAGTGACGACCACATATATCAAAAGGCTTTCGCCCTCTCGCGCTCAACATCAGTGCGCAGAGGCCAAGAAGGGCAAGACGGCAGCATGAAGCGCTACCAGCTCGAGGACGACGGCCCCATGGCCTCGAGGTCCTCCTCGCAACGCCCTGAAAGCGGACAACTGCTCTCACGCAACGCATTTCGCGACTCGGTGGCAAGCGATGCGTCCTTCAACACCATTACAGGGCGCAGTGATCGGGAGTCCATCGCATTCGGCGGCCCCTCGATGAGCAGTCGCAGCCCAGCGCTCCATCGCCGCGACTCAGTGGACACCGTCAAGACTGCCGAGTTCGATGAGGGAGGGAGGTGGGGACGGGCCTGGGCAGACAGGGCGGAGGATGAGGAGTCGCTGTATGGGGGCAGTGAGTGGGGCAGTGGTTCGGGAATCGGGGACGGGTATGATGAGGATGAGGACGAAGATGCGGGGGGTGGGATCATGGCGGGTAGAGCGGGCGGGACTGGTGGGCTTGATGCGTTGAGACAGCTGGCCAGCGGCAAGGGATTGGAGGGACTGCATCTGGTTGATGTGCCAGGAGGCGAGGGGCATGGGCAGCATGTGCAAGCGGCGCATACACCTCAGGAGACGACCGCATCTAGCTCGGCGTATCACCTTCAGCCGTTGTCAGGCAAGGAGCGCATCGTCTCTCTCACTCCCTCGATTCACGGCGCACCACCAGGAGACAGCACGCCGCGAAACTCATCGTTCCCAACGCATCACTCAAACCACTCCGTGTCGACGATTGGTCCAGACGGGGCACACGTCTACGTCTGGCCTCCGACGCCTGATGGGTCTGTGGCGTCGCATGGGCCGCCGTTCGCAGGTGCACAGAGCGTGGGAGGTGGGCTCAACGTAAGGAATACAGGAGGTGCCCAGCGTGCGGAGGCGGATGCTGCGTCCATCCACGAGTGGGAGGCGGTATCGGACGAGGAAGACGAGGATAGTGACGAAGAGGCAGAGAAAGCGGCGCAAGCCATCTCTGGCCCCGTCAGCGTTTCAGACGCTCTTCGCGGCGGGCACCAAGCATCCTCGACGGGCCATCCAGCAGGTCGCCAACCACCGCCACCGCCGCCCTCAAGCAGGTACGGGGACCCCAACTCTGCCCTGCCACCGGGCTCGCAAATAGGCAGGACACGCGCAGCAGCCATCGCAGCGGCAGACGGGCGGGAGAGCATCGTATCTGACCTCGACGTCGAGACATTGAGGCTGGATGGCGGGTCGAGTAGGAGGGACAGCTCCAGTACGATCGGCAGCAATGCGACGGACAGCAGGATGAGCGTGGGGACGGTGCGGTACGATGATGACGGGAGCGGTCGAGACTGGTATGCGCAGCAGCAGCGCCCGCTATCATCCGCCACGAGGCCGGTCAGCGTAGACAGTACGCCGATGGCCCGGCCAGAGCAGAGAAGAGGGATGGGCTCGCACCCACCGCAGCGAGGTGGGCCTCACTTTACGCCTCCTACAAGATCAGCAACCATGCCTTCCCCTACCATCGATGCCAACGATACGCCCACGGCTGTCAATACGCCGCAGCGGCGTCAGCAGGCGCCACCGTCCTATCCAGGTCATCCCGCTCTCGGTTCACGTCCACCACCTCCCCTGCACGCAAAGAGCAGTACGGGCACGCCTGTACGCCCGCCTCTGGCATCGCAGCAACAACAAGCTTCAGCGCGGTCAGCTTCATCTGCCACGACGACCACGATGTCCTCCTTCAAGACAGCCAGCAGCGGCCATACCCACACAGCCTCCACTCCGTCCAGCAAGCCCTCCCGCCGCACCGGTACCGTGGGCCAAGACACGAAGACGGGTCCCTCAACAGCAGAGCACTTCCTCACGCAAGGGATCGCCTACCACGAGCAGGGCGATCTTTCTCGCTCCGCCTACTACTTTGAGCGTTCCGCCAAGGTGGACGGCGGGTGCGTCGTCGGGATGTGCATGTGGGGCATGACGTTGCGCGAAGGGTGGGGGGCGCGCAAGGACCCTCGTAAGGGCTTCGAATGGATCCAGCGTGCGGCGGCGAAGGCTGGGGACCTGATGAAAGAGGCAGGAGTGGCGCAACGTACCGAAGCGGAGCTGAAAGCTGTTCGTTCTGAGCTCAAGCTGTCCGTCTACGAGCTGGGCAAATGCTTCTGCTACGGCTGGGGAGTGAAGCAGGATAAGCCCATGGCCCTCGAGTATTTCGAGCTCGCAGCTAAGCTGGGCGATGCGGATGCGCAGGCTGAGGCTGGCGCGCTGTACGCATCGGGAAAAGGAGGGTGTAAGAAGGACCTGAAGAAGGCCGCAGGGTATTACAGGATGGCGGCGAAGCAGGGGTATGATTTGATTGGGTTGAGTTGGGTTTGGAAGAGCAAGTTTGATTGAGCGGAGCGAGCTGCACATGGACTCGACATTATCGAGTCGAGACGTGAGACAGTCTTGTCGAGGCGAGAGAGAGAGACGGTGTCATATCGAGGCAAACTCCTCTTCTCATCGTAAATGCAACCCACCACCGTGACACCGTATTCCTCGTCCCCTCCTCTCTAACTGCACGTGACCCTCTCGCCGCCCCTTCCGTCCCACCCACGCCTGCCTGGCTGCTGCCACACAAAATGCCAGTCCAGGCGCGAGTTCCTCCTTCTCTCCTCTCCTTAACGCTTACGAGGCCCTACCGCAAGAGCGGAGGGTTCTCTAGACCCCTAGCGCTTTAAAAGCACCTTGCCATTAGAGGCTGCCGTCCACCACTACCATGTTGTGGCACAGGCGACCCATGAAGTCGAGCGAGGTCGTATAGTGTTTTTACTAGGAGATGGACCTGATAGGCAATGGAGCACGGGTGCGTCGCGTTGCTACCCATGAATGGGGCTTCCTCGATAAAAGAGGAGGTGCAGCGGGACGCAATGCTTCGTTGTACATACGAATGGAGGGCGAGCTCGAGGGAGGGGTATGAGGAGATTGGGACGGACGAGGAGCATCGCGCAGTCAACCGGCCGGACTTGAGAAGCAGGATGAGGAATCAGGATATCCTCAACACTGTCACGGTGTGACGATCAATTTTCATGTCATGCTGCAGCTTCTGACTCTGTCGTGAGCAATGGTTTGAAAGAGATTGCCATCAAATGCTTGCTCTCCGCCAGGGATAGCGACCGCCGCGCATATGACGGCTTGTGGTGTGTTCCGCCCTTGGCACTCGTGTCTTGCCTTCGCAACCATCACGAGAGACTCAGCAAGGCCCGCAAGTGAAGGTCGCTTTTCCTGTGAGCCTGGATGGCAGCTCGCCTCGCTCATTACGACGATGGCCCATCCTCAAGCGCACCTCACCCGCTCTGGATCCTGAGACATCACTCCCCTGTTCCGGTGACTGCGCTTGCCTTCCATGAGGCTGCGGCTCAAAGGGACGATGAGGATAGCGACGACGACGAGGACGCAGCAGACGGCTCGTTGCTACTCGTAGCGGGCGATGCAGATGGCCAAGTCTCTCTCAGCTCTGTAGCCACCTACCGACCTCAGCACTTTTGGCAGGCCCACGCGAAGGGATCCTCAATACTGGGCGTGGAGGCGCTCGACGATCAGGGTGGGCAATACCATCGTCTCGTGACGCACGGGCGAGACCACAAGATTCACTTCTGGCGAGCAAGAAAGACGAGCTCACAGCCGCCGCCCTCCGTCAAGGCTGCGAGCCACGCTGCGGAAGACCAGGAAAAGGCAGGCAAACCCGAGCTAACGGTCACCATCGAAGTGAATGCGCTCAATTTCTGCAGATTCTCACTACTCCATCCAACACCCGGTCAAAGCGGCGATACCGCATTCATTGCTGTCCCGCACACGCTCGAGTCGGGGTGGATAGACGTCTACTCCGTTGACCTATCCTCTGGCGGTACTCCCAAGGCGCAACGTATACACACGGCGATTGGCAAAGGGATGCTATCACCTGGAGGGCTGGCTGCGGGCTCTTCTGCGGCAAGCGGGGGAGCGATGTCAGGCGGAGTGAGCAGAGCGCCGATCACCATGTCCCTTCATCTCGTTGCGACCGAGGGCGCAGGGCTGGCCATCCTGGCTGGGTACGAGGATGGAGCTGTGCGATTGTGGAAGACAAAGAAGGCGGCCCACGAGAGTGGGGCATCAAGCGGCTCAGCAGCCGCTGATAGCAGTGCAGCTTGGTCACTCGTCTGGGAAGAGAAGGTGCACAGAGAGACAGGTGAGTGCCATGGCTCGCATGTGCGGCACATTAGGCCCCCAGCTGACCCTCCTTCCCCTCACTCTTCAGTCCTCAGCACATGCCTCTCCTATAGCACCGACCTTCTCATCTCCACGAGCGCAGATGATCGCCTAGCCCTCTTCGCCCAGCCCACGGCGCATCCGCCGAATTGGAGCAAGGCGAACGTACTCGAGACACACAAGCAGGGCCGCTCTTCGCTCGCTATGCTACCCGCTGCGCAGAGGAGAAGAAGCGGCAATGCGAAGGAAGACGAGTCGGCGCACATCTTCATCGTAGGGGGCTGGGACGGGCGGGCACGGCTCTATCGCGCCTCGCCGGCCGCTGACTCGTACGACGCTGAAATCATCGCCGTACTGCGCTACCACAAGGAGTCTGTACAGGCCGTCGCGCTAGCCCGCTCGGCAGACGATGCCATTCTGGCCGCTGTAGCGGGAAAGGACGGGCGAATTTCGCTCTGGAAGCATGGGAGCTAGTGTCAAAGCGGGCATAGAGCAATGAATGTCTAAGGACCCTTCTGTCGAGATAGCAAATAGCATGGCATCGTCTAGAGTAGTCCCGCATCATTGTGCCTCTGCCATCCTCAGATCCTTGGCCAGTTGTGCCTCCCTCCCGGTCAACTTGCCCTGCTCCTTCCTCTCCCCCTCGCCAAGCAAATCCGCATCAGCCTCCTCCGCCGCATCATCATCGATCGTCTCGTCCACGCCACCCCCTTCCTCGCCAGGAGCATCGATGACGAATTGCTGCTTCTCCGCGTCACGTCTACTGCGCTCCAACGCCTCGTGTGCCCGACGAACCTCATCCGCCGCATCGTGTGCGCGACGCTCCTCCTCTTCGGTCGACGCAGTGCGCATGGACTGCATGCTGCGCTTTGCAGATAGGGCCGCAGGGGATACCGGGGCAAGACGACCACCTGCTTGCGTTCGAGCCGCTTCTTCGAGGGAGAGACCGCCCATCCCTCCTGGTCCGGCCGACTTGGCAAAACTGGGTTTGGGCCCGCTGACGGTCGTGCCTCCGACTCTCCCACCTACCGCGTCAGCTACATCTCCCAGCAGTCCACCGAGCAAGCCCTTCACTCTCTCTCTCGTCACGCCCTTTGTTCCCTGCGATGAGACGTCATTGAATGCAGAAAGGAGAGCGTCTTTGGTCGACGCGGGCACCTTACTTGCCGGGCGAAGGGCGAAGGAGGCCGGCAGGTCCGACTCGAAGAAGTCGTGCAGGATGGGCGAGGCGAGGACAAGGGCTCGGAAGGTTGCTTCGGAGAGGAAGGGGGTGTCGAAGGACGCAGTCTCTGATGACGAGCTGGTAGCGCCATCTGGTGGTGAGATGGTGAGGCCCGGATTTGACGAGGTGGTCGTAGAGGCGGCCCCTTCCACTGGCATGTCGACGGTAATGACTTTGCCGGAGGCCACTTCGCTCTCGAGCTTCTTGGCTCGATCGCCTGCTATTTCCCAGAGTGCTCCTTCTGCTCTTGTGAGTTCTGCTTGCCATTCGTCGGTTGATGGTGGACGGATTTCGGAGGAGGGAAAGTCGGGCCACGCGCTCGCGCTGGAAGTCGAGGAGGAGGATGCGCCGCTGCCCTCGCTCAATGCCGCTGTCACTGCATCTTCTGGCGGTGTGAGCTTGGCGACACTGGGACCAAGTAGCTTCTCGAGTTCGTCTGCTACTACTTTGCGTGATCGACCGGCCACGTAGGTGACGAAGCGGAGCCCGGGGAAGCGTTGCTCGTAGAGGAAGTTGAGGCGGGCGAGGCCTGTCGCAGAGCGGGCGAGATGGCGGCGAGATGGAGAGCAATGTCAGCACAGATGCCATCGATATGCTTCGTCGTGCGCCCGCTGCTCACGCTGAAATGTCGCCTCATCATCCCCACCCTCGCTGGCCGACCCAGCAGTCTGCTCCATAGCGCTAACAGCGCTGACATTCTTGTTCGGCCTTCCTATCCTCGGATGGCCCCCAATCAGCATAGCTCGCTGGTCGGCACTCCATCCTGGCTCTTCTTCTACGCAGAATCGCACTACATCCAGCAACCCTTCATAGGAGACGGGCCTGTCCTCCTCGGGCAGCTCCTCGAGCGACTGAGCAACCTGCGTCGTCAGGAGCGAAAGGACCGAGCTTGGGCATTCCAGAAGGCGGACGAGGATGGGCGCATATGATGAGGGTGATTTGAGGGTGTTGAGTTCAGATGGTGGGGGTATTTTCTGCGCTGTTGACGACGACGACGATGATGCGGCAGCGCTCATTGTGATGGTGGTCGCGTGAGTGTATGCTCTTCAAGGAGAGACTTGATCGAACAGCTGGCCGTCGTCGACGCCGTCCAATCTGAAGCCGTGCCGCCGCCGCTGCCGTCGTGCGCATGGGCCATGCCACGCGGAGCGACCACGGTCGAGCTTCAATCTGCTCGAGACCAATCCTTGTGGTCATCGCCGTCGCCTTCAGCAGGCTATGCGAGTGACACCACCCGCAGCGTCAGACAATGCTCCGTCAGACATTGAAGACGGCAGGAGACTGAGATCCACGCATCTCGGCATCGTTCATGGTGGCCACCACTCGTTTCGTTCCATTCGTCATTGGCAGTCGCGGGACAGACAAAGATGCCAAGTCGCCGCATCCCCACGAACGGCTGTTATCGACGCAAGCGGCGACTTGGTGCCAGCGCCGCGCGAGCGATGGGTCTCAGCTGCGAGCAGCATGTTCTGATCAGCCGCAGGGGAACTCGCGGCTGGTTGTGAGCCAATGCGGTCGCCATGTGTTTCGCGGCTCGATGCTCACTCATGCTGATGATGGTGGCCTGCTCACGTGGTCGTCGCCATTATCGCCAAGGCCGTTCCCCCCATCGGGGTCTATGCGTACGACTCCGTCGTCGTCATTGTCACCGTCTCCCTCTTCTCTCCCACTCAGCTCGACTTCAGGCACTCTTTTTGGCCGCCGCATCTGCTCGCTCATCCGCGCCGAGCCTCTTTTGCCTCCCACGGAGGGAGGGGGCCCAGGGCCGCACTCGGAGGTCTTGGACTGTGAACCCTCATCGCTCAAAACTGAGACCCGAGAGACAAACAACAAGTCGGAGAATGCGCAACGAAAAGTCGTCGCCGCGACTCTGCGAGTGAGCCGGTGGCAATGAATCTATGCGTGAAGCCCGCCCTTTGAAGTGCGAGGGAAATTGTGAAGCTCGCAAGCGGACGCAGGCACAAAAGAGCGACGGGCGACGGGGCCTGGCCTGCGCTGAGCGTGGAAGTGTGCGCCCGAGCGAAAACGGGTCAAGTGATTGGATGAATTGGGCTGGGTTCAAGCGAATGGAAAGGAGGAGATTGAGGTGGGCTCGAGGCGGAGTGAAGGAGCCCACCATTCTGGCCTGGCTGCCGGCCGTGAATGCCGTCTCAGATTGCACAGCCGTAGCCGTCAAGAGAGAGAGTGAGGAACGCTCGGCGAGCCCAAGTCATCGTGAAGCAATGTCTTGGTAGGCAGGTCGGTGTGTCGAATCGCATCAAGACATGACAAGCGTCGAGAGGAGGCCGAGGTCCAGGTCAGGGCTCGTCTCGACTGACTCCTGGCTCCTCGCATCTTGGCTTGGCTTGCCTGCGCACCGTCTGCGCTTGCTCCCCCCCGCCTTTTTGGATCGCCCGGCAAAGGGGTGAATCGAGCGAGACTCGAGGCAAGTGAAGCCGCTCAAACGGACGCGAGACGAGACGAGACTAAACGAGAGACGAGATCACACGCAGCTCAAGCGCGGGCGTCAGGCGTCGAGCCGTTTGATTTCTCTCGTCCGTGGTCCGCTTCTTGCGCAAAGCAACGCAGACCAACGCAGACCAACCCCCTGTGTGTGTTTGATCTGCCGACGACGGGCGTCGTTGGGTCCTGCTCCTTGCTCAGAATAGAGGCCCATGACTTCAGCCTCAGCAGCCCTCGTCGGAGGTCGAGGGGAGAAAGGCAATTTGAGATGGCGTCCAGACGAGACGAGGGGAGGGGAGAGGGCCGAGCATTTCGCGGCCAGCCAGGAGCCTCCTTGCCATCCTAGACACCATCATCGCCACCGCCCCCCCTATCCCCTTTACGACAACATCGCTGTGCCCCCCAGTGCTTTGCTGCCACTACCACTAATTCGATCCCACCTCGTCCATCCTCTCCCGCTCCTGCTCCCGCCCTCTACCTGCGGCCACTCGCACATTAGCCAGAGCAATCCTCTCGCCACCAACGCCGTCCCTCTCGTTCCTGGGCTACCCTCACGGACGGCGCCATCGCCGACACGCCGTCGCCGACTCGTCGTTAGCGCCGACCACCTCGTCGTCAATCAACGGCACGTCTGCTTCCCACTCACCACCACGATCTCCGGGTGAAGGGCACACTTAGTGAAGGCTGGTAGTCAGCCGTATCTCCTCGCCTCTCTTCTTCATCATGGATGGCACATCGACGGCAGACGAGGCGGCTGCGACTGCCTTGCACCACCACCGCTCCTCTAGCATGGCTTCGACGAGCGGTAATGCGGCGGCGGAGGCTTCCTCATCCTCCTCGTCGGCCAGGCGTCTCAGCAACGCTCCACAGCATCACGAGCATCCCTCTCCACCATCCCATAGCCACCTCAGCCATCACCATCATCATCACGAGCATACACGCCACGCAGAGTCCTGCTTCACGGCCGACCCTCTACCGGACGACATCAGAGACCATCGACGCTCCCCTTCCAGCTCCAGCTCGAGCTCCGGAGCTAGAGTCTCTGCTGCTGAGCAATGCGAGGGAGCAACCTCGTCCCCCGCGGCAGCTGTCGTGGACCCTCCTTTGCCGCAACGACGAGCGAGTGGGAGCGGGGCATCATCGACGACGACGTCGTCGCAGCCGCACACGCAAAGCTACGGTTCCAATGAAGTTGGAGATGAACGTGGAGCTCGGGCAGAGCAATCGAGGCTCGAGAGCAACTATGCTGCGACCTCGTCGTCGTCGTCGGGCGAGCAAGGGTCAGCGGCACTTGTGGAGGCGGGACCATCGGCTTCGGCCTCAGCTACGACCGCTTCTTCTCCACCGTGGCCATCACGACCGCTCTGCCGTACTCAAAGCCATGACGCTTCAGAGCGCAGCACGGTCCAGACGGAGGACAGGCCGGACAATTCAGACGTCATGACCGTCGCTGGACCTTCGTGCCCGAGACCTATCAAGGCGATGCCTGGCAGTGCAGCATCTACGCCTCCTGATGCGCCGGTTTGGGGAACACCGCTAAGGCGCCACGGTCAGCTGTACGGCAAGAGGAGCAGCAGTCGCGGTAGTCGAGGATCACCACGTAGAGTGAGATGGGAGGATGTCAAGATTGACAGGCCGTTGAGTAGAAGTCCGCGCGCACCTTGCGATGATGAAGAGGAAAGGCGAAGGAAGTCTTCCTTGTCATTGTCCACGCGCGAGGCCAAGGGACAGGAAGGCTTCCAGCTTCAGCCTGCACCGCAGCCAAAGAGGCGAAGGGTGTCGCAGGAGGGCAGCTCGGAGGATCAGGCATCGAGAGGGACAGGCGTCGATGAGCAGCAGCCAAGGGTTCCACCTCTGCCCTCACTATCACGCGCTACCCTGCCTCCAGCGTCAGTCGCGGGCGCACCCGCCGCAGCTCAACCCTCTACGTCGTCGATATCACCACCATGGCCACGCACCCCAGCGCAAAATCTCTTCCACATGGCCGCAGCAGTACAGCAAGCCTTTAGCGCGCTGCGTTTGCCCGCTCCTTCGCCTGTGACGGCACCTACGCCGACCCGACCTCAAGCCACGGTGTCCGTTCAGCAAGTAGCGCTCCGCATGCCCCGTCTCACCCGCTCCCACTCCTTGCCCAACCTGCGCGCCTGCACGCACGGAGACCCCTCGCAACCCTCGATTCACCACCTCGCCCTCCCAGCGAATGCGATCGCCTTTCTTCAGTCAGCGTATCGGGCTAGCGGCTTGCCCACGCGGGATGCGGCGGGAAATACGCCCGCCTTCTACGCTGCGTTGCGTCACTCGCTACATCGCGCTGGTCGTCTGCCTACTCACGCCGCGCAAGAAGCGACTCCGGTGCCGCTCAGTATTCCACCGACCCTCCCACCCATCACCCGCTCCACGCTCCGGGAACTAGACATGGGCGAGATACTCAAAAATCCGCAGCTGAGGCACGACGTCGTCTTCGACTCGAACGTGTCCTTTCGCCCCAACTGGGATGGCGAGCGGGGCAGGAAGAAGCGAGAGGCGTGCGAGCGCTACTGGGTTGCTGTGGGGCGCGAGGTCGAGCTTGGGTGTACGTGTACGAGCTTTGAAGAGGTGCAAGAAGGAGAGGGGAGGCTGGTGCCTTGCGGCTGCGTAGGTAGGGGAGACCCAGCAAGGGGCATGGGTAGGAACGTGATGCCCTCGCGCCTGCCGCACCTGATCGCGGAGCTGCGGGCTATCTGCCTCTCCATTCTGCCTCCGGCATCGGCGTACGGAGCAGCCGCGCGCGCAACCGTGGCGGGCGCAACGAGTCGCGGGTCGTACAGTGCCGCTCGCGCAGGAATCGCTCACCTGGCTTCGATGCGCAGCGCGGTCAGCTCGCACCAATCGGTCCTCAACGCCACCCTCGACCCTTCCCTCATCTCTCAACAGCGTGAGCACGGCGTCCTCGATGCGACCGCCATGCTACGGGTGGTGGTGGACATTCTCCAGCAACACTGCTCCCCAGCACGCGAGTCCAACGTGCGCACCCTCGTCTCTCACCTCGAGGCAGGCCAAGTCGTCCTTGCTCTGCGTTCCTGCTTCGAGCTCTTGGAGCTGATGAAGCTCGATCTCGCCAATCATCAGCTGCGCGCTGCTCGACCGCTGATTGTGGCCGGCGCTGTAGACTTTGAGAGCCAGTGGTTCCGGCAGTCTGTGGAGCAAGGGGTCGTGAGCGTGGAGAAGACGGCAAGCTGGTGGGGTAAGGCGTGGAAGAGTGCGGCTGAGACGGCCAGCCCTACGGTGGACAGGGCCTTTATCCTCGGAATGATGGACCTCATCATGGAGACGCCCCAAGCCGACTTGCTCAGCAGTGCGGCGCGAGCTGCTCTTCCGCTTCCCCTGGTCTCGTCTACCGTCTCCAGCTCCTGGCTCAACCACACGCTCGCGCCCTCCTATCCCGAGACGTTCCAATTCGACGCTTACCGCCTCTGGGTCATCAACAACGACCTCGTCGACCTCGTCGTGGTGCAAATGCTCCTCCTTCTCTTCAGCCAACTGGCCTGCTCCGGCACCAGCGATGTCAACTTGCTCGCAGCTCGTGGCAGGGCGAGTGCGCTGGCTCAACAGCAGGCGAGTAGCGTCAAGGACGAGCTGTGGGTTCTCCTCAACGAAGCACGCGAGACGCCTCGCGCTGCTGGCTCTTTCAAGCTGCGCGACCCGGCATGGAAGGCCAAGGTCAAGGATTTGCTCTTACACGTTGCGGCGCGAGCGGCAAGAGTGTGGGCTGAGGCTACGGGACGCGATGCTGCTCCGCCATCGACGGGCACGCAAGCGATGCTCGAGTCTTGGCTCGAGACTACGCTCCAGCCTGGCTCGACCATGTCTACGCTCTGCTACACGAGGGTTGGGCTGGTGATCGCAAAGGCGCTGCGTGATAAGCTGGCAGAGGCGGGAGCGCAGGGCGTGGCGTCTTGGCTCGGCGCTGCGATGCCTGCAATGGCGTGCGCGGATAGCGCGGCTGGCACAGCCAGGGGCGGTACGATTCTCCAGTCGGTCTCGCGCGCTCTATCGCAGTCAAACGTCAACCGTAGCAGGGGTCGAGACGAGGCTGCGGGCGAGGACCAGTCTGACAGGGCGAGGAAGTCACCGCGTAGGGAAGAGCGGGAGCAGCGTACTCAAGATGCCACGACTTCATCGCAGGCTGCCACTGTCGCTGTGTCTGGTCAAGCTGCAGCGCCTCTCACCGCGACCGCCACTCCCTCTACCACGACACTCGAAGCTTACATCGACTCGCTCGGTCTGAGCGCTATCCGTGCGGAGCTCATCCAGCTGACGACCCGGATCTCGGCCGTCGCTGCACTGAACTATCGCACCTTCTATCACTTGTACGGCGGAATGGTGGGGGCGAGGCAGGGATAGGGTAGTGGCGTGCTAATACCGTAGCTGGGAGGATGTGATCGCGACTCTCCCTTCTTGCCGCGCCCACCTCTCTAGGGCCGCGAGTCTGCGCTGCGGTCTTTTTTTTCTCTCCAACACGCCTTCCTCATTCGCGTTGCCTCTTCGTCTTCTCTTCGTCTTCATCATTGTATTCCTTCCAGCATCACCTCTTTCAATCATCACCACCATGACTCCAAGCTCTCCTCGACTCGCGCCAAGTGTTTTACCCCTCGCCGCCGCGGGAAGGGCGGGAGGGCGGGAGAGTGGAAGGCCAGGCGGCGGAATCGCAGCGCGGAACCCCGGGTGGGCGGGTGGCGATTCGATTGACCCCGGGATTGACGACTGCAAGGCTCTGCAGGAGGCGGCGCCCCGAAGCGCGAGAGCAAGACGGCGGCGAGGGACGGAGGGAGGGACCAAGAGTCGTCGAGCTTTCTTTTGATCCTCCTCATCTCACCTCATACCACGCCCACGCCCACGCACGCTCACTATCATGACGGCTCACGCTGAGCCATATGAGCGGCCGAGCAAGCTACTAAGGCGCAGGAAGTCGGGCGATCTAGCCGGTCGAGCCCCACCTGCTACTTCTGCCTCGTCGTCGTCATCATCATCAGCAACCGCATCCTCTTCATCAGCAGCTGCGTCAGCCGCATCGTCAAGCCCGTCGGGCGCCACACTCCCCCGCTCACCCAACATCATCCCCCTCAATTATGGCTTCTCCGACGGGCAGCTAGTCTACTCTGCGCCCCTCACCTTGGGCTCCAACACGACGCTCAACGTTCTCGTGGACACGGGGTCCGCCGACCTCTGGGTGGCAGACACTCGCTGTCGCTCCGACTCGTGTCAAGGGACCTCGAACGGTAACGAGGTGCAGCGCTACGATGTGCGTGCATCGGGGGCAGTCAGTACGGGGAAGAGCTGGAATATCAGCTACGTAAACGGTGGCGCCGAGGGGGACGTTTGGACGCAGGACGTGCAACTGGGCAAGGCGCAGGTCAAGGGTCAAGCATTTGGAGCTGCGACGGATGTGGATAATGAGCAGCTGGCTAGCATGAATGTGTCGGGCATACTGGGGTTGAGCTTGACGAGTAACTCGGTGATAGGGGCGGGCGAGAACAACTCTCTGCCCACACCGTCGATTACGGGCGACGTCTTGGCAGGGTTATGGGCGGACGCAGACACTGGCACGCGGATGTTTGGTGTGGGATTGCAGCGCCTGCCATCAGACGGCGGTGGGCGAACGGCTACGTCGTCCCTCTCGCTGCTCGGCGTGGATCCAGCATACGTTTCCTCATCCTCGCGCATCCCCCTCACGCAAGTAGTCCCTGACGCCAACGGCCTAGCCCACCATTGGAAGCTCTACCTCACCGACATCTCCGCCAACAATGGCTCAGCGACGTTTCGCATCCCTACGTCCTTCCCCGGTCAGACGACGCTATACCCAACTGTGGTCCTGGATACGGCTGCCCCGCTCAACTACGCCCCGGCGGCGCTGCTCAACGCCATCTACGGGACCTACGTCGATCCATCGACGGGACAGAGGCTGGGTCCCTCGGATTCGGGCATCTATTACACGCCCTGCACCCTCCCGCTCAATCTCACTCTGAGCGTGGGCGGGATTTCGGTGCCTATCCACCCGCTCGACGCCAGCCTTGCGCAAGACACGCCCGACACATCAGGGGCCGCCACATCCGGCTGCATCGGCTCCTTCCAGTCGCTCGATGCCGGCTCGCCAGCCGGGGCGGACGTGGTACTCGGTGCCCCCTTTCTACGCAGCGCCTACTCGGTCTACACGTGCGATGGTGTACTGCAAGGCGCGCCAGCAGCAGCAGCGGGAGACTCTGGCTGCTTGAATCCGCAGGTCGGCTTGTTCCCCACGACGACAAACCTCACGGAGGCCTTCGATGAGTTCCATCAGGTGCGCGTGGAGGGCAAGAGCTTGGGCAGCAACGCGCAGTACGGCATCAATACGTCCAACGACAGCGGCGGGCTGAGCACAGGGGGCAAGATCGCCATTGGGGTCGTGGTGGCCTTTTTGGGGATGATGCTACTGTTCGGCCTGCTAGCATGGTACGCGCGACGCCGTGCGAGGAGGAGCGGGGCTGATGGCGGCTACACGCGTGAGAAGGAGGGCGGAGACGCTGGCGCTACGGACGAGACGCACAGCGACTCGGCGAGTCACAAGGCTGCCGTGGCTGCTCTGTCTGCCAAAGAGCAAGCACGACTGCGTGAGGCGGCTCTCTTGCATGGCTACTTTGCAGACGACATCGTGCCGGAGGGGAGCGAACAACAGCAGGAGCCACGTTGGGGCACCGATTCGACTACGCAGTCGTTTGCTGCGGGCGCGGGCACGAATACGGCGGAGTGGGACACGAGCTCGCGTGGTTACGTGGATGCGCGGCGCGTAAGGAGACAGTACCTCGCTCGTCATCCCAGCTTGATCGAGTTGCAGGAGCGCAAGCGTGGAGAGGAGGTCGGTGAGCAGACGATGGCCGAGGAAGCGGACAGGACGAGCACGAGCTCGCAGCAGAGGCTGGTGCGCACGCCGAGCGGGCGCATTTGATTTTTCTTTGTACATTATTGCGAGCGGCCCCGCCCGCTTCATCTACCCTTTATGACTCTACGACAAATGAAGTCTTTGATACCACTTCCACCCTCGTCTCGCAACGGCCTTGAACGTCCGAATAGCTGCGATGCCAATCGTGAGGCTTGCAGCTTGCGCTGGGCGGCTGCACAGAGCCGGCATGCAGGGGCGTACGGGCGTGCGGGCATTTGAGCTGTGCGGGCACAACTCTCCACCCGGCGTTCAAGAATCCAACGACGTCACTCGCGGGTAGGGCGGCGGGCGGGAACGCAGCGTGAGATGGGCGGGGAGGAAGGTCCGGACCTGAGGGTGTATCTTGACGCTCATCCTCTCAATTCGATAAGAAGAGAAAGAAGAAGAAAGGGCATCGAGGCGTCTCTTCATCATCCTCATCCTCATCGCCAGGTAGTTCAATCCTCTCGCCCTCGCCCTCGCCGTCGCACGCTCTGTCCCCCTTCCGCCGCAATCATGTCCTCCCCCTCGTCCTCCTCTGCGGGCTTCGTCCCCACATTCACCATGGGCGACTATGGACGCTTCTTGGCCGCTGGAGGTCTTTGCGCGACGATCACGCATGGAGCGATGACTGTGAGTGGGGCGTAGGGCGTAGGGCGTGGGGAATGGCCGGAACTTGCCTGCTCACACCTCGTCCGTCCCATTCGCACACGCGCTCGCGCTCGCGCTCGCTCTCGCAGCCCTTCGACGTCGTCAAGACGAACTTGCAGTTCCTGCCAAAGGGATCGCCCGACGCAAGCATGCTGCGCATGACGCGCAAGATCATAGCGACGGATGGAACCGCGGGCCTGTTTCGTGGGTTTGCTCCAACTGCGATGGGCTATCTCATTCAGGTGAGTCGGCGGCGCGGTGGAGACAGACGGCTCAGCCATGCTGTGCTGACGCCGCCTCTTGCCTCTGATGATAGGGTGGTGCAAAATACGCAGGATTCGAGGCCTTCAAACGACAGTTCGCTCTAGCTGCTGGCAGCAAGGAGGAGGCGCAAAAGCATCGCCTCGCCATCTACTTCACCGCAGCTGCGGCCGCCGAGTAAGTGCTTGTGTGCCGTCAGCCATGGCGGCGCAGTCTTTTTGCTGACCTCTGTCGCCGTGTCGTCGTCGTCGTCGTCTTCTCCCGCAGGTTCATCGCCACGACCCTCCTCACGCCGTTGGAGGCAGCTCGCATCCGTCTCGTCTCGTCCAAGGACTACGCCAACGGCCTCGTAGGCGCCCTAGGACGCATGACCAGCGAAGGAGGCGTTGGACAGCTCTACGCAGGATATGCGCCCATCCTCTGCAAGCAGATCCCCTTCTCCATCGCCCAATTCGCCGTCAACGAGAGCCTACACGAGTTTGTCAACACCAACCAGACGCTGCGCAAGCTCAGCAAGGACGGCGGCAAAGCCGGCGAAGTCTCCGTCCAGCTCGGCTGCGGCATGGGAGCAGGAGCAGCAGCGGCCGTCGTCAGCCATCCGGCCGACTTTCTCCTCTCCAAGATCAACCAGGGAAACGGCGGAAAGGGCGGGTCAGCTATGAGCAAGCTCCTCACCCTCGCGGGCGAGGCGGGCATCTTTGGCGTCTGGCAGGGTTTGGGCGCCAGAGTCATCATGACTGCAGGCCTCATCTCTGCGCAGTTTGCGATCTACGGCCAGATCAAATCTGCTCTTGGAGCTCCCAATGGAGTGGACATTGCAAAGGCCGATGGGGATGCGGAGAAGAGCGGTTGAGCTGCTCAGGGCGCAGCGGAATTTGGTCAGCACCCAGACGCTCACGCACGAAGACATGTACAGTATTAGGGCGATGCGATTGGGGCGATGCGATTGGGGCGATGCGATTGGGGCGATGCGATTGGGACGATGCGATTGGGACGATGCGATTGGGACGATGCGAATAGCACTCATATCCACGATTGTCGAGACCGCCCGTCTTAACCTTCTCGTCGCCATTGCTGGCCGCACTCTTTCCCTTCGGCGCAGGCCGTCCTTGCCGTCAATCGCTGGCGGTGCAACATAGACCTCGATAATGCGCTCCAAGGGAACTCTGCCTTGAGCTTTGGAGCTGGAGCTGGCTGACGTCAATGGCAGCAGGATGGCCAATGAGGCTAGGTCATGTCCAGAGTACGGTCGGGCATTAAGATGAGTCGATACTCGACAGTTCTCCGTTCAGCGCAAAAGCCTAACATGCCGGTGGTGGCTGCTCATAGAGCTGAACGTGGTTGCTCATTGCCTTTTGCTGAACATTAGGGGGGGGGATGAAGCGACGCTGAGTGGATTGGAGGACCAAAGGTGAAATCCAGAAACGACAACGACCTTGCTGCGACCGTGCGCGGGCCTCGACTCAACTTGGTCCCTTGCTGCGCCGGATTTCGACTTTTTCCTTTCCTCCGTAGCTTTGTCCTCATTTAGTCGCTCTCGCACAGTGGACCTCTGCCAATCGTGAGCAGACTGCACCCCGCCTCTTCATTCTCGTGCGTACGCACGGGCCATGACTGGGCTTCCGTCCCGGCGGCAACCGCAGACTCCACGTGGTCTTGCGCGTCCTTTGTCCCACTCTCCGCTTTGTCCCACTTTCTGGTCCGCCGAGCGCTCCGCCCCATCCATCCTCTCGATCCATCACTCCATCCTCCTCCTCCTCATCATCATCATCAGCGCATCGCTCCACGATGTCGCACCTTGCCTACGATGCTGCCAGCATGGTCGCACACCATCTGGCAGCTAGGCAGTAGCCTTATTGCTACGATCTGCTGAGGCTACACGCTGAGCACCACCGTGATTAGCTTTGCTGACACGGTGCGGCCAGGCTAAGCCGTCGCGCGGCCGCTCGTCACACGGCTGTGTCTCCAGCTCTGCGCAATGCCTGAGCCCGCAAGATGTCGTCCAATGCCGCTCGCAAATACCACGAGTCGTACGTCTTCAAGGCCCAGCAGGACAAGCTCATGAGCAAGCAGCCAAGGCACGCCTCGGAGACCAAGATCGTCGATGGCGTCCAACGCTCCAAGTTACGTCACTCGCATCCTTCTGGCATCGCACTAGCACGGGCGACTTTTCCAACATCGACCGCTCGCAGCACGAAGCAGTCGAGACTCTTCCGGCCGACGTCAAGAAGGCTTACAAGGTGCAGAAGCGCAAAGACAGGCGCTCCACCGAGAAGGGCAAGAAGGGCAGCAAGTCCGGCAGGAAGGGGAAGAAGGTTGCCAAAGGGCCCGAGCGCAAGGCGACACCCAGCGAGTACACGGCGGAGGACGTGGTGTCAGCCAAGCAACTGCCCAAGGACGCCAACGGACAACCAATCTACCCTCGCTTCCTTCGTGGCCAGCCGTTCTTGGACAATGTCCCGGCCTCATCGTCCTGCTGGCAGCGCACTACGCTCTTCCCAGGCAGTCGCCTCGCGCTCATCGACGACGTCTGATATCAACCCAGCGGCGTGGCAGCGAGGCGTGGACGGTGCCTCACCAATGGCGCGCAAGATCTGGGCCCTGCTGGACAGCGGCGACATGGATACGGTTCGCTCGGCCAAGTTCTGGCTCGACAACTTCAACCTCTCCATCAACAGCACCCTCGACAAGGACGGCCGTCCTTCTCGCATCCCAGGCGCAGGCGTCTACCTCGGCATGGGGATCAAAAATGGCCGCCTTGCATTCATCTACGTCGGCAGGTCCGGCTCCATCTTCTACCGCTTCGTGGACCATCTAGCACAGGCATTTTTCAACTCCTCCCGCGGCGCAAAGATCTACGGCGCCATTCGTGCGAGCGGCTCGGGCATCTTCTTTCCCCTCTTCGAGGACTCGTCGCCGCAACGCTACCAGCCTCAGGCTTGGGAGGACCGAGCGATTATCGAAGGCCTGTGGGCTCATCCGCTTGGCTTCGTGCAGGAGAAGGAGGCGCTCCTCGAGGCTCGTCGTACCTTTGGCCTGCCTGACATCGGAGACGAGGTGCTGGGCTGCAACCGCACCAGGTGCTTCGAGAAGCCGGAGACCTATGCGCGCAAGTACTCCGGGATGGTGCGAGGGGACGAGGTATTGTTCCACCTCGACCGCCTGAATAAGATGCGCCGACTGTGCATCACCGCCACCGCCTTCGGAGAGGGCCTCAATCGCGCTCGCCATCGCGCTCGCCTCGACAGTGCCGGTGATGCGTTCCTCGATACCCTCAAGCCGCTGATGTCGGGGAGCAGCGGCTTGCCCATCAAGATACCCTCGTTCAGCAGATTATACCTCTTCTTCGGCATCTCTATACCCAAGATCGACGCCGTGGCAATGCAGGAGGAGGACCGGACGTCGGAGGAGTGGTGGCTCGTCGTCGAGAGCGGGGGCAACAGCTCTATGCCCAGCCTCACCACGCCGGATCGAGCGCTCTTCCGTGGCCTTGCTCTCGTCGCCATCCGATGCCGCGACGTCAAGCGCGTCGTCATCCGCTGGCCGCGAGCGCCGACGTCTCCCTACGTTCGCCTGGCGTGGAACTGATTTTCCCTCTGGCGCGCGATGCTGCCGATCGTCTCGCCGCTCACTCCGCCGCCGTCGCCGCCATCATCAAGGCACGCAAGCCAGGGTACTCGGCGCTAACCATGCCTGGCAAGCTGGCAACCGATGGCCTGCTCTTCGCAAGCGGCAAGGGGGAGATGCGCCTATACAATCGTCTGGTCTACGTGGTGACCAAGAACGAGCAAGAGGCATTCCGCCGCAAGATGGGCCTCCGCAAGTACCACGACCGGCATGCATCTGCGCCTCTTCGCTTCGGTCCTGGTCGCTTGATCGAGTCTCTCCCTGTGGGGGACGTCTGGACCCGCTTGAAGGGCAGATGGGAGCGCGACCGCGTCGAGGGCAAGATGCAGCACGTCGTCAAGATCTCGTCGGAGCTGCAGGTCTACCAGGCCGGTGGCGACGCGAACGATGCTGCGCGCAATGGGGACAACGCTGGGTGCGACGGGGACGACGGCGGGGTGGATGAGGAAGAGGATGCGAGGAGCGAAGAGGCAGGGGATGACGATGTGGCGATGGCAGAAGCGGGCAACGTTGTCGGCGGCGTTTGGAGCTTCAGGGCAGAGAGCAATGACGTGCCGCACGCTTGCATAGTGCCCGGCAGCATCTGGTCGCCTCCTGGGGACGGGCATTGCGGATACCACGTATTCGCAGACGCCGAGGGGATGGACGTCGAGGGGTTCAGAGAGGACATGTTCTTCAGCCTCGATCCCTCCGACCCCGACCTCAATGCCAGGCAGAGGCGGATCTTCCCGGGCGGCAAGCCTCCGACAGGTGTCCTTCGAGAGCGCTTCTACCAGCGCTGCAAACCCGACCACTGGATGCAGACGGGCGAGCTCATCCAGGCTGCTCGCATTATTCGCCGCAGGACCGTCTTCGTCGACGCCAACAACCTCGGCAACTCGTTCCGCATCGAGCACCCTGGATCGACGGACGACGCGATCGGCATCCTCTTGAGCGGGACACGCTTCTACGGCTTCACACCCGTAGACGACGACGGCGGCCTCCTCCCGCCTTAGCTGCCCGTCTGAGGTGGCCTCGTTGCGCTTCTTTCCCCGTCGCTAGCATCTCGTCACGGACACTTTGGCTCGCAATCGCAGCGCTCGTTGCTCCCTTCGCCGTCACCAACATCTCGTCACGCATACGGCATCTGATCATCTTCCCCTGACGCCCAGTCTAAACGGTATCGCGGAACCCACCCACCTCGACCGCGAGAGAATCGCCCATCTGATGGCCATCGACGTCAACTTCCTCAAATTGGATGTTGGTCAATACCGTTGACGAACCTAGGCTGTGGCCTCGACGTGCGCAATATACCATCTTCTAGTCAATCAATACCAGTTCCATCATTCTCTCGATTTGTGGCTGGGTCATGTCGTTGTTCACCATTCTCCATCTCGCGTCCCGTGCCTCGCTACGTCCCTCTCGCCCCACGTCTCTACTCCTCAGTCCCCTCCTCATCTCCCCTCTCGGTCTCCTTCATGCCAACCCTTGCACCAACGGCAGCAAGCACCCACGTGCGTATGCCAGAGTGATTGAGATGCACTTGCTTTGCAACGAGGGAACTGCATCGCACGGCCGACGCAGATATTTTGCTCGCCATCGATGACAAGGCCGAGTTGGCAGACAGGGTAAGCAGTCGGGAACGCGCAGTTGACGTGGGCGGTAGAGTCACAGGCACGAGGAGTGCGGCGAGCAGAGGCGCAGGGAAGGTCACGCGCGCAGCATTGATGAGAGAATGACGTGATCGTTCGCGATGAAGGAAGGAGTGAGTCGAGACAGATGAGGACCAGCCTCGGGTTGACATGTCTGGACGCCTCTGCCATTCGCTGAGCAAAGCAAGCTCGACAAGCTAGCCCGACGTTGCTGCTCACCGCCGCCGTTGCTGCGGCCCGTCGTGGCCTGCCAACCGGCCAATGCTCCGTCTACTTGCAGCCAATACGCGACTCGCCGCTCGCTCTCTGTATCATTTCTGGTACCAAATTGATACAGACGAAGGTCGCGTGTCGTTGTTGAACTTGGTGGGCCACTCACAGTCGTCCCATTTTGACAGATAGCGACAGTCGCGCGTATAATCATTTTCCTCGATGCAGACTCCCCAGTACTTGCCGTGCAGACAGCTGTCACCTCCATAGCCTCCCCCATTACACGGTGTGCCGAATTCGATCGTCTCAGGGTGAAGGAAGCCCCAATCAGCTACCTTGGTGTCGATGCTATCGCCGAAGAGATACCTGCCGCGCCCTACATTCGAGGCCGAGTAGCCGGCTTCGCAGAATTTGCTATAGCCGTGCTGATCGGGGTCCTTCGTGCTGGGCCCTGTCCAGCTGCACGTGAAGTGGTCTGCTGCAACCACCATGAAGAAGCTGGCCGATACGAGGATGCGGGCGAGGAGGGCTTTGAGGCTTGACGTGGTCATGGTGGATAGTGGATAGCGGTGCTAGGCGTCTCGATGATGAATTGGAGGGCATAAAAGGATACTCCTCTTGTCCTCTCGCTAGAACAGCCTTGTTGCGCGAACCTGTGCGGTAGAGCACAGCCGTAGACGAAGGGCCAAGGGCAGCACCACTGTAGGGCCGCCGCTCTCCTTGGTCTTCGGAGCAGCGTGCCTTCCTCTACACGGCTCTTGCTCCGCATCAATCGCGCCTCGCTCGTCTTGCCGTGCCCTATACGCTCGATCCATCGTGCAAGTCAGGTAGCAGGTCTAGTGGCGAACGGAGTGAGATGGATGGGCGCAAGTGCGAGGCATTTTGGCGATGCAGTCCATCGAGTCGAGGCTCGGGACAAGCGCGGGCAGTTACATCCGTGTGAGCGGGAATCGATGAAGAGCAGTGAGCAGCAGACGAAGAGCTCGAGGTGATGGTGAGTAGAATAGAGATTGAACAGGTGAAGAAAGGAAAGCAAGGAGGACGAAGGACAGAGCAGTGTTGATCTCGACGGCGCGGGCGGACTGGGCCAACCCACGTGGCTGCTTCCGAGGTAGGTCTCAACCGCTACGGCAGACGCGTGCGATGCGGCCAACTCAGCCCGCCATGGCCTGCGCTTTACCGTCCCCGAAGCCACGTACGATTTGGTGTTCGAATCAGACAGCGTCCGTGAGTGGCAAATCTATTGCTTGCTAGGCCAGGCGTCGCGTATCTTTCTCGCTTGCGTCGCGCCACCTCGTCCGCAGCAGCGCCTTCCACGCGTCCTCACTCCGTACCTCGCTGCCGCGCTCCTCACGCAATATTCACATCACCCTCGCTCGCCGATTTTTCCTTCCTGCCGTACGTCGGGCTCAGACGGAGTAGACGGACACCGATTTTGGGGCCGTGCTAATGTTGAACTTGACCGGCCACTCACAGTCGTCCTTTTTATTCATCACGCGACAGTCAGTATCGCTGATGCACACGGCCCAGTAGGCCTTGGAGCAGTCCGGAGAGTATCCTTTACGAGAACACGCAGTTCCAAACTCCAAAATACCTGGTCCCAGATAGTCAAAATCGGCGACCTGTAGCTTGGTGTTGTTGCACCAGTAGATGCCCTTGGTCTCGCGGAATACGGTGATTGGCGCATCGCAGAACTTGGAGAAGTTGTACGTCGTAGGATTGCCTGGAGCCCAGATCCAGCTGCAGGTGTAATGGTCTGCGTCGGCAACGGGGAAGATGCCAGCGATGAGGGCGAGAAAGAGCGCAAAGGAGCAGGCGAAAACTGTAGTAGCGGCAGACGAGGTCATCGTTGTGATATTGTGTGGACGTGGTCAGGAGTACAGGACAGCTAGCGGTGGCGATGATGCATTGCGCCGGGCATTGGGCCAGGCAGTTGCTCGCAAAATTGACTCGTTGATCGTATCGACCCGCAATCACTCTCTCTGCCCTACACCCTCGCGTCCGGCTACGCCCACTCGACGCCCTCCTCGCCAAAGCCTCTCGCCGCAATGCCTCCGCCTCGCCCCACACCACTCGCCCTCATAGGTAGTAGATGTCGACCGAGTCCGGGAGCGTATTCTGGAAGAAGCCCGTAGGCCATTCACAGTCATCGCCGCGTGACAGATTGTAACAGCGTGGCTCTCCTCCCTGCTCGACCGACGGAAGGCACACAGCCCAGATACGCTGGGAGCAGTGTTCGCCGCCATACCCATGCTTAGCACATGGAGTCGAGAATTCAAGTATACCCGATCGTAAGTAGCTGAAATCTGCCACCTTAGTCAAAGTGCCCTCGCAGTGATAGGTGGCGTGAACCTGGTCTGCAGGGGGAATACTCTTGGGCGCGGTGCAGAATTTGGTGAAGCCATGCGACTTGGGCGAACCTGAGCCAAAGGCAAGCCAAGAGCAGACGGCGTGCTCTGCGCGGGCGAGAGCCGCGAAGGCGAAGAGCGCGAGGAGAGTGACGGTGGTGAGGCGGTTCATGCTGGTGGGCAGGTGTGTGTGAGGATGGAAGGGAGACAAGTGCGAGGTAGCGGCGACTCGGAGGCTGCCATCGAATCTTCAGTCGCGGGACATTGCCGACATCTCGTGCCGCTTCCATCTTGCCGCGGTGCAACGGGCCGGCTTGTTCATGGTGAGGAGAATGACACTTTGCAAGCGGTACTCCGATGGCGTCTCTTCGCTTCCGCCGCTTGAGTCAGGGGCTGTGCGGGCACGAAGGCCTGCTCATGTCTCTCCGCATGCTCTGCTGAGCGTGAGATGCACGATGCAGTTTGGAATCATGGTCACAGCTGCGCTAGAATGGTGACGTGGGTGGTGAATGGTGGAAGTCGAAGGCTAAGAAGACTGATCTGTGCGAGCCGCGGTCGAGCCAGCTCTACCCGCCCCGCTGCATCCGACGCTGTCCAGCAGACGCCACGTGCGTGCTCCCGCTTGTCCGTCGTCCTGCGTCGTCGATGCGCTCTTTCTCTCTCTCTCCCTCCTTGCCTCTCGTTCTCAATCTCTCACCATCATTCGCAATAGCACAGAGGTCGCACATCGAGCTGCTCACTCCACGTCTCTCTCACTTCGCACACCTCATCTTCGCTGGCTCCTGCCATTAGGCCCAACTCCCCCACCTCACCCCTAGGCTTCCTCCCCTCGCGCGCACCTCCGACCTCGCTGCACCGCTCACCTACCATTCAGGTAGATGAAGACGGCGTCGGGCAAGGTGCTCAAGTTGAACTGCTGAGGCCACTGGCAGTCGTCATACCGTGCCATATAAAAACACCTCGGGGCAATCTGGGGCTCTGCGGTACCTGTGCCGTGAGCTGCGATGCAGAGGCCCCACGTCGAGTCCTTGCAGTTCTCAGCGTAACCCTGATTATTGCACGGCGTTCCGAACTCAAGCAGTCCTGGACCGAGGAAGTTGAAGTCGGCCACCTTGATGTTGTTGCCTTCGCACAGGTACTGGGCATGCTGATCATCTACGATGTGCTTCGGCGCCGAGCAAAATAGCACGAAGCCGTACTTGGTGGGGTTGCGAGGACCAGGCCCTCGCCACGAGCACGTCTGGTGGTCAGCGAGCGCTGCGTCGAGGCTAACGAGCGCGAGAATCGAGATCAAGGCGAGGTAGAGCATGGCGAGAGGAGATGATTGTAGTTGAATGGAGGTGGTGGTGGGAAGAAGAGAGATAACACGACACGGAGCGGCCCGAACGCTAGGTGAGCCCAGCCCAGCACAGCTGACCTGATAACCTGAACCCTCTAACAGCCCGCCGATCCGCCGCACTGGCAAGAAAGATATACCGATCACAACGTCCTGAGGTAACCCTGTCGCCTGATCCTCACCTCCGCGCTCGCTGTTCCCCGGCTGGCACGCCTCTTCAACCCGCTCTCACGTCCATTGACCCCGGAAGACGTAGATGTAGGGAGGAAGCTGTGCCATCTCAAAGCGCTGCAGCCATTCACAGTCGTCCTTGCGTCCAAGATATCGACAGCCTTGGCTGGCAGCGAAGATCCCCTTTGAGTCTCCAAAGCAGATCCCCCAGAGCTTGGCGTAGCACTGGTCTGAGTTGCCGAAGCCACCATCGCCGCAGGGCGTGCCTATCTCGAGCACCTGTGGAGCGAGATAGTTCCAATCCGCTACCTGAGTCGTCGTATTGTCACAGATGTATCGGGCGTGGTTGTCGTCGACCTTGTGAAACGCCGCAGCGCAGAACAGAAGGTAGCCGTAATCGCCAGGAGGGTACCCTCCGGGGCCTTGGAAGTCACACCTGTGATGTTTGGACACGACGGCCGAGGGAAAGGCGACGATGAGGGCGGCGAGGACGCCGATGTGCATCATGCTGATCGAGCTACGATGGAGCGACGCAAGATGCGGTGGTGCGATGCGGTGCCGGCGCGGTGCGAGGCGTGGTGAGGTGGAAAGGGGTAGGGAGGAGAGAGGCTGGTGAGGTAGCAAGGATGAGCAAAGAGCCACCTCACATCTCGCCAAGGGCCAAACGGCCGGCCAATTAGTCCGTCATTACGGAGCGACGTGGGTCGCGGGTTGGAGTGATGGATACTAGATACGGCCGGCTGCCAATGCTCCCCTCGGGGTCTGACCCGGCTCTCACAGCCTTCTCAACCTGTTCATAGTCATGTCTAGATGGATGATACAGGCACGTATATGGGGTAATTCACGGCGCATCCAGTGCAATGAACTATCGAAATGAGCGCTAGACCGGAGTGAGACGTGTGTGAGGATGCAAAGCAAGGTGTTGCTCTCGGAGGTGTTGATGTGCGAGCAGGCGGGCGGGCGGCGCGGCGCGACGGCAGAGCGCGCTCAGGCCACTCGAAAGGAGTTGACTGACGTCGAAGCGGACCAGAAACGCGAGCAGCGCTCATACACCTTGCCACTTCTATCGTCACCAACGCTACCATCTAGGCATTCATCATCGTCCCTGCGCCGACCCTCTTTGACAGAGGGAGGCAACACATCCACGCCACGTAATGGCCTTCAAACGCTCATCCACCCTCCTCTTCGGCCTGCCCGACCAAGACCGCGAATGGGAGTCGGTGCAGGCAAAGACGTTCACCAAGTGGCTCAACACGAAGCTCTCCTCTGCTGCGAGCACCACGCCGCCCCTCACTGACCTGTCGAGGGATCTCTCGAATGGAGTGAAGCTCATCCAGCTGATGGAGTGCATGGGCGAAACGAGTCTGGGGCGATACTACCAGAATCCAAAGATGCGCGTACAGATGGCCGAGAATGTCAACAAGGCGCTGGATTTCATTAGGGGCAGAGGGGTGGTCTTGACGAACGTAGGAGCAGAGGGTGCGTAGCTGCGAGAGAGACCCATGAAGCTCGCTCACTGACCCCTCGCCCCCGCTCCCAGACATCATCGACGGCAACCTCAAGCTGATTCTGGGCATGATCTGGACGCTCATTCTGCGCTTCACCATCGCCGACATCAGCGAGGAGGGCGTCAACGCCAAGGAGGGTCTTCTCCTCTGGTGTCAACGCAAGACGACGCCCTACCAGCCCGAAGTCGAGGTGAGCGCGCCGCACACTCCGCCAACACGACGGCAAATACTCACCCTTGCCCTCACGCGTACAGATTGACAACTTCAGCTACTCCTGGAAATCCGGCTTGGCATTCTGCGCCCTCATCCATCGACATCGTCCGGACCTCCTCGACTACCATTCGCTCCCCAAAGACGATGCCCACGCCTGCACATCCCTCGCCTTTCGCGTCGCGCAAGAGCATCTGGGGATCCCGCAGCTCCTCGACGTAGAGGACCTCTGCGATGCCAAGAAGCCCGACGAGCGCTCCGTCATGACGTACGTCGCGCAGTACTTCCACGCATTCAGTAGCATGGAGCAGGCAGAGGTGGTAAGCAGAAGAGTGGCCACATTTGCAGAGGTGATGCAGAGTGCTTGGGTGATGAAGAATGAGTACGAGAGGAGGGCGGAGGCGCTCGTCCTCGCCATTCACCAGCTCCTCGACGAATGGTCCACCTCAATCCCACAAGGATCGTACGCTTCTGCTCGCTCCCTCCTCTCCGGCTTCAACACGTACAAGAGCGGTCAGAAGCGGTCATGGGTGCAAGAGCGGACGGACCTCACGGCTTTGCTGGGTAACATCCAGACCAAACTCAAGACGTACAATCTGCGCGACTGGAGGCCACGCGCAGGGCTGCGACAGCGTGACCTCGATGCGGAATGGGCGGCCCTTGCTGCGGAGGAGGTCAAGCGCAGTCGCATGATCAATCAGTCGATTCGAGAGGCAAAGGAGGCCCTGCGCGTGCAGTTTGCAGAAGCGGCCAACGAGTTCGAGGAGGAGCTGCGAGGCGTCTCGGCTGGTATTGCCAAGCTCAAGGGTGAGTGCGAGCGATGCATTGACCCCGACTCAAGCTGATAACCTGGTCTGTTCCCACTTCACGCTAGGCGACCTCGAGAAGCAACGCTCCACAGTCTCCACCCTCCTCACCCGCGTCCACTCCGTCGCCCCTCGCGTCTCCCACCTAGCCGCCCTGGATGCCCTCTGCGTGGAGGCCAATGTAGAAGAGAACGACCACACTGTCTTCAATCTGGAGGACCTACGCTTCGAGCTCGAGCTCGTCACCAAAGCCGTCGCCGCCAAGAGCGCATTCATCGACAACCAGCTCACCTCGCGGCAGCACACCAACCTCACCCCCGCGCAGCTCGAGGAGTTTGAGAGCACGTTCCGCTACTTTGACAAGGATGGGACGAACAGCCTGACCGTCTCTGAGCTGGGCGCGGCGCTGGCGAGCTTGGGGATGGTGTACAGCGAGGCGGACGTGGAGCAGATTGCGGTACAGCTCGAGGACGACTTTGGGAGCGTTTGCTACGATGCGTTCCTCACGTTCCTTCGCGAGATCACAGAGGACACGACGAGCCCTGAGCAACTACTGGAGGCATTCCAGGGCCTGGCGGGGGAGAAGCCATACGTTACCGAGCTGGACTTGCGCGAGGCACAGCTACCTGCGGGCAGTGTGGACTACTTCAAGCGGGAGATGCCCGAGGTTGAGGAGGGGGATGAGGAGAGGAGGGAGCAGTTGGGTCTACCTGTGGGGTCGAATGGCTCCGGAGCTGGGGAGGGCAAGGTGTACGACTACGAGGCTTACTTGCACGGGCTGTTCTGGAGCGCGGCTACGGGTGGGCTGGGAGGCGGGGGTCACGAGGCGGATACATCGGCCGTCTTTGGGCACGACGCTGATGCGTCCTTTGCTTGAGCGAGGCGAGTGCTCAAGCCCAGCTGCATCTTCGCGGGGCAGGCTCAGGCCGGCTGAGCATGGCCGACGCCCGTACTCTCAGCTGCCTCCGCACGTCTCGCACCTGTTCCCTCTCTGCTGTCCCTTCTCCCGCCTCACTCTCGTCCTGTTGTCACAATAGTCTCTGCTTCTCTCATGCTTCCCCCTGCTACTCCTTCTCATCCAATCTAGACTATCGCCTCTGCCTCCGATCCGCTGCAGCCCTTCATACTGCGCTGCGCCCTCTTCCCCTTCAAAGGTAATCAGTCACTCTCTTGAGCAATTGAGGGTGATGCTGCTATGTATTCGAGGTGAGGTAGAGAGACGAGGTTGAAAGAGAGAGATCGTCCTTCCGTGCTGTGTCCTCCGCCGCTTAGACTGTCAGCGAAGCAAGACGCAAAGCGATGGTCAGCTGTTGGCTCGAAGGATTGCTCTACGATCTCTCGCCTGTACTCACGCCTGTCACGCTTGTACTTTCGCTCGAATTCTTGCTGCGAGGCGGCAGCGAGGCCAGCGGTTGTGAGAAGGGAGGAGGTCAGCGCTTCATGCTTCATGCATAGATGATTATGCTCTCCTCTCGCTCTCTGGACGCACGTTGACAGCCATCATCTTGGTGTTGGTTCCAGGCTCGACGTTGTTCCAAGGAGTGGGGTTGTTCTGCGCACGACAAAGCGAGGAGTCAGTAAAGGGCAAGCGCATCTCCTCTGCGATCCCATGCCCACGCACCTTCTTGTCCCAGATGACGTCCGGCCCCCTGGCAAGACGGGTAAGGTACCAGCCAGCTCCACCCATGGCGACGGCGGTAATGACCTGTTGGCAGAGCGCAAGGAGCGTACACACGATCAGCTGTCCAGCCCGTTTCCTCCATTGCTTCCGCCTCTCGCCTGGCGCGCCGGCACGCACGTAAATGGGCAGCACTTCCGGGCTGTACCACGTCTTCATAAATGACCTGATCCTGGACATGTTGGGCGAGTCTCTGTGGTAGTGGTTGGTGGTAGGGACGAGACGAGACGAGACGAGGCGAGTTGAAATGCAGCAACGCTGCCCGCCTCGTCTTCCGGACGTCGCCGCCCACGCTGCTCTCGCCCTCGTTGCCACGAAATCCGATCCGACCACCAACTTACCACGTGGCGCGCCTCGAGTTGGACTCCTCGCATCTCCCGCCGCCTCTCGACTCGACCCCGCTCGAGCCAGATGCTGCATTGAGTCTCGTCCCGGTCGCAATTTGAGTTTGGCTTCCATCCCCTCTCTCACCTCGCCGGCGCAACCTTGCCTTGCCTCTCGACCTGCCCTAGCGACTCGTCGATGCACCAGAGGAGAAGGTCCTTGCTACCAAAGGACGTTCGTATCCCCATCAACAACAGCGCGAATCCCCCACCTAGAAATCGGCATACACGCGCCACAAGCAGCGCAATCAACAACAAGCGACGGAACAGTAGCAGCGACGACGGCGAGGGCGACGACGACGATCAACACCACGCAAGGACGCGCAAAATGATAGCTAGCGGCTCCTCTTCATCATCCACCGAGCTTCCCCTCCTCAATGGCGGGGGCTCTGGTCGCAACTCCCCCTCATCCCGCAAATCACGCGCCGCTTCTGCCCGCTCAGTACGAATGGCATCGCGCTTCACTTTGCTCCTCTCCATGTGCTTCCTGGCATTCACATTCGTCTTTGTCCTCTTTCCCGCCTCACGCGAGAGAGGTAAGAAGGCGGTCGACAGTATCGGTGGATACGCGGGAAGTGCGCTCGGAGCTGCGGGCAGTGGCTGGGATAGATGGAGACAAACGCAGGCTGCTCCCGTGGGTGCGGGATCAGCGGGCAAGACGGCAGCGGCTCCTCACCCTGCGCCGCCAACCTCGTCACCAGTATCGCAGTCTGTGCGTGTGTTGCCAGCGCTACACTCTGATCCGACAAAGACGACGCGCTGCACGCAGAGCTTCGATGGCAGTCGCAGTGTGGTGCAGTATGCTATCATGATCGACGCGGGAAGCACGGGCAGCAGAGTACACATTTACAAGGTGAGCCTGTGCGGTCCGAACTATGTTGACGCTCCTCGCTCACCCGCCTCTCCTCCTCGCCGCTCCCGCCTGCCGCCAGTTCAACTACTGCTCTGCCTCGCCCGAGCTAGAGAACGAAGTCTTCTCCATGCTTCGCCCCGGTCTCTCCTCATTCAAGACTGATTCCAAAGGCGCTGCAGACTCTCTTCGCCCTCTTCTCCAAAAGTCCCTCGATTCCATCCCCCCGTCACTCCGCTCCTGCACACCTATCGCAGTCAAAGCCACAGCAGGTCTACGCCTCCTCGGCGCACAGGAAAGCAAGAACATCCTCTCTGCGGTGCGCAGCATGATCCGCAACGAGTACCCCTTCGTGCTCGCGGACGGGCCAGCAACTAAGGGCGTCGTGGAGCTGACGCCCGGCGGAGGGCAGGTAGAGGGCAAAGCAGTCGAGATCATGGAGGGGAGGGACGAAGGTGTCTTTGCGTGGATCACGGTCAACTACTTACTTGGCCTCATTGGTCCCTCCATCGACGGATCGCCGGTCACGACGCGCAGGCGAACAGCAGCCGTCATGGACCTCGGAGGAGCGTCCACGCAGATCGTCTTCGAGCCTTCCGGTCAATCGGCTAGCGATGAGGAGCATGGGATGCGGCCTGGGGAGCACGTATATGCATTGAGGAATTTCGGTGGGTCAGGCGAGGACTATGTGCTGTACCAGAACTCGTACCTAGGGTACGGGCTGATGCAGGCGCGCAGGCGCGTGAACACCCTCGCTGCCTTCGCGTATGGGTATGCGCACCCGAAGGATCAGGCGGGCAAGGCGCTAGAGATCCCTTCGCCTTGCTTCGCACCGGGCATGTCCAAGCTCACGCCCATCGCAGCCGTGGCTGGCGTGTCGCAGGGTGGGGCGGGGACGGATGTGGACGCCAAATTGTTCGGCCCCTCGCGAGCCACTTTCGCCTCCACCAGCCCGACTTCGTCGCGCGCAGGCTCCTACGAGGGATGCAGACGCCTCGTCGACGTCATGCTAGACAAGGACGCAGACTGTCAAGCTGCTCCATGCTCCTTTGCCGGTGTCTATCAGCCCAAGCTACTCGACGCTGTGCGCGCTTCTGCGGCCGGTGAGGCGAACTCTGTAGCGGGCGTGGGGGCGGCCGCTTCTGTTGCTAGCCAAGGACCGCCCGTCGTCGCCCTCTCCTACTTCTATGATCGCTTGGAGCCCCTTGGCCTAGGCAAGGAGGGCAAGCCCTTTACGCTCGCTGAGCTGAAGAAGGTGGCGAAGGAGGTGTGCTCACATGATTGGGTGGGGCAGGAGGCCGGCGCGACTGGAGGCAGATGGAGCACGGACGCCCTCGCAGAGCTCAAGGGTCGACCAGAGTCGTGCCTCGACGTGGTGTACATGCACGAGTTACTGTCGCTGGGCTACGACCTCGACGAGATGCCAGAGGATGGCTCGGCTGCGACAACATCGCCGGCACCGCCTGTCTCGCTGCAGATTGAGAAGAAGCTGGCGGGCGTCGAGCTGGGATGGTGCTTGGGTGCTGCCGTTGGGATGCTGGGCGAGATGGTGGGGACGAAGGGAGAATGCGGGGCAATGGGAGCTGTTCTGTAGAAGATGGCGATACACAAGCACGCAATGTGAATAGCATACAAGCGCTTGATGCGCTGCTCAATTCAATCTTTGTATTACTTCGAGAAGAGTGGTGATGATTAGCTTTTCCCCTCGATGCGCCTTTAGTAAGGCCTAGCGGCCGCTTGACACTGCTTGAGCTGCTCAAGGTAGAAGCTACAAGCGTTGACATCGTTGCCCGTGCCCTCCAAGCATCGCAGGAAGTCCTTGCTCTGCATCTCACAGTTAATTCCACCCACACGTTGTCCCTCAGCCTGGGCCTGCGCAAAGTCGGCCGCAGGAGCGTGCTCAGGCGGGACCTGTTCTGCGGCGCGAGGTGCACCGCCGCCGAAGAGCATGTTGCTGAGTCCGTGGCCTACGGTAGAGCCTACAGCGACGCCAGCTGCCGTGCTGGCCATCTGGCCAAAGAGACCTCCGCCACCTGAGGTCGGGGCCGCAGCGGGTGCTGCCTGCTGTTGCGGCGGAGGAGCAGTACGAGCGCCGGCGCCCTGTCCAGGGGGATGGTAGGACTGAGGGTAGGTGCCAGCTTGAGTGTGGGCGCCGCGGGACTGGGAGCCTGAGCCGAATGAAGACGAGGGGCCCGAGGAGGAGCCACCGAAGCGCGAGCCGCCGGATGAAGGACGGCCGCCACCGCCAGAGCGACTGCGAGCGAGGGGAAAAGGGGGGAGGCGGAGGTCAGCGGTCGAGTGATGATGTGTAGATTCAGCGCTATGGTGCTCACGATGATCGAGGCATGCTGATGAGTTGGTGTGGTGAATGAAGTGTTGAAGGGGAAGGGAACAAGGAGGAGCCACGCCTCGCATTGCTAAGTCGATGCCTCATCGACTTCGACGGCAACAACCCGGGCTGGACTGAGCGCACGCCCGCACGCATCGCCGCCTGCTCGCTCACGTGGCTCAAAGCTTCCAGTCCGACGAAAGTCAGAGAGAGCTAACGGCCGGCCTCTTCCGCCTCGGTCCGCGACAATCGAACCCTTGCAATCCTTTCAACTTCACCTTCCACCACATTTTTCTCGCCATCGCCATGGTATCAGCAGCTGCTAGAGCCGCGCGCCTCTCAGCGAGCCGTGTGGGCTCGTCAAGCCTCATCGCAAGGTCTGTCACCTCCGCCCCTCGTCAAGTAGTGTCGCGCAGCCAATCCACCTTCTCGTCGTCATCCTCCTCCTCCTCATCGTCTTCCTCCTCATCGAGAGCCAGCCGTGCCACCCTCGTCTTCGCAGGCGCCTCCCTCGCAGTAGCAGCCGCTCTCTCCTCTCACAAGCTCCACGCAGAGTCCGACTCCTCTCGCCCCGCCAAGCGCCAAACCTTCGGCGATCGTCTGAGGGCGAACCGGGGTGGCAACATCTCCATTCCTCGACCGGCGGCGGCGGAAGAGGAGGAGGAAGAAGAGGCAGGAGAGGAGGTGGAAGAGATGGTAGACGAAGGTGTCGATACTATTGCCCAGGTTGTGGCGGAGGATGCGCCTCTGGAAGAGGAGGGACAGCAGAGCGCTTATGATCCTTCGACTGGGGAGATCAATTGGTGAGTGCGAGGCGCCGAGTTGTTGATAATTGGGCCTCGACGATCGTCGAGACCTCCTCCGCCTCTGCCTATCGACCTATCCTCACTGACCGTCCAATTCGGCCCCTTTTTTCCGCTCCTCTCTGCGCAGGGACTGCCCTTGCCTAGGTGGGATGGCCCACGGACCCTGCGGCGACCAATTCAAGGACGCCTTCTCGTGCTTCGTCTACTCAGAGCAAGAGCCAAAGGGTATCGAGTGTGTAGAGAAGTTCAAGGCAATGCAGGACTGTTTTAGGAAGCATCCGGAGGTCTACAGGGAGGAGTTGGAGCAGGAAGAAAGGGTGAGTGTACGCCACGCGAAGGGAGACTGCATTGAGTCCGAAAATGGAAGACGAGCTGACTTTCTGCTTCGTTCGCTCTCGTAGGACGAGATGGAGTCTCTCGTTGGAGAGGCAGAGACTGCCTTGGGTATCGAGCGTAAGGCCACGCTTGATGGCATCGCCTCCGCAGAGTGATTGCATCGCTCCTGCCCTTTTTCTTCTCACTCCCACGCTTCTCTGTAATCGATCGTCGTCGTGCGCCGCCGCAAGCAATAGCATCACCACCACCGCCACCATTCACAGCATACATATCATCTGCTCGATGTTCATGACGGCGAATCTGCTGCCGAGGCGCTTCCACTCAGCCTGTCTCTTCTTCTCTTTCCGCTCTCCTCGCTTCTTCTTCTCCTTCCTCCACTCGCAACGCAAGGTAGTAGCATACAGCCATCTCTTCGGGAACCAGCGTCACACAGCAAGCGCTGCTCAGCAACATGGCTTCTTCTGCTACGACGGGTAACTGCTCGGCCACCACCGCAACGACTTACCTCCTCCTCGACCTCAACGGGAACCTCCACGTAGGCGACCAACCCACCCCAAACGCCATCGAAGCCCTATCCCGCCTCTCTGGTCTTGCCCAATCCACCCTCTCCTCAGGCCGGCAGCTACGCATCTCCTTCTGCAGCAACTCGTCGAAGGAGTCCACTCAGACCCTCGTGAGCAGGCTGAGGCGGATGGGATTTACGGACGAAGAAGCCATGCCCGAGGGCAGTGTCTTCACGAGTCTGGATGCGGCGAGACGTTTGCTTGTTTCGGGGCAGAAGAAGAGAAGGACACTCCTCTTGCTGAACGAGGATGCTATGCAGTCCTTCCAAGATGAGGACGCTGAGGGGAGGCAATCGCGCTATTTCAAACCTCCCCAATCTACTCTGCCAGCAGACTTGAACGAAAGCCAGCAATCCGCCCTCCAATCGTGCGACTCGGTGCTCATCGGCCTCGCGCCAGACTTGATGCGGTACGAATGGCTCACTGAAGCCTTCCGCGTTTTGACTGGCGAGTACGCTTCGAAGGACCACCACCAGGAGGAACGGCCAGACCCGCTCCTGGTGGCTACCCACTCTGGTCGCTGCCTCCGCCCAGGGGATGGGGGCCCCTTAGCCCTCGGTCCTGGTCCCTTTGTACAGGCGTTGGCGCATGCGGCTGATCTGGGTGAGGACAAGGTGATCTGTGTAGGCAAGCCGGAGCGGGCCTTCTTTGCGCAATGCCTTGAGGGGATGGGCTGGAAGCGTCGAGAGGGAAGTGAAGATCAGGCGTGGATCGTGGGCGATGATGCTAGGCAGGATCTCAGTCTTCCTCAGCTCAAGAATGGGGAAGAGGACCCCTTACAGGGCTTGAAGGTGAGGAGGGGGCTGGTCAAGACGGGAAAGTATCGCGAGGGGGATGAGGAGAAGGTGGAGGGCGGTGGTTCAGGGGACGTAGGAGTATGGGACAGCTTTGCACATTGGGTTGATGATTTTGTTCGCGAGTGGAAGTCCTGTGATAACCAATAGATGCGATGTAGTGATACTGCGGTCGAGAAGCTTGCCTGTCTGTCTGCTGATGATCATGAGCTTCCTTGCGGCGATAGGCTATTCCTGGTTGACTGCCAGGGCGCGATCCGGCCCACCGCCCGGCTGTGAGGTTGCCGGGGCGTGAAATTGGACCCTCGATGGCCGACGACACTCGACGTCTCGACTTGGACTTGCCTGCGCGGGGAGACGTCGAGACGAGAGGAAGCGGAGAGGGACGAGAGCAACAGCAGCCAGACAGGCTTGCGTTGCCTCTCGTTCATACCATACCCACGATCATCTAGCAACTGCCTTCCTTCACTTCCCCTACTCTCTCTCGCATCCTATTACCCACAGCCTCAACAACGATCATCGAGCGATCCCTTTTTCCCCCACACCTCCTTCCCCACTCCCCCACCCCGCTCACCGGGCCAAGATGGCTGCCCAATCGCGCCTCGCCCTCGCCTCTGAGCGCCTCGAGCCCATCATGGACGAGCTCAAGTCCCGTGCCATGACCTTGGGTATCAACGGCTACATGGGCTATCGTCGCAACTATGCCCTCATCCAACGCATTCTCCAAGTCTCGTACTTTGCATTTATCATCGGATCGACATATCGTGGGTTAAACCCCAAGCCAAAGAAGAGGGCAACCCCGTCGAAAGCAGGGGATGGCCTGCAGAAGAGTACGGGAAGTGGAGAAAAAGGGGAGCGAGGCGTAGAGAGGACGAAACAGGCTGTCAATGAGGATGCAGGGTCGGCGGACATGTCCGCACCCAGTTCTGGTAGGGGCAAGCGCGGTGCAAAGGGACGAGGTCCACGCGTAGAGGTTGACGCAAAGTTCTTTGAGCAGCTGCGTCGGATCATGCGGATTATCATTCCGTCATGGACGAGTAAAGAAGCCATGCTGCTTGCGGGGCATAGTATCTTCTTGGTACTGAGGACGATGTTGAGCTTGTATGTGGCGGATCTGGATGGCAGGATCGTGAGCGCGCTGGTTAGGGCGCAGACGAGGAAGTTCTTGCTGGTGAGTGGCGCAAAGGGCGAGAGGAGAGGGGCGAAGCATTGTTGGACAAGCTGACATGACGATCACTGCTCGCACAGGGGATCCTCTGGTGGATGACCGTCGCTCTCCCTGCGACGTACTGCAACGCCATGATCGAGTGAGTAGCGGCGTTGACAAGGAGAAAGGAGAGCATGTACTGACTTTCATGCCCTTGACGCCGCACCAGGTTCTTGCAAAGCAAGCTCGCCCTCTCATATCGCACTCGCCTCACCCAGCAAGTCCACGAAGCGTACCTCAGTGACGACACCTACTACCAGCTGGGCAACCTCGACGATCGAATCCGCAATGCAGACCAGTGAGATGCGAGCGTCTCCACCATCCGTCCTACTCCTTGCTCACTCCTTCCCACCTCTCTCGCACACAGATTGATCACGGTCGACATCCAAAAGTTCAGCACGGCTCTCGCTGCCCTTTACTCGAACATCGCCAAGCCCATCCTCGACGTCTCCCTCTACAACTACCAGCTCTCCCGCAACGTAGGCGCCGAAGGCCTCATCATAATCAACATCCTCGTCCAAGGCTCCGCAGCACTCCTCCGAGCCGCCACCCCGCCCTTTGGCTCCTACGCCGCGACGGCACAAAAGCTCGAGGGAGAGTTCAGGTGGGCGCACAGCAGATTGATTGAGAATAATGAGGAGGTGGCACTCTACAGGGGCCAGCAGAGCGAAAAGAATGCCATTGAGCGCTCCTACTTCAGCCTCATCAAGCATATCAACCGGATTTCCAAGATTCGCATTGGACACGGCATGGTCGAGGAGGGCATCATCAAGTGGTTGTGGGGCTCCCTCGGCCTAGTCATCTGCTCCATCCCCGTCTTCGTCAAGCTACCCGGCATGGGCGGACGCGGCAGCGATATGGGTTCGCGCACAGAGGCGTTTGTCACCAACAGGCGTCTCCTCCTCTCAGCGTCGGACGCCTTCGGTCGTATCGTCTCCTCGTACAAGGAGCTGAGCGAGATGGCCGGGTACACTGCGCGCGTATCCTCACTACTCGATACAATGGACGAAGTCAAGGCCTCGCGGTTCGAGAAGAAGCTCGTCTCCTCGGCGGGTACAGAGGAGAACGCTGCGGTCCTCCGTGGACGCGGTCGTGTCGAGGAGTCACCAAACATCGTCTTTGAGGAGGTTCCGATCGTCTCGCCAAACGGGGATGTGCTTGTCCCCAAGATGAGCTTCCAGGTCACACCCGGCGAGCATCTCCTCATCATTGGGCCAAACGGGTGCGGCAAGAGTTCGCTCTTCCGCATCTTGGGAGGGCTCTGGCCCGTCTATGGTGGCGTCGTCAAGAAGCCCAAGGCGAACGAGTTCGCATATATCCCGCAGAGGCCCTACCTGTGAGTGCGAGCGGCGTGCACCCCACCTGGGCTCCAACTGACCTCCCGTGCCCCCTCGAAACCCGCCACAGCTCCCTTGGAACGCTCCGCGACCAGATCATCTACCCGCACACCGTCTCGAAGATGCGCGCTCGCGGCGTAACAGACGAGGACCTGCTGCGACACATGTCCATCGTCTCCATCGAGGGGCTGGTCGAGCGCGAAGGAGGCTGGGACGTACAGCGCGAGTGGCGTGACGCCCTCTCTGGCGGAGACAAGCAGCGAATCGCTATGGCTCGCCTCTTCTACCATAAGCCGCGCTATGCGATTCTGGACGAGTCGACGAGTAGCGTAACAGGAGAGGTCGAAGAGAGGATGTATGAGCATTGCACCGAGTTGGGGATCACTTTGATGAGTGGTGAGTGGGCGAGCGATGTTGGCGATCAACGCTGTCCTGTCGTGAAGCTGATCTTCCCCCCCTCTCAACCTCCCAACCCCATTCTGTCCCCCTCGCGCGCCAGTCTCACACCGTCCCTCGATCCACAAGTACCACAAGAAGGTTCTCCAATTCACGGGTGACGGTCGATTCTCCTTCCGTGATCTGGACTCGAAGGAGACGGAGAGGAGGCAAGCGTTGCAGGAGGAGAAGGAGGCTTTGGAGGAGAAGCTGGCCAAGCTGCCGCAGATGAGGGAAAGACTAGAGGCTATTGGGGTATAGAGCCGCAGTGGCGGGGAGAGGATGCTGTTGTAATGCTGTAGCGGGTCGTAATGCGCATATATATACAGCATGAATGCTCCTCGTGAGAAGCCGTCGCAACCGCTCAGAGGGTGGGTAGGATCTCCTCCAACCAGCTGGCAAAGCGACGCACAATGGTCTCCTCTAGCGACATGTTCGCCGAGGGCGATGCTGCCTGCTGCTGCTGTTGTCCCTCTGTCTTGCCTCGGGTCGACCGAGTTTGACCCTCTTTCAATCTACTTTCATCCGTAGCCACCTTGCCCAGCACATTTCCCGAGGCGAAGCCGGCAGAATGCATCTTGACGAATTGTCTTCGTAGCCTCTGCAAATGAGCCGGAGTGGGAGGGCGACGTGATGCTGGGAGGGCGAGAGTGATACTGAGGCTACTGCCACCGGATGAAGCTAAGGCGCCATTAGGCAGAGTGATGGCCAGCGGTAGACTGTCCCCCATGACTCCGTGCTGGAGGCCCTGCTGCATAGCGGCGACGAGTGCTTGCGAGCTCGACTCGAGGACGCTCAGGTAATTGGTCGACGTGGCACGATTGTGGGTGACGACGGGAGGGGCTTTACTGAAGCTCTTCTTGCTCGCCAAGGCCTCCCACAGCGCATCGTACGGTGGGTCTTCCCACTCATCCAAGCTCGCCTCATCGCTCGAAGAAGAAGCGCGGGGCTCGCTTGGGATGATGAAGAGGGGAGAGTCCCATCGAGTCATCGCATTTGGCTCTTCGAAGCGTTGCAGCATTTCAGCTAGGGTCGCCGCATCGTAACAGTCGCTGCCTATCCGACGTCGTTTCTCGTTCCAACGCACGCATTGCTCCCCGCTCGCCGTCACAAAGACGCTGATGCAGGCCATGCCCACTTCTCTTGCTGCGCACCAGAGCTGGTAGCGAAATCCCTTGATGTTCAGGCCTGCCCCTCCATCTGCGACTACAATGGCATCCTTGACGAGGGAACGCGAGACGAGAGAGAGGTATGAGGCGCGAGCTGGCTTCTCGGTGTATTGGGATGAATAGACTGAGCGAGCGAGGTGCGCCGTCGAGTCTTCTAGGTGGACGATGCGAGAGAAGGGAGGGCGGGTAGAGCTAGAAGGAGCCTCGTCGAGGCGTCGCTGCCAATCGGCGATGATTTCTTTGCAGCGAGTGCTGCGCCCTGAGCTGGGTAGGCCGGAGACGATTACGAGGGCCATGCTGGAAGAGAAAGGGTGGTGGAGAAGGAAAGTCGCAAGGCTTGAGCCAAGTTTACTTTTCCGCCAGTCCGCCGTCTCCGCTCTCCGCTCTCGAGCGAGTCCGGCCAGCCAAATCGAGATGAACGGAGCCAGAAGCGAGATCGAAGTCAAGGAGCAATGCCTCCAAAGGACTAGGCTCACAGTTTCGTGCCGCAGCCAGGCACAGGGCCGGGACAAAGGTCCATGGCCTCGTGTACGCCTCCCAAAAAGCGAGTGAATTTACCATTTAGAGAGGCAGTACAACTAGAGATCGGCAAAGAAGTCCTGCCCATCCAAGGCGGTACGCTCCTGCCCGCCTGCGGCCAAGGTACGTTGTCTGGCTTTGACTGGCCGGCGTGAGGCCGGGGTAACGGGTGCGGGCGGGGCTTCGTCGTCTGAAGAATCGTCTCCGTCATCGTCGTCGTCGCCACTCTCCCCGCCCTTCCCACTGATCGCCCCCAGCGTGACATCCTCTTCATCTTCCTCCTCCTCTTCATCCTCGCTCCCCTCGGGCGACACAGCAATGCGTCTCGCCAGCTCTTCAGCGTCCGCCTCCTCCTCTTCCCCCTCGTCCTCGTCGCTATCCTCATCATCGCTCTCCAGCAAAGCTCCAACATCCGTGACCTTCACCTCACTACCATGCCCACAGCTTACCAGACAGCCGCCACGTCGCTTGATGCGCTCGACGGGCATGCCTCCACCTCCATCACCATGATCTGCCACAACGCCCAAGAACCTCTTGCCGCGCCCACCCGTGACCTGTACCGCACGGACAAGCCCATCTGACGAGCCCGTGAGCACCGTGGTATCATCGAGAGCTACAAGGGCATCCACGCTCGCCGGGTGACCAGGAAGACGATCGACGTGATCCAGCAATCCACGTGAAGGTGCCCAAAGGCTCAGCAGGCCCAACTGCGTGCCTACGACAAGCCGCGATGATCCCGCACCCGAGGTGCTGGGCAGCGAGCAGAGGGAGAGAAGCTCGTCCTCCTGATCTTCCGAGACGGTCACGCCCGGTTGGGGGTCGCCCGGCTTGAGATTCTGCGCTTGCTTGCTGGAGGAAGAAGCTCGAATGTCAATGACGGAGAGCGTACCATCGCCCGACGTGACGACGAGACGTTCCCTTCCCGCTTGCCGCTGCGGCGCTGCCTCTTCCTCCTCATCACTCTCGCACTCATCATCATCATGACCTCGCGCACGCTTCTTCATCTCTCTCCTCCTCTTGGCCTTCTCTTCCCGTTTCCTCCGCTCCGCTTCCTCCCGTTCGCGTTGCTCCTTGCCCACCCGCGGAGGCTCGAGGTAAGGCTCCCAGACCAGATCGGTAATCCAATCAAAATGATGATCCCACTGTCTCACCACGCCCTTGCCCTCTCTTCCGTCCCAAAGCTTCACAACGCCATCATCATCGCCGCTCACGAGCAGCTCTTGCGAGTTGCTGACTGACCCCGAAGGTAGAGACAAGCAGCGTGAAGGGGCACCCTCGTTTGGCGTGGAAGGGGAGCGGGTAGAGAGGATCGAGGAGGTGGCTACGTCAATGTGATGCAGAGACCCTTCCTTGCTGAAGGCGTACAGCGTGCGGCCCGAGGGGGAGAAGTCTAGGCAGCGCAACGATTTTTTGCTGGGGCGTTGCGTCCAGCGTTTGGCGTAGGATTGCGTTGCGCTAGACGATGATGATGATGATGATACAGAGGAGCTCGCGATGGGATCGCTGCGGGCTTTCTTTGCTGGGGTTTCACCATCGTCGTCGCCCTTGTCGACATCCCCGCTGAAGCCGTCGAGCTGAAGGAGTTGGACCTTGCCCGAGATCAAGCCCACAGCGAGAAGGAGCGGGTCCTGCGCTTCGCCTTCTGGGCCGGGGCTCAGAGCGAGGTCGAGAGCGTCGGATGAGAGGGGAATATCCATGGGTGTGACACGGCGAGGAAGGGAAGTGAGGGTGGTGATGAGAGATATAGCGGTAAGGAAGGAGGAAGGTGACCGACGGACACGCATCATTGCACCTCCATCTCGACTTCCATCGCCTCGGCTTTTCTGAGCCGCTTCCGCCTTCCGCCTTCCGCCTCTCCCCTGTGCTCATACTCCTCTACGGCTCGGCTCTGGCCGCGATTCGATCACGACGAGGAACTACTTTTCATCGTGTGATAGGAATTGCATTCTACCGCGGAGCCAAAACAAGAACGGACTGCCAAGAGTCAAAGAAAGCAAGCCAGTCGTTATGCATGAGTAGTACCTGCGTCTTTGCTCTTGTTCCACAGCACGGAGCCAGAGAGAGCGGGTGATCCTCGCCCTCGTGTACGTAGATGAAGCCTCGTCGTCACATCAGATCACATCACGGCACCCCTTCCACCACCCAACTCTGCCCTCCTCACCTCCTCCCTCTGACGCGCCCCTTCCTCCCAGCCGCGACTCTTGCTGATTCGCTCCTCCTCCGTGACCAGCATGCGCTTGATGCTCTCCACAACGGCGGCGGTGGGTAGCCCCTCGCCAGAGGCAGAGGAGGGCTGTTGAGACTCGAGGAGAGAGGCAACGGTGGTGATGCCCTTGCGTACGTCCTCTGATGGCAAGAGCAAGCGGGCGAGCCGGTTAGAGGCGTGCGCGAGGTGCTTGCGAGCTGCACGCTTGGCGCCGGGTGAGACGCTCGATGAGCCGGAGGACGACGCGTGAGCCGCAGCAGTAGACGCCTCCGCTGTGCCCCCCTCCCCGCTTGCAGTGACGAGGCTCAGTATCCCCTGCACCTCCAATCCCTCAAAGACCTCCAGCACCTCCGAGCTCTCCAAAGCCGAGTAATTGCCATCGTCACGAAGCATCGACACGTACGTGCTCTCGATATCGCAGACCTTGACCGCCTCTCCTTCCCCTGCACCTCCAGACGGGCCACTCTTCTTCAGGCCCTTCGACCCAAGAACAGGCATCCCTTCGCGTGCTCGAGCCGCAGCGATGAGCAAGGCCGCCAGCATCAGCTTGGCCTGCAATCCCAAGCCCCGGACCTTGGCGAGGTGCGGGGATCCGAGCACCTTTGTCACTACCTTGAGGATATGCTTCGGCCCGACCTTGGGTGCCGAGCTGGGCGTGAGGTGGCTGAGGAGTTTCGAAGCCTCGGTGTTCGTCCCCGTGCCAGAAGCCGTACAGTTCGCGAGGGCTTGCGTACGCTCTTCGCCTTCTACGAGCTCGATGGAGAGACGGGCAGCATCGAGGGCTTTGCGGAGGTCGCCGGTGGCGGCTGCGATCTTCCTGGCGAGCAGCTCGAGGGCAGGAGGGGTGAAGAGGTGGAGCGGAGCGGCCTGCTGCTGCTGAGCGGCCTCGTTCATGTGGACATCCTCCTCCTCACCATCATATCGCGACTTGAGTCCAGTCAGCCGAGCCTTGAGCACCTCTGTGATCTCCTTGCTCTCGAAGGGCCTGAAGTGCAAAAGAGCCGGGGCGGCCCCCTTTGATGCGAGGAGGGGGACGAAGCGTTCGGTAAGGTCGAGGGAGTTGGCGATCCCGATGAGGGCGCAACCGTTGGAGGAGCCAGAAGCCCAAGCGAAGAGGCGGTACAGAACATTCTGCTGTGCGCGCGACGCGAGGAGATGGTCAATCTCGTCGAGGACGATGAGAGTGCGCTCCGCCACGGCGTCAGTGCTAGCCATCATCTTGTCCATGCGACGCTCTGCCTCCGCCTCGATGTGGCTCTCGCTCGCTCCCTTGACTTCCTCGCCGAGGGCTTGAAGCACCTTGACGAATATTTGGCGAGGGTGCTGGACGGCCATGCAATTGACAAAGGCGACGCGTGGTGGTGCGGAAGTCGTATTGTTGGCAAGGACCTCAGAGAGGACCGAGCGGACAAGGGCCGTCTTGCCTGTGCCGGGGAGTCCGCAAATGTACAGAGAGGCAGAGTCGGCATTCCCGTCTAGAAGGTCCTCGAGCGACTCAGAGGGAGGCGCGAAGCTGCTGAAGTGCTGGGCCATGAAGGCTTGCAGGGCTTTGCGCTCGAGGTCGCGGCCTACTACTTGCACCTCGGATGAGGAGGACGAGTCTTGCTCCTCCAATCCTGTGCCAGCATTGTACCGCAGCAAGGTTCGAGCATGAGCGTAGACGTTGCTGTACTCGGGTTGCGGGGGCGTAGTCGCTTTATCCTCGGGATCGATCGCCTCTGTATCGCGTCCGGGCGTGGTCCCACGAGAGGATGCCATGCTGCCCGTATCGTCGAAGACAGAGCTGACGGCGGACGACCCTTGGCTGGAAGAGGGAAAATACTCGTCCTCGTTGCTACCCTGGCTGGAGTTGTCCAGGCGAAGACGCGACATGGGAGTGGCAGGAAGAGAGTCGGTGCAAGAGGCGCCATCACGAGAGCGTTTACGCGAGGAAGGGGAAGAAGGAGAGGATGCTGCGGCAAAGAAAGGGGCGAGGACGCGATACGGTCAGCAAAAGACGCGTCGTCACCCTCAATCAGACGCGTTACTTACCTTGCGATTTCGCAGCAGCGCGTTGACTCGCAGCCCTACGTGTCATGATCCTCGTAGTGGGCGCGGCGTTGCTCGTCGTGGCCGTAGACGCCGTAGTCGCGGACACGAAGCTACTGACCGAGCTGGACGAGCTGGAACCCCTGCGCCTCATCGTCAAGGAAAGACGCCCGCTGCTACTTGCGCTACGGGCCATTCCAGCGCCACTCCTGCCGTTGCCCCGGGCTGTAGCTTCTTCTTGGGCACGCAACGCTTCGGCAGAGAGTACGGCGTGTCCTACGTTGCGAATGGGCGCCACATTCTCCTTATTGCTGTCATCAGGCTTGTCTGACGTCTCGATCTGCGAGTTGCAACCGCCGAGTCTGCCGTGGAAGGCCCGCGATTCATCGTCTGATTCTGAACCGGAGTCTGCCGCGTGTGAGGAGGTGCGACGTCTACGGCTGCTGCGCGAGGTGAAGGACGTGGAGCGAGAAAAGGTCGTGCCGCGGCGTGTCGATGGCGGCGTGGTGGTGGTGGTGGTGTTGCATGAGTCAGAGGCGCTCCCTTCGCCGCCGCTGCTGCTGCTGCTCTGAGCCAGTAGATGAGCAGGAGAGGAGACGGTTCGATGAAGGCTGCCAGTCCTGCTCCCGCTACCGAAGACCTTGTTGAGGGTGGGAGGCAGGCGGACTTCGACGGGTAGCGGCGATGATGACGAAGACGAGCGGGTCAGGCGCTGCTTGATAGCATCGCTGCCATCATCGTGCTGCTCGTGCGCCTGTGAAGACGACTGGCGAGCACGAGTGAGGGGCATCGCCGGCACGAGATGACCGAGAGGTGAGAGGACAAGGAGAAGGTGCGGTTGGTGATGCGAGGAATAAGACGACTAGCTGCTAGATCTTGGCTGTCTTGTAGTAGGAGGAAAAGATGGTAGTGATGCGATACGAAAGAGGGTAGGATGGCTACGTTGGATCGATGTGATTCAGATGAGGCAGGGCAACCTCTTTTGACCCTGTCCAAGCCGAGTGCAGCGCCAGGGCAGAGGAGCCGCCCGCCTCGTCCTCTGCCGCCCTGCCACTTCTCCGCTGAGGCGCGTTTGAATAGGCGCGTTTTGGCCGCGAGCCAGCCAGACAGCCAGCCGCGCTCACCGGTCGCGAACGAGACGGCTCGGAGGCAATCGATGAATCCTAGAATCGTGCGATCGCTTCAGCGATGGGCAAAGCGCCCCAAATGCATCTGGACATCGATTGCAGACTGATTCGTGACTTCGCTGCTTCTTTGGCAAGTGGGCAGGAGGGAGTCGCGGCTCGCGTGACCGTGTTAAAGTGGCGCGAAGAAGTGTCGCGGCGTGACGTGAAGGCTCGCCTTCTACCACGTTGCGTCACCACGACCACTAACCTCAAATGGCCTTCAAATCAGAATCAGGAATGTCTCGCCATGGTCTCGCTCCCACTCAGCTCGATCGTCGTTCCCACATAGGCCTTGAACGGAGCTCACTACCATGCAACCGCACACCACCACCGCCACCGGGTCGGAAGGTCCGCACGGACCACGATCATTTTTCTTCCTGCCCGCCCGCCTCACCCGGCCCCTCTCGCTCCCCCTTCGTCACGCACCACGCGTCACGCTCACTCACGCCCACGCCACTTTTGTGAGAGTCGAATCGATCAAAGGGGGCACCCCACACTGCAGCACATCAACCGCAGCTGAGAGAGAAAGAGAATGGAAGAAAGACCACAAGATAGACGAGAGAGTTCAACCGATCCCTTCGCGTTCTTACGACGACGCCTCCTGAGCAGCCGGGGCGGGCGAGTCACCCTCAGCAGGCGCATTCGTAGGCGCAGCGCCACCATCCTGCTGGCTCTCGTACTCCCTGAGCACCTGCAGCGCCTCGACCACCTTGGCGTTGAGGGCATCCTCCTCCTCGATGACGTGGAGCAGCTCGGGGACGGGCAGCTCGAGGATCATACCCGTAAGCTTGCCGGCCAGGTCTGGGTGAGTGGCAGCAATCTTAGGGTAGATGGCTTCACCGAGCATCTGCTTCTGCTCTTCGGGGCCAGCGTGGGCGAGAGCCGCGGCGGTGAGTGCGGGCTGAGCAGGAGGAGGGGGGCGGGGACCACCGCGGGTGGCTCCGGCCGGGGGAATGGAGCCGCGTTGAGGGAGACCGCCAGCGGGCATGGGGGGCTGGCCAGGGCGAGGGGGCTGGCCGTTAGCAGCACCGTTGGAGGGAGGGCGTGCACCAGCGGGGGGCATGCCACCAGCAGCACCAGGAGCGCCGCGAGGAGGGCGAGGGGGCCTGTAGCCAGCGGGGGGAACCATGCCGGCGGGGAATTGGCCGTAGGGGGCGCCCATGGGGAGACCCTGAGGCATCATACCACCGGGGCCAGCAAGACGAGGGCGTTGGCCGGGCATCTGGCCGGGGAAAGCTCCGGGCTGAGGGTAGTACAGAGGCTGAGCAGGGTAGCCGGCAGGGAAGCCAGCGGCGGCGGCCTGCTGCTGCAGACGGATCTGGTTCTGCTGCATGATTTGGGCCTCGAGCTGCTGACGGCGGTCCTCCTTGCGCTGAGCGAGCGTGACGTAGAGGGGCTTGTTCTCGAGCATCTTGCCGTTCATCTCAGCGACGGCCTTGTTAGCCTCGTCGGGGGCAGAGTAGCAGACGAAGCCGAAGCCGCGCGACACGCCAGAGGGAGTGCGCATGATCTTGCAAGAGGTAATGCTGCCGAAGGGGGCGAACTCCTCACGAAGACGCTCGTCGTCGAACTCCTCGGGGATGTTCTTGAGGTAGAGATTGACTCCCTGGAACTTCGAGAGCTTCTCGTTCTTGGCAGCTTCATAGGAGCGACGGAGCTCAGCCTCACGCTCCGACTTCTTTTGGGCACGGGCAGCAAAGAGCTTCTGGCCGTGGAAGTCGAGGTCGTGGAGCTCGTCGACGGCCTTCTGGGCCTCGTCGTGGTCCTCGAAGTTGGCAAAGCCGAAGCCGCGACCCTTGCCGTCGTCGTCAACGGAGAGGACGGCAGAGGTGACCTTGCCGTACTTCTTGACGAGTTCCTCGAACTGCTCCTGGTTGACCTCGGGGTCGATGTTCTTGACAAAGATGTTGGTGAAGCGAGAGCGGGCCTCCTCGATCTTTTGCTGGCGCTCCTTCTTGGGGATGTGGTGGCCGACAAAGACCTGGTGAAAAGGGCGCAATGGGAAGGGGATGGTCAGTCTCTGGCTGCTGAATCAGTCTGTCATCCTGGAGCGCGCCGCACCTTCTTGTCGTTGAGAAGCATGCCGTTGACGTGCTGGATGGCCTGGTCAGCGGCCTCCTTGGTCTCGTAGTGGACGAAGCCGTAGCCGAGGCTGCCTTGCTCTCCGACTGCGACCTTGCACGAGAGGATGTTACCAAAAGCAGCGAAGGTGTCGTGGAGGGCCTGCGCGCGTGTGGGAAGGCGAAGATAAGAGTCAGTGGTGGTGTCATTCACTGAATGCTACGTCGTGGAGCGCGAATGCACGCACTTTGTTGTCAATGGCCTCGTCGAGATTCTTGATGAAGATGTTGCCCGATCCAGTGCGGCGCAGAGCAGGGTCACGCTGCGACCACATGATGCGGCAGGGCCTACCGCGGATGACGGAGTAGTTGAGCTGCTCCATAGCGCGCTCGCCGTCGTTTGCGTTGATGTAGTTGACGTAGGCGTAACCGAGCGAACGGCGGGTGACGGCATCACGGCAGACGCGGATGGATGCGACGGTGCCGATCATGGAGAAGATTTCAAAGAGCATGGCCTCAGTGACGGTCGGGTCCAGCTCGCCGACGTAGAGGGACGTGTTCTGAGATTGGTCCTGGTTCTGCTGCTGCTGAGGCTGCTGACGCTGAGCGTTGGCGGCGGCGGGAGAGGTGGCAGCAGCGGCGGAAGCCTGCTCAGCAGAGCCGTTGATAGTAGGGGCAGCGGCACCATCCTTCTGCTCAGTGGCAGGAGCGGGAGCGGGGGCAGCAGCAGCAGCAGCGGGCGAGGCAGCGGCGGCGTCCTTGTTGGCAGGAGCCGGCGAGGTAGCAGTCTCGGCGGACATGGTGAAGGAGGATCAAGGACGAAGAGAGGTGGTGAGGGTGGGGTGTGTTTGATCGAAGGGGACGACTTTTTGGGTTTATGTTGCTTTTTTATCGAGGTTTTCGCTGCGGGCGCGGCGTGTGCGGGAAACGAGGAGGTCAGTCCACGATAACAAGGCAATCCACTCTCCTGCTCCTCGTTGCTGCTCACGATTGGACAACGACTAGGCAAGCGACGATCCTGGTGACCTAGGATCGAGCAACACAAAGTCGAGGACGGGTTTTGAAGATGAGTTTTTTTGGAGAGAAGAGGAAAAGGGAGCGGAGCGAGCTCGTCGGTTGTCGCGACGTTGATTTGGGCGTGTGCAAAATCGTTGGCGCTTTGCAGGGCGGGCGGCAGGGCGGGCCGCTCTCAACTCGGCGGCTTCAGCTGCCTCGCTCGCCCTCGTGGCTCGCCCCCGCAGGCTCAGGCTCAGCCTCAAGCTCGGCCAAGCGTTAGCTCCCGCGCCTCTCATCTGCCTCGGCTCAACGTCGTCTCCGAGACGAAATTTGGCCGGCAACTACGAGAGAGAGACGCGGCTCCTTCTCATTCACCATCAATCACCACCTCACTCGCACGCACCACCACAATGTCATCACTCGACGAGAAGCGAGCAGAGGACAGCGTCAAGTCGGCGCACAAGAAGGAGAAGAAGGAGAAGAAGCGTCAGCGAGAGGAGGAGGTTGCAGCCACGCCCGTCCCTGAGGGCAGCAGCGCCGATGCAAAGGCTGAGCGCAAAGCTGAGAAGAAGAGGAGGAAGCAGGAAGAGAAGGCAGCGGCAGCATCAGAGGCAGTCCCAGCAAATGGAGCAGCAGTAGTAGCAGAGGATGAGGCGGCCGCAGCTGAGGCCAAGAAGCGTCGCAAGGAAGAGAAGAAGGCAGCAAAGAAGGCAGCAAAGGCAGTCGAGTCTTCTTCCGCCCCTCCTGTCGCCTCGACCTCAGCAGCAGCAGTCACCACACCTACTTCTATGGCCCCTACGGACGCAGCAGCAGCCAATGCCTTCCTTACCTCGAACAACATTACCCTCGAAACCCTCGAAGACTCGTCCGATAAGCCTCCTCTGCCCTTCCTCTCCTTCGCTGAGCTCCGAGGCAAAGTAAGCGACGGGATCTGCGATGAGCTGGATCGCTTGAAGTTCACCAAGCCCACGCCCATTCAAGCATGCTGCTGGCCTGTACTCTTGTCGGGAAAGGATGTTGTAGGAATCGCAGAGACGGGAAGTGGCAAGACGTTTGCATTTGGAGTGCCGGCATTGCAGCATTTGGCGACCACAACATCTGCACCTGCTGCTGGCGGAAAGGCTGGAAAGAAGGGCAAGAAAGGCGGAGCCACGCCGAATGTTTCCGTCCTCGTCATCGCACCCACGCGCGAGCTGGCGAAACAGACGCATGACAATCTCCTCATGCTGGCGCCCTCGCTCGGCTTTGGGTCCGTCTGCCTCTTTGGCGGTGTGCCCAAGTACGAGCAGCTCAATGAGCTCTCTGGTAGCCCACAGGTGCGCATTGTAGTGGGCACGCCGGGGCGTGTTCTGGACCTGGCGAGGGAGGGGAGCTTGGATCTCAGTGGGGTTGACTACTTGACGTTGGATGAGGCGGACAGGATGTTGGACAAGGTACGTAGAGAGCAGCAATGAGGCCGATTCTTACCCCGGCATCCCGCGCTGACCTCTTCCTCTCTCATCGCGCTCTTAGGGCTTCGAGCCGGATATTCGCGCCATCCTGGGCATGTGCAAGTCCCATGAGCAGGGCCGTCACACTTCGATGTTCAGCGCCACATGGCCCCCTGCGGTGCGCGGCCTCGCCGAGACTTTTATGCGCGACCCGGTTCGCGTAACCGTAGGCAGCGACGAGCTCACAGCGAACAGGCGCATCTCGCAACGAGTCGAAGTCCTCGAAGACAATCGCGCCAAGGAGCGTCGCTTGCAAGCCGTGCTGCGCGAGCTCGGTGCTGGACCTCGCGGAAAGAATGCGCAGGACAAGATCCTCATCTTTGCGCTGTACAAGAAGGAGGCGAGCAGGATTGAGGAGAACCTGAAGAGGGCAGGATTCGCCGTCGTGGCCATCCATGGAGACATGACACAGCCGCAGCGTATGGCGAATCTGGAGTCCTTCAAGAGCGGGGCTACTCCCCTTCTCGTAGCGACGGACGTGGCCGCTCGTGGGCTGGACATTCCCGCCGTCACTACGGTCATTAACGTGACCTTCCCGCTTACAGCGGACGAGTACGTCCATCGAATCGGTCGAACGGGGAGAGCAGGCAAGACGGGTGTGAGCATCACCTTTTTCACGCAGGAGGACAAGGCGCACGCTGGTGAGCTGCAGAAGATTTTGAGGGATGCAGATCAGGAGGTGCCTGAGGAACTCAAGGCCTTTGGTGGTACGATCAAGAAGAAGACGCACAGCGCGTATGGGGATCACTTCAGAGAGTTGGCCCCTGGGAAAGCCAAGAAGATTACGTTCGACTAGGCGCGACGTCGGTCGGGCGATGTATTTGCGTAATGGAACGGGATTTGCACTACGCTGCGCGAGACCGTGCTCTTGATCGGGCGATTGGGCGAGGTTTCAAGCGCGAGATGAATTGAAGAACGTCTAGAGGAGCCAAAATTGCGAACGAGGCGAGAAGCGGACAGAGAGAGGCGAGAGGCGAGTAGCGAGTAGAACATGGAAGGGAGATCTTGTCGAGAGAATGACCTTGCAAGTCGTGACGGTAAAGGAGGTGGGGGGTAATGAATGATGTGTTTATTTGGTCTAGACCCGCGCTCGTGCCCCCTCCGGCAGCGGGTGCGGTGAAGGCGAGCCAGCCGTACGGGGCCCTGCACTGGGTGTGGCTCGAGGCGTAGCAGCTGCTGCAGCCGGTGGATCGGCAGCCGTTTTGGTCGCCGCCCCACCAAGTCCAGCCGTAGCATCAGCCGCAGCCTGCTTATCCTGCTCCTCCTCCTCGCTCTTCTGCTTCTGATGAGCTGCCACCCTTGCCTGCACATCCTTCAACGCCTGCGGGTTGAGGCCCATTCCGGTGCTCGTGGTGGGCGAGCCCTGCAGTGACGAGGACAAGGAGGAGCTCACTGGTTTGAGTGCATCTAGCGCATCTTGATCCGTTACGCCCACGCGCTGCTGGAGTTGCTGCTGCTGCTGTTGGCCCTGCATCAGGCTCTGACTCAACGCGCCAAACTGGCCATTGCGGAGCATCTGCTCGAGCTCTCCCTCCACCACAACCCCCTCCAGCCAGTCATGCTGCAGCGCCTCCTGCGCCGACGCCCTCTTCTCCGAGTGAAGACGCAGCATGGGCGAAAGGAAAGAATCGAGTCGCTTCGCTTCGTCAAAGGGCATAAGGTACTTTTCCTGCAGCACCGAAATCAAGGGCCAGAAGCGCAGCTTGTGAATATGTCGCAGCTCGCCGCGACGATTGAAGATGTCCGCGCTGTACTTTCCGGCGAAGGCAAGGCTCTTCGGGAAGTCGCCGAGCAGCTCGATCACTTGAGCAATGTGATCGTCGTCCTTGTTGTACTTGGATCCCGCCGCTGGATCAAAGAGGTAATCTCCCGTCAACAGCTCAAAGAACATGGCCGCTGCGCTCCATACGTCTGCCGTTGGGCCCCACTTGGCGCCAATGATCACCTCCGGGCAGCGATATTGGCGCGTTTGAATGTCGTTGGTGAAGTGGTGGTCCACCCAGCATGCGTTGCCTAAATCGGCAATCTTGACCGTGATGCGTTCGAGGGAGCTCGGGTCGTACGGCGGAGGAGGGGGCAGAGTGTTCGGGTCCCCTGCAGCCGGAGCGGGGGCGAAGCTGTGTGGCTGTCGAGACTCCTTGGATTCGGTCGACATCATCGAGTCGGCAAAGGAAGTGCCTGCGCCGGGCGATGAGGCGACGGCAGCACTCGATTCCGGTGGCGGCGTGAGGGAAGACGAAGCCTCGGCGCCAGGCGTTGACACTTGGTTGGAGGCTGCAGCCGCTGCCGCTGCCGCTGCTGCCGCTGCCTTTGCCTGCGGTGCCTGCTGCGAGAGAAGGGATGGACCCTTGGGTTGGGCAATGGAAGGGATGCTCTTGCTCCCAAATGCCTCGTCCGCCTGCGTCGTCGACATCTCTCCCATTCCCTTGCCAATCGAGTCTGCCGTCCCTTCTCGCACCCGTTGCGCAGGCGCTGCTTGCGCTCCTCCCGCCTCACTGCCACTCTTCAGACTCTCGCTTGCGCTGGCCAGCCCAGAAGCGTTCTCGATCTTGGACATTGCGAATGCCCACTTGTCGAACATGGGGCTGGAGCTCAGACTGCTGCTCGGGCTGGGCAGCGGTTGGGAGCCGGTGATGAAGACGCCATCTCGACGCGGGGTCTGGGCACCGCCTCGACCTTGACTAGGCGGTACACCGACGAGCTTGGTGGGTACGGCTGCAGGGTTTGTCTGCAGCTCTGCCTGCACGACGGCTTCGACGTCGTCGATGCAGATGAGGACATTCTCTGGCTTGAGATCGGTGTGGATGATACCGCACTCGCGATGCATGTAGTCCAAGCCGAGCAAGACCTGCTTGGCAATCTGCTTGACGATGTGTGGGGGCACGCCTCGATGTTGGTATCGCTTGATGAGACCGAGGAGATTCTCGCCCAGGACTTCAAAGACCATGCAGACGTGACTTCCATGCGGTCCCTTGTGCTTGAAATGGTCGAGAAGCGAAACGCAATGACGCCTGCCCGCGTGAGTGGGGTTGGCTGCGACCAACCTCTGCAGCAGCTTGATCTCATCGAGAGCAGTCTCGGTGTAATGCGGCGCGGACTTGACGACTTTGAGGGCTACGTGGCGGTTCATTCTGTGCGAGAGGAAAGGTGAGATTTTTGGAACGACGTGACCGCTGCACTGCCCGCCACAAGCGCACTCACTTGTGATCCTTTGCCAGCCAGACGGTGGAGAAGTGGCCCCAGCCCAACTTCCTCACAATGAGATAGCGCCCCTCTGAGAAAGTGTCACCGACATGCACCGGGTGGTAGCCACCTTTGCAGTAGTCTTCGAGGTCTTCTTCGTCTTCAGTCGTGACTGAGCCTACATCGGAGGCTGCATGAGACGATGGGCCGTAGCTTGTCTCAGTTGATAAGGAGCTGGGGCCGCTGACTCCGGCGTTCGCGGTCGCAGCAGAGGTAGAGGTTGAGGCGCTAGGTGTTGAATGGACACCACCGCTTGCCATTGGCATTGGACCGGCGACGCCTGCGACGCTCCTGGCGAGACGTAGATGATTGGGTGGAGGGAGATCAATGATCGCGCGCAGCTGGTAGCATGGAGCCCTCGCTGGTACTCACTTTGATGATGATGCTTCTGATACTCCGCCATTGCCTTGCGGAGCTGTCGCTGATGCTGCTGGGAACGCTGATGTGGATGTAGATGTGGACCCCGCTGGAGGCATCGTCGCCGACGACGACGACGATGTAGTGGCGGCCATTAGAAATGCCGATCGCAGAGAAGGCGTGGGCGAGGGCGAGGGCGACGTGCGTCTAGAACGTCGTAGCTTGGGCGCGCGAGCTCAGCTAGGCCAGTCAAGAAGAGATGCTGCAGTAGACTGTCGAAGTCGTACAGGTCGTCTCGTATGGTGATATTTGGGGATGTCGCAACGAAGTGCAAAGGCAAGGGACGGGCCGTCGTCGTCGTCGTCGTCGTTGTCGACGAGGCGCGGCGCGGGTTGTCGCGGCTCGCCCTTGCTCCTTTGATTCAAAGCTCAGCTGCCTGTGCTGCCTGCTGCTGCTGCTGCCGCTGGGTGGCAGTTGCGCAAGTCTCGGCGGAAGGACGGAGAGTCGTGTGCCGCCTGAGAGCGGATAGAGATACGGCCGTGTGTTGAGCGACGGGGGTCAATCGTCGTCTTGAAGAGCGGTAGGGACGAGCGGGTCGGCGGCAACGGCTGAGAGATTGGCGAGATGAATGATACTAAGACCTGTCGACGAAAGCTCAGAAGGATCGCAGCGGGGGCGGCGTGGAAAAGTGAGCGATCGAGGGAGCGGCGGGGATCGGGATCCACGAAAGACGTGAATGGGGGGCGGGTGGAGACGAGATGAGATCAAGAAGAGCGTGTGTGTGGCATGGAGTGATGGTCGTTGGTCCCGGTGATGCCGGTGTTGTGCAACGAGTGGAGCGATAAGCGCTGCTCACTCGCCAGCATGACACTCCGCGCCACACGCTTCGACGCCCAGCAGCAGCATAACCCAGCAGCATCGTTGAGCAGTACAGCGCAGCGAGCTCTACTTTCACCTCGCTGTCTCGTCCATTTCGCCGGTCTCCGTCGGCGGCCTCTGCCTCTGCACTCAACTCCGCCCGCCTGCCTGACTGCCTGTCTGACCGAGGTCGACGACGACATTGGACCGAGCGCGTGCGTGTGAGCGTGGGTGAGAATTGCTCGAGCCAAAAGTTCAGACTCGCGCAGAGAAGAGTAGGCTCCAATTCGGGTAACACTACCAAAGCGCTGCTGCCGTCGACAGGACCGGTGCGGCCTGGTTCATCGATGCGAGCGTTGCATTTGCATTTGTGATGCATTGCCAATGGGGGCAACATCGACATGCTCGCGAGCTCGGAGGTCGCGGCGACTTCACTTGGGCCGGCAGTGACTGGCGCCACGGCCGCCCTTATCTGCCTGCGTCGCGGACGACTCGATTCATTGACTTGGGCTCGTTAGGATGATCGTGCCACTGTCAGGCGACGCGCGAAGACAGGCATCAGCATGCTTCCTCATGTCTCGCATCGCACTCGCATCGCACTATCTGGATAAGCCTCAACTCAATCGTCCGCAACCTCGCAGCGGCCGATCTGATCACCGTGATCACCACGGCCGGCGCACATTCGCATCAACTTTCTTTACCCTTGTTTGTTGCCGGGATGCTACCTACCCCGCATTCATCCCCGTCATCCCCGCCGTCCCAGCATCCCCGCATCAACAAGCTTGTCACATCGTATCGACGGCGCGCTGGTCATGCGTGGTCATAGATGTGGAAATTGCAATACCAACCGCTCCCTGAGGCATCCCTGCCTTCGGTCCATCCAAAGCTGCCCGATCTACTTTACGCGCTGCGTGACGTCCCTCTGCCGCTCAATGAACCCTCGGCTTCCTCCTGTAGGCATCCTGCTTGGCCGGATATCCCGAGGCCACACCCTTGGCCTTACCCAACAGCGCCGCGTATTCCTGATCCTCATCCACGTGCACAAAGTACTCCAACTGATGGGGTGTGCCCTTCTCACCCTCCTTCTTCCTCTTGTCCCTCTGCTCATTCTCGATGCGCGTCTTTTCCTTCGAAGCATTGTCGTAATCTTGCTTGCGGATCCCCTCTGCGACCTTGGCCCAGACCTTGCGCGACTCCATGTCACCCTGCTGATCGAGCGGGGCGACTTCGATGTCTCGGCGCGAGGAGGAGGCGTCGTGAAAGGTGGAGTTGGACGAACCGTCCGGCGACTTGCCCTTGAAGGAGGACTTGCCTGCCCATTCGCCTTCGATGTTGTAGAGTGCAGAGGTGGGTTGCGAGGCTGAGGAGACGGAAGCCTTGAAGGAGTGGGACTTGCCGGAGAAGTAGCCTGGAGGGGCGCCGCGCAGCGTGGAGCGGGGCATTGGACAGAGTGGGGACGGTAAGGTCAGCATCGATTGCGGTAGTCTGGCAATTCTCGGCGCCACTACGCACCCTTGCCCGCGTAGTTGATCGTGGCCAGCATGCCAGTAGTGCTAATGATGTGGCTCGTGCCCGAGAGCTCGAGGTAAGGAGCGCCGTACCAGAGTCCCTCGATGACGATGTTGGGAAGCGTGATGAGGTAGAGGTCTTCACCGCCGCTCGAGTTGGCTACGCGCAGAACGGCGTGGCCGACTTGCTTGACGGAGATGGAGCGGCCGGAGAAGGAGCTGCGTGGGGGTGGGCGAGGGACGAAGGCGCGAGGAGGGAAGTGAGCATCTGCGGCAGCCTAATTAGCGCAGCAGGCTCGCACGTACGTCTTCTGCGCCGAGTGGCCCTCGAGCGTGACGCCCGCCTTGGCGTTGTGCAAGTAGTATGCCGTGATGGGAGGGTGGTGCGAGACCTGCTCCGCAATAAGCTGCGTCTCGCCGGAGCCCTTGGACTCGTCTGCAGACCACTTGCCCAGGAACAGCTCGCCAAGGATGGGGTTCAGCGGCTTCTTCTCGCTACCCATGCTCTGGTTGCGCGACGTGTACTGTCCCTTGAGCGTAGCAATGAACCAACGCAGCACGTTGACCATCTTCTCGATGTCATCACCTCCCTGGCTGCACTTGGCGAAGAGGTCTGGGTGCTCGCCCCAGTAGGAGGGGTACTCGGTGAGCGAGACGGGGCTGAGGATGAAGGAAGGTGCCGTCATGGCTGAGAGGTCGCCGGAGAAGGAGGCGATGGACTTGAGGAACTGGCCCCAGCCTTGCCTAAGAGGAGGGGGGCCATGGATGCAGCGTGAGCGGTCTAAAGAAGTGGGTATGGCCAGCTGTCCATTTGCTCCCGCTCACTCACTTCTGTCCCTCCGGAACTGCGCCCATTTCCTTGCTGTCTGCCATTTTGTCTAGAGTCTAGCTGAGTGAGCGAATGAATGTGTGAGGATGCGAGTGGCGGTGAAGAGGACGAGATCAACACGTTGCCCGGGCTCGCGGGTCAGCAGGAGCTGCGAGGCTGTGGAGTGAGGAGTTGGACTCCGCCCTCGCGTGGCAGTGCGACCAAGGTGGAGAGACGCATGGCGGACAGGGGTGAAAGCGGGTGAGCAGCGCGGGGAAGCTCAGTCCGCCAGCCCGCTCTTGTCCATCACACCACTCGTTAATACCAGCCTACGCTGCGTTTTCGCAGGCAGCAAGCAGCTCAAAGTCGCAGTTCGCATCGTTGCTGAGGCAGCGTTGTCAGCTCACTCTCTCATGGCTCGTCCTCATCGCCTGACACGACCGCATATACGCAGCCTCGACGCCGCGACGTCGGGACGCCTCGACGCTGACCAGAACCAGCACTTTCTCGCCAGCCGTGTGTGACCCTTCACTCTTTCAGCGCTAGCGTCTGATCTTGACCATGATGGAGCCCTGTCGCTCCCGCCCGTATCTTCCGCAGGCTAGTCGCAATGACGCCCGTCACGCCAGCTGAAAGCACATCACCCGTCGTGGCTCGCAACGGCTCGCTCGACAAGACTCGCACCGCCTCGTGGGGTAAGACTCGCAACGCTTCATCGGGCAAGCCTCGCGCCAAGGGTCGCTGCTCGTCGCTGCCTTTGCCTGCCGCTCTCGGTGAGTGCGAAGCGGCAAGATTGGATGCATACAGCCGGTTGACGCAAGTGGTCCACCCTGCTCTTCCGCCGCAGCCGAGCGCAATGCTGCCTTGCCCAAGCTTAGCTCTTCGGACATGGCCTGGCTCTTGCATCTCCCACCTCAGCCTGCCTATCCCGCTGTGCCAGCTCCTACCCACCCTTCCCGTGAATGGGCGTTTCAAGCCAGCGAGTGCGCCGACTGGCATCTCATGGCCAGCGACTTGCTACGCCGTCGGGCGGACGCAGAGGAGGATCGGGCTGCCAAGCACGACGAAGTGATGAGGCGAGGGGAAACGACGCCTGGATATTCGGTTTGGCTGGCCAAGATCCCCAAGCCTTCTACCGACAAGAGGGGCCTATGCGTGTACGAGGGCGACGTTCCCGCTAAGAGGGAGGCTGACGGCGAGAATGGTCGCGAGACGGAGCTCAAGAAGCGCAGGCACTGAACAGGTCGAGTGTTGTTGCAGTACAGCGCGTCAATCTCGAGCAGAGGACGTATAGGCGCGCCCTTGTAGCCGCAAGTCTGTGTAGTTGCGGTTGCAGTCTCGAAATACCAGCTGCGTGCGAAGCGCTCTCTAAGCCCAAACCACTGCCCTATCTGCCGTGATGCTCGCCGCGCCTCGCGGAATTTGCGCCCGCACCACGCCGCACGGACATCGGCGTTTCCGAATGCAGCGCTAAGTCGCCGGCACGCCGCCTCAAACCTTCCTACCCACCCAACTCGGCCTAGGATCGTCGTACGAAGCCCAAACCAAGTCCAAAAGGTGCCCAGAGGTCCCAGGAGCAAAAGAATGACCATGACGAGGCTCGAACTCGCGACTTTGGAGTGCTAACAGCGTTGCAGGTGTTGCAACTCCCAGGTGGAGGTCTCACTCCGAAGATCCGCAGCGTGTCGTACGACATCCTGCGCATCCTCGAAGCTCCTTTCAACCCAAGAGATGATACCATTGGTAGATCTATTAGCTCCACACTCTAACCAAGCTGAGTTACACGGTCGTTGTAACAAGCTGAGCTATGTGCTCGTTGTTGAAGAACGGTGAAAAGAAGGCGTACATGTACACGCAAAAACAGAAGAGCTGCAGCGCCGCGCAGCGAGTGAAAACTTGGCGATGCAGTCGGAGCGACGACCGGCGAGACGTAGAATCGCATCAGAGCGCGAGAGAAACAGCCGACCCGTCATGGTTAGAGCAGTCGCAGAACGCTGTTATTCTGCCAAGTCTCGAGCACGAATCCGGCTGCCCTGCCATTCCTTCAGCGGTGGGCTGATTTTGCCCTGCTTGTCCACTTCTGAGCTTTGCAATTCGCTCTCGCTGAGCGCTCTGCTTGTGCGCTCTCGTTGACCACTGATTGGGCTCGCTCGTTAGGCTCGAGCATTCGTCGCTGCACTCGCGGTCTGCCGTTGTCTGTTACGCCTCTGGCCTATGATCGCCAAGGGTCGATTCAAGTCAGGCAATCATCACCTCTCGTGTGCTCGCATTGTGCAGAGACGATATCGCGGTTAATAGAGTCACGTGGACCGGCATGACGGGACCATCGCTGCTGTCAGACCTTCTCGCCGACTTGCCGCCATGCCAAACCCCTCATCCGGTTGAGCGTCGCGGCAACATCGATAGCCCTCGGTCTGACCAGGAAGCCATCAGGCTGCATCACCTCGTCCAATCGACGATCCATCGCCCCCTCCAGAGCCACCACGGTACTCGCTATGCTCGTATCCCTCTCAGACCCGCCCTCGCCCTGCTGACTCGCCAAGTACTTCAACGCCGCAATGATCCCCCTCGTCTGAGACTCGCAGATAACCTGAGGTAGAGCACGAACTTCCACCTGGTCCTCGTCATCCTCGCTCTTGCCCCTCCCTCCCCCACCAAGTCTTATTGCATGCGTGCCCCTCGCCATCACCTTCCCCGCCACCTTCTCCCTCAACGCCGCTACTTCCCAAGCACGGGGCACAGCGGCCTTGAATGCTCCAGTCGACTTTACATCGCTCCCCTCGCTCGCCCTCGTGCCCACCTCGCGCGCCTCCTTCGTCACATCATAGCAGCGAAAGTTGTCCATCTTCACTACAACGTCCGCACGTCCGAGAAAGCCAAGATTGCTCCCGCACGCGAGCAAGAGGGTGGCTCCACACGACATGACGAGCGGTTTGGCCCTATCCTCTAGCGGGCGGATCGTCTCCCGTCCTACGAGCTCCGACATAGCTGCAGCGCAGGAGAGCCAATTGGAGGCAGTCGTGTCCTCGTCGATGCAGAGGAGCTTTGAACCGACCTCGAGGGATTCGAGCGTGGCGGCAGAACAGGAGGTTGACCCACTCGCATTCGTGGTGCTGAAGCAGCGCGTAGAGCCTGCAGACCGACCGGGCAGGTCGTGGATGAAGTGGCTGACGTCCACCGCGCTGATCTGTCGGCCGTCTTCGGATTGGATGGAGGTCACGTCTGCCACGGCGCTGACAAATTCGCGCCCATCGCCCGGCTGGTAGTCGTAGCAGCCTAGACGGACGGATTCGAGTAGCGTAGACTTGCCATGGAAGCCTGCGCCGATGACGACGACGAGCGAGCGAGCGGGGATGCCGAGACCTGTGATGGGGCCAGAATTCGGCGTGTTGATCGTGACGGCTAGGCTGAGGGGAGACTGAAAAGGGATCACGTCTGGCCCTGTGAGGGGCTTGCTGCTCGCACCACTTGCTCGCGGTAAGACCGCTCCGTTGCGGACAAAGGCGACGAGCTCGTGCTTCGGCAGTGCGGCACGGAGAGCGTCCTGATCCTCAACACATTCGACATGCTTGCGAACAGCGCCTGTCTCGAGGGCTGCGGCATAGAGAGCAGTACGAGCGAGCTGCGGTACACGCTGGCAGAGGAGGGCGCTAGCCTCATGGCCTTGGATTGAGCGACCTTTTGCCGGGAGAGCACAGCCGATGCGAGCTTCGATGAACTCGTCAGTGACGATCAAAGCAGTTCGTTCGAGCACTTGAGCGGTGGGTGCGTCAATCTGAACGTCTCCTCCCTTAGAGCCTGCCCAACCTCCGCCTGCTCCCTTGACCGCATCGTACCCTTTCGCGTTGCACTCCTTCCACAAGCAGCGGTGCAGGAAGTCTGCAAGTGCCGTCTTGCGTATCTTGTTCGAGTAGAGGGAGGCGTCGAAGCCAGCCGCCGAGTGAGGAACGCGAACCCTCACCTTGCTCGGCGGAGCGTAGGGGTCTGCTTGTACGTGATCGATGAATAGCGTGAATGCAGGATCGCTGAAACCCCAGCTGCCTAGCAGGTCTTTGTAGGCCGGATAGGGGGCACCTTGCAGTGTGGTCAGGCTTTGTGCGAGTGAAGTTGAAGTGCGAGCAGAGTCTTCCATGCGCGGCCGCTTAGTTGAGGAGTCTTGCGAGAAGTTGACGCCCCCGTATCCACCACCACGGCCTCTACCGCGGCCACCGCCACCTCTTCCTCGTCCTCTGTAGGCCATCTGAGCAAGTTGCCTCGAGCTGTTGTTGATGAGGGCTCGGTGATCGCCACGACGGCTACGGCGTTTCCAAATTTGGCGCTTCACATGTTCCTGGACCCGTTCGTAGCTCCACCTCGTCCCATCCCATCTCGCTCCGCTCCCGCGTGGCGCAGCCCGGCGGCGGCGATCGACTCGGACGAGGGCTCGTGCGTGGGCGGGCGCCTGTCGCTGCTTGTCATGCGGGGTCAAGTCACAACGGCGCCGCCGTCGAGGAGGAGCAACACTTGACATCCTTGCCTCCTCACCATCCTCGTCCTCCTCCACCTCCTCACTTTGAGCGTACGATGCGCCTCGCTCCCTGCTCACTGTTAGTCGCAGCAACATCGTCTCTCCTCGTCTCGTCTGTCCAGGCCAAGCCGCTCGGTCCCAGCGGCGCTTACTACTATCAGGACGATGTCCGCGGCACAGCAGTCGCAGCTTCGACCTCACACTCAAAGCCCACTCGCAGCGAGTGGCAGGAGTATGGTCTAGAGAGGTACGACGGTCGTGATTTCGAGCGCCAACTAGACGACACGATTCGCCCAGCACATTCGCGCGAGCCATGGATCGACCCGGGGCTCAACGGCGGCAGCATGTTGGATGTGCGTACGAGTGGCGGCCAGGCCTTGCTCCATTTACTGGAACTGACTCGCCCTGGTGTCTTGCTCGCTTCTTAACCCGCAGCTCGTCAATAACGGCCTACGGGAGCCGATCAACACAATCATCTCGGGCCACTCGGACCCTTATGTTCTCACCGACGCTGGGCTGAGGGACTACGTGCGGTCAATTGTGAGCACCAGGTCCCCCTCCCCCGCGCTCGCTCCTCAACGAACTCCATCTGAACATCTCTCCACCGCTCACTCGCTCGCCGCACAGGGCTTCTCCTTCGAATGTCTCGACCTCCACCTCGGAGACCTCCAACGTGCCAATCTAGGCGACGGAGCCGGTTGGAGCACCGAGCTCTTCGAGTATCGCTCCACGCAAGGCTTCGGCGCTCCTGGTCGCTGGGTGGGGGCATGCTGGGAATCATGGTCTGGTGGGAACCATTTCCGAGCCTGGAAACAGAATGGTAGCGAGGCGGATACGGGTGCATGGTTTTTGGCCGTTAGCACGGAGAAGGATTTGAGGCACAAGCATACCATCGAGCGCGATGGATACGATCTTGGGAGGGATGTGCTAGTGGCTGCAGCGCTTGCTGGGGGCAAGTTTGGAAGTAGACTCTGGAAGGCGGATGTGGAGTGGGTCGATGGGCTCATGCCGGCGGGCAGCGAGGGGATCAACCATGATATCGCCATTGATGGGAGGACGGCGGTTTTGACGATTCAGCGTGAGTAGTGCGCAGCGCCTTCGACAGACTCGACGTCTTCGCTGACCCGATCATGACGCTCGTCACCAGGCTACTGGACGGTCCCACCGCCAGGAGAAGGAGGCAAGGGAGGCAAAGGCGGTCGTCATCTCATCGGCGGCGGTCTCATGTCCTTCGGCCATGCACTAGCTGGAGCGCTGCGAAAGGCTCTCGACTGGCTCGAGATGCGGGCGATACTCTGATGGTCCAGACGACGCAGCCCCATCGTAGCCTTTTGCCTCTTGCCTCCACCCTTCGTAGCTTGTACCAACTACTGGCCCGCCCGCCTCTTGTGTTCATACATTGCCCTCCGCTTCTGCTTCGCTGCTCTACTGTACACTATCCGCTTCAATTACACCACCTTTGCGCGCCGAGACGAAGGCGCTGGAAGAGTCGGATTGATATCAACAAGAGGCGAGATAGTAAGAGACAGAAGAAAGAGGCGCGGGAGGTCGAGTCGAGGAGCTGAGGAGAGGACATGGACCGCAAGGTTGTGGTTCAGCCAGATGAGGCTGCACTGAGACGCCATGACCGCCTGGGTGAGGGGGAGGTAGGCGGATCCTTACTTGCCGCTGGCCTTGACAGCGATGGGGACTGGGAGGGCAGATGAGGGAGATTTGAGGTCAGCGCTTGCCGTCTGCAGCGAGGGGGAGGAGGGGCGCAGGATACTGACTGACGATGATGCAGAGCAGGATGACGATGCCGATGATAATGATGATCCTAGAGGACGGCAAAGGGCAGATTCCGTGTCAGCGATTTTGGTCTTGAACTGCCTTGGCCGTCACCTCGCCGACTCACCTCATCTTGGCATCCTTCCACCACATCTGCTTGCGGACTCGGTTGGCGCCACGACGGAACCCTTGAGCTGATACAGCGAGGTTGTCTGCGACGAGCGGAGAGCTTGTCAGTCATGAGTGCTTCCCATATCAGAGTAGCCTCGCCGCCTCGACGCCGCGCCAAGTACCCACCCGTCTTGCCCTGCAGATCGCTCAAGTTCTCTCCACGCTCATTAACCTTCTGGATATTGTCGCGCATCACACCAACGGTCTCGTCGATTTGTGCTTGAATGTGAGCCTGCGGGCGCGCGTCGCTAGGTCAGCATGCTGCAAGTCAAGGTGGGGAGAAGGTGACGGTGGACATGAGTCGGTGCGCCTCGGTGCACTGCTACGCACAGTCTTGTTGTTCCCGGCACCTCCAGCACCACGGCCTGCTCCTGACGAGCCAGAAGGGGTGTAAGGGTCATAGCCTGATTCGTAGTTGCTCATTGTGTTGGCGACGATGGGCGTTGGGCGTAGATTGGAGTGTGGTGGTGATGGAGAGGTTGAACGACAGAGCAACCAACCCTCGCCCACTCATGCACAGCCGCCCAGACCGAGACGAGACTGACGCCCCGCTTGGTTGCCACGCGTCACACGCCTGAGCTCGATGAGGCAGGGGCCACTGGGCGCTGGGGCCACGAGGCGGCCGTCGGGCCGGCGTCAGGAGTAGTCTAAGGACTAGAGTCAGAGTGTGGAGCCGGGCAGGACGGAAAGCGACGAGTCCAACTCAGTCGGGAAGATCTCGGTCAGCTCACTTTGCGTTTCCTACCATTATCATCAGGTTCAAGGATGGGCAAGGCAGGAGGAGACGACGCTGCTGCTGCTGCCAAGAAAGCGGCCGCTGCGCCCACCGAGGGGTCGTCTTCCGCAAAGGGGTACGCAGCGGGTATTGCGAGTGGGTATCACGCCTTGCATGCCGCGCCGCCGTCGCCTCGCCCTCTTCATTACTAACACCCTTGCCTGCACTGCTCGCGCCAGGCGGTCTCACAAAGCTCGCAGTTGGACAGCCCATGGACATCGTGAAAGTACGTCTCCAGTGCTCGCCACCACACATGTACCGCGGTCCGCTGGACTGCTTTCTCCAGCTGGCCCGTCGCGAATCTCTGCTAGGCTTGTACAAGGGGGCCAGCCCAGTAGCCGTCAGCTGGTCAATAAGCGATGCGGTCCTGATGGGGACGCTGCACAATCTGCGGCTCGTCTTCAGTCGATGGACCGGCTCAGGGGGCGAGAATGGCAAGAAGCTGCCAGTCATTTGGCACGCGGCCGCCGGACTAGGGGCAGGATGGACAAACTCGTTGGTGCAGGCACCTGCGGAGAATCTCAAGACGCTACTTCAAGTGCAAACGCAGAGGGTGTCGCTGGGAGGAAGGAGCGCGGGTATCAAAGCTGGAGAGCAAGTGTTATTCACTGGACCAATCTCAGCAGCAAAGGCGATCATCAAGCACCACGGTCCGTTGGGCCTGTGGAGGACAATGCCTGCGACGCTCATGTTCAGGTCGAGTACGTAAGCCGCCGCTCCCCACTCTCCCCGCTCCTCGTCGGCTCACCACTCTCTTTCTCTTGCTACCGCCCACACAGGCTTCGCCGTAATGTTCGGCAGCTTCGAGCTCTTCTCCCAACTCTTCACCTCGCTCAAAGGCACTCGCGCCGAGCTCAGCCCTGCCTTCGCAACTTTCCTCGCCGGTGGACTGGCAGCCGAATGTTTCTGGCTCGCCGCCTTCCCCGCGGACGCCGTCAAGAATCTGATGATGTCCGACGAGCCGGGCAAGCTGCGCTATCCTACGGTGAGGAGTGCATGGAGGGAGATTTGGTATGATAGACCGGGCAAGGAGGCGGGGGTGTTGAAGAGAGTGAGGGGCACGTATAGGGGATTAGGGGTGTGCTTGCTGAGGGCCTTCCCTACGAATGCGTGTAGCATTCTGGTGTATGAGACAACGATGCGATGGATGGGGGCCGAGAAGACCACGACAACGTGAGCGCGGCCTGGAGGCACGATTACTATCAAGCAAGACTAGCACTTTACAAGGTCTTTAGGACGATCGCGATTACAGCGGCCAGCCAGACACGAGGAACTCCATGGCATCACCTCTTGCGGCTCGGCATCTGCTACATCTCGCTGCTGCGCGCTCATTGCGGCGGCTTGAACGGCTCGACGAGATACCTCGAGAACTCCTTCAACCTCTCCACTCCTCTCACCTCGGACGTCTCGAGGGGTACCTTTACGATGTGGAAGTCTTCGCCGTAGAGCTCGACGATGGAGTCGAGGTACTTTGCCTGCATCGCCTGGCGAACCTTGCAGTGTTGGCAGTCGGAGTCTGCACGGGCGAGTAAAGAGGAGAGAAGAGGGGAAAGGAGTCAGTCAGATACCAAAGACGGCAGTTCCGGCGAAGGGGCCCGCTTGTGCTCACTCTTGGGCGGATAGAGGAGCTGATTGCAGACGATGGCGTGCGTGTCGATCTCGTACGTGGTGAGCTCTTGCACCAGTCGCTCCGTCTCGTAGACGCTGTGCGAAGAGAGAAGAGGGAGATGAGATCATCAGCATAATGCGCTCTAGACCGCACTCAATCATCGCTCAACTCACGACAGAAATTCAGAGATGCAGACGCAGACAAATGTACTGTCGCAGTGTGCGGGGTGATCGATGGTCAGCTCCTTCTCTCTGGCTATCTCAATCCTCGCGCACTCACGTCTTCTCCGGGTCCTTGAACTGCGTGTTGACCTCATTGATCACCGCCCGCATACTCTCCAACTTGGCAAACATGTCCTCCTGACTTGAGCCTCCACCGCCCATCATGCTCGTCATCTGATTGAGCATCGGGCCGAATGAGCGTCCAAGCGTTGAAAACTTGGCGAGGGCCTTTTCGAGGACGGTGGGGAAGGAGAGGAAGCGGAGCGTATGGCCCGTCGGGGCCGTATCGAAGACGATGACTGAGTATTCCCTGGTTCGGGGTAGGAGAAAGGGGGAAGAGAGGGGCATGAGGAACTCGATAGCTCGTCACGCCTCGCCTCGCGTGCTCACATGCTCTTGACGTGCTTCATGATCTCGGCGAAGCCCATTGCCTCATCGACTCCTGGGATGGCAAAGGCCTGCGATGGCGTGCATGCGATCAGCTCCTCGGCATTCATATCCATCTCATCACCCCTCGCTTGTACCCACCAGATCGCTCATCATGCCCGACATTGCCCCGCCCTGCTGATCGCTCTGCTCCATCATTTCCTGAATACTACTCGCCGGGTCAATCTCCATGGCGCTCAGATTCCCAAACCCATTGACCCTCGTCGCCTCTTTTCCAAACTTCTGCCCAAATGCATCACTCAGGTTATGTGCCGGGTCCGTTGATATGAGGAGGACAGAGGGGCGTACCTTTGCCAGTTGGATGGCGAGGGAGCACGATGTCGTCGTCTTGCCTACACCACCCTTTCCGCCGCAAAAGATCCACTTTAGGGTGTGCTGGTCGAGGATGGACTGGAGCGTCGGGTCATTGTGCTCTACATAGGCCACCTCGTTTGTTGACATGGTGGGCAGCAAGATGAGGGGGAAGTTATGATGGTGAAGGAAGTTGAAAGGCGAGCTGTCGTGGAAGGCGTGCCTGCTTGCCTTCCGTCCGTGCGCAGAGCGAGTCCGACGACATCGACGACTGGACTGGCTTCGCCGCTTATCCTTCGTGCCTCCCTCTTTGCTCCCGCCCCCACTCCCACTCAACAGGCGCACAAGCACGCCGCATCGAAGCAATGTTTCCTTCGCGCTCCAAGGCCGCTTCTGCTCCATCCTCCTCCAATCCGGCACCACGACCCTGTCAGAAATGTCTCCAATCAGGGCACGCAACATGGCAATGCACCGCCGCTGCGCGCCCCTACACAGCTGCTAGGCCCACGCGATCGCAGCTCTTCAGTGACGACGGGCTGAGGCGAAGGCAAGAGGAGAAGACGAGGAAGATGGGCAAGCTGCCGGAGGAGGTGAGAGATGGGCCGATGAAGGAGGGGAGAGCTGAAGACGGGAGGCGTGAGGAGAAGGGAAAGGGTAAGAAGAGGGAGCGAAGCGTCGAGCGGGATGAAGCGCGTAGAGGACGAAGCAGCAGAAGACGGCGCAGCCCTTCCTACTCGTCCGTCTCTTCACACGACTCCTACACCTCGGACTCGCGGTCAAGCTACAGTCGCTCTGACTCTCGGTCACTATCGCCGTCGAGATCACGCTCTCCGCCACCTCGGCGATCTGACAAGGAGCGTCGTAGAACCAGGAGCGTCTCGAGGTCCGTCTCGCGCAGCATCTCGAGAAGCGTAAGAGGCAGCAGCGTGGACAGCAGCCACTCGACTCGACGGATCTCTCGGAGGACCAGTCGCAGCCCACGGCTCAGCCGGAGTCGTAGCCTCTCGCGAAGCCGCAGCCGCAGCCGCAGCCGTAGTGGCTCTTTCACGCCTTCCGACGCCTCTTCACGCTCAAGGTCGGCTTCGACTAGGCGGGCAAGGGATCGGCGTGATTAGTCAACGGTCCGAGTGAGACAGGGAGCGAGAATGTCACGAGGGGCTTGCCCGTCGTGTCACACAGAGGGGATTGTAATCGGGAATGGAATCGAATTCGTATAGAAAGAGAAAGAGAGAAACTAAGTGAGCGCTCGTTGTGCTAGGAAGAGGGCGGAGATGTAGAAATGGGGTTATCGAAGTTTGAGCGGCAGAGGCGCGCCTGCCTTGTCTTTGACCCTGCAGAGCAGAGCGTGCCAACGAGCAGGGTACCTCTCGCCCCTGCATACTCGTGGCCACGGTATCGACTGATGAGAGACTATTCCCTGCTACGGCCTCCGCCCCCGTCCCTTTTAGCCTGCCGTGCTCGCAGCCTGCGTCCCCCCTTCCTGGCGTCTCTGCCGTACCAGCGCTGCGCTGCCCTTCCTCCTCCCTTTCAGGCCTTACCTCCTGCACCCCGCCTTCGTCACTGCTGCCTGCCCATCGTCGCCGCCTTAGAAGAAGAGGTACGTAACGGCAAAGACGCCAAACGCAATCGCAGCCACAATGTGCACCGGCACGCCCGCATCAGATGCGACGCCTTGCTCTCCACCGACGTTCTTCCTCTTCAGCTCCGCAACTTGGCTGCGCAGCCTGTTGATCTCGGCCTGCAGTTCCTGACTGCTCTTCCCATCGGTAGAGGCAGGCTCGGTCGATGAACCACCGCCATTCTTCTGCGCCGAGGAGCCCGAACCAACAACGGCGCTCCTGGTAGCAGCGTAAGCTGCTCCAGCACCAGCGACTGCTGCGCCCCCAGCGGCAGCAGCGGCGGCTCGACCCTTTTCGGTAACGGGTGCGTCCTGGTTCTTGGCCGCTGCATTCGAAGCAGCAGTGATAGGGTTGTACGTCTCCGAGCCATTCGGGTTACTGCGGACCGTCTGGTACTTGTCGTCTGCGCCGCCGTTGGTAGCATCGCCCGTCTCCTCTTGCTCCTCTGGGACGGGCGCTGTAGCTGGGGGTAGGAAGGCGCAGCGGATCTTTTGTTCGTGGATGGCAGACTTGTCCTCTTGTTCGACGAGGCCCCAGAGGTCCGCGATCTGCGTGTTCTCGCGGTCGGGCGTGATGATAGTGGATTGCACGAGGAACTTGTCTCTGCACTTGGCAGACATGGGGGGTTCCTGTCGGCGCGATCGCAGCGAGGATGAAAGTAAGGTCAGTGATATTGAGCGAATCGTAACCTCGAGTGCATCGCGCCTCGCTGGCTCACCTCCTTCATGGCCTGGAGGAGCACCTGGACCTCGACGGTCTCTCCTGGCTCAATCCTGCCGCTGTTGGGTCGGACGCAGTACTGCTTGGGCGCCGTCGTCTTGACCTTGAAAGCGACGGGCTGCTGGTTTGGGTTGGAGACTTGGAGCGATCGCTTGACCAGCTGCGTCAAAGGGCCTGCGCGTGCCATTCGGAGGTAGAGGGGAAGGAGAGAGGATGGAGGTCAGCGAATCGAGGCCGTGCAAACAGGCTGCGCAAGCAGGTGAAGCTTACGAGGGAAGCCCAGCTGGGCGTGAGGGTTGAGGCTGATACGGGCGAAGGAAGGGACGAAAGAAGCAGCGAACGTCAGCGTAATGCTACTACCGCTGGAGCGCTCGCGCACTCACTCGACGGACATAATGGTCCAGAGGCGCGCTGAAGATCGAGGTCTACGAGGGGATGACTCTGTATGCGCTGCGGTGAGGAGCGAATGGGCGTCTACACGCAGATGGAGGCGAGGAGAGCGGCGGAGAAGATGTCGTCGAGGAGGATGTAGTCTGTCGCAAAGCTGAATCGAAATCGAGATTGTGAGGAGAGCAGAGGTGGAAGGTGCAGTCGCCCGTCGACCGTCGTCCTAGCCCCGCGCCGCCGTCTCGTCGTCCCCAGCTCTCGACCTCAGGCCTCGCTCGCGGCGCCCGGTCGCTCGCTCCTCGTCGACGGGCGCTCGGCCAAGATAGACTCCGCCCCGCACAGCCAGCGAGGCCGTAACGTCACACCTGTGGGCTCAGGCACTAGAGGAGACGACGAGGAAAAGGCTCACACTCCACTCTCACGAGCACCACACGCGACTCAAGTGGACGACTCTTCCGCGATGCACCAGGCATGCGTGCGTCGTGGCAACGGATCAACCAACCAACCAACCATCTCTCCTTCAGCTCATCATCTCTTCGACGGAAATGATGGCACAGAGAGTCGGACCATCATCGAGGATGAAATCGGTAGCGCTGAGCGTGATGAGTCAAAGAAGCGGACGACGTAGGCATCTCGAAATATCAAGCCAGGAGCATCGCAAGAGCATGGTGAATTACAGATTGATGGCACAGCAGCCTCTGCGCAATGAGGCAGATGTGAGCTGAGAGAGAGAGAGAGAGTCGCTCGCACTGCGATGTGCCACCTATGATTGCAGCTTTCTAGGGATCGCCGCTGATCGAGCACATTTGACATTGGTCGGACACGGCTGTCAGCGAGCCGGCTCCAGGATAGCTGAGCTACCGTACTCGCATCACTCACAGAGCTTCAATCGCTCGTCCAAGGCCGCGGAAGAGTTGTCGCGCTACGCCGCTTACTTGGAAGCCGTCGTCGACATGAGCGCGTAGCCCATGGTGACAGTGACAAGAATACCGGCCATGGCAGCGTTGCGCACCGTCTTGGAGGGCTGTCGACCGGGTGGTCCATTGATGAATGTACGACGAGCAGCGACTGGGGAAGATGACGGCGATGCCATCATTGCGCCTGAGGTCCTGCCGATGCCGACACTGCTGCGCAGGATAGGCGCAGAGTAAAGCGTTGCTGAGCGAGTGGAGGCGGCGATCATGATTGGGCGGCGATACTGGGCGAAAAGATTGCGGAAGCGTCGTGTATTGGCTTGAGTTCGTTGTGATGGTAAGAGGAGAAGAGGAGGTAGGGTTGACGACTCTGGCTCGACGTCCTGAGTGATTGGGTTAAGGTCAGGCGGCCGCTGCTCAAATGAGCATGGCCCAAGCGCGTCTCGTGGAGGCATGTGAGGGGCCTTGATTTCGTCAGCAGCCGTGTACCGCCGGAACGGGGCTCAGACGTGTCCCCTGCAACATGGTCACGCCCTGTCGCGACATTGCACTCGAATCGCCCGAAGGGCTGGTCATTGGACGGTCTCGCCTTGAACAAAGTTCCTTCTTCCCGGCTCTGCAAATGAGGAGTGCCACCGCCAGGAGATAGCATTGATTGCATTGACATCCTCCGCCCCTTGTCTGCTCCTCACGTCCGCTGCGCAGGGAGTGCCTTCTTCGTCGAGGTGTACCGCCGGTCCCACTTGATCGCATTAATCGCAGCCTTCTGATACTGCTCTGCAGGCATATCCTTCGTGGACTGGACGAGGCTCTGGTCGAGGTAGTGATCAGGTGAAAACCTGATCCGCCTGATCCAGAAATGGAGATCCAGATGCTCGCTCCGCTCCCTTTCATCCCGCTCTCTCGGCAAGTTGCTGTGTTGCATCCAGCCCCGTGGCAATTACGCGCTAGTCTGGTACAAGACGGTGTGTCGGGTGCTCGATGCTCAGCAATCTCCTTTCTACCACGTTCCTCTCTCCTTGCTTGCACAAAAGGGCCATGCCCTTCCACCTACAGTACCCCAATGCCTTTCTCCGGCTCACACTTCGCGTCATGGCGCGCAGGGTCCGAGCGGACTACAGCCGCCATCAGCAAGGCGTTGCACTACGCTGGGAAGACAACGAGGACCCAAAGAAGGACGATGACTTCCACTACAATCGAGAGACCTACGAACAGACCTCAAGCCTCTTCTGGCACCTCATCCCGCTTGATTGGGATGACACCGACTTTGTACGAGAGGTCAAGATTGGCACGGGTACTCTCGAAGAGCCTTGCACCTGGCTCGACCGTCTCCGTGCTCGAACGTTGGAAGAGACCATCTCAAACATGCTGACCGCTGTGACTTGGGACCGCAATGCTTGGGCCCTTGCGGTTGCTGTTGCGGAATGGAGAGATGAGCGAACGGAGTTAGATTCGAATGGCTTGCCAGACAGAAGAGGTTCGTGGAAAGATCAGTGGCCCGATGGAAAGCCTCACGAGCTGTTCGACGGCTCTACAAAACCCTTGTCTGCCCAAATGGAGGGGACTATGCTGCACTTTCTGTGAGTAGCCGGCATGCTGTACACCTCATTGAACGCTCGCTGACCGAAGTCCTTGCAGTGAGTGGATTTCAAAGGAGCAGGGATCTGCATTCCTTCTGATGGACCATGATAAACTGTGGCGCGAACACGACGGCAGAGTTGTCCTGCACAAGATGCAACTTGCAGGGCTGCCAGAGACGCCAGCCATGGCAAAGCAGAGGGCGGCTCAGTCCGCGCAAGCGTCTTCGTGAGCAGCCTGGCACCGAAATATATACCATCGCATTGACGAGCTCGCTCGTTGAGCGTTGCAGCGACCATACTAGCCATCGTGCGGCTGTGTTCATGCATAACAAAGCAGACAGGCTTCGAGCAGGGAGAGTGAAAGCGGATCGAACATGCCGTGACGTGTTCTCATACCCCCACGGTCAGGCGCTCGCCGTGATTCGCAAGGCAAGTGCGAGGCATGGACCTCAGCTTCGCAAGGGATCAGCGCCCGTACAACCATACGCAAGCGAGTGAAAGTGCCGGTTACGGTCGCAAAGAGGCGCGAAGTGAGCATGTGATCATTGCGAGCAATTACCGCCGTCTTGTCGCCGCCGTCGACATGAGCGGCTTGCAGAGAGCCTCGAACTGCGCAAAGGCGCCCTCGGTCTGCTGCAACCAAGCAGGCGTTGCAGCGCCCCGGCGTGAAGGAGCGTTGGAATGATGTGGCGCCAGCAGCTTCTCCGTCGCCTTCAGGCTCTCGAGAGAGAACCAGGCGTGATGATACGGATCCATGCCCATCGCCACGGGCCCCTGCGCTGTGCTGAGCTCCTTCTCCCCTTGCTGCGCTTCCTCTTGCCGCGCCTCGAGAAAGCCTAAGCCCAACCCCAAAATGCCACTCAGCAGCGCACGATCCCCATAGCCGCCCTCAAGCAGCGTTACGACCCTTCCCCGGGCAAATGGGCTCGCGAGCTCTCTAGTGACATCATCCACCACCTGTCTGTAGAAGCCAACAGGCACCCGCTTCCCATGTCGCTGCATACCCTGCATCTCGTGCTCGCACGCGTCGAAGCCACACGAGAGGAGCACCAGCGTGCGATCTGGGTCCGCGGCGGTGCGCTCGAGGAAGCGACGGGCATGCCCAATGAGGGCAGGGCGGTATTGTGTTGTGTAGAGGTGCTGGAAGTCTGCCGCGCTACTGTAGGTTTCAAGGTGCGTGTTGCTGATCCATTGCCCATGCGCGCCGAGGATCGTCGTCGAGGCATCACGCACTAAGTCGGGATTGCCATCCTCGCAGGGGAAGGACTCGATATCGTGTAATGAGGCATAGCAGACGCGGAGCGCACGAGGTGGCAGAGGTTGCGGTGGAGGTTGAACGGCGGCGGCGCTCTTCTTCTTTGCCGGTGAGGCGCGCTTGTTCATTGAGGCGATTCGAGCCTCTCGCTCCCGATCGAGTCTCTCCGCCTCCTCGTTGATGCGCCAGACAATCTTCTGAGTGCCGTTACCGTGGTGCAGATCGATATCCAGGATGACGACGCGGTCGACGCCGTATTGCTGGTAGGCATGCTGAGCTGCGATTGCTACGTTGTTGATCCAGCAGAATCCAGAGGGAAGCGAGGAGGAGCAGTGATGGCCCGGCGGACGTGTGAGAACAAGAGCGCTGCGTGAAGGAGCGGTGTGGGGAAGCGCGACACTCGAAGCGGAGTCTTGGGAAGGTGCGTGGAAGACGAGGGGCGTGAGGGCGCCGCCGAGTGAGCCATTAGTGGCCAAGTTTGACTTGCCGTGGTCCGCGGCGGCGCCCACCTTCATCACCCGATCCACCGCTTCAATGGTAGCCCCCACCGCGTGCTCCATCGCCTCGCGAGAGCCGTACAACGAGGGATCCTCGGCAGCGTCTGCGCCCTCCCTCGACCGCCTGCTGCCGCGCAGATATAAATCTCCCTGTGACAAATGCTCAGGCACCTCGCTCGCGTGAAGCATATCGTCGTCGTCGTCCGAGTCCGAGTCTGAGCTTGCGTTAATCGCTGCGGCTGGGCGAGACTGGGACTCTGTTGTCAAGAAGTCGCTGCGAGAGGTTGTGGGCGTCATCACGGCCGCCGCACTGGTTCCTTCGAGGTTGGTGATTGCCGTGGTCGGCGCCAAGCTCTCCTCTTCCTTCTTCACGGCAACATCAGCAAAAGCACTTGCCCCGGTCCTCGATTTTGCAGGCGACACCACCGGCGTGCCCGCTGCACTCGACGCTGTACTTGTACCGCCCTGTCGCAGCACACTGCTCCTCGTCCTACCCCCCACTAGGGCGCTGGGAGTGGACGTCGCCGATCCCGCAGCCCCTCGTGGCGCCCGTGGTGGAGGCGGAGGAGGCGCAGGCGGAGGCTCGTGAGGGGCAGAGTTGCACAGGTGGGTGAGGTAGTCGAGGAAGGGCCGGCGAGGTGCTGCGGAAGAAGAAGAGGACTCGGCGTTGGTTTCTGTTGAGATGTCCATGCTTGAGATCGGGAGGCCTGCTTGGCGCTGCTTCTTCCTCGCGGCCTTGCGCGCCTCGTATGCCGTAGGCAGGCAGTCGATAAGCTGCTCGTCTTCCTCGGGCGAACAGCCACTCTCGAGAGCGTGGACTGCTCGGACTGCTGGGTGTGAGGCGAGGGATACAGAGCGAGTCGAGTGGAGTACTTGAAGGGGTGTCGATGAAGATGAGGAAGAGGCTTGTTGTTGCTCCGGGCTTAGCACTTCTCCTGCCGGTCGATCCACGCTCATTCCCGCCAGCCGCGCAACGAGATCGTCCGCATCGTCGCCCGTGACGCCGCTACCTTTACCAGCTTGCTGTTCTTGCAGCTCTCCAGCAGCAATGCGGCCCAGGAGCGATGCCACACCTAGCAAGCAAGCACGTATGCGCTCCGGTCGCTCCACGATGAGGGAGACGTCACGACCGCGCACGTAGCGATGTGCTAGGACTGCCGGGGCGACAAGGATATCCAGGAGGGGTGGGGCGGACATGATTGGTGGTGAAAGTGCAGGCGTGGATACAGGATGAGACGCATCAAGAGGTGTGGGTGGAGCCGGCGACGCTGACGCTGGCAGGGGGTCCGAGCCCTTTGACATTGCGTCAACGGGACTGTCGTGCGACTTGACCTCCGGCTTCCTCTGCAGGCTCAGCTCAGCCAAGACATCCAGGGCTGTCCTCTCTGGTAGCGTCGGATAGATTGGACCTGATGAGCCCGCGTGAGGCTCTGCGCTGGAATCGCGAGCAGCATTGCTGATGGGAGGCGAAGGCGACATTGTCGAGGCGGCGGTCCGATAACCCGTGTCCTGCTCCTCGTCCTCTGTGCTGCGCGAGTCAGGTTGCTTATGTGATGCCTCTGCTGCTGTATCTTCGCCATCCTTGCGTCGATGATGTGGATTGGGTATCTTGACGATGAGTGGCATCGTTGCGGTGTCGCAGAAGAGAGGAGGAGAAATGTGATTGACGAACGAGATCAACACGACGGACAGACGCGGATCAGGAACACACAGGCACACGACGGGCGGCGACGTCTTCTCACGCGGAGGCCGCAAAAGGAATTCGATGAATCTGTATGCTGGTCAAATACATGCTATTCATTGTGGCAACACAGCTTTCTCTCACGCAGACCTGCTCCCCGCCGCACCGCCCCCAATCTTGATTCCCTCCCTGCCTTCACCGGCCTCCCCACCCATGCTGTACCCTGCCGCCTCCTGTTCGCCATCCTTCATTCGCTCCTCCAACGCAGCATAAGCCGCATCCTGACGAGCCTGACGTTCTGCTTCTTCTGGTGTGAGCTGCGAGCTGCTCTCGTCACTCTCTTCGCCAGAGGTTGCGGCCTCTCGTTGAGCCCGGGCAAGGTTCTGCGCCTCGAGGAGGGCAAGACGACGCTCGTTGAGGACGAGCTTGATACGACCTTGAGACTTGCGGAGCTGCGGGCGTGATCACAGCGAGACTGTCTGTCAGCCTTCTGTGCCGTGACAGAAGAGGTCACCTTCTCTCCCTGCCTAGCTCACCTTGGCCGCCCTTCCAATGACGCTCTCTGCCATCCCCTTGGCAATATTGCCCGCCTCCAACCTCGTATACTCTGCGATCTTGGTCGCAAGCCTATTACGCTCCATAGCACAGACGTACCACAGCTGGTGCAATTCCAGGCTGCTCTTCCTCCTCATCTCCGAAGCCCTCCAAGAGCGCGAGGATCCATCACCCTGTGGACGGAGGGAGAGGTCGAGCCCCTCAACCACCGTGGTGGGGACTGCAATCTTTTCCTTGGAGTCTGGCGAGACTGGCTGCTCTTGGAAGTGGAAAAAAGCGTTGAGAGGGTGGCGAGGGTACTTGGTCACTTGTTCCACGAGATTGCGGGGTGGACGAGTGCCCGCTTTGTGCTGCGAGGTGGGGACAGTGCGAGGCGGGATGGGCGCAGCGCTGAGGGGCGCTGATGTTGCGAAGCTGCGAGACGATGAAGGGAGGCGCAGCAGCGATGATGATGCTTGCGCTGTGCGTGAAGAGGTCATCGTGGGCGCAGTGAAAGGGATGTGGTGATGCTGAAGGATGGTCAAAAAGGTGGGCGAGCGGATTGGGTGGCAGGCGGACTGACGTCGCAACTTCTTCGGACTCTGCGGCTCCGGCGGCGGGAGGTCCTTCCCACGACAAGGTGGTCAGCACAACCTCAAAGTCAGAATGCGACAGGAATCAAAAGATGCTCGCGCACTCAGCGGTCAGTACGAGAAGCACACGCATTTTGGGCCAGTCGCACCATCCTGCTGCACGCCGTCATCACGCCGCGCTCGCTGCGAAAGAACTGGTACCATTTTACAATGACCCTGCGAGAGGAGAGTCACAAGACGGAGGGATAGAGAGAGAGAGAAATGCTGCGTCTCTATGCCGCTCGCATGATGGAGAGAAATGCTACGCCGTTGCCATGGTGCTATGATCGCTAGGCGCGCCTACTCCTCGTCCTCGTCCTCCTCCTCGCTCTCCTCCTCGTCCTCCTCCTCACGCTGGCTCTCGAGGCAAGCCATGGCGATACGGTCAAGGTCACGCATGCCGTCCTGAGAGATACGGCGACCGCCCTTGGGGTCCTTCTCGAGGACACCGATACCCTCAAGGCCCTGGAGGGCCTTGCGCTGAACGGAGCCGGAAGCGGGGGCGTGCTTTGCGGGCATGAAGCCGCGGTTCTTGGGACCACCGTGCAGCTTGCGGAGGGCACCAACGCCGACCGACTTGCGGAGGTAGATGTGGCGGGCGAGAGCGGCCGCACGGATGTAGAACCAGTCAGGGTCGTAGGGGGCCTGCTCCTTGTAGGCGCCCGTCTTGACGATGTCCACCCAGGTGGGCACCTCGATCTTGCCTGGCAAGCGCAGCGGACAGAATGCAGCATTAGCATGGGAAGCAGAGCGTTGCATTGGATCGTCTGGTCTGCTCGCACTCACCAGATCGCTTGAGGTGCTGCGAGTAAGCACGGATGAAGGTGTCGGCTTCAACGTCACGAACGCTGTGAGAGGAATGAGAGGGGGTTGCGATGATCAGTATACGTGTGGTGACGCGAGTGGAAGACAGAAGCATTCGAGCCAAATCCCATGCCTATCCATCTATCCCTCGTGCGATGTCCCAGCTTCCACCACCTGCTCGCCCAGCCTGGCTGCCTCGTCCACTTTGAGAGTCTGCGAGTGGCATCTGCAATCCCTCTGCCCTCCCTGCCATCCATCGTCGTGCGATGCCATCTTCGAGTGCAGTGACAGCTCTATGTGTCAGAGCAGACTACGCCATTGACGAGGATGAGGCCATGACAGACGCCAGACCGTTGTCTTCCCCTTCGGACCAGCCCGCATCCCCAGCCTGTGCCAGCGCCGACACAAGGACATCCCATCCCTTCAATCGTATCGCTGTTCCGTCTGCATGCATTCGCAAGCTTGTCGCTGATACCCACTTAGGCATGATGAAAGATGAGGGAGGGGTGAGGGGAGTGGTAACGAACAGACAGAAGAATCGACGATCGACGACGGACGCAGCCAGGCAGCCCTCAGCCAAACTCGACGAGCGGCGCGGCGTCAGTCAGGCGGGTCAGTCGAGCCTCCCAAGGCGGATCACGCTCGCGTGGCGATTTGCGATTCGGGCGGAGAGGGGCGGCGCGGAGCCGAAGCTGAGTCTGCGGATGCGGCACACGGCGAGGAGCGAAATCACTGGTAGTAGCGAAGAGCGAGGCAAAGGTATGAGATGGCTCAGCAATGATGCGGAGAGAACGATCGACAAGTACACGATGGTAGCGTGTGGGGATATTCGACGAGTCATGACGACATTAGCGACTCGAATGTCTGCGTCAATTTGTCGTCCACCTTGGCAGCGCTGCCGGTGCCTGCGCTCGCGCTCTTGCCAGAGGTCTATGAGGAGGAGGAGATTCTTTCAATGTCAGCTCTGCACACGCCAGCTCACAAGGCCGATAGTCATGTCTGACGAAAGAAATGTCTTGGACGGTGCGACTTCGCGTTCTTGATGTGGAGCAGCCTTTCACCACCCCTTGTCTGTGCTTGCCAGCTCACCTGGTCATGTTTGCCCTTGCCCTTGGTCATCGTCCCGTGCACGACGCCCTGTAATGCTTGATCCACCTCAAGCCTCTTTTCCTCGTCCCTCGTACCAGCAGCTCTCGTCCGTCTTGTGGATCCCCCCTTCATCGTCGCTCCTGCGGCTCCTCTCGCTGCCTTCCCTGCCGCACGGCTGTTGGACGGCGCGCCGCGTGTCGAGGCGCTACTACCTTGCGGCTGGGGCCGTTGCGTTGCTTGTGATCGCGTTTTGCGGCCCTCCTTGCTCGCCTGCACCGGCTTCCTCTTCATGCCTACTCTCGTCATGTTGCTTCTTGTGATCGAGTTGCAGCGTGTGGTGATATTACAAGATGCGAATCAAGGCTCATTGAGGGGTAACATAATACATCTTCGGGGGGGCCGTCACGCAACTATCTCCGTCGCCACGGCTTGCAACGTCTCGACAAATACCTCCAGCTCCTTCTCACTGAAGATAAGCAACGGTCGTAGCCGAACAGCCCTCGCCCCGCTCCCACCGACGAGCACACCCTTGTTCCTCATCCTGCCCACGAGCTCATCCCGCTGCGCAGGCGTCTCGCAGTCAAAGGCAAGGAAGGTGCCTTGACCCTTGCCTCTCAAGTTCTGGATCAATCCGGGATGCCTCGCCGAGAGACCACGCAACGCCTCGTACAGCTGCGCGCCCACCTGTGCCGTATGCTCAACCAGCCCATTCTCCTCGATAATCTTGACAATCTCGCTGGCCTGCATTGCCCTCGCCGGATCTCCCATCCAGGTGTTGAAATTGCGATACCCGGCCGATGGGCGAAGCTCTTCAGTGTGGTAGTAGCCTGCTGCTTGCATCTTCTTGCTGAAAGTGACTGCGTCCGGCGGGTGAGGGAGATTCCACTTCTCATGCGCCCAAAAGGTGCCCGTAGCCGCGACGCCCGTCTGGACTTCATCCACGATGAGGTAGACGCCGCGCTGCCGTGTGACTTCGCGGAGGCGCTGGAAGAAGAAGGGCGAGGCGTGGTTGTCACCGCCTTCTGACTGGATAGGCTCCACGACTACGGCCGCTACTGGGCTCTTTGCCTGCCATCGCTCGATGGTCTCCTCCACCAAGGCGATGCATCGCTCCTCCTCCTTGCGGTTATCTGCCTCGTTCTCCTCAAGCGGGTAGCGCAGCTGGGGCCAGTCCACGGCAGGCCAATCGAATGCGGGTATATCGACTTTGTGAAGAGCTTTTGAGCGAGTGGTGGAGAGGGACCCGAAGAGGCGACCGTGGAAGCCCGTCTTGAAGGAGAGGATGCTGAGTGAGGGGGAACCAGGCGAGGAGTTGAAGAGAGACGAGTCATTTTCTGCCGCGGTAAAGTCGGAGTGGCCGCGTTGCTTGTGCTGGTAGGCCATGAACGCGGCTTTGTACGCCGACTCGATGGCCGTAGACCCGCAGTTGGCCGTAAAGATCTGAGTCAACCCCCGCGGACGGACCGAATCCTTCATAAGCCCAGCCTCGAGGATCTCTCTCCAGTCATGCGGGGGAAAGACTCCAATTGCCGGCCGGTTCATGGCAGCTATCCTGAATCGCTCACTTCCAGCCAGCGCCTCGAGTTGCTCATTTCGGTAGCCCACGCTTATGGAAGCGATCTGCCCAAAGCAGTCCAGATGCTGATTGCCATCCGCATCGGTCAGGTAGTTGCCCTTGCTCTTTGCGTAGTCTACTGCTACAAGGGACGTGCGAAAGTCTCCGCTCCTGTTGAGGTCCTGTAGGATCGACTGGGAGCGTGGGCCAGGGACGTTGGACGTGGTGACGCGAGGACGTAGAGGCTGACCTGCAGTCAGGGCTGGATGGATGGCGCGAGTGGAAGTGGATGCTGAGATGCGTAGGGGTGCTGTTGGACGAGGCATGCTGGGAAGTGAATGGCAAGGAGTCAAGGGACAAGGCGAGCGAGAAGAAGTCAAGTCGAGTCGACCCCGCAATCTGCACCTGCAGGCGAGTCCGAGTCAAGAGAGGCGAAGGCGGGGTCAGTCCATGCGATGCGGGCCTGCGCACGGACTGCGAGTCGAGTCGATGAGGATTTCAACTTTCTCTCTTCTCCACGCAAGTAGCAACGCAAGTGACTGTGCACAATGAGCGATATCGCCTTTGAGCGGGTCACCATTCCCACATCGGCAGGCTCGGCATGTATGAGCGTGGCACTGCGTCGTCAGCCCTTCAATCCTCGACGCCCGCTCCTCGTATTCCTGCACGGCCTTGTCCAGCCTGTCTCGAGCTTTCTCCCAGCTGTCGACCAATTCCTCACCACTCTCGAGGACGGCAGCGATGAGCTTGACTTGCTGCTTTACGATCGCTTTGGTGCTGGACAGAGCGATAAGGACCCGCGACAAGGAGTGCATACATTGCCTCTCGTCGTTGAAGATCTACGCAACTTGCTGAGGCATTGCTTGGGAAGCGAAGAGGAGGTCGACCCTACGCCAATGATCTTTGTCGTTCAGTGAGCTGATAGTGTGGTCTGCAGACTGACCTACAGCCTGACAGACTGACAGCTGACGGCCGCACAGCTCCATCGGTGGAGCCATCGTCCGCTATTACGCGCAGCAGTACCCCTCCGCCAGCATCGAGGGCATCCTTTTCCTCGACCCCATGATTGCATCGACTGACTTTGTTTCCATCTATCAGCCGCGGGATGGAGAGCAACCCTCTCAGGAGGAGCTGGACGAGCTCAAGCAAGCCCGGGAAATCTCGAGACGTGCGTGATCGCCGGGGACGTGAATAAGAGCATCGGACTCATGCCCTGTCTCCTTGCTTCGCCAGGCATCTTCCACCCATCCCTACCCAACGCTGAAGGCTTTGATCGCAGCACTGTGGCTTCGCTGCTCCCGAGAGACGACGAGCCCAAGCTAGCATCAAAGACACGTCAGCCCTGTGTCATCGTTGTGGCGCATGACCGCAATGTCAATGTAAGGGATATGGAGCGCAAGCTGGGAATGCCGCAAAGGGCGACGCGCAACTACCTCGAGCCTCGGTGGGAGCAGGTGAGCATGCGAAGCAGTGGCGGGTGATGGGACCTCAGTCGCCTCTGAAGCTGACCGCCATCACGACCCTTCCCCGCCCTCTCTACGCAAGTACAACCGCTCTCTTCTCACTCTCACGACACCAGAGCGGGCTCGTGGGCCTCTTGTCGCTGGTGGCGCAGACCACTTCATTCAAACGGCAAGGCCAGACGTCGTAGCTCAAGAATTGCGATTCCTGTGGGACAGCATACGGCTCCGCAAGAGTGAGAGAGGCTAGGACATCTTGAATGCCGTCTTGAGACATTTGTTTTGCTGCGGTACAGAGAGCAGACATCAGCATCTATACCAATCCCACTTTCGCGCGCACTCACCTCAAACAACTCATACCACTTTTCCGCCTCATCAATAGACACGGTATTCTCCACGAAGCCCTTGAACATCTCACCATGTTGCGCCAACATCTCCAATGCGTCCCCGAAGAGCGCCCGAACTGGGCAACGGCCGAATTGGAATCGGATGTTCTTGTTGTACAGGTCCAAACCTTTGAGCTTGACCTCATGCGTGTGGATCCCGCACGAGCTGATGATACCCCAAGGTCTCACAATCTGTACTCCCATCTCCAGCGCAGAGAGATGCCCCACAACCTCAAGCACCGCATCCGCCCCTCGACCCTTGGTGAGCTCCTTGACCTTGGCTGGTACGTCGACCTCCTTGAAGTTCCACGCATCCTTGGCGCCGTGCTTCCTTGCTGCGGCGAGACGCTCGGGTACCGAGTCGACTGCGTAGACGTTCTTGAAGAAGTGCGTGGCGGCCGTTACTGCGCAGAGGCCTACGGGCCCGCAGCCGATTACAATGGCGGTGGTGTCCTGACGTTCGGCTTCGTTCATCATCTCATAGGCGTTGCGCGAAACGAAGTAGCCGCTGCAGCGTGTGCCCGAGGGTGAAATATGACTCGCTGGCTGTCAGTACAAGGCTGATCCTTGCTTGGGTGAGGCGGGCACTCACGTTGGGAAGATGTCCGCCATCAAGATGAGCGACTCCTTGGGCACGGTTGTTGGGGCGTGGAAGAGGGAGGTCTCTCCCATGGGAATGCGGATGTACTCTGCTTGTGCGCCGTCGAGGACTGCGCAGCCTAGAAGCTTGGAGGACTCGCAGCGCGAGGTACGCGAGCGGGTGCAGTAGAAGCAGTTGCCGCTAAGCGCGTCAACGGGGAGAAGGAGGCCTCACTACCGTCAGTCGCGAGATCAGAGAACTCCCAGTGAAAAGCATGTCCGCGCCTCACCAGCTGACTGTGAATGGGCAGACGACGTAGTCGCCCTTCTTGAAGGTCTTGACCCCCTCGCCGACCTCGTGAACGTGGCCTACCAGCTCATGACCCATGATCTGCGCGATCGAGGGACCGGAAGGTCAGCTCCATCTCATGAACTTCGCTACTTCGCACGCACGCACAAAATCATAGCTGGTAGGCTGATGGCCACGATAGACGTGCAAATCCGACCCGCACAGAGCCGCGAGCTCTACCTTGACTACGACATCATGCGCATCTTGCGGCTTGGGGATCGGGCGCTGTTCGACGACGACTTTGTAGGGCTCCTTGACCACGACTGCCTTCATAGTTCCGGAGGATGACATCGTGACAGAGTGAGGGGGGGGGAAGAGGACAGGATAAGGAAATGGTGATTTGGTGGAGCGACAGTGCGGGGTCAGCTGCTGGTGCTTGGTCCACTTGCCGGCAAGGCCGTGCGTGTGCGGGGAAGCCGGCAGCGGACTCCGACATGAATGTCGTGTGCCGACGCGGCCATGTGGCAGCGGAGAGGTCGCCTCTCCTCTCCCCTCCCGTTCCGTCGTTGGTCACTCCACCGAGGTGGTTGGTTGCTGCTTGAGGCGAGCGCGAAGAATGCAGTCAGGCGAGGCTGAGAGGACGAGGCGGCTTGTCCGCTTCTTTGCATCAGTCCTCATCATCACATAGAAGCAAGCAAGCAATGAGCGCACCCGCAGCAACACAGCCTCAGCAGGACGAAGCAGCCAAGGCCGCTGCTGCCCTCGATGCCGCTCTGAGTGAGTGTCGACGCGTGCGCGTCCGCGTATACTGAGGATTGATTCGGCTGCTGACGTTGATCGACTTGCATTCTCCTTCACAGCCAAGTACAAGGTCGCTGGTGACATTGGAGCTAAGGCTCTCAAGGTACGGCGAGGATGCTGCGTCTGAGGACAGATGAAGCAGCGATCTGACGTCTGCTCCCCTCGTGCCCATACACAGTCGGTCATCGCTGCCGCCAAGGCAGGCTCCACGGTTGGCGAGCTCTGCAAGGTCGGAGACGATGCCGTAGCGGAGGGAACCTCGACCGTCTACAAGTCAGACAAGAAGCTGCAGAAGGTGAGGCTAAGCGGGGCGAGACTAGAGACCACGATACGCTTCGCCGAGCGGCACCAGCTGACTTGCTTCTCCTCATCGCCCATGCAGGGATCCGCCTTCCCTACGACGATCTCCATCAACAACATCATCTGCAACAACGCTCCTCTCCCCAACTCAGACGCCGCCAAGACCGCCCTCAAGGACGGCGACGTTGTCAAAATTCAACTCGGCGCTCACATTGACGGCTTCCCCGCCATCAGCGCCGAGACCATCGTCGTTGGAGCGGACAAGAGCAAGCCCGCCGAGGGACCTGCGGCCGATGCGATCAAGGCCGCCTTCACTGGTGCAGAGGCGGCGATCAGATTGTTGAAGCCGGGAGCCATCACGACGGAGGTGTCCAAGGAGGTGGAGAAGGCCATCAAGCAATTCGGCTGCAGGGCAGTCGAGGGGATGCAGACCAATCAAGTGAGCGACCCAGAACCACGCCTGGTTCCCACGCTCCCAGGATTCATGCTGACCTTCACATCCCCGCGCCTCGCTCGCAGGTCGAACAAAACGTCATTGACGGCAAGAAGAAGATCGTCCTCAACGCTGCCCCCGAGCAACGCCCCGAGGCATTCAAGCTGGACGAGGGCGACGTCTTCGCGGTCGACATCTCCGTTACCTCCTCCGCCGAGGGCAAGCCCAAGACGGACGAGGGGGCCACGACCATCTACAAGAAGACTGGCTCAACCTACCTCCTCAAGATGGCCACCTCGCGCAAGGTCTTCAGCGAGATCCAGAAGAAGGCCGGCGCTTTCCCCTTCACCATCGCGATGCTCGAGGACGAACGCGGGCGAACCATGGGCGTGAGGGAGTGTGTGAACCACAACCTGCTCACGTCGTTTGACGCCCAGTACGACGGTGCGGCTGGAGCGGTGACGGCGCAATTCTTCTTCACCGCAGTCGTGACGGCCAAGGGAGCCATCCGTGTCACGCCTGAGCCTTCGTGGTACAGCGACGAGGTGGTCAAGAGCGGCAAGAGCGTTGAAGACGAGGGACTGAAGACGCTGTTGGCTCAGCCGGTGAGGCAGCAGGGCAAGAAGGCCGCGAAGAAGGCGGCTGCGGCGAGCGCTGAGAAGAAGGCGTGATTGCGAGCGTCAGCAAGGCAGCTAGCCTAACAAGTGCATTCGCTGGGATGGTAGAGGCGGGGCTGAACGCAATGAGAAGCCAGTCAATCGCATGCGCCGAGGCCGTGTCGTAGCCACGCGAGCGAGTGAACCTGATCCGTCCGTCTGAGGCTGCGCTCGAGCCATGCGTGATTACGCTCGGTCCGTCATATTCATCCTTTCTTCCCGACTCACACCGCGAAATCGATCTCGGCCCTGCCCTCAGCATATAGAGTAGTTAGGCTGCCCACGAGGGCACGCCTTCATGTTGCTCAACTAGACAAGGCATCTCGTCATCAGCATCCTCACCCAGCATGCCCATCTCCCTGTCCTCGACCGCGCTGCCTTTCCTGACCACCTCTCTGCACCTGGACTGGCTGCGCTCAGTCCTATTTGGCATCACTCCTCCCCCGGACCTGACAATTCGTCCAGCCTCTGGATCTCTTCTCGCAGTCAGCTATCTCTCAACATGCCTTGCCCTCGGCATACTCTCCGCCATGACCCTACCTGAGCGCACCAACACGACGGCGTGGAAATGGTTCCGCTTCATCTCCTGGCTTATAGTCGTCAAGCTCAGCGTCGACTTCTCCATCGACCCTGCAGTGAGCCTCGGAGCCCCTTTGAGGGACATGGTTATGCCCCTCCTCGGCTGGAATGCTTTGGCGAGGATGACGGATCTCTGCGTTGTGAGCGTGTGGGATGGAGAAGAGCGGGACAGAGCGCCGAGATGGATCGTTCCTGCTGGGAGCAAGCTGCTGAGGGGTGTTAAGGAGGGAGGCGAAGCTAATGGACAGGCACAGGTTGCCAGCTCGAAGGACACCTTGATGCAGTGGAAGGTGGTCCCTCACTCACAGTACCCCCTCCTCTCGCTTCGGCGCCTCCTCTGGGCACTCGACCACATCTCCCTCCTTCGACCGGGCACATCCTGGTTCCTACCCGCTGAGCAGCGCGCTCTCGAGTGGTCATTGCCCATTCTCACTCAACCTGCCAAACCGCATCACCACCGCTTCTTCGCAAGGAGCGAGGGGCTACCCTATCTGATCACCAGCGTGGTGCTGAGCGCAGCAGGAGCGCCGATGTTCATGCGCATGATGAGCTCGATCCCGCAGTCCAGCACGGGCACAGGAGCGGACAACTTCTATGCGCTCAAATGGTGGGAGCAGGGCTTCATTCCTCTTTGGATAGGCCTGAACGTACCGCTACAGTGGACGGTGATGGAGACGCTCTTCCTGTTTCCCCTCACAAGACGTTTCCACATACTTCCTTCTACGGCCTTACTGCCCGCATTCGCCCACCCTCTCCTGGCTAGCGGGCCGACCGACCTTTGGGGTCGACGATGGCATCCCTTTGTGCGTCGAACGGCGTGGCGCAATGCGAGCTTGTTCGTACCGCGCAGCTGGGGAGCGTGGGGTAGTAGACTGGGAAGCTTCGTGATCACGGGTAGCCTGCACGGATGGGCGGTCATTCGCTGGATACGTCCGCTGCCTCCTTCTACGCTGCACGCCCTCGTCGTGCTCCTATTACCTGGGCCGATGGCATTGTTCGTCGGACAGGGTGTCGCGTGCGTCCTGGAGCTGCTGCTGCTCGGCCCTCCCCCGGCTGGGCGTGGTGAGGAGAAGGGATGGAGAGCGTGGGCTCGGTGGGTCTGGCTGTGGGTCAGCGTGGCGTGGATGGGGCGCTGGTTCATTGCTACGATCGTGAGCTTGGGGATGGCGACGACAGAGTCACACGAAGGGGCTTGGAAGTGGGTATGAGAGCGCGCGAAGGCGTAAATTCATATAGAGCTGAGCATTTCAATCGTAGCGATAATGTGACAACAAAGTGGCGCGGGCGTGAGGCGTGAGGCGTGAGCGGTGAGAAGGGGCAGAGCGGGCAAGAGTGTATGTGTCGCTCAGGAAGGCGGCGTGTGCGGGGTCCAGACCATTCCTCGATGCTTGTGCTACGAGGGCCGCGTAAAGAGCTTCGCCATCCACTTCCCCACAATCCAATCTCCCTCCGGGTCGTACATGGCCGCCTCAGTGACGCCTGCGGTCAGCATGGTGATGAGAATCCAATAGAGCCCAGCGTAGAAGAGAGCGGCCAAGAAGCGGCGTCTTGCACGTTGGGTAGCCGTCCTATCTTCAGAGACGAGGACAATGACTGGCGCCGCGTTGGGAGTAGCTGGAGGGGCGGCGGGCTGTGCAGCCGCAGGTTGAGGTACGGGAGGTTGAGCCTCGAGGTTGGCTGGGTTGGTGTGAGACGAGGTCGAGCCGGCTAGTGCTTCGGCGTACGACGGAATGGGCTGATCCTGGTTCAGGTTGGTAGCAGGCGATTTCTTGTCGCCTGGGGCGATCATGGCGATGGAATTGGCGGTGGTGGAGACGAGCCAAGATGTCAAAGTGGCGGCGGATCAGCGGTGGCTCGTGCAGACGGACAGAGGGGCGGAGAGGACGATTTTGCGGGCCGCCCTCGAGAGCAACACTTCCTTCCTTGGTTCCTCTCTCTCCTCCTCCTCTTCTATCACCACGCACGGTCAGCATGGCCGAAACACTGCCCCAAAGACCGCCATCAGAAGCTGCAGAAGCTGCAGAACTGGCAGCAGAGGAGGAAAAGCAGCTATCGAGCTTCCATCGCGTCGAAGAATTCCTGTCCATCCTCCACGAGCTCCTCTCCTCTTCTTCTTCCTCCTCTCCTGGCCCCTCAACCAATCACCTCGACAAGCTCCACTCCCAGCTGCGCAGCATCCTCGACGAGTATCAAGAACAGCCTTACCTTCTAGATCCGCATCTCTCTTCCCTCATCACCCCGCCGGTGGAGATCCTCCAGTCCGCCATCCGCCAACGAGATGCCACTTCCCCAGCTGTGGCACGTAGTGCAGCCTTGCTCTACTCGTACACCAAGGTCAGGGGGTACAAGACGATCATTCGATACCTGCCTCATCAAGTGAGCGATGTGTTGCCGGTAGTGGACGCCCTCGAGTCTGCGCAGGCCTCTGCAAGTGACCGTTCGCAGGGCTGGCAGCTGCGCTACGTTCTCCTCCTCTGGCTCTCACTGGTCTGCATAATCCCCTTTTCCCTCGACAAATTCACCAGCTCGGGGGACGTGACGGATCGTATCACCGCCGTCTGTCTGTCGTTCCTCGACTCACCAGGCAAGGAGCGAGACGCAGCTGCCGTAGCGCTCGGCAAGCTCCTGCAACGGCGGGACGTACATGAAACGAGGCTGCCCTGGTTCATCGCGTGGGCTACCGAGCGCATTAGACCACCTGCTCAGCCATCTTCCTTCTTGGCTACAGGCGTACTGCAGGTCCTCTGCGAACTGCTCAAGGCCGCACCAGCCAATATCGTGGTACCCCTGCTTCCCCAAATCCAGGTCATCCTTTCCCTTGGTGACCACGGCGAAGAAGAGGACGACTCGCCCACCTTGCTCGCACTCCGCGGCAACTCCCTCGTGAATCGCTACCGCTGCAAGCTCGCAGCGCGTATGGGCATGACCCTTCTCTCCGTATCCCACACCGACGTACCCGAGCAAATTGACGCCTACATCGCGCAACTCCTCTCCGGCCTTGAGGACAAGGATACAATCGTGCGCTACTCGGCAGCCAAGGGTCTCGCGCGCATCTGTCAGCGTCTGCCAGAGGAATTCACAGCGCAAGTCGGAGATGCGATTACTGCGCTGTTCGAGATCAACGTACTACGCTTGAAGGACGGCACCCCCGACTTGAGCGCTGTGAGCGAGCATACCTGGCAGGGCGCCTGCATGGGTCTAGCTGAGCTGGGTCGGCGTCGCCTGCTGGCTGCGGCTGAGCTGGACGAGAAGTTGGAATGGGTACTGCGCGCCCTCTTCTTTGACGTCCGTCGTGGATCACACAGCATTGGTACGGCAGTGAGAGACGCGGCGTGCTATGTGCTCTGGGGGATCGCGAGGGCCAGCTACCCGGCGGAGGTGCTGCGCCCGCACGCAGAAGGAATCGCCAAGGCCCTGGTGACTGTGTCTTGCTTGGATCGGGACATCTCGATTCGACGCGCCGCGAGTGCTGCTTTCCAAGAAGGGGTGGGGCGTTTGGGACTCTACCCGCATGGAATTGATGTGATTGGGAAGACGTACGTGCGCCGTGCCCTAAGAAGGAGGATTGAAGCTGACCCCTTTGTCGCTCGACCGCTTGCAGCGACTTCTTCTCCGTCGGTATCCGTCGCACCGCCTTTCTGAGATGCTGCGCCTCGGTAGCCGTGCACTCCGAGTATCGCCTCGCGCTACTGGACCATCTGCTCAACACAACGGTCGTGCACTGGGATCCAGCGATGCGAGAGATGGGAGCGAAAGCTGTGGCGAGCGTGGCTACCCTCGACGTCGATGGGCTCGCGCCACGCATCATCGCGCAGATGAGCAAGCATGCCAAGTCACGCGATAGCAATGTACTGCACGGCTCCCTTCTCACCCTCGCTGAGCTCGGGACGCTCTGCAGCGAAAACCAGGCTTTACGGTCTCGTATCTTCTCCACCCTCTCTCTCGTCCTCCGCAACGCCATAGGCGACAAACCCTCGGTCCTCATTGCGGCGTGCAAACTCATCGCCTCCTCCTGCATAGCAGAGCCGGAGGATGAGGTAGGCTGGCGCGCTTTTCTCGACTTGGCAATGGCGCGGCGCGAGGAGGCGGTGCATGATGCTGTGGCCGAAGGATGGGAGGCCATGAGCCGCGTGAGGGATTGCGATGAGTTCATGGCGGGGCTGATTGCTGAGGTGAGCTGGAAGAAATTGCCGCAGCATAAGCAGCAGAGCGCTGTGAGGGTACTGGGAGTGATACAGTATCGAGATCCGGCGAAGGTCAAGAGGTTGAAAGAATTCTTGCTGCAGGTAGTGGGGACAAGCAGACATGTCGAGACGAAGCGCAATGCTGCGCAAGCGTTGGTGGCCGTTTGCGGCGGTGAGCAGCTTGACGAGGTGTGGGCTGCGCTTACGCACTGCTTAGATGACTACACGACGGATCAACGCGGTGATGTTGGGTCGTGGGTACGGCTTGCGGCGCTGCGTGGGCTGCGGGAACTCTCGCAGCGTGGTAAGGTGCCGAGCGAGGTGGTGTTTCACGCCGCCGTCGCCGCAGTCGGCAAACAGACAATGGAGCGTATCGACCACTTGCGCGCAGAGGCGGCTCTCACGCTGCTCACCTTCTACGTCGGCTCGCCCGCACCACACGGCAGTGAGCTCATTCGCAGCAACTTTAGCGACATCCTCCCCGCGCTGGGTGAGGAGCAGACTTTCGCCACGCTCAAAGACCCAGCCTACCTCTTCCCGCGCTCCGTACGCGCGCTCCTCTCCATCGAGGCCTATCGCCACCAAGCGCTTCGTGGTCTGGTCCAGGCATTGGGAACAAAGACGCAAATGTCTCAGCGCGTGGTAGCGAAGAGCTTGCTCGACTACGTGAAACGAGGTGAGGGGTACAGCCCGCTTGCGCTGCTGAGCGACCTGGTGACGTGGGCGGAGCAGGACTGGGGAAAGAGCAGCGTCTGTACCGCGGTTTTTGCCACTCTTAGCACTCTGCTGGACGACGATGATGTGGTGCTAGCGATGGGGTCAGAAGCCCGGCCTGAGCTGGAGCGCATCCTCGCGCTGAGCACCCGCTCGATAGGCAAGGTCACCTCACCCGCAAGGCTGAACGTTACGGGCGCCCTCAACGCCAGCCTGCTGGGGGCGGCTTGCCTGCTTGAGGATTCCGATCTGGCCTTACGCTCTCTCACTGCTTTTACTACATACTTCCTCGCGCACGAAAAATATCCAACTGTGCGGGCTGCGGCGGCCGAGAAGCTTTATCAAGTGGTCGCGAGTAGGTGGCCAAGAAGTGATGAGGAGGGCGAAGAGGAGAGTGAGGTGGACAGGGCAGAGGAGTTGTTGTTGGGTAGAGAATGGGGTTTGGGTGATACCGGGATGAGAGAGGGGGCGGATGAGGTAAGGGATCTGCTCGCGAGCTCGTTAGGGGGAGTATCAAAGCCGTAGAGCGTGCGATACCAATCAGACGAGCGCAATGCAGCGCATGTCATGAGTGATGAGGCGATGAGATCGTGGCAAGCTCACGGCTGCAGCGACGGCTGAGCGCGCGAGGAAGACAGTAATGACTTGGATTGAGTGGTGGCAATGAAGATTGAGCACCACGGCGTATGGCCAAGGTGGCCGGAGTCGAGTCAAGGAGAAGAGGAGGCAGGATATGAACAAAGCATAGCAACCCGTCGCGCTTGAGGATCGCCTACGGTACGGCCACCTTCAATGACGAGCGCGAGCCTCTGCTGTCTGCCCTCGTGCTGAGGAATCGGATGAAATCGTGTTGAGGTTTGGAGCGATGATTTGACCAAATGGGCTTCACCTGTGCCCGACGAGCTTCAAGCACGGGCGGAAGGTCGCTTGTTAGCACCTAGTGTGCTACGAGGACGTGCTCACCGATTGGTGTTCTGCCACTTCAGAGGCTCAGCTGTGACGACAGTAAGGATCAATGGAGACCTGATCTTCCCCTTGAGGGCACTTTCCGGGGACCAAGTGGAAACTACCGTTCGACCTCTTGCAACAGACCTAAGTGAGAACACCTCTCGTTAGCCCGATACTTGACTCAGGTCAGATTAGCTGACTCACATCGCTAACGCCGGGCTTCTTGCCCTCGGTGACAGCTATGAAAGCCAGGAGCATGAGCGTAGAAGCGCACATGGAGACCAGGCTAAATGTGGCAAGCTTCATGGTGGTTGGTGGCTGGTGCTGATGGGGTAAGGCGGTTGTGGGAGATGATGTTGGACGGGAGGGAAAAGGAGTGGCTCCCTGCACCATCCCTTTTGTAGCTTGCGCCCTTGACCCTCTTCGTCCACACCGGCACCGCCCACACGGCCCGACGCGGGGCTCAGCGTCACAGCGCGATGCGGTGCTTATGATCACGGCCCGAGGCGATGCTCGTAGTCACGATCCGCGTTGAGCCGCCTTACGCTCTAGCGCGATGCTCGACGCCCAAGCGGCCAGCGATTAGCGAGAGCGATGGCGGCAGTGATCACGGAGTACCGTCAGCAGTAGCGCGGCAAAGGCGAACGCAGATCGATGCGGAGGAGCCCGTCCGGATCGAAGGAATGCGAGCAGCTGCTCACGGTTGCACTGAGGTTGCTGGTGCCAGATCGACACGCAATCGGTTGGGTGATGAGCGTGGGTGCGCTCGCCTACCAAGTTGTAGTCGAATTTTTTTACACCCGGTGACGATACTTCAAAACGAAACGCGATGATGAACACATCACACCGTCGGCGTTGACGCACTCAAGGGCCAGTCTTGGAACAGAAGTCGATAATCACAAGCAGCCATCTCGCCCAGCTCTGGCAGCACCACGAACACGGACTGTCTGTCATGGTTTGCGCATCTCCTTGGTCAATTCTCCTCGTGACGCCGACCATGCCCACCGATGCTCACCGAACAGCGCACACTGAAGGGTCAAAAAGCAGCTGGCAGGCGACGAAGGAAGTCACGTTCTCAGCGTATGACCAGCAAGCTGCAGTGAGGCTCGATAAGGACTTACTGCGATGGCAGCAGCTGTCCGATGTAGTGGTCTGTCCAGCCGGGCAGCCCTCGGCCCCGTGCCATGCACACTGACCGCCGCCTTTGGGTTGGCAGCAATATCCCGTCGTATAGTACGCCTCTGCCGTGCCAGCGAGAAGAGAGGCGACGAGCAAAAGCGTCACGGTCTTAAAGAGGAGCACAAGGTTCATACTGCCGGCGGTAGTCGCCGAGCCAAGGGCGGCGAATGTGATAGGATTTGTGAAGGTGATGTGTAAGGTAAAGATTGGTCAAGCAATAAGGGGAAAAGAAGCGGAACTGCCACGCAAGAGCGACCTCATCGTCATGCCATCGGCGATCCACTGCGGGCCGTTGCCCATCATTCGCGTGTCATGTCGGGCCGTCCCCTCCGCTGAGCCCGCTGCCGCCACCAGTGTGCAGGCTCGCCGTCCTATAGTCAAATCTGCTGGATAAGACGCAGAGAGATGAGAGAGATGCTTAGCACTGCCCGCTGGCCCACATCTCGACGCGTGCAGGCGCCTGACACGGTGCCCACTTATATGTCGGTCGTCTCCGAGCCCACCAACGCCTTTTGGCGCGATCCGATTCTTGATCAGCCTGCTGAGCACCACACACACCTGCCTCTCCTGCCCATCAATGGTGACAGCACCTTGCAGATGAAGCGACGCGAGAAGAGATGAGCCGTGCGCAGAAGATCGAAGAGGGTCAATTCAGGTCAGCGCGTCCCGTCTCGTCCCCATGTTGAGCGCATAAAGCATGCTCACGCCGCGTCGACACTCTTGTCTCCAGCGTAGCAGTCATGATCGGTCTGCCAGCGACAAGACTTGGGGTCTCTGCGAGCCAGGATTAATGTCAGAAGAGACGCAATCGCGGGCGGGAGGGCGTGTACGCATCGGAAAGGGTATCGGTGGTTAGGACCATAATGCAAAGGTTGAGACGAGGCTGCTGTGTCGCTCTTGTTGCTGTCGCTCACCTCTCAGGTGCGCAACAGACACCAGTCACGCAACATCGGGGCTCTAGAACCATTCCTGATGTGAGCGGCCGAAGTAGGAGGCATACGAGGAGCGCGACTGCAGCGCTGTTGACGCGATTTGCGGCCATCTGGTGAGGCGATGTCGTGGAAGGTGTGGTGTGGTTGGGAAGCAAGACAACCTCGACAATTACGGTGCGAAGGAAAGCAGTGTGTCGTGATCAACTCGTCTTAAAATACGTGGCATTGGAGGACGTCTCCTCCGATTGGTCTTGTATCAGCTCGGCGGATCGTAAGCTCACTTTGCCTCCTACCGCCGCCGTGCAAGTGGGCTGATGAGACCGCGAGCCTTGCACGGCGGCACATTGCCTTCTGCACTTGTACTTAATAAACCACCGCCCCTAAACCCATAAGTCCCCAAGTGGGCTTGCCGTTGCGACGGCATCGGCAGCTTGAAAGGCAGGTCAGAAGTAGGCGTGGATTCCCCTGCGTGAGGAGCCGACGATCAGGCGGGAGAAAGAGCGAGAAGGCATGCTGGTTGTGGCTTGGTATTGCTCAATGAAGCAGGCCAACGTCCGTAGCCTGGAGTTGGTTTATGTGAGAGGCATACCCCACCCATCAAAGAGCTCGTTCACTTGCCTCTTCGCCGCGCTTGCCGCCATCATCCCACCGCTACGCGGCCGTATTGCCACCTCTTCTTCATAACCCCTCATCCGAACAGCGCCTGGTCATACGCATTGCCATAGAGCCCCCTCCAGCTTTGCGGCTCCTCGAGCTCCTGTTTGCCTTCCTGTGACCCTTGTGCCGCATCAGGTCCAGCCCTGCCCATCGAACCCAGCCCTGGCAGTACCTCATCCACGACGCAATGCGCCATGCGGTGGGCGTCGCCTCGATTGTCTCCTTCTGCAGCCCAGAGAAGGAGAGCGCCGCTCGGGATGGCAGGCGAGGAAGATGATCCGCTATCGGGTCCGCTGAGCGCTGAAAGATATCGCGACGTCAGGCCTGCTGATGAGGACGGTAGACGAGATTGGGGCGGAGATGACGTTGACAAACCGCCTGCCTCGCCCTGACCAACCAGCAGATTCGAGCTGACGGCGGGCCCGGCAAGCTGCAGCACCTTGGCGAGCTTCTTTTGCTCCTGTCCATCCGCATCCAGCATGTAGTGCATCATCCCACCACTTGACCCGAGCTCCTCATCGCCCCTCAGCGCGGCATCCAAGCTGCTCAATACTACCACTCGCGCGAAACCCTCTTCACGCGCCCAGGCCGCCATCCTTCTTGCGAAGCCTGCCCGCCGCGCTCGGAGGACAGGGGAGCGCTGTTGCACCACCGTCACGCCGTGCGATGAGCTGAACACATCGAGCGCCGTTGAAATGCCCGCTTCACCGTCCGAGCCGCCCACGAAGGGTATCAAGTCCTGTCCTGCATCCAAGCTTCCTACGCGCGAGAGGGAGAGGGGGCGATGCGCTACGAGGAGGTCGACGCACAGCTGTGGGACTGAGCCTGAGGAGATGGTCGGGAGGATGAGGGTGTGTCCGGCAAATGACCTCGAGGACGACGAGGCTGATGTCGTGGGACAGAAGCGCAGCGCAGCGCTACTCGAGGTTGTCATGATGGCGCTTAGGTTGAGAAGTTGCGAGCCTCGCCAAAATGATGCGCCGCCGCCTCAACGCAACGCACGGACTGCGAGCCATGGAAAGCCACGCGGCCTTGGCTTTACAGTGAGACCGAGGCATGGGTCGTGTGGGCCGATCCTGTCGGACTAGCCGGCGCCGATATGGCCCCGCGCTGCGAGACCTCGAGTCAAGGCTGCACAACGTCGAGGCAGCTGGGATAGGACCTTCCTTCTCACCGTCACCACCACCACCACTTCTCCCCAGCATGACCTCCCTCATCAGCCTTCGGGCTCTTCGCGCAGCACCGCGCTCCCTCACCAGCGCCTCAAGATGCTACTCGACCAAGATCGACCCCATGACGGGCGAGCTTGCCCCTTCGCCCGTTCTCGGCCTCGACTCGTCAAAAGTGCAAATCGAGCAGACGTCCAACCCTCGCACCCGACCGCCTTCTGAGAGCCTCATCTTCGGTCAGAGCTTCTCAGACCACATGCTCGTCGTACCCTGGAGCTCACAGACTGGTTGGGACACTCCCAAGATTCAGCCCTACGCTCCCCTCACGTTGGACCCTTCGAGTGTCATCTTCCATTATGCGCCCAGTCTCTTCGAGGGGATGAAGGCGTACAAGGATAAGGACGGCAAGTGCCGGTGAGCAGCCAGCCGTGCTCTCAAGCGCCCTCATGTCTCTGACGCTCACATCGCCCTCTCCTCTGCGTGCGCAGGCTGTTCCGCCCGGACATGAACATGCGTCGCATGAACACCTCTGCGGACCGCTTGGCCCTGCCCACCTTCGACGGCGGAGAGCTCACGCAGCTGATTCGCAAGTTGGTCAGCATCGACTCGACGTGGGTCCCCAACGAGCCTGGTCACTCCATGTACATTCGACCCACACTCATTGGAACTCAGGCGGCGCTGGGCGTGAACCAGACGAGCGATGCGTGCGTACAATCACAAGACAAAGATGACAGCTGAAGCATCACCTGCTGACACCGACGCCATCCCCTTTCACGCACGTTGCAGGCTCCTCTTCGTCATCACCTCCCCCGTGGGACCCTACTACAAAACGGGTTTCAAGCCCGTATCCCTTTCCGCCGACCCGTCGCAGGTCCGCGCATGGCCAGGAGGAGTAGGTCAATACAAGCTCGGAGCGAACTACGCCCCGGGCATTAAGCCCCAGATGCAAGCTGCGACCAAGGGGTACCATCAGAACCTGTGGCTCTTCGGCGACGAGGCCTGGCTGACCGAGGTTGGAACGATGAACCTCTTCGTCGTCGTCAAGGGACAGGACGGCGTGACCGAACTGGTGACCCCTCCGCTCAACGGCATGATCCTGCCCGGTGTCACCCGCGACTCCATCTTGTCATTGGCCCGCGGTCATGCGAGCGGCTCGGCACCCATTGCTGGTTTGCCGAAGCAGCTACGCGTTGTTGAGAGGGAGATGAACATGGCCGAGGTGATGGCACACTCGGATCGCGGATCATTGCTGGAGATGTTTGGTGCAGGTACGGCTGCTGTTGTGAGCCCGGTAGAGAGGGTAGGGTACAAGGGGCGTGATATCATGATCCCTACGGGCGAGGGAGGCGCGGGCAATGTGGCCAAGGCGATGCTTGGTGAGATTGATGCGATTCAGAGGGGAGAGAGAGCGTCGCATCCTTGGTCGGTACTCGTTGATTAGAGGCGATGCGGCGTTGATGATAATACGATGTCAATGCGGGCGAAGATTTTCGTGTCAGTGAGCGAGAAGAGGTTGCCGTCTGCTCGCCCGCTTTTTTCAAGTGGCCTGAGCGCAGAGGCGGACGGACTGCCGGAAATGGGCGCCGTGTGCCGCTGCGAGTCGAGAGGCGGGCTCGGTTGCTCCGTCAGCTCACCCACCAAATCTCGACTCAGCAATGGGACGCTCTGTCCTCGTTGCCTTCCCACCTATCACTCAACACCTCATCGCGACTATTCTATTCGCCTGAAGTTGCTCTCATCGCGCATCTCCGCAGTCGTTGCCATGGACGACTTGCAGCCCTCGCCGCCACCTCGCCCGACGATCCTGGCCCTACCACATGAACTACTCCTGGACATCCTCGCGCTTGTTTCCCCGCGGGATGTCGCCTCCTTCTCGCAGACATGCCGCGACGCCAACTCCCTCATCAATGGCGAGGGGACAGCTCCTTCACATCTTTGGCGTCGACTGTTCCTCGAAGGATGGGACGCTTTGCCAGACGAGGAGGCTGGGCATATGCGCTCCATTCTCCAATCTCTTACTCGAGCTCGTACGGACTTGCGCCTCGGGGCTCGCTCACACCCTCACCTGGCCAAGTCACACAGTCGCGCCCTCCATAGCCTCATCAATGCCACCCACTCTCGTCTGCCGCGAGACTCCGCTGACGACCGGAATGAGGACGCCCCTCGCTCTCGCAGCGCCGCAACCCTTGCCTCGATGTTCCCACCTAGCTACGTAGGCGATCGACGCTGGGCGGCCTTCGTCTACCCCAGGCAGGACGTGAAGCGCCTTTCCGTTTGGAACGAGGAGACAAAGCAGGAGAGGGCGAAGAGACTCAAGGCCAGCGAAGAGAAGGCCAAGAAGAGGGAGGCGGATATGGAGAAGAAGAGGGCACGATCCAACAGCGGCAACAGAGGTGCAAAGTCTATGGCACCTACGGAGGCCAAGAAGCGTCGTCATAATGACGAGGAGGGCGCCACTTCGAGCAGCCGTCGCCGCTCTGCCCGCATACAACGCCGCACCGAGCTCGCGGCCTCGGACGTCTTTCTGCCTCCATCCTTTCTCTCCTTCCTCCCTACCGAAAGACAAGCAGACCGCGACGAACAGTCCATGATGGCATCCACCCGCCTTGAAGGACTCGCAGAGTGCCTCGATGAAGAGGCGGCAGCGCACTTGCACGTGCTCCATGGCGTGAGGCAGATGCGCTTTCCTACGGAGGAGGAGAAGGATCGATTGCTCAAAAAGGCAAAGAAGAAGAGGCAGGTCGAGGAAGCCAAGAAGCAGAAGGAGGTCAAGGCTGCTGCACGTAGGCTGGCCGCCAAACGTAGTGCCAAGGGAAAAGGCAAGAGGCGAGAGGACAAGAATGACAGTCAGCAAGACATTCAACCAAAGTCAACCCCTTCACGTGGCTCACGCAGTAAGGTCAAGCCCTCAATGCGTCGCTCTACTGCTGGCAGCGAAGACGATTCGGATTCTCTCCTCTTCTCCGGCTATGAATCGGCCGATGGAGACGAGTACGCCCAGTACCCGTCAGTCATGTCCGCCCAACACGCTCCAGCCATGCCTCTCCCCGCGGTGAGTGTTCCACACTTTGGAGAACTCCCGCGTCTCTACACTTCTTCGGGTGAGGGGATACATGCCCGGCCCCGACTGCACGACGGACTCAATAGCGACGATGAAGACCTCTCTCGCCGCAAGGCAGGCCCTTCCCGTCAGCGGGATAGCGCATCTCGTACCCCCTCGCCCTCTCCAAGCCTCGACTCCGAAGGGCAGATGGACGAATACTTTGACTTTAGGGAGATGGTCGAGGACGCCTATGCGGAAGGCTTCTTTGCCAGCATTGAGCATCGAGACGCCGTGTTGAAGGGAGAGGCAGACCCGCCCCCGCATATTGATGAGGCTATGTTCCGGCTGCACAGCAGGAGGCTGGCGGAGGCTGCAGGGGACAATGTGGATAGCGAGGAGGACGATGATGACTATAGCGCCATTGAAAGCGCCTCTGACGCGTACGATGGGGCTGAATATGACTCAGAGTACTTGTCTGCAGATGAAGACGACGATGGCGACGAGGAACTCACACCTGGACTGGACTTCGAAACGGCCGACTCGATTGAGGAATCCAACGTTTTCCTCGGCCATCCTCAAGGTCCAGGCGGGGACGCTACTTTACGTCGCGAAGCCAGAGGAGTGGTGTACGATGCCGGCCGCTATGGTTACGAGAACGCTTGGGGACCTTTTAAGCCCTTCCGGACCCAACCCGCCGAGATGCGCAATGGGCGTCGCGGGCCCTTCGCGGGCTTGAATTTGATGCAGTTGGGGCTTGGCGCTGGTGCGCACGATGAAGACGACGACAGTAGCGATGGGGACATCGAGGAAGTCGTGGATATGGAGACGCTTGATGCTCAGGCTGCCGCAGATGGAGTCACCTGGCAGCCCGGCCAAGATGAGGAGGACGACCTCCCCGCCACAACGCAAGCTCCGGTCCTCACAAACGGCACAGCCGCAATTGCCGGCTCTCCTCTCGCGACAACGGACGAAGATGATGAAGACTTCTCCGGCAGCGAAGACGAGGAAGATGACAGTGATGCCGCCTTCTCAGACGATGGACTGCTCCCTCCCTTTGGCGGATTGGGCCCACACAACTTCGCTCGGATGGTCGCCCATGTTGGCGCCTACTCTGGATCCAAAGTGCGCAATCGCCTCCAAGATGAGAGAGAGAAGCGCAAAGCGCAACAGCCGCAGCAGCCTACTCTCCCGGCCCGCGCTCGCGTTGACTGGCTCCTCGCCGAATCCATCATGCTCGTCGTACACGCCAACCTCCACTACGCGATCCATCGGTGCGGTTGGGGTTCTGGCTTCATGCTGCCACGCGGCGCCCGTGGTGATGGTGGCGGCACGAGCGACGGCACAAACGGGCGTGCACTGGTCATGCCTGAGATAAGGGGTCCGCTGGACGCTTGCTGCCATAAGAGGAACAGGAGGCTTCTGTATCCTCATGCGGGATGGGGAATGTCGAGGGGCGAGGAGCAGCCAAAGGGCAAGGTCGAGGGCATGGCTGAGGAGGACAGTGGTGAGCAAGAGGAGGGAGAGGAGAAGCAAGCTGATAGAAACGACACCCCTGCCGTACATGACTGGGCCAACGTTGAGTCTGCCACCTGGATGGGCACCTACTTCTTCCTCGATGTGAGTGTGGCTCAACTCTCGACTAGCTCACGACAACGCAATAGCTCATCATCACCCCTTGTACCCCCGTTCGCAGTACCCCAACTTCCTCCGCTACAACGCCCGTCTAGCCGAAGAAGTAGGCAAAGCCAAGGAGCCCTGGGCCATCTCGTCTCGCCCGTACGGCATGGACCCTAACGCCCCGCCCTACACCGGCACCTCTGGCCCAGTAGCACACGAGCTTCTCCATCGCGCCGAAGCAACGGGCGATTGCCTCGCTCTCCGCCTCACCCTGAAGCCCGCCGACTTGCAAACACCCGAAAGCGAGGAGGGCATTGCGGACTCGGCCTCGTATGGGGAAGAAGACCCGCAATTTCCCACTCTCCGATTCATCGGGCGGACCTACACTCACCCGGACCTCGATGCTGCAGCAGCCATGCGCGCCCAAGCCGCCGACAATGGCGATGAGTCCGACCCTGATGATTGGGACACGGACGATCCCTCCCCACCTGTCCCCACAGCCCGAGGAATGGCACACGGCTTCGTCCGTCCAATCTACAGCGAAGACCCTGCGCAACAACGTGCCCGATACCACGCGCCCACCGACCGCTACCTACCTCTGATCGTCGCACTACAGTGGCGCCTCACCCACGCCTACGACGGGGCGGATCGCTGGTCCCTCTCTGGCGTCCAGGCCGGTCCACCGGGAACTCGCGCGCCAATCTACGGTACGTGGTCGGACGTCGAGCGCGATGATGGATCGCCTCTGGGGCCATTTGCGTACTTCAATGTCGATTCGAGGCCGTGGCGCGAGGTGGAGAGACTGAGGGACGAGGAGCATGCGAGGAGGGAGAAGGTGAGAGAGGGGAGGAGGAAGAGGAGACTGGAGAGAGAGACGCAGCTGGCGATGGAGGGGGCGACGGGGGCGTGAAGGCGCATGATCCTGCCATGATTCAGCAGTGATGAGCGCGGGATGAGAAGGCAAATAGCAATGACCGCGGCGTCGCAATGCGCATCTCATGAGGAGACCGCGGCGTCGCAATGCGCATCCCATGAGGAAAGAATCGATTGTATGATTAGAGGAACGTGATGAACAGAGAGAGAGAGAAAGTGACAAATGAGAAGACAGCTTGGTGAAGTGAGAGAGTCGCGTGAATTATCGAGTCGGTCCGGTCGCATTTTGTTGTGGTGTAGAGGTAGCGCTAAGATTTGTAGAGTCGTTTCTTTGTTTGCTAGCTGCGTGCTGCTGAATGCGTAGAATCGGTACCTGACCGAGATAGAGTGAAAACTGTGTTCTGTCGCGAGTCGTGGTGGAAGCCGGCCGTAGAAGTCGTGGCTGGCCCGCTGCTCGAGCGGCCTATCGCCCAGCCGTGGGCATGCTCAGCACCAAGTCTGGATCAAAAGGCTCGGGCCTCTCGCCGCCCGCCACCAGGTCAGACCAGTAGACCAGGCCGCCCTTCTCAATCCTTCTGAGCGTCGTCGATTTGTCATCTGCGCCGCCTCGTCGAGGTCTACTGGCGCCGCCCGGTGCCGTCTGATGCATTGGAGGGAGCGAAAGACTACTATCCCCGCTCCCCTGCCCGCCAACCTTGTCCTCGTACTCGTTGCCATTTGGGTCCCAGGCAAGGGGCTGAAGGGGCGCGGATTCTTGGGGTCGTCGGAAGAGGGTGACCAGATTGTCCTCTACGGTCGGCGAGCGCGGAATGGTCGAGTTAGAGGGGTGTGCCTCTCGCATGACGTGACGTGGAATCGCCTGCCCATGGTAGTAGTAGTACGTGTAGACGTGCGTGACTGGCGGTGGCCCTCGACGTGAATCCGCGGCCGAAAGGCACTCGAGGGGCGGCGTGGCAGCACGAGCGCTCATCACACCGGGCTCTCCGGGCACATAGCGGCGCTCCCGTACTTCAATCTCGGAGCAATGCAGTACGGTGCGATGCCCGTTCGAGCCGCGCTTGAGGGCATCGTGGTTGACACTGGAGGTGCACATGCGGCAGGGAGAAGCGATGTGGTAGCCAATCTGAGATCCGCAGCCGTAGCAGCCTAGCGTCTGGGTTAGACACTCGCAGGTGCGCTCGGCGGTAGCGCCCTTAGACTTTGCCAAGATGCTTGGGTTCTGAGTAGCGTAGAGAGGACCGCAATTCTGCGGCATGACGTCCGTGGAGAAGAGAGTGACGTGGGGCCTGAGGAGGAGGACAGCCTTCATGCCACGGTCGGTGAGGAAAGCGCCGCATCCCTTGCAATTGATGAGGTAGACTGGATGCATCTCCTTGGGTTTCCCATTCTCTCGAATCCTGCTCATCGTTTCTTGCTGTCGTTGGAGCTCAAGGATCCTATCGGTCGCATCATCCAGTCGCGCATCGCTGATGGAGCGATTAGCCTCGTCCTCCGCAATGCGTTGCCGGAGTCGCATCCGTTCGTAGGCTTGCTGATCAGCGAGCTGCTGTTGGCGGGCGAGCTCGGATTGGTAGTAGCTGTCCGGGGCGGTGTCCCATGTCACGCGAGGTGCCTCGATGGGAGTAGAGGAAGACGAAGGTTGAGGTGGCAGAGAAGCCGCATCGAGGCGGGAGAAGGTGTTGGGCATCGTGGGCGACGTGCCGGTCGAGTCAATTTAATGGTGGGAAGGAGAGTCTGACCTGATGGAGTAGAGCGATGGGAAAGTCGCCAAGGAGCGTGTGAGCGCGAGTGAGGAGTGTGATAGAGAAGAGTGGAGCGAGATTGGGAGACGATATTCAGGTCGTCGTGACCACCCGCTCAGCCACGGCCCGCCCAGCGGGATCGTTGTGGGAAGAGAGGATGGCAGAGGACAAGACAGGTGTGGGAATGGAAGCGAAGATGAGAAGCGGTACGGTTGCTGAGCGGCACCACTCTATCCGCTCCCACTCCCGTTTCCGCTCCCGCGCCTATCTCGTGCCCACAATTTCATTGCGTGAGGGCAATCAGGGACTCGAGCCGCTCCAGTCTCGCCGAAGTCGCATATCGGGCCGAGATCGTGAACGTGAGCTCGACCATGGCCGACCCTCCTGACTAGGTAATCCTTGCCGCTGCTGTGACAAGAATGCTCATCTCGTCACGGACGTTGCGCGGCAAGCTGCGCGCTACGCCTGACCCTACTGTCGAAACATGTGCTGTTCATCATCTCAAGAGCGGCCACTTACCTGTCGTCCGCTCACTCGCTCGCTCGACGCTGGAAGAGAGCGCGAGGAAATGTCGAAGATGCCTCGCGCCGCCAAGGTCGATCTCGATGGTCGTGCGACCGAAGGATGAGCAAGAGATGGTGGTGTATTGACAAGAATGGACGAGTGGTATTGATGTTCAGAAGCGCAGAGAGAGATCAAGTGATGGAGTCTGTCTAGCGTTACATTGACAGAGACTGAGACGACCGAGCTCGAACAAGGGGCACATTGCGAGATGAGACCAAAAGTGAGGAGGCGAGGCGGCGACTGAGATGAGACCACAAGTGAGGGGGCGAGGAGGAGCGAGCCAGCAGCGGGCAGGTTGCTGCGAGCGACGGAGCCAAATCGTCTTTGTCGTCACACTCGACGACGTCTCACACAGCTAGTCCCTTTGCCGGCATTGGCGTCAACTGTCCGCGGCCCTCAGAACTGAGTCGGACAAGACAGAGCAAGGCATCGTCGTCCTGTGATGCGCTCATTGATCGGCCGCCGCCAGCCTTGTCTTGGCCGGCTCCTCATCCAGATCGGCCTGCTTCTCGCCGCCCGCTGCGATGAGTCGTGCTTGCATTACTGCAACCCCGCCGAGATCTCAGTTCACAATTTCCAGGGTCGCAGCTCCCCACCCTTGACCCTCTCTGTCACACTCCTTTGAACAACCAGAGTCTCCCTTCACTCAAGCTTCCCCTCGTCCTTGTAGCGGGCGCATGCCAGTCTCTGAATTCTAGCCCGCTCTTTGATCATACGCCGCCGCTGCCCGCGCACTCTTGTGAGACAGCAGATTCAAAAAGGCTGCCGTTTCCGCGTGCAGCGGGCATCGTCGTCAAGACGAAAATGGTGTCCGCCCATCTGACAACTCTCCTGTGAGCTTCACAGACTCCGGCAAGGCCACGCTAAGGCTGTGCTGGTGTTTTGTCATCCCAACCTTGAGCAACCTTGAGCGTAGGACGTGACTCTTGGCTCACGGCCCGCTGGCAACCCTTTTCACCTAGGCAACCATCCAAATGCCGGTCTTTGGACGATGGTCTGTCTGGCCAAGCGAGGAGCAAGATCCTGAGGCACTCTAGCGGGTCGCCGAGATCGACTCGTAGCGGAGAAGACGAGACGAGGCACACACGACTGGGGGGAGCAATGTTGGTAGCGTGCTTGCTTTGCTTGTTGACGAAACGACTGATCACTACCACTGGTAGATGCACGGCGGCCCGGCTACGAGGACAACGGACGGTCTTTGCTGAGATACGAAGTGGGGTGCCGTCCGGCATCGGCTGTAGGGAGATAGTGTGAAGCTCGCGCTCGATTGAAGACCCTCGCCCACCCTTTCCGCGTTGCCCGCCTTGCCCGCGTTGCGGCTCCTCAATGTCAACCTCATTGCAGCTTGAGTCTACGACGTTGCTCACTCATCGCAAAGTGTGAGCCTGTGATGATGCTCAAGCCCAGCCTCAGTGCACAGTGAGCTCCTGCATCTTTATGGTCTCCCAATGCTGTCCGCGGGACGCTTTAGCTCTGAGACTGGCCTGCCAATACGGGCAGAAGAAGGGAGCGGGATGTCGCAAAACTAGACGGGCCTTTCTCTCCATGACAAAGCGGCGTGATAGCTAGCTCTTAATCTCGAGCTCAACACTCTTGTTCCCGCCAGAGCCTACCATCATGGCGGGGCTTGCGCTTGAGCCAGCGCTTGAGCTCCCTTGAGCTAGCCTTCAGCGCGAGTATGAGCAATGCCATGAGTCCTCACCGTGACGCCAGCGTTGAGCCGCACCTCAGCGTCGTCCCAAGCTAAGCCAAAAGATGGAACGCGGCTTGCTGATGCTTTGGAACCTCGAGCTCGAGCGTGCCTGTCGCTGCGACCAGCGTCCGACGGGATAAGGTTCGCGCCACGCCACGCCGCAATCAACTCAGCCACGCATCCACTTCTCCGACGACGCAGGAGAGCGAATCTTGCGCCCGCGGCTGTTGAATCTTTCCGCCTTCGATCTCATCGATCATCAGGAGGAAGGAGGGCTCTTCGTCCGATTGTCCGAAGGAATGAGGGGCAATGAGCATCGACCGGATCCGGACGTCTTGCGGGGCGTGGAGACGGGTGGTAACGAGAAGAAAGGCTGAGACACAAAGTCTAGCATGGGCGCCGACCTAACTGCGCTGCTGCGGATCGTTCTCGCCTCAAATCTACACTCCTTGTTCATGAGATGGTAATGAATTGACTCTCGATTCGTCCTCACTGGGGCGCGTTGCCCCGCCCGCTCACGCCCTCTGCTGGCTCGAAGCTGCCGCGGCCACCTCGCGGTACAACGCAGCAGACGGCCCCGTAGCTGCCTCCCTTACCAGCTGCTGGAATCGCGGCGCCGATACGACTCCCGATCCACCGGCGCCGTCCTTGCTCACCAACCTCTCCAGCGCAACCAGCGCCCTGAACGCTGCTCGTGTCAGCTCGGTGCTCTTCTCGACATCCTGCTTCGTAGCTCCATCCTTGAGCTTGATCTTGAGTGACTCGCCAATCGGGTCAGAAACCTCGTCCAGATTCTGACCCATCTGGAGTGGCACAAGGTCTGCTAGCCTCACGAGGATCAAGTAGCAAAGCAGCTTGACCTGATCGTCGTCCCTCAATCCTGCAATCACGCGAGCCAGATACTCCGGCAGAGCAATCTGCGCCAAGCAAGTGTCGAGAAGGGTGTACATCGTCTCAAATGCATTCTTGCGCAGGTCCAAACCGTCGTCCTGGGTGACCGTAAAGGGGCCCATGGCTACCTTGCGCATCAGCTCCTTGCGGACGTGCGTCTCTTCGTACAGGAGCGGGAGGAGCGTAGTGAGGTGCTCCCGGATCAGGTGCGGCTTGTTGTGCGCCGAGCTGTTGAGCGCAAACATTGCGTGGCGGCGCACTTCGAGGTCAGGATCTTTGAGCAAGGTGAGGAAGTCGAGGAGGAAGGGCGCCAGCAGGTCATCGTACGTTGAAGAAGCATCGGTGAGCGTGAAGCGGACCGCGGCGATGACCGCTGCGCGCGTTGAGGCTGAAGGGTCGGCGAGACGTGACTGCAGCTGGACGAGGTAGCGCTGCGGATCGGTCAGCGTCAAGCGAGCGAGACACTCGGCCCCGATGTTGCGTGTAGCCTCATCGTTGATCTGACAAATGTCGAGGAGGGGTGTCCAGACTTGCTCCGCTACGCTGGCGAGTTGCGCCGGAGAGCCGTGCGTGATGAGCTCCTTTAGCGCATTGAGTGCCAGTAGACGGTGCTTTGTGTCGTCCGACTCGACGTGCTGTCGGATGACAGGGAGGAAAGCGTCCAAGTTACCCACGCCCATGTTGCCAAGCGCAAAGGCTGCCGCGCTTCGCACCTCATCGCTCTCGCTGGCGAAGGCAGCCAACACCTGCTCTGAAAGCTTTTCATGCTTGCTAAAGTCCTCGAAACGGCCCACCTCGCCGAGGATGAGCAGATTGAAGGCTGTGGTCGCGTCGTTGGCATCGCCCAGCTGCTTACCCACGTCCTTGAGCACCTTGGGCACGCTGGACTGGTCGGCGATGACAGCAGCGCCAATACAGCGGGCGACGCTGGCTGGAGCGCCTCCATTCTCGTAGGACGCCAAGAGCTCCTTGACTGTGCTAGCACCCTGTTTGGTGTCGACGGCTACCACCACGCGTATGAAGGCGACAACGGACTCGAGTGCGGTTCCCTGGAGCAGCGGTGACTTGACGAGCTCCATGATTCGGGGGAAGACGGCGTCACGCGCCGTGGAGAGATTGTTTGGATTCGACGAGACGAGTAAACCGACCGTCTTGAGGGCGTATGGAAGCAGCGTCATGTCGACGTCATGCAAGAGCAGTGCGTGAATCTCCGTCAGGATGCTATTGGCCGTCGAGGAGCTCAGATGAGAGCCTAGTCTTTCCAGCGAGGCTGCGAGTGCATCAAAGGCAGCAAGCTTGAGCGGGCGATTGCTTTGACGCAGCAGCGTAGCCACCTCGTCGTCGCACGTCTGGAGGAAGTTCTCGAACTCTGCGCCAGTGCAAGCTTGCGAGGCGGCAAGCAGCGTGATGACCTTGACTGTCGCAAAGCGGGTGACTTCGTTGCGCAGACGCTCAAGCAGCACCGGGAAGCACTCGCTGTACTTGTTCTGCAGTTGCGACCCTGCAAACGCGAGCAAAGCACCTAGCGTAGCGATGCCCTTTTCCTTGATTTCAGAGTCCGAATCCTGACGGTTGAGGCGCGACAGAGTGGCCTCGTAGAGCGGGAGTACAGTTGACTGAGTGCCGGAAAGTTCCGCCACCAGATCTGCACTGGCATCGAGGGCCTCGACCGAGTCGCGATGAGCCTGATCCGTGATGGCGGAAGCCAGTATCTCGGTGATGGTGGCAAGCTGACCCTCGTAAGCCTTGGGCGAGTGCGTGATGAAGAGGACGCGGAGGAAGGAGATGACCTCCGACTTGATTGAGGTGGAGCCTACGCCGCCAGCAGCCGAACCTGCCGTCTTGATAGCTTTCTCAAGCTGAGCAATGATGGCAGGAATGCTAGGATCCAATCCTCCTTGCAGCACGACGGCCAGCTCGCGGAAGGCTGAAGCGCAGGTCAGCCTCGTGCTCGCTGACTTGCCGCCGAGCTCCTTGATCAGCGCCTTGGAGATAGTCGGCGACATCGTACGCAATTGAGAGCGCGGACTGGTGGCGGCTGCCGTCGTGGCGGCGTCGTTCTGTGCGGTTTGCCTGCTGGTGTCCCTCTTACGCTTGAGAGCTCCAGGTGATTGGCCCCTGACCTCCGTCGCTTGAGCCAAGCCCGCACTCAGCTGCACTTGACGCAGCAGCGAGAGAAAAGTGCTGAAAATCTCCAGTCGCACGCTCTCCTCACGTTCAGAAAATCGAGAGACGAGGACGGGAGTGACAGAGGCTACAAGACTGGCTAGGAGCTCAGGGCGAGTAGCAATGGCCGCACTGAGGGTCTTGGCAGCTGCTCGCCTGACCTTCCACGACACGTCGTCGTCATCCGAGTACTCGTCGTCCAAGTCGAGGTCGTCGTCGTCCTCGTCATTCCCGGCATCGCTTCCGTCTGCCATCTCGTCGTCAGAATCATTGCCGCCTGCAAAGTTGGGGTCATGCTTGATGAGTTGAATGCCAATGTCAATGAGCTGGTTGAGGAAGGGCGTGATCTCGGTAGGGCATCGTAGCAGGACGAGCTCCATAGCCTGGAGACAAGTCTCTCGCAGCTCGTCGTCGTCCTCCTTCTGGGCGTTCTCCACGATGCGCGGCATAAAGTCGGGCAGGCGACGTCCAAGGCGACGAGGGCTGAGGCGAGCCAATGCGCCGACAAGCTGCACCACGGTCTTGATGCGCTCCGTATCGGTGCCGCTGAGATCGGTAGAAATCGCCGAGGAGAGCTGCGTGAAGACTTCGGACGAGGAGCTAGCTGCGAGGGTGCTGAGGGCGGATGTTGCACGCTTGCGAACGGCTACGCGGGAATGGCCGAGAAGAGGAAGGAGAGACTGGAGACCAGCTTTCTGCAGGCCAGCATTTTCGACAAGATTTCGTGGAAAGCGCAGAAAGAGGTCGGCAAGGACGTCGAGTGAGTCGATGATGAGCTCTTGCGAGGATGCGCCGTCTCCGACTGCGCTGAGGAGTTTAGGGGACAGGCTATCGAATGCAAGACGAGCAGGAGTCGACCCAGCAGGTAGGCTGCCAACAACAGTCTTGAGCGCCAGTGAGGCAATGTCTCGTAGGTCTTCCTCCTTTGATGAAATGAACTTGACGAGGTTGTCGATGATGATGGAGATCTGTTTGTCTCGTAAGCGGCCGGCAACGAGGACCCCGAGGCTGCGGCGAGAGCATAGAATGATATCAGTGTCAACGCAGCGAAGCACCGTCGTAGTGACTTGGCAGACTCACCTCTTGACGGCCATGTTCTTGACCTCCCCGTTGGCGTCCTTCATGAGCTCGAGAATTTGGGCGACTACCTTGCCTTCGAGGTCCTGGTCCATCTGGATCATGGGGGCGCTGCCATCGCGCTTTGAATCACTGATGAGGTCATTGAGTGCCATGAATCTGGAGGAACCATGTTCAAGAGATTAATCAGAACCAAACCGTTGATCAGAATGCACGCCGTTTGCTCACCTGAAGTCGGCATCCTGTGACTTCATCTGCTCGCGTAGGAGGATGAGGACAGGGTGGATGGTCAATCGTCGCGCCGCTCATCTCCTTCTCCGCCACCGGACTTTCGCACCTTCTCTAGCAAGGCATTGACCTCGCTGGCCGACACGCGAGAGCCCATGATTGCGAGCTACGGCGATGTGTGGACGTTTGAGTGATCGTGGAAAGTCAGGAAGACAGGCGACGACCTTCGCTCAGTCCGCCCTTGGTCCGTCAAGTGCCGCTTGGGCCACCTCATCCGCCGAGGCCACGCGAGCGAGGGGCGGTGGGCATGGGCGAAGCTAAGCTGAACAGCAGAGGACGTACGCCAAGCTCAGAAGACGAGCAAGAACAACAACAGAACACACCGCGGGGAAGAAATGATCATGGCACGACGGCATGAGTGGTTTGGAAGAGATGCATGTACCGAAGCGCCGCCTCCGAGGGCCATGTGTCGGTCTCACCCGGCGAAGACCCAACTGGCAAAATGACGAGCGAGTGTCGTGTGAGCTCTCGTTCATCGTGTCTTGACGAGGAGCCACGTCTGCGACAATGACAATGAGCCGTGCGATCCCCCTGGAAGCGGGTGAGTCTGCAGCGATTCATCAGCATCTTCGTCGACGTCTCGCCCATGCGCCTCGAGTGGAGTTGCGAGTCGCACGCAGCTCGAGCTGGACCCTGGAGCCTCACCGAGCTGCACGGGCCGCGAGCGCTGGATCGACGGCCATTTGTCAGCCCTCGTGCCTGCGATCGCCCAATCTCAGCCTTTCATTAACATAAGCCCACCCAGTCTGATTTCAAAGCTCTCTTCTTCTCCTCCTTCTCATCCTACAATCGATGCTTCACAGGGCATCGACTTCCTCCGCTTCATCCCTACTAGCTGCTCAGAGGCACGTCGCGTCTTCATCTCGCTCGTTCACCACCTCGTTGACCGCAATGACTAGGGTCAAGCTCGCCTCGTCCAAGGACCTGTGAGTGAGGGCGTGTGCCCAGAGTGGGGGGAAAGTTCCTCAGCTGCGGCTCAGTCTGACCTGATTCTCCTTGCCCCGCGCTCAGCCCCAAGCCCGGCCAAAAGAAGGCCTTTACCGCCTTTGGCTCTGGCGATGATGCCCTTCAGATCTTGCTGAGCAACTTCAAGGGCAAGATCCATGCCACGTCCGCCAAGTGCACTCACTACGGCGCGCCTCTGGAGAACGGTGTGCTCACCGGTGACGGCTGCCTCATCTGCCCATGGCACGGAGCGCGTTTCCAGGCCGCAACGGGCGACCTCGAGGACTCGCCTGCATTGGACAACCTCCTCTCCTTCCCCACTGAGATCGACGAGAATGGTGACGTGTACGTTGAGGCTGAGGAGGAGCAGCTCAAGGGCAAGCCTGGTAGGCCGGTAGAGTGCAAGGGCCAAGTCAAGCAGGAGGGCAAGGGGCTCGTCATCATCGGCGGCGGGTCTGCAGCCATCAACGCCGTCGAGTCGGCACGCAAGGAGGGCTACCTGGGCAAGATCACCCTCATCTCGTCTGAGAAGGACGCCCCGCTCGACCGCACCAAGCTCTCCAAGGGTCTCGTCGGCGACGCCAACGCCCTCATTTGGCGCTCCGCTGCTCATCTCAAGAACGTCCTCAAAGTCGACCTCAGGACGGGCACCGAAGTCACGGGCCTCTCGCTCAAGGAGAACAAGGTACAGACCTCATCCGGCGACAGCATCGAGTACGACAATCTTCTTCTCGCCACAGGTTCCATCGCCAAGCGCTTGCCCCTTCCCGGCGCAAAGGAGGGAGAGCTCAAGGGCGTCCATGTCATCCGTGAAGTCGGCGATGTAGCTGAGGCCCTCGCCTCGCTCGGGGACAAAGGCGACAAGGATGCCGTGGTTATCGGCTCGTCTTTCATCGGCTTTGAGATTTCCATCGCCATGGCTGGCCAGAAAAAGGCCAAGAGCGTCACCGTCGTCGGAATGGACAAGGTGCCCCTCGCGAAGATTCTGGGCGAGGAGGTCGGGTTGGGCCTGCAGCAGGCGCAGTCGAAGAACAATGGCATTCAGTTCTATCAGGAGGCTAGCGTCGAGGGTATCGAGGGCAAGGACGGCACACCAACCGCTGTCAAGATCAAGGATAACAATGGCAAGGCGGTATCCATCAAGGCGGACGTGGTCATCCTGGGCGTTGGTGCTCGCCCAGCCACCGACTTCCTGAGCAAGAGCGCTCAAGGCTTCCCGCAGCTACAGAAAGACGGCTCAATCGAAGTCGACTCTACGCTCAAGGTCGTCGGTTTGCCCTCTGGCGTGGACAACGTGTACGCTGCGGGCGATATCGCGTCTTGGCCTGCCTTTGACGGCAAGTCGGGACTCAACCGTATTGAGCACTGGAACGTTGCTGGTAATCAAGGGCGTGCAGTAGGAGCCACAGTCGCCCGTCTCTCTGGCAGCGGCAAGAACAATTCTCCTCAACCCTACACTCGCCCACCAGTCTTCTGGTCCGCCCTTGGTGGACAGCTACGCTACGTCTCAGATGGCAACCCCGCCCCTCCTGAGCTCGACCTCACCTACCTGGACGGCAACCCGTCCGAGGGCAAGTTCCTCGCCTTCTACGGGCGCAAGGATGGCAGCGTGGCGGCCGTATCCAGCATGGGTCGCGACCCAGTCGTAGCGCATTGCATTGAGCTGTATGCGAATGGGAAGATGCTGAGCTTCGAGGATGTTAAGAGCGGCAAGGACCCGTTGAGCATTAGCTTGGGTGCGGACAAGTAGGAATTCGCCGCGGCGATGACCAACTCGTCGCGACTCTAAGCGGGTGTGCACACACCCAATCACAGCATGGCAAAGTGTAGTCACGTTTCTCTGCTCTTCGTCTGCAATCCATATCGTGGTGCTGGTTGGTATTTGCTTGATGTGAGACTGGTAATTGCTGCCTTTGCTGCCGTTCGCTGATGTGCGGGTCGGCCGCCCGCCAAGGCGCTGCTGCGTGCGTGGATCGATTTCGGCCTCGACTTCTTGCCCGAAAGGGCTGCGTCCGTGCGGCGGTGCTTTCTTCTCATGCGAGACGAGACCGAGGCAGTCTCGAGACGGGCGAAATCGCAGCATCATTGGGTCCGAGCGAGCGAGAGACGACCGGCGTCAGTTGGCGCTATCTTACTCAACCTCATCAATTGCTCTCGTATCCCCTTTCGCCTTTCGTGCTTTCATCTGCTCGTTATCAGCTCTCTGCGCCTGCACTCGCGTCAATTGGTTACGACTGCGGCCGATCTCCGCAGCATACACTCTCGCAGACACGTCAGTCGCGTCTCCTGTCCACGCTCCGACGCCTTCGCAGCATCCCCTCTTTGAAGCAGGCATGGCCCCATCATCCTCCTCGTCATCCTCGCGCACGCCGCTCAACATCCTCCTCGTCAACGATGATGGCTGCCCAGGTCCAGCCTCGCCGCATATCCTCTCCTTCTACCGTACTCTCGTAAACCGCGGACACCACGTCTCTGTCGTGCTGCCCTCTCATCAGAAGAGCTGGGGCGCAATGGCCTTCAGCGTAAAGGGGTCCATCGGGCTCTGGTACTACTACCCGGAGCAGGATGGGGAAGGAGCAGGGAAGTGGGAGACGGAGAGGCGTCCAGGAGGGGCGAAGGAGGAGTGGGTGCTGATTGACGGGGTGAGTGCGGCGAGCACCGGTGGACCATGTCCATCCCGATTCGACTGACGTCCTTGGCCCTCTTCGCCGCCAGTCACCAACAACGTGCACCAGCATCGGCCTCTTCAACCAGTCGCAGCTCTTCCCCGATGCCGAGCAAAAGCCCTTTGATCTCGTCCTCAGCGGTCCCAACCTCGGCCGCAACACGGGCGCCGCCTTCGCCATGTCTTCTGGCACCCTCGGCGCAGCAATGGCTGGTGCCCTCTCAAAGCACAAGGCCATTGCGGTATCGTACGCCCACTTCTCCGTCGTCCCCAAGGCAATTCAAGACGCAATAGATGCCAAGGGCCTCTCGTCCGGGCCCAGCCAGCCGACGTCAGACGAGGGCGAAGAGACGGACCCTCCTCAACCGCCCGCCGCCTCCTCTCCCTCAGCATGGAAGCACGTCGTGTCCGTCGCGCCCGTCGAACTGGTACAGATCGCCCACAATATCAGCATCGACCTCGTCGAGCGGTTGGTGCGCGGGTGGGAACCCTCTGTCGGTGTGTACAGTATCAATGTGCCATTGGCATGGACGTTGAAGGATCCGCAGGTCTTCTGGACTGCCGTGTGGAAGAATAGCTACCCAAAACTCTTCAAGCTGATGGAGCCTCAGGAGTCGGGTCAAGGCCAAGCAGCAGCCACTCATATTCCCGCGTCGGCGCCTAAGCCCAAGACGAATCTGGTCTTTGCGCCAGAGATGTCGTCCATGATGGCCAGAGGATCGGAGGAGAGCTTCGTAGGTACTGATGCATGTGAGTATTGGGCGATGAAGCGCGCGTGTGAGCATGCGATGAGCAGTGGTGGTGAGGAGGACAGGATGCATGAGCAGGCGGAGAGGTGCGTGGCCGGCCACAACGCCGACATGCGCCCACGCCCAACGCCCACGCCCACACGTCATGCAGCGACATCGACCAACACACGCTGGGCTCTCTGCTTTGGTTGTCTTCACTATCATTGCGAGCACCGCTGACCATCCCTCCGCCTTCCCTTGGACATCACTTCACCTGTCCGCGTCACCTCCCCTGTCGTCACACCTCACCACCTGCACTCTCTCCTCTCTCACATCGTTACCAGGGGCCATCCAACACGGACACATCTCCATCAGCCGCCTTCAACCTGGCTTCGTCGAGGTACCACTACCAGCCAACCATGACGGCCAGCGCTTCAAGATGTAGCCTGGCAGCAGGGCGCACAGGTTGTCATCCGCCTCGTCCGCCTGCTCGCCCGCCCGCTCGCCATCGCCGCTGGCCAACGCTCAGCTCATTTCGTCTGTCCGCCCGCCCGCCCGGCCATGCCATCCATCAACCAAACTCGGGAGCGGCGAGAGGGACGCTGGGCAAAGCCAATCTCACAAGGACAGTGTCAAGCAGACCAAGTCTCGTCGTTGATCGAGGCAGCACGCAACCAGCTGCCCATCTCGCAGCAGTAGCAGCAAGACGGCCAGCGTGCGTCTGTGTATTTAGGGTCTGCCGACACCAATAGCAATGGCATCACCGAGAGCGACGAGAGGACGTCGAGTTGCCCGTTATTAAGTAGGAATCATCGTAGAGACGACTGGCTCATCAACGGCGGACTGATCCAACCTGATTCGTAGAGTCGCTTCAGGTGTCGACTCGCAGGCGTCGGCTCGCAGGTCTCTTGATTCGCGGGTCGCCCCTCGTGGGTGGATTTGCTTCCGGCACGGGATATAGGGATATAATAGGGCGGTGTCTCCCGCTTCAATTGAGACCTTTCTCCTCAATCAATGCTTTCCTCTTCGATTCAATCGACGCTGCCGTCTCATCGCTCCTTGTTCTGCTGCTCTGCTCCGCTGGTTTCACCGCTTCACTCCTTGCACTCGTCAACATACACCGTACATACTCGCATGTACTCGCGACCAACACGTCGCACCACGCTCCTTATGATCACTTCGTGCTCCCCAGAGCACATCACACACACACACCACCTGCATCGTCAGCCTCGACCTCGTCGACGCTCACACGATGCCACTGTTCTCTCCGCTAGCTCAGCTAGTATCGTGGATGGCCCTCTCCACGCCCACCCGTCAAGGAGCCGCTGCACCCGACCAGCGCGACGAGGCCAGCAACGACTCGGGTGACTCCTTCGTCCTGCCGGGCAGCTACATAGCGCAGGCAGAGCAGCAGCAACGTCCTTCCTCGACGCCCACTAGGGGGGGACTACCATCGCAGCAGGAGGCATCGCAGCATCAGGCTCAACCGCGCGTTCGAGCAGCACGCTTCAGCCCTCCCTCGCCAAACGTGCTGGCTTTCTTCGGGCGCAAGCCCAAAGCTGCCGCAGATGAGACCCTGCCCGGCCTCAACCTCAACAAGGTCGGGCACAAGCAGCAGGAGCAGCAGCAGGAGCAGCAGCAAGCCAAGGTGATCAAGGCCCCAATCACCAGGCGCGCAGCATCGGGTCCGCGACGGGCAATCGCACAAGGCGCGCTAGGTTCCCTGGCAGCACGCGCTCATGTGCAAGACAAGGAGAACGCCGCTCTTCTCCCTCGTCCTCCTCCTCGTCATCGCCCGCTCTCCTCTCGCCTCGTCAACTCGGTTGCTCCCTCTCGCTCGGTCAAGGTCACCAACACCACGGCCACGGACTACGAAGGAGACGTGACGGCTCGCCCTCGCCTCTCCCCACCTCCTGCATCGCCCCTCGGATGCACCGTGGTACCTGCCTCGACCTCGTCCTCGTCAACGGCAGCGACGCCACCACCTGCGGCTTCGACCCCTCTGCGCGGTGCTGGACCAAGGCGCCTCCGCAAGATGAAGTCTCCTCCTGCCCTGCTGCTCCCCATGGAGGCTGTGAGGGCGGCATCATCGAGCGCTGCGCCCATGGCGTCGACACCTCAGCGCCCGACTGCCCGCAAGATGGTCCGCATCGCGTCGCCTCCGGCCCTCTTCTCGTCGCCCCCGGCCCTCTTCTCGTCACCAGCAGCAAGCAGGGTCGCGCTCTCCCCTCCGCAAGTCGAGGACGTTGGGGATGCAACAATCGTGGGCCTCGACGACGATGAGGAAGAGGAAGAGGAGGTCAGCAACGCCGAGGTTGCGCTCATGGCTCCGCAGCTGGCCCTCCTCAAGCACCGCCCTGCCCATGCCACCAGTGAGAACAGGCCGGCGAGCCTCCACCTCCCGTCCTTCGGTCTCCCTCACTGCGTGGTGGTGAGAAAGGCGGACTTCAAGGGCAAGGGCAAGTCCAAGGCCCCCTCGAGGTCCCACCGTCCGCTGGCAACCGTCGCCTCGTCCTCCGCTCGCTCCTCTCCGCGCCCGTCCTCCTCTCAAGCTGCGGCGCCTCAATCGCGTCCCCCGGTGGCCAAGGCGTTCCAGCAGCTGGGGGTGCCGACCTCTTCCTCCTCCTCCTCCTCCCGCCGCGGCTCACCCGCACAAGCTTGGAACCCGGGCAAGACCATTCGCCTCGGGGCTTCAGTCAGGGAGAGGGTCCGACAAATGGAGATCGTCGAGGAGTGCAGGAGAAAGGGTCTCTTCATGGCCATGGAGTGCGACACCGCCTCATCCTCCTCCATCGCCTTCCGCCCGGCCTCCCCTACCTCGCCACCAGTCTGGAGCCCTCGCCAGTCAGTCAGGGCAGGAGCGTCGCAGGGAGTCAGGGACGTCACCATGGCAAGCATCGCGCCCTCTGCCACTTCGGTCCCAGCTGCTGCTCCCCGCCTCATCATCACTCCGAGCCCGCCCGCTGCTCAACCTCAGCTGGCAATGACCCCGGAGAGCTCGACTGGAGGACAAGGCGACGACTCGGCCTCGGCGTTCTGGATGGACCGAGCAGCAGCGCCAGCCCCGGCCGCAGCCCCAGCTCCCGCCCAGCCCATCAGCGCGGTCACCCCTCCAAGCGCCCGCTGCCCAGCACCAGCAGCACTCGCCAGCCCGGAGAGCTCAGTGGACGAGCAGGAGGACGACTCGGCCTCGGCGTTTTGGCTCAGCAGGGCCGAGCCAGCTGCACCCGCCCCGCCCATCACCACCACCCCGCCTGGCACCCCTGGCATCCACGGAGGACTGGAGGAGACGGAGGAGAGCGCCGCAGCATCAGCCGGCACGGTCGCGCCCTCCTTGGCACCTGCCGCGGTCTCACAGGCGGCTCAAGCCAGCAGCAGCAGCAGCAGCAGCAGCAGCAGCACCATCACCACCGGCGCCGTCGATCATGACGAGAGCGAGAGCGCCTTCCCCTCCTCATCAGCCTCGCCCCGCGTCAGCACCGCCGTTGGCCGCCTTCGTGCCGAGGACAGGGAGCGCCGACTCAAGGTCAAGGAGGCGGGACGCAGGCGCATGGCGGAGATGGAGAGGGCAATCGCGCTGCGCCGCCAACGAGTGGGTGCCCCTCGCGAGCAGCAGCCGCAGGCACTGGTGGGCGCAGCCGTGCAGGGCAACGAGCCGGAGCGCAGGGAGGAGCAGGGCCGCCAAGATGGTGAGCTACGCCGAGTTGCTGGGGCAACGAAGCGTAAGCGCGCCATCGAGGAGGCGGTGGAGGGAGAGGAGCCGGTGAGGAAGTGGGCGCGCTTGGAGGGTGAGGAGGGGGAAGAGGAGGAGGAGGAGGAGAGGGCGATGTCCACAGCGGACGACGAGAGCAGCAGCGCCTTGGGCAAGCCTGTCTGCTACGTCTGCGGATTGTGGAGGGAGGTCGACTCAGATGGCGACACCATCATGGCCCTCGCAGGCCCGTGCACCTGCCGTTGAGCCGGCACGCCATCGCCGTCGTCACCATCGCCGAGGGAGGGGGAGAGGGGGGAGGAGGAGGAGGAGAAGGAGGGAGAGGAGGGAGAGGAGCGGCATACCACGGTCTCAAGTGTTCACCGAGGACTCAGGAACGGACAACCCAGGGCAACGCGGCAATCTAGCAGTAGGCGGGAGAAGGCCTTCACTACCCATGGACATCCTCTTCAAGCACCTCTGGACCCCTCGGACTGCTTACCCTCCTAACCCTTGGCCACCTCGTAACGGCTCTTTGGTTCAACGTCCTCTCCCCTGGCTGGCTCTGGTGGTGCAAGCGCGTCAAGCCTCAGTCCTCCCTGAGCTCACTACGGCGGCCTCTGGTACCCTATGGCAGGAGTGAGCGATGCCCCATCCTCCGTGACGCGGTGAGTCCTGCTTCCTTGGCTACGTTCGCTCGGTATGCGCCTTCTCCGGTTCGTTCCCCCTCCGCGCCTTGGCTCCCCCCATCCCCTACTCCTCCCCTCGGTAAGCTTTCGGTTGAGGGCACACCACCTTCTCCGTCTGCCACACCGCGGCTCCATCCTCCTCCCCTTCCTTCCTCCTCTCACGAGGCGTCTTGTCCCCGTCGTGGCTTCTCGTCGACCTGCAGGCGTGGTGCGGAGAGTTGCTGGGACCCCACGCCCGGCTTCACTTCGCATCGCGTCTTCGGTCTCTCTAGGCACGCCCTCCATCAGGCGGGCACGTCATCGCTGCTCGAGAGCGGTGGCGTGAAGTGTCGCTTCGTCAAGTCCCCGAGTCGCGACCCACTGTCAGTACGGGCCTACGCCGCGGTAGCGGTCACTGAGCGCCAAAGTGCGCTCATACCCGCTGTGGCTTGGGTCTGGCGGGCAGCTGGTGACTGGCGCATACTACGTGTATAGGGGCAGGTAGGGCAACAAAGTTCGGTCCAAAGTGGCCGGCGCCTTATACCTACGTTTGGGCAGATGAAGTTCCCACCTCGCGCCGAAAGGCAGGAGGTGGGGCGCCTTAAAATGTGAAGCTGGAGCGGTACCTAAGTCTGCGTTCTTCCCTAGTGGGAGGGGCGTAGCACCGACTCTGTAGAGGGATGGCAGGGCGATTGGGAGTATGATGGTGGGCGAGGCTTCTCGTGGGCGATGGTTGGTCGTGGACGGATGGAGTCGTGTTGGTGGTGGGCGGCGGTGGTGTTGCTGTTCTTCCGAGGAGCGAGTCGAGGGGCTGGAGGCGAGGATGGAGGAGTCAAGTAGCGCGAGGGGATTGGCCGAGCCGTACAGGGTAGCGCCGAGCTGCAACGCTTAGTCGAAGGAGGTGGGGCTCACCCTCACGCGAGGGCAAGGCATCATCACTCCTGTCGTAGGCTCCATAGGCAGTCGTAGTGTAGCAGCGGGTGGGTTGGGTCTTGGCGGCTCGTGCTGCTATCCAGTCGGGGAAGGGCGATGGATCAAGGAGTAGTGAAGAGGGGGCGAAGGCGGTGGCTGGCAGCTCGAAGGGCTCAAGTGCTCGAGGTACGGTGTACGTGGGCGGCAAAGGTTTCACCAATCTTCTCCCGCCTGTGCTCCGTGGCTATCATCCCCACCCCAGCCACGGAGCAGCAAGATTCACGCAATGCCTCTGGACCCGTACCATGACGAGGACCAACACACAAGACCAAGCCGCGCGGCATACCCATCACATTCATCATTATATCTCGTCTCTGTAATTCTCGCATCATCTAGATTAGCTGCATCGTCGACTCGTCTCTGGCTTCAGCCAACAAAGTAATAGCAAGACATTCGGGCTTCAGCCCTCTTTGCTAAGACATACTTCTCGTGGTAGCGAGCAAAGACTGAGCAACGCGACTGATTCCGACCACATGCTGTTCCAATTGAATTGCGAGCGATATGAAGAGATCCGCAGAAGCGACGACATCTCTACTCCGTGACCTTAGAATCGACAACTAGCTCCCCTGCATCATCACCATCGTCGTCAACTCCCGCCTCCCTCCAGGCCTGTCTCTCCTCGTCGCCCATTTGTGCCTCGTTCCCTTGCGCGTCGACCTCGCTCTCACCTGGACCGATGCTCCTTCCTCTTCTCTTCGTCTTCAATTCCTTCGCCTCCCTGATTCTGAACCTCGCTCCCTGCCTCTCCCTCGGGCTGAGATGCGCTCCTGCCTTCTTCAGCAGTCGCACAACGGCTACGTGCCCATTCGATGCGGCGAGGAAGAGCGGTGTACGCCCTGCATACGGCTCGCGCAGGTGGACACTGCATCCTGCTTCGAGGAGGAGGGAGACGCATGCTGTATGTCCGCGCGTGGAAGCGATATGCAGTGCCAGAGATGAGTCGAGCGGTGAGGTCCCGGTGCTGTTGACTGCCGTAGCGGAAGAGCCGCCCGTGCTCGCTGCTGCGGAAGGCGCTGCCGCTGGTTGGGAGCCGCCGTGCTGTACCGTCGCTTGCCCTTGTCCTTGCTGCGTGGTAGCTGGAGTGGGGGCTGTGACCATCGAACCACCGCTGCCGGTCTTTGCGTTGGCTGCTGCTGCTTGCAGACGTTGCAGGGCTTCCAGATGCCAGCTGAGGGCATCAGTGTCTCCTGCGTCCGCCGCACGATGTACCAGATAGGGTAGCATCGCAAGCTCCGCGCTAGCGATCTCTCGTTCCAATGCCTCGGACGACGGAGAGGAAGACGCAAGGCCGTCCTCATCCTCATCTCTCTCCTTCGCCCCGCCCGCCACTGTCGCCGTGCTCGGTCGCTGCAGGATCCTGCCCAGCAAATCAGACATGTTCGTCTTTGCCGGCCCCACGCTCGTAGATGCGCCATGTGCCACCCGTGACGTGAGCTCTCCTCTGATGCTCCTTCCCATCAATTCCCTCACCTGCGCCCTCGAGAGATCCTTCTTGCTCAGCAGATACGCCAGCTTAGCCAAGGCACATTCGGGCGTCATGTCCGCGCCCGCTACCACGCCTACGGCAGCCAGCTTCGCGCCCACGGCGTAAATGGCCGAAACCTCGCCTTGCAGGCATTGCGTGATGTTGACGATTACGACTCCACGGTCCGTCGCGTCCTTGAATGCCTCAAGTAGGTCGGGACGAGAAGGCGCATTACCTGCTCCAAAGGACTCTAGGCAGAGCCCTTCGATGTCTGAGCTGAGCAGGCGGCGTACAGTATCCGTCGGCATGCCCGGGAAGAGCCGCAGTAGCGCTACGTTTGAGCTCATGCGGTCGTGTGCACGGAACTGAGAGACGGCGCGAGGTCGCTCCACCAGAGACCAGTTGACGTCGATGCTGATACCTGCTCTTGCGAGGGGAGGCAAGTTGGGCGAGTCGAAGGCAGAGAGAGCATTGTTGCTGACTTTGCTGCTCCTGTTCCCTCTGTAGAGCGTGGAGGCGAAGAAGAGGCACACCTCGGGGATGATGAAGCTCGATGCGAGCAGCAGGGCACCAAGAAGATTCTCGACTGCGTCGTTGCGTAGCTCGCTGAGCGGCACCTGGGCACCGGTGACGATGACGGTTTTGCCTAGGTTCTCGAGAAGAAAGGAGAGAGCAGAAGCTGTGTAGCTCATCGTGTCTGTGCCGTGGAGAATGACAAAGGCGTCAAAGTTTGCGTAGTTGAGCTCGATGTCTCGCGACATGCGAAGCCAGTCATCGATGCCCCTGTGCGGGCGAGCAAGCAGGGGAGACCGTGTCAGAAGGGGATACAGGTGGGTATGCAGGCTCGTCGCACTCACATCTCAGACGAGTCAAGAAGAGGGTCGTACTCGAGGACAGTGTAGCGCACGCGACTTTGATTGTGGGATGACTTAGGCGTGATGAGAGACGGAAGTTGCATGTCCAGCGTACCATCTGGCAGAACCTTGGACGAGACGGCGTTGCGGCTTGCGGTGCCTGCGGCGAGGATGTGACAATGTGAGCTGCGGCCTAGGCGTCCATCGCATCGCCCTCTGCTCACCCTTGGGGTTTGAGGACCTCACCCTCATCGGTCTGCCAAAGGGCGGGCCAAAGGGTAGTCCTCCACCAGCCGATGGCGGCGTTTCTGCCCCACCTCTACCTCTGGGCGCAGGCGAAGCATTCCGACTGCTAGCTGCTGTTGTAGGGGAAGAGGATCGCGTCTGCGGATGACTCTGGCTGTACGCTTCAGCCCACTGTGCAAAACGGCGCGTCGTGTCGCTCCATGAGAAGATGCTTGAGCCGTCTACGTCGTGGAAGCGTGCCTGGGTGCGGAGCGTCTCGGTGAGAAAGCCGGGGTAGGGAGCATAGCCGTTCTCACCGCGGATCCTGGTTGGGAAGGGAGGGAGAGAGGAGGAAACATAGGTATGAGCGAACATAGGCTGTGCTCGCGTCGTGAGATTTCCTCACATGCCAATGGTGCCTCCAGCGAAGAGGATGAGCACATCCGACGTCTTTGCCATGATGGGCCGATGGGAAGGAGCGCAGAACTCTCTGTGTGAGATCTTCGCGGTCTTGATGGTGTTGGACTCGCAGGCTGCACCCCGTCGGCTTCTTTTAGCGCTTCTGATGTGGGGAAAGCTGAGCGAGTCGAGCCATGGCAATGTACAGCTAGAGGTCTGCTGCCGGCAGCGCGGTCGTGGCTCAGACGATGCGTAAGCTTGGGTCTTGTTATTATCGCTGCCGCATCGTCGATGGTATTGAGCTATTGATCTACCACTCAATTTTGCTCCAGCTGCCTTTTCTTCCCTAATTGAAAGAAGCGGCCGCTGCCCATTGATGACTTTGGCCGCCCTGAGCGTCTCGAGTCTGCCTGTGCTCGTGCTTCTCCCGACTCGACTCGGACTGAATTGCCTCCGCCCCGTCCCGCTCAGGCCATGTGCGTAGTGTCGTGGTGCTCCGCTCGCGCTGGCGGACGGGCGGGCAGCTCAGGTGGGCATGAGCGAGCGAGCGAGAGCGGGCGTCAGTTGGTTGGCGTCGACGACGACGTTGAGAGCCAGATCGACGATCATCACTTCGACACCTTCACCTCTCCGTCGCAACCGTAACCTCGTCTCCTCCTCTTCCACCTGCTCCTCATCGCAGAGCAGAGACCACACACTCTTTGCAACCTCATCCGGTACGCCCGCTCACACAATGACCTCCCGCCGTCGCGCAACAAAGAAGGGTGTCTCCTTCTGCCTCATGGTCGTTGGAGCCTCCGGCGTTGGAAAGACGACTTTCATCAACACATTGACCGAGAACGAGACGATTGGCCACCGCATCCTCGACTCGGAGACTGCTCACATCGAAGAGGGCATTCGCATCAAACCTGTCAACGTTGAGCTTGACGAGGATGGCGTACGACTTGGCCTGACCATTGTCGATACTCCTGGATTCGCCGAGAACATTGACAACGAGTACAGGTGAGTCGAGGATACCGCAGAGCTATTCGACATCGTTTCTCGCAGGACTGACATGACATGGTCGATCCCCGCTTGACCAGCTTCGCCGAGATCGTGGGCTTCCTCGAACGCCAATACGACGACATCTTGGCCGAGGAGTCTCGAATCAAGCGTAACCCGCGCTTCAGGGACAACCGTGTCCACGCCCTCCTCTACTTCATCACTCCTACCGGCCACTCACTTCGTGAGATGGACATTGAGCTCATGCGCCGTCTCTCGCCTCGAGTCAACGTTATTCCCGTCATTGGCAAGTCGGACACGATGACCAAGTCGGAGCTGGCCGTATTTAAGAAGCGGGTCATGGAGGACATCGAGCACTACGGCATCCCGGTGTACAACTTCCCTTACGATGTTGAGGAGGATGATGAGGAGACGATCCAAGACAATTCGGAGCTCAGGGCTCTGATGCCCTTCGCGATTGTGGGCTCGGAGGAAGAGGTTGTGATCAATGGCGAGCCTGTTCGAGCGAGGCAGTACCCGTGGGGGTGAGTGCGAGCACGGCGTCGCAAGACATCATCATCGATCGCAGGAACAGAATGCTGACCTCCTTTCCATGCCTCGCTCGCAGCCTTGTCGAGGTCGACAACCCCAAGCACTCGGACTTCTCGCGCCTCAGGTCCGCCCTTCTCAGCACTCACCTGACCGACCTCAAGGAAATCACCCACGACTTCCTTTACGAGAATTACCGTACTGAGAAGGTGAGACGAAAGACCCGCTGTTCTGAACGTGTCGGCCTTCAGTCGCTGACCATCTTCCTCTTTGTCCTTCTCTCGCACAGCTCTCTCGCACCGTCCACTCAGACTATGCCGACGCGCCCATCCCTGGTGAGGAGCTCGCAAACCAATCGGTCAAGCTCAAGGAGGACCAGCTTCGTCGCGAGGAGGAGAAGCTGCGCGAGATTGAGCTCAAGGTGCAGAGGGAGATCCAGGAGAAGCGTCAGGAGCTGCTGGCAAAGGAGGAGAGTCTGCGTAACTTGGAGAGCAGGCTGGCACAACAGGGTCAGGAGGCGTAGGCGTGCGATGCAGCGCCTTGAGAGCTGTCAGCTTGACAACATTGACGTTACGATACCTCACTCGCCCCTTTTCCCTCCGTCTCCATTTGGAGGCAGGCGGCTACTGCAAGACGATGCTAGCCTGCTTGCACTCACGCACGCACGCACGCACGTACGTTCGCCTGCTGCCTTTCAATGCTTCCCTCTCTTTCACACCTCTGTCTTCTTCTCTTCGTGTCATAAGCCCTTTCTTCTTCCCATCTTCTGCCATGCTATTTCCGTCTCGAACTGATCACGCTCGCAGCAGCTGTATGTATGGCGATGTGTGTGTGTATTGCTTTGCTCTCGTAGAGCGTCTGGCTCGCACTTCTCCCACGTCTACGCTCCCGTGTCCATCCCTTCGCCACCCCCAGCAGGCGGCACGACGTTGCCCGTGTTGCCCACTGCGAGAATGTCTTCCTGCACCACCATGTCGTAGACTGCCTCCTTGGTGTAGGCCGTGACTCCCTTGGGAAAGAGGTACCTGGGTGCGTGTGCAAGAGACGGTCGTGGTCAGCTCTCTCGTCCTCACCGGTACCTCCTTGACGCCGAACACTCACTTCTGCTCCTTTGGCCCCCTCTGATTCGGCATGATGTGATGCCTCAGATACTCTGTACCCTGATCGGTGATCACTGAGATGTCCACATTACTGCCCGATCCCAAGTCATTGAAAATTCCCCCCAAGATGGCATTGGACACCAGCGCAATTGCCTCATCTTTGGTCAGATCCTGCTTGAATCCACTCTCAAGCACAGCAATAGCGGCAAGAGATCCCGAGCCCATAGCACAAAAGGGGAGCTTGTCTGTCGATCCGTGCGGTGCGACGGAGAAGAGGTGGCAGCCAGAGTCGTCTACGCCTCCCAGAAGGAGAGCAGCACCGATATTGCCTTGGTATTGGAAGAGCTTCTGCTTCAACATGGTGAGAGCCGTTACGACACGAGGTCGACGACCGGTGTGGAGCTCATGGAGCATCAGGTTGGAAGAGATCTCTGCAGTAACCATCTCTGTGTCCGCTGCCGTTCCCGCTCCTGCGCAGCGGATGAAAGGACTAAGATAGTGGACCTTCTCACAGTCTGGGTCTGCTACGATTGGGCCCTCTGTGGCACGCGTATCACCCCCGATGACTACGCCGCCTGGATAGCGGCAGGCTGCGAGTGTGGTGCCGGTTGAGGTGGCCTTGGGCGGGCGGACGGATCCTGAGGTGGTGAGGTGGTGATTACGAGAGATGGACCCGAAGTCGAAGCCTGAGGCCGAAGGGCGCGCGTTGAGTGGCGCTGCCATGATAGTGATGGTGTGGCGACGACGATGACAACGATTGTAAGGGAGGGAAAAGCTGAATGTAGGATTCCCTCGTCGTCGTCATGCGAAGTCGAATGGCCCAAGCGTCCAAGGCAGGGCCTCGTCAGCTCGACGACAGACAAGCCAGCCACGCCACGTGACTGCGCCTGGCTCCCTCCGCTCAAGAGACTTTCTCTCTCTCCGCGCCTTCTTCGTGTCATCCCGCTCCTCACAAGCACCACACCATGATCGCATCAACCTCGTCCCGCCCACTGGTTAGGCAGGCGTTCACCTCTACATCCTCATCATCAGCCTCATCAGCCTCCTCGTCAGCATGCCGCACCTTCTCTACATCAACGCCGCTCGCAGCCAAACCTCGCCGAGCGCGCAACGACGATGGCATGGGATTGCTTGACATACCCGTCTTCAACTACGACGATCTGCCTACGCTGGGCCATCAGATGCTCAACAGACAACGCGAGCTCCTTCGCTATGTCAGGATTGCGCATCACGAGTTTCCGGAAATGAAGGGTTCGTACCGGCACGCGCTGCTGTATGCTATTCTATTCGACTTCACTCTGCTAATACGCCTCACGCCTCATGCCTCGCCCTGCCCTCAAAGCCTTCCAACAACCCTACAACCCTCCCGCATCACAGCAGATCCTCCGATTCAGGCACACCCACTACCAAGGCGTCTCCCACCCGCTCACACGCAAGTCCGTCCTGACCGTATCCGTCCCAGACCTATTCAAGGCCCACTCGACCGCATTCTCCTCTGTGCGAGCCAAACGCAAATTCCTTCATCTGGCCGGTCCACGATGGGATGCTGGTGGTCGAGGGGCTGATCTGGCAGAAGTGTTCCAGCTTGAAGGTGACAAGGCATATGCGAGCAAGTGCCCAGAGGTGGGAGAGATCAAGATCAGTTGCGACCGTTTCCCAATGCAGGCACAGAATGACAAGTGGTGCAGCGATGTGCTGGAGGAGATGGTCGCTGAGGCTGCGCGGGAAGACGCGGAGGGCGAGGAGGTGGCGAGCTTGCCGTTGGATGTGCGACATAGGCTTGTGCGCGATCAGCGTAAGGAGGCTCGTGGTGGTGGCAGGGGAGGGAGGAGGAGAAGGGCGACTATCGAGGATTGGCCGGAGGGGTGGGGGACGCCCAAGTAGGGGGCGGAAGAGGTGAAGATGGTTGAGGGGGCGAAGGCGTAGTGGCCAGCGGATCCTTCTGGCTGGTCGAAGCACGTACAATGCCATGGATTACCACAAACCTCCCTTCAAGCTGGCATTTCGCTTGTGGTCTCGACTAGCAACCTGCTAACCTCTCTCACCCGATCTCTCGCCATGCCTGCAAACATGCCTCCGGCGAATCTTTTCGACATCGGCGAGGGGTGACAACACCGAGCAAGGAGCCATTCGGCCTTGGTACAACGAGGTAGCCTGGATGGACCGTTTTTGCCAGATGAGATAGGCGGCGAACCCAAGTATGCGCCAAGACAGACGCGCAGGGTAGCTTCGAGCTTGTTGCATTCCTCCTCCACGCCTTGCAAGAGGGCGAAGGAGCTGTACTGCGGCTTGGTGCTGAGCGGCGTGCTGCGAGGCGTGAGCGACCCAAGGGAAGAGAGAGCCGATGACGAGCGGTTGCGCAGCTCTCTTGAGGAATTGAGGTGCTCTCTGAACAGAGCATATATGCGGCCTGCATGACTGTCGATCGTGCTGGTAAAAAGGATGAAGAACGGCGGCGCCGGCGGTGTTGATGGAAGTGAGCGTGCCAGAGTTGCAGGAGTAGTCTGCATGTATGCGACCTCTTCTGCCTCTCTTGGTGGCGCTGATGGCTGCAAGCTTTCCTTGATCGGTGTCGGTCGATGTGCCATCTCTTCCAAGCTGGTAGGCACAGAGACTTCGGTATCTTCATCACCCGTGGCACTGCCTACGGTGACCTGGCTCTGCTCGGGCGTCTCTCCCTCCGCTACACGACCATCGCCTGGCAAGCTGGCCTCTGCTAGGCAATCCATCGCGAAGCTCTGAGCCCAGTTGGGATCCACCAGGGTGTCGATCGAGGCACTTTGTGCAGCTATCTGCGAATGCTGTTCATCGACCTGCACCCTCTGAGCGGCGATGCCTTCACTTTCAGTCGCCTCCACTGAAGGTGCTGCATCTTCTGGCGAGGACGAAAAGGGGACACTTTTGGTAATCTGCAGGAGCCATGATGGAGCTGATGTGGCTTGGCCGTCTTCACAGATGCGCTCAAGAGTCGGTTTGCCCATATCAGCAGCCTCAAGACGCTTAGCAGCGAGATAGTCTGCTGGGCTTTGGCCTGTTTGAGGAGCAGTTCGCACGATCAGCTGCGCCAGCCCGATAGCAAGAGCTTGCGCTTCTGCGACGCTCAGTGCCGTCGTCATTGAATAACGCGGTGGTGAAGGAGATGGACATGGGATTAAAGGAGAGGGTAGTGCCAAGGATTGGGAGGAAAGAGAGCTGAATGTATGCGCTCACGAGTTGGAGAAAGTCACGGCCTGGCACGGGAAATGGGCGTGGCTCGTGCGGCACCGCCTCGACTCGCAGCGAGTGGAGGCTCGCCGATGAAAAGCTCGTCTTGCCTTCGTTTCCACACCTTCAATCTCGAGCTGCACCAATCACACATCGCCCAGGATTCTCGCCTCATTTCACCGCGCCACGATGAGCTCCATCGATCCGTCACTCGTTACAATCCTCAAGGCACAATGCCCCTATCTCGGAGGAGACTTTAGCTCCTCCTCCTCGAACCGCATCGTGGCGACCTCACATCAACCCAGTCCCCGCACTCTCTTCGCAAAGATGTCGAAATCGACGAAGCGTGACCGCGACCAAGTTCTTGGCGAATCGATGGGGCTTGCAGCGATGGAAAGTGCCTGCCGAGTAGCCGGCATGAACGTTGAGGAGGACGAGGGCATCGTCCCGCGTGTACACGCCTGGGGCCAGGAAGAGGACAGCAAACGACGAGCGTACCTCGTGACAGACTACATTGAGCGAGGAGGAAGTGGATCGACCGCTGTGCAGCGTACTTTAGGCACAAAGCTCGCCCAGATGCACAAGGCGGGCGTGGACACCTTGCAAAGAGACCAGGAGGTAAAAGGGAAAGGTCACGGCTTTCCTGTCCCAACGCATTGCGGTGCAACGGAGATGGACAATACCTGGGAGGAGGACTGGCCGACCTTCTTTGCTGAGCGCCGCATTGGGGACATTGTGAAGCGGATTGGGGATAGCGGATTGACGGAGTTGGAACAGCAGCTGAGAGAGCACGTCTACCCACTTTTGCTTGAGCCACTCAAGGATGTCAAGCCGACGATCTTGCACGGAGATCTATGGGGCGGCAACTACATCGTGGATGAGAGGGGTCAACCTTTTGTTTTCGACCCGAGCGCCTATTATGGACAGTGAGTAGGCGCGAGATCTCGAGAGGACGAGCTTCTTGCTGACACTGCTACTCCCACCTCACCTGCCCGCAGCAACGAAGCCGACCTAGGCATGACTACCTGTTTCGGCGGGTATTCAAGCGCATTCTACGAGGCGTACCATAAGATCATCCCCAAGGTGGAGCCATACTACGAGCAGCGTATTCAACTTTACGCCCTCTTCCACTGGCTCAATCATGAGCTTATGTTCGGGGCATACCGATCGACTGCGGTCAAGAGTGCCGAGGGCCTGATCGCTTGGGCGAAGAAGGAGGCGGCAACAAAGAGCCGGAAGGCTGAGTTGTGAGCCTGAATGTACAACATGCAATTCACTTGAAGGTCTATGCATGACCTATTCGCGCGTCACTCCCTCTTCCCCAACGTATCCCCTCGCCACACCACCCCTCCCCTCCTCCATGACACTCGGCTCATCCATGCCCAGACGCTGCTCCAACCCTTTCCAACTCCTTCCGCCCACATGCGCCGCATTCGCCGACTCCAGCACGCGAGTGAGCTGACCATTCGCTCCAGATCGGATGGTGACTGTCCCTGTTCCTGCATCGACACCGTCGAGCTGCTCAGGCTGCTGATCCTCCTCATCAGGGCGACCGAAGCGGCGTCGTGAGACGTACTTGCCCGTAGCAAGGGAGAAATGCGGTGCTTCGTCGTCGTCGCTGCCCTCGTCTTCACCAGCATCCTGTTCCTTCGCAACCCCTCTCCTCGCTCTCCTCTCCTGCTCCCTCCCGACCTCACCCCTGACCCTGTCCATACCCAACACGTACTCCCCTTTCGCCCATTCAGTGGCACCAGCCTCCTCCCCTCGCAAGGCGAGCAACATCTCCCACGGCGTGACAATTGGTCTCAAAAAGTCCCGCGAGCTATGTGTCTGCCTGACACCACCACCGTCCGCGCCCGCTGCGTCCAGCAATGCATTCTCGTGGCAGGCGAGAAGCACGAAGACGTCGACTTCCTGAAAGTTGGCCAATTTGGCCGGGTTGAGCTTGCCGACTGAGATGGTGTACACTTTGCGACGTTTGGATGTGAGCAGGGAGCGAAGCGACTTGAGCAGTGGTAGATAGGATTTGACGCCTAGCGTGCCGACGAGTAGGGCAACGACGCTTGCGTCACGCGCCTTAGAGAGAGCGAGGTATCGGCGGGCGAGGAGACGATTTGTGGATCGCGTGTTGACGCGAACTGCGCTTGGTGAGGAGGTGGAAGGGTCTATTGCGAGGATGGGAAGAGAAGGGCCGGAGCGCAGGATAAGATTCGTCAGAGCGAGGGACTCGCCGCCAAGGTAGAGGAGGAGGGCGTCGCTTGAGGGAGGCTGGTCCTCGAGGCCGGTGGAATCGGAGTCCACGGGTCCGCGGCCATTGAGGTTGCCATTGCCTGTGCAGCTCGTAGCCGCATCCATCCGATTACAGGGCTCTGAAATGCTACCGCAGCATCCCACTGCGCCGTTCAGGTCTGTCGGCCCACTCTGCTTCTCGCCCTCGCCATCTCGCTGTTGCAGCTTGTCCTCGAAGTTTGTCCGTGTATCGAGGTGTGTCATGACTAGAGGTGGCGATGCGTTGCTGCTACTGCTCCCCGGCCCAATTTCCTGCCATATATCCGTCATCCTTCTGAATATGTCCCCAGCAACATGCGCATAACCCACGTCGTATACGAGCCGGACTGTCCTATCCTTGGCCTCGTCACCCATTCCCTCAAGCTCCTCCCTCGCCTTTCCACACAGCTCCTTCGCGATTTCCGCCACGCTAACTGGAGGTATCAGGGGCAGCTTGGGGAACACGTAGATGACTGGCAATCGAGCAGTGGGCGAGAGGCATGCATGACCATAGTGCACCACCACGTCCGCTGAGACGTGCGCAGCGGCTACTTCGTCTACGCAGCAGCTGTGGGCGCGGTGCGGACGGTCAGCCACGGACTCAGCGGAGACGAGGTAGAGTCAACACTTACTTTCCGTAGCTTGTATCAGCCAGAATGTACATCTCCGGCAAACCCTCTCCCTCCCCTTTCCTTTGCTCCTCTAGCTCGCGCTTCAACGCCCAAAAAACGGCCACCGAGTCCGGGAGCCCCTCGTCAGAAAATTGTAGGGCCACCCTCTTGAAGCCCCCTTGCCTCAGCTTGTCGGCTGTGCTGGGTACATCGTAGAGGTCGCGGATGATGGCTGCCCGACTGGAGGACGAGGAGGAAGAGGCGCCGGCAGAGGTGGAAGAAATGAGGCGCTCGTCCAGCTCGGGCACATGAGTCAGAATGGCTTCGTCTGCGTGCGAGAAGGCGGACGTCGCTGCGGGTGGAATCGTGGATGATGACGGGGATGACATGCTAACGATGGGCGGAATTTGCCCACTTTTGATGTCGGGCGAGTGATGGTGGAGAGAAAGATCGAAGTTGCATGGAGCGCTCAAATTTCAAAGCGAAAGAGCACGGAGAGACGCAAGACGGACTGCCGGTCGAGGCGCTGAAGGGCGGACTGGCGGATCCAGGATACGAAAGAGGCTGCGAGTGGCGAGGACGTCCAGGACGACACCAAGGTCGTGGAAAAAGATTGGACAGGAAATGCAGAACAATGCTAAGAGGTGTCCACAGTTCAAGGCTCACTGGAAGCTCCAGTATTCTCTCCGTCCCTGCAGCACTACGCCCGGACCCACCTCCCCTCCAGCTCCATAATGCTCACGGGCTCCCCCGACTTCTCGTCATAATCTGTCCATTCGCCTCCATCGAACTCCACCTCGTCAAACTTGCTCAGCTTGCTACCCTCCCCCGTACCCTGACATGACCAGATGCCCTCTGGCTCAAAGCCGATGATGTCCATTCCGCGCACGTCGAGGGTGCAGATGGGTGCCCAGACGGGGCCGGAGTCGGGTGAGGGAGAGTAGGGACGCCAGAGCGGGGCTTTACTGGTGGGCTGAGGGAAGGCTATGAGTGTACGGGTGAGAAGGAGAAGTCAGTGTGATTGTCCTATCAGCCCGTGCTCGCATCGGCCTCGGCCTGGTCGTGGAAACGCACTGGCTGATGACTCCCTCTTGCAAAACTGCGAGCGCAGCAAGAGAGGAGGATGAAGAAGTTATTAGCTCCGAACTGCGGTCTCCTTGGTCCTCATCGTGGGCCACTCACACTGCAGCTCATCACAAAATCAGCCGTCCCTCGTCCTCCCTTCATCTCAATCTCAGAGCCAGGCGTGATGCCTACCAGCTTGGGGTGCTCCTCATGACATGAATTGCACTTCGTTCTAGCAGAGCAAGCGAGGGGCATGAAAATGAGCGATGGCCCTTTGATCGCAAGAGGGACGCCTATCTTGAGAAGTTGATAGAGCGCACCCACCTTACCATTAACGTGTAATCGTCACTTGCCGGACGAAGGGCTGTGACGTTCTCCAATTGGGCGCGAATTTCGAGGGCGAAGAGCTGCAGGCGACGTCAAGGAGGAGACTTTCAGTCAGACAATCATCGTGATCTTCTCAACTTTCTGGCTCACTCACAGGCATGCTGATTGTGATGGAAGGAAGGAAAGAAGTTCAGGACGCTGCAGCTCGACGGCCGCCGCACGACATCAATCGAGAATTGTCCTGGCCCAAGCGCTTCCCCCTTCGACCACGTGGAACTCTCTCGCCGCCTTATCGCAATCGCGGAGCTCGAGTATGCCCGGAGATGGCCGCTTAGGTCAAGCTCGAGTCCGGTTGCGCCTGCGCCCTGCCATCCACTTTCCTCCCTCAACGACAACACCAATAATTCACAACACCATGACAATCGTCGCTAGACAATCACTTCGCAGCAGCGCATACAGAATCGTAGCACAAAGCACGCACAATTATTGCCCACGCCGCACATATGCTCAGCCCATCGGAGCCTCCACAAGCGTCGATGCACGATGGGGTACTCAACCACCGCCACCACCTCAGCCTGGAGCTGAAGCATCCTCTTCGTCCTCAGCATCATCATCAGCATTCGTCGTCCATCCTAGACCAGACAACCCGAATGATCTGTCCGATCTGCTCCGCGACCTGGGCAAGCAGCAAGGGAGCTCTGGCTCCACTTCACGCAGTGGCGGGAGAGAAGGCACATTGCAGAGCGTCAAAGGTACGGCGATTCCTCCTAATGGGCCGCAGCGTCGCACTACAGGGGTTCCTACGGATGACTTGCCGCTGATGCCTGGGGAGCAGCGTAGTGATCCAGTGAATGCAACACCCATTGACAGGGAGCACCCACACAGCATCGACTCGCTGCGTGGACGCAACGAGCTAGACGAGCGCGTCCTCAATGCAGCGCGAGGCGTTCACGCATCAGGACAAGGAGCCGGGCTGCGTCAGCTCGGGCAGCTATTCGAACAGGAGGCGGGGCGAGTCTTGCCAATCGAGCTTCCTTATGAATCGGCTCCCGCAGATGATCGCAGAGTCCTCGTACCACGGACGGATGCGAATCAGTCGCCACACGTCCCGCCGGAGGTGACCGATGACGATGGTGTTCTGCTCCTCGCCTACGTCGAAGACGTCACAGCGCCTCGTGGTCAGGAGAAGATCTCCGTCTGCACCGGCTTTGCCGTTGAGGGCGGGTCGGAGCTATCGCAGGTCGCACAGGGCGAGGCAGAAGGGCACCTTGTCGTCACAGTTGCACACACGCTGCGCAGCGCCTTTGCTGCCAAGACGTCTCAGCAGGGACAGGATCAGTCAGCAGCCATTGCAATTACTCGACGGGGCAACGTCTACCCGGTGCAGACGTTACTTTCCAGCTTGCCCAGCTCAGACTTGGTCCTGCTCAGAATCGCCAAGGAGCCGCTGCCCGTGGGAGGCGAGGCGGCACAGTCCTCAACAGCAGCAGCATCGTCAACGCCAGCTCTGGCGCCCAAGACTCTTCCAATCTCCCCCTACCCCTCTTCCGCCAACTCTCACCTCCTCGTCTCCTCCTTCTGGGGCTTCGAAGACGATTCAGCCTGCTCCCTCCCCGCCTTCTCTTACTCGCCTTCTTCCTCACCCTCTCTCACTCTTCTACCTTCGTCCTCTTCTTCGTCACCAGCCGGGCGTTCTGCCTCGCAAGTCAAGAGCGAGGGGGACGCCATGACTCAGTCACGCTGGGGGGAGGTTAGACTCGTGGAGTACAGAGACGGGAAGGGCTCTGAGGCGCAGACGGGGACATACGACTCGCTGGAGACAATGGAGTATAAGCTAGTCAGGGAGTCGAGGATCAATCCAGCTGTCTTGAGAGGAGAAAGCGTAAGCGCTTTTGTTCCCGGGGCAGCTCAGCCCGACAGCACCAGTCAAGACGGTGCCTTGAGTAACGCCACCGGTAGCTCCACCTCAACACGAGGCATAGGCGGATACGGCGTACCAAACTTTCCTCCACCCGGCTCGTCTGGCGGGCCAATCGTTGACGCTCAATCCGGCGCTGTGGTCGGCGTCACGCGGGGATGTAAAATGTCGACTGTAGGAGGAAGGAGAGGCGAGGGGATCCCGTCGGAGAAGATCTGCGAGTTCTTCACCTTGCCTGGGATGGGAAAGAAGGTTAAGAAGTGAAGGGGGCTAGCCGGATGAAGGCGGCCAGCGAGGAGGAAGGGGAAGATGAAAAGGAGCCGTGATTGCGTAGCAGCATGGCGTAGCATAGCATGGCATGGCAAGCGCAAGAGTAGATGGCGAACCGCGGCATTTGTTGTCCCACCCGCGGAGCTGGATGCTCCATCGTGAGAAATCAATTGCAGGACCGACCTCCCCTTGCCCAGTCGAATCTTACCCGTACACCGCCATCGGTCTCTAACCCATTGCCAAATAAGACTCAGATCTCCACTCCAAGTGATCAACTTTCTCAGACTGACACCCGTTTTGGATCGATCTCTCCCACGAAATGACGATCATTCATCACGCAGCGCGCTCGACCCTGCTCATCTCGGCCCCTCTGTGCCTTTAGTCTGAGCGCAGTGGCCACGCTCAGACATATGCACAGCATGTCGACAGGCCCACAAAGAGGGACTGGCGCTGCCGCTCGTGTGCTCCCAGGGAGGAGCTAGAGCGTGGTCTTGCTTGCTTCTCCCCTATCTGCGACAGTCGCCTACGAAACGAGACCACAGATGGGGGCGGGTCCCGCTTGCTCTCCACGCTCAGAATCGCCCGCCCGCGCTGACCTCTCGCGAAGCCTAATGTGGGGTAGAGTGGCGCAGTGCCTCGCAGCTGCTGAGCCAGAAGATAGAACTGCCCTCTCTTGCCCTCTGTTGCTCTCCTTCGAGTGGCCACCGCCGCTGCTGCCGCCCGCTCAGACGACAGACGATCGACGAGACGACGCCTCATGGCGCTTCGGCGCCCGGGTCCAGACTCACCCTCGCTCACTTGCATCTCGTCCTGGATCTAAAGGTCGCCGACGACACACGACTCTGCCTAGCATCCTCCCCACCACAATCACCACCACCTCATCTCGACGACTCGGACCGTCCGGCCCGCGACCACTGTACCGCCACTGTCCTTCCATCAAATCATAGACACACGCTCTCGAGTTCCAGAGGACGGCCCACCTCGCCGTTCGCCATTGACGTCACGAGGTCTCGCGGGCGGAGCACCGGGACGGCTCATTATTCGATCCTCACCACTCATCATCCGCCAAGTAGCTAGTCAGGAACGACAAAACCCACGCCAATCGACCCTTTCAGGCAAGCCAAGCCTCCATCTCGACGCAGCTCTTAAGTCTCTCTGCCTCAACTACCTTGCTCGTCTCGAGCTTCGATCCTCGCCGCTCTCCACAACCAGCTTCTTGCCCCGTCAAGTCTCATCTGCCTCTCCTGCTGCTTGCAAGGAGGGTGATCCGGCAGCCGCGAATGCTCAAGGTGAGTGAGTGAGCGAGCGAGCGAGCTGAAGGGCGACGTCGTTGCTCTCAGTCCATCGTTGTGCGCATGACCCCGCTGACCTGTACGGCTCGTCGCTGCCGAAATCGTTAACAGGGCGTTGCATCCACGTATACCTGGAGCCAGGTGAGCATACTACATCCACTCTCTGCTTTGCGACCAATCGATCAGCTCACCCTCGCCATCCTTTCTCGCCGCGCAGTCTGATCTCGAAGACTTGGGCCCACCATCCAGCTCCACTAGAGCTCAAAAGCCAGATGCTTCTCAAGTACCCTCGTCGTCTGCACACCAGCAGTCCCTCTCCATCTCACTAGACTTTCTTAAGCACGGAGGAGACGAATCCGACAGCCATCAGGCACGCAAAGAGACTCATCGAGCTGTCGCGCCACCATCGCCATCTGCAGCCTGGCAAGCGTCGCCTAGACCGACGTCCCTCTCCCGCCACCTGTCGAACAAGGCGATCAACCAGCAGCAATCAGTGCCAGGTAGCATTCCCATTGGAGGCGGCTACTCTCCTTCATCTAACCAGCACTCAGCTGGTAGCCCCTTCTCGAGCGGTCACAGCGACGCTCACTCGCCTTGGGCAGTCGGCGGCGAGCACAGCCAGAGCTGGTATCGACGTACATCCAATCTAGTAGAAGCTTCAGACCCAGTCGTCCTCTCCAGCTCGCAGAGGAGCAACCGCGATCGATCCCTTTCTCGTGGCTCAGCTTGGCATCAAGAAGGTAGTACGAACGGCAACAGCAACGGCATCCCAGCCTTTGGGACCTCACCCCACTCGGTAGACGCAGACTCCAAGTCAGTCAGCGGCTTCCCTGGTTCAGTCGACAGCCCAGCTTCAGACTCCTCCCACAAGTTCTGGCCTCCCGACGTCCGCAGAGGCCATTTGGCTCCAGCCCTTCTGCGGTCACAGAGCAGCAACGCTACCAGTAGTAACGGCTCTTTACGCGGTATGGCTGCCAGCCCCAATCTGGGCTTCGTCCCCTGGGCACTCAATGCCCCAGACCCGATCACCCGACAGTCAACGGACGGCTCGTCGGGTCGCTCAGCATCGCAACAGAATCGCCGCGGGCCGAGCCCATCGCGGAGTGACGCTAGAGACTACACATCGTCGCCTCGTGTTCTCGAGACCATGCCGGAGGGTATCGAACACCACGCCATCTCGTCGCTCGGCATTGGAGAGCAGAACCAGCAGAGCTATCATCCCGCTCGCTTGCGTCAGCGCTCTTCATCCAGCGCGGCAGCCTACGGCGACCCTCACGACCACGCTCTAGCGCAGCACCAGTACCAGCCGCAGATCAGCCCGCGCGTCGGTGACGGAGTACGTCGTCCTGCTTTTGCAGACTGGCCATCCCCTGTCCGGCAGCATAGGGAGCTCAGCAGCAGTGGGGGCGCTGGTGGTGGCGGAGTTGGTCACTCCTGGGAGGATGGAGGAGGGGAGACAGCGCGTCAGAGCCCTGTAGAGCGAAGGTCTGCTCTGGCAGGATACGGAGACCATCCTGCTACGTACCAGGACAGGCATGGTCCTTCCTTTTTTGGCAGCGAATCGCGCAGGCACTCATTCAGCACACCAGCAGACTCGGCCCTTGGGGCCGGCGCCATGGGGTACGGCCCTGCGGCCAGCCGACGTGCGGTGGGCTTCGAGCCTGTCGCCGAGTCTAGTGGACCTACTAGAAGCGCCTCTCTGGATCGCGGAGGTCTAGCATATCTGGAGTCAGAGACGCCGCGCGCACCAGACCGTGCTGGGAATCAGGGTTTCTCAGAGGACGACCTCACGACCGACCTTGGCCAGCTGAACGCTGAGCTTGACAAGATCTCGGCAGAACAGCAAGAGTTTGATGCTCGAGCCGCGCGAGGCGCGACTGCAGGTGGTGCCGGCATTGGCATCGGCATGCGCGTCCCATCCTCTCAAGCAGCTGCTACTGGGGTTCATGCTTCGTCGATGCCTCCCCTCTTCGGTCAGCAGTACGGCTCGCCTCCCGACTGGGCTTCGGTCATCTCTGACGAGGCCAACGGTGGTAGGTGGCGACGTGATGGTGCTGATGAGGGGCATCGTGCTCATTATCCGCCTAGCAAGAGTCGATCCGCATCAGTTGGGCCTCGAGCCTCGTCGCCGACGAGCAGCGGGATGGGGAGTATACCCAGAGACATTCAGCGTCATCGCGCTGACAGCGCTTCGGTTGCTTCAGTCGGGAGTGGAAATGGATTCGGTCTTTCGCCAAATGCAAAGGCTTTCGCGGTAGGAGGAGGCGGACCGGGAAGTGCTTGGGCGAATCAGCAGCACCACCACCACCACCACCAGCAGCAGAGCATTCCCTTCGGTGCCTACCCCCAGCCAACGTCCCCTTTCCCACATATCAACCACCAGCAACAGTCGCATCACGTCGCGCAGCCTCACCCTTATGGAGGGCAGCAGCCGCCGCAGCTTAGCATGGCCCCACCACCGCCATCTGGCATGCTCAATGAATGGGCTCTTCACTCTCTTGCCACCCTCGCCCCCTCGGCAGGCGGCGGAGCTGCAGCACCGGGTACGCCAGGCTTTGCCCCTCCTCCAGGCTCAAGCAACGCGGGCCCCTCCACCTTACAGGACCTCGGAAGGGGCGTGCCCCTGTCCAATCTGCCACTCGATACCCGTCTATACATTGTCGGCTTCAAGCAGGGGAGGACAGACCTATTTTTCAAGCCTCTGGAGGCGATGCGCGCTGATGGGGAGGTGATCCGCAGGGACGACCTGGTAATCGTGGAGGCGGACAGGGGTAAGGACGTGGGACGCGTGCTCAACGATGCGCTCACAGTGGAGTCTGTGAGGAATTTCATTGCGGTGCAAGCCAATGAAGCGGCTGGTGCGAGCGCGCCTAGCAGTGGTGGACCAAGCACGCCAGGACTACCAGGAGCCGCATCCGCTGGTACCAACCTCACCAACGGCCCTGCGCCATCCGCCGCTTCGTCTCTGGGCAGTCGTGCAGCCATCGCCGCACGTTCCATCAACCCTAAGCGCCTCTACTCCAAGGCCTCTCCGAGCGACACCTCTCTACTCGCCTCCAAAGCCGCTGACGAAGAAAGAGCGCTGGCCATGTGTATTGCCAAAGTCTCAGCCCGCAACCTCCCCATGCGCGTTCTCGCCGCCGAGCTGCAGTGGGATCGTCGCAAGCTGACCTTCTACTACACGGCGGCGAGCAGGGTGGACTTTAGAGCGCTGGTGGCGGACCTGTTCAAGATTTGGAAGCTGAGGGTCTGGATGTTTGACGTGGGCAATCGGAGGGATCAGAGGGATTGGTTGAATCTGGGAGGGGGCCCTCAGATGCCAGGACAGGGCATGGGGATGATGCAGCAACAATCTTATCAGACTGGGATGGGGATGGACGGTGGCGGTGGCCAGCCGAGACAGGTGCCAGACTGGGGTGTACCGCTCGAAGGTACTGCGGGCTCGTCGGCAGGGCGTGTTCGGTAGAGGAGGAAGAAAAGATACTACATTGCAGACGCAAGCGCGCACAAGGGAGCTTTATTGGAGTAAGCTGCTCATCCGTACGATGTGTAGCTCGGTCACGATACCATTCGACGCCTCTTGTCTCTCTTTGTACGAGTACATCCGATGCGACTGCCTTTACACATCGTCATCGTCGCGCTATCTCGCCCGCCCAAGCTCGCGCCCTCTTTTTCCTTGTCATCGCTCCATTCATCGATACATTGCGTCGCTACCTTAGCCAACACCCCTTCTCTCTCCTGCTTTTCCTCCCTCACTCACTCACTCACTCACTCATCATACAACTTGTTCGTCATCATCACATTGATTGTCAATTGAACGAGGTGAGCGTAGCATCGGTGTATCGGCCCGCCCTGGTCCATCGTCGCGAGTCCTAAATCGCGCTGCGCTGCCCTGCGCTCCCTCTCTGTGTGTTGGTTTCTGGTGGGCGTCGACCCTGACCCCGGCTAAATGGCGCGGCGCGGCGGGCCAGAGCAAGGAGAGAGAAGTGACGACTTACTCGCCTTGGCAAGCGCCCCACATGAGCAGCAGCTGCGCAGCAACACAGCTGTCGCGGGACTTGCGAAGGCGAAGGCGAAGGCGGCGAAGTCGAGTCGAGCGGCACGGGGAGCAAGGCGAGGAGGAGACGCTTGATTGATTGCCTTTGGTCCGTCATTGCCCTCTCTTCTTGCTTGCCTTCATCTCTACCCTACCGATATTCCTCCCACCAAACACGACACAACACGCTCGCACATATCCGCCCTCGCCCCCTCTCCTTTGCTTGCTCTCGGGATCCGTGTCAGCATCACCTTGCACCCAAAGTCGACATTGCCGCTGCCAGACTAGTGCTTGCTCCTCGCCGGCAGATCAGCTATCCCGCTAGTCTAGCGTAACGGAGCATCGCTTCGCGCCTCCTCTCTTTTTTCTATTCGTAGTGCAGCTGTCGATCCCACGATCTCACGATCCCCGACGATCATCACCACCACCGACGACTGAGCAGCAGCCCCGCGCAGCCTCGGCTCACCTCCTCTCCTTCATCTTTCCCTTACCCTTCAACGCCGCTGCCGGCCAGCCAAGAAAGAGATCCGAGCGCAGCTGCCGCTGCTGTCGTCGCTGTCGCCCTTTCTCTTCTTCGCCTTCATCATCAAGGAGGACAACGTCCGACCCGCTCGGCCAATTTGATACCGCTACCCCTCGCCCTCGCGCGACATACCCACTCGTCATCATCATTGGCCATCTCGCTCAACGCAGCGTGATCGGTGGATCTTGACGCTGCCTCGCGATCAGCGACCTCGTCAATCTTTACCTCTTCACCGTCTGTCGTAGCTGTGCCCAGCATGGCGGCTGTAGCAGCGGCAGCTTCGCCCTCACCATCACAGCACGGCCAGATGCGCTCCACGTCGAGCCCACGTTTTCCCGATCATCACCAACAGCAGCACGGCAACAGCCACGACTCAGAGTTGACTGCCGGCCTTGGCCCACACACGCAGCCTCAAGCCTCAAGCTCGACGAGCTCCCTCTCGCGGTCCTCCTGGCAAGCAGTCAATGCCAGTGAAGCCGGGCCGCGAGCGGGCTCGTCCAATGATACCCATCAACACCAGCAGCATGCAGTCCCCGCCGCCGCTTCGGCAACGAGTCTCGAGGACACTCTCACCACAGAAGATTTCACCGACGTCAACTGCGGAGGATGCGGCCTAGCCATCAACGAAGACTCGGCAGACGCAGGCGTCGTCCACTTCGCGACATCCCTCTGGCATCTCGAGTGCTTTCGCTGCGCCAAATGCCACGAGAAGGTCAGCACGGATCGCGACGACATCCTGTTGCTATCGGATGGCCACCCTATATGCGGGCGATGCAACTACTCGTGTCAAATCTGCGGACTGCCCATTCTCGAGGAGGCAATCATGACCGGCGAGGAGTCGTACCACGCCTCTTGCTTCACCTGTCGGTCCTGCAATAGCCGGATCGAAGAGCTCGTGTTTGCAAAGACGAGTCAAGGTATCTACTGCATGCCTTGTCACAATGAGAGAGTTGCTCGCAGTAGGAGGCATGCGGACAACAAACGGAGGACGAGGAACAAGGATGGGACCTCAAGAAGAAAGAAGGACAGCAGCGCTGTTCGAGACGGAAGCTCCGCAGCACAGAACGGCGAGACGAGTAGTAGCAGCATCCGCAGTCCTCAGCCCGAGAGCTCGCCTGCAGTACTGGCACCACCGACACCTTCGCCTCGTAAGGCATCGGTAGGGCTGCCTGACTCAACACCGACGATGTCCTCCTTCGAAAGCTCAGCGCCTCCCACACCACTGGCCGACTCAGGACGAAGCAACGTCTCCGAGAATCCACCGCCAAGCAGTCCTAGCCCCACTCCACCTCCGCCCAACCCCAAGGACTCTGCTTCCCCGGCCTTGACCCAGTCTTTCAGCCAACAATCGCATCATACACCATCCCCGTCCATCGGCAGGCCGAGCGGGCAGCCTACGTTGCGTGAGCTGCGAAGCGGGACTCATCCGCGGCCAAGGACGGCAGATTCCAATTCCAACATCAGCCGTATGGCACCGTCGCCCTTGCCGAGACCACCGACCAGCGAGTCGAGTCACTTGGAGGCTACCGCCGACTCGTTCAGCTGCAGAGGCGGTAGAGCTTCTGTTGACGAGCAAGTGAAAGGATCAGCGTCTACCGACTCACACTCACGAGAGGCAGCAGCTGCAAAGTCAAGCCCGGCGCCCACATCGTCGAAGAGTGCCTTGCCAGTCGGGCTTGGCATTGGACCTACCGATGAAGCAAAAGAAGCGCAAGATACTCCCACCAGGACCAGCGTGGCTGAACCCGCTAAAGTCGACGCAACCCCAACGAAGCGAGGCAATGAGGGGAGCTCATCTACACATGCTGCGGCCTCAGACGCCGAGTCTGATACGGAGCCTGCAGGCTTGAGCGCAGTTCAGGTCAAACGAGCGTCAAAGCTCTCATTCAAAGACCCCGGCTCGCACCTTGATGTCGGAGGGCCGGGGATGATCGCAAAGGCCGACTTCTTACAACCTATGCCCATTGCGACCACTTCGAAGTCACAGCATCTGCAGCCAACACCGCCTGGGACGACCGATGCGCCTCTCGCTGGCTCTTTCTCCTTCTATGATCCTGACCTGATGAACTTGATGGACACGTTCGGGCAATTCGACAGCTCGGACGGCATCCAGCTTTCGAGCCCGATGATTGGCGGGGATCAACACAACGCTGATGTAGATGGGCCCGGCTCACCCTCGCCTTCGTCTCGTGAGCGCGACTTAGCAGAGTCCACCGGGCGAGCATCCGTGTCATCTAGCAGAGACGGCTCTGCGGTCCCCGCGAGCTCCTCGATTACCACTCTGCGAGCCCGCGTCCGCGAATCGCTGAAAGCGTCAGACGACGGCCGGGTAAGCATGGACACGTCCTTCATCGAATCGATCCTACAGGAGCTCGAGGACACCAAAGCGCAGATGAAGACGCTCCAGCACAAGTATCAGCGCATGAAGCGTGCAAGCCAACAGGCGGCGCAGGGGTTCAGCCACGCCAAGACTGAGTTCGAACAGCAGGTCCACGCTCGCGAGGATGCAGAACTGCAGATGCTTCAGCTCAAGCAGCAGTTGTCGGAGCAGGCTAGCAAGCTGACCAGTGTGGCGAAGCAGGAGCAGAGGCAGGAGAGGATGGCGAACAGGTCAAAGGACGTCAAAACTTCTCTCGAGGACATGACAAGGGATCTCGCCAAGCTGACCGTGGAGAGGGATATGACAGTAGCTGAGGTGGCTGAGCTGATTGCGATGCAAGACGGACGTGCGCCGCTGCCTCCCTCCAAGTCAACAGAGCCCACTAGCCGTGGTGAGGGGAGCGGTGCGGGCGACGAGTCGTCGAAGAAGACTCTGCAGTCACGCTTGAGCGTTCGCTTGGACGGTGTCAAGGCCAAGTATCGAAAGGAGATCAACGACCTGACGAATCAGAGGGACGAGCTGCTACTGGAGATTGAGGACCTCCGTCAGTCGCGCGACGTCTACCTCGAAGAGACAGAGGCGCTCAATACGCGAAATGAGGAGCTCAATCTGCTCCTCTCCAAGCTTCAGAATCGCGTCGAGTCGTTGACCGCTGCTGAAATGGCGGCGCAGAGTGCAAGAGAAGCGAGCAAGTCATCGCCAGCTCGGCCCGGCAGCAATCTGGCCCTGCCCAGCCCAGGGCACCTTTCGTCCTCTTCAGGCGTATCGACAGCCGCAGCGCCGAGCAGTACCAAGGGATCCTGGTTCGGTGGGCGCAGCAAGCAGTCCTCTCAGACATCCTCCCTCAGCAACCACCACCACACCTCTTCTTCAATCTCGTCAGCCAGAGACCTACCTGGCTTCCAAGATCGCAACGCAGCAGGTGGGGGTGGCTCCTCTTCCCTCGGCATCGACTCAGACCAAACGTCCACGACCTCAGCATCAGGCGCGGCACGGGGCGGACTGGCATTCCCGCCTCACCAGGCCGCAATGGCTCGAGCAGAAGCAGCGGCTGCGGCAGCGGCAGCGATGAATGCTACGTCCTCTGCTGCAGCCAAGAAGTTCAAGTGGATGAAGGCGGGAGCCAAGAGCGCGGGACAAGGAATTGCATCAGCCCTCCCTGGCGTCCACTCTCCGCCTGTTCCGCCCAAGTCGTCAGCAGTCCCGCTAGGCAGTGTCGCAGGTGGTGGTTCGTCTATGAACGGTGGCTCCTCGATGGCCGGTGCATCCATCACCGGCGGCTCTGGCTCTGGCGGGGGCTCCAACGGCAACGCTCTGGTAGCGAATGAGGTCGTTGTACGCGAGCACTTGTTCCAGCCCTTCAACGTCCTCCGCCCAACGCGCTGCTTTGCCTGTCAGAAGAATATGTGGGGACAGAGCGAAGTACGATGCGCCCTCTGCGGTCAAGTCTGCCACAGCAAATGCTTGAACAGCCTATCCCTGTCCTGCCATCAGCCTTACCTTGGTGCGGGCACTGGATCTGGAGGGCCGAGCATGGGTCTGGGAATCGTCGCCGCCGATGGGGGCAGCATGAACGGTCAAGGCAGCGTCATTGGAGGCGGCGAGCTAGCCCCAACGATCTTCGGGCGCTCCCTCATTGACCAAGTCGCATCAGAAGGGCGGCCAGATCTCTCTTCGCCATTGGTCCCTGTGATCGTTCTCAAGTGCATTCAAGCAGTCGAGGTAAACGGCATGGACTTCGAAGGGATCTATCGCAAGTCTGGAGGTTCGTCACAGCTCAAGATCATCACGCAATTGTTCGAGCGTGGACAACGCTTCGACCTCGACGACTGCGATCGATTCAATGATGTGTCGGCCGTTACTTCCGTACTCAAGAATTACTTCAGAGAGCTGCCCGAACCGCTTCTCACGTACGAGCTGCACGAAGCATTCATTGAGGCTGCGGAGACGAGTAGTAGCAGCGCACAGCAGCACGCCGATGGGGATGCCGGTTTGAGCTCGTCAATGGTCGGCCGTGCTGACGGGGAGGATGGCTCGGTGGCTACCACTCCCTCCTCGAGCAAGAAGGAGCGCATGCTTCATCTCATTCGTCAACTTCCGGCTCCTCACCACGACACGCTCAAGGTCCTCTGTCTCCATCTCAAGCGCATTGGCGATCGTCAGGCTGAGAATCGCATGACGGCCCGTAATCTTGGCGTCGTCTTTGGGCCTACGCTGATGCGCAGCAGAGACCCGTCGAGGGAATTTGCGGACATGGGCCAGAAGAGTATCACGGTTGAGTGGTTGTGCGAGAATGCCGAGGCTGTCTTTGGCAGCGAGTAGTGGAAGTCAAAACAGGCGATGGGATCAGGGTAGCTGGGCATTTCTTTCTGTATTCAAAGGCTCTCTAATCGTGGACTCTTCTCGCTCGTTGACGAGCTCAGGCTCGCTCATCTTTCACTTGATTCCGCTGCCGCCGCTCTGTGCGAGCTGTCAGTCATTTCAATGATAATCCATCCGTTCTTTGATCATCTTCGTGAGCATCACGTTGTTGTTGTTGCTGTTCAGCCAGGCGGGGTGCAGAGTGCTTTCGTTAACCGTGCGTCCGGGACACGAGTGTTGTTCTCGCTCCCACGTCGAGCGGAGATCCATCTCCCGCATTCGGGATCAGGGTGAGGCATGAAGGAGGAGAAACATCGGGCTCAGAGTTGAAGCGAGAGAACAGGGTGGCGGTTGGTCGCGCTCACGAACGGCTCTTTAATCGCTCGTTGATGCCAGCCTGACAGCAAAGGCAAGCAGATCGCTTCTCGGGAGCAGCGTAGGAGGTTTTTCAAACGAATTAATCAAGCGGGATCGGGTGGTAGCATTCAATGAATGGACAACAGCAAGTGCTAGTCGCCTCCGACGTCAATCCATGGTCAAGGGAGAGGAGGCGTCGCCTGCTTTTTGGGTTGCGTGCCCAGCTCCTTGCCGCTCTCTCTCTCACTAAGCGCACAGCCCCCGTTGGCTGTGGGCCGACCGAGCGCTGACTTGGCGGAAAAGAGAAGAGGCGGCGGGCGAGAGTTGAGCACGATAGACGCGGCGCGGCCTGCGACCAGCCGGAGCCAAAAGTGCACAGAGGCATCGGCGGCCTGTGTCCGCCGCCATGAGTTGAGCAAGGCCAGGATTCGCCCCCGCTCCTGGACCCGGTGTCAGTTGGTCGTCTCGGTGGCATTGGTCAACCTTGCTTGTGAACCTTCAGCCCCCTCGCTCCCCAGCGCAGCTAAAGTGGCAGCGGCCTCGTGCGCAAACAACGTTCACTACTCTCTTCTTTTCTCTTTCATCACCATCGCCATTGTTGCCACCATCTCGCTGCCCCCTCTGTGCCATTGGGCTCTCCACACTCTTCCACTCTTCCAACTCTCGTCACCTAGAAGACCTTTTCCTTCTTCAGGATCGCGGTAACATTCTAGCGTCGCGGCCGTAAGTCGCACCACACGTCTACGCCTCCATCATGCCACCCGCTTCGGTTCTCGAGTCGTTTATTCGACGTCCGCAGCGCCTCATCTTCCTCATCACAGCCTTCCTCCTTCTCCTCTCCTTCTCAACATGGCTGTCTCTCTCGCCCACCGCAACGGACAGGGTGCGAACCCAATGGCAGTCACTACCCAGGCCGTGGCAGCAGAGCGGCGCAGGACAGAGGCTGCCCTCTGACGTGACCTCGTCTGTCGAGGACATGTACAGCTTCGGCCCCAAGGTACCGACGACGCCACAGGAGATGCTGAACTTTGGTCATCAGGGAAGCGATGGCAACGTCTACCCGCCCGAGTTCGTTCCGCAGAAGGTAAGCAGGTGCCAAAACGAGAGATACTGCAAGCTTGGCGCTGACCATCGTCATTCCCCTCCTTGCGACAGGCGAACAAGGCTCCCCGCGCCAAAGCCGGCTTCATCGTCCTCGTCCGTAACTCAGAGCTCGGCAGCATGCGCGAAGCCATGCGCGACGTCGAAGAGAAGTTCAATCGCAAGTACGGCTATCCTTGGATTTTCCTCAACAATGAGCCCTTCACTGAAGACTTCAAGAAGGGCGTCCGCCAGATGACGCGCTCCGAGACGCGCTTTGGCTTCGTCGAGAAGGAGCACTGGGGCTACCCCGAGTGGATCGACCAGAATCGCGCCGCCCAGACTCGCAAGACGATGAAGGACAAGGGAATCATCTACGGCGATTCCGAGTCGTACCGTCACATGTGTCGCTACCAGTCTGGCTTCTTCTGGCGTCACCCCCTCACTATGGACCTCGAGTATTACTGGCGTGTCGAGCCCGGAATCAAGCTCTACTGCGACATCGACTATGACCCTTTCTTGTTCATGCAGATGAATAACAAGACGTACGGCTTCACCATGGCCCTCCATGAGTACTTGGACACGATCCCCACGCTCTGGCAGACGACGCACGACTTTGTCAAACTGAACCCGCAGTACGTTGCCAAGGACAATGGCCTGCACTTCATGACCGACGAGCCTGAGCGCGGAATGGACCCAGGGTACAACCTGTGCCACTTCTGGTCCAACTTCGAGATCGGAGATCTGCGCTTCTGGCGCTCTGAAGCCTACACAAAGTACTTTGATTACCTGGACAAGGCAGGAGGCTTCTTCTACGAGCGATGGGGCGATGCGCCCGTACACTCGATTGCTGCCGTCCTCTTCCTGGACAGGAGTCGCCTGCACCACTTCGACGATATTGGCTACTTCCACAATCCGTGGGGCCACTGTCCGACGAACAAGGAAAAGTACCACGACACGGGAAGGTGCAACTGTGACCCAGCAAAGAGCTTTGACCGTGAGGGGTACTCGTGCCTAAAGGAGGCGTGGAGGACCCTCAAGGAGGGTGAGCCCAAGTGAGCGGGCGAGTGTGGCGGATCGCACAAGGCAAGCATCTTCCCTCCTCTTCCCCTGTTCGGATTTGCACCATCTAAGGATCAGCATTCCCTGCCCCGTCTCCCATATGTATCTACGCACCGGCACACCAGTAACACTAGCAAGCTTCATCTCCTCTCCACACGTCGCTTTTGTGACCGATGGAATCGTTCCAATTAGAAAGATACGCTGTCGATTCTCCTGCGTGCGTGCGTGCGTGCTCGGTAGCCCGTCTTACGCCTGTGTAGCCTCCTCCACGACAGGAGACGGCGCAACCTCTCCCACCCTCCATCTCCTCATGTCCACCACGTCGACGCTCCCCTTCGCATCCTCCTCTTCGCCACCCGCGACAATCTCCGCAGCGGCCGCCTCTCCCTCTGTCTGCCCCTCCCCGCTCCACCACCTGCTCAGAATGCTCTGCACGCTCTCCTCTTCGCTCGATCGCTCAATTCCAGCCGAAGAAAGCAACATAGCGAAGGGCTGCGAGTAGAGCGGGAGAGGAGCCGCTCCAGCAGCAGCTTCTTCAGCAGCAGCCGCGTCCGCTGAGGCACGAATGGCCAGGGTCTCCATCCCCGCTGCTTGACGGGCGAGGGAGCGAGTGAGGGCGCGAAGGGAAGCTGCTGAGCTGCGTGTGGCGATCTGACTTGAGGAGCTAGACGCCACTGCTGCAGGTGTTTGGACCTTTGTAAGCAGCAGCGAGACCACCTTGCCTGCTGCCATCATCTGGCCTGGCCTTTGCTGCTTTCCCGCGCTGGTGCTGCCATGAGCGAACGCCGAAGCTACGACCTTGGGAGGCAGCTTGGCTCCCATATTTGCTCCCCTCGGCGGCAGAAGGATGGCCGAAGCACGGCAAAGGGTGACCTTCTCGCCCAGGCGTGCAACGACATCAATGATAGCCGAGCGGACAGTACGTAACGATCCCGTGCCCGCTGTAGCGGTAGGGTCGGCCGGCATGAGCGGGAAATCCATGAATGCTTGCAAGGGTAGGTCTTGCAGCGTCGAGGTCTTGGACATGGGTGGCAGTCCGGCCAAGGTGGGGAAGAGGGCGGCGGTATGACTGATATCGTTGACGAGCTGGAGGAAGACGTCGTTGCGCGCTACGAAGTCGGTCTCGCAATTGAGTTCTACCAAGCCTCCTTGTGGAGCCGCAGCGTGAGCTCCACTGTCCTGTTGCGCTTCTCCCTGGGGCAGCCCATCGGCAAGTAAGCAGATGCCTACGAGGCCCTCGTTGTTGGTTCGGTCTGCGACCTTTTCTGCCTTCTTTGCCCCGCTCTTGCGGCGGTCCTCGTCTAGCCATTGGAGTGCGGCATGAACGTCGTCCTCCCCGGTGTTCGGGGACTGAGTGGCGTAAAGAGCTTCGCGGGCCTTGAGCATCGAGGTGCCTGGTACGGCTTGGCGGATTGCGGAGATGCTTGCAATTGCAGGCTTCTTGGTTGGTGTAGAGGATCGGCGGGGCAGTGTGGTGTGGAGAAGGCGCGAGGAGGATGAGGCGCTTGATGCTGCGCTGCAAGCCCGACGAAGGAGGTGGGAGGTGGGAAGGCTCATTTTGGCGTGACTGAAGGGCAAGGATGGAATGCAAATCAAAGGTTAGAAAGCAAAGCAAAGCGGCACCAGCCACTTCTTCTCGCGCCGGCGGTCTCTGTCAGTCTCTTTCCGCCTCAGGCGAACGCCACGTGGTCGCAACCGTGCGACTTTGGGTCCAGTCCGATGGGCGAGGTGCATTTGGTTTCCATCCTCCCTACTCCTCATCTTGCGACCCCTCGTTGCGATGTCCTCACGGCAACAGCAGGGCGGTCCCTCGCGCATCTCCCGCCCAGCAGCTCGCTATCGACCAGGCAAAGCGCCGGTAGGCGCAGCCGGGTATGACGATTCGGACTCGGATGATGACGAGCACGCTCAACGACAGCAGGCGCAGCTTGACGACGACAACAAGCACGAGGAGATCCGCGACCTTACGTCAGGCACGGCTGCTTTCTTGAACAATCAGCAGAGGTCCGGACAGAGACGTACGGCCGGCGTAGTGGTCAATGTTGGAGCCGCGCCGGTGAAGAAGGAGCAGCAGCCAAAGGAGGAGGAGTACGACTCGGATGAGTACGAGACGGATACCGACGACGAGCCGCAGACGACGGCGGCAGGCGCTGAAAGGAGGTCCAGACCTGCTGCTGCGGCAAAGGAGAGCTCGTCAGAGTATGAGACGGACAGCGGTGAGGAGGATGAGTCATCGGAAGAAGAAGAAGAGCCAGAGCCAATCTTCAAGCCCATGTTCGTCTCCAAGAAGCAGCGAGAGGCGGCTGCAGCCAATGGCGCCTCAGCTCCAGCCGTCGTAGCAGCTCCTGGTGCCACAGCTGCCGCTGCTCCACCAGCGAGAGACGACAGCGAAGCTGCTGCTGAACGCGTAGCCGCAGCTCGGCGTCTTGAGGCCCAGCAACTCGCTTCGGACCGTATCAAAGCCGAGCTCCTGGCCAAGCAAGCAGACGAGTCCCGCCCAGACATAGACGATACGGATGACGTCGACCCTGAAGCCGAGTTTGCAGCCTGGCGAATCCGCGAGCTTACCCGCATCAAGCGCGAGTGGGAAGCCGACGAGCTCAAAGACCAGGAAGAGGCCGAACGCTCTCGCCGCGCTGCCCTTACACAAGCGCAACGAGATGCAGAAGATCTCGCCCGTGCCGAATCTGGTCGCAAAGAGGTCAAAGAATCGCGAGGCAAGATGGGCTTCATGCAAAAGTACTATCACAAGGGCGCCTTCTTTCAAGATTTGGACATTCTCAAAAAGCGAGACTACAGGACTGAAGCGACGGAGGGACAGACGAAGAAGGAGAATTTGCCAGCTATGATGCAGGTGAGGGACTATGGAAAGAAGGGAAGGAGCAAGTGGACCCACTTGGGGGCGGAGGATACGAGTAAGGGTGGCATCAGCCTACGCGGCAACAACGGGGGTGGGAGCGGGGCAGGAGCATCATCTTCGCAGTCGGGCTGCTTCCGGTGCGGAGCGCAGGATCATCTCAAGAGAGACTGCCCAATGCCAGGCGATGGGGTGCCGGCTGGACCCGGCGGCGCTGCGACTGGCGCCAATGCTGCGTTCAACGATCGAGATCGACCACGAGATGAAGGGTGGAGATCGAGACCAGCGGCGTCAGTGCTACGAGAAGAGAGAGGTGAGCGTAGAGAAGGGTGTGGCGGATATAGCGAGCGTAGAGAAACGTACAGCCGACCTCGCCACGAGGAGCCTCCACGCCGCGACTACGGCGACCGTCGGTATGACGAGCATCGCTACGATGACCCTCGTGGCGAGCGTCGCCGACCAGACGATAGGGACGCAGAGAGAGAACGCCATCGTGATGGATATGAGGCTAAGCGTCGGCGGTCAAGATCTCCGCCGACCCGTTCTTCCGCTCCTGCTGCCCCGCCGGTAAAGGATCGATGGGCGCAGCGCCAGCTCGAAGCGGCAGCGGCGCAGAAGCAGGGCCAATAAAGGCGAGAAAGAAGGGGTAGTGATAGTGGATCATATGTAATACTAGCTCAATGCCATGCAATTTGCTACCGATATCCTTCTGCGTGAGCTCTTGCGCCTTGGCTGTGAAGATGTTTTGAGGATGAGGTTGCCTCGCCGCCTCGCTCGCTCGCCGCCGCTTGCTGCATCGACTCGACGTCTACTCGACTCGAGTGGCCCAAGCGTTGGTCTGAGCTGCACGCCTGAGTCAAGATTGACTGATCCGCGTCGTGCGTCGCTCCCCGCTTCGAGGCGCCAGTCCGCCGTCCTTTGGGCCATCCGCCACCACGAGCCACGACATCTTCGCATCACTCTCGCTCCTTCTCTCATCTCAGCAGATCATCGAGTCGACGAGCATGTCATTAGCTGCTTCGACATTACCACCAGCAGCTGTATTTGCGTCTCAGAAGCAGGCAGACGGCCAGACGCAAGCCTCATCTACGGCCGGGCGAGGCGCAGGAGCCATGTCGACCTCCAACGCCACCAATTCATCGAGCAACGCCGCCGCTGCTCAGCCCACAGCTTCGTCATCGTCAAAACGCAACTCTGGTCAACTCACGATCGACAGCATGACAGCCGATCTCGAGCAGGCTCGGCTAGACTCCATCGACGCAGAAGTGAGCGACCCGCGTACACTGAAGCAGAAGCTCCTATCAATCGACGTAGATGGCGAGGAGAAGCCCTCACTAGCTACCTTTCTTCAGGGAAGAGTCTTCGCCGAGGGAGGGGAGAGCGTGCTTGTCTTTGATGGGTCGGGTGACAAGACAAAAGCTGAGCAGCGTGCCATACCTCAGGAGGCGATCATGGAGCTTAGTGACGAGGAGTATGCCAAGATCCTGGCCGACGTGCCGGCGGCGTGCAAGGAGATCGCGGTAGAGGCTACCGTACTATTCGAGAGGAAAGAGGAGAGATTAGCATACTTTATGCTTCGTCAGATACCGGCGGCCACTCAGGACTTTGTGGAGATCCGGGTCGCCTGCGTGGGCAACGTCGACGCGGGCAAGTCTACGACGCTTGGCGTGTTGACAAGGGGCGGGTTGGACGATGGGAGGGGCAAGGCTAGAGTGTGAGTACAGCGAGGCCGATATCCATATGGTACTCCCGGCTGACCATCACCTTCTCCCCCTCCCTTCGCGCCCGCAGCAACCTCTTCCGTCACAAGCATGAAATCGAGACGGGCCGCACAAGCAGCGTAGGCATGGAGCTTCTAGGATTGACCGCAAAAGGCGAGCACGTCATGTCAGCCGCAGGCTCAAAAGAGGAAGGACGCAAGCTCTCGTGGGAGGAGGTCTGCTCTCGCTCAGCAAAGATCGTTAACTTCCTCGATCTAGCAGGACACGAGCGATACCTGCGCACCACCATCGGCGGGCTGACGGCGAACGTGCCCGAGTATGGCATGCTCATGGTTGGCGCAAATGCTGGTCTGATCGGAATGAGCAAGGAGCACCTGGGCGTAGCTCTGGCATTGAGCATCCCTGTCTTTATCACGGTTACCAAGATCGACATGTGCCCTCCGCAGATCTTAGAGGCAACTATCAAGCAGCTGACGAAGGTGCTCAAGAGCCCAGGATGTAGGAAGACGCCCGTGTTCGTCGAGACGATGGAGCAAGTAGTCGATTGTGCGCTTCGCTTGTCCAAGGAGAGGATCTGTCCTATCGTGAGTGCGCAGACGAGTGTGCGAGGGCGAGGACAAGGCCAAGGACATCAAACTGACCTGTCCCCTCTCCTGCCACAGTTCCAAATTTCCAACGTCACCGGTCACAACATTCCCCTGCTCCGCACCTTTCTCAACATCCTCCCCCAATCCTCCATTTCAAAATTCGACCCGGCCTCTTCCTTCGAGCTCCAAATCAGCGACATCTTCTCCGTCCCCTTCGTCGGTACCGTCGTCTCCGGCGTCATCACTGGCGGGTCGGTCAAGATAGGCGACAATCTGCTCATTGGACCCGACTCGCTCGGCCAATTCATTCAGACGTCGGTGAGGTCTATCCAGCGCAAGAGAGTCAACGTCGAAGCTGCTACGGCGGGGCAGAGTGCTAGCTTTGCGTTGAAGCGGGTGAGGAGAAATCAGGTCAGGAAGGGGATGGTAATGATAGCGAGGAGTGATAACCCTCCTCAGGCTAGTCTCGTCTTCGATGCCGAGATCCTCTGCCTTCATCACGCCACTACGCTCAGCGTCGGCTCTTGCATGGTCCTGCACGCAGCTGGAATCAGGCAGACGGTCAGGATTACAGGCATTGCCAAGGGAGGGGACGAGCCTGTCGCTACCAGTGGGCCTGGAACCAATGGGCGAGCAAAAGGGTCCAACGAGGAGAAGCCCGTGATCAGGACGGGTGACAGGGCGAGGCTACGTCTGCAATTTATCAGGACCCCCGAGTTCATCAAGGTTGGGGTGAGGCTCATTACCAGGGAGGGGAGGACAAGGCTGATTGGACGAGTGGCTGCCGTGGGAGGAACGGAGCCTTTGATGCCGCCTAGTGTTTGAGGCACAGGGACAGCACAGAAATGCTTTAACGGCCCGCGTGGAGCCATGCTTGGTATCGAGGCAGTCATGTCAATGTAGCAACATCATCATCTTATCTCATCTCATCTCATCACGACCGGCCAGCCTCCTTCAGTGTGAGCCACGTGGTTTTTGCGAGCTTCGGTCAAGAATTTCGAGCTCGCGGCTCAAGCGTTGCCGCCGCCTTCCGTCTTGGCTTCCCGTCACCTTTGTTGCTTGTCTTTCGTTACCAATCTCGATTTTCCACCGCGTCGTCAGCATGGACCCAGACGGCCTCTTTGATTTCCTGGAAAATGCTCCTCCAGCAGGCTCATCGAAGCAGACAGGCTCGACTCCTGTCGCCACAGCATCAGCAGCAGCAGCAGCAAAGAAGCGGCCGTCCGATGTAGTCTCTCCATCTTCTCCACCTCACGCCGCTGCTGACGATACCCTCGAAAATGGCAATGACGCCGCCACTTCGTCTTCGTCGAAGAAGAGCAGCAAGAAATCACGCAAGGCAGCTCCTGCACCCGTACTCGCGGATGAGTTCACCGCAGAGGCTGTGAGGGAGGTGCCGATCAGCAAGGACGCTTCAGATGCAGGCGCCGTCGCCTCATCGAGCTCCTCTGGGGGAGGGGGAGCAGGCAATGTCAAATCGAATGGCGCTGCGCAACAGGTAGCAGACGAGCTCGGCGGGGATGGCACCGTTGTCGGTACATCTACTACAACGGTTGCCGGCCCGAAGGCAGGCGAGGATGGCGAATCAAAGGGAGCAATGCAGATCTCGCACTCTGTCCGCCATCAAGTGGCTCTGCCCCCCGCCTTCTCCGGTTACGTCCCTCTGTCGCAGCATGTGCCTCCCGATCCGCCTGCGAGGGAGTACCCTTTCACCTTGGACCCATTCCAGCGGACGGCCATCTACTCGATTCAGAGGGAGGAGAGCGTGCTGGTCAGCGCGCATACCAGTGCGGGAAAGACGGTCGTGGCAGAGTATGCTATTGCTCAGTGTCTAAAGAACGGGCAGAGAGTTGTTTATACGAGTCCGATCAAGGTGAGTGTGGGCGCCAAGAGCAGCGTACCTTTGGACTGCAGCAAGCTGATGCCTGACCTGTCTCGTGCTCCCCTTTCGTAGGCCCTCTCCAACCAAAAGTACCGCGAGCTCACAGCCGACTTCGGCGACGTGGGTCTCATGACAGGCGACGTCACCATTAATCCATCAGCGAGCTGTCTCGTCATGACTACGGAGATTCTGCGCTCAATGCTGTATCGCGGTTCAGAGATCATGCGCGAGGTGGCTTGGGTTGTGTTCGACGAGATCCATTACATGCGAGACAAGGAGCGTGGAGTCGTGTGGGAAGAAACGATCATCCTCTTGCCGCGCAAGGTGCGCTACGTCTTCCTCTCTGCAACGATTCCCAACGCATTCCAATTCGCTTCATGGATCGCTACGACGCACAATCAGCCGTGCCACGTCGTTTATACCGACTTTCGACCCACGCCACTGCAACACTACCTTTTCCCCTCGGGAGGCGACGGTATCCACCTCGTAGTCGACGAGCGCGGTACATTCAAGGAAGAGAACTTTCAAAAGGCAATGGGCGCACTCTCCGACTCACGCGGCGAGGACCCAGCAGCAGCAGACTCCGGTCGCAACAAGAAGGGAAAGACGAAGAAAGGCGGGGAGAAGGGGCCATCTGACATCTACAAGATTGTCAAGATGATCATGCTCAAGAACAACAACCCTGTCATTGTGTTTGCCTTTTCGAAGAGGGAATGCGAAGGGTTGGCATTGCAAATGAGCAAGTTGGAGTTCAATACGGATGAGGAGAAGAATATGGTATCCACCGTCTTCAACAACGCTATCTCTGCCCTCTCCGAGGAGGACAGGGCCTTGCCTCAGATCGAGCACATCTTGCCACTGCTGCGTCGCGGCATCGGTATCCACCACGGTGGTCTACTCCCTATCCTCAAAGAGGTCATCGAGATCCTGTTCCAAGAAGGTCTGCTCAAGGTCCTCTTCGCTACCGAGACCTTCTCCATCGGCCTCAACATGCCAGCAAAGACGGTAGTGTTTACGGCGGTACGCAAGTGGGATGGCAAGGAGTTTCGCAATTTGACGTCGGGCGAGTTCATCCAGATGTCTGGCCGAGCAGGACGTCGAGGCTTGGACGATAGGGGGATCGTCATCATGATGTTTGACGAGAAGCTCGAGCCGGCTTCAGCGAAGACGATGGTGAAGGGCGAGGCGGATCGACTCAATTCCGCTTTCCACCTCGGCTACAACATGGTCCTCAACCTGATGCGCGTGGAGGGTATCTCACCGGAGTACATGCTGGAGCGCTGTTTCTTCCAGTATCAGTCAGCCGCCTCGATCCCACAACTGGAGCTCGAGCTCGAAGGAGCGCAGAAGGAGCTGGACGAAGCAAGAGTGCCGGATGAGGAGGCGGCGGATGAGTACTTTGGCCTGCAGAAGCAGCTCGACGCACTCGATGCCGACTACCAAGAGGTCATCTCCCACCCTAGCTACGCATTGCCATTCCTTCAGCCTGGCCGGCTGGTAAGAATCCAGCACGAGGCCCTCGACTTTGGATGGGGATGCGTCGTCAATTACCAGAAGCGATTGCCGCCCAAGGGCAGGCCTGCCGATCCGAACGCAAAGCCGCAGACGCAGTACATCGTAGACTGTGTGCTTCACTGCGCCCAGGGGTCCGGTGCTTCTTTGTCCAACGGCAGTAGCGGAGGGAAACAACAGCAACAGCGCCAAGAGTCTGCCCTTGCGCTGGAAGGCATCTCTCCGTGTCCGATAGGGGAGAAGGGTGAGATGCTAGTCATCCCCGTCCTCCTTACCACTGTGCAGCAACTCAGTGCCATCAAGCTCTTCCTGCCCAAGGACCTCAGACCAAAAGAGTCGCGCGACCAAGTGCGCAAGAATCTCGCCGAAGTAGCCAAGCGTTTCCCTTCCTCCAAGGGCGGTGTGCCGACACTGGATGCCGTCAAGGACATGAAGGTTACGGACGAGGGCTTCACCAAGTTGCTCAGCAAGCGTGAAGCATTGCGCGAAGCGATGAAGAAGTCGTCCGTCCACGACTCACCGCAACGCGAGGAGATGCGCGAGGCATGGCAAGCCAAATCCACCCTCCGTGAGCGGGTTGCCAGCATCAAGGCTCAAATCGGAAGTGCTCACTCCGTCATGCAACTCGATGAGCTCAAATGTCGCAAACGCGTACTCCGTCGCCTAGGCTTCACGAGCCAGGACGACGTAGTGGAGAAGAAGGGCCGTGTAGCCTGCGAGATCTCCACCGGTGACGAGCTACTCCTCACCGAGCTGATCTTCACCGGTCTCTTCAATACCCTCACACCCGAGCACTGTGCTGCTCTTCTTTCCTGCTTCGTCTTCAGCGAAAAGTCAGAGCAGCAGATCCGCCTCAAGGAGGATCTGGCTGCCCCCCTGCGCACAATGCAGGAGACGGCTCGTCGTATTGCTCGTGTTGCAAGGGAGTGCAAGATGGAGGACGTAAATGAGGAGGAGTACGTGAGCAGCTTCAGGGTCGAAATGATGGATGCAGTACTTGCTTGGTGCAAGGGCGGTAAGTTCAGTGAGATCTGTAAGCTCACCGACGTCTTTGAAGGGTCGGTGATTAGGGCTTTCCGAAGACTGCAGGAGCTGCTCAGGCAGATGACTATGGCTGCGAAAGCGATTGGGAATGGGGAGTTGGAGGAGAAGTTTAATGAGAGTTTGGCGAAATTGGAGAGGCAGAGTAGCATCATCTTTTCGCCTTCGCTGTACCTTTAGGCGGAGGAAGAGGGGAGTGAGACGGAAGGGGCATGGCGGACGTTGTTATCGCTGTGACTATCGAGTAGTTGGTGGTTTGCTTGGGCTTTCAGACGCAGGGCGAGTAGGGACGGATGGGCTGGATGGCAGATCGTGATGACGGCAGGTTCAATCCATGGCGCTGCCTGTATCTATGACAAGATCAACGGTAGTGAAAGCAAAGGACGCTGTAGACGTTTGCGCCCCCCCTTGACTGGCTGAACACGACCGATGAGATTGAGCGCGAGCCCGATCGCTAGCTCGAATGCAATCACCGCGGGTCGTCAACACGCAGCTGAAGCACGCAGCTGGACACTGAAACCTGTGATATTGTCACTAAGTAACCAAAGTTGATCCTGCCGGCAGGCTCGCTGAAGGGTATCGATTATCAGCGTGAACCTGAGTACCAAGATTGATGTTCGTATAGCCAAAATCGCGAGAAGGAGTCTGCGCTCGCATTGAAGCCGCGGGTTCGATGGTGGCTGCGAGTCGCACCGCCTCTGTCCTACGGTACCAGCCAGCTAGCTCCTCGAAAACGCCGCTGGATACGACGAAGGCCGCGGCCTCACGGCAGAGCGGTTACGCATTGCCGTCACTTCCTTGAGCCCTGTATTCGCTGTCCGCCCATATTCACCCGACTCAGACTGCGATTGCCATAGGTCTCTCCTTTCTCTCCAAGGAAATGGCGGGTCTTGTTCGTCAGAAGGTCGCCGCTTGCCGTGAACACCGCTACAGGCCGCGGCGTTGCCATCACGGCCTCTCGCCTCGTCTCGCGCTGTGCTTATGAGGAGCCACCGACGTCACCGTCGTGTTCGCTGCAAAGAGGCGAATTTGAGCCAGGCCAACGGCCTTTCTTCCGTTTCTCCGACCCGGCAGCGGTCCGGGTGGCGCCCGCGCGTGCAGTTCGAGGGGCTCCCATTTCTCATTGTCGGTCGTTCCTGCAGCAGATATTGCTACCGGATACCTCGTCTCCCGCTGTACTTTGCTGACTGCACGACGGGTGTGACATTACGATTGAGTCCCCGCTTCCTAGCGCCCAAAGGATCCTCTTCCTCTGAGCGCCTTACTCAAACCCCGCCTCACTAACCGTAGGCTCGTGGCTGGCACGATCTTGGATCTGGCGATCGAAGGTGGCACGGATTGGCTGATGGGACAGAGGGTAGCACGAGAGCCCGGTACGGCGAAGTCTTCTCATCGCCCGGTCGTAAGGGGAAATGCGCAAACACGCACGCTCGTGCGTTCGTAGGTTGGTGCGACTGGGTGCTGGGTCAGTGTAGTGCGGGCCTCCATCCCCGCTCATCAGTGACGGCTGAGTTGAGCGTGTGCCGCGTTTGTGCGGTATCTGGTCGCCGTTGGTAAGGGCACGGGAAAACGGGGGGCTAAAGCCGTGGGTTTGCGGCTAATGAAGGGAAGACACGCTAGCCATCTCTGCTTTGGGATTGACATAAGGACGAGGATGGCTCCATGATTCGCTGCACGTCTCGTCGCTCATAGTGTCGTCCAGTCACCTACGCCCATGCGTATGGCTCCCATGTCGTCTTCTTCTTTTTCGACTTCTGGCTACTCGACGCCCGCACTCTCCATGGGAGGCTCAAGCGCTCGCACATCGAGGAACAGCTCGGTGTCGCCCACTTCTCTCCGGTGAATGCACGCGTGCGGGCGTGTGTGTACCTTTCGCAGTCGTGAGCTCACACCCTCGTCCCTTCGCAGCCACTCCGGCGCCCACCGTAGGCAAGGATCTCTCGGCCTCTCATCCTCCTCCTGGGTCTCCATGCTCCAGCAGCACCAGGCGGAGCAACGCGAGCCAGAAGCTGTCACGCAGAGCGACTCGAACAATTCAGAAGCCCTCCTCGAGCTCGTGGCCTCAGGTCAGATCTCCCTCGAGGCCGTACTCGCCTTTCCCGTCAATTGGGTCAATCTTGTCGCGGACAAAGAAGCGAGGAGGCAGGAGAAGCAGCGCCAGAGCCATCCCACTGCAGCTATCTCGACCAGTGCCCACCGCACCGATCAGCAGCCTCAGCGAAAGAGGCAGCGCCGCCCTGCGTCGGTGCCTACGGACGGAAACGGTGCAGGACCATCCACCTCGGCGAGGCAGCGCAACGTCATGCATCGCCCTCGACACGCCTGCAATGGTCCTGTCAGTGGCACCAGCGCAAGCTTGACGGTCATGAGCCCGACTCTTTCGGAAGTATCCTCCTTCTCGACACCTGCTGCACCTTCAACCCGTGCCGTCTCTCCCTTTGGCTCCATGGTGCTTGACGATGAGCTTCGACAGACCAGCCGACCGGCATTGAACAGCATTTTCTCCTCCCTCTCCCCCTTCGAGCCGGAACGCAAGCTCACCATCTTGGAGCGACGTCGTCTCGCAAAGCAAGAGCGCCTTCAAGGGGCCTCTCGCGGGCCAGATCCTTGCGAATCGCCTTGGCTCCACTCTTGGTCGCACAGCTGGGTGACCACCCTACCGCCTGCTTCGCCATTGGCTGTCGCAACGCAGCGCAAGGGCAGCGTCGACGCGGCGTACAATCTTGTGCTAGAGCTGCCCAAGCTGTCGTTCACCGCCGTAGCCGCGGCGCAGGCCGTCGCGGATCAGCAAGCGGCAGTGCTCCCTCCATTGCCGAGGGGAGTGACCGTAGCTGCAGGGCCTGACGATCGGATCACCGTGGCGGGGCTCTAGCTAGCCCGGCGTGCTTTCCTCGTTGCCTTTCACGGCCTTATCATTCTAGTGCTTCTCCTACTTGATAATGACGATTTCTTTCCTTCCTTTGACGTAGTCTAAGTCACGAGGATCGAGCAACCAACGTCGAGTCTGAGAGAGGTCAATTTGGAATCATTTGAGCATGTGTTTCATCATGATATAGTGCGAGCAATTGTGAGCAAAACATCGAGTCAAATATTTACCGCCACCTTCCGTCCATCTGGGCAATGCGGTCCCCCCTTTCTCACTAGCTCAGCCTCGTCACCAGATAGCTGAGCAGACTCGACTGCTCGTCCACTGCTACCCTGACTAGCAAGCTCACAAGCAGCGAAAAGGTCTGCGGCTCGTCCTGCTCCATGCGGCGCAGCGCATCCACGTCAAGCTTCCACAGCACAGAGTTGAGCTCGGCCCTCGCAGTTGTATTGCGGGGTTGGCGGGAGAGGAAGGAGAGCTCCCCAGCAATCGTGCCCGCAAGCATTGCCTCGTTGATCTCAAAGTCGTTCTGGTCAAAGTCGTATGTGGCTTTGAGCGCTCCGCTCTCAATGAGGTATAAGCCGTCAGCCTCGTCACCGTAGGACCAGACGAGCTCTTCGCGCAGGTACTCGACTCGTCGGAAAAAGGGGGCGAGGCGTTGGAAGAAGCTGTGCAGGGACGCTGGGCTTGTTGAAGAAGGTGTTGAGGAGCTGGAGTTGGAAGAAGTGAAGGCGCCGAAGGTCACCATGAGGAGGGGTAGAGGCTGCTCACGCTGCGGAGATTGGGAGGTAGAAGTGGTGGCAGTAGCTGCAGGACTGGGTGCGCTGACCGGAGCGGGGGTTGCCGTCGACGACGAGTCTCGACTCGAGTCCCTCAATGCCGACCCATTCTTGCCATTCACCGTGGTATCGTCCTTCGAGCCTGCCGCCGCAGCCGCTGACAGATGTGCCGCGTCGTCAATCTGCTGCTGCTGCCTCCTCACGGCGGTCTTCGCTGCTTCATGCAAATGACTCCTCCTCGGCGAGTTGGAGAAGGCCTCGTCAATGACGAAAGCCGGGGGTCGCTTGCCATCGGGCACATCGAGTGCCCCGTGTCCACCAAGAGAAGCATTCTTGAGCTGCTTGCCCGCCGTGAGGCTGGACATGTACACTCCTCGCAGGTACGAGTTCTCTGTCCACTCTAGCGCCTCATTGAGTGAGAGAAAGGCCTCAATCGCCAGGCCGCGCTCAGCCCACAGACCTACGCTGCGCAATGCTACGCCGATCTCTCCTTCGGCGGACAGACCGCAGAAGACGAGCACGACATCCTTCGCGTCCAGCAGGCGCTGGATGCGGGTAAAGGCCTCTGCGGCACTGAAGTCGATCCCTGAGACCAGCGAGAAGTCGATTACCAAGAACCGCATGGGCTTGTGCTGCCAAGCCGCAATATCGAGCGCTCGACGGATGAGCGCCTCGACGGAATTAATCGTGGCAAAGAAGAGGAAGCCCTGAAGCTTCAGGATCTGCGTTTGCGTGCCGACAGCCTCGAGGAACTTGCGCTGCGTCATTGGCCTGCGGACCGTCGAACGAGCGATCGATCCGTCGAAGATGGCACGGACCGTCTTGCGGCGGGACATCTGAATGGTCAGGAAGAGGCAGGCCAGGCAGACGCCGGCAAGGATGCCGACGACGAAGTCTGCGAGGCTCATGACGATGATGATGAACCAGATAGTTACGTACTCCCAGCGATTGACGGTTCCCAGCGTGTCCCACACCGCCTCCTTGACGAGATCGATGCCCAGAAGGAAGATGAGCGCACCGACCGTGCTGACATTGAGGTAGTTGATCATGCTTGGTCCCATGACTAGGATAACCGCGGTAGCTCCCGCCAGCATGACGCCCGATAAGCGACTGCCTCCGCCAACCCTGTAGAAGAGGAGCGTGTTGGAAAAGCACAGGTAGTTAGGCACTGTGCCGAATGCTCCAGCGATCAAGTTCGAGATGCCATGGCCCGTCAACTCGTGGTCGACGACGACATTGTCCTCCTTGAGACTAACAGCGAGTGCAGGCACATTGAGTGGCACATGCAGGACCGAGAAGAAGGTCAACGAAATCATCGTCGGCATCGTCTTCCAAAGGGCTGCCCAGCTGGTCTGCGTCAGGTCGAAGTAGGTCAAGTACCGGTAGAAGGGAGCATTGCCCGCCGCACCGATATCGAAAATCCAGCCGCTCTCGCGCAACTCCTCTACGCTGAAGTGCAAGATAGGCATGGCGATCAGGTAGAAGATGGGCGTGATGGAGATGAAGTAGGCTGGCATGACGAGAGGATGGCGGATCTTGGCCGTGATGAGGCGGAGAAGAATGGCCAGAAGCAGAGGTAGACCCCAAAGAGCGACCTGCGAAAGAAGACTGATCAGTAGCCGTAGGGTCTAGCTCCGGCTTCTCTCACTCACCATATGCCAGGACTGGAAGAAGTACCGCAGCGTCTCGAGGTTGTACTGGAAGCCTTTCTCCGCCTCGAGTCGGCCAGAGACTTCCAGTCCCGTCTCGAGAAGAAAGACGCCCACTCCGCCGATGCATCCTACAAGGATGTGGCGAGGGAAGAAGCCGATCAGAGAGCCCAGGCCGCATACTCCCAGCAGCAGGAAGGCCAAGCCGGTGAAGATGGATGAGAGGGCGAAGGCTACCATTGTGGTAGCTATGACGCCACGCGGATTCTCGTCTCCGATTGTGTTGATAATGGTGGTGCAGAGGATGTGGTAGAAGGGAACGACCTGCGAGAGTGACGAGGCAGGAGGAGTGTGTCAGCTTTGGCGTATGCTCGGTCAGCTCATTCACTTCAGCGCTCACCTCAATCATCATGCTCCCGTTACCACCCTTGAAGATGCTCCCTCCCAAGCTGAAGACCAGCTGGGAGACGATGCACGAAATGAAGAACATCGCCACCCCGTCCCCACCAAAGTCGGCAAAGATAGGGTACGAGGCGGGGAAGATGATCAGTCCGTAAGAAACGCCGTCTAGGACGTTCATCAGGATGCCAAGCACCGTAGCTGGAAGTAGGCGGACAGGCTCCGCACAGGCTTCGAGGACGTCGCGACGAGAAAGCTTGCGTACACGAGTATGCAGCGGCATTGAGGAGCCGTCGGCATTGCTCTTCATCCATGGTGCAATGGGTCGGTAGCCGCGCCCGGGTCGCCAGCGTGCGGGAACCAGGTTCCAGGAAGGCGACAGTGGCTCAGGCGAAGATGTTGCGCTCTCTTCGTCCGTTGCGCCGTCGAAGCTATCATTATCATCGTCGTCGTCGTCCCGTCCCCGCCCGCTGGCTGTTGCCGCGTAAGACGAAGAGAGGTGGCTCTCATCGACGCCGCCACGACCATGCGCTGCCTCGGCTTCTGCCTCGAGCGAAGCCTGAGCGAGTGCTCCACTCCCGTACGCTGAGCGGACCCCACGGCGCCGACCATCTGATACTGCGTCGCGCATCTGTTGAGAGCTGACGCTGAAGCCAGAGTCAAGGGCATCAGAGGAGCAGACACTGTCCTGGCGCGGCTTGCGCGTTGAGCGCGAGTTGCGTCGGTTGTGTCCCAGGAGCGCAGACTGCTCCGTGAAAGGCTCAGATGTCTTGTCTCCTGTCCCGCTGGCAGGCGTGGAGGCTGAAGAAGGTCCGGTGGGACTGGTCGGTCGCGATGCTGACAACGCCTTTGCGAGGTTGCTGGGTCCAGTTGTACCGTACGATCGTGCAAATGGGGAAGACGAGTGCGGCACAGGCCAGGATCCATGAGCCATCGATTCATTACCCACTCGACCCCGCCCTCCTTCTTGCTCCTCGTCCTCCTCTTCAGCTTCAAGAATGCGCGAATCGTCTCGCTCGTCATCTGATCGGAGTGCCATGCCAGCAAGCTGAGCGGTGCTGTCTCGAATCGAGTCCGAGGTAGCCGTGTAAGACGACACCAGCTGATCGTCTGTCCCTGCATCTGAGTAAAAGGTCATACGTCTGCGGTGCGTTGAGTTGGAGGGCGGTGTAGGGGTCAGCTTCGGGATACATTGCCAAGATCGTACGAGCATCGCAATGCCAGCCGCTCGATTCCTCGACCCTTGTCCTTCTCGGTTGCTCGCTCGCTCCTTCCATTTATCAATACTCACCGGCCCCTGCCCTGGATATCAAATGCGGAAGCTGATGCCGAACCCCTACGCCCTGCGCCGCCTAAGTTGCTGTTGCCAGGGTGGTGAGATTGCTGCTGCCTCTCCACATCTCCCATACCACGGCGAGTAAGGGACGAAGGCACGCCAGGGTGAAAGGAGATGGACCTCGCTCCACGGAGGTCCTTGCCCGGCGGAAATGAGCTCTCCGGCGGATGATGCTGATCTGCCGCCGTCGTGTAGGAGCGAGGAAAGCGGTCGTACTGCGAGCGGTTCTTTGGTGGGCTCAGTGCTGCTCCACCGTTGCCGCCCGTACGATTGCGGTAGTCTAGGGTCGAGCTGGGGCGTAGTTGCTTAGAACGAGAGGATGCTGTCGTAGGAGATGTTATGGCTTTGCTGGATGGGGCATTTGTGGCTGGAGAAACATCTAAGTGAGCATTGTGATCATATTGCGAAGCAACCAGCTTCGTCGCTGTCCTTACCTGTGTTCTGCTGCGAAGAGAATGCTGGGGCTCCAACATTTTGAGGAGTCGATGCACCCTCGTCGGCATCGACCCCGTCTCTCGCGGAAGGCGCCATCCGGTATGAACGACGAGACGAGACGAGACCAGCGGCACCAAAAGCAGGAAGATGACAATGGCCCGAGCTCGTCAAGGCCTGGATGAGGATGGAGTCAAGAAGGAAGCTGCGAAGCTGCGAACGGGCGAGCGAGACCGTTCAGCTGGAACGCACGGACTTGCTCTGGGACCCCCCAACTCGTCTCGCTCGTCTCCAATCTCGCAGCTTGCTCTCTTGACGTCGAATTCAATCTCAGTCGCCAACAGTGCCCACAGGGAGCGCCCAACCGAGCGGGCGGCGTCACACCGATAGATAAGGGCGCGGCTTCGCGCCGTCGCAGCCATGGTAGAAGACCTTTTCGTCGACGCATCGCAGTCAAGCGATCATTGGACAGAAGCACGACTCGCACACAATTGCAGGCGGCAAACAATAAATTGAACTCTTGTGCATCGATCTTATCGCCTTGCATTACCTCCACCCGTTTGCTCCTCACGCAGCAAAACTCACGGGCCTCGCCTTGAATCTCGTACTGTTAGGCAGCACGCTAACAGGCACGGCGCATTCGACTATCTCAAGGCGGGTCTCTTTTCCATCAGCATTGTCACTTGGCCCGCACAGCGAGGGAGCGGCGCGATAGGAGGTATGGTAGAGGGAGTAGCCGTCTGGTGGGCAGGGGATGAGGTAGGAGGTAGAGGGTGGGGGCCGCACGGTGTCTGAGGAAGGAGTGGAAGGACTTGGTGACGTTGTGATGCTGGTGAGGAAGGAGATGCGGACCGTCCAGTGGAGCTTGACTGCAGCCATTGAAGCGGACGCGATGGTCGCGAGCGTCAGTGAACAGCTTATATACGCGTCAAGAGGGCTTGCGCACTCACCACCGCTAGTCTCAAAATCAGGGCTCGCTCCGCTGGGTATAGGCAACTGAAAGCTGGTCTGTCCTAGCCCAAGAGTGCTCTCATGATGTTCCGCATGCACCTTGCGCGTCATCCTCATCGACCTCGCCGACGGTAGGGTGGCCAGGGTGGGTTCGACCTCTTCATACGACTCGAGCAGGGCAGCAATGCGGACCACACGCGGCGTAGAGGCAGTTGCGGTCGCGGCGGTGGGTCGATTGATGGAGACGACGCCCAGGATTGTGTCGCCCAGACGATACTTGGACTTGATCAGAGTCAAGACCGCGGCGATTGAGCCGTCTTTTGAAATATCGTAGGACACTGCGAGAGAGCGGAGGAATCGACTAATTGGCATCAGTCAAAGTCCTTAGGTCCCGGTCCTCGTCATTCCTCACTCACCCTTCTGCGAATTTCTCGAGATGATCTCAATAGCAGCCTTGCAGCTTTGTCCGCTTCCATCATCAGCGACACTTCCCGCTCCCAGTAGGCCACCACCGGGAGCAGCACTGGTCCCGGAGCCACGACGGAGCCGCTGCGACGCAAAGAAATCCTCATCGTCTTCGTCGTCGGCATTCGCTGACGCAGAGGAGCCTCGTCTGAGCGGCTGAATACCTGCGGTGGCCTTGCCTTCCGCCGAGCTGGCGGCAGCTGCATTACGTAGACTCATCTGCTCCATGGCCCTCTCGTAGTCGGTTGGCGCATCGTCCTCGTCCGCAGCTTCATCGCTCGATGATGCGCCAGGACATGAGGCCAACAGCGATGCCGCATACGCCTTTAGGGCCTTTTTGCCTCGCTGCCTCTCCCTCATTTTCTTTCTCCCAACCGATGCATCCTGTCCATCTGGAGCAACGAGCGCGGATGGCAGTGGCTTCTCGTCCTTACCCGCTCCACCGGCAGCCCCGTCCGCCTCCTCCCGAACGACGGCCTCGTCCCTCAGCACAACAATCGGATTCGTCAAATCGAACCAGGGTCTCGCCCCTTCTACCCCAACGTAATTGTAGATCCGTAGCGGGATCTTTATCAATCTACTCCTTTGGTTACCTACATGCACCGCCCCCTCGCCCGCATCCAATCTATTCGTGCCGACCACGAGCTCGTAGGTGAACTTGACCGACTTGCCGTAGTACGAGGGCGGCAAATCGGCAGGCAGCCGTAGAGTAAAAGAGTAAGTCTTGCTCGCGCCGGGTGGGAGGTGCAGGTCGACGGATAGGATGGATGGCGGCGAGCTGAACAGCGGGATCGTCTTCGACGTCATCGTCTTATTGCTTGAATCGAGCATCGTGCTGCCCGTGCGACGATGCCTGCCTGCCGGAATGCTCAGACCTCCGGACGGCCCAGGTCCGCCGTTGATGGCATGGAAACCTGGCGCAGCGCTGCGTGGAGCACTACCACTGCCGAGAGCGCTGCGAAGGTAGGCGCCCCATCCCGTCGAAGCAGACTCGAATGCCGCGCCAGATCCATCTGCGTACCCCAGATCGCCTCCGCCCATCAGACGCGGCGTGCCCGAGGGATTTGGGCTTGCGATTCCGCCCCCGTAAGCTAGTCTTCGCTTCACATCCTCAAACTCGGCGGGCTTGATCATTGACTCATCGATTTCGTAGCTGCCGGAGAATTGCGCAAATGACCAGTAGACGACTTCTGTTCCCGGGGCTAGGCGAGCCTTTTGATGCGGGAAAAGCGGGCTGTTAGTTGCAGAGGAGGAGGAGGAGCCGTTCGGCGCGAGAGGGGAGGAGCTCGGCCCTGATATGGAGAGGCGTGGCTGCGCTGCTCCGCGACTCCAGTGCGTGAGCTGATCGCGCACGACGCTATCCATTGTATCATTCCGACCTAGATTGTAGAAGCCTGAGGCCTCTACTGCTGCGCCTGGAAGGTCAGAAGCGTTGGAGGCATGAGACGAGGGAAAGCGCGGCGTCGAAGGTGGGAAGTCGGCGCTAGTCGATGCTAGACTGACTTCGCTGGGGTTTGCGCTCTGAGCATACAGGGTATGGCCGTTGCCTCCATTGCCATTGCTTGCACCATGAAGTTCGAAGGCGGCGCTCAAATCCTCGTTCTGTACCTGGATGACCGACTTCTTGCGAGAGTGCGGATGAGCAGCATGAATCGTCGACGAGGGCTTGCGCGACCCCGGCCGAGAGGCGGCGGGTGATGAGGAGGTGAAGGAGTCGTCGAAAGACACCGAAGCTCCGCGAGAGGACGAAGAGGGTCGGCTCAGTGACTCTGCTCTGTCATACTGTGGCCGTACCGGAGAGGTTGGAGAGAGGAGAGGTGGCCCTTTGCCTAGGAAGGCCATGCTGGCTGATTTGGCGTGTTTTGTGGTGCTCGCAGAGCCGCTTGCATTGCGCGAAGGCTTCATTGGGGTGGCATTGCGACCAATGATGCGTTTGCGTGAGGGTAGAGCGTTGCCGTCGACAGGTCCATCAAGAGAATCATCGTCGTCGTGGTCATCATCATCTCCATACTCTCGACTGCCAGCTCCTTTCGCAGGTTTGCCAGGCGGAGGCTTGCGTAGATCTATGGTCTGACTTCTTCCATGTCCGTGCCCTTGCGATGACGGAAATGCGTGACTCGCTGCCCTCCCTGCCTGCTGCCAGCTATCAGCAGGAAACCTCGAGGTGGACGGCAGAGGTTGCGACTGCGGGACTGGCTGACGTAGATTGGTAAACGTGATGAGGCATCGCAACTCCTCTCCTGCGAAGAATGACGATTGGGCAGGAGTGACTGTGACTTGTAATGGATAGTTGCTGGGCAGCGGTGACGTCGTTGATGCCATCGCTTTTGAAGGAAGAACAAGGAGGGCGCGAAGGACGAAGAGGACACGATGGCAACAAGGCAAGTTGAGTCCTGTCGACAAGTTGCGCCCACACCAGCACGGGCCACCGCCATCGAAGATGCGCAATCGAGGGCGAGCGACGCGGGCACAACTTCGTCCCCTTCGCATCCAATCCACTCCACTCGACCACGAACGATTCGAATGCAAAGCCCATGGCATCTACCCAAGATGATCCTCACGGCTCTAGCTCATCCTCATCGGACGCCAAGACGATCATAGTGAGATGGGAAATGCCCCTCATTAGAGCATATAGCCTGACTGACGCATCCAAAATCATTCGCGCAGGCACGCCGGCTACTCGATGCTCTCGTTCAGGATAACCTCGTGCAGCTAGCCATCGATACGCATGCGAAGGAAGCTGGCGCAAGGAGGATCAAGGAGGAAGAAGCAGAAGAGCAGAAAGCGAAGCAGACGCAGAATGCCGAGGCGTCGAGCAGTGACGGGGGCCCGGCCCTCCTCTCATCGTTACAGGGCGGCGAAATCGGCCCGTCCTCGCAGTCCTCCCTCGCTGGCAACACCAACGGTGACCCTTCGTCATCTTCCAGTGCAGCCACCCCATCCGCTGCTTCTCTAACCACCTCGCATTACTCCGCCAACCCGCTGATCCGCTGCCTTGTCTGCAATCGGCACGTCGCCTCGAATCGCTATGCACCTCATCTGGCCAAGTGCATGGGATTGGCATCCGGCGGGGGAGCCGCTACAGCTAGCAGTGGGAATGGCTCAGGCTCAGCTGCAGGAGGACTTTTGTCGTCATCGTCGTCCTCCTCATCGTTTGGCGGCGGCCTGGGTAAGAACTCGTCCGCAGGACTGAAACGAAAGGCAGCGGCGGGAGCGGCGGCTCAGGCGGCCGCTATGGCTGCTGCAAGCAAGGCGACTTCCCCTTCGCCGTCAAGTGGGAGTGTTGGTGGTGGCGGCGGGCGAGGAGGAAGTGGGAGAGGGAGAGGCAAAGGGTACAAATACGGCAAGGGAAGCAGAGGCGGCGCTGGCAGCGATAGAGGGTCGGCGTCGGCGAGAAGCACGCCAGGGTATTGAGTCGTGTGCCATTCAGACACGAGGCAAAAGAGCAGCAGGGGGCAGCATAGTCGCTCATTGTACCATATCTTTCATTTACGTCTGCTACATTAACGTGACCGTGTCCGCCACTTCACCGTCTCAATATTCTCCCCACCTGGTCACGCTCCTTGAACCTCCTCGCAGCAATCTCCTGCTCACCCCGGCTCAGGTGCCACTTGCCTAGCCGATCGAGCACGCCAGCCACCTTAGCCGGCTGAGCTTCACGTAGCGATGTAGATCTTGCGGTCGGGGAGAGATACTCCGTGACGCCGCCACCGCTGCTGCTGGCATTGTCGCCAAGCGCGATCGCGATCGTCTGTCGCGCCTCTGCCCAAATGGCGTCCACAAGACCCGATGCCTGGGCGACATCCAGTGCCGGCGAGGTGGGTGTCGCAGGAGCCGTACCATTTGATGCATCGCCTGAACCCGATCCACCACCACCAGCCGTAGCGCTGACCAGCCTCCTTCCCTCACTGCAAAGCGCCTCAACGTCCCTCTGCAATTGCCGCAATCCCGGCGGACTGACCTTCTCCACCTCCCTCGCCAGCAGCTGCCCGTCAAGCAGCTGATTGGCCACATACCTGAATGCGCTGCGGTAGGCCCTCAACTTAGTCTCTCTAGGAAGAAGGACAAGGACGGACTCCATCATCGTCTCCAGCCACGTCAGCATCTCAAAGATGTACGAACTAGGCTGGGCCCGTCCAGTGGGCGGGTCTGAGGCGCGTGTCCAATCCATCTCCTCAAGTTCAATGAATTCGAGGAGCTTCGCTCCGATTGCTGAATCGATGCGCGCCTGAGCTATATCTAGCGTAGCGGTGAAGTGCGAACTTGCATCGAGTCGTAGAGTGCCGCCTCGATGCGGGGCACGGAGAGCCGCGAGGAGTCGCTCGAGGTTGGTGCAGGCGAGTTTGAAGTGCTCGGCGTTCACTACGATCTGAGTGATTTGGGAGAGGTTCGAGGTGGTCTCGACCGAGTGTCGGATGGCGTTCGAGACCTGCTGGATGAGGAGGTCGTCGAGGGACTGCGGGCGCGAGGGCCAAAGAGACTCAAGTCAGCTTGGGCTTCAAACAGCAGCGAGGGCAGCATTGTGGGACTCACCTTCTTGAGAATGTCATCAATGTCGCGATGGTGTTGCGAGAAGCCGTCGCTGAAGACGTAGTACTGGTCGACAAGGCTGCGAATGTCCATGCAGCAGAGCGGGTATGTCTGGGAGAAAGGTAAGGCCAAAGGAAGTTGCTGCTCCTTGAGCGACTGGGCATCACGCGGCCGTAGCCAGCAAACGTTGAGGACTCTGTGCGAGAGGCAAGGGGATCGAAGTCAGCCGATCAGCAACAATATGCGTTCCGTGCTTCGCACTCACTTGTCCAGCTCCTCTTTCGTGTTGACAACCATAGGCTGATGCTCGGACTGCCGTATTGCCTGCTTGAAGTCGTTCGTGAACCGGTCTCGCAGTAGCTGGGCGTAGCGCTCGAATAGTGTGAGAAGTAGCGCATTGAGCTTGCCCACTGAAAAGCTGTAGCCCTCGAGCGTCTGGATGAACGTCTGCACCACCGCCTTGGTTGCCACGAATACCCTCGTGTCCTTCGAGTCCCGCAGCCCAATGCTGACGATATCCACAACTCGCTCACACATGTCGTCCCACAAGTCGTCCACTTCCTGCTCGCTCCTGAATCCGGGTGGGCAGGTGTCCAGCACGTGGTGTTCAACGAGGAAGAAGCCGACAACTTCCTCGAGCAAAGCAGGGAATGTGGGATTCGAAGGGTGAAAGGAGAGACCTTGAGAGAGGAGGAGGTTGGCTTGCGCCCGCCGATCTTCTTGGTAGTTGCGTTGTAGCTCTTCTCGTAGGTCGAGGACATCGTGAATGTGTATACATTGGTAGAGAGGCGAGAAGTCGATGTGCACCTCGGAGTTGTTCATAAAGGAGTCTGGCAGGGCGAGAGAGCACGTGTCAGCAGGAACCTTCGTCGTGCGGTTGGGCCCGCCTGCTTACACTCTGTGCGCTCGTTGTAGACGCTCTCGACAGGTCCATTGACCTTGGCTACCCGCAGCACATCACTACCCTTCCGCTCGCTGCGACTTCTCCATTTCCTCTGCCTGTCCTCCATGGCTTTGAGCGCCAGTTTGCCTACTGTCCTCGACTTCTGGCGCACCTCGAAGAGCCACTCCTTCATCTCCTTGATGACTGCCTGGCGTATTCTCCAGCGCATCGAGGGAAGTGATGAATGCAGGTAGTGCGCAAAGTCGTGCGCCAGCAATGGAGAGAGATGATGCGCCTCCAGTTCGTCGAGGGAGCGTAATGCCGGATAGTAGTTGCGCTCGTCGATGAGCACGTCAATGCGCTTAGCCATATCCAGCACCTTCAAGCAGAGCTGGAGCGTCTCAATAGCGTCGTCGACTTTCCCCATCGTCCTTTGCGACTCGACGAGGCTCTTTTTCTTGCTGCCCAAGCTCGATCCGCCAGCCTGCACCTCCTCATTGAGCTCACCCACGCGATGTTTGAGACTGATGGTGCTGGAGCGCACCTTGAGGAGCTTGTCCACCGCAGATACGAAGTCTGTGCTGTTGTCGTCGCAGATACGCTGAATGCGCTGTTCTTCTCCGCGAGCAAAGTCGCGAAGCACTCGTAGAAAGGCATCAGCTTGCCCAGCTTCATCGAGCGATTTGATGATGGGGCCGAGCTGCTGGAGGTTGTCTTGGGCAGCATAGTCGAGGTTGCTCGTCGAGGCGACATCGGATGGTGAGGTGGTAGACGACTCGAGGGAGGTGCTGAGGAGTAACGACTGAAGGTGAGCCTGCAGAGAGATCAGAGGCCGACGATTGGCCCTCGCCGCCATCTTGGACCTGGGATTGCGGTGTGACCAGCTCGTTCTTCAAGTCCTTGGTGGATCCCTTGGTGTTGGTTGGCAACTTGATGAAGGACGAGCACGAGCCACTTGAACCGCGCCGCCCCACCTCGACACGACGCTCCACGCCGACCGACGGCAAGAGGCAGGCAGGTCCAGTCCAATTTCGCGCTCGAGCTCAGCACCTCGTCTCGTTCTCGTTCGTCGCCGAAGCAACAAGGGCAAAAGCAAACCGCCGTCCCTCTCACTCTCTTGCTTTGCTCCTCCCTTCAAGCTACCATGATCATTCTCTCGACCAAGGTGTACGACCGCACATAGTCGATCATCTGCCCCCATGTCGAGGAGCACGCAGCAAGGCATGCAGAGCAGCGAGGGTCTGCCTCGCCTCCTCCAACTAGCTTGCTTTCTCGTCGTCCTTATAACAGCATTCACCTCGACGCAGTCATTGGCTCAGTCAAATTCAAGGCAAGCGTCGGCAAGAGCGCTTCAGCATCGATCATCGCCCCCAACCCATCCGCGGGCGAGCGTATCGAGCTTGGATGCTCCATCAGCTATCGACAACCTCTATCTAGCAGACCTAGTGCGCGTCCACCTGTCTTACGAGCTGCTTGCTTCCCGCAGCTGACTTTGTGGCTCCCCTTTGCTCTCGCGCCCGCAGGTCATCCTATCAGCCATTGATGGATCGCTGACAGCAGTAGACAGGACAAGCGGCAAGACGCAATGGATTTTGGATGGCTCGTCCATCTCTCTGCCTCCCCTCGTCAGTTCCCACTACGGCAAGAGGCGGTCGTCCCTCGCACGCATCCTGTCATCTCCTCTGAGAGAGAGCGAAGGGATCACAGGCGGCGATGACGAAGAATACGAGGAGGCCAATGTGCCCATCGATGGCTTGCCTCCTCAGACACGACATCTCCTCAACGTCGCCGGGATGTACGTCGTAGAGCCTGGATCCTCTGGTCGCCTCTACCTCCTCACAGCAGATGAGGGGCGCCATCGCAACGACGACCACAGTAACGCCCATGGCGGCCAAAACGAGGGCAAGCGACCGAGCAAAGCTCGCCTTCAGCGCCTCCCTCTCACGCTCCCACAACTTGTCGGCCTGTCCCCGTTCACCTTCCCCGGCGACCGAGGTCGAGTCTTCACGGGGACTAAACGCACACGCCTTCTTCGCATCGACGTCATCACTGGTCAACTTGACATATCTTGGGAGGCAGATGGCAGCGAGATGATGGACCCAATCAGCAATGAGCAAGGCGCCGCTGGACGGGACTATCGATGGACCTATCTGGCTCGGACCGACTACACGCTTTCCATCTCTCTGCCAAGACGACCTCATCTCAGCCAGACGCTGCAGTACTCAACTTATTCTCCTCAGTCTGCCGACGCAGACGTGGCCGCTCGATGGGTTGAGTCGCACGAGTCGCTGGGCACGGGCGCTCCGCCCAAGCAGGGCGTGACGATTTTGCCAGCGGGGTTGGACCGAGAAGGTAGAGCGGCCAAAGTCACCGCCTGGAACACCACCATGGAAGGCAAACGACAGAGCTGGACGGCAAGCATCAACAGCCAAGTTGTCGACGTCTTTGATGTCCTCTTGCCCGATCCCCAGACACCGCTTCCCGTCCATCCTCATCCCATTGTGGTGCCTCACCCGCCCTTTGCCCGTGCTGAGGGTTTCGAGGGCTACGAAGGAGAGGAAGACGACGATGACCTTCTAGATCTTGACGATGAGACGCTGCTTACCCTCTCACCGGAGACCGGCTCCCTTTACGCCATGTCCTCGCAAAGGTTCCCTGGCGTGCTCCGCGACATCAAGCCAGCTATCGCGGGATTGGATGAAGGGCAGAGAGCAGAACGGGGTCTCATCCCAGGCTCAGATCACCAGCCGATGCAATGTCGCACTTTCGGTTGTTGGATGGGCCGCTACCGCGTAGAAGATGTGGACGTAGAGCAAAGGCAGGCGCTGGACAAGTACGGCCTGCCTGGCGGGTCGAGGAGAACCCCGCTCGAGATCTCGGACAGGGCTGCCAACCCTGATCATCAGACACAGAGAGATCAGCAAGCCGCTGAGCCCTCACCGTCAATACTGGAGAGGATCACGCCCGCACGCGTGCCCTCCAAGAAGACGATCTTGACACAGGTGGTTGCCGTAGCCGTCATTGCAGTTCTGACGCTCGCGGTGCGGCGAGGTCTGGTCGAGCAGCGTAGGATACAGCAGGGCCGAAGTCATGCAGCGATCAGTCAGCTCGACTTGCAGTGGCAGTCTACCCTGCGATCGAATGACGAGGAGGGTTCAGGCGCGGTAGAGTCAATCACGACAGCAGGGGAGGGCGCAGCGAGCAAGGTTGAAGAGATCGTCGAGCGGACACCGCCAGCAGCCGTCACTGAGGCCGAGCGAGCAGCTCAGGCAGATCAAGCCGCGGCGTCACTGCTCGCAGAGGAGATTGGCGGCAAAGAAGCAGCAGCAGCAGCAGGTAATACTACCGCCGACTCAGCTGCAGCCGGCGTCAAGAAGAAGCGTCGCAAGCGCGGCAAGCGATCAGGTGCGGCTGTAAGAGCGCGGCAAGGCACTGCTGGCGCCGACGAGGAGAGCGGGTCAGAAGGTGAAGGCGCAGCAGATGGCGGATTTGCAAAGCAAGTGCAAAGAAGTAACGGCGAATCGACCTCGATGGCGAAAAATGGCTCTTCGTCGACCTTGTCCAACGGCTGGATCCAAATCGGACCCGGCTCGCAATCAGCGCAGGACCAACTCGTGGCCCTCGCCAACTCGCAACCACAAGGCGATGCGGCCGCCTCGGCCACCCCTGCGCTTCAGCTCAGCGACGAAGTCCTTGGATACGGCTCATCCGGCACAGTCGTGTTCAAAGGTCGATTCCAGAACCGCCTCGTAGCAGTCAAGCGTCTACTGGTAGACTTCGTCCACCTAGCTTCACAGGAGATCTCTCTCCTCGAGTCAGCAGACGATCACCCTAATGTCATTCGCTACTTCTACAAGGAGCAGGTGGGCAATTTCCTCTTCATTGCTCTCGAGCTCTGCCCCGCTTCTCTTGGCGACCTCGTTGAAAAACCCGACGAGTGGCAGGATTTGGCAGTTAGACTGGAGCCGAAGAGGGCTATCAAGGAGGTGGCGGGTGGTTTGAGGCACCTGCATGGCCTGAGCATTGTTCATCGGGATATCAAGCCGCAGAACATCTTGGTTGCGTATGCGAATCCACACGCACCCAAGACTTCGCCGCTCAAGATGCTTCTGTCCGACTTTGGGCTCAGCAAGCGGTTGGACTCCGTGGCGCAGAGTAGCTTTTCGCAGACGATGCATCATCCGGGGGGCACGGCAGGATGGCGAGCGCCGGAGATCTTGAGGGGGGATGTGAGCTTGGAGGAAGCGTCGGGGGGCAGTCAGTCGTCCAGCTTGACGGCTGCCCAGGCTACGAACATGGCCAACGGCAGCAGTGCCAATGGCTCGTCATCACGCACTCGCCTGACCCGCGCAGTCGATATCTTTGCGCTCGGCTGCCTATCCTACTATCTCCTCACCTCAGGCGACCACCCCTTCGGCGCACGATATGAGCGGGAGGTGAACATCATGCGGAACCAGTCGAACCTCTCGCGCCTCGAAGCGTTTGGAGAGGAAGGGCACGAAGCCAGCCATTTGATCCGCAACATGATCCAGCCCGAGCCGACAGGCAGGCTGAGGGCGGTGCAGGTCCTTGCACACCCGTACTTTTGGGACTCGGCGAAGCGGTTGGGCTTCTTGCAGGATGTGAGCGATCGACTCGAGGTGATTGAGAGGGAGAAGGCGGCGACCGGATCACAGGGTGCCGCGGCAGCTGCAGCGGCCGCGGCCTCCTCATCAGCACTCGCTCCGCCTCCGCCACCGGACGACGCCGAGTCCTCGCTCCTGCTCCGTCAACTGGAATCGTCCTCTCGCCTCGTCACGGAAGGCGGCGACTGGACGCGCAAAGTAGACAAAGCATTCATGGACGACCTAGGCAAGTGGCGCAAATACCACGGCTCTTCCGTCCGCGACCTCCTTCGCGCCTTGCGCAATAAGAAACATCACTACCAGGACATGCCACCTGCCCTCAGGAGAAGCATGGGCGCTATGCCTGAAGGATTTCTGGGGTATTTTACGAGGAGGTTCCCGAAACTGTTCTTGCATGTGTATGAAGTGGTCGAGAAGTGCGACTTTGTTAAGAGCGAGAGCGCATTTAGGACTTACTTTGCAGATCAGGAGCAGATGTAGGCGTAGGCGAGGAGGCCTGTGGCAGGCTCGGGGCTGCGGAACTGCAGGAGAGTGATTGCTGAGCCTACAGAGAAGCTCATAGTCGCGGACATCTATCATTTGTATTATCATGCCATCATTTTCGAAAGGATTTCTTGACAGCTGCCTCGGTGACTACGCTGAACCCTGTCCCCGAGGATCTGAGACATGGTGGCTAAGGCGTCCTCGGATCTCGATTTAAGACTCACCTGCGCTTTCACGCCACACGAGAGGGCAAGCGGCGAGCGACGGAAGGATCGGATCATGAACGAGGGATGCGCTGCCTCGCAGCTTGCAGATTAATCGGGCAGTTGCCGCTCGACGAAAGACAGGAGACTCAAGCCTACAGCGGGCACTTGCTACGTACGGAGACGATGAGATAGCGGCTATGATGAGTGAACGCTGCAGAGTTGCCAGGAGCCTAATTTGCGACTCTTCACTATCGGAGAGGCCCTGTAAATACCACGCTAGGTGGCGGGCCTTAGCGGCCCACGGGTCCTTCATTTGTTGCCGCCGGCCCTTTGTGTGTCGAGCTATCGTTTCAGTCTCGTCGAAGGGAGAAGTCGGCTCCTGGTCATTGCAATGTCCTCTGCTCAGAAACATCTTCACGCCCTTGCGTCACGGTCTCGCGGTCTACATCGAGTCAAGATCGAATTCGAAAGCTGCTTCTTCTCGCCCTGACCTCCTCGCTCTCTCGCAAGTTGCTCTTGGATGCTCCGACGCCTTGGCGCGCCCCTTTGTCCCGTTCAAGTCCGGATAGCTAGTTGGCTGAATGGCTGTTGTGCCTCTTGCAGTCGCCGTCTTCGTCGCCGATACTCGGCTCAATGGTCATCTATCTCGCGTGCAAAGGCGATTGAAAACTACTCTGGCTCTGACAGGTGCAGGTGTGTGAGTTAATCCATACGCAATGCGAGACAACACCACGCAGCAGTTTTCAGAGTCTGAGGAAAGTCGTCATCAGCATTGAGACCATCGCAATCGTCGCCATGTTAAGGACCGCGGATCGCGATTCTCACAGTGACCATTGGCGACTGCTCTTGCCTCGCTGGGTGTGCTTTTCCTCGCTCGCTCTTCATTCACACGCATTTCGTGGCCCGCTCTTGACCAACTCGACCTCGCCGGAGCTGCAGCTGCACGCTGAGGCGCGTCTGCCCTGCGTCGTTGCCCGCTCGCCGACGACCGAAATTGCCCTGCTGCCGCCCGGCACACACTGAAGTGGAAGGGAAGTTCACCTCGCCGTTGCCTAGACTAAGCGGCCCAACCACGAACCGGCTCCAATTCCATCGACGACGATCAAGGGGGCCCGAGGGTATGAGGGAGCTTTATCTACTCCTCTCCCTTTCTTTACAATATCACACTCTTCATCGCTGATCATTATCGTCGTCGGTGAGCGACGATGATGACGGCAGCAGCATCTCCACGCTCGCCCGCTGCCTCGCCACGAGTGCATACATCGTCGAGCACCGAGCAGTCACCTTTCCTCAATCATTTCAATTTTCCATCATCATCCTCCTCGTCTGTCTCGTCATCATCCAGTTCCCGCCGAGCTCAGCACGTCTCCTTCTCTTCCTCCTCCTCATCGTCCTCCCCTGCTCACTGGTCGACGACGTCCCCGGATAGCGTCGACGGATGGTGGGAGCACGTGCTGCCTCAGGGTCCTCTTGCAGATAGGCTTCGACGTGCGCATCATGAGCCGCACCGCTCGCCCTCGTCCTCCACCATCGGCCGATCGTCTGCCTCTGTAAGGTCTTCGCCCAAAGCGGCTCGCAATGTCTTCGCCTTCCCCGGACAGGCCAGCCGGCGCCACCATGCCGATGGCGATGATGATTCGAGCGATAATGAGCACGCAGCGGCACCAAGGAAAAGCCAGGCTGCGAAGCTTCTCGCCGAGGAGATGGGTACAAGCGGTAGTGGCGGTGGAAGACGTCGCAACAGGCAACGGGTGCAGAGCGCCGATGGGCCCTCGACATCACGATCGTTGAGCGAGTTGTCACAGCACAACCCTGTACACATGCAGCAACTTCACCCTCCTGCGCCTCATTTGCGCCCTCGCGCTCATCGACACTCGGTTATGCCAGCCTGCCCCTCGACGGGCAGCAGCGGCCACTTCTCGCCCTTATCACGCACCCCGGAGATCAGCTCCGGCAGTGAGACGGAGTATGCACCGACGTCTACAACGACATCGGCAAGCTCGACTCTCTCTCGCTCCCAGTCGCTGCAGATCAATAGCGGTCGAGCAGCTCGCAGTAAGAAGAGCACCACATTCTCCGATCAAGAGTGGCAGGATGTCCTCTCCGGTCGCCACTACAAGAAGCGTAGCAGTCGTCGTGTCAGCTTCGATGCCGAGGCGGAGGCAAAGGCTCGATCAGACGAGGAGAATGAGGATGAGCTGCGCAAGTTGCGTCTACTTCATCAGCAACAGCAGCATCAACAGCATAAGCATCAATCCCAGCCGCACAGCCAGCATCGTAACCCTCTGGACGAGCTAGCAGCTAGCGGCTCGCAGCATTGGTTCAATACGACGAGCTCGGCCACAATTCACCGCCGCAGAACCAGGACGCTGAGCAGGGACGGCTTCGGCATCGCCAATCCATCCTCATCACGCCGCGCCGGCACAGGCTCAGCCCCTGTCAGCCCGCGAACGTCGATGCACCTCAGCGACGCTCAACGAGCCAAGCTCCTTGACGGTCTCGGCATCGAAGGTAGCGGTCTCGCATCGCATCAGCATTCTCCTGCGGTCTCGCCTCCTCTTCCTTCGTCCTCGTCTTCCCGCCCACCCCGGTATGTCCCGGCCCCTGCTTCTCAACACGAAGTGGCCGTTCTTCGCTCCCTGCAATCGGCGCAGCACCACATTACGCGCACGACAAGCACAGCTCTGAGCTACTCGCGCTCCCTCCTGCACCTGCCAGCCCCAGTTGTCAGGCCACTTATGCAGGCCACCCTCATCTGGTGGATCTCAAGTGCCACGCTCTTTGCCCTTGGTACGTGTCTGCTCGCAAGCTACTGCTTGACCGTGTGGGACGATGTGAATGGGAAGAAGCGCAGCGCCGAAGCGCAGTGGGGAAAGAAGAGAGGTGCTACTCGGCAAGAAGAGGAAGACGACAGTCATTCGGCGTCGACTTCAACGTATGCCTCACCTTCTGCCACCCCCTCAGCTAGCAGGAGGGCCTCAGCGGCCAATGCCCTTGCACTGGTCGAGGAAGTGGGCAAGGTCGTCTTCATCAGCCCCCTCCACTTCGCCGCCAAGGTGCCGCTGGCCGTTGCGTATAGCCTAGCTCCGAGGGCTGTACCTACCGGTAGTAGTCCTAGCAGCAATGGCAGCAGTAGCAGCACGACGCCGACGAAGGAGAGGAGTCGCAGTGGTTCGCTCGTTGCCGCGGAAGGTGACGCTGCTGAAGACGCCACGGACAGCCAGCAAAACGAGGAGCGTCAGCGACGCTACAAGGATGCGAAAGATCGCCCATTGCCCCCTCGCCCTCCCCTTAGCTCGTTGATCCCGAGCATGTTCTTCACTCTGCTCCTTGCTCTGGGTGCGGGACTTTTCGGAGGATGGGTGAAGAAGCATAGCAAGGGGAACGGTGAGGGGGAGGAGAAGGGGCAGCAGGAGCAGCAAGAGGAGGGTCAGCAGGAGACGAGGTCCTGTGCACAAGGGGCGGCGCAGGGGCACGCCATGGGACAGCAGGGGAAAAGGATTTCTCTGGTCGTGGCTTGATGACTAGATGACGATGACGACGATTCTCACGATGTATCTCTCCTTTCTTACGACCACTCATACCCCGGGCACGATTGACTCGAAGCCCCGCTCGCGACTTTCTCACTGCTCAATGCTTGTCTTGCTACGCACTTTGTCCTCATCACAATCAATGCCCTTCTGCCCAACGGGATGTGTCATGGCCTGTGTTGAGGAGGAGGGAATCGGCCAGGCAACGAGGGCAATAGGGCGTGACAGGGCCGGCGGAAGAGGGGCCGGAGGGCGGCTCGTGCGTCTCCAGGGCTGCAGAGCCAAATTTTGCAAGTGAGGTCAGGAACATCATCTGCAGCCGCCTTTTCATTTCAATCTCTTCATCCTCTCTTCTCTACGACCATCATCATCAACAACAACGACAGCGGCCGCATCCACAGGCTCACCCAGCATAGAAAGCAATGCCATATCCAGCAACGGCCGACCCGGGTGAGGGCGAGTCATCCACCCTCGCCCCCGTCTTTCCCTCTGCCAATGCCTATCGATCGCCTCAAGAGGATCAGCAGGCAGCCGCTGGCCCTTCGCGCCCCTCGTCATCACCGTCATCACCATCACTTCTCCCACCCAATCGCTCTCGCCCCCTTTCGACTGAAGAGCTGCGCCGACGAGCGACTGAGGACAACGATGCAGGCGCGGCCGTCGACCTGAGGATACGGCAGGATGCCATCGTGGGCCAATCGAGCGCGGATGCCTCTTCCTCATCGGCACCAAAGCAACGCCTTGTCCCACCAAAAGGCTGGCTCCACTTTGTCGCAGGAGGTATAGGAGGCATGTGTGGCGCAATCATTACCTCACCGCTAGATGTTGTCAAGACGCGCCTGCAATCCGACCTGTACAAGGAGGCGGCAGCTGCACGCAGTAACGCTGCTGCTCCGACATCGTCTTCCTTCCTAGCGACAGGCCGCCGCCTTGCCTACCACTTCGTCGAGACTGGTCATCTCTTGCACGAGATCTCCACAAAAGAAGGTCCTCGCGCCCTCTTCAAGGGCCTCGCCCCGACACTAGTCGGCGTGGTACCTGCGAGGAGCATCAATTTCTTTACGTACGGCAATGGGAAGCTCTTCTTCGCTGAGCAGCTGAACGGCGGTAAAGAGGCGGCTTGGGTTCATCTCCTCGCTGCGGCTAGCGCTGGCGTGGTGACAGCTACGGCCACGAATCCCATATGGGTCGTCAAGACGAGGTTGCAATTAGAAGGGCAGAGGGCAAATAAGAGGGAAAGGGAGGAGAGGAGGAGAGCTGTCGGTGTGCAGGGAGGCAGAGCATCGTCAACATCACCCCTCGTTGAGGCAGCCAGAAAAGCTTACTCGACCAGCTCGTCCTCAATACGCTCCTCAACCTCGCCCATCTCCTTCCAACCAGCACGTTCCCCTCCACGCCCGGGCACCTCCTCTCTAGAAATGGTAGCGCGCATTGTCCGCACTGAAGGTGTCACAGGGCTATACAAGGGAATGTCAGCGTCCTATCTAGGGGTAGCAGAGGGGACGATTCAGTGGGTCCTCTACGAGTACCTGAAGCGCCTCTCGGGTGAAGGAGCTGCTGTCGGTGGGGCTGGCAAGACCGTCGAAGGAGGCAAGAAGAGTGGCGGCCTGGCAGGGACTATCGGGTCGGCAGGAGCGGCCAAGCTTACCGCATCGTTGATCACGTACCCGCACGAGGTGGTGAGGACACGACTGAGGCAAGATACGATGGTGCGTGAGGGACCTGGTGGATCGCTCATTCCAAAATACCGAGGACTGCTGCAGACATTCCTCCTCGTCTTGAGAGAGGAGGGGGCTGCGAGCTTGTACGGCGGGCTGAGTGCTCACTTGCTCAGAGTGGTACCCAACGCGGCCGTCATGTTTAGTATTTACGAGCTGGCGCTGCGCTTCGGCAGTACGAAGGTAGAGGTCAAGGAGGAGGACGAGCAGGCGCCGCAGACAAGGAGACAGGCGTAGATGAGCGTCGAGTTTTGTTGTGCACTACTAATCACCACTACCTGTCACCGAGCACGAGAGGCGAAGCGTCTTGAGAGTCCGTATGCATTGAGAAGTGCAAAATGAGAAGAGTCGAATAGAGTCAAAATACAGGGACGAGAACACATGACAACCACGATATACTCTTCGACCCGCTCTACCTTACACCGCAGCTAGCAACGCTTCCACGGCCACAGCCAACGTCTCCAATCGATGCCATGCCGCAATCCCGGCCAGATTCCTCAGCTTCCTCACCGTCTCCACGCGACTAACAGTCCAGCTCCAAGGCCCCGCACAGACCCCACAGCAGACTTGCGCATCCGTCTCCCTCGTCGCTGAGCATTTACTACACCTCAGATCCTGCAGCGCAAACGTCGCCACGTACGAGTGGGCTATACTGACCAGCCTGCTCTCGATGGCCGCGCGAGGCAGAGCGTTGGTGCAGGCAGAGCAACGCCAGACGGGCTTCTCGCCCGTGCTGGAGGAAGAGAGGAGGTCCTCGTCACGACACAGGTCCAGGGTACGCTCTTCGCAGCAGTACGTGCAGATCACGAGGGGCAACCTGAATGGCTCGCAAGGTGGACGCCATTCTGCTTCGCGGCTGAAGGCTCCTACGCCCAGCAGCTGGAGGAGGTTGCGACGTAGCACCGTGACTTCTTGGGCAACCTCGGGCGCGAGGGAGAGGACGGCCATGGTGGATTTGACGAACTCCAGTGCAGGGGTTTGAGCGCGAGCCACTTTTGGTGGAGGCACGACTTTGCCCGGGAGGTCGGGGAAGGACCATTGCGACTCAAGGACAGAGGCAGGGTCCTGCTCCTCTTCGTCTTCGTCGAGATCGTCGTACCTCTGTCGGTGTGACTGCGACTGACCCGAAGCCGCAGCGACAGCAGCTTGATGCTCGGCGCGAATGTCGGTTGTGACCTTGAGCAGCTTGCGGGTGACTTGTCGCTGGATAAAGTCGCGCAAGAACTTGACCTCTGCGGCACCTGAAAGACCCTTGATCATGCTCAGCTCCGCAGCTTCTTCGCCATCATCCTCCTCCTTCCCCTGCTGCGCCACCACCTCGCCATTGGCGCCCATCGTTACAGGCCGCAGCGGCGTTCTATCAATCCCACTTGCGCGCTGGCTCTTCCTCTTGTTCTCGTACACATGAAAGATGAACCCACCGACCACGCTTGCGAAGCGCGGCTGCACTGCAAGAGGCAGGAAGCGTTGCACGTTCCAGTTCATCTCGACCGTGAAAGTCTCTGACGGCTCCTCCGCTTCTGGATCAGCGGAGATGACGCCACCGAAGTTGGCTACGTCCATCCAGGTGAGCTGTTCCCAGAAGTGGACGATGTCGAGACCAAGATGGCGGAATAGATCCCGACTGGTGACCGTGCTGACGAGGTAGCGGCCATACGCTGCCGCAGATCCCGCCGTGGGCTTGTTGGTGAGAAGGAAGAGTCTGTTGACGCTAGCGTAGACGATCGTTGATCCCAGACGCTTGAATTCCCCGAGCAATTGGAGCAGGGTCTTGCGCATCAAACCGTGCAAGAACTTCTGCATCGCAGGCTCGAACATGGCACTGCGATTGCTTGAGGCCCAACGCCAGAAGTTGTCGGCCAGCAGCGAGCTGTACGTCGACTTGTTGCGGGCTTTGGCCACGTACCAGCTCTTGACCATGATCTTGAGAGAGGAGAACACCTGGCTGGTCAAGACCGCATCTCCGAACGTGGCGGACGAAGCTACTGTCCCCTTGGCGTATTCGTCGAGGTTGTGCGAAGCGTTGTCAAATGCGAGCGACCCGCCAGAAGAGGAGCTCCCCTCCATGTCGTTCACTGCCGCCGACTGCAGCACCGAGTTGATGGCGAGGTCGCGGAGAGCCACTTCGAAGACAACGTTAGTGTAGCAGCCTGGCTTTGAAATCTCCACATTTTCCACCTCTTCGATCGGCTGCCCTGCCGTATGATTATCCTGCTCTCTTCCACCCAAGTCGGGCGCAGGGGAGCTGGACCACCAAAGCACATGATCCTGTGCCGCCAACCTGCGTGCGAAGTCAACATCGGCGCCGAAAACGGCAAAGTCGCGCTCGAGGTTGCAGAGTGGCAGGTCAAAGTAGGCTGCAATCTCGATCCAGCGCTTGATCCACCCAGAAGCGCGGAAGAAAGAGGAGAGCATACGACGGGAGCTGTACAGCTGCCAGCCGAGAGCGGGGAGCTCGTCTTCTGCGTTCGAGGCAGGGATCGAAAGGATGGGAAACTCGACGAGTGCGGAGCCTACGTTGAGCTCGTAGTAGTCTTGCGACTTCGAGGAGCAGATGGCTAGCATGGCCGAGCCTTGCTTCGCGGTGCGTAGCTGCGTGAGGTCGCGGGCCAGAGCTCGGAAGGCTCGCTGCTCTGTCGTGTGTACCTTGAAGTCTACATCGAGGGCGTCGACATATTCGAAGACGCCATCGCCATCATTGATCTTGCCGCGGGCTTTGAGGCTCGACACTCGGTCACCGTACATGGACGTCAGGTTGGGCACTTGCCTCAACCCCGCCGAGTCCACGATGTGTAGCTTCAGCTGGCCTTCCGGCGAAAATAGGCCGAGCACATGCCGACCATCGAGCTGGGCGTGGTAGAGATAGAAGTAGCGAATCCCCGCCCCGCCATTCAGGTAGACTTGCTTCGAGATGGGCGAGTGGGTCGACTTGACCAGGTCGTCGAGATCGAAACCGACGTCGAGGGCTCGACTGACCTTCTTCCTGCTGCGAGAGTCAAGGGCACAAGTTGACCCAAACTTGATGAGGGCGCGCACGTCAAGGGGCACATGTCGCTCGTAAATGCCTTCGACGATCGGATGGTTCAACAGCGAAGAAAAGTGTGCCTCTTCCTCAATGAAGACATCCTCGGCCACCGTTAGGCGGTAGAAGTTGCGGCAAGTTGCGCCACGAGGCAAGGCCTTCGAAACCTTCTCGACGATGTAACCCTCTTGGAACATGCCTGGCTTGGGCTCGGAGCGTAGACTAAGGTAGAACTGGCGTGGAATACGCAGCCTGAGCGACTGGAGCTGGCCACCGATAGCGATCCAGAGGCGATATTCACCAGCACGGGTGGCAGGGGTGATTTGAACCACGTCCCACGTTGCTGTGGCAATGCTGGACAGGCCGCGAGACAGGTGCGACGTCATCAAGCCGCCGCGAGTGGAAGGTGCGCCGAGGCTGCGAGCTGTTCCCGAGGCTGCATTGGCCGCCTTTCTAAGCGCTCTCGCCGCCTTCCATCGTGGCTTCATGGCAGCGACGTAGCCGGCGTAGTCGACTTCGAAGCTTGGGACAGGAGGGAGCGGTACTTCGGGCACAGGCTCCTTGCTCTTCACCAGCGCAGCGGCTTTTGCCTTCGCCAGTGCTGCCTGCTTCTCTACCTCTTCAGGATCCATCGGCTTGGTGTTCTTGAACGCATCAGCAAGCGTACGCTGCTTGAATCGATTCTCCCTCGCTGCCACGCGCTTGAATAGCCAGTCAGGATGGCGGACGCGCGGCACAGGGTTAGGCACGCGCTGCATCGCCGCCGGGATAGTGATGAGCTTCTGAATGACGCTGCCGAAGCGCTCGATGTAGTAATCCCAGTCGAGGATTGAGCGCAGATCGAAGTCCGTGAGACTGCCGTCACGCAAGAATTTGCGGAGGTAGTGTTGCTTGACGCTCTCCTCTGCGTTGAAGATGGCAACGGGGACTGCACGCTCGGTGACGGGGGCGCCAAAGGGCTTGGCTGAGATGATGAACTTACACGCCAGACCCTTGTCCTTGACCATCTGGGCACCAAGGAACTCGGCCAGACGCTTGGCCGTGGTGATAGCCGTGGACTTCTGCGAGCCGTATTCGGAGAGCATCTTAGACATCGACTTGTTCTCGGCGATGAGGTCGACGAGCTCCTCGTCGTGCAGTGTTGCGCCCTTGTTGTAGAGAATGTCGAGCCATTGATTGGCAACCGTGGCAACCGCAGCGTAGCACTCGACGAGGGTGTCACCGAGCAGGAACTTTTCGAAGATCTGCTTTTGGAAGTCCTTGATCAATTGCAGCTCTCCTCTTCGCTTGACTTCGAAGCCCTTCAGCTCCGCAAGTGACCCGTCATGCTCGAAGACGGCGTAGCGCTTCTTGAGCAACTTGTCTTCCTCTTTGCTCGAGGGCAGGATCATTGCGCGATATGGACCGTCAAGCTCGAAGAAGATGGAGTTTTCGCTGTGGACTTCGTAGCGGCCCGTCTCCTTGTCCGCGAGCGTGTGATACTGGTGGTTGGTGAAGCGCGCATGCACCAGGTGGTTGAGCATCGTGCATGGATAGCTGATGCCGAACTTTTTACCTGTCGACTTGCTTTTGAAGCTGAAGTTCTCAGGGAACTTGCCGGGAAGCATACACCAGATACCGTCGGTGTCGAGCTCGAGCGGGCGGCCAATACGATCCACGAGCTCCTTGGCCATCTGAATGATCGTCGCCCCCGTCAAGCAGGTGATGCCTGCCATCTCCATCGAGTACCAACGAGCGCCCTTGCGCATGACGTAACCGTAGAAGGAGTTGAGAATGCACTTGTGAGCCAGCTGCAGCGAGTCGTATAGAACGATCATCTTCTTTGCTTCGACGACTTCCGTGAGCCCACCGCTGTTCTGCGCCGAGTCGAGATTCTTCTTCCACGTCTTGTGCAGGCCCTTGTACTCGTAGCGGCGATCGCGAAAGTCGCGGACTGTGTCGATGTAGAAGGGATTCTCGCGCTGGCAAATTGTCGCCTCGCGGTAGACCGTCTTGGTCTCTTTGTTCTTACGGTACACCTTGCGCGAGTAGTCGCCGAGTCGCTTGTGCAGTAAGGCCGTCTTTTCCTCCTCACCTAGATCGTGGTAGGTACGACGAGGCCCGTTTGGCCACCTTGGCGGAAAAGTCTCGCCGGTGAGGGCGTGGCGAATCATGTTGACCTCGTCGCGCTTCGCCGGGAAGTACTCGCCACGCCATGCCCATGTCATCTTCTTGTTACACTTCATCGAGGGGCGATTGTACTCGCAAGTCGCGCACATTGCCTCATCGACGACCGAATCCGGTTGGAGACGATTGGACAACATGATGTTCGGGTACATGGCAGCTACGTCCAAGTGGTAGATGAGCGGCTCGTCCTTGCAGAGCGGCTGGTCGCGGAGGGCCTCGAGCATCGACTTGATCTTCTGCTTGACTTCGTCGTAGTTGGCAACATCATCGAGGTCCCATTTGCCCTCCTCGCGGATGCTGAATTGCAGAGCGGCGTCGAGGTCGTCGATGAGCTGCTGGAAAGCGGCCGGGTCGAGCTTGAAGTCTGTGGCGATGTCGCTGCGGAAGACGCCGGCCTCGAGGGCCTCGACATGCCCGCCGACGTACGTCTCAGACTCGAGAAGATGTCCCTCGTAAGTGCTGCCGACGGGATCGGTGTGGCGGTTTGGCATGACAATGTTCCCCTTGTATGCCTGAACCATGAGGAGACTGCGTGAGAAAAGGAGGTCAGCGCGTCAATCTTCGTCCGCTCTGGCCCGCGTCATACTCACGTCTCGCAAAGCGTACCACTCCCCTTGCGCAGCACTTCGTCCGGGTTGAGCGGAATAATGTTGCACAGCGAAAAGATGAAGGGGTGGACGTACTTCATGTAGAGATAGTAGGTCGCCACAGCGTCTGATACCGAGTACTGGGCGAGCGTCTGCGGCTGCTCCATGGCGTAGGGCGTCATCAGCTCGGGATCAAGTTCCATTGGATCGTACCCTAGCTTGGCAACTGTGACGGCCTTGAGACCCTGACTGCCCTGCGGCAGGTACGAGTCACGCTTGACCCAACGGAAGCAATCCATGTGCGCTGTAGTCCTGGCCTTGTACTCTCCTTCGTTGTCCTTGCTGAACCCGATCTCATCCAGCATGCTCAGCCCGTGGAAGGAAGCCCTCGCGTCTACAAAGGGAAAGTCGAACGAGTCACCGTTGTACGTGGCCACAACCGTCGGCTTGGCCTCACGGAAATGCTCAAAGAAGCGGCGCAGGAGGCTGAACTCGTCTGCCTCGTTGAAGATGATGAAGGGCCCCTCATACTCCTCCTTCGGCGAGTACTCAAAGTCATCGATGTCCTCGGAGACCACTTCGCGGTTGGTGATGAGGAACCCTTGCCCGTCAATCATATACGAGATCATCATGATGACGTCCGTCTCTGCGTCGGGGAACTTGAGAGGCTGCTTCGTCGTCTCGATGTCAAAGGCGAGGACGGTGGGCTCTGCACGCTTGACGCGTGACGGGACGCCTTGTAACGTGATGTGGCCTGCATCGAAGGTGATGGAGTACCACAAGCCGACACGGATGTCGTTGTCGATTGCCACACGCAGGTAGTAGGGAATGTCGTACTCTCTGAAGTCGGCGATGCACTCCTCTGGCTCGAGCTTGGGTCCAGATGACCCGCCTGCGGGGCCTCCCTTGACTTTGCGTCTGCCTGCCCCTGTCCAGCTCTTCTCGCGCTCCGTGTCGAAGCCCAGAGCTTCTACCTCTGCCTGCTCCATCTCGATGTCGAGCGATGCCCCGCCGGCGCCCTCACCAGCATCAGCGAGCGTGTCTGCGTAGGTGTCAACTGCGTCGCGGCGTCTCTGGAAAGCTTGTGCCAGGGGCAAGACCTCGCGTCGGACACTGAGCAGATCTTGGACGTTCCAGAAATTGAGCTTGAGGAGAAGCCGATCATTGCCAACAAGATGATTAGGCAGCTTCAGGTCTTCTTTGCGTTGTCGCTCGATGTTGATGATGAGACCCTCAAATTTGCGCTTGAGCCACTCCTCAACAATCGATTCCGTCCCCGGCTTGCATCCCAGCAAGACGTATGGGCAGTACTGGACGGTGACCTTGAATGAAGAGGCATCGTCTTCGATAAAGTAGAAGTCGACGGCCGCTTTGCCCGTCGCATGGCCTCCGCCGTCATCTGCCGGGTTGGGTGGGAGGAGAGTGGGGTGCATGTTGACAAGCCCTACGCGACGAGAGGAAGTCAGTGAGTGGGCCCTTCGCATGCCTGCCAGTCGTGCCACTCACAAGCTTCTCTCGGTGGTCCGACCTCCATCCTCTCGGATCCCATCTTTGCGTCAATCTCATCTCGCATTGCCGTCTCTTTAAAGCGGTCTTCTGCGGATGTCCCATCCTGAATGCCCTTCATCAATGACGCCCCAGCAGCAGCGACTGCCTCGCGATTGTAGCTCGGTCCTGCGCTACTGCCACCACTGCGAGATGGTCCTGCTCCATTTGCGCCTCCCCTTGTCGAGCCTCCGCCACCACCCCTCCTTCTGAAGGTGCCTCTGCTCATGCGCGTGTTGCTGCCGCTCGATGTGAGGCCGAATGTTCGTCCACCGCCGGCGCCATTGCGCGAGTTGGAGCGTGAAGGCATGGCTGCGAACAGCGAGGTGGGACTTGCCGTGCCGATGCTCTAGTGAATGCTAAGACGGTGCTGAGACGATGCTGTTGGGGGGTATGTAGGGAATGAAACCAATGCTGAGAGACGCAGGTGGCAATGATGGGATGGGAAGATGAACTCGAGGTTCAAGTCAAGCTGCAGCGGCAAGGAACTCGACGCAACTGCAACGCGACACTTTGAGTCGCGTCGAAGCAGCGCGCCACCCGCGTGGCTCGAGGCGGACTGGCGGGCGGGGCCTCGACCGACGTCGTTGCCGCCCTCGCCACCACTGGAACTCAACTCCACCAAAATCCAGCATCAGCATCTCTGGCCAGCCAACGTATAATGTCCTCGCCATTGGCAGGGCCGTCTTCCTCAGCGCAGCAGTCGCCAAGCGGCTTCGCCTCTCCGCGTCACTCGACCCTCTACCCAATACCGAGTTCGACGGCTGACGCATTGGAGGCGCGCAGGCTAGCTTTCTTCCAGCAGCCACGGCCTGTGGCCACCGCCACCTCGTCGCCATCCTCCTCAACGAGTAGCAGCTCACGCCCTGTGCCGCGCAACGAGTACCTGCGCCCAGGCCCATCCTCTGCTTCCCCGCTGGACCGTTCACGCGCCTTCAAGCGGCCCCCTTCGGCTCTCTTCTCTGCCGGCCCTCGTGGAGCAGGCAGCAGTCCCTCATCGCGCCGCCTCATAGATGGCACTGATCGACCGTATGTAGCTGCATCAGGTGGTGATGGTGATGTCTCGGCTCGACTGTATCGGCAGCGCTTCCAGCAGCGATGCCAAGCGGCAATGGCGCGCGAGAGGGGACGGCAGAGCAAAGTAGCCAAGGCACGCGGGAGGGACCCGCTGGGCAGCAGTGAGGGCGAAGAAGGGCTCGTGTTGAACTCGGATGACTTAAGCTCGAGTGATATAGATGAGGAAGAGATGCGCAGGGAGGGGGCGAAATGGCAGTATGAGGATGATGAGGTGAGTAGGAGCGCGCGACGTGATGGGCAGCGAGGGTATATGCTGACCTTTTGCGCCTCGCACCTGCTACATCGCAGCTGGTTCGCCGCGTCATGCTAGCAGAGTATCGTCGCCTGCTTCACAAGCAGGAGCTGAGCGGGAGACATGAGCTCGGATGGATGGGAGCAGACGAGGTGGCTTGGCTTGAAGAGGAGCTGGCGCGAGATGAGGCCAGCGCTCACGAGCGCAGGCAAGAGGGCCACGCATCTATGGAAGAGCCGCCACTTGACATGGTGGACGAGGATTGGGCGCTGGCGGAGCAGTTTGATCATGCCTTTGGCGGTCGTGGCGAAGCGCAGGATGCCTTCGAAGAGGACGAGTGGGATGAGGACACGCTGAGGCAGATTGAGGCGCAGGCGACGGCATACACCGCACCACCGCACCACGAAATCGACGTCGAGATGGACCTGACATGAACATCCTACATACTGCATTCAATTGATACCACGGCTCACAGCATGAAGCTGAGCTTCTATTTCTGGCCATCGCGTGGCGTGAATGATGGAGGCCCGTGCTCAACTCTGATTCATTCATCGATGCGCTGCCGGATGCCAAAAGCTCCACGTCTTTCAATCGATCCACCACCTCGTCCACGCAGGTTCAGCGTGGTGGCAAGCTCTTCAATACGGCAACACAATGGCCTGTCCGGCGAATTTCCTTTCCCAGATTCAGATGAGAATACTCAGCGCTGCAGGACTGCGGCAGATACAGAGCTACACAACATGATACCCTCATCGCAGACGACAGCGTCCTCGCTGCTCCGCCTACCCAACGAGGTCCTCCTGCACATTTTTTTGCATCATTCGCACCTCAGCCTACCCGATCTTGCCTCGCTCTCCCTTGTTCATCCTCGTTTCGCTCCTCTCTGTCAGCGGGCGACCGCGTCACACCCTCAGCGCGATTATCTCTGGTGCGGATCTGGTTGGATCCCGCGTGACATTCTCTGCCTTGCTGAATGCAACGACGAGGGGAAGACGGGCTGGCTTCGTCTCAGCGTGGACAAGGACAAAGATGAGGATGCAAATCCGTACAATTTGGGAAAAAACTTGTGCAACAAGTTGTGGGATCGTTTCAATGATGACTACTTTCCGACGAGAGACGTGAGTGTTGCCGAGCAGAGTAGTAAAGCGAGGTGGGGCTCGTTTGTCTGACCGACCGCTTCCACGATCGCTCCCATCAGCTCATGCATCTCGCAGAACTCTTCTCCCTCATGGCCTCATATCTGCATCGGACCCACGCTGGCTTCCCCTCTCTGGTCAGAGGGGCTCTTCCTACTTCGCATCTCACCACGGAATCGCAACGCGCCTCCCATCGCCTCATGCTCTTCTTTCAAGCGCTTCTTTACGCCCTCATTCGCTCCCTGACACGGCGGGTGCGCAACCTCTCAGGGCGAAGTCGAGAGGCAAAGGAGTACAGTCAAGTACTGGGCGTCGAGCCTGGCAGACTGAACGAGTCACAAGAGATGGACGAGGAGCTGCGCTGGGAGCTAGGGATGCTAAGGAAGGCGCTGCTGCGGTGCGATCCCCTCCACGCTCATACTCACCGCGGCAAGGAAGGGCAGCCGGCGTGCTCCTGCTTCTCCCGCAGCCACGCCTCGTGGTACTTGATCTGCTGGCACTTCCTCACGGTAAGGTACCGCCGCTTTCTCTCGCCGGAGGATATAGATCATATTGCTTTTCGTAGCATCGAGTTTTCTGTGCCGTCATTTCCTGCTGAGGCGAGCTTGCAAGGTGGAGATGCGGGATCTACCGACAACGCGGGCAATGGATTGGGTGCTTTTGCTTGGAGCTTCCACCTCCCAGGCTTTCTTGGCACGGCATCATCCAGCACCAGCACGGCGGCCGCCACCCTTCCAGGTCCCAACGGTCCACCCCTCCTCAACCCAGACTCCCTTCTCTTCTCACTCACGGCAAGCCCCACGTCCCAGCAGACGAAAGAATGGTTTGGACTTTCAGAGTTTGCGCTCCCTGCCACTGCTGCGAGAATGTGGGCTGGATGGCTAGGGTACGGCTGGGGAGAGGGAGGAGCCTACTGGGAAGAAGGTGGGAGGAGAGAAGCCGAGGCGAGGCTGGGCGTAATGCGAGGAGATGCGAGTGGTGGTGGGCAGAAGGTGCTACCTGTTGAGAGGGTGTTGATGGCGCACGCGAGATGGAGAGCGAGGGCGCTGCTCACCCAGCGGGAGGTTCTTTTGCCCTCTGCCTCGCTGGTTCCTGACCAAATCGAGAAGCAGCAGGATGGCATGGACAGCAAAGCAGTAGCACAGCGCCGTTCTGTCCTCCTTTCACGCTCGGCAGCGTTCGATTTCCACTTCCTGAGCCGATGCCTGCAAATCCAGACGTGGGCCCTTCGCGGCTGGGGCTCCACGCCTGGACTTACGAGCGAGGCTGTCAACGATCGGACGACGGTCCCTCCTGGCATGGGCGTGGAGACAGCACCAGTGAGAGGCTCGGTAGCCCGTAGCAGCCCGTTTGCTATCTTCCTAGCCCCAGACGGACAGGGCACTGGCGTTGTCTCGTCAGCACCGCGGCGCCGCTTATGGCGCAGTGTCAACGCCTTCCTAGCAGCTTGTCTCCCGCGTAAGCACCGAGAAGCCATGCTTGCACGCTGCGAGCGTCAGGAAGCTCGCGAGCAACAGCTACTCTCGGCTCGTAGGTGGCAGCAGGCCTGGGTTTCAGTGCAGGAGCCGCTGCTTTCGTTCATGACAGAGGAAGGGAATGTGTCGCCGCCCAAAGACGAGGGAGATGTTTCTGCAGATGATGAGCTGACTTCGGCTGTCAAGGCGGCGCTCAAGCAGGAACGGCGGACTCTGCAGCTTCTAGGCGACCTTCACCACGGTCTGTCGCCTCACGGCGAGAAGAGCTCGACTGTCACAATGTGCAACGAGGATCCCACGATAGAGTCACCGCCCGAAAATGACACCTCTGCGAACAAGGACGGTGAAGAGCGTTCCACCCAGCGAGGTCAGTTGCACACATGGCTCGGGACCACTCCGCCTTCTCGCTCGTGCAATCGCAACTTATCGAGCCGATTGGTGCCCACCTTGTCACTCGAGTCAAGTGCAGTCGTGCTGCTTTTCGCAATTTCACTTTTCGTCCTCATTGCCTCAATTGTACTCTATCGACGCATGCAATGAAAGCAGGACGAGCCTTCGTCCTTCGTAGCTTCGACTTCATCGATTTGATTCGACCGTGACAGCGATGAGGCTTGTCGTGACATGGGTCATCACGGGTTGTGACTGAGATCTGTCCTGCTCGTGGCTGAGGACATTATGAGGGCAATCAAGTGAATCGCTTGATTTGAAAGAGAGTCAACGCTATGACGAGCAGTGTCAATCGTCACCCGCGGCTGATTGGGATGAAGAGTGCGTGGACTCGTTGTAGGTAGAGCTGAGCTCTCGAACTCGGAGGACGACGGCTCCGTGTCTGCGTATGGTGCCCATACGGTGCGGCGTGCCCTAACTCTGGCGAAAACTGCTCCGATCTGGAGTGTGAGGAATTAATGACGATGTAAGACGAGAGGGAGAATGAGGCCCGCCGACTGGGCGGTGAGGCAGATGAGGGTGACCGTAGAGTGGGTGCTGGGTCATAGCCACGTGGTACGACGCCCGGTCGTTGCTCGGTCTCGCTCATTGAGGCTGCCAGGATGTGCCACGTGGCTTCAGCGCCGACCGCTGCGCCCGTCTCCGCCGCCAGCCGGCCTCGTCCACGATCCGATCCTTCCTCAACACCACCCCACCACCACCACCACCACCACCTCCCCTCACAATGTCCTACAACATCGCCGGCGTCAAGGTGTTGAACGAACATCTGGCCCTCGGAATCTTTGCACGTATCTGATGATCTTGCCTTCATCAAAAGACGGCCGCTGACCTGCCCTCAACTCTCCTCTCATGCGCGCTCTAGGGTCTCTACGGCCTCGGAGGCTACCTCGCCATGCGCGGCGGTGACAAGAAGACGGCCACGCCCGCCAGCAAGGGCGGCCTTACCCAGACGAACGGGCCTCCTCTCAATGCTGCTAGCTCGTGAGTAGCTGCGAGTGTTCTTGATGGCAGGATAGAAGTGTTGGGAAGCTGGTGAGATGAGCAAAGTTGATATGCAGAGCACGGAGCAGATAGAGCGTTCGATTCAGGCCAGAGACACAAGCAAGGCGGTTTCACGAGAGCAAAATGTTCGTCGCTCGCAGTGAGAGACATCCGCAGCTTCAGCGTCGATCCTCCACGCGTCTCCTCGTAGAGGGAGATGCTGCGTTGGCCGTCTAGGGGGCGGGCTGGGGAGGGACAGGCATCGTCGACGATGCATACATTTATGGGGGGCATTCAGCTGACCGAGCCTTCTCTTCACCTCCTGTCGCCCTCGCAGCGAGGAGGAGTCCTTCATCAAGCAGTTCATGAAGGAAGCCGAAGGCGACAAGAATGCTCACAGGATGGTCTAGATGCCTCACATTAAGGCAGACGAATGACAATGTAGAAGATTGAGATTCAATCCATTACTTGGCAAGATGTTGCCCACAGCACGCCTAGAAATCGTCCGGATCCTCATCATCCTCCTCATCCCCACTCTCCGGATCAAAGTAGATGGTACTCTGCCCAGTCGTCCCTCTCCTCAGCCCTACTCCTTCCTCCCCGCCATGACCTCCTTCCTCACGTTCGTAGCCCTCGTAGATGCGATCAGTAGGCACAAAGGGCAGAGCCACATCGTCTCTCCTCTCTCTTTGTGACGAGGTGAGCGACAAGTTGAAAGGCAGCGATGACACCAGAGAGGCGTGCGCATCCCCTTCGGTGTTCTTTTCCGCTTCACGAAGCGAGCGATGATCGCCCATGTCCAGGGGCACAAGCGAAAGACCGCCGCCGTGCAAGCGCTGCCGCACGCCGAGGGCTTCTTCTCCAAATTTGCCGCCAGGGAGGCGATGTTGTGAGATCAAGATGGCCCATCCTCGCCCCTCGTCGCCGTTGCTGTCGTGTTGACTCGACGACCGGGAGCCCTTCGCGGTGCGCTTGGTTGCCTTACTCGCAGCTCGCTCCTTGCCTAACAAGTCGCGAAGCGTGATGCGTGACTCGACCGGGTCCCACCCTGGAGAGGCCTTCTGCCTGTTGGTATCGCTGCCGCAGATGCTCGCCCGCAGCGCCTCGATGTGCTCCCCCTCCAGCAGACTGCTCCCGTCCTGCCCAACGTCGTTGAGCAGCCAAGAGGCTGACCCCAAATCAGCACGAGCAGCAAGATGCGTCAAGATAGACCACAAGCGTGGGTCCGTCTGCATTTCGTTGCTAAAGAGCTCTGCGACATCCTCATCAAGCGCCTCAAGCTGCGCGCGAGCCGCCGCTTCAGCTGCGGCCGTAGCGTGTTGCTCTTCGCGCACCGAAGCAACATCTCTGCGCCGTGAGCTTGAGCTCGAGCTCGAGGCCTTCCCCGTGCGCGCAGCCTGCCCACGTCGCCCAGCAAGGGCAGAAGCCGCCGCCCTAGCAGCAGCAGCCTCGCTCTCCGTAGGCGAGGAAAGGTCCCGCAGCTGTTGAGCCAACTTGGCCAGGGTGGAGGCTGGACGGAGTGCCGTGCCGTACTCGCGGAGCAGATGACGCCAGAGAGAGGGCGGATGAAGCGTGACGGTCTGGACTGGGCAAGATGTGCTGCTTGAGCCATCGTCTGGTCCTCGGTATTGGAAGGGTGAAGAAGCAAGAAGGTCCATGAGCCGGGAAGAGTCGATCGGTGCGAAGGACGAGGGTGAGCTGGTGCAGACGGTGAGGACGAGCCGCGATGAGGTAGGCAGGGAAGCAATGAGGCGCTGCAAGTGGCGGTATATGACTTTGACTGGATCATGCGCGCTGCTTCTGTCCAGTAGCCCGTCCAGCGAGTCGATGATGACGGTGATGGGCTTGTCTCGCACTGCAGACTCGACCTGCGCTTGAAGCTGCTGCCAGTGGTCTTTCGCTGAGGAAGGTCCAGCTTGTACGTAATCGTCATCCTCGACCAGTATTACGCTGCTTGAAGCCGGCGAGGCGCGATGAGCTACCCTGCCCTCGCCGGACGAGAGCACAACGCAATCCTCTGAGCTACGCTGCATCTCATCTACAACAGGAGCGGCAGACTGTAATGCCGTCTCCTTGATGATGGTGATCGATGGAGCTCCATCTCTCTGACCCAGTGCTCTCAGCTCTGGATGTAGCAGGGCTACCAGCGGCGATATCGAGTCGCCCGGACTGGGCTTCATGGCGTTGCGAAGGTTGAGAAGCGAAGGAAAGGGCGATCAGACTAAGGAAGGGCAGGACCCAAAATCATGTGCTTATGTAAGCGCAAGCATGCACGGGCCGCACGGAAGGGCGAGACGAAGGCGACGACGCCGACGTCTCGTCGTTCCTGATTTCCCCCCACGCATAACTCGTCCTCGCTCATCGAGACGCAGCGGCAGTAGATCAATTTCCGGAGCAAAGACACGCAAGAGAGATCCCGCGAGCAACATATCGACCTTGCCACACTTGCCCACGTCTCTGCCTTGCTGCGTCCTCCCCGCATCACGATGAGCGGCGACGATGTTAAGCTGCAGTTTCTAGGCACCTCGAGCGCTCCTTCGGGCTCGCGCAACTACTCGTCGCTCGTCGTCCACTTTGACAGCAAGACTTCGGTCATGGTGGACTGCGGTGAGGGCACACAACAGCAAATCAACGATAAGAGGATTGGCGGTGACGCAAAGGTCTCGAGCATTCAAATGATCCTCATCACGCATCTCCACCAAGACCACGTCCTCGGTCTTGCTCCCCTCTTGACGACCCTCCTTGGCCCGTCAGCTGCTCCATCACATGACGACAAGCCGCGCGTCCACATCTTCGGCCCGCTTGGGCTGCGAGCACTCCTGCGCACTCAACTCACCCTCTGCTACACCACCCTCAACGTCAACTACACCGTCCACGAGCTGCTCTGGCCCGACCAGCAGCCTACGGGTGTCCATCCTCAGGCCAGCACGCTCGAGACGGACGTCGGCCTTGCCGGCTCGACTCACGGCCCTCGACGCGTCATACCGCAGCTGCCCCTTCACTCCAATGAGGTGCAAGGACGCGACATCTTCCTCGATCCCCCTTCCGCCTCCTGGCCCAACATCGCAGAGCTAGCCGGCTTCAAAATTAGCGCTGCTCCCATCTTGCATCGTGCGCCCACCGTTGGCTATATCTTTGCCGAAGCCCCCACGTCCTCGCCCATCGACCCACGAGTCATTGCACAGATCGATGCGCAGGCCTCGGAGATTCGAGCAAAGGGCATTTCCAATCATCGATCCCTTGTCGGCAAGCTCATCAAGGAGCGCAAGACGATTGAGCTACCGGATGGCACCAAGCTTGAGCCACCTCCTCTTGACGTGCCGTGGGTAGCAAGACGGCAGCGCAAGAATATATGCTGCTTCACACTGACTCTCCTCGCTCTCTTCCCTGCAGAGGCCGCAAACTTGTCATCCTGGGCGACACCTGCGACGCCTCCGGCGGCCTCGGAGACAGGATCGGTCTCGTTCCCCTCGCTCAAGGCGCCGACATTCTGGTCCATGAATCAACGAACGCCCACATCGACCCTGCCATCACGGGCAACGGCAAAAAGGGCGAGACGCTCGCCGACGTTACGGAGAAGGCCACCTCCCGTGGACATTCCACTCCCCAAGGGGCAGGCGCCTTTGCAGGTCGCATCAATGCCCAGCAGCTCCTTCTCAACCACTTCAGCGTGCGCTACCCTGCTCCCCCTCCTTGGCTCGCCACCGCCGGCTCCGGGACAGGCAATTGGCACGCAAACAAGGCAGGCTCGCAACAGCAGCTTCAGACCTTTGAGAAGTATCGAGCCACAATGCGTTCATTTGAGGATCAAGCCACAGCTGCTTGGCACGATGCGATGCCCAAAGACGCACCACTCGATGCTGCCTGGCGCGGCAAGAAAGCAATTGCTACGCATGACGGCTATATTCACAGTGTGCCACGCAAATTGCCCGGCCAAATGATGAAGGAGCAAGCCAACGTACCGCCTGTGGGAAGTGTCAATACAGGGGTGAGCGTGTCCACGGGGCAGCCGAGCGCCAAGCAACGCAACAAGCAGAAGTATTGGTCAAGGTGAGTGATACGAGTCTTGGCGTAATTCACGGGCAACAGCCTTCATTCAGTCTTTTCATTCATTCATCACCATCATATCGTTCTCAGGAGCAGGGGCAGAGGCAGAGGCAGAGGCAGAGGCAGGGGCACGAAGACTCACTGAAATGGACGTTGCCTTTTTTCTGCTTTTCCCTGCTTGGCTAGCATTGCATCCACTCAAGGCGGTGGCGTCTCCCCTCCCATTCGCAAAGTCAAAGGTGTCAAGGGTCTCTTCCGCCACGACTTGATCAACGGAGCACCACCTACTACACCGCAGGCAGTACCGCGCTACGGCATCTCCCCAGGAATGGCCGCCGCAGGCATGGCAGCCATTCAGGCAGGGACGGCCCACCTCGCTACAGCTACCTCCTCTACCGCGGGTGACCACGTCACCGCTGCGCGCGACGACGGCGACTTTGACAGTGACTTCGAAGGGGTGACTGCGACGCCTTCGCTCGGATATGGGCATGACCAGCAGCAAGGCGACTTCGACGAGGATGAAACAGACGCAGCCATCGATGCGAGCTTGCGCACGGCTGCCGCAGCTGCCGGTGCTGCAATGAGCGCCGAGGTCAAGCCCAAGTCGACGGACGCAACCGATCTGTCGACGATACCCAGCCCAATCCTTCCTCTACCCACACGCGAGGAAGCCAGAGGCCTCAATCAATCTCTCGCCCGAAAGAAGCTCGCCTCGATCGCTGCGGGCGAAGGCAGCGACACCGACACTAGCACATCAAGCATCGAAGAGAGTGCACGCAGCAAGTTGCGCCCCAGCTTGACGGGGGCAAGGGAGAGACGCGAAAAGATGAAGAGCATTAAGGAGAAGAATGGTCAGGGAGGCGCAGCCGGCCTTGAGGGGGGCGATGGGCAGCAAACAGGGAGTGCGGGCAGTCAGGCTGCGGAGGATAAGGGTAAGACCAAGAGCATGGGCAAGGTAAAGGGTACAAAGGGCAAGACCAAGGCCCAGGACAACAGCAAGAGCTTCTCACCCATCGAGGACGACGATGACGACGACGAGTCGGACATCTCAGACCCAAAGCTCAACGCTGCTGCGACGCAGACGTAAGCGGCGACAGGTAGCCGAGCTCTTCGCAGCGAGCGGGCCAGGCAGCAGCCCCTCTTCTGCGTCTCGATCAATCATTCAGCACACTCCAAGAAATTCACCTCAACATCGATATCCACTGTCATCCGTTCAATTACGTCATCTCATACGATCAAATTTGTGACCATCTGCACATACCCGTCCCGCTCTCTTGATTTCAAGCGCAGCACTGGATCGCCATCGCTACCTCCTTGTCTTGCTCGCTCTTACACAGCCGGATCAGCGCCCGTGACTAGCAACGGCGGAGCGTCGAGGTCGACTTGATCGCGCTTCTTGCCCTGCCACGTCCGCTATGGCGTTATAGAAGAACGAGGGAGAAGCAGCAGGACCGTCGCCGGTCGAGGTGGGGATCGGCAAAAGGCCGTAGCGCTGACGCTGAGTATGATTGCCGTCGGGTTTACCGCTGCCGCTGCCGCTGTCGTCGTGTCCGCCTTGATGCTGCGCCGAGGGCGAGGGATGCCTCGATGAGAGAGGCGTGAGGGAAGGAGGATCCGAGAGACCTGAAGAGAGGATAGATAGAGAGGCGGAGGGGCGTCTTGAGGTTTGGCCTGCATGGCGCGAGAGAACTTCGTCCTCTACATCGTTGTCGTCGCTGGATTCGTCCACCAACTCGTCTTCCTCCTCCTCCTCCTCCTCCTCCTGGTCCTCGCCTCTCTCCGCCTGCTCATCATCGTCGTCAGCTTGCTCGACTTCTTGGACCGCTCCGCCCTCTTCGCCCTCCTCGATGTCGGTGAGCAGGCCATCACTCTCAGATTCACCGACATCCATCGCTCCTCTGACCCAGACGTTGGCCTCACGCGAGCTACCAGCATCGCTGAAGAGGGTGGGACCTTGCGTTGCAGCAAAGATGGCCGCGGCTGTGAGGTCTTCATTGCCGTCTCCTCTCGCCGCTGGAGCAGAGAACTTGCGACGCCGACGGGACGTCTTGCGTGCAGGCGCTGAGGGCCGTGCGGGAAGGCGAAGGGTGATGCGCTTGACGTGGCTGTACTTGGAGGGGCCCAGTGGCGCAGCAGCGGCATTGACGGGCAAAGAGGTCCTTGAATCTTGTTCTGGGTCCAGCTCATCCTCGTCAGAATAATCATCCACGCCGACCCATCGTATCTCCTTCTCTCGATCTTTCCACTTTGCTCTCTCCTCCCTCGCAAGTCGCTTGATTACCACAATCCTCTCCCTGAGCTTGGCCAGACTATGCGTCGTCGACTGTCTATTCCCAACCAGAGGATGGTCGCCCACAGGCTCCACTCCCTCCTCATCACTTCGCACGTGCACCTCCTCGTCGCCCAGATTGGCATTGTTCGTCTTGATAATGCCGAGGGAAGAAAAGAGGAAGTGGCGTACGGAACGATGCTCCCTCTCCAACTTTGGGCCGCGAATCTGTGCACTGAGGCTCGAGACGCGAGACTTCTTCGCCCCTGGCGTAACAGGCACGGGCGGCCCTTCTCCGCCACCCGGCCCATGTAGCAGCTCCTTATAGCCCCCCTTGACAAGGCAGAGACTGCAATTGCAAATCCCCCTACACTTCGGGCAACGCCAGTGCGTGTCGCTCGGGTTCCAAGTATCGACACATCCCTCGTATGGGGCGTCCGTCGGGTCTGCAGGGTCAAAGGCACCGTACCGCACATCCATGCACCCGTAGCACCAGTGGAGAGGGCATTTGCGACAGTGCATCATTGGGTAGTCGCGTTTGCGGCGACATTGGTGACAGGAGGTGCCTTCGAGGGAGGCGCCACTCGCGGTCCAGCGGCCTGTTATTTCGACTTCAACGCCGTTGGCATTGGCGGAAAGGAGACGCTTCTGATTTTTGATGAGCTTGGACGGCTTCTCTCCCGCCGCTTTACGCTTCCCCATCTTCTTGGCGGAGACGACGAGAGGCGGTGGAGAAGGGGAAGGCGAGGGCGGCGGCGGAGTAGGAGGCTTTGGCGCTTCGACGAGGAAGTTTTCAATCAAGATGAAAGGGTCTCTTGCTCGCGGTGGGAGCAGATAGATGTACGCCAGCTCGTGCTCTGTGCCCTGCAGGGGGAGGGAAGTGGTAGTCCCGTCTTCGGCCAACTTGAGTGACAAGCGGGCATGCTGCTTGTTCGCAGCTGTGTGACTGCGGCGTCCGGATCGCTCTGCTGCTTTCCCGATTTTCGAGGGACGACCACGCTTGCGCCTCGGTTGCGTTGAAGGCCCTTCACCATGATTGTCGTCTTCGTCATCGGCATCATGGATGGTCTCGTCGGCGACTCCAGCGTGCAGAGGCGATGCAACATCTGCTCCACCTGCAGATGAAGCTCGCGAATCCTCTTTCCTGCCCGACTGTGCTGCCGTGAGCCCGAGCTGAAGCAGCATCGCCTTGTTCTTCATCAACCTCCTGTTCCTCTTCTCCTCGTAGTCAAGATCATCATTGTCGGAGTCGCTCGCCTCGGCATCTGAGCCAGGCAAAAGAGCCTGTAGCTGAGCGAGCATGGCATCCTGCTCTTCTTGGTCATGGATGTCGAAGATGGATTTGCGTGGCTCTGCGGGCTCTGGCTCCTCTTCGTTGGGAGGCGTCGGGGAGCCCATTGAGGGCGAGGAGGAGGCGGAGGGAGAGTTGCGGGTATCTTTGGGTGGCGGAGAGGCATGACCTCCTGTTGTTGCGCATTGCGAAGTCTCGGCGACGTGCTGCTTGCTAGGCTCTTCTGGCGGGGGTGTTGGCGTCTGGCAGTCGAATGAGACTTCCATGTATGCGGCTTCGTCTCCGTTGTTGAGCTCGAGTGGTAGCGGAGATACCTCTGGCTGGCAAATGGGAGGTAAAGGGGGCGTTTCTGGCTCCCATTCGCTTTCTTCCCCCCGCTGCTGATCGTCGTCGTCATCATCATCTATCGTAATTACAGCACAAGAGCCGCTGCCATTGGCTTGCTTCTCAATAGTTGGGCGAGCAGACGCGGAGGAAGAGATAGTGGGCGGCGGTGATGGGGAGAGAGAAAAGGCGCCCCAGCGTTGTGTAGCCTCTGACAACTTTGTTCGCCTCTGCGGTCGATGATTGCTAGGAGATGGCTTGATCGAATCAAGCGCCGAGGGTGATGATGGTGGCCGTACGGCGATGCGGCTGGATTGCGGTGAGCCATAGCTAGATCGCCTCGTCGTAGCCGGCATCTTATGACGATGATTGCGGGGCAGCCAAACTGCGCAGCACCATGTCGACGCACGATGTAGCTATGGAACTGTGGTGCCAAATGGGGCGTTTGCGTGTGGTCGAGGTCAGGGTGATGCCGTGGTACCAACAGACGCGCTCCACTCGACAGGCGGGAACGGGACAAGGACGAGCGGAAGGGCAACAAGACGAGACGGAACGGAAGTCGGTGAAACAAAGGGCGGCAAGAGAGGCTGGTTGAGTGAAGCAGGCCAGGCCAAGTCTTCGCGTTGGTCGCTGTTACTAAGTACTCTAAACCCTCATCACTGCCACTGGCTTGGTCATGGCCACTGCTTCTACTTCTGCGTCGGCCTCGCAGCCTACCGCGGGGCCGTCGAATGCTTCTTCGAAGCTGCAGCAGGCGGCCAGTACCTTCAAGAATCTCGCCAATCAGGATTCACAGCATCAAGACCTCGCAGACTATCTCAGTGAGTGCGCCAGGGTGCAGCGCAGTGACCATGACAGCGCCAGCTGATCACCTTGCCCCTACCTCGCACAGACGCTTCCATCAACCAGCCCTACAAGCTCTACCTTTCTCCGCCTTGGGCCAACCTTCGCAAGCTGCGAACCCTCACCATCCCAGATGCCGTCATCCAGGCGAGCACCTCGGCGCATACAGTCGCCTCGCAGGGACTCTTTCCCGAGATTGAACGAGCATGGATCATCATCGACCATCAATTGTACCTCTGGAACTACCTCGAGGGCAGCTCGTCCGCCTTCGAGTCGTATGTCCACCCAACCGACGTCATCCACGCTGTTTCGCTCGTAGCGCCAAAGCCGGGCGTCTTCATCGACTCAATCAAGCATCTGCTCCTCATCTCGACGCAAACCTCCGTCACCATCCTCGGAGTATCGCTCGAGACGTCTGGCGCTCAGAACTCGCAGCGAGAGCTGCGCCTCTACCAGACGGACTTTGTCGTCCCTTCATCCGGCGTGGTCTTGAGCGACGCTCTAGCGACAAAGGGAGGCTCACGCGTCTTTGCGAGGGGAAGCGACGCCTGCTTGTACGAGCTCTGTTATCAGGCAAAGGAGGGCTGGTTTAGCTCGAAGTGCTCGATCAAAAATCACACGAGCGCCGGAGTCATGAACCTGCTCCCGCAATGGGCCGGAGGAGCTGTCAAGCAGTCAATGGACGCCATCGCCATCGATGACTCGCGATCCCTCATCTACACGCTACATTCGAAACGATCCATTTCGATCTATTCGATCCCGGCGCAGGCCAATGCACCGCCCCAGCATATCACAACGCTCAAGGACATACATCGTACTGCCTCGCTCATCTCGCCGAATAATGCCGCGCTGCTTCGCCAAGAGGACTTTGCCATCATCTCCCTTCAGCCTATCCGCAGCCAAGAGAGCCGCACGATCTGCCTCCTAGCAGTGACTAGCAATGGCGTTCGCCTTTTCTTCACCAATCAGCGCAGCGGCTATCGCGCCTTTGCGACGCCGACGTACTCGGCCGGTACAACATCGACGCTGGAGCTCCTTTACGTGAGACCACCGCCAGCCAACGGCCTCAACCCGACGCAGACGCCGTCGGTGGCTCCAAATTTCAATGAATCTGTCGATCACCCGCCCGCCCAGCCGCCATTGCAGCGCATCAGTCACGCCCTGTACAAGGACGGGATCATGCTCGCAGCGGGGCCTTATGCCTATGAGGGAGGGCTGGACAACGTTCTTTGTATCGGGAGGTCCAATGCAACGGCTACCAACAACACGACTGTCTCTCCTGGGAGCACAAGTACAGCTTTGGTATCGAGCAGTGTCTCGTCTTCTTCTATCCAGCCAGCAGATTCTGCTGAGCAAGCGACCGACGTCCTTGTACACGGCGCTACCTGGGCCGTCGCTGAGGTCCCGCGGCAAGCAGCATCGTCGCCCAACCCGCTCGTTCGTCAAATGACGCATCTGCCGCGGACCTTCCTTGTTCTCACAAGTTCAGGTCTTACGGTCCTTGTGGAGAGACGGCCTATCGACTTGATGTGCGACCTGCTGGAGCGTAGCAGTGCAAGCAGCGCCGCAGCTGCCCCTTCCTCTGGTCCGGCCAGCGCAGATGGCGTAGGCCTAGTTGAGGTCTTCAAGCGACACGGCCAGGCGCAAAGTTGCGCAATGGCCATTGCCGTCGCCGCTCGAAATTCACACCTAGCCGCCTCAATTGAAGGCCTCCTCTCCGTCGGCTCTTCATCTTCGTCAACAGCCGCAACTCTCTCACCACAAGGTGACGCAGTCCTACATGCTTCTCGCACCTACTTCGACTATGGCGGCGCCCCGCGGTACGAGCCGCCGCCTTACCCGCATCAGCCCATCTCTGAGGGTCGAGTGGTTCTGAGTGGGCGACACGACGGGTTTGGCATCTACGCTTCGAGGCTCATCGCGTCGATGTGGGAGCAGAAGCTGAGGGATGTCAGTCGGGCTGGGGTAAGCCCCTCGTCAACGGCAGCAGTGATGGCGCGCGATCTCGAGGAATTGAGAGCCTTCGTAAGGCTGCATGGGGAGGCATTCGGACTTCAGAGCTCGTCAGGTAGCGGTGCTGCCGGGTCTGAAGGGGACAATCTGGCGCAGCGCGTCGAACAGGAGAGTCTGCGAGCGTTGTTTGCGCTGGTAGAGAGGACAATCGAAGCTTTAAGTTTCGTCACTCTTGTTGGCGACTTTGGCTGGGATAGGGTGCTCAGCAAGACGTCGGACGCAATCAAGGTCAAGGTGGAGGGGATGACATTGGCCGACTTGGTCCTCGAGCCATCATCTTCGAGCGCCTCGACAGGAGCGCCCTCATCGAGCACCACTGTAGTCACCCAGTCACAAGCTTCAACCCCGAGTAACGTCTCCCGTCCCTTGGTGGAAGCGCTCATTGATCTCCACTCCACTTCATCGACCACCTCAGCCGGAATGGACGTCATTGCCGACCTTCTGCAGTCGCAATGTCCGTCCTTCTGCGACGCAAACGACGTGCGCATCTACAAGGCGCTGGAGTGCATTCGACAAGCCAAGGAGTCCTCTCCAGGCCCGCGCCGAGATGAAGCACTCAGGGAGAGTGAGCACCTCATGACCCGCTCCAGCGGTCGGCTGCCGTTTGAAAGACTACAGGAAGTGGTCGGATTGTGGAGAGATATGGACTGGGTGGCTGGTGCGATCCATCTGCCGCTGAGATGCGCGAACGAATGGGATCCACACGGCCTCGCCAGGGCGTATAGAGAGGAAGGTCTGCCCGACAATGACTCTGCTCGGCGCTCGGCCTACGACAGAGCCATGCGCTGCTATCGGCTCGTCCTGGACACTCTGCGCATTCTTGACGAGAAAGTCGAAGCGGCTCAGCGCACCAGCGGCGGCAGCGGGAATGTCATCGCCCACCTAGAGGCACTCCGCGGCACCGCATACAGTATCGTGCAATCCTCTCCGGACCCGCTCCTGCACGAGTCCCTCTACGAGTTCCTCCTCCACTCCGGCAGGCGAGAGCAGCTTCTTGAGCTGCGCACCCCTTTCCTCGAGGCTTACCTGCAGCAGGAGCCCTTGACCCTGGAGAAGCTAGAGATGCTCTGGCAAACCTACACGAGAAGAGGCCAGGGAGCAGCAGCAGCGCGCGTGCTTGTCGGATTAGCAGAGAGCTCAGAGCTCGATTTGGGACTGTTTCAAAGGCTGGAGTACCTCACCCTCGCCGCGAACAATGCCAAGTCTGCCTCTGCGGGGGCGAGCCAGCTGAACGGCAACGGTGAGGATGGGTTTCACAGCACTGTCTCCTTTGTCACGAGCATTGAAGAAAAGCTCGAGGTAGCTCAAGTGCAGGTCGAAGTGTATCGAGCACTCACGGACCTTCCCGCCGATCAATTAGACGAGGAGCGGAAGCGCCCGCTCCTCGAGGAGCTCGACGCCGCTTTGCTGGACATCTCCACGCTTTACCGCGACTTTGCCGACCCATTGGAGCTCTTCGACGTCAAAATCCTCATTTACCATGTAGCAGACTTCAGAGATGAAGGGCTGATTGCGGACACGTGGGAGCAGCTGCTTGCGCGGGCGCATCAGGATGGTCAGTCCAAGGGGGCGGCGAGATCATTGGAGCATGTAGGCTCTGTAGTCGTCGAGCTGGGCAGGCGCTTCATGGGAGCGGGTACGGGTGGAGAGTCGCTCGCTTGCCCGGTGGACGTGCTAGTCAGGAATCTCGAGCGGTACGCTCTCATGCAGCAGCAGCCCTCTTCGGGCTCAAGCTCAGCAAGTAGCATGCCCCGCCACTGGGCCATCAGTACGATGCTCTCTGCCGGTGCCGCGCCAGAATCAGTCTTCGACACGCTCGAGTCCCTCTTCCAGAGTAAGGTCGAGCCATGGCAATCGCGCTCTTCGCTCGTCTTCCTACTGGGGGACACGCTCGCCCTGCTGAGGGCTTGGCTAGGTGCGTACATCGCTGCGGCTTCTATGGGCTCGTCGGTGAGCGGCGGCAGCAAAAGGGCGTCTATGCTCGGCGCTATGGGTGGCAGCGGGTTCGGAGCGGCGGCATATGAGGATGCTACGACGACTGCGCTTGTCTCCACACTGCTTCAACGCGGCGGGCGGGCCTCGTCGCTCGCCTTCCCTGCCAAGCGCATCGATGACGCCCTGACGGCTTACCTGGTCAGCTTGAACAGCCTGCTGAGCGGTGGTGGTGGTGGAAGTGGAGGCATGGAGGCAGAAACGAGAGAGACGGTCAGTGGGATGAAGGTGCTGCAGGATAGATTAAGGAGCTTCTTTTGAGCGGAGCGAATGAGAAGAGAGCGGGATGGAGCATTCGCCGCAGCGAAGGGGAAAGCAAGAGAGACAATGACGCCCCTGATGGTCACGATCGCAATTGCATCATGCTCGCAACGGACTGCATCGCGCGTAGGAGAAGCTTGACGAGATGGAATATGACTGCACTGAGCGTGGAATCTCCCCTTCCTCCCCCGTCATTATTTCTTGGCCTTCGCCTTCGCCTTTGGCTTCTTCTCCTTGATCATCTTGTCCTTCCCCACGTCCACATCATCGTCGTCGTCACTCATATCCTCGACGTCGTACTCTCCATCGTCCTCGACAATCGCCTCCTCAACATCAGGTACCCCGTCACCCTTGAGCTGCTTCGCTTTTGCCCTCGCCGCTCCAGCCTCGCCCTTCTGGAAGGCGATAGGGTGGGAGCGTCCATTATAGCTGCGAGTGAAGGCGGACTTGGTCGCAGTGGGCACCTTCTTCATACGGGCATCGCCATTGTGCTCGCCAATGCCGAGCTCAAGCACATTGTCTCTGTCCTCTAGGCCGAGGTAGTACTCGTCCATCACCTTGATCACCTCCTCGATTGCCTCTTCCTTTTCCTTGTTATCGACCAGCGGACGGGAGAGTGCGTCGAAGAGATAAGGAGCGTAATGCTCACGCACCTCCCACTTGGAGCCAGAGGCTGAGAGACGCATCTTGACTTGCAACTCGACTGTGGCCCGAGCTAGGCGTTGTTGCTTTGAATTGTTGCCGAGCCAAGCAGGGAAGGCGGGCCCCCACCTGTTGTCCCCCTGTACGGTCATGCCGTGCATAAGGGACATGGGCTGGACGGTGCTCACAATGGCGTGCAAAGGCATGAGGCCCCAGTGCTGTTGTGGTCCGTGGATCATCGAGTCGACCACGTCCCCATCTGAGATGCTGGACGCGGCACGATTGGCGAGCTTGAGAGCTTCGAACTCTTTTTGCTTCTCGTTCTTGATGCTCGAAACTCGCTGCGGTTGCTGACGAGCGTAATTCTCTGCAACGAAAAGAGGGATGATGTTCGGGTCCTGGAAGTAGTAGTCGGCTTTCGCATTGAGATTCTTTTTGGATGAGGCCGCCCAGGTCCCGTGCGAGGAGAGCTCGCTGTACACGTTGAACGGGTTCCCGACGCCCTCCTTCATGTTGGCCGCGCCCAAAGCTTTGCCCTCGTCGAAGGACATCGTGGCCTTCTGACCAAGGCGGAAAGTAGACAGCATGTTGATGACTGAGCGAAGGTCGCTCTGAGCTGAGAGGATGAGCTGGTCCATGACATTCTTGTCAATCTTGAGCTTCTCGCGGTAGGCGATGGTGAGAAGACGTGCGCGGACCGAGTCGGCCTTTGGACGCTGAAAGGGCAGAGCATAGGATGTGTTCTGGAAGGGCTTCATCTTCTGACTCTTGGCATCGTTGGCGATGAGGATGATGGGAATGCGCGTCTTCTTGATTAGCTGGTTGATGGCGCCAATGCCGCCGCGGTCACCGCCTGACATGCCGTCCACCTCGTCGAGAATGAGAACGCTGCGATCGGTGATCGTCACGCCCTGGACTTCCATCTTGCCTCCACCACCGCTGCCGTTGTACCAGCCGTCCAAGCTCTTGTTATTGATGACATTCTTGAGGCTGTCCTCGATGAGTCTTTTGCTGCGCGTGTCACTAGCATTGAGCTCGATGGGCGCGTAGCCGCACAGTTTCGCCATGAGATGAGCCGCCGTCGTCTTGCCGATACCGGGTGGACCAGAGATGAGCATGGCGCGATAGATGTTCGTAGCGTTCTTGCCGGGCTTCTTGAAGTTGGCGGCCAGCGAGGAGGGCCAAGCTTCTAGCCACTCTTTGAGCTTCTCGATCTGCTTGTTGTTCCCCATGAGATCCTTCGCTTGCGAGGGGGCGTATTTGACGGTCCACAGCGACTGCAGATCATGATCGACGGCCTTGGGTCCCTTGCTTCCCGTGCCAGCACCGTTTTCGCTGACCTCCATCTTTGCCGCCAGCTTCATGATCTTGTCCTTCTCTTCTTGAAGCTTTCTCTTCGTCTCCTCGTCCATAGGTTGATCCCCGCGGCTGCGAATGAGGTCAAGCAAGCCGTCTTCGGTGAGGGTGTCGATCTTGGCCTCTTTGATCTTCTTCAGCTTGGAAGGACCTGCATCCTCGCCGAGAACGACAAATGACGTCTTGGAAGACGGAGCACCAGTAACTTTGGCGCCTAGACGCTTGACCAAGGCTTGGGCATCTTCGCGTGCGAGACTCTCGAGTTGGCCGGTGAAGACGAAGGTCAGGCCGGCGAGGCAGTTGGGCTTGCCCTCAGGAATCTCCTTCGAACCGGGATTGCTTGGACCTTCTGCGGCGCGAGCTCGCGAGGCTGCGAGGGCGGCTTGGTCGACCTTGTTGTCTGCTGAAGTGTCCTTCTTGGCGGCTTGCTTCTTGGGTTTCTCGTCTTGTTCCTCGTCGTCGAGGTCAATGGCCGATGCCTTGGATCCACCTGCGTTGGCACCAGCTGGTTTCTTCGGTGCGCCTTTGGCTGGCGTGCTCTTGGCCGAGGCGGTCTTGCTCTTCTTCTTTGGTGGCTCGTCTTCATCTTCGTCTTCATGCTCAAAGCCGTCATCATCGTCGTCGCCTTCCTCATCCTCATCCTCGTCTTTGACCTTGCGGCCCTTTCGAGCGGGAGGGGCCTTTGGTGCAGCCCGCTTACCCTTGGCTTTTGGTGCCTCTTCCTCATAGTCATCATCGTCGTCCACGTCGATCACTTCCTTCTTTGCTCGCGACGATGAGCTATTCTTCTGCGTGTGTCGGCAAGCGTGGCGGCGGGTTAGTGGAGTAGGCGCTGTTAGCATAGCTGACGCTCGACTCACCTTGCCACCAGAGGCAAAGTATTTAGATTGACCTGCGCTGCCATCGCCTGCCTTGGACGATGTCGCGACCATGTTTGAGTCTTCGTCGTCGCTGTCGTCCTTGATTGGAGCTCGAGATCTAACAGGTCTGCGAGGAGGTCAAGAAGCTCTGCGATGTGAGCACACGGAATCTGCTGTCAACCCTCCATCTGCCACCACTCACGGCGCTTTGCTCTTGACGGGAGACAGCTCTGGTGACTTTGCTGGCGTGTACCCTCGAACAGTGATCTGCACAAGACGAATCGAGGTCATTTGGTCAGCTCGCCGAGTCCAACACGTCTCGCGCCGCGTTACGCAGCGTTTCATCGCGTCTCACCTTGCTGTCGACTTCCTTGATAATAGGTGCAGGTGGTGAGGCCGCCTTGGACGAGGATGCTCCTCCCTTTGACTTTGTGTCTGCTTTGGCACCCTTTGCCTTCTTTGCCGGGCTTGGTGTGGCACTGGATGATGAGCCTCCACCAGCGGACGGCGCTTCTTCAGCCCGAGTGATCTTTCCTCCTGAAAAGTAGCCTGCAAGTGAGCCTTGGCCTGAGATCAACTTCGATCCCTTTGGTGGCATCGGACAAGCGACGGCGACGAGAACGATGAAGGCGGGTATGGACGAGTCGATTGAGGGACGAAGAAAGGAACGAGGTATCGAGGAAAGCCCACTCTACGCTCAGCCAATCCACTCTCGACATCGACGCGATCGGCCCTCGCGCCACTTCCGCTCCACGTTCACGGTGGCCCGCACTTCGCCATGAGCAATGGGCAGCACCTCACAAGCATACGAGCACACAATGGCATGACAGCATATCCTGTCTCTATGAGTAGTCCGTATATTGTACATGGCTCATGCTTCGGCCCTCTTGTTCTGCTTCTCCCTCTCCTCTCTCTCTTCCTGCTCTTTCTCCATCTTCTGTAACTGCAAAGAAAAGCGACTCTTGGCCCGAATCTGCTTTCCGTAGAAGAAGAGCACAAAGGGCACAACACCCAAAGCCGCACCTAAGAAGCCTGCAAGACTTGACGCCCAGTGATAGCCTAGGTGGCCCTCGTAAACTTGCTCGGCGAAAAGGGGGACCGCCATTGCGAAGAGGTTACGCGAGAAGGATTGCGCGGCGAGGGCTGAGGATGCGTAGGTCTGCAATTGCCAGAATCAAGGGTCAGAAGGCTGCTTGCTTTGTGTGCGTTGACACACCGACTCACCAGATACGAATCTGCCAGGTAATTGAAGACGGCCAGGTAGACTCCATGCACTCCCCACATTAAAATGACGATGCCCACGATCGGCCCCGCAATGCTAACGTCAGAGTATGACGTCCAGCCGTAGATGAAACATCCGACAGGGAAGGCGACAGCCGATCCCATAGCGAGGTACAGCCTGGCCTCTGGCCCCTTGCGTGCGACGTTGCGCATGTAGAGGCGGTTCTGTATGGAGTTGGTGAGCTGGCCTAGCACGGCGGCGAAGACGATGGCCAGGAAGACGAGACCCGTTTGTCCCTCGGTGAAGCCGTGCAGAGCAGCAACGAGGCCGATGCTTTCGAGGAGGGAGAACATGACACCCCTGTGCAGCGAGAGGGAGGCAAGAAGTCAGCTAACAGATACTTCCTCTTTCGATGCCGCTGCATCGACTCACCAGAGCAGTGAGATCCAGAGCGAAAAGAAGAGTACGATGGGCTCCGACACGAGCAACCAGAGCGGCCTTGTGAGCGACACCTTAAGCAGGACAGCCATGGATGCTCTCTCCTCCTCTGCCCTCGCCTTGTACCTCTGATCTCCCGTCTCCTTGCGCAGCTTCGCCGCCCTCCTTGCAAGCAGCACGGAGCCCCTCGTCTCGCTGAGGAAGACGACCATCGCGAGAAATCCTCCGCCAGTAAAGATGGCCTGGATGTACTGAATCCACCTCCAGCCCAAGCTCTGTCTCTGCGCTACCCATCCGGCCCAGAAAGGACCGAATCCTGTGCCTGCAATGGCTGCCGTGGCAAAGAGCGCCATTGGACCGCCACGATCTTGAGTCTGAAAGATGTCGCTCAGCAGGCCACCGGTGAGCGTCGACCCCGTAGAGCCAAAGGCTCCCTGCAGGAATCGTCCGATGAGAACTGTAGAGATATTGTCTGCAAATCCCACGCAGAGGAAGAAGATGGTGTAGAGCAGGTGACTTGCAAGGAAAATATTTCTTCTCCCGTAGGCCTCAGAGAATGGGGCGAGGATCAGTGGCGGCAGACTAAAACCGAGTGCATAGAGGGAAATTCCAGCCAAGCTAAGCTCGTGTCGATTGTTGAGGTCACTTTCCATGCCTGTGATCCCCTGCACGTACGCTCCTGCCGTAGCAGCTACTTCGGCGGTGAAGAAGACGCCTAGAGCCGTAATGATGCGTTTACGTGCGGGGGAGAAGTTGAAGGGGTTCTCCGGGTCGTCGGGGGCAAAGTCTACCCAGCGGACGTCGTCGTTGCCCGCAGCATCGTTGGTGCTGGGACCCTTTTCGCCCATTGTGGTGGCAGCCCCGCCTGGCGAGCCATTGTGCTCGTGGGGGGCGGACCCTGAGGTGTCGTCCATCGTGCGGTCCTCGTCTGATGGACTGTGCCGCAGCTGCTCTCCTCCCTCGGCGCCATCCGGAGGACCAGCATCCATTCCTGCTCCGACAGGTGCGCCGGGCACGTTGCTAGGCGGCGAACCCTTCTTGGCAGCATGGCCATGGCTGTCTGTAGCTGAGTCCTGGATCTGCGTTGCTGAGGACGATGATGAGGATGAGGACGGCATTCTCGCAGCGAGAGGCGCTGGATTTCGAATATTGGCGACTGGATGGTGAGCAAAGGGTTGCTTGCTTGCTCTCTATGTAGACGAGAGGCGGAAATTCATTGGGAGCGAGTCGAGCGTGATCCAGAGAAAATGCAGTTGCTAGAGATGATGACTTGTGACGAATGTTCAACGAGTCAAAGTGATGGCTGAATGCACGAACATGCGTGAGTGTGAGTGCGTGTGAACCTCATCCTGGTCGCCGCCGCCTTCGCCGTCGTCTTTGTGAGCCGACCCTGACTGAAATGGCCTGACGTGAAATGCCCGTCGACCTCGAGTAGACTACCGCCGGCCGCCCGCTCCGTCCGGCCTTTGTGTTGTTTACCCGGCGCGGATAGGACGGCCCTTGCCCCTCGAGACTTGCGATTGCGATCGACTGAATAGCCTATTCCAATCGGGCCTAAGCTCGCGCCTCACGCTTGCGCTCACTCACAGGTCCGTGGCATCGCATCTCACAGCGTAGCAACGAAGAGTACAGCTTATTCATTTTCGCATCGCATCGCGTCGCAGACGATCTGCAGAAGAAAGTTGGGTCAACATAAGAAGAGCAAAAAGGGAATCATCATCCGTCGCCGGCTCGAAGAGTAAAAGGGGCGGTGGTGTGCACTTGAAAGAAAGACGAAGGAGGACGAAATGGAGAACGCGGAGAGACTTGATAGAGCGTGAACGATGAAAGGCTTGGAGGCGTAAGGCAGGACTCTGTCCGTTGTGGGATCCTGAGTGGTGTGGTGGGGCCGGCCCGGTAGAGATGTTGAGAAGAGTGTGGGTGCAGGTGACGTTGAAGGTCGTGAAATCCGTGTTCTCGATTGCTCAAAGCATGTTGGCCTCGCGGTAGCCCACCACATCGTCTTCATTCAAGCTGCTGCCCGTCACACTGCCGTGCGTACGGTGGCCCAGTCCCGGCTGCGGCGTGTATAGGGTCCTCATCGCCGTCGAGCTGCCCGTACGGTTGTGAGTGCCCTGCGCACTCCCTGATCGAATGGCAGCGTACTGCTTCATGGCGTCGTCCGGCGACGTCAAGTTGGAAGGCGGAGCCATGCCTGTCGACATCTGCTCGTCCCCTCCCTCGCCATTGAGCATGCGTACCGCAGGGTAGTCTGCCATGGACTCTCGGTTCGACATTGCGCTCGTTGCACGCATGCGGTCTTGCACGTCATTGGCTCCCAAGGCATGAGCCCCGCCGACATCGTCGTCGGCCAGCTCCTCGGCATCGTCATAGTCCTGCGTCGCGTCGGCGTAGGCGGCGCTGTCTCGCATCCTGTACGATGGGTCGACGGCGGGGACGGCCGGAGCGTCCGGGTCGGCGGCCGAGTAGACGGAACGCTGACGACCGTTCTGACCGACACGAGGGATCGACGCAGAGTTCTTGTGTCCACGAGTGAAAGAATGTTCCTGCTGGCTCGAGGGAGCAAACGAGATGCGGGAGACGCGGTCGCCAGCCGTCTCGTTGGCAAATGAAATCCTCGACTGACGGTTTCCCTCGTCGTACATCGACTGACCCCTCGGCCTCGCCTGCATCTCGTGCTCGTCGACAAAGTCTGGCTCGACGTTGTCGATGCCGTGAATAGCGCGAGCTGCACCAACACCTCGTCCTGCGAAGTTGGTGCTAGCAACGCTGCGCGTGTCTGCATTCGCGCGTGCAAAGTTGGCAGAGGGGCGAGCAAAGTTGCCCGAGGGGCGCTGCGCATTGTAGTATGAGGCGGGTCGACTGCCTGGTACTGGACCTGCTGAACCATCACCACCGCTCGTCCAGTCGAGGGAAATGCGTGACATGCGCTTGTCCATGTGGTCGGCCCAGTCTGCTGTCTTGTTGTTACGGTTGATGTGCAGCTTGCGGATGAAGATGCCCAGGGCGACGACGACGACAATGATCGGGCAAACGATAGCGGCCGTCTTTCCTGCTCCCGTCAATTGGCCTCCCTGGATGAAGGCTTGGATAAGCTTCTTGGTCTCGCTCGATTGGACGGCATCGCTAGGGGGGTCTTTGCCCGGAGCTGGAGCCGTGTAAAGGGCCTACAAGTATGCGATGGACAAAGTGGATCAGCACATGGACGAGCTCTTCGTATCGTCTTTGAATCGCCTGCACTAACCTGAAAAGTGGGCCCAACAGGGTTCGACGAGTCCCACGGCTCATTGCCAGATTTGACGATGTTGAGACTCAAAGGCGTCTGCTGTGAGAGCGTAGTGGTGACGTTCCACCATGCAGGCTTGAGCTTGATATCGTAGGAGCCCTTGTCAGCAGGTACCTCGACCCAAGCGTGAATGGGTAGGTTGGCTTTCGCAGACGTAGGTGCATACAGGTAGATGTCGATCTTGTTGGTACCAGAGTCGAGGCAGGTCTTGTCCCACTTCACGATAGTGTTGACAGAAGAGTCGACGACATCTGAAGCAGTCGGATATGTGTAGAGGGCTTGACTGGCGCACGCAACCTCATCGGCTCGTTTTCGCAGCGAGCCGCCCATCAACACGTCCATGGTGAGAAGAGAGGAGGGAGGAAGTAGCGGTTTTGCTTGGTTCGTTGATGCTGCCCTTGCCTGAAGAGAGCTGACGTTGATGTGAGAGAGGGAAAGAGCGTAAAGTTATTGGTGCGTGGAGTGGTAGGAGATCGGGAATGAAGGGAAAAAGGTACAATTGACGGTAGCGTCGAGTGTCGGGCGGGGTGTGAGGACGACGAGGAACGAGTGAAGGCGCCGCGCCGCTCTGGCATGCCCGCCCGCGCTTTGTTGACGGAGTGAGGAGAGGGGCCAGCTTCGAAGCATCCTGCCAGAGGGTCTGGCAGTGAAGAGGGGTCAATGAGGCGAGGCAGCCGAGTGCTGCTCTGCTCTCTCTTGGCGGGGCGGCCCTGGTGCTGCTCCCGTGGTTCCGCCCTGCTGCTGCGTCGCAGCGAAGCAACTCAACAGAACAGGCACGCAGGTCGATTGTCCTTATGGTCCTTTGAGCAGTCGACCACGCGGCAAAGACGTCGAGCAGCACTCAAGGCTTTCAGACCGCCGGAGAGACGCACGAGACTTCAGTCCGGCTCACGGCATTCGCGCCTTTCCGTAGCCCCGCCAGGCCAAGGGTCGCTCGACCCCGCCCTCCATTTGCAACGCCAACGACGAATCAACACCACACCGATAGCTTCGTCGTCGTCGTCGTCGTTGCACCGCATGTCAGGCCTCCACGATTCGCTAACGAGGCTGGCCCTCAACCCGGCCTACCATGACTTCTTCACGCTCCTCAAGGTGAGTGCGATAGCCGGTTATCGAGCCGGAGTTGATGCTGACACGCTCCATTCGCCTGTGTTCGCTATCACTCATTGTCGTTCAGGCCGCTCGTAATGGAGCTGTCTACGGAGCCAAGATCAGGTGAGCAAGAGGCGACTCATGACCATCACAGTACAGTCATGTTTACGTCCATATTATCCCCACGCTGTCCAGGTTCCCCCACGCACTCGTCATGACGTTCCTCTTTGGCCGTGGTACCCCTCGCGAGAAGCTGCAGTTCATCATCAAGGCCACACGTATGCATTCGTTCAACCTCATGAAGTTCGCCAGCCTGTACAAGTTCCTACAGATTGTGCTCAGGAGGACAAACGGAGGCAAGGCGCGGTCCATGGACAGCTTCATTGCCGGTATCGTGGGAGGATGGGTCGTATTCGGGGAAAGAACTGCGGTAAATGAGCAAGTGAGCATTGCGAGAGCGCATACATTGTTCACCGTGGACAGATTCTCACATTCTTGCCCCTCCGTCCTCGCAGATTGTCCTTTACTCTTGCGCCCGTTGCGTCTCCTCTCTGCTACCCCGCGCAGAAGTCAGGCCAGATTACCCAGCTCAAAAGCCCATCCCTACGGACAGCAAGTCATTTGAAATCTTTGCAGCACTGGTATGGGGATGCGTGATGTGGCTCTTCGAGAATAGGAGAGTAAGGCTACAGAATGGCCTTGTCAACTCGATGGATTGTGAGTGAGCGTAGCCACTAACGAGACTGCATGCTATCTTGCTGACCTCCCTGACTCCCTCTTCTCTCCTCATCCGCGCTGACAGACTTGTATCATAACGCTGAGCACTGGGATAGCTTGCGCAATCTCTTCTGGCACAACACATAGCGCGCGCCTAGATAGGCGGAGGCAAGGTAGTAGACGCAATGCTGTAATGTAATTACAGGCCGCCGCCAGCTAATAATGACCATGACACACGATGAGCTTTGCCGGTGAGAAGGGCGAGAGAGACCGATCGATGAGTGCTCGCCGTTGCCCATCGATGCCGCCTGGCCAGGAACGATCCGGGACAACGTGGAAAAGAGGGTAGCCTGAATACCAGGTTGCACCTTTTCCCTGCTCACCCTTTGCGCCATCGGCCAGCCCACCACACCTTGCGCCATCTAGCTTAGACCGATGCTTATCGCTTTTCTCTCCCGCCTGCTGAGCAGGGGCTCGACTTTCCCACAGAAGACTAGCTCACGCGACCACGCTCCCGCAAAGACAAATTCTACACCGGACGGCACTGTCCGCAGCAGCAACCAGATAACAGGACCTCCACCCAGAGTATCGCCGCCGCCTCCTCCCTCCCCTTCATCTGCCCGACAACAACTCATCCGCGCCTTCAAACATGTCAGAAACTCAGTCATCTTGAGCGGTGCCACCCGCAAGGAAGCAATTGTGACTCATCGTCAGGCAGACTCGGGCCGACCCTACGAGGCGACAGTAGACGAGATCTTTCGCCATCCTCTGAGCTCCTGCGGTCACGGCACGGGAGTTGCGCATAAGCCCATAGCCAGCATCTCTGCCCCAAACACGCCGCCTCGATCGGCTCGCATCAATCTCAATGCCTCGATGCGGCGAAGACGTAAGTACGACCAGTCTGAAGCGGCTCTTTCAAGCGCCGTGTCTGAACACTCTCGCACCTCTCACGATAGCCTCGAATCTAAGCTTGGGCGACGTAAAAGACAAGCTGCGCTCCTTTGCCAGACGCCCAGGCTCGCACTCAATCCGCGACAGCGCCTTGGACGTCAATGGCACGTATGGAGCCCTGCACGTGTTGGAAGAGGCGAATGCCACGGCAGAGGCACAGCGCGCGCCGCGTCCACTGTCGCCGAACGCTGATGGGCCACCCACTTCGCCCGTCCATTCGACAGAAGAGCTCATCGATTCAGTTGATACTGCAACATCGGCCCAATCTCCGAGCGAGCGGGTGGAAGGAGGCCTGCACCCAAGCTCGTCGCAGACGTCTCTCTACGAGAGCATTGGCAATCGCCCGCTCAGCCTCAAATCAGAAGGACTGCAGCGATTCGAAATCGACTACACTTACATTGGCGGCGCTGGCGTGCTCCTCGACCACGTAAGCGTCAATATCAGCAAGGAAAACACGATCTCGCAGCACGAAGGGCCGGGAATCCGATCGCATCATGCCTCGCCTCAGGTAGAGGAGACCTGGACAGCAACTTCTCCTTCGTCCCCGCAAGCCGACATTCGAAGACCATCTGGCGACATTTGTCGCTGGCCGGAGATCCCTTCTCCCTCCTTCTCCTTCTCTCAAGCCCAGTCAACGGCACCGCACTCGCCCCACACACCACGACGCTTTACGACGAGTGGCTTTCCCTTCCCCACCGAAATGGAGCGCATTTCTCTGCCGCCTGCCGGCGGGTCTCAAACGACGGTGTCACTTTCCAGCTATCAGTGCGGCCCGTCCTGCTGGACTCCTTCACCTCCTCCGCCACCTCTGCCTCCTCTACCACCGTTCCTACCTTTTCCTTCCACTTCAGCTTCCGTCGCGAGTGCGAGCGCAAGTGCAAGTGCAGCTTCCTCTCCCTATCCCTCACCGATCGATGCCAAGCCCCAGCGAGCGAAGCCTCCTCGCCCCACCACGCTTCCCCCTCCGACGCTCCTCCTGATGAGCGACGTTTGGACGCGGGAGCGCCTTGCTCATCAAGAGCGAGCAGCTACGGCTCGACAATCTGGGAGCAGCATTGGTCGTGTGAGGACGACGTCGCGGTCGCCCAGTCCTTCACCCACATTGGCATCGTGGACGAGGAGGTATCATGGTGGTAGTTCCAGTAGCCCAAACGCTGCCGGTGGCAGCAGCGGGAGCGGTGGAAGTGGGCCCTCAGGTGGTAGCCTGCTGAGCTCGAGAACAATGAGAAAGTACATGTCGAGAGAGGCGGGATCCCCTGGGCAACTTACCACGCGCGGTCTCGCTGGATTTGGGTGGGCAGCCAATGAGGCTAGCCCGACCTCTCCTGGTTCTTCATCAACATCGTCGACGACGACGCTGATGTGGCGTCGTGGGCCGAGTCCACGCCGGGAAGCAAGCGATGGACCGCCTCGTCCCCCGCGACGCAGCCAAAGTGGGGACTTTATGGGCCCGAAGAAGAAGGAGCGGGGCTCGTGGAACACGTACGGCGAGTTGGGGAAGGGAAAGGCACCCACAAGGGGCACAGCCGTCGGAACATCGGCTGACACGTCGCGATCATCGAGTGGAGCGACGTTGACGGCCTCGCCAAGGAGACGAAGGCGCGCCACGGATGGCGAAGTAGCTGGAGCTGTCGATGCCCTTGCAAGCGACGACGCAAGGACCAATCAGTTTAACCCCAGCGGCAAGGGCGTTGCAACGCCTTCCTCCCCTTCTTCATCCCAGACCATCATCTCACCTCCATCATCTCCTCAGGTCCGCAACTCGAGCACGTCTTCTCTGGCTCCTCTCATTCCACCATCGACCAGAACTCCCGGTTCAATGACAATTCCGGCTACTTTGATGCCTTCTCCCTCTTCCCTGTTCTCAACCCCACTCTCCCTAGGCGAGGTCGTCTCCCCTCTCGCACTGCCCCCGCCGAGCGACAGCAGCAACATCGGCGAGAATAGCACATCTTTCGGACCTCTCTCCGCTAACACACCTGCGGCAGCCATTGCGGCTCTCAAGAATAAGATGGGGCATGTCGAGCAGCAGCGCAGACGGTCGAGACTGCCGCCAGACGATGCCACGGGCGGAGTAGATGACGGCCGGGTGGCAGTTATCAGGGAGGCGGCCGATTTCTATTGCTGAGACGTCGCGAGAGGGGAAAAGCCTAACGAATTGCATCCGGGCGCAGGTCGCCTTGCTCCAAATCACTTCGATACACGCTGGCTCTTGCAACACTCACATCAATCGCTCTGTGAAACAGGCGGACAATTTTTGCTTCGAATTCATTGGGCCTCCTGATGCTCCCGAACCCGGCTTCGCTACGACATTGTGACGTCCTCAGCTGGCGCTCCACCCTGACGCTCAAAGAAGTACACGTACGCCAGTTGGACCAGCCCCTTGACTCCCACATCCTTCTTCTCTCCTGCTCCCTCGCCGCTTTCTCCCTCCTTTTCCTCCTTCATCGCACTCAGTGGCGCCTTGACTACCTTCTCGTCGTTGAAGAAGACCCAGGCCTCCTTCTCCTCCTCCCCCTCTTGCTTCACCTGGCCCTCAGCGTTGACACCTTTAGGACGGAAGAGGGATTCCGGAGTGCGGATGTGGGCAACGTAGTGCCCCGAGTGGACAGAGGGGCCTTTGTGCGAAACGAAGGATTTGAGGCGGTACGTTGCGGGCAGCTGCGAGGAGCCGCCCACCACTGATGGGCCGGAGCCATTTGCCCCGCTTGATGACTCGCCTGCATTATCGTTCGCTGCTACGGCTGCTCCTTCCTCCTCTCCTGGGTCGTCTGGATTCTCGAAGAGCCACGCCACGGCCATCTCTGCATTTCCACCATTCACACGCAGAGCCTTGCGCGCTTGAGCTGAGGAGAAACCCATTTCCTCCAGCATGGAGGTGTCCGGCGCACCCGATGCTGCCCCTGCTGGTGCGGCCGCGCCAGCGGGCTGGATCGGATCGTCGATGTCTGTATCCTCCATGTGCGCGAACAGCCAGTTCATAGCGGCCTCTGCATCCCCTGTGTTACCCGTAGCGAGCAACGCCTTTTGCGCTCGTACTTCGTGGAAGCCCATGGATGTCAGTTGAGACATGGCTGCCGCGTCAAATTCTGGCAGGCCTGCCGCAGCTCCACCTCCAGACTGTTCCGCTCGGGTGTCAGGCATTTCTTCCTCCCCAGCCTGCCTGCCCTTCCCCAAGTATCGGTCAAGATCAAAGTCCTCCTCCAGCGGAACCAGAACGGGCACGTCGACCTTTTGCGGAACCCAGTTGACGAGCTGGAAGCGCCGTACTTGCACGGCGAGGACGTCGGGGAAGGAAGTGAAGAGGGTCTGCTTGACGGCCGCCGTCTTGCGGTCGCATTGCGGGCAGTGATAGTCTGAGAGGGTCTCCGGGGCAGTGAAGATGTCGAGGCACTCAGAGAGGGGAACAGGCTCGTATTCCACAGGGCCGTCGTCAAGTGCAGCAGCGCTGCTACTTGTGGTGGAGGGGACGGCGTGGACCCCTTCAACGGGTTGTTTAGCCTTGCTGCTGAATGAGACGGCGTCGCTTGTGGTCTGCTTCCGCCTCAGCGGTACGGGCAGGCTCAGACCAGCATCTTGCGCCTCGACTGTATACCTCACCCGCTTGCACTCGGTGCACTGCAAGCGCTGTTGAAGACCAAAGCTGAAGATGGACGTCGGGTCGCCCGTAGGTGCGCCAGCGCTATGATTTGCCCCGTTATTAGCTGCTGCTGCTGCTGCTGAGGAGGTCGCTCCCGCGCCCCCGCTGCTCAACCGCTTGCTCTCCCTCTGCAACGCCGAAACAATGTGCTTGAGGAACTCGTCTGCGTCCTGCTGCCGCATCGTCGAGAACTCCTCGTGGCCCTTGCCGATGAGAGCCTTGAACATCGACGGGCGGATGCCAGCCTGGAAGCGCGGCCCCTCGACGCCTTCCTTCTCTTCGGTTTCGTCCAATGCCCGCGGCACAGCGTACCTCCCCGAGAGCAGCCCATCCGCCAACTTGCCCGTCTGGCACTCCAAGCACGTAGCCGGCAGCGGATTTTCGCAGGCCGCCGTGTGCGGTCGGTACGCGTCGCCGTATCTTGTCTTGAACGCTGGGAAAGCGAAAAGGGACTGCAGGATCGAAGCCATGTAGCAGCTGTTTCCTAGGTTGCGCAGCCCCGTCAAGCCCGGTCCGTAGAGGGGCTCCAGCTCCTTGCCGTCTTCACCAGTCATGGTAAAGTCAAACTTCATGTTCTGCTCGAGCTGTAATTCTGTCATGCTCTTCTCCGTCTTGCTGAGGGACATCACGTTGATACCAAAGTGATGGAGGTGGCTGTGTGAGAGGAGCAGAAGATGAGATCAGCTGAAGTTCGCTGTTGCCTGACTCGCTCAACGCGACTCACTCTGCCAGATTCGGATCAATCCTCGCATCATTGCACGCATAGCAGTAGATGTCAGCTGTCCCTTCCGCCGTGATGGTCCCCTGTTTGACGCTGACCGGGTGGCCAGACTCCTCGAAGTGGGAGAGACCATGCGAGTTGCCGCCCACACCGCCAAATTGAGCTCGCCCGCAGCCTAGGTTGCCGCAGGTCAGACAGAGCCAGAGGTTCGAGGTGAGGTCGCACTTTGCACACTTGGCTAAGCCCGAGGCTTCGAGCTTGAAGGGTTGGCCCTGCAGAGATGAAGCAGAGGTCAGATGGGGCTACGCATAGGGATGGGGGGAGGGAAGGATGCTGCGTTGCTCACCTGTTGCTGGAGCTCTCTGGTGTGACTGCAAGGTACGATCTCCTCCTCCCAAGCCTTGACTTCGTTTTGCTGCGATGAGGACAGGGAACGCATCATTGCCGAGATCACTTGATCAAGCTGCGGGAAGAGAGGGGCTACTTGTCAGCGCTTGGGTGGGAGGCCAAGCTCTCTCCCGTCGCCTCGCTCTCACCTTGTCCGTCCTAGGCAAGACCTTGCCCAGTCCATCTGCATCGCACGCCAGACACTTGGGCGTCGTCTCCCACTCATACATGTCTTCCTCCGACTCTGCTGCGATCGCAAGCTTCTGTGGCTGTTGCTTCTTGTCCTCTTCTGTGACTGGCGGCTTCGCTTTCCTTCTCCTCTTTACATTCGCCACAAGTGAATGACCCGTCTTCTGGAAGTGCAGCCGCGAATGCTCGCGCGGACAGGCGCCATTGAAGCATGTGAGACAGACGTCAACACCCAGCTCTCCATCCTGGTCGTCGAAGCAGAGGGTGCACTCGTCGCGATGGACCTGCTGCGAGGGGCGTGGTGGATTGAGCGACGTGAATGCCGCGCTGAGGTGTGAGCAGGCCATGTCGTCTGGCGGCGCAGAAGCAGAGGCGCTGGCGCTGGCGCTGGTTTCTGAGATTGGCCTTGAGTGATTGCTAGATGAACAGGAAGGGTGGAGAGAGGGACTGCCTGCTCTCTTCATGTGATTGGGTGGCAGAGCAGAGGGACAGTGGGAACGGGAACCAGTGGTAGGAAAGCAACGAAGTCGCGCTCAGGCCGCCTTCCGAGTCGACCTTTTTGGCGTGGAGGCCCAGCGCGCCGCACACGACACTCGACACACGACCCTGCACCGCTGCGACGATGGGCGCGAGTCCACCGAGATGGCCGACGCATGCTCTGCGGAAGCTCAGCGCTGAGACGACGATGGAGCCTGTTGACGATCTGTGCACCACCACGGGCAATGGAGCAGAAGGCGGGGGCGAGGGGCAAAAGAATAGATTTGGTCAGTCGCAAGATGATGTTTGATTATATACGGCAACTTTCCCCATGCGACCCCTTTTCACTCGAGACCTTGGATGGTCGAGCGGTTTGCAATCCGCGTTCCGCGTCATCCAACGCCAGTCACAGGTATGGCTGGCCGCCAGAGGCGAAAATTCCTTCCGGTTCGAACATCGTGATTGACACACCTTTCCCTGCTTTCGATCAGCGCCAACATGTAGAGGACGAATGAGCAACTTGCGTCAACACCCGTTCAGCCGTCAAGGACGAAGGTCTCTTTTTGCTTCAAATTCAGGCAAGCACAGTCTGTCGTTCGTTGTTGCAGACGCGGTGTCATCGGTCTGGGCTGTTAGAACATCGAATTCGCACGGCCATGCTTTCTGCGACAACGAGCACCGGGTCTGACCGACTGACTCAGCAGTATTCTATTCTCACCATCTCTCCGCTTGTTGCTCGGCGCCATCCCGGTTCTCCTTCCCTCTGCCCTTGCCTTTGCTTGCTTGCTTGCTGACTCGCCCTCGCGCTGTGAGGTGTGAGCGTGTGTGACCGTGCGTGCTGCGACTCGATCATTACGCTGCGCCTGCGCCTCTTCTTGTTGCTCTGCTCAGAGCTCTGCGGTCTTAGCTGGTGGCGGCTGCAAGCTTTGCCTATCCATGTAGGTGTGTAGCGTGCGGCGGAGCTTTGCACGCACGCACGCACGCACGCACGCCTTGACCTTTTCCCCGACGCAGAGGCTGCCTCTCCGGTCGGCCCCAGAGTCAAGTCGAGTCCAAAAATCACAGAGTGGCCGAGACGGCGACGGGCGACGGCGACGACGACGACGACGACTCGGCTCGAGTCAGCAAAGTCAGGCGGAGGCCAACGACAGGCCGATGATTAAAATCAGAGCTCTCGGTGTGACCGATTCTTCCCTTCTCACCCCATCCTACCAACTTCACACCGCGCCCGCCAGAATGTCTGCAGAGAACCCTACGATCATCCACAGCAACGGTACCGGCGCTGCGCCTGCTGCTGCCACCAACGGTATCGACAAGGCGGCCCTCTCTCGCTCGGTCACTGGCTCCTACAAGCCCGAGTCGAGCAACCTCGGCACTTTTGGTGTCAAGAGTGGTTTGGCCCAGATGCTCAAGGGCGGTGTCATCATGGTGAGTCGGCGATTGAGAGACCAAAGAGCTATCATTACCGCAAGCCCCGAGCTCACGCCACTACACCCTTGCCTTGTCCCTTCTCGCGCAGGACGTCGTCAACGCCGAGCAGGCCCGTATCGCCGAGGAGGCTGGCGCATGTGCCGTCATGGCCCTCGAGCGAGTCCCTGCAGACATCCGTGTTGAGGGAGGTGTAGCACGCATGTCCGACCCCAAGCTCATCCAGGAGATCATCGAGGCCGTCTCGATTCCAGTCATGGCAAAGTGCCGTATTGGCCACTTTGTCGAGGCGCAGATCCTTCAATCGCTCAATGTCGACTACATCGACGAGTCCGAGGTGCTCACGCCCGCTGACGATGAGCACCACATCAACAAGCACAACTTCAAGGTGCCCTTTGTCTGCGGCTGCAGGAACTTGGGTGAGGCACTCAGGCGCATCTCCGAGGGTGTGAGTACCGCAGTGGCGTAGAGACGCTGATAGACCTCGTGAGCTTGTGCTGAACATGTTTCCTCTCCTTACTGCTGCAGGCCGCCATGATCCGCACCAAGGGCGAGGCTGGCACAGGCAACGTCGTTGAGGCCGTCCGTCACCAGCGCACCGTCCAGGCCGAGATCCGTCGCGCCGCAAGCATGAACGACGAGGAGCTCTACGCCTACGCCAAGGAGATCTCGGCTCCTTTCCACCTCCTGAAGGAGACTGCTCGCCTGAAGCGCCTCCCCGTCGTCAACTTCGCCGCCGGTGGAGTGGCCACTCCCGCTGACGCTGCACTTATGATGCAGCTGGGCTCGGACGGTGTCTTCGTGGGATCCGGTATCTTCAAGGGCAAGAACCAGGCAGAGCGTGCCAAGGCCATCGTGCAGTCTGTGGCTCACTACGAGGACCCGAGCAAGCTGGCGGAGGTCAGCACCGGGCTGGGAGAGGCGATGGTTGGACTGACGATCAGTGAGAACATGCCTGGAGGCAAGATGTCGGGGCGTGGGTGGTAGACGAGAGTCACGGGCGCACATAAAAGCAGAAGCATAGAGGATGTGGGGAGGAGAGGTCGAAGAAGTTATAAGGATGCGCGGCCTTGCTTCACCACTCTCTTCATCTTGCAAAAGGAGCAGACTGCTCAGATGAAATTGCCATACAGTCACAGAAGACCGCAAAGCCTGCTGTCTGCAGCCTTCGAGCCAAAGACTCAGGCGGGGTCGTCTACGGTCGCGCGATCACGCTTCTCACTCTGGATACTTGCACATTGAATGCAGATGGTGGCAGGGCGAGACATATGCTCGCTTGTTCGCTTTCGATTTTGGGAGTAAAAAAGATGAGACGAGATGAGGTCACACATGATGGAGTAGAATCGCCGAGGCAGAATCATCTCGACTCGGGCGGGGTAAGGCGCTCACGCGGGGCGCTCCTTTTCTCTGGCCCCTCGTCACTATCCCTATCCTCATCACTCATTCTGCTTGCGCTCGTACCTCTCCCCCAAACGCAGCACAATCGCTTCTCCCGCAGCACTGGCACGGGCTCCGTCCTTGGCTTGCGCTGTGACAAAGCCCAAGTTCCTCGCGGAGATCAAGTAGCTCCCCAAGTTGGCACACCCAGTGGCGCTGATCCACGTCTCTGAATCGCCCGTCGTGCTGGGTATCTTGTTGCCCATCTTGTCGGTGACTCGCTGCAAGTCTACGCATACAAGATTCTCCTCACGACGAAGGGCGAGAAGGGCGTCCATTAAGGGTTTGAAGCGCTTACGATCTTCAAGAGTGGGCGTGCTGCCGGGAGGCGGAGTGGCGATAGGCTCGAGCTTGGGCGTTGACCTGGAAGAGGAGGTCGAGGTCTTGTCGTTGCCTTTCATGAAGGCAGCAGCCTTGCCATGCCTAAGCACGGGTGAGTTGTTGGACGGATCGCTCTCCCATCCGTTACTCTCTCCGTCCGCGGACGACGATCCCGCCGTTATTTCATCACTACTCGTGTCGTACGGGTTGGCCCCAGCGACCGGCAACTTCTCTCCTCCCTCGCCGCCCTTACTGTTCTTCTCCCTCGGGTCGCGCAACTTGTCGGCCAACCTCACGTGGAGCACTCCCTCCTTGTTTCCCTTCTCCAGCCCGAGCACGCCAGCCTGCTCGGCCTCGCGCAGGTAGTGGTTAAATGCCTCGCTGCTCTTGTATTGCGAGCCAACGCTCTTGTGCTTGGCGATGACTGAGTGCAAAGCCTTATCTGTCATGTAGAATCGCCCGTCTGAGCGCGAGATGAGCAGGGCATTGGCGAGCGGGAAGAAACGGAGAGGAATGGACACTTGGCTGGGCTTGTGCGACATGATGCGGGTGTCGTCCAGGTAGAGCGATTTCTTTGATGAGGCGGGCGTACCCGAACTGCCCGAGGCTGTCCCGGCCTTAGGCGTAAATGCAGGGGCTTTGCCCGCTGACACTTTGATGGGGGTCTTGTTGAGGCTGCCCGACGAGGCAGCTTTGCTGGGCGTGCTGGCGGTGAAGACTTCTCGCTTCTCTGGCGAGACAGGGCGCGCTGCGGCGGTCGCCTTCTTCAAAGAAGGCGACGGCGGGCTAGGCCCGTCGCTGCTACTGCTGCTGCTGCTAGCGAGAGCTTGCAGCCAGTTGGAATACGCCGGACTCACTTGCAAGGCGGGCACGTCCGGTTTCTCTGTAGGTGTGAGCTTCGCTACTCTAGCCTTGTACGCCGCGGTGATATAGGTACCGTATCGCTTCACTTGCGTCCCAAACGTCTCTAACCTGCCATCGTAGGGATTCTCCACGCGCCCCGACTCGATCATGAGCTCGAGGACGCGGCCCACAAAAGACGTGACAGGAGGTGAGCGTTGCGTGATCTGCTCGGCGGCGTGGACTGCTCGGAGCAGAGGAATGAAGGGTGCAGGTGGCGGAAGAGTCGTGTCGTCTGTGCGAACGGTGGCGTAGGTGCTCTCGGGGATCTGCGATGCAGCGAGCTCAGTCATGGCACCTTCGCCGCTGAAGGCGTCGCTGTTGCGAGTAGTCATAGTCGTAGTCGTAACTGGAGTGCTAAAAGCGTTGGCTTCCGTGTTCGTCTTGGTCGCTTCGGCGTTGGCCTTGGTACCGGCATTGGGTACAAAAGCCGCACTAGTGGCTGCGAAGCCCATTGGCTTGACTGAGAAGCCATCGCCATTGATGCCGTTGTTATCATTCGTAGGTGCCGACAGGGTGCGCAGAGCGACCCATTCAGTACCTGTCTTCCCCTGACTGCCGAGCACTACGATGCCTGCAGCCTCAGCAACGGCGATGTAGTCTCTCCACGCAGTCGCGCCGGCCTTTTCATAAACGTCTTTGTCGATCGCCGTGAGGCGAACCGCGACCTTGCTGCGCAGAGGACGTGGGAGTCCCTCGGCTTTGCATTCTTCGAGAGCTTGCACGAGTGGCGCGAAGACCGTTGGGACAGGGCCTGCTCCAGGTCCTGAGAGGGATGAGGTAGACTTCATTTCGGGAGCTGGTGGTGCCGCTTGAGCTGAAGTCGATGCAGCACGGTGGCCGTTCGTCGGGGTGGTTCTGCCGCTAGGTCCGGGGCTGGTGCTGCGGTTGTATGGCCCCGGGCTGGCGCTTCTGTTGTATGGTCCAGGGCTGGAACTCCTCTTTGAGGGTGTCCCGGATCCGCCAAACTCGTACGGCCTGCCAAAGCCATCTCGGTCCATACCGAGGACGTCCTGGCGCCAGCGCGCGACGTGGTTGGCTGAGGCCTTGAGAATTGGTACGGCGCCCACTGGCGGTGTAATGAGTACGACTTGGTATCCTCGCCCGCGAATGAGGGAGAGCGGATAGGCAAAGTCGCGATCGCCGGAGAGAAGAACAATGCGGGCAGGAGGCGGCACATCGAGTGCGTACGCCATGATATCAGCGATGATCATCTTGTCTGCTACGTCTTTGCGTCCAGACTTGGGGGTGTCGATGAGAGAGACGCCGCTGCCTTGGAGCTCGCTCCTGAGCTGGACTTGCTGTGCGCTGACTCCCTCGGCGGAGCTCAGCTCTAAGTAAGCTTTGAAGCTCATGAGTGGGCCAGAGGGGCCGAGATTCTCGCGGTCAGGGCCGGTGCCCGTATTGATGCTTGCTAGGTGCTTGCGGATGTTCGAGATGATTTCGCGGCCGGAGGAGCCGGTAGGTGGGGAGCAGTTCTACGTATGGGGAAGGGTTGAAAAGTATATGCTGCGTGAGCGAGCGCTCTCTGCCATCTGATCGTCGCAGCTGTCGAGTCTCACATCAACGTCCCAGAATACGGCGACGGGTATGGGCTTTAGGATCTCATCCTTGTCCAAGCTCTCGAAGCGGACACGCTTGCCCACATCGTCGTCGAATGATACCGCTTGGGATCGCTGCTGCTGAGGTGCGTTGCGTGTAATATCGTCGTCGCGTTTCTTCTTGTCCTTTGGTGGCGGAGCAGGCGGTCGAGTGTCGGAGTCGTCTGAGGTTGCTTTGCCTTTGTCGCTGCTCTTGCTTTGTTTTCGAGCGTTGGCATTTGCAGTCGCATAGTACGTCAAGCCTCCAGCGACGGCAGCGACTGCGACAGTCCTGGCCAGCACGCTGCTCGGGCTCGACGAGGTCAAGAAGAAGTCGACTGCTTGCTCTCGTACGGTGGAACCAGAGGGTGCCGACATGATGCTGGTGAGAGAATGCTACGAGTCAGTAGGGAGAGAAGGGGAGGGGAGGGGGATGTGCGAGGAGATGAGGTGACGGTGATGGTCAGATTAAAAAATCAGCTGGCCAAGGTACTGGTTGGTGCGCCAGTTAAGGGCACTTGATTGGACGAAGGGGTGACAAAGGAACAAGGAGCGGAAGCAGAGGGCGGCCCGCCGCAAAGATGAGGCGTCGAGACGCTCGCTGCGCTCAGGCCGCGTCGTCCTCCACCACCACCCAACGCTTCCTGGCTGCGTCTTCTCGTCAGCCAGCTACGCGGTCGCGAATGAAGAGCAGTAGAAGTGGTCTGAAATGAGGGTATTTCTGAAATAGCACGACACTATCAAGAAAGAAAGAACGTCTATGAAGTGTAGGTGTAGCGAGTGCCCTTGTCTAGTTATTCTGCAATCGCAGACGCGTCTACATCCCACCTCGTCCACCTCCACGGCCCCCACGACCGCCACCGCGGCCGCCACCTCCACCACCACGAGAAGGGGCACCACCCTCCTTTCCGGGCAGCTGCCTAACAACATTGATCCCAGGGACGCCCTTGAGGCTCATCTTGCCCACAGTCTGCGCGAGGAGAGGAGGAGTACCCGGCCCCTTCCAGCCGAGCCCATTGAACGCATAGTCGTTCATTGTGGCCACGAGAGTTGGCTTGTCCCATCGCAAGAGGCGGAGACTGGAGTTGTAGTAGCCAAGGGCGGCTTGATAGGTCTGCGCCTTGGTCTCGTCAGACACCTTGGTGAGAGCGTAATTGATGCTCTGCTGGCTCGACGGTTGCAGGGCTTGAACGCGTGCACGCTTGGCGGCGTCGAGGGGTGCGAGGCGAAGAGCCTTGATCGCCGGCTGAGAGAGGAAGACCTGCTCAAAAGTCGAGAGGAGCAAGACACCACGCCCGGCGGCGCCGGCTCGAGCCGTACGGCCCAGGCGATGAATGTACTGATCGCTGTTCATGGGCAGACCTGCCTGAATGACGAGGCTGACATTGGGAAAGTCTACACCTCTAGCGGCTACATCCGATGAGAAGAGAATTCCGTCGCTTGCCTGCCTGAACTGCTCGCTCGCCTTTGCGCGGGCGGATTGCGACTTGCGGCTGTGGATCTCCCACACTTGAGTGCGCTTCTTGAGGATCTCGTCGACCTTGGTGATGGCCTCAAATGCAAGCTGCGTAGCGCGAGCTGTGGGAAGGAAGGCCATGATTTTGGCCTGTCCAGGCATCTGCTGCTGCTCGAGGAGGATGTGCGTCAGGAGGCTGGGCAGGACGTCTTGCTGCTCGACGACGTCATACTCTTGAGGGACGTGCTCGTGCGTGTTCTGCTCCTCAGGAGGGATGGTGTTGATGAACTTGTGGTTGGGCATGACGTCGGCGACCTCCATGACACTATGATTCCGTTGAGTAGACAGATGGGTCAGCATACAGTGAGATGGTTTCGCTGCGTCCCCGTCTCGACTCACGTCTTGGGATAGGTCGCAGAGAAAAGGAGCGATTGGCGAGGCTTCTGCCTGCGGTCAGGCAGCCTGCTCTTGATCTTCTCGAGTTCGTTGCGGAAGCCCATATCAAGCATGCGGTCGGCCTCGTCGAGGACCAAGATCTTAAGGTCCGAGAGCTTGTCCCCAAGGTTCGAGTTGTTGATGTGGTCGAGAAGACGGCCAGGGGTGGCGACGAGGATATCGCAGCGCTGTCCAAAGAGCCTCTTGGCCTCTGCACTCATGTTAGTCCCTCCAACAGTGAATTGAACGCCGATGTCTGGGATATGGGCGAGGAGCATTTTTGCCTCTTTCTCGATCTGCATGGCCAGCTCGCGAGTGGGCGAGAGGATGAGCGTGTAGATGCGGCCCGAGGTGCGCTTAGTCTGGAGGAGGCGCGAGATGACTGGGAGAAGGAAGGCAACGGTTTTGCCAGTTCCCGTCTTTGCCTGAGCGAGGACATCGTAGCCTTGGAGTGCGTCTGAGATGGTGGCCGCCTGCACTACGCTCATGTGCTCGAAAGGGATGGCCCGAAGGAGACGATCATCGATGGAGCCTTTGAGGCTGTCGAATCGGGTAGTGCTGAGGTGCGAAGAGCCGCCAGCAGAAGGCGTCTCTGGACGCGAAGCCTCGCTGTCCTCTGGCGTCTCCGTAGGACGAGGGCGAGGAACGCCCGTGTGCATGCCATTGCCGTTGGCGCCACCACCCCTAGCCCTGCCTCGACCCCCGCGAGAGAACTTGTGACCACGGTTGCTGCCGCCGCCATGACTCGGGCGCTTGCCGCCTCTAGGAGCTGTTGGCATGTCCATTCTGAGCGGTGGACGTGCAATTATTGTGTTGTTGTGGAAGGGAGCGAAGAAGGTGCGGACGGAAAAGCGGCAAGAGATTTCTGGACCTGCATGAGCCAGACTGCAGCGGCCTTCCAAGTTGAGGCCCGGGCGCAGGCAATCAAGTTGTGAGTCCAATCAATCAATTCGCGGCTCGCCTTCTTTCTTCCTCACTCCTCGCTCGAGCAATCATGGTGTCCTGAACAACGAAGTTCGAATGACCCGACTCGTACAACGTCTCTTCAACGCTACAGTCAAATCCAGCTTCGGAAGATCGTCTGCCTCTCTTTTCGTTGCGCCCTCACGCCCTCGCATTCAACGCTCACCCCACGTCTGGCTACCCATTAGCATGCCTCGCGCCGCCGCCTACTTTGCCGTTGCTCGAGGCAGGCAGGCCGGTATCTACCGGACATGGCCTGAATGCCAAGCTCAAGTCAATGGCTATTCGGGCGCTGTCTACAAGAAGTTCCCCACCGAAGAGGCAGCCCAACAGTTCGTGGCTCAGCACCACGCGGGAGGCAGCGGCGCCGCCGGCGATGCCATCCTCCCGAAGAAGCGTTCAGCCCCCGAGGATGACGGGGCCAGCGACTTATCATCAAGCAACAAGGCGCGGCATACTAATGGCGCTACTTCAGGTTCCTCTGCCAATGGCTCAAGTAGTGCCCTCTCGCTCCCGAACGTTGTCACCATCTACTGTGATGGTGCTGCGACAGGCAACGGCCAATCGGGCGCACGAGCAGGTTGGGGCGTGTGGTTCGCAGACGAGGGCCAACCACTCAGCGAGCTGAATGAAAGTCGCCGCTTACCAGGCTCGGTACAAACGAACAATCGCGGCGAGCTCATGGCCATCGTACGCGCTCTTCAGCTTGCGCCGCTAGACTGCCAGGTGGTGATCAGGACCGACTCGCAGTACTCCATCTCATGCATCACGTCTTGGCAAGCAGGCTGGAGAAAGAAAGGGTGGAAACGGTCGAATGGCGAGGATGTGCAGAATCGCGACTTGATCCGCTTGTTGGAGAGGGAAATGAGGAAGAGGAAGCCACGCCCAAAGCTGGAGTACGTCAAAGGGCATGCGGGCCACTACGGCAATGAGAGGGCTGATCATCTGGCTACGAGCGGAGCGGCAAAGCCAGCGATACCAGAGAGCGAGTGGTTCGATGCGGAGCCGTCGGACTCGGAGCCAGAGGGCGAGGTGCGTAAGATCCTCAGTCAGGCCCCCGGTCAGTCGGTCAGCAAAAGTCCAGCAAGTTCTCTACCCAGCCAACAGAAGCAAGGCTCATCGATGGTGCGTTCCAGCGTGTTGGAAGAATCGCTTCAGACTACCGAAAGCGAGAGCGACAGCATTGCGCTCGTCGACGACCAGCAAGTTGACGACGCCGTTGCACCAACCTTTCTGCCAGCGACGCAGCTGATGGCGCACAGGTTCGGCCCGGTACACCCAGGCAACGACCAGGACCGGATTTCAACATCTGCTACAGCAACATCCCTGCACACTCTTGGGTCGCTCTCTTCCCTCTTCAATCGGCGTAGCCCAAACATCGAGCTTAAGCCGATGCCGCGTCCTCCACCGCTGGCATCACTCGTTGCAGAGAATGAAGAGGACGAAAGCATGTCCGCAGCAGAGATGTCGCGGACTGCTTCACCGCCACCCCCGCCTCTTACTGTAAAGTCACCGAGCCCTTTTCAGGAGGTCGAGCCCCCGCCTCCATCCCCGCCGCGGGCACCACCACCACCGCTGCTCACCAGCTTACCAAGCCTCGACGCTGCATTGGCACGCGGAGGCGAACTACCTGGCTTGCCGCCTCAGGGCGCGCTTGAGATCATTGGGCCCACGTCAGTAGGCAAGAGCAAGCTGGTCGTGCAGATCGCAGCGAGATGCCGCGTGGATGCGTTGCTGCAGCGAATAGAAGAAGGCAGTGGAGGAGAGTCAACAAGCCAGGCCGATGCGCCAGCTGAGGACTGCGATCAGGTCCTGATCATCGACACGGAAGGTTCGCTCACGGAGGAGGCGATTGAGACTGCGGTAGATGGACAGGTGGCTGAGCGCTTGTCCGAAGTAGCCCGAAGCGAAGGAGAGGCCAGCTATTCGCAATCGCTCGGCGACCTCGCAGCATCCTGCCTTGATGGCATCTACCTCGTCAAGTCGACCTCTCTTCCCGAGCTGATGGCCATCCTCTACCTCCTTTCCACACCACCACCCCGCACAAGCAACACCACCACCCCCACCCTTCCCGGACCTCTTCCCCCTCTCCATACCCTCAGCACCATCCTGATCGATTCCCTCTCCTCCCCACTCCGAATCCCTCCCGGACCAGCAAGTCAGCGTTCCCTCCCGCGACACTTTGTCAGCGCTATTGCCGAACTTCCGGGCAATTTAGCCCGCATCAACCCACACGCGAGACTGGTGGTCACGAATCAGATGACATTGAAGATGTTCACGCCGCAAGGGGAGTTGGGAAATAGCAAGACCCCAGGAAGTATCGCTTGGATGGTTCCGCAGGTGGACGCGATCGGGGCATCGCTGAGTGGGTGGAATGGGGTAAGTCATGCTGAGGGGGAGGAAAGTGTGGAGAGTATAGAGGGGCAGGGCACGACGAGGGATGGTGGTAGAGGGCCTGGCATACTGGGCGAAGCGGCGCAGCGGGTGCTTATGTTTCGGGATGGGCATTCTCGGTATGTGCAGAGGATTCACCCGGGAAGCGGGGCGTGGATCCCGTTCGAGATCGAGGGCGAGGCGGGGTGGATGAGAGAGAAGTAGCGCAGCAAGAGAAGATCATTAATACATTCCAGATCACGGCACGAGCGAGCAACATGTCGAGGCAGGAGTGGATATCTGTGCGTCTGCGTCATTGAGAGCCTACTTGGGGGATACGGTGCTGCGGGCGAGGGAGAAAGCGAACGGTTAGCGTTGGGTCTTATCCCGGCTGGTTCCACTTTTACTCACATCTCGAACTGCTTTCCCTTTGCTCCCTCCTTGACCTCGACATTGATGATGTGCTTTTCCTCATCAACCTTGGTCTCCACGTCACCTGCCGCCTCGCCCTCAACCTCAACCTTGCAACCGCCACTGTACATCCTCTTACCATCGTACGCAATCTGGAAGCTGTCAGCCTGCACACCGGTGTAGGAGCTCCTCCATTCGTTGACATCATTGTCGCTGTCAAAGCTCTGCGTAATGTTGACCGTCTTGCTGTCCATGGTCCCGCCGTTGCTCGTGTTGAGCTCGTAAGGGTGGAAGCCGACGGTGTAGTGGACGTCTCGCACCTTTCCGCAGCACATAGGCGTCTCTGTGGCGATCATGCTGACCACGCTCGTAGGGATGGAGCCATTGAGGTGCACCTTGACTACGTACGTGAGCTCGACGTCGCTGCCCTTCTTGGTGATCCTCCATCCTGAAACGTCGACCGTAGCGCGCGTCCTGCTCTTCTGGTAGGAGCCCGCGTCAGGCAGGTTGTCCTCGTCGTCGACGGACGTCTGGATGACGATGATCTCATCGCCTCCGTTGTGGTAGAAGTTCTCCTGCACGCCAACAATGTCGCGCGCCCAGATGAAGTACGAGGGCGACTTCATGACCGAGTAGAATTCGTACGAGTTAGGAGAGTAGCGCGAGATGGCGTGGCCTTCGTCGAAGCGGGAGTCCCTGTAGTGCGCGGACGAAGAAGACGTTGAATATCGATTGTCGGAGAAGCCGATGCTTCATCGCAGTATCGCGCTTACTCACCATTTCTTTCGTAGACCTGGGAGCTGAATGGTAGCCAAGACCTCAGACGGCGTAGCATTCTCAACGGTCGTGACGCCCTTGACGAGCGGGATGTCGTAGGGATCATCGCTGGTAGCCTTGCGAGCGAGCTTAACGTCCTCCTTCTCGGGCAGATCCTCCCACGCCGACTCCTCGGCCATGTGCTCCTTGAACATGGCCAAAGCCTTCTCGACAGCAGCCGTGTACTCGGCAGGGCGAGACTGGTACTGCCCGTCAGCGGTGGCGGGGCTGGTGGGGATAGTGAGCGACATGGTTGAGTGATTGAGAGGTTGGATTGTAATGTAGAAGGAAGAGAGGAAGGAAGGTGGACAGAAGTCTGATTTCAACTGCGCCAACCTTTGGGCTTGTTCCGCTGTTCTGTGTGGTCCGTGAGCGCACTGCGTCGAGGCTGCTTTGTGAAAGCGCCTCTCAACCCCACGGGGCACTCGCTACGGACGGCAATCGAGGAAGAACGTCACCGCTCGGCTAGGCCCGACGCCACGCTACGCCGGCGTGGTTGATCAAGGCAAGCATCACTTCCACGTTGCATCGAAGGTCGCCGCGAGCCATGAGCGTAGTACATTTCTGTGGATTCGTAGAGACGGGCAAAGACAAGGACCAAGGTCTGCAGACTCTCGGCCGTGAGAGAATCGCGCCAGGCACAAGAGCTGATGTAGAAGGGACGGCGTGCGAAGCTGAGAGCGCGCGCTAAAGACTGAGGTCACCTCCCGTCAGTTGGGCCCTGAGGGGCGCTCCTTGCCGATGAGATGATGGCCCACCTGAGCTCCACTTCTGTTCTCACAGAGTGTCATCAGGTTGTCCTGCTGACTCCTGGAACGCTCCGCGGTCCGAACGCCGGCGGCTCCTCTGTGCGTCCTGCAGTCGTGCGACAGCCAAGTCGCTCGCTCGACCTCCACCTACCCTGGAGTAGATTTGCCCGCGGCCATCTGGGATACAAGAAGCCGCGCTGATCAATTCAATCTTCGTCTCGTTACGAACAACAACAACCCACAGAAAAACTCAGCAAGAATGGCACCCGCAGGTGCGTTGAGATCTATAGCAAGCGCAGGCGGGCGAAGAGGAGCTTGGACAATGCTGGGCGCTTCGGCCAGTCGAAGCTTCGCAGCATCGCCTCGCCCGACGGCTTTGCCTACCGCCTGCTGTAATACGAGATCCTCACCTCAGTCTTCTCCATCCTTGGCGCCCACTTTGCAACGCCTCTACTCTACTCGCGCAGAGACCAAGGGCTACAGGCTTAACCACACCATGATCGTGGGTAGTTTTAATGTCAGGGCAGTGCACGCATCGTGCTTGTATGCTGACTGTTGTACTTCTTCGCCATCGCAGCGTGTCAAGGATCCCGAGAAGTCGCTCAAGTTCTACCGTGACAGTGAGTCGCCCCTTTCCAATCCTGATCTCAGCGCTTTGAATGCTGACAGGTTCATGCTCGCAACCACCTTGTCGCTCCCTTTCATCGTTTCTCCTCTCCCTCCTCCACCTGTCTGCTCCTTCCCAGTCCTCGGCATGGACCTCATCGACGAGCACGACGCCGATGACTTCAAGCTCTTCTTCCTCGCCTTCCCGGACAGCCCCAGCGCAAATGCTCAGAGCCGCGCTCATCGCGAGGGAATCCTTGAGCTGACCTGGAACAAGGGAACCGAGAAACAGAGCGACTTCTCTTACCACAATGGTAATGACGAGCCTCAGGGCTTCGGCCACACCTGCATCAGCGTGCCCAACCTTCAGGAGGCTTGCGACAGGCTCGAGAAGCTTGGAGTGGAGTTCAAGAAGAGGCCGCAGGATGGAAAGATGAGGAAGATCGTGAGTAAGCTGCGCCCGGATGACAGCATCTTCGCAAAGGAATGTATGCTGACTGCCATCTTCCTTCAGGCGTTTGCCTACGACCCTGACCGTTATTGGGTCGAGATTATCTCGACTGAGTGACAGATGTCGTTGAAGCTTTGAGGATGCGGTGATTATGGCACAGGTTCGCCGGAGGAACGCGACGACTGCGGCGCGATTCTTTCACAGCACGGCTTAGCGAATCAATCAAGCACCTCCATGTCGCTGCGATAGGTCCGACTCAATGCATTCAATTTTTGTGCCAGGCTACACGAACGACAAGATCACAGTCAGATCTCTCGCCAGTTTACCGGTGTGATGCATGCTCAGGACGGCTCCCGCGGCCAGGCGAACGAAGCGGCTCGGTACCACATACGTAGACGATGTTATCGTCATGCGCCCGTGGAGCTCGAGCCTGCTGTGAATGGTATAAGCAGAACCGCTAGCGATGGCGTGAAGGCAAGTACCGGGGGATCCGGCGGTGCTTCTACGACTTCACTCCTGCGAGAGAGGGCGAGGGTCAGGGGCAGCGTGGCAGGTACAATAATAGGCCCCGCTCGCCCGCTTCTCTGCCTCTTTTCACTCACACCAACGTTTCACTGAGCCCAGGTAGATTTCAGCACGCTCACCATGAAGCACGCATTCGTTTCCAAGCCCATCGCACTCGCCCTGGCCCTCCTTGGCCTGGTCATGGTCGGTCTTCACGTCAACGCCGACATCGTCGGGGGATGCTGTTACAACAGCGACTGTACCGGCTGCTCCGGCATCTCGGTGAGCGCGGCGGGTAACCACCCGACTGGGGGAAACGGCTGCGCCAGCATCGTCCAAACTGGCTCGGGCAAGATCAAGAAGACGTGCACCGACAACAGCTGCAACTCCTGCAAGCCTGTCTTGGGGTCCGGATGCATCCACCAGAGTCGGTACTCCCACGCGTGTGACACGAGGCAATGCGTGCTGATGGCGATAGCTGCGTTCCTACCCTACAACAGGCGACCCAATCAAGTGCATCATCACGTAGGGACGCCGCAGACTGCGCGCGTAGCAAGGGCGCCAGCTCAAGCGAAGGTTCCACAATCCCAAACCTCTCCCTCATCGCCACCGTCGTATTCGCTGCCATCCTCGCGTCGCGGCAGAATCGACTAGGCCCCTTCCCGTAGCACTTCCTTCTGCTCTCTGCGCCCCCACACTTTCCCACTTTTCCTTCATCATGGCTGCTTCCTCGCTTTTCCACATCCCCAACTTGCGCTCGAGATTACACACTCGCGTCTCTTCGCTCGATCCTGTCTTCTCTTACCTGCGTGAGTCCAAGAAGTAGGGTCTCCTGGCGACCTTTGCACTCCCATTGTCCGAGCAGGCAAGGACGCCGGCCAGGACTCAAGCCCTGGCGGCATGAGCAGCAAGGAGGCATGGCGCGGGTATCGCAACGCTGGGAGGGCGACGCAGGGTTCCATCGCAGATAATGATACGATTGATCGGCGATATCGAGGGTATTCGTCGCTCTCTTTCAGCCCAGAGATTACCTTGCTGGACCTCGGCACACATGCTGGGTAGCGATCAGAGCTCGCAGAGGTGGCGACATTGTTGGCGTGGGGGCTTGTCTGCTTGACCAAGTGCGGAGGAGTTCAGGCGCGAAGACCATACGGGCTGCCCCCCGCGTCACGCCAATTTCGAGCACGCGTCCCGATGCATGCAGGGTCCAGCTTTGAGCTTGATCGCACGAGCGTCGTCCACCGCGTCTCCCTGTGCTTGCGTAATGAATGACGAAGCTGAGGTCTCAGAGGCGCGCCTCGCTTGATGCGTTGACGTCCCTCCTCAACTCCACCCATGCGTGGGGTCCAGCTCGCAGTTGTAGCCTACAAATAGACGTGCGCTAATTTACCCTCCCCAACGCAACAATTTATCATCACACGCACTCATAGTCAACATGCCCAAAGACCCTCACCAGCTCAAGGAAGGAGACAAGGTCCAGTGAGTCAAACCATCGCTCAGCTTGCAGCCTCCGTCACGCTGACCGCATGTCCGTCCCCGCTTAGGTGGAACTGGGGTGGAGGAGCACCCAGCGGCACGGTGAAGGAGGTCGTGACCGAGGGCGAGGCCAAGGTGACGACGAAGCGAGGAAACGAGGTCAAGAAGGACGCCTCTGAGGAAAATCCGGCGATCAAAATTGATGCAGGATCAAGCGATGCCGTCAAGAGGGTGAGTATTGCATTGCGTGTGGATGGGTATGATGGGCACGAGGCTGACCACCCTGGCCTACGCTTGCGTCGTCGTTCTAGGCTAACGAGCTGCGTGGCGTGGCGCCCTGAAAGAGCGTGTTGAGACGAGGAGAACCTTGCACAATCAAATCGTATGCAATATCTCTGGTCCCCGCTAGTCGAGTTGGACTCCGTGCGAGTGATGACGAGAGGGACGGTCACAATCTGGCGTATCTGACTATCACCCCTGCCCCTGTGCTTAGTGACTAAGCTTGAGGAGCAAGTTGTGCCCTTGACTGATATGCCTCGGTAGATGGCGCAGCAATAATGGGTCCTCCCCGACCTTATCTGATAGGACAGGGAGGAAGTTTCCGTCTACCGCATGGCAGGCGCAAGGGGGTGGCAGTGCCAAGGCTGTCTAGCCAGGCTTCGTCGACATCGTCGCCACTGCCCTTCCTGTGCACGACCGTGATTCTGGACTCTTCGTTGTTGAGGGAAGAGCCCGAGGCCTCGTCGTAGAGGCGGCGCAGCTTGAGGAGACGATTCAGCGCACGAGGAGACGCAATCCAGAAGATTGCGTTGTCCGCGTACGCGTTGTGGGTGATGCGGTGCATCATCCTATCACCTTGAGTACGATGCCCGCGTTTGGCGATTGCCCTCATGCGGACAGAAAGGGCTCGAAGGCCAGAAGAAAAAGCATATTTGACGATGGCGCTCCCTGCGGCAGCCCTCGATGCAGCTTGACGCCGGTAGAGAAGGACTCGTTGATCCAAAAGAAGACAATTGTCGAATGATGAAGCCAAGTAAAAAGATCGAGAAGAAGGAGAGGAGGGCCGTGCGCCTTCATGCCTCCGAGTACCCAAGAGCGCTCGAGAACATCGAAAGCCTTGTGCTGATCTTGGGCACCCATCACGATGTTTCCGGTTGCTCAACCGCAAACGCCAGCGTGGGCCACGATGATCATCTGCAAGATGTTGTCTTGCATACGGCGTGCAGGAAGATAGGCCGTTTGCTCTGGCATGATGAGCTCATCGAGCTTTCGGCGGAGTCCGCGGCCCAGAAGTGAATGACAAAGACGAGTGAACGAGTTGAGGATGGGGAAGAAGCGTTGATTGTCCATGTGATTGCGAGGCAGATGGGCCTTGTTCTTGCCCTTGATGACGCCCCACGCTGAGTGAATGAAGAACGATGAATGGTCCATGGGGTCGAGCATGTTTAGCGCCGCAGCTGTGGCTGCTGCTACGGCTCAGTTTCCTGAGCTGGGAACCCGAATGGTCACGCCGTCAACGCCCGGCGCAGCGTCGACGTTTGCCGCGTCGATGATCTCGATCACCTCCTCCCTAGTGAAGGGCTGCCCGAAGCCGATGCGGTCCAACTGGCGTGGTTACATGGCCGAGGAGCTTCTCTCGTGCTGCTTCGCGACAGGACGTCATTCGTGCCTCTGGCCCAAATATGCTCGCCAAAGGCTCCTCAACGATGCTTCGGTCCACTTGTAATGATCGAGCAGCCCTGCGCTGAGGCGTCCACACTACGACGTCGGGCTGTGTGCTAAAATACTCCTTCCTCATCATGGGAAAGGACCCTCACCGACTCAAGGAAGGCGACAAGGTTCAGTGAGCACGGTACCCCACCGTGCGTCACATCCCGTGACGATGCTGACCCTGCTCTCACCCCCTCTTCTCGAAAGTGAAACTGGGGAGGCGGAGCACCCAGCGGTCCCGTCACGGAGGTCAAGAGCAACACCGTCGAAGCAGAGACGAAGCGTGGCGACTTCTTCAAAAAGGATGGTACCGAGGACGACCCGGCGCTCAAGAGTGACATGGGCTCGAGCATGGGTGTTGGGAGGGTGAGTGGACGGGCGAGCGAAGACGAGCTTGGCTGAATGGCAGTCTGCTGATATCGCTGCCTACGATCACTGCCGCCTCCTTTCGCACGGACAGGCCAACGAGATGCGCGGTGTTGAGCCTCGAGAGCAAAGGGAGCTTTACCGCAGTGCAGTGTCCGAGGGAGGTCTTAATATCAAAGAGGTTGTGACCAAATGAACACAGGCTCGCACGTACGCGTGCTTGTCAATTGATGATGATTGAGCATAACGTGACATTGTGTGACGTAGACAGGAGGTAGAGCGGGGCAGAGAGCGTGGCGACATACAAGAGAAAAACAAGACGTGGTCGCCCGCCTCCACCACTGCGCGACTGGCCGCTTGGCCTCTTCTAGACTCCTGGTTATCCTCGTCATCCTCATGATCATCATCGTCGCCGGCAGCATCAGCTACCACCCAGCAAGGCAAGGTTGTCTCTCGCGTCGCCCTGCCCTTTCCGCTCCTCCACTCCAACCCACCGCCTTTACTCTTTCCTTCTTCTCTCCGCACCTCGAGCATCTGTCGGCCTCTCCGGACGGGAATATAATGATCTCTCTCTCTGTCGGCCTCATCTCACTCGTACGAGTCGCATTCTCGCTGGGGCTGAAGGCGCTGCTGTGAGCCTGCCGCCTTGGAAGAGCCGACGATGTGCGGCTTCCCCTCAACAGCTAGCAGTCAAAGTAGAGACGATAGAGTGAGACTGAATTGGGATTGCTGAGGATCGGACGAGCGCTGAGTGCGATCAGAGGGGGAAAGAGACAGATTGGAAGAGACAGTTCCCCGATCTGTCTTCTGCTCGCTTCGGGCACATCTTGCCCTACCTCAACGCTTCCCCTCCTGCTCCTCCAGCGCCGCATACCTTGCCCGAATTGCCTCAATCTGCTCACCCTCATTGCCACCGTTGCTCTCTGCAGCTGGGTAGCACGGGAACCAGACACCCTTCCCGCACACCTCTTGTACCCTTGCTGCCTCTTCCTTGCTAAGCTCCTTCAGGCCCAGCATCTTTGCACCACCGTGGAGGAACCAGTCAATGCGGCGCGACAGCGTTGCCTTAAGGCAAGGTGCTCGCCATGACTTCAGCCATTTGTTGGCAAACCAACTCTGCACACCGACGTTGAAGTCGGCCCAGTCAAGCTGCTCGAGCTGAGTGGGCCAAGGGTCGGACCATCCATAGGAAATGGGCAAGAAATGCCAGAGATGGCAGGCCAGTGAGGCAGCGAGGGGCTCGCGGGGCTCGGCGTTGATGAGGCGAAGTACGCAACGCTAGTCGCATTGAATGCACGGGTAAATCAATTTTGGGGGCGTGATCGTCGGACTAAGGCGAGGCGTCGAGCTGCTTGCGCAGCTGCGGATCCCCGACACTGCTTGATCGCCTGTACTTTGCACGCCTAAGGTGTCGAGCAGTGGGTTGAGGGCTGCTTCCAGGAGTGAAGGAGAGCAGAAACGGCCTATCGCCCCCTAAAGAGTCCGAAAGGCAACCAAAGATGAATCTTCGACGCTCCAAAGGTCAATAATTAGGCGCAAGCCGCTGCGTCACCGTAGGCGAGACTCACTGCGCTGGGGCGCACGATGGGGCCACACGGCAGGACATCCGTGTTGTCACAATGAGGCCATCATGGCCGCTGACGCTTCAGGCAGATGGTATCTTAAAGACGCTGCTGCTGGTCGAGAGTAATTTCGTGCGCCTGCTCGCAATGGCCTGCTAATAAGCACGGATCAAAAAGCCGGACGATTAGAGCACGCGCCAGCACTGATTGCTTTGCCCGTGTGAAGCACCTCGTGAATATGGTCTTTGCTGTAATAATCCTGCCTGATTTGAGGCCGAGTCGGATGGAGATCAGGGTGTTTAACTGAGGCCCCGGGGTGGAACCCAGGGTGGGCTTCCCCCCCTCAAAGCAACCAAGCTCAGCGCTGTGGCCGGCCTGGTGCTCGAGGGGCTGCGATTTGATGTTGGGAACGACGAGTGAGAGGACGAGGGCAGCGCGTGTGCGGAGTCGGGAGAATTGCTGGACGGATCACTCAGTCGATGCGTAAGGTGCGCAGGAGAGCGAGGTTATGATCGTAAGGCAAGATCAGCTGACCTCGGTGCACGGCTCGTTACGGTCTTCGCTGTCTCCAAGCTGGGACAAAAGCGGGCGGCCTGTTCCTGGTCGGCAATGGAAAGCTCTGACAGCAAATGAATGTTGCGGGCCTGTTGATGTCGAAGTTGGTCAAAGAAGACAACAGTCTCAACGCCACCAAGAGCAACTCTGTGGAAGCTACGAAGAAGTAGGCTTTGGCTAAGAGCGCACCAAGGCCGGAGCAACACCGTGTCGTCCATCCCTCTTACGGCAACAGACTCTATCTGAATGCTCCCCAGTCTATTGCCACATCTTGTATCCTTCTTTGGTGGAAGGCCACGCGTAAAATCCATTCTCAGTACAATGCGGTTATCGATGACCGTAATTGCGAGCCTCGTAGTGTCTGCGGTCTAAGTCGAACAAGCGTGAATCGCAGAAACGCCGCAGAGAAAACGAGGAGAGACGACTCTCGAGCGCAAGCAAGGATGAGCCGATGGCTGAAGAGCGGCTAGCACGTCGACGCGCAGGCTGGGCCCGCCAAGCACAGAAGTAGGGTCAAATGATTGGATTCATAGCCGTGACAAGGAGAGTGGGCAGTATGCATGATTCGCCTCGCCTTTCCCGAGGGGCGAAAGACTGGATTGACGAGCGCGACGTCGAGTGCGACGTGGTAAAGAGGGAGAGAGCGCTGTGAAACAGCTAGTACCAGCCTCTTCAATTTCACCCCTTGCCCTCTAGCGGGTGCTCCTGCCCGTAGTGATCCTCCTCATGAGTCCACTGCCACCATCAGTACCCCTCTTCTCCATGAGCTCCTCGTGGGTACGCGTGGCGTGCAGCACGGCCTTCTCCTCCTCGCTAGCAAGGTGGGAGAGGGCTACGTGGGCCGGAGGGCGACGGCTGTCTGCCAAGATGAAGGTGTAAATGAAGACAGCAATGAAGGTGCTCAGAATGTTGGTCAGAGCAGCTAGAGCCGTGTACTTGGCAGGGAAGCATTCGCTGCCATAGATCGCGCCGCACGCGAAACGCGCTCCCAGGTCGCGGGCCGTGTTGAGGGCGAGGCCGCCGGTGATGAACTGCGATACGAGGAGAAGGTCTGTGAGCATCAGAGCATGGTAGAAATCGAGCTGAAAGCGATACTTACGCCCCAGATGACCGCTGCGTAGCTGTTCGTTGAGGAGCACGAGGAGGAGAAGGAGATGCTCAATGTCAGTGCCACGGTGCTGCGGCGCTCTACGCGACGCGTACTTACACTAAACCGATGGTAAAGGGCACAATCGTCGGGCTGACAAAGATGTTTTGACTGTCCAAGCAAGCCCAGATGACCAGACCGATAACGAGGGCAGCAAGGAACTCGTTGAAGAATATCTCACCGTACGTGCGTCCCGCAGGAGGGAACAGGGCGATGGTGCCGGCGGGGCCAGAGGAGGAGAAGATCTGAGCCGTGAGTCCGCCAGCGCGCATTCTGGCTTCAATGGCGTCCAAGGGAGATTTGTTACAAGCATACGTGCAGAGCGCTCCAACGAAGCCTCCGACTGCGAGCGGAGGAGGAGGTAACGATGGTCAGATACCACACTGGGGGTACGGGTAGAGGAACGCGGCGCGATACCCACGCAGCTGGGCGAAAATGTAGAATGGCGCCTTCTTTGCGGGAAATCCCTTGAATACGACCTGGCAAAGAGTGATTGCTGGGTGGAAGTGGCCACCAGAGGACATGGCGCCTACGACGATGGCAAAGGTGATGCCCAACGCGTAGGCGAGACCGATCTGGAAGAAGGAGGCCAATGACATCTCGGTGGCCTCGCCGAGGAAGTAGACTACGGTCGACATGGTTCCGAAGAGGGTGAAAGAGAAGACTCCGAAAAATCTGCGGCACCACAGGCGTGGAGGGCGAGAGCCTGGTCAGCCTACGGTATTTTTTTGCTCGCGTTGGTGCTTGCCTGCACTCACTCGCCGACAAAGGCGCCTAGCCACTCAGGCCTGTAGGTTTGCCACTTAGCCCTGAATTCGCTGTTGGCAAGCCCTCCAGAGATAGCTACGTTACGCTGAACATCGGTACGGCCTTCTGCGATCTCAGTGACACCCAATTCGAGCTCATGATTTTCGCGGTGAGGTCGCTGGAAGTGGCCGGCGGCGTGGTTGTCATTGGACGAGTCCTTGAGCTCGCCCGAGCTGCCTTGCTCGTCGGCATGGTAGTAGCGAGGGGTTGCACTCATGATGGTGAGCTGCAGAGGTGAGGGTGACGGGGAACAAGAAGGAGGAAAAGGCGGTGGTGGTGGTGGCGTGTCGTAGCCGGCGGGTACGAGCGGCAACTGAGGCGGTAAGTTGCAAGCCGCGGAGATGAAGAGAAGAGGCGGAGGCGGGGATTGATGTGGACGAGTGAAGGGGGAGTGAGAGCAAAGTGGGTCGGCCTCTCTTTCATCCTTTTGAAGGCTTGGCAACGCATCCTCATCCTCGTCCCCTTCCCACCCCACACTAGTCCCTGCAACAACTTGCTGACCGCTGCGTCGATTTCGAGCTTGAGCATCAGACGACAGACGACACACACACGAAGCTCTCCCAAGTGGATATGCGGTGCATGCAAGTGGCTTGCAGCCCGAGATGCCCTGCTCCTTTCCCCACACTCTTGCATCTTGCGCTCCTCATTTTCCACCACCCCATCTCCCGGCCTCCGAGATCACTTCGCCTAGCAGCGCGCCCTAGAGCGCTCCACTAACCACATCGAGGTAGCGAGAGTTCCTGCAGACGATGACACGGTAATCGCGGAAGGGCGCCAGAGGGGCAGCAGAGTTGCAGCAGAGAAATAACGGCGGGTCTGAGAGCGAGTGAGCGTGCGACAATGACTTCGCTTTCGTCTCCCGCCCTGCCGGATCACAGAGTGCCGTGCGGGGCTCCAACTCCTTGTCAGCTCCATCGGCCGTATCGGCGTGCGCGCAAGAGAGCAGCGAGCAAGACACGACCAATTCGCAATACAGCGCAAGACCTCATGACTGTTCGTCTTGCGCTCTTGGCAACCTCATGACTGTTCGTCTCGCGCTCTTGGCAACCTCAGGAGGAAAAGTGGCGGCTGGCATCATCCGCTGATCAACAGATTGGAATATTTCTTCCGGCCTTGGTGGTCAAAGTCTCGCAGGTTTCGACCCCGCGACCCGCCCGCGGCAGCGTCGATGCCGTCTGAGTCTGGATGTTCCCGCCGGGTCGAGACAGCTCTTTGTCGTCCCGCCGAGGCCACAGCGAGAGAGGAGCAGAGGCAAGAGGTGGATGATCGTACAAGCTTGACAGAGTGAGCCTGAGCTGACTGACAGCAACGCCTTCCGGATCGCGCGTCCCGTGAACGAACGACACTATGGGGAGGCAGAAGGCGGAGAGCGAAGGCTGCTAAGGGAGACGAATGACATTATGGGCTTGCCTGCATGCAGGGGTCAGGATGAGCTTGAACCTGAGCTCCACGACTGCGCGTGCGTACGAGCGAGCGATGCTCCAGGATCTCGGGTCGTGGCATTGACGCCACTAGGGAACGAGCACAAGCATGTCCAGAATTGCACGTCCCAACGCTCGTCGTGAATGCATTGATTTGAATTATCCTGTCTGTCGAAAAATGAGTCATCGTGTATGGCGGAGCAATAGCAAGTCCATCGTACATCGCGGGGATGCGTCAACGCCAGTCGAACTGCACTTCGCCACTGGCCAAGACATCGTCGTCTTCGGCGCCAAAGTCGTCGTAGGTCCCCCGTCGCTGTGCTGAGCGATTGTTGCGACGGCCACGTCGTGTGCGAGGCAACGCAGGCGCTGCTGCTGCTGCTACTGCTGCTTGTTGCTGCTCCCTAGCTGAACCTGCCGCCTGCGTGGATGCTCCACTAATGGGCACAGCTCCCTGTCCGCTCGCCCTCGTGCTGCCAGTCCCATCGCCCACGCTTTCCCCCTCCACGTCCTCGTCCTCATCGTACTCGCTGCCATCTTCGTCATCCTCTTCCTCGTCATAGTCGCCATCACTCCCGTCCTCCTCGTCGCCCTCTCCATCAAAGTCACTGACATCATCGTCGTCATCTTCCTCACTCTCCGGCTCAGCCGTAATCACTGGCCCAACAAGCGGGCTCGTGGGTCCGGGCTCACGGCCGCTGCCCCGCCCACCGTAGCCAGGCGGGGAGACGGCGCGAGCTGCAGAAGAGGAAGAGCGTCGCCAGGGAGCAATCCAGCTAGATGTGCCAGAGCCGAAGCTTGAGGCCATCGAGGTAGGAGGAGAAGACGGGTTGGCGCCTTCCTCGCCGCCGGTCGCACCGGGCCCGACGGGCGCAGAGACGGAGCGCTCTACTTCTCCTGCCCCAGCATGCAAGTCAGGAGCGGAGGCGCTTGCCTCGAGTAGACGTTGGGCACTCTGCGGTGATGAAGGAGGCTCTGCCATCGTAGCTGCAGAACTCTTCCTGCTCAGTCCCAGGCTGCCAAGCCCGAATCTGCTTAACCTCCCCTCCTTCTGTCCCGCTTGCTGCTCTCCTGCCTCACTCCCACTCGCACCAGCCCCGACTCCGGGTGGCGCCGATCGCACACTTTTCCCGCTTCTTGCACTGAGCGCAGGAGAGACAGGCGGGGTCGGCATCAAGTCCTCATCCGGTGGCAGCTCGATGCCAACATCAATCGCCGGCCTCCAGAAATTAAAGTCGTTGTACTCCGGTTTCCCCACCTTGTTCTCCACGCTCCGTTGGGTGATGGGCGGGAACATCTGGTCCACCAAGTCAGTCATGTGGATATAAGAGGACTTGTACCCCGCAAGCTCGAGCAGCTCCATCTTAACCTCGCCGTTAGTGTCGATTGTGAAGATGCGCGAGGAGGGGATGTTGACCGAGCGGTACGAGAGGGCGTCGGTGATTCGATTACCGAAGCCGGCGTAGAAGGGAGTCGGGGCTGAGGCGGGAGCTGCTACTGCGTTGGCGGCTGCGGTGGCAGCACCTGCTGCTGGTGAAGCCTCTTCCCCTGCTCCTGGGCCCTTCGCAGCTTTCATCGCGCCATCGCCAACGCCAGGCCATGACCCACCAGGCCGGGCTTGCGCATGTCGCGGGTCAGCACCAAAGAGGCGCGCAATATCCCTCAGGCAGGCCATCTTGAATACCTCGGGCTTTCGCAGGATCACCTCGCGATGCAGCGACGCGATGAGCCTATCGGGGCTCATGATGACGGGTCCATCCGGGAGGCGATAGTTGTTCTGGTTGATGCCTCGCAAATAGTCGCGCGTCGTATCCGCCTGCCCGATAGCGCGAGAGGTCAAGTACATGATGCGATACCCATTCCTCGCAATGTCGGTGTAAAGCTTCGCCACGCCCAAGTGTGTCCAGTCTCGGCCGATCATGGTGAAGACGTGCCCCAGCGCATCGCTTTTCGTGATTGTCCCGTCAATGTCGCTCACCACAATCTGGTGGGCAGACTCCCAGAGGAAGATGCGAGCCGTGCAGGTTGCTACGCCGGAGTAAGAGGAGGTAACGCTAAACGTGATGGTGTTGGCGCCCTTCTTGAGATTGAGGGACTTGAGCTGGTCCGAGGTGAGACGCAACGTCTTAGCGTAGGTCTTTGACTTGGACGAGTCGCGAGGCGGCTGAGGCTTCTTCTCCTTCACATCTTCCGACTGCTTCTGATTTTGTTGCGAGAGTAGCGCCGTGTCCGACTCTGCCCTCTCAAGCGGGATAGGCGCGTGTGCCCTCGCTGCGGGCGCGCCAACCTCAGGCGGGGCAGTGCTCTCCCTTTCAAAGGGAGGGGGCTGCGCCGCGGCAGGCTGCTTGTTGCGGTTCCACCAACGACTCCACACGCTCGCCCGTGGCCCCTGAGCACTAGGCAGCGAGTCGACTCCTTCCCCTGCTTCGGCCTGCGAGGCACTCGCATACACCCGACGATACAGCGAGAGGGTGGCGAGCACGGTCGATGAGTCCACCCAGGTGAGGAAGCGCCCCTCGTACAGCACGACCAGACGCTCGTCATTGACCACGTCGGGGTCATCGAGGAAGCGCTGGAAGCTAATTCGACTGTCCTTGAACTCCTCTCGCTCCTCGTCTGCGTCGCCTGAGCCGAAGCCGTCCTTGAAGCAGAGACTCATCTCGAAGAAGCGCTCCGTGTCGAAGAGGACGACGCGGAAGGCATAGGGATTGTTGTCCGAGCCGACAAAGCGCGCTGACGGTCCCAAATCCTCTTCTACGCCCGAAGGACCGGCATCGCTGAGCACGCGCTGCCGCGACCCAGGCTCACCCCACTTCCAGTTGGCTTCTCGACTCTTGGGCGGCGTTGCATCCCCCGGTAGAGCGTTGCGAGCAGCCGAGCCCAACTCCAAATCGAGTGCCGTGCTCTTTGCTCGCGCGTGTAGCGACTTGCGTGGTCGCAGGACCTCGTCGTCCGAGTCGGTCTCATCATCGCGAGCTCCAGCCTCAGTATCACTAAGCGACACATCCGTCGGGTGACGGCGCGAGGCTCGCTTGCTCTTGGTCGCAGGCTTGACAGCTTTAAGCGCCTCCTCTTCATCGTCATCAACATCCTCCCCTGCGTCGCCACTCTGCCCGCGCAGTGCTTGCGCCAGCCTGACCAAGTCGTTGGACAGCGCAGCCTCATCGTGCGCATGTCCATCGCGGAACCTATGCGCCTCCTCCGCAGCCGTGGATGGCGGAATAGCCGGAATGGCGTCGGCAGAAGTCTGTGATCCACTTCCGTCCTCAGCCAGCCTTTCCCTCTCGCGGCGATGAGCCTGGTCGAGTAGCTCGCCGATGTGCGGATGGATCTCATCTCCTCCGTGCCGACGGCTGAGAGGCATCTCATCAGCAAGGCGATGCCCCTCTGCAAAGGCTAAGTCTTCGCCGTCGGCCGTCATCTTGTAACCGTCCATGTCAAAGAGGTACTGCAAGTCTTCCTTGCGGCGTGATGAGGAGGGACCGCCCTTGATTGGCGTAATTGCAGCTTCTTGCTCTTTGTCCTCGTCATCGTGGCCAATCTCTGCGGGTTCAGCGACGACTTTGCCTGTGCCGCCCGTGCTGCCGCTTGCATCTGCGTCGTCTTTGGCACTAGTTTCGACATCCTCACTCGCCTTCCTCAGGCGCCCTTCGACATTACGCACATCAATCTGCGCCGGCTGAACGGCTCCAAGCGCATCGCCATCGTGCGACGGCAAGCGACGCCCCGCGATGAATTGACCATGCTCGAACTGAGCGACGGGAAAAGTGTTGGACCCAGTCCGCGCCGGGTGCTCATGAGAGGGCGGCTTACGCGTGCCAGCCTTCCTGCTAGTCTCGCCAAAGGGCGCAGGATATGCTTCCTCGACCGAGCCTGCATCGTCGCTACGAGCCGTATCATCGCCGCTGTTGCTGCCTCCCTCTGCGATACGCATCTCTTCCTCGTCCTCGATGAGTTTGTCTATCTTCTCGCGCATCTTTTCTTCGAGCCTCTCCGTTTCGTTCTGCGGTGGAGGTCTTCGCGCTTCGTCCTCCGCCTCTTGCTGCCTCTCCTTGCCCGGCGGATTGGACGCATCCGGTGCGTACTTGTGTGCGCTATGCTTGTCGCTGTCGACTGGCGCTCCTTTGCCATCTCCACCATCCTTGCGCGAAGCCTTCTTCGCCAGCTTGTCAAGTCGCGGGTTCTCGCCGGCTACTCCCACTGCCCTGCCCACGGCGCCGACCGCTCCGCCTGCCATTGATGCTGCAGACCCCAGCTGGCTCATGATGCTGTTGTGGCCGGCATTGGGGCCTGAGCCAGTCAGATCAGAGTCCTTGGGCACATCTTGCGGGGTAGACTCGTCATCGCTGCGTGGCGGCGAGGTAATGCCAGTCTCGGTCGTCTCAGTGGAACGCAGCGTGGCTGCATCGTCGTTGTCCGATATGGCGGCGGGCGTTGCACTCTGAGCAGAGGGCGACTCGTTGAGGTCGAGAGGGTCGATTTGCCCAGGATCTTGAGGTGCACTGTCAGCGCCGTCCTTGCCCCCTGCGGCCATCGATGGGATCGGCTCAAAGCCTGGCGAGTTGGCTGGACTGGATGCTGCGCTGAGGATCGGGCTAGTGACGAGGTCGTCTGGAATCTGGTTGCGCTCGTCTTCGTCATCGATCTCTACGACGAAGAAGGCTTCGCCTTGCTCGCCGATCTTCATTGCAAAGGGGAGCGGCTCGGAGGAGTTGTTGAGGTGCAGAGTAACCTGGACAAGGCGCGGGGGGACAGAGTTCAGTATATGCAGTCAAGAGCTGATAGCTCTCCCGCAGTCGCCAAAGTTCCATGCTCACCTTCCTTTCTCCCGGTCTGAGCACGCTCATCTTGCCAAATCGAACATGAAAGGGCGTCGATGCGAGCTCCAGCCTCCTGACTGTCCTCTTGCTCGAGCCCCCCGTCGTTGCCCTCTCTGCTTCTGGCACATCCTCCTCGACCTCGACATCCCTCTCGACGACGATGACATCGATAGCTCCGCTGAGGGTTGCAGGGTTGATGTTGGGGGTAATGGTATTGTAGACCGACGAGACGAAGCGTCCGACGTACTGCATGGCGGCGACGTCGGGGTATAGTACGACTGCTCACGAGGACGCCCAAAGGCGGCAATGATTGGGGCCACTCAGGCCACCTGATGAGATGTGATGATGATGACGGAAGAGACGGTGGTGGTGAAAGAGAGAGGAGAAACAGGTAATGTGAGACAGCGGCGGTTGGTGTCGGCGAGGCAAGGGCCAGGGTCCACTACGTGGTGGTGGGAAAAGGGCAACGTTGGCTGAGGTGCTGCTGCTGCTCAGCCTCGACTCACTGTGGAGATTTTGGTCGAGGCGGCGCCGCCGGCGGTCAGGCGGGACGACGACGCATTTCCTCCTCGGCCCGGGTGCCACGCGCTTGATCCGGCCGTGAGAGTCGGTCATGCCACCAATGGCTGGTGATGGCGATGGTGAATGCGACGTTGAGCTGGCGCTTCTTTGATCTGGACGATCTGAAGCCGTCGAAGGGTTATGAGCTGCTAGTCAGAGACAACGGACCTCGTTTCTTCGTTCCGTCGCGGCCGTGACTGACATCCCCTCGTCCACTAAGAGACAGAGAGAGAGAGAGAGCTCTGACTGCGTGGTGGTATGCAGAGTTTATCTGCAATGGGTCATCCATGTGATGTGTGACCAGCATCGTGAGATTTGAGCCCACCATTTACCATTGTTCATGAACTGCGTGGACCCCTCGCGTGGCAGTGTGGGCGGTGTTGGTTGCCGCCTTGACTTGGCAGGCGGGCGGCGGGAGCGGGGACATCGAGGCAGTCGAGACGTCGAGTGTCGAAGTCTCCGCAACTTGCCCAACGTCGACGACAGCTCCCAGCCAGCTCTAATCGATCGGCAACTTCCCTTCATTGCTACACTCCATCTTCATCTTCTCATATTGCTGCTGCTATTGACGCCGCCACGATGAGCTCGGCGCCGCTGGCTGCCGACGCAAAGCACAAGGGCACGCTAGCCTGCGTTGTCCTCAAGGCTGTGAGTCGAGACCATCTCCCTATATGCTGCGATGCTACCGTCTCACTCACCAGACTCATCTGCCTACACCGTTCCTCGCTCGCACAGAAAAATCTGCCAAACAAACGCTCCATAGGCAAGCAAGACCCCTTTGCCGTCCTCTCCATCGGCGAAGACAAGAAGAAGACGAAAGCAGACAAGCGAGGTGGGCAACACCCGACATGGGACGAGCAGCTTCACTTCGAGATTTATGATGATATCGAAGACGTCGTGAGCGGGGCAGGCAGCAGCGACTCGACGCCTAGCAATACCATCAAGGCAGGCTCTGCTGCCACAGCCACCACGACGGCAAAGAAGCCAGTGAAAAGCAAAAAGATTCTCAAGGTCGCATGCTACGCAGACGACAATCGCGAGCCGGACTTCATTGGCGAGGGACTGGTAGATCTGACTGGCGTCCTGAAGACGGGAGAGTTTGACGAATGGGTTACCATCAAGGCTAAAGACCGCTATGCTGGCGAGGTGTACCTCGAACTCACCTTCTTCTCGTCAGGACCTCGACCCAAAAGGAAGAAGGCGAAGGCGCCTCAAGCTGCGCTCGACTCGGCCGCTGGCACTTATGGTGGAGCGGGAACGTTTACCGCTGAAGTTGATGAGGCAGATTTTGGTTCAGGGTCAGGGTCAGGGCCGTTGCCTCCTGCCAAAGGTGGTAGCAGCCATCCGCCCATTCCTTCGTCGATGATGCCGGCGAATGGCCATCACGGCAGGATGAGCACATCAGCGTCTACGGCCACCATGGGCTCGTCACGGCAGCCCTTCACACATTCACATACGGTCGATGATATCCCGTCATCTCTGCGGCCTAGCTCATCTCTGGCGGGCCTGGCCACCTACACACCACCCTACGCCCCAGCCATGGTGCATCGCGCCTCAAGCCCACAGCCTCCGCCGGCCCCTGGCCTCCCTCCTTCGTCCACAATGCCAAGCTTTGACGACCGCTCCAGGAGAGAGAGCATGCCAAGCTCCTTCTCACGGCCAGAGCTTCATTCCCTGTACACCGCCCCTCCAAGCGATCGCCCCCACGGGCATACGCACATGCCAAGCGCATCCTCATACTCCACTCTATCACAAATCCCCAGCTCCTTTTCGACGAGCTCGATGGCTTCAATTGCAACGATCAGGCCTAACTCAGCACAACCTCCTCCCTCGATGCCGGCCTACGACGATCCCATCAATGACTTGATGCGGCCCATGAGCTCGATGAGCATGGCTGGAGCGCCGCCTCCCGCTCCTTATGGCGGGCAAGGTGCTGGTCAGCCATCACATCCTCACTACCCCTCGCACGCTGCTTCGGCTCCTCCGTCGTCTGCTCCGCCAAACTCACAGCAGCAGCCATACTACCAGCCTCAGCAGGCCCAGCAGCAGCCGCAACAGCCGCCGTGGGAGCACGCCCGTCCGCCAGCAAATCGCGTCCCCAGCTCGACTTACGGGGCAGAGCCTTCGCCCTCGCCATATTCTAGCGGCCCTGTCGCACCCACGCCGCCACCACAGTCCACTTCTGCCCCGCCCGCAACAACCCCGTATGCCCCTCACTCTTATGATTCCTATCAAGGGCAGAGCTATGATCCTCAGGGACAGGCGCAAGGCTATCCCTACCACGCACCGCATCAAGCGACCCCGCCCCCTCTCCCACAGGCAACTCAGATGGTCCATCCTGCTCAGACATTCATCCCGACTCAAGGATCGACGACAAACTTGGCGGCTGCAGCTCAACCGCCGCCTAGGCCCTCGTCACCCGCCACGTCGGCTATCCAACAGCAACCACCTCAGCCTCCTCCGCCCCGACCGACAAGCACCAGCGGGTATCATGCCCTGCCACCGCTCCCCAGTCAGGGCGCCTACCGCGCGCCTTCGCCTGCGGGGAGACCACAGCCATTGCCGACGCCGCCACCGCCTTCTCAGCATCAGCATCAGCATCAACCGCCGTCAGTGATCAATGCGCAGTCCCTCTACCAGCCGGGTGGACAGGCACCACCACCTCACGGGCAGCAGAGAGCTCCTTCACCATCTCCCTCATACCAGTATGATGGCCGAGTTCCTTCGCCAGCGCCGAGCGCCCAGACGATGATGAGCCATAGCGCATCACAATCGCAGATGTCCGGCTATTCACACGGCAGTGCAAGCTCAGCAGGAATATCGCGGCCTCTACCCCCACCAGGGCCTCATCGTCAGCCCTCCTACCAGGCGAGTAGCCCATACGGCGCACCTCAAGGAGCTTATGGACAGCTATCGCAGCAGGGTCAGCAGCAGAATGACCCCTACCAGGGATACGGAGTGCCTCAACAGGGCTACGGCCCTCAATCTCAGCCTCCACCTCCCGCTGGGCAGGGCTATGCTCCTCAACCGTCTCATTACCAACAACCCCCCCACCAGCAACAATGGCAGCAAGGTCCGCCCTCCAATTCCACTTCTCCTCTCTATCAGCCCCCAGCCCCTGAGCAACCTGCGTACATTCAAAGCCCGTATGATGCGCATGGTGGGCAGCAGCAGGGCTACCAGCAGCAGCAGCAGCAGCAGCAGCAGCCCCAACACTATCAGCAGCCCCAGCAGCAGCCGTACCATCAGCAGGGGCAACCCCAGCCACCTCAGCCTCCTCAGCAGAGACAGCCTGCATATGGGGGCTCGCCGTACTAGATGCCTCTTTTCCTACTTTCCCTTTTCCCCTCGAGTGCCCTTCCTCGATTCATCGGACTCTCTCTTGCATTTGTCATGGAAATGAACAAGCAATCGCATACGTTTTCAGCGGGCTTTCTTCATCCCTACGCATGTCTGCTCGGCGCGCCCCCTCACATGCAGACATGCACGACAGAGGTGGTCGAGTATGTGATAAATTCTACAGACTGAAGGTGCAGGATGGAGATGGGGAAAGTAGAGGGAATTGCCACTGCCACGCCTGAACGTATCTCGCCGTACATACCACCCTGCCGCTCCCAGCAAGCTCTCGCGACGCTCCTTTCGAATCCCCATCCGCGCTCACATAGCCAGCTCAGCCTGAAGTGCCTTGAGTTCTGCATCATCATCGTCCTCTTCCACCTGCTGCGCTGGTCTCCTACTCGGCCCTGCCGCCTGCTGTTGTGCCACGCCCGTCGAAGGCAAGCTATGCACTGGTGCCCTCTCTGCTCCCACGAGTCTCTCGTTGAGCTCCTCCTGCTCCAGCTCCTCCAACTCTCTACCCAACTCCTCCTCATCCAATCCGTCGTGGCCCATGCCCACCGGGTTGCTGATGGCGTCGCTGATCTCGTTGGTGAGGTCCATTTGTTCGCGAATCGAGTCCATGGTGGAGTCGACGCGGTCGATGTTCAATGAGCCGTGGATATTGCGCAGGGCATCGGCGCCGCGACGCATGGCCGTCATCGTCTCCAGATTCATGTTGGCAGACTCGATTGCGTTGACTTGAGTCTCGAGCGTCATGCGCGTGCCTGCGATGCGGTCGAGCTCGTTTTCGTAGGCCTTTTTCTGACGAAGGGCGGCTTGCGCGGCTGCGAGGGCGAGGACGGTTAGACAGGCAGGGTCAGTCTTGAGTTTGAGGTAGACGATCCTACGCAGACCTCGCTAGAATGCCCACTCACCCCTCTTATTTGTCGTAACATTGGCCTTTGCCTTTTTTGTCTCATCTGCAATCTTCTTGTTGAGGTGCTCTTCCTTCTTCTCCAGCATCAAGAGCTGCGATCGCAGCCCTACGATTGCGTCGCGGGCCGCATGAGTGTTGTCTCGCCGGCCTACAAGCCAGGATGTCCAGGATGACATGGTGCGGTAGGTGAGGGGTACGAAATCTGCTGAAGTTGGCTAGAGAAGGACAAGTCCGTTGTGAGAGGCGCTTCTCTCTCGTGCGCCACGCAAAAGGCGTTGAGTGTATGCTTGGGTCGGGGCGATGTTGGCTGGACGAGTCAGGGACGAGCTGCGAGGCGCGAGGGACATGATGGTCAGCAGCTACATCAGAGGCAGCAGGCCTTCTATGAGTCGTCTCGTCCACAACCCCGATCAAGCTCGCCATCAGACGCTGAGCCAGACGAGTGGGCGGTGTTGAACAGGTGTACTCCACCTGATCAAAGGCAGACGCTAGCGCATAGCCTCGTCGTCCTGCGCCTTGGAGCCGTGTTCATGCTTGCGACATACTCACAATGCTGACCTGACCTGACTGTGAGTCAGTGACTCAGCAAGCGAGGGAACGCGGGAGGATCGGTGCAAGGCTGCGCGTCGATGATGGTGATGTTGGTGGATGGGACGTCAAGATTGTGGCTGAGCGGCTGCTGATGCGGACCCAAGTGACGCTCGCTCCCGCCTCCCGCCCTCTGCTCGCGTGGCGCAACAGCCGCGACTCGACTCTGTTCTCGATTCGGGATGCTTGACCCCGCATTCAACACCAAAGGGAAAGGGCGGACTGGGAGGCCAGCAGCCAGGCGGCTACGTGTGTCTTCTCCACACTCAACCAACCCTTTCGCAGCATGGCCTCAACATCACCTCCCCCCGTCCAGATGGGCCCCTCGTCCTTCCATCCCACCCTCTCCCTCTCTCTACCCTCGTCTTTCTTGTCCCCACCATCCGCCTCGTCCTCCTCCTCTCATCCTTGCCAACCCCACCTTCTCCTCTCCCTACCTCCCTCACTCTTCCTCGACCCTTGGCACCCAACGACTTCCACTTTCCAGCTCGTGTCCAAGGTAGAGCAAATCAACTACCTCTCCGCTGGCTCAGAAGGAAATGTGGAGCTGGAGAAGGCCGTCGGCTGGATCAAAGCGGGCGAAGCAAAGAGGAGAGGTTCAGTAGCTGCCCGTGAAGCAGAGGAAGCTGCAATGCGCGAGGAGCCAGTGGAGGCAAAGTTAGAACAGACGGAGGTGAGATTCATCGCAGGTGAAGGATATGTCACGAGAACTCTTTCGGCCGATGAGCATCGTGCTACCGAGGTAGTATCGCTTCCAAAGGAAGGGACGGAAAGTTCTGCCTCGTCAGGATCCTCAAGAAAGAAGACTGCGCCTAACCGCGAAAACGAGGCTATCCTAATCAAATTAGCGTCGCGGTCGAGCAGCGAAAGCACCTCAGCAACACCCTCGCCAATCACCATCGAGATGCCGTTGCATGCGCGCTATCTCCCGCCGGTGGACAGCAGCTCTTCCTCAAAGCGCAGCAGCCTCCTCTCCCACCTCCTTCCCGGCGGACACGAAGGCAACTACCAGTCCATCGCCCCCTCATCCATCGAAGCATTTTGGGTCTGTCCAAGCGGCGCTCTCACTCCCTTGGACGACACACGAGAGGGCGGCGCGATATGGGAAAAGGTCCTTCGTCCTTCCAAACTCCTGCCTGCTTCGCACGTCCATCTAACCTCGCCGCTTATTGACCTGCTTACGCCGGGTGGAGCGAGCAAGCCTGCTATTCATCGATTGGCAAATCTCGACTTGAGTCAAGAAGAGGCGACGATCAAATTACCAACGGGGGACGCGGCGCTGGCCAGCGAGGCGTTCATGATTACGCAAACCGTCCTGGGCCTGTTGGCAGTTTGGATCTTACTGCGGGTGAAGGGTCTGACGAGTGGGAAGGACTAGGAGTGCTCGAGGGAACTGACCACACTGTAGAAGGCATGCGCAATGTCATCGATATCCATATTCCATCATCTAGAGTACTTTGCTTACCCTCGTCTCAGCGCTTCTGACCCTTCCTTCCCCTCACTACTTTACATACTCCGCCCAACACTCCCTCTCCACCAACGCCCTAGGCGCCTCACGTCCCGTCCACAATTTAAACTGCTGACAGCCTTGCTCAAGCAAGATGGTCAGACCAGGGACAGCGGTCCATCTACCCGTTGACCCTGCGTCGGAGGCAGAAAGGGTTGCCGTTGCCGCTTCGTTGTTGGTCTTGTCCACCAATTCGAGCAACGGCGTCTTGTGCGGCTTGTAGCTCATGTCCACCGCTACCCCACCTCGACCCTGCAGGAGGGTGGAAGGGAGGATGACCCCGGCGCCAGAGGTAGCAGAAAGACTCGTACCGTCGGCGGGGACGTTAGAGATGATCGCGCGCGGCTTGGCTTCCACCAGCTCGGCAGCGTCAAGGGAGTCAAGGACGACGATGTTCCACTCCTTTGGCAGCGACTGCGCAAGCTCCTGGGCCTTCGAAAGGGTGCGGTTGTAGAGGAAGATGCGCTGCGAGCCCAATCGGTAGGCAGCGTAGAGAGCAGCACGAGCTGATCCGCCTGCTCCGATTACTAGGGAGGTCAGAGGGGCGGCATTGCTGGTGGTGGCACCGGGAAGGTGCTGCTTGCATAGCGAGTGTATAGCCATCCAGTCGGTGTTGTCGCCAATCAAGCGCAGCTTGCCACTTTGGTCGCGCACAGGAATGACTGTGTTGACCGCTCCGATGATCGTCGCCACAGGCGTCAGCTCATCCATCTCTGCCATGATGGCGACCTTGAGGGGGATAGTCACACTCGCACCGCCGAACCCGTTACTTCGAATCAACTCTTTCAGCTGCTGCGTTACCTCAGTGGCCTCAAAGCGCTCGTAGACATGCGGGTGTCCGAGAGCTTGATGCGCGGTATTGTGCAAGCACGGGCTGAGGGAGTGGGCAATGGGGCTGCCAAAGAGGAAGAAGCGCTTCTGCGGCATCAAGCCAAGCAGGTGACGCGCCCGTTGAACTTGCGCGACAGACATTTGCCCCGGTGCACCAGGGAAAGGCATGGCTTCGTGCGTAACCAGCGAGAGCGTGGTGTTCAGAATACGCGACGCCTGCCCCAGAGAGCCCATATTGATCGCCAGCAATGGCTTGCTCGGGTGAGCTTTCGCGGCTTTCAGGCGGAAGGTCTCCAGGTCCCAGTTGTCCTGCATTGTGTTGGCCTTGCCTACAAGCTTGGGCACGTCACCATACTTGACTGCACGCTCGTAGTGCGACCAGGTGTCGGTGCTTGCCCAGTTGAGCTTGCCCGTCCAGTCGTGGTAGCTTGCCAAGATCTGCGTACGCCCCTTCTGGGCGCGCAAGGCCTCGAGTGCGACAGTGGGCCACTGAATCTCAACATCGAGGTACTCAACGCCCATGCGGAGAGCGAGCTGGACGAGGCTGAAGTACTCGTCCTGCGCATTGTCAGGGAAGAGGCCACCTTGCGATTTGGTGCGGACCGTAAAGACGATAGGCAGGCTAGTGCGCTGGCGAAGTGCGGTGAGCTGAAGGGCCACGTACTCCTTCGGCGGCACGGCCGGCTCCTTGGGCGCTGCACCCGTGGGTGAGAGCAGGTCGACACGCAGCTCCAGAGCGTCTGAGCCCGTGGAGATTTCGTCCAGCAGTGGCAGAGCGGGGATCAAGTCCGGGAAGGTAAGGGTGAGCAGGTAGCTCGGGCGCACCTGGCCATCAATACTCTGCGCAGCGATATCGACGTGGTTCGTGTCCTGGCCAGAGATGAATCGGAAGAAGGCCGAGACTTGAGCTTCTTGATTGCGCGCTGGAGCGATGGATATCGCAGCTGATGACGAAGCGTCCAGAGCGCCGGCATTTTCATTGGGCGTGGCGCCATTGGCCTTGTTGGCTAGGCCAGAGACACTAGCCAGATTCACCAGCTCATGACTGGAGCACTCCGCAAACCAAGGCTTTCGCCTCTGCCACACATCCTCCATGGGCTCACCCCACGCCGGTCGGTCCGACGTAGACAGGAAGGCGGCAATCTCTGCCAAATCCCTCACCGTATGCACTACTGGCCCCTGCTTGTTTGCGTAGGCCTTGAGCAGCGCTCGATTCGCCTCGCCCTCCACTACTCCCCCGCCCAGCGAGATGACACAACCTGTTCCCCTCGAACGGATCAAGTCGGCGAGCAGCTCGGCTTCTGCCTTCCTGAAGCCTGGCCAACCATGAGCTTTGACGAACTCGCCGAGCACTCCATGCTTCTCCTCGAAGAGGACGTCGGCGTCAAGGAAGGTGCGGCTCAGTGCGCGAGCGGCCACTTGTCCCAGGTGCGTCTTGCCAGAGCCCCGCATCCCGATAATGAAGATTGTCGCGTCGTTGGGGTAGACTCGCGGTGTTTGCGAGTTGTCGAGCTTGCTGAGAGGGGTAGTGAGGAGGGACGATGACGCTGCTGTCGAAGAGGTAGCTGCAGCGTGGTGGTCAAGAAGGTCGCCGTCTACGCCTTGAACCGCTCCAGCAAGCTTCGTCTCCAAGTCGTCCCACCAATTAGGCCACGTCTTCTCGACACACCTCTTCTCCTCAAGCACCGTGCCTTCTCTGCCAGGCACAACAGCTGCCAGAATACTAAACGCCATAGCGACGCGATGATCATCGTAGCAGTGCACCGACACACCTGTCTTGAGCTGAGACCTGTCCATGCCAAAGACTTCAAGCCCGTCCTCGTGCTCAACAGTCTTGACGCCGAACTTGGCCAGTTGGTCCATCATTGCTTGAATACGATTGCACTCTTTGACTCGCTGGTTGGCGATTCCTCGGATTCGAGTCGACTTGGCGCCAGATTCGGGGTTAGGGCCAGCCACGGCGAGCAGCACGGCGGCAGTGAGGAACGCATCCGTCATAGGCTCCATGTCAACATCTCCGCTCTCGAACTGGTGAAGCGCCCCACCGCTTGGGCCGAGGACTTGTGTCTCGGTGGGTGTCTGGGTGACTTTGCAGCCCATGGGCGCCAGGACATCTGTGGCAAAACGTGCGTCACCTTGCAGCGAGGAAGAGCCAATCTTTTCAACCACGACACCTGAGCCAGTGATTGCTGCGAGGGCGAGGGGATAGGTGGCCGAGCTTGCGTCAGACTCGACGTCGTAAGCCCCAGGGGAGGTGTACCCGCCGCGGGCAATACGGTACGTATCCGTAGGCTGGCCCGTACTAGGGTCGGCCAGTCGCTCCACCTTGGCACCAAAGTCCCTCATCATAGCGATCGTCATGTCGATGTAAGGCTGCGAGATGACTTTACCGCCTACCAGCTCGAGCACAACATCCTCGTCCTTGGCGAGAGGAGCGCACAGCAAAATAGAGGAGACATACTGGCTTGAGATGGAGGCAGCGAGCTCGATGCGACCCCCACGGAATCCTTGCTCGCCTGACACGGCAAGAGGTAGGAAGCCGTCTTGCTCTGGGTGCTGAATCTGTACGCCGTTAGAGCGCAGTGCTTCGACAAGGGGTGCGATGGGGCGCTGCTTCATGCGAGCGTTTCCCGTGATGACCGTCGGGCGACCCTTGCCTTCCGCATCTTTGGCGAGGGCAACAACCGTGGCCATGAAGCGGGCTGCTGTGCCTGCGTTCTGGAGATAGATTTCCGTGCCTGTAGGCGGGGTGACGAGCGCGCCACCTCGACCATTGACCACAACTACCTCTCCTCCTTCTTCCCATTGGAATTCAGCTGCCTTGAGTTGACCCAGGCCAGTCATCATGACAGCAGTGTCGTCCGAGTGAAGGAGGTTGCGCAGCTTTGTTGTGCCCTTGGCGAGGGCCGCGAGGACGAGGGCGCGGTTTGAGATGGACTTGCTGCCGGGTGTTGACAGCCTCGCGGGGGTACTCGAAGCGGCCGCTTCCTGGATGACGGGCATGACTCTGACCTGCGGTGCCAAGACGCGTCGAATAACATCGTCGTGCACAGCAGTGGCCTTTTCCTCATGACATCGCCCAATCTCAGCAAGAAGTACGATCTTCTTTGTGTCTCCAACATTCTTCTTGTCCACTCGCATGATCTGCAGGATTCTCTGTGTCGTGAGCTCTCTCGCCTTGTCCAGAGACGCGATGCGCGGATCGGTGACTGACACGGGCAGATTGTAAGCCTTGAGGACCTTTGTGAGTCTGCCGATGTTGACCTGTGCGAAGCTTGACAAGCGCCGTGAGAGCTCTGCTTCCAGAATCATACCGATGGAAATGCATTCGCCGTGCAAGATTTCGGGCGTGAGGACGGCTTCGATGGCGTGGCCGATGGAGTGACCGAAGTTGACGAGATTGCGCAAACCTGTCTCCTTCTCGTCGATGGTGACAATGTGCGACTTGACGCCCACAGAGCCACGGATGACATCAAGCAGTAGGTCCTGCGCAATAGTGCGGTCCGATGAATGCCTTCCCTGCGTCGCAGACTGCTGTGCCTCGCGGTCGAGCACCGCCGAGCGAATGGCGGCATACTCTGACTCGAGCTTCGCAAAGTCTGCAGCATCCCAAATGGCTGCCGTCTTGACAACTTCGGCCATGCCATTGCTGAACTCCCGTTCCGGGAGGGTGCGAAGCAGACCAGCATCGATGAAGATGTACTGCGGCTGGTAGAAGGCGCCCACGAGGTTCTTGCCGTGAGGGGTGTCAATGGCTGTCTTGCCGCCTACGGCGCTATCAACCATCGCGAGGAGGGTCGTGGGTACCTGAACGTACTTGATACCGCCTGCAGGGACAAGAGGGGAGAGATCAGAGCAGGTTATACGGAGGCGTGATCGCGGCACTCACGCATGAAGGTCGCTGCTACAAAGCCAGACAAGTCGCCGATGACGCCTCCGCCGAATGCAATCAGTACGGTATCACGCACACACCCCTGCTCGAGCATCCAATCCTCAATCTCCTCCTTGACCTGGCGGGACTTTGTCATCTCCCCCGGCGGTAGCGTGTACGTAAGAAGCCTAGGCTGCTTCTCCATCCCTTGTGTCGCAGTCTCCCAAGCCTGCTGCAGCGCTTGCCCATAGATACCAGCAACATTCCGATCCTGAATCAAAACGTACGTGGACGACTTGAGCGTGGTGAAGAGGGTGTGGAAGATGTGCGGGAAGAGGTAAAATCCCAAGTGGATCTTGACGTCGAGACAGCGCAGGTGATGAATCGTGAAATTTTGGCCTGCGGGGATGACTGAGTCGACTGGCGGGAGATGGTACGAGGCCTCCTTCTGGCCGGTGACTCGAGCGTCAGCAGCCATGGCGAAGGGAGGCAGCAACGAAGGAAGAAAAGGGGGTTTGCGGTGGTGAGGAGAAGGAGGAAAGTAGGGAGGAGGAAGAAGTGGAAGAAGCGTCAAAAAGAGCCGAGTCCAGTTGAGTCCGCTCACTCTGACTGACTCGAGCGCGTGGACGTTCCCTTGCCGCGTGTCGCCAGCCAAATTACTAAATAAATTGGGGCTCCGGAACACGCCCTTGTTCACCTTCGCGTCTTGCATCCAAACCAATCGCATCATCTTTAACCGCGTCGAATCCCCAGAAAATAACATCGTATCGCCTTCCCTTGACCATCATCGTAATCAGCTATGCCTTCTGCACGCAGGGGTACGTGAATTATCACAGATTGATTAGTAGACTTCCCGCTGACGCTACCATCAACCATCTCGTCTTGGCTCTTGGCTAGGCGCAGCCCCAAACACCAAGAAATCCAGTTCCCAGAGGAAAAGAAAGCAAACAAATGCTCAGACACAGTCAGAGAACACTACTGAACAAGTGAGTGCAAGTCTGGGGCTGCCAGCTTGTCTCTGTGGCTAGATCAGCTAACAACACCTGCTGTTCTGGGCCATACGGCTGTCCGCCTCAGCCAGCTCCCCGCACGAGAAATACGCGTACGGCCCAGCGAGTGCGAGAATCATTGCGAACGCCGACTCGTGAGTACTTTCGACGTCTCTGAACACGATGATAGCCTTCAAAACGCTCAATTCTGCCCCTTGTCCAGCGGAACCTCCTACCGCCAAGTACAACATGGCGGTCCATTGTCGCCCTTATCTAAAAGGGGACCAGCCAAGCGCAGCGCCTCCTAGAGGACGCCCAAGCGCAGCAGTGAAGCTACCAGTCTTCAGAGGGACGTTTGCCACTATCTATTCATACACGACGAGGACGGATATGGAGGAAGCAGTCCGTCGAGAAGTCCGACGCCAGACCAATGAGCATTACTCTCTCCAAGAGCTCTCGCCAACCTTTCAAGTAGCTGGCACCCTATTCAGCACGCCTCTGCAGTGCGAGAGAGACGCAGAGTGGGCAGAGTTGCTAGCAGCTCTCAACGAGAAGCCTAACAAGCCCCTTAACGTCTTTTGCGACATCCCAATCGACCCTCCACCCCTGCCAGAGGCGCCTCCTGTCCTTGCACCAAGCGACTCGGTATCCCAGGCAGCTGGGCCGTCTTTGGAGGTAGTACCGGCCACGCAAGAGTCTGTTGCGCCTACTCCAACCCCTCAGCGTGCCCCTAGACGCTCTAGAACGGCGCAACAGCTGGAGGAGAGGGACGAGTGGTTGGTCGCCGTCAAAGCTAAGCAGGCGGAGATCGAGCAGGAGATCCCCAGATGCGAGGAGCACAGCAAGCATCGCAACAGCGACGTCCGCTGCTATCTCAACTTCCATGGGACGCATCATCCTCTCGACTTGCACCTCATGTTCCAATGGGCGATAGCCGCTTACGACGGGCACGCCTCGGACACCCAACCGCCAGACGATTTGCTGGTAAAGAGCCTTGATAGGGTCTCAGAGGCCCGGGGGATCCATGCAGCCAATAGATCAGCATGTTCTCAAGGCCAATCAAGCCATTCGTCGTCCTCTTCTGGCCCCCAGACGCCTAATCAGCCCGGTCAACGTCCAACCATGGTAACGCCTTCTCCGGGTAGCCGTACGGCCCTGGGCCAGATGAGCTCAAACGCCGTCGCCGCGGCGCCCGCGGCGCCCGAGCGTGTCCCTGGGCCCAAGATCTCAGTCTGGGCCTTTGTTAAAAGGCTCGATCAGGGTGGCGAGAGGCTAGCAGCCCGGCTGACCAAGGGGGGGATTACCACCATGTCGATGCTCGCCAAGGCCAAAGCTCGAGGCGCTCTAGGGGCTTTTTCGTTAGGCGTTTTGGAAGATATCATCGTCGAGGGGTGGGTAGAAGAGTGGTATGATAGCGACGAGCCAGGCGAGATGACCTTCGCTCAGGCGGCAAGCATAAGAGAGGCCAAACAGTATGGCGACGGTGACGCCGTCGACGCTAGCGTCGACGCTAGCACCAGCTTGGATGAGCCAATCGAGGGTCGTTTGCTCTCTAGTTTCAGCTCGCAGCATTTCTAGGATGTGAAGCAGTCTTGTACTGATTGGTTCTGCATTGCTAGACTCATGTTAGATAGTTGGAGTACCTGAAAAAGCTCTCTACATCGCCTGGGGTGATGGTGCTCAGCGCCTCTCTAATCAAGGCCTTCAGATCGCCTGTCCGCCCCTTCTTTTGGATGTATGCTTTCATTTTGGCAAAGCACTTCTCAATGGGGTTGTAGTCGGGGCTGTACGGGGGCAGATAGAGCACCTTGCAGCCTGTGGAGACGCAATCGTCGCGGTCAAAGGAGATGGACATGGTGAGCACGGTGAGACGGATTCTAGACGCCGATGGTAGCGAGGACCCCCCTCGGTTCCCATGCTGCGGCAGCCGATCGATGCATCCAGCCTATCGAGCGCTACAGGCGCCCGTCCGCATTCAATGGTACTGCTCCGAGCTCGATACCATGCATGGATCGCCCAGGAGAAGTCGCCGTTGCTACCAGCCGCCAACACCTCCTCGTCGTCTGCGGGATACGGCTGCACGCCGTCCAAGATGATTTCACTCACCGTGAGCCTCTATGAGCCCCCGCACAGCTGGCACGTGGTGTATCGATGCATTATCCATCACTATCACGCTGCAGGGTCCTGGATAAGCCTGACATTCAGGTAAAAGGACGTCCTTGAGGTATGTGAAGAAGGAATCGCCATTCATGCTGCCTGGATGCAAATAGGTGGCAAATACGGGCCGATCGAGCGAGCAAGCTGGTAGGACCGAGTAGCGCTGACCTCGGTGGAACACCGCCCGTTGGTAAGCCTTCGTCCCCTTAGGGGAGCGCCCATAGCGCCGAACAGCGTTGCGCCAGTCGACGGCGGATTCGTCGATGAAGACCAGCTGTCTGGGGTGGTACTGCCCCGCCTCCTGGACGTATTCAGCCCTGAGCTGCGGCGATTGGTCTTGGGCGTATCGAAAGGTGACCTTTCTAGTGTGTCCAATGCGCTTCAGCGTCTTGGAGAGCGTGCTGAGCTGGAACATGGGGTGGCCAGCTCTGACTAACAGTCCTTGCAGCTCCTCGAGGGTGGCGACGCTCGAGCGCAAATAGACTGATTGGATGTAGTGAATAGCCCAGCTCTGGAGAGCACGTGGCCTGCCTGATAGCCTACGTGGCTTCTTAGCTTGCAACGCCTTCTCGTTATCTAACCACTCTTGCCGCAGTCGAACGCCGGTACGGTAGGAAAATCCACCATGGTGCTCGATGCTTTTGAGGGTGAGTATGCCGCTATCGACAAGCCTCATGGCAAACACCTTGAGATCATCGCTCACAGGGTGGTAAGGCATGATGTGGAAGGCTTCGAGAGGAGTTTGGCTTAGGCGGATGGATGGCTACAGAGCTGCTCGCTACCGTGTGGACAAGGTAGATAGCGGTTGGGGATGATGGCGCTAGCGACTCGAATATTGGTCGAGAGTGGATGGCTAGGGTAGCGTTGGAAAGCTCTCGGTCTGGACTATCGATATCGGGCGGCCAGAGCTGGATTGACTTAATAGATATGTGGTAACGAGGAGGAGAGAGGTTATCGATGGTGTTGATTTTCTACAAACATGCGTGATGTTGGTATGAATCGCGCCGCGATTTTACTAGTAAATTAGCTGGCGTCGCGCGGCAAGCCTTTTCCCAACCGCTCTCCTCCAGTCGACAAAGTCGTCCCAGTCCGCCCGACGGACAGACGCAGCAAATGGCAGCGCTCTTTCTCCACGACTTCCTCGTCGAGGACAATGGCAAAGAGGAAGCGCTACACCGAAAATGGCAACAGCGATGGACAAGGCGCCACAGATGGTGGTAGCGGAGGCGATGAGCAAGACTACGGCAACCAGTCCCTACCGGTAGCCGTCTTGCCGCCAGATTTCGATGGCATCCCACTCGATGGAGCCACGTACCTCGCCATGGTACGCCAAGAGGCCGCAACGCATCCAGCTGTCTTCACCGCAGCGCATAATCCCTACGCCACCATCGCAGCCGTCCCATCACTACCCGCTGTCAGTAGAGCGACGGAGCTAGGCATACCAAGCGAAGAATGGCGCGACGCCTTCCTCGAACGATTCAAGGCCATGAGAGAGGTGAGTATATGCGGTTCCTCATCCTGTTCCTCATGCCTTCAATGCTGATCATACCCCTCTTTGCCTGCGCAGGCCCTTTCCCTCACCCCGTCCACCTCTCTCAGTCGCAATAATGTCGCCCGCATGCCCAAGCCACGATCAAGCGATGCGGGTAACAAGGCGTGGTTTCGCTTCATCTTTGGAAGGGAGCGACCGACAGATCAGAATGGAGAGATGATTGAAGTGGATGGCGACGAGGGCCCTGAAGGCGAGGAAGACGCTGAAGAGAAAGTAGAGGCGCAAGGAGGCGAAGATGAAGCAGGCTCTTCAACTGCTCGTCCCCCTTTGCAACCAACCTCCTCGCTGCTCACTCGCTTCACGACTGGGCAGATCCTCAGCCTGCTGCATCATCTGCCGTACTGGTTCACCATCCGACTCGAGCGGCAATCAGTCGACGCGCCTTCAGCTCACCCACCAGCTATCCCATCTCTCCTCTCACAATGGTGCTTCGCCCTGCTGGCGAAGCTAGACACACGACTGGTCTCCGACGACATTTCCACCCTGCGGACCCTAGCGAGGGCGAGCATTGCTGCTGTTGCGATGAGGAGGCTGCAACTGAGTGAACAAACTGATGACGAGACGGACGAGGGGGAAGATGAGGAGCAAAGGGCCGAAGCGGGAGCATGGACGGTCGTCAATATTGTTGCGGGTCTTTGGGGCCAAACTGATCTGTGGGAGTCAGCTGAGGAGGATTTGGGAAGGATCCCAAGGAGACAGAGAGGAGCAGAACTCTCGTCGGCAGCGGGAGCGGCAAAGACGAGCGAGTGAAGAAACAAGGCGCCTGCTGCGACGCCTCACATTGTATCATTAGCACATCAGATGACTCTCTATGCCCCTCTCTAGGATCCAATCTATCAGCCTGCATCGCGGTATCATCGCTTTCCCTTCTTCCCCTTCTTGCCCTTTACTCTCCCAAAGTCCTCGTCGTCACTTCCTTCTCTGGAAAGGTCAGCCGGCGTGTACCCTTTGGCGAGAGCGTGACCCTTATCCCTCACGTGAGTGAAGAGCTTCGACCGAGAGTCGAAGCCTTGCCCGCAGACGTTGCACTTCTCTTTACCGCCCTTGCCGCCATCCTTGCCCTTCTTTGCGCGGCGGGACTTCTTGCCATGGCCCACGCCTTCATCATCCTCGTCGGCACCCTGGTCATCAGGCTTGCCGAGCAGCTGTGCCAGCTCTGCTCCCCTCCCTTCGCCGTTCTTCGCCTCATCCTCCAAGCTCTTGACCCTCCTCTCAAGCTCAAAGAGATGGCTATCAACACTCTGCGGGCTCAACTTCCTTGTGACCGCCGCGAGATTGAGCAGATACTCGTCGTTCCGTCCTGACGGTCCTTGGCAAGTGAAAATCCGCTCGGCCAGTTCCGGTAAAGGTGAAGGGCCAACGAAGGCTTCATTGTCCGGCAGGCCGACGTATACGAGGGTGTCGCGTTGCAGAAGTGTGGGCTCGTCCTGACCTTCTCTCGAGCTGGAGGACGGAAAGCCCCAAACATCCACGCTTTGGGGTGAGTACCCATTCTTCTCCCTGTGATCGAGGTACTCTCGGACCTCCGTCGCGAACTCTCCATCGATTGTGTACATCACCCCCCAGACAATGTCCCCCTCAGGACTCTCGTCTGCGTCCTTGAAGCTATGCCAGTCTGCTGCGGAGATCAGTGTCACCACCCGTCCGGGACGGGCGGGCGTACCACGGTGATCGATGGAATGCTGGGCGAATCGGCGAGTGAAGCCTTTGATGAAGCCTGGTTGCGAGTGCGTCACATGCGGCGGAGGCTTCCAAATGAGGGAGCCGAATCCGAAGAGGGTGAAGGCGTTGAGTGGGAGGGGCTCGCCGAGAGGAAGGGGATTGTAGCTTGGCTCCCAGTTGGTTGCGTCGAAGGGTGTGGGCGGAGGAGGGCTGGCAGCGGCCCCGTTGCTTGCAGTGGGAGATTGAGCAGGTGCGGACTTGGCCGCCTTGGACTTGGATGGCGCTGGTGCTTCAGGAGGCTCAAATGCTGCCTCCGCTGCTGCAGCCTTCATCCTCTGTTTTGCCTTCTTTCTCGCTTTCTTGCTCATCCCAGCGAAGGCCGTCCCTTCCTCGTCTTCCGCTGCGTCCTCATCCTCCTCTAGGTCCATCGCCTGTACGTCGTGAGCTAGCGCAGCGTCCATGTCAGCCGCTGCGTTGAGTCCATTGCCGCCACTCTCCTGAACCACTTCCTCTGCCGGCGAGTCGAGACTGAACTCCTTGTCTTCCTTCATCATCTTGCGCTGTAGTGCTCTGACTGCCTTCTTGTGCTTAGCACTCTGCTCGTGATTCCGGAATGCGGCTTCGCTGCGGAAGATCTTGTCGCAGGCTACGCAGTCCCAACTTGTAGGCTCGTCCTCCAAATCCTCTTCGTCGTCGCCATCGGCGCGTGGTGACCCTCCCTCAGCACCGCTCTGGCTACTGCCTTCTCCGACGTCGCTCTCATAGTCCTCCCCCTCCGACCAAATATCCTCCGCCTCATCTGCAACCTGCCAGCTCTGCGCCTGAAAAGCATCGGCGCGGGCTTGTCGCTCCATCTCCATTCTGGCCACGTACGCCTTGCGATTAGCTTCTGCCTCAGGCCCACTCTTTGCTTTCTCTTGAGCCTCCTGAAAAGCCTTATATCGCGGATCCCGCTTCCTCACAAACCCAGCAAGAGCGCGGACAGTATCGTTGTACTCTCGCCTTCCTGCCTCTCGCGCACGCTTGTTCTCCTTCTCCATCAAGCGCTTCACCCGTCTGTCAGGAGCTTCAGACAGGCGATACTGGTCCAGCCATCCCATGCTCTTTCGAGTCTGAAAGTTGAGGAAGTAGTTGTAAAAGTCGCGTGCCGGCGTCTGATGGATCGTAGCATCATCCCTGCTCTTCTTGCTACCAGAGGCGGCAAAGGGTGTATGCGAGTAGCCGAAGGAGGGGAAAGCGCTTCGCGGCGGCGGGATAGCATCTTCGCCATCCTCTCCCGGGTAGACGGCGGCAGCGATTTCTTCTTCGACCAAACGCTCAAACAGGCGGCGGTACGTTGCAAAGAAGGACGAATCCGAGTCTGTCGTATCCTCTGCCAGACTTGGATCAAAGAAGCGCATGAGATGCCTCGGCGTCAAGCCAGGACTAGAGCTGCCTGCCGGTTTAGGCGCTTCTTTGCCTTCTTTGAAGCTCTGGAAAGCCTCCTCATCCAAACCATCATCATCGAACTCGCCGTTGAGGTAGCGTTGCCTGTTGTTGTCGTACCAAGCGCGCTCCTGCTCGTCCGAGAGGATATCGAATGCTTCTTGTAGCTTGTGAAAGTACTTTGTTGCTTCGTCAATGCGATCGGGGTTCTTGTCTGGGTGGTGCTTAAGGGCCAGCTTGCGGTAGGACCGTTTGATGTCGTCTGCGCTCGCGTCTACCTCGACCTGGAGCAGCTCGTAGTAGTCGACATGCTCCGGCGCAGCCTCGCCGCTGACATTGCCTGCCTTTGCTCTAGCCGACTGCGCAGCTCCCATGAGAAGAAGAAGAAAGCAGCGGTGGCAATGGGTCGAGTGCGGAGAGAAAGGAAGAAGTTGAATGTCGCCCCGGAGAGCAAAAGGCGGAGGGCGGACTGCCAAGCCGAGATGCGGCGAAAGCTCAGGCCCGACCACAAGCAACACACATTGCCGGCGGCCTGCATACATTCACTTCTTGATTTCCTTATCAATCCTGTCCCCTCGCCATTCTCAGAGGGCAGGCGTAGCCAAGAATGCTTCGCTCATCACGAGCTGCGAGACTGGCTTTACGCCACGATCAAGTACGATGTCGCTGTTTCTCGACTTCCTTTGCCACCCACGATGCTGGCTCTCCCAACCTTCCACCTCTGCGGGCAACGCTACCCCACAATCGCTATCCTCCACGCGAACCCTCCATGCAAGTGGATCACCTCGTCATCGGTGGCGGAGTTGTCGGTCTTGCTACCGCAGCAGCTCTCGCTCGTCGTTACCCTGACAAGTCGACCTTCCTCGTAGAGCGACACAGGCAAGCAGGGCAGGAGACGTCCTCCCGTAACAGCGAGGTGATTCACGCTGGGCTCTACTACCCGAAGGACAGCTTGAAGACGCAAATGTGCTTGCGAGGAAGGGAGAAGATGTACAGGCGGTGTGAAGAGTGGGGAGTACCGCATAGGCAGACAGGCAAGCTAGTCGTAAGGCCGAAGGGGAGTAAGGACTACTTTGAGAAGATGTTGCAGCATTGCAATTCCCTCGGGGCGCTGGCTCCGCCCGTCAGGCTGATATCGGGGGATGAGGCTAGGCAGAGGGAGCCGGATCTGTCGCAAGATATCGAGTGGGCGGTTCTCTCAGAGCGAACCGGGATTGTCTCCAGTCACGAGCTCATGGAGTCGCTCGAGAGGGAGATCCTCGACGCTGAGGCGGCGGAGCTGGTCTACGATACCGAGGTGGTGAGGATCGACCCTCATTTGCCTGCCATGGAGGGAGTTGCAGGACCCTCATCGAAGCGTGGGAGTGATTACAGCCAAGAAGGTTGGGTAGTGCAGACGGTCACCCACTCCGCAGGCCAAGACGGAGGCGCAGAGGGTGGCGAAAGCGACGCCATCCTCGCCCGTGTGGTCATCAATTCTTCTGGCCTCAATGGGCACCTAGCCCTGAATGCTCTTCTCGCGGAGGAGCGTTTCAGCTCGAACAACAGCGAAGAGGCAATGGGCATGTGGTATGCCAAGGGCAACTACGTGAGCTACAAGGGCCCTGGAACGCGCAACGTCAAGGCGCTCATCTACCCCATCCCCGCCATGAGTGCAAAGGGTGGGCTGGACCAAGGATTGGGAACACACTTGACGCTCGATTTGGATGGGAATATCAAGTTTGGACCCGACACGGAATGGCTCTCGCCACCTGATGCGAAGGGAGGCATAGACTTCTGGGCAAAACAATTGGCCCCAGTCACGTCCGAGGACAGGCTGAAAGCTATGCATGCTAGCATCACGAGCTTCTTGCCCGATGTGAAGCTCGAGGGGCTCAGCCCAGACTATGCGGGCATTCGTCCGAAGCTCGTCCCACCCGGTGGAGGATTCATGGACTTCACTCTGCTCTGCCATCGCTCGCGCGATCTCAAGTCGCAGAAGCTCTGGAGCTACGCTCGCCTACCGAACGAGCAGTTGCACGATGGCGCAAAGCAGTACTTCCGTGGCGAAGTCAACGCGCTTGGTGGAGAAGGTGGGCAGGCAGGAGGGACTATGCTTACCTTGGCGGGGATCGAGTCGCCGGGCTTGACCAGCTCATCGGCTATCGCTGATACAGTGGCGGAGGTGGTGTCGCGCCAGGTGTGGGGGCACGGAGATGCTGCACGGTCTACTGGTAGGGAAGGTACGGGGATGGCCAAGGAGATACCGAAGGGGGCGAGGAATGATGAAGTGGGGGCTGCCGGGCTCGATGCGTGGGCATAGCGCGGTGCGTACTCAGCGCACGGAGAGAGGGATGAGGCCCTGACATTAATAGTGCGACACGATGAGGACGCCCGTTGACGAGGTAGACTACAGGTGAGGAAACACGGCGGGGAGGAGGAATGATTTGTAGGAAAGCTTGAAGAAGTAGTTGGCGGAGCATCGTCTTGCGCATAGAAGTTCAAAGTCATGGAGAGATGTCCTAGCAATCACATCACGGAGCACTTGGAAGGCTGCGGCTCCGGCCCGCCTTCGGTGGTGCCCTTCTCCGTCTCTGCGAGCATGAGCTCGAAAACCTTGGCTACGTTGGCATTGTGGCGTGCTGAAGTCTCTGTCCATGCGGCTTTGAGCGAGGCAGCGAGCTGCTTGCCCTCTTCCTCGGAGACTTGCCTATGGAGCGATGAGCGTCGAGTGGGATTGGTCAGTCTTCAGCTGTGATGTCAGTCGCGGAGCCGCACGCACCTCTGCACATGCAGATCGCTCTTCTGCCCAACGACGACGCAAGGGATGGTCTCCGTGCCCGTATAGTTGAGGATCTTGTCGTAGACGGTCTGCACCATCTCGAAGCTGGAACGCAGCGCAATTGAGTAGACGAGCACGTACCCGTGGATGCCGATGGCGTGGCGTGAGTTGAGAATCGAGTACTCGTCCTGGGCATGAGCAGAAGGAGGTGGGTGGTATCAAGCGATCAGTGATCACAAGGTTGTCTGCACATCAACGGGTGGAGGGTGTCGCTCACCTGTCCTGCGGTGTCTATGATATCACAGTCGTAATCTTTTCCCTTGTATTTGATGTTTTTGTTGAAGACATTCTCGATGGTGGGATAGTACGAGTCGACGAATGCGTCCTCGACGTATCGGACAACCAGGGACGACTTGCCTGCGAAGTGTACCGAGAGGGGTGATAAGCCGTATCCTCCTTAATCAGCACGCCGCTAATGCTCACCGACTGATCTGCTTCCCAACACAGCGAACTTGCGCTTGGGCTTGTGTGACGGCGGAGACGTTGCTGAGGAGGAGGCCATTATGGTGGCTGTGTTGGTGTCCGATGCTGGGAGGAGGCAAAGGGTTGCAGCAAGGGAGCGGAATTGGATCTGCTTGAACGAGTAGTTCCTTCTTGTGGGCACTGATCTGAGACTCTGATCCAATGCCCGCTGGCGAAGCTCTCTCGAATATCAACGACGTCGAGATGACGAGGATGCAACGACGAAAAGGAGGAGCAGGATCCAACACCGGCTGCTGACCGACGACCGGGAGCAACGAACAGCAATGAATCGGGACCACAGACTCGCCGCCTTGGCCGATGGAGTGCACCTCGCCTTTCCGCACCCGCACGACAGGCAGAGGCAGAGGCGCGCCTCCTCCACGCTGCAGAGAGCCACTTGAGCCATCCCCGACAGAAACGAAGCCAATGGCAAAGCGCGGCGCTTTCATTGATGAGCCGCGAAGCGTGGTAGGCAGGGCACACAAGTCTCAGCAGTCGATCAAACAAGCACGAATGGTGGGATAGGCTTGGACATTATGCGCAACTAGCGACCTAGCGTAGCGCTGCCCCTCGAGGCACACAGCCAACCGCCTTCATCATGTCAGCCGCATACCCATCCGCAGACCCAAGCTCGTGAGCTAGATGAGCGCATCGCACCTCGATGGGCGTGCCGCGAGATGTCAGCGCCTCTTCGACCTCCTTGATGGACAACGCCTCACGCCTGAACGGTGGCTGACGAGCGCGTGATCGCGAAGAGCGCAGTTGTGCGAGCGTTCGCTCGTACGCAGCCGCAGCGGTTCGAGGAAAGTCGTCCTGCCTGCCGTGCCAGCTCTCCACCTCCTTTCCCATCGTCAAGAGCCGCTTGAACGGTCGGCGTACGCCTAGCACCACATCTGTCCATGCTGTGGGGGCGTTTTCATTTCTCGCTGGGCTTAGGGTGCCTTCAGCGCTCGGTTGTCCCTCCTCCTTGAGCATTTGGTAAGGGGCCAAAAGCCGATCAACAAACGCCAAGAGTCGCTCCCTCTTCTCCCTTGCTTGCACCGCAGCCGGCTTGGATTCATCCTCCTCGTACGGACTGTCAACCGTGAAGTTAAGCCCCCCGGCCGAGAAGCCTCCGCCCATATGGTCCGGCACAGAGGCGTGCTCATTGGGCATGCCTGCCTCCTTGGAGCCGGCGAGCGCTGGCATGGGGTTGACAAGGAGAGTATGATCGCGCAGCCAGGTGCAAATGGATTCGAATGACCAGCTGAGCTGTGAGCCGAGGGCATATGGTTGGGTAGCTAGGGTAGTGGACGCGGCTTGGCGCATCGCTGCACCGAGAGAATTGGACGTGCCTGGTCGCTCGCTACCTAGCGTCCCATCGGCCAATAAAGCCTCATTGCGTCGCTGCCTTTCCTCGCTCAGCGCTGGCCTGAAAAGGGGTGTCAATAACTGGCTAGCTACAACGTCGGCTCCTACGGCGTCCAGCTCTCCGCTCTCCTCGTCGTAGAGCAAGCCCGCAAAAGGCACAGCGCCATACCCTGCCTTTGCCTCGCACCACGCCTGGATGTCCTCAAGAAGGCGTCGTCCAACGAGCGTGTCCATGCTAGCCTCTTGACCGCAGTCTTGACACCGTCGCCGCCAGTGGCGTTGTACGAGGCCTCGCTGAGATGATGGACCTGGAGAGTCGAGGGAGGTACCTGCAGCCGCAAAAGGGACAAAGGCGGCAAAGTCGCAGCGAGGAGAGGGACAGCGCACGCGCAGGCCGCGAAAGAGGGAGTCGGAGGAGGTGCCTACATCGCCGAGGCGGTAGGATAGCTTCGTTTCTCGCTCCCAGCTTGTTTGAGCCTTCTCATTGAACGTGGCAGATTCGCCCAGGCGCTGTAGTGGCAGGCTGTACGAGCTGAGCTTGCTCAGAGGGCTGCCTTGTCGTGCTGGTTGCGCAGCTGCCGAGCCAGCCATCATGCTGGCCCAAGCCGTATAGACGTCTGCTGGAGGCATGACATCGGAGGGTGGCTCTCGCTGCGATGGTGACGAGGAGGATGCTGCTGAGCCTGACGGCGGAAGCACGTTGATGCAGTACGCCTCGAGCCTTGCCATGCTCTGCGCGATCATCGCTGACCAAAGCAAGCCCAGATCGTTGAGCTCGGCGAGGGGACGCTCTGCGCTGTATGCTGGTGGCAAGTCCAGGCCATCCCCAGTGTCCTGGAACCTCGGTGTCTGTGCTGGTCGCCCATACGCTGGCAAAGCACCAGTCCCATCCTCGACTGGGCTTGACAAGCTTGCTTCGCTCTCACCTCTCCCGATCTCGGGTCGATGCACATCGCCTTGCGCCGGGCCAGTGGTAAGCTCCGACCCCGCCGCTGTTGTCCTTTGCTTAGCCTCGTCCCGCAACTTTCTCGCAGCAAGAAACAGGGCGAGGACGTGAAGGACATCAGCTGATGAGACAGAAGCTGATGCGCGCGAAGGCGACAAGGAGGAAGATCCCGCCACCCCCTCACCCTCTACGTCCCGTTGCAGCTGCTTCCTCTCCTGTCGCTTTGCCTTGAGCTTGTCGGCAAAGGCCGATACTTTGGGTTGAGCTGCAATGGCTCCTGCAACGAAGAGACCGGCCATGATGTCGTGTGACTCTTTGTGGCGTTAAGGAGCAGCGAGATGGGATGGTAAGGAGGACGGACAGCAAGAGCGGAATGCCAAGCTCATGCTGCCGCTGCGCTGCGAGGTCTGTAGTCGGCGGTCCACCGCATCTCTCTCACAGGTGGAGGCCGAGGGCCACGAGCACACATCTCCCTATGGCTAGCTATCGATCTCCTTGCGATGGCGTCGACGCATCGATCATCTTCATTCAAGGAGGAGGAGCGACGCCACAAGAGCAAGATGAAGATGATACCCCGCGACTGCGCAGCCTTTGGTTGCATGGAGAACGTAGGTATCGAGAAGCCAGTCCAGAATGAGCAAAAGCGGGTATCGCCCGAGATTTCGCTCCGCTGGATGCCATCCCGAGCGATCCTTCCCACGGGACGCGCCTCTAGCCACGACATTCATCGTCTTCGAAAAGCCCCTGGTGGCGCAGAACATCCTTGTCGTAACTTGCTAATGTCTGGACCCGCGACCCCCGTGCACCCCCTTCTCGTGGGCTCTTCTCACGTACTCATTGTGTCGCGTCGCGTCGGCGATGCGACCAGTCGATCTTCCCACTCGAGTCGCGACTGCGATGAATCCCGCTGCCTCCTCATTCTCTCGGCGATCAATTGATGTCAAGAGTTGGCCAGACCCCGCTTCATCCTCCGATCTGGTAGTGAGCAGCAGGTCAACGACCGAGGTGGGCTGAGGCGGAGAGCCCGCGTGGGCAACGGGCAAAGACCACGGACAGTTGAGCCGCGAATGGATTTGGGTCTCCCCGTTCCTCCAGCCGAACCAAAGCCGCGAGTCGACACGCAAGGGGCTCGCTCTATTTCGCATTCACTTCCCGACTGGCCTGCCCTTCACACCACGCCCATTCCCCCTTGGCGAACGACTCGTCAGGACCATGAGCGCGACCAGTCTTGTGGCCGGCACATCACCACCTTCGGCAACGATGGGCGACAGCGAAATAGAGTGCCCACCGGACCGCGTGCCAACCTTGTTTTTCACGGCCCGCTGAAGAGCTGGGCAGAGAAACGTGAGGCCGAGAGAGCTCAGACGGTACGATGACATGAGGAGAGCCCGATCACCCTTGCTTTGGCGTGCGGGGAGCGCTGCGCAAGCGTGAGCACAGATGAAGGCTCAGCGCGGCTAGCCAGCTCTAGTCGCCTTCGCTAATGAGTGACGCGTAACGAGAGGAGGAGCGGGCAGTAGCCAGGTACCAAAGGAAGAACCATTGACTTGGGCTTGCCCACTCAATTGCGCGGGCAGCAAGGGGCTTCTCTGCCCGGAAGCCGATCAGATTCAAGAGCCATCCTTGGGAATGGAAGCAAGCAAGCAAGCAAAAGCAAAGCAAAGCAAAGCAACGTACGGGCTTCGCAACAGTGGTAGCGAACCTGAGGCTCACGTACCCTGATGAGGTACCGTTCTGGACTGGGCTAGACTCGCCCTCTCTTGGCCCCCCCTGGCGTTGGGGAGACGCACCGGCGGACGTTTCGACTTCGACTCGAAAGAGGAAAGGCTCGCGTATGCCTTTGTGCGGGGTGTCAAATCAAGTGTTGGACGGACGAGTCGAGCGTTAGCTCAACCATCCTTGATAAAGGCGACAAGCTCGACGCGGGGTCCACAACTGTTTCTCTCGTCCCGTCACAAGCTCCCAAACACCTTCAACTTCAACTCACTATCCAACCCAAACCTACTTGTGGTCCTACTGCTTCGTAATCAGCCGTCTTCAACGCCGAACCATGTCTCAAGTCATGGCAGCGCAGCGACTTTACGACTCCGAGGCGGTCCGCAATGATCCTGATAGGCATGAAGCCGTCTCAGAGCTGTACCGCCAGCTGAGCCGTTTCAGGCTCGGAGAAGACAGCTACCTCTCCTCTTCATCAGCCTCTTCATCGTCGTCAAGATCATCACCTTCGGTGGTCAGGCAGCCGTTGCCTCGCTCCCAACGCTTGGCTGGTCTGGCTCCCGCTCTTTGCCCTCTCTCACCGCGCACGCCCGTGTCAAGCTTCTCGGATACCGAGTCTGAGCTGGACGATCGCGGTGAGGAAGACGAGGAGGATAGTGAAGGCTGCATACCACGGCCCGAAGCTCTCGCCGCTCCCAGGCTTTCGACCTTCCGTCGGGTGTCGCACGGCCTTACACCTTGGCCCGGTGCGATGCCACGAGACTCAGACGCGTCGTCGGCCCCCGACAGCGACGCTGAAGACGACCATGATGATGACGACGATGCGGACACTTACCACGGTTCGCGAAAGAGCTCCTACGCAAGTAGTGGAGCGGCGACTACTGTCGGCTCATCTCTATCACCTTCACGACGCCCCTCATACAAGGCTGGCTTCGCCGCCACGGTAGCTGCGGCCGCCGCAGCCGTCGCAAAGAGGCCGTCCCTCGTTGTTCCTCGCCGACAATCTTCGCATCACATTCAGCATCATACGCTCAAACGCCGCCGAGAATCGCAAGTCAGCGCAATGCAGGATGGTACATTCCTGCTCCTCTCCCCGCCAAAATACGGCAGGCCGAGGGAGCGATGCCAATCCATCTCGCCATCGACGCGTAGCCCTATTCGCAGCTTTGTCGGGACAAGCAGCCCGCTCGCTAGCAGCAGACGACCAAGCACTGCTGCGCCTCTGCTGACTACCTCGTCCGACGTTGCCCCCGGCCCGAGCATGAGCACGGCTGCTAGAAGCCACCGCCCGTCCCTTGGGGAGCGGCGCCCTTCTGCCCCAGACGCGCCAGATGTCTTCGTGTCCACGCCCTCGACTCCAGCAAGACCGCCACGTCGTCACCCATACGCTTCTGCGCCTGCTCAGCAGCAGCTAAAACTCGCCTCACCCCTCTCCAACCGTCACCTGGAGGACGATGAGCTGGCCACGGCCGCTTTGCCTGCTTCCCCGTCACCTCCATCAGGCTGGCGTCTCGAGCCCATCAAGCTCTGCGCGCCGCAAGACTCGCATTTTTACGCCCATCAGCAGCGAAGCCAAGGTGGGCGCGGCGACGAAATGTCGCCCCTTCTCATGAGGAGAGCATCGGAGGTCGCGGTTCATCCTGGTGCTGCCGCTCACAATCTGGCAAATCTGGCGCCTTGTGAGGGCAAGGCGACGAGCACCAGACCAGTACCGAAGGCAATCGCGCCCTTGGTCATCGCCACAGACGTAGACCCAAACACCTCCTTGCTGTCATCGACGACCTCCTCCAGCAGGCTCTCCCCTTCCGCTTCACCCGCTTCAGCGACAACAGCCCATTCTTCGCCTGCCACTCCCTCAGCTTGGGGAACACCGCCTTGCCTCTCACCGCTGCCTTCGCCTTTCCCCTTGGATGGCGCAGCGTACGGCAGCGCCCACAATGGTGGCGCTGCTACGACTCCGTCTTCACCCTCCCAGCATCGCACAGCTGCCTTGTCGCCCCGTTCTGCACCCTCTACCAAGGGCAGGCAGCGTCACGTCTACTCGACTCCCTCCGAGTTCCCGCCTTCGCAAGGTCGAGCCAACCAAAGCGAGGCTGTGCTGCTCAGCTATGAAGGAGAGTCGTGGCTCCTTTGCTCGCCTTAGACTAAGAGCCCGTTACCTCGATCCGCCCTCCAGCTCAATTTTCATTATACCTTCTTCGTCACCACGCTCTCGATCATACAAGCTCTTTCGAGACCATTCGTCGCACGCTATTTTTTACCCCAGTCTTTGCACTCGTATCTTCCGCAATGCATTACGTTCCATAATCACTTCTTCCACCTCGCCGGTCGTCTACTATGAAGTCTTGTCCTGCTCCTTCTCCAGCAAACTTGCCCACCTTCCCCTTCTATCCGGATCGACCTCAATCAGCCGTCTCAACATCTCCCGCCTGTCCCTCCCCTCCCCTCCCCCTTCAATCTGAAGCTCGTTCATCAAGCCCTGGTACCTGATCAACGCCTCCAAGCACCATTTGCTCTCTGGCTCTACCTCGAGCAGCTCAGAGATGCTATCCATCTCACGCTGCAGAGATTTGGCCTGTCGATCCCTTTGCTCTTCAGGAGAGGAAGCTTCGCTGTGATCGAGTTGATCAACAAGCCACGCATGGTACAGCCAGACACTCGAGTCGTCCGGATCGGTGTACATTGCTTGGCGGACGAGGTCGAATTCCTCGTCCAGCTTCTTCCACCTATCGCCGCTCTTCGTCTCTGCAGTCTCGCAACCCCACACCTGCGGTAGCACCAAACTTCTCTGGTGCCATGCGCTGAAGTTGCTAAAGTTTGCTTCGATCTTGCGGAGCGTGTAGGTGAGCTCTGCACGGGCAAGCTGGAGGTGGTGCGTCTGGATTGCGGTGGGGGTGGAGGGATGAGTGAGGGTGAAGGGCCATGAGGGAAGGGATTGAGAGGAGGAGGGGGAAGAAGCGTAGGCGTGGACGGATGCGAGGGCGATTTGCGTGAGGAGATATCGACGATAATCCCAGCCGTGGACTTCGAAGATAGCAGAGAGTCAGCGTCTGTTGTCTCTTCTCTGACTGTACTGGGTCCACTCACAATTCCTCGGATCGAGCTCCAACATCTTATTGACCAGACCCATCTCTCTCTGCCACTTGGCCGCCCTCAGCTTCGCCTGGGCCTCAAGCCCCTCATTCTTCTCGTCGCTACTGGCCTCGTTCGGCATCTCAATCAAGCACCACTTCCTGTGGTTCCAGATCCAGTATACCTTTGGATGAATCCGGAGAGCTTCCTGCGTGAGGGCGAGGTCCTCCTCCAGTAATCTCCGCTTGAGCAGACCCGGTGAAGACGATGATTCTGCTGAAGATGACGAAGCCTGCGGCTCTCTGGCTGCGGCAAAAAAGTCGGGCACTGGTTGGGTTGCTTTGCTGGTCTCGGATAGTCCTACAGCGAAGAGGTTCGAGAGGACAGAGCGACGATAGTTCCATGCCGTGTAATGCTCGGGATTGGCGGCCAGTAGATTCGTGGTGGCGTCGAGAGCTGATTCATCGAGAGCTCCTTGTTGTTTCTGAGCATAGAGGCAGGTGCATACAGTCTGCTTAGCGTCCTGATGGCGACTTACGACATTCTTCCTTCCCCTTTCCCCCGCGTACTCACCGCATCAAAGAAGGCCTTCTCTACCACCAAGTACTCGTCGAGTTTGGCCGCTTCCTTCTTTTTGCGTGCTTCCCTCGCCGAGGCAGAAGGAGGGGCGAGTGATCTCTTGACGCCGTGCATGGCTGGATTGAAGGAAGGGAGAATGGAAGCCGCGCTGCGCTGAGCTCTGTCCGTCCGTCTTGGGCGCGAGAAATGAGCGTGGCTCGAGCGTCGCAACTTCCTTCTTTCACGCCATCACCACGCTCAGCATCTCCAATCAGCAATGACCTCCCCACCCTCCTCCTCTGCTTCAGCCTCGACATCATCAGCACATCAGACACAGCCTCCGGCTTCCTTGCAAGCCCCATCAGACCGAGCCACGCGTCCCTCCATCGTCGGCGAGGACAGTGGCCCCACGCCGCCCTTTCCCATCTACCTTGCCGGGACGGTTCAGCGGGGCTTTGGGCGTGGAGGCAAAGATCTGGGATGCCCCACGGCCAATCTCCCCTCAAAGCTACTCCAGCCGGCTGTCGATGAGCACAAAGGCAGCGGGAGGTCTACGAGCTTGGCAGAAGCCCCTACAGGCATTTACTTCGGTTGGGCGCGATTGCTGAGCGAGGAGGAGGGAGGAAGAGGACACGAATTTGAAGATAGAGAGAAGAGTGAGGCTGATACCAAGGCTGATATCAAGACTGATGAGGAGCAGAAAACGAATCAGAGCGCAGCAGAGCAGCCGTCGCTGTCGCCCATCGATACGCGCGTCCACCCCATGGTCATGAGCTTGGGTTGGAACCCCTTCTATGCTAACAAGACGAAGACAGCGGTACGTAGAGCGAGACTCTTGCCTTGCCCTGGTGAGCAGAAGCTAATCTCATATTATCATTGTGGCATTTAAGGAGGTCCACATCATGCACCCCTTCAAGCGCGACTTCTACGGCCTGCAGATCCAAGTCATTGTTCTGGGCTACATTCGGCCAGAGTACAACTATGTTGACGTAGGTGAGTGCGGCGGCCATCGCTTGGCTTCCTCAGACTACTTTGCTGACTACAAGCGCCTCGTGTGTGCTGTCAGAGGCCCTCAAGAACGACATCGAGACGGACAAGCAGGTTGCCAATCGATCTCTCGAACGGGCCACCTACTCTAGCTTTGCCTCGGATTCTTTCTTCACGGCCACCACAAAGCTGTGATCGCGAACTAGAAGACAGACAGACATGTGCCACTCAATACAATAGCATTCGAGCAGTCTTCCTGCACTACCCTTTGGCAACGCATCCCGCCATCATGCCACCTCTGTAACAATCCCCGCAGCAACCGTCTCCCCCTGCATCCTAAGCAACACCCTCGCCAAGTCCTTCCTCTGTGTCTCAACAGGCAGACCGGGGCTCTGCACCTGAATCTTGACAAGCGCAGCTGCACCTTTGCCCAAGACTCGAGGCTTCCTTGCTTTCTTCTTCGCGTCGCCCTCACCCACCGTCGCCACCAGCTCGGTGACTGTACAGGGCACGTCGAGCGAGTGGTGATGCAGAGACGCTACCGAGCCTGCGAGGATAGGGTAGGTGGGCTCAAAGACGAGCAGCTGAACGAGCAAGTTGGTGCTCAGCTGGACGGTCTGCCCAATGGGGCATAGCACCGATCCTACAGCGACATGAATCTCCTCTATGCCCTGCAGATAGACCGTCACGCTGCTCCCCGCTACGGCCCAAGGGACCGACTCGCCGTCCTGCTCAATAGCGCGTACCGTCGCCTCTTCCTCACCGGGCACGACCCGCACCCGGTCCCCTGCAGCAACCAGGCCACATACCAGTCGCCCTGCCGCTGCTACCCCCGAGGCAACGGCCGTTTGGCCGCGGAAGACGTTTGTGAGAGGCATGCGAAGGGGCGCGTCTACATCGCGTGTTGGTGGGTCGAGAGAGTCCAGGATGTCGAAGAGGGTCGGGCCTTCGTACCAAGTTGCCAGCGGCGAGCCTGAGGAGCGCTTCGAGACGTTCTCCCCTTCCGCAGCGCCGAGGGGTACGCAGCTGAGTCGTGAAGCCTCGAATCCCGTGGAAGCCAAGAAGGGCTTGAGCTGCTCCAACACCTCATCATATCTCTCCTGCGCGTACTCGCACGTGTCGAGCTTGTTGATGACTACGACCACCTCCCTCACACCCAAGGCGCGAATAAGTACCGCGTGCTCCCTCGTCTGTCCCCGAGCCCCGAATCCCGCTTCAAAAGCACCCTTCGTCGCGTCGATGACAAGAAGCGCCACATCAGCCTGAGCGGCACCCGTGATCATTGAGGGCACAAAGTCTCGATGTCCTGGAGCGTCTAGGACCGTGTAACTCCGGTGTGGAAGGGAGAAATGCGCGTGCGCTGTCGAGATGGTCACGCCGCGGGATCGCTCTTCTTCACTTGCATCCAGAGCCCAGGCGTAAGCGAAGCTGCCCTTTCCCAACTTTTGGCTCGCCCGCTCATTGCTCATGTGCTCGCGGTCGCTCAACGTGCCAGCCTCGTGCAGCACTCGGCCCATAAGAGTCGACTTGCCCGCATCTACGTGCCCCACGACGACTACGCTGATCTCTTTCTTTGCGCTTTGCCCCGACTGGCGTTCTCGCCATTCTGTGAGAATCTTGTCGTGGCTGGCGGGCTTTGGTACTGGCAGGGCAGGTGTGGTGGGGCGGGTGTTCGTTGTCGAGGCTGAGGCGGATGATGCTCCAGTGATGCTCATGGTGTCAACTTCTTGACGGAGCTTGGAGACTTCAAGGTTGGGAGCCGGCTTCTCGTCGCGTGGTGTCGCGGGTTTGGAGGACGAGATGATGGCATTCTTCCCTGCCTTGCTCGCTGCTGCAGATGGTTGCGGCGTTGAAGCGCCAGACTTTTTGGCCGCAGAAGCTGTGAGATGGCCGCGTCCAATGGTATATGCTGTCAGCTCATGCGCCTCCCAGCTTGGTCTTCGAGCGGGCACCGAGGACCACATCGTCTGGACTCGGTTTCGCAAACGGGTCTTCTTCGCCTGCCTGTGGCTTGAATAAGCCAAGAGGGAGAGCAGGCGGCGCCTTGCCTGGCATTGAGCGGCTGCCCGCCAGCATCTTTCCTACCGCGGACGAATGCTCGACGTGAGACGAGCGGGAGGGAAAGACGGCCGATGCTGGCACGCCAGTAGGCAGCAGAGCTTCCGGCTCTGAAGCGGCTTGCGTTGCAACCGTCCCATCCGCCATCGCCTCGTCTCCATTGCTGTCGCTCAGTGCTGACGCCGAAGCTTCACTCTGAGCGGCAGCGTCTCTCTCCCTTTGCTCCCTCTCCTGTTTGGCTGCCAATGCTCGCTGCTGTAGCTTCGATAGCGGCTTTATGGCTTCCGCTGGCTGACTCGGCGTAGGCTCAGCAGCTGGTGGTCTTGTCGGCGTCGCGTTCTGTCTGCCCTGCGCCAGTGCCATCAGCTTGCTCGGACGAGCAGCCATGGTAGCTGGTACAGACTGACCAGACGGAGAGGCCGATGTCTCTGACGGCCGCTTGCTCGGACTCAGGGGTCCAGCGCGATCGGGAGCTGGCGCCTGTGATTGCGAAGCTCCTGCGCCTCCTGCCTTACGCTGGGCAGCCATCATTGCCAGCTTGCTCATACCCGCTGCATTCGCCGGCGACCGGGTGCCCACGTCTCCTGGCTGCGGGCCGAAGCCTCGTGACTCGTTCACGTCGACGCCCGGCAGTCCTCCAGGAGCAAGTGCGGCAAGATTGCGCTTGGCAAGCCCTGCTCTCCCTCCACCACCTCGACCACCCCTGCCGCGTTCTGTGAGTCCAGCTACGCCTCGTCCGTAGCGTGCGCCTCGCCCTCGGAGTGGCAGCGGAGGCGGAGAGGATATGGACAGCTGCGAAAGGTCTGTGCCAATGTTCGATGCAAAAGAGGAGCATGATGACGAGTCTGGTGTCGCGAGAGGAGACAAAAGAGGCAGCGCCGAGGTCGTCAGCTGCTGCCCTTCTTGCTCCTCCGGCTGGCCGAGATGCTGAGACGGAGGATAGAAGCTGCGCCTCTATCTCGTAGCAGAGGTGGCAAGGCAAAGCGCATCATTGCGGCACAAGAGCGCTTACGGACAGACGATGGCCACTCACCTTGTTTCTTTCTGTTCCTCTTCTCCGCCTCTTTAGTCAGCATATCCAGTACGGCCTCGACATCGAAGTAGGCGTCCCATAGTGCGTCTTTGATCTCTCGCTGTGAGAAGGGATTCTGACTACTCTCCGGCGGGCCGAGGACGTCGAGAACTGTAGCGTAGGCCGAATCCAGCTGTTGACGATCCGAGTCCTCGATGTCCTCTGTCAGCGTGGGCAAGGAAGCTTTATTAGCATACAGTCACCGAGGAGAAAGGGAGAGGCAGGCAAACTCACCATACGGGTCACTATCGTATCCAACATCGTCTGCTAGCTCTTCATCGAGATCAAGATTGCGAACTGCTCGATGGCGTGACATGCTGGTGGTTTTGCGGTGTTTGTAATGGTTGGAAAAGAAGGAAGGAAACGAGGAATCGCGAGTGCAAGTGGAGACGGCGGACTGGCTTGACGGCGAGACGAGTTGAAGAAAGTCGACGAGGAAGCGAAGCCCATTTCGTTGCATCCTTTCCTCCCATCATTATTTTCAACCTCTCAGCTGCGACAATCTTTGAATGGCATGGGCAGCGCCCAGGCGTCATCTATCGTCATGGTCTTCCATGACAGTACCCACGAGTTGTGTCACCGGTAGTACATGGACAAGGCGGCTGCTATCAACTACGACTCGCGAAGATCGTGTGCGCGCCTCCCTCGCCAACCACAATGAGGCACTCGTCTCCTCTCCTTGGGTACGACTCCTCTCATCACCTTTGCGGCGATGCTTAGTCACAAGAAAGGCAATGCCCAAAGCGATGATGATACAGCTCAAGACGGCTTTCTTCCCTGCTGATCAAGCGGGGTCCTCCACCGCAGCCCAGTCACATCGATCTGACGAGGACGAGTCCGGTCAGCAGGCGTCCTCTTCAGCACCCCTTTCGCCTGATTTGCAACAGCTCGAGGAGTTCTTTGTGCCAGATGGCATACTTCATCCCAAGTTCCACAAGCCAAAGCATGGTCGCGCCGTCTCCCTATGCACGTCGCGACTCTGCGTAGAGGCCATCTCTTCCTACTCGCAGAAGGGTGAGCATGCAGAGACCGAATCGATAGCACAATGTGGTCGTGGAGCTTTCACTGACTCTGTTCCCTTCCCTTCCTCTCCGCAGCCGGCCTATTGAAGCGGCTCTCTAGCTCGGCCAAGATACCGCCAAGGCTGAGCGATATGGTTGCGCACCAGTTGAGGAAGAGGGTGGAGCAGGAGCTTGAGCTGCTACACAGGGCCGACAAGAGGAAGCGCGTCGATGATGAGGCCGAGGACTCAGCGGCCTATTTTCGTCGCAAGCATACAGCCGCTTGCCACATTGAGCTCCTCTCGCCTGCCTCGCCAGCCTCAGACGACACTAAGGAGATCACGGGAAGCCCTTCAGCAGCTGGCTCTTCAACAAGCCTTCACTCTCCTCCGAGGTACAGCCTTCCGCTCCTTTTTCCCGACGACGCTCAAAGGAAGCATGTGCGCGATGTCATTCTCAGCCTTCTAGCGCCGTTTCACCATCGTGTCGAGCAGGCGACGAAAGCCGACGATGGACTGCAAGAGATCGCTGTCCCAAGTCGAACGCCAGAGCTGGTACCGCTGGTGATCGCGCTTTGGCGGCTGAATAGCTTTGAGAGTGGGACTGAATCGAGGAAGGCGACGCCTGTCTAGACGCACAGCGAAGGGAGTTTGCAAGTAGATGTAAAGAGAAGTCTTGGTGGCGGAGGAATCATTGATACCAGTACAAGATGAGACAAGAAGTTGCGAAGGAGGAGGACAGGTAGAATCATCACCGCCTTGCCCTAAGTTGTGACGCCCGCCGCCAGCCTACGCCCAGGCCCCTTCCCTCGAATCGAGTCAGCACTGCAGCCTCTCGCGCTACGCTGCGCTCAATCCTCCAACCACCTATACTCAAACCTGAAATCGCTCTTCTTCCTCTGCGCCCAGCTACCCTCCCAGTCAAAGTAGACGTACACCCCCTGCTCAAACTCATCGGTAATCGCCTGCGGCTCTGAATGCCTCCTAAACCAAGTCAAGAATTGCTTATGGAAGCGCCAGCTCTGCTTCTTCAGCTCACGAGCAGCAAGATACTGGTGATAGGTACCCTGCTGGTAGTAGAAGATGAAGAAGAGGGTGTCCTCATCGAACTTGGAGTAGAGCGAGGGATTGTCGAAGATGCTCGCCGGGGTCTGCGGGTAGTAGGCAGGTGTGGGGTAGGGGTTGCGCGGGATATAGTACTTGGGCTTCTCACTGTCCAGTGGCTCTGGCACGGTCAGGAAGGATGACTCCAGAGACTGGTGAAGGGAAGCCATGTTGTCTTCATTGGCCCGCGTGAGAGAGCGCTGCTTCGCTGACTCGAAGCTGGTCACCAGATCCGCCAAGGAAGACGGGACACGATTCTCTGCTGTGGCCTTGGTCGGCGTTGTTGCAGAAGCCGTCGCTGCCGATGAGCCGCCCGTGGGCTGGACGGCGTTGGCTGCGCCCGAAGCGCCGGAGAGGGAAGCGGGTTGGAAGGCTGCTTGCGGGGAAGACGACGACGTCGAGGGGAGACCGTCGATATCTGCCGTCGAGGCAGCGGTTGTGCTCTCCTGTCGCAAGCTCGAGTGCGTGAGGCTTGGGCTCGGCTTGCCGCCACTTCCATTGACTGCTGGGCTTTGCGTTCGTACAAGCCCGGGCGGAGCTGGTGGCGCGCCTGCTCCAGGAGCTGCGGAGGATGAGGCGGCAGCGGCTTCTCCGTTGGGCGGCGATGGAGCGGCATTCGCTGCTGCTGCTGGCGCTGTTGGTACGGCTGGCTCTGATGATGGCGCTGAAGAGTCGGGCGCTGAGCTGACTGGCGGCAGCGGTTCGTTGGTCGTCGCTGTAGGTGACGGAGCAGCCGGTGGAGCGTTGCTGGACCCTACTGCAGCAGCAGCAGCAGCAGCGTATCGAATCGGCGGCGGTGCGGCTGACTTTGGCGGTGACGTGACCATCTGCGTCGGCGACAAGGTCGGCTGTTGCTTTGCTGCTGCGAAGTTGGCAGGTGGGACCGGAGGAGGCTTTGGGTCTGAGGGTGACGGCCGCGTTGACGGGTCGGACGCCTTGCGAGACGCTGATGGGGTCGCCGATGATGCAGAGGCAGCGTGCGCTCCGCTGGCCTTCCTCGTGCTGCTGCTTCCCGTTGCTGCATCCTCCTTGCTCTCGCTCTCTCGCCTTTTGGATGGCGTGCTCTGACTGGCTGGGCCAGTCGGGACAGCTGCTGGCGCGGACGGCTTGGACGACAGAACCGGCGTCGGCGGCTCGTCTCCATCGTGGCTGGAGACGAGATCGTCCTCGTTCTTGATGCCGTACATCTCCTCCTGCTCATCGAGGTCAAAGTCATCGTAGATGCCTTCGTCTTCCTCGAACTCCTCCTCCGCATTGGACTCGACAAAGTAGGAGATGTCTTCCTTTATATCCTCGACTCTCTCTGGCTCCACTTGACCATTTTCGACCATGCGATGAAGGATCTCAATCCTCGAGACATGCCACCCTCTCCTCTCATTGAGATGCTCGAGGCTGGCCTGCTTTTCAGCCGACGCCCCCGCGGCTGCTGACTTCTTCTTCTTGCCAGCTCCTGCCTGCATCTGCTCGATCTCTGCCTCGGTCGCCTCGGTCTGCCTGCTAAGCTCGTCGACTTGAGTGGACAGCCAGTTGGCCATATCTGCTTTTGCCTTTTCTGCCGGGTCGAGGCGGGCAGCGGCAATGAGGCCCTCCTTTGAGAAGGCTTTAGTCTTCATCTCCTTCTCAGTGGCCTTGAAGCGCTCCATTTGCTGGCCAAGAACGCGAAGTCAGCATCGTCGTCTTGCATTCGTTGTCCTTTCTTGCACTCGCGCGCTTCTCACCATCTCAATAGACCTTCTGCTGTCATTCAATGCCTTCTTGTCCTTGATGTCATTGCTCTGCTGCCACGTCTTGATTTGATCCCTCAACCTCTGCAGCTTCTTGATCTGCGTCTTCAAGTCACTCTCCATCTTCTCCTTCTGAGCCTGGTTCTGCGACTGTTGCATCTTGTCGTAAAGCGACTCGAACTGCTCGACTCCCTCGCCCACCTTCTTGAGCGTCCGGTCGATCTCAGCTGCGAGCGAATGAGTGTGGGGAACGAGGGGGAATGAGCATCTCAGGTATGATCGGGATTTGTTGCCTTGCTGCTGTCCACGCGCTCACCTGCGAGCTTTCTCGCCGCCATGATGCCGTGATATTATCGTCGACGGGATGTAGTAGCGATGTCCAATGGCAGTGATGAGTAGCAATGGTAGCGTGGATTGGATGCGACTCGCGCTCGGTGGTGGGTGTGGCCCAAGCGGCTAGAGACCCAAAGCGGCCTCGAGGCGGACGAGCATCGGGACGGGAGGCGACAACGAGGCGGAACGGAGCCGCGAGAAAGACGAGGTCGATGACTTCGAGGGCGGGCAGAGCTGCTTCACTTCATATTTCGTTGGCATTACCATCATCACCACCATCGTCCTCGCGCTAAGATGGTTCGCGCCACTTCATCTCGCTCATTGACATCCCTCATGCGGTCAATGGCGCTGGAGGTTCAACCAGCCAGGCCAGCACTGCGCAGCTTCAGCACGTCTCGCTGCCTGAGGCAAGAACACGACGACTCAGCAGAACCCGTCGCATCTTCATCTAAGGCGCCTGCCTATCCATACTCCTCACACAGTCGTGTCCCTTCCATAGACCCATCGCCCTTCACTCCGGCACCGAAGACGCGCTCCACCCAATCAGGCGTCATGGACTACCTTCATCATCAACTGCGCTCCCAATTTGACCCAGCAGATCGCCTCACCCGCCTCTTCCATCGTCGCTCCCCTGAGCAAATCCCAGTCGGCTCAGTATTGATCGTCGAGTCTTGGACGAGTCCCGCAAAGACGGGAATGACGACATTCTCCGGCGTCCTTATGGCCATCAGGCGTCGTGGCACCTCGACAAGCTTCGTTCTCCGCAACCTCGTACAGAAGTTGGGAGTCGAGATGCGCTTTAACCTTTACTCGCCGCTGCTCAAGGATGTGAGAGTGGTAGCAAGGGCAGATGTAGGCAAGGGTGCAAAGAATATGCCTCAGGGTAGCATTAGGAGGGTGAGGAGGGCGAAGCTATACTACTTGAGGAAGGGAGACAACAGGATCGCAGGCATTGGACGGATGATCAAGAGTAGGAGACAGCAGCAGGAGAAGGAGGCTAGAGAGGCGGGGGCTACAGCGGTCTAGTCATGCGCGAGCGACAGTGCAAGTCAATGGCATAGCATTGCGACCACCAGTGACGACATTCGATACCAGCGTTAGGCGCCCAGCTCAAGCAGGACGGCCGCCTCGACGTCGGCAGTCTTCGCGCTTCCACCGAGGTCAGGGGTAAGGACATTAGCCTTGCGCAAAACATTGTCGACTGCCGAGTAGATCTTGAGTGCTGGCTCCGTGTAGCCCATGTACTCGAGCATAAGGGCGCCTGAGCGGATCGAGGCGATAGGATTGGCGATGCCCTGCCCGGCAATGTTGGGAGCCGAGCCGTGGACGGGCTGCGTGAGTGCGGTTGGGATGAGGAACAGTGGTCAGCGCCATGATACGGTCATGATCAACTCGTAGCGGCTTGAGTGCTCACCTCGCCCATGAAGAAGGAGTCGCCTGCATTGACACTCGAGACGAGGCCGAGCGATCCGACGAGCGCAGCGGCAGCGTCGGACAGGATGTCACCGTAGAGGTTGGGGGCCACGACGACATCGAAAGCGTCCGGCTCCCTGAACAGTCTGTAGACCATCGAGTCGACGATCTGCTCGTCCATATCGATGCCCGCATACCTGCCTGGCCCACCCTTGTTTACATCGTCTTGTTCCTTGACTGCCCTGACAGACTCGCGGAAGAGGCCATCCGTCGTGGAGAGGACATTGCTCTTGTGGCAGACGGTGACCTTGTGCAGACCGGCGGCGGCCGCGGTCCCCAAGCGTGACTTAAGCTCTTGACGGGCAAGGGCGACCTCGAAGGCCTTCTTGCCAATACGGGTCGAAGCGCGCTCTGAGATTTGGCGGATGGCCTTGGCTACCTTGCCTTGGGATGTCTCTTCCATCGTTTCAGATTTGATGTACTGGCGCGGCGCGGGATAGGAGAGACGGCGGAGGGAATGAGCATGATGACCTTTGCATTGGCAACTGCCCGTCGGACCTCGCTACTCACAAGGCACTCGGTATTCTCCCTCACGATGACTGTGTCGACCCACTTCTCCTCGTCCCTGGTACCCCTCACCCCAACAACCGGCCTGATGTTAGCATACAGGTCGAGCTGCTTGCGCAATTGGACGATAGGGCTCGAGTATCCCTCGACCTTGTGCGAGGGCGAAGAGACGGATCCAAACATGGCGCCGTCGCACTCCTCCTTGAGGCAGCGCAGCGTCTCCTCGGGCATGGCGCTGCCCGTCTTTTGAAAGAGCTCGAAGCCCGCCTTGAGAGGCACAAAGTCCTGGCGAGGCGGCAGTGGGAAGAGATGTCAGTACGGCGAGGCAAGCATTCGACGTTGCCTGCGTCGACCCTCACAATCTTGGGCGCTCCAGGCGTGAGCTGAAGGACACGCTGCGCGACGGGCAGGACCTCACGGCCAATGCCATCGGCGGGCATCATGCCGATCTTGAGGTTCTTGGACGCATTGGCCATGATCTTGGCGGCGGTGGCAGTCATCGTGGTCCGACTTCGCTAGCTGGTAGCTGTTGGTTGGATGATCGACTCAATTAATTCCTCTGTCGCTTTGCTGCGTCTCATCCATCATCCTGTTCTTCCCGCCCGCCCGCGCCAGCCTTTCTCCACGATCTCCGTCCCTCATTGCCCTGCCCCTCGCTCGCGTGGCTGCTCGACGGACGGATGGGAGTGGATGGCCGGACTCACCCCCAAGAGCCGGCGTCGGGGAGGCGAAATTGCGACATTTGGTGAGCCAGGCACGAAGAATTGGCTGAAAGGCCGAGGGAGCTTCAGGCGACATTACGCCGTCGGCGCTGCATCGCTGATGAGGGCCAAGATGGGATGAGAAATCGAGATAGCAAAGGGTTCATGGGCGAGTTCCGTTGCTCTTCTCTTCACCACTTCCACCATCATCGACACCTTTCTCGCCGCTGAACCATGGCTTCCGTGGTCAACCAGCGAGACATCCTCTCGTCAGCCGTCACCTTTGCTGGTGGCCTGGCCCTTGGCATTGGTGGCGTCCTCGCACTGAGCCGCGCATCCTTCGCCCCAGCTACTCGTCCTACAAAGAGTACAAAGGCAAAGGTCGAGCGTCAGCTGGGCCTCAGCAATGGCGAGGCTGTCATCGCTCCTAAAGCCGTCGAGGCTGACGCAGCTGATGCAGCTTCGGCCAAGGAGCCACTGCCCCTCAGCAAGCAGCTCGATGAGATCGACGCAAAGGGCCTTGGCCCTGCTAAGCCTCAGCCCGTAAAGGGCGACGGACCCATGCTTCAGCAGCAGCAGCCTGAGTCGCTCCACAGCCAGCTCCCTCAGCCTGCTCCTCACCAGACGAAACAGCCTATTCGTCACACCAAGGCAGTAGCTGGTGGCGATTACCCCGAAGCAGCTCCTCAGCTTCGAGCACGAGCCTCGCAGCTTCGTGGCGATCTTTCTGCGCCTGCACCCGCTCATGGAGATGCGCTCCTCAACGCTGAGCGAGCTGCCGCCCCCGTCTGGCTGACCGGCTTGTCCAACTCAGCCGCCGTCCGAGACTCGACTGCTCAGGGCGCCATCGAGGGCATCGCCTACGCCAACTCTGACGCCATGTTCGTCTACGAGTCCGCTACCAACGCAGGTTTCGGCTCATGGTCCGAGAAGGAGGCTACCGAGGCCAACAGCAAGGGCTGGATCGAGGGACGTCCCCGTGTCTTCCCCATGCAGACTCGCACCGGCGCTGGTACGGCCATTGCAGGCTATCTTTCAGCCAAGGGGGCTGGTAGCGCTGTTGCCCAAGTGGCAGGTGGACGCAAGACAGTCTCTGCTCTGACCAATGCTTCCGGTCTCCTCGCCATGGCTCCCTCGCTCGTCAGCCTTCCCGCTCCTGCTCAGGGCCGCCTCGTGCTGCAGGTCTCGAGCGCCTCTCAAGACATCAATCGCGACACCCTCGAGGTCAAGAATGACCACGCCTCCGTCTTGGCCGCCGCTTCTACTCTCTCGGCCAACGAAGACTTCGCCATCGTCCTCTCCGGCAGCCGTCAAGAGGCCGTCGATGTCGCTGCTGCCTCCTACGCCGTCACTGACTCCCACATTGTCCACGTCTTCGACGGTGCTTATGGCGGTCGCGAGGTCGCCCAGCTCAACATCGCTGCTGCTGATGCCGCTCTGAAGGGGTCCACCGACATCGTCTCTGCCCTGCAAGCCAAGAAGCTGTCGCACTTCTCCTACTCGGGCTCGCGAGCTCCCTCGACGGTCCTCGTCGTACCAAACGGCTCGCATGCTACTGCTGCCCGCACAATGCTCGCCGAGCTGCCCGACTCCATTCGCTCCACTGTTGGCGTCATCGCAGCTCGCATCATCCGCCCGTGGTCGGACGAGGAGCTCCAGAAGGTCATCCCGCCTAGCGTGCGTTCCATCTTCGTTCTCGACGAGACGCGCGTCTCTGGCGCAACCGGCCCCCTGTACGAGGACGTCCAGTCTGCTATCTTCTCCACTAGCATCGGAAGCGCCACTGCTCCTCGTGTCCTGCCGCTCTCCTTCCCTCAGGGACAGACGGTCGCACCTGGCCAGTGGGCCGCCATCTTCCAGTCCATTGCTGGAGCCAAGCAGCCTGTCGACGCGGCTGAGGTCATCGCTACAGCCCCTACATCCATTGAGAAGGACATCGCCGTCATGGGCGGTGCTCAGAGCCGCCTTGCTTCCATTTACGACGCCGACTCAAGTAACACAGCTCTGCTTGCTTCGCACCTCGCCCGCACCCTTCGCGAGCGCGGCGAAGCTGCGAGCCTCTTCAGTCGCTACGACAATTTCGAAGCCGGTGGGCTTGTTCGATCCGATCTCCTCACTGGTGCGCACCCCGCAGCACGGATCCCCGTCCACCTTGCTGCACAGGACTCGTCTGTGTCTACGCTCATCATCGCCGATCCAGCGACAACGCTCAAGCACTACAGTGTCTTCGAAAGCCTCAAGCCCGGCGGAAGCGTGCTCATCAATGTCCCTGGGTGGGACAGCGCTGAGCTTGCGGCTAGGCTGCGCGCCGACGATAAGAAGACGCTCGCTGCCAAGAAGGCCCGCGTGTATCTCATCGACTCCAGCGCCGTCGTCGAGGGCTTGCTGGACGTTACGGCCAAGGCTCGCGGAGGCAACAATAAAATCAACGCCGAGACCGTGCCTAAAGAGGTGGCTACTGTCGTGCTTGCCGCCGCCTTCCATCGCATCCACTTTGGATCCAGCGGTATCGCTCTGACTGCGATTCTCGAGAAGTCACTCGGAGTCGCGCCTCTTGGCGTCAATGGCGTGGTGGGCCTAGTCGAAGCTGCCGAGAAGGCATTGACACTTGCTTCTTACAACGACGAGGACCTCGCCGCCTCCCAGCCCGTGGAGGGCGAAGACGCTGTGCAGCGTCCGACTGCCTTCCGCTACAACGGCTTCCTTCCCAGCGCCGACGCCGCCACAGTCGGTCAGGAGGCTGCAGCCGTGCGCTCAACTTGGGCTCTTCCAGCTTGGCAGCTTCTCTTCTCCGAGGCGTACCACCTCAATCGTCACGCCCTTCGCCCTGATCTCCACGAGAAGAATTACGTCGCCACCGTCACCGAAAACCGTCGTCTCACTCCTGCTGACTACCCGCGCAACGTATTCCACATGGAGCTCTCTACTGCCGGTACTGGACTGCGCTACGAAGTCGGCGAGGCTCTTGGCGTGCACGGATGGAACGACGAGGAAGAGGTACGCGACTTCATCAACTGGAGTGGCTACGACCCCGATGAGCTGCTGGCCATCCCGAGCCTCGAGGACCCAAGCCGATACGAGACGCGAAGTGTCTTCCAGATTCTGCAGCAACGTCTGGATATCTTTGGAAAGCCGGGCAAATCCTTCTACGAGGCCTTGTCCAAGCTGGCAACGAATGTGGACGAGGCCAAGTGGCTGCGCTTCATCTCCTCTGCCGAGGGTAATGCCACGTTCAAGAAGCTCAGCGAGGTGGAAACGGTCACCTACGCTGAGTGCTTGGCCATGTTCCCCTCTGCGCGCCTGCCCCTCGACGTGCTTGTCAGGGAGGTGCCTATGATCGAGCCCCGCTCCTATTCCATCTCCTCTGCTCAGGCTGCGGTAGGCGACTCCGTGCACCTCCTCATCGTGACAGTCGACTGGGCTACCCCCAGCGGCACGCCTCGCTACGGGCAGTGCACGCGCTACCTCGCAAATCTGAAGCCAGGCGCAAAGGTCACTGTAAGCGTCAAGCCAGGCACGATCAAGCTGCCTCAGTACCCGACCCAACCTGTCATCGGCGCTGGGCTGGGTACCGGTCTTGCCCCCCTCCTCGCCATCATTCAAGCCCGCGACATGCAGCGCAAGGCTGGCCTCGAGGTTGCACCAGTGCACATCTTCTTCGGCTCGCGCTCTCGCTACGCTGAGTTCCTTTACGCCGAGCAGCTGGAGGCCTATGAGCGAGATGGTCTCGTCAAGCTCGGCCTGGCCTTCTCTCGTGACCAGCCGCAGAAGATCTATATCCAACACAAAGTCCAGGAGGCAGCGGAGGATATCGCCGCTGCCTTGGGTCCACAGGAGGATGTGGAGAAGCGTGGGTCTTTCAATCTCTGTGGGCCCACCGACCCTGTCTTCGATGTGACGCAGAGCATTATCGGCGCTTTGGTTGATAAGAGGGGGATGACCAAGCAGCAGGCTGAGGAGCACATCGAGACATTGAAGGAGCAGGAGCTCTGGGTACTCGAGACGTACTGAGCGGCGGGCGACCCCGAGCGCGCGAGTTGTTTTTCCTGCTGTCCTACCCCTTCATACTCTCCCCGAATTCATCGGACGCACTGGCGTGGCTTCCTCAAACGGAGTGGAGAGTGAAGAAGCTGACGTTGAACATTTGGAAAAGCAGAAGGGAAGAGCTTCTCACGACGCCTGCGTACAGAAAGAGCTCGGAGCTAACGTTGTATCGCAAGCTAGCATGAAAAGGTAAGGTGAGCCCAGTAAGGCTCCCCGTGGCCTTCGCAACCGACGCTTGCCGAGCAGGTCCTGGCGTCCTTAGCGTCGCACTGTAGCGCCTGGCAGGAAGCGGCTCCTGGCGCATCGGGGCCAATTTCGCCGTAGAAGGACACACCACGAGGGAGCCCTTTGATCCCTTTGAGTGATGGCGGGGAAACAGAAGATTGTCTGAGTACAGCAGAGCGGTGATAGAGTCGTACTGTTGACTACTCACCGGGGTCTAGCTTCGAAGCGAGGGTAACACTGTCGGCGAATAGATGAGCAGTGACCGTGCTGCAACGAGGGCAGGGGTCAGGGCGCGCTGTCAGCGTCGCGCGATCATTGAAAGGGACCCAATACCGAATCACCCAAAATTAGTAGAAATGACAGCGGTCGAGTCGCCATCGGTGTCCATGCGACTGCCAGTACTGAGAGGCTCGGTTCTCCCACGCCAGCGCGCGTCCCCGACTTGCCCGGAGACTTTGAGCCCCTTGCAACTATTCTTGAGCGTGATGTAGTGGGTCCAGGCAGGAGTCGCCAGAAGCATTAGGACGGCAAAGATCTTGCTGAGGTAAGGAAGCATCATGTTGGGGATCGAAGTTGGTGGTCAAGAAGCAAGATACATTTTGTTCGGGTTCCAGCAAAGTCGAGGGCAACGATGAGGGCAAGCGATGCGGACTGACGATGAGGCGGGAGCGGCACGATATACTGTCAGGCCCTCAGCCCTGCGGCTAGACATCAGCAGTGGCGGCAGGGGCGTCAGTGCTGGATCCGACGGCCCCAAGCAAATCTACTTGTAGAGGATCGAGATTGCGAGCATCAACGTGTAGCGCGAGCAAGGGAAAGAGCGAGATTGGGAGCCGAACATGAGGCGCACGTGGTGAGCGAGTGTCCTTGGATCCGTTTGCGTTACCGCCAGCGATGATTTCCATCATCACAAATTCAAGCACAAGAAAAGTGCAGGCGAGCAAAGGCTACATAGTGACCCCGGTTCGGGATGCTCACAGAGCCCTTGCAGTCGCCGTCGCTGGAACTACAGCGTATCGTATCATTGAAGTCGCTGTGGTTGACCGCGAAGCCTATTTCGCCGTAGAAGACAGCCTTGGAAGGGACATCTCTCCTCTCTGTCGCGTAAAGCATCGGAGTCAGTTGCAACGAAGAGATAGAGGATGTCATTCGGCTCACTCGGGTCCAAGTCGGTGCTAATGCTGGAGGCGTCGCTCAACAGTTTTGCAGTCACGTTGCTGCGGCAGGAGCATGTCACATTTTCAGCGCTGGCTTGACGAGTCCTACATGCTTGCTCACCCGAACCCTGTGTGGACCAGAATGGAAGTGTCTCCACCGGTGTCCATCCTCCCGATGCTAGTATCGAAGGGCTTGGTGCGTCCCCTCCAAGTTGCGTCCGCTACAGTGCCGTTGGGTTGCAATTGGGGGCAAGTGTTCGTGAGGATGACATAATGCGCCCTCGATATCAAGCACAGAGAGGCTATGGCTAGTACTTTGCTGAGGTACAAGAGCATGATCATCGGGGTACTGGTGGATGCGAAGGAGCAGAGAACAGGGATAGGTGTGCAACAGATATCTGTCCAGGCTGAGGGAATGAGCGATCGGAGGAGGGGCCGGCAGGGCGTGGACGCCCTCTGACCCCAGTGGGCAGCCGTTGTGCCCAGCAACACTGGAGGAATGATGAGTGACCTGCCCACACGTTCGCAGCGCTCCTAGGAGGTGCGCAAACAGAAGTGTCAGACGTTTTTCAACCACAGAAGAAAGGGGCGCAGGCAGGTCAGACCATTGTAGAGTGAGAGCATGAGAGAGAGACGGATGTGAAGAAGACAATGTCCGTAAATTGGGGGCTGAGAGCTTCGAGTACGGACAAAAGATCAAGGGTCGTAGGGTTGTAGCGATCAAGGGATCTTCACTGAGCCGAGGCTCAACACGAGCGTCGACGCCCGCACGTAGGCCCACTGCCGGTCTTTCTTCGCCAGATGACAAGGTTGGATCTCTGTCCTGCTCAGCAAGTTATGGTGAGCTTGGCGAAAGCAGGATGTCCCCCGCGATTGGGAATGCCAACGTCGCCGTTGCAGATGCCTCTGTCCTTGCTGCTGCACCGAATCGTATCATGCGAGTCCGTTTGATCAACGTCGATACCCAGCTCGCCAAAGAAGACGGCGTTGGGGGGCACACCGGTGAGATCTAGGGGGTGGCTTATGCGTCAATGTGCGCAGTTGAATGGTCGACGGGACACTCACTGGGGTTGAGACTGACCGTGATGTCTGAAGCATCGTGAAAGATATTGGTGGTGACGAGTCTGCGGAGGATGCGCTTTCCAGTGAGCGAGGCTTCGATCAGTCAGGCGTAGTAATGACTCACCCAAACCCAGTGTTCAGATAACAGGTGGTGTCGTTGACGGTGTCGACCCGCCCAATCTGAGGATTGATGGGCTTGAAGAGTCCATGCCAGTCGGCGTCACCGATGACACCATGAGAGTGCAACTGGGGGCAGGTATTTGTCAGGGTGATGTAGTGCGCCATCGCGGCGGTGATCCAAAGAGACGCGACGGCAAGAACCTTGCTCAGGGCAAGCAGCAACATTATGAAGTTGTTGTTGCGATGACAGTTCGGGAGGGGAAGAACCATGTCAACGCCTCGGTCTTCCTTCCTAGGCGAGGAGGAGCACGCAAGCCCCGTGACCCAGGCTGAATAGCCGCAGGGCAAGCGGCGCACTGCGCGATGGAGGCTTAAATGGCGATCCGTAAGATGTAGCAATGCCCATGTATGTTCAACCTGCGGCAGCATACAGGCAGAGGCGCCCCACTTCGCAAAGATCGCAGCCAGCGTCAAGGAGGTTCTGACCACATGCACGTAAGTGGCACTGCATTCTAGCTTTGATGATATGACACATTCAGGCGTATTTTGCTGCCCTGGCCGTCACTGCCTGATGCTTCCTGCTTGACGAGCGAGCCCCCAGTTGCCCTTCAGGTTGCTTTCAGCACTCGACCTTCAATCTTGCAAACGCATTAGCCCGGTAGCCCAGCCCGTTGAGTATGGCCATGGAATTGATACAGCCGATCCTGTTCGACCAAGAACACTTGAGCTCGCTCGGAGCCTCGAGTGTCTTGTCCAGACCTATCTGACCGCAGAACGAGACGCTCTTGGGGACAGTCCTCAGAGCTGCGCGGATGGTGATGGCAAGTGAGTCAGCGCCACGGAGGATCATGCGGGCCTCAAGCAGCGCACTCGGGTCGAGCAGGGTGGTGATGTTTGTGATCTCAGTTGAAAGCTTGACGGTGACGGTACTGGGACGAGCGGGCTTTGTGAGGAAAGCGGAGAAGACAGCAAGTGGAGTCAAAATGCGCCTCACCCAAAGCCAGTTTCTAGACGAATGTCGGTGTCCCCGTCTGTGTGGGTGCGCCCGAGCCTGAGCCTGTCGCTGCGTCCCCTCCCCCTGATGTCAGCGATGTCGCCTGAGATGATGAGATTGGGGCAGTCATTGATAAGCTGAACGTAGTGAGCCCTAGCCCTGGGCGCCAAGAGGAGCGCAAGGACGGCCGTGGTAAGGTAGGAGAATCGCATCGGCGAAAGTAGCTTGGACAGTGAAGTGGGGCGACAAGTGACAGAACGATCAGATCAGGAATACGACTGCGGTGAGCGTGCTTGAGTGAGCTAATGCTATGCTGAAGCAGTGCCATTTGACCGGAGGGATCTTCTCAGAGGATCCGCAGAGAATGGCCGACTGGGGACGCCCGACGGCGGCGAAGAGGGTCAGAAAAGCTCGTTGCCCCAGCCCAAGGCAGAGTTGAAGGCTGGAAAGGTTGAAAATGTGAGAGTATGTCATTGCGCTCTTAGACTATCGAGGATTGCTGGAATGACTCGAGATAGGCCTACTTCTTGAGTCGTCGCGATTGCGGGTTTTGTTCGTGATCGTCTCGGCTTGCGCTGTCGCAGATCAGCAAGTCGACTACGCCGGATCATCCAGACGAGAGGTATCGAGTGATGATGCTCCATCTCCGTATTCGCCGCGATCTGCCCAATGGTCGAGCTGCTGAATATGCCTCATTGTGCGTTGTGCTCTATACGCCGTCTGTGATGTGATGATCTGGACAGAGAGACGCACGGCCACTTGCTTGCTCGCTCGCCCCGCTGCTTCCTCGATTTCCGCTCCAGCCTGCAGGTCGCGAACGCTTCTTGAATTGTCGGCGACCCAGGCAATTGGCAATGCGAGTGGAGCTGCGAGTGGAGCTGCGAGTGGAGCTGAGCTGCATCAACTCGGCTCATTGGGATGAATGAGGCTTGGCTCTGGTCGAGTGGCTCTTCCCCGCATTCCCGCCTTCGTCCGTTCACTCCAGTCGCTGCGAGGGTCATCCGTCCCATAAAGCAAAGCAGGCCTCGCCATCGAGAGCTCACTTCTCCTCGTCGCTTGACACATTACTTTGACACGATGGCACCTGTCGCCACCAACCCTGGCTCAACGTCACCGCCGCCAGTCATCGAGAATGCCCAAAGCGTCGCTCTGGCCAAGTCAGGTCAAGTCGACGGCAGCACAGCCGGCCTCGGCGCAGGCAAGACCTTCAGTCGACAGTCAGAGCTGCCCAAGCTACCCATCCCAAAACTCGAAGACACAGCCAAGCGCTACCTGAGCAGTCTGGAGGCGCTGCAATCTACCGAGGAGCACGACCAGACTAAGCAGGTAGTGGAGCGCTTTGTTTCTGGCGAGGGGCAGGAGCTGCAGAAGCACTTGGAGGAGTACGCTTCCTCCCGCATCAGCTACATTGAGGAGTTCTGGGATGATAGCTATCTGCAGGCTAGCGAGAGTGTGGTCCTCAACTTGAATCCATTCTTCATTTTGGAGGATGACCCAACGCCTTCCCGCGGCAGTCAGCTGATGCGAAGCACCTCGCTCATTCTGGCGTCGCTGGCTTTCATCCACGATCTGCGTACGGGGACGCTAGAACCGGATGCAGTGAGGGGCACGCCGCTGGATATGTACCAGTGAGTAGCTATGGAAGACGAGCCTGATCTGATAGCGAGCTCATCGACGCACATACGCCACCTCTTTGTCTAGATATACTCGACTATTCGGCACAGCGCGCATTCCTACGGCGAATGGCTGCAGGATGGACAGCACGCCCGACTCGCGTCACATCATCGTCATGCGACGGGGTCAGCTCTACTGGTTTGACGTCCTCGACGAGCAGCATAGGCCTCTTCTCACTGAGAGGGCGCTGTTGGGTAACCTTCAGGCCATCGTGCGAGACGCAGACAAGATTGTGAGGCGCGACTGAACAGCCAGTGACTGCCCATCCGGCGCAGCAAGCTAACCTCGACTTCTCGCTCCTGCAGGATCCGCAAGACGTTGCCGCTGGATCTATCGGCATCCTCACAACCGAGCAACGCAAGATCTGGTCTGCTCACCGTGACACGCTGAGGGGCAACAAGCATAATGCCAAGTGCCTCGATGTCGCCGACACTGCCCTCTTCGTGGTTTGCATGGACGACAGCGAGCCCGACTCTCCCTCGGAGCTCTGCAATAATATGCTCTGCGGCACCTACTCCCTCAAGAATGGCATTCAACAAGGTACCTGCACGAACCGCTGGTACGACAAGCTCCAATTGATCATCTGCGCAAACGGGGCAGCGGGCATCAATTTTGAGCATACAGGCGTCGATGGTCATACGGTGCTGCGCTTTGCCGGTGACGTGTACGCTGAGTTGATTTTGCGCTTCGCCAAGTCAATCAACAATAGGACCAAAAGTCTGTTCCAGGCTGTGACCAGTCCATACGCGAGGGGCACAGCGGGGAAGAAGGCTCAGGGTGGAGAGGTCGATCACGAGAAGATACAGGAGGTGGAGCTGGTCACTGCGCCCAAGCGGCTGGAGTGGGAGCTCACTCCCAGCATCGCCGCTGCGATCAAATACGGCGAGACGCGCTTGAGCGACCTCATCTGCCAGAATGAATGCCAAGTGCTCGAGTACACCAAGTACGGTAAGAACTTCATCACCCGACATCGCTTTTCGCCCGATGCCTTCGTTCAAGCCAGTTTCCAAGCGGCACACTACTCCCTCTATGGGCGCAACGTCACAACCTACGAGCCCGCTATGACCAAAGCCTTCCAACACGGCCGTACCGAGGCGATCCGTACCTGCCAACCCTACATGAGCGACTACGTCCAGTCCCTACAGGACCGTCGTACGGGCGCAGAGCAGCGCGAGGCGAAGCTGGACAAGTTGCGCAAGGCCTGCGAGGGGCATGCGAAACTTTCGAAGCAGTGTGCCATGGGACAGGGCCACGATCGTCATCTGTATGCGATGTACTCGCTGGCAAAAGAGGATGTGGCCAAGGGCAAGAGGAAGGAGATGCCAGAGTTTTTTACCGATGGTGGGTTCAGCACGCTCAACCACACGATCTTGTCGACGTCCAATTGTGGCAACCCGGCGTTGAGGCTCTTTGGCTTCGGTCCTGTGGCGCCCGATGGATTTGGTATTGTGAGTATACGCAACGTCGAGCACGAGGAGAGTGAATATCGAGATGCTGACCTCGCGTCCCCTTGACGTTGACAGGGCTACATCATCAAAGACGATGCCATCTCGGTATGCGCATCCAGCAAGCACCTTCAAACAGGTCGCTGGCTGGCTGCCCTAGAGCAATACCTTGATGATGCGGCCACGATGATCCAAGATTCGTACAATGCGGCAAACCGTCGAACCCAGGAGACGTACATCGACCACTCTGGCGTCGAATGCGACGTGCGTACAGGTCTGCCTGTCGGGAATCGCCGCCTCACTGGTGGGGGTTCAGCGCAGAAGGCCTCGGCGATGGGCAGTAATGGGTACTCAGATGACTACGACGAGGGGTACACGCCTGGTCAGCATGGTGGCAGTGGATACGGCTTCTTCGACGCAGGCGGGGGCCAGGGCGACGCTGCTGCTGCGTCAGAGTCGAAGGAGAAGGAGGGCAATTCGGCGCATAGGAGGAATACGAGCAGACATTTGAGCGTTGGAAGGAGGTTGCTAGATGCTGATACAGCGTAGTCGACCGGTCCTTCTTTTGTCGTTTGAGGCGCGATAATGGATTTGATTTGAGCGAGTGGATCGAGCGAGAGGTGTGAGATGCGAAGGCGGACTGGCGCATCGACGGAACGAGGTCGACTTCTCTCCACTCTCGTGTTTCCTTTCCCACCATCCGCACCTTACTCATGACTGATATGCAAGAGGGGCAGAGCGGTACCTCTTGCGCTTCGTCAATGCCCTCGTCATCATCATCATCATCTCGGATTCTAGTCCTCTCACCCTTCGCAAAGGAGGTGCCTCTCCCGTCCCTTGAGCATCTTGTGCGATCCATCACTGCAGGCAACGACGATGAGGAGGAGGAGGCCGGCGTCAATGACGCGGCATCAGCGGATGCGGAGGATGCTAGACAGCTCAGGTGGACTATCGACAACCGTTACTATACAGCAGAGGTCCACTTTCGACTCGTTGCTCTCGATCTCGGCGAGCCGCGCCGGATACGAAGACGGGCGATGGCGGACAGCCGCAACGACGATGAGGCGTCGGCCAGCGTAGACAGACTACGTCAGGAGCTCGATGGCGTACCAGCTGTCGTCCTTGTCATGCCTGGAAGACACTCGGTGACGGCCCATGGCAAGGTCCTCGCCCAGTTGCAGGAAGCGACGAGTCAGCAGGACGAGACACAGCAGGACGACGAAGAAGAAGCTAGTATGCCTATGGGCTTCGAGCTGGGCGCAAGTGTCGTCGTCTGCCTGCCAAAGGTCATGCAGCAGGCTGACCACGGTGTGCAGGGCAACGGCTCAAAGTCTGATGAAGAGGAGCAATTGCGTGACCTCTATGCGGAGAATGGCTGGGAATGCATCGACCTGGCGAGGGACCTTGGCGTCGGTGAGGACGGAGAGGAAGACGATGCTGGGTCGGAGGGCGATGACGGCAACGAAGAGGGCGAGAACGAGGCACAAGGCCTCAAGCGGGTGCGAGAAGCTCTTGAAGCTCACATGTGGCCTGGCCTGCAGAGGAAGGGGCCGTCCTCATCAAGAGAGCTGGGTGGGACAGCTTCAGCAGCTCTGGCTCGGTCGGTCACACAAAGAGGCGACCAAGATGCAGACATAGACGAGGCACTTCGTCGACTCGACCTGGACCTCCCACCAGAGCTTTCCTCGCAGACTGCCTCATCCACCTCATCAACAGCTCTCAACGGTCTCCTTTCAGCGGATCGTGACCCTCTCATGGGGGCGGCCGCCGGACATTCGTCGTCTTCAGCGACAGGACGTCCCGACTCGAGCGCTCCCATCGATCTTCTGGATGTTCAGCCAACTGTAGAGGACGAGGAACTCGCCCGCAAGTTCTTGGCGCAGATCAATGACTTGGAGCAACAACGTCCGCCGGGAGAGTCCAACGGCGCTGGCGAGGCATCAACGGCGCCTGAGAGCGAAGAGGTGCGCCGTGCCAAGCAAGAGGAGGCTTTGAGGCGGCTTGAGGAGTTCCTGGAGAGCGAAGACGCTACATGGGGTCGAGCCAGAGATGGGGCAAATGTGGAAGAAGAGGAGGACGGCCTAGGGACGGCAGCAGCTCGCCCTTCAGCCCTACACTTTGAAGACGACTTTGACGACTTTGTAACACCTCCTACCAGGGACAGGCTCAGCACATCGGAGAATGTGGAGGACGACGACGATGACGAAGAGATCTTAGCAGCGGCAGCCTTCGGCGGCACTGCCAACTTCGAAGGCTCATTGCACCAGCTGCGCCTCGAGGCAGAGCGGGTACGGGGCATGCCTGGAGATCGCGAGGCCAAGGAGAAGGAAGCGGAGGATGTCGTAAGAAGGATGTTGGAGGGATGGAATCTGGACGGCTAGATGCGACTGCAGGCCGATTGTATTTGTTCGTCGTCGCAGCATATATCCTGAAGATTGAGATGGGCAGAGTTGCGTGGCTTCTTTTCGACTGAAGGAAGCGTGGCTGCGAGGTCAAAGTTGCGCACGGAGCACCGAAATCGCGCTGGCCTTGGACTTGAGGCGGCTTGTTCGACGTTTCTTTTCTTCCCTTCTTTGTCGCGCTTCCCCTCGCCGCCATTCCCTCTTCACCATGGCTCGTACGTCCAGACGCATACAAGCGCCCTTGGTAGCACTCGTTGCGACCATTTTCTCTCTGGCATCGCTAGCTGCAACCTCATCGCTTCCCCGAGGCGTAGAGCCAGCGCACGCCCACCTCTATGCTCGTCAGGCTGGCTCAGATACCTGGTCATGCCTAGATGGCTCACTCACCGGCCTGCCACTCTCAGCAATCAACGACGACTATTGTGACTGCCCTGACGGCTCTGACGAGCCTGGCACGCCTGCCTGCTCCGGTCTCAACCTCAATGCCTCCTCCTCCTCCCCTCGCCCTCACGGATTCTACTGTGCCAACACGGGCCACATCCCCTCGTACATCCTTAGCAGCCGCGTCAACGACGGTATCTGCGATCCTGAATGTTGCGACGGCAGCGATGAAGCCACAAATCCAGACTCCTCGGTCTCATGCCCGAACATCTGCGCCAAGGTAGGCAAAGAGCATCGCAAGCGACTAGCAGAGGCAGAGAATATCCGCCGTGCCGGCTCCAAGGTCAGGGCGGGGTACATTGCTCAGACCAAGAAGAAGATGGCTGAAGCCGAGAGTGAGATTGCTAGGCTGGAGATTGAGGTCCAAGTTGCAAAGGAGGTGGAGGAGAGAAAGAGGCAAGAGCTCGAAAGAGCAGAGAAGGTTGATCAGGCGGTTGCGGAGCAGAAGAGAGCCAGCCCGCTCTATGCTACTATCAAGGAGCACCAGGAGGCGATGAGCGTGCTGCAAAGCCGCGAGAACGAGCTGAAAGACGAGCTGCGCAAATTAGCCAGCTTGCTGGACGACCTGTCTACCGGGTACAACCCAAATTATCAGGACATGGCCGTCAAAGGGGCCGTCATGGCTTATCGCGCTTGGAGAAAAGGGGACGGTGGTGGACCTGCTGACAACGAGGAGGAGGCTGCTACCGAAGAAGGCGGTGACACCAAGGACAGCAGTGCGGCGCCAATCGGAGAGAATGTGCGTCTCAACGGCCTGCTGGACCAGGGCGAATGGACGACGAGGCGAATCGAGGATTTGGCCAACAAGGAGGCCCTCGACTTGCTAGACGACAGTATGTTCACTGCCGGCGGGGACGCAGACGACGAGAGTGCCGACGAGGACAACATTTGTGAGTACTGAGCGCGCAAGACCACACGAGATGCCTTCCTGACCTCCGCGCTGCCCTCTCTCAGTGTTCCGCCTCCGCGAGTACCTACCCGACCCTCTGACTTCCCTCATCGATGGCAGCCTGGACCAGCTTCTCTCTCTCCTCGTCAAGACGCACCTCATCCCCCGCTCAGCCCTCGCTCACCGTAAGAAGCGCCGCCTCGGTACGCCCTCTGGGGACGAGCCAGAGCCAGCCAGCGTAACAGCTGCTCGCCGCCAGTTAAATGACGCCTCGAACCACCTCAACGAGCTAGAGAACGATCTCGCTCACAAGCAAGAGGATGTCGGCGTTGACGCATCACGCTGGGGTCCGGAGAGCGAATGGCGTGCTCTCAAGGACGTGTGCATCGAAAAGGACATGGGCGAGTACACGTACGAGGTCTGCTTCTTTGGCCAAGCAACGCAGAAGGCCAACCGTGGACATGGTGGTAACGTCTCTCTGGGTCGTTTCGATAAGTTTGAGCCGCTCAAGGAAGGGCTGAGCCCGGAGACGGATGCACAGTTCTTTGGCAGGCAGGTGTTCAATCGTGGACAGCGCTGCTGGAACGGGCCTGAGAGGAGTGCGATTGTGTATGGGGAGTGCGGAGCAAAGAATGAGGTATTGGAGGTGGCTGAAGCGGAGAAGTGTATCTATGAGGTCAAGGTCACGACGCCTGCTTTGTGCTGGCCGCCAGTGGAGGAGGCAAATGGCGCGAGTGGGGCCAAGGATGAGTTGTAAGTCAGTACAGGGGACTTCAAGTCGTAGAAGAAAGGCGGAGGCGAATGTGAATCGTAGACATTGAGATCAGAGAGACAAGAACAACAGCGCCGGCATCATCTGCTCGCGTCGCGAAGGGAAAGGAGTCATGTGGGGAAAGCGTGGATAGAGCCTCTTATCGTACACAGGGGAAGTAGCAGCAGCCGAAGGACGAGCCTACTCGTCGGACAGCTCCGACATCGAAGAGTCGCCGTCTTCTCCGCCATCGTCGCCGTCATCGTTTGCGGAATTGCCAGCCAGAGTCGCCGTCTTCTTGGCCGTCTTCTTGCTGCTGCCCTTCTTCGCGACCTTCTTCGACGAAGCCTTCGTGGCCTTGGGCGCCTCGTCCTCATCCTCAGCAGCGGACTTCCTAGCTGCGAGCGTCTCTCGTCTGATGGCCCTCTTCCTATTCCTCTCCCTCGCTTGCGCCTTACGCCTAGCACCACGCCCCTCTTCCTCGCCATCAGAGACGGGCTCGTCTGAGCTGACTTGCTCTTCGTCCTCGTCCGCTTCATTGCCCGCCTCCTCATCGTCTTCGCCCTCGACGTCATCATCGTCGTCATCAAGGACGACCCGTTGGCCGGGCTTGCGCTTCGTTGTCCTCTTCCTCTTGACTGCAGCACCATCCCCTTCTGCCTTCTTGGAGGAGGTCTTGCGCTTTTTGCTGCCGCCAGTCGGAGAGCGAGCTCCCACGTCATGCTTCGCCGTCGCCGCGCTTGTCCCGCCCGCGGTACCTCCGGGAACGAAGCCACTCCTCGATTTCCTGTCCATCCTGCTCAGCTCCTCCTCAATCTTACTCGCCACTCCATGAGGCAGGAAGAGCTTGCCCGCGACCCTCTTCTGGTCTTCTGCACTGGGGAAGGCCCGAAGCCCCGTATCGGCAGGAACGCGGAAGTGCTTTGATTCAGGCTGCTCCAGCCTCCAACCATGGCGCTGCGACTTGTGCTTGATGATGAGCTGCATCATCTCCGATAGCGTGTAGAGGCTCTCACTCTTTTGTGTGTCCTCGTCACGGACCGTCTTGAGGCGTCCTGCAAGGTAGTAGAGGAGCCCAACGTTCTGCTCCGTGGCTACATAGTCGATGTAAAACGTGAGGTAGGGCACGAATTCGATGATACTCTCCTCGTCGTCGGCTTTGAAGTCTTCGTGGTGCGAGAGCAAGTGGACGTAGCGGCAGAGCGTCACTTCGATGCGCTTTACGCGCTCGGCTTCGGGAAGGGCTTTCGAGCGCAGCGCCCAAGTTGAGACCATCTCGCGGTTCTCATCTTCCGGGTCCATGGCGACCAGGAAGGGAATAGCGTTGTACCGGGTGGGAAGCTTGCGGGCTTTGCCCTGATTGGCGAGGTAGAGTAGAAGCTTGTGCAGGAAGCGACTGCGTACGTTGAAGCAGGCATCTTGCACTAGCCCAGCTAGCTGATTGAGGTCGTGTTGCCCTACCTTAGCATCGCAGACTGGCATGAGGGCCATCTTGAGAACAGAAAGACCAGCCTTGAGGCGTAGACGTGATTTGACGCCTGCGGGCATGTTCAGCTCTCGAGGCTGGCCCTCAGCCATCGTCTTGCTCAGCAGACGAAAGACGGGCGTGGTCATGTCGCTCACCTGCGAGCGGTCGTCGCTGTCCTCGCGGAGCGCTGCGATGGTCCTCTTGCAGAGGACGTCAAAGCCCAGCTCCTTTGCACGAACAACGTCGTCGACGTCTCTGTCTTCCAGCCAGCTGTGCGGCTCATCTTCGTCTGCCTGCTCGCTAGCGGTATCGCCCTTTTTGCTGCTCGATCTCGCCTTTGCCGCCTCCGCGTCCCAAGTCTTGCTGAGCTCTCGTAGCACGTCTCGTACCACGCGATCCCAGACGTTCTCTGACGCCCGAGGTGCATATTTGAACAGTTGACCCAACGCGCTGAAGTCGGCAACAAGCCGCTCTGGACTGTCCTTTTCAAGACGGTCGCTGAGCTCGGCAAGCAGCTCCTCAACTTTGCGTTCTGCTGCGGCATTGGGCTCCTTGCAGGATGAAGCGGCCACGACAGCAAGAAGACGCGCGGCGTACTTGGCCTGAAGCTCCTTTCCGTTGCGAGTGAAGTACGAGACCCGGTCGATGTCTTTCTTGTCGAGTGTAACTTGCATGCCAGCGAGCTTGATCGAGGCCAATGCCTTCAGCGTGACTTCGATGAGCTCGGGCGATGACGCCCCATCGTCGAGGTAGCGAATCATGTCACTGAGATGAGGCACGTACATCTGCGGAGCAAGCTTGGTGATGAAGGTGAAGCATGACTTAGCCACGACGCTGAAGGCCTCTGCGTCTGTCAGGTCCTGCAGCTTGCGGATGTGTTGAGAGGAGCCAACACCAGCGCCCGCCGCCACGCCAGTGGACGTCAACGATGCGGCAGATGCTGCTGAGGTCAGAAGAGAGGACGCTGAGGTCCCTACATTGCCATGCTGCGTGTCGGGCCCGATTTGGCTCTCGCGCCACTGACGCTTGTCCTTTGTGAGCCTCTTGGCCAGTGTCGGGATTGAGCTGCGATTCAGGAAAGGGTATGAGGCGATACGGATGAAGTCGGTCATCGTCGCGAGCAACTTGTCGTCCGAGGCCTCGATGCGGCGAATAGCCTCTGCCCGCGCCTTGATGTACGTCTTGAGATCCGTCGAAGGATCGATGGATGCCTTGATCAAGCGGTAGATGCGGCTATCGTTGAGCTTAGCAAAGGCTGCAAGGTCTTGTGCCGCTTTATCAGAGTCAGGGAAAAGGGTGACGATGCCTCGGATGGAGTATTTGAGGATATCCTTGACTCGTGATTCCTCACTGGAGTCGACCACGCCGCCGTTGTACTTCTCGCATGCCTCGATGAAGGGCAAGTAGGGCTTGCGAGCGTGCGGTACGACCATATTGTTAAGACGAAGGAAGAGAGCTTTGCTCCCGATCTCGTCGAGGTGCTTTCCGACGAGGAGCAGCCTGTTTACCCAAGCAGCCTCGTCTTCAGCGCGCGTAGGGAGAGGCAGGACGTGCTTCTCAAAAGTAGCGATGAGAGGAAGGGTGGCCTTGGAGTCTGTCCAGCTGGAGACGAGCATGGTGTTGGGGATCCAGGCAAAGTGCTTGGTTGCTGCGGGATCATGATTTTCAATCTCTGGATAGGCTAGACTGTAGAGCCTGCCCAGTGCCTCGCGAGCCTCTGCTCTGACGGCTGAGCGACGATCTCGCAAGCGGTCAGACACTGTCCTGAGGAACGCGCGGTCGAGATGATGCAGCGCGGTTTCGTAGTCGAGACCGCCGATGACGCGCAGTACAGCTGCTCGTACTTTCTCATCAGGGTCGACGACCTTTGAGGTGAGAGCTTTTGAGACATCAATGCGAAGTTGCGGATGATTGGTGAGGATGTTGCTAGTCAGTTCGACCCAGAGGACTCTGAGCGCTGGCTGTTTGTCGACGCTGCGACCCAACCACGCCTTCCAGGCGCTGGGGTATCTAGTCGCGAGCGTAGAGCTCTGCTTGTCGCCGAACATTGTGCCAAGGGCGTGCACGGCGATGCTGCGCACGATGATGTCTTCTGCCGTGAGCTCTTGCTCCAACACAGCAATGACGCCGAGAAGGAGAGCCGGGCAGTAGCGATTGACTTGGACGATGAGGTTGTGGTACGATCGCAGCTCCCTCTCTCGCTCCTCTGGCTCCTCTTCGCTCGAAACGGCGACTATGTTCTCACTGAAGTACTGTGCGACGTTGGACTGGAGGCGATCGCTCGTCGCGAGGCAGATTTGAACAGCCAGACGATGAGCCGCGGGGTTGAGCTTGGCTGCCTTTGAGCTGAAGGTGGCTAGAAGGATATCGAGCACCTCGCCAGGAATCTGCCTGCACTCATCGACGAGCTGCGCTAGAATGTCTGCGAGGGAGAGCTCGATGTTCTTGGACATGTCCGGGCGCATCATGTCGAAGATCTTCTTGTACCACATCGTCATGAGCTCCTCTGGATCTGGCGCATCTGCAATCAGAGTGCATGACTTGACCCTGCTGAGATTGTCGAGCAGGGCGAGGTAGTCTGGGAAGCGCGGTGTTGAAGGGTTGGACAAGCCCGACTTGGGAGCAGTGAGCTCGAGGAGGAAGAATTGGAAGATGTCCTGTAGGCGGCAACGTCGAGGGGCAATGTGAGCCACAGCATCTCTGTCATTGCACTGCGCATGCTCACCTTGATCTTATCAGAGGTGAATGGAGCATTCGGAGCGTAGAGGCGCAGGACCTCAGCAAGGCAGCATGCGACTGAGGCGCGCACGGCTTGATCCTTGTGCAGCATCATCTGGTCTGAGACGAGCTGAGGCGTAAGGTCCTCTAATGACTTGAGGTCAACATCTTGGTCTGCTTGAGTGAGCTCAACTTGGATGGTCTGCGCGGATGAGGGACAGAAATGAGCGATTGCTTCGACGTGCTTAGCATGAGGATGTGCCTGCCACGCACCTTTAACTTCTTGAGCAGCGCGTCCGTCGATTGGCCACGCGCTAGCAGCCTGGGATCGACTGTGCTCTGCAGCCGCTTGGCATGCTTCCTGACCATTTTGGTGGATGGCAAAGAAAGCGAAGCTGGCTAGCGGCGAGGACAGCTGAAGATTGGACGATGAAGGTGACAGATCGAAGTAGTGACGGACAGTTGGCCTCGACCCGCTTTAGCCTCATCAAGGTGACGACGCGAATCGCGACGCGGCCGGACTGGGCGGAGATTCAAATTGGGCTCCACCAAATCGGACCGGAGACGCGAGGTCAACCAACACTTTGGCCGGCGGCTGCTCATCAAGCCTTGGTTCCCGTCTCGTCACCATTTCAAGTCAATGCTCATCGCAAAGCATCAGAGGCGTTTGCAGTATTCACTGTCAGAATGCTTGCTTGCCTCAAGTTATGGTGTTGCGTGACCTGTATCTCCTACGTCTTGCTGTCGAGCGCCCATTGCGCCTACTCCGGCAGCATACAGTCAGATCCTCCCGCGCCTGCCGACGAATACCCGACGCCAGATGGTAAGCTGGTCGTCTTTGCAGCAGAAGGGCATGCCATTGACCCAATAACTTTCCGCGTGGGACTTGCTGCGTCCTTCTCAGTCCTTGGTCTGCTTTCACAGGAGCATAGTGCCATTTTCTCAGCTCACCAAGCACTAGCCTCCCTTCGAGGCAAGCCAGACTGCTTTCAAAAAGCCCTCGCTGCCTTTGAGCTGCAATGTGGAGAGTATTTTAGAGGCGACCAGATACAGAAGATCCAGAGCGAGTCCAAAGCGCATAACAGTTGCTATTGGCTCGCAGCTCTGACAAATCTGCCTCTTCGCCCTCTCGCAGCCGCCGTAGCCTTGACGGAATGCGACCTCTCGACTGCCAACCAGCATCTGCCCTCTGAATGCCAAGGTCTCTCATCAAAGCCACCGCAGAGCTCCCTGTCACGCTGCATCGAAGCTATCTCCCGCTCGCCGCAGCAATGGTCAACGTACTCTGGCTACACGCGGGAGCTTCCCTCCCTCTGCTTCGCCCTCCGACGAGAGAAAGACGTCAATGACGCTCAGAGACTATACGAGGATATGGCACAGGAAAAGCAAGCATTGCTCAAGGCTCTTCATCGGATGCATACCTCGTCTGAGGCCGAGCGCAAGCGGGCAGTCGCGGCCATGAACGATCAGCTGGCCAGCTTGAAAGAGCTCGTCACCAGGCTCCACACTACGGCTGAGGAAGCGCACGAAGCCAGCGAGCTCGTCGCAGCGAGCGCGGCCCAATCATTCAAGGCCTCCGTCAGCAACGCTCTGAAGCAAGCCCAAGGAGCCAGGCAAGGCGCCCTCGACGTCCTCTCACAGCAGCTACCCGACTGGATTTCCCGAACCATGGAAAGCGAGCTTCACCGAGTCTTGCAAGTGCACGCCGAGGATCTCAGCGTAATGATCAGCAGCAAACTCGGCACTGCTCTCACAGACCTACAGTATGGCTTGGCAGAGCATCATCGCAAGAGCAACGCTCAAGCGGCTGAACTTTCGGCCTCCCTCGTTGCCTCTCAAAGCATCGTTGCAGAGATCACGACGGCGCTGATCCAGATTAAAGCCGCAGCTTCGGAATCAGTGCACGCGCTCACGCATCACCAGCAAGCACTCCAAGACATGCCTTCGCTCGACATTGACCGGCTTGAGCGACTCGACGCGCTTCTCACACGGATGGAGGGGGTAGGTCAGCAGGAATTGCAGCGATGGGAGCGGGAGGAGGAGCATCGCAGAGAGAGAGAACGCCGGAGTGTGCTCACACGGGTCATTCTGAACGTGTTTGGCCTCGACGAAGATCGAGGGTCAAGCTTGACGAGAGCTGTCGTTTCAGCGACCCCGCTGGCAAAGGCGTTGTTCTTGAGCGGGCCAGGCCCTCTACACATCCTGGTCGCGATCGTAATCGGTATCTTCAAGCTCGGATGGACAGCCATTTCGCTCATGATCACCATATGGCTGCTCGTCTTGGCCCTTTCCACACGGCTGCTGCGACCTCTCGCGAAACGTCTTTCTTCATGGATGGAAGGCAGCATTCGAACTGCATCGCTGCGAGCTGCTCGAGCTACACGGGGCGAGCAGGCAAGCGACGAGTGTGAGAAGGAAGAGGAGGAAGAGGTGGAGGAGCTGGTGGCGATGGAAGACATTGACATCAAGATCGAAAGGCCGTCAACGCCAGCATGTGATGAGGATCCGATCAATGAAAGCGACGACCCCTTCTCCTCGCCCTCTCTCGCAACGAGGAGGGCACAGAGCCTTGCAACCTGCGGAAGTGTTGCACAGCATGTACTCTAGATACGAGACTCATTGAAGCTGCCAAGATCCATCCGGAGAGACGAAGAAGACAAACAATACAGAGCGCAATCTAGATCGAGCGAGCAAAGCTTCGAATGAGGAACAACTCGCGATTGACTTGGCCGACGTCCGTGCGCACGACTCGAGTCTGAAAAACGTGCAGCGGTTGGTCGAAGTTGTCTTCTTCCTTGCCATCCTTGCTCGGCATCGTAGATCTACGCATTCACTCCTTCACATCCCTTTGTACACGACATCACCACATCTGAGCCCAAAGCTGGCTCATCGACATCGCTATGGAGCCGATCACGTTGGGCGTCTGCGCACTTGATCGCAAGGTGAGGAGCACCTCCAGATGATGTCGTCTGACAACACGACAAGACAATCTCTAATAAAGCTCTCTGCGTCCACAATAGGCTCGCAGCAAGCCGATGCAGAACATCTTGAACCGCATATTAGCTAATAGAGACCTCGACGTCAGCATCGTCAACTTCGGCGACAAGGTGAGCAGCAGCGAGGCGACGGGGCGGCATACATTCGGGCTGAAGCTCAGCTGCTCACCCTACCCTCGACGCCAGGTCATCCTCGACGAGCCGGCAGACTCATGGCCAGTCGTTGACGTCCTCATTTCATTTTTCAGCTCCGGTTTCCCGCTTGACAAGGCGATCTCGTATGTCGAGCTGCGCAAACCCGTCTGCGTCAATGATCTTGCTCTCCAGAAGATCTTATGGGACCGCAGAGCCGTCCTCGCCATCCTCGACGCTGCTCAGGTTCCGACACCCTTTCGCATCGAAGTTGACCGTGATGGTGGGCCCGGTATTGAGCCTTCGATTGGCCTTGATCTCAAGAAGCGATTGGGTGTAGATCTGCTCAGCAAGAGGCCAATCAAGGACTGCTATCTCAAGGACGAGGACACCCTTGTCGTTGGCGATCAGGAGATCCGCAAGCCATACGTCGAGAAGCCCGTCAGCGGCGAGGACCATAACATCCACATCTACTTCCCTCGATCCATGGGAGGCGGTGGGCGAAGGCTCTTCCGCAAGGTCGGCAATAAGTCGTCCGAATTTGACCCAAATCTCATGGAGCCGCGCAAGGAGGGTTCCTACATCTACGAGGAGTTTGTGAGCGTCGACAACGCAGAGGATGTCAAAGTCTACACCATCGGCCCCTACTTCGTCCACGCAGAGACCCGCAAGTCACCTGTTGTAGACGGCCTCGTTAAGCGCAACCCCGACGGCAAGGAGATTCGCTATATCACGAAGTTGTCTGAAGCCGAGGTCAAGATGGCCACCTCGATCAGTAAAGCCTTAAAGCAGAACATCTGTGGATTTGACCTGCTACGAGTGGGGGACAAGAGTTATGTCATTGATGTCAATGGCTGGAGCTTTGTCAAGGGGAACGACTACTACTACGACAAGTGCGCAGAGATCCTCAGCAAGTTCTGCAAGGCCAACACTCCAAGGCGATCCCTCTCGGCCAGCGGCGCTTCCACCCCTCGTACTGACAGGGAGCAAGGGCAGTCATCGTGGAATCTCAAAGCGACGGTCACCGTCTTTCGTCACGGTGATCGCACGCCCAAGCAGAAGCTCAAGCGCAGCTTCAAGGCGAAAGACTCATGGACGGCTCCGCTCATTGAGCTCCTGCAAGGTCGCAAAGAGGAGATCATTCTGCGTCAACAGCTCGACCTCGTATCGACAGCCGCTGCAAAGGCGCGTGACCTCAAGGGCGACGGCGTCGAAGACCTCGACCTGGTCATCGACGTCATCCAACGCAAGAAAGACATGCCAGGGACCAAGGTTCAGATGAAGCCAGCTTTCAAAGAGGGTCAGCTCGACAAGATGACCCTCATCGTCAAGTGGGGCGGCGAGTTTTCTCATGCTGCTCGTCATCAGGCTCGTGACTACGGTCAGAACATGCGCCGCGACATGATGATCATGTGCCCGAAAGCGCTCAAGAACTGCACCATCTACACCTCTTCCGAGCGCCGTGTCACCGCCTCTGCTGAGATCTTTGCAGGCGCCTTCCTCGACGATCCGGAGGACCCAGATCAGAATCCTCACCAACTTGTTATTCGCAAGGATCTCCTTGATGATTCCAACGCAGCAAAGGACGACATGGATGCGGTCAAAAAGAAGCTCAAGGCTTCGCTCAAAATCGATGGCCCTGACTCTGAAGTTCGTCCTGACAACTGGCCGGAGGATATGGCTCCCCCTGCGCAACTGGCAAGGGAGATTGGTAGCATTCTCGGCGAGTTGTCCAAGGTCATGGCCGCCAACTTCCAACGTCTCGACGTCGACAAGCTACAGACACGATGGTGTACGCACGAGACGCCCAAGCTCTTCCGCGAGCGCTGGGATAAGCTCTTCGCAGACTACGAAGAAGAGCCCAACGACCCTTCTCGGACGTCGGAGCTGGCAGACATGCTCAGCCACGACGGCCTGCACAATCGCGCTTTCCTCCAGGCCATCTTCTCTGACCCGAGCGCACCGGACGGTGAGCACTTGGCCAAGCTTGGAGAACTGTACAGGAGGAGCTGCGCGCTTTTCCAGTATGTGTGCCCGAGGGAATACGGCATTGAGCCCCAGGAGAAAGAGCGTATTGGCCTTCTCACCAGCATGCCGCTCATGCGGAATATCATTGCTGACTTGGAACGGGCAGAAGAAGGGTCTCTCTGCTCCCTCTACTTCACAAAGGAGAGCCATATCCACACACTACTCAACCTGATCCTCGCCTCCGACCTGCCGGTCATCATGCCGACCATGCCTCCCCTCGACTACTTTTCGAGCATCACTTTTGAAGTCTTCGAAAAGACGGCACAGCCACCTAGCACGGCCCCACCTAGTGCTGCTCATTCCCCTGCACCCTCAGTAGGAGGTCACGAGGCCGCACCTGCACTGGCTCCTCAGCCTCGAGGCTCGACCAACTCCCCTTCGCCTCCCCCGTCCGCTGCCGCATCACGGGGCAACTCTCCCCCTTCAACACGCGCCGAGCGCTCCCTCCTCATCACAGTCTCAGAGGGTGCTCATTCATCCTGCATCCTCTCCATTGACCTGGATGCCCGTCATTCAATCCACCCTTTGCCTCGAAGACCCCTCACACAGCATATCGAGCTCGCCGAAGCCGTACGGAGGCTATCGGCGCATTCGTTGAGCTTGACGAGGGAGGTGGACGAGCTCATGCTTGCGCGGGGCCAGATTGAAGGCGCGGCGGTATTCTTTGGGGAGAAGGAGGCGGAGAGTGAGCATGGGTTGCTGCCAGTTGCTGTGGGGAGGGAGGGAAGAAGAGGGAGTACAGAGACAGACCGGGGGAGTGTGACTGCTTGACGTAGGCAGCTGAAGGAGGAGCAGAGCAGACGTAAAGATGCTCCTGCCTGTCATGACGACGCGCAATACTAGATTCGTTGCATTCCCGTTACATTGGCTCATTGCTGCTTGCTTGCTTTTGCTTGCACCTTGCAGACCCTTGTTGTTTTGCCCTTACTCATCGGCAACCACGTACTTTTCCACCTTCTCGATCCACAGTCCCTTCTCAACACCACCACCCCTTGACGGCTTGACCTTCTCCAACCAATACTCCCACCACCAAGCATGTGTCCCCTCATCCGGTCCGCCGCGGTCCCGTCCACCCCCATGCCCGTCCTCCCATGGCTTGCGATGAATGTAATGCACCACTTTGACATCATTGTGCCCCTTGTCCTCCGTCCAAAGACCCGGATGAGAGGCACGGAGCTTCTTGAGTGCATTATACACATACGGAAGCGGGAGCCATTGTTGACCGGCAGCGCGAGACTGCTGAGCCATCGTCGTTCGCTCAGCAGCAGGGGCTGCATCTCCTGCCGCAAAGAAGTCGGCGAGGAAGTCCTGATCCGGGAAACGATAGGTGGCGCAGCGTGGGTCGGTCGCGAGGACATCAAGCATGCGAGGGAATGTGTGCCGCGAGGAGGCTTGCAGGACTACCAGGCCTGAGTTTAAGAGTCGGTGCGTTGGAGGCGAGGAGGGGGTGACACGCAATGGGGGAATAGACAGGCTGGTGCTAAGGGTTTGAGAGGTGTAGGCGCAATTTGCTGGTATCCTGGAGGAGGAGAAGAAGAAAAAGGAATGGATCAGACTTGGTCGATGGACTCGGCTTTTCTCGTGCGATCGCTCTACCCACCAATCATCAGGGTACGTTTTGATCCTGGCCGGATTACATGTACACGCAAAACTTGCTGCTATGCCTCTTTCGCCATGCTTGCCAACCAAGGGCAGCGGCACAACCTCCTCATCCATGAGCTCATCCATGTTCCTCCTGACAAGCATGTCGCTGTCTACCAGCACCACTCTCTCAAATCCCTCGCGGTCCAGCTCCCAAGCCCTGAGCTTGGTCCAGACTTCACTGAAGCGCGACCAGGCAAGCGCAGGAGCGGCATCTGAGGATGCGGGCGGGGGAGGAGGCGGATCGATGCGATCTACTTCTACTACTTCGCAGCCTAATTGATGAACGACGGAGATAGCCTCCGGCGAACATGAGCCGCGCGCTACCATTACGACGAGAGGGTAGCGCGAGGCGTGCGCTGATCGAAGGAGGGAGTGGGCGAAGACGCTGTGCGAGAAGGCGTGAGGATTAGCGTCAATTATTGCACTTGCGACGAATTGTGAGCTGCTCAGCTTGAAGCCGCCGCGTACACTCACGCTAAGCCAGGCAGATAGCTGTCCCCCGTCATGAGCGTAGCCCAGCAAGCCCTGGGGCGAGGAGCAGATGATGAGGCGACATGGCCGTTGCCGTTGCTGCTGTCATTCCTCGAATGGCCATTGGCGCCGTCAATATGAGCGCCGTTCGTGTTTGCAGAGGACGCATTGCCGTTGGAAGCGGGCGCCTCCTCAGCCTGCCTGCTCGAGCTTCCCAGAGGCGGTTCGAGAGCCATGCTGCAGTTGCAGGAGAAAGTAGCTGCGAGTGAATGAGACGAACAGCTCAAAGGTTCAACTTGTCCTGTTCCGAGTGGAGGAATCGCTAACCTGCGAGAGGGCTGATAAGATGACGAGGATGCGCGAGAAGAAGAGGAGCTGCGAGGAAGATCCGAGGTAGAGGAGATGTCCAGAGAGCGATGAAGCGACGGCGCGTGTGGACGCTCTATCTGGAGGGGAGAGCAAGGGAATAGAAGCGCAGCAACTCCACTCGATGCCGCGCTACCAAACGAACGACATCCTTTCGAGGAAGCGCTAAAGAAGAAGTTGGGTCCGGCAGCAGCTGCTCCCGAAGCGCACGAGCGCGGCGGACACGGCCTTTGGCTCGGCGTTTGGCGTCACTTCAGGGTCCAAACGTGCGAGGCTGACTCAGCTGACAGGCCGGCGGACGTCAATTTGGCCGAGCTGGTTTGTATCCATGGTACCGTGACATTGCGTCGAGGCCAAATTTGGAGAGGCAAATACAGCGTATAGAAAAAGGGGATTACGGCTATCAGAGTATGGGAGGAGTAACAGTATCGCCAGGGGTAAGATGATGCAATGGAGCGCCTTGACAGCTGCCCTCACCCTGCTTTGAATGAGGAGGCCACCTTCGCGTCTTCGCCGAAGCCAATGTTTGGGTCGGGAGAAGGCAGCGCGAGGGACATTGATGGTGTATCACCACCAAAGTGGATGCATCAATGGCGAGACAATGGAAACAAGTAGAGTGCAAAGGGCCGAGTCTGGGGACAAGTCTGGAATTTGGGTCATGAGGTCATTGCATACTCATCCTGCGTTTGCCCGGCAGCCAGGGTTTGTTGAAGTATTGGTCCGATCTTGAGCTTGAGCGGCACCTCGAGGATCTTCAGCTGCGCCTTGGCGCTTTTGCTCCGCCACCTCAAGCGAAAGTCGTCTGCCTCTTGACCAACCACTCGTAAGGCTCCATATTCCTTTCAATCGTGTTCCTTACCTCTTGCGGCAACTTAGCGATCTTTGCCTCTTCCTCTCGCTTCTTCTTCTCCTCAGCCTCTTGCTTTGCCTTCTTGTCCTCCCCCGAGACTCCATTCGTCTTCGCCGCGCCGTCGTCCTCGCACTTGAATCCGGTAGAGTTCTCCGCACCCTGGTGGTAAGCGCCCCACTTGGCGAACTCAGCTTGAGGCTTAGCGTCCCAAGAAAGCATAGCCGGATCAAAGGGAATGCCCGTCTGGTCGCAGATGTGCTTGATTGTCGAGGCCGGGTTGGCAAGGAGAACGGAAGCGTCGATCAGTGGTGGGGGAAGGGGTTGCTTCTGAGCCTTGCCGGGGAAGGAGACGGCACCGGGACCATCCTCCTTGTCGGTGTTGAAGGTGGATCGAGGGTTGCTGATCCACTTGTAGAGGATGCGGAGCTCCTCGAAGCCAGCCTCTGCCCCGTCGAAGAACTCAAAGCCGGCCATCTTGTCCTGGCAGCACTTGTAGTAGGATGGGACCGCCTTGGTGGGCGTGCGCACGAGGAATGTGTGCTTGAAGCGGCGCATCAGAGCTGTAGGGATCACTGTGGGGTTTTCGATGATTTCACCCTCGCTGTCCACACCAGTGCAGCGCGAGGTACCGCAGGTCTCGCCGTCAGTGCGGTAGCATTGGGAGCCCTGTCCTTTGTGAATTTTCTCGAGTGTCTGGCGAGGGATGATGTACTGCGCCATGTCCTTGACAAAGACATACTTGACCGGCCCCTTCTTGTCCGTACCAACATTGTTGGCTTCGGGATCGAGGAGTGTCTGCATCACATCAACGATGTCCTTGTCCCAATTGCCTGGTAGTGAGCAGCAGAGTGAGAAAGGTGAGCATAAGACCGGCACGCACCCCGCATCACGCCGTGCGCCGTCCACTGAAGATGGTCACTCACCCGAGGCCTTGCACTCCTCCTCGGAGTAGCGCAAGCTCTGTCGCTTGGAGCTGAAGCTGTGGGGCGATGGGAGCAAGGGGTTAGAGGCTCCCTCCCCTGAGGGCTGCCCACGATGGAGCGCCTTAGACTAACTAGAAAGGGTCGCCAAGAGGTTCATGCCAGCATCGACATCCCTCCTTGCCCATGAAGGCGCGTTCCGTAGCCGTCGAGACGGAGCGCGGAACACACCAGAGGATGACGGGGATGATATCGTTGGTCATGGTTAATAGAGGGTGGTGAGGAAGAAAGGAGTGCGAAGCCATGTTGCCGAACCCTTGGACCCTGGAATAGCCGCGGCGGCGCTGTGAGCACGGGCTCGATTATTCACCCGGCAGAGGCGGCAAAGCAGTTGACAGTTGGGCCTGGCCCTGGAGTGAAAGCAAGAGGCGGCGCTCGGGAAGCAGGTAAAGTGTTGGTTGGGCTGTCAATTCTTCCTTCCACTTGCCTACGCAACCGACTCGACTCGACTCGTTGTTACAGCCATGACTGCCGTCACGGCTACGGTCGCAAGATCATTGACACCGCCGCTCGACCCTCTCAGCTTCTTCTTGGACCCATCAAAGGCCAACATCTCGGACGACGAGGATGCGGCTGGAGACGAACAGCATGAAGGGCAAGGAGCAACGGCAGTGGCGTCCACGTCGTCCTCGAAGGCTCTGATCCCCGAGCAACGCAGCAGCATCATCAACCAGCGTGCCATTATACGCTACTACAGAGACCTGGGGAGAGAGCCTCGTTTACTCGGCGACGAGAAGGAGCAGGAGCAGAAGCAGCAGGAGCTCATGGTCAAAGGCGACGAGCCTCCAGCAGCGGAGCGGTACGATGTCGCACTCCTGCTGGACGTCTCAACAGGCTGCGGCGGCAAAATCTGGCCGGCAGCTCAGGTCTTGGGTCAGTACTTGGCGGGAAAGAAGGAAGTGCTCGCCGAAAAATGGAAGGGAAAGACGGTTGTTGAGCTGGGTAGCGGTACCGGGCTCGTGGGCTTCTTGCTGGCAAAGATGGGGGTCGGGGTAGAGACGTGGGTTACAGATCAAGAGTGAGTACCGCTGGAGCCCATTGACGAGGCCAGCCGACTTCTCAGCTGATTCGACATCACCGTGCGCCCGAACGCAGCGCCATGCTCGCCCTGATGGAGCGCAATCTCCAGCTCAATTCCCCAGGCATGCTCGACCCATGCCATGTCGCCGAGCTCAACTGGGGGGAGTTTCCCCTACCGCAAAATGTCCCATCAAAGCCGGATGTCCTTCTGCTAGCAGACTGTGTCTACCTAGAAGTGGCTTTCCAGCCTCTTGTGGACACGATGATCGCCTTGTCCACCGCGCAGACGGAGATCTTGTTCTGCTACATGAAGAGACGGAAAGCTGACAAGCGCTTCTTTACCATGTTGAAGAAGCATTTCAGCTTTGAGGATGTCGAGGACGACGATCCGGTGAGGACGGAGGCGTACAGGAGACAGGGGTTGCGCTTCTATCGCATCAAGTTGAAGGTCAAGGGAGGTACCGCGTAGGGCAGGGCGGCGATGCGGGCGATACACTAAGGATTGCAGCAGTCATCATCATCACTCTATGTTGTAAAGCTAGAAGTACATACATGCGTCACTGTTCACTCACCTCGCTCGCTGCGCATTGAGAGCAGAGAGGGCTTGAGTGAGAGAGCGCCGGTCAAAGAGGTAGACAACACCCAGACAGCCGACACCAGTCGTCACGGCTGTTCCAACCAAGCCGGCATAGCTCGCGAGCCCCTTCATGCCTCCGCTCGCGACGTCTGCGGTCGCGACAGAGGTAGCCCTGGTCACTATCGCTGCGAAACCCAGAGCGCAGAGCGTTGGTAGTGACGGGCGCAACCCTCCGAGGGACAATTGCGGGAAGAAGGCTTCCTCTCGAGCATGGCGCCAACCGTATGCCGCTCGCACAGCCATCGCCGCTGCTGAGGCCAGAACAAGCGCCTCTTCTGTGCTCACCACCCTGGTCAACCCCCAGAGCGAAGCCCCAAACGTCGCACTTGATCCCAAGATCACCCCATTGTACCTCCTCAATTGATCCCGACCTGCCGTGCTCTGCAGGAACCCTTCGAGGATTCCCGACCAGCCCAGTACGGGCAGAAAGACAGCATAGGCAGCAAGCGTGCGCGGAGCTGATGTGGCAAGCCATTGTGGCCCGGAGAGCAAAAGAATGAAGGGCGAGGAGAGGGGCGGGAGGAAGGCCAGGAGGAAGAGACCGAGGAAGGAGTGCAAGTGCAGGAGGGCGTGGAGGAGGTTGTATGATGAAGTCTTGCGGGCTCTTGACGAGGCTGTTGCTATCTTCTTGGTGGTATTTTGGATCTCAGGCGTAACCGTCTCCTCAACTTCAGCCTCTTCACCTTGGTGCTCTCCTGTCCCGGCGCCCCCCAAGTCCTTCGAAAATTGAAATCTCGAAGACTCCTCTAACGGCTGAAAGAGGAGCCGCAGCGGCAATGATGCGTAGTTGGTTCCGAGGGCGTAACCGCCCTGATCCTCTAGGCTGGCCAGACGAGAGACGGCGACTTTGTCCGCTTCGGTGAGGAGGTGTTTGAAGAAGGACTGGACGGTGAGGGAGAGGGCCAGGCGGGATGTCTCGGAAGAGGATGAGGAGCTTGACGCTTCGCTTTTGGTGTGGGAGTGCTGGAGGATATAGAGAGCGAAGGTAGGGCGCAGACCGATCCTCCCGATGTACGATAGCCAGAAAGTGGCCAGAGCTGTTGATCCGTAGGCTAGCTGTCCGAGTCCAAATGCTAGCAGCCCCGCCTTCTCATCAAGACTCACCAAGCCCAGCAGCGTCACGACCCCCTTCGCAATAGCCGCCAGCGCCTCTGCCCTCACTCGGAGAGAGATGTCCCTGCCTCCTTGCGGTGACAGAGCATGCAGATAAAGTGGCTCGGCCGCCAGCTCGAGGAGGGATGAGGCCAGGTAGAGGTAGATGACTTCTGTGAAGTAGGGTTGAGAAGCTAGGTCGGTCGAGGTGCGGAGGAAGAGGGGAAGGGCAATTGAAGCAAGAGCGATTCCGAGAGGAATGGGCAGGAGGCTCAAATTGTTGCTTGCGACGTTCGTCTTGTCCTCATCGGTGCTGCCCTTGCTCGATTGGCGTCGCAGCGAAGCTCCCCTGATCCCCTCGCGCGATAGGAAGAGGACGACGGAGAGGAGCAGCTCCAGGTGAATATGCGCCGCCCCATATATGCTAGGATCGCTCCATCTGATGGAGGCTTGGTTGATAATGAAGGTAAAGAGACGGGTGCCAATCTGCAAGGCAAGAAGTAGGACGGTTGGGGAGAGGCCACTACCTGCCATTGGCCGTGAGAAGAGTGGGAGTGGGAGAAGACAAGGAAGATGGCGCGCGTGCACGGACGCAGCTGCATGACGACGACACAGGCTCAAGCAACGTCCAGCAACCGCCCGTACAGCCACATGATAACACTTTTGAGCTTCAATTGATCTGATCACATACTAAGCGTACACTGATGGAGCTTCAAGGCATCTATGAGACCATCTGCAACCACTGCACGCTGCCAAGACGGGCTGCCATCTCTTTAGTAGGCGGTGAAGCCACCATCGGGGCCTGGAGAAGTGAAGATGAAAGAAGCGAAGTCAGCAAGCCGTACATTGTAGCGACACGTGCTGCTGTGGCGCACTCACGCAGCTGCGATCCCGTGATGTACGAGGCCTTGTCCGAGAAGAGGAGCACGCAAGGCTCTCCTTGCTCGCGGGGCTCCGAGAAGCGGCCAAGGGGGACCGACTTTGCCTGCCAGTCACGAATCTTGGGGTCCATGCCGGAGGTCTGCTCGGTGTTGCAGAATCTGAGCAGCACACGCGAGAGGGGCAGAACAAGTCAGCACGACGAAGAGATGATATAGGGCTATGAGTGCCAGGTCAAGCCGCACTCACCCAGGCTCGAGGGCGTTGACACGGATGCCGTGAGGCGCCCACTCGGCGGCGAGACCCTTGACCATGTTGGTGGCCGCACCCTTGGAAGCGTTGTAGAAGATCTGAGTCAGAGGCTCGTTGAGTCCCTTCTGGTTGTAGATCTCCGAGCTCATCGACGAGGTGACGACGATGGAACCCTTCTGCTGCTTCTGAATCCAGTGCTTGGCGACGGCCTGGGCCGAGTTGAAGGCACCAAGGACATTGGCGTTGAAGACCTTGTGGAAGTCGTCGGTGGTGAGCTCAGTGGCGGGCTTGACGACCGAGACACCGGCATTGGCGGCGAGACCGGTGATGGGGGTGCCGAGGTCCTTCTCAATCTGGCTGATCGTCTTCTCGACGAGAGAAATGTCTCCGACGTCGCACTTGTAGGCCTTGGTCTTGACATTGTACTTCTTGGCAACGTTGGCGGCAGCCTCCTCTGCCTGAGGGTTGGAGTGGTAGATGATGGCAACGTTGGCGCCAGCGTTGGCAACGGCCTCAGAGATTGCGAGACCTGGGGCGAAAGAGAGAGAATCACCTGTGTCAGATGATGCTTCATCGCACCTCGCTGACGGCGGAGAGCCACACACACACGCCTCGCTTTGGACTCTACTCACCGATACCACGGTTGCCGCCGGTGACGACGATGGTGCCGCCAGAGAGGTCGATTTGGTAAACCATTGTTGAGCGTGTTTATGAGAGTGCGGGACGGGGTGGTTGTTTGTTGGTGGTGGCGAAGAAACGGGTTGTCTTAGTTGGGTAGGAAGGCAAGGTGTAAGTTGACGATTCGATTCGAGAAGGTCAGGGCGCAATGCACAGCCAACCAGGCAGGGTCCCAGGGAACTTGCCGCCAGCCAGTTGTTGAGCCAGCATCGTGCGAATTGAGCGCGAGAGCAACGCACTCAGCGAGCGGCGTCGTCGATGCATGCACTGAGCCAGCAGCGAGTGACGTCGCCGCCTCGAGCTAAGAGGCACGGACCTTCAGCCAAGCCAATCTAGCTAGTTCTCCACAGCGAGCAAGGCCAAGCTGGTCGCGTGGCTTGCTACGACGCTCGACGGATCGACGGACAGACCGGCTCGACTCGACTCGACTCGATTTGACGATGCCGGCGACGGCGATGAGCCAAGCTGCATGCGAGCGAGAAGTCAGCGGCGACGGCAGAAGATCAGGCGGCGACGGCAGCAACATCATTCTATCCGCCCTTACCCTACCCCTGCAATCCCCCTCCTCTTGCGACTACCTCGGTGTCGTCTTCAATAGACTGCGCAAGCGCGTTCCTTCCGACATGCTCAGACGGCAGCCCTGGACGCAAAGCCGTCGTCTGGCGGGTCAGCATCAACATGGCCTCCTGACCAATGCGAGCTGCTCACGGCATTGCCCCGTTGTACACCGGCCCTTCTCATCGTCATCTAGCATCTTCAGTCCATCGTCATCGCGTCCGTCCGGATCAGCTTCTTCCTCCTCGCCTCCAGCATCAGCTCCCAATGTCCACCGTAGACATCCGCCTAAACATAGATATCCCCCGCCTTCGCAGCAACCGGAGCCCATCATGTACGATCAACCGGCAATCGCTAACCCCATTGAGACGCAAAAGGCGCGCGACAACTTTAGAAAGCAATCGAGGAGGGTTGCTGCTGGCGTAGCTGTCGCACTTGCCATCGCCAGCGCGTACTGGTATACCGCAGACAGCCTCAAGGCTGAGGGGCCGGAGCACCCTCAGCTCAAGGGATTGCATGAGACGCCAGAGGAGATGGAGAGAAAGGTGCAAAAGGCGCAGAAGGAGTGAGTCTCTGCCAACGGATCGCTCGTTCGGACTGCTACTCACCACGTCCCTCGTTACTCAGACTGAACAACAGCGGAGGTTTCGCCATCATCGCCATCAAGCGCTCGACGGTCATCGCCAAGGCAGTCGCCCTCTGCGTCTGGGACTACCGCAAGACACTCAACGCGTCGTACCCATCCTCGAGCGAAAGCAACGAAGCTCTGCGCCAATGTCATTTGCGCAGCGCTCAGCGCATTCTCAAGGCGCTGCAGACGAATGGCGGACTGTACATCAAGCTTGGCCAGCACATATCATCCGTTATCCTTCTGCCGCCCGAATGGACAAACACGATGAAGCCGCTGCAAGACCAAAACGATCCCACACCTCTCTACGAGCTCGAAGCCATGTTCCGCTCAGAAACAGGCTCTTCCTTCTCAGAAGCTTTCTCAGAGATCGATGAGAAGCCTCTGGGCGTAGCTTCTCTCGCTCAAGTCCACAAAGCCAAGGATCGCAAGACCGGGCAATGGCTCGCCATCAAACTGATGCATCCCCAGGTGGAACGCTTCTCTGACGTCGACATGAAGACGGTCAACTATCTGGTCGGGTGGGTCAAGAAGGTCTTCCCGCAATTCGAGTTCACTTGGCTCGCAGAGGAGATGAACGCCAATATGCCGCTGGAGATGGACTTCAGGCACGAGGCGGAGAATGCGAGGAGGGCAGAGAAAGATTTTGCAGACTATCGCAAAACGAGTGTCTACATTCCCAAGGTGCCGTGGGCATACAAGAGAGCAATGGCTCTGGAATACATTGATGGCAGGCGCCCAGACGACCTTGCCTACCTCGCCGAACACAGCATCGACCGCAACAAAGTCTCTCAGGAGCTCAGTCGAGTCTTCGCCCAGATGCTCTACCTGCACGGCTTCTTCCACGCCGACCCGCACGGCGGTAATGTTCTCATCCGCCCTGCGCCTCGTAGCAGCAGGTCACCTCACAACTTCGAGGTGGTTCTCCTCGACCACGGTCTCTACTTTGACATCGACAAGGGTTTGCGCACCGACTACGCCCGCTTCTGGCTGTCATTACTCAGCCGCTCGACGCCTGATGTAATGGCACAGCGACGCAGACTGGCCAAACGCATCGCCAACATCGACGACGACCTCTACCCGATCCTCGAGTCAGCCATCACTGGTCGTTCAGGACTCGAGGGGTCAGATCCAGACAACCCCAACGGTGTCAAGGGTAAGAAGCGCGCCTCCTCCATCTTGGACATGGAGACTGGCTCGTCAATGAGCGACGATGAGACGGACCACATCCGAAAGACGGTGATGGAGAAGGAGGGTCTCTTCCTCAACATCCTCGAAGTCTTGCGAAGGGTACCGCGCCGCATGCTCATGGTGCTTAAGCTCAATGACCTCACGCGCTCCCTCGACGCTAGCTTGCATACGACGCACGGGCCTACTCGTCCGTTCATTATCGCCGCACGCTACTGCGCCCTTGCCGTGTGGGACGACGATCAGCACCAGATCAAGGAGCGTCGCAAGCGCGATGGACTGAGCTTCGGCCTGCTACGCGACTGGTTCAGCTGTTGGACCAACTATCTCTGGTTCTACCGTGGTCTGGCCTTCCTCGAGTCCCTCTCCAACATTCGAGCTAGGACGTCCAAGATTCTGGTCTACACTGGTGCCATTGCGAGTGGGAAAGGGGTGAGCTCAGCGTCGAAGAAGGCGTCTGGATTGGAGGACCAGAGCAAGAGGAGACAGAAGGAGGAGGAAGATAGGAAGAGAGCGGAGGCGGCGGTGCAGAAGGAGGAGGATGTAGAGGGTGGAACAGGCCTGACGAAGAAGAGCTCCTAGACATGTTACCGCCCTGCCTAAGGGTAGCTTGCTCATGCATCCTCCCTCTTCGTCTCCGCTTGCTCGCTCGTTCTCATCGTTGGTTGCGTTAATCCTCACTGATTTTTTGCTTGCTTTTCCTTGGCGGGCGGGACATTCGACTCGTGTCATATCGCGTTGTGGTCCACGGACCACCTGTATTTGGCAGGAAGAACTGGCTCGACAGTCGTCTTTTGCCCGTCACATCCCTCGGCTGGGTTTCGGCCGGTCCCATGACGTCGCGCTCGCAGCTCGCAGCAGATTGGAATCGCGCCGCAAGAGGACTCCGGCCCTCCCCAGCTTCGCTCGACTGGCTCGATTCGCAGGACCCTTGTCTCATGCCGGTCTCCTCGAAAGGCTGTGTTAGTCTAGGCTTCATTTAGTCGCCTGCCTGTCGGGGTGTGCCCGCTGGAGTGCCGCTTGATCTCGATCTGGCGACGAAGGAACGCAGGCGCGGTCAAGTGAGGTGAGGTCAGAGGAGAGAGCGGATCTGGGATCTCAGTTGGTAGTCATTGCTGGCAAATGTCGGTCCTGTTTTCTTCTCTTCTCTACCCAACCACCTCATCAACCCTACTACTTCGCCAACATGGCGCAGTACACTCCACAGAGAAAGGTGCCAACGGTACAAGAATTCCGAGAGATTGAGAAGCAGCGAGAGCGAGCATCGCTGGGCAACGACTCTGATCTAGCTGCCAGTGAGCAGGCCGAGACCGCTCCCAGCGCTCCCAGCGCTCCTAGTGCCCCTTCAAGTGCCCTCACTGATTCGTCAGGAGGAGCCGCTCCTCCAGTCGCTGTGCCTGACCGCGAGGCGAGCTTGAGGCAGCGCAAGAACGCTGGCGCAGCTGAAGATCCTGACGACGATGACGACGCGCCAGAAGACGGCGATTACGGCGAGCAGAGTGGCCAGGCCGAAAAGGAGCGCCTGAAGCAGCAGTCGCAACCCCAAGGCAAGCCTACAGACTTCAAGGAGAAGGGCAAGCGGTGAGTTGTGCGCTGCTCGGTGCGACTTCTGCGCCAAAACCTGTACTGATGAGCCAAATTCTCACATCTCCCGCTTCCCCTTGCCCCGCAGTCGCGTCGACGACCCCACGACTGGCGGCAAGGTCATCATCGCCGACTCCCGCAAGAATGCCAAGGTCGAGCCCGAGAAGCTTGAGGCGCGCTATTTCGACGATAAGAACAAGGGCTTCTCGACCAACTGGCCCAACAACCGCTCCAAGCACGACCCCATGTACGTCTCGCCCAACCCAGCTGAGCCTTCCAATGTCCTCATCCACCCGTTCCCCGAGCCACTCCACGTCGACTCTATGACGAGCTTGACGGGTTCCTTCAAGAAGCTGGAGATTGGCCTCGCCGTCGGCTCGGTCGTAATCTGGTTCTTCGTGGCCTTTGGCGCTGGATTCACAAAGTTCATCTTCAGGTCAACTCTCATCTTTGGCTTAACATTCCTCGCCGTGACTGTCTCGCACCTCGCACTCCGCAAGATTGAGAAGGACCTCGAGGCCGTCCGCACTCATATGCAGACGCAGCGTGGCCAGGACTACGCGCCTCCGATGCCAGAGTCTGTAGAGTGGCTCAACGCTGCTATCGCAGTCGTATGGAGGCAGATCGACCCTGCTACCTTCATTCCCATTGCCGATCAGATCGAGGACGTAATGCAGCAGAGTTTGCCCGGCTTTATCCAAGCCGTCAAGATTTCTGACCTGTCTCAGGGTTCCAACCCATTCAGACTGGTTTGCATGCGCGCTCTGGCCGACGTCATGGGCGACCGTGGCTACCCTCGCGCCGACTGGATCCACGAGGGCAAGGAAGACGAGAAGACCAAGGAGGACGCCAAGGCTGAGAAGAAGGCAGTCGAGGGCGATGCTGACGGTGACGGCATCAAGGATGACGACGAGGCCGGCGACTTCTACAACGTGGAGGTTTCCTTCTCATATAGCGCAAAGCCTGGATCCAGTGCCAAGGACCGAGCTGAGAACATGCATCTGCTCATCGAGTTCTTCCTCGGAGCCTACGACCTCTTCCAGCTGCCTTTCCCCGTCTGGGCACAGGTCGAGCACATCTCCGGCACTATCCGTGTCCGCGCACAGTTCATCTCTAGCCCGCCTTACATTCGCAACGTCACCTTCTCGCTCATGGGCGTGCCTCGTGTTGAGGTCAGCGTTCAGCCCATGACGCGCGCTCTGCCCAACTTGCTCGACCTTCCTCTCATCAGCACTTTCGTCCAGATGGCCATTGGCGCTGCTGCCAACATGTTCGTCGCTCCGAAGAGCATGACTCTGAACATGGAGGAGATGCTCTCCGGTGCCGCCGCCAACGACACGAACACGGTTGGTGTCCTCTGGGTCCAGATCGGTCACGGTGAGGGGCTCTCCGCGCAAGACGCAAACGGCAAGTCGGACCCCTACGTCAACATTGCCTTTGCCAAGTTTGGTCGCCCCCTCTTCAGCTCTCGCATCATCTTCGAGGACCTCAACCCCAACTGGAACGAGGGCGTCCCCATCCTCGTTAGCCGCGATGACCTGCGCGGAAATGAGGAGCTCAGCGTCCAGCTCTGGGACTCGGACGAGCGCACCGCAGACGACATCGTGGGCCGCGTCAAGGCTATCCCGCTTTCTGAGCTTGTCAAGAAGCCCAATGTCATGCAGGACCGTCATGACAAGCTCGCTGGTTTCGAGGACGCAGATGAGATGATCGGTACCTTCCACTGGAAGATTGGATTCTTCGAGAAGGCCAATCTGAACAAGGAGCTGCAAAAGAAGGCGCAAGCTCGCATTGAAGAGGACAAGAAGATCGAGAAAGAGAAGGCCGGAGAGAAGTACAAGCCTCCTCCCAAGCCTACCAAGGAGGAAGAGGAGGCCGACCCCGACGCTACGCTTTGCCCTCCCGACCCGAAGTACCCCAGCGCTATCCTCGGCATCACTGTGGGCAGCATCTCTGCCCTCGCCACGCGTGAGATCGAGGAGGGTGTCAAGGGCAAAGAGCGCGAGGGCTCCTTTGGTCAGGATGTCGATGCGACGCAAGAGGGCAAGAATCTGCCAAGCGCCTACTGCGAGATCGTCGTCAACGACGACATCCTCTTCAAGACCCGCGTCAAGCCGTACTCGAATGCTCCCGTCTACAATGCCGGTACGGAGGTCTTTGTCCGCGACTGGCAGAAAGCCCAGGTCAGCATCATTGTTCGCGATGCGCGCATCCGCGAGCATGACCCTATCCTTGGTATCGTATCCATCCCCGTGGCCGAGGCCTTCCGCGACTCGTCTGCTGTCACGAAGCCTTACTCCATTCAGGACGGTGTTGGCTACGGCCGCGTGAACATGACGTTGAACCTCCGACCTGTCAAGCTTGAGCTTCCCCGCGCTCAGCTAGGCTGGGACACTGCCACCGTCGAGCTTCTCTCTGAGCCGCAGATCAGCGGCCACACGCCCGAATGGGACACGAAGCTCAAGAAGGTCAAGTTGCGCGCTAGCACGGGTGACGACACGCAGCGTCTCAAGACGGGCGCTGGCGGATCGAGCGCCGATGACTCCACGGCTAGTGCTGCCAGCAACACAGCAGGCATCGACGGCGGTGAAGCCGGCGATGATGCTGTTGCCCGTCTCCCTGTATACGACAGGTACAGTAGCTCTCTCACCTTCGACTTCGGTGGCGGAGGCGTCAAGCTCGGCCCTCTGGGCGGCAAGCCGGACGCGATTGCCATGCAGCCTCTGAGCGAGTTGCCAGACGACGAAGTCAGCGAGATTTCTATCCCTATTCTGGTTGGCGAAAACCTCGGCACTCTCAGGCGCAACTACATCGACGAGTTTACCCAGCGCACACACAAGTTCGAAGAGGTGGGTACGCTGCGCTGCAAGGTTCGCCTGGACTCTGGGCTGGACGAAGACCACGAGAAGCTCGCGAAGGCCCGTGCCGCCCGTCATGCGTACGATGTGTACAACAGGCAGGTGGCTATGCCTAACCGTGCGGAGACGAATGCCCACGCCAACGACGATGGCGTCATTGACCGCAAAGAGCAGAAGTCGATCAATCGCGCTAAGAGCGAGGCGCTGCATGCTAGGCATCGCGGCAGCCATGGGTACGCTGCGGTGAGGAGTGGAGTGTGGGCCAAAGATGGAGTGAAGGAGAGGCTGAGGAAGGCCTCAAACTCGCTGAGGGGCAAGAAAGACAACGATTCGGCGGAGAAGAAGGTCAAGAGTGAGGCCTGATGCCCGGCAGGATAGCATGTATATCTGTGCGTCTTGTTTACGGTATGAAAATTCGAACAAATGCAACCGATCCTGCGCGTCCCCTCGACCAGGTCGCCACGTCAGTCGTCCCTCCTAGGGAACAGGGGCTTCATCTTCCCGCTCAAAGGCACCTTCACCTCGTCCCTCACTCTGATGACCTCCTCCCACGCGTCATCTTTCTCTTCGCCGAGCTGCAGGCCCATGCTCTGCTTCAACTCCCTCATCTTCACCGGCATCACAGGCCCCAACAAGCTAGCTGTGAGGCGCAACGTCTCGTACGTGTAGTAGACCGCAGCTTCCACGACCTCTTGCGCCGTTGCAGGTGACCAAGGTTCAGCCGACTGGACGAGGGAGTTGCACGCACCCAGCAGATTGAGGACTACTTCCACCGCCTGTCCGACTTCGCATCGTTCGAGGCGAAGCGAAAAGTCGTCCGGCGTCGAGCAGAGGAGAGAGTCGAGCTTTGCTGAGTAGGAGCTTGCTGAAGGGCCCGGGCGCGATACAGTGGCAGTCTTTCCTCCTGCTTGTTCATCAGCCTGCGGTAGCCTAGCCAGAATCTTCTTTCCTCTGATGCGACTAGCCAGATTACCCAGCTGGCCCTGCAGGTACTTTCGCTCGAACTCCAACAACGTCCCTTCGCTCCAATCGCTATCCGTTGCCAATCCGCCACCCATCCTACAGAGGTAGCAACGCACCACATCGACTCCCTTTGTCTGCATCTCATGGAAAGGGTCGACGACATTTCCCCTTGACTTGCTCATTTTGGCCTTCTCCATCGTCCAGTGTGAGTGAGCTACTATCTGTCGCGGGAGTGGGAGGTTGGCCGCTAGTAGGAGGGAAGGCCAGTAGATTGCGTGAAAGCGCAGGATGTCTTTGCCTACTATATGGTGAGAGGCGGGCCACGCGCGGTGCAAGAGAGCAGCTGCTGAGTCTTCTCCGCTGGCGGCGGCCGTGGTCCAAGGATAACCCGTGACGGTAAGGTAGTTGACAAGGGCATCGACCCAGACGTAGATTGTTTGCGTGTCGTCCCCGGGCACGCGCAGGCCCCAATCGAGACGGGAGGAGGGACGTGAGATGGAGAGGTCATCAAGGCCTGAACGTACCTCCTCAAGGACTTCGACGTGCCGTGTCGAGGGGAGAATGGCTGCGGGCGAACGAAGGTCGTGTGAGGGAGATGCTGGGTGAATTGAACGAGCACAGAGGCACTCACCTGATGGATTGGCCTCTAGCCAGTCGATGAGTGGTTGACGAAAGGCCGACATCCTGAACTTGTAGTTCTCCTCCGAGGTCCCTGCACGGCAGATCGGTCATGAATCAGCATCTGCCCCGAATAGTGACCATCGCTGCTGCTCCTCTCCTCTCTACTCACACTCGACTCTCTGCCCAGTCTCGATCGCTTCAACCCACTCCTCCCCACTCTTATCGTCCCTACACCTCCTGGTCTGCGCCAACGGATAGAAGGCCTCATCGCTGACGCTATACCACCCCTCATGCTTGCCCTTGTAAATGTGTCCCCCATCCTCTAGCGCCCGCCACATTGCATGCACCGCGTCCCTGTGTCTTGGCTCAGTCGTCCTAATAAAGGTATGATACCCTAAGCCAGCCTCATCCGCAAGACGGCGAAAGTGTTGACTGACATCATCACAGAATCCCTTCGGGTCTTTGCCCGCCAATTGAGCTGCCCGCTGGATCTTGAGACCATGCTCGTCGGTTCCTGTTGCGAGAATGGCGCGAGTCTTGCCCCTACCTAGCGGTGCAGGAGAGTCGCGCGACCAGCCATTGTACCGCAATTGGTGCCAGCGGGTGAGGACGTCGGCAAGGACGCCGGAGTGTAGGTGACCTATGTGCGGGGCTGCGTTGACATAGAAGATTGGAGTGGTGCAGTAATATGGGGACGGTGGTGGGGCCGAGGACCGAGGGGCTGGGGTGCTGGTGAACCTCCTCGTCCAGTAGCATTCACTTGGGCGCGAGCGCCCAAAGGCCAGGCGACGCAGGGGAAGCACTGTTGTCGTCGAGCATGTTTTCGACGTTGATGGCACTGAGAACCACCTTGCCGCCGCCAATGACCTCGTCGACATGCCGGCTTTAGACCCTTGTATGCGGTGTCCAGATCAAAAGGTCGAGTGGAGAATGACGGCAAGAGACCAAAAAAGAGCGCCTCTCGCTTCTCCGTCGGCTCAGTCCGACATCAGGCGCACACCGGTCCAAGCCCCCACCCAACGAGCAGGCCGGCTCACACGACCTCTCCCTGCCGCCAGCGATCAGCCTTCACGCCCCTCTATTGTCTACTAGTGCTGCTACGTTTTCGCAATAGGAAGGAGATGGACACTATGGGTCGCACACTACTCGAGCATCGCACGTGCGACCGCTTCGTCAATTGATCCTCCCTTAGCTCTTCCCACCTCCATCGTCAACGCCTGCGTACGCTACTTCTTCCTTTCTTTTGCTCTACTGCCGCTCTCATGCTCCCTTCCTTGCACATGATCTCCTGTGTCACGCCCGCATCTGACCCCTCTCGTCGCGCCAATCCACCTCGCTCTATCTCTCGTTCCCCTCACCCTTCGCTCTCCACCTTCTTCTCACGTCCGGCATTCCTAGCCCCCCTCACACCCTCCCTCCTTTCTACTGCAGCATCGGCACCCCGGCAGCGTTCTGTGCCGAAAAGATGAACAGATTGTTGGTCGCTGCAATAGCAATCGTGTTCTCCCTCGGGTGGTAGCTGGCGTGCAGGATCTTTTTGTTGAAGTCCACGTTCTCCGTATTCATCTGGCCAGGACCCACCGCCCCCGCCCCACCTGCGGCACCATTGCCGTTGTTGGCTGCATTCTTGTTGCCTTTCTTACCACCCGCTCCCTTCTTCGTCTTGAAGGCCGACTTGTCCGCTTGCAGGACCACTTCGCCTGCGCCTGGGCTTGAGGTGCTCGATCCAGCTGCGCTACCACCTGCTGCGTCCACTCCCGGGGCTGCCTCCTTGTCGAAGATGTGGAAATAGTTGTTATACGATCCCGTCAGCAACTTGTTTCCATCCGGACCCCAGAGTGCCTCAAACTTGTCGAAGATGCAGTCATTCTCGTAGAGGTCGCACAGCTTGCTCCTGAGGTGCTCGTGTATCGGGATCGTCTTCACCGGTCGCTTGTCCATATTCACATCCCAGAGCTTCAAGGTCAAATAGTCGCGAGAGAGGATGTATCGCCCGTCTCGGCTGAACTTGACGTCGCTGATTGACGAGATGATCTCGCTGAAGAAGGACTTGGAGGATGGGTCTTCCTCCTCTTCGAAGTGCTTGGCGTGCTGGTCGCACAGAGCCGAGTCGCGCATGTCAGCAAGCTTGATTGTACCCTTTGAAGACGAGTATACGAAGTTGTTGCAGTTGATCGGATGGAACTCGGCTGATGTGATGACTTCTGTGAGCTCCTCCATGTTGACCGGCTTGATGTCGACAATGTCTGTGCGGGGGAATGGATGGGATATATCATCATGAGATGTGGCTCGACATAGCCACCTCGTATCGTCGTGTGCACTCACTGAAGCTTTGATCGCTGATGTTGAGGTTCCATAGATTGATCCTCAAATCATCGGCACTAATGTACGTCTCGCCGTCCGAGTTGACCGAGATCGAATTAATGTGGTAAGCGTGAGCATTTGCGTAGATCTTTCTCGGTACTGCGGCGACGATGGTATCGTGGTGCTGAAGCTTGGGTAGACGCAGGCTGTGGCCGCTGCCAGGGATCGGTACGGTCGGCGGAGGGAGGAGGCTGGGGTGGATGTTGGAGACCGGTGGGGGACGGAAGCCTTCGCCTGACGAGTTGTTCTCGGCCACGACCTTGAGCGACTTTTCGAAGACCTTCCACAGTCTGAGCAGGTAGGAAAGGAGGTGTGGTGGTCAGCATCGTCGTGCCAGCATCGTCTCCCTCGCACGCTCGTCCTCACTTGATGGTCTTGTCTGCGAGGGCGATGGCAGAAAGTAGGGCGGAGCCTGGTTAGCTTGAGACGTAAGGATGTGTTGCGCTCTCTCTCTGCTCACCATTTGTGCTCAAGAGGAAATGTGAGGCATTCTGTCTGCGGCACCATTTGATCTTGTTGATCTTCTCCTCGATCTCTAATGATTTCAGGTAGTCCTGACGGGGAAGTGGACGCGGGGAATGCAAGTTATCAGCTCACTGAATGCAACAAATTCCGCAGCATCGGTCGCGGCTACTCACGAATTCGGGCTCGTGCGATTGGAACTCTGTGTGAAACTTGTACTCGCAGCCCTTTTTCTGCACACGCGCGGGAGGGGTAGGAGGCTCAAGTCAGATGCTGTCTGCCGTTGCTACCTGGCAACTTGGCTGTACTGACCGACTCATTCCTCTCGAAGAGGACGACGCGTCCGCCCTTGTCGCCCGTCGCCAAGTAGTCTCCCGTATGGTCGAACTCGACTGTGGAGATGATGTCGGCTGGAGGGGACGTAGGGCGAGGAGGCGGAGGAGGATAGAGTGGTATCTCATCGTCAGCAAAAAGATCATCACCAATCTCGGGAGATGTAGGAAGCGCCTCCTCGACTTCCTCGCGGTCGTCGTAGCTGGCGTCGTAGCCAAGCTCGACGACGACGCCCGCGTCGTCATCACCGCCAACCATTGCCGCGTGAGCAAAGCAAAGCGGGTGTGGGGGTGACAAAAGATGAAGAGACGAAGGGCAATACCTCGGCGAGACCTCGATGAGGGGGGAATGCTGGCGGGATCTGACCGCCATTCTTCCTGTGTGGCGACGATCGACTCTCGCACAGACCGCGTGCCTTATTCTGGCGCGACTTGATACGATACGAAACAATGAGGCCACATATCGAGGAGCCCTCCATTGTCACAGCGACAGCCGTACCCTTGCTCTGCGCCTCGTGTGCTTACCTTCAGTGATGTCCTCTACCTCGCCCTTGTCACCAAAGCACTGCGCAAAACGCCAACCTCCCGATGGGTCTCCGTCACGCTCCATGATGGCGGGGGTGACGGATAATGGGAAGGGAAAGAAGCTCTATGGAGGGAGGCACGAAGAATGCTGCGAGCCTTCTGTGCTTAGTGAAGCGTGCAAAAGTGAAGTGAAAGGGTTGAATGACCTTTGGAGCTTTAGGACGCCTATGCCACAGAGGGAGGAGCTGCCTTGATGAAGCAAGGCGGAGCGTGTGCGATGGAAGAGGAGGAAAATGCAAGCAAGCAATGATCACCACGAGCTGGGTGGTGCGGGGTCGATGAGATGATGCAGAAGTTGCTGAAGGAAGAGCGGTGTAGACCTCTGTCCGTGAGTCAGGGTAGTGTTTTGCGTTTTGCTGAGTTGAAGTTGCTGTCGATGACGAGAAGAAGAGGTAGAAGAAGCAGATGTGTTGTATCGAGTTGGCCACTCAGTCGACAATGACAGCGGAAATGTAGTCAATCGCCTTCGTCGTCGTCGTCGTCGTCACCGCCTTACGATGATGGTGCGGTGTTTTCGTGGTGAGAAGAGATCGAGGCAGCCGTCCCTCGTCGTTCGAGGTGTGGAGTCGACGTCCAGTCGTAGTGAGTGAGCCAGAGGCGGCGACGATCTCGCGCCCGCTTTGCCTTGGCCGTCCGGCCGCTCATCCGCCCGCCCGCCAGACTCCTTGCCTGTGTGCTTGTTGAGCGAGGCCATGTCTCAGATTGGGCATTCACACGTGGCAATGGTGACGCACACGACGACATGCTCGCTCTTTGCACGCTGGATGCTACCAATCTACTCTTCCAACGCCGTCGTCTGACTGCGAGTAACCAGTGAGCATGTGCTGCAATTGAACCGCCTGAAGTAATGATATGGCTCAGCGGGCGACTGCAAGAAGGACAGTCGGCAGTCTCGCCGCGGCCTCACCGCCGCCTGGCGGGTTCTGTACGGAAGCTCATCACGAGCCGCTTCATCTATCATGGCCCGAGCACCATCAAGTTTCCAAAAGCCGAATGGTATCATTGATTTCTCGCTACTCTTTGCACAATCATCTAGCAGCGCTGGCACCCCCACCTCCACCCGCGTTCATCAATGACTCCGTCTTCTGCCTGACCCTCCTCAACTCCCTCTCCGCCTCGATCAATCTATTGCGCTCCTTCTCCAGCTCCCTCACAGCCTCTATCCTGGCAATGTCCAATCGATCAGCCTCGGCCTGCATTGAGGCCTGTGAAATGCCGTACAAGTAGGGCTGTGAGCTGGGCGCGTGGAGTGGGTACGGTGGTTGAGGCTGAGAGGAGGAGGCCGCTTGAAAGCCATGCTGTAGTCGCGATGTCTTGGGGTCCGTGAACGCTTGAGAGGCCGTTGTGGGTAGTGGAGTCGGCGGATGGATGCGGAAAGTCTCCTGCATGGCCTCTGTCGGCTCGGGGAAGACGACCTCATCGTATTGCCAGGAGTGAACAACGGGAGGAAGGGCGATGGATGGCTTTGGGGCTGGAGCAGCGTCGAGTGTCGAGGATGAGCTGGCCTCGCCCATGCTTGTGCCGCCTGCCGTAGGTGCTGGAGCCTGCTCGACTGATGAAGAGGGTACTGCCGCCGCCGCGTCTTGCTCTCTCTCCACAGGCTTGGGCTCTGAGCTGCTTTCGGCTGGCTTCTCTGCCTCACTGCTTAATGATCCTACAGCTGCCTTTGGCTGAGTAGTCACGTCTTCTACACTCGCTCGCCCTGCGATTGCCTCGCCATGTCCTTCCTTCTGAGGCGCCCCGGCGGCTGCAACTCCAGCACCTGCGCCCTCTGCTGGAGGCGCCGTAGCCGCAGCCTCAGTCGTTCCCGCCGTCGTGGCCGCAGCACTTGCCGTCGTTCCCGTCTCGCTGACCGCACTGGCAGGGGTAGGCAGTGGATTCCACGGATGCAACTTGAGGTAATGAAAAGTCTGCAAAGGCTTCTCTCCACTCTCGGCGACCCACCAAATCTTGATCTGCACCTCAAACTCTCCCCAACCGGTCTCCGTCACCTGATACGGCGGACGGTCGCACGTCCTCACTGGCTGCGGGAATGAGTCGTGCAGCTTGAATTGGACTCGACGGACGAAGTGAGAAATGTCATCTTTCCCTCCAATATGCTTGTGGTAGTCCGTCTCGGTGTCCCGGCCACGCGTTCCGGCTGCTGCGCCTGTTGACGGAGTGGCAGTAGTTGTAGGAGGCAAAGGCGCACCAGCGTCGTCGAAGAGGTGAGTGGGAAGGGGATTTGAGGCTGCTGAGCGGACAGCTACTGTCCATTTGTGTGTGTGAAGAGGGTCGGCGGACATCTTCTCTGCAGGGGTCAAGGGAGTAGCAGTCGACCCAATGAGGAGGGGGCGATGGATTGCGATGCCCTGTGATGGAGGTGGGTAGCATGTGATCAGCAGATGGTCTCCTGATTGTTTCTCGCAGCCTAGTACTCACCCGCACGCGCTTGTTCGTCATGCTGGCCTGCAAATGAATTGATTGATGTTGGTTGGGATGGCAAGCAACCACGGAAAGGGAAGCGCGAGCCTTCGGCGACGATGGGCTGCTTGCCGGAACGGCTCGACTGCCTCGACGGGCTCAATGGCTATCGACTCGAAGACAAGCCAGTCCGCGCAAGACGGGGCGCACCGACTTCTTCGAGCCGCCGACTTCACTTTCCCTCGTCGATCCTCAACACCTTGATATCTTGCCAAGCATCCACGCATTGCTGCGCCTGCCATCATGCCTCGTAGACTAGCATCGCAGGTGCCACAAACCATCTCCCGCCTCATGCAAGGCGGTTTCCTCAAGGCACCCCCAACAGCATACAGCGCTCTCACCGAGTACCCACCGGTCCAAGTCCCCCCTCGTCATCCCTACCAGCGTGCAAACCACGACCTACCCGAGCCATCCTCGTCTCACATCGCAGCCGCCACATGCCGTCGCGCCAACAGTGTCAAGAAGGTGCGCACCCGCACACCGTCGCTCAAGCCAAAGCCTATCGTATATTTAGAGGACAAGGTCAGGCTGCAATTTTATCGCGATCATCCTTGGGAAGGGTTCAGGCCAAGGATCTTGGTCGAGCACGAGACGCTGCAGAAGGAGAAGCTACCTGAGCCCGAGGTGACTGAGTTGACTTGGTGGTCGACCAACCCCGGACCAGAGGAGTAAGTGTCAGGCGAGCAGCCGAGCAAATGCCACAATGATTCGAACACCTCGTTGACACTCCTCCTTACCACTCTTTTTCACAGCGTCATCGCCCTCACCTGCCATTTGCACCGCCACCACTCCCTCTCCCTTGCCCAAGCCTACCACCACTCCCTCTCCCAATACCACACTCTGCGCGCCGAGCATGAGACGGCCTCGCGGTACGCCCTCCTTGAAGCGCAGGCGTACGGCGCCGCCTTCGCGCCTCCGGACGTAGATGGCAAGAAGGTGGACCCCTCAGATCTCTTTGCCGATCGTCTTGGCAGCAACAGCAGCAGCAATGGTGCACGCAGCAGTGCTGCATCGATGCCTCTGCACGCTGCGCCGGAGACGTACCGCGGATTTGCCAAGGAGACGCAAGCGCTTACCGCTACGGCTGCTCAATTGGCTGCAGAGTCACAGGCCCTGAACGTAGACGGCGGGGCAGGCGCCGCGGGGGCTGGCGGATCAGGAGAAGGAGCCAAACGTGTCAAGCCTTCGATGCGCGCCGATAGCTGGCAAGCAGGACAAAGCTACGCACGGCAAGCGCGGGCGATCCTGCTCGAGGGAACGGCAGAGGCATTTTCGGGAACGAGGGCGATGCAGCAAAGTGGGGAAGGGCAGGCTGCTGCGGGCTCTGGGCCAATGGGAATGCCGGGTATGAGTCAGAGGCCGGACTCGTTGGCTGAGTGGAGACCGATGTTTGAGACGCTTTCAAGCGGGAGGCCGGTACCTCAGCTGACCACTCAACAGCAGGGCCAGTCACAGCAGAGGCCAGCGAGCCTTCTGGACCAATTTGACTTGGGAAGCAGTGGCAGCAGCAGCAGCAGCAGCAGCAGTAAGAAGCAGTGAGGCAAGCGATGCGATCGAATACAGTAGCATGATTACAGCGTCTACCCGGCCTTTACATGTTTGCCTGCTGCTGTGAGGATGTGACAGAGGCCTGGGTGCCAGTACTCGTCCCGCTGCCAGGCAAGGGAAGAACGGCTTCCTTTCTCGCCCACGCAGCGATGAGAACGTGCGCGATGGCCGTCGCCGGTGGGATCTGGCAGCAGGTCAAGACACAAGGCGCGTCAGCGACATGCTCCATCGACTCGCTCTCGCTTTTTCATCTCACCTTGAACCCCTCCGGCACACCGCCCTTTGCCGTAGTGTTTGCAATGCTGCCTGGATCCTTTTGTTCCTCTGTACCGTGCCCACCAGCCTTCTGCGTCGCCTTATCGATCTTCTCAATCTCTTGCCTACTCAAGCTCGACCTTGCACTACCGTCCAGCACGGCCAGAATCTCCTTCCTCGTGAACCACTGGCTCGACTCTAACTCGTTATCCAGGTCGAGGTTCACCTTGGGCAGGTTGGTAGACGGGTCGAGGGGAGCAGAGGGAGAGGCAATTCCGAAGCACCCTTCCATCAATTGGTTAGGGAAGGGCCAAGACTGTGGGCATGCCCGGAGAAGGTCAGCTACTGTTCGATATCATTCTTGACACTCGAGCCTGTACTCACCTGACTGGAATGGTAGACGACCCTGTCCACCTTGACGCCACTCTCCTCCAACACTTCTCTACGCACGGCCTCCTCCAAACTCTCTCCCGGCTCAATAAAGCCGGCCAGGCAGGAGTAGAAGCCCTGAGGCCACTTCTTCTGCCGACCAAGCAGAAGATGCTCTCCATCCGAGCTCAAGATTCCCATAATCACTACAGGATCCGTCCTCGGGTAGCTGAAGTTTGACAGACTCGTGGTAGACGGGCAGTCACCCAGCTGGTCGTCCTGTCCTGAGGGTGCGGAGAGGCGGAGCGACTCGGTGAAGGGGGCTGGCTCGACCTTCAGCTGCCGGGTAAGCGTGGACGCACAGGCCCGCTTGTATCCGCTCCAAAGCATGTATTGCTGGCGTGAGCAGCAAGGGCAGTAGACTTGTCTCGTATTCCAGTCTACGAGGGCACGAGCCTGGGCCACCAGGGCCGCGTCGCTCATCGGCCAGTCGCCGGCGCGGCCGAGGGTACGCGTATCGACGAACTCGTAGGAGCCAGAGGAGAGTAGCGAGGATTCCAAGCGCGAGAAGGGGTGTTGCTCGACTTCGCTTTGTGAGCCAGCGATGGGCTTGGGACGATACGTGAGGGAGAGGGCGAAGTACGGTGTGCCGGGAGGGACGCCCTCGTCTTGACTTTGAGCGGCATTGCTGCTTTCTTGGGCGAGTTGACCAGGAAGAGATGGCGTATCAGTGCCCGTCTCATCAATACCGAGGAAGACGAGCACCATTCCTGACGGGCCGAGTCCTGCCGTAGACTTCTCAAAGAGCCCCGCATTCTCCTCCTTCTTCTCCTCCGGCAGACGCACCCCATTCGCCTCCGGTCCGAAGAGCTTCGCCCCTCCATCATGCCCAGACTGTCTTGCCACCTCCATGACTGGCTCCTTGACCTCATCCCAACTCAAGGTAGCTAGCAGGCCATCCTTCTCTCCCGCCTGTGGGCCCTTGTGTGCCAAGGGGTTAAGGTTCTGCAGCACAAGGAAGCGCGTCCGCGGTGAGGCTAACGCGCGGTTGAGGAAGCCGGAGTCCGTTCGCAGCCATGAGAGACGATTGAGGCTAGAGCCTGCGTAAAAGTTGACAGTCTCGAAGGATTTGAAGGGTGGGGTCGGGGGCGGCATGGTTGTTGGACGGTGGTGCGCGGTCAGGAGGAGCGGGGAACGCGGTGAGTGGATACTAGGGATGAGGCGAGCGCTACTGCTGGCGCTGGCGCTGGTGGTCTTGTGTGATGGTGCACAGGGTCTGGTGTGAGTTGTGCGTGCAGAGGAGAGACGTGGAAGAGCGCGCAGCATGAGAAGAAGCGCAGTTGCCAATGGCAAAAGAGAAGAAGGCGCTTGATGTCACACGCCAGCAGTCGATTTTCCGGCGGCTGAAAGCAATCGGGTGATCAATCAAAGGCCGGAGGAACGAGGCGATCCGCACCTCCACTCTCAAGGCTCACCGCTCACAAGGGTCCACCCAGAGCTAGACAATCGCAATAGCTTCGTTGCTACAATCGTGATGGTGATTGCATCGGACGTAGTGTTCAAGTGACACGGCTGATGATCTTTGGCTGACCTTCAGATTTCCGACTTTTGGCGACGCATCAGTGACATCAATGGATGCGGCGAGGGCGCTGACCTCATCGTCGACTCCACCTGCCTCGCGCTCATCTACGCGAGGAACTGAACGCGATCCTCGATGAGCTACTCTCTTCTTTCCCTCACATCATCAACATCAACATGGCTCCCAAGAAGAAGCAGACAGAAACAAAAGGCAAGGCTTCTGCAAGTGCGCTGGGGACAAAGCGCAAATCGACCGAGAAAGCTGAGAGCTCGCCGCCCAAGAAGAGCCAGAAGGGCGAGAAGCCCAAGAAGGAGGCCGCAACTCCAGCCTCGCAGCTTCCTCACGAGCAGAAGCTCGCCCTCCTCCGCTACCTCCTCACGCCTGAAGCCCTCGCCATCGCCTATCCGCCCATTGAACCAGGAAAAGGAGAAGTAGACCGTCCTCGCTCGCAGCAAGGCCCCAAACCCGCGCCCAAACGCCCCAAGAGCGAAGCAGCCAACGACAGCAAGTCCAAACAGGAATCAGCTTCCGCCCCTTCTTACCCTTCAAACCTGCATCTCACCCCTTTTCAGACTCTCCTCATCTCTTCTCTGCTCTCAAAGCCCATCTCACACCGTCTCGGGCTGCGCAGCATAGCCACCCTTTTCTCCCCGCCTTACAGCTACACAACGCCTCAGCGCCTGGCTGACGCGGGCGTCGAAGGGAGGAGGGCAGCCCTGTGGGATGCAAGGACGCAGCACAAGGAGAAGACGGCTGAGCAGCTAGGCAGCATCGTCGAGGGGGTGAGCGAGATGTGCGAGGATACCGAGGAGGATAGAGAGGCCCTGGGAGTCGTTAGGGGGGAGGCGGAGAGGCTGGCTGCGGAGGAGAAAGGCGACTCAGTGGCTAGTCGCCGGGCAGCTAAGAGCGGCATTACCGCTTCTCTCGTCGAAGATATCAAGGGCGTCGGTCCCGGTGCGGTTGGGATTTTCATGCGGCGCATCCAGAACCAGTGGCCCTCCGTCTTTCCCTACGCAGACGAGCGATCTCTGAAGTACGCAGCTGAGTTGGGCTTGATGGCAATGCCAGAGTTGCCTGGGGAGCACGAGAAGGGGGAAGAGGCCGATGAGGAGCGGGAGGGAAAGCTCTTCAAGGGGGCGGACGACTTACTTGCGTTGATGCAAGAGAGTAGGAAGGGTCAGAAGGATCAGTATAATGATGAGAGGGATGCTTTTGTAAGGTTGTTGGATGTGCTGATCGGGCTGGGTTTGGAGAAGAAGACGGACGAGGCGAGGAAGCACGTCGAGGAGGCAAAGTGAGCATGCTCGCGCGAGAAATGCATGTAATGATGTCACATTGGCAATCAGTCCATGTCCTCCTCATCGTCCGTGACGGTCGCGTTTAAGCCCACTTCTTCTCAGCATAGACGGGATAGAGATCCTGCGTCGTCAAGGTGTTATAGGCCACAGCCTCTGCCGTGGTAAAGTTGCGCTCCTTCTGTACCTTGTTCAAGATGGACACCACACTGCTGGCGATGAAGTCAACCATCACCACGTCCACCGTGTCCGTATCGGCGAGGGCGGTGCTGTTGCCCGTGATGGGGGAGGCGATGTAGTCGGGCGTACGCGAGTACGGAATCGCGGTGTGCACTGTATCGTCGCCCTGGCCCGGGCAGGAGTCCTTTGTTACGTAGCCCAGTGTAGGCTTGTCGGCATCCGCTCGCGCGTCCAGCTCTGCGAGGTCGCGAGCAGCCGCCTCTCCAAGGCCCTCAGCTTGACTCTGTCTCCAAGCACGATAAATGTGCTCCACCTCACCACGGGCGTAGCGCTGCCTCTCCTCGTTCAACTTGGCGTCGCTTTGTCGCTTCGAGTAGGCGCCCTGCTTGTTCAAGGCGGGAAGGATTTGTCTGGCGTACTGGAGCTGGACGTCCTTGAGGTAGAGGAAGGCGTCCGTAAAGGGCGAGACGATGTACTGATCGTTCTTGGTAAAGTCCCCCGCAGAGATGTCGAAACGCTGGGCCCCACTGTTGGCGAGGACGAAGTTCGGCTTTCCCTTTCGGTCGGGGTTTGACGTAGAGATCACTGTTGGCAGGACCTGGTTCTCGAGAAGGTTCAGCAGCGACGAGTTGGACGTGATAGGCACGCGGTCCAGGTAGTAGTCCTGCGGTGCTTTGCCGTAGACGTGTGTGAGATTCCAGTCTGAGGCGACCTTCGCCATCGCTTTCGTGATGTGCTTTCCCTTGGCTGTATCCAGCTGGTGGACGTCAGTCAGCCCGAGGTGGAAGGCGTAGTTGCGGCGGTTGGCGTCAATGTAGGTGCGGGAGAAGGAGAGGTTCCCACCCGAGGCAGACTTGCTACTTGAGAGATTGGCGGACAGCCAGCCGATGGTCTCGAGGTATCGACCAGCTTCGAGACCTGCAGAGTGAGCGTCATAAGTCGTGCAGTCGCGGATATGTGTGTGACCTCCGAAGACGAGAATAGGCGTTCTTGGATGGACGGCGCGAATGGCATCGATGACGTACGGCCACTCATCACGGCTAACAGGCATGTGACCCGCTAGAAGGAAGAAGTCGGGCTCCTCTTTGATTGCCTCGGCGAGCCAAGCTTCCTTGACCATGTCCTTCGGGTCCTGAATCGTGATACCACCGTCCTGACCCTTGAAATTGTAGAGCACGCCCAGGGAAGTCACACGGCGCCCGCGTTCTGTGCGGAACTTGACATACTGCTTGCCAAAGATGTGCGAAGCGTTCTTGCCTGTCTGAGGGTCGGCAATGCTGATGTTGACATTGGAGCTGATGTAGCGGCCATGCTGCGTTGGTACGAAGTTTCGGTAAGTGTCGAGGGCGACCTAGCATAGAGGGGACGGGGAGATCTAAGGTCAGCATGAGGTGAAATGGCAATTGTTCGCCCAGCTCGTCAGCCTCACGTTGTACTTGTAGAGCTCATGGTTGCCAACAGACAGCAGGTCGTACTTGATCATGGCGTGGAATTGGTTGGAGACATGTCCATCGACCTGATTCGGCGGGAACCCGTCGCTGAGGCCGGCACCATCGTGCAAGTCACCCGAGTCGACGACGAGCAAGTCTACGCCCTTCTTCTTGGCCAACGCTCGCAGATGCGAGACGAAAGAGGCAAAATCTCCCCAGTCACCGCTGTAGTTTGGCTCGGGTTGCGTCGCTTTCAGGTGACCTTGATACCAGCCGTGGATATCAGTCGTGCTCACGACATTGACATCTCCCCAAGTGAGCCTGCGAAGAAGGCTTGTACCACCCGAAGGCTGCGTAGCATAGCGGGAGCTGCGGGGAGCCAGACCATGCTCATGATCCAAGCCAGGGCAAGCGAGAGCGGGTGCGGCTAGCAAAAGAGCGGCGGCAGCGGCTGTAAAGAGTCTTCGCAGCATCGTAGAGATAGTGGGTGTAAATGAATGTTGAGGATGCTTGCGGAGTGAGATCAGGCCAGCCTGACTTTATACACGAAATTTGCGCCGGGGGAGCGGGGCAATGGTATCTCGAAGCACGTTGCACCTGCACCAGGTGAGAAAGAGGGAAGAGGATCAGGAATAGCCCCTCGAGCTGACCAGGGGAGCACCCTAATCAGCCAGGGCCCGCTTAGAGACCAACAGACCAAGCTGCAGCGCCGGTGCGTCTGTGCGCGAGCGAGACGAGCGATCCGCCGGCAGCAAGACTTGGCTCTCGGCCTGGGTGTCGTGTGCGAGCGAAGGAGTGAACGTGTGGGGTTCGGAAGAGCCGGCGATCAGTCGAAAGCGCAGGCACCGAATGTGATGGCGAAGTGATCAAACAGAGGGAGCAACTCCATTGTATTGAGAGCAGAGCACCACAGCATGACATAAGAAATGAAAAGAACCCCTGATCGATCCACGCTACACTCCGCTGCACCACTCCACGCTCAGTACTTGAGCGTCTCCATCATACCATCGAGAACCCTGAGCGCGTCGGGCTTGTAGAAGAGCTCTCCAATGTGAGGGAAGGGCGTGTCCAGCCCCGCGATACGCTTGATAGGCGCCTCAAGGTGAAGGAATGCCTGCTTCTGGATCTCTGCCGAAATCTCCGCGCCAACGTTGCCGGTCATGGGCGCCTCACAAACGATAACGCAGCGTCCCGTCTTCTTGACACTGTTCACGATCGTCTCTCTGTCCCAAGGGAGAATGCTCTGCAGGTCGATGAGCTCGACGCTTGCATTGCGGAGCTCCTTGGGAATGTGCTTCTCCATCGACTCGGAGATGCCGTTGCCCGCGAGGAGGTCAATGGCTTGCATGCACGAGTAGAGGGGAGCGCCCCACGAGATGAGAGTAATGTCGCTGCCCTTGCGCAGGATGTCGGCTTGGCCGATGGGGATTGTGTAGTCGTCGACGGGTACCTGTTCGACGGACGAGCGGTAGAGGATCTTGGGCTCCATCACTACCGTCGGGTCAGGGCTGCGAACGGCAGAGAGGAGGAGACCCTTGGCCTGGATAGGCGAGCGAGGCATGACAACGTTGATTCCCGGGATCGGCATGAAGAACTGCTCAACCGATTGGGAGTGGTAATGGGCGCCGTGTCCTACGGCTTGGCAGGGCGTGCGGATCGTCATCTTGCCCGCATTGAATTGGCCACCAGAGCGGTATCGGAACTTGGAGGCCTCGTTGATGATCTGGTCAATGCCAGGGAAGGTATAGTCGGCAAACTGGATCTCGCCAATGGCGGTGTGGCCCAGGGCGGCCATGCCGATCGCCATGCCTACGATTCCTTGCTCTGAGATGGGAGTGTTGAAGACGCGCTCAGGACCATATTGCTCGCGCAGGCCTGCTGTCGCTCGGAAGACACCGCCGAATGCTACGTCCTCGCCGAAAACCTGTGGACGGCGGGAATGGGTACGAAGATCGGGAGGAAGGGGAAATGGCGAGAGATTGGTGTTGACACGTCAATACTCGCACACGCACAGTCATCGCTACAATGCTAGCCAGCTCACGCAAGTGGTCTCGTCGGTCGCCAGAGCAATGCCTTGGGCCTCGCCGATAGCCTAACAGAGCAGAAGGGGAGGTAGAAGGGTGAGCAAATCATATCCAAGAGATGAAGGGTGGATCTAGACATTGCGGGAACCCAGGAGCACGAATCATTACAGAGCCACGAACGGGAGGGGGTTGTTGGTACATTCTATTGGTGGAGAGAAGGCTGGCGAGGGCGAGCCGGGAGAACGCCAGGCAAATGAGCGAGCATGAAGGGAGGAGACGGGGACAATCAAGCACGAAGAGCTTGTCGACCGCCGTGCCCGCACCTCTATTGCTGCTGCTGCTCTTTTGGCTCCTTCTCCTCGAGCTGCCTCTTCCTTCCCTCGAGGGTGAGGGCAAGCTGAGCCCCAGATGCCATCGAAAGGATAGAGGCAATCTGGCCCGCGGGCTGGCTGAGCAGACCGACAATCTGCGCGCGCAGCGTCTGCAGATCCGGCAGCTTGCCCACTTCCCTCAGGCCGGGAATGTCGACGAGGCGGTGACCCTCGACAATAGCAGCCAGAGGCACCAAGCGCGGATTGACTGCCGGCGTTGCAGCACCTCGCTTCACAACGTTGCCCATGGCTCGGTCGATGACGCCTAGGAGCTTGCTGACGTAGTCTGGCGACAGCGAAGGGCTCGTCAACATCGCTAGAGGTCCAGAGAGGATGCTCTCCAGCGTTGCCAACGAGGCTTTGCTGTCCGCACGGACTACGTCGCGCAGCGCAGGACGCAGGACGCCGGTACGCGTGACCGTCAGGCGCGCCTGCTCCGAGGCGTCAACGCCCTCGGGGAGAGGTACAGCAGCGAGGTCTGCCCTCAGCTTTGTAGCCTCTGCGACCGAGAGATTGTTCGGCTGAAGGAAGAGGACGAACTGCGACTTCTGCAGCAGCCTAAGGTACTGTGCATGAAGGAACGCCTTTCGCGCCGGATACTTTCGGTTGCTCCTCGACGATGACGGCGTCGAGGGCGTCGGCGGAGGTACGGTAGACATATGGTTCGGGCTCGAGCTCGCAATGGACGAAGCGAAACGGTGGCCACGTACCGTGCACATGTTCATCTTGCGCGTCTCGCGCGGTGCGTTTGTTTGCCCGTCCGTCCATACGAGTCCCGGGGTGGCAAGGGCTTGCTTAGAGGTGGTGGCGAGGAAGGTCGAGGGTGTCGATGGAGCGGGGGCGGCCGAGCGGCGTGATGATGAGAAAGCGCGCCTTGACATGAGCTGCTGGACGACGGTGGATCCGCGGGTAGCGTTCTTGCGAGCGCCGGCACCAGCGATGGTGTGGAACCGAGCGACAGCCTCAGTCGGCTTGTTCTCGGTGAAGGGATCGTTGCGGGGCTCGAGGTAGTGGCTGCTGCCGCTGTGTGCGGCCTGAGGAGCATCCTGGGAGTCATGCGGGAAGGGCACCTCGATGCTGCCTCCCTTGAGGTTCATGAGGCGGGTCTGGTCAACGCCATCCTCGAAGATGTCCTCCTTGACGTTCCATGCCTCGGTCGGGTCTACAACGCGCTGGATCGGCTTGTTCTCAGCCTCACGGGTGAGGTGCTGGACATCTGACCAGGGCAGGTCGATCTGGGTGGCTGCGATTGCTTCTTGGAGGCGCTCCATTCGGACAGATCGGGTAATGGGCTGAATGCCACGAGCCATGTGCCATGCGAGCTGCGCTTGCGCTGGTGTGATGTTGTTGCGCTTGGCGACGTCTGCGATGATCGGGTTTTGCGCGTATTCCTCGGCGTAGTCGCTGCTGCCCAGGGGGCTGTAGGCCTGCACCTGGACCTGGTGGGCTTGGCAGTAGTGGAGAAGCTCATCGTTGGGCACACCCCAGTTGACCTCGACCTGGTTAACCTGAGGCTGGATCTCGGCCTGCTCAAGGAGGTAGTCTGTGCGACGAATGTTGAAGTTGCTGATTCCGATGTTGCGGATCTTGCCCTTCTTCACCATCGCCTCGAGATTCCTCCATGTGACTGCAAGGTCCTCTGAAAGAATGTGGTTCTCGATCGGGCGGCCATCCTGAGACTTGAGAGCAGAGAGCTCCGAGTTCTTTGGGTTGCGGAATGCTACCGGCCAGTGCATGAGATAGAGGTCGAGATAGTCTACGCCAAGGTCTCGCAGGCTAGCGTCGACGCCCTGCCGAGCACCCGAAGCCACGGACGAGGCAGTGAGTCAGTACAGAGTGGACGCGCTGCGCAACCAGGAACTACGTACCATTTCGACGTTGTCGCCATGGAACGAGTTCCACAGCTTCGAGGTGATCCACAAATCTTTGCGGTCGATGCCGGACTTGCGAATAGCCTCTCCGGTGGCTTGTTCGTCTGAGCAGAGAGCGAAGGCGACAGTCAGCATCGATTCACAAGGACATCTCGTACGCCGGTTGTGGCTATCACTACTCACTCTTGTAAGTCCACGCCGAGTCAATGTGACGGAAGCCCGCCTTGAGGGCCTGCGATACGGCAGGCCCTGCCTCTTCAGGCTTGAGCTTCCAGGTGCCAAAGCCCAGCTTGGGAACCTTGGCGCCCGAGGCCAGCGTGAAGCTCGACGAGGCCGCCGCCCTACGAAGGGCAGCAGAGGTATGCATGCTGGGCGTGCTAGTGTTGTATCTGAAAGGCTACTGCGACGGACGGCTATCTATGGGGGAAGGGAAAGGGGCAAGAAAGGGGGGTAGATGGTGAGATGCTGGGTCAGTGAGGAGGAAGAAGAGGAAAGGAGCGAGCGTGGAGTCAAGGACTCACTTAAGAAGGCGGTGGACCTGGACAGGGCACCGGCGCGAGCTTGAGAGCGTGAGGGTGTGTGTGACTGCTTCTGCAATGCAAAGCAAGTCGAGAGTCGGCGGCAACGGCGATGAAGGCGACGGCGACGTGGTGGTTGGATCCGACAGATGCTGCGAGCGACAGCAGCAGCGGCAGCTAGAGCAGGAGTGAGTGGCTGGCTGGCTGGCTGGCTGGCTGACTGAGAGAATATCCCGCTTGAGGCCGGGGTTGAGTGAAAGAGGGCGCAGCACTTGGCCTGAGCGTGCAAGGGCGGAGAGGGCCGTGAAGAGGGAATCGGTGACGAGAGACGAGAAGCGGGGTAGAGATGAGATGCCTCTAAGCCATGAGCAAAGTCGTCGCAGGCGCATCGCCCGTCTTGCACTTTGCGCGCCGGCGCCGGCGCCTCCGTCCGTTCTATCGAGCCGATCAACGGCGGAAGCCACGTGGCTGCGATGGTGGGCGACTCATCGTCCTCGCACCGGTGCCACGACAGGAGGGAGGGAGAGAAGGAGATGTCAATGATGGTGGCCCGAGCATGCCAAGTTCAACGCAGAGCTCTGCCGAAAGCTCTGCATCGCGTCGAATTCAGCTTCACTTGCAATGGCATCGTCAATCATGCTGATATTTGGAGTCGCCTGACCAACCCTCTTCAAACTGGTGGCTGGGCAAGCGGAACGGCAGTCTGAGGCGGGCGGATGGATGGGCGTCCTTTCGTCGTGCCGTGTGCCAGGCAGACAAGGCGAGCCACCAGGGCCAAACGCAAGCAACGAGCTTTGGGGCGGGCGGAGACGACGCGAGGTCGAATCGAGGGCTCAGAGAGTGGATGACTGGGTCGACGAGACGGAGGCGGCGACGACGGCCACGAGTGTCGATCTTTTGGCAGCGTAAACGACGACGCCTAGTTTGCTTTCCTATTGTCACCTCCAACATCAATCGCCTCTTCCTTGCCATCCTCACACTCTGCGCAACTTCGAGGCATCATGTCGAGCAACGTTGAGATTGGAAAGTAAGTAGGCGCACCAAGAGCGAGGGACGGAGGGATTGGGCCTCAAATGGCGTGGATGTGGCAATGTGGACTGGTTGGCTGACCTCCATCCATCTCTTCTCCTTCACCCTCATCTTCTTTCGCGCCGTCAGGAACCGCAACAGCGACATGGTGGCACCCACGCCCCAGAATACGCCGCTGAGCAATGCTCCCCTCACCAGGGAGGCTCTGTCGCGTCCTACTGTCGGCACCATTGGCGAGGAGGACGAGGGAGCAGGTGAGCGGGAGCCCAGTCAACAATGCCATTCGCGAACTTCGTACTTACGCCTACTTGTCCCTTGACCGCTTTTATCACGCTCTTCAGATGTCGCCTCTGCCCTCTCCAGCAATCCCGCTCTTGCTGGCTTGATGCAGGACAAGCTCAACAGCCTCGTCGGACGCTCGTCTGGCTACATCGAGAGCCTTCCCGACCACATCAAGCGTCGTGTGGAGGGTCTCAAGGGTCTCCAGGTGGTGAGTAGCATTACCATGAGCGATTGATCGAACATGTCTGACCTCGCCGTCTCCTCTCGTCTTGTGCAGGAGCACACCAAGATCGAGACCGAGTTCCAGAAGGAGATCCTCGAGCTCGAGAAGTGAGCTTCCGCTTCTACTTTTCTTGGCTGAACGACAAGTATTCCTGACCATGTTCCCCTATGCTTCCCCGCCGCTCACAGGAAGTACGCCACCAAGTACGCCCCAATCTACCAGCGCCGCTCTGAGATCGTCAACGGCAAGGCCGAGCCTACCAGGGACGAGGTCGTCAAGGGTGAGGAGTCAGAGCCTCAGGAGGAGAGCGACGATGAGGACGACGAGCCTGTTAAGAAGCAATCATACGCCGATACCGAGGTTCCCGCCGATGCCAAGAACGAGGGCATCCCTGAATTTTGGCTCACCGCCCTCAAGAACCACGTTGCCCTTTCTGAGCTCATCGAGGAGCGTGACGAGGAGGCTCTCAAGGCCCTCACCGACGTTCGCATGTCGTACCTTACCGACGCATCGGGCTTCAAGCTTGAATTTGTCTTCGACACCGCCAAGAATGACTTCTTCACCGACTCGATCCTCACCAAGACCTACTATTACCAGGACGGCGTCGGCTACTCTGGTGACCTCGTCTACGACCATGCCGAGGGATGCGAAATTCATTGGAAAGAGGGTAAGTGTACCGCACGATGCAGTCGGCATTCGGTTGCTGTCTTGTGAGCATGGCGGCTGACCAACGTTCCGCTGGCTCCTTCACCTCACTCACTCACTGCCAGGCAAGGACCTCACTCACAAGGTCGAGACAAAGAAGCAGCGCAACAAGAACACCAACCAGACGCGCACTGTCAAGCGCTCCGTCCCCACCTCTTCTGTCTTCAACTTCTTCAATCCCCCTCGCCCACCAAAGGACGGCGACGACGAGGATGTTGACCTCGACGAGATCGACGAGCGTCTCGAGCTCGACTACCAGATCGGCGAGGACCTCAAGGACAGAATCATCCCGCGTGCCGTCGACTACTTCTCGGGCAAGGCGCTTGCGTACGAAGATCTCGATGATGATGACTTTGAGGACGAGGACGATGAGGATGACGATGATGAGGATGATGAGGATGAGGAGGACGATGGCCGTCAGCGTAGGTCTCTCGGCGCTGGGTCGCAGATGGCTGGGTCACAAGATCCCCAGGAGTGCAAGCACCAGTAAGCGTGCGCGCACAGCAGAGCCGCTGAGAAGGGACAGGACCAGAGAGAGCTGACGAATGCCGAGGAGGAGAAGGAGGCGTGTCAGGGCAGATGCGAGGGTGAAGAGGCAAAGGCAAAGGCCAAGCGTGTCTCTCAAGTTATCCACATTCAATCCGAGAGCCAGCGAAAGCGACCGTTTATAGACTTGAAGCAGGGGCGTGTTGGAGTGGGCGAGGATCGAAGGGGGCAATGTGAGAGGAGCACACAGGGAGGCAAAGGCTTGGGCAGCATCAGGCCAACCACCGCAGCGAATCTCGCCGATCGGCAAAGACCATCAATCTCCTCGTCGAGCCTTCAGAAATCAAGACAAACCCATCCGACAATGAGCCAGGCTGCAACGACGAATCTTTGTATACAGAAAATTGACGCGAAAAAACAAGCGCAATCGTCATCTCGCTCGATCTACGCCTCCGTCCTGCACTTGACTGACTGATGCGATTGCTGACGTGGGTATACAGATAATTGACATGACCAATGGCTCGAATACGGTTTCCTAAGTACGTCGTCCGCTGAAGAAGCCCTCAAGCGTCTTGCGCTTCTTCCCTGCCCCGCCACTGCCGCCGCCGCCGCCGCCGGCACCATCGACTCGCTGTCGAGTCTTGACCTGCTGATCCTTAATGGGCGGGTTCCGCTTCTCTCCAGCTCCTGTCCCGCCGCTCAAGCAGGCATCGATGTGTGCGTTCAGCTGAGCATTACGACCGCTCAGTGTAGAGCCAAAGCGCATGACTACGGCCTGAGTACAAATGGGGCAGATGGGATCTTCGAGCGGCTTGATCGTTGCAGTCTGTGAAACTTGTTGCTTTCTTCCTCTTTCGCCAGCAGGTTCGGTTGCAGTAGCAGAGCCGGTCTTCTCGAACCAACCCTTCGCAGTTTCACTCTTCCCACAACTCTTGGCCATGTCCTCCGCCTTGTTGCTCTCCTCGACAGCGACGAGGACCTCCTCTTCGGTGGGAGTCTTGCAGCGCGACTTGACGGGAGAGCGTCGCATGCCTTCAGGCGTGGAACGTCGTAGCTCAGAGGCAAAACTGTTGGCTGTGCGCTCTGCTGCGGGTGGAGGGGACCAAGGGGTTGTATTGTTGATCGACAAGTCGGTGTCATCGAGGCCTTTGGTGGTACTACTGTATGCATTGGCGGGCGATGGGGCTAACTTGCCGCTTTCATCGTTGCCGCCGCCGCCGTGGCTATCCATCTCCGCCAGCGAAGCCGCGATGGCAAGGCGGAGCTGTCGCGCTTCCTCGTCCTCGTCCAGCTCTGCGTCGTCTTCTGCGCTGCGGACCTTGTCCGGATCATCGAGATCCCTGCGCAACCTCTGCCGCCTCTGGACGCTACCACTCTGGCCTTGCCCGCTCCACAGCTTCTTGAGTGGCCCTCCATCCTCCGGCTTGCGCACGTCCTTGAGGGTGCTCACTCTCGCTCCGATGAGCCGCAAGCTCAAGCCTGGCTGTATTTTGAGCTCGTGCTCCAGCAAAGTTCGCGTGATACGGAAGATATCGTCTGCCTGTGACACGTACCCCGTCTGCGTCTGGTCACGGGTGAAGCGCTGAAAGTCTGCCGCCTTGCAGGTCAGCGTTACCCTCTTGCCGACAAAGTCTAGCTTCTTGAGGTCTTCAGCCACTCGATCTGCCGATTCGCGCAGTAGCTCCAATAGTCGCTCCGGGTCATTCGTGGGCTGGAATGTATGCTCCCGGCCAACAGACTTGCGCTCCTCCCTCTTGCCAGGCTCTACTATCGATGAGGCGATTCCGAGATTGTAGCGAAGAAGCCACTCCAGGTCACCATCTCCGAGGACGAGAGCGATGCGTACTCGCAGACGCCAAATGTCCCCGCAAGTCTCTACGCCTAGGGCTTGAAGGATGCGCTCCGTTACGCGACCTACGCCAGGTACCTTGCGTACAGGGAGGGCATGCATGAAGTCGATGCAATCTGATGCGGTGGCTTCCAGCCTGAATTGCCCGTCAGGCTTGTTCTTGTCGCTGCCTATCTTGGCCAGCATGGTGTTGGGCGCTACGCCCACGGATACCGTCAGGCCCGTCTCCTCTCTCACCTGCCTCCGCAGCTCAGCAATCGTATCGTCCACCCCTACTCCATTGATCCTGCAATGATCCGTGACGTCCAAATACGCCTCATCGAGCGACGCCTGTGCCAAATTCGAGTCGAAGCGCCTAAAGATGGACATGACGTCTTGACTTGCAGCCACGTATGCTTGCATATCATTGGGCACTGTGATCAAGTGAGGACAGAGTGCTTCGGCGATGTACGTCGCCATGCCTGATCGGCAGCCATACGCTCTCGCTTCGTACGAGGCGGTGACTAGCACTCCCTTGCCTACGCCGAACGCCTTGCCCTTGAGCGAGGGGTCCCGCTTGAGCTCGACGGCCCCATAGAATTGATCCATGTCGCAGTGCACGATATGCCTGCTCAAGTCTCTTGTAGACTCTAGCTTGGAAGCAAGAGCATCGGCCTTCTTTTCGATCGCGAGCCATTCGGGACCGCCTTCAGGCACAGCTCGAAGCCTTTCGTCCATTCTGGCGAGCATAGCTTCTACTTTGCGCGTGATCCGCTCATCGTTGCGACGCTCGTTCTCGAAGTACTTGGACCCCTTTGAGGCCTCATAGATTCGACGATTGATCTCTGCTTGGTCTAATGCGAGGCCAGCCTTTCCTGCTGATGGCCCTCCCATGCGTTTGAGAAGAGAGGCATGGGGAGCTGCGTTTGTACTGTCTTCAACGCGGCGGCGCTTTTGAGGGGAGATGGAGGTAGGGCGAGTATCAGGGGCAGAAGGTGAAGTACTCGAAGACGATGCAGCCTGCTGCTCGTCGACGGAGAGGGACTCCATCTTGCGCTAATGAAGGGCCCCCTTCACAAGGTGTTGATTGATTTGAATCGACTGGCAAGAAGCAATGTGGCTTCGTGGTGGTGGCGGCGAGGAAAGCGAGCGGAAAGCGGCGCCTTGGGATCCAGGGCCGCCAGTCCGCTGCAGCCTCGATGCCGTTGCGTTGCTCCCAAGTCGATGGCAAGGCGGAGGCGGAGGCGGAGGCGGAGGCGCCAGAGCAAAGTCGTCGTCGTTTCCCTTCGGTACCTCTCGAATCAACTCCATCTTCTGTCCCTCATCGTCGTCGTCATCACCATCGCCTCACGACGAAGGGGTTAAAGCATCCCCGCTGTTGGTAGAGCCATTCGTTGGCCAAACCTCTCCCTTCTTCGTCATGGCCGCGCAAGGGCAGGGGAGTGCCCCTCAGCCAAGGCCTCGCCGCAAGAGCCTCTTTAGCTCAAAGGCGTCCAAGGAAGCAGCCCAACAAGCGTCGTCCTCGACTGCAAATCCATCTACCTCTTCTCCTGCTCCACCGCCTCTGCCTACGTCGCAGCATAAGACCGAGGCAGGACCTAGCAAGCCCCGTCAACAGGGTCATCGTCGCACCGGGTCGAGTCTCGTCCGGGTGGCTAGTAACAGCACAAATAGGCTCTTTGGCCTGGCAAAAGAGAGAGACGACGGCCCTCCAACTACGTCGACACCCCTTGCGTCATCGCCACCATCTTCTTCGGCTCCAAATACCCAGTCTCACACTCGCAATCGATCCGCCTCTGTCGGCATAGATGCCATCCGCTCGCCTCCTAAGCTGGACCGTTCCCCAAGCTCAGCATCCCATGTTGAGACGACATCGTCATCATCTGGTGGACGTCCACGCTCAAGCACATGGCGTCGACTACGTCCCGGTTCTAGTCTGGGTAATCACACCAGTGACATGGACGCGATCGATGATGTCGGCCAGATCACCGTCAAGGGAAGAAAGCTGCCGCGGTCCAGCATGCTGGCAGCCTTCAAAGATTCTGATGCAATCGCTAAGGGAGGCGAAGATGTCAATGCCAGTTCCGAAGCGGCTCGCCGATCATCTGCCTCGCCTCAGCCTCAACAACGCAAGGGGCTCTTTGCTCGTTCGCCCTCCTTTCAGCCAGTTCGACCATCGACAAATAGCGAAGCTTCCCAGCAAAGGGAAGGAGGAGTAGGGGGTGGAGGTGGGGGACCGGGCCTGTTGCGCAGGATCGGCAGCCGCAATCGTCTCGGCGAGGTGTCTCGAGAATCGCTCAATGCTTCTCAGGACAGCCTGGCCAGTACCGGTGCGGCTTCAGCGGTCAGCTCCACTGCGGCTAGCCTCGGCAGACGAGCGGGCAACATGGCGGAGAGGGCCATGCCCGATTGGCTGCATGCTAGGTCAGGGCGGCACTCAGAAGGCGATGGCGGTGATAGCGCGTCAATCCTCTCTGTGCCCCGCCACAGCATCGAGGCCGTAGCATCCCGTGTCTTGCCCGGCGCCAATGTCCAAGCTACGCCAGGAGGAAGGTCACGTAGCGGATCAGCTTCTGCGGCTCGCCATCTTGCAGCGCCTGACGAAGGGTACGGTGAGGGAGGTTTGCCAAAGCGTCTCTCAGGCTGGCTGCTCAACATACTAGCGTCAGACAGTCCACCTCAGAGTGCGGCGGTCACGACTACTACTACAACCACTGCAGAGTCGACCAAATCCCCTCCTTCTTCCTTGCGGCGGCAAAGCAACACATCCGTGGCGTCAACAGCCTCGGCTTCCAGCAGAGCTAAGTCATCGCAAAGTACCAACGCCCCCGGCACCGGAGGTAACGTGGCTAAGCCTCACCACCACAACGCGGGTCCTGGCTTCCTTTCCAATGCCCGTGCGAGGGCTCAAGCAGCAGCAGGAGCGGCTGCGAGCACCGCGGGGCTCGAGAGGGCATTGCGATATATACATGAGGGCGGTCAAGAGGAAGAGATCTGGTTGCTTGGCGTGAAGCACGGCGGGCGAGGAGCCCCTGTAGAGACAGCTTCGGCGAACGAGAGTGGAGTGACGCAGCGTCTCGGCCCTGCCATCGAGATTCAGGAGGCTAGTGCGCCGACTAGCCCGGTCAAGGAGCGCAGTGGCGATGAGCCTTCTCCGCCTTCGGACGATGACAACCGGCCGGGCGTGCGCAAGTCGACTGCCAGCGAGGAGACGCCGCGCAGCTATGCCGAGACACCCACCTCGTCTACAGGCTCCCCAACAAAGCCACGGCCTTCCGATGCTACCTCTCCGCCCATGCCCAAATCGTCCCGTCATCGCCCAGCAGCAGTGTCCTCGCCAGGGACAAGCACTCAAAAGGGCGACCTACTGCATCGCGTTGCCTCTTCAAACGACTTCCAATCTGACTTTCAGTCGCGCATCTGGTGCACATATCGCAACCACTTTGGGCCGATTGCCAGGGATGGAACCATCTCGAAGGAGGCGGAGGAAGCGGCTGCTACCATCGCTGCAGCTGCTTCTGAGGCTGCGGCTGGCAATGAAGCGGCTTCGCGCCCTGCTAGCTCTCTGTCAGGTTCTGTCACCGCTTCCGCACCTCCCGCTACACCATCAGGCCCGCGCAACGCTGGCAGCTGGCTGACCCGTCGCCTCATCGACGCCACACCCGGCATGGAGGCCGCCTCGCACTCCTCCCCCTCCCTTGGGGCCGCTCTAGGCGTATCACCCAGCACCAGCAACACTACTACCACCACATCCTCCTCTCCGCCCTCGATCACACCTCCTGCCCCTATCCCTGCGCCTGCCTCGTCGCTCAGCGAGAAGATGGGCATTCTTCCCAATCTCTGGGGTCGCGCTACGGCTGCCGTTCAGGCTACAGGGCTGACAGGTCGCTCGGGTCTGACCACGGACGCAGGGTGGGGATGCATGTTGCGCACAGGACAGAGCCTGCTAGCAAATGCCCTCGTCGAGGTGCATCTTGGACGCGACTGGAGGCGTGCTCCGCTGCCAGCTTCTCCTCCTCCTGTCGTCTCCTCCGAAGCAGATCAAGCGGCCTACCTAGCCAGCCGACGCCGCCAAGCTCGCTACGTGGAGCTCTTGAGCTGGTTCATGGACGATCCGTCCTCGTCTTGCCCGTTCAGCGTGCACCGCATGGCTCGCGAGGGCAAACGCCTCGGCAAAGAGGTGGGCGAGTGGTTCGGGCCCAGTACCGCTGCGGGTGCGATCAGGAAGCTGGTGGATGAATGGCCGCAAGCGGGGTTGGGCGTGTCGACAGCGACGGACGGTGTCGTATATCTGAATGAGGTGAGAAGGGCTGCGAAAGCTCCATCAAATTCGGCGGGAGAAAAGAGAGCGCGACCGGTTTTGATTTTGATCAACGTGCGTCTGGGTTTGGAGGGTGTCCATCCAACGTACTACGATTCGATTCGGCAGCTGTTCACCTTCCCACAAAGCGTGGGGATTGCCGGTGGCCGGCCTGGGTCATCGTATTACTTCGTAGGGTTTCAGGGGGGTGAGCTCCTCTACCTGGATCCGCATCACGTCAGGGGAGTGGTGCCATTCAAGCATCCACCGCCGCCGGTGGCGAGCGTGAGGAGGGAGAAGGAGCAAGGAGACGCCGTGTCCCAGGAGCTGGACGAGAACGACGAATCCGAGCGCGCCCGGACCACTTGGTATCTCTCCGCCTACTCTGACGCCGAGCTTTCCACCTACCACTGCGATCGCCCCCGCCGTATGCCGGTGCGCAGCCTGGACCCCTCAATGCTGCTGGGCTTCCTTGTCGATATCGATCCGGACACTGGAGACATCGAGCCCTCACTGTCCGATCTGGCATCGAGAGTCAAGTCGCTTCCAAAGCCGATCTTCAGTTTGCAGGAGGCAATGCCTAGGTGGATGAGGGACGATGATGATGACGACGACGAATTCGATGAAGGGGATGGGCTGTCCACTGGAGGCGGGAAGGCAAGTCAAGTTGATGACGATCCCTCGCTAGAGAGCTTCTCGGAGAGTTCGCAGACGGATGAAGGCGACGTAGGTACTGGCAGCGAAAGAGGCGCAGATGAGGATTCCACCGCGACCAGGGGACGCAGCGCTGCGGGTCAACGAGCTGCTGACGAAGGAGACAAAGGAGGGCAGTTGGACGTCAAGACGATGCTCACCATTTCTCAGGGATCTACGGACGAGCGACCCAGCCTCACTTCTGAGGATACGGCCACCTACACAACAGCGGCGTCCGCCCCGTCTTCTTTGCAGCCGTCTCGCGACACAGAGACAGAGCGAGAGCGACCGCGCCTCTCTTCGATGGCATCCGACGCAACGGCTCGCAATCCTTCGCGGAGGGGAACAAAGCGCTCAGAAGCATCCTCTACCACCATTGGCCCCTCGACGATGACCGCGTCGCGTCCTGGCGCCCCTTCAAGCCGCACGGATGAAGCCACGCCCAGCGCGGACAGCAGCATGACAACGACGACGAGCAAGAGCAGCGGGAGTGGAAGTAGTGTGCCGTTCCCCTACGCTGCTGCGAGCGAAGCAGCGAGCCCACAAGAGCAGCACGAGAGCCCGCAAGCGATCCAGCTTCCCACTTCACCTAGGCAAAGGAAGCCGATATCCCCTCCGACACCGCTGCGCGACGAGGCAAAGCCCTTTGGCCCGCGCGACGTGGAACAGCAAAGCAATGGCCAAGAACACGGAGCGAGCCGCGCCTCGAGCCAGGAGATTGCAGAGGAGGAGGACGGAGTCTTCATCGACCCCTCCCCATCCAATACCTCGATGACGCAGGAAGAGAGCTTCTTCAATGTCGTCCCATCACCAGATGATTCGCCTGGTCATCCTCGCCCAGTCGATGAGCCACTCAGCTCAGCTACAGGCCATGGAGGCACTGCTGCGCCGGCAGTTACGGGCTCGCACTATCAAGTGCCGCCGACAAGACCTTCCGCAGCTTCAAGACAGGACACCTTCTCGACGTCATGGGAGGACGTGTCGCCTGCGTCTGTTGATGCTGCTCAGCGGACCATACCGTCGTCGGCCCAACAAAGTCAAGGTAATTCGACCCGTGGCAACGAGCAACGTGTGCCGCAGAGTGGGGGCGGTCGTCAGGAGGCGAGGGAGAAAGCCGCGTCAAGGGCACAGGGAGAGGAGGAGGGCTGGTCGCCCACTTTCGGGCCCGTGGAGTGAAGGCGCGGTGGCCATGTGTATGGCGGACAACGTCGAGGGAGAGGAGATCGACGCGAGGACCTCGAAGCGTTTGCTGCGGCCGACATTATAGTCTCCATATCGTCGCATCAGACTAAGATCCAATTTGATACCAGCGCGTCCAATGACGTGCAATGCTTCGACATTATTATCATAGGCGAGACGTGTGAATGTGTACATGCCCGAGCCCAAGTCCCACCGTCTAGAGATACCTCGCTTCCTGGTCCGCCTCGTCCTGCTCCACCAATCCCAGCTCCTCAGCCGGTCTCAACGACATACCCGCGCCGGGAGTACCTGCGGCAGGAGTGGGAACAGCAGCAGGTTGAGCAGCTGGCGGTGGAGCCGAACTGCGCCGCTTGAAGATACCGCCTTCACTTCCGCCATTACTGCTACTCGCCGCAACCGCCGCAGCAGTAGCAGCTCCTCCACTACCGCCTGCGGCTGCCACCCTTTCAGCCTCTTCTCTCCTTCGTTCCCTCTCCTTTCTCTTACTGAGAACATCAGCCGCAAAGAGCGTAATGACCGTGATTGCCGCGATACCGAATACCAAGGCAAGGGCTCGACGGGTCAAGTCCCATTTGATGCTCTGCTCAATTTCCGTCTTGAGGTCACTGAGGCTAATGGTGAAGCGATTGTTGAGATCCTGGATCTCTTGCTCGAGGCTATTCTGCTCTTCCTTTGCTTCGCCCTTGCGATTATTCATGTCTACGGCTATGTCGTGCTTCATGGTCTCCATGTCTTCTTTCATCCTTTGACTCAATCCGTCGACTTCCCGCTGAAGCAAAGTGGTGATGGAGCGCAAAGCGGCGGCATCATTGCGAGCGCGCACTTGAAGCTCGGTGCGGAGCTCAGAGAGAGCGGCCGTGAAGAGGTAGCGTTGGTTCTCTACTGCGACGCGATCCAGGAGGAGGGAGAGTGTGTGGCGGGAGGATCGATGAAGGAAGGAAGAGGTAAGGTCGAGGATTGCTTCTGCTGGGTCGTGTGGACGGTGAGGAGGTTGAGGGGTGAGCTCGAAAGTGGACCCGCCATCCTGCGATGGAGGTGGTGGTGGAGGAGTTGAAGCAGTGGACGTTTCGCCGCCTTGTGCCCTTGCAAGCCAGTCAAGCACCTCTCGTCTCCTCTCCATCGTCTCGCCCTGCCCCTCCCCTCCCTGGGCCGCAGCTGCCGCCTCGGCGACGCGCTCCGCATTGAGGAAGCCAGCATCCTCCAAACGTCGAACGAAGGCGCGCGTGTCGAAGAGGTGATCCAGGGCTGGGCCCGTTGGGTCGAGGTCTGCTGCTTCGAGGGTGGGCGGGCTGTCTGAGGGGATCACGCCTGTTGCCGGGCCAGGGCGCGGTGGAGGAGGCGAAGAGGAGGAGGCACCACTGCCACTTGCCGCTGCTGAGCCGGCTGGCTGCTGCTGCTGCTGCTGCTGCCCCGCGCCAGGTCCTCCATGAGGTGCTGTCCCGGCCCCTGCTCCAGACCCACTCGCTGCTGGAGGTGGCTGCTGCACAATAGTCCCATCCCGGTCAACATTCCACGGCCCCGTCGTCGCGCCCGCAGCTGCGGCGCTACCGAGCCCCAAGTTCATCGAAGGAAGGGGTCGCTCCAGCTTTTCTTGGGCTTGTTGGAGGCGCTGCTTCAGGAGCTCAGATGAGCTTGTTGTGGTGGTGGAGGAAGATGAAGAGGACGAGGAGCTGCCTTGAGAGGAGGTGGAGGAGGAAGAGGAGGAGGAGGGCTGCGATGTCTGTGGTGTAGAAGGGGAAGACGGCGTTGCTGAGGCAGGAGAGGTTGATGAAGTTTGCGCTGACTTCGTTTGCGGGCTCGACGTTGAGGGGTGCGGATTTGATGTCGAGGCAGCAGATGAAGGCGCAGCTCCAGTAGTCCTGGCCTCGCCCGCCCCACCAGCAGTTCCTTCCGGCGTCACTGACCCTGTGGTAGCCGACTGAGCAATCGGGGTCTCTCTGCCAGACGATGCTGATCTAACTGTACCCACTAGCGGCTCCTGATCCCCAAGCTTTGTCGATGCTGCCCCGGCTTGGGCCAACTTCTGCTGCTGCTGCTTCTCCGCCTCTCTCGCAGCAATCTCTGCTTGCCGTGTAGTTGGGTCAGATCGCTTGTCTGTGACTCTGACTGGTCCCTTTGGGGGCGCGCTAGATGCATTCGAGTCAGAGGAGGATGACGTCGAGGCGGGCGAAGATGATGATGGTGATGATGAAGCTGCTGCGCTCGTTGCTCCAGGCTTAGCTTCATCAGCTGGAGTGGGAGTGGCGGCTGCTTTCTTCTTTTCCGCCGCCTTGGATGTTGATGAGGAAGCTGATGATGCCTTGCTCGTTCGCTGCGGCTTGTTCAGCTGCGCAGTGGTAGACAAGGGACGAGTGACCATCTGGGCCATGTGTGAGGGGACCGCGCCGGTCGAGACCATCGCCCTTCTTGCGCGACACCGCTGTGACCGCCTGAAGGGCAGCGTCGGCGATGTTTCTGCAATCAAGAGTCTGGCGGCTCCTTGTATGCGCATGGCGGACGCCATGTTGATCTTGGCAGGGCTGGTGGTGGCAGAGAGAGGTAGGAAGGATTAGAAGGAAGGCGCGGAGAGAAACCAAGGCGGCGGTGCGCCTTGGCTTGTGTGTTGGTTGGTTCAGCCGGACCTCAGCCCGAGCAATCACTCCGAGCCACGCGCCATGGCCAACACCGCCGTCACAGCTTTCAGTCTAACTGAGCGCAACTCATCGACAAGCATTCAAAGTCGAAGCGTGCAATGAATCTCATGATTGAGTGCTATATTACAATTGAGGATACTCCTGGTCATCACTCTCCTCCTTCAACCTTCTCTGCACCTCTTTTCCTCTCTCCTCCTCCCTCTCCTTCAGAAAGTCGACCAGTCTCCGCACACGATTGTCAACACGCCAGCCGCGCCACCCGAAAGCATTGGGACGACTATGCTGCTCCGTCGTCTTTGACGAAGAGGTCTCTGCCGCGCCATGAAGCCTGCTGCGGTATCCGAACTTGGCCTCCAATCTCTCCCACACATCGAGAACTCGCCCGTCGTGCTCGTCCCCCATGCAACGTCGCAGCGCCGTCAGGATGAAGAAGACCTGCCGAGGTGAAGGGGACAAATCAAGCTGCGTCTCCCACGTAGCCGGAGAAGAGGCGTCATCGCGACGAGATTGACTCTCATCCCCAGCAGTGCTCGGCCCGTTCTCTCTAAGCTTGGAGATTGTGGCCTTGACCGTGATGTTGGCCAATCTCTGTCTCTCTTTCTCCCGCTCTGCCTCCTTGATCCGCATAGCCGCAGTACGAGGCTTGAGCATGAGAAGCTCTTCCACGTAGGTATTAAGGTGATTGATGTTCCAAGCTAGGCTGGGATGTTCTCCATCCGTCAGTAAGTCCTCGCGAGGATGCCAAACCTCTCGTCTTCGCCCACTTTCATCCTCCTCGTAGGACAGGACAAAAGGTACGCCACGGAATGAAAAGCCTTGAATGACGGAGCAGAGGGTCCCAACGCGCAACGGATGGTGTTCGCTCTCCCTTCCCTCCTCTTCGTTCTGACCGTGTTGGCGGAGGAAGAGGCTCGTGATTTTCGGCGGCGCAACGCCAGGGTCGAGGGAAGAGCGATAGTCCTCCACCACCTCTTGCACTGCGTTGAAGTCTCCGCTGACGAGGGCGTAGTGGCGTATGAGCACCTCTTGCGTCATTGACGTCGCGTGAATATGGGAGGGTAAGGGGATGCCCAGGAGCGGAACTACCTCCTCCGCTGTCGCCCCTGCCGGCTGTGGGTACGGCTCTGCCTCGTGGTCAGTCGCTGCAGCGATTGACGTAGCAGGCCTGCCGAGTGATGGTGTGAGGCCGAATAGCTGTTCGAAAACAGTAGGCTTCCTCTGCCTTGCTGCTTCACCCTCCGCTCTCTCCTTCGACGCGCGCAACAGAGCCATCTCGCTTCGCACAGTGTTCCAGCGTAGCGCTTCGTAGACTTGGCGTATCTGCTCATCAACTGACGGTAGCAGCAGCGTGGACGACGGTGATGCAGCAGTGACACTGGATCTTGAGATGAAGGCACGCTCTGCCTCGCGTTGAGACTGAGCGGCGAGTAGGGATCGCAGGATCGGCTGGTGCCTGTGTTCATCAACGCGTAGCTCTGTCATGGCTTCTCGCAGTGCAAAGGACAGCTTCGAATACTGTCCAAGAGCTTCGTGTATGTGTGCTGCAGAGAGCAGGCCGAAGTCGTGGGCTTCTACAAGGCTTTGGCGGACCCGGTCGAAGCCGAAGATCTTAGCATCTGCGGTGGCAGACGACTGCGCTCCTGGGCGGCCGGTAGCCCACTTTGCAAGGCTGGCCAGCAGTTCGCTTCGCGCCTTCTTGCCCTCCATCTTGAGCCTCGAGGCATACGAAAAGGCTTTGAACCCCATGCCCTCAGTCTCCATGGTCGTCCAAATGCGTTCGAACACCGCCGCAGCCGTAGCTACGTCTAAGGGCCTGTTTGGATCGGTGAGAACAGGCCAAGTCCAAGGCTTGAGCGGATGGCTTTCCGGGTCAAGGAGCTCCTCTGTGTGTCCTGGAACATGGTCTTCCGCTGCGAGCTCACCTGCCTCCCCCTTCTGATCGTACGCCGCCCGCGCCACGACGTCCAACAAAAGGTTCAGCCGGCTGCCCCTTGACTGCGATCTGCTGATCGGTCTCTCTTCATCCAGCATTCGCAAAGCTTCCATGGCCTCCACCACGTCCGACTTGCCGACCATCCACGACCCACGCGTAATGAGCATCACCAAAGTCCTCGCCGTCGTCTGTGCGCCCAACAAGCGTCGCCACTCCTGGACCTCGCGCGGTGACCCGCCGTATTCCTCCAATCTCTGCCTCGCCGTACGTGCGCAGGTCGTGAGCATGCGAGCCATTTCCAAGGCTTTGCCCGTTCCCAGGTCGTGTCGGCCGTCCAGCCTTGCGAGGAGTGAGCGCGTCTCCTCCACCGAGAGGAGAGAGGCACCTCCGGGTAGATGTACTACAACGTCCCTGAAAGCGGCTTCCAGTTCGGCGAAGGGTGCTGAGTGCCCTGCATCGAGCAGCGTGAAGAGCCGAGAAAGGCGGGCAGCGCGCTCGGAAGCTGTCGTGGTAGCGAGCGCAGGTGAAGGGAGGGGAGAAAGATGCTGCAGGTGGGACATGTTGAGGCGGGGAAGGTCGGCAGCAGGCTTTGCGCCATAGCTGTCTTTACCCCTCCCATTGCGCTTCACCCCATCCTTTGATCTGCGCGGCTTCTTTGGAGATTTGCGCTCTCCCGGTGGATGTGGGTGAAAGTAGCCTCTTGATAATGGAGGCGGCAAAAGGCCTGACGTCGTGCTACGACTAGCTCGCTGCCAAGGAAGGGCAAGTCGGGCGGCCATGCTATAGCTCTGGATTGAGAGGAGAAGGCGTCATGCCATTGTGCAGGATGAGCGCAACGAAGTAAAGGCCGGCGATGGTGATGAGAGATTGCAAGGGTGCTAAGTTGCTGCCCTCAACGTCGTCGACTGGGCCTTGATGTTCCTAAAAGCTCGCACCGACGCCGCCTTTCCGTTTCCACGTGGTGCTGCTTCCGTGTCTTGCGATGGTCCAATGCTTCTTCGCGCTCTGGCCAACAAGCTGCATTCATTCAATCCCCAACGCTCCTCCTGTCTCTTCCAGATCCCCTTCCTTCCCGTGAGTCTCGCCACCTCGGGCTCCTCTTCCAACAGCAATCCGATGCAAGACAACGAAGACATCTTTGCCCGTCGCGACTTGCGAGACCCACGCTTCTCAACCTGGAAAGCGCCCAAAGAGCTCAAAGGCGGGCATCATCGTGCCGTACGATGTCTAGCCTGGTCGTGTGATGGGCGTAAGCTTGCCTCGGGCGGAAGTGACAAGGCAGTGAGGATCTGGCAGCCTGAGAGGGCTTCGCTAGATCGAAGCAGCCAAGAGCTGAGAGGGCATACGGATACGGTCGAGGCCCTTGTGTGGGATCCAACGAATCCGGAGAGGGTCGCGACTGCTGCCCTGGATAGGACCGTCAGGTGAGCAAGCGAGGAGGCGAATGTATGAACCTCGTGAGGGACTCAGCCTGACATCCTCCACTCCAACTCGCCAGACTATGGGATACCCGTACCCTGCAGCCCATCTTCACTACCTCGACCCCTGGCAGCAATATCAATCTTTCCTTCCATCCCAAGGGGCATCTGCTCGCCGTCGGCAACAGGGAAGACGTTCTCTCCCTCATCGACGTGCGCAATGGACCCGGCAAGATTCTAGGAACGATCAAGGCCGGGTCATCGAGCAGCAATGAGGAGATCAATGAGATAGGCTGGTCCAACGGTGGCAGCATCTTTATCGCTACAACGGGCAAGGGGTATGTGAGGATGTATGACGCTAGAGCGCATAATGATCCGGAGAAGCTGGTGGACGAGGTAAAGCAGACAGTGGGAGAGGATGCTGACATGACCAATGGCAGTGACTCTACCGCGCCTAAGCCCATGCCAACAATCGACTGGCCACCGGTCCACACCCTCGTGGCGCACACGGCCACCGTCTTCTGTGGTCGCTTCGACCCGCTCGGACGATACCTAGCAACAGGGAGCGCCGATGCCACAATCGCCTGCTGGACGCTGCCTGAGCTTCAGTCGCACTGGATGGCTGGAGGGGACCTGCAGACACCGCCTCGCTCCATTTCCTTCAGCCACGACGGCGAGTTCATCGCCGCAGGCGGGGAGGATGCAGTGGTGTGGATTGGGTCGACTGTTGATGGACGCAGGCTGCATAAGCTGCCTGCGGTAGGCACAGTCAATGCGCTGAGCTGGTCTCCTACAAGGCATTTGTTGGCTTATGCGGGCGACGAAAGAGGGCAGGGACAGGAGGGGACGGTAAGGGTCTGGGGATTATAAGGTGAAATCGAGGTATTGCATTTCCATCAGAGGCACACTAGACGATGTTGCTCTCCACCTTCGTCAGGCGTACAGCGCCATCTTCCCCGGCCGACAGCAAAAGTCCGGTAGCATCTTTGGCTTCCTCCTCGCCCGCCGTGTGCGGCCGCCAAGCCACTTCGTTAATAGCGCCAGAGTGGTGGCCGGGCAAGGTCAGGAGCAAGCGCATCTCCTCCGGATCTCCTGTCCTCGCAATTTGGTACACCGCCACCGTACCATTGTCGAGTCCGACGGCTAAGCGATTCCAAAGGTCAAAGGCAACAGCGGTCGCACCAGCGGCGAGACGCGAGACGGTAGCGACGAGAGCGACAGGCCCCTCCTCTTCGGTGGCATCCGCGCCCTTCTGCTGACGCTGCGCAAGCACTGCGCTGGGTGCCAATCTCCAAATCTTGACGGATCGATCGCGCGAGGCGGTGGCGAAGGTCTTCCCATCGTCGGCCCATGCGGCGTCCCACACAATGCGGGTGTGGGGAAGCTGTATCTGCTTCGACGTCTCTTCGTCATCATCGTCTCCGTCCCCGCCGGCAAACGCAGCGAAGCGCCATTCGCCAGCATCACTTCCATCTGCCTCCTTCTCGGCACGCTCAACACTCCACAATCTCCAGCTTCTATCCCTAGACACGCTCAATATCCACCTGCCGTCTGGGCTGAACCGTATCCTAGTGACACTCAAAGAGTGACCTGGGAGAATGGCCACCTGCTTCCAGTGCTGCGAAGCGTCGTACACCCGGATGGCGCAGTGTTGTCTGGAAGTGGCGCGGCACGAGGTAGCGACGAGGGGGGAAGTGGGGGATGAGTCGACGCAGAGGAGCTCGTACCCGTGTCCATAGAGTTTGTCGAGCTCCGGCCAGAGGGTCGTGGAGAGGAGCTCTTCCTCCACGGGAGGACGCGGATATGTTGAGCTGGTGCCGTCGCTCAGGGAATGGATACTGCCGTTGGTTTCGGCAGTGACCGTTCGGCCAAGATCGTCTACTTGCGTGTCCTCTCCGCTTTGCCCTTCGTAGACGGCGCGATTCGACAGTCCGAGAGCAGGAACCGTCGCAGCGAGTGGTCGAGCTGATCCTGGCGCCTGCTGACCGCTTGCCTTCGCAGAAGCCTCTATGTCTTCTTTCTGCGACTCGGAGACTATAGCTCGCATCCTCCGTCTTGCCTCTGCCCTGACCCTTGCACCCTGCTCACTCAGCCACTTGCGAATGGCCGTACTCCCCACCTTAGCCGCAGCCAACTCGGCCGCACTTTGCCCTTTCACATCCGTCTCTCCACTCGCGCCTAATACACCCATGACGTACCGCTGCAACGGAGCACTGAGGCCGCGCTCCTTGCGCGCATTGTCTATGTAGTCGCCACCGCTTACCGTCTCCTCTGTGAGGAGCATGGCTTGCAGCTCAACCTCCGTCCCCGCGGGACCGGCAACGTCCTTCAACGCGGCGAGGTTATACCTCATTCTCCTCTTCCTTGGCATGGTGCTCGTGAAGGTCTGCAAGAATTGACGAACGGCAGCTCGCCTTTCTTGGATGGATTCGACAAGCTCGGGGTGCGTCTTCTTGGCTAGCATCGAGTCGCCTGTGATGCCTACAATGAGTAGTTCGGTGGCAATGAGGGCCGAGAGAGAGAGAAGGATCTTGTGACCACAGTGCAGGTGGTCAAAGGTCCCGCCTAGGGCGAGGCCAGGATGGTGAGGGAAAGGCGGGCGACTTTCGACATCGGCTTCACTACCCTCTGCAGCGCTGGTGGAAGCATCCGGTTGAGCGGCAGCCTGACCTAACCGCAAAAATTCTGGCGCCAAGCTGCTCGTCGATCCGGGCCTCTGAGCAAGCAAGAAAGGCAGGACTGCAGTCGAGTCCTTCACCGCCCAGAATCGTCCACACCGCAGCCTCTCTGTCGCACTCGCCTCCTCCGATCCCCACTTGCGCACAACGCGCGGCGCCTGTGCCTGACCGACGAGGAGGGCATCCACGTCCAGCAGGAGAGCGTCACGCTGTACAGCCACGCCCCACGCTTGAGCATACGTCCAGCGCAGTATTGTCTCAATCTGCGAGAAGCTGACGGTTTCCAGCCCCAACTCCTCCCCTTCTGTAGCGCAGAGCGTGTCGAATTGTGCAGAGCACAGCACGATTACCAGCCTGTGCGGCCTCGGTCCAAGGCAAGTCATTTCCGCGGCTTCACGAATCGGCCTGCCCAAGTGCTCAAGGTGCGTCGTGCTCCCTTGTTGCGCATCGAGCTCGCGGGGCAGCGAAAGGGCCAATAAGTTGTGCGTTGGCGTAGCTGTAGTTGCCTGTGATGTCGCTCCGAGTCGCCTCGCACTATCCACAAAAGACTGCGGTGCCGCGAACAATCGAGCCACCTTCTCCTCGGCAGCGCTTATGAATGACAACCCGTCCTGAAGCCAAGCAGCGCACTGCAAATCGTAGCCGTGTGTTTGTGGGCGTGCGAGCTCGTGCCAAGAAGACCCAGTGGCAGGGTTGCTGGAGCGGACCTTCCCGAAAAGACGTGCTGTGCGATCGAGGCTGGCCGTCAGGAACCAGTCCCCCTTCGGTGCCCAGCGTGCACTCTTCACCGCTAGTGCATGCGCCGTGATCGCTGGGCGACTCTCCCATCTTGCACCACCTGCCTCGCCGCCTTCGACATGGCTCCACAAGTGTACCGGTCCACCCCAAGCATGCGATGCCACGGTGACATGGTCTCGGCTGAGGTGCCACTTCGGATCGAAAAGGGCACCAAACATTCCCATCGCTCCTGCCCCTGCTACACCTAGTTCGCCAAAGCGGTGTGATGGCAGCCAGAGGGAGGAGGTTGCTTCTGCTGAAGATAGGCCGGGCAAGGCTGAGCCGCCCACGGGGCTGGTGCCGGAAGGGGTCCAAAGGATCACGCTATTGTCGACGCTTGAGCTCACCAGGGCGGCGGGCTGATCCTGAGCCGGAGTGGTCGGTGACGTGGGCATCCATCGTACCCCGGTCACCCAGCCCTCGTGTCCGGTGAGGAGAGCGTCGAATGTGATTGCCCACGAGGCTGAACCGGAGGAGGTGCTGAAGGTGTGTACCTTGCTTGATAAGGCGGCAGAGTCGCTCGCGGCTTCATCTTCCACCTGACGTGCGAGGGCCTCGAAGGCGTCGTTTGACGGGGTGGAAGAAGCTGGTTGTGCTGTTGGTGCTGGCTCGGTCGATGGCGATGAGTCTTGCCGCCTGATTCGCCAGAGACGGACTGAGCTATCCTGACTGGCACTTGCGAGGCAGAGAGCGTGGGAACCGTCGTCCACTTTGGAGGGTGAAAAGGCAGCAGAAAAGTCAAGCGATCGTACCCAGTCATCGTGCCCAGGCAGGGTCAGTACCTTGCTGAACGGCTGGCCGCGCTGTTCTGCTAGCCAGAATACAATTTTGCGATCCGTGGCTGCGGTCGCCATCAGGATGGCGCTGCTGCCTGGAAGTGAGACGAGGGAGACGTCGAGTGGGAGAGCGTTACCTAGCTCGGATTTTGAGGGGGTGAAGGTTTGAATGAGTTGCGGCTGCGTTGTTGCTACATCTGCTGCGGGCGGCCGTGCGCTCAGAGAAGCGAGAGAAACGCTGTAGATCGAGATGGTACCGTCTGAAGATCCAATGCCTATGATCGTTGCAGCAGCCGTATCGTCGATGCCTTGCCCGCCGCGTTCGACGCCAATGGCTTGAACAGTCCCTGCCGAGGAGCCAGCCGTACGAGATGACTTGACCGGAACAAGCGTTGCTTTGGAGCTTTTCGCCGGCTTTTGCGTCAGATCGAATGCCATGCGCCAGCTCAGGGGCCTCCAGAGCGAAGAGGTCTTCGACGTTGAAGCAGCATCGTCGTTGTCATGAGACGCTTCGCTGCCAACCCAGATAGCCGCCTGTCCATTGCCCGCCCCGGCGACAAAAGCGAGCGAACCCGCTTCCGCTGCCAGAGGGATGAATTTGAGCGTCGTAATCGGCGTCGTGAAATGCGTGTCGACCAAGTGGGACAGGCCACGATGATTCGAGTCGGGGTCGCCTAGGTTGTATGCGACTGCAATGCTGCTGCTGGATCCATAGGCGAGCACCGAGATGGGCTCATGACGGTCCTCTTTGGGCTTGTAGAGGGTCCAATCTGCATTGTGTGATGAGCGATTGACTCCTGCTGAGATGTAGGCGTCGCTGGCTGTCGCCATTCTGACGATGGTCGATGGTGAGAAAGTGAGAAGCGCGCTTCCTTGTCTCGGACCTCGCCTCTGTTCCGTCCGTCCAATCTTGCAGTCCGCCCATGGAATCGACTCCAGTCCGCCAGTCCGCCTCCTTCAAGATCCAAAATCTTCTCGCCATCCTCTCGCTGTCACAACAGCTCCTCCTCTCAATCATGGCAGATCCATCTTCGTCATCAATACCCGGCCCATCAGAAGCCTCAGCTTCACTCTTCGTCCAATCCGCCCCCGTCCCTTCGCACTTCGAGAGAATCCAAGGTCCAAACTTCGAGGAGCCGCAGGACATCAATTCCCTTCTGGCTAGCTTTGCCAATGTCGGATTCCAGGCGAGCGGCGTGGCTAAGGCTGTTGAGATTATAGAGAAGATGAGGAGGTGGAGAGGAGAAGAGCCCAAGGACGATGATCGAGATGATGGGTCAACAGAGCCGACGCCGCAGCGATGCTCCATCTTCCTTGGCTTCACATCGAATCTCATCTCCTCAGGTCTACGCGAAGTCCTCCTCTTCCTCGTCAAGCACAAATACGTATCCTGCCTAGTCACAACAGCCGGTGCAATAGAAGAGGATCTGATCAAATGCCTCGGCCACACCTACCTTGCCGACTTCCACCTCGATGGCGGCGAACTGCGTAAGCGCGGCATGAACAGGATCGGCAACCTCGTCGTGCCTAACGATAATTATTGCAAGTTTGAGGATTGGGTCATGCCGATCCTAGAGAAGATGAGGGAGGAACAGGGTGAGAGTGTGGAGAATGTCTGGACGCCTAGCAGGGTCATCGAGAGGTTGGGGAGGGAGATCAGCGACGAAAGCAGTGTCCTCTATTGGGCGGCAAAGGTGAGCCTGAGCCGCAGCGGTACGCGTGCTGTGACATCGGCTGATCCTTTGTGCCTTCGCTGGCTCGCCCTCGCAGAATGAGATCCCCGTCTTCTGTCCAGCCTTGACAGACGGCTCGCTGGGCGACATGCTGTACTTCCACAGCTATAAATCACCCAATCTCACAATCGACCTCGTGAAGGACATCCGCCGCTTAAATGACTTGTCACTCAAAGCTCCAAAGGCTGGTATGATCGTCTTGGGCGGTGGGGTCTGCAAGCATCAGATTGCCAACGCCATGCTGTTCCGCAACGGCGCCGACTATGCAGTCTATGTGAATACAGGGCAGGAGTTCGACGGGAGTGACAGTGGAGCCAGGCCGGATGAGGCCATCAGTTGGGGGAAGATCAAGAGTAAAGAGAGGGGAGGGGAGAGTGTCAAGGTGTACGCTGATGCGACAATTGTCTTCCCGTTGCTAGTGGCGGCTACTTGGGGACGAGCGCATTGGGACGAGCAGGCAAAGAGACGACGAGATGAGGAGCCCAACGGGCAGCAGAAGGCGTAGTAGGCATAGGCAAGCATGATGGTATCCACTGGGAGAAAGTGTGTCCATGCACCTATATACACTATCGTCTCGGAGCAATCTCGTAGCATCGTCACCAGTCAGAGAAGCCCTCTATCTAATCTACTCTAGTCATCTCCACTCCCGGCGCGCATCAACCTCTTCAGCCTCTCTAACTCCTCCACAACCCCCTTGACGTCCCCCTCGTGCCCGCGCCTCACTTCCTCACCCAGCGCAACGCGTTGCACCAATCGTCCCACCTCGGCCACGACCTGCAATCTAGCCTTCTCCCTCTCCCCGCTTAGGGCCTCCAACACGGCTTCGAGGCCCTTGCGCTGCCCCTCGCGTCCCTTCCACTGCTCCTCTACCTCCTCCAGCCTCTTCTGAGCAGCATGAGCAGCAGCGCGATGCTCCGCGACCGTCTTCCTGAGCTCTTCGCGCAGGCCTTGGACCTCGCCTTCCCACTTGGATCGCGTATTGGCCCAGGCGGAACGCAGGGCCTCATAGCTTCCCTCTGCTTTGGCCGTCTGGCGACGCACGTCGCCCAGCTCTGCTTCTACTACGCGGACACGCGTCCCCCACTCTCGGGAGGAGCGGCCGAGCTCTTTCACCTCGCTCTCTGCTCGTCGAGCACGCTCGAGTGCCTCCGCAAGGCTCTTGTCCTTTCGCATCAGGGCCGTCTCGCGGCGCTCGGACTCGACGCGTGCTGAGGCAAGCCCCTCTTTGGTGGAGTCGTACATCCGTTGCAAGGAGGAGAGATTCCTCTGGGCCAAGGAAAGCTGTTGGCGCGTGGTCTCCAGAGAGGAGCGATAGTGCTCGACATCATTTGTAAGGCGTTGCACTACCAGGTCGGGACTCGGGTCTCGGGGTGGGTCGGGAGAGGAAGGCGAGGTGGCGGCCTCCCTTTCACTTTGCGCTTGCGAGGCGGTGAGGGAGGGGCGACGGACGTACCGCGGGATGCCCTGTACCCGGTCGTTTGTGGCTCGTCGACGGTTTTCGCTCGCGCGCGTCGGAGCGAGGAAGCCCGTCTGAGATGGAGCTCGATCGCTGGTCCCGCCGTCGTCGACGTCCGTCTCGGCCTCCTTGACCTCTTTCAAGCTGCTCTGTCCATTGAGGCTGATGCGTGTGGCAGCAGGCGAGCCGCGATGCTGAGGCTGCTGCTGCTCCTGAGCATTCGCCGCGCTCGACGCGCGCAGGGGCAGCGGGATGGACGAAGAGGGAGGAGTGGTTCCAGCGTCGCGCCGTGATCGGCCGCCTCCAGGAGATGGACCTCCTCGACTACCACCGACGGTGCTGCTGTTGACTTCGCTCGGCGGCGGGTTGATGGACTCGTGTGTGCCCATCGAAGGGAAGGTTGCGCGTGTGGGAGTGGTTGACTCGCTGCTGGTGTGAAGACTACCAACGCTGCTGCCTCTCCGTCGTGGTAGGCGGGATGCTTCTACGGCTGAGGGAGTCGAGCCTGCATAGCCTTGAGCAGGCATCGAGAGACGTATACCGGCTCCCTTGCTGAGCTTCGCCTTGCTTAGAGGCACGATGATTTCGCCCTGACCATCGGTGGTCCCTCCGCCGTCTGGTGCTTGCCCTGCTCTGCCTTCCATCAATGCAGCAATCTGTGCATCCTTTTGCCTCAGCATATGCCTCAGATCAACAATGTCCCGCTGTATCTGCTTCAGCTCTCCATCTCCTTGACCAACCAAAATCGAATCACAGCTGTCATCCTGCGACGATGTGAAACTCGTGCTGTTATCAGCCGACCGATCCGCATCGCTTTCGCCGCTCTCCCCCGCAAGACCTTCTTGCGCCTTGATCTCGTCGACCCGCCGCTGGTCGGGAGCAGGAGTTCTGCGAAAGTGGCGTGGGCCGATGTCGAGTATACGGTTTCTGGGCGTTGAGGGCTGGCGAGCAGCTGACGTTGGTGGAACCGTCGAGGACTGAGTCCCCTCTTGAGGATCGCTCGTGGACTCTATCGCCCTGCCTGGTACGACGTCCGACGCGGCCGCCTCGGATGGTCCTGCGGGTTTCGCTGACGTGGTCGGCGATAGTGCTGGCAGCTCCCCCATTGGCTCTGGCTCTCGCCGTGAGGACTCGTCTGAGGGTCTCTCAGTCGCTCTTGCAGCAAGGCTGCCCTCGGCCGCTCTGATCTCGTCCAGACACTCTAGCAATGCGATATTGTCCTCCCACCCAATCATGTTACTCTCAATCATTCCCCTCTCTCTACACCTCGCACACTCGTCCGCAGCCCATCGCAACGAGTTGCTGTTGCCTGCTCCTGCCGTGCCCGCAGTCGAGCTCGTAGGCGACATAGGCGACGAAGAGAGGTGAGATGTACCGGTAGCAGCCCCATTGAGCGCAACCGCCGCTTCTTGAACGGCTGTGAGCCTCTTGGCGGCCACCTTGGTCTGGCCAGTCTTGCGCTTGACGACCATTATGCCCAACCAGGCGCGCTTCTCTTTGGCCAGTTGCGTCAATGCCTTGGCTTGACTGCTAGAGAGCTGCAAGCTCGCCGGACGAGGGATCAGCACCGACTTGCCAGCGGATAAGGCAGAGTGAGCGTAGTCGAAGAGGGCGTGGGATGAGGAAGAGGGTGACGAGAGGCAGAGGAGGAGACATTGCGCTGGCGTGTGGCTGAGGAGATGCTGCATTGAGCCGAGGAGGTGTGGTTGCGTGGATGCTGATGACGAGGAGGGCACGGCAGCAATGACCTGCTTCCACCATTCTTCTAGTAATGGTAGTCCTTCCTCGTCATCCGATGCCAAGGCAGCGATGAGGTGTTGGATAGGAGCTGATTGAGCTGCCTCACCACCAACTGCCACCACCTCCTCGAGGAATCGCTTCGCCTCGGTGGAGCGTGGCAGCCCTACGATGCCCCATCTGCACACGAGTTGGGACATTCGCCGTTCTGAATGATGATGCCAAGCGGTGAGGACGAGTCAAGTGGAAGCAATGCAAAGCTCGCCCCCTCTGACTCTCGAGGCTCGACTGCGTCCAACACACACACTTCTCGGATCTCAAAGGCGGCGGCGGACGTCCCGCGCTGCCCTGCCTCGCCCCGCCCCGCCGCCCTGAGACCCGGGAGAGCAACAGCAAAAGCAACAGCGGACCAGAGAACGCGAGACGGCGCGTGGCATAGTCAACTAGACGAGGCTACGATGACGATGGGGCTAGGACGAGCTGACGGTGATGATGAATATATGCCAATGCAGTATACATTTAGGCAAGGACAATAGAGTGGCCACAGTGCGCCCACATTAGAAGCGCGAGAAGTCGGGATCTTGCAAAAAGGCACTCAAGATCGACGAGCCGGTCTACGGGCGAGGGGGGTAAGGGAGCAGGTCAGCATGCTTCGCCTCCGTCACTATGCCGATGCTTCTAGCTCTCTAGCGTTCTCACCTGAAGCAGAGGATGGCTTGCCACGCCGGTGATGAACCTCTCCAGCCCCTCACGCCTACTCTCGATCACCTCATCCGTGAAGCGGTTAGTGAAGACCTTGCCCGGAAGAGGGGGGATGTTGACCCTCGTCGTCTCGCGCTCAAGGACGTCTCTGAAGTACTCAAAGTCAGAATAGCGACGTCGTACCGTTGAGTAGCGGAATCGGAAAGCCGGGATGTTGGTCTGCGAGGCAACGAGGGGGAGATCATTTGGTCAGCTTGATGCCGTGTTCCGGCTGTTCGCTTGGTGCTCACCCTCGTTACGATCTCATAGTCCGTGTACATCTTCCTGCCAAATCCATGCGTCATCGGATTGCGCACCTCAACTTCCAAGAAATTCTCCGGCACACCATACATATCCTCTGGCGCTTCCCTTCTACTGCCCAAACTTTCCACACGCGCAAAGGGCGAGTAGCCCACGTTGTTGCTAGTGGCGAAGCTCTGCGGCATTGGATAGCCAGGGGCGAGTTGGCGTCCGTTGCCATCAGGACCCTCGCCATTCCCCGGGCGACCAACGTCGTCATCGCCGTGAAACCCAGGTGGGGCGCCTCCAGGTGGGAGGAGGGAGGAAGGATTGTGTGAGTTGAAGGCGCGAGGAGCAAAGCCGCCTGAGGTTGAGCCGCCAGAGGGTAGGCGTGCGCTTGCTGAGCCGAATGCATCGTCCTCTGGCATGCGTCTGCCGTTTGCTGATGATGAGCCCTCGTTGCCAAAGGCAGGAGGCTGGTAGCGGTAAGAGTCGTCATCATCATCGTCCTGCGCGCTACGTGGTGGTCGACCAATGGAAGCTGCTACCGCTTCGTCCTGTCCGAAAGCGCTTCCCATGCCAGCAGCTGCGCCGGGTCGTCGATGTGACGCTGCTGATGTCGTTGTAGCCGGCTGTGAGAATAGGTAGGAGGATCGCTCGTCCTGTTGAGGCGATGTTGCTCCCCATCCTCCAGAGAGGGCATCGCCGCGTGACGATGGCCCGCCAAACCCACCTCCATCCCCCAATCCCGACGTTGCTGAAGCTGCTGAATTGGGAGGGGGAAGCGGGTTGCCACCAAAGGCAGCTCGCTCGTCCATGTCATCTTCATCTGCTGCGCCGAAGCCTCCGCCTCCTCCGCCTCCTCCGCCTCCTCCACCTCCGAGTCCACCAGCAGCGTTGCTTGAGGTGGGCGCTGTCAAGTTGGCCCCGTCAAAGGAGCCTGGAGCTCGCCATGGATCATCATCGAGGCCTGCTGCGGGTGCGTTGTTGCTACTATCGTTGCCCCACGGCGAGAAGTCCGGGGCGAGAGGACCGCCATCCCCACCATTCGACGAGGTTGAGGCGTAGAACGACATGCGGGCGGGCGGGCGGGCAGCTGGAGGAAGACAAGTATCGGCTCCAGTGTTTCTGATCGTGTGTTATGCCACGCTCAGGCTGAGACGATGTGTCAGTCTCAAGGTTGTCAGTCGTGTGTGAGGTTGCTGAGATGATGCAAGTCTGGGGAAGGAAGGCCAGGTGTGTGTGCGCTGCAGGTTGGCTCAACCCTCGTCCCGCCGCCGACGGAGACGAGCTGGCCAGCTGCCGGCGTCATCGCGCCGCCGACCTCCGCGAGCTCCCAACGCTCCCATCCCCTGGACACACATTACGCCGCGCTGCCTCGCTCGCTATGAATTCTCTAGTGGGGACATAGAAACAGTTGCTTCGCAAACGAATACGAGATTGAGAGAGCAAGTGGGAATCATTTCGTAAAATCCAAATCACAAGGCTACTGAAAGCAAAGCATCGCGGTCAAGCAATGTGGGAGAGCAGAGAGAGGGAAAAGAAAGCAGAGGGACGCGGGCGCGACATGACCTCAATGAGCGCTACCACTACGCCTTGGCCGCCCCCACTCTCTGGCTCGTCTTGACCCTCTGACTCTCAAAGCTCCCATAGATATGATCGCAGCCCCAAAGCTCCTGGTCCCCCTTCGCACCCACCTTCTCTCTCACAGCCCAGTATTCGGGTGTAGTGATAGTCTGCCCAGCAGCAGCAGCCTTCTCCGCCTTGCCCGTCGCGCCTCTCGGTGGCATCTCCACGCTCTTGGGCTGCCAAAGCGTTTCGCCCGTATCCGCGTCGACCGTCTTGGTGAACCAGCGCGGCTCGTGCGGTGGCATCTCGCCAGCTTCACGTTTGCGGCGAGTTTGACGCTGGTAGTCTTCAAGGGACTGCTTGAGGTTGTTCGCCTCGTCGAAGCGGCCCTCCTCGAAGCTGACCAAGTCAGGGCGAACGCGGCAGTCCGTCGGCGGGAGCCACTTGGGGAGGGTAGGTGGTAGGTCGTTGAGCGTGACAGCAAAGGGGGTGAGGTTGAAGGGGGTAGGCGGCTTCTCGCTGTTGCGCCAGAGGAGGAGATACTCTGCGCTTGAGGGAAGCGGCGCAGCGGAGAAGTCACCCTGATAAGCTTGGTCCGGGTCCAGAACCCCTCGCCCAGCGCCAGCTTTGCGTGCTACAAGCTGGCTGTCCCACCTGCCGGCGATCTCCCACACCAAGTCGCCCGCAGCGTTCCAGACTTGACCAGAAATTTCCCTCGCGTTGGCACCACGCCAGCCGCGAGGCTTGAAAGTGAGCGTGCACTTGTCCCCCGTGATGTGGTTGACTACGGTGAGGTCGCCGACGTGGTCGATCGTGGGGCTGCCGACGATGAAGCCTGAAACGCTCGTGGTCACCTTGTTCCACGTGTAGTGCTCCTCTACCAGATCCTTGAAAGCAGGTCCAGCAGAAGGCGGTTGCTTGTTGGAGGCGGAGGAAGGGACCCAGTCCTTCTTCACCTTGAGCTTGACATGAGCTACGCCCGTTGGCCTAATCTCGAATGTACGACCGAGGAACTTGGACTTTGCGTCCACGCAGCCTAGGTAGTCCCAGAGTGGTGATTGGGCCACGCATGCTGAGACGGGCGGGTGGTGGCTCACCTGCTCGGAAATGTAACGGTAGTGTCTATCCGGTCGGATGTACTCAAACGTCTCGCCAAGCATGGGGTTGAACGGCTTGGCCACTCGCCCGATGGTGCTCGAATAATTGCTCATGGCAAAGGCGGCCACGAATGCAATGCGCTTCGTCGAGTCTTGCTGCGTGGCTGCGGCATCGAGGCATTCGGAGAACTCCATGTCCTCAGCCATGCGCTGCAGCATGCTCGTGGGTTCATTGAAAGAGACGGGGAACGATATCTTCGTGAGATCCTTGCCGATATTGTTCTTCAAGATGGCCCACAGTGACACGCTAGGCCTGTCGTCCTTGCCCAATGGCAGCTTAGTGCGCAGCTTGCGGTAGGGCTCGAGGCTGGCTTCGAAGTCGTGCTCGTCCAGCATGTCCTTGTTGAACGAAGAGGGCCAGTTCTTCTCCTCGCTGACGTGCGCGATGGGCGTCTCGACCTTGAGGCCAGGCAAGTCGCCAGACTCGACGGCGTCGAAGAAGTCGTCCTCACCCTCCTCGACTGACTCTCGACCTGGTGTGAGCTCGGCCAGTGCCGGTGCCATTGGAATGGCGCCCAAGGCCATCGGCGCTGTACCTTCTCTTCGGTCGGCAATGGTCCCGTCGAAGGAAGGAGGTGCGCCTCGGCGAGCCGTCGGGCTGACAATCGGCGGGCTCGCAACGGCTCCAGCAGCGGGCGAGGCCGACGAGCCAAAGTTCTCTCGCACCTCTCTCAGAGCCTTCCGCTTCCTCGCATTATCCTGCGCAGCGTCCTGCAGCTGCTTCTCCATCTCGGCATGTTGCAGAGCTAATGCCTTCATGTTCTCCTCCCACAGGCGCTTGACCTGGATCTCTTGCTCGTAGCGACGCAGCAGGTACTCCTCGCGCTCGCCGACGAGGAGGGCAAATTGATTTGTCAAGTCTTCAATCTGACCCAGAGCATCTCGCAGCGCAACCTTGCTTGTGGAAGGTGCCGGAGCATCGACGGGTATGGACGAGGCGAGGGAGTGTGCCATCTCGACCTTGAGCTTGAGCGAATTGGCAATGAGCGGGAATGTGTCGGCGTGAGGCATGCGAGGCTTGCCTGAGGCGTCGAAGAGAGGCTCATTGTCCGCCTGACCATCCGAATCTTCGCGGTCGCTGCGGAAGCTCTCGCGGCTGACGAGACTAGGTGTGCGTAGCGGGTGACCATCACGAGGTGACATCGTAGATGAAGCTGCTGAGGGGGCGGCAAGAGGGGCGACGACGCCACCGGCGTTGAGCAGTGCATTGTTGGTGCTTGTACTTGTGCGGCCGATGGCGGGTGTGCCTACACGCGACGGCACGTTGCTGACATTGGTCATTGAAGAGTTGGTAGTCGCAGTATAGCCGATGCCGCCCGCTGCAGCGTTAGGCGCAATCGATTCGGTACGGCTGGCACTACGCTCGAGATTGAAGTGCTGCTGAGTCTGTTGGAGGACTTGGACCCAGCGGGCTCGCTCAACGGGATGCGAGCCTCGCAGGTAGAGCTTGCTCGAGCTCTTCGTCGTGGCCTCGCTGATAATCTCGAATCGATGTTTGTCGTTGCTGTCAGCACGGATCTTGGCGAATCTCAAATTGACTGAACCTCTTGATGACTTGCCCTCCTCTTCTTGCGTGTGGTAGTACGAGAGAATGCCGTCTTGGAGCACAAACCACCTCGTCTTGTAGCCACCTGCCAGGTTGGTCCACTTGGCAAGGTAACCACGGAATGTGGGAGGGAGGCCAGGAAGCGTCTGAGCTGCGATGGCTGCATCTGCGTTTGAGAATTGACGAAGGAGCGCCTTGATCTTCTCATCCTTGGAGCTATCGAGCGCGCTCTTCCCCTTGCGGTTGCGGGCATAGACGTCTGCTCCTCTCCTGACGGCCGCCTCGATCATCTTGGTGTCTTTGCGAGCGACGGCTTCGTGGAGCAGCGTGGTACCCGAAGTCTTGCTCTGGACGTTGAGATCAATGGCGCCTACACGGGGTGACTCAAGCAAAGCGTAGAGCTTGTCCTCCGCGGTTGGCATCTTGCCCTCCCAAGCACACAGCGTCTCCATGAAGTCTGCATTGAGCTTTGCGCGAGAGACTGACCGGCGCGGCGTGGACAGGGTGTGATGGTGGTCAATGATCTGTACCAAGTGAGTGTTCGGCTTGTCTGCGCTTACCTTGAATCAGCTGCGCTGCCTCTGGCGTCTTTGCCATCTCAAGTGGCTCCCTCCCATCCTTGTTGCGCTTCGTGTCGTCGATGGAAGGCTGCTCCAGAAGTAGCTGAACCACATCGCACCTGCCCAGAGACATTGCGATATGCAAGGGCGTATTGCCATGCTGCGTCTCTACGGCATTGATGTCCAGACCCTTGTGCTCCAAGCAGTAGACGATCGTCGAGTACTCGGCGCAGCGAACAGCAATGTGCAACGGGCTTGTGAGCTCCTTGACAGGTGCGCCCTTGACCGCCTTTTCTGCTTTGGCCAGACAGGGCCCTAAGGTCTTGCGATCTCCTTGCCTCAGCGCCTCGAGGAGGCGAAATGAGTAGACGGCCTCTGTTGGTGATGGAGGTTGTTGTGGGCGATAGGCGGGTAGCAGAGGAAGACGAAAGTTGCCGTCACCATTAGCGCAGGCGGTCACAGGAGAGATGGTATAGGACCGCGTGCGCGAGGGCATCGAAGCAGTGTTGTAGGATGACAATGTCCGCAATCGACCAGGCGGTTGATGAAGGCGAGACGGTGAGGGCAGAGTGGAGGTAGGAGGGTTCAAATGGGATTGAGAAGGGGGAAAATTGTCAGCGCTTCTTGATCTCGATGGCTGCATTGTGGCGGTGACGAGATGTGGAATGGAAGAGACCCAGCGAGCGAGCAGCAACAAAGGGCCATGCAGCAACTGCCACTGCAGCTCAGGCACTGCCTGCTATCGGACGACGCCATTGCCGCTGGATGATCATCGAGGTGGCCAGGCACCCGCGTGTAGACGGGCGGCCAAGGATCACTTCGTTGTACGCCCGTTCATGCCGTCGATCAACTAAGAGGCGGGCGTGGGCGACCTGGTCGTCGAGCTGACTGCATTCTCTCCACTCACCATCCGGTGCGGCCGTGCCGCCGCCTTCTTGGGTAGACATGCTGCCTGTCTGGTATCCAGCTTCGGCCGGTAGCGCTCTTGTTTGTGATTTGAGCCGTGCGTAGAAGATGTAGAGCTTATGAAGGCAAGGTGACTCAAGGCAGCAGCGAAAGGTCAAGACGCTCGATGCTCGCTGCTCGCAGGACAATGTCGTGAATGAGGGAGGAGTGAGTGATTGAATGATGGATGCAGCGCGGTGCAGCCAGACCCCGGCCTCCGTGTCTCTCTCGCCGCTCCCTCCGCTCCGCCCGTGCGACGACGACGATGCGGCGTCCCTGTTCTGTCCCTGTCTGTGAGTGTGAGCTCGGCCAGTCTAGCGGGGAAAGGGAGAGGAGGCTGCAGTACGTCATCCAACTTTGCCGGAACGGCGGCGGCCTCCTCCTCTTTCGCGGCGCCACCGTCTAGCATTGCAGTAGAGGCGACTTCAGATTCAGGGCATTGAGATGCCACGCAGAGGTGATGAAGAAGTCATAAGTGAGAGAAGAGCGCCAGGCTATCGCCATGAGATACTCGCCCGCCTTTGCACGGTGACTCTGGAGGCCACCACGCTCGGGTGTAAGACACGGTCATTTAACCAGCGGCATCTCCCACTCTCGCTCGCTTTGATCGTGTCAGCTCCACATCCACGCCCCCCTACACCCTTCCCGACTCGCCATCAACATCGCCGTCGCCATCGCCATCAACCATGTCCAAGACTGTACGACCCGTTGAGAGTGTCTGGAATTACCCTCGCCCGCCTCGCCTGGAGCCTACATCGTCGCGCCTTCGCGTCATTTGGGAGAGCAAGGACGGCGGAGAGAAGCGCACCGTGGCTGAGACAACAAAGGGGTACAGAGTGCTTGAGACTAGCCATCCAGTGAGCCAAAGAGCTCACGTAGGAGAAGACGCACCTTGCTGACCATTGCTCTCTGCGACATCTGAATGCGCTCAGCCCACGGTGAGGAGGCTCCCTGCGCTTGATGTAGGCGCCACGGTCTGACAACATCCACCTTCATCGCGCAGTACTACTTTCCACCCTCCTCCATCGACATGAGCTTACTGCGCCCCTCGACGGCTCGCAGAACGATGTGTGAATGGAAGGCGAGTGCGGGCGAACCAGTGATGCCGAAATATCACTTTCATGAGATGTGCTGATCGGTCATGGCTCGCGCTTCAACAGGGCCAAGCTACGTACCACGACCTCGTCTTACCGAGCGACAACTCCACGATCGCGGCACGAGGTCGTGCCTGGTCTTACCCGGAACCCGTGCCGGAATTCAAGTCGATCAAGGTGAGTACGACGTCCGACTCTCCCCATTCATTGCTTGTCATGCTGATCAGTCCGGCCCTTGCACCTGATCGCCAGGACTACCTCTGCTTCTACGCCTCGCCCCAGTCCAAAGTAGGCACGTGGCGCTGCTACGTAGACGACGACGAGGTGACGGCACAGGAGGGCGACTTCTACGGCAGCTGGGTCACACCGGAGATCACGGGTGGGGAGAGAGGGTTCAAGGGTGGGCCAGGCACGATGGGTTGGTGAGAACAGCTGAGGGAGGCAGGCCCTTGCGCGTCCCGCTTCAATCTCTGTATATGATCACCAACGTCCTGCCTCCAATGAATCTATGGGTTGACGAATCACGCCGAAAGAAGAATGGAAAATTTGGATACGATTCCGTGCAAAGATAGATGAACACACATTTGAAAAGGCAAGCAGAGGGGAGAGTGGGGGAGAAGGCGGGCGAGAGGGGCGGGTGCGGATCGTAGAAAAGAGCAGAAGCTATCTCAAACGGCCAGGGTATGTAAGTGCGTAGCCCCTCGTCCTCCTACGACAGTGCGGGGAGGACAAGATGCCGCACCAAGGGTTTCTATGACCGCTGTGATAGCTCCTCCTCACCCTACTTCTCGTCCCACCTTGATGCGCGCTTACGAGCGGCCCACGATGGAGAACGCAGGCGAGTGCCAGTCCTGTGGACCCTTGGTCGCGTCCTTGGCAGCCTCGTTCCTCTCGTCGAGCTTGTGGATCCAGCCGTCCTTCGAGCCAAGGTTGGGGAGAACCGAGTCGCGCTTCGACGTAGGGATCTTGAAAGTGCCCTTCTTCTCGCCGGCAGTGGCAGTCTCGGACTTGTCCTTGGAGAACTTCTGCTTCAAAGCGTCGCCCTTCTTGCCCTCCTCGGCATCGTAGACGGCATTGCGAGCCTCGGTCAGCTGGTCGTTGAGCTTCTCGAGGGCGTCGCGGATACCAGCCTCGGCAGCCTTTGCGACCTGCTTCTTGATGATCGACTTGGCCAGGGGGCGGAAGATCTTGATGGCGAGGTCGTGCTTCGACTTGCGGATGGCAAAGTCGAGGTTGTCAATCTGAGCCTTGACCTGCTTGACGACAAAGACGTTGCGAGCGCGGCGGCCGCGGGGCTCGTTGCCACCCTCGATGTGGGCCGTCACCGTCATGCCCTTGCCGCCGAGGAGGACGTCGGCAACACCGTGCTCCTGTACCTTCATGCCCGTCTTCTTGTTGATCTGGAAGTAGACGTCGCGCATCTCCAGGTGGACTTGGCTGAGAGTGAGCTTGAACGAGTGGTGATGGCGGTTGTCGATGCCCTTGAAGGCCGACGCCTTGACGTAGTTCTTTGCCTCGAACTCAAAGAGGTTGGGCAAGAGGTTGATAGGCGCGACGGCAATGTTCTCGACGACGAGGTCGACCTCGGAGTCGGTGTACTCGATGCGCGGGAGGGGCACAAACGAGACGTGACGGAGGAGCTGGGGCAGGATCGTCTGGACAATGTCCTGGAGCAGAGCAGCCTTGAACTTGGGGCTTCCCCTCGAGTCGTAGATGAGGTCGTTGAACAGCGTCTTCCACTGCTCGCCGAACTTGACGTTGAGCGGGTCTTCAGACATGCCCTTGGTGAAAGTGGTGAGCTCGTCCCAGAGGGCGTCAACGTGGGGCTTGTACTTGCCCTGGTCACGACCCTCCGACGCGACGAAGAACTTCTTGCCGCTCTCGACGAGCTGACGAGCCTCACGGTCGGCGTCGTCCTTCATGACGTAGCCGGGCTCAAGGAGAGCACGACGGATGTACGAGTCGAGACGCTTGAACCAGTCCTTGAGCTCAGGGTCGTTCTTGACGTCCGTGTAGATCTGGTCAACGGCGTTCATGAAGGGCTGCGTTGGGCGGCCATTGGCGAATCGCTCGAGGAGGGTGCGGAATGCGTTCTCGGCAGTCTGGATGTTGCCCTCGCCACGGACGTTCTTGGCTGAGCCCTCAACCTGAGTGTGGATGTCGTTGGCGTGGCCCTTGTAGTTCTCAAGGGTGTTGAGAATGTAGGTGATGGCGTCTTGCCAGTCACGGTGACGCTGGCACTCAACGAGGACCTTCTTGAGGCGGAAGATGTAGTGATCGCGGCGCTCTTCAGGGAACTTCTCCTTGAAGTAGTTGGCCGTCTTGTCCTTGTGCTCGTTGATGCGGTCCTTGTGCTCCTGAGGAATCTTGGAAAGGAGAACCTCCTTCTGCTCCTGAGCCTGAGCATTGACGGCGTTCTTGCTCTGCTGGTTGGTAGGGTCGTTGGGGTCGATGTTGTTGGCAGCCTGCTGAGCGCGAGCCTTGGCGGCGGCCTTCTCGGCCTCCTTCTCCTTCTGAGCGGCCTCCTTCTCCTCTGGGCTCTTGGTCTTGAGCGCCTGAGGAATATCGTCGTGGAACTCATTGTCGGGAGCTGGCTGGTCTACCTGAGCGAGCTTCTCCTCGTCGGGACGAGCCATGTCGCTGGCCTTGACGGCGGCGTCGGCAAAGATGTCACGACCCATGACACCAGCGTCATTGACGAGCTTGCGGAACTCGCCGTTGCGAAGGAAGAGCTTGATGATGGTGCGGAAGGCCTCGCCAGCAGTCTCTGCATCCTTGCGGGCATCGTCCTTGCTCAGCGACGACTTGACACCGGCATTGTCTGCGACGGCTGCCTTGCGAGAAGCGTAGAGGAAGTTCTGAATCTCTTCGCTGGCGTTCTTGTCCTGCACCATCTGGCGAGCGGTGTGGATGATAGCACGGAAGTCCTGAACGAGCTTGCGGCCATCCTCGGAGAGCTCTTCGAGGTTGACGGGGCTATTCTTCTCAACGAAGCTGAGGGTCTCGTCAATTTGACGGTTGTCAGGGTAGCGACCCTCGCGGAATGCTTGGATGACGCCGTAGAAGCGGATCTGGGAGGAGCGCGAATGAGGAGGAAGAGGAGCTAGGAAGTCAGTCGACGTGTCCATGTCATCGTCGTTTACTTTCTCGCCCTTGTGTGTATGCTCACCTTGCGGTCGACGTCGGCGTTCTTCTCCTTGGCGGAGACGGCCTGCGTGACGGCATTCTTTTGCGGCGTCTCCTTAACGGAGGAGACGGTCTGGCCAACGGAAGTCATGGCGATAGACTAGTCGTAGGTGGGTGTGGATGATATGTGCTGATGAGTCTGTTGCTGTGTTGCTGCGCGCTTGCGTATGTGCGTGTGCGTGTGCTGGGTAGCTGGTCTGATGAGCACTGATTGAGGATATAAAGATAGAGCAAAGTGACTCTACGTGTGGTATGAAACGATCAGTGAAATCAGAGCGAAAAGAGTGTGAGGAAGAAAGGAAAGCGTGGTTGCGAGCTTCTGCACCCTCTTAAGTCGTTGATCGTTCTACCCGCTCGACCCCCCCTCCACAACATACTGCATCGCACCGCTGCTCCTTCCCTTGTTCACCCGCGCCGCCCTTGGTCAATTGAAGCTGGGTCCTCCTGCCTCTAAATCGAGAATCGAGCATCGAGGCGTGCGTATGCGTGCAGCGCCCGTTGTTCGAGACCCTGTCCACATCGCTCGCCGTAAGCAAAGGCGACAGGGCGGCAAGGAGCACCACGGCGGAGCCCTCTGAGCTCGAAAGTCGGTACGAGGCTAGACTGTCATGCTGCATGCGCCCATCGATGACGCGCAATGACGTTCGGCTACGGTGCGTCTTTGGATGTTTAGCTCGGTCACCGAGCCCCTCATTCGCCCGCATCAGGGCCCTCGCTGCTCGCCGGGCCAGAAGAAGAAAAAAACACGGCAAACCCTAGCCTGCGCGCCGCTCACCTTCCCCAGTCAGTCGACACCGTCGCAGCACCACGAGCCAAAGCCAGCGACGTTTGGAACACAGCCGGGTAGGAGATTGAGGAGATTCAGCGACGCAAGAGATTCGTCGGCCCTGATCTTGAGAAGAAAGAAGCAAGTCTAATTTTGAAAGCACAGCGAGCGAGACGGTGCGGTGCGGATGCGGGCAAGAGGAGAGTCCCATCGGGATCTCTTGAGTGACGTAAGTCAAAGAGGCTGATGCCACAACCACGCGACCTTGCCGCGACGTCGGGTGGTCGACGCAGTCTACTTCTCTCAAAGGCGATGGATGCAACACGCTCTGGGGCGAGCAAGAAGGGGCGAGGTGAGCGTGCCGGTCACGAGGCGCGATTCCAAGGGTGAACAGGACAAAGGGCCGTGGCGATGTCCGATGGTGGTGAGAAGGATGCGTACCACGGAGCATGAACAACAACCGTCAAGGAGAGGTTCGTTGAGTCAGACTGAAAGTGATAGCGTGAAAAAACTGCATTCGCATTGCGCATTGCCTGTCGTTACATGTCCACGCTCATCGCCGCACCAATCGCAACCACACAATCTCAAGTCAACGCCTGCAATCGCTCTCGCTCCTGCTTGCGTTGATGGAAGCCTCAGACTCATCCGTCCCTCCCCATCGAGCGTGGCAACCTCGGTGCCCCCGAAAGGGTCAAGAACGAGGGCCAAAGCGCCCAATGGCAAGTCATCGCCACGATGGACCCATTAACGCAGAGCCCAGCTGATCCCGGGCAAGCACTCCCTTCGCGCGAGCAAAAGGGGGGCCCAGGAAGCTGTTTGGGATGGCATCCGCAGGTCGCTGCAATGTTGTGTTGCTCGTTGACGGAGGGAACGGCGAAGCGCTCATCGTCGACCTTGAAATTTGTGGCTCATATTGAGCAGCAATACCAAGCAGAGAACTGTAAACAGATTCTGTTAAAGTACTGTAGTAGGTGAGGGGAAAGGCGTAGGAGGCGGTCAGTTGATGGTGTTGAGGAGCTAGTTGGGGGCTCGGTGGTGGTAACTCACTCGTCTGAGGGAAAGAAGAGTGGACGCTGTGTCCGCCGCCTTTTTGTAGCTTGCGTCGCCTGGCCTGCGTCGACCAGGAGACGAAAATTCACGCCACGGCCCGACTGACTATGAAGTGCGGGACGGGGGCAAGTGCAGTCGTGGCAGAGCGCTCGGAGTAACGGCCGACGACCGGCGGGAGGCTAAGCAACACTTGGTGGATCGAGTGGAGAGAGCGGCGCGAGATAGCGTTGCACAATGCCTCAATCAGCTGCCCCGCTTCTTTTCCCCTACTCATCACCATCATGTCCTCTGCCATCGACAAGGTTTCAGCGCAAATCGACGCCAACCGCGCAGGCGTCATTCAACGCCTGGCAGATGCCGTAGCGATCCCCTCGGTCTCTGGCGACGCAGCTCATCGCCCGCAGGTGATTCAGATGGCGCAATGGATGGCAAAGTCGCTCGAGGGCGTAGGCTGCGAGAACATCAAGTTCAAGGAGCTAGGAAAGCAGACGCTTGACGGTCAGGAGGTATCACTGCCGCCTGTCGTCTTTGCGGACTACCGCGAAGGAAAGGCAGACGCCAAGAAGACGGTCCTCGTCTACGGTCACTACGACGTGCAGCCTGCTTTGAAATCAGATGGGTGGAACACGGAACCTTTCAAGCTAGAGTACGACGAGAAGACTGGAAGGCTGTACGGGCGAGGCAGCACGGATGACAAGGTGCGTACGCGAGCGATTGGCAGTGGGGATCGAGCTAGGTGCTGACTGCCTCGTCACACACACAGGGCCCAGTCATTGGCTGGATCAACATGCTCGAGGCGCATCGCCAAGCGGGCGTCGAGCTCCCGGTCAATCTCAAATTCGTCTTCGAAGGCATGGAAGAGTCAGGCTCGGTCGGCCTCGACGAGCTCATCGCCCACGAGCACGCTCAAGGCTCCTTCTTCAAGGGCGTCGACGCGTGCTGTATCAGTGACAACTACTGGCTGGGTACAAAGAAGCCTTGCCTCACGCATGGCCTGCGTGGTGTCGCCTACTTCAAGCTGCATATCAGCGGGCCCGCTGCGGACCTGCACTCGGGTCTGTTCGGCGGCGTTGTCCACGAGCCCATGACCGACTTGTTCGCCATCATGTCCAAGCTGGTTACGCCGCAGGGCGACATCTTGATTCCGGGCATCAAGGAGCTCGTCACCCCGCTGACCGACGAAGAGTTCAAGCGCTATCAAGTTATGGACTTCAGCGTGCAGGACATGGAGGGCGCCACGGGCTCAAAGACGACCATCGCCGACGACAAGGAGAAGATCCTCATGGCCCGCATGCGCTACCCGTCTCTCTCCCTTCACGGAATCGAAGGCGCCTTCTCCGAGGCGGGGACAAAGACGGTCATCCCGGCCAAGATCGTAGGCAAGTTCTCCCTTCGTCTCGTTCCCGACATGACGCCTGCGAAGGTCAATGAGCTGGTCGAGGCCTACATCAACGCCGAGTGGAAGAAGCTGGGGAGCAAGAACACCCTTCGTCTCGAGGCAGAGCATGGCGGGAAGCCTTGGCTTGCCGACCCCAATCACTGGAACTACGAGGCGGCTGCGAAAGCGGTTCAGAAAATCTACGGTGTTGCGCCTGACTACACGAGGGAAGGAGGTTCCATTCCTGTCGCGTTGACCTTTGCCGAGACTTTGGGAAAGAATCTGCTCCTGCTGCCGTTGGGAAGGGCAGACGATGGCGCGCACAGCACGAACGAGAAGATTGACGTTTCGAACTACGTCGAGGGGAGCAAGTTGTTGGGTGCGTACCTGCACGAGATCGCCGCGGCGACTGCGTGAGGGCTGCATTGGAGATGGAGGTGTAATGCAAATCAGAGTCACCAAAGCAGAGAAGCAAGTGTAGATTGGGACCGGCGTACAAGTACATAGAGGGGTGAGCGTGAATCAAGGCAACGTAGGGTGACGCGACGGGTCGAGAGAATAGACGATGCCCTATGCGTGAAGGGAGAAGATGTCAGCGAGACTGCCCGACCTTGTTGTAGTTGCCTCGCACACACATTGTTCGACTTCTTGACGACGTGCTTGGCGGCCACGAGCGCAATGAGGCATTTGTTGACCTTGGCCTGCGGCATGTCCGGCGGTTGAACGATGTCTGCGATTCTGGCTCCAGAGGTTCCGGCAGCTAGCAACGCCATGACGACTCCTGAGGCCAGGCGACGCTGCGTAGGGTCTGCGCCGCGGTACTCGAGGGGTAGTGTCTCAATGACACCGTCTGCATATTTCTGACCGTACAAGCGCGGAGATGGGAAGCGGTAAGCGGTCGGAACAGGCACGTGCATTGTTGAGGATCGCACCCTCACCTCGCGCTTCTTCTTCTGAGCCAGGGTAATCTTGGGCTTGGCGGCTGCGGTCGAGCTTGCTGCTGCAGTCTTGGTCGCTGCGGTTCCAGACGATGACCTTGAGCCAGAGATTGTGGGCGTGGGCGCCTTAGCTGCGGGGCGTGATGTCGTAGACGCTCCTCCCGCTGGCCTGGTGGCTGCAGGCTTGGACGAGAGCACCTTCTTGGGCGTGGTGACCGGGCCGCGAGCCTCGAAGCTCGCATCGTCATCCATTGTCATGTACGTCTGATCCGCAAGAGCTGCTGGAGCATATGAAGATGGGCCACCCGCTTCAATTCGATTGGCAATTGAACCTGAAAGGGAGAGCGCTCAAGGTGAGCTCTAACTAGCTTGCCTGTATCTCCGCTCACCGTCACCCTCGGCACTCACCCTGCGCCTCTTGAGCTCGGGCAAAGTTGTCTTCCTGGGGCGCTTCTGACCATTCGATGCAGTAAGCTGCCACTTTGAGGCCATACAAGAACATGGCGAATCCCTCATTGAAGGTGCTGAGCGCGTCGTGGATGGATGCGAGGTCCTCGAGGTTGGACGATAGGATCGACGTCTCGTCTGCGAGGTTGCCCAGGGCTCCCTCCAAAAAGGACAGAGGTGTCGATGATGCCCCACGCGACTGCGAGAGGGCAGAGATGGAGCCGCGTGAGACTCTTCGCAGAGGTGTCGTTGGTCTGTTGACGGACATGTCGGTGATGGTGAGTGGAGAGGAACAAAGTGTTTGTTGGATTTGGACGCGTTGACAGGGCGGACTGACACGGCGCGGGCGGGCGGGCGGGCGGTTTGAGAGATGTCGATTGTCTCCTTTCGATCCATCCGCTGCTCCTCACACTTCGTCACTTCGCCACGCCCATGACTACCAGTGAGGATGCAGCTCTCCTCGCAGAGATCGAGAGGCTATCTGGAAGGATAGACCAGCATCGAAGCGCGAGCGCTGCTGCTCCGCCACCCAATCGAGGAAGAGGTGGCTGGCGAGGCAGAGGTTGGCGAGGAGCTTCCGCGCCCACCCAAGTCAGCAGACATCGCACCCTCGTCATCAACAACGACGCCCAGCAGCAGCCCGGCCCTTCGTCATCATCTCCGCCACCACCGTCGTCCTCGTCATGGGTCAGGCGCAAGACCACGCACAACATGAGCCTCGTCAGCTCCGATTCGTACCAAAAGACGTGAATATATGCGCTCGCTATGCCAACGCCTACGGTCACTGATCTGCGGCTCTGCCTCCCACTAGCGAACCGGCTCGTGTCGCAGCTCTCCAAGCGGCACAAGAAGCCAAGACAGCCGCTAAAGCTACAGCTCGTGCGGCCGCCAAGTCGAGAGCCAAAGCTGCGCGCGACTCGGCCAAGGTGCGCCGAGGAGATAACATGGGCGAAGTCATCGTCGATGGCGTCGTCTTTGTATTCGAGGAAACGGGAACGAAACTAGTCAAGAAGGGTAGCGAAGCTGCAGCTGCCTCGGCCTCCTCGTCACCCTCATCCAAAGCTCCCTTGCGCACCTCGGTCAATGGCCAGTCCTTCATCCGCACGAAGCGTGGCAACCTCATCAGCGCTGAGCTCCATCAGCAACGCAAGGCGCAAAAAGACAGTGCAGCCAAGATGCGGCGCCTGGCAGCTATGGGAGATCAGATTGCCAACAATGAAAAGACGAGGTGCGTGCGCAGCAGCGAGCAGCGAGGCAGGCTTTGTGAACGTCACGTCATCTTTCCCCTCTCTCAGGTCTGCCAACCGCAAGCCAACCCGATCCCAAGCCAACTTGCCACGCACCAAGGGCCTTTGCAGCTTCTACAACAAGACAGGTCTCTGCTCGGCGTGTGCGGTACGTGCCTCCCCTCCCCCTTGCTCACCTGCTTCCTCTTCGTATCCCACCCGCAGGCCAATGCAAACGCGGCCTCTCCTGCCCTTACGTCCACGACGCTGCCCGTCTCGCCATCTGTCCCGGCGCCCTCCGGCCCACAGGCTGTTCCTCACCCTCCGGCCTATGTCCTCTGTCTCATGACCCTTCCAAACCGCAGCGAGTACCCCACTGCGTTCACTGGCTGCGCTCTGGCCGCACCTCCTGCCGCAACGGCGCCTCGTGCACCTACGTCCACGCAGAAGCGGTGCGCGAGGAGAGCCCTGTATGCGGTACATTCGCGCGCTTCGGCTGGTGCGACGAGGGAGGCAAGTGCGAGGCGAGACACACATTTGACTGCCCGGACTTTATCGAGAAGGGGGCCTGTGAGAGAAAGGGTTGTCGGTTGATGCACGTCGTGGGTCAGCAGGCCAAAGAAGAGGGTCAGGTCGAAGCCACCTCTGCTACCACTGCACCGCAAACGCTCATCTCATACGGTAAGACGTCCAAAAGGAAGCGAGCCGGCGAGGCGGAGGAGGTAGCTCCAGATGATGCGGAGGGCGGCGTCGGTTTGTCCTTTGTGCCTCGCAAGAGGAAGGACGAGACCGCCGCCGCTGCGGACCAGCGAGACTACATCGGCTTCGACGATGATGAAGGCGAGGAAGAGGAAGAGAGCGAAGAGGAGGAAGACGCGGCTGTCGCTGCAGCTGATCTCGAGTCGGTATCCAGCGGTGAAGAGGACAGCGGTGACGATGACGACAGCGACGAGGAAGAGGAAGAAGACAGCAGTAGTGACGGAAGCAGCGACTCGTCATCATCATCATCATCATCGAGCGAAGAAGAGTAGCATTGCCTACCAAAAAGAGCCTATATGTACGTCGCACATCTATCGATGCAATGCGAAAAAACGTGGCATTAAGCAAAGCTTGACAGACTGAGGCCGAGGAAGGTAGAGTCGAGACAACACCGCAGACCCAGGGCCCCCCTACCGCACCGCACCAGCATTGCGCCCGTGCCACCACACCTATGATGGCAAGAGCGGAATGCAGGAACGGTGAAGTAGGGGGTAGCGGGCGTCGCGCCAGCTGTTGAGCCATTTCTTCGCGAACCAGGTCATGACTACTTCCACGTTGAGGGGAAAGCCAGTGAACTGGTCGAGGCTCGTTGGGCGGTGACTGGTCCAGCCGTAGGCGAGGGGCAGGTCGTGCGTGCCATGAGCCGCCATCGTCGCTGCACGAGGGTCGTGAGGCTCCGCTTCGACGCCTCTGAAGCGCATGGGCAGGCCGCTGACTGGGCAAGTCCTGAGTCGCTCCTCCGACTCGAATCATACCCAAGTCAGATGCAGCGTGATGCCCGAGCGGCTGGCTCTGCAGAAGGTAGCTCCACCTCCGCGGGGACGTGCTCTCCCTCTTGAGCCACGGGCGGCAGCCTGGCCGGCACATATAGTCCAAGCTCGTCGCACTCGTCCGCCTGGTCGTCGCGGTCGAGCGAGCAGCTCCGCACGATGCTGCTTGGCCCCGTCATAAGCCTGGCGACGGCCCCCCTGCACCAGGTGCTCCTCCGCCTCCCACTTCTCAGCGAGGAGCTCCACCAGTCGCTGCCTCAGCTCGTGCCACCTCCCCGGCAAGGCAGTGCGAATGGCGTTAGGCGAGACAGACCTTTGGGTTGCCCTGCGCCGTGGTGACGCCGACGGTGACTCCCTGTCGGTGGCTGCCTCGAGGTCGGATAGAGGAGACGAGGGCGCTGTACTCGTGGGCGATGGTGGTGGCGGCAGTGGGCACATCCTCCTCGACGTCGTCGGCGATGTTGGTGGGTCCCACCCAAAAGGCTGCCAAGAAACGGCGCGCGAGGTCAACTTCGGCTTGGTCGACAGCATTCTGCCCTCCAGGCATGTTGATGGTGGTGTCGATGTCGAGGTTGTACATGGCGGCGATCTCTTCGGTCGAGGGCAGCGGGAGCGCCGGGGGCAGCGAGCCCAGCAGGATCTGCTTCTCCAGCGTCACAGTCTCACTGCGAAATTTGTAGACCATACGTGTGTGGCCTCCACCCGCTCGCACGCTCAAAGTCACCTTCTTAAGGGCGTCCCACCTACTCAACGCGTCCGCGTCCCAGTCGATCCCCCACTCCGCCGCCAGGCTGCGTACGGTCGCCTCCAGGCACAGGAGGTTGATCGACGTCCACCCCTCAAACGTACCGCGCTCTGTCAGCCGCTACGTAACGCGCTCTCTGATCGCCTCTCGCAGATCGCGACATTCCACTGACCCGCGCCAGAAGCCGGTCCACGGGTTGCCCATCACTGGAGGCAGGTCTGCGCCGCACCTGAGCCTCATCTTCTCCAGTAGCGTGATGAGGGCGGTGCGGCGGCGAGTGATAGTGATGCCTTGACCCGCGGCGTAGGGCGCGTTAGCGCGGGTCTGGCCGAAGACAAACTCCTCCCCGTCGTGATTGCCTATGAGCATGAGGAGCTCCACTCTGGCAGGGCGGCCGCGAGCAGTGCCGTAGCGAGCTCTGGACGAGGAAGCGCGAGCCGAAAGGAAGGATGAAGAAGCTGATGGAGTCGATGACGAGGCAGCAGCGGAGGATGAGGCACCCGGCGCAGAGAAGGAGCGTCCCTGCAGCAGGCCAGCGGTCTGTTCGTCGGCAGCATGGCGCCAGACGGTCGGATTACGGCCCGCGAAGGTTGGGAGCCACGGCTTGAGCACCGCCGTGGGAGGCAGTGGCTCCTCTTGCTGGTCGAGGCCCATCGCATCCTCCTGGCTGAAGACGCCGGCCGATGGCACAAGCTCCTCAGCTATCGCTTGTCGGCAACGGTCCCTCGTCTCCTCCACGTCGCGGCGTAACGCCGCCTCGGTGGTTGGCATGCGGGGGGGAGGGAGTATCTCGTCGTTGAGGCTTTGCAGCGGCGGCTGCACAAGGCAGCGTGAGAAAAGGCAGTCGCGCAGGGCTTCGATAGGGCTCGTCGGGTCCATGATGCGTTCAGTCGTCTGCTGTTGGTGCGATTTGCGGTACTGACAGAAGATTAAAGCAACCATGGATGTTGCAGAGCAAGTCTAGCGAGCCTCAGCTGATTTCGCTCGGCGGCTGCGTAGAAGGGGAAAGAGATCGCTCCATGGCTGCCTCCGCAGAAAACATTTACCGCCGCAATCTCCTCTGCCGTCATCGCTCCCAGCCCGAGCTCCTCCGCGCCTCGCACCGGCAGCCAGTCAACTCGGCGCAGCAGGGTTGCCTTGAGAGACGGGCCCCGCCAGCTGCCCAGCCACTTGTTGGCAAACCAGCTCTGCACCGCCACATTAACCGAGCCCTCGTCGAAGTCACCGATGCTCGATGGCAACGGAGACGACCAGCCGTAGCTGATGGGCAGATTGTGCGCGGCGTGAGCGGCGTGAGCGGCGAGGGAGGCGGTGAGGGGGCCGCGAGGATGGACTCTGGTGTAGGTGAGGTCCTTTCCCGTCAGCGGGCACGTCTTCAGTCGACTCCGGAGCTCCAACCAGACCCAGGTGAGGTAGAGGGTGGCGGCAGACCGGTTAGCCCTGCAGCGCGCCACGAAGAGCTCTCCAGAATCCAGGGCTTCCACCTCCTCCCCGTCTTCATCCTCTCCCTCTTCTTCCTCCCCCTCCCCCTCCTCCTCGGCTGCTCCACCTCCTGCAGGAGGATCCACATCCATGGCTGAGGATCCGGACGTCGAGGTGGCTGCGGTGCCGGCGCGATGGGGCAGACGAGCGGGCACTGGGCCGAACTCATCGCACTTGTCCGCCTGGCGGTCCCTCTCCTCCGTGAACGCGAGAATCTCGTCATCGTCCCAGTCGATGGGGAGGAACAAAGCCGGCAGACTGTTGCCAACGCCGCGAGGTAGATCGACGCCGGCCGCGGCCTCCAGCTCGCTGACCACGATGGCGAGTTGCGCCTTTTCCTCGATGGTGTAGGGATGCACGGCGACAGGAGGGCGAATCGGGGCGTCGGTCCATCCACCTTCTTCCTTCGGCGCGTATTTGATGAGCCCTGCCCAAGAATCGAGTCGTCGCGTCCAACTGTTCGGCGGGCGCTCCTGCACCGCCCTGCCCCTCGCTCACGACAATTTCGATGCCGTAGGCCCGGCCGATGTCGTCGAGAGTGGGGAGAGGGAGGGTGAGGGGGATGTCCCGCAGGCTGACCTGGCGGGGAAGGGCGTGTACGTAGCGGCCCCCGAAGCTGTAAATCAGCTCATATGCATCGACGGCCGGTCCGGCCTTCTTGATGGTGAAAGTCACGACGTCGAATCCCACGAGCTCCGCCATCCTTTCCTCATCCCACTCCACCCCCGTCTCGACCGCGAACGCGCGCACCACCCCTGCCCACCAGAGCGCGTCGACCGATCTCCAGCCTGCGAAGCTTGCCCTCTCGACCAGATGCTGGTACAAGCGCTTGATGATGAAGAAGGCGGACAACAGCGCCAACTCCTGGCTGTGCTTCCAGTGGGCATTCCAGTCGTTCGCCAGGGCAGCGTTGGCGGGACCCGTGGCAGTTGAAGCGAGGCGCACTCGCTGTAGGAAGGTGATGAGGGCGGCGCGCGGGCGGGAGATGGTGACGTCTCCTCCGTTGGCGTACGGCACCGGCTGCCACCTCATGATGTCGACGCGGTGGGGCTCCTGGAAGTCCCCGCAGTGGACGAGGATGCGCGCGTTGGTGCCGGTAACGTGCACTTGCACGTTTGGCGGTGGGCTACGCTGAACAGTGGTCGCCGCTGTGGAGGAGGCAAAGCGAGGAGCAGCACCGCTCGCACGGGGGACTCCGGATGAAAGGCCTCGGCGAGAGCCCGCGGCCTGTTCCAGGAGACCGGTTTGCTGCTCTGCCGGCCTTTTGAATGGCAGCCTGGTTGCGATGGTGTGATGCTGCGCCTCCTCGACCTCTTCGACTGATTGACTGAACACGCCCGCAGCTGGGAGGACCTCCTGGGCGAGTCGCTGCTTGCGCTCCTTGATCCTGTTGCCGACCTCCTCTTTAAGCTGCTCCTGGATAGCAGCACCCAGACGAGGGCGGGGCAGTTGTACGTTGATCTCCTCCAAAGGAGGCGGGATCAAGCAATACGCGAAAATGCATTTGCGAAGATCCGCGAGAGTGTTGGGGTGGCTCGTCCTTGGGAGGTTGAAGATATGCAGCTGCGATGTAGCGAGTGTTGAGGTTTGGCTTGGCTAGACTAGCCTGCGCTCAGAACCCCTCTTTGCCCCTACCGCGTGAAGGAAGGAGGAGGCGGACCGACGAGGAGAAGCCTTGAAGGTCCGACGTGAGCAGAGCTCAGTTGTGCGAGGAGACGTGTCATGCCGAAAGCTTGTGTGAACCCGAGCAAGAGATCTCTTTTCATCGATCTTGCTGTTGCTGCCGAAGAGCAACGCGGTGACCGCAGCCATCAGCAAGTCGACAGCGCGGTGCTTGCTAGTGTTTGTGTGTGCGTGTGAGGAGCTGAGGTACCGAGCTGATATGCTTGACTCTTGCGCGCAGTGTAGTGTGGGGTAGTGAGGCTAGTGAGGTGGTCGTGAGGTGGCAGGTAGCGAGGCGGTAGCGAGGTGGCAGCGAGGTGGTAGCGATGTTGCAGCGATGTGGCAGTGAGGCCGGTAGGAGGTGCGTCACTGGCGGATAGGCAGTGGAGGATTGGTGACGGCTTGCTGAGTCTCGATGAGATCCTAGCGCGTGGTAGCAGAAAGAGATTCGAGTCAGCTGAGCTCGATGATGGCAGCACGGCGGCCTGTGGACGGGAGACTCACCTTGGTTTCCTTCTTGTGTTGAGGCGCGGTGTGAGTCGAGGCTTGGTGCAGGATGGGTGAGGTCCTGATGCGTGGTAGCAGCGAGGTCCTGACGCGTGGTAGCAGCGAGACGGTCGAGTCAGCTGGGAGTCGGTGACGAAGGCACAGCAGTACCCCAAGGCTTGACTCACCTCAAGGTCAACTTGTCTTGAGGGCTGGAGTGAGTCGAGGCGAAGTGCGGTGTGGGGTGAGGCTTGTTCTGAGGGGGGTCTTTATCGTTGAAGAGAAAGCAGTTTATATCTCTTTTCGAGCAGAGCGAGTCTAGGGGCGAGTCGACGCTGGAACAAAGCAGTCCGTCGACGCTCCATCAGCGTGGACTCTACCTCGACGACACTCGCTCGCTGTGATTAGGCAAAAGCGAGTGGCGACGATGGCCATGGCAATCATTTTGGGTGCGGAGAACTTCGAAGTGGGGGCGGAGCACCACTGGGCGGCTGCGGGGCAGTGCTCGGGGCCTAAGCTCGGGTCTCTTCTGCCGCCGTGATTGGGCAGGGCAGAGGGGTGATTAGCTGTGCTCGAGAGCAGAGGTGACTATCAATTCGCCCACCGGGATTGACTATCGTTGCAGCCGCCGCCGCCGCCGCCGCCACCGTTACTCGCTCTGCCCAATCAATGCGGGGCCGGAGAAGTCGAAGTGGGGGCGAAGCACCAGCAGAGGGCTGAACGCTGCGGGGCTGAGCTCGAGGGGGTACTAGTCCCCAAGGCAATCGATTTGCTGGCCAATCTGCTCGCTCACCACTATCCGCGAGCAATCGTCTGGCCCACACCATCCACGAGCAATCATCAGGCGCGCGATGTTCGAAGAAAATGAGCAGCGAGATCCCGCGATCAGCGTCCTGCAGCGCGTAATGAAGGCGTAGATTTGATTGCGGGTCAGCGCCAAGCCACGCGGCGAGCCGAGGTTTACCGATTCGGCGGCTAGTGTCTACCGACGTCGATGCATTAGTGCTTGCTGGACGTCGTAGCAGTGGTCAGCGTGAGGTAGAGAGCGTGCGCTTGGTCACGATGTACGATTGCGAGTGCCAGTCGGCCGGCCATGCCTTGGTTCCACATTGACAATATTGAAGCCGTGCACGTCCTCGTATGAGAAGCAACAACTTGACGCTCGCCGTCCATTTGCATTCATGAGCGACGCGGGGTGGTAACGAGCAGAAGTGGTGACATTCGGTCTGTGAGCCATTCGTAGTTGCGAGATGCTGATCAGGAAAGGCTAAGGAAGCTCGCTGTGATCTCCACTACGCGGTCACCCAGCTGCAGCCTGAGCGGAGTCGGCTGGCCACGCGTCAATACCTTCGTCGTCTCACTCCGGTCAAACGGGACGCACAAAGGCTCACCTCACAGCGCGCTATGACGGTCGGGTGGAGTCTGCTGGTCCTCTCTGCCCTCAGCACGAGTTGATCGATAGCCAGAAGAGCTGATGAAAGGGTAGTCGGTCAGCTCAGGCTGCTTGCCCCTCCCCCCGCTCGAGACCTGCGCCACGCCCCGGCATGGCCCCTTTGACTGTCTCGCAACGTCGTCTCGATGTGATGGTGATCGATTTAGATGTAATCGAAGGAGAAAGAGTCGCGAAAGATACAAGGAAGGCTCATAGAGCCCTTGTGAGCCACGATGTGCCCGGTGAGACGACTGAGGCGAGGGGAAGCGTCTGGCACCTGCCGCGACGATACACCTTCGTTACACCTGCTACGACCTCGCACGAGCTGTCCAAGGTCGAAAGACCGTTAGACTACACTGCCAGCGGCGCTGGCAATACGCGGCCAGAGGTCAGCGCACTCCTTGGCGACGGCTGTAGGTTGAGAAGGAGGCAGAGGTGACGAGGATGGTGATGGTGACGAGGGGGGATAGGGATGAGGGTGAGGCAATGAGTCAGACAAAGCTCTCACGATGCATCGACGACGCCGGCATCACTCACGTCCAGAGATGGCGGAACCCTTCATCTCTCCCTTAGGGTTGACGATGACACCGGCGGAGTCCTCGAAGTAGAGGAAGACACCGTCCCTCCTGCGCCAGGGCTTGCGCTGACGGATAACGACGGCGGGCATGACTGCGAGCAGGGCGAGCGAGATGTATTGTCAGTTGCGATTGCTCGTGTTTCCGCAAGTGGTCTCATTCTGAGATGCGAGCGCCAGAGTGAGTGCAGAGAGATCGCGTACGTCCGAGCCGACGAAGAGGCTGACGAGGGCAGCCAGAGGGCGACGGCGATGCCAGACGATGGGAGAGCTGCAGCCGAAGGGCATCACAAGACCGCCTCGCTCGTGGTGATGCTCCTCTGGGTCGCCTCATCTCTGCCATCTCGCCCGAGAGCGTCGCAATCCCGTCCAGACCCATGCCAACGCAACCCTTCAGTCCTCTCCTGTTGACCCTTTCCTGATCATTCGGCGGCTCTTTCGCATCGAGTGGGGCGATACTGGGACTCGTCTAGGACAACTCACCCTTCTTCCTGAGCTCGGGCTTGCCCTTCTTGACGGATGCAACGACCATGTCGCCAGAAGCAGCTGCGGGCAAGCGGTTAAGCCTAGCTCCTACGCCCTGCACTGCGATGACGAAAAGGTTGCGGGCTCCGCTGTTATCGGCACAGCTGATGGTACGGAAGGTTTTGAGGATGTCAGTTGAAGTCTAAAAGGTGTTGCGAGGGGCTAGGGGTCGCTGGAAGCCACCAGGACCGTAGCGCGGTCCCGGGCGCCTCCCTGGACGCATTTCGCCCGATCCTCCGCTTTCCGAGCTCTTCTAATGTGCCCGACCTCTACTCTCGACAGCCCACGACTTCAAGAAGGATTTCTCATGGCCTTAGAGACCCTCCCTCGTCGTCTACATCCAACCAACGCGTGACCTTGGCGCCCTGCCAGCCCCAACTCCTTGCCGCACTCGCTTCTTCTTCCACGTCGAATACCCACTTCATGACTGCGCCGACGGGGAGAGCGAGGGAGAGACGGAACTTCGAACCAGCCTGAGGCTTCGACATGATGAGGTTGGTAAGGAGGGGTTGGTGGTGGTAATGAACGAAGGAGAAGCGAAGGTCCAAACTTGGGCAGCTGGGCCTGGCCGCGTGCAGCTTTCTCACTCGCTCGTCCGCCCGCCCGGCGAAGCTCTTCCTGGAATTGTCGGCTTCCGTTCCGAGGAAAGCCTTTGCGCGCGGCGGCGGGGCAGGTCAGGTCGGCGGGATAATAGTCGCTCACAATCGATTGCCGGACTGGGCCCGCAGCATCGACGCCGGATTGAAGCAATCATCGTTGCTCGTTACCAGCTCGAGGTGTCGCTGAGATACCACGACGACCCGACGCGGCGCAAAGATACCAGCTCGTCAAAACAAAATCAAAGACCGTGTCTCACAAGACTCTGCACCCGCTCAATCCGGATTTGAAAGGCAAAGACTTTCGTTCCAAAACTTTGCTGCGTGAACCATCGCTCTGACCAGATCCGGCTTCGCTGCGAGTCATACATTGAGCATGTAAACACACTGCCTCGGCTGAGCGACATGAACACATCTCAAAGGGCGGGCAGACTGGTAGAGTAAAGGCTCTTTTCGACCGTCACGGTGCAAGCTTTGCTTCGCATCCTGGCCGCGTCTCGCTCAGTATCGCTCCACCTATAGACAGAGTGCGGATGAGAGGACGCTCACCGTCCCGTCGAGCATCACACACGAGAAGATCAACGTCTTTTCACGACTCTAGAACGTTCATCCGCTACCTCCTCGCTTCACAGTCAGCCTGTCCGCATCCTGGCGACATATTGTCTCCGAGGTGGATGCTCAAGTTGTGAAGCCGTGCGAGGCTCAAGTCTGAGCTACGTCTTACCCAACATTGAGAGTCCAATGAATAGTCACTGGTATCTCTCGATAGCTCAGTGGCCCGGCAGAAGCCCCCGTCAGCGGCGCTCGTCGACAGAAACTGTCGTCTCACCCACCGTGACGCGATCGCCTACGACGTGGATGGCTCGTGGCTCGCTTGGCTTAGCACGGGAGCCAAAGCGTGGCGGCTCAGGTCTCGAAGTCAATCGCGAGCCAATATGCTGCGATCAACTCAAGCGGTCAAACGGTCAGCCTTGGCCCAGCCGTCAGGTGGGGCGTGGGTCTTAAGAGGTCGGGCAGCTAGCCGCCGAATATGGCACAGTCGACTGATCGAAGGTTCGTGTGAGGCTGCCTACTGCGCGAGACTATCGTTCACTCCATTGTCACATCAGCTCGCTATGAGCTGCCCCAGGAAGCCCTCCTCGTACGGCTGGACCGCTCTCGCCAACATTAGCGCTTCGTCCACTCCGTTCGCCCTCCTTGTCCACCAGCTACACGCCCTCACGTGCACCTTGCCCTTGGCTCCGCTTACCGACGTCTCCTTGTGACGAGCAGGATCATCGTCTATCGCAAAGCAAAGCTTCTTTGACATTGCCGTCAGCCGATGTCCAGCTGCTCAGGCGTCTGCAGAGCGTGGCGCCACGGCCCTTGAGAAGTCAGCTGCGCATCTCGGTGCGGAGTCGATCTCGCGAGCAGGTTAAGCTTATAATGGAAGGAGCCGTGGCAGGCAGCTGTTCTCAGTGAACTAGAGTATGGCTCGCATCTTCGTAGCGCGGTTGAAGCTAACACCTCACGATGCCTTTCATGCTCCTGACTCTCTTGCCTTCGGCTTCCACCGACCGACGCTCAGCCTGTTCAAGGTACACGGTGAGACGCACGCCGCTGGAGCTTCTACTCTCCTGTAGCGAGGCGACATGTGTCCTGGTGGACAGCATCGACGTCTGTTAGCGGGGCTCAATGGCTGCACATACCCGCCTGTGCGAGCTTCATGAGCACACCCGTCACTCATGAGTCTTCACCGTCTGCTTGTACACACCTTGGAGCTGGCTGCTCGATCGAGACATGCGAGACTGGATAGGATAGCATTGGCCTCACAGTACCACGCGATGCAATGACACCTTGACCGCCAATCGTCTGAATGACAGCACATCGAATGCACACCTCGCCCCACCGTGACCACGACGCCTGCCGTCATCTTTGTCAGACCGTCCGTCGCCCTAGTGCGGAGTCTAGCGGGCGTTGTGAGAGACGCGACGCCTCGTGGAGGGTGAGACGGACAGGCGGACAGACCGGCTCGATCTCGCCTCTTTCAGCGCTTCGTCGTCCTCAACGTCCGCCCGCTCCGACGTAGCAGTCCTTCCCATTATTATCATCATCATCAGACTCAGACTCAACAGCGCTGCCCTCGAGGCTCTGAATATCAACACCGCAGCAGTAGCCGTCGCCGCTCGCCCGCTGGGGGGCTACAACGCGCCCGCATGGACTCGCTCTCTGCGGCGGCCGACGCTCTGCAGCATGCCAGCTACGATTGCATAGCAAGGGCTGTATATGCGGTCGCTTCAACAACATCGCCCGTGGGCGAGGGAAGCAGCACGGGCGCCGGTATACTCTCACCACAATCATCATCATCATCATCACTGCCTGCACTCCTGGGCTCGGGGGAACGGCGAGAGCTGGGCTTCCTGGGCATGTCCAAGCAGGAAATCGACTCACTCCTCTGGGACTATCGCACAGTCTGCACGGCGGGAACGGCCTCCTTGGTCTCGACAATGGCCAGCTTCCCATTCGACAGTCTGAAATCGCGCCTCCAAGTCAAGTATTATCCCAGCATCTGGAGCTGCGCAAGGGCCGTAGCCCGTGAAGAGGGGATCGGAGGCTTCTTCCGCGGAGTGACGATCCCGCTCATCACGATTAGCTTCGTGCGGACGTCGAGTTTCAGTATATACGTGAACACAAAACAGGCGCTGCATCAACGGGGGTATGCCAAGGACAAATCGAGGCTCAGAGACGTAGCGTTGAGCGGGATGGCGGGAGGAGCTACGAGTGGGATCATCATCAGCTGCGGATCGGCGCCCTTTGAACTGGTCAAAGTGCAGAGGCAATTGGAGTACCTTACTGCGGTACAGAAGGGCCTCATCGGCGAAGCGGGAGCATCAAATACTGGTGGGGCGGCAGGATCACGGCGGCCCTCACCGCCTGCCGCCAAGTACAAACCACAATCAGGCTTCGCAGCTGCGTCCGACATCTTACGCAATCACGGCGGGATCCGTGGCTTCTACATTGGGTTTCCCCTCCACCTCACGCGAGATACGCTCGGGACGATGCTTTACTTTGGATCCTACGACTCGATACGAAGCATGGTGGGGCGATACTCCAAAGACGGCACACTGTTCGGCCTACCTTCGCCTGTGGTCTCCTTCCTCTCCGGCTCGACAGCGGGCATAGCATCGTGGCTCCTCGTGTACCCGGTGGATCTTCTCAAGACGAATGTGCAGCAGCGTACGCTCAGTGGGCATCCTCAGCAGTTGACGGGATATCAGCTCTTTACACACCTCTTGCGCGAGAGACCGCCGCCGGAAGGCTCGCTGGTTAGCAAGGACACGCTCGTGCGGCGCTTCTTGCGCCTCTACCGCGGTTTGGGGGTGTCGGCGCTGCGCAGCTTCATCAGCCATGGGCTGACATGGACGCTGATTGAGAGCTTGAGCGACAGGTTAGAGAGGCGGACGGGCAGAAAGATGAGGGAGACGTAGCGGATCAGGAGGGGAGTCATTGCGGACACAGCAGGCAGGGTCGGGGCAAGAGCGGAGCCATCGCATCGTAACGTATAGACATCCAAGCCGGGCCTGAGACAGCCACGCTTCGACTCGATCATGCCACCAATCCATTCGACGCACAAGCGCATTGTACATCAGAGCAGGCGATACGGAGGGGAGATTGCGAGACTGGACTATTGCGGGATACTGAGCATCTTGCGCTGCGCCTTCGTTCGCGCATCTCGTACCTTGACTCACTCGCGTTTTGCTTCACAACTTTTGTCATTTCTACTCCATCGTCGTCATCATCGTCGTTAACGAACAGGAGAAGAGCAAAAAAGGGTGGGCGCGCGCGACTATTCACAGTTGGAATGGTTGTGTGTGCGAAAGAGGAATAAAGGAGAAAGGAACGAAGAGAAGGCAGAAGAGCGAGAGACGGGGGGTAATGGGTGACGAAATTTGGAGGTGGAGGAAGGGTCGGGGGAAAGATAACGTTCCGAGAGGTGTAGAAGAGATGGGGAAAGGAATAGACGGGGGATGCGCTGCTGTCCGTGTTGCTTTGGGTGCTCTGCGACGTGGGCGCGTCATCCGACGAGGCGTGGAGCTCGCTGCGGCTGGACGTCCTCCGTACTCAGCGTCCGCTCGCACCTTGCTTCGCGCGTCTAGGGTCGATGCTTCCACCGCTCGCTCGCCTGGCCGCGCTCGCCTCACTCGCGCCACTCGCGCCACTCGCGCCTAGTTGACCCTCTTGATCGGATGCAACAGCATCGGACTCCTACAAACGTCGTCCCTCTCCTTCCACCCCACGTAGATCTCCTTGCTGTGCTTCCCATCGTAGTAGAAGCTCGAGTCGCGCATCACCTTTTCGTTGATCTTCTTGTAGAAGTCGGCGCGGTTGATGCGGGCGTGGAGCACATCTGGGTCCCAGTAGTGCCGGAAGTAGATGGGATGCGGCGCGAAGACGCCCTTGAAAGGTAGAGGAAGGTTGTGCGTGAAGCCTGCCTCTGGGTAGAAGGAGTGGTCGTGCGAGGAGGGGAGGTGCGAATGGAGGACCAAGGTGGTGGGCCAGGCTTCGCAGTGTAACGACTTCTTGGCCTCGGCGTTGACGACATTCATGGCGTCCAGCAATGATCGACTCATGCGCATATTCGTGCCGATGGACGCCCGCCTGTGAGTGCCCTGTCCCTTGGGATAATTCTGCACGTCGTACTCCCAGTACCAACCTGAGCCGCGAGGGTCGAAGATGGGACCCAGCGTGATCAAGTCCGCTTCCTCCCCTCGTCCCCTCGTCAAATTTTGGTCGTCCCTCCAATTCGACTCGCTCGCCGTCACGTTCCTCACGTACCAAGTATCGTACTTGTCCATCCCCACGTGCAGCGGCTCCTCGCGCGCATACTCCTCCACTCCCTCGAAGAAGTCGAGGTAGTTGCCCACATAGCGTACGTCCATCTCCCAGTTCCAGATGAAATCGTACTCCTGGTGGTCGAGGTAGAACTTCTGCAGCGCCATCAAGCAAGAGCGGTACGAGCTCTGCGCGATCATGTGGTTGAGGAACTTGCCTGGCAGACCGGGATAAAGCGCGCACATCTCGTCTTCTGTCCAGAGCTCGACCATGCCCCAGAACTCGCGAGGGACGGATGAGCGCAACACGTTGAGACGGTCCCACTCCGAGGTGAACACGGCCAGATGTCGTCCGTGCACCTCGACGAGGATGCGAATGTCATAGGGCGTGTTCGGGTTGTTGAGAGAGAGCTCCGCAATCAGCGCACGCATGTTGAGAATGTCGTCCTCGCGCCAGACGTAGCCTTCGTACGAGCGCATGACGAGTGCAGTTCGCTTCGTCTGCGGCGTCGTCTTGAACTTGGACGGGATGTCGTCGTCTTGATTCTCCTGCTCGATAATGTCTGCGATCGGCTGAGTCGTCGGGTCGAATGGCTCCACGCCACCAGCTCGTCCGCGCTCCCGTTCCCTCTGCTCGTAGCAGGCGTCCATCAAGGCTCGCCAGTCCGGAAACGAAATCGGGCCCAACTCCTCTGACCTAACATTCGCTCGCCACATTCTATCGCGCAAGTAGCGCTCCCACTCTCCCTCTGGCATCTCTGCAGGCTTCTGCGGACCCATCAGTGGGTCGGTGTTGTTGAACGAGGGCGCCTTGAGGATCTGGCTGGCCGTTTGGTCGACGGGCAGCCCACCCTCGGCCGCATGTACCGGCTTCAAGTTGTCCGGGTCCTCATCATACATTGCCGCCTTGCGCAGTCTCTGCCTCTCCATCTCCTCGTCCACCTCTGCGCGATATGTGATGCCCAACGCCTCGTCTGTGTACATGGCGTACCTCGATCGGTAGGTGAGGCATTGATTTGGGTCCATGCCCATGAGCTTGTAGTCGCCGACGAGGGGGATGGGATGGGAGTCGGGCGTCTGAAAGAGCTGCAGAGGGGCGTGAGGGATGGGGTTGCCGCCGCGAGGGCCGGGGCAGGAGCCGTACGTTGGCTTGGGCATGCTCGTCTTGGCCTTTTCTTGCGACGGCGGGCGGTACGGCTTGTACGGTTTTGCGTTGGAACGCTGCGGTACGACGGGGTATGGATCGACGCTGCGGCAGACGACAAAGAAGGATACGTCAGTCAACGCTCGCCCGCAGCGAATCATCTCTACGTTGCGTACCGGTAGTAGGTCATCTCCCGCCACTCGGTCCACATGGCCCCAAACATGGCAAAGGCTGCTAGAGTGCCGAACAAGCCAATGAAGAGCAACGTCTTCCATCTTCTAATCGCAATACCCAGCACTCTCTGAAAAGTGACGGGAATCGTGATCACGTAGTATCCTCCGTACTTGCCCAGATTCAGGAGGAACGTCCCCGGCTGATCTGGATTCGGTACACTGCCGCCATGAAGTGGTGATCCCGGTCTTGACGAGGGTAATGAGCCGCCGGGAGTTGAGGGCAGATGATGGAAGCGATACGGCGGGGGAGGGTTGCCGCCGTTGTTGCCATTGTTGGAGGACGACGAGGCCGGTGAGAGAGACGGCGTGAGGAAAGCCTTCTCTGACATGGCGGGACGCGGTGGGTGAAGAAGGGAAGAAGGCAGTCCTCTCCCCGCTGATGAGGATGAGTGAAGAATGTAGAGCGGCGAGAGTTGGAGCCAATTGCGTCGAGTCGAATCGAATTCAACAGAGGCTATTGGCGAGACAATCGCAGTCGACGTCGAGGGTCGCAAGCTCTTCTATCGAGTGAGACGTCCCAGTCTACGCCTGCGAGAGATGGCGTCGTGAGGCCCAGTCAATGGAAAGGGGTGTTGGTAGGATCAAAGTAGACGAGAATGAGGGAAAGAAAGATGCGTGCGTTGCCCGTTGCCCGTTGGGCTGCGCTGCGTCGTGCCTTGGCTCTTGCCTCTGTGCCCGCCTTTCGGACTTGCGACGGACGCCACACGCGGGCGGAGAGCGAGTCGACCGGCGGACGGGTCAAAGAGAGAGGAGAATCGCGACCAGAAACACCCACGCACCAATGGCGTCGTTGAGGTGTCAAGGCGGCGAGACCTTCGTATGCTATCCCACAATCTGTTCCTCTCTTCGATGATGCCGCCGGGTACAAGCTGCCGCTGAACAGTTCACGAGACACGAGACACGAGACGTGAGATGACGCTGTCTTCGTGCCAAGAGCTGAGATGAGGGAGCCAAAGTTGCCGGCGTCGCCGAAGTGTCAGAGCTTCGACTACGAGGTGGGGGAAAGAGAGGGAGGGGTCTTGGCTTCGGAGACGAGGTCCGATGCGAAGGTGCGACGGAATGGCGTTTGATCAAGAGCAGTGTGTGTTAGAGATCAAGCTGTTCAAATCGAATGTCACGAAGACTCATGTATCTCGCAACAGGATGTTGGAGCCTTTGCCACCCGGTATTCCCATGTCCACGCCGATTATTGTCGCACCCCTAGCCGCGCAAGTCCGTCCACACTTCGTGTCTGGTCTTCCCGCATTGGAACAGAACATGCTGCGACTTGGATCGAGGATCGCCATCCTATTTCGAGTCGTCATCTCAGGTGGATGAGGAGATCGACAGCCATGGTGGCCCGGGCCACGGACCTTTGGAACGAAGAAGGCTCGCCTGCGTCGTCGACGGGACCCTGATTCATTGGCCGACGCTGGGAAGAGGTCCGTGGCAACGTGTGAGAACATGAGGCGGGGCAACAGGCAGGTGTACGATTGCTAAAGCGCAGCGTGTGACGAAGAGATACAAGGACAAGCTAAGAATACACAGAGTGAACGCGGTCTTGATATGCACAATGATCCTCCCCCTCCAACAGGCTAGCTGCTCTCACTGCCGCTGCGCTTGCGCCCAGTGCCATTGTGTGCGGCCGCGTCTGCCCAACGCTTCTTGATGCGCATCGTCTTGAACTTCATTCCTAAGCCGATGCTCTGCATCTTGCGGCGAAGGGCGTCTATGTCCATTGCCTCGGTCGACGTCTTCACGGCCGGCTTGTCCTTAACGTGCTCCTGATCACCGCCCCCCAGGCTCTGATGCACCGGCGATGGCCTACGTCCCAACAAGGGCAGGCGATGTGAGCGCTCGCGTTCTTCGCGCTGGGCGGGCGGCTCGAGCCGTTCGTTGACATTGTTCCCGTACAGGGCCGAGGTCATAGTGAGATATCCTCCATTCTCGTCCAGAGGCGTCAGGGGATTATCATGGTGTGCACTACGACGTCGCGCCCCCTCCCCTTCAACGCTCGTAGAGAGGATCGGGGATAATCGATGAGAGGTCGGTCCAGCCGCGGTAGGAATGGGCTGATACCCTCCCTCGTCGTCGTCATTGGCGGAAGGCATTGCCCCGCGCTTGGCCGGAGCAGGATCGCTCTCACTCCTCGCCTTCTTGAGCGTCTCCTGGGCAAAGTTGGCGACACGCCTCGATGAGCCGGGCCGATTTGAGCCGTCCGAGCTACGACGCCTCGAAGTACCAACGCCTGCGCTTGGGCCAGCAACTTCGACGTCCATGCCGCCGCCTGTACGGCCACTGACAGTCGAGCTGGCCGGGCTGCTAGGCCTCGAGATCCACACCGCGTCAGACGCTACGGGCTCGACGGAGTTGCGCCTGCTCCTCGACTCGCGTTGAACGTCTACCAACCCAGTGAAGCTGCTACCCCAGTCGTCGAGCGGATTGACTGTAGCACTCGAGATGGGAGTTTGCTTGCTAAAGGAGGCGCGGAGTGAGCCGCCACGTTTGCTGGACAGGGTAGGGCTGGGGCGTGATGAGCCGCTCCCAGCCGAGGTGGGCCGCGATGGTGAGCCAGAAGAGCGAAAGCTGCTGAACTCAGGAGATGTCGGGGCGAGAGTCGATCGACGCGACTGAAGAGCTGTAGCTTGTCGCCGTGCAATGGAGGCCGGTGACTCGAGCTCCTCCTCCTCCTCGTACGAAGCCTCGGCGTCGTCTGGCAAGATGCTGCGCCTCCTCATCGAGTTGAGCGTCGACTTGCGAGCGAGCGGACTAGCCGTGGAGGTGTTCTCCAGCTGAGCCTTAAGAGCCTGCCATGACTCATTGTAGCCTGGGTCATGGAGCTCGCCATCCGTGCCAACGAGGAGGCCATTGTTGGGAGTGGAGCAGCCGCCGGAAGAGGAGCCGCGAGAGGTGGGACGCTTGATGGCCCCAAGGGTGTTGCGGTGAGAGTGGCCGCCGCCAAGGATCACTGGTGAGCTGTGGCCTGATAGCATCACGCGTGATGCCACTTTGTTGGAATTGTTGGCTATGAGTCGGCTGGGTGGCTAGGATAGTGGGCTGTGTGGGGGAGCCATGAATGCAGCTAACCCGCGCTTCTTATGTCGATGTCTAGCGTGCGTGGGTGCGATGTTCCACTAGCTGACCAAGAGGCGGCTACGTGGTGGCGGTGGTGATAAGACAAGGTTGCATCCGGACCACTTACGACGACATATGAGCTACAGCAATATCAAGGAATCCGGGTACGGCTACGCTGTGCCGTCCTTCTTCTGATTGCTATTCTCTCTTCATCGCTTGCCGTCACCTTGGTCAGCTCGCTCATAGGCCGTCTTGCCGCCCTCATTCCGTCCTCCCGTCTTCCCGCCCTGCCCGGTCGGCCGGCCATTCTTCCCGCGGGTCGCGGTCAAGCCAAGCCGCCGCCACCGTGTCTCGCTACACCGTCAAGCCAAAGAAAGCAATGGCCGGCCCTGGGAGGCCGCCGCCTTTCGCGCTCGGGGTCCAACAACCGCTTTCGCCGAGAGAGGACTACACGATGACAAGAACAACGGCCAAGACAACGTGGAGCACCCCGAGACGAGACCAAGTGGGCTATACCGAAACATCAACGGATGACGCGGAGACGAAGACATCAACTCAAGAGGCTCACGTCGCGGCCGCGCGCGTCTTGGTCACCATCTTGACTGGCTCGCGCGAGAAGATCGAGACGTGGGTGTGGGTGGTGTCGAAGAGAGCTCGCGAGTCTCGCGAGGGTGATTGAAGGGTGGACGTGATCCACTTGATCTGCTCCTTGCTTGCCTGTCACACTGCCGGACTGTAGTCGCCCTCGTGGTCATTGTGGTGAGCGAGCGTCGTCTGAGAGCGTTGCGTGAGCGGCGTCATTGAAGAGCGAGCTTCATCCGTGGTGAGCCCCGCTTCATTGTGACTGGTCTCTCCCACGTGGTTGCAGGCAACCCGTTCTTCGCCGGTGCCGGTGAGCGGTGAGCTGGCCTGGCCTCGCCAGGCCTCTTGGGCTGTCTGTCGACTTTCTCTCGTCGGGGCGGGCGGACGGGCGGGGCGCGGGCAGCTCGGCCCTCGCTCTCACTCACTCGGTGCTGTTGGCTGGCTGGCTGGCGGGCTGGACTGGGACTCGACTGGCTTCTTCGCGCACGCCCGTCTCAGTTAGACCAGAGCCTCCCTCCTCACTACCACCACTCCTCTCTCACCACCTCTCAACCGACCGTCTTCTTTCCACGATGCTCGCTCGATCTGCTGGTTTCGCAGCAGCCAACGTGGCTCGCTCGGCGGCCCCTCTTGCTGTGAGTGCACGGCGACGAGGAATGCAAAGGGGAGGATGAGGGAAAGAAAACCTGCCAGAGCGAGCGGAGGTTGTATGCTGCGATGCAAAGAAGATCGCAGCGCAGCACGCAACGGTCAAGGACTTTAGATTGGTGCTGGATGTCGTAGGGACGGTCTGGCGGGAATCCATCTGCTCATCACTCGAGAAAACTCTGACACCTCGCACCCTTGCAACCCCCGCAGGCTCGCCGTGCTGCACCCGCCGTCGCCACGATTGCGCGCACCTACGCTACCGCCAAGCCTGGTGAGCAACAAAGACACCACGGATATCACTCAGTCAGTCTGCTAACACTCTCGTTCCATTCCTACCACCCTCGCAGCCGCTTCGGAGGTCAGCTCGATCCTTGAGCAGCGCATCTCTGGTGCCGCCGCTAGTGGTGATGTCCAGGAGACCGGCCGCGTCCTTAGTGCGTACCACACACCTATCTCACTACGCTACATGAACAAGGCTGACCTCCTTTCTCGCCCTGCTCACAGCCATCGGTGACGGTATCGCCCGTGTCTACGGTCTTCGCAACGTTCAAGCCGAGGAGATGGTTGAATTCTCTTCCGGTGTCCGCGGCATGTGCCTCAACCTCGAGGCCGACAACGTCGGTGTCTCCATCTTTGGTTCTGACCGCAGCATTCGTGAGGGCGACACCGTCAAGCGTACCGGCCAGATCGTCGACGTCCCCGTCGGACCCAAGCTCCTTGGCCGTGTCGTCGACGCCCTCGGTAACCCCATCGACGGCAAGGGACCCATCGAGGCCGCCGAGCGTCGTCGTGCCTCGCTCAAGGCCCCCGGTATTCTGCCCCGTCAATCCGTCAACCAGCCCATGCAGACTGGTCTCAAGCCCATCGACGCCATGGTCCCCATTGGTCGTGGCCAGCGTGAGCTGATCATCGGAGACCGTCAGACTGGCAAGACGGCTGTCGCGCTCGACACTATCCTCAACCAGAAGCGATGGAACGATGGCAACGACGAGAGCAAGAAGCTCTACTGTGTCTACGTCGCCGTTGGACAGAAGCGTGAGCACCGATTCGCGAAGGATATGCCACATCGAAGAGCGTCATGCTGACACACTACTTTCCTGCCCTCGCTCATGCATTGTGCTTCTCCCTCAGGCTCGACCGTTGCCCAGCTCGTCCAGACCCTTGAGCAGAACGACGCCATGAAGTACTCGATCGTCGTCGCTGCTACCGCCTCGGAGGCCGCTCCCCTCCAGTACCTCGCCCCCTTCTCCGGATGCGCCATCGGCGAGTGGTTCCGTGACAACGGCAAGCACGCCCTCATCATCTTCGACGACCTTTCCAAGCAGGCCGTCGCCTACCGTCAGATGTCCCTCCTGCTCCGTCGTCCCCCCGGACGTGAGGCTTACCCCGGTGACGTCTTCTACCTGCACTCGCGTCTCCTCGAGCGCGCTGCCCGCATGAACGACAAGCTCGGCGGTGGCTCTCTCACTGCCCTCCCCGTCATTGAGACTCAGGGTGGTGACGTCTCGGCTTTCATTCCCACCAACGTCATTTCCATCACTGACGGACAGTGAGTGCGAGGGCGAATTTGGGGTCGTACGCGTCCGAGGCGTCGAGACTTTACTGACACTGTTCTTCGCCCTTTCTCCCATTCCCCCTGCTCTCTCTTGTCCATCCTCGTCATTCTTCGTACTCCCTGCTATCTCATCGCAGGATCTTCTTGGAGAGCGACCTGTTCTTCAAGGGTGTCCGCCCCGCGGTCAACGTCGGTCTCTCCGTGTCTCGTGTAGGCTCTGCTGGTGAGTTCCCGATACCTGAGCCCTCCATCGCTGTCTTACAGAGTCACTGACGACCTATTCACCTTCTCTTCACCCCACACAACGCCTCTCTCGCGTCTCCTTCCTTCCTCGCCATCAGCCCAGAGCAAGGCATACAAGTCGGTTGCTGGAAGTCTTAAGCTCTACCTTGCCCAGGTGCGTTTCATCCTCGAGGTCGTGGCGCCATCAGAGGACTGCCTGGCTAACAGCGATTTTTACCGTGCCCCTCTCTCCCTCTTCACTACCATCATTCCCTTCACTACGACAGTACCGAGGCAAGTATCCGATACCCCTTACCAATGCGTCCCGGCGCAGCAGCAGCTAACCTCCTCCTTTGCGGCTCTTCCCTTTCGCACCCTTCTTTTCAAACTCGCAGAGCTTGCCGCTTTCGCTCAATTGTGAGTCCGACACCACGACGACCTTTGCCAGAGCGCAGCAACTGATTCCAGTCAACCCCACCCCTTTTCGTGCCTTCCTATCCTCGCAGCGGTTCTGACCTCGATGCTTCGACCAAGGCCACTCTCGACCGTGGCTCCCGTCTCACTGAGCTCCTCAAGCAGGGCCAGTACCAGCCCATGGCTACCGAGGTCCAAATCCCCATCATCTTCGCAGGCATTCGCGGTCTGCTCGATGACGTCCCGGTCAACAGGATCACCGAGTGGGAGAACGCCTTCCGTCAGCACATCGAGTCGGAGGGCTCTGCCATCCTCTCCGAGCTCAACAAGGGAACCATGCCCAAGGTAAGCAGCGAACATGACCCTCATCTTGCTCGCAGCGCTGACCCATCACCCCGTCTGCGCCTTTGCAGGAGCTCGAGGAGAAGATCACCTCGTTCGTCAAGGAGTTCACCTCCGGCTTCCTCCAGAAGTAAATTGTCGGATAGAAGGCAGTAGCGGTCGCCAGCGCGGCGTTGAATAGCTGTGATGATTTTGTAGTGGGGGAGGTTGAATGAAGAAAATCATCTTTCGTATTACGTGTTAGGGCGTGAAGGTGTGACGGGCGGGGGAGCAAGAAGCGACGAGCGCGCGTGGCCCGTGCAGCGTGCGCTACTGCTCGTGCCCGCCGAGCAGCGAGCACACCGCAAAGCGTTTCCAAACCGTCTCGTTGCCATCGGCCGTAGTTGCTTCTCTCCTGCCTACCACACTCTCCAATCTCGCTCTCGTCACCAACATCCTCGCCTTCGTTCGGGCCATTCCACTCCTCCGGGCAGCTCAGGATTGTCATCATCTGTCACACATCGATTGCATCCCCCTCTCGTGCACTCGACTTGGCACATCGTCACCCCCGCTACCTTCGCGCTCAGCACTAGCTCGCCGCCGTTTTTAATCTACGAGTCCGCCGCCTCTCACTGCACGCAACTGTGAAGCCGCGCTCGACGCCGTAATGCTAGCCATAAGCAACCAGCACTGCCGTGATTAATTCTCCTCTCACCCTCGCCCAAGTCTCTCTTCTCCTCATCATCACGACAGCAAGCTGGGTTCGTGCCCGAGCCGCACGAAAGTGAGCCTGGCTTACCGTGCGAAGTACCACTCACGCGATGCTCACACGCTGCTAGTCACAGGCAATGATACGATGATGTTGTAAATTGAATGAAACGCTTTGGATATCTATGAACTCTGTGTGACTCGTGACCTCCCTACCGCTTCGCTCGCTCGTCCCTAGTCAAGGGGCTCCTCATCAATCTGGTCATCCTCCATATCATCCGTGTCCATTGCATCCTCACCAATTGCCTCCAACTCATGATTGGGCGCAACGACGATCCTCTTGCTAGCCGCATCGTACCCAATCCTGGCCGTCTCCCCGTCCCTGACTCCACCACGAAGCAGCAAGATCGAGAGCGGGGAGAGGACCTCGTTTGTAATGACACGCTGAAGTGGGCGGGCGCCCATGCTTGGATCGTAGCCGCGCTCTCCCAGGTAGGTGCGAGCCTCAGCGCTGAGCTCGATGGCGATACGTCGACCGTTGGCCCGTAGACGCGCGGTAATCTCGCGCACGCGTTGGTCTACGATGCTCTGGATGTTGGCGCGGGTCAACTTCTGGAAGACGACCGTTGCCGACAGGCGATTCCTGAATTCGGGAGGAAGGTGAGCCGCAAGAGCACCCTGGACCAGGTTGATCGTGTTGGGCGTCAGCGTCTCCGAAGCGTCGTCGTTGACGAACTGCGCTCCGAGGTTGGACGTGAAGACGATAAGAGTGTCCTTGAAGCTGACCGTCCTGCCTTGTCCATCCGTCGCTCGCCCATCGTCGAGGATCTGGAGCCAGAGCTGGACGAACTCACGAGCAGCCTTCTCTAGCTCGTCGACCAGGATGACCGAGAAGGGCTTGCGACGGACCGCCTCGGAGAGGGTACCGCCCTGCTCGTATCCTACATAACCAGGGGGAGCGCCAAGCAGTCGAGCGACGGCGTGCTTCTCGCTGTACTCGCTGGCATCGATGCGAACCATTGCCGTCTCGTCATCGAAGAGTAACTTGGCCAGGCTCTTAGCGGTCAGAGTCTTGCCTGTGCCGCTGGGTCCAGCGAAGAGGAATGACACCGGGCGGTTAGGATCGGCGAGGCCGCTGCGAGAAAGGCGGATGGAATCCGCAACTGCCTTGACTGCCTCTGGTTGGCCAACCACTTCGCGGCTCAACAGCTTCTCGAGGCGAAGGAGCTTCTCCTTTTCTCCCTCCTGTAGCTTGGTGAGCGGGATGCCTGTCCAACGCGCGACGATGGTCGCGATCTGCTCCGGCCCAACTGTGCCCTCAGCATTGTCCTCCTTCTCTGCGCGCGCCTTCTCTTCTGCCTCGAGGGCGACGATGCGGTTCTCCAAGTCCGGGATGGCCCCGTACTTGAGATCAGCTGCCGTCGCTACATCGCGACGACGCTCGGCTGCTTCCGCCTTGCTACGAAGCTCATCGAGACGACGCTTGGCGTTTGCAAGCTCGTCGCCCTTTGCACGCTTGGCTTCCCATTCTGCGAGGGCGGGTTGGAGGTTCTCTTCGAGGGAGGCGAGATCCTTGCGAGCAGCATCGAGTGACTCTTTGCTTGCTGCATCCTTCTTTGCCTCTCGCTCAAGGGCGTGCACCGCCACCTCCAACTCGATCTTGCGTCGTTGCATGTCGTCGATGTGAGCAGGAACCGTCTCGCGGGTCACGCGTGTGTCTGCGCAAGCCTCGTCGACCAAGTCGATGGCGGCGTCAGGGAGTTTGCGTGCCGTGAGATGACGCTTGGCGAGACGGGCTGCCGAGACGAGGGCTGGGTCCGTGATGCGCACTCCGTGGTGATGCTGATACTTGTCCTTGATCCCACGCAAGATGGAGACAGTCTGCTCTACCGTAGGTTCCTGAACGATGACGGTCTGGAAGCGACGCTCGAGGGCCGAGTCCTTTTCGATGCTGGTGCGGTACTCGTTGAGCGTGGTAGCGCCAATGCAGCGCAACTTGCCGCGCGCGAGGGCTGGCTTGACGAGGTTGCCTGCGTCCATTGATCCTCCTTCCCTACCAGCCATGATGAGATGCATCTCGTCGATGAACAAGATGACGGGCGTGGTCTCTTGAGCCTTCTCAATCTCCTCCAGCACTGACTTGACCCTCTCTTCGAATTCTCCCTTGAACTTGGCTCCAGCCATGAGGGAACCCATGTCCAAGGACAAGAGACGTCCCGTGAGCGAAGGAGGGACGTCGTTGTCGACTATCCTCTGCGCCAAGGCTTCGACAACCGCCGTCTTTCCAACCCCGGGTTCTCCGATCAAGGCGACATTGTTCTTGGTGCGTCTGCTAAGCACTCGTACGACGCGGCGCAGAGTCTCATCTCTGCCAATAACGGGGTCGATCTTGCCCTCAGTCGCAAGAGCGGTGAGATCGACGCAGTACTTGTTGAGTGCGTCGAATCCCTGCTCTGCGTTTCGCGTGTCGATGCGCCGAGCTCCGCGCGAGCTTGAGATGGCTGTCTTGAGGAGCTGCTTGTTTGCGAGGCCGGCAGACTTGAGCTGGGTCTCGATGGTCGAATCGTCAAGGAGAGCGAGTAGAAGGTGGTCTTGAGCGACAAAGGAGTCGTGCTGCTGAGACTTGTGGCTCTCTGCTGATCGAAGAATTTTGGCCGCTGCCCCGCTCAGGCTGACGTCGTCTGGTGGTGGGTTTTGCTGTGGTGTCTTGCGCAGAGCAGCTCGCAGAGACTGTTCGAACTTATTGACGTCGACTCCTGCCTTTGTAAGCACGCTTCTGAAGAGCGAGTCGGTGGGCGATGCTGAGGTAGATGGGGTTCCTGGTCGCTTTGAGGATGCTGCCGCATCGTCGGTCAAGAGGGCGAGCGCCAGGTGGGCTGGCTGGACCTGCGGGTGAGCATGATCCTTTGCAAGCTGGATGGCAGCGTTGAGGGATGCCGCTGCCTTGTCTGTGAAGTCTGGCATAGAGGACATCGTGGGTTGTGGTCTGGGGTATCGTGGACGAAGCTGCGAAAAAGTGAAACCATCCTTCTTATCCCCTTCAGCCGTGCAGTCGGAGTTTGAATTGTAAGCGCGCACGGATCATCCCACGTGGTGAACAGCCGCCCGAAGGTGCCAGAGCGAGCGCGAAGCCGCCAAACGCTGCGAGGGCGAGGGCGAAGTCGACGGCGACGCCACCGCGACAGCTCGTCGGTACCAGTCAGCTGCGGTAGGCGAAGCAGTTGGCGCACACGCGGTCGGGCATCATTCACGAGCAGCGAGCGGATGAGCAGTGTCACTCAATCTTAGGAGTACCCGCACGAACAGAGTATCGGATAGATGTATTACACAAGTGGTGATGGTAAATAGCGAGAAAAGTAGTGGACCGAGATATGTAATCTCGACAACGGCATCTATGTGTAGGAAGAGACCAGAGATGATGCAAAGAAAGGAAAGATGCTGAGAATCTCAGAATCGCCACCACGCCGGTCTAATGCGGCGGGCTCGAGAATGGCGTCTTGGCACGGTGTCCCGCAGGTGTCTGCGCCGCACTCGCCGTAGAGGCCCACACCTGACTGAAATAGTCGGGGCTAGCAGGCCGGCTCTCGCTCCAAGGCGGAGGTTGCTCGCCATCAGCGTGGTGCTCACTAAAGGCGCCAGGGGCGGTAGGTACGCCTTCAAGCAAGCGATGCTCCGCATTAGCCAACTCCTCCGTCGTACGCCCACAGTTGCACGTGTCGTGCGAGTTGCCCGTGCGATGCGGCAGGTGACTGACGCCCCAGGGCGAGTTAGGGGGTAGAGTACGAGGCACAGGATTCGGTGTGGAAAAGCCGTGCTGGTGGTGATGAGGGTGAATGGGCGTAGCAGTCCCCGAGGCAGGGGCAGTGTTCGTCTGCGTAGCCACGGCGGGTGTAAAGGCTTGCAGGTGGTTGGCGCCGAACCCACGTCGCCCACGAGAAGGGAAAGACGTCGAGATGGGAGAGGAGCTGAGTGACGTTGGGTCAGGTCGCTCATGCGTAGGTGAAGAGGGCCGACTATTGGGCCTACTCTTTCTACCCGGGAAGTGAGAGCCGAGAGCGGCTGAAAGCGAGTGCCCGATGCTGTGGCTCGAGGCTCCGCGCTCAATCGGTGGGCGAGTCGGTGACGAGTCGCGAGAGGGAGCTCGAGAGCCTGGCCTGGAATTGCCGTTCGAGTGCGGCTTGGATGAGGGCGGTGTGGCTCGGCCACGACCACCTGGTAGCGTGTTGTGCAGCGTATTTGCCAGCTTCTGAATATCGGTGTGAGAATGGTTCGGTCTGATGTGATGATGCTGAGGCCCACCGCCGATGTTGATCGGGCTCCGGGCGAGATTGGTGGGTGATGGAGGACGGGATGATACGGGAGACTCTTGCACATAGGGTGGCAGATGGACTGTATCAAACGTTGCCGTGCACGAAGGGATTACGACGTTGCGCCTAGCGGAGAAGACTTGCACCTTGGGCTTGCCGAAGGTGTCGGACTTCTCGCGAGTGTCAAGGACGTCCTCACGCGAGAAAAAGACCTCGACGCCCATCTCGTGTGACACTCTGATATCGGCACGACTACCGCGCACAGTGCTCGGCCTCATCTGGTCGTCGTTGGGCAGACGGAGCGTCGACTTGAGACGGTAGCCTCGGCGATTGGAGGCGCCCCCCACACCGGGTATCGTGGGCGAGTTTGCATGCATGCGGCGTGAGGAGGAGGCGGCGGCTCCGTTGGGCAACGGGATCGGTCGAGCTCCTGGACTCATGTTCGGCGTGGACGACGAGCTTGGGTGGGCCACCGCGGGGCCGTACGGAGCTGTGTGAGGGACGCTGCGGAAGGCTCCTCGTCCCGGCCTGCCGTAACCGTCGTCGGCGATCCAGATAGCATCTCCAGAATCGGTTGAGGCCGTCGTAGCAGCTGCTTTGCCACTCTTGTTGGGCATGTGTCCCCACTCTGCGATTCGCATCTTCTCTGCTGGTATCTTGAGCCACGCCTTGCGCAGCTCCGAGTAGAGCTCAAAGGTCTGCTCGATGAAGACGCGAATCACAAGGACATTCAACTTTGCTGGTGGGTCTGGATGGACGATGGTCAAAGTAGCTGTTCCGCCCACAGTCAAGCTGGCAGCTGTGAGGGAGAGGGAGATGGGACCAAGGGCCTCGTGGACGTCTGCATACGTGATCTCGAGTGGCGTTGGCCCGCCGTCCTTGTTGACATTGAGGATGACGAATACCTCACGAGTCGCGACGACGTTGTGCTTGGCCCTGCCTGCTCCTAGCGCAATGGCCGTGACGATGTAACGTGTTCGCCCGTGTTTGCAGCGTTCGAACGGTGGTGAGGAGGCTGGGATGATGAAGGAGAACTCAAAGCCGTGGACGCCTCTGTCCAGATGCATGCCTTCGTCGTGGCGAGCAGGTGCTGTTAGCGCCTCAAGCTCGAGACCATTAAGCTGAGCGGCGACGTCATCGCTCGCGCTGCTGTACGCTGGAGGCAGGCCACCAGCCGCCGTATCGGGGTCGGTACCCGTCGTCGTTGCGTGGCTCTGCAGCTGCACGTATTGGCTCTGCTGCTGCTGCTGCTGCCCCTGCGGCCGCTCCTTTGCTTTCCCTTTCCCCTTGTTGCGATGGTGCTTGACAATACCGCCATCTCCATCGCTCAAGATCTCCATCGACTTGTCGAGGATGATCTTCTCCTCCCATCGGATGTTGTTGGTTGCGAGACCCGGCGTTGAGTCAGGCATAGCAATGGTCTGAACTCCTTGCAGGGTCACCTTGACACCTCCAATGGTACGCTCGCTGGGCGCTTTGATCTCGACGACGCCTCGCAGCGTCTGGTCCTTGCCTGTTGTCTCATTGCTGGGAGGTGGATGGATGAAGATGTCCTCAGACAAGAGGTGGAGGGTGACCTCGCAAGGCTGGTGGATGACCGATGATAGCATCGGCGCGCAATGGCTGCCCAGCTGATGGCGGGTGGTAGTGCTGAGGATGAAACGGTGAAGGTGATGTTGGCTGGCAGGAAGGAAAGAAGTTGAGGACCGCGATGGCGGACTGAGATTAGAGAGAATCTCGACCCTCGAGCTTCCCTCTCGAGCGTCGAGCCAAATGTTGGTACGCAAGCGTAAATCGAGCCTGCGCCCAGGCAGAATTCGCCGACGACATTGACCCGCTGCGACTCTGACCGCCAAAAGATTCTCCGTCGCAGCGCCTCGAGATTAGGGTCGCGGCGCGTTTGAGGGCAATTGGGGCTGAGGGCGCTGAGTCACAGGCAGAGAGGCAAATCGTCTCGTCGCCTTCGATCAACCACGGCTCCATCGTACGGCTCTTACGGCGCGACTGCGGTCGTTTTGCGGCGAAGAGTCAAGGATGGGAGGCAAGAGATTGGCAATATCATGGCAATGAGGCCGACTTCTCAGCTGCCGCTCAGCAGGAAGGAGGAGAAGGCGCGGCAGGTCATTAGGTAGGCGGCGCGGCGGACGCGGCTCAAGATTGGCCTCGACGGCATCGAAGGCCGCGAGCGGTGTGATGTCAACAACAGGCTAAGGGCCAGGGGTTATCAGCCAACCAGCCAGTCGGCCGTCCTTCGTCCTTCGTCTCTCCGTATCCTGAACCATCACGGCCACGCACCCTCACCCAGTCACTCACCACCTCGCCCGCCATGCAGATTACCTTCGCTCCTTTGATGCTGCTGCTGCCGCTGCTCGCCAGCGCAATCCTCGTGTCTGCTGACAAGCGCAGGCACATGTTTGACAATCCTCACGCAAAGAGAGCACATATCGACCACTTGGGCAGGCGAGACACGAGTTAGTGCGAGGCGAGCGAGCAGGTATTTCTGGTCTGAGCTGACCTCGACGCCCTTTCGCATGCGACCAGGCAAGAACGGCATGCCCTATCCTACGGCAGGCACAACAATCCCCTCTCAGATCCCTCAGGTCTGGCGAGACAAGCTCAAGCAAGCCGAGGACTCGGGCAAGATCCCCAAGCTGCCTTCGTCCAAGACGAACATGCAGACGGGCCTCTCCGTCTATCCGACCGGCACAAGCGACCGCGACCTCTGCGCCTGGACGAACACGCAATGCATCCCCCAAGGCGCCATCTCTGAAGCGCCTGCCAAGGTCGTAGGGATGGCAGTAGATGATGGACCAGTCACGGATGCTATCGCCTCTGTCTCGCCCATCGTCCAAGAGCACAAGGTATCCATGTCCCACTTCCTCATTGGCTCGCAGATCATGTGGGACGTGCCTGCCATGAATACGCTGGTGCAGATGCAGCCTCCTCAACACTTGTGCTCGCACTCGTTCACGCACACCTACATGACCAACCACTCCAATGAGCAGGTCGTCGCTGATCTTGGCTGGTCGATGCAGCTCATCTACGACTACTCGGGCTACATTCCCATGTACTGGCGTCCTCCCTCGGGCGATGTGGACAACCGTGTGGTGGCCATTGCCAAGGAGGTGCTGGGTATGCAACTGGTCATGTGGAATCGAGACACGTTCGACTGGTGCACGCTCGATGATGGAAGCATCTTCAAGGGTGGAGGATGCGAGGGCGTGACAAAGGACAAGTACGCAAAGGACATTGACTCATGGGTCAACAGTGGCCAGGGTATCGTGCCTCTCGCTCACGAGGCAGTGAGTGAGAGCCTTGACATACGCTGGAGCGTTCCAAGCTGACCAGCTCTCCTTTCGACCAGCGCAAATCATCCGCCCCCTACTTCAAAATGTTGATCGAAAAGGCCATTGCCAAAGGATACAGCGTCGGACCCATCCCACACGCGCAGAGCCTCCCTTGGTACCAGAACGCCAACGATGCCTCGCAAAAGGGGACGGCACCGGCGCAGGATAGCATTCTGCCAACGAAGCAGCCTTTTACCATCACAGACAAGGGGTCTGCAGCCACGGGTGGCGTGCAATGGGGAGACTACAAGCAAAGCTCCTCTGCCGGGACTGTTGCTGGTAATAGTGAGTGACTGCGAGTCTTCGATCCCATTGGCAGCAGCCATTGAGTCCTCCTCCCTATGGCCGAATGTACCCCGCCAGCTACGAAGGCTAACCACACCTCTTTGCCTGCCGGCCCCATCACCACGGGCGCCAATCATTCACACACCTCCTCAGCCTCCACTACAACTTCGACTAGCGGCAGCACAACGAGCGGGTCCAGCACTTCGAGCGGCAGCAGCTCCAGCAACGGAAGCGCGGCAGGCCCGACTACCAGCCCGTCTCCTAGCGGTGGAGTTGTTGCCACGCTCGATGGCGCAAGCGTTGCCGCTGCCTTCTTTGCGGCTAGTCTGGCCGCTGCGGTTGCTTTCAACCTCTGAGGGTGAGCCGCGCAGTGCCAGGTACCGAATGGACTTGAATTGCTTCCTCTCCGCTTTTCTGGCTGCTACACCCCGCTGCTGTCTTCACGCTTCTTGCGCGCCTGTACATATACACAAGTGCCGCTCACGCTTCTGAATCGGGCCTATCGATCGTTGATTTCTTTCCTCTCCCTATCGTGTTACCCTCTCACTCACCATTGTGCTCGGCCCTCTTCTCGGCCTGACTTGGCAGGCTGTCCCCGTGTCCGGCTCACTCCTCGCATTCCCGCCGCCTCGCGTCGACTGTCCCTTGCCTTTTTGCCGAGGCAGCTTCGAACCAACACTCACCTCGGGACCCTCGCTCCTCCCATCTCCGCATCTTGACTTCGTTCTTCACCCTTCTACTCATCATCTTCATCGCTTCCCCTTCCCTTCGTCCCCGTCACCGAGGCTGGCTCTCACCCACTTTTAGCGCCAAGAGGGCGTTGCACCCTTAGCTCATCGGCGACTTCTCCTCCCTTGTGGACCTCGGCCTCTTCCCGCTGCACCCATCAACATGTACGGCGGCCGACCCACCTCTTCCTCCTCTCGAGGCATCTTCTCTGCAGCAGACGCATACGCCACTGATGCTCCTGCCCGGTCCTCTGACATAGAGGGCCGCGCGGGACCAGGGAGGAGCATCAGCAGACATGCTGGCACAAGCCCACGCCCCAACGTCAACGGCGGACAGGAAACCAGCGAGGAGGAGGATGAATCGGAGGACGAAGGCTGGAATGTGTATGACGACTTCAATAATGCCTCTGCGATGAACACGTTCGACACACCCGAAGGCAAGACATCAATGGGGAGTGATGCGGGATACTTTGCGAAGAACGCCTACGGAGGCGGGTACGGACATTCCCCTATGGACACGCCACCTCCTGTCGCGAGGCAGGTACCTCCCGGTACTCAACGCAACTCAACGCTCCTACGGCCAGAGTCCTTCGGCTTCGATGTACAGCATGCAGACCCACGTCATCCCAGCGTCCTCGCTGCGCAGGCCATGCACGAAGGGGCAGGCCACGTCGCTGAATCGCACGCGGTGCCCACCACAGGCGACAACAAGGGAGCAGGTGAATCAGGCATCGAGCTCATTACGGTCCCCGCATTGGGACAAGAATATTCAAAGGATGAGATGAAGCGCATGAGCAGGCAGCATCGTCGAAAGACGAAGGCGAACCGCCGCAAGGAGAAGGTGTCGCGCTGGGGCAAGGGAGAGCACAAGATTTGCGGCTGGTTGAGCCCGAGGTGGGCCGTCGTGATTGGCTTCTTCTTCCTCGTCTTCCTCGGTGTGGGACTTTACTTCGTCATCCCGAGAGTGCCGGGACTAGCCTTTTCCACTACTGCGCCGCTCGTGGCCGTACCTAACAGCGCTAGCATGGTGACGCATTATAGTCCCACCAATTTCAGGTGAATACACAGGCAGCGCAGCGACGAATGAAGTAGCTGTGGCAGAGTGCTCACATCCCTCTCTCCGTGCTCAGCATGATCATGGACCTCAACCTCCGCGCAGACAACACAGGCGGGTGGATCCCCTCTCACGCCACCTCCATCAAAGTGGAAGTCACGGAGCTGACCACGTTCAAGAAGATCGGCTCTGGCTCTATTCCCAACGGCATATCCTTCCCTGGTCGCAGCAAGACTGTCTTCAAGGTCCCCGTCAATTTCACCTACCGCTCGCTCAATATCACGGGCGACCCGACCTTCCAAGTGGTACACTCGGCCTGCCAGCACCAGTATAACGGAGTGCAGAGGCCCAACTTAAACTTGAATGTGAAGCTGAGCATGAAGATTGCCGGGCTGATTGGAACTAAAGAGACTGGAACCAACATCAACACGCCCTGTCCCTTTGAGCTGCAGAATGAGTGAGTACATCAGGCAAGCAGATGATGTAGACGTGCGGCTGACCACATTCTGCTTCCATGCCACGACTCAGTCAATGACGGGATACGACGACGAGCACGATGACCACCTAGCATGTGTACATAAAATGGACATCTGATGGAGATTGACATTGGTGGGAGAGGTGAATGATCTGATGGTACATTGTGTGACTTGCTTGCGAACGTGTCCGTGGGTGGTGCGCCCTTGCTCCTTCTTTTTGTGAGCCTCTTCTATGCTTGGTCCTCCGCAGTGTCTACCCCTCCGTCTCTACTTGCCCAACGGCCTTCACAGCTTCCTGTTGCTCTCGCTCCTGCTGCACCTTGCCTACATCCCTCAACCTGCGCTGCTCCTCCCTCTCCCTCCTCAATCTCTCGATGAGCTTGTCCCTCTCACTAGTCCTCCACCTCTCAATTTCTGCCTCACTAGCCACCACGCCCCGTCTACCCAGCTCTGCTCTCGCCCTGTCCCTGATGAGGTTCTCCTCTGATCGCTGCTGCGTCTCATGATGCTGCAAGACGGATTCTGCGCCCGTACAGAGTCCGAAGATGGTGAACCCGCTCGTCAAGAAGGCTTTCCCCGCCAAGGTTTGACGACGGACTAGAGGGAAGAGATGATGGGCCATGAATACTGTCGAGGCGCCTGCGATGGTCCAAATGAGCATGCCGCGTAGCCCTGCTTCTCGCTGGATCGTGTAGGCGTATTGGACGTGGTCGTCACGATGGCGCTTGCGTTGCGGGGCTGAGCCTAATGTCGAGGTACTCATGGCGCTGGCGCTGCTGCCAGCTGCCGATGGCGGTGGCGGTGGTGCTGCAGCGTCTGATGGTGCATCTGACATCGCTGAGGATGATATGCTGGTGATGAGAGCAGTGATGGTCAGGACGAGAAGGACTGACTCGGACGTCGACTTGGCCTCGAGTGGCTTGGGCCTTGCAGCCGTCTCTCTCCGCACGGCCTTGTCGCTGAGCTCGCGTGGCTTGTCGCTGCTCCGCCGTCTCTGGATGCTGGCTGTGGACGACCAACGGGCGAACGGGCCATGGACCCCGCTCGTCGCCTCACATCCACTGTACTGCGCTTTCCCACCTTCCACTTCTACATCTATCCCATCCTCACCTTACCTCACTGCTCCATCTCACCTCCTTTGCCCGCTCAACACCATGGCAGACGATCGCCCAGTGGTAGTAGACAATGGCACTGGTTTCGTCAAAGTGGGTTATGCGGGGTCCAACTTTCCCGAACACGTCTTTGCCAGCATAGTCGGTCGTCCCCTCCTTCGAATGGAGGAGAAGGATGCCGGGTCCCTAGCTACGCAGATCAAGGACATCATGGTCGGAGATGAGGCAGAGCAGCTGCGCAACTACTTGCAGATCAACCAACCGATGGAACATGGAGTGGTCAAGGACTTTGGCGACATGAGGCATGTGTGGAATTATACGTTTGATGAGAAGTTGAAGATTGATCCGAGGGGAAGTGAGTGCGGGGGAGCAGGCAGAGCCACAAGATAGCATGATGGCAGCGCGTGGCTAATGTTCTCGCCCTTGTCGCCCCCACAGGGAAGATTCTGCTGACGGAACCGCCGATGAACCCAAAGAGGAATCGAGAGGAGATGGCCCAGATCATGTTCGAGGAGTACGGATTCGAGGGTGAGCAGGTGGTGTGACCAACCCTATAAAGACTGAGCAGCTGACCTCTCGTACAATCTTAACGCTGCAGGCGTCTACGTCGCTATTCAAGCGGTCCTCACGCTCTACGCTCAGGGTCTGCAGACGGGAGTGAGTGGCGCAATCCTCTAATGGCAGCCGCCTCCGCCTCATCGCTCACGCTCTCATCCTTTCCTTTCCGCCCGCATAGGTGGTCGTCGACTCAGGCGATGGTGTCACGCACGTTGTCCCCGTCTACGAAGGCTTCGCCCTCCCTCACCTGACCAAGCGTCTTGACGTTGCCGGACGAGACGTGACGCGCTACCTGATCAAGCTCCTCCTACTCCGCGGTTACGCCTTCAATCGCACCGCCGATTTCGAGACCGTCCGCAAACTCAAGGAGAAGGTCTGCTTCACCAGCTACGATCTGGCCTTGGACAAGAAGCTCGCCGAGGAGACGACTACCCTCGTTGAGAGCTACACGCTGCCGGACGGGCGAGTAATCAAGGTCGGATCTGAGCGCTTCGAGGCCCCAGAATGCATGTTCCAGCCCCACTTGGTCGACGTCGAGCAACCAGGCGTCGCCGAGCTTCTCTTCAACACCATTCAATCAGCAGCAGTAGATGTCCGCACAGAGCTCTACAAGCACATCGTCCTGTCTGGCGGCTCGTCCATGTATCCCGGCCTGCCCAGTCGCCTGGAGAAGGAGATGAAACAGCTTTACCTCTCAAAGGTACTGCAAGGGGATGGTAGCAGGTTGAAGAACTTCAAGTTGAGGGTAGAAGACCCGCCGAGGAGGAAGCACATGGTCTTCCTGGGTGGCGCTGTGCTTGCTGATATCATGAAGTCGAGGGAGAGCTTCTGGGTCAGCAGGAGCGAGTGGTACGAACAGGGAGCGGCGTCGATGGACAAGCTGGGAAGGCATGCGTAGCGCGGTGGCGCTGTCACGAGAGACGGCTTGCATTGAGCAATTACGATGACATTACAACGAGAATGAGTCGGTCAGACGTCTGCAAGCCATCATCGCACAAAGGGAATTCCGCTCGGCACCTTGCGTCGATACTCCTCGTAATCCTTGCCGAAAAAGGCAACGAGCGAGGCCTCCTCAGCTGCGGGCGCGAGCAAGAGGCAGAGGGCAGAACGGGTCAGCAGTCGGTTAATGCCCTCACTTCCATTCTTGCTATCTGTCAGCTGGGACTCACACTTGATCCTCTGACTGAAGAAATGCCACAACACGCCAAGAAATACCACCACGCCGACCGGGTTGCACAACACCAATTGTGTAGCCGCCGCCCACGTAAAGAAGCCCGTGTAGCTTGGATGCCTGACCCAAGCATACACGCCTGACTTCACCAGCACGTGGTCGTCTCGCTTCTTGTGAGCCACCTGATGCGAAAAGTTACCAGCAGCACTGATCATTGAGTGAGATCGGAGCAGTTGACCGAGAAGGAGGAGCAGCAGGCCGGAGTAGAGGGAGAGGGCGAGGTAGGCTGGGGAAGAGCTGCGGGAGGCGAGCTTGATGTTGGGAAAGAAGGAAGCCTCGAGCAAGAATTCGACAATGCCACCGAGGTGGGCCGCATGATAGTTCCAGCCATTTTGAAGCAGGAAGGCTGTGCGACACAAAGAGTGGGGCAAAGGTCAGCGGATGTATGCGGTCAAAGGACCGTACGCTCTGCGTGCTCACAGTCCTGCATCAGCCTTGTTGGATTCCATCTTGCCGTAACAACGAACTCGAGCAGATGAAAGGTGGCCCAGGCCGCGAGGTACAGATGAAGCTGTGGAGCAATGAGAACGTGCCACCACGACCAGTCATTGAGATTTGACGAGGCAGTCGTCGCCCATGGCAGCAAGAGTGGCGAAGCCAAAGTGAGCGAAATGCCTGCGAGCAGGCCGAGTGACCAGCCAATCAGCACCAGTCGCAAGCTCAGTGGCGCAAAGTGAGCCGGGATGCTCTCTTGATTGTACCAGAAGGAGTTGTATGCAGCGGGCGCGGGCAAGTTGGCATTGCCATTGCCATTGAGGGGCATTTCGTCCTCGTCTTTGCCTGTGACGCGCTGTCGGATGGATGCCTTGGTTCCTTCAGGAATGCTAGCCATCGCGTTGAATGCTTTTGGAAGGATTCCAAGCTTGTGTACGAGCTTTCCGGCCTCCAAGACTTCCTCCTTGGCCAGCAGCGACTTTGGTCCCTTTGTCCTCCGTGACACTTTTTGGGCAACGCCGCTGCTCGTGGGAACGGCAGGCAGGTGGAGCTGGAGCGAGCGAGCGAGTGAGTGAGACTGGACGCCGCGTGGCAGCGGGCTGCTTCGGAGCGGTCTGGCGGGGCCAAGTCGATCTCGAGCTCGAGCGTCGAGGCAGGCGGGCGGGCTCAGGGTCGCGGCGCATCGCATTGAGTCCTTCCTGTTCGCTACCACCACTCCCGAACCTATCACCTCCCTTCCTAGATGGCCGCTAGACTGCCTTTGACGGCAGCCAGGAGCGCTGCAATGCGGTCACCCGCCGCTGGCATTGGTGCCCGCAGTGCTTTGAGGCCGCAAATGCCACTTGTTCGCTCTCAAACGCAGAGGGTGAGCGACAAAGAGCGGCATACACGCTCGTGGAAGGTGGACTGCTGATCCTGACGTCTTCATTCACAGGGGTATGCTACATTCGAGGGCGAACCTCACCCCGACTGGAAGCCAAAGAAGCGATCCTTCCTTCCTCGCTTCCTCCTCTGGACCACCACCGGCCTGACCCTCTTCTATGGCGTGTCGACCGTCGTCGCTCTCAACAACCAGGCGTATCAGGACTGGTTCTCCGAGAACATGCCCGTGAGTTGTCGCGCATCATAGACTCAAATTCCTTGTCTTCTGATCATTGTCGCTCCTGTCGCCCTGCGCAGTTCGCTGAGGACCTCCTTGACTACCTCGACACGCACGACGTAGTCTCCGAAGCCAAGCATCTCGACTATGGCGGAATCGGATCTCAAGCGATCGACGCAGTAGGCGGCGTCTACAATCGTGTCTCTGACGCGGCAGGTCGTGTCATCTCTGGTGCCGAGGAGGAGGCACATGGAGCGGGTGATCGAGCCAAGAAGGCCCAGCAGGAAGCAAGGAACAAGCTCATCGAGGCAAAGGAGGCTGCTCGTAAGCAGGTTGCTCGTGTATCCACCAAGACGGAGGAGAAGCTGGAGGAGGCAAAGGAAGAGGGCAAGGACGCCGTCAAGGACCTGCGAGCCGGGGCCGACAAGCTCATTCAGCGTGGAAAGGACCAGGCCGATAAGGCCGAGAAGGAGGTCAAGAAGGTCACCAAGGATGTGAAGAAGGAAGTACCTGCCGCTCCTGCCGCGGACACAGCATCGCGCCCATCTTCTTCCCAACCTATGCCTGCCACCACAGACGCGCAACGCCCCCTCAAGGCCCAAGCCGACCCTGCGACCCGCCTCCGCCCGGACGCAAAGGCCGTCAAGCTGCCCCAGCTCGCCCCCGCGCTCTCCTCCCTCACCGGCTCCGAGCCCATGATCGGTCAGCTCGCCAGCACAATTGACGACCTCGCTGCCTTTGTTCGTGACGCTCCTTCGCCCTCTGCCGGGAGCGACTCTCGCGCCGCTCACGTCCTCGACGAGGCCAAGGCCGAGCTTCAACGCCTTTCTGCCCGCCTGGACGAGATCCGCAAGACGGAACAGTCCCGCGCCGAGAAGAGCCTGAGCGTCCAGGCGAAGAAGTACGAGGAGGAGCTGAAGCGCAAGGCGAGCGAGCAGGCCAAGAAGTTTGAGAAGCTGGACGAGGAAGGGAAGAAGCAGATGGCTGATGAGAGGGAGAGGGCTAGCAAGGACTACGAGGCTAAGCTGAGGACAGAATTGGAGACGCAGAGGGAGATTATCAACGAGAGGCTCAAGGAGGAGGTGGTTGCTCAGGGAGTGGAGATGCAGCGCAGGTGGATGAAGGAGATTAAGCGCCGCGTTGAGGAGGAGCGTGGTGGGCGATTGGCCAGGTTGGACGATCTGGCTGGGCAGCTGGGAGAGATCGAGAAGGTGACCGTGAACAACTCGGCAGCTCTTGAGGAAGGAAGCGGCGCCCACCGTACAGCCGCCGCCGTGCGAGCGCTGGTTAAGGCAGCCCTTGCCGACGTAGACGCGGACGCCGATCCAAACGCTGCAGACCTACGCCGCTCGTACCGCAAGGAGCTGGACCTGCTTCGCTCGACTCCCCTCGCCCAGCAGTCAGACCTGGTCCGCGCAGCAATCGAGGTGCTCGAGCCCAACGGCAACACCGGCGTCGAGTCGCTGGCCTCCCTCACCTCCTGGTACGTCCAACGCGTCAAGCCGCGTCTGCAACAGGTCGCTCTGCTCCCCGACCAGGCTGGTCTTCTCTCGCACATGGCTTCTGCCCTCCTCTCCCCTTTGCTCTTTACCAAGTCCGGCAACCCGCAGGGCGATGACGCTCCTTCTGTCCTCGCGCGCGCGGAGTATGCGCTGCTGCAACGAAGGGACCTGGACACCGCTGCGAGGGAGATCAACAACTTGAAGGGGTGGGCGAAGGTGCTTGCGCAGGACTGGTTGGAGGAGAGCAGGAGGAGGTTGGAAGTCGAGCAGGGAGTCAAGATCGTGCAGGCTGAGGCTGCTTGGCAGAGTTTGAGGAATGCGTGAGAGAGGGTGGGAATGGAACGAAGGCAGTACAGAGTAGTAGATTGGAATACACACTACATGACATCACATCGTGGACCAGATTGCAATTCTCGCTCTCCCACTACTTTTTCTCCGCAGCCTTTGCCTGAATATCCTCATCACCCACCGCCTTAGATCCACCCGCTCCACCAGCTGCGCTCTTCTTGAGCTCCTCCTTCCTCTTCTGCTGCCTCGCCAGAGCCACCTGCTTCCTCTTGGCAACGGTATTGAAATACGTTCCAAGCACGAAGCGCAGTAGTGTGAAGCTGGGCTCCCACATCTCCAGCGGGAGAAAACGCTGCGCAAACGCAATAGCTAGAGGACTGGTGACCCAAGAGATCTGGAGCATTCGCCACAGTCCTGCTTTGAGGACTGCGAGGACAGCGGCCGAGGAGCGAGCTCCATTGACCACTGCCATGCTTGCGAGGTAAACGGCAGAGGAGGCGACAGTCACCGTGAGCTGTGACACGATGATCTGGAGAATACGGTCACGCGGTGTCGTGCGACCTGCGAATGCTCTTTGCAGTGCGCCAACCATGTGGTGGTTCAAGGGTGCTGAGACGAGGGATCCGTAGATGAACATCTTGGCTGCTCGAGCATCGAGGCCAATGGTGCGCAGCGTGGAGGTGACGATATCCATCGGGCTGCCGCTGGAGGTCGTGGCCTTTGAGTGGGTATGTGCGGGGTTGGTTCCTGCAATATGGCCTGCGAGGACCTCAGCGAGGGCAGAAAGAATGCCCGAGGTGAGCTGCTTTGTCCTCAAGGGGTTGGCCTCCAGAGCGGCAATGTAACGACGCAGTAGTGGGTTGCCCGTCGCGAAGCTGCTACTTGCGCCGCCGATGGCTGGTGCGACCGTCTTGCTCGTCGAAGTTGACATGGTGTTGACCCGGGACATCAGACGAAGTTTGACAATGACGTGGTGAAGAAAGAAGCAAAGGGGAAAGTGGTAGGTCGTGCGGGGGAATGCCTTGCAGCTTAGGTCCGCCGTGTGTGTGCCTCTTCAACAGGGTCACGCTTTGGCCGCCCGCTGTCCCCACCCCACAATCGTGGCTTGTGGCCTGAGCGTCTCGTCTGACTTGACTCGCCGAGTGCCTGACACCGGCTCGGCACTCGCGGCAACCATCTTTTGAGCCCGGATTCCGAGAAGCCAACGAGACAAAGGCGCGCATCATCCTTGCTCACAGAGCAAGCTCAGAGTCGCGATAGGAAGCAATGGTATTGTGCGCAGACTCGACCTGGGGATAGTCGATGAAGGACGAGAATTGAATGTAGAAAGGAAGGGGCTGGGAGTGGCGAGGCGGCAGGTCAGGCAAAGAGTGCAGCTACTCAAGGCTCATCTCCTCTTCGCCATCCCCACTCGCTGCGCTGGCGTCTGCACCGGCCCCTCCGGGAGCCATGGCCACATCTCCGTGGTCATGCTCGGCCATTTGGCTATCCTGCACCTCTGCGCCACCGCCGTCTGAGGCAGAATCGTGTGCCGCAGACTCTTGGTCTGACATGCGGCCGTCTTCCTCCTCCTCCTCTGCGTCCTCCCCTTCCTCTTCCTCATCTTCCTCCTCCTCACCATCGTCCCCGTCGTCATCCTCATCCTCCTCATCATCATCATCATCGTCCTCCTCGTCGTCCTCATCGTCACCTACACGCGCGTAGCTCTCCGCACCCTCCTCATCCCTCAACACGCCCATGCTATCATCCATCAGCTCCGACGCTCCTGCCACGCCGTTCTCATACGCGGCTGAGGAGTACTCCCCTTCTGCTCCAGTCTCATCGTAGAAGCGACGGGACTCATCAATGCCGGAAAAGGAGGAGCCGACGCTGCGATCCGGCAGACCCATGGCAGGGCCAAGATTGCCACCTGCATGACCGACGCCTCCATTGGCGGCGGCAGCTGCTCTTGCGGCGACAGCGGCAGCCGCTCCCCCGCTCTGACCACGCAACGTCGCTCCCACTCCTTCCGCCATTGCCTTAATCTGACGACTGAGCCCAGGTTCCAAATCAAGGGCCATTGCTAGATGTCGAGCAATCTCATCGTGGTACTTGCGTGGGGCGACCGGCTCGCCGACGGCTTTGGCGACCGCTGCTACCCCGCTAGCGTCCTTGCTGCTAGGATCCGCCTCGCTGCTTGACTTCGTCTTGCTGAGAGGCGCAAAGCTCCCACCTCCTTTTCGCATGAAGGATTCTGCAAGCAGCAGGTGTGCGCGTGCTTCATTCGGCGCGAGTGCTACAGCCTTCAGCAAAGCTTCATGAGCCATCTCCAGCCTCCCAGAGGCCCAGAGGAGCTCCGCCTTCCTCAAGGCCGCGCTCGCTCCCTTCGGGTTGAGCTGCATCGCAGTATCGTAGCTCTCGAGAGCCGCGGGACGATCACCGAGCATCTCATGAACCACGGCCAACACCTCGTGCAACCCTGCATTTGACCCGTTCAGGCTGCACGCCCGAGAAAGGGCAAAGCGAGCATCACTCCACTTGCCCTCAAGTGAGAGCACGGTTCCAATCCCGCTCCAGCCGTTCCAGTGTCTCTTTTCCAGCTTGGCCGCCTGCCTGAAGTACCGCAGCGCCTTGAGCGGCTGGTTCAAGGTGAGGCACTCGTGCCCCGCCAGGGTGTAGGAGTAGGCGTACCGGGGAGCGGAGAGGCAGGCGCGACGGAATGAGCGAAGCGCGATGGAAGGGGAGGCGTTCAAGCTGAACAAGTTGCCGATGGCGATGTGCGTTTGAACTGCATCTGGATCGAAGGAGAGGAGGTCCTGGGCCAGGGCAGAGAGGGTTGACTGCCGATTGAGATGGTAGAGGACGAGAGAGTAGATGTCCATGCTTTCCAGCAAGCATTGCCTGCCGTGCGAGCCGCGAGGGGCGCGGAGAACGCCCTCGAAGGACTGGAGAGACTCGGAATATTGGGCCATGTCGTGATGTACGCGGGCGAGTAGGCAGCCGATCTCGGGAGTGGAGAGGAGGGAGGCGAGTGCAACGGGTGGAAGACTATGGCTGCTGCTAGCATCGCTTGACGGGTGAAAGGAGAACGCGCGCAAGACTCTCTCGCCCTTGAAGTCCAGCGCGTCCTTGTACGCCCCACCGACAAGCCGGAGGTACTTGAGCACTCCCTGATCCGCTACACGCCAGCGAGCTGCTTTCTCTGCCGCCTTCTTGAGAGTGGCTTGTCGAATAGACTCGGCGACATCGTCGATGATGGGCTCGAGTGTGGAAGCAGAGGCTGGGCCAGAGATGGGCTTCGATTGCGGTCGTCGCTGCGTTGCTGAAGTGGGACGAGTGGACGTGGACTCCCTGTCCGAAGAGCCGCGATCGACTGTCCTGCCCGCTGGTCGGCTGCCGGACGAAGTCGTTGAGGACGTAGCTGCGGTACTTTTCTGCGGTGCTCCGGTCCGAGTAGCACCGGTCGCCGCTGTTCCTGTCGTACCTCTTGCTCCAGCCGCAGCGTTCCGTCTCGTGGTCGCCGGAGTGGCTTGCGCTCTCGTGCTCCTCCTCAAACTATCCCGCGTAACAGTCATCGAATCATTGACCTGCTTTTCCTTCTCAGGCAACGCTGCTGACCCGTTGCTAAGGCTGCTCGGGGGTCGCTCATTCGTCTTGGCTTGCGAGAGAGTGCGAGACATTACGGCTGGCGTAGCGCTCGCGGAAGCAGGCAGCCGTTGCGGTTGGGAGGAGCTCTCGGCGTTGTTGCGGCTTGATGAGGTCGGTCTGGGAGAAGCGCCGCTCTTCGTGCGCTTCGCGGTTGCTGCTGGCGCCGTCGTCGTGGCTGAACTGGTGGGTCTGGTACCCGGTCGCTGGATACCTGGACGTGACGACGATGATGAGGTCACTTGATGCGACGATTCTGGCGGAGGCATTGCGGCCATCGCTGGCTCAAGAGCAGACGGCGTCCCACCAAGCGCAATGATCGCCTGATCGAGAAACTCGACCGCATCGTGATCTGCCGCGGAGTCGACAAAGGCTGCAAAGGGTAGTGGAGCCACGCCGAGCTGGCACAATCCCAACCACGCTCTCCAATTCCACGGATCCTTGCTTCGAGCCTCGAGAAAGTGCTTTTCTGCTTCATCCGCCCTGCTTCCCTCCTTCGCCATGAAGCCCAGCTCACAGAGTGAAACAGCTTGTTGTCTCGCTACCGCTGATACAAGCTCTGGCGGGTCTTCAGAGCGAGAGGCTGGGCTGTTTGGCGTCGAGGTCGATGCATCCGGCGAGGCGAGACACCACTTGAGCACCTGCTCCGCCTCCTCTCGTCTGTCGAGGACCACACACGCCTGACTCCAGATCTTTGCACACTCCATGTCTGCGAACACCGCATTGTTGCCCTCTTCGAGCGTCGCAAGGGCTGCGAGAGCTCCAGCACGTTTGCTACCTTGTCCTGGCACGAAAGGGAGCACGGAGCCTTGACCACCGTCCAAAAAGCAACGAGCGCGCAGCCGTCTTGCGGGTACAGAATTCGGCTGAAGACTGAGCGCCAAAAAGGCGTAAAAGGAGGCCGAGCAGATGTCATGACCCTCTGGATGCAGGTAATCCTCGCTGAGTCGTACCAGCCGAGCGAGGAGGGCGTCCTCATCTAGCACGGGGTCAGGTAATTGGGGAAAGAAGGCGGATGCGTCGCCTCGCAGTACGTCAGCTTTGAGCTGATGGAAGATGAGATTGCCTCGCACCGGCTGGCGAGATGATGAGGAGGCAGAAACGCCTGCTGAGCCAGCTGCGGTGCCGTTACCAGGCGTTTTAGATGGGCCGGCAGCTGCGCTCTGCTGTGGTCGAGGGACTCGCTTCATCGTTGTATCGTCACGAGCGGTCGAGAGAGAGGAGGTGGACGCTTTTGCTTTCAAGGCGCGTTGCTGAGCACCGGGAGGGGCCGAAGAGGAAGAGGCACTGCCCGGTCGCCCTGCTCCGCCCGTAGCCGCCCCGGCAGACGTTGGCTGTCTGACTTGTACTTTTGGAGCAGCTGGTCGCGATGAGGCTGATGAGGCTACGGAGCGTTTCGATGAAAGGTTCGACGCAGACTTTGCGTCTCTTGACGCCGCGGGCTTGCTGCTCGTCGATACGGATGAGGTCGATGAGGCAGGACGCGGCCCGCCATTTGCCGTTGTCGATCGATGGCCGCCGCTGCTGCCTCCGCCTGCGCTACTGCTGCTGCTCGCGGTCGTCGGAGGTCGAGGAGCACGACTGCCTCCAGCGACGCCCGCGCTTGCACTCGAAGAAGACGACGATGTCGGCATCGACGCCGTTGATTGGTTGCGATGATGATGATGTGTGGGAGAAAGGATCAACGGAAAGGGGAGCGAGCCGCCGCCGCCATCTGCGATCTCGCAGGCGCGGCCTGGCATCAACAAAGCCAAACACGCTCGATGAGAAGCAGCCACGTGGCTCAGCCCACCGCCAGTCCGACAAGTCGACTGTGGAGTCGCGAAGGTTGGCTTCTCTCCACCATCGAGAGTCGATACAGTAACGATGGCAACGAACAAACCAAGGTGAGACACAACAAGCAGGGCACAAGAGGAGACGGGTCTGCTAAACTGGATGCTGTCTGCTGGCTACAGATACGATTACTACCAGACGGACACCTCGGTCAACGTTTCCATCTTCGCAAAGGGCCTCGCCGAGTCGGACGTGTCCGTCACCTTTGGCAACCATAGCGTGCGTGCGGAATTATGGCCTCGCCCTCATTTTTCTGACACATCTTGACCTAATGCTTCATGTCCCCTTTTACACGCGCAGCTCTCCGCAAACCTCTCCAGCACGCCACCCCAATCACTCGAGCTCCAACTCTTCGACTCCATCGACTCGGCCAACTCGTCGTACAAGGTGCTCAGCACAAAAGTCGACGTCCTGCTGTGCAAGGCGACGCCGGGCAAGCAATGGACCTCTCTCGAGATCAAGTCGGGCGATGCAGCCCCGCCGACTTATGATAGCGCGACTGCGGGTGCGGAGTCAGCAGAGGTGGGGGGTAGCAATAGCCAGGCGGCTCCAGCTGCAGCACCAGCAGTGGCGGCAGCAGGGCGACCACGCTCTAAGTGGGACAATCTCCAGCTCGCCGATGACGACGACGGCGAAGATGGCGAGGGAGCGTCAAAGGCCGCCAAGGGCTCGAGCAAGGGTGAGGGCGGCGTCGATGCCTTCTTCCAGCAGCTCTACGCGGACGCCGACGATGACACACGTCGAGCGATGATGAAGAGCTACACGGAGAGTGGCGGGACTAGCTTGAGCACGAATTGGGCTGAGGTGGGAAAAGGAGAGGTCAAGGCTAGGCCCCCTGATGGCATGGAGGCTAGAAAGTGGTAGTCGCATCGCAAGGCCCCCACAAAGAGAGAGAGAGAGAGAGAGAGAGAGAGAGAGAGAGAGAGAGAGAGCATCAATACCAGTCGATCTTGAGATCACAACGATTCCATTCCGTGAAGATACAGCTCGACCCGCTCAAGCATCGCTCGCCTCCCCTTGGCAGATCTGTACCTTGATGCACTGCTCTCCGTCCTCACCCTTCCCTCGCTTTGTTGCTTCAAAGGCAGCGTGTGCCTCGTCGAACCTGTACCTATGCGTCACAATCCTGCTCACGTCAATCTTACCCTCGGCCACGAGATCGATTGCAGTCCTGTAGGTGCCCGATCCGTAGCGGAAGGAGCCCACCATCTCGATCTCGTTGATGTTGATCCTGTGAATCGGCAAAGAGAGTGGGGTGCGACCCATACCGATTTGAACGAAGCGACTGCGCTTACGAGCAGCAAACAGACCCATTTGAACGCAAGGCTCTGCGCCTGTACATTCAAGGACGAGGTCGAATCCGCCCTTTGAACGAATGTCTTCTGAGGAGGCGTCGCTGCCAAGGAGCTCGTTGGCGTTGCGCTCTGATGCTGCGATGGGGGTCTCGCCCTCCTTGGGGAGGGAAGGCTTGTAGACGGAGTCGGCACAGAATGAGCGGGCGAATTGGAGCTTCGAGTCGACGACGTCGATGACGACGCTGTGCAAAGGGGGGAGCAGAGCATTTCAGTCAGGGTGAGAAAAGGGGAAGCACGCTATCGTCGTACCTCGCGCTACTTACACCCTCTTTGCACCGAAGGCCCTGGCAACAGCAGCGCAGAGCAACCCAATGGGCCCAGCGCCGAAGACGAGGACGTTCTGCAGAGGGGCGGCCTTGCCCTGGAAGACTGTGCTGTACACTGCGACTCCCAGCGGCTCCATCAGACTGGCCTCTTCGAGTGTCATGTTGTCCGGGATCTTGTGGGCGAAGCTAGCGTTGAGGTTATAGTAAGTGGCGAGGGTGCCATCATAGGGAGGCGTGGCGGCGAAGACAAGCTGCGCGAGGGGCGGGCGGGGATGAGAGCCGATCAGCACATCTTCTCGAGCGGTCAGATGACGACGCTGTCTCACCTTCTCGCAATGGTTGTAAGTCCCCGCCTTACACCTGTCACACATGAAGCAAGGCACTCCCGGCTCAAGAGCCACTCGGTCTCCAACCTTGTGCGTGTCGACGGCCTTGCCTACCCGCGTGACAATTCCGGCCGACTCGTGACCGAGGACCATGGGCTTGCGGACTACAAAGTCTCCAATGCGCAGATGTTGGAGGTAGTGCACGTCGGAGCCGCAGATGCCTTGTGTGATACAGCATGGGGAGATGTTAGTAAGAGTGGAGGAGATGTCGTGTGACACGGCATTCGAAGGCTACGCACCCGTCTGTCGGATGTTAACTTCAACCTCGTCGTCCTTCAATGGCTTGCGCTCCCTCTGCTCGAAGATGGCGTCCTCCTGCCCTCGAAGAACGAAGCTGAGGTTACCATCTGCCTTGGGAACAGGAAGAGAGTTGTCACGCCCGATGGGGGTGGCCTTTGGGTGCGGGTCGCCGGGAAGTTGGTTGGCTGCAATTGACGACATGGTTGCGAGATCTGAGTGAAGTGAGTGAGTGAGTGAGTGAGGAAGAGTTAGATGGGAAGGGGGTGCCTCAGCAGATATAAGAAGATCTGAGATTGAGGCAGTCAGTGGGGAAACGGAGAAAAAGGAGCGACGATTTCCAGATTGCCGGCCGGCTTTCTCTGCACGCTGGATCTGTGTCGTGCGGGCGGTGGAGGAGGCGGCTCAGGCGGGACGGAACAGCGGCAACTCAAGACGACGAGGTTGCAGAGCGCAGGATGGCTGGCCCACGTTAATGACGAGGCCGATGATGGGTATGCTATTGAGGATCATGCTGAGGTATTGCCACTACTGGGACTGACCCGCGACATCTCAGCCAACTGTCTCGCTCTTGCTTTTGCTACCTGGTCGAGGATGGGCGAGGCTGAAGGCTCCTTGTCTTGCTCGTCAGCCTGACTTTGGCCCCTTCCTCCTTCTGCTTGGCTCTGTTCGCCAGATGCTCCGCTACTGCCACTACCAGCACCGTCTGCTCCATCGAGGATCTTGGAGAGGTCCAGCGCCTCCCCGCCCTGTACCCACCCCGACTTGAGCGCCATCTTCAGCAGCACACTGACCGCAGCCCTCAGTCTCTTGACCTCATCCTCATCCTCCCTCCTACGATGCATTGCCGCTGCAGCATGTCTACTAGCCTCGAGCTGCTCGTCACTCTGTGGCCCGTCCTCCCCCTCCCCCTCACTTTCGCCGTCCTCGCCCTCCTTTGATAAATCGAGCCCAACGGCGCGTGGGTCAACGCCTAATCTAACGCACAACGCATCAACCGCTCTAGCGACCTCCTCGACCTTCTCCTCGGTGCGGTTTCGCTGTTTCTTGTTCTTGGCTGAGCTGCGGTACGATTCACCGAGGATGAGTGCTGCCGCGATGAGGAAGAGGAAGGCTTCTGAGAGGAAGTTCGCGCCATTCGCTATCGCTCTGCAAGCGAGAGAGAGGGTCAGGGGACGAGGGTGAGTAATTGATGTTCTATCATCTCCTCGCTACTAGCTGATTCGGCGCACCCACTTTGCCTCATTCAATGGCCGCACTTTCGGTCTCTCCCTCTCCTTCTCCTTTCCCTCCTCACCGCCATCCTCCCCAGCCTTGGCCTCTGCTCGTGGTATATGCGCTCTCATTGGCGCCTTGGGTAAGAGCCCGTATCGCAGCGCCATCTCAGAGCGATGCATTGTCTGCGCGATGGCCACACAGACACGGCGGAACGATTCATGCTGGGCTGCTTGTGTCTTCAATTGGGTCGCGATTGGCTTTGCAAGGGTGCGGATGAAGAGGGTAGCAAGTTTTGTTGTTGCCATGCTGGAGAATGAGAGAGAGGAAAGGAGGGTGTCTGCGAAGAGGTAGTGGAGGGACGAGGACAAAGAAAGGGACGTAGGGAAAGCGTCGGAAAGAAGAAAGCAGTCCAACGTCGAGCCGTCATGGCCCGTGCTGGAGTCACTCGCGCTGCGCTGCTCAGTCGAAGCTTCATCTCAAATCTATCCTTTGCATTACAACAATCTCTCCAGAGCACCTCAACATCCGTATCTCCTCTGCCTCTTCCACGCCTTGTCCATGCCTTGCACGAGCCCGAAGATGGGCTTCTCGACCACACCCAGGCCCATGCCCGCTGTCTCTTCGGCCTGTCCATCCTCCGCGACGCGCAAAGGCCCAACAGCAGCAATGGGCTGGTAGCGGTGCGTTAGCCTCACGACCCAGTAAGGGAAGCCGAGATCACCATCGCCGTTGCCCGAGCCGTCACCTTCGGCAAGTCCAGAACCATTGCTGCGGCGCTTATGCCCATTGACGCCATTGCCGTTGACCAAGCCGCCGTTGTGCCCAGTTTCCCTGGCCGTCAAGAGCCACGTCGCTCCGTACACGACGAGGATGGCACCTCCTTCAGCTGCATTCCTTGGCACCCAGCAGACGCCCGTCGGTGCATCGCGAATACCAGCCAACTTTGCCTCCACACCCTTACGCAAATGCTCCCACAAGGCATCACCCTTGCCACCACTCATTGTCTCGTCGAGGTGCAGGGTCCGCACCTCGCCACTCTGCAGTGCCGCAATGACCGCCGAGGGTTTGTTTGGGTGTGCAGCGACGCCTACCGCTCGTGCGGGCAACGAGGGCAAGACACGCGCAGTCGGGGAGAGAAGGTCGAGGTTGTATGACCAGAGGTGGATGCCGCTGACGCAGAGAAGGTATTGCGAGTCGGGGGTGGGGAGGAGGTGGTCTATGCGAGGCGCGGGTGCTGACGAGGACGACGAGTCCGAGTGCGAGTCTGAGGCGTCGCTCTCATCCCCGCTGTCGTCGGCCGGCTTGGCGGTCCTGCCAACAACAGCTCGTCCACCCTTGACAGCCTTGGCTCCTTCCCATACCTTCACTACCTGGCATCTGTCTTCGTCGAGCGAGACGACGTAGACCTTGCTGTCCGGCCATGAAGCCATCACCAATCTTCCGTCCGGCGTGAAATTGATCACACTTGCGGCAGGGGCAGCCGCGCCTTCTTGCTCAAGAGATGCAAACGCAGCAGTAAAGGCTTTGCTCCTCTTTGGCTGCAAATCCCCACCGAGGCTTTTAAGGGAGTACAGCTTGGTCTCGCGAAGGTCGGAGACGGCCAGCCAACGGCCAGAGGGAGAGATGGCGTGCGCGATGAGCGCGGAGCGTCGTTTGGTCATCTCCATCTGAAGCAAGCGGATGTAAGGGGGCTGGTCCGCGGGTAATGACTGCGGTTGTAGGGTAAGAGATCCGATGCCAACCTCGGGCGAAGCAGGAGGGCGCATTTCCCACACCTCAATCGTGCTCGCAGAGCGACTGACTGCCCACCCCTTGCTCGCGCACAGGGTGACACTTCCTGCACCACTGCCTGCCAGGCTAGAGCCGGAGGAGGAAGAGGGCACGTAAGGCACACGGCGTTGCGTTGTTGATGCGAATGTGGTGATCGGGTTGGAGGAGACTGGGTTGACTGCGCCCGCAGCTTCGAGTTGCCGCGCCTTGTTACCTCCCTTCTTGACGCTCATCTGGCTTGGGGGTGAGGCGGGCGTGAGGACAACATTGTAGTCTGCGCTTGCCGACACGAGGATAGGTGTCACTGCGCTCGCGGAGCCCTTGTTGGCAGCAGTGCGTACACTAGGCGCCGGGTCAATGACGAGCGCCTTGACGTCGTGCGCATGCAGTCGCCTTGTAGCAACGTGCGCCCACTTTCCAGCGATGAAGGTGAACTCAGCGACCTTTTGATCTACACTTCCACTGTAGACCGTCCTTCCATCGGTACCGACTGTTAGACAGAGCACGTCTGCCCCCCTCTCGTGCACCTGGAACCTGGCGTCGGGAAGAGGCACCTTGGTCTTGGCGTCGTAGAATGTCACGAACCCCAGCGAGTCGCCCGTAATCAGTGTGCCGTCTGAGAGGACGGCCGAGCTCCAAACGATGGTCTGCTCGGTGCGGCCCTTGGGGAGGAGAAGACGTTGTGAGGCGCGACCTGTTGAGATGGGAAAGAGGAGGGCGTGGGAGGAGGCGGTCCCTGCTAAGATGAGGGACTCGCGGCGAGAGGAGGAATCCGGGTCGTCATCGTCGTCGTCGTCACTATCGCTGTCCGAGTCCGAGCTGTCGTTGGAGTTGTTGGCTGTGTTGCGTGCTGGCTTCTTAGTCTCGTGCACGATAGGCGGGCCCCAGGCCAAGCTGACGATCCTCGACTTTGCCTTGTCCGTCCTCGGGGTGATCTCCCTCGTACCATCGGCGAAGCGCTCGACATTGGTGAGCGAGACGTGTTCGAATCGTCCCTGTCTGATATCGACGATGCGGATGTGCCCGTCCTCACACCCGATGGCAATGTACCTACCCAGGGGCGAGGGGGCCATACACCAGATGACGCCGCCGTGCGAGGACAGAGAGCGGGAGGTGCCTGTGACTTTGTTGTCGGTGATCGACCGCTTGATAGCGCCTTGACGGGCTTCAAGAGAGGCGAACTCCTCTGGCAAAAAGTGCTCGAGCAGGTTCGACCCGCCCGAAGAAGAAAAGAGGCGTAGCCTGTTTGGTCCGTAGTTGGGACTAGATGTCACAGCAAAGGCGAGGGACTCGACCTTTGCTGGCTTCGTCGACGAAGAGACGAGCGTGGTATGTGGGATCCACCCCTTGTCTGTTCCTTTGCCTCCTTTTACCCAGACGCACAGGTCAATGTCGCCATTCTGTCGCCCGACGGCGAGGAGACCTCGACCTGTGGCTGCGATTGGGTGAGGGGAGATGGCGAGAGATGTTGGCGGGGAAGGGGCAAAGGGCAAGAATCGGAGGCGATGAATCGCCAGGGATGTCGTCGTGGTGTCCATCTTGTCGCGAAAGGCCCTTGGGCAGGCTCGATGCGAAATGATGAAGGGGATTAGAGAGGGCAACAAGGGGCGAGCGGAAGGGCGAAATGCATGCAACATGGAAATTCTTGAGCGCTCCCAGGCCGCATTACGTCAGCAAGGGTCGAGTGAGTGGAATCAGAGGTCGAGCCAGAATAACACTTGGAGCCTGGACAGCTTCTTATCCTCACTTGCAACCTCACTTGACCCGCGACATGGCAAAGAAGAAGAAGCCGACGCTCAAGTCGACGGTCAATCGTGGCTTCGCTACCACAAGTACTCCCTCGAAGAAGCCAGTCGTCGAAGAGTCAGCGCCCTCGCAGGCTGCAGAGGCCAAGGAAGCCGCCAATGGCGGACCTCGTCCAGGAGCAGCCAATGGTCAGCCAGTTGCTGGCCACACCAGCAATGGGCAAGCACCTGGACCGACGGCAGAGTTTGAGAAGGACGCCGATGAGATGGAGCTTCAGGGCCTCGTCGAGAGACTAAGTCTCCGCTCCAAGAAGGAGGTCGCCCGACTATGGAAGGCCCTCGAGTACGATCAGAGAATGGCAGAGACGTTCCCTACCTTTGAGATCGACCCGAGCGTCGTCGACAAGGTACGGCAGGACACCGAAGTCAAGTCGATGGCACAAGAAGAGGAAGAGGAGGCAGCAGAATCCTCCTCGACATCCTTGTCCCCACTGCCGGCTACTCTGCTCGATGAGGACAAGCTCTATCTCAAAGCTCTTATCACTCATGGCCTCATTCAGCAGCTGGGGTACACCGCAGCACAAGCCGACCTCGCCCTCAGCTCAACCACAGGGCCCTACGAGCTTGAAGATTGCCTCGCTTGCCTCGTCGCACGTCTCACCACCCCCGAGCTCGCTGAAGCCGAAAGACGCCGCAAAGGTCTTGCCGAATCATCAGCAGAAGGGGACGAGCGAGTTGCCTCCGCATCAACAGACGATTCCATTCCGCCCACCATGCCCGCCTACTCCTTCTCACGTAAGACGGGCCCTCGAGGCGCATTAGCCTCGCAATCGAAGGCTGAGGCCCGCAAGGCCAAAGAGTCTAAATCCTCCGCAAGAGAAGTAAGCGAGGAAGAGGCCCTCGCGCTCACTTCTGAGCTGCGACAGCTGGCACTCTCATCCTCTTCGCTGGTCACCGAGCTTGGTGACGCCATCTCTGCTGGACAAGAAGGTAGCGGGCCGATGGATACACTAGAGAAGCCCTCCCTTGCCTGGGCTAGTGCTCGTCTGGCACTGATAAAAGTCGAGAGGATAAAGGGACAGCAAAAGAAGCTGCTGAGACAGGGTGCGAGCACAAGCGCAGGCTTTGATGCTGGCAAACTGGACGCTATCGCTGAAAGGCTGGCCACAACTGCTAGGGAGTCAGAGAGGGCTAGAGACTTTGATCCGGCACTGGCTGCTGAGACATTTAGGGTGATGAGGGAAGAGTGGGAGGCTGAGATAAAGAAGGACAGTGAGGGCGGCGAGAAGGAGGAGGGCACGAATGAGCAGAGCAGAGCACAGGATGTTGCTGCTGAGCAAGCTGACGGCGACGAGCCTGCCGAGCCGCCGACCGACGCCGCCTCTTCTCAGCAACCGTCAACCGCGCCGAGCGAAGCTGGGGAGGCAGACGGTGAGGGCGACGATGGGGGCGACGGCGATATGTTTGGCGGGCTTCTGGACGAAGCACCCACAGAAATCGTCGATTCCAGCGGCGTATCCGTATCCGTCCGTTCCCTCCCTCAGACAGTCAAAGGTGGTCGCACCCCTCGCTCCCTCCTTGCCGAATCCCTGCGACGAGTCGATCCCGCCTCCCACGTCAGATACGATGTTGTCGCGACCGGCGGGCGAGTCTACCGGAGTCGCCTTACGTTGCGCTGGCCTGGCCCACTGGGCAAGAAGTCTACGCAGAGCTACATCGACACATTTGAACTCACTGGAGAGGCGACGGAGAGTCAGAGCTCGGCGGATGACATGCTCTCCGTCGTCGCACTCAACTGCATCGATCGTGACCGGCCCACTTTCCGCAGCTTGCCGGGGCCATACCGCGATTGGTATGAGGAGATTGAGCGGGCGCGCAAGGCGGAAAAGGGCAAGCAGGATGTCGAGGTCATGAGGCGGATGAGGGAGATACTTGCGCCTCGACTCAAGGAGGTTGAGGAGAGAAAGGCGGCCGCGAAGAAGCTTGGTAGCGGCGAAGCGGCCCTAGCAACTCCCGGCTCGCAGCAGCAAAATGATCTTGGCGCCCTTGCGAGTGGATCAGTCAAGCCACTCACCCCAGAAGCGGCCGGTCGTCAACGCCAGCTCCTTACGGACCGTCATACATGGCCTACCTACCAGTCCATGCTCCCGCAGCGTCATTCTCTCCCCATCCACAAGTATCGAGAGCACATCCTCGACGTGCTGGACAACCACCAAGTCTTTGTCCTGAGTGGAGAGACGGGCTGCGGTAAGTCTACGCAAGTGCCCGCCTACATTCTTGAGCACTGTCTTTCACGTGGTCAGCCGTGCAAGATCTACTGTACTGAGCCGAGGAGGATCAGTGCCATCTCACTGGCCGAGCGCGTAAGCCAGGAGCTTGGTGAGCGCAAGGGTGCTGTAGGGACGGACGAGAGCTGGGTAGGCTACGCCATCCGCTTGGACAGCCACGTAGGGCGAGAGGCTCGCCTTGTGTACGCTACTTCGGGTATCCTGCTGCGCATGCTCGAGGGCACATCCGTCAACGACGTAACACACATTGTCATCGACGAGGTACACGAGCGCTCCATCGAGTCGGACTTTCTTCTGATCATCCTCAAGACGCTCCTGCAGCACCGCAAAGATCTCAAAGTCATCCTCATGTCCGCCACTTTGGACGCGGAGCGCATCTCTGCGTACTGCGGCGGGTGCCCGACGGTGAGCGTGCCTGGACGGACTTTCCCCGTGCAGACGCAGTATTTGGAAGACGCGGTGCAGCTCACCGATTACACGGTCGAGGACGATTCGCCCTACGCCATCAAGCCGCGGCGTGGTGGATATGGGGGCAGGAAGGCGAATGTGCCGGGGAACAAGGCTGGGCTGCAGAGCACGGAGGATGACGATCTGGAGGACAGCAGCGATGAAGACGGAGAGTCAGGGGAGAAGCAAACTTCCAAAGAGTCCCTGACACGGTACAGCCCCAAGACGATCAGCACGCTGGATCGCATGGACGAGTACGTCATCAACCACGACCTCATCCTCTCTCTTATCGAGCGCATCTGCTTTTCCGCGGATCTGTCGCAGTACAGCAGTGCGATCCTCGTCTTCCTCCCCGGCCTGCAGGACATTCGCAAGTTGAACGATATGATCCTGGCCCACAAGATGCTGGGCTCGCAGAGCTTCGTGGTCTGCCCGCTCCACTCTACGCTGAGTAGTGAGGAGCAAAGTGCGGTGTTCAATATCCCGCCGCAAGGAGTACGCAAGATCGTGATATCGACGAACATTGCAGAGACTGGTGTCACGATCCCGGACGTGACGTGCGTCATCGACTCGGGGAAGCACCGCGAGATGCGCTTCGACGAGAAGAGGCAGACTTCACGGCTGGTGGACTGCTTTGTGGCCAAGAGCAACGCTAAGCAGCGCAGAGGACGAGCAGGTCGTGTGCAGGAGGGTCTCTGCTTCCACCTCTTTACTAAGCAGCGACACGACCGCTACCTGGCGGACCACCCGCTGCCGGAGATGTTGCGCCTCTCGCTACAGGATCTGGCACTCAAGCTCAAGATCATGAAGATTCGCATCGGCAATTCAATTGGTGAGGCGTTGGCGCAAGCCTTGGACCCGCCTTCGGCGCTCAATGTGCAGCGCGCCGTCTCTGCCCTGATCGAGGTGAAAGCTTTGACGACGACGGAGGAGATTACTTCGCTGGGCCGACACCTAGCGCGCATCCCGCTGGACGTGCACATGGGCAAATTCCTGCTCATCGCCTCGCTTTTCAAGTGTCTCGACCCAGCACTCACCATTGCTGCGGCGTTGAACAGCAAGTCACCCTTCATCACGCCATTTGGCCGTGAAGGAGAGGCTGATCTGGCCAAGGCGAGCTTCAGGGTAGGCAACTCGGACTTCCTCACCATTGCAAACGCCTTCAATGCTTGGCGCAGAGCCGTGGGGCAGAAGCATCACTTTAGCTTTTGCAGGAAGGCCTTCCTCTCGCATCAGACATTGCAGCAGATTGAGGAGCTCAGGCAGCAGTACATGGCTTTCCTCCTCGACAGCGGTTTCGTGCGCGTCGACGACTCGACGAAGGCCAGCTTACTCGGCATGCGCTACCGCAGTGGTGGACACGGTGCGCCACGGCTGATGGAGACTCCCGCGCACCTCGACGCCAATGGCAACAGTATCTCTGTCCTCCACTCAGCCCTCGCCGTAGGTCTCTATCCTAAGCTCCTGGCCGTCGACTCCAAGTCTTTTCAGCTACGAACCGTGGGCAACAATCAGCCCACGCACATACACCCGTCGTCGATCAACTTTCGGCACTTGCGGCTGGGCGATCTGCCCCGCGGGACGATCTCGCAGTCCCATCTGGTGTACTTTACCATTGTGCAGAGCCGCAAGCTCTACGCGCGCGAGACGGCGCCGGTGCAAGATGCCGCGCTCGTGCTGCTCTGTGGAGATGTGGACGTGAGGCTGAGCTGCGGGACTGTGCTTGTTGATCGGAACAAGGTGCGATTCCGGGTCGCGAACTCTGCGGTCTCAAAGGCAGGCGATGGAGGAGAGGATGTCGGTGGGCAACGCACCCTCGTTGCGGTGAGAGCGTTGCGCGAGCAATTGACGCGGCTGATTGCGGCCTCGTTCAAGGCGCCTGGGAGGGCTTGGACGAAGGAGCAGGAGGCGGCGTTTGGGCTGGCACTGCAGGCTGTTGGAGCATTCGCGAACGAGCAGGACAAGTTGAGGCGCGATGCGGTGTAGGCGGCTTTGAGCAGGGCGCGTGCGTGGGAAGGTGGACTTTGTAGATGCTTCTACTTGATCAAGCTAATCCTATTAGATGACTTGTGCGCCTGGCGAGATGGCTTTTCTTCATTGTGTCGCCCCCGAAGCGGGTCCCACAACCTTTTGTTCGCTCAAACTCACCCCCCTCTGTCGATCCAACGCGCCTTCCCCACCAGAAAGCTTCAATGGCCCCTCCCTCTCCTCCCTCCACCTCTTGAGCGCCTCAATAGTTACCACCTTGAGCCCGTGCTCCCTTGCGAACTTGAAACAAGCGTCCCTCGCAGCGATGTCCCCTCCCTTGCTATCCGGGTCCACAAGCTCACACAAAAGGGCTGCGGCGGGAAACCCTGCAGCTACGGCCAAGTCGACGCTTGCCTCTGTGTGGCCCATACGCACACGGACGCCTCCCTCAGTGTATCGCAAGGGACAGAGGTGACCCGGCCGTGAGAAGTCGGAGGCGGTTGCTCCGCTGGATTGGGAGAGCTTGCGGGCTGTGAGGGAGCGATCTGCTGCGCTGATGCCGGTCGTTGTGCCGTGTCGGTAGTCGACTGTGACTGTGTATGCGGTTTTGTGGCTGTGTGTGCGTACGAGGCGGCGAGGCGGTGTGGCGGCGAGATGGCAAGGATATGAGCACGATGCTGCGCAAACAACTGTCCCTCTGCCGGCCACCCTCTCCTACTCTCCGCCTCGCTCCCACCTGTTCAACACCATGTCTCTCTCGCGCGTACTCACGGCTCCTCATTATTCGGGTACATCATAGGAAGCTGCAACTCCTCAATCCTCGCCGGGTGTAGCGAGATGCACACGAAGCCAGAGGAATGCTTGATGAGCCAGGCCATCTGCTCTTGTGTCACGTTTGCAGCGGGAATGATGAGGTCTCCCTCATTTTCGCGATCTTCCGAGTCGAGGACGACGACGAATTCGCCGGCTTGAAGGGCTGAGATGGCAGAGGGGATCGAGTCGAACTGCGGTTGCGACGAGGTGGAGCTGGAGGGGTGGGAGCCATTGGGCTGGGCGAGAGGCGCTGCTGTTGATGCAGAGGAGGAGGATGCCATGCTGCGTGAGCGGGAGTGTTGGCCCAAGGTATGCTACGATGGAGAAGGAAGAGGTTGGACCGGCAAGAAGGAAACAAGTCGGCCGTCTCTCCGCTCAGCACAAGAAGCGGAACAGGCTGCTTTCGCTTTCGTCTCACGCAGCCACACGAGCGGGCTCCGCCCTGGCAAGCTTCATTGCCGAGGGCCGGTCGAGAGGCGGGCGTAGTCGAAATCGTTATCATTAGCATTGCAGTCGAAATCATTATCGTTAGCATTGCCTGGCTCTGAGACTGAGGCCTGTACCCCTCGCATTACGAAAGTCATCGATCCTGAATGGGCATCACGCGCTTCAGAGAAGAGGACGGGCAGCCTCGCAGAGGCCTTAATGTGTCTTCGCCGTCGAATACGACTCGCTGTGCTGCGACTGACGTCGAGAGAGCGATGCCATCCTCACGCAGCCTCGTGGAAGTCCCTCGCAAAGGGTCGAGGCCGTGAGCGACGACAGGGGAAGGAAGCGCAGGGAAATGGGCGCGAGAAAGAGGTGGGAGGGGAAAGGGGGGCTGCGGGGGAGAGATGGGAGAATCACGCGCTTTGCGTCTGAAGAAATCGGCTCAAGCGTCCGTCGTCGCGCGAGCACCCATCTATTGGTGAATCATTGCCTCATCAGCTCGTGGCCTTCCTCCCCTTTCTCCCCTGCTTGCCGCCCGCGGCGCCCACCGGCCTCAATCCCGGCGTGTCAGCTCCAGCCACCGCGCGCCCGATACTCTTGCCCTGATCAAAGGCATTCGCAAGCGGCAATGGTCTACCGAGCGGGTCCTGCTTCTTGACCTGGTAGATGCGCACGATCCAATTCTCGGATGTGAAGGCCTCGTCGAGGATGTCAAGCTTGGGGGATTGTGTGGCCGTCTGGGAGCCGCGAACACGGTCCATCCCGGGACGGCCGCCGAAGAGCTCATTGAAGCGGTAGTAGCTCCTGTATTCGGGGTGGCGAGGGGTGAGTTGAGAAGACTCTCGTTGGGGAGCGCGGCACACTCACATCTTGTACATCAAGCTGTCCTTCATCGTCTGCGAGGCAGCATCGTCGATGCGGTACTCTCCGCGAGGGGTAAAGTAGTCTACCTCGTGAATCTCGTCGGGCCAGATGCCGCCTGAGATGCGGATCATCCACAAGAACCTGTGCGAGCGCGGCGTGGGGGTGAGCGCGGCGAAGGACGAGGTGAGCGACGCTGAGGCACAATTTGCGCTGCTCCGCCTACTCACTTGTTGATGTCATCTCCCGAGAAGCCGAGCAAGCCTCCAAAGATGACGAGCACATAATCGACGTCGTGCTTGCGGAGGTAGGGCTCCGACTTTTCCTCGCTCGTACTCATCATCCTTCCCACTGTCGCGATGTGCGTATTGTTCCACGTATTGTTGTCCACCAGCGTGGGCCGATCGGCCATGCCAGCAATCTGATACCCGTAGTCCCACCAGCTCATCACCTTGGCGTCGACGGGCGTGTTCTGGCGCAGCCAGTAGTAGGCTTCACGGAAGTCGTCGATGATGTGTTGCGAGCCGTCTGGGTTGCGCGAGGCGAGGACGACCGAGGGGCTCGAGTAGGCCGTCGAGGTGACAAAGGTGCAGTGGAGGACAAAGACGAGGAGAAGAATGAGGGTGTAGAGGGAGACGACAATGCGCGTGTCGAGGCCGTAGATTCCGGCGACGTGGCTGCGGGCCGTCGAGGCAGCGGATTCAGATGCTGACGCGGTTTTCCCGCCAGCCTTTTTGCCCCCCTTTTTGCTGGGCGTGGCCGGCGCAGACGTCGCATCGTCGGTGAGGGACTTTGTCACCTCCTCGCGCGTTTCTGGCTCCTTTGGATCGAGGTACGTGTCGAGCAGCGTGCTGATGGCGACTGCGGCGCTGACGCACACGATTGGCGTGAGGGTGAGCATCAAGCGCACCATGACAGACGCAAAGTAGCTGCACGTCACCGCGTAGATGATGACGAAGACGTGCTCATCGCGCAGCTGCTGGAAGAGCAAGTAGACGCCCGCTGGGAAGAGGAAGACGAGCATCTCCAAGTCAAAGAAGAAGGCGGGCCAGGCCGGCGGCTGGTGCTCCGAAACGGAGGCGATGAGAGGCAGGTGCTTTTTTGCGTAGCCTGTGTCCCAGAGCGAGTAGAAGCGACCCGTCCATGGCGCGATCTTGCCATTAATGGACATGACGACAAAGCCCGAGAAGGCGATCATGAAGATGCCTGCTACGGCTGAGCGGAGGAGGACCTTGAATTGCTGCGAGGGTACGAGCGATCGCACGAACTCGGCAAATGCGCACAGCTGCAGCAGGCCGAAGACGCCCAGCGCCGACATGTGTTCGCTGGTGGTGACGGGATTGTGGCCGACGAAGGGCACCTGCATGCTAGCCAGCGTCCCCACGACGTAGTAGCTGCTGAAGGCTACGTAGAGGCGGGTGCTGAAGCGGCCCATCAAGATGAGGACAAAGGCGTGGAGCGGGATCAGGTTGGTGATGAAGACGTAACCTCCCCAAGCGGCGACCATGTAGAAGTAGAAGAGGGCGCAGGCGACGCCCGACATGACGCTGCCGTCCTTGAGGGCCTTGATCCAGAGGTAGAAGACCTGGCGTGGCGCGGAGCGAGATGGCGCGATATGTCAGTACGAGGCGCAAGAGGTGGCGCGCGCACACTCACCATCATGAGGAGGAAGATGGCGATGGCCTCGTTGTCATAGGACCCGGCGACGCTACGGGAGATGTAGCCCGGCGCGATACCAATGAATGCCGCCGCAAGCAAGCCCGCAGCATCGTCCTTCATCGACTTTGTGAACATGTACGTCGCCCACGCCGTCAAGCCTGAAAAGGCAGGCGCCAGCAGCACACACACATTGCGAATGTCGACGGGGATGTTGATCGCCTTGAGGAAGTGGAAGATGGCACCAGAGGTGACCATCAACCCGGGGTACAGCGTACCTCCCGCCGCTCTCCCCAAGGGGTACCACGCCTTTTCATCGAACCAGTTCCAGAAGCGGTAGAAGCCGTCTTCTGTGAGCACCTTGGTAGCGCGGAAGTTGAACCATGGGTCGAATTCGTGGATGACGGATTCATGGCGAATGACGGCAAACAAGCGCGATGAGATGGCAGCTGCAGCGATGAGGACAATGATGATCACACGCAGGAGAGATGCGACGTTGCGCGTCGTCTCCGGTGAGAACGTCGGCAGACGATAGGCGTACGACGACGTCATGGCCGGCGCGAGGGGGTGGTGGTGATGGAGTGGACAAGAAGACTTTGTCTCGATCGCTCGACTTGCTCACGCCCCGCACGGACAGCGCACTGGGCAGCAGCCAAGTCCATGGGAGGCGGAGCCACGCGGCGTGCCGTCAAAGGTCCTTTGTCAAGCCATCTCGAGCAGGTTGGCGGGTCAAGAGCGTGCTTAGACCTTGGCGTCTGCATGACAATCTCTCAAAGCTTGGAAGAAGAATTACAAGAGGACGATGGCATTGCAAAGAACGCGCAAAGTAAGCCCCTAGATGATGAGCAGTAGGTATATGTACGCTGCCTTTTTTTCGCGCCGCGCGTTTGGACGAATCTGCGCACTTAGTCTAACGGTTGTCATCCCGTAGCGGTCAATCGGGTCGGTTTTAAGTTGCCACGTGGCCACCGATGAGGAAGCTCACCGCGGGTTCGAATCCCGCTGACAACAAGTAGCTTTTTGTATCTTGCACGCTACCACGAGTCCTCTTGGGCATCACGGCTGCCTCTCTTCAACGAACCGCTTTCTTTTTGGTCAAGTCTACGCTTCTTGCCCCCGCAAGAGAAGCGTCGACGCGCGGCAGAGAGTGATCATGGCTGGTAGATACTCTCGATGCCCACCCGTGCGCGGGCCGGCGCGGGGGCAAACAGCTCGTCCGGCGATCGTCAGGCACTCGTCCGCTAATCCTGCGGTTCCTGAGGGTCTGGACCCACTTCCAGGGCAATGATATCAACAGGGCCGGGCGTTCGATGGTGTTCTGGCCCCAATGGATTGCGGGCCGAAGGGGCAGATGTGCTCGCCGCGATGAGTCATGACGATCGGCGACGGGCAACGAGCGCAATCAAGTTGAGTCGGTGTCGACGCTTTGTCCTGCCTCTTGCCTATAAAAGCGCACTTCCCACTTCCCCCACCACCCACACCTCCATCGCCACCGCCGACATCATGGACTACTGGCAACGCCTCCTCATCTACACCGCCCTCGCTAGTCTAGCTCTGCTATTACTGCACGCCATCATCGACGCTCGTCGCCCAGAGATGAGCCTCGCCCACATCATCAGCCTCGCTGCGCGCGCAAAGCCCCCCGAGGGCAAGCTGTACGGCACCATCGCGATCGCGCCAACTCTGCACGCGGCCGCTCGTCGAGCCCTCCACAGTGACACGGCACGATCATTGCAGACTGCCACCACCGATACGCCTCTCGACCGTGTCGCGCGTCGTCAAGCATTTCCACTGCACTTCCAACCGTGGCAAGGCAAGCCTCGCATCAAGATCATCTCGACCAAGGATGTAGCGATCGCAGCCTTATCGACTTCTGGCTCATCGAGCGAGCACCTCTCTGTGGCAGCCCAGGAGCACGCGTTCAGCGCCAGCCCGTCAACATCAGTCGGCACCATCGCCAATGGCCTCTGTAGAGTGAGTACGCGTCGGCTCGGCAGGTGCAGATCAAAGAGCCCAAGCTGAAGCAGAGTCTGTCTACATCATCGCGATAGATACCAAGAGACCCGAGCACAAAGAAGGAACAAAAAGATCAGTGCTTAGCTGAATCTGGAGAGAGGATGATCAACGCTTCCCGCCTCACCAGCACCGCCGTCCAGCAAGTCTCCCTCATGCATCGCGCCAAGTCCCAACCACACCTATCATCATGACCAACGCCAACGCACATGCTGCGCTTCGCCCATGCCTGTTCACATACTGCCTTCGACCCATCCGATCTCGCCCTCGAAGAACGAGATCGAAGGGTAGTGGCACGACCTTGTGCAGCGATCTCCTGGAGGTTGCCATCCTCCTCTACAGTCCAGTGCGTGCCGCCTTGGGCAACCAGCGCGCAATGGACCTGCACCAAGCCGCTCACCACCGGTTGCTCGAGCTATGGAGCAACGAGTACTACGTGGTCGGGCCTCACGGTCACAGGCAATTGGTCGACTGGGTGCTGGAGAACTGGACAGATGAGATGGAGGACGACGAGGTCTGGCCGCTCCTTGAACAGCTGCCCAGGTTCTCGCTGGCTGAGTGGCGCGACGAAGTCAACGCGACTTGCCGCGCGCTCACGGCGCCACCTGCGACAGGGCCTGTGGGTGGTTGGATCCCGGCGTTAGGACCAGCAGCAGCGGGTGGAGCTGCGGGACCGGCAGCAGCGGGAGCGGCAGCAGCAGCAGCAGATGGCGAGGAGGAGGCCGACGCAGATGGCGAGGAAGGCAATGCGACGGAGCTGGAGGACGACGGCACCGCCGCAATGGAGCTGGAGGACGATGGCACGGGCACGATGGAGCACTCCGACGCCTACCTTGGAGAGGTAGTACGCCCTGTGGTCAGCAGGACCTACAGCGCGGCGGAAAGGGCTACCATCGCCAGTCTCTGTGCGGACATCGTGGCTCAAGAAGCTCCCGGCACTGCGCTCCCGGTCGGCACTGCGCACAATGCCATCTCGCATCTCTTCATGCCAAGCGATCGGACGGATGACAAGATCTTGGAGTACGCCCAGAAGACCGACGAGAAGGCAGACGGCTGCGATGCCCGGGGACTCCAAGCCCCTTCCGGCGTCCCCCCTCCAACGCCAAGCGACGGCGAGCCTGTGGCAGCGCCAGTCGACTTCGACTACGGCGCCTTCTGCCGCCGCAATCGCTCGGCTGTCACGCTGTTCCTCCTCTGGGTCCGCCTCTGGGCAAAGAAGCAGCTAATCCGGTGCCCCTGGACCGGTATGCCTCTGCGCGTTCGAGGCATCGATGCCGAGCGCCGCGCGGATCCCTTCGTTGCCAGCTTGGCAGCTCACGCCACACACGGAATGCGGCGTGCCCGACAAGCATTGGTCAGTTACACGAGGAGCTGGTCAACGCGGTGGTCACGAGCTGGTTTGGCAACCGGTGGCTGCGCAGTTGGCGCACGCCGGCGCTGAGGGCCACGCAACGCCGCCGTCTGGACTGGTACCTCGAGCGGGGGGCCAGGCTGCTGGGGTTGGAGGAGCTGACTGCGGAGGAAGTGGAGCATGTGCGGTCCTTCTTTGCTCACGGCGGGCCCCTCTTCCTCGCCTACCCGGCCGGCGAGCGCAACGCCGTCATCCGTTGCCTGCTCGCACATCGAAGACCGGCATTGTGCCCAGTGATCGTCATTGCTTAGCATTTAAAGCAGTGCTCTCACCCGCTTGTAGCTATAGTCTACGCGTAGAATAGAAATGCGGCCTGAACTCGGGCAGCTACGAGTATACTGGCCTCCACAATACATCAATTGTGCAAGCCTCTTTCTCTCTTCACCCCTTGCTCGAATGCGCCAGGCTCGAGCTGGACGAGACGCGTGACGGTATCGTAGACTGGGCCGCCTCTGCTACGAGCTTCCCATTGATGGAGCGGCGCTCGGGCTAGTGTGACTTCGCTGGGCGAAAGAGAGCAACGAATGGCGCATGTACTGATTGGGTAGGCTGCGAAAAGAACGATGACATTGACGGAGCAAGCAGTACAGTAGGGTAACAGGTAGAGGGGACGTGGTAACGGGGTGGATCGCAGCGAGTTGTGCCTTTTTACACCTGGTAGCGGTATCCCGGCTGGTCTTCGATGATGCGAGTGCCACGAGCTGCGGCACGGTTCGCTGCCATGAAGTAAATCGCCATCATTCCCGAGATGACAAAGACCAGAGCCTGCGCTCCCATGACGAAGATCATTCCGAAGCGGTAGAGGGGTGCGTCACGTTCCGGGAAGACGAGCGAAGAGACGATACCGCCCAAGCCACCGAAGCCGACGACGATGGCACTGGTGTAAAGACGCTTGCTCTGTCGCCTAATGTTGGACTGCGAGGCGGCCGAGATGAGGGGCACGTTGGAGTTGGCAGCGGCGGCGCAGATGAAGAGACCGACGTAGCGTCCGGCACCCTTGGTGGCGGGCAGGAAGGCGAAGAGACCACAGCCGAGGAGAGCGAGGCAGGCGTTGAACATGATAATGGGGAGACGGCTGCCAGTCTTGTCAGAGATCTTGGCCATCAGGAGACCCCAGGGGAGGGCGGCGACGTAAGGAGGGATGACGAGCGCGTAGATGTCACGTACTGCCGTGGCAATGCCAAGGGAGGCGATGATGCGCGGGGCAAAGTACGAGAGAGCGTACGAGGCGAGGGTGGTGCAGCCAAAGCACAGAGCGTAGCCCCAGAGCTTAAGGTCGATGACGTACTTGCCAAGCTTGCCCCAGGTCAGGCTGTCCGGCACGGCGTCGGCACGGTCGCGTTGGAGGCGGGTAGCGACAATCTCCTTCTCGCGCTCGTTGAGGAAGGTGCAGCGGTGCGACGAGGGGAAGTCTACGATGAGGAAGTAGCCGGGGACAGCGAGAGCGATGGTAATCAAAGCCTCTCCGATGAAGATCCAGCGCCAGCCGGCGATTGTGCCCGTGCGTACGAGGGAGAAGCCGTAGGCGAGGATGGCGGCGATACCAGAGGCAAAGACACCGACCTGGTAGAAGGCTGTGAGACGGAAGGCGAGCTCACGGCGGAGGTACCAGCATCCCAAGAGGAAGGTGGCTCCGGGGAACAGAGCTGCTTCGAAGAGGCCCACGAGGGCTCGCAAGGCAATGAGGCCTTGGTGCTGCGCGCGATTGGAGGCGGTGGTGTCAGTCATGGCGTCCTCGTCTTCTCGTCTTCTCGTCCTCTCAGTTTCGCCTCACATTGTTGACAAAGCCCATACCAAGCATTGAAATTCCCCAGAGAACGCCTGCACTGGGCAGCCAGAAGCGAGCGCCGACCTTGCGCAGTCCAATGTTGGAGAGGAGCTCGAATGCGATGTAGGGAGGGAAAAAGGCGAGGACGGCGTGGGCGTACCTGTCCTCGATGGTGAGCCTGAGCTGACGCGACATGCCGGCCTGAGCAGCGAGCGAGATGTTGGTACGGTCGATGAGGGACATGGCATAGAGGGCGGCGAGGGGAGGGACCAGACGCCAGTCGATCTTTCTGCGGATGCTCTTGATCTCGGACTCGTCGAAGCCTTCATCTGGGTGGACGGCCAGGACGTTGGACTCGACCGAGTTGGGAGAGAGGGTACCGGTGAGGTGGTCACCATGCTCGTACTTGATGTCTTGCGACCCGCGAGAGTCGATGTGCGAAGCGTGTTGCATCTTTGCAAAGGGCGGGGAGGAGGGGTGTGGGGGGGCGAGAGAAGGGCTGATGGGGGAGAGTGGAAGTAGTGCGGGGATGCGTCTTCTTAAAGCATCGCAAGCATCGCAAGCATCGCATCAAGGGTGATGAGCCCCGAGGCCCGGGAGTCGCGCATCGCAGCACTTTGTCCCTGTTGCATGACCTCCGCAGACTGCATGACACCACTGGATGTGGACGACGATGTGGGGTAACGCCACAGCAGCTGCACTTGGTCGTGCGCCAAGCCACGCCTTGAGCGTCTCATCCCATCCCTGCCGCTGTTGTCGATCTAGAGCTGCAGCCAAGCAACAAGCAGCGACGGGCAGCAGCGACGCGACGGGCAGTGAGGTCTGCACTGGTCTGGTCTGGGGTATTATTTCGAGAACCGCTCGTCTGCATAGTGTGGGGTAAGACGACCTCGCTGCGCTTGTCAATCAGGAAGCGGTACGCGCGCGAGAAGACGAAAGCGTCGTTGCAGTTGTGTGGTGTGGCGCCGTGGGCCCTGACCGCGACGAGCGGATGATCAAAGCCCGGACGCCGAGCGGCAGTCGTACGACGAGGAAAAGGGCACGCAAGGCGTCCGGGAAAGTCAAGCCACCTTGTCTTGGCGCAGTCGTCGGAGTCGTGAGCCAAAGAGGGGTACAGCGCTGTCAGAGTGTGGGGAAGGGCGGAAGTGCTGCAAACTCGTTGAGACTGCGACCCGCGGCTGGGCGGGCCTCTTACAGTCTTACCCACGATACCCTTGTGTCAAGGGGAGGAGGCAGGCTCATTATGAGCTACGCCTCCGGACAGTCCGGAGGACGAGCAGCGGCTCCTTGGCGTGGGTCGGAGGCCGCCATCGCTTCCTCGCGACTTCCAGCAAGCCCGTCATGATCACACCTCCGCTGCAACGAGGTGCGTGGGTTGAAGAAGTGCAAGATTGACAAGACAGACAAAGTCAGGAACCGGCGCTAGCGTTTGGTGGTCAGGGCTGGGTGCGCGGAACCAGCCACGCGCGTCATGGTGAGGCGTCGACTTGCGTTGCTTGCTGCTCCCGCTGCTGCCGCCGCTTCACTCTCTGCAATTTCTGCCCCTTGCCCTCGTCCACCTACTTTCATCTACGAAGATACATCTTGAGCGTCGCGGCCACGGGAGCGAGCGGAGATGGTCACACAGCAGGAGATTCGGTCAGGCCGCCGGTCGAAGAACGAAGCGCAGGTGGAGGATCATTCTACGACGGGAGCTTCCCGCATGATCGTCGAGGACGATGAGCACACAGGGTTAGTAGCGCGATGGCGGCGTGCCTCGACGCAATCCTGAGGCCGTCTGAGCCTCGACGCAATGAGCCTCGACGCGACGCTGACTGAGCCTCTCTCTCGGTGCTTGCCCGCACAGCTCCTCGTCCAGCGAAGACGACTACGGCGGGAGCGATGACGAGGCCTCGTACATGGTCGATGGTGAGCGGCTCGACCTTCAGGCCACGGCCGAGTCATTGATGGCGCAGCAAAAGGAGGATGGCATGTCACCGCAGGTCGAGGGCGTGCTAGACCTGCTCATTTGGGGTATCCCATTCAGTGCGCTGTTCGTACTGCTGGACATCATGATTCAGCAGCAATATGCGATGCATCCGACGCTGCTCATCGAGATTGGGAGGATGATGGGCACGATACCCATCTTGATGGCCATCCTCTGGTTTAGTGGGTGCCAGCGCAGCGCTCTTCATCATGACGTTGGCTGACAACCGCGCTCTCTGTGCAGCAACAATTCGACCCTTCGCACGAAGCCGCGTCCTCCAGCTCCTCTTCTTCTCGACGGCAGTGACATGCGGCTGCTCCTTCGTCTGGACATACCACGAGGTGAGACGGACGCAGCTATCCCACTCTTCGCTTCCTCACACTCTATCCCTCGCCTCGCTGTCAGTCGCCTTTCCAGGTCGTCATGCGGCGAACCCCACCGCTAGGCTGCCTATGGATCTACTCCATCGTCAAGCTCGACCTGTTACCATGCGTCACCTCACTAGCCATCGTCGCCCTCTTCATTTGGCAACACAACTTGCCAATCATCTACGATAGAATATAAAGATATTCGTGTGTCTCTGAGATGCCTGCCTGCAGCTGCCCTCCTTTTTGACCTCTTGGTCGGGTGTTGGACTCGGCTGGCCCGTCGTGGCTTACTGACCAAAGGGGCAAGCAGCATGCTGCAGCATAGAAGCAGCTCGTCCTGCGCCATGACAATCGTGCCTCCGGCCAGTCCTTCGTCGCCGGTGATGCTTCGACATTGCATTCTCATCTGGGCTTCGGGCTGGGGACGATGACCTCTGTTGATTGACATTGCGAGCGAGGCACGGCCAGCAGCTCGCCAATCTCGTCTCGACTGGCTGCCGCGCGGGCAGGAGCAAAAGGCGCACTTTCTCGAAGGACATCCCCGACTTGCTACCTCTCCGTTGCTCTCTCTCCCTTCCTCTCACATAGATCTTCCCCCACCGACAGCCTAACGACGATTGCCTTGACGACCATCCGAGACGAACTCAACCACCAGCATACTACGCAGAGCTACCCACCTTCATCGTCTTTGTCGTCGTCGCCGCCGCCCGCTCCCCGCCGTTGCCGCTTGCCGCTTGCCCGCCGTCAGTCATGTCCGTTTAAGCTCTGCAATCCTGCCCATCAACGGCTAGTTGCGGCCGCATATCCTCATCTCATCCTCGTGGCTTCGCCTCTAACAGGCCAGCATGTACAGCTACGACCAGCATATCGCATCCTCCTCGGCGGCCGAGTCGTCGCATCTGCCGTCGCGACAACAACAGGGCCATCCAGTCAGCCTCAGCGATTCGGGACATGTGGGAGCTGACGCCTCGTCGTCATCGTCCTCCTCGTCGTCGCCGCTGCAACGTGCCCCAAGTAGCGCAACCAGACTCAATGCCATCGCGCGATTGAAGCGGGCGGCATCGAATCGAGAGCTCAAGGATGGCTCGCCGACTAAAGCAGTAGAGCCAGCAACCACCACCACCGCCACCACTGCATCGACACAGCCGCCTTCCCCAGAAGCACGGGCACAATCAAGTGCCGACGACAGCGACGGGGCGCGGGACGCTCAGGGTAAGCCATCCCTCTTCGTCCAATCCGTATCGCCAGGAGGCGACGCTCATTCTCCTATGGCACCCTCTCCTGCGCTGGATCGAGGGCCGACGCCCGGATCACGATCCCTCTCTCCAGTCACCCACATGAATTTGTCTCGTTCAGCATCTGCATCTAGAGCTGAGAGCAGGTCCCCTCTGCCGTCGTTGGAACAGCTTCGGTCTCGCATTCTACACGAGCGGCTGGCAGCAGGACTTCAACGCAGTGCCAGCGCTAGCGCGGCGAGTGCAGCTGCCCGAGCCTATGCCATGAACAAGCTCCTTGGCGCCGACGCAACCAATAGAGAGGGCGCGACGAGTCCCGTCAGCGATTCAGGTCATGGTAGGCCTGGTACAATCGAAGAAGATGACGAGGAGGGTGGCGAGGACGTCGTTCAGTCAGATGGGGAGGGCGATGATGCCAGCAAGCGCAGGTCACGTCGTACAGGCAACCAGTACTTGCGACCGCCCAGCATGCGTAATTCGGCGCACTATAGAGGCCTGCGTCGCAGCAGGACGATGTCCAATCTCAGCCAGAGGGCAGAGGAGGAGAGAAGGGTCGCATTCAAAAAGGAGCTCGACCTCGTCGAGGAGAGTCCAAGCACAGGTGTGAATGTGGGCGCAGGGGATGGAGAAGGAGGCGCGCGGCGAAAAAAGAGGATGAGTAGAATTCCGCAGAGGAAGAGCACGGCGTCATCGTCCGGAGAGCCTTCCACACCGCGCTCGCCGGCGACGCCGAGGACGAGGCTGCCGCTTCTAGTGTCCTCCCCCAATACGACGGAGCAGTCATCAGGGCGCAACATCGTCGATGAGCCTTTGCCAAGTCTTCAACCAGGCTCGACAGGCCTGCAAAGAAAGCCATCTCAACGTGACGTCGCTCGTGCCGAGATGATGAGGAAGCTCAGTGGACGAAGACTGGGTGGCCCCAGCCCAAGTCCAGTACCCCCAACGGAATCGCGATCGGGGCATGAGCTCGAAGACGATCCGCTCGACTCACCGTTGACTCCAATGAGCGATGCCGTCCCAGTAGCCAAGCGGGAGCAGATATCCACGCCTGTGCCGACACTGGACAACTTCAACATGTCGCACTTGACGCCAGAGCAGCAGATGGCCTTTCTCCAAATGCAACAGCTTCTTCAAGAGCAGCAGCTCCAGCTGCAGCGAGGCGCAGCAGCTGCTGTTGGTCGCGAGTCCATGTCAGCGTCGACAGAGGGCCAAGGCTCGTACGACCACTTGTCTTATACCTGTCAAGACGATGAGCTCGACGGCGGAGAAACCGGTGTCGCGGAGGTGCTCTCCTCGCCGAAGACGCCGGAGCTGGCTATGAGAGAGCAAACGGAGTCGACGACGTTAACAGCAGATCAGACAGCCGCGGCGCTCGCCACGCCAATATCCAGCTACGAGTCGAGCAGTGGAGGCACTATCGACGGCTCCAAGCCGAAGACATCGTGGGAATCACCAGGCGGTGCATCTGCGTTCGGCAACAACCTGATCCCGTCGATGCACTTCACACCTCGCGCTCGCGGCTCTGTCAGCGCAGGTCAAGACTGGCCAACGAGCCCTGTCAACTCGATGCTGGGCTTTGGAGACTCGGATGATGTGCCCATTGGAGAAAGGCAGAATGGGCGTAGCATCGATGAGGGCGTGTCACGACTTGCGGTGCGAGATCATACACCAGAACGAAGCGTCCCCTCCGCGCCCATCACGGACCCGCGTCAACGCAACGGCAGCGTAGCCTCACAGGCACTGGCCAGCAGCGGGAAGCAATCCTCAGCATCCAATGGACTTTCGTCTTCTCTTCTCAGCCCAGCACCGCCTCGTCAGCTGGCAGTACCCACGTCAACTCCCTCGTCGATTCATTCCAACTTCTCGCCTTATCAAGACGCCTCGTTGTCGCGGTTGTCCCATGCTACGTCGGCGGGGGGCGACCACTTCGTCTACGACAGCTTGCTCACGAGCTCAGGAGGCAGGAACAGTAGCGCACTTGGTAACATGAGCTTTAGTCCCGGATCAAGCTCGACTGCACCTGCCCCGACGATGCCTCAACAACATCATCAGCAGCCAGCAAGTCAGCCTGCTCAGAGCCAGCGCTCGCAAAAGCCAGCGACGGCACCCACCCCGGGCGACCCCTTTAGTCAAGACGGGCGCATCCAATCATGGCGGGACTGGATGACCTCGCAGGGCATGGAGATGCCTGATCTCGACTCGCCACTCCAGCATAGAGGAACCGGAGGTACGAGCGGTGACGGCCTTCTGAGCGGCGACAAGACGCCGGCCAAGCAGCATCGCCTCGACCTATCTCTCCTCAACACGACCGGCGCTGAGCGTCGCCCGCTCGCAGTCGACATCTCGCCTTCCCTCGTGCGAGAGTACGGCGCAGACATTGAGTGGCCCGGTCAGCTAGCAGGAGTGCAGGAGGCCAAGACTCCGACGCGCGAAGCTGCTCAGTATGCGGCGTCTCTTGCTGCCAAGTCGACATCCTCGGCCGACCGCTCGTTGCCCTCCACCAAAGCTGCTACGCCCGGCTCTTCGCCTGTGCTGATGAGAAGCGGCCCCTCGCCTCCGACGCAACTGTTCTCATCGCCGAGGCAAGAGCAAGGAGCGCAACGGGGGCAACCCGCGCTGTCCGCACCCACTGCTACTGATCCCATCGCGATGCGACCCCGCCCGCCCGCTGCACCAGAGCGCTCAAGCAGTATCCGAAGCAGTTCCATCTCTGAGCAGCAGCACCAGCGTCGCATGCGCTCGACCAGCCGAGCCTCTGAGCATTCCGACGCTCACGCTTCTCACAGCGGTGGGTTACGACGAGGGACAGATGCCTCGATTCCAGAGCATGACGAGGCCGCCCGTGCGTCACCTGCTCAAAAGCTCGTAGAAAGCTTCCGAGCCAGGGATCAAAGCTCGTCGAGTCCCCCAATACACTCGCGAGCTGTGCTGAGCCCGAGCATTGCGCAAAGCTACCAGGGCACTGACACGAATCCCTCGACGTCCCGAGCACCTCCATCAGCCTGGCCAGGCGCCTCAACGGATCACACTGCGGATGGCGCACGCCCTCTGTACCGTACGATGCACCACCGTGTCCCCTCCGCCACCGACGTCGAGACGCAGACGGCCTACTCGAATACCAAGCTCACTCCGTTTCCCGGCTTGCTGTCAAAGGGAGGAAGCGTAGGTCGCGTGACTCCATTACCGACTCATGAAGAGCGAGGTGCGATGCCTGCGACCGGACTTGAGCGCCTGCCCCCCTCTGGCTTGAAGCTTGCTCGAAAGCCCTCGACGAACCTTGCGCAGAACGCGGGAGCACAAGCATCGCCATCGCCCTCACCGACCCCGTATGCCAATCAACGCGACGCGAGCGGAGCCTCATCCCTCTCAAGCCCCATAGACAGCCCCTCTGCAGAGAATTGCTCATCAAGGAGCCTCTTTGGCTCGCTGCGACGCAAGGCGTCAGCGGCGATGCGCAACGGCAGTCTACGACGCAAACCTTCCAACCATATTACACCCTTCGATGTGCAAGCCGCCCCGGCATCGACGCCTGCGTCAATCATGAACAGCCCGCAGTCTGCTACGACCTCCAGGCTCGGGCCGGGTCAGAGTATGGCCAGTATCGCTCAAGCAGCTCCGGCAGCTGTGGGAAGGAAACCATCTCGCACGTTGCGCTTTGAAGACGAGCCTGCAGAGTCGCCGGCACGGGTACAGCAATCAGCTCCGGTCGAGAGGAAGCCATCGAACGCAAGTCAGACGCCAGCCCCCTCGCGGCCAGACGTGGACCTGCGGCGCCAAGCAGTGGTTGTGCCAGGCACATCTGCGGCTGACCAGACTCGCGAGAGCAGCGCGCCGAGCCCTGTGCCGTACACCGCTGTGAGAGTCAAGCAGGTCACCTCTCACTCCCGCAACGATTCCGTCGCCTCACTTGAGTCGAACTCCAATGGCAAGCATGCCACTCTACGCGAGCTTCGCACCGGCCTGCCGCCCATCACCGTCGCCGCAGAAGAGTCGCTCGATGCAGGCGAAGCTACGCCGACCTCTGGCAATTTTGGTTCCCACCTGGAGCCACGCACAGCAGCTATGTTACAGCGGGCTAGTCGGATCCTCACATCCCCGCTGAAGGCCAGCCCCACATCGCCTGGTGTGCCTGGTCTGACGGCGAAAGACCTTGAGTCCCCGCCAAGACAGCTTCTCAAGGTCTCGCCCGTCTTCCAAGTTGTCAGCTCTTCGACTATCAAGGATCGATTCCTCATACTCTTCGATGATATCCTCGTCGTTGCCAAGCCCCTCTCGTCACCGTCCCGAAACGTCGATGATGCCGTCACGCCTGCGCCTACCTCGACGCCAGACATCCGCTGGACGTTCGTTGTCAAAAGCATCATTGAGGTGCGCCACCTGAGCATCACTGCGCCCAAAGACGGACGCTATCAGCTTCGCAAGCATCCTCTGCAGGACAACTTCATTGCTGCCTTCATCTCGAATCCAGAGGCAGCCCTGGCGGACATTGTGCGTCGCTCCGGCCTGCCGAAGAATGCCCAGACGATTGCCCAACTATTGGTACAGACGCCTGGGCTGGACAGGGAAAGCATGACGCGCCTACTCTGCCGGCCGGAGAGAAGAGACGTTCTGGAGGCGTGGGTCAAGCTGCAGCGCGTCACGGGCGTCTCGATCGAGTCGGCGCTCAGATCGACCCTGCTTGAGCTGCGCTTCCCCTCCACACCGCAAGCATTCGAAACCTTGCTGCTCAGCTTCGCGCGACACTGGGTCGAGGAGAACAAGGAGCTTATTAAACATTCCTTCACGAGTCAGCTGGCTGCAGACCTCACGTTTGCAGTCATGGCTTTGAATGATGCTCTTCACGGCCTGGAGGATCGCGATGAGGAAGACTTCGATGAGGACGACAGTATCGTTGGCTCAGAGGAGTCATCGCCTCGTGTTCCAGGTTACAAGCCCCCAGGCACTTTCAGTGAGCCCATGCGCAGCCTGAGCCGATCGGCCTTCATCTCTGCCTTTAGAGAGCATGACCCTCAACAGGTTCTCTCCGATCGTACATTGCTCCGCATCTACTCGAGTGTTAAGCTCGAGCCTATGCAACAGGCGCTGGCCCGCCACGAAGAGGACGAAGGCGCGGTGCAGAAGGCGATCTATGTCTCTGGCCCTGGCTTGCCACTCAAGCTGACGTACGGTGTCACCTCGGACCCCATTACGCTCTGCATCGATGAGCCTGACGCCGGCCTCTCCGTTCGGCTCTACGGGCAAGACCTGCAGTTCGACCCTCCTATCCTTTCCTTTGAGACGAGCAAGCAGCGCTCTTTCACTATCACGAGTCGGTCGCTCGGCGTACGTCACGCCGTTTTCGTGCGGGCGGGAAGGAATGCGAGGCTCTACTGCGGGACGGTTGGTGGGCCGGATGCCTCAGAGGGGATGAAAGCAGCCGCAGCGCAGGGCAAGCTCAGTGACTTGCCCAAGAGTCTACCACTCACCGTGGAGAGGGCCTTCATGCAGAATGCCTTTACACTCACTGCGACCGCTAGTGGCGTCAGCGCTGCTGAGCGCGGCGGCAACGCTTCCACCACGCTGCCCTCTTCGAAGCGCAAGTTCATGTTCAGCGTCAATGACCCCCAACAGCGCACTGTGTGGGTGGACCTCCTCACATCTGCGGTTCGCGAGAGCTTGGCGAAGCGCGCAGTCCTGCAAAGAGATCTGGCGTCACCGGCGAATGGGGTCAGGGTAGCAAAAGCAAAGGCGAAGAAGGCTGCGAGCACGTTGGCGCTCCACGTGCTGAGGCAGGCGCTGATCACTTCATCGACGAAGGAAGGGGCAGCAGCCGCCGGGAGGGCCTTGTCTCCGCAGCAGCAAGGGAGGAATGGATCCGCATTGGATACTCGATCTGGCGCGCTGGGCAGGAACGTGTCCGTCTCGCAACGCTATTACGCTGCCGGCTCTGCAGGGACAGAGGAGCGAGAGCTGGCGTCTGCGGCGAGCACGAAGCAGCAGCGCGGAGATGGCAGCGGGCAGGGTATGGAGCACTCAAACTCTCACGAGGGAGCTGACGAAGCTCGAGCTGCCATGACGGGCGACGAGATCATCACGGTCTGCCAACAGAACAGTTTGTTGCCCCTTGTGTTAGAGGGGAGGAGGATGAGTAGCGGGGTTGACAGCAGCTGAGCGGGTCTCGAGCATCGTTTCATCGCTTTCATTTATCATGATCATTGAGGCTCCACGCCTGCCATGTTGTGTCAGTACATACTCCATCATCATCATCATCATCATCGTTCGCGTTAGAAGAGCTGCCTAATCATCATCATCTTCATCATTGTCCTTCTCCTGCTCGCTGTCGGGCTCAAGTCGGCTGCTTGGTTCGCTTGCCGTCAAGCGGGTGGTGCGTGCGGGGGTTGAGTCGATGCGGGCGGACCAGCTTTTGACTCCTTCTTCTCGACAAGCAACCTATCAATATGGTGACCCCAAACGCAGCGTCGTCGTCGACGGCCGCAGCTTCAGCTTCTGCTCATATAGCTGCAGCTCAACAAGCGCACTCAGGCCCCTCGTCGTCGACGAAACCTCTGACGATTGTCATTAAACTGGGAACTTCTTCCGTCCTCTCTCTGGACACACTCACTCCAAAGCTCTCCCTCTTGTCTTCCATCGTCGAGACATGTCACTCACTACGTCTTCAAGGTCATCGCGTCGTCATCGTCTGCAGCGGCGCCATTGGCATTGGCCGGATGAGGATGGGCATCCGTGAGAAACCAAAGGGAGTAGGAGAGAGACAGGCCCTTGCTGCTCTCGGCCAATTGAGGTTAATGGCCCTCTGGGACAATCTCTTCCATCAGGTCGGAATTGATGTGGCACAGGTACTGCTGACTAGGAATGATATCGCCGATGTGAGTTTGCGCATGGCCATGGATGTATGCTACACCTACTCGAATCAGCTGACCGCGCTCGCGTCCCCCCCGCTTCTCGCACAGCGTCCACGCTACCTAAATGCCCGTACCACGCTGCAAACCCTCCTCACCACATATCACTCGATCCCCATCGTCAACGAGAACGACACTGTCTCGACTTCCGAGCTGCGCTTCGGTGACAATGATACCCTCTCTGCCATCACCGCAGGCCTCGTAGATGCCGACTACCTCTTCCTCTGCACCGACGTTGATGGTCTCTACACGGGCAATCCGCGCTCAGATCCCAATGCAAGGAGGCTAGGCGTGGTGAGGAGCGTGCAAGAGGCAAGGAGGGCGGTCAGCGTTGATACGATGGGGAGCGACTTTGGTACGGGAGGGATGCAGACCAAGCTCATTGCTGCCGAGCTGGCTACTGCTGCCGGCGTGGCTACGGTCATTGTAAACTCACAGAGACCGGAAGATGTGGCGGACATTGTGGCAAAGGGGATACCGGTGATGACGGAGGAACGAGAAGGAGACAAATCTTCGAGTCAAGGCGCAAATGGCCATCCCGACTCGCTGGCCTCAAGCGTAGCTAGCCTCCTCCCACCTGAGACGGCCTCCCTTGTGGGTCATCCACCTCTCACAGCGCCAAACCACACGCTCTTCCTCCCAACGCCCTCCCCTCTCCCTTCACGCAAATGGTCTCTTCTCCACGCCTTGCACCCGTCGGGCAGCATCGTCATCGACGAGGGGGCGTACAGGCGGCTAAGCAAGCATGAGAGCGGTGGGCGACTGCTCCCGGCGGGCGTCGTGGGGATCAAAGGGCATTGGGAACGAATGCAGGCTGTCAGACTCGTTGTCCGACGGGCAAAGGCTAGCGAGGGGGAACAAGGGCAAGGCCACAGTGGCAGCTCGCTGCTGAAGCAAGCGGCACAGAAGTTGTCCCTGGCTGATGGAGGACCAGAGAAGCCTAGCTCGCTGTCAAGCACCACTCCATCTGCCATGCCTACACCTCCCATCGTCGACGATCTCACCCATCCATCAGCACCTTCCTCAACAGCGGCGACCGCGCCTGCAGCAGCTCCCCCTCTACCGCGCGCTGTCTCCTCCCAAGGCATCGAGGGAGGCGACGAGGACGGCTGGACCTACACAGAAGTTGGACGCTGCCTAGCCAATTACACCTCGCTGGAGACGGACGCCATCCGTGGCCACAAGAGCGGAGAGATTGCCACCATCTTGGGTCACGCAGATAGCGATTATGTGACTGATCAAGTCGCCTTGAGCGTTGTGATGAACGCGCAATAAGCAGGGAGCGAGGTGGCGTGGACGGTATTGGTATCGAATAGCAAGGCAGTGCAAAGCGAGAATACGAAAACGGACTGAATGTTGTACGATGGGCCCCTCTGGAGCCTACTCTTGCTCTTCCTCTCCGCCTCCCTCGTGTGCCTCGGCCTCCCCCTCGCGCACTACCTCGACCCCCAATCTGCCAGCAACCTCCTCCACGCTCTCCCCAACACGATTTTTCAGTCCCACACACTCCTCAACCGCAGCGCACAGCTCGTCCTTGTACCCTTCGAGGCTCTCCTGTACCAGCTGCACCAAATGCTTCTGATGCGCGCGCAATTCGACGAGGCGAGCCTCGGCCGCTTGCAGCTGCTTGTGACCTGCCTGTTGGACGGCGTGTAACTTGCGCTCCTTCGCAAGCTGATCCTCATTGAAGCCGCGAGTCTCGTCATCCGTCAGACGCTGAATCTCGTCGATGGCCTCCTTGGCCACGTCCAGTCGACCCTTGACTTCGTCTTCCTGTTCCTTGAGGGCGTGTAGACGTTCGCAAACTTCATCGTAACGCTCCTGTCGCTCCACCTTCTCCTCAATCGCTCTGCGCTGCTCCACGTCCACTTTGCGGCGAAGCTCGGCGATGCGATTGCGCAGGTCGACCTTCAGATCGAGGCCGGGATGAAGGAGGCCGGATTGGCCCAGGAGCAGATCGATCTCGTCCAAGTACTCGTCTCCTGGGGCTCCGTCGGAGCGGCGCACTTTGATGGGGAAGAGGCCTACTCGGGCTCCAAGGGGGTTGAAGGTCTTAAGTCGCTCCTCGAGGCGTTGCTGCAGATTGGAGTTGGCCAACTCAACCTCGTAGCGGCCGTTCTCCGCCTCTTTGATCTCGGCCTCAAGCCGATCCTTCTCGGCAGTCAGGGTGGCCCGCTCGGAAGAGAGGCGGTCGAACTCTTCCGAGGTCATCTCCTGCGATGAGACCTGCGCACTGAGAGTCGCATGCTGGGAACGCAACTTCTCCAACTCGAGCTGCGCCTCCTCTCTCGACTCTTCCAGCCTCGAAATGGTCACCTTCGTCTTGTTGACCTTTGGCACCAGTATATCGTCCCTGTACTTCGTAAACTTCTTCAAGTCCCCCCGCAGTGTTTCCGAGTCACTTTGTGCCTTGGCGAGGGGCGAGTCCACACTCTCCATCTCATTCAACTCAGCCTCCAAGCTACGCTTCTCGGCCTCGAGGCGCTCCACCTCCTTCTTCACGGACGCGTTCTTGGATTCGAAGAAGTCCTCGAGCTTGGAAATCTCGTCGGGGAATTGATCCTCGCCTTGCCAGAAGCGCTCGTAGCATTTCCACATGAAGGGGAAGAAGGCACGATCTGCGTCGGAGGCTTCGTCGCCATGCTCTGCTTCCCGGAGGTCGGCAGATGCGTCCTCCACGCGCTGTTGCAATGCTTCCATCTCTGCTTGCGAAGTCGTTGCCCTCGACGCGGTATGGACTGCAGTGACTGCTGCAGCATGTGCGCGCGTCAAGGCAGCTAGGTGTTCGCGCTGCTTTTCTTCGCGGGAAAGCGGGCCAGGGGGTACGTGATGAGCCGAGTGGGAGAGGGAGACCATCCAGTCGAGGATGCCAAGGGTTTTGGGCCAGTACTGCTGGGAGCTGGCAGACCCGAGGAGCATCTTGGTCACGTCGCCTATTGCCGGGTACTTGTATTCCTGGAGGATCGTCATGACTTCTCTGTGGGCGCGGCGCGACGCGATAGTCAGCAACGTAGATTGGGCGTATAGGGGACGCTCTCGCGGCGCACTCACTCTTCTGGCTTCTTGGCGTCGAGACTGAACACGTAGTTGGGGTCAATAGCGTTGGTAAAGACGTGTCGGAAAAGTCCCAAGAACAGAGCTTGCGTAGGCGAGTCAAGGGACGAGTAGCCGCGATATCCCGCGTGGCTGAATCCAGTGAGCTCTGCAAACTCATGTACTCGCGCCTTCATCTCATTGATATACTCTCTTGATCTCAGCGGACGAGGATCAATGTTTGGCGCCGGCTTGGAGGATGGCCCGCCGAGAGCCATGGATGTGGGCAAGGTGAATGCACCGGGCGCGAGAGATTGGCGCCCGTTGAAGGAACGCCTGCTATTGTTGGGCGTAGCTGCTGATGATGGGCCAGCGACAGCGTTGGACGAGGGAGCCACACTGTTCCTCGCGTTCATGGATGCCCCGGGTGCCATGCTTTGCCTACTTTGACTCATGCGGTGCGTGCTAGCCCCTGGTGTCGCACGCGAATCGATGTCCATAGCTGCGTTGTTATTGTTGTCCTTGGAAGGTGCCATACTCTGCCTTGCTGGCGCGAGTGATTGGCGCGAGGATCGATGGTTGAGCGTAGGCGGCATAGAGGCTCCTGCAGCATTGTTGGATGACATGTCCTTTGTTGATTTGACGGCTGACGATGGCATGGGAAGCCCTGAATTGGGCGCCTCGATCGACGCGAGTGTGGACCTGCGCGCGGTCATCGTGGCGACGTGTACGGCGTGACAATGTTCGCGGATGGGTATTCAGCGGTGCGAGGTGGCCAGTAATAATGAGGGGAAACTCGGGATGCGCAGAGGGGAGAAGGTGCGGATGCGTGCGCCATCTCAAAGCGCATCACAGGCGATCGTCGCTCAACACCCGCGTCTCGCGTTGGCCTCGACGGGAAGCACCACGTGACGCCGCCTCTCAGCCCACCCATCCGTCGACGGACAGACTCAAGTCGAGGGCGGCAACGGGCACCGACGACCTTCGCATCCCATCGCGCAATCGCAATCACCCTTCCCCATCTCATCCTCGACTCATAGTCAATTGGCAGACAGCAGCGCGGATTACCCCTCGCATCTGCGCTTCAGCTCTCTGACCACCCGCCTCTCCGGCGCGGCATTGCTGGCAGCTCGCAAGGACGGATTGGTAGCAAAGTAGAGACGCCGTCCCTCGTCTACGCCGCATACGACGATGTTCTTCCTCAAGCGTCTCGAGCACCCTATTCCCTTGCACCCCTCCTACTTTGGTCCCTCGCTTCAGCAGTTCATTGAGCAGAAGCTCAAGGACGACGTCGAAGGCACTTGCTCAGGTCAGCACGGCTACATCGTCAAAGTCCTCCGCATCGATTCCATCGGCGAGGGGATTGTTCTCCCCGGCGAAGGCCTCGCCCAGTTCAACTCCGTATACCAAGCTCTGGTTCTGAGGCCATTCAAGGGCCAGGTAGTCGACGCAGTGGTCAGCAATGTCAACAAGCTGGGCTTCTTCGCTCAGATGGGCCCGCTACAGATCTTTACCAGCGCCCATTTGCTGCCTATGAGCTACAGGTTTACGCCTGATGCGAACCCGGCCGAGTTCTCGCCCATGGGCGAAGGGGCTGCAGGCCAGGGAGCAAGTGTGGTCAAGGGGACGAAGGTAAGGCTGAGAATCATCGGTGTCAGGCTGGATGCGACGGAAATCGTGAGTCTTCCAGCGCGGCAGGGTGCGCGGCGGGTGAATGTATGCGACCGTCGTCGACTGACCGCTCCTGCCTTGCACTCAGTTCGCCATTGGCACCATGAAGGAGGACTTTCTGGGTCCCTTTGACTGATAGAGCGATGTATTGCGCATGCTCGTTATCAGTCTCATCATACACACGTAGCAATCGCAGCCAAGTCCCACAACATACGGCAGGGTCGAAGATGAGCGGCCGCGGACCCAACCGCGCCTCGTCTCGACTCGGCACTGTACACTCTTTTTCCAGCTTGTTTGGAACCACAAGCTGTTGTAGACAAGCATACAATCACTCCGACTGACAATGGGTCACAAAATTATCATGATGATTAGCAGGTAACATGCCATGCATGCCCCTCTACGTCTATATGCCTATGACAGCTGAAACACCCATGCTGCTTACTGCCTGGCAGTGGCTGTCTAAGCGTTCGGACCCTCCCCATTACGAGTAGCAGCCGGCGTCTTGGGCCCCTCTTCCACCTCTCGCGTCGGCACATGATCTTGCTCCTTCGTCGGCGCCGCTGCGCCACCAGCGGCGGCCTCGGTGACTTGCATCTCCTCTACATTATCCTCCCTCTGCTTCTCCTCCGCGCTCGCTCCGCCCTCCTTTTTGGCTGACTGGTTCTGCCTGTTCAAACTGTACGATTTGACAGGCAGGGAGAATAAGAAGCCCGCGGCCACGATGGGCGCAAGCACAATCCAGACGAGATTGAGAGCCTTGCCGTACTCGTGGATGACTTCACGGCTGAGCGAGGGCGGCTGAATGTCTACGAGGCCGCGCAGGTCTGCCGAAGGATTGGAGGGGGTGTCATACCCTGGTATGTTGGCTGTGAGCTCCTTTGCTCGAGCATTGAAGACGGCACCGGCAACGGAGATGCCCATTGAGCCGGACATGGATCGTACGAGCGCCAGCGTGGAGGTGGTGGCTGCTTGCTCGCTGGTGGGCATGGCGGAGAGCATCCCCAGGAGAGGTACCTGGAAAAGGGCGCCGTACCCTAGTGCAGCAACCGCCGTCGTGCACTCTATTTCGGCCCAGCTCGACTCGCCATCGATGAGCGTCATAAGACTGTATCCAAGAACGCTCATTGTCCATCCGTACCAGAAAACGGGTCGCCATTTCTTGAGCTTTACGACTGTGATGCCAGATACCGCCGAGACGATGCTGCCGATCAAGGCATAGGGGAGCATGTAGACGCCAGAGAGGGTCGGGTTTGCGCCCTTGACTGCCTGGAAGTAGATCGGCAGCTCGTACGTTACGGCAAAGAATGCAAAGCCGTGCAGGAGGACTGTCATAAGGATGAAGGTGGTTGTTCGCGTACGGAAGACGCGTGGTGGGAGGATGGGCCGGACGCTAGGGAACAGCCGTTGGCAGAAGAAGGACCAAGTGACTGCAACGGGGAAGAGGACGGCGCCGACTACAATGAGCGCGATTGTCTGCGCGGCATTGAAGCCTACAGTCTCGGCTTGAGAGAAGCCAAACAGAAAGATGACGATGGCGGCCAGGAGAAGTACCCAGCCGATCCAGTCGAATTCCTTGACTACTTGCTTGACACTGCGCTTTTCCACTGGGTTGAGGTTGAGCTTGAAGTACAAAATGACGAGCGCAACAGCCCCGAGGGGCACGTTGAGGAGAAACGCCCAACGCCATCCCAGCGACGATGCGCCCCCGGTGTTGGGCAAGTCAGCCAATGCGCCACCAATAAGGGGGCCCAGTACGGAGGCCACACCCCAGACGGCACCAAAGAGTCCTTGAAAGGCGCCACGCTTGTGCAATGGTACGATGTCTGATGTGACAACTTGCACAAGCCCGATGATCCCACCACCACCGATCCCTTGCACTCCTCTGCACGCGCAGATCCAGATGGTATTTTGGGCTGCGGCGACCATTCCACTTCCAAAGAGGAAGACGATGATCGCAAAGAAGAACAGAGGCTTCCTCCCGACCAAGTCGCTCAGTCGACCATAGAGCGGGATCATCCCCGTTGAAGTCAAGAGGTAGGCCGTCCCCACCCACGAGTAACCCGCAGCACCCATGCGCAAATCGGAGGCAATTGTAGGCAGAGCGGTGGATACAATCGTCTGGTCGAGAGCGGCGAGGAAGACGCAGAGCATCAAGGCTGAGAAGACGACCAGGAGATTGTTCTTGGGAATGACATGAACGTCCTTCTCCAGCCAATGCTCCTTCTTTTTGCCCGCGGGCTCGACTTGGTCGTCGCCATCGTGCGAAGATGCGGTGGTACCCTTGTGTGCTAGAGTATTGCCACTCCCCCTACGCTCGGCTTTGTGCGCTGGGGTAGTTGAGCGATCCCCATCCGCTACAGTGGACGCAGCTGAGATGGGCGAGTCGCGCGTGTCATCCACCGGTGAGGGTGGCGCAGATGCTGAATCGCGAGAGTTGGCCAACATTTTGATGTGAGGGTGAAGCAGGGGTTCTGCCGGTCGAAAGTAGACGCCTTATGTAGCTTGCACCGCCGTTCTGCCTTTAGAGCGTGTCCTGCGGCTGAAGAGTAGCTTTGCGCCGGGAAGTGGGAGGACGATGACGGCAGACGAAGGGTCGCCCTCGATGGATCGATCGAATCGATCTCTTGCCGACTGGCGTGGGGGTGGGTGGTTGGGGAGGAGGATGAATGGACGACCAGCGGATGGATGATGGGCTTATGTGTGAGGATAAAGGAGCGAAGTCAAATGGCGACAACCTTTGATCATCATCTTACAGAGATTCTCGCTCGCTATGCAGTGACTCGAGGAGTTGTCAGCTCACCCCGCCGCCGCTTCTCAAGCCCCCCTCCGCGTGCGCGCGTGCAGTGCCGATGAGCCGATGCGTGGTTGCTCAGTCAGATCGGCAGGCGCCGACGGTCGTCGATCTGTAGTGATATTCGACCGCCGGATGCTTGTGTACGACAGACGGACGAGCGAGAGGCGGGAGTTCCTTCGGGCGGAAGCTCGGCTTTAATTGTGGCCTCACCACGAGCCATGAGATTGCGAGCGACCTCTCGTGGTAGTTGCCCTACGAGCAAGAGCAAGTCAAGAGATGAAACGACAAAAATTAAGTCTTCAGGGCGCCTCCTCAAACAGAAGCAGGTACGGTCTATCGTGAGAGGAGGGACCCCGAAGTCAAGTTTGCGGGGCGAAAGGCAGGCTACTGCCGCGTGCTGCTGGTCTCACACTGCCCACAAAAGGAGGGAGAGGGAGGAGCAGTTAGGGAGAGATGCTGCATTCGACGAGCAATCAACCAAAGACAGGCTGCGAAAAGCACAAGATGCGTCCACGCTCTCGCGACACGCCACAGCGTTGCCTGCGACTCCCGCCACGAATACCGCGGACCACTCGACGTATTCCCGCGAGTTGCTTTGACTAGGCTATGACAAGCCTGCTTCGTGCTCGTGCGGTAGTAGCGGCTCGTAGTCGCGGATTCGCGTGTCTAGGTGCTCTCGTCGAGAGTCCACGAAGTAACACTGCTGCAGTGCCGTTGTAGCGGCTTGAACAAGCGAAGTGTTAGGAGACTTCGAATCAAGGACGGGGAGGAATAGGAATCAGGACACGGGGAGAGAAGCGCACACGGCACACGCACGAACGGAGTTCGAGCGCCGCGACGTGGGGCGATTGAGTTGGAGTGCGTCTCCCCTAGCTCCTCAGCCGCCGCACTCACTCAGGCTCAGCCACAAGCCCGCCTCCTTTTCTCATGGTCAACGGAGGTAGACGGCGACATGGGACGTGTACGGGTGCGGGTGCGGGTGCGGGAACGAGGCGCGGGCCGCTTCTCTGTTCGGCTGCATGACACTGGCCTTAGCCAATGGTAACAGCTCTCGTGAGCGGATGTGGCCACTGACATCCATTTTGACCTGACATCTTCATTCTCATCATTCTCTTCGCCTTCGTGGTATTTCTGCTCGCCGGCGCTCATTCTGTGCGCACGATACCATGCCCCCGTCTGCGACGCCCTACGGAAGCGCGGCGTACGCAGCAAGGGGCCCCGGCGGAGCGAGAGCGTACGGTCCACCAGGCGGACCGCCGAGCAGCAATGGCCATGGCGGCTACTTGAAAGCCGGAGCTGGTGCTTATGGCGGCAGTGGTACGCAGCAAGGAGCTCGCGGCTACCAACTCAATGATGGACCGGCGTCACCCTCGATAGGTGGGAGTAGCGGTAGCAGTGGGCGGCTGCAAGGGCAGGGAGGGAATCAGGATCTCGGACCGTATGCGCACATTGACAAGGGCAGCGCTGGCATGATGGGAATGAGAAAGGGTCGACCGCAAGGCAATATCGCTGCGGTGAGCGCGACTACAGGAGCTAGCTTGGCGGCGTCAGCCTCAAAACGCTTCAGCAACAGCACCGTCTCGTACCTCAGCCACCAGAGCAGCGCAGTCGACTCCAAGAGCTACCAGACTCACGGTGGCCGGTCGTACGCGGTAGGGCCAGATGATGTCCTTTACTACGGCAAGGACGGCGCAGAGCCGGATGACTACCTGCACAACCCTGACGGCAAGAAGGACAGGAACGCATTCGTCTTCTGCTCCGGCAGAGGCTTTGCTAACATGACGACAATGTTCCTGCTGCTCCTCGCCTTATTGGCCCTCTTTGCCGGCTATCCCATCATCTCGCACTTTACGGGCCTCAAAGAGTCGAAGATGGGAGGCTTCAATCTAGGTGGCAGCAATGGTAGCGGGCAAGTGCCAGAGCTGACAGGCCTCTTCAAGATGATCGACGACGATACGCCGACGGCAGCCAAGACTTGGACCAATCCCATAGACGGGTCGTCGTATCACCTCGTCTTCTCGGACGAATTCAACCAAGAGGGGCGCACCTTCTGGCCAGGCGACGATCCTTTCTGGGAGGCGGTCGATCTTTGGTACGGAGTAACAGGAGACCTGGAGTGGTACTCTCCCGAGGCCGTGAACACCACGGACGGCTATTTGCAGATAACCATGACCGAGGACGCGACGCATAATCTCAACTTCCGCAGCGGTATGGTGCAGTCGTGGAACAAGTTATGTTTTCAAGGCGGCTACCTGGAATTTGCGGCAATCCTTCCCGGCTCACCGAACGCTGCTGGGTATTGGCCTGGTCTTTGGACGATGGGGAACTTGGGAAGGCCAGGCTATCCCGGGTCGACTGATGGAATGTGGCCTTACAGCTACGATTCTTGTGACTCGGGCATCTTGCCGAATCAGACGAATGTTGAGGGCACCGGGCCACCTCTAGTGCTTAACCCTACAAATGTGAGTCGAGCTTATGGCATGTGGTGGTGAGGGAATGACATTAAGCTGACCAACATCAACGATCGCCACACGTACGTAGGGCAAACGGCATCTCAGCTATCTTCCAGGAATGCGTACGAGTGCCTGCACTTGTGAAGGCGAGGACCATCCCGGGCCTAATGTCAATGTTGGACGCTCGTCGCCAGAGCTGGACGTGCTCGAGGCACAGACTGCGGGGGGCGTGGGCGAGGCGAGTCAGTCACTCCAGACCGCACCATACGATGAGTCGTACCAGTGGAAGAATGGCTCCGGATATATCACCATCTACGACGAGGAGACTTCCAAGCTTAACAGCTACACGGGAGGCGTATACCAGGAGGCCGTCTCGTGTCTTTCAAACATTCCAGCGGACTCATATGAGTTGGCTGACGCGCCGCGAGCGGTCACTTATGGCGTACAGTACAGCCCGGACTGGACGGGGACTGGCCAAGGATCCGTGACGTGGTTCATCGATGGCAAGGCGACGTGGACGGTGCAAGCGTCCGCCATCGGTCCAGATGTACAGATGGACATTGGCCAACGATTGATCCCAGTGGAGCCGATGGCGATCATCATGAACGTGAGTGCGCGCGCGATGGGGGCGATTGCGAACGCTTTACTGAATTAATCGCTACCTTCCCGTCCGCAGCTCGGCATGTCCAACGGCTTCCAAACGATCCGATGGCCCTCTATCACCTTCCCTGCCCGCTTGCGAGTCGACTATGCTCGCCTCTATCAGCAAGACGGCCAACCTGACCGCATTAGCTGCGATCCGCCGGATCACCCGACGGCAGACTATATCGCTCGCCACCCTGAGCTCTACCTCAACCGCAACCTAACCGTATTCCCCAGGGACACTTACTCGTGGCCGAAGAACAAGCTGACTGGATGCTGATTTGTTTCGAAATGATCGAGGGGATGGGCCCGTGGCCCGAGATGTAGCCTTTGTGGCAGCTCGCAGGCCCCGCCGGTACGGCGTCGCGTCATCCCATTTGTTGTACTACTTGAACCCTTGTATGCTGTTCACACCACACCTTCTCGATAATGAACCCTTTGACTCAGTCTGAGTTCGTTCTGTCTGCTGCCGCTGGACCCTTGTGCTACCTCTCGAGATAACGAGAGCGATGCTTGAACAGGACAGGGCAGAGCGATCGGCTGTAGTGACCTCGCAGCGGGGACATGTCGAGATTGACCCGACGGTTCCTCGAGACGACGTCAGACATGACACTTTCTCTTGAGGCTCCAACTGCGAATGACTTGAGAGGCGCTCGAGTTGTTCATTATAGGCGGGAGTCAACGTTCTGACTCGTCTCGCTGTCTCGAATTCTCGAGCTGCGTTCGTCCTGGCGCGCTGTCGCACGGACGTCGAGATATGGGTCCCGTGTCTGTCGGTGCGATGAGAGATTGCAAGACAAGACAGCCTTGTGGATGGGAAAAGCGGGTTGAATTGCGCATCAGGGTTTAGTGTAGGGTCATGAAATGGCCCTGTTGCGAGGAGGAGACGGATGTGCTCTGCTCTGCCCTCTCTTCATGCACGCCGAGTGAGATGTGATTGGGGCGGCGACGAAGGGAAAAATGCCGGCCTTCGACCTGTGGTTGCCCTTTTGCGTCGGGGGCGCGCTTGGGCCAACCTGATCTCGGCCGCGGCGGGAGGCGAGGCAGGCGAGGCGAGAGGGACAAGACAAGACAAGGGGTGGTGGGTGGACGAAGCGGCCAAGAGAGGGTCTAGCGCTAGTCGGAGGCGATGCGATGGTGCATGAGCCCTTTTCCTCTACTTCTCCTGTCCTGTCGTCACATCAACCTCACCTCTGGGACGCGCAGAACCTTGTCTCGCTGTCGTCCACATCATCTTCGTCGTCGCAATCGTCGTCACCAGTCCCTCGTCTCACCACGCCACGTTGCGGCTCTGACCCGGAGGATCTGATCAAGATCACCACCGCACCCAATCATTCGAGGATCCGCACTCACTCATCACCTTTGCCGCCGAGTACGCACACCACGTCGTCCTCCGCATCTGACGCCGACACCGCCGTCTGCGTCGGCCTCCCGCACGGCGCCCATATCCCGCTCCGCTCAGGAACCTCCAAGGCATCGAGCTGCTTGGTGATTGCGAGGGCAATGGTGGTGTGAGATTAGCCGCGCACTCTTCTGATCTTTGGTCAATCAACACCAACGAGTCCAGTCACATTCGGCATCGAACAGCAGTACTTCGCATCATCATCTCGTCCTTCCCTCTCTTGGTTCCTCTTCTCTCTCCACCACGACTACCTCGTCCTTCTTTTCCTCACCCGACCACGGCCTCTCTGACTTGTGATCTGTTCCCAAGCTCCGGCTAACGGAGCAGCAGTCAGCCTCCTCTGCAGCCCGGCCGCCATCACAATTGGGCCGCATAATTGATAGGATGGGGACGCCAAACGACGAATTCTCATCCCTGTGGGGCTTCGACTCAGACGATCATCGACACAACGGTGCGCATAGGCGCATGCGCAGCCGCTCGTTTCGTATGCTGACCCTCGTATCCTTGTTCTCCCCGCAGCAGACGCTCTCTTGGGCACTCAGCGAGCATCAAAACCTGAGTTGCATGGCCCTGCGTCTTCCTTAACCTCTTCGGGCCTCTCCGCCGCAGCTGGACCCTTTTTCTCAAAACGGTGAGGTGATCTCAGTCCGCAGAAGCAATCAGGGACAAAGAGCTGACGCTGTCCCTTGCTCGCTCCTCAGCGCTCGACAAATCCAAAAAGAGTCTGGCGTCGGAAGACCCCCCGTCTTTCGCGACGCCATCTCTGCGACGCCCAGCTCAGAGCATCTCAGCGATCTGTTTCAGAAGAACGCAGTAATCTCGCCATCCGATCCATCTGATTCGGCCTCGCAAAGCAGAGGACGCGCTCGTGCTGGGACGCTTCCTTCATCATGGGACCGCAATCTCCCTGGACCGTCCTCTTCCTCTCATCACCCGCTTACCGGATCACGCTTCGCAGACAAGCTTGGCTCCGATCTCAGAGATCCCAAGGGGAGGTCAGGCGCGAGCAGCCCTCTGGGACCTAATGCACTTCACGAACATGCTACGCCTCTCGGCTCTCGACTCAGGTCAGCCAGCAATGCCTCACAGTCGCAAAATCACGGGCTGCCAGACCTGGCTCGACAAGCGTTCCATGCCGGACCCTCAAGCCTAGCTTCAGCCTCGAATGCTTCAGAGGGCAGCCCGAGCGAGTCGTCCACAGTTTCCCGCCTTCGATCAGACTCGCTCGCCTCCAATGTCCACTCGGACCCCTTTGCTCATAGCAACATCTTTTCACCCTGGGCTGGGTCCTCGCCCGAGCTCAAGGGCGGCAAGAGGCTCTTGCCTCTGACCTCGACCGGGGAGCAGTATTCCAGGGGGCGGGGGGCGACCATTGCCAACCCTCCAGGGCAGCCTATCGGGCGAGGCTCGACGTCGCTAGAGGGCTTGGGCCAGGAGGGATTGAGGACGCTAGACTATCTTGGCCTTGACGATACCTCGGCCACAGACGGTGATGGCTCTGGCGATGCTGGAGCTGCCAATGCGCTGGACTCCCTGCTTGCAACGGGTCGAGACAGAGCTAATACTCTCGCCGTGCCTTCGGCTGACTGGCGGTCATCGCCCACGGCTCTACTGGGCAACAGGAATCGTAGCAGCACGTTCGCGCCCTCCGGCCTCGACTTTACGGATCAACAACAGCAGTCGACCCAGTCTCAGCAGCGGAGCTTTTACCAAAAAGAGAGCACCTCAGCGTCAAGTCAGGCGCGAATGGGCGACGATCGACCGCTCCCCGGATCTGGAAGTGCCGCATCTCGAGAGACGGCAGCCGCCGTTGCAGCTGCGGTCGCTGCTGGGCGGGCTCGTGCCATCTCAATGGGGCGTTTGGATGCTCCCGACCAATTCACAACACTGCCCTTCTATCAATCGGGTACCGCGACGCCCCCGGCCTACCCAGCGCTGCACAATGAGTACGTGTCTCGCGATGACCTGTATGCCTACGCGCTCGAGCATGGTCTCGACCCGGCTGCCTTCACCGCGGCTGCTACTACTCATGCTGGCGTCAAAGTCGTCCCGTCCAACTCAGACCGGCTCCCAGCCTCAAGACTGCGTGCAGGCACAGTAGCCGCGCTCGGTGGCATCGGCGGCAGGGCAAGGACGGAGCAAGAGCTCATCCGAATGGCAGCCAGAGGCGCGTCCACATCAAAGCCGTATGGCGGAGGTCAAGGTAGCTTGGCGGCCCATGACTTCTTCGACGGCCGACTACCAACTCCCCCAAATCTGCCTCCGAGCCACTCTGCCAGCGGACATGTGAGCAGCAGTCGCGCCGGCCCGCCCAGCCCTGCACACTCCCACCGTCTCTCTCCATCAATCGCTCACGCATCAGCCGCTGCATCGGCAGACCGCGGGCAGGCGCCGCAGCAACAGCCTACGCGGAGCCTGTGGGTCGGCAACCTAAGTAGCTCGACGACGGGCCAAAAGCTGACGCAGGCGTTTGCTCAGTACGGCGCAATTGAGAGCATGAGATTGCTGCCCGACAAGGAGTGCGGCTTTGTCAACTTCGTCGAGGTCGCCGATGCTATCCAAGCACGCGATGACATCTTGAACCGATTGGGTGGCCGTGTCAGGGGCCTCTGTGCGGAGTCATCGACGCCGATCAAGATTGGCTATGGCAAGATTGACGAGTCGTCTCCCAATCTCAAAGCTCGTGCGCAGAGCCCGCAGGGACTTGGTACGGGTGAGCGAGACGACGCACCGCCCACGAGGGCCTTGTGGGTCGGCAGCATCCCCAGCTCGACGAGCCCCGCAGCTCTCCTCAGCATCTTTCAGCCGTTTGGGCCAGTTGAGAGTGCAAGGATCCTTACACACAAAAATTGCGGCTTTGTCAACTTTGAGAGAATCGACGACGCCGTCCGTGCCCGCAAGCTGCTCAATGGCCACGACATCTTGGGTCCAGAGGTCGGCGCCGTGCGCGTTGGCTTCGCCAAAGTGCCGAGCAAGCTTGAAGATGGCTCGTACCCAGGCGAGCCGAACAGCGAGGGATACTCGATCGCGACGGATCAGCTCAACAATCTCAAAGGCAGCAATGGTGTGCCGGTCGAGCAGCAGATGAAGCCCGGCAACTTGGAGAGCTACCGCAGCCACTTTGTCACCGAAATGCTTCATGGTCAGCTCAACGACATCGAACAAAATCGAGGAGACCCAGCTACAAGCGGAGTTACCGCTTCCTCTGCATACGGTCTCACGGCAGCACTGGCTCACTCTCATCATCGCTCGGCGCCTCACTCTGGCCTCAGCGCGAGTAGCAGCATTGTGCCCAGCAGCGACAAGGGAGGCGTCCCTCTTCCCTCCGAGCTGCAACCTCGCGCCACAGTGACGGACTTGCAACTGCTCATGGTTCACCTCTCAGACGGCGAGCCAGAATCCACCGTCGATGCTCACCTCAATGTTGTCTCCCAGTTCCGTTCGCCTGCGACCTACTACACGAGCATCCCAGTCGTCAGCGAATCCAATGCTTCTCGCCGCTTCGACACAGCCAAGCTGCGAGACATGCGCAAGTTCATTGAGCAAGGTCAATGTCATCAAGTCGACATCGACAACCTCGCCCTCAGCCTCCTCGACTCCATCGTCGACCTGGCGTCAGACTACATCGGCAACACGTTGGTGCAAAAGTTCTTCGAGCGCTGTTCTGAGCCCATCAAGACTAGGATGCTTGAGTTAGTTGCCCCCAGCCTCGCCACGGTGGGCATACACAAGAATGGGACGTGGGCAGCACAGAAAATCTTGGACATGGCACAGTCTCCCGAGCAGCGGTCGCTCATTGCACATCACCTTCGTCCTTTCATCCCACCTCTGCTCCTGGACCAGTTTGGTAACTACGTCGTGCAATGCCTGCTGCCCTACGGCGCCGAGCCCGAAGCAGGCGATGAGCTACGCAGTCGCTCCGACTTCATCTTTGACGCCATGGTCGACCGCTGCTGGGAGATTGCCCAAGGTCGCTTTGGTGCTCGCAGCATGCGGGCCTGTCTTGAGAGCCCACTGGCCACAAATCTCCAGAAGAAGCGTGTCGCCATGGCTGTAGTGCTCAACTCTGTCCCCTTGGCCACAAGTCCCAACGGCTCGCTACTCCTCAATTGGCTCCTCGATGCTTCCAATTTGCCAGGGCGCTACCGTCTCCTCTCGCCACGCTTCACGCCGCACCTGGCACACCTCTGCACTCACAAGCTCGCGTCTCTTACAGTGCTCCGCATCGTCAATCAGCGCCTTGAGTCAGAAGCGGCGCATTCGCTTCTGGACGCCCTCTTCAACTCGGCACACGATGGGATCCTCGAAGAGGTGTTGAGCGAAAAGGTGCATGGCAGCCAATTCGTCACGCGCGTCTTGTCCTCGTCGGCTCTTGAGCCGGACAGGAGGGAGAAGTATGCCGAGCAGACACGACGTATCGTGCTACAGCACAACTACACGAGTGTGCCTGCGTACCGTAAGCTCGTTGAGGATCTGGGTCTGCAGTTCGTCCAGGGTCCCTCGGCATCGTCGGGACCCAGACGCGCTTACGATGCCGACGCGCACCTGAATGCCCACGGATACGGAGATGCTGAGAGAAGTGGTCTCGGCGCTGGGAGCTCTGCAAGGCCACCGTACAGTAGCTCAGGCTCCGCTCGCAGCTACGACCGTCTACCTCCTCAAGCCCTTCTGGCATCGCCGCAGCCGACGCATAACCATACACGAGGAGCTGGGCGCGGAGCCATCTTACCACCTCCGCCTCACCACCACCAGCAGTATCAGGCGCACACTCCTCCCCATCAGCATCCATCGCCTCATCGTCTGCCCTCACACCTTCCCCATCCACCTCCGCCCAACTACCTTCATGCTCAAGGGCCACCTCCTCGTCAGCAGCATGACTTTGGTGCTCCTGCTCACCATCAGCCACGTCAGAATCACCACCACCAGCCACCTCTCTTTCAGCCTTACGGAGCTGCGCAGTACTAAGACACACGCCGCTCTCACCATCGCCATGCAAACGCCCATCACGCCCCGCCATGCCCCGTACGGAGACGACATAATCCTTGCAAACCTCAATCTCCTCCTGCTGCGATGTACTCACCACTACTCGAAGGCGCTGTAGACCAATCCACCTCCCATGGCTCCTTTAAGCACGAAGAACCGCAGCAGACACCTGCTCACCCTATTTCAACGCGCCAAGTACCCGCACCACGGTCTCGTCCTAGATTTTTTTCTGTCCGCCATCCCATCACCCCGATTCTGCATCAATCCCCCTGTTTCCCCTCATTCGCGCACCTAACTCCAAGCTTGCCTGACCCTCTTGTTCTTTATCAATTTCGTCCTATTCTATCATCAGCACCGCTCGCCCTTCCCTGGCTTTGGTCACTACTCAATCCACCTCGCCGTCTCTGTCCTCCGCTCGCTACGTTCGGCTTTCGATAGTAAATCAATTTTCTCGAATGATCATCTCCAGATGGTGAAGCAAGGGCGAGTCTGATTCGTAATTGAGACGGGGGGTGCGATGACTCTGTCGGAGGGCATGGGCCGAAGCGAAGTTGAATGTCAGAGGCTCGCGCAACCTGAAATGAGACTGGATGGGAGAGAAGCGGAGGCGACTAAAAGGGATATGATACAAGTGACACCGAATGGGGAACGAACGAGAGCGATGAGGGCGGAGTAGAGTAGTCGGCGAAGGGTTGTTGACTTGCTCGGAAAAAGAGTGAAGGCTGAAAGGACGACAGGGTTGAAGCTCGAGTTGGTACGGCGAGGCAATATCGCGCAGAGCAGCACGCTCTGCGGTGACCGTTACCGCTTCGTGGGTATATGCCGTCCTCACTTTAACTTGAGACACCGCAGAGAGAGGGAAGACGGGCAGCGAAGCCGAGCGAAAGAGTGCGCTACGTCGAGCAACTGGAATGGTTGCGTTGCTTGCTCCTTGCCCCGTCTCGTTCTACCTGCTGTGGCTCAAGCCACTCTCGCCCCCGCACTCCCATCAGAGAAAGTTCCCCTTCTGCTACTCGGAGCACTCTTCCTATCCTCAACGGTGATGAAACCGCCACAACCGTCGGGCACGCAAATATGTCTGCGTTCGTACTGTTGCGGTTGTGGAGCGGCCTGTGCAGGAGGGGCTGCACTCTTGGCGGTCATAGCGGGAGAGGTGGGAGCTGAAGGGGTCGTCTCGGAGGGAGGTGCAGGCGGAGCTGAAGGTGTGCTTCCACGCAAGGCACTCAATGCTCCGAGACGATTGCCTAGAGCAGAGCCAAAGGAGTTGGTGCGACGTCCGCTGGACCCGGTGCTGTTGCCGCCTTGAGTCCGAGCGCTGCCTGCCTGCGCATCTCCAGAGGCTACGGCACTGCTATCGTTGCTATCATTGCCGTGGTATCCTGCGAACCCTGTCGACATATTTGGGCTATTACCCGCTTGCCAACCTGCATTGTGCCTCGTGGGACTGCTGCCCGGCTGGAAAGCCTCGGCTGCTCCTGTGGTGCTGTTGGTGAGTGTCTGCGGGTAGAAGTGGTGATGCTGCCCAAAGAAGCGTGGAGGTAGGAAGGCTTGTGCGGGGACAGAAGAGCGACGTGGGGACCCATGAGGTGGTGGAGCTTGCTGCTGCTGCTGTTGTTGCTGCTGCTGGCTAGGGTGTGTCTGAGCGAGGATCTTTGATCGCTGATGGTGGAGGTGGGGATGGCTGTGCTGGTGAGGAGGATGCGGGCGTTGCTGTGGCTCAGGCGTGGTACTCGATGATGAGCCGCTAGCGTTGCTTGCGGTTGAGTGCCAAGAAGAGCCGCTTGGTGAGGACATGGTGAAGGGGGTTGTGTTGGAGAAGGAGGTGGTGAAATAATGAGTTGGCGGGTTGGCTTAATGAGGACAAAGGCCAGAGTGATTTCAATTCAACCTCTCTCACTCGATGCACATCGACGACGCCCCGCTGCCCTGATGCAGTCGTGCGTGCGTGCGTCGCTGGGCCAGCCTCGCGCCAATCTCCATCTGACGAGGTGACGGACGGGCCACCAGGTCATTGTCGGACCGGAAGCGGCACAGGATCCCAGAGAAGAGCGCGACGCCGACTTGGCCGCCAATCTTCTATTTTGCTTCCCCTCGTCGTCGTTGATTCGTCCCATCCTCTCCCCCCTTTGTCCAATACGAGAGGTAAGTGTCGTTAGGGGCCATGCGTCAGAAGACACAGTAGCAGCCGTCGCCGCGCTAGGATTACGACACTTTTCTATATTCACACTGTCTGACGGAGGGGTTAATCGCCCTTCGCGTGACCATTTGACTACTACAACGGTATATGAGCGCATCCAAAGTCGTAGTAGAGGCAGGGCAAACAAGGACACCGAGGCTCGCGATGCCATCTCTTGTGGTCGTACATCCAGCTCACACTCCTTTGTTCTCTCTCTTGCACACCTACCCAGGATGTCAAATGCACCGGATCGTTTTGCCCTCTTCATCCTCGCCGAAGGGGAAAAGCGCGTAGAGGTACAAGAAGAGACGAACATCGAAAATGCAGTCACCGTCGTGCTGAACAAGGAGGATCACACCATGGGAAATATGTTGAGGCAGTGAGTTGATCGATCGACACCCCTAGCCTACCCACTTCACGGCCTCGAAGAAGACTCACATCCCCTCTCTTTGCGTCTACAGCGCCGTCCTCGCCGTTCCCGGTGTTCTCTTTTGCGGTTACAAAGTCCCACATCCCTTGGAGCCCCGCACAGTCCTCAAGATCCAAACAGACGGACGACTGACTCCCGTCCAAGCCTTGCGCACCGGCTGCGAGCGTATCATTGCCCAGATCAATCAGGTGCGCACCTCCTTCCAGACAGAGGTCCAGGTACACATGCCCACGGCAGCTGCACCAGGTGGAGCGCCAATGATGGGTGGGTTGGGATACGGTGGTGGCGTACAGGGGGGAGCGGATGGAGGTTACGGGCAGGATTCTTACGTCGATATTTGAGAGGGCCATGCGGTGCCCTCTCCTTCTCTCCTGGCTTGTTGCCTACCTTTCTGCATTGGCTTCCACGCCTTCATACCGTCGTGTCATTGTAGTTCTCGCAGCTGGCCGTTCCTTGGCCTTGTAATTGTACCAAGTCATCAAAGTCGTAGATACAGACCGAGCCGCAGCAGCGTTGACCTCTTGAGACGACGATGGCAACGGGTTCAGCACAGCAGACTACGATGAGAGCAGCGAACGATGGAAGAGTGCACCAGTGAATTGGAGCGGCAGACTATCAAAGAGAGCAAGGGCGAGAGGCGAGGAGAGAGTATGGGTGTAGCGGCAGAGGCAAGCGCGATGACACGGTACGACCGAATGGAGAGGTGAGGGAGGGCAAAGAAGCAAGAACAAGAGAGAAGGGGTTGACACCGGCTACGCTCTTTAGCTGCGGTGTGGGGTAAAGGGAGAATGTCCAAAATAAAAAGAAAGGAGAGGGCAGGAGCTGATTCTACGCCTGCTGTTGCCTCGAGTTGGGCTGCTGATGCCAGTCGCGCATCATGGCATGCTTCTGCTGCTGCATACCTGCACCATCTTCCTGCGACCGGTCCTTGGGCGGGGGCACGGGCGAGTCGCGACCGCTACCGTTCTTGAGCCCAAATGTCGAGGACGACGTCGGTGGTAGGCCCGTACCTTGCCCACCGGCGTGATGCTGCCAAGACGCAGCCTGTTGCTGCTGCTGAGAGCGATCCGGACTACCGTACGGGGTCTGATGGCCCCCACTGCCCGCAGAGGAGAGGTGGTGCTGATGATGCCCGTGCTGCCCGTGATGCCCGTGTTGATGCAGATGCGACTGAGAGCTATTGTTTGCAAGCCACGGCGGTCGCCCTTCTGGCCCGGGCCCGTCAATGGGGCTACGAGGATTTGCAGAGCCGCTGCGAGACATCCCTCCATTTCCACTTCCATTGACGAAGTGGTGCTGGTTCTCAATCTGTCGCATGGTCACCGGATCGTGGTACTCCGGTCGCTGCTGCCGCGAGCCACCGACGTGCATCTCACTGAAGCCGCTATTGCCTCCTCCAGGAGCGCCGCCGTTACCAGCGAATCCACTACCACCTGGGCGGCCTGCGCTACCTGAGCTCCCCTGGCCTCGCGCCCGCTTAGCGTACTTTTCGCATCGCTTGAGAATGTCGCGCGATGTGAGCTCGGCTGAAGCACTCAGCAGCTCGCGGTCCTGCAGCACAGCCTCCAGTTCAGGGGGCACCATCCAGAACTCGTCCTGATTTTCGAGGAGATGAAGGATGGCCCGGTTGGCAAGGAAGAGCTCATCCTTTGCCGGATCCTGAGACTTGGCGTAGAGGATATTCGGCCCGAGAACGAGGGCGAGATTCTGCAGATCCATCTTGGATCCCGTCTCCTCGTCGACGTGGGAGAACGAGGCCACCCATTTCAGGAAGACGAAGAGGACCTCCAACGTGTCGCGGTGCGCCTTGGGAAGGAGGATGGTGACGAGGTGCAGGATGCGCAGCCGTTCAGACTCGGGCTCGAGCTTTTGCGACATGACAAAGAGGCGGTGCAGCTTGAAGGTGAGGAGCGGATCCGGCAGCTCGCGCAGGAAACGTTTGAGCAAGGCGGCCAGCTGAACGGGATTGTCGTCCGAGAGATTCACGGACGAGCTGTCGCGATCGAGAGCCTCGGACAGCTCCTTCAAGCGACGGATGTTGCCATTCTTGCGGAAGATGCCCTCGACGGAAACGTCCATCTGGCGCATCGCCGAGATAATGTCATCGACAAAAGAGGGCACGCGAAGGTGCGTCGTGCTCGCCCCCAGAGTGGAGTCTGCCCCATTCTTCTCGACGAGGATATCCAACGGAATGCCGAAGACGCCCTTCTTCTCAACGTGCTTCTTCTTGTCCTTGCCCGTCTTAAAGAGCTTGCCCCAGAAAGTGTTCTTGCGCATCTCGATGAAGTCGATTAAGTCGTCCATCGGCACGAGGTCCTTGAGCGCGCTTTGCTGCAGCATCATGACCGCCATGTGCTTCACAATGAAGAGCTCCAGGGCAGAGAGCTCCGAGAGGGAGCGCCCGCCCTCGTGGTGCAGTGAGCGACGTTGCTCTCGCGCTTGTTCGGCCTCGAGCAGCTGGGGAATGTCGCCTAGCGTCAAGTGATCATCGTTTTGCGGGGCCATCACGCTGTCGTCGCCAGACGCTTGGCGAGCTGGACCATCGTCGCGAATGCGTACGTCGGTGTTGTGGCGAGCAAATGCAGGCCGAATGGGTACGACTGTCCCCGGTTCACGTAGGCCGCCTGCGGGGGATGGGTCTCGCGACTTGGACGCACCGCGGAACCGTGATGCTCCTGGTGAGGGGCTCCTTCGCAGAGATCGTGGCTGACCGTCGTTGTCCGTCGAGCGACGTGGCGAGGACGAGCGGCGCAGCCCCTCTGCCGTGGGCGAGATTCTTTGCTGCATTGAGCTGGCTTGCGTCTGCTGGCCCGAAGGGCTGCCAACAACCGTCGAGATGCGTGGCACTTTTGCCTTGGTCGAGAGCTTGCGATCTAGATTGACCGACTTCATTCGCTTGATATCCGTCGAGTCGCGGTACGTTGCGTCTGAACCAACGGGCGTTGATGACGTCGAGGATGACGGAAGGGCCGGCGTTGACTTCGACTCTGCCAGCTCGCCAGGGGTGACCGGAGGTGGCGAGGCTGGAACCACACCACGCTTCTTGAGTAGGGCGTAGAGACGATTAAGAGCCACTCTCAAGAGGAAGGCGTACTGCTCTAGTCTGCTACCCGTCTCGAAGCCACGACGGCAGTGAGCAGGAGCGTGCTCTGAGCAGAATGTAGTGTACGTCTTGCGACTTGACGACTCGCCCCCAGCTGAGATTTCCAGCGCAAAGGTGTTCGCCGGCGCAGTTGGCGGCGCCTCAGGGTCTGCCTCTGGATCTGACGACTTCCGTGTTGATCCGCTCTCCTTCAACGCTCGACGCTTGCATTGGCAACATCGCAAGCAAGTGGCATGCCATCGCATATTGATGCCCATCCTGACGCACTCCTCCTCCACGGTCTGGCCACAGGCAAGGCAGAGGTCGGTCGCGCCCTCGTTGCCGTCTGACGAGCTGACCGACGTTGTGCGGGGGAGACTCTTGTAGCCGTACCACCTCCCGTCCGGCCTCTGCATGCTGATGTCGCCCACTGGAGCAAGGTCGATGCTATCCCGCTGCCCGCCTTCCCGACTGTCTCCCCCCGCTTTACTCTCGCCAGAAGTGACCGCCGCCTTCTCTGCGAGGTACGCGAGCTGGTCTAGGAACCAGTCGATTGCCTGTCGATTCCCAAACTCACGGTCCAGCCTCAATGCCCCCGTGAGAGCGATGCGAATCAAGATTTTGAGGTAGTGCGCCAGTCCAGTGACGAGGGAGAGGAGCTCCTGCGTGATGCCCATTCTCCTCGCGCCCGTCTCCTGTGTATGTGAGAGGAGCGAGAAGAAGTTGACGATCTTCTTGCATAGCATCCGGGCCTCGCGGATGTGTGAAAGGCCCTTGGTCTGCTCTTTGCGGAACTCTCGCTCAATGTCGTCAATGGCTGAAAAGAGGATCTCGACGTGCAAGATGAAGCGCTCCGCCATCCTCACGCCTCCCAGATAACGTCCGCTGCTAACGTGGCGCAGCATCTCAGATATGCACGCCGCTGAGCTCTCCTCGAAGGCGGACAAGACCGTCCATATCCTGTAGACCTGCTCTTCGACAATCTTCTGCTTCTGCTTGAGGCTCGACGGTGTCTCTGAGGCTTCTGTCTCGATGGCTTCCATGCTGGGCGCGTCTGTCGCTGACATGTCGCTGACAGGCGCAACCCCGCTTTTCGACGGCTCTGGCGTCTCGAGCGCAGTTGTGGGTTCAGAGACGAGGCTCTCCTTAGGCGTGGCACCAGTCGGACAGAGCTTGATATTCCAGAACTATGCGAGGGTGTAAGGAGATGTCAGTCACTGGGGGATCTGGCTTGCAGCGAGGAGAGCAGGATCAGCTTACCTTGTGAATCATGTAGCATTCAGGATGCCAATGCTCGTCCTGGTTGTTGCGGTTGATCTCGACGAATTGCTTGAGAATCGCAGTGCGACAGCCTGTGCAGCGAATCGCAAACCTTGTGGAGTAGTGGAAGTGACAGAAGACGCTGTGTGAGGCGGGTGAGGACGAAAGGGATGGGTATCAGCATCGTAGCATCTTCCAAGGGCCTCTACGCGCGTGCTCACCGTCCATCATGCTCGTAGTAGCTATCCTGCGGTCCAAATACGGTCGGGCAGATCGAACAAGTAAAGTGTTCGACGTGAAACTTCTTTCCCAGGGCTGTGATGTACGATCCCCTTAGAGCACCTCCGCACTTGGCGCACAAGAGGTCCAGGCGGCGAAAGTAGTCGGTTTCGCAGAGCGGGAAAAGCTTGCTAGGCTGTGATGATGTCGGCGATGGTCGCTTGGTCTCCTCATCTCCCCCGCTGCTCGAACGAGGCGACGAGTCTCGCATATCGTCCGTCGCTGGGAAGAACTTGGACGCCACGACCTTGTTGCAGTCCTGGCGAAGGCCGGGAGCGAGATTGAAGATGTCAGCTTTGAATCGTTATACGCTGCCCATGCTGCCGCTACCACTCACCCGACACCTGAAGCAGTCGAGGTGAAAGACGACTCCCAATGCCCTGACAAATTGGCCTGTCATTGGCTTCCCACAAGCATCGCATGACTGCTCCTTTCTCCCTGTCCCTTGCGCCCCCTGAGCCTTGACCGTCGGATGAGCGGATGAAGTTGGCGTTTTCAGAGCCGGCGAGAAGGGCCTCGACGACTGAATCGGCGTGTCAGGATTCGAGGACATGCCCGGGTTTGGACTCGTATCGATTCGAGGACGTGGCATGCCTGATCCCTGCTGCCTTGACGACTGACGAGGCGGGATGGGGGCTGCGATGGATTGACGCCAGCTCGATGATGACGATGATGGTGTGGTCCCCTCGCTACCGCTCTCCTGCTTCGCCTTCTCTGCTTCCCAATTCCAACTGGCCGAGTCTACCGCTCTCGACTTGATTCTGTCCATATCTGCACGCCTGCTGTTGCTGCTACTCCCCGACGCATCTCTCCTAGAGGAAGATGATGATGGTGGCCTGTCTGCAAAAGACGTTGATGCCGTCTTCTGTACGAGGTCGCCATCTTCCCCGACTCGAGAGTCTGACAGTGCTGGTGATGATGGCCGCGCCATCTCTGAGCTATCTGGTATCGCTGAGGTGTGAGACTGAGCTCTCAGCGGCATCAGCGGCCGTTGGAGAGACGAGGATGATGAGCTTGAGCCTTGGCCATCAAAGGCGCCTGCCTTGGAAGGGGTCGAAGATGGCATGGGAGGAGCAAAAGCTCTCGTCTACTGTGGACGGCCAATGGATCGCGGCTCGTCGTCCACTGGCCGATGAGGAGAGCCAAAGAGGCGCGAGCGCCCCGAGCGACGAGTGATCGAGTGATCAAGCTTACGACAGATCACGATGAATGCTCGAGTCTGCGCGACGAATGGTCTCTTGTTCGCAGTGGGAGCGTGAGCGCCAGGTCAGGACGATGTATGCCGCTGAGCTGCCCTCCTGTGTTGACGTCGGCGTCTACTTTGCTTAGACGGCAAATAGCGTGGAGTGGGAAGATGACGTCGACGATGACGGGCTACAGTCAATTGTCTGCGCTACGCTGCTGATGATGATGATGAGGAGGAGGTTCGCACTCGAGTCGCGAGGAGAAGCCGAGGGTCACAGGAGTCGTTGATCGACGTCGAGTCGTGGATCGTGGATGTCGTTGGAGCAGTCGAGTCGGGCGGGCGGTCGTCGCGGCTGACGGGTCGGCGGCGGAAGGAGGCGGCAGCGGAGAGGACAGACGGCAGCAACTCGAGGAGAGCAGAGGCACAACGCAGCCAACGCAGCCAACGCAGCCAACGCAGCCAACACACGCCCGCCCTCCCCTTGCTCTTCAACTCGACTCGACTCGGCTCACCTCGCGGGGCGGCACCAAGCCACAGGCGGGTGGGGGGTCGAGCGTAGGCAGGTAGCCAGTCAGTCAGGCAATGAATCGACGACGTCGATGCGACCAGCGGGACAGCGCCGACAGGATCATCAAGGCAGAACAGAGGCGCACAGGTCGACGAGACGAGGGCATCGCATCGTGGGTCTGCTGCACGCGCACGCACGCACGCACGCACGCACGTACTCAAAAATGCGAGGAAGAAGGCGCTTCAACACATGCGCAGAGAAGGCAGCGTAGCAGTGGCCATGGCTACGGAGAAATAACACCCAATCCTGAAGGAGGGGGCCAGCGTACCATAGAGCCAGACGGGGAGGGCAGGCCGCACAGCAGCAATGGCGACGTTGCTCTGGGAACGGACTCGACCTCGTTCTACAATATCGTAGCTGCCGTCGAAGAGGGAAGGCTGCACAGAAGCCTCGACCTACAGACCACTTGCGGCGGCGAAGGCGGGTGCGATGCGGCTAGAGCATGTCTTACCTGTCTATCGAGCTGCAGCGCATCTAGGTGCCAGCCACGCCGAACATGAAATAGGGTCCCACCTTCCCCTCGCCTCCTTCCTCATGCCGATCGAAGCAAGCCTTGCGGGCGCAGACACATGTGTGTGATCTACGGCGATGGATGGTAAACCATCTCTGTCGCCATACTCACAAGGAAGCACCGGTGAGACCACGGCGGCGATGTCAGGCCAAGACGAAGGCGAGGTGAGATCGTCGCGAGCGATCACAATGGAATTGAAGAGAGCTCAGTGAATTAGCGGGACAGAGAAAGCAAGGAAGCGTCGTCATTCTTGAGAGTGCTTGTCATCATCGTCATCATCAAAAAGAGGAGGCAGCACTCGGTAATAGTGTGGAGGATGTCGCGGTAGATGTACGCTGTTGGTGGCCCTGAGGCTCGACTCGCCCTCGGACATCAATGCGCCTGGCCAATGGGATCTTGTCGAAGCTCTTGCGTAGGCGTCTTGTCGCCGCCGATGAGCTTGAGGTTACTGAGCGCAGCATCCCACTCCGCTGGCTCGCGCACAGAGAACAGGAGGCCACGGTCCTTGAGGTCGGCACCTGCCTTGCCGGCTGGTGCGGCCGAAGCCTCACCGTCGTCGGGAGCGAGCGATGCGTCCCAGTCTCCTGGTGGTCGCAGAGAGAACACCGTGCCCCTCTTGCCCTCGTCATCACCGCCGTCGTGAAGACCGACGGTCACAGGTACTGAGTCGCCCTTATCTGTCTTCAACATCCCGTCCCAGGCAGACATTCTGCGATCAGAGAAAGTCGTGTCGCTCCTGCCTCGACGGTTTTTGCCATCATCAACGAAGAGACGAGCGTCCCATCCACTGTCCGGGCGCGTCGAGAAGCGAATCTCCTTGGCTAGTGCGCCATCGTTCTTGGCCAGTAGGGGCATAAGTCGGGCATCCCATCCATCAAGCGGGCGTACTGAGAAGTGACGCGACTGTTCAGCAAGAGTCGCATTGAGCTGGTCTTGTAGCATGCGCGTCGAGACCTTGGAATCCCAGGCCGAGAGTGGTCGATCCGAGAAAAGGCTCGACGAGCGGTCTCGACTGCCAGGGCTGTCCAGGCTCGTGTTGTTAGTGTCAACCGTCTCGCGGGACGAGGATTCCGTAGATGATTCGGGGCTGAGGAACGCAGCCTCCGAAGCCGAGGGCGAGCGATGGTGTTCACTGTTGCCGCCAGGGGCGGGAGGTGCAGCGCGAGGCGTGCGGCTCGCGAAGTCGGAGGGCTGGAGCACCTTTATCGTCTGTGGTTTGCCAGGTCGACGGCCGTCGCTCATGGTGGTGGCTGTGGGTGGCGGGCTGGACGAAGAGGCGTGGTCATTCTGGTCGGCAATCGCAGCCTGTAGCGATGCCATGTCGTCAAGGTCCGGGCTCGGGCGCAATGCCTGCCTCAAAGCGCCGAAGCTGCTATGGCGACGCTTATGGGTGAGTCGAGGCGGCTTCGTAGAGTCATCCGACTGGTTACTACCTGTTCGCTTCAGGAGCTTCGAGACATCTTCGCTGCTCTTGCGTGTGCGGAGGACTCCAAAAGAGGCGCGGGGTCGAAGCTTCTGGACGACCTTATTGATAGGGCTTGAGGTGTTGTCATTGGTGTGCGAGTTGGTCATAGTTGGAGAGGTAGGGGTGTAAGTCATGCTTAATTCGAGGCCAGCTCGAGGTAGATGAAGGCGTGTCTTGAATAGTTGAAAGAAGTGGGAGTGCGAAGGAGGAAGGCAAGGAGAAGTTGTCGAAAGACTTATGAGGCTTCAATAGTCTCCACCATGACGTTGCCACACTGGCGGCCTCAAAGCCTCAAGCGTGCTTCTTCGCTACGATCAGGAGTTGACACGCGCTCGGACCCCCTCGGTGACGTCGATCACCTCCATCGCCACGGCTCGCTCCTCGCATCGCGACGTCTTGGCCTCTTGACGCCAGCGCTTGGGCCGCTCAAAGGAGGTTCGAGCGCACTTATGGAGATTCGTCATCTCGCGTTGCTGGCATAAAGGGGCTCAACCGCCCGACTAGTTTGCTAGAGCTGAGCTCGAGAAAGGAGCATTAAGACAGAGATAGCAATGTGACATCGCGCGCCCGCCTCCGCGGGCACAGGCAATCCCTCTGAGCTGACCCAAACTCTCACGCCTCCTAAATCACGGCCAGCCGCTCATCTATCGAAGTCCTCTTCGTCGTAGTCGCGGAGGATCTGAGCGTGCGAGGAGGAAGCACAGCGGGACTGTCAATCACTGCGCCCGTCTCGTTCGTCTTCGGCAACGCGCCTACTTACCGCCGCATCCTCATCTTGCGCCAGTCCACGATAGCCGCCATACGAGGCTCGCGTTCGCGGCATACGCCGTTGCAGGAACGGCAAGCTCTCTGCCTGCCGCGAGATCCAGGCCCAAGCTGTGTTGGCTAGACCGACGAGTGCCCAAGGGACAGAGGCCAATGTTTGTGCCATGGGAGACTCGGCGTACGAGCCGGGGTCAGGCAAGCGAATCGACCTGCGTACGAGAGACCGGGGGCAAGAGTCAGTGCCATGCGCCTCGCCGCCCATGCAGAGCTCGATACGCACCCATGCGAAGCACGGCCACCGGCGCTCCTCTGCAGCCACCAGTATCCTACAAGGCCTGCTAGCACGAACGGCGAAATGATGATCGTCGTCCACCACAAGAAGCCATGTCGTCGCGTGCTCATCGGGCAGACGTGACGAGCGCCTCGATCCGGCCTTGCGCCTCCGTCGCAAGAAGAGTACGGTATCTTGCGCACATTGGTTCTATCATACCAATAATCATCGCCCTCAACACATTGCTCATAGGGATCGGAGGCGAGCGCAGTAGTACCGGGTTGAAGGACGCACTCCCCGCTCGCGTCGCGGTAGTGGTTGAATTCGCTGCGAAAAGAGGAGGAGGAGGAGGGCGATCAGCAATCACTTTTCGACGAGATCATTGCGCCCTCTCGCACTTACCACTCAAAGTCGGCAGCCGTACAGCTACAATTCTTCACAATTGAATGCGGCTGAATGATCTGCGTCCCAATGAAGCAGTCGGCGCTCCTCTTCCTTCGGTAGTAGTACGTCTGTCTGCCGAACAGGCAGAGCTCGGAGCGCTCCTCACTCGGGCTCCATAGCTCAAAGTCGTCGCTCTCCGGCTTCGAGGGATTCAGGACGCATTTTCTTCCCGTGATGGAGGAGAAGTCGAGATGAATCGCCACCGACTTGGACTGGGCGCGCGGGCTTTCTCCAAGGAGAACAAACTTGCGATGCGTGTCCTCCGGAACGGTGAGGATCTTCTTGATGCGGAGGCGCTCTCCGATGTTGAACGTCTCCCATTTCAAACCCTCGTTGAGTGAATAGCGGACGACATCGGTTGGCTCTTCGTCGTTGACCAGCAGGATGATCGAGCCTTGGTCGCCGAACTCCCACTTGTGGGCGTCCTTGTGAACCTCCTCCCACGTGAAGCCGCCGTCGCGAGTCAAAAAGGTGTCGCTGTCCTTGTACGGCGCGAGCTTTTTCCCGACGTTGCCCACACCCAGCATCAAGCCTACGGCCGAAGGGCTGCTGTACGAGTCGCGAGGGTCCTCTCGCTCGGTGAAGCCGTGCAGATGTAGCGAGCAGCCACGAGTGTTGCATTCGTAGGGTGCTCCAAAGGCGTCAACTCGCGGAGGAATCATCTCCTTCCATCTTCCACCATCGTTGTGCGTAATGCGTGTCTGGAGGTCCTTGCGACCTGACACCGAGGCGTCATCTGCGTTGCTTACGACATTGATCAGCGCGATACCGTCGAGGCCGAGCATCTTCTCAAAATCAACGTAGCCGGCTTCGTTGCGGTTGACGAATTCCTGTGAAAGCGAGTAATAAGTCCCGTTGCCATTCGATCGGAGGATAGTGCCCCACTCGGTGCCTAATGTCGCGTGCGTTGTGACGTGCAGGAATAGGGACTTCGTCACCGAGTCGAGGACGGTGTAGGCTTTGTTGTCAAGTTGGAGGTTGGGCGGCATCTTGGCCTGCGCGAAGGTCTGGCCATCCATCGAAATCATCAGTTTGATCGAACCAGAAGAGCGACTGAGCTCAGCAGCGACGAGAAAGCCTTCAAAGACGGCAAAGCCGACGACCTTGTCGAATAGCACCTTCTGATTGCGCCAGTACGGCGAGCCCCAGACGAGCTGCAGATCGTTGTTGCCCGTATCAAAGCTGCGTTGCGACCCTTCCTTCTTTTTGTAGGATTCACAGATGATGGCCTTGGAGTCGACGGGGAAGCTCTGGTCGCGCGCCCATGCGCATGTGCGCACATACTTTTCGATGCTGTGCCAGTTGCGGCCGTGATCCAGACTGTACCAAGACCGAGCATGACAGTTGCTCCCATCGACGCCGGATGTGCAGCCCTCGCTGCCTGTCCAGATGAGCCAGTCGCTCTGCAGCGGGTGGAACTGCAGAATGGGGAGACCAAGGCCGTTGGCCGGCTGGGGAGCCGTGAACCAGTGCCATTGATTGCCGCGATCTGAGGTGTACCATACGATCTGGTCTGCCGTGATGAGGTAGCCACGCTCCTTGTCGTGCGTGTGCAGAGCCATCGTCAGGAAGCGGCTTGAAGGATCGCCTCGCTCTGGGTCGGGCAGCTTCTCGAACCAATTGGCGCCATCGTCCTTCGACTCCCAGATGGAGCCATCGTCGACGTACGCCAAAAGATTGGGCGAAGACGGGAACCAGGCGTGATCATCGATACGGCCAGGGAATTCGTGACGCTGCATTCCCACCGTACCAGGCTTGGGCGCGCCCTGATCGCATGGTTTCTCCACCTTTTGGTCCTTCTTGACCCCCTTGGCAGCATCGCAGCTATCACCTGGGATCTTGCGATAGCCAGAAGAGCCCATGAATGTCTTCTTTCCAGCCGTGCACTCTCCAGCAGGAATCGTCTCACGGGTCGTTGTGACGCAGTTGCCGGTATCGTCCCGCGCGTAGCCAAAGTCGCACTCATAGTCCTCCTCGGTGCAAGGACAAGGGTCCTCTCGTCCTACAGGGTCGTGGAACTTATCCTTGACGAAGCAGTCGGCGTCTGCCTTTCTGCGCTTGAACCACTGCTTGTGGCCCATGAGACACTTGGTCTCGCCACCTTCGGCGTACCACTTCTCAAAGTCCTTCTCCCCGCACGCACGCTTGCCTACGGTTGCAAAGTCAAGGAAGACGGAGACGTGCCTGGGCTGCGAGCCGGCGTCCTTGCGATTTTGTGTGCCAATGAGGAGGAATTTGAGAGAGGTGCTGTCTGGAATTGTCGTGAGGATCTTGGCTCGCATTTTGAGACCAAGGTCGCGCTTGTGCCACGTCTGACCCTGGTCGAAAGTGTAGCTGATGTGGTTTGTTGTGTCCTCATCGTCGACGATGACAAGAACGCTCCCCTGATCGCCGAACTCGTACTTGTGCGCGTCCTTGGAAGCCAACTTCCAGGTTCGGCCGGCGTCTGTACTGAGGAAGGTGTCGCACTCCTCGTACGGCAAGAGGCGATCGCCGATGGACCCCACGGCCATGACGAAGCCGGGGGCTGTGGAGGAGAAGACGCGCCCGGTGTTGTGCATCTTGGTGACGGAGAAGAGATTCAGAGAGCAAGACTCGACATTGTCGACGTTGCACTTGACGCCGTCGACTTTCGGCGCCTTGATGTAGTTCCAGCGACTGCCATCATCCCACGTGATCATGCTTCTCACTTTGCGGCTCTCGTACCCTCCCCTACCTCCTCCTTGATCTGTGACGACATTGGCGATGGCCACACCCTCGACGTTCTCGAGATGCTCAAAGTCGACGATACCATTGGGAGCGCGGGATGTGCTCTCGAGGCTCTTGACGAAGTGGACGCCTTCGGAGTCGCTGGTGAACAGTACGCCCGTCGAGGAACCTCCCGCATCCAGCACATCGACGACCAGCGAGTGCAGCGTAGAGTCCACCACGGTGTAGGCATTCTCTCTGAGGCCATGGCCGTGAGGGAACTTGGCCTTCTGCCACTTGTTGCCGTCCTGCGACACGAACATGGCCATCTCTGTCCCCATGTTACCTCCGCTCGAGCTCTGGATGTCTCTCAGCGCAGTGACGAGGTAGCGCTTCGAAGGGCCCAGTCCGACAAAATGCTTGGCATCTCTGCCCATGTCGAATTCGACCAGCCTGCGGGACCCAAAGAAGTCGTCCGAGTAGAAGAGGCGAGTGGCGGATGGCGCATCACGGCGAGCAGCGCTTTGGTAGCCCCCACGAGAATGAAGCGTCTGCATCATGTGCATTGGATCATTGAGAGCCGTTGAGACGCTCGGCGTGGGGCTGTCCTCCCATGCAATGCAGAAGATTCTCTGCAGATGTTCCTGCTTGACAGCAAGCTCGGGGGTCGCCTTTGCCCATGAGCAATGGATTAGGAACTCGATGAGCGGCTTCGGATCGGTCGCAAAGCCATCGCGCGTTACGTATGCTTCGTCGTGGCAGATTGCGCCACCCCAGGGAGTCCAAGGTTTGCACTTCTTGCCGGTGAAGATGATGAAGTCGTAGTGTTTCTCGTCTGCATTGAACTCGAGCGGGGGGCCAGCTCGAACAGCTGGTGGTTCTGGAGTCTTGAACTCCTGCCATGTCTTGCCTCGATCAGCTGAACGCCAATGTGACTTGCCAGATGACAAGATGAAGGCCATACGCTTGTCGTAAGGGTGCTCTACCAGCATATACGCGCTGCCGCCAGGTGGGCCAGACACCTGCTTCCAGGCCTTGCCCTCATCTTCGCTGCGGTAGACATTCCCTCGTAATGTGTCGTGATAGAGGACTACGGTGGAGTCGTCAAAGTAGGATAATCTGCCTGGAAGCGATTCAAAGCGAGATATCGAAACGCCTGGCTGCCCTGCAGCTAGTGTTGGCTCCGGGGCGATGGCCAAGATGGCAGCCACCAAGACGGCGATGAGGCCCAGCCGCATGAATAACGACGAAGACGGCCTGCCAAGAAGCATCGCAGCACTGATGCTAGGAGGGTAGGTTGGTGTGCTGCTTTGCTAGTTGGGAGCGGGCGCTTATCGGTGAGGATGATGATGATGTTGGTCAGGATGAGATGAGCGGAAGAAGCCCGAATGGTGGCTGAGTCCAACGCGGCAACGACGGCTTGTCTCAGACCAACGGAAGCACAGGGCGCCGAACAGGGCGGGCAACGGCGGAGAGACTGGCAAAGGGTGCGCCGCCCATTGCTCCAGGGCTATCGTCGACCCAGGTTAAAGGTGGATGCCGGCGAGGGAAGATGAACGCTGATTGTGACCACAAGAGAGCTGTCGGTGGTGAGAAGAGGCGCTGACAGCCAAACTGTCCCGCTTGATGCGGCGGCGTTTCGATGCATGCTGCGAGATGGGACGAGTAGGCGCTGCCGGACCCTTGTCGCTGAAGTTGGCCCTCTTCGACGCGGTCCGCTCGAGCCTATGCGCATGCTCATGCTCAAGCTGCGGAACTTCCTCCTCAGTACCATCAATTTGACCTCAATGCTCTCTCTCGACCGTCTGTCAGAAGGTGTGCTCGTCGTGCGAGGTGGGTGGGTGTGCATCGTTGCCCTGCTCGCGTGAGAAGAGGGAGAATTTGATATTCGACTGGCTCGTGCGAGGAACTGCACACGGGTCAGGTGCCTCGACGGCACGAGGTCGCCGGCGGCTCGACCGAAGGAAACGAAGAGCAGGCGCCTCTGAGGCTGTAATCAATTGTTGTCGCTCGAGGCGATTTGATCCGAGCCCAGCTTGACATTGACTCCTCTCCATCGACCTCAGTACCACCACCGCCCACCTCTCTCACTGGTCGCTGCGTCCTACAACGTCGTGCACACAGTGGTCAGCCGCTGGCACGCCTTGCTGTAGCACCGCCACCGCCACACGTCTGCGTGCTATCATTGCCTCGCCCGCCAGACCGCCCGCACATCACCTGCCCATTGAGCCGCCTTGAAGCTGCCCCTTTGCGGTATCAGACGGCTGCCCTGGTCACAGCAGAGCATACAAGATCACTTCGCCTCTCTCTACGGAACCTTGACTTCCGCACCATGGCACCTGCGCAAGATTTCCAAATCCCAGCAGACGGGGCCGATAAGGGCAAGGCTGCTGCTCACGAGACATCATCTCCCGACTCAGTCCCGTCACCAAACTCGGTCCTCTTCCCTTCACACTCAGGAGAAGGCGAAGGACTCAATGCCGAAGGCAGCAAGGACAAAGGCAAAGGTCGACAACTCGATAGCCTCATCCAAGGTTCAGAGGAGCTGCGCACATCTCGAGTCGACAATGCTGTAGCTCCCGACTTTCCCTTCGATCTGCATAGTCCCTTCTCTTCCCCATCTCGACTCCGCCAGAGCAGCATCATCAGCGCCGAGAGCCAGCAATGCACGCCCGGCTCTCCTGTCACATTTCGCAGCGGCATCGATATTCAAACAACCGGCCCGCCACGACATGCCAAGAGAGACTCTTTCGCAGTAGCAAGTGGTCGCAAGGCATCCATTGCGCAGTCTGGACACTCGCGACGCGGATCTTCTCTCGGCACACCGTACGACTTCTTTGGATCAACTTCGCTGGCCAGTACAGCACCTACGAGTATCGAGTCATCGTCTCCGCAGCAGGAAAAGCTTACGCACCCGCCATCAAGCCCGTTGGTCTGGAGAGCAACGCAGACAAGCGGAGAAGCGTGTCGTCCACCTCAAGCATCAGCTGCATTGTCAGCCAGCGTCAGCAGCAGCCATATGGTACACCGGCAGCGCAGCACCAGCACACAGTCCGACACAGCTACCCGATCAGCACCTCTCTCCGATCAAGAGCTCACAAGGACTCGGAGTCACGATCGAGCATCACCGCCTCGTCGCGAATGGAGTCGAGATCCTGTCGACCGCCTCCCAGACTACGCTTCGAGGGATGATCTGCCTCTCTACAGCGAAGTCTCGCAAGCGCCTAAGCGCGAGCGCTTCAGGCAAGTCGTAGCAACTCGCGCCGTCAACAGTCGACTCGTACCGAGCAGGGTCGCTGCACGCCTATCGCTCTTCGCCAATGAGTCCTCGACGACAGAAGGCACTCCTCGCCCGACGGCGCCCGCCAATGATCAGCGCCGCATCATGAATCGATCCGACTCAGCTCCTGAAGTCTTTGGCCGTAACACGCCAACGACAGTGCGCTCGACTGTGGCAAGACAGCGTCGTGTGCAGCCTTGGACCGCATCGCAATACATCTCTGGTGCACGCATGGGCCCAGCGCCGGCCGGCTCTCGCCCGTCAACTGCTCGCTCTGCAGCGCGTCCTTCCACTGCTCGGTCCACAACGGCGCCCTCGGTCGGGGACGGTCAAACTACCTTCCTGTCGACTCTGAGAGACCGTGCTAGCGCCATCCGCAGCCATTCTCGCAGTGCTAGCTCTTCACTCGCTTCCTCACGTCGTAACAGCGCATTCGGCGCGCACGCTGGTTGGCAGCCAAACTCGCGCCGACCCACTCACGGCCTCGGCATCTCATCGCCTTCAACGCCGCAGAACCGCAGTGGTGATGTGACGCCAAGCCGCCTTTCGCGCCACGCCAAATCGCTGTTTCATCGAGGCGACTCGAGCTTTCGAGCAAATCTATCTGAGGCTCTTGCTCGAGTCAGGAGAGATACGAGTTACGGAGCCCATTCGCCCGATGTCGTAGACTCTTCGTCAGCAGCGGGGAGATCTTCTCCCACCTTTTTCAGCACTCAGGACACTGCCTGTAGCGAGCCTATTGCTGTGACTCGCCAGACGCTGCGCGAACCTGCCCTGCTGCGGGCTGCTCTTCGAAGTCCATCTCCTTCGCCGGCTGTCATGGCGGCATCGTCTTCTGCCTTCTCTGGAGGCGCCAGCATCGTCGATTCATTCAATAACCTTCTGCCGCGCGAGATCCGCATCCAAATCTGCAAGCGTCTCATCGAGTCCTTCGTCGACGACCACGCCGAGTTGTTGGACGAGGGTAAATACCGCGGTAGCGTCTCGCGCTCCTCTGAACACATCGGATTTGAACGCGGCTTGCAAGAACTCATCAGGCTCGCGCGCGTCAATAAAGCCTTTCTTTCCCTCGTCACGGACGGCCAGCTCTGGCAGCGCCTCGACCATGCAGCGCTCCCAGCCTTTGGTACCGGCGGCGTGCTGAAGATGGTCAAAGCGACTGGGCCCTTCGTGCAGTCTCTCGATCTGTCTGGCTTCCCGAATTTGTCCTCATCCGTGCTCGTACACCTTTCCCGACACCTATCGGCGAGCGCCGCCGGAATCAACTCGCTCAAGCACCTGCGGCTTTCGGGCCTTCGTCGACTGTCTGACAAGGCCATTCATCACTTGATCAGGCGCTCTCCGCACCTCGTCTCGCTCGACTTGTCTAACCTCTCTTGCGTCTCGCGCGAGACGATGGAGCTTTCTGCGCGATGTTGCAAGGGTCTCAAGGAGCTCGACGTCTCGCGATGCTCAGGTCTGGACGCTGCCGGCATCACCGCATGGCTGACAGGTCCCTCGACGTGGTCCACCTCGGGCTTCCGCGTGCTCAAGGCTGCTAAGCTGCGCGATGTCGATGAAGGTACTATGCAGGCCATAGGCAAGCATCTTCCGGATCTTGAGACGCTCGACCTCAGCTACAGCACCGGCCTCACAGACCAATGCATCGCCGCGTTGGTCGAGCATGCCGGTCCGTCGGAGCCATCACCCTCTGACGGCGAGATCCGGCTCTACGTCGAGCTCACCGCTCGTCAAGCCGGCATTCGAGTCACAGAGTGGACCCCCGATGGCTTCTATCGCGCCGTCTTTCCAAATCTGAAGCATCTCAATCTGTCCTACACCGGCATAACAGACCGCACTTGCTCATCCCTCGCCTTTGGCGCACTTCCGTCCCTCGAGACGCTCCAGCTCGCAGGCAACCAAAACATCAAGGACGATGGACTCATCTCTCTCATCGATTGTTCCCCTCGTCTTCGCAAGCTAGACCTTGAGGGGCTCGTCCTCGTCACGAATGATACGGCGCTGGCGCTGATCCCTGGCGACAACTTGAGCCTACCGGGCGCGGAGCTCACTCACCTAATTTTATCGCAACAGACTGTTGTCGACTCGCCAACTTTGCTCGCTTTGGTGAAGGGATGTCCAAAGCTTTACCACCTCGAGCTCGACGACACTCGCGCGAACGACGCGATTGCATTTCAATGCTTCTCACTCATTCGTCAGCGGGCAGCTGCAGCCCGATCTCAGAGTGTCAACGGCATCAGATACAAGTCGGACGCTCCCCAAGCCTACCTATCCGTCATCGACTGCCGTCGCCTCACCCGCCAAGCATGCAACGCCATGCTGGCTTCAGGTCGCATCCGTCCCCGCGTTGGGCATCGCTCTCCCTCCTTCAATCAGTTCGAGTACGGCGATCCCGATCTGGCCTCACCTCCGCTCACGACGAGTCTGGGATTGAGCGAGCAGACCCGCAATATGCTGGCGGACGAGTGCAACCCCGAGCGGGTGTGCGTGAAGAGCTTTTGGTACTGGCAAGCCTTGGACAGGAAAGAGAGGGAGGCAAAAAAGACGAGGGCCAAGAAAGTGAAGGTGGCAAGCGCAAATGGTGGCAGCGCAAACAGAATGGCGGCCAGCGCGTTGTCCACCTTGGGCTTGACGAGGCGAGGCGGCAGCTCGAATGATAGTTCTCCCAGCCGAGTCGCAGCCCCATCCTCCAGGACCATCGCCTCACATGCTACTGACTCAAGTACGACGGCTGCAGAGTCTGTCGCTACCACATCGAATGGCGCCGCTAACACTTCCTCAGCAATAATCAGCGCAGCTCCATCGAGCAGCCAGTCCTCACGATGGACGCGTCTCGCCCATTCCCTTTTCGTCCTGTCCGACCTCGAGGATGACGAAGGCGGTGTAGGGCGTCGTACCTCCATACTACCGCACGTGGTCAACGACGACGACGATGATGTAGGTGGCCGCAATGTATGCGTCGTCATGTAGGCTGGCGCGCACGCAAAGGATGCCATACGGCCCTCAAGGCTACACGCGACCCCATTTACGAACACTCTGCGGCGACAATGACCCTGAATCTTCCCATCGGACACCTGAAGCCTCCTTTCATATCTTCTCATTCACATATCTGTAGCAACTCTCTCTCCCGCTCGACTCTATCAGTCCTCTACTTCAAGCTTCTCTACTTCACCGCTCTCCTCCACTGTAGTCCTTTCTCACGTGTCCTCGCTCCGCTGCCACACGCTCCGTCCAAGTCTTCGATTCTCGTCTGTCTCGTCTGTCTCCTCTCGCCTTACTATGAAATCCATACACTCTGCTCTCCATATTGGAAAAGAGAATCACACCCAGTACATGCCTGGCATCGAGCGGCTCAGTCTAGTCGTAGGGGCCGTCAGCATGGAGGTCGAAAGAACGTTTTGATAAGTTAGATGAACTTGGCAAAAAGCAAAAGAGGTGCAGTAGCCAGCGGTGTCTCCTCACTGGACCCTGACCATCGGTGACATGTGTCCATGACGCTGAATGAAGCAGCCTCATCGCCCCGACCCTCGTCCTCCTTTCCTCCTCCGCATCACGCCGTAGCGTAAGCTCCCGTAGCATTCGGCGGCTGCCCAGCATTACTCGTCGTAAAGCTATAGTACTGTCTATCAAGATGCCATCGGAACCGCCTCGTTGTAGCTCGATCTCTCTCTCCACTTTCCTTCTTCTTCTCCTGCTCCGGATCAACGGTGTCTACCACTCTAACCTCCGCGTCAATGTCATAACTCCTGTTCTCATTCACCGCGAACTGCATGCTACCCACGATCCGTTGCCCCCGATTGACGGCCAAGGGCTCAGGAAAGAGGAGGCGAGCTTGCTGCCAATGAGTCGGAGTGGCGTAGGGTGACGTGGTCATGAATGTTGAGACGCTGTTTGCGCTGGAAGATGTACCAGCCGCGGCTGAAAGAAGGGCAGCCGTCTGCGCGTCGAGGCTGCCATTTGCCAGCGATGAGGCAGTGGGCTGAAAGGGTGGGGCGTTGACCGAGAGACCAGCGTATGGCTCATCGCTGTCCTCTTCCATCTTCGATGCGTTTGGGGCTGCATCCTCTGTTGCATCTGAGTCCTTGTCCTCCTCCGGCGGCATGAACCACAAGTCAAACCAACCCCCGACTCCGTGTACCAATCCGGTATTGCGCATCGTCCAATCAAGCGGCACCTCAAATTTCCTGATACCCTCCATGCTCACCGTCATGAAATCGACGACGTGCTCCACTGGGCTTGCGAGCACGGTGTTGGGGTTGAAGCACCCCACCACGGGGCTGGAGAATGCCTCGCGCCATGCAGAGGCGAAGAAGGGGTGCAGGTCTACGCCGTAGAAGTGGGCCTGCTGCCAGAAGCGGGCCTTTGTTGCTACCTCGTCCCAGATTGGCTTGTCTTCTATCGGGGCAAAGCAGATGGTGCCGCTCGAGGGGAAGAGTGCCCCGCCTGGCTTGAGGAAACGATCACGGGCGTCGAGGAAGGATTCGCACTGCGGGCGCGTGGGAAGTTGGATCACGTCAGCAGAGAGAAGCTCGAGACGAAGCTGGCTGCGTACCGCGCCTCACCATTCGCTCGTGCACAAGCAGCACTCCCAAGCACTCCGAGACGATTGTGTCGACCTTTTCATGTCCCTGTAGCTTGTCGCTTTTGACATCCTCGATCTTGGAATGCACTGGCACGAGCTTGTCGCCAATCCACGCATTCGTCTTCCTCTTGGCATGCGCCCTCGCGTCGAAGCCTTGACCCTCGAGGTACCACTGCATGTCATCGTCAACGCCGTCCTTGCCAGTAGGCAAGGTACCTTGAGCGGCACGTACTAGAGTGTCGAGATGCTGTACCATGTTGCTTGCTTCCACTGCGAAGACCTTGCGTGCTCCCGACTGGATCGCGAAGAGGGAGAGGATGCCATTGCCAGCTCCCACGTCCATGACCACCTCTGCGAGTGCGAAGTGCGATGATTCAGCTCGGATAGCCTGCCCAAGATCAGGAGCTGAGCCAACTTACTGTCTTTGAAGTGCTCCTCAGAGTGGGCAAGGAGCGCATTCTGATACACGCCTGTGCGGACGCTGTCCTGCAGCATTTGGGCCTGTGAAATGCAATGGATGGAATCAGTACAGCTGTTTCCCCCCATGACTCCTACGTACTGGTACCCACCTGGTGCGAGCATTGGGCATAGTAGTCGAAGTAGCTATCTGGTGCCATCGCAAGGGTCAGGGTGGATGTAAAGGAAGAAGAAGACTCGACGGCAACAAGAAGAAATCGACATGCAACGCACGGTCCTCTCACTCTGCCGTCCTCTTCCTTCCCGCCTCGCCCTGGTTTCCTTTCCACGCCACGTGCCTCTCTCCTGCTCCCTCGTCCAAATTTCCTCGACGGGCTGCTCAAGAATATTGGTTGGATTTCCAAGCTCATCATCCTCACCATCGCCCATCTTCTCCTCCCATCACAATGAGTGACGACATCATCTGGACAGTCATCGGTCATGGGCACTGCAGCTACAAGCTCAAGTCAGCAACCCACAACACCTTCTGCCGCAACGCATACAATCTCACTGGGCTATGCAATCGTCAATCGTGTCCCCTCGCCAACTCCCGATATGCAACTGTTCGCGAACACGAGGGGAAAGTCTACCTCTATGTAAAGACGGCAGAGCGAGCCCATTCTCCAGCAAAGATGTGGGAGCGTATCAGGCTCAATAGCAACTACTCGAAAGCATTGGAGCAGATCGATCAGGAGCTCCCTTACTGGTCCAACTTTGTGGTGCACAAGGCAAAACAGCGCCTGACGAAGATCACGCAGTACCTCATCAAGCTGCGTAAGATCCGTCTCAAAGAAGAGGAGCAGCCCAAGCTCGTCGGCATCAATCAGAAGACGGAGCGACGAGAGGCCACGCGAGAACAGAAGGCACTTCGAGCTGCAAAGCTGGAGAAGAGCATCGAGCAGGAGTTGCTCAACCGTCTCAAGTCGGGTGCATATGGCGATGCGCCATTGAATGTGAATGAGGACGTTTGGCAGTCTGTGTTGGAGGGGAGGAAGCGCAAGGAAGCAAACGCAGAGGAGGAGGATGGGCTGGACCTGGTCGATGAGGAGAGCGACGAGGAGGATGAACAGCTGCTCAGTGATATGGAGCGCGAGTGGGAGGAGGAGGAAGGTGTAGGGGAACGTGATTTCGTTTCAGATGATGATGAGAGCGACGAGGACGACGAGGACGATATGGAAGACGGCTTCTACGGCTCGTCAGGGGAGGAGGGAGACAGTGTGGATGGAGCAGAGGAGAGTGATGCCGAGGACGACGACGATGACGACGAAGCCTCCGCCAAAGGTCCATCTGCGGCAGGCTCAAAGCGCAAGCAGCCATCATCGAGCGCAGGAGCACGGCCATCCAAGGCAGCGCAGGGCAAGAAGGGCAAGAGGCCTCGTGGAGGCAAGCCAGGCATCGAAGTCGAGTACGAAGAAGAGAGGGAGACTCAGCCTCTCTCGAGGGAGGAGCTTGCCAACTGGTAGCCTGGCACCAAGGCATCATCGGTCGTCTTTTCAATTATGTACATTACAGAATTACCAAGAGCATCATTACATACATGCGATCACCGCATCTAGTCCTGCCGTCTATTCGTCGTAATGCGCTGCGCCAAAGCCCAAGTCGCAAAGGCGACGCTCACCAAGAAGATGAAGACTACGCTTCCTAGCCCCTTGTGCGACGTGCCAAAGGCGAAGAGACTTGTCACGAGCGTGGGTCCCAGCATGCGAGAGAAACTGCCCGCCGACTGCGAGATGCCGTTCAGCGTCCCCAACGAGCCGCGTGGGCAGCTATTGGTGACAAGGAGCGTAGCGCAGATGATCGACATGCCTGCGAGGGACTTGAAGGCGGTGCCTGCGATCAAGCTCGTCCAAGCCCACTCCCTGCCTGCTCCTGCTCCTGACAAGTAATGAGCAAGGGGCAGGGCCAGCAGCGCAGGCACATTGAACAGCAATGCGACTCTGTAGAGTTTGAGTGGGCCATTCATCTTCCTCTCCAACGGGGGGAAAAGGAGGGTCTGCACCAATATCGAAATGAGGCCATTTGCTGCAAGCAAGTGGCCGATCCCCTCTTTGCTTAGCCCGACGCCCCCATGCCGGACCTGCTCAAAGCAGAATACCGGGATGAGAGAGGACCAGGAAATGTTGATGAAGTTGAGGAACATCTGCGTCGTGAGAATGTTGACCCGCTCGCGAGTCAGGAGGGAGCGAATCGAGGGTCGCTCAGGCGTCTTGGCCTGGTCCTCCTCTACGTGCTCTTCAAGACGGTCGGCCTCCAGAAGCGCTTGCCCTTCGTCACCTCGCTCCTCACGTAATCGGCTCGCCTCATCCGCCTCGGCCTTGCGCACCTTGGAAGGGAGCGTCTCCTCGAGGAAGAAGGCTGCAATGACCATTGTGACCAGGACGTAAAGCGAGACCAGCCCGCAGGGAAGCCAATAAGGATACTTGCGTAGAAAAGTCACATCCTTGAAGATGGGGAACTTGTCCGCTGGAGAGGAGAGCTGTGCGCCAAGAAAGGGCCCAACGATGGCCCCAACGCTGTACATGATAGGCAGCAGCGTGAAGGCCCTCGCCGAATTGCTGCCATCGGTACTCTCCCCCAAGATAGTCTTGACAATTCCAATACTCCCGCCAAAGATGCCATTGACACATCGAGCCAGTAAGATCCCCTCAAAGCTCCTAGCAGTGCCGAATAGGTTGATAGCTAGAGCAGTTCCTGCAAGACTGACGAAGATGATGGGCTTCCTCCCGACCCTATCGCTCAGTCGGCCGTATGGTGTGGCGACGATGAATTGCAAAGCGGCGAAGGCGCTCTCCACTAGGCCCACGTAGTACCCTAGCCGCTCTGGTGGGACGTTGGGCATGGCATCGGAGAGCTGGAAGGCGATGAAAGGGAAGATGACGAGGAATGCGAGGGGCTCGGAGATGCGGATGAGGCAGAGGACCAGTATCTGTCGGCGAGGAAGAGGAGTTGGGGATACATCCTCGTCTCTGGTGGCCGAGAGCAATGGAGAGCGCTCGCTAGGCATATTGGCGCCCGTCTTTTGATGGAGAAGTGATATCGAGGAGGGCAAGCAACAAGCCAGCCGATCTGACCTCAAGATATTTGACTCTGGATTATGCGAAACCCGCCGCTGCCGACGGCATCGAATGGCGGACTGACGGCAAAGACGGCGGGCGTCGTGGGCTTGCAGCGACAAACGATTCTTTCGCATCTCAACTCCATCTCACACGACATCCAATAAGCAATTATGGTCTGCGCCACCTGCGAGAAGAAGCAGGCGAGGGCGCTTGCTGCTCCAGACCCATTTGTAAGTACTGGCCTTTCATGCCGGCCATCATTCTCTCGCGTACTGACCCTCCTAGCCCCCCATTCGCACGACATAGCGCAACCGCACTGCCTCTGGCTCCCTCATGAGCACAAAAGCCGGCTCTTCCTCCTCATCTTCAGCTTCCGTCCGACCCACGAACAAGCTTCTCGCTGCCAAAGGGCAGCGCTTCAACCCTATGGCCAACCAGTGCAAGATCTGCAAGTCGCCTACGAGCGCGGCTGGTGGAGCTGGTGGAGGAGGAGCAAAGGGAGCGCAATATTGCTCTTCGTGCGCGTTCAAGAGAGGATGCTGTGCTATCTGTGGCAAGGTCATGTTGGACATCAAGAAGGGGGGACACAAGATGTCCTCGTAACAGCGACGTAGCGACATAAGCGATACGAGCCCTATGAAGGGCATATAAGCTTCAGCCAGGCAGCGACATGTCGGCACCTTCACGGCAAGCATCTGTAGACGCTGTCAACGGCCTTTGAGCCATTGCTCAACTTGTGGAGACCCATACGACAGAACAGCCTTCGATCGAAAGCTATTGATAGCTGCAGCGCTGGACGGGACTAGCCAAGCAGCACCACGTATGCGTGATGGCCTCGAATGGTAGAGGCCGCAAGGGGTCCGCCGGTGCCTCATCCGGTTTACGAGACTGGTCCTCGCAGGCGAAGGGCATAGAAGACGTCAAGGCGAGGGAGAGCAGATTGGGAAAGGAAAAGAATCTCTTCCGGTGGTTGGTACTGTACACTGTGAATGGATGTAGGCCACGGTCAGAGCTGCCTGTGCGCTCTCGGCGCTTCCATCGCCTGTTCTGTTTGCCGAAGTCGGCCCTCCAGGTCACGCCATCCCTCTCACGACCAAGTAACAGCTTCCCACTCTTCATCCTTGCATAGCATTACCCACTGCGCCGGTCCCTGTCGCCATCGTCGCTCCCTCTGCAGCGAGCAGCTCCGGCCTCGCCTTCGCAATTGAGTCCACGATCCAGTTGAGCTCTTCATCCAACTTGCGTTCTTTTGCCTGGGCCTCACGGTACCCTTTGGTGAGCTCCGTGTTTTGCTGTATGGGCGCAAAGGGCGATGGTCAGCGAATGGGAAGGGGCCAGAGACTTGAGTGGTTCAAGGGCAGATAGTACGCACCTCGAGGACTTTGTGATATCTATCTCTGCTCTTGTGGAACTTGATCTTATAGTTAACTTGCGAGTTGGGACCGCGTGATGCTTTGACTGCCTGTGCTGATGCTGCTGATCCCGGGATTGGCGCTGAAGCTGACGCGGATCCATCATTTGCAGCTGCTCCGCCTGCTGAAATCGAAGGCTTACGAGGCCGAGTCGATGCCGATGAGCGTCGACGCCCGCGTGCTGATGCTGGGGTGGCAGATGGTCGCTCCTCGTCCGTCGCATCGTCCTCATCCATGGCTGCCGAGGATGGTCTGCGCGCAGTCGAGGGGCCTGCTGATGCCGAAGGCGGTGCCACTGCGTCAGGTGAATGGGCTTGATAACGTTGACTGGTGCTCATGATGCCGGAGTTGGATGGATGTGAGGTGAGGTGAGGATAGGATCGAGGCTGAGAAGCACGCGCCAGTCGGACTGGCGTCGAGGGCGGACAGAGCGAGCGAGTCGAGCGAGTCTGAGCGGGGGAAAGACGACCAACTGACGAGTCTGGCGAGGAATCCTTGTTCCTCACGCATCGCATCATCTGGACATCATGGCAGACGTCGCCGCCGTCGATCCGCTGGATCTGGTCCTACAGCACGCCTCCGCCCTCGACCAAATCACTTACTCGACCGAGTCAGGCGAAGCGGCACCAGATCTGCTCAGCTCCTCCCTCATCCACTTCCCCTCCCACCCAACTCCCCTCAGTCGCGCCCTTCGCACCCGCGTGCTACGCTCGAGGAACAGCCCTGCCCTTGCTCAGGACTCTACATCAACGCCCAACTCCTTCGACGACGCCAGCCATGCTGAGGACTTCCTCCCGCTCGACGCTCTCATCTTCATTCTACAGACGCAGGCTGAAGCCGTGGGTCTGTATGCTGTCAAGGCGACGAGGGAACGAGTGGCTCGTGTAGATACACTCGATCGCCCCAGCTTGCTGGAATTCCTGCTGGGAAAGAAGACGGAATGCGAGGTGGTCCTCAGCAAGGCTGAATGCGCGGCAAGGGACGCAAGGCGACCAAGTCGTCAAGCAGCAGCTGCGGGTGCGGAGGCAGGCGCTACGGCTGATGCGACGAGTCAAGATGCTTCTGCTGCTGCGGTGCCATCGAGCGCTGAAGCCTCCGGGTCGGCGGTACCCCTACATCCGCTTTTGGCGTCAGGGAAGCGCCCCTACAATCCCTCGAAACAAGACCAGGCCTTTGTTAAGCGCCTCCGCACCAGCGAAGTCATTCTGCGCGATCGTGCTTGGGCATTCCGTTGCACAGTGGCCAAGGCTGGAGACGGAGCTGACGATGACGACGACTCTCTGAATTTGGACGGAGCAACAAAGGGCGCAATGCGCTCCGCAGCATCAAAGGAGGTGGACTTCACACCACTGCGACGCAGTGTGGCCGGCCGGATTCAGGCGGCTCGCTCAGGAGGCTCTTCCTCATCAGCACCCTCATCTCGTGCTCCTCCTGGCCAATCAACCTCAGCCGCAGCACCATCGAGCAATCTTGGACGCTCAGCAAAGCATCGTCGCCTGGACCCAATCTTCATCCTCCCCTCTTCGCCCTCCTCCCTCCTCACCCTCGCGAACATCAAGCGTTTCCTCGAAGAAGGACATTACGACCCGCCTTCCTCGTCCAACAGCCTTGCGCCAATGGGCGGAAGCAACGAAGTTGTCGTCATCTCCCGCCCAAAGGGCGGCCGCTTCCTCGCCGTCGACTCGCTGGACGCTCTCAGCCGTCTAGGAGCTCGTGGTGGATCAGGGCAGGACGCCGATCCCTGGCGCAGAGTGGTCTGCGTCGTGACTACTGGGCAAAAATGGCAATTCAAAGGGTACAGATGGGAAGAAGGGAGAGACTTGTTCAGGAACGTCTTTGGAGTGTACCCGCGATGGAGCAACGAGGCAAAAGATGGGAATGTCAAGGAGTGGAATGTGTTGGATTTGCAGATCGATGCGAACAAGAGGCATCATGATGCACAGATCAGTGGAATGTTTTGGAGACAGTTGGAGGAATGGATGGGGAGAAGAAGACCCGATTTGGCGTAACGAGTGGGCAAAACTCGAGCTGCGGCGCAAGCGTCAGGCGGAGGCAGCTTTGGGGTCTCATCAGAAGCGATGCTGTCAAGCTTTTGCGAACATTAATGCGATTCGCCCAACATCACTCGCTCGCTGTCTTGACTGCCGTGAGAAGCGGGAGATGGGCTAAAGGCTATGGGCGACGGACGATGAGCGATGGGAGCCGGCAGCAAAGACGGCGGCAGTCAGACAACGCCACGGCAAAGACATATTGCGGCTGGACATTGATTGCGCTGAGCCACTTTAAGCTGAGCTCCCCTACGACCCCGCTCTCGCAGACGATCGATGCTGCTGAGCACAGTATTGCGCCGTCTCATCTCTGCTACTTGATCCCTCGCTCTTCTCGTCGACTCGCCTTCTCTCCTCCATGTTCCTGCCCACCCACAAGACCCCCAAAGGCCTCACTTCAGCCATGCCCCTTCTCGACAGCTTCGTCAGCTTCGCCGTAGCGACGACTACCGTCATCCTTGAGACGGTGGTGCAGAACGCCTTCTACTTTCGTGACCTCGTGGCGTACTACTTCGGCGGCGGCAAGAAGAGCGACGAAATCAAGCTTGGTGAGCAGTCAGCTACGAAAAGGTATGGACGAGGTTCCTGACAGAAAGTCTGGTCGCAGATGGCGGCGTGCGCCTCCGGTCCTACGATCTGCTTGCCCTGCACTACACGCTCTGGCTTGTGGGATCCCCTTCTTACAAGCACCTGCAGAGGATGTTCGACTGGAATCTGACGCACAAGCATGCTGACATCGGCGTGGCTACGGGCTACTGGGTGCGTCGAAGGCTGCATAGCGATATCTTTCCCAGCTCATCGACTGATTGATACGAGTCCCACTCTCCCTAGGCCCGCCACTCGTCCCGTCTTGGGTACCTCCTCGAAACGCAAGCCCCCAAAGGCGGTCAAGTCGAGTATCATCTCTTCGACCAGAACGAGGCCTTCCTGGACTACGCCGAGTATGCTATCAGTAAAGTCTGGCCTCCCGTACACTACCCTTTGAGCCTCGAGAGCAGTCTCGTATCGTATTTGGATCCGGAGACGGTCAAGGAGGGCGACCAAGGCCATTACACATCTTGCCAGGCTATGCTGCTGCTTCACCGTGTTGCCTATCCTGTACAGAAGGAAGGCAATCTCGGCGCTATCAAGGCGCAACAGCTCTTCAAGCTAGCCGCTTCCCTTCTAGCGCCTGGAGCGCGCTTCTACGGGGTGACTGGTACGTGGATTCCTCGCCTGTTTTTCGGCACGCTCGTACTCACTCAATCTTGATCCCCTTCTCATCTCTAGTATTGCCCCCCGAAGCCGTTGCTCAACCCACCGGATGCTGCGCCCGTCTTCGCTTCCTACGAGGAAAAGCAGCCCAGGATCATCTCCGACGTCGCGGGGTGCTTCACAATGAGCACGACACGGTGGACAATGTTGTCAACGGCTTGATCGCCGCTGGCTTCAGCGAGACATCCATCAAGATCAAGGTCGTCAACTTCGTCATGGCCTGGGAGGCTACGCTTGCTTGATGTGAGGCCCACTGATGGAGAGACGGTGCGAGTGAGCACGTTCCATAATGTCGTCCAGATTCATTCGTCTCTCTTGCCCTCTACGAAAGTCGCGAATCGATTCAGCCTTTCTTGACACTTTTTCAAGTGCACGATCTGGTCTCCACATCGAGCACAAGCTCGGACTTGCGCTCCAGGAAGTCTTGGACCCTGATCCCCACCTCGCATCATCGCATGACCCCGCTACCCCCTCTTCCCCGCCCTGTGTGGAAGCTAGCACGAACAGATGCTAGCTTCGAGCATTGGACGAGGGGATCAATAGCGACTAGAAGGAGGGCTCCATCGAGGTCAGCTCTCCCCCTTTGTCGCCGCCAGTCGAGCTTGGCCGCCGCCCCAATCGTCATCGATGCGCAGCCGGATCCCATCGATAATGCTCTCGCCCGACTGCGAGCCCTCTTTTCGAGCGACAATGACCGCGGCAACGAGAACGGGGAAGAGTGGGCACGCAAACGTAAAGAAGAGGTAGATCGTTCCCTCGAAGCCAACAAGGAGGCTTTGCGCTCTCCAATCAAGTACGCCTCCACGAGGAAGCAACGCACGTACCTGGCACCTCGTCTACCGTGCGTCTTCCTTCACGGCTTGTTTGGGTTCTCGACCCTATCGCCAATAGCGAGCTTGCCTCAATTTTCCTTTGACTATTGGCGTGGGATTGTTGAGCGGCTGCAACAAGGAGGAGTTGAGGTGCTCGTGACCAACGTAAAGACGAGCGCCTCGATTGAAGAGAGGGCGAAAGACGCTCTGCGCATGATAGAGGAGAAGTTCCCGGGCAGAGAAGTGAATCTGCTGGGTCACTCGATGGGTGGGCTTGATGCTCGGTACCTCACGTCATGTCTCAAGGGTCAGAGAAGCTTCAAGGTGCGGTCGGTGACGACCATCGCGACACCGCATCGAGGCTCTCCCTTTGCGAGCTATCTGTTGTACGACCTCATTGGTAGGGAGAGGTTGCCGCTTCTGCTCAACGCTGTGCAGGGGCTGGGAATCCCTGGCGGGGGAGAAGCTTTCGAGAATCTGACGACGGAGGAGATGGCCAAGTTTAATCAGAGGGTCAAAGATGAAGACAACGTCATGTATACCAGCTGGGGAGCCGCGTTCAAGCCGGTGGGTATCACGGCGTATACATGAGATGTTGCCGTGCGATAGCTGACAGATCATACTTCCTCGATGGTGCAGGGCTTGCTCAATGAGTTTCGCTTCCCTCACGGCATCATCTGGGAGAAGGAGGGACATGTGAGTGTGCCTGAGGGTGACGCCGTATCCACCTCGACCCCGTCTGCTCACACCACTTCGATCTGCCCGTCCGATAGAATGACGGCCTAGTCAGCGTGGAGAGCTCCAAATGGGGGGAATATCGAGGCACTCTGAAAGGCACGCACATCGGTGAGTATAGCCGTAACTTCACAGTAAAGATGGCCCGTACAGCACGCAAGCCGCTGACGTTCCCTCGCTTTCTCGTCGGCAGACCTCATTGGGTGGGGCAACGCGATCCAGGCCCAATGGGCCAACCTGACCGGCTCAGACCCACCATTCGACAGCCAGGCGTTCTACCTGACCGTCTGTGAAGATCTCGCCAAGGCTGGACTGTGATGACACCTGTGCGGGCCAATTGATGAGCGAGGGCGTCTCGACTAAACCAACACACACGTCCGACCTGCATCGCATCGACGTCTCGAAGACGACCCAGACTCATGCTCATGCTCGTACTCTTGCTCACGCTTTGCTCGGCATTGCATCGACGCTTCCTTAATCGCACCATGAGGGTATTGCTAGCTTGATTCAACGATGCTGTGCAGAATCGCCTGCCTGCGACCTCTATTCGAGCGCCGACAGGCCAAAAAGTGACATGACGCGTCGAGCGGACTGCGACGCCGCCGCGGTGGCTTGCACGACTTCAACTTCCAGCTTGCCGCTCCGTACCGCGTCGAAGCGTTTCGGCCGCCAAGTAACGACGATGACGGTGATGGACGCCGACTTGTCGTCGCCTTCTGAACTGCCCGACTGGGACATGGTGCCTGCTCGCTCGTTTCAGTTCCTGCTTTCTAGCTTTGACGCCGCCGCGTATTGAAGCCCGACCGGCGATGAGTGCCGTGAACCCTCGCCATGTTGATGGACAAGTCTAGCTGGCTGGGATCGCTTGCGCAGAGGAGCAGCTCGCCAATGTGCCATGGCCGATGGATACAAGTACCATCGTTGGCGAGCCGACCTGTTCGACTTTTTCCCCATCTTCTGATCACCACCTCACCTTATCCTCACAACCTCTCAAACCCTCAGTCGTACCCTGGTGGTCGCTGTTGATATTTCCTTTGCTAGTCCTTTGCACACGATCTCCACCTCGCTTTCCTTCCTCCTCCTTCGTACTACTAGATATACCTGACGCTTCTCTGTGAGAGCTCATCTACCTTTCAAACCGCAACAGCACAAATCCCACGTACCGCCTTCAACATGTACTTCACTCCCGCCCTCCTTTCGGCCCTCTCCCTCTCAGCCGTGACGGCTATGCCCATCAACGTTGCTCGCTCCAACGAGCTTGGTCAATTCAACAAGCTCATGGCTCGCAGCGACAATGCTCTCGCGCTTATGCGCAACGGCAACTCGCTGCCGTTTGCCCGCTCTCCTGCCCAGCTGCAGGCGACTGTTGGCCAGATCCGAGCTCTCGTTGCTCGTAGCGACGCTGACGCTACCGGTGGCCTGTCCGGCATCCTCGAGCTCATGGGCTGTCTCCTCAATACGCTGCTTGGCGAGTCGACGGACAGCTCCTGCCCTGCTGGTCTCGAGGGCAGCACTGGAGCAGACACGACGGGCAACGCCCGTGTGGCCATGGCCAGCATGCTCTCGAACCTGAGTGATGCCCTCAGCACGTCGAGCAAGAAGATGGCTGCGACCAACTCCAAGCGACAAGACACCACCGATGTTTCCTCTTCGGCGTCTACTAATGACGTCCTTGCGCTGCTGAGCAAGCTGGAGCAGATCATTCAGAACGTCATGAATGACCTGATGAACCTTGGCCTCAAGAACCCGGCGTCCAACAGTACCTCCGACGACGGTACTGATGGCGACCGCGACGAGACTGGCGGTGACGAGACTGGCAGTGATGATGAGCCTAGCGGCGACGAGGACCAGGGCGACGACGGCAGCGATGGCGAGGAGACGCCATCCAGCGATGCTCCTTCGTCGACTTCCCCTCTTCCCAACGAAGCCACCGCTGCTACTACGTCTTCCAGCGCTGCTGTCCCTCCCAGCACTGCGACGTCGGTCGGTGGCTTCGGCAAGAACTGCCCCGCACCCGGCACGCCTAACGATGGCATGTACCGTCCTGGGTGCCCAGGATACGGTCGCCGTGACCTTGCTCGCCGCTCGGCTGCCGCCGCCAACAAGAAGCGCGCCCTGGACGCTTCGACGCTCAAGGACCTCCTGCCTGCCCTGTCGACGATCATCGAGGCCATGCCTGATCTCATCTCCGCAGCTGGGGGTAACATCACCAACGCTACCAACTCGACGTCGTCTGTCGCTGGTCAAGGTAACTCAACAGTCGTAGCCAACGCCACCGCTCTCGCGCAGTCCCAGTCTTTCAAGAAGGTCGTCACCCAGATCCACCAGCTCGTCTCCGCTGTCAGCTCCAACTCGACCTCAACCTCGTCCGCTGCCTCACCCTCGGAGACTGGGCGCAGCCACAAGGCATCTGCTGCTTCTCAGGCCGTCTCTGAGATCAATGCCAGCGGTACGGGTGCTCAGACGCCCAAGGAGTCTGTCAATGCTGCCTCAATCTCGCACGGCAGTCGTGAAGCCCAGGCTATCGTGTCTAAGCGCAGCGACGGCACGAAGGTCAACATGGACCTGGTCAACGACCTCTTCGCCGAGATCTTGTCCGGCAAGCAGCATGGCAAGCGCAGGCTCCCTAGCGACTTCTAGACGGGCCGTGATTGACGGATCGGCTGTACATTCTAACGAAGCTTTACGACGCGGTATGAAACCCCTCCCTCCCCTCTCCTCCTGCCCATTTCATGTGTCACGACCTTATTTAGTACCGCGAAGCCCTTGACGAGATGCCCCAGGATGGGTTTGACGACGGAGATGCTCAAATACCAATCGACTAGCAAAGGAACGAAATTTGTGCGCCTGAATGAGTGATTCGCCTTTGCCTCTCTTAACGAATGATTTGCCTTTGCGACTCTCCCACTTCTTGAACTGTTCTTCCTCAACTCCACCTCCGAAACGACTACTCTCCGTCCGCTGCACGAGGTGCAGACCAACACTCGCCTCTCTCGAGAGAAACAAAGCTCGCCCATTCCCACTTCTCCGCTTTTCCCTACCGTACCTTCTCAACCTCACCCCGCTCAAGGCCTGTTGCAAGCATGGCTGATCCAAAGATGACTTCAAGCGGTGCCGCTACCACTTACTCGTACCCACCTCAAGGCAAGACGGCCATCGTGACGGGCGGGTCGTCGGGCATAGGCAAGTCGTCTGCAAAGCACCTCGCCCTCGCTGGGTGGAATGTGGTCATCACTGGCAGACGCGAGGAGCGACTCAAGGCTGCCGGCATCGAGATTCAGGACGCTGTACAAGACAGTGGAAAGGATCGAAAGGTCAAAGTGGCCTACATCGTGGGCGATGTCACCAAGGAGCAAGATGTCGTCAAGTGGGTGCGCCTGAACGATGCTTGCGAATACGGACGAGCTGACCAGGACTAATCCCGCGCTACGCCCAGCCTCTTTGACGACGTCCTGTCCGCAAACGGTCAAATTGATCTCGTCTTCTGCAATGCAGGTGTCAGCCCTCCCAGTGTGCCCATCGATGAGCTGCCCCTGGACCAGTGGAAGGCTGCCGTTGATACCAATCTCACCGGTGAGAGACAACGCGAGAGCAAACGCCAGGGAGGCCCTCTGCCGGCCAACGGGTAGCTGCGGCTGACCTCATCACTCCATTCCTCGACTAGCCTCCTTCCTCTGCGCCCGCGAGGCCTTTCGCAAGATGAAGAAGTCAGGCAAAGGAGGTAGGATCATCATAAACGGATCGATAAGTGCTCACGTACCCCGTCCCGACTCGTGCGCCTGTACGTCCGATGAACCTCCAGAATTACCGTCAAGCACGATGTTGATCTGCTCTTCTCCTCTTACAACTCGCAGACACCGCCTCTAAGCACGGCCTTACGGGCCTGACCAAGTCTCTCGCCCTCGATGGCCGCGCGTTCAACATCTCCCTCTCGCAGCTAGACATAGGCAACGCCGCTTCGGATATGACTGCTCGGATGACCTCTGGCCCAGGCGTCAAGCAGGCAGATGGCAGTATGCGTCACGAGGCTGTCATGGATCGCGAATTCGCCGCGAGAGAGGTGGTCAGTATTGCTGAACTGCCCTTGGAGGTCAGTAAGCTTTGGGTCGTCATCCAGGCTACGGGGATGCCGAGCATGGTGGGGAGGGGCTGAGTTCGGGGCATGGGGAAGGGGATATCATCTCGAATCGATCATCTCATAGAAGCACCCTGTCCTCGTGCGAGCCACGGTCACGTTGAAAGGGTATCGAATTAGCGATCCACAAGAGCCCCTCTCCTTCTTCTGCCGTTCTACCAACCCTTGCTCAGCGTACTACCCCCCTCTCACTCTCTCGCCGCCCGCTCGCGACAACAAGCAGCGATGCTCTCCAGCACCTCAACGACCACGGGCCCGTTAGTCAACAAGCCATGGCCCGCTCCTTTGACTACATTGACATGGCACTCCACCCCGTAAGGCGCAGCATCCCACTCCTTCTGCAACCAGAAAGCCCCCGCTAAGCCGATGCGTTCATCCTTGTCCCCATGCCAGATGCGCAGCCCTACATTCAAGGGTAGCACATCGGTGTAAGTGAAACCCCACGGGCCAGACTTGCCGAGGATGGTGAGCAGATCGGCGGTGGTGCCTGGGGAGAAGGAAGAGGATGACGACGTGGAGGAGGGCAGATGGGTGCCGCTGGCCTCGAGGAGGGCTTCGCTGCTTGTGCTGAGGGGCACAGGAGCTCCGTTGGTGCTAGGGTAGATCTCCGCATGCGAAGCTCTCAGAAGCGCAGTGGCCAGGTCGGCATGATGGCTCGCACTCTTTGGCATCGTGCTCGCTGCAGGTGTTGCTACCTTATCACGTCGATTGCTGCTGCGCGATGAGGAGCGCGACGACGCCGAAGCCGGAGGGGCAGCCGCATTCGCAGCCGCAGTGTTGGGGATTGCGACCCGTGTCAACAAGCGTCGATCCTTCCCTGGCAGCGAGGTTGTGGGCGATGCAGGACGTCCCAGGGGATCAGCGACTTTGGACGCCCGGCCGCGGCGCAATGCGATCCCGGATGTGGTGCTAGTAGTTCCATAGCCTGCTTCGCCCAATGGCACGTCTCTCGCGTCTTCCAACTCTTCCCACTCCGAGTTACTCAACAGGCCCACCAGGCGTGAGCCTTCATCACCAGAAGCCGTCGCGCGAGGCGGCTGCGGCAGGCCGTCGAGATCAGCCAGGCTTGTGGGATACAGAGACGATAGGAAGGAGAGGACCGGTGACGAGGTGGAAGCCGCTGAGGGTGAGGATGTCTGGGCTGATCCCATGCTGCTTGGAGTTGAAGGGATAGCCCCGCTGGCGCCTCTTTGCACCACCTCGTCTTGTCGAGAAGAAGCAGAAGAAAGGGCCCGACTGTCCGGCCCGCCGCTGCTGCTGCTGCCGCCGCCGTTGACTTGACTGCCCGCGCTGCTGCTTGCGGGCTTGCTGTTGTTGAAGAAGCTTCCGAGGAAGGTCGTCTTGGGCTTCGAAGCTGATGGGGACGACATGACTGCGCCGGCTGACGTCGAGCGTGGCACGACCCCTGTGAGCGGCGAAGGTAGGACGACTGGGACGGACGCCGATATGGGGATGGCTGACACGATACTGCGTGTCACTCCGACGTCACTCTGTGAGGGCATCCTCGACCTCGAGGCTCCATTTGAGCTAGACATCGCCCTCTCTAAGTCGTCTTCGCCTGCCGCGCTGGCGTTTGCCTCGCTGTTAGGCGCTGCCGCCTTACCCAGCCGCCACCCCGCCACTCGCCATTCGGCAGCCTGCGCCGTTCTGATGATCTGCTCAGGCACGTAGCGCAACCACTTGTACCCGCTCTCAATCTCTGGGCTTACCCACGGCGCCAGTAGATGCACAGGCCCCACCACTCTTTCCCTGTACAGCAATGCGGTAGCCATGGCGTATGGCGCGCCCGCACTGTGCGCCAGCATAGAGAAGCGCTGTACTCCCAGGCGGTCGGCCACCTCAACTACGACGCTGCTCCACTGCAGAACACCGCGTCGCTCGGAGGGGACATTATCCGTTCGTCCAAGACCCCAGCGATCGATGCAGATCAACCGCAGGCCAAGCGCAGAGGCAAGCTCATCGTACAGTCCTGCGAGGTAGCGCACGGCCCCTAATCCGAGGTAGAGGATAGCGACGTGAGGTGACGTGGAGTCACCTACGTCTGCTAGAGACACGCGCAGCCCAATGTTGGGTGGGCGAGACAGAGTAAGGATGCGTGTGAGGCGAGGTGAACGAATGAAAGTGTCGATACTGCTGAGTCCAGTCTCAAACGAGGCTGACTGGGAACCAGCTGTTGCTGAGGGGAAGGCATGAGGCTGACGGCGTGCTGACAAGTCGGAGGCTGTCGTCTTGGCCGAGTGCGTGCTAGTCAAAGAGGTAGTGCGGTTGCGGTGAGTTGGACCTGTTCCAGGTACAGGTCCCGCCGCAGCCAATGGTCGCTCTTGCAGCCACGACGATACGCTGTCAGCACCGACGCCGCCTGCTGAGGAGCTCGACCGGAGTGCGGCCGTCGCATCGCTCGTAGTCGACGAACGCGTCGGTACGGGCTCGATCGCTCTGGGCGAGGAGAGGCCCCGAGGATGTTGCGAAGATGGCTGGGAAGGTCGGCGACGTCGCTGCGCTGAGATCGAGGAAGAGGTGGAGGAGCGCGATGACGAGGAAAGCTTCGATGGAACAGACGTGGCATGCATCAAACGTGGTGATGGAGCCAGGAGAGATGGGCTGTTGCCGCTGCCTGCTGTGCCTCTCCCTTGCGTAGGGTTTGGGCTGCTGCGACTGTGAGGCGCATCGCCATATAGCGTCTCTTGCACCTCGCGCGTAATCGAGTCTACCGATCCGTCGCTATCGTAGTCGTCGACATCAATGACGCTTCGGGCTGGAACCTGCGGGTGAAGATGGTGATGCTGCGTCGGCGTCGGCGGTACCATCGTGTCGGCTGAGCTATCAAGAGGAGGGGCAAGGGACGGGAACGAGGGTCGAATCTTGGCAGCACTCTGCTGCTCCTTGTATTCTCGCACAATGTCGTCGATGGAGCGGGCAGGCACCTTTGTGAGGTGAGGATGGGGCTTACTGGCCTTGCGCATTCCTGCCGTCGATCCAGCGTAGGTTGCGAGGACGACACTGGGCGCAGGGGGAGAGGAGAGACTCTGCAATGGCGGCGCAGTACGATTGCTGCTGCTGCTGTTGTTCTGAGGTCTTCCCGACTCGTGGGGCGGTGCGCTGCTCCTCTCTGGCCCTTGGTCTGAGCGCATTGCGGGTGGGAATGCAGGGCGGCGAAAGGGGACGCCATTGCGGGGTCCCGGAGCCGTGTGATATTTTGTGCTCGGAGGCTCTGGCATCGCCAAGGAGGTGTCTTTCGAAGCCTGAAGCAGGTCCTGCTGCGATTTCCTGCGTGTGACTCCCGTCAAGATGGTGGAAGACCCGAAACCCCGAGGCTCCCGCTGGGCAGCTCGTGCTGCTACCTGTCTCCATGCCTCGACGGATGCTGCTCGTGGCGACGAAGACGATGCCGAGGCCCCTGGAGTGCGATTGATGTCTGCGTCGTGGGTCGAGGGTTCGGGGAGCTTTCTAGACTTCGAAGGCGCGGTCGAATTCGATGGTCCTGCTTCACTTTCCTGCACGCCTGACGCTCGTAACACCGAAGCTGAAGCGTATTCAGTCCTGCTTTTTTCTCTTCTCGCTACAGTCTCGCATTCGCCTTCTCTGCTCCCCTGCATCTTGTGGCTCTGCCCATCGCTGCCCGGCAGCGGCACATCCTCAGCATCACTTTTGGCGTGCCTGCGAAGATTACGGTCGCTCCTGCTTCTCGTCGCGGACGACTTGACTGTCGGCGTAAGCGCAGGGTTGAGCTTGTAGGGCTGATAAGTGTCAAAGTAACTGGTACGTGATGCTGCGCTTGTAGAAGATGAGGCTGACCTCTTGCTGGTGGCCAAGGTCGTGTCGGTGACTGAGCGCGTCAGAGGCGGCGGCTGCTGTGGCGGCTGCAACGTGGTCGAGCTGCTGCTTGATGACTTGCTGGATCTAGCATACGGGGAGCTCGAGTTGGCGTTAAGCAGATGCGGTGGACCAAGAGTAGGTGGAGCAGCTGACTGCCTGTCGAGGAGCGAAGGCGAACGCGCAGGCTCTAGAAGAGTCCCTCGAGCCATCGCTCCCCTCTTTGCATGCGGTGGAGGTGTACTTCTTTCACTCAAAGGATCACCGTCAGGTTGCGATGAGGCCTGGCAGCGACATCTGCTGCGGCTCGTCGCGCGAGTGGAGCTGTGGGGAGATGAAGAAGTGGGCTTGAGAGTGTTGGTTCGTCTGGTGTGATTAGTGAGAGAGCAGCTAATCAACTCGGCCGTGTGCCTCCCCTATCGTCCGCTCTTGCAGCTCAACCAAGCTCAACCAACAGGCAGAGTGCAGCAGCACACGACGACTCAGGGCGGGCCCCGTCCGTGCGCGACCCAGAGAACCTCGACTTCCCTCGTCCACGATCACTTTTGCATCTTCTAAAAGAAGGGCCACAGAACAGGACAGCATAGCACAGGCATAGCCTCGCGACTCGACAGACTGCGGCTATGGCAACCTCGTTGCAGGATCAGGGCAGCGGCGTGAGGCAGCGGTGAGCAAGGCCGAAAGTGCGCAAGTCCAAGCTTGCTCCTCCAGATGCTGATTCAATCTGAGACATCGGCCCCTAGCGCAACAGCCAAGAGTTCCAGCAAGGCCACTGCGGCAGAGCTCACGCCTAGGCCGGGCAATGTCAGTCCTCGAGGGCCTCCACCTCCCTTGTGAGTAGGCCTCCGCAGGGTTTCTACCACTCTTCCTCCGCCGCAGCTCACGCCTGCCTGTACTCCGTCCCACACGCGAATGCAGCACGGTCTACGCCAAATTGGCCTTCTTCAGCGTCGGAATGTTCGCCCTGCCTCTGGGCACATACTACGCACTGGTGGGCAAGTACGGTACCAATTGGGCTGGAGGCGCGGCTGCATTGGCCGCCAATGTCGTGCTGATCGGCTATGTGATCGCTGCCTTTTTGGAAGATGGCGATGCTGGAGCTCACGGGGCAAAGGGGGTGGTAGCGGCGGGCAACACAGAAAGGGAGAAGAGGAAATGAGGCAAGCAGTCGAAAGTGTCGGCCTATCATGAATTATGCGAAGCAAGTGGTATCTTGGATCAATTCATATACAACATCTCATCATCTTCCCCCTGCGTCAGGCACGTTGAGCACGTCAATCAGGTGCTCCACTAAGCCATCCAGCCCTCTCCTCAAACCCTCTCCATGCAGTTGCGCCTCTCTGAATGTTGCCTCGGCCACATCGCCATCCACTCTATCCCTCGCCGTCTTCACCTGCTCCAACATCGCTGCAACCTCAGTTCGTTGGCCACCAAAGTCGCGGAGCGCCTCAAGACGCCGTAATGCTGAGATGGCGGCTAGACGGACCTTGAAGATTCGTGAGGTTGTGACGGAGTGCCACAGATGCTGAGCGAGAATGGAGGATAGACTGGTATCAAAATTGCCGGATTCCAACGCTTTGGCCATGCTGCACCTCCTCCGTACACGGTCATTGCCCAATGCAGCAGCCAGAGCAATGATCGCGTTCCACTTGAGCTTGGGACTCTTTGCAGTGCGCGACCGCTCTAAGATGGTGTAGATGACGCCAAGTGGTGCTTCTGTCGTACTGAGTCCATTATTGGTCTCTGCATCCGGCGTAAGCTCTTTCTCGCTAGCGACCGAGAGCAGTAGGCCAACTCCACGCATCGCATTGCATGCTATCCTTTCGTCATCTTCAAGCCCTTTGCTGACCGTGCCTATCAGCTGCACCCACAGCTGCCCATCATGAGCTTCGACTAGACCGCCGCCTGCTCGACTCTCTGCAACCGTCTGACACACGTTCGCCAGCGTCCATGCTGCGCGTAGCCGGACGAGGAGGGCGGGGCTGCGAACCAGCTCGGGGCACAAGGCGTGTGAGAGGGTGAAGGCAAGGAGGGATGAGAGGCTGATACCTGACAGTTGAGAGGAACGCGCTGGAGCTGGAGCCGATGAAGTCGCAGCCTCCTCGACGGGTGGGGGCGTGGAGCTTGACGAGCTTAGCGAGGAGAAGAGCACCCCCACCGCCCTCACCGCAGCTGCTTGCACCGATGCCTCTCCGCCGCCTGCTGAGTCGAGGAGGAGATCTTGCAAAATTGATGCCGAGGGAGGCAGCGGGGCTGATTTTGGTCCCTTCGAAGTAGGGCAAGGGGCTGCCGCTGCCTCAAGCCTGAGCAGAGAAGGCAGAGCCTGTGCCACTTCAGAGCGGACGAGGGGCGAGGGGTCTATTGCTGCTTTCTTGGTAACCGTGGAGTAAAGGGATAAGAGCTCAATCGGACTGTCAGGAGCTGTACTAGCAGCAGCAATCTTCCCTTCGAGCGACGCCCCAACAAATGCGACGCATGCTTGCCTGACTGCTTGCTCTTCGTGACTTGCATGTGACTGAAGACGTGCGAGCAGCGATGCTTCTTGCTCCATGACTTCGGCGAAGCGCGTTGACAGGAAGCTGCTGAGAGCAGACCAGGCTTGGGCTAGGGCTTCGCCATCCAATCGAGAGCTGCTGTCGGCACCGTTTGACTGGATGATGCGAGCGATTACACCCGAGACAGGTGAGGAAGAAGACGGCGCAGACTCGTTGATAGCTACTGCTGGCGCCGCTTCCATACTACCAGGATTCGCTGGGCTCAGCGTCGAAAGCACGACGTAGGCGGCAATCGCGACCGTTGGGTCAGCGTGCGAGGAGAGACGGAGCAGCGGGCCCTGCAGCACGTCCAGGTGAGAGCGACGAAGCTTTGCGGTCGGCGTAGCGAGGACGAGGGCCTTGAGAGCGCGTAGAATCGCCTCCGTGAGCGGGGCTGGAGGTGGCGATGTCGCTGAGGTCGTAGAGCCTGCGGGGTTGGGAGGACATCGTATAGGGCCTGAGACGATTGATGAGGCCCGACGATCGTTCCGCGCTTCGAGAATTTCCACCAGCGTTGCCCGTGTTGAAGCTACGAGGGCTCCCATTCTGGCCGCAAGTGAGGTGAAAGCGGTCGAAGAGTGATGCATAGAGGCTCTCTGCTCTACAACCCCTGAGGCCAAGAAGCGTCCCTGTGCCGCCTTGCGGAACATGCCTTCTACTAATGAGGCCGCTGCGATACGCACGCCGAGGACAGTATCGCTTTTGATGAGTCCCAATATACTAGGACTGCTTGCAACATTCGCTGCAGAGGCATTGAGGCTTCTGATCCCTCGAGAAGGAGCGCTTGAAGTGGCAGCCTGGTCCGGTAGAAGTAGCCTGCCCCACTGAGAGAAAAAGAGCGCCGGTCTTGTCTCGTTGAGAGCTGCAAGGCAGCTGAGGCTGTTGAGTCTGACTGAGCGGCACGAAGCACCGAGCCGCTGTTGTCTGTCAGCATCGCCATCTTGATTCGGGCGTCGACCGGCATCAGAGGCGTAGTCCGTCGTCGTGGCTCCGCCGTCGTCGTCGCTGATGAAGCTGCGAAGGCTTTGTTGAGACGTGGTGCGTGGCAGTGGGGAGCTATTGCTGCCTGCATGCCCGAATATGATTGGTTTGAAAGGAGCTTGAAGATGAGCTGTAGCGAGTAGAGCGTCTACACACTCCTTGAGTTGAAGTTGGGGGAGATGCAGCCAAAGTTCGCCACGGCCGCCAGCGCCGCTGCTGCTCCCCTCGCCCAAAGGCAGTCTGGCCAGAAGCAAGCCATGCAACGCCTTGAGCGCCGCAGCGGTGGATCTCGCAGAGGAGAGCGAGTCCGAACGAGGGCCCCTTAGAGCCTCGAGTAAGGCGTCGAGTAGATCAGCCGGATCGACTCCTCCCTCGTCAACTCTCGTCGGCGGTGCCGAGGCGAGCTGCGAAGCGATTGCCCTCCATCTCTCCCTTGAAGCGTTGAAACCGTCGGCGTGAGCCAAGCGCTGAGCTGCTAGCAGGCTCGAGAGGTCGCCGCTTGCCATGCACTCATTCAGTTGGCTCTCGAGGATCCAAAGGAAAGGGGAGAAAGCGACGAGGGACGGAAAGGCGTCTGTCTGGTCTGCCTTCCACTCGAGGCAAAGTCGCGTCAGTCCGCACTGTCCGTCCGTCTTTCGCAGCTTTCTTTTGCTCTCTCCTTGACTCAAATCTTGAAGCGCTCCAAATGTCATGACAACCACCAAAGCCGCCGCCCACCAACCCCTCGGGCAGCGGCCTCTCCTCTCCCTTCCCGCGGCGCACAAGGGTGTCTGCCACATAGTCCGGTACGACGCTAATGGGAGATATCTCTTGTCGGGCGGAGCAGATCGAACCATCAAGCTGTGGAATGCTGCCGCCTCCCCTCAACCATCCAGCTCTTCAGCCGCACAACCCATCAAGGTATATCAGGGTGCACACTCACACGAGATCCTTGCTCTAGACATCACACGCGATAATGCCCGCTTCGCCTCCGGTGGTCCGGATAAGGCAGTCATGCTCTGGGACGTACCTACGAGTACGGTGCTAAGGCGCTTCTCTGCGCATCAGGGAGCGATCAACGATGTGCGCTTCGCCGGCCCATCCAACGATGGTGCTCAGGCACAAGTGCTCTGCACAGCGGGATTTGACGGTGTGCTGCGCTTCTACGACCTGAGAGCCCAAGGTGCCTGGCGACCCATACTGGAGGCTAAGGACGCCAGGGATGCCATTCAGACCATCTGTCTTGGCGGGCAAGACGGTGCAAGTGTGTGGACGGGCAGTGTGGATGGGGTGGTGAGACAATATGACTTGCGCAAGGGGACGTTGACACAGGATACGGTGGATGAACCTGTGGTCTCGTTAAGCCTCTCGTCGGGCGCGACGGGGGCCCAGCTACTCCTGGTCAGCACAAGCGATTCGACGCATCGTCTCCTCGACGTCGCAGATGGAAGCCTGCTCCAAAGCTTCACGGGACACAAGAACGAGGCGTATCGCTGCCACTCGACCCTCTCCTCTCCGATCGAGGACCAAGTCGTGGCAGGGGATGAGGATGGCAAGCTGAGGACTTGGGATCTGGTGACGGGCAAGCAATCACAGGCTTTGGACGTAGCTGCGGGGGCTGAGACCACAATACCGCCGCGAAGTGCTCGCTCACGAGCAGTCTTGTGGACGGAGTGCAATCCAAGAAAGGAGGGGCCACTGCAAATCGTCACCGGTGGGGCAGATGGGGCAGTTCACGTCTGGTCTGCATGACACGAGGAGAGAAAGGACAGAAAATCGTCTACTTGGTCATTTCTGAAGTCATCGTGGGAGAGGGAAGCAACGGAAAGGTAGATGGTCCATTCGTCGTGCGCATGAAAGGAAGCAAGAATTTCGTACGTGGAGGATGAGATTCAAAATGAGTTTGAGAATGAGGGTACTCTTGATGATCTTGCTGAAGATGCAAAGTGGGAAGGTCGCCGAGACGCTTACTCGGCGCCGGCCCTGTGTTGTGATGTCGAGATGATTCCTGTGATGCTGGATGATGCTTTACTTGTTCTGTCTAATAGAGACGGGGGACCGGCCCTCCGCCTCGCCCTGAATACCTATGGCAATATTGATCGCGGGGAGCGTTTACGTGCTCTTACCCTTGTCGGTAATGTTTGGCCCGAATCCAGTGCCGACACCGCCGATCGCCATTCCACCACCAAACCCACCGGCACTGCCCGCTTGTCCGCCTACACCAGGCTGAGCCCCGGCAGCGCCTGCAGGGCCGGTGTCGCCAACACGAGGACCAGAGGAGCGCGGCCCAACGCCAGCGGCCCTAGGATTGATGTACGACACCGGCTGGCGCGGCATAGGCGTCGCATCAATGCCAAGCTCCTCGGAGATGACCTTGACCTGTCGCATGAGCTTCGTTCGGCGACTCCAACGCGTACCCCAGTCCTGCCAGTTGCCCTTGTGCTCCATGGCAATCACGAGCTGGACGGCCGTCTGATTCGTAATGGAATCATAATTGACTTCCAGCCCACCTCCCCACTCGCGATCGTTCTCTTTGATCCAGGCGCGAAGCAGGCGGCGGAAGTCATCAATCTTTGCCAGCGCCGTATCGAATGGCAGCTGGATGAAGGTGACCTCCCATTGAGTGCCTGAGCGGCGCGAGTTGTGAATGTACTTCTGCGATGCGAGAAGAGCGTTGGGCGCAACCACCGTTTGATTGACAACGGTCGTGAAGACCGTGGAAATGAGACCGAATTCCTTGACGAACATCCAGTTGTCGTCGATGCAGACCAGATCTCCCACATCGTACGGGTGAGTCGCAAAGATGAAGATCATGCTCTCAAAAATCTGCTTGGCCGAATTGCCGAAGACGAAGGAGAAACCGAGGACGATGGTAGAGAGTGGGACCAGGTTGCTGACTGTGGAAGTGGGGCTGAAGATGAGCAGCCAGATGAAGACGACGATGATGAGTGAGATGAAGAGGAGGACGCCGTCCAGCTTCTGGAGGGCAGAGTTAATGTCCTTGAGCGAGGTGGTGAGCGCACGGCGATCACGATAGATGCGCTGCACTGCGTCGCGCATCTCGCTCTTGTCGATGTCGCCATTCTTGTCCTTGTCGAAGAGAGCAAAGGCCTCGCGCGCTTCGGTCTCGCTCTTGAAGTAAGGAATGAAGTCTTCTGCAACGAGCGTCTTGCGATGTCGTCCCAGGTTCTGGAAGAGCTTCTTGGCGAGGCGGCGTGCTGATGCTTGGGAGCCAGAGGACTTCTTGTACAGCTTTGAGTCCTTCATCGTGGCAGTGGCAAGGGCATCTTGCAGCTGGGCAGCGAAATTGGCCTTGCGATCAACCTTGGCTTTGCGCAGCTGCTCGCTTGATGCCGTCTCAGGGTGGTTGTGGTGGTGAAAGAGGCTGTGGTGATGCTGATGACCCGAGGCGGGCTGATTCTGGTCCATTGCCTCTGGGAAGTAACCTCGCGAGCCCAGACCAGCATTTGCACCCGGGCTGGGTGGCTTTGAACCAGCACCAAAGCCCATTCGTGCCCAGTTGCCTGATTGACGCTTGGTATTGGATCCACTTGTCTCACGCATGTATTTGCTGGCATGCAGCTTGTCAAGGTATCGCAACGCCTTTTGGTTCTCCTCGAGGCGGTCCTTGATGGCTTCCTTGTGAAAGTTGACGCCGATGCCATGAAGAGCAAACTTTTCAACGGCGAGGATGATGGCAGTCGCGAAAATGGCCTTGACCGCTCGCTCAACCCATTTCCAGTAGGTGGGACGAGGACCAACACCACCAGACCATACCGCCGCGTTGACGCCACCCAAAGCAATCCAGGCCCAGGCGACGCAGAGGACGAGCTTGACGTAGACAAGGCAGCCCATGGCCACTTCCAGGTACGTCTTGAAGACCTCCGGCGCGCGACCGTAAACGGCGATGGCAAGGCGGAGGATAACGGGAGGCAAGAAGTCGAGAACGATAAAGGTGCCTGCAGACGAGGCTGCTATGATGGAAAGCCAGATACTCCAGCTCTCGACATGGGGGCGAGCGGGGTTGCTGCGATCGATGGCGAATAGGGAGACGAAGAGGGGCACGAGAAAGAGAGCAGTGACGAATGCGCCCATGAGCAGGACGCGCACGGGGCGTGCCAAGCGCATACAGAAGAGGTAGACCTTACGACCACGCTTGGCTCGCAGCTTGGCGTTGACTTGAGCCTCCTCTTCCTCGTCGTCGGACGTGTCCCAATCGAAGTCATCCGTCTCGTCTGCAGACGAAGCGGCAATTGACGATGCTCGAGAGTGACGACCATTCTTGCCTGCCTCAGAGGGCATGGAAGAGAAGGGTGGATGAGGCGCTGCGAGATCGGCACCGTCATCGTCGTCGTAGTCGTCGCGGTCATGCGCTTTCTGGTATGCACCTCTCGGGACATGAGCTGAACCAATCTTGACATGACCATGATGTCGCTGCTGGTCATCTTCTGCTACGCTTGTGTGGCCTTGATTGCCTGGCTCCATCCCCTCGTGATAGTGAGGGTTGCTGGGGTCGTGCAAACGAGGGTAGTGAGCAGGCGGGGAGGTCTCGTTGTTGGCGCGTCGATGCTGATGCTGCTGCTGCTGCTGCTGGCCTCGCAGCATAGACAATGGCACCGTCGATGGGTCCGATGACGACGATGCCATCGTGAAACAGTCGAAGGGGCAGAAGGGAGAGTGGTATGGGGTAAAACGAAAGTGGTCGTGGTGATAGTGATGGAAGGAAAAGATTGATTCGATTGAGCTCTAAACCTCCGATGGATCGCCAGCCTGTGTGCGACGTCGCAACGACGAGTTTCGAGATGCGCGCAGCCAGGGGCCAGCGTTGTGCCCGGGACGACGACAGCTTGGCGGTCACGGCGGCGGCAGCGGCTGTGCAGCCAGCGCCCAAAAAGCAGATGCAGCAGCAGCACCATCGATCGGCGTCTTCTCAAGGAGCCACGCGACCAGAGACGCTGCGAGACAAACGCCCACCAGCACAAACGGGCTTGCGCTTGTTGACTTCTGAGCCTGTTAGAACTCAAGGCTGCTCGTGACCTTGGAATCCAGGCATGGACGCGCTGAATGTCGCATCGCCCTCCTCACTCCTCGCTCTCCTCACTTTTACGTCTTTATTGTCTCGCAGCTTTTCGCCCGGCAGGCTGGTCGCTCGTCTGCGATTTTGAGACGCCGCGGCCCGTGCACTGCAAGTGAGCGAAGCGGCGGGCGAGCTTTCTCTCTTTGTCAGCACGAGGTGCACTTCCGCTCGCCTCCGTCATTTCAACAAGTTGGCTTCGCATCCACTCCTTCCCGCCAAACCTGGTTTCCTCTGCTCACAATGATAGCAAGCAGCGAGGGTCGTGCTGCCCTTCGCCATGGCAGACAGCTGCTCAAGACGCCTCTGCCTCGCCAGAGCCGTAGCTATGCTACTCACGGCTCCGCTTCCTCCTCCACCTCTGCAAAGCCACCATCCAGATCACTCGTCTGGGCCGCTTCAGCCATTGGCTCAGCGGTAGCAATCTCGTACTACACTTCTCGCCCGCCGCTCCTCAATGAAGCTCTCGCCGGAGTATCATCAAGCCCAAATCCAGTCAATGACATCATCACCCCGACGACCATGACACAGCCGGAGCAAATGCGTGACCGAGCGCAAAAGCAGGGCGTCTACGCATGGGGAAGCAACCGATACAACGTCGTTGCCCCCGATGCCCCACTCACTACCCTCATCAAGACACCTCGCTCCATTCCGTTCTTCCACGGTGTCGCTCTCCGTGATGTCGTCCTCGAAGAGAAGCACGGCGTAGCAGTAGACGTGCATGGCGACGTCTTGCAGTGGGGGCTGGGCTTCTTCGATGCCACATCCCGTGCTTTGGCTGGCGATATCGAGGAGGCACCGCTTGGCAGGCGAAGAGAGAAAGAGAGGGCAAACGAATTGTCCCCTCGTGGTAGTGACGCTGCTCGTCCACGAGACCCGATCAAGACGCTCGTTGGCAAGGACATCGTTCGCGTAGCCGCCACCGACGAGAAAGTTGTTGCTCTCAGCAGGAAGGGCGACGTCTACATCTTCTCTGCCATTCAGGAGCGACAGAAGCCCACAAATACCTCTAAGCCGTGGAGCGCCAATCCTCTATCCCTCTTTGGCACTCTGGCCGGCCCGCAGATCGACTTTGAGAAAGTGACAATGGCGCCCAGTGTACAACTCGAGAGAGGCGATCGCGTCTCTGAGATTCAGACGGGGGCTTCCCACCTCACCGCGCTGACGCAAAAGGGTCGCGTCCTCTCGCTACCTATCGACGACAAAGGCAATGCATTCGGACAGCTGGGCTCGCGTCGAGTCCTCCTCAACTCGCCTGCCACGCCGGACACCAAGCCTTCCCAGGTGGAGACCGTCATGGAGCCGCGCCTCCTTGCACAGATGACCGACCCTGCCCAACCTCCCAACGCTACCCTTCTGCCCTCGTCGCGTCTGCCCCCTACTGCTCCCGAGTCCAACACAACCTCAAAGCCACAGCCTCCGGCCGTAGGCACGGCTACTGACCCACCACCACCCCCTCAGCCCCTCACTGAGCCCGCTTCTTCCATTCGATTTTGCACGACTCTCTCAGAAATCCCCAGCCTCCGTCAAGTGCCTGTCAGCCAAATCGCCGTAGGCAACGAGCACTGCCTCGCGCGCACGCCCGACGGCCGTGTCCTAGCGTGGGGTCGTCACACTCACGGTCAACTCGGGCTCGGTGTAAATTTTAGCATCGAATGTATCCCCGTCCCCTCAGAGGTGGTACTGGCTCGCTGCTTCCCGAGCTCGTCGCGCGATGTGCGCTGCACAAATCTGGCCGCTGGAGGCGACAACAGCTTCTTTGTCACCGAGAGAAGGGAGGAGGGCAAGCTCGGCACGGGAAAGAGCATCGATGTGCTTGCGGCAGGAAAGGGACAGTGGGGCACGTTGGGCAATGCGATGTGGAGCCAGGTCAAGCCTGACCCGACGAGAGTGAAGACGGTCAGCGGGTTGTTGGAGTGTGAGTGTCCGCAGAGATGGCTGGCTCGTGTCATTGAGTGAGCGGGGTACTGATTACCTGCCTCTCCATCCTGCTCGCTCCCGGCACAGACTCTGAGCGCACCGCCCTCACTCACCCTGTCCCGATCCACAGCATATCAGTTGGCAAGCCCGGCCATGTAGCCATCGTACTGGACACGGTCGACACGGAGGGGCACGTCGCGTTCGGGCGAGACGTGATGGTGTTTGGCCACAATGCCGCCTATCAGCTGGGAACGGGCAAGCGCTCCAACTTGTGCGTCCCGCAGCACTTGCATCCCCTCCCACCGCCTACGCCTGCGCCGGGTGCGCCCACGCCTGAGAATCCTGCATTGAGTTCCGAGAGGAACAAGCTGGTCGAGGCGGATCTTAACTCTGGAGCGTTGACGCATATGCCGGTGAGCACCTCGAGACGGCGAGAGAAAAGAGGCCTGCATCTGCTGACACTACCTTTTCCTGCTTCTCTGCCTGTCGCCAGCACAATCGCCTTCAACTTGCCTCAACGACCAAGTCGAATACTCGTGGCCCTCGCAAAGAGGACGGCTCGCAAGGCAAGGAGAAGAAGGGGGTGCACGTCGAAGAGCGCATCTCGGCGGGGACGGTCAGCATGGCTATCTGGTGGAAGGTGGACGCTTAGGCATGAGCTGTGATGAGCTGGGGACAAGACGCCATGGTAGAGGTCTTGTACGGCAATCGTGTAATTGCATCGCATCACTGATGCACTGCTTCTGTTACTGTGCTCTGCTCTACTCTTGAAGTCGTCGTTGCCTTAAGATGGTGGTCCTCCTCCTCGTTGGATTTCATCGTTCTTCAGGTGAGGCTTCGCGCCGTTGCTTCAGCCCCCGTTCCGCCTGATCGACGCGACACGCGGCTTGAGAAAGAGGCGCGCAGGCAGGCCGCGTTGGACATTGGTTGAGAAAGCGGGTCAGAGTGACTTAACGACTCGAGACGTGTCCTGACGTGTTGTTCTCCTTCTCTCCCCGACAACTCCCCTACTCGCTCCCGCTCTCTCTCCACCACGCATCAAAGCTAGATATCATGCTTGAGGCTAGGCTCCAACAGGCGGTGCTGGTGAGCATTGGCGGTGACTTGAGCTCTGCTGAACAGCAGGGTTCGAGAAGGCGAGCCGGTCGTGAGATGAAGCTGCGCTGACACCTTCTCTCCTGGGCGTCGACAGCTCAAGAAGGTCCTCGAGGCCGTGAAGGAGCTTGTGACCGAGGCGAATTTCGACTGCAGCGAGGATGGCATTGTGAGTGCTGCGACACCACACTCAGGCTCACCCTCGTCTCATCTCATCCTCTAACGCTTCCCTCCAACTCGCACGCTCGCCCCCACAGCGCCTTCAAGCAATGGACAACTCGCACGTCGCTCTTTCTTCCGTCGAGCTGCGTACCGACGCCTTCACCCTCTTCAGATGTGACCGCCCCATGTCAATCGGTGTCAAGCTCGACTCGCTTCAGAAGATCGTGCGCACCGCGGGCAACGACGATGTGGTCACGCTCAAGAAGGATGATGACGGAGACAATCTCAACTTGGTGTTTGAGGCAAAGAGTGAGCGCTGCCAGGGCCAACGGATGAAAAGAGACCCTCATCGCTGACAGCTGCCGGTCATTCTCCCGCGCTCTCCCTTGCCCACAGACAGCGACCGAGTAGCCGAATACGACATGAAGCTTCTGGACATCGACTCTGAGCACCTGGGCATCCCTGACACGCAATACGAGGCTGTGGTTCGTATGTCCTCCGCTGAATTCTCGCGCATCTGCCGCGACCTCGGCACCTTGGGCGAATCAGTCAAGATCGAGGTCTCCAAGGAGGGAGTCAACTTCAGCACAGACGGCGAGATCGGTAGCGCGAAGCTGACACTCAAGCAGGGTAGCGGGTCGGCTGCTGCACCGGTGGATGAGGATGAGGATGATGATGAGGACAGCAAGGTCTCGAGCGGCAAGAGGAAGAGGAAAGCCGGAGGAAGTGGGGGTGGGGACGGAGAGACGATCCCCGTCACCATCGAGCTGCAGCAGGCCGTCAGTCTCACCTTCTCGCACAAGTACCTCAGCAACTTCTCCAAGGCAGGCAGCCTGACGGGCACCGTTGCGCTGCACATGAGCAATGAGGTGCCTCTCCTGGTCGAATATGGATTCGAGGCGGGTCACGTGAGGTTCTACTTGGCTCCCAAGTTGTCGGATGATGACGACTAAGGTGATCGCAGGAGGGGAAAGGACCGACGCGGCCGCAGTCTCTTCTACCTCGCCTTTTGCTCTGCCACATGTACGCACATACACCCATGCTCGCAATCGTCATCAGCTTCTAGTCTCCCCGTTGCAGTCTGCCCGACCTCTTGAGTGGATGTGAATGTGATGGTAAAATTACAATGTGAGGGGCAAGGAGGCCAATAGGCGTAGGCGCGGCCAACTGATCAACCTGAGACAGGGCTGAGCTGCCTCCTTCATTACCGGTGAGAGGTCAGAGGAGCAGAAAGGGCGAGACGGGGTATATGCTATCGCTTTTGGCCTTGATAACGTCTTAGCGGATACGCTCGAACGTCGATGAGCGACCAAGGAAGACGATCTGCGGATAAGGGGCAGAAGAAAAGAGGATGTCGTGTGAGCGCGGATGTGATGGACGACTTGAAGTCAACAGATGATGGTTCTCACCGTGAAGTCCATGAGCTAGGTGAGAATGGGCGAAGCGTGGAAGGGGATCAGGCGAAGGGGTAAGTCAGCTCATCAGTCTATCCCCTCGCCATCGCCAGCAGCACCCACCCATTCCCCAGTCTCAAGCCACAGCTTGAGCACGTTCCTCACGTCCTTGTTTGGTACCCTTCTCACTGCGGGTGTAAGCCCAGTGTTGCGCTTGATGCCGGCCAAGCACATGGAGAGGAGGACAGCGTCGACTGCGATGTGGAAGAGGCGACCAAACATGTTGCGTGTGTAGAGGGGTGATTAGATAGTACCTTGATGGGCGCTGGTTACGCTGCAGTGTCTCTTTGCTGCAGACGATGCCGTCAAGTGAAGACTGGATTTGGGCTAGAGGTGCAATGGATCGATGTGAGGTGGTATGGCGATGAGGAGAGGAGGGGAGCTGATCTGAGCGGCGTAGGCTGAGGTGCAGCGCTGCACGTCGACTGGACGGCCCAGTCCGCCCTCGACGCCAATTTGGGCACGCGACGGGCCTCGTTCAACGTCGTGTTGGATGCTCGAGTTCCTTCTCCTCTACTCTTTCCTTCACACCTTTCCCTGCCCCCTTTGGGGCATATTCACTCACCAGCATGAACCAATCTTTACTCAATCCCTTTGCCACTCCCGCCATCCCAGAGTCAGTACATCAAGTCCTCGCCCCTCAGACCGAAACAGCCTGCCTCTGTGCGCGCTTCAATCCTCGCGGCCTCTTCGCTGGACAGTACATAGCAGCCGCCAGAGCAGACTGCGCTGTCGCCATCTATGACTTGGAGACACGCTCCCTCGTCCGATTCCTGGAGGGTCATGTTCGCCCGGTCACTAGCTTGGATTGGAGCTCCACGGGCAGGTTCCTGGTGAGCGGCAGCATGGATTGGAACGTAGTTGTATGGGATCTGAAGAAGCGCGAGGGAGGTGCCAGGACAAGGACGATCCGATTTGATGCACCTGTCAGTCAGGTCACATTTGCGCCGGGCACAAGCAGGGTATTGCTGGTAGTGCTGGAATCGCAGCAGGCTATTGTCGTCGACCTGCGTAGGAAGAAGAGACGGAGGATGGCAATACCGAGCGAGGCTTCGAGCGGGCAGGCGGGGCCGTCCAAATGGCAGACAATGGAGCTCAAGATTGATCTGGCACAAAGACATGCTGAGGAGTCGGGCGAGGACGATGCTGGCCTGCCCCCCATCACTGCTGCCCTCTTTCATCCCTCGGGCGCTTACATCTTTGCAGGCACCACGCGAGGGGAAATCTTGGCCTTCTCGTTCCAAGACTCTCCCTCGCCTTCTTCCTCGTCCGCCACTTGCCGCTTGATAGCCCGTTCCAACATCTCCGGCTCCTCTGCCATTCGTGAGATGGCTCTGGACCGCTCAGGACGCAGCATAGTCGTCAACTCCAACGACCGCTCTATCCGCGTCATAGCAATCGAGGTCCCACCCCTTTCTCCCATCAACAAAGCTCCTCCCTCCTCGCCAGATGCCGTAGTCTCCATCTCAACAGTGCATCGCTTCCAAGACCTAGTCAATCGCACCCCTTGGAACGGCGTTGGCTTCAGCGGCGACGGCGAATACATCTATGCAGGCGCTGCTCACCAAGCAGCGCACAACGTCTACATATGGGATCGGGGCTCCGGTATCCTGGACAAGATCCTCGAAGGCCCCCGCGAGCCACTAGTAGATGCCGATTGGCACCCAGTTCGCCCCCTCATCCTATCCGTCAACGTCAGTGGCTCACTCAACGTCTGGTTCACGCCGAATGCAGAGAATTGGTCAGCGTACGCGCCTGGCTTCGAGGAGTTGGAGGAGAACGTCGAGTATGAAGAGGGCGAAGATGAGTTTGATTTGGAAGATGAGGAGGAGGAGAGACGTAGGAGGGAGAATGATGAAGAGGAGGGAGGTGAGATAGACCTTTGGACTCTTGTAGGAGCACCTGCGCCGGCGAGGGGGGTGGGGGGCACCATATTTGATGTGGAAAGGAGAGTGAAGGGTCAGGGCGATAGGGATGGGCAGAAGATGGAAGTTGATGAGGAGCAGGGAGCGGATGAACAGTGGCAGTACGCCTGGGCGGAGGACGAAGAGCTCGATGGCGAGGACTTTGCACTGCACGTTGTGCTGCAAGACTTTCAGTCGCGGGACTACCGCGACGCTGATACCACGTAGGAAAGGCCACGCAATTGCATTTCCTGCATGCTCTTTTGATCCCTGTCCCATCCTTTGCACCTCACGCCTCGACCGTGACCGTCTTGACGCATAGCATGTGAGGCGCACCGTCCTCGTCAAACTCGTCGCCTTCAGTGTGGTAGCCGAGTCCTTTGTAGAACTGCGGGCGAGAAGTCATATGAGCCTGTCAGCATCATGCTCGCCTTCTGAAACTAGCGAGCAGCTGACTCACGTCAATCACGGGCATCTGGCTATGCAACCTAAACTGCACATCCAGCCTCTTAGGCGCGGTCGCCCCTTGCTGGTCGTCTCCAAGCCCGTGCCCGTCCCCCGCAGTCGCCGTCGCTTGCCCTTCATTCGCCTTGGCCAGCCTCTGCTTGATAGCTTCTGTGACCCACCTCTCGCTTTCCTTTACCAAGAAGGCGCCCAACTTCTTTCCCCTGAGTGACTTGTCCAACGCCAGCCTACCCAACTTGGCCCCCGCGCCCTTTTCAGAGGCAAAAGTAGCTGCGATGCTCCCTTCGCTCGCGGGGGGACGACCAAGTGGGAGAAGGGAGGAGACAGTCTCACTGGAGGCAGGGGTGGTCGCAGGTGGTGGATAAGGGACCCAGCGCAGAGTTCCCAGGGCTTTGACTTCAGACTCTGCTGTTGAGGGAGAGTACGAGGAGGGGACCAGCACGAAGTGAGCCGAGATTGGGTCGTAACTGTCTATTTCACAGTCCATGGAGAATCCTGCATGGAACAAAGAGACGATCAGCTGGGAATCAGGAGGGAAAGTCAGAGTTGCGCAGCTCACCCTGCTCCTTGTGGAAGACCTCCGTACGGATGCGCAACGCCTCGCGCAGCAGGTGGGCATCGGAGGCTAGGATGACTTTGTAGTCTGATGTAGCTGACATGGCGGCGCGCTGAATGTATCAAGTGTCCTCGGTCAAGACGTTCTAAGCTCTGAAAATCGATCTTAAGAGCTGCGTGCGAGCTGAGGGGAAGTGAGAGGATGACGAGAAGAGGAAGAAGAAGACGCGAATCGGGTGTCATCCTCCACAAGGCGAGGCGAATCGGGCAGACGCACAAGCCACCCGGTTCTTCTCAATGCGATGCTAGATTGAAGTGTAAATGTCTGGTATCCAAGGAACATAAATCAGGACAAGTGCAGGCTCCAAAAGCCTACCCCTATTCACTTTCGCGAATCCTCCCCACCACCAACAAAGGGCGTCCAAGCGTCCAACTGCAAATTAGTCATCAGCCTCTCGGCCATCTCCCCAACATTCTCCTCCGTCAGCCCTCCTTGCTGCATGTACGCCTGAATCCTCATTACAATCTGCCTCAATTTTCCCCTGCTCAGCGTCACGTCATCGCGGACGAATGGGTGAGAGAGAAGTTGAGGGATGGTTGCGCGAGACGAGGCCCCATAGAGGAGTGAGGCGCGCATGCAGTCTAGCAGAATGTCGTCGAGCTCTTCCAGAGCGGGCTGCGCCGGGGGCGAGGAGGGAGGCGAGGAACGCTCCGCCTCTTCGGCTTCGCGAAGACGTTGCTCATCGAGTGTGCGCTTGGCGGGAAAAGCGATCTGGTGCTTTGGATCGGTGATGACCTCCAATTTGCGGTCCCCCGAGATGTGAGCAAAGGGTGTGCGACCGTACACCATCTGGTAGAGGATGCAACCCAGAGACCAGACATCGCTTGGCTTGCCCGCCTTGTACACTGCTGCTCCCACACCACCACCTCCGCCAGCAGCACCCCCTGCGCTTCTTCTTGCCTTCTGAATCGCTTCGGGAGCCATGTAGTTTGGCGTGCCCACAATCACATCTCGAGAAATGTGGATCGTCCCCAATGGAATCTTCTGCGCAATCCCAAAGTCGATGAGCTTGATCCTTCCCTTGACGAGCAAGAAGTTTGCAGGCTTCAAGTCCGTATGTACCAGCTTCGCCTCATGGACAAAGTCGACGCTCTCGAGCATCTGCCGCCAGTACTCGCTCAACGCCGCGCGAGGCAAGGGGTGTTGAGTACGGAGAAGTGTGTTGAAATCCATCTCGCCCAGCTCCATGAGAATCTTGAGCGTGTCGCCAGAATGCTTGTGTCCGAAGTAGCGCAGTACAAACTTGTCGCTCTCCGGCTGCTCGGCGAGGGATTCGAGGAGCTCGGCTTCTTGCAGTAGCTCATCGCGGCTGCTCTGTTCGAGACGCTTGAGGCTGACCTGCTTCATTGCGAAGTGGGCTTGCAGCTCAAGGGGCACGCTTTCGCAACCACCGTCCAGCGTGGGGATGCTTGTGGGTCCAAAGACTTGGAAGACGGTAGAGAAGCCTCCTTCGCCGGCGCGCGAGACCTTGAGGTACTTGGCGCCTCGGAACTTGGTCTCCTTCCGGTTGCTCAATGGCTTGCCTACCATGTGCGTGCCAAAGTCACAGCCGTTGCGACGCTGTCGCTCTGCTTCGTCGAGGGCGGCGCGCACGTAAGGGTCCCAGCCGTTGAGGTCCAGGAGACGCTTCTTTTCAGCGGCGAGGCGGGGGTCGAGCGAAGAGGATGAGGAGGTCTCGTCGACGGGAGCAGGAGCCTGTGGCGTGGTGACTTGTGCTAGAGCAGATTTCGCAGCTGTGGCTGCAGGCTCGGATCTGAGGTTGCCATTGAGTTTTGATGGCTGCAGCGGACGTTCTGGCGCGGCTGAAGGCGGGGGAGGCGCTCTTCGCGCCGCCGACGGGTAGCCAGGCTCGTGCGGCGCGGGTACCTTGGCTTTCATGACCTCTCCCATGGCCTGACGCAATGCTTGACCCTTTGCCTCGCCACCTGCATTCTCCTTGTCTCCATCGCGCCTCGCTGCAGCCCTTCTTCGACCCGCCGCCAGGGCACCCTCTTCTGCATCCACGTCGTCTTCGTCGTCCGCGCCAATTTGCGTGCCTGGAAGACCGTCTGCCTTGACGCGAGGGAGAGCGGCGGGCGAGGAGCGCCTCTCTGCTGCGGTGGTCCCTTCCTTGTCCCCACTACTGGCGTTGGTGCCTCTTGGCGTCTCCTGACCTCGCGTAGCTTGCAGAGAGAGGCCATCAAGGTACTTGGATGCAGGCTGCATAGGCGGGGTATCCCGCCGGCTGCTACCGCTATTGTCGCGAGAGGCGGGGCGATCTGCCACTGGGGAGGGCGTCTTCCCCTTCTCTGTCGCTGCTTGCGATGCTCCCACACCGACACCAGGCTCTTCGTCATCCTCTCCGTCGCTCTCGTCTGCGCCTTGTGTGAGCATCACACGCGCTGGCCTGACGTGGTTTGGGCGAGCCTCCCCCGGGCCGTAGCGCTTGAGTGTCCTTGCTGCACTTCTGCCCACGGTTGCCGTCTGACTGGACCGCAGGCTGCGAGCTCCAGATGGCAGGGCAGGCGTCGAGTAACCCATGGGCTTGAGAGTGTCGCGCGGAACGGGCGATGAGGAACCCTTTGACGCTGTACGGTTGCTGCCGTCTGACCCGCCGCTGAGTTTGCCATTGTACTCATTCTCGACACTATCCCTCTCGTCTGATCTTCTGCGACGAGGATACACTTCTTCAGCGGCTGATGCGGGCCGCCGGGGTTCGCCGATGTCGGTGACCGCTTCTTTGCTTCTTCTGGCTTGTGACGAAGCCGGACGAGAGGATGCTCCTTCTGATCCAGCAGCACTCCTACTGTCACCGCTTTCTGTCCTGGCATGAGACCGCGCGAGGCTGACAATATTCCGCAGCGGCTCGTTGGATTTGGGAGGAGCGCCGTGGCTGACTGATCTTGCCCCATTTGAGCTCGCTCCAGTTCGCATGACAGCAGCGGACGAAGACGGCCTGACACCCAGTCTGGCCTCGTGCTGTGGCCGAGATGCTGCTGTTACTGTTGCTATGTCGATTGATTCGGACACGGCTGACGACGTCTTGGCGGAAGAAGCGGCAACATCCAGAGCTTCTGCTGCGCGCTCCTTTGATCTGCTTCGCCTTCCATTGCGATATGCCCCCGGTGCAGGTGTTGGGCTGCCTTGCCTTTGCGCAGAAGTCTCGCGGTGATGAAGGTCATCATTGTCGTCATGTGTGTTCGCAGCGTGCGCCGCGCTCTCTGGATGGCCCAAGTCGCTGAAAGTGTGTCCTGCTCGGTGGGTATCTTTTGGTTTTGAGATGCTTGGTGGGGAAGGCAGGGGCGAATCATTTTCGAGTAGGGATGAGTTGGCGAGTGGCGTTGCAAGTGGGGCATCAAGAAGTGGTGATGATGAGTGCATATATGTACGATGCTTGGAGAGGGGCGTGAAGGGGACTGTTGAGTGCTCTGTTGCCGGCGCCGCTGTTGCCATAGCCGCCCTGCTCCTAGTTGAGACGGACATATTGGTGAGCGAGCTGGTGATTGACTGGCGCTGACGGCCTACAGTCTTGCGCAGCTATGCTGATGCCCGGCGAGTGAGGATGATGATGATGATGATGATGATGATGTCGAGGATGCTGGTCGAGCTGTGACATTGTTCGGCGTGCGTGCGGCTGAAAGTGTTGGATCGTCCAAACACGGCCCTCTGGCGTGGCTGCCGTCCGTCACGTGTCTCTGTCCGTCCAACTGCAACGATCAGCTGCTACTTCCGTTGAGCCCTCAATCCTGCCCACTCCACACATCTTAATCATCCATCGGCATGGGCAAGCCAAAGTCAAAGCATTCCAACTCATCAGCCAAGCATGGCGGACTTGGACCGGGAGGAAGAGGCATGGGCGGAGGTGCAAGGGGAGGCAAGAATCGTACGCGTGGTCCCCGGATGAGGGGAGGAGGCTCAGAAGTCTTCACCGATGGCTGGCGGCCTGCCAGCGCTGTCGACGAGGTACCAAACAGCGATGGCGAAGAGGAGGGCTCAGGGGATGAGAGCAGTCAAGCAGGCTCGTCAAGGCTGACGGATCACAGCGAACAAGAAGGGGAAGAGGTTGATCAGGCGCATGGCTCTCGCAGCATTGCCTTTGGCCACGCAGCTCTGCCACCGGACGAGGTTGAGCTTCCCTTGGCGATGTGGGACTTCAACCACTGCGATCCAAAACGATGTAGTGGAAAGAAGCTCGCAAGACTAGGCTACGTCACAGAGCTCAAAGTCGGACAAAGATTCCGAGGCGTGGTCCTTACGTGAGTGTGCGAGGTCCCCTGTTCTCGACTTCTGCTAAGCATCTCACCTGCCCGGCACCCGCAGTCCAAACGCAACACAAATCCTCTCTCCCGCAGACGCCCCAATCGTGGCAGAGCACGGCCTGGCCGTAGTAGAATGCTCATGGGCGCGCCTAGACGAGATTCCATTCAAGCGCATCCAGTCTCCACACGAGCGACTCCTCCCCGAGCTCGTAGCAACCAATCCAGTCAACTACGGCAAGGTCTCCAAGCTCAACTGTGTGGAAGCAATGGCTGCCGCCCTTTACGTTTGCTCTCTCCCTAGACTCGCAGAGACGCTCCTCAGCAGGTTCGGGTGGGGTCATGCCTTCCCTGATGTCAATGAAGAGCTGATTGAGAAGTACAGGCATTGCAAGGACGAAGGAGAAATCAAGGCAGTTGCGGCCGGCATGGCGGAGGAGAACGATAGGGAGAGGAGGGAGAGGGGGACGAGGGATATTTTGGGCGAGATGGAGGCCAAAGAGGAGGGCGAGCATGAGGATGCAGACGAGGCCGACGCGGCAGCGGCAGAGGACGGGGAAGAGGAGGAGGCGGACGAGGCAGACTCAATAGCGGATGGTCTCACTAGGGTGGTAAGAGTAGTATGAACATCGAGGTAGACTAGCAATAGAGCCAATGCGTCGCACGCAAGTAAAACTTGGCGTTCATCAGACCCTCCTCATTCGACTCGAGCGTGGCCGAGCTTTCTTCTTAATCCATCGCTCCCACGACGCACGCCCGCTTCGCTGCTCTCGCACCTGTTTCCCCGCACTCCAACACACCCAGACACGTTCGCCGCTCGCCAGCCCGTCCGGACATTGCGAGCCTGGCTCCTTGTCGTCGTTATCGCCGTTCTGGGCAACTCAAAGCGAAGCTCGTTTACGTTCGACTTCTTCCTCCGCCGGAGCAGGTGCAGAAGAGAGCAAGAGTATGAGCTTGAGCGAAGTCAATGAGAGCAAGGGGTACATGTCTGGCCGTCCTCTTTCAGGAAGGCCTCACGTCGAGACTGCATCCAACCCAGGTCTACCGAGGCCGAGAGAGCGAGCGAGGTAAAAGCAGGTACAGAACAGAGCATCAGCAGCTTGAGCTTGCTGGATGGCACGTTTCCGACACCGTCCGGCTAGCCGACCTATGCCGAGCATTGATCCAATATCTGCAGGGCTTCCGAACAGCACCTGAGACCAACGTGCGAAGCTCATCGAGGCTCAGGTCGACAAAAGACGATAAGAAGGGAGGAGGGTCGAGCGTGACGGCACGCCTCCTGTCCATCACTCCATCTCCCCTCTCTGCCCTTTCCTTCCCTCTCTCTTCCCCTTCTCCTCTCGTCCTCCTCCGATCACCCTCTCACGATGCACTTCCTCACCCTGATCCCCTTCCTTGCCCTCCTCACTCTCGCCGCTCCCATCGAGAAGCGTGCCCCCTCCGTCTCCTGCGGTGGTCGCTCCTTTACCTCCAGCCAGGTGAACAAGGCCGTCCAGAACTCTAACAGCGACGCAGCGCCCTCGAGCTCGTACCCTCACCAGTACAACAATTACGAGGGATTCGACTTCTCGGACTACTGCTCCGACTCGCGCTATGAGGAGTTCCCGTTGACTTCGGGTGGTGTGAGTACGGGGTGGACCGTCAATGAGTTCTACTCTCCTCTGACACGATCGCGTCTTCCCTCTGCATCCTCGCCTTCTCCGCGACTGACAGTACACTGGGTGAGCTTCCTGCGATGCACAGTAATCAGCGAATGCTCAGCCTGCTCACCAGACACACGTTCCCCACTCCCTCGTCTTGTAGCGGCTCCCCCGGCGCATACCGTGTCATCACGGGCCAGTCCTCTGGCGCGTTCTGCGGGTGAGCTCACATGGCGTGCAGATTGGCAAGAAGAGCTATCCAACTGACACCCGATCGTCTACTCTCCCCATAGCGCAATCTACCACGCCAGCTCGGACAACAGCTTCTCGTCGTGCAACTACTAGAAAGCTTGCCTTTCAAACCGCTTCTCCCTTACAACTTCGTCCGCGATAGCGTCGCGGCAATCGAAATTCAGTCACCTTTCTCGCATGAGTCTGTCACGCATTCTCTCGACCTTGTCTGCCACGCGTGTTGTATAGCATTCACATTCCGCGGTGTTAGACCTCGCCCTCCTCTTTGTCCCCATCATCAGCAGCATTCTGCGACACGACGGCCCGGCGCGAGGCTTGCGGCTGAGGCGAGGCAGCTCCTTCGCTCCTCTTCTTCTTGGAGCCGTAGCCCGGCGAGCCGTCTTTCCCCGATGACGAAGAGGCGGGAAGGTCGGTCATTTCCTCATCCCTTCCTGCTCGCCTTCTATCTCTATCCTCGCCTGCCCCACGCTCAGCACCAGCGCTGCCCCTACGACGCGAGTCCCTATCCTCCCTGCGCCTCGAGCGCTTCTCGTCCTCTCCAGTCAGCAGCCCAGATGCCGCGTCGCTCTTGCGCTTACGACTGTTGCTAGCAGCCGCAGCAGCAGCAGCGGCACGTTCCTCTGCCTTCTCCTTCTGTCTCCTACAGAACTTGTCCCACGTCTTCCTCTTGATCTCATCCCTCTCCTGCTCGCTACAGCCGTCACGTCCGAGCTCAACATCAATGGCCCTCCACTCCTTGATGCGCAGCGCCTCGACCCGCTCTTTGACCTCATCGTACGCTATCTGCTCCTCTGCTTGGGCGAAGAGCTCGTCGTCGAGGTCCTTCTTGAGCCCGTATTTAGCATCATCAATGAGAGTCCGCACTTTGCGCTCGTGTCGCCTCTTGTTGCGTGCGGCTTCCTCGCGCAAGTGATCGAAGACGGAACGTAACTCGACGTCTTCGCGAGCTGCGGTGACCCAGTGCTCGGACTTGTCGCTTGCTGCCAAGCCACTTTGGACCTGAGTGAGGAATGAGGGCCACTCCGCATCCTCTGGGACGCCTTTCCAGCTGGGTTCGCCAATCTTGATCAGATCCACGACAGTGGCAGTACGTAGCTCAACCTTTTGCTCGCAGGAGTCTACAGCGTCGAAGAAGAGGTCGAGGGGTGAAGAGCCGCGTTGGCCCAACATGTTTGTGTAGCGAGCATCGTCCTTGACCCTGTGATATACCTCGGGCCAGCTGCTTCCCGCCTTCACCCAGCCCTCGTCTACCCCCTGCGCCATTAAAGCGCGGAAAGCAGCCCTGTTCCTCCTCTCTGTGCGGATGCGCTCCTTGTCTTCACTGTTTCTCCTCTCCCCTTCCTCCCTCTCGATGCTCCTGATATACTCATCGAAGACAGCAAGCATATCGCTCATGTCCATGCTCGCCAGCTGAGAGTCCTGTTTCCATTCAGATGACTCAACGACGGAGCGTTGGGCATCGCGCCAGCGAGTAGTGACGTCTGCTTCGAAGGTGCGCAGCAGGGACATCAGCAGGTCCATGTTGCGGTGACGAAGCTCGACAGTCGATGCCTCCGCAGCCTTTTGCTTCTCCCTACGGACCTCCTCCCAAATCGTCTTGCTCGCTTCTTCGCCTACTGCCTCGATGGCCGCCTTGACCTCTTTTGACTGCGAATGATGCTTCATCACACTGCCCCACGAAGAGTACGCCTTTAATTTCTCGCTGCCACTGAGCAATGTCACGAGTGTTGGCTTGACTTGGGCCTTCTTCTCGGCTACAGCTTCGTCTCTCTGTCTGCGCAGCTCGGCCTGAAAATCGGCAAAGGCAGCCTTGCGCTCCGAGATGGACTTGAGCACCTTGTAGAGTGGCTCTGTGACAACTGCGCGCATTGTTTGCTCCCATGTCCAGTCGAGGCCGACGCCTTTGTCGCGGAGAAGACCCTTAAAAGCATCATAGGGGTTGAAGGGAGCGTCGAGGTTGGGTCCCAGTGGGATAGGAGGGCCAGCAGAAGTGCCAGCCGCAGGACCGGTGGGAGCTGAGGCAGGGGGTCGGGCAGGGGTTTGAGCTGGAGGTGGTCGAACAGGTGCTTGGCCGGGTGCAATGGGTGGTGGACCTGGCGGAGGTCCAGGAGCGGACCCAGGTGTCGAAGAGCCGAAGCCTGGAGGAGGCCCGCTGTAGATGGGACGAGGAGGTCCGCCGGCGACGGCGTTGAGCTTGCTAGCAGGAGCGACAGGAGGTGGACCAGGAGGTGGGCCTGGTGCAGGCGATGCAGTCTTACCCTCGAGTCGGTCGAAGGCGTCTTGCAGCTCTTTTGGCACCGACCAAGTCGTCTCCTTGGTATCTGAATGCACATAGTAGCTCCTCTCGCCGCTCTTGTATTCCTTCCATCGAGTGGCCGCAATAGCCCTCTCGCGGGGCGTCTTGAGCTCGTCTGGCTTCTCCCAGACGCTGTGCTTGTCCTCGGTGTGGAACCAGTAGGAGCGTCCTTCCGCATTCTTGTACTCTCTGTGGCGAGGAAAGGGAGCGGTCAGTTGGCCCGCGAAGATGAACAGGGGGAAATGGAATGCAAACTCACTTCCATGGCGACGCAGATGTCGAGGCCATTCTGTCGCCCGAGGGGGCGGGGGACGCTGACTGGTGAGGGCGGTGCGGAGAAACGTGTTTGTCAGAGAAGGACTCGTCAGCTAGTCGGCTAGCCGTCTTCACTCACCATGGAGCAAGTGAAGCGATAGGAACGAAGGCAGGAGGATTCCAGTCCTCGCCTCCCGTCCGTTGACTTCACACGATCTTCTCCATCCGCTCGAGCAAGGCGGAACTGGACACGCGAGGTTCATTCTCGCAGCGCTCAGTCCACCTCCATCTTCTCAGCCTCCTCTCATTCGCAACAGAGAGACACAATGTCAGCGGCAGCAAAGACGCTGCCAGGCGCAGGAACAGACGGTCGCCCAATCGTCTTCTTCGACATCTCCATCGGCGACAATCCAGCTGGGCGGATCAAGATGGAGCTCTTCAGCGATGTCTGTCCGAGGTGCGTCTGCCGTCACAACCTACCCAACTTGACTATCCCCTTCTTTTCCTCACTTACCCACAAGCCATCCCCTGATCACCGCTCGCAGAACCGCTGAAAATTTCCGTCAGCTCTGCACAGGTCAACACCGCGTGAACCACAAGCCCATGGGCTACAAGGGCTCTCTCTTCCACCGCGTCATCTCCGGCTTTATGGCCCAAGGAGGAGACTTCCTCAACGCCGATGGGTCAGGGTCCTTTAGCATCTATGGCGATAATTTCAAGGATGAAAATTTCAAGTTGGGCCATGATCAGCCGGGCTTGCTCAGTATGGCCAACTCGGGGCCCAACACTAATGGGTGCCAAGTGAGTGCGGCGTCGGGTTTGCTGAAGGGACCGTGGAGAGCCAAGGTGCTGATCTTCATCGCTTCGTGACAGTTCTTCATCACTTGCGCACCTGCTGAGTGTGAGCAGCCCGAGCGTCCAGAGCTTGCTTCCAGCTCATGCTGACCAGTATCCTCAACTCGCGCCTGCAGTCCTCGATGGCAAGCATACAGTCTTCGGCAAGGTAGTCGAGGGTCTCTTGACGCTCAGGAAGATCGAGCAAGTACAGACAGGTAAGTCGGCGCGGCGGATGGCTACAATGTGGCCCTCATCTGACGTCGAACTCCTATCGTAGGGCCCAATAATCGTCCGCGGCTGAGCGTCAGGATCACAGGTGAGCCTCACTTTTGCCGCAAGGCCGCGCCAAGCAGCCCGCTAACCACCGTCCTTGACCTCCTTCTCACTCAGAATGCGGAGAGATGTAATGGACATGGCAATCAAAATGTAACATTAGCATGACCGTGACTATACTCTTCTAGGTTTGCGGAAAAACGATAGCGGCGGCCCAGTACCGTACACCAAAGGCCACAGCGCTCCCCAGGAGCTGAACGCCCATGGTCATCCGCCACAGTCGGGCCTCGTCGATGTATGGGCCTTGAGGCGAGGGTATTGATGGCTGTTCGACGGGCGAAGCTAACGATTCGCTGGCTAAACGCCATTTGACATCCTCGAGGGGGACCTGGACGCCGGCGACAACGAGGATCGTATTGAGGAGGGTCAAGTTCGTTGCGGCGACGATGTCATTTCCGTCGCGCCCACTCTCAGCGCCAGCACCAAGGTCGCGTGCCCTGTAGATCTTGATGAATCGCAGCGTCTCGAGAATGAGCAGCATGCCTTTGCCCATCATCTTTAGCGGTCGCTTGCTACCTCGCGGGAAGACGACCAGCGAAGGATAAAGGGCCATAGTCTCGCTATGCACCTTGGGAACCCTATGCCGCGGGCAAGGGACAAAGCCGAAGAGCTGTGGGCAGCTCAATAAGAAGTTGAAGACCTGCGGCAAGAAGAAGAGCAACAGCGTCTTGGAAAAGTGGCCGAGAACGCCTGCGCATGCTAATGCTTGACCTGCAAAATAGCAAAAGGTGTCCCCCACGAAGACCAGGGCGGGATGGCGATTCCACGCGAGAAGGCCTGCGCAAGTTCCCACAAGGGGGAGCATGAGGCTCAAGCTAAACAGGTGGCGGCCGACTAGCTCGCTTTGTAGGGAGGAGGGCGACGCGATTGGATGAGAGGGCGAAAGGTAGTGTTCCGACAAGGCAAGACGGATGGGCAGGTAGAGGAAGTCGTTTAGGCAGAGAGAGGAAGCGATTATCAGGGCTTGGCCTACTTCCACGCCGTTTATTCCAGCGAGGATGTTGATGCTGTGTGTGCAAAAGGTCGAGAGGAGGGAAATGAAGAGGTAGTAGAGGAGGCCTGCCGATGAGCCGGAAGGGCAACAAGTCAATTGAGCGATACTGGGGCAGACGCGATTCGCACTGCGCTCACCGAGGTCAACAACGTTGGCTCCCACGGCAGTCCGCAGCCATGCCGGCCAGCCAGGCACTACAAGCCCTGTGCCACCCTGCCCAGCGTAGTAGACGAGCAGCATAGGTATTGACGCCACGATGGGTATTGGCATCTTGAAGCGCCATCGAATGTCAAAGACGTCGTCGCAGAAGCCCAGAACAAGGGAGCTGAGCAGCGAGAGAAGGGCAGACAGGTAGACGGCGAGCTGGGAGGGCGATGTGAGCTTAGCATGACAGACTGTTGTGAAGTGGGTGAGGGCGTTGCAGAGCTCACCTCGTGATGGGGAAAGCCGCGGCGCCCACCCAAATCGCCGAACCAGCCGCCATCGTTTGTTGTTCGTGGATTCAAGCCACCAACGCCCTCGGGGACCACGTAATAGCGAAATGGAATGAAGAGGAAGAGGACGAGAAGGTAAATGCAGGAGGCTGGTAGGCCCAAAGTCTCAGGTCTGAGCAGCACGTAAAGGGCCGTGAGTCGTTGAGCCTGGGCATCGCAGCATCTAGTCGTTGTCGCCTCCAACTCACATCGCCTCCTTGACCTTGGGCTTGAGCAAATCTCTCCCCTGAAACCCTCTCTGCCCGAACGTCTCTCTACACGCGCCTACAGCCACCACGGTCGCAAAGTAGGCCGCAATGGAGAAGCCGATGCTAGGCAGCAGCCCTGGAAAGAGGTCGTCCATTCGCAGCACGGCCTGCAGGGACTTGGAGTGCGAGGCATCCAACCAGCCCCATTGCACTGCGGGGGAGATGGCCACCAAAGAGAATGTCGCGGGTATCAAAGCCGCTGCTGAGAGACCCAGCGACTGCGTAGGCGGGGAGCGAGCCATCACCCGTCCGCTGCTGCCGTCGAGGTGATGAGGTGTAGAGAATTGAGGATCCGAGGATGCAGCAGCGGACAGGCAACCACGCGGCACAGCGACCGACTTCGACTCCGAAGTGGAGTCGTTCGCGAAGCCAAATGAAAGTGGGACAAGCAAAGCGGACTGACCAATTGAAATCACTTCTTTCCCTTGTCACCGCTAACGACCAGCCAAACACACCAATCCAACCACTCCCGTCTCTCACTTCACATCGACATGGCTTCCAACCCGCAGATGGATGCCCTCCTCAAATGGTCGGTCGAGAACTCAAATGAGTCGGGCCCATCAGCCGCCGAGATCGTCTCGGACGTGCAAGCAGGGAAGCGGCCCGACCTGGACCCCAAGGTGCTCGAGGCAATGATGGGAAAAAGTGAAGCGCAGATGATGACAGAAGAGCTTCGATCTGCGCTCGACACCTCACGATCAGTAGACGACAGAGAGACGGCTTTGGACAACTTTGAGATGCTCATCGAAAGCATCGACAATGCCAACCTTATCAGCACTATGAAGATGTGGCAACCACTTCTGGGCTTGCTGGCAACTGAGGATGAGCCCAGGCTGCAATTGGCTACGCTGTGGATCTTGGGAACGGCGGTTCAGAACAATCCGGCGGCGCAGGACGCTCTCCTCAACGCCAGCGGGCCAGGGCAGGAGCACTCTCTCGACACCATTCTGTCTCTACTCCGCAACAGCCCAGACATGGGGGTGCGCGCAAAGGCAATGTACGCCATCTCCGGCTTGCTGGGACACCACCCACGCGCAGTCAAGGAGTTTGAAGCGAGAGGGGGCTGCGAGGCACTCAAGAGCGCTTTGTGCGATCCTAGCATCAACCTGAGACGCAAGGCTGCCTTCTTCATTACGGCGCTGCTGAATCAGGATGACTCTGAGGTACAGAGGGAGGCGAGCAGACCCTTGATGATCGGTGGGCCTGCGCCAGGCTCAGCACCATCACCCGCTCCAGCCGCAGCTCCAGTCTCAAGAGCAACGGGTCTCGCCCCAGCTCCCAACAGTGCCGCCCCTTCATCGACCGGCCCCGCACCATATGAGAAGCCCCCTGTCACATCAACCGCAGCCTCAGGCGTGGTACATCCCTCAATCCCGACCGCGCTCATCCGCTCCGGTCTCCTTCAGCTACTCCTCGCCTCGATTCTTCCCTCGGACTCTGTACCAGCAAATTTCACGCAGGATGCTCACCCTGCCGAGCTAGGACCTGATGGGGATGCGCAGGAGGCGAGGGCGGATGAAGATTATGCCGAGAAGGCACTCAGGGCTGTGGCTGTCTTTGTCGCAAAGGGAGGAGCGAACGCGGGCCTCGATGCGGACAGCAAGCAGGCTCTCAAGGCTCTCCAGGGCGAAATGAGCGAGGATGGGAAGGGGATGTGGGATTGGAAGAGGCTGAACTTGGATCAGGAGGAGTGGGAGCGATTCGTTGAGGGCGTCGAGAGGATGGCGGCGTAAAGGCGCACGCTGGCCCTGACTCACGTCTCGCAACTACCATGCTACCCGACTGTACAGTAGTGTTCTCCATCATAGACATCTGTCGACCTCTAATCGCTATCCCCGAAGCCAACTTGGCGCCGCCCAACTCCTGCTCTTCTTCCCTTTGTTGGCTTGGCTCACTTGATCCTCGATATCCGCCACACGCGCGGCTAAAAGTTGATCGGGCTCACGCGGTCGAAAAGCGCCGACCGAGCGTGCCGACCGGTGAACAGGCAGGCGAGATGGGCTGCGAGGGCCAGGGCGGCTTTTTGGTCTGCAGGCTGCAGTGCAGCAAGAGAGTCACGGAGGGTGGTCATGACCAACTCTCTTTGCTTTCTTTACCATCCTCATCATCTTTCAGCTCAGTCGAGCTTCTCGTCGCCTCTGTTTCTCATCACGCTTCGCTCTTCATCTCGAGCTGAAGCACACCGTCGCCCTCGTCTGCGGTCTGACTTTCGGCCGTTAGCAGCTTTCTACGCGTGTTCCCACCGAAAGCCGGCCCTCGCACTCTCGCTTTCGGCCTCAATCAGGCACCAAGCGGTCTGCCGCCATCATATCGGGAGGGGTAATAGCAAAGCGCAAAGGTAGCAACACACTTCATTTAACACGGCCTTCGACCTCTACTCGCCTAGAGCGACCGCCATTTGTAATCCCCTTTTACCTCGCTGCGGATTCGCCCCCATCTACTCCCACGGAAACTACTCCTGCTGCAACGCGGTACAGCATTCTCTTTCCCCATCCCACATTCTCTTGAGCACCGCCTTACAGCACCAACATGCCCGCCAGTAGCAACGAATTCGACCGTCGCCCCTCGCATGGGACTAAGGCCTCCTCCCTGGAGACGAAGCAGGACGACAGGGGAGACATCGAAAAGCAGGCGGAGCGCTCGCAGCAACAGCAAAGGGCAGCCGACTCTTCGGGTCCCTCCTCTCAAGGTCATTCCAAAGTGGAAGAAGGCGAAACGATCGCTGGTGAGCATGGGGAACCAGCCGGCTTCCAGGACGGCCACGAAGTAGAACGCATGGTGACCATCGAGGCGGAAGAGGCAAAACAGATCGACTTCCCCGACGGAGGACGCGAGGCGTGGCTGGTAGTTGCCGGAGCTTGGTCTTGCTCCTTTGTTTCCTGGGGCTACGTCAATGCCTTTGGTGTGCTGGCCGAGTACTACCTGCGGACAATTTTGGCAGACAAAACTAGTTCCGAAGTGGCGTGGATTAGCTCGTTGCAGTACTGTCTGATCTTCGCGGTTGGGTTGTTTACGGTGAGTCGTCGCGCGAGACGAGAGCGAGTAGAAGGCCAGCGTCAACTGACATACTTTGCCTCTCTTTTCGCGCCCAGGGTCGCCTCTTTGACATGGGCTACTTCCGGCCCACCATCCTCGTGGGAATGGTCCTCTGGGTCTTCACTCAGATGATGACCTCCCTATGCAAAGAGTACTGGCAGTTCATCCTCGCCCAAGGTTTCGGCCTAGGCATCTCCTTCGGGATCGTCTTCTCCCTCTCCGTGGCCGTTCCCGCGCAATGGTTCTCACGGCGGCGCGCGACCGCCTTTGGTATCCTGGCAACGGGATCGAGCATGGGGGGCGTCATCTTCCCCATTATGATTAATAAGCTTCTCCCTCAAGTGGGCTTTGGATGGACTATGAGGATTGTCGGATTCATTGGAGTCGGGATGTTGACATTCTCCTGGTTCACGCTCAAGACCCGCCTGCCGCCTAGCATAGACGTGAAGGCTGTTGGATGGAAGAACGTCCGATTCTTCGACCCGGCCGCTTTCAAGATGCCGGCCTTCACCTTCTTCTGCCTCGGCTCCACGCTGGTTCTTTTCGGACTCTACACTCCCTTCACCTACATCGACATCTGGACGAGCCGACGCTCCCTGCCAATCCCTGGCTACTATCTCTCGATCCTTAATGCGGCGAGCATCTTTGGACGTATCATTCCAGGAATCCTCGCCGACCATATTGGACGAATGAACTGCCTCCTGCCCATGCTGTGGCTCAGCGCAGTTTTCGTCTTCATTTTCCCGCTCTGTGACTCCATTGGAGCACTGATCGTCTTCTCGATCCTTTTTGGGTTCTCCACGGGGGCATACGTATCGCTCATCCCTGCCTCGGTGGCTCAACTGGGCCCAACAGCCTCGTACGGGACGCGCTTGGGGATGCTGTTCATGGCCATGAGCATTGGTGGTTTGCTAGGCACCCCCATTTCTGGGGCCATTCTCGGGGATGGTCAGGGAGATGCCGAGTGGTGGAAGACGATGGGCTATGCGGGGGCGATGGTAGTAGGAGGATGTGTGAGCATCACCGTGGCCAGGCAGCTAGCATTGAAGAGCTGGAAGCCGTGGGGCAAGATTTGAGTCAGGCCGAACCCTCAGCATTACATGTACTACCAAGCACAAAAGAGCAACGCTCAGCATCACTTCCACTGAATGTTCATAACCGTCATCGCCAGCGAGAGAAGTGCGTCCGCTACCACCAGCGAGAGGAGCACCAGCCGCGGCTCTTTTGCGCTCAGTCCGCCCTCTCCGGCCCGCGAATCGAGCACAGATTTTGCCGGAACTGGAGGAGCTTCGCATTCAATTCTTCTCACTCTCTACCTCACTGAACTCAACATGTCAGAGCCAGTCTCGATCCCCACGGCCTCATGGTCGGCTTCGATTTCGGCCGCCCAGAATCATAGCAACGGGCGCCGCTCGTCTCCTCGCTCTCTGCGCTCAGTCTCCTCCACCAACTCGCCTCCCCCAAACCTTGATACCGATTCTCTCGCTCTCCTCTCCCAATTCAGATCTCAAAAGGCCAAGCAGCAGGCCAAGTTTGCGCGGCTAGAAGCAAAGGCAAAACGCGAGGAACAGGCGCGCAAGAATGGCGGGAAGGTGAACGAGGACGAGGACGAGGACGATGAGGAGCAAGGCTTCGCGGAGAGTGAGGCATGGGGCGATCTGGAAAGACTGGCCAAGATTGAGGCAGGAGAGGTACTGAGTGACGACGAAGGGCCGAGTGAAATGACAGATGGAGGCAATGACGATGACAATGATGAAGATGGCATCATGACGGTGGACGGTTGGCGCTCGTTGGTCTCAGAGGTAAGTACGCTGCAAGACTAGCCTAGTGATCCGATTGCCTCCCTGCATCAGCGAGCTAACCATCGGCGTCCGCTATCTCCCGGCAGGACTATCAACAAAGTCAATTCTGGTATTCATCGCCATTCGCCTATTCATTAGCCCGTGTCATCTACGCCAGACTGCAACGTCTCGCCTCTCTGCTGGGTCGAACTCCGCGAATCGCCTTCGTCTGCTCGCCCACGGCCTTCGTCGCTTTTCAGGATCTCTACGGCGAGCGCTCCACCTCCTCCGCCAGCAACCACAGCAACGATGCCGCCGCATCAGTACGCCGCTGGAAGAGTGGCCGCGACATGTGGCTCTTGGAGATCGATGAACGCTTCGCCATTGCCGCCCGCCACGGCGGCTTTGTTCGATACGACTTCAACGTACCTCTCAAAGGGCTCGCTCCGCTGGTCGAAGAGGGGCAGCAAGGTGTAGACATGGTGGTGATCGACCCGCCCTTCCTCAATGAGAAGACGACGGATCGCGTTGCAACGTCGGTGCATCACCTTTTGAAGGCGTCACCGCTTTCTGGGAAAGGAGAGGCCTCGATACTGCTGTTGACGGGTGACAGTATCAGCGGGTATGCGCGACAGGTGTACCCTCTGTCTGCGCCGAGTGGGGAGAAGGGCAAGCCATTGCAGCGTACGCCGCTTGTTGTCGAGCACGAGGGCGGCAGGTTGAGCAATGAGTTTGGAGCCTGGTGTAACTGGCAATGGGAGAGTCAAGGGGCGGAGGAATGACGAGAGGGCAGGACGTGCCACGACGCATCGCATCGTTTGGATAGAGCATCAAGAATACATTGTACAACACAGCTTCAGCGCATGCTGTGTGCCATCCGTCATCCCCCATTCCGGCATCATCTCTTTCTGAAGGCAAATGCCTGATAGACAGTCGTGGCCTCCCAAAGCTCGGGGTCCATTTCCTCCGGCTTCCCTCCCCTCTCTTGCGCCGGCCGTCGACTGACCTTCATCCTCCTGGCCAAATCGCCGTGGCGCTGATCAACCCTGAATCTATCCCACATCTCAGCCATAGTGGCCTTGAGGATTAGCTCGAGGCCATATTCCGCCGCGAGGGAAACAAAGGAGGACCAGTCCACCACGTACTCGGGCACCGAGTCGACTGCATCTGTGAGGTAGAAGGTGTACTCGTCGCCAAAGGGTTTGCGCGGCCCAGGGTTGGAGAAGGTGACGTGGTACTTCGAGTTACCGAAAGTGAGCTCGCCTGGGGGTAAGGCATCGAGCCGACTGTAGAGCCTGAAGTAGGGATGAGAGAGGTGTAGGATGTCAGCTTCTTCGGCTCCCGGGGTCCTACTCTCCCTCTCGCCATGGCGTCCACTCACTCCTCCTGATTCGGGATCGTGCCGACAAAGGTCCCTCCCCTGGCCAACCACCTGCTGACATTCTCCAACACCTGCCTAGACTTCTGCGGGCTGGACCACCCATAATGCATACAGAACTGCAAGCTCACTATGTCGAAGGGCTCTCTCAGCACCTCAGGCGGCAATTTATCCGCCAAGCTCTCCCCAAAACAGTCCAGCGCATGGAAAGACGCAGAAAAGCGGTAGCTACGCTCACGATAGCGAGCTTCTGCTTGTTCCACGGAGGTGGCGGCTATATCAGCCAGCAGGAGGTCGCGTATGCCGAGCTTGTCCCATTTCGCAAGGTCTCCGCCCTTACCTCCCCCGAGGTCCATTGCTCGACCTCCACGGGTGCCATTCGTGCCAATAAGGATCGACTTGACCCTGCACAAGCAGAACAGGAAGGCGAAAATTGGCTTATCAGTCACTGTGCGGTGAAGACTGCCGCCTCGTTTGCTGCGGTACTCACCAGTTGTTGAAGTTCTTCAATGCAAGAATCGGGCTTTGATCGCGCGCCTGCATGCCCACCTCTTGACGATTATTGTAGTGACGCGCGACCTCGTCTGGCGCGTTCTCGTATTTGATGCTGCCAGCTGGAGTGACTATGCCATTGCCGTGGCCTCTTGTAACAGCAGCCCCATTGCTGTTTCCACCGCTGCCGGTATTGTGGCCGACGCTTGAGGCTGACCCCCAGCCTGGCACCAGAATCTCCCAAAACCCGTCCCTGTCATCTCTACCCATCTCACGCTGCTTACGTCGCCAAACTTCGCGCAGCTTGTTGGAGCCACGCATCTCGATCACCTCATGCAGATGAATGAGCTGATCACGCGACATCGGGCGCATAACGCCGTCTGCGCGAGAGACGCGGCGAGTCGGTTGGTAGGCGATGGTGGATGATGAAGAAGGTAAGGATGAAAGAAGAGGAGCGGGTGGAGCAGTCCTGCTGCTGGTGGAGACTGGCAAAGGCGAGGAGGTGGTGGAGGAGGAGATAGACGCGGATGGTTCTTGCTTGATACTGGCGGCCACCCCATTGACGACCGATGGTGATGGCTTGCGATCTTGCATTCCGTCATCTTCCCCAGCGCCGGCCGTAGCAGGTCTTGGCGGCAGAGGCAAGCGCGGCTTCTTCGCTGCGGTCGCTTCCACGCTTGACGCTGCCGTTGCACCGCTCTCCGCCTCTATCGTATCAGTGGCAGCATTTGCCGTCGAACTCTTCCTCTTCTTTCCCATCGGCCCGTCCCTATTTGCAAGTTGCTCCATCTCCTCAAGGTCGAGCGCTTTCACCTTCCTCGGCACTGTCGTCGCCGAGGCCGAAGTGCTAGTGCTGGGCGTTGCTGAAGATGGAGAGGGCGATGGCATGCTTGAGGCGCTGGGAAGCCCGCTGGAGGCGATTTCGCTGCCGGCCGACACTTCAGCTGCTGGTATGACCGTGCCCGGGAAGACAGGGTCGATCTTAGGCTTTGAGGTACGACGCTGCGCCGTTGTCGGCGAGGCAGTCTTGGTTGCTTTCAGATCCTCGCCATGATCACCCTTCTCAGCCGGCCCCTTTGAGGACGAGGAGGATGCTGACGGACGCTTTGCCTTCTTCTTTGCGGGCGGCTTCTCAGCTGACTTGGGCGCTGCATCTTCAGCCTCCTCCTGCCGTACATCATCAGCTGATCCGGGCTTGCCGCCCACCGAGCCTTGTCCGGATGTGTACGATGATGTCCTTTCGCGCACGGCTACCTCCTCTGGCCCATCCCGTCGCACGGGTGGCCACGCATAATATCCCTCTCGAGGCTCCCCGCTCCCTCCAGGCGTGAGCGGTACACCTGGAGTAAGCGGCGGCGGATGAGCGCTGATCGGCCCACCGTAGCTACTGCCGCTACCACCAGCTCCTGGCGTGGTGGGCGGATAGAACTCATTAGGCGGAGGCACAGATCCGTACCCGCCGGGAGTCGATGCTGGTGAGTAGGCGTAAGGTTGATGGTAATTGGATGCAGAGCCACCCGGTGTCAAGGGCGGTAGAGTAGCCTTGACAAGATCCGGAGAGCGATGAGATGGCAAAGAAGGGACGCGAAAGCCGTCTCGACCCCGCGGGTGCTGGTCATACGTAGGGTAGGCGGCTGCATGGTGATGCGGAGGTAGAGGCACGACGCTGCCACCCGTCGGTGACTCGTAATACTGCTGAGGTGGCGGAGGCGGGACTGCTTCGGTGGGCGAGGTGGCCCAACGAGAGGCAAATTGAGGTATCGAGCCTGGGACGGGTGGGCTTCGCGGGTCGACCTGAAGGGGAAGAGGGCGAGGATGAAAGTACTCAGAGGACGATGAGGACGAGGAAGAAGGCCGGCCGCCCTCGTACAGATGCTGTGACGTCGATGAAAAAGACGGCCTGGCACTGCCTCGAATCATCGGTGATGGGTTCAGCACATTCGCAATGGGTAGCGACGGCGATCGCGAGGATGTATGCTGGGCGGCGGGCGGGGGCGTAGGCTGGCCGTGCGGGCTCGATGGCGTGACGAGGCCGTGGATCGACATTCGCGATGGGCGCAAAGGCGGGGAAGCATGTCGTGATGCCGAGCTTGAGGGACGCTCACCACCGACGGGCGAGGATGGTGTCGGGTTGAGGATGCTCATGATGCTGGCAGAGCGCGAGGGCCTTCGATAGTGTCCCTCTTCGTTGCCATCTTCGTCTGCGCCGAACGAAGACGAAGAATTGGTCCTCGGCATGGTAGGAGACGCAGCTGGATTCGACGATGCAGTCGAGTCTCTGATGGGGTCAAAGGGTGCCATGCTGTTGCGGTCGCACCCATATGCTGGGGCAGGAGGAGGTTGGACGAGGATGCGAAACGAGGGACGACTCGAGATGGTGAGACGGACAGAGACTTGCAAGTCGACTGCGAGGCGGAATCGCGGACTCGGACTTGGAGTCGAGTCGACTGAGGCTCGTGGCTCTCTGAATGCAGGTCAATCGGTGGACTGAGCACTGAGCGCCACGCTGCTCCACGCTTTGTTGAGTGTGTTGGTTGACTTTGCAATAGCAACCGACACTCGGCGCTTGGACCCTTTGCCTCATGCCTCCGTCTCCACCAAGCAATGGTGGTGGTCGAGCATCTCCGGCTCCCTCCGCCTCAACTCCAGCTACATCATCCCTTTCTCACCACCTAGCTGCAGCAGCTGCAGCATCGTCGTCGTCGTCGTCTACGGCTGCGCCTCGCGTCATCAAGCACCACAAGTCTAACTCCTCCCTCGCAGCAGCATCTTCAGCCTCGTCGTCCGCCTCCACTGCTCGCAGACCGACCTCAATAATCAGGCCCGCCTCACCTTCAGTAGCAGCGGCGCCGGCTGCCATGGCGGCTACCAACAGCGGCGCCGGCAACACGCCAGCGACGACCGTTGCAGTCTCGCTGACTCCCGCCGAAGAGGAGAGGATATGGAAGAGTCCCGCAGCCAGAAAGGCAGAAAGGAAGTGGAAGCGTCAAAGCGAGAAAACCTTGGCTTCTGATCCACGCTTCCGGAAGTATGCGGCTACGGTGGACAGGGCTTTGGCGTCCTTTGAGGCCGTCAATGAGTGGGCAGACTTTGTGGGCGCGCTAGCAAGGCTAGAGAAGGTGAGCAGGACCAACAGAGCTGGTTATGAGATCAACTGTATGCTGGAAACTTGCTGACCCCTCTTGATCCTCGCTGTCCTCGCAGATATTCGCTGCCCCTCCGCCCCTACCCACCTCCCTCATCCCAAACGCCCTCCTCCTAGCAAAACGCCTCTCTCAATGTCTCAACCCTGCCCTTCCCTCTGGAGTACACCATCGCGCCCTCTCCGTCTACAGGCAAATCTTCCTCTTCCTCTCCTTAGACGGGCTCCGCCGCGACTTGACCATCTGGTCGCCCGCTTTGCTTCCCTTCTTCGAGCGATCCAATACCAGTACGCGCCCAGCCATTTTGGGGCTGTTGGAGGACTTCTTTCTGCCACTGAAGGAGGATCTCAAACCGATTACTCGCCCATTCTTGCTAGCCGTCTTGCCGGGCTTGGAGGAGGAAGGAGCGGAAAATTTTGATAGGACGCTCAAGCTGTTGGATGGGCTGGAGAAGTGTGTGGATAAGGACCTCTTTTGGCGTTGCCTGTGGGCTACAGTCATCGGCAATCCAGCAATTGGACAGGCGGCGGTGCACTTCCTCCATAAGAGGTCCCCGCCCATACCGCAGCAACTCAAGACTACTTCAGAAGCGAATGCAGCTGGTCTCAGCGACGGAAGGCAGCAGAAGCAGCCACTGTTGGCGCATCTCGTATTGATGCCCAGGGCCCTTTCTGCTCTGCTATCATCACAAGAGCTCCTGACCATTCGAGGTGGGCTCGACTTGCTCCTTCAGCTGCTACCTCTCGACACTGTCTTCTACCACTCGATGCCTAGCGAGGATCGCTTGGAGCTCATGCAGAGCGCTATCGGCGTTGTAAGAAGGAGAGAGTTGAGCCTCAATAGACGGCTGTGGTCCTGGCTGGGAGGTACAGGACGAAGCGCGGCTCATGCTGCAGCTGTACGGCAAAGTTCTGCGTCTGCATCCCTCCGCTCGCGGGATGAGACCCTAGATAGCGAAGAGCAAGAGCTTCTCTACTTGCAAAGCTTCGGCCTTGACGATCTGCGAGAAGCTGTTCTCTTCGATGTACGCGCTTGCAGCTACGAACCTACAAAGAGTGGGTGTGCTAGCAACGACTCAGAGAGCGAAGATGAGGACCCTCATCAAGACGAGCAGGATGCTCAACGCAAGTTGACTGCGGCCCAGCGACCTCTTCGCGTCTTCCTAGCTCTCCTCGACAAGTGGAGCGTAGGTGCCGCCCTGACGGACTCAGCGGTTCTGGATGTCTGGGCTTCTCTACGGACGATCCATATCCGGTATGGGGCAGACGCAACAAAGGATCTGATGACGACGGCAACCATGCTCTTTGACGCGGTTGACAAGTCCATCCTCACGCGTAAGCTTGTCGAGGGAATTGCGGCCGACTTCACCCAAGGCTCGCCGGAGACTGTGGGTCTCTTACTGTTCATCGTGGAGCATTTCAGCTTCAAGGATGATCTCTCCCGCGCCATCCATCTGCCGCATCTACTTCTACTGCTGATTGAGCAAGCGGAGCGTGCCCTGAAGCAGGCGTCGTTGGACAAGCAGAAGACATTTCTGTTACTTCAAGAAGCCATCAAAGCATGCAAAGCGCTGCTCGACCTTATCGACCTACCCGCGGTACAGAGATTAGAGGCAGAGGGCAGCGCAACATCGGACTCTGTCGCTACGCTGAAAGCCTTCTACAGCTCGCAGAGCACGGACAAGGTTCCAATCGACTTCCGAAGCCACGCCGTTCAGCAGGCTTTGCTTCAGTGCTGTGCAAGTCTCTTTCAGCAGGCTGAATCGACAGTGGGCCGGGATAGGCAGGAGCGACAATCTCTGATCATCTCCGAGGCCAGCTTGAACCTCTGCACTGCTCTCTTTCGCAAGATCTCAGCAGGCACAGCTGCGGTGGCTTCATCCGCAGACGCGGCCAACGAGACTTCGCAATGCTCTCTTAGCCTCCCGCTTGGTTGGACTCATCTACTCCTCGGGAAGGCGGGCAAAGCCACGAGCTTTTCCGAGCTTGAGTCCGCTCTGTTCACCATCGACGCGGTAATCAGCTGCCCTTTGCTCGTTCCGAGACTGGATCTTCTTTCCAACGAATCGAAGCGGCAAACATGCGCCGTGTACGCCAACGTCCGTCAATTCCTTCTGCCAGACGCAGTCATGTTTCACGGCCGAGCAGTCGACCTTTTCTGGCTTCTCGATTCGCACACGGCAAAGGAAGGCTTGCTCCAGACCTTATCGTGCGCTGAGATCCTCTCTGAGCGACGCATGGACCAGTTTCTGCTCGCGTTCGGCGTAATATGGAGGTTGTCGGACCCAGCTAAGCTCTCCTCACCAGCATGTGCTGCTCCGCTTGGGCATTTCCTTGACCTCTTGCAATCGCCGGATCAAAGACGTCGCCAAGCTGTGGAGACTTGGCTGCGGGTGAACGTTCGATCCTATGCTCCTATCTTCAACCTCATACTAGGGTCATTCCGACGCGCAACTGGTTCGGGGAGCATGGCGCACTGTACCATCAGATGCGCTGAGGGCACCGATGTCAAGACGCTGGTCTATACACATCCCTTCGACCACAGACTGCTCAATCACTGGCTATCTGTCCTGTTGGCCATCGCGAGGTACGGCGGAGCTGGATTCGTACGAGCAGCGACGACGACGTCGCCATCACCTTCGACAGGGCCAACCTACATGGAGGAATGCCTGGCCATCTTGCTCCGCCTTCTTCGGACATCGCGCCGAGCCTCGTATAGTGACCTCGACGCGACCACGCATACCCATTGCGCTGATTTTCTGCAACTTGCGGCCTCGAAGAATGGCTTCACTACATCGCAGCTCGCCGACATTGAGACTTTGCTGCTGGAGCGGCTCCTCGTCGGCATTGAGGGGCCTTCAGGGCTGAATCAGCACCGACTTCTTTTGGCGCTTCACACAGTCATATCGTCCAAAGCTGGTTTCCACGCTCGGCAGCGCGATGTATCCGGCGGCGATGGCAGCAATGGCAGCAGCAGCGGGTCCTCCCCGTCTACTGCGTTCAACCCACATCCCCTGCTCCTTCGCACGCTTCGCGCCGGCCTGGCCCAGCCTGGCCGCTACTCATTGCTCCCGCACTGGGCAGACTTTGTCCTGATGACGCTGCCGCAGTACCGCCGCTGCATGGCGTCACTGCTCGTCCCTCTCCACACAAGCGTGTGCAAGACGATCGTTGAGGCAGAGGCAGAGATACATGACGTCTTCCACGGCCCATTGCCGGAGGTTCAACGGACCACATCGTCCTTGCCTTCGCTTTCTTTATCAATGCGAGAGGACGACTTTGTGACACTGATCAACGTTTCCGAGCGCATCGTCTTGCTATGCCTCGAGGATGACGGCGGCAATCAACACAAGTCGGAAAGTCATAGACATCAGGAGACAGGTCACTCGGCATCAGGAAGTGGAATTGCTCAGCCGCCCCCTGCCGTTCTACAAGCAGCTACACCCTCGTCAAAGAAGACGGCTTCAGGCAATCCCACGATTGAGGAGAATTCATCGCAGCAGCAGCAGTATCCCCACCAGCAAGTGTCAAATGACGTGCCTGCGGCAGGAAGCGGCGTAGGCATCTTCGGCTACGTGACCGGCATCTTCGGTGGTGAGTCGACGCCAGGCAACGGGACACCGCAGCTTGGCACGCCTCCTACCAGCCCGTCCATCTTGGCTCTCCAGCTCTGCCTGCGTACGCTCCACTCCCTCTGGGTCGGATTGAGTGATGAGCAGGCGCCGCGCGATGACGACCAGCGGGCAACCACGTTCGCCGTGATGAGCGGTAAAGTCCGTCAGCGTGTCAGACGCTGCTTTGAGCGACTCTACAAAGTTCAGCCTGCCGCTACGCTTGAGACGCTGGTCGATTGCTGGGGTCGAGCAGGTGCCGGGACAGCAGGCAAGATACAGGCAGAGAGCATCTTTGAGATTGTCAACCTCCTCGTCGCAGGCCACAAAATGGTCGTCACCTTCCTGTGCGACCTGCTCGCGCAGCGCCTGCCCTCGCCAGGCACATCGAGGCCAAACTGGACGCCCAATCAGCTAGTATCAGAGGGCATGCTTATGAGCTTCCTCGAAGTGTATGTGACGCGACTGGAGTCGCCTGCTGCGGCTCAAGGCGTTTGGCCCATCATCGTGGTACTCGTCAAGGATCTCATCGCAAATAGCACGGCCTACAAGGGTTATCTTCCTCCTGCGCTGCGCTGTTTGACTGTGCTCGGAGAGAAGCTGCTGGCGTCGTCTGCCGCGGCGTCAAGCACGTCCACGATGACGGCAGCTGCTGTTGCGCCACCTCCTGAGGACCGCAGGATGCGCCGCGAGATGCAAGAAGTTTATGTCAAGCTCTTCGACCTCTGCGTCCTGATCGCCGGCCGTTCATTCGAGGCTGCTACGGCCAACTGGATGATCCCGGCACGCACCGACTTCGGCGACGAGAAGGCTGCGATGAGCGGCTCCATCGCTTCGCTCAGCGACTTCTCCTCCTCGGCCCTCGTCGACTACTTAAGCAGCACCGCACTTCCCGCACTCCGCAAGATCGCCTCAGACCAGGACAAAGTCTCCTCGTGTTGCAACAACGCCATCTATTACATCCTCTCCCCGCCTCTCCGCATCAAGAACGCGCATCGCTCCTTCGAGCACATCGACCCTTCCATCTTAGCTCTGGCGACCGAGATCGGCCGCACTGTGCCTCTTTCATTGAAGACATTGCGCGGCCCTGTCAGCGACGCCTTCATGGACGGACGTTTCTTCAAGATGAGCGCTACAGCGGGCAAAAGGTGGCGTGGCCCGATCGTATTGCTCTATGCAACGGATAGGGATCGCTACTTCGTAGGCGAGGTGCTGGGTCGGATCAGCGCGACGGCGTCGGCGAACATCTTTACCAATCGCGAGGCAGAGGTTGTGGCGCGGTCGCTCAGTTTGAGGAGATTGACCTTCGTCCTCTTCTCTGGTGCCAAGGACCAGTTCCTCGCGCAATTGCCCCAGGTGCAGGAAAAGCTCGTCGAGATGCTGCGCAGCCACCCTATACCGGATCGTGTGGCAGCTGAGGCGTATCTATGCCTGCGAGTAATGCTGCTTCGCTTTCAAAGCAGGCATCTGACGACTCTCTGGCCGATCATCATCACGGAGCTCGTCCGCCTGTTTGAAAGTTATGCAAGCGGAGGAGAGGAAGGGGGCACGGCTACGCAGCATTTGCCTGCCGATGGGTCCGATGGAGTGCATCTGCTCGTGGCAGCGTGCAAGTTCGTCGACGCGCTGCTCTGCTTGAGGACGCCAGAGTTTCAGGTACATCAGTGGCTGTTCGTCAATGACTCTGATTTGGGAGGGGATGAGTTTGGCTTGGAGGAGGGTTTGTTCGACCGTTTGGCAGAGGCGATCGAGGCGAGTGGAGCAGCTGGGTCCGGTGGCGGTAAAGGAGCTGCTTCTGTGGCGGCGGCGCCATCGTCGCTCCGAAGCAAGAGCAGAGGCGGCGTACGCGAGCCTCTGCTGACGGGCGTGCGAAGGTTGAGCGGGCTTCGCGATCTCGTGCCCTTCCTGCGCCTGGCAAGCAGTACTAGCTTCCAGCGCAGTATTGCCGGTGCTGCCAAGGGCGATATGAATTGGGCGGCTCTGGATCGTGATGTGCTTGCGGACCTGTTCGAGGGGTCCGCGTGAGGCGAGGACGAAGTAGCGGTTGCATGTTGCTTGCTCTCAATGATATGATACCCTTTTGCGATGCTGTTTGTGTGTCCATGGTCATTCCTTTCATCGCCTCACGCCCTCCAAAGATGTACACTCATGTCCCAAGCCGTGCTTGCGACGAGTCCCTCCTGGAACAAGCTCCAACCCAGTCCCACGACGAACTCGGTATGCCCATCATGTAGACTTCTCATCGCTCCCGGCCCACCGCCCGCCTGACCCAATCTACTAGCCACCGAGGCGAGCGATGCTGATGGGTGGTCCACATCCCACACGCGCGCCGTCATGTCGTACGAGGCAGATGCGAGAAGCGAGGGCGAGTGAGGCGAGAAAGCGACTTTGCGGACCGCGTACTCGTGGCCTGTGCAGATTGCGGTCACTTGGCCTAGACCACCGCCTGCCCCAGCTGGTGCGCCTGGAGGGGGCCGTGCCATCGACCCTGCGGATGACGAAACGCTGCGCAGATCCCAGACCTTGACAGCCTTGTCTGTGCTCCCAGTCGCGAGGTTGAAGGTACGGTACTTGTTCCAGTCCAGCGTCAGGACTTCTCCACCGACGGGAACTGTAGCTATTGGCTGTGCCCCTGCTACGGCACCTGGGTTTCCTGCCGTAGGGGCAGGGTTGGCTCTCAGGTCAAAGAGGCGAGCATGACCGTCTCCGCAAGCTGTTGCGAGCACATCGGGTGAATGTGGGGACCAAATTGCCGCATAGACGCAGGCTGTATGCGCAGTCATGGTCGTGAGGCTGCGTGGCTGGTCTGGGTGCCACACTTTGACACTAGCATCCCAGCTACTAGAGAGAAAGATGTCCTTTTTGATGTTGTTCCAGTCGACCGAAAAGACCTCTCTTGTATGCTCGTGCCAATTGCGTATCGGGTAGTCGTTGAGCGTAGCATCCCACAGCTTGATGCTGCCATCCCCTGACGCAGTCGCTAGTTGATTCTCGTTGATCTCTGACCAAGCAACATCGTAGAGACCGTCTTGCGTATCGAAGCTTCGAACAGGATGCAGGCGTGAGTTGGTGCAACTTGGCAAGAAGAGTTTCGGCTGGCTCTCACACTTTTTGCACTCCCAGCTGCGGCAGGGCGCCCCCAGGTGCGTCTTGCACGCCTACCAAATGAAGCCTGCCATTGCCCACCAGACCGTACTGCGAGCAATGAAGGGTGCAGATGTGTCAGGCTTCGTGTATGCATCTTTCCACGTCCACTCGTCCGTCCTTCTCACATTCGCGGCGGCTGCAACAGCCAGTCTATCCGGGTAGAATGGGCTCCAGGCCACATTATGGCCGGCAAAACCTGGCGTGTCCAGGCGCGAGTGAGGGCCTGATGGTGGTCGACGTTGCATTACCGGGAAACGAGGGAGGTGGTCGAGGAGGAAAAGAGAAGAGCGGCAAAGCAGGCCCAAGTTCCGGCTCACCTCGACATTCGTCTTGCCCGCCCGCCTCCACCCCCGAAAGCGCTTCTTCCGAAAGGCGAGGGCGGACTGGGCGCCAAGGGAGGCGGGTGAATCAGCCTCGCTTCAATACCATCTCGAGCAACGTCCCATTCACGGAAGGCAAGGCTATATGCTAGCTACGCAGTCGTGTCCATGGCGGACCTCAGCAGGACGAAGACTATGTGGCGCGCGGTTGATTCCGTCCACATCGTTATCGTGGCCGCCGAGGCCGAGAGCGGCCGTTCAGGTCCGGACCCTCGAGTCGGATGCTGGTCAACGCTCCCCAACACCAACCACGCAGCCTCCCATCGCAGTCTTGGGCGCAGGGCTGAGCGGACTCACTACGACTCTATACCTCTCACGGGCCCTTCCACATCGGCGCATCATCCTGTTTGAGGCGTCGCAAAGGCTAGGCGGATGGGTCCAAAGCGAACGCCTCCAGCTACCCAGCGGCAAGCAGAGCGTCCTCCTCGAGGCGGGACCTCGCAGTGTAAGACCAAAGGGTGTCTCCGGATGGAGCACAATTGAGACACTACATTCGCTCGGACTCTTGAATCAGCTGCTCATCGTGCCAAGCTCGAGTCCGTCGGCCAAGAATCGCTTCATCTGGTATGGCGGGCAGCTCAACAAGCTACCCTCCTCCCTCCCTGCCTTTCTCGCCTCACTCTTCCGCCTTCCAGTGCTACGCTCCCTCATCTCCTCAGCCCTGTCAGGCTTACTACGTGAGCCTTTCAGGCCTTCTCGCTTCGCTCGTCCCAAGTCAGAAAGCCCAGACGAAGTAGCCCGCCAACGGAGCCGCGAGCACCTCATCGACGAGTCCGTCGAGTCCTACATCCGTCGACGCTTCGGCGACTCGTTCGGCTCTCAGCTCCTCAATAATGTCCTCTCTGCAGTGCTACATGGTATCTACGCTGCAGATACGCGACAGCTTAGCGTACGCAGCACACTCTCCATGCTCTGGAAGACGGAGCAGCGACACGGCTCTCTATTGCGGGCTATTCTGCCGCCCAAGTGGAACAAGCGATACAGGCCGCCAACGAAGGGTGAAGAGGAGGCGCGAGCGAGGGAGGAGCAGGAGATTGCAGCTGTGAAGGCCGAGGTCGGGCCTGAGTGGACCGCGAAGCTGGAGAAGACTAGTGTGTATAGTCTGAGAGAGGGGCTGGGCGAAATTGTGACTGCGATGAGTGATGAGATAACAGCAAGGCGTAACGTCTCTGTTCGGCTGGGTGACGGTGTAGAAGGCATCTCAGAGGCCAAGGATGGGGCGAGCCTCTTTGTCACAACACAAGACGGTGAAGATGTACCCGTTTCGCGGGTCATCTCTACGCTGTCGTCGTACAAGCTCGCTGATATCCTGGCCAACACAATAGAGGGGGCGAAGCCGGTGCTTGAGGGAGGAGCGTCCGTACTCTCATTGCTCAGGCATAACCCGTCGACGAATGTGGCCGTCGTCACGTTTGCTATACCGCAGGAGGCCATAGCAGCGATGCCCGGTGGCAGGCGGCATCGCCTCCTCCCAGTCGATGAAGGATTCGGCTTCCTCGTGCCGCGAACAGAGACGCCCAACAATGCAGACGGAATCCTCGGCGTCGTGTTCGACTCGGACGCTATCCCGGACCAGGATTCACCAGACGGTGCTGATGGAGGTGTAACGAAGCTCACGGTAATGATGGGCGGCCCGCACTTTGCTCACGCGACCACACTACCCAGCGAGGATGAGTGTCTCAACCGAGCAGTACGTGCGCTGGACCGCTTCCTGAGTATCCCAGAGAGCGTATCGTTGCACTCATCCAGTCTGGTACAAGCACGCGTGCAAGCCAATTGCATCCCTACGTACCTGCCCGGGCACTACTCACGGATGAGAAGTTTGGGCGAGGAGCTGGCGAGGGCGACCGCTGCGGGTGGAGGGAGAGTGGCCGTCGCTGGGGCGAGCTACACGGGCGTGAGCGTCAATGATGTGATCAGAGAGGCCAAGTTGACGGCGCAGAGAATCGCCAGAGCCGAGGAGCGTGAGAAGGCTAATGGCGGCGGCGACATTATTGCGGTGACGGGGCTGGAGGCGTTCGCGGCGGAGGACTGATTAGGGAATTGATATCCATTGTTTTGCTTGCCTGGCCCGCATTGAGTGAGAGCGCAACGCACTGATACCTAGCTACGAAAGATGCTCGTCATGGCCTTCAGTAAAGACCCTCGCTGATCATCGTGAGGCGACGGTGACGCGCCAATGAGAAGGGGCTTCCTCGTCGTCGTTGAGTCTTTGGCCGCACGGAGAGGCGCGAGACGGACACGGAGATCGGCGCTTTGGCTCCATGGGCGCCTCCGCCTCGCCTCTGGCCCTCGCGCCCACCCGCCTCTCCGCGTCCGCTCGTCGACATCCGGTCTCTGCATCTTGCTTTTGCTTTCTACTCGGTCAACATCCTACCTCGCATCGCTTCATCTCACCACTCGTATTCGGCTCAGCCATGGCGGCTGCCGGACCGGCCATTGCAGCAGCAGCAGCGGTCGATGGCGGTGGAGTCAATTCCTCTTCGACTGCTCCCGCCGCTTCTGCAGGTGGTGGTGGTGGTGCTGCTGCTACTTCAGCGGGCCACTCGTCGTCGACACCCGTTGTCGAATGGGAGGACAATGAGGTGGCTGCGTGGCTTGCATCGCTCAACTTGTCATCCCTCGCTGCGTCCTTTGCTGAGCAAGGCATCGTAGGCGACGTACTCATTCAGCTCGACAATGACGCTCTCAAGGATCTCGGCGTTGATTCCGTGGGACAGAGATTGGCTCTTCTTGGCGGCATATACAAGCTCAAGGAACAATGGGGACTCGAGATTGACCAGGGCGACTATCGACCGCAGTCCGAAGATATCCCAACAAGTGGCGCAAGTGGCAACAGCGGCGTCGAATTCCTCAACATGACCGATTCATCATCAACGTCTCCGGTCACTGTCGCCCAGCTCGTTGCCTGCCTCAAGCAGCGAGATGAGCGCATCATTCGGCTCGAACATGAGCTCAGACGGACGACAGTCTTTCTCGCCAAGTTCCAATACGACTTCACAGGCGTCTGCCGCTACCAAGGCCTCAGAGCACCAACTACCGACTATGCATTCCAGCCATTCGTGCCAGGCGCTCCCGGGTCATTGTCTCTACCTGGACCTGGACGCAAGCTGAGCGCGGCCGGCGGCGGCGGGCTCACATCGCCCCACGTCACTGGCTTGCCAATACCGTCGCCTGCGAATTCGCTGGCTTCGCTACCCCGAACGCATGCCCAGGGAACGTCGGACTCGCACCACGATGATGCGGAGGAACGCATTCGTACGCCTACTAGCGCTAATGGGATGGCTGATCATGGAGAGCCGCCGCTGTCACCTGCTGGGTCTGCCTCGCAGTCAGCCGGGCATGCAACAGGTAGTGGTCTCGCGGCGGGAGGTGGCATGGTATCGATGGACGCATATGCCGGCAGTGACAGCGCCCCTCTGCGATCGCCTGCAAAGGCGCCATCGACCGGAGGAGCCTCGACGCCTACCAGTGGCACTCATCCTTCGTGGCTGCGAGCCGCGACACCCAATTCGTCGAGTAGCGCTCAACCTTTAAGTGCCACTCGAATGCGCGGTCCCGCTTCTCCTCCGCCCAGGCACGCAGGAAGAGCGTCACCGACGTCAGCTACGATGAAATCAGCGGCAGCCAGCTCTAGTGCAGGTCCTTCGGCGGGACATAGCGCAGGCCCATCGTCCGGCAGGTCAGCCATCGCGCCAGCGACTGCATCGACGTCTGGCACTACGCCCGCCTCGTCCGCCTCGTCCACAAATCGCGACTTTGTCGGCACAGCCACAACGCTGGGTACGGGAGACAACCCCTACAAGTCCTTCCGCGTCACCCTCGAAGACCCCTGCTACAAGGTTTTGCCCGCTGCGCTGAAAAAGTACAAGATCAACGACGATTGGCGTCTCTACGCCCTCTTCATCTGCTACGGAACCACAGAGCGCTGTCTCAGCTACGATGAGAAGCCGTTGCTCCTCTTTCAGAAGCTCAAGGAGGCGAGGCAGAATCCCGTCTTTATGCTTAGGCATATACGCGATGTCAAGTCTCCGATTACGATTGCCAATGCAAAGGCTGCCGCGAGGCGAGGGAGCGCGACCGACAACAAGCCCGTAGCCTCATCATCTAAGGCACCCGCGTCGAGGATCGTGAGCGGACAGGAAGCGGTAGCCTGGCATGCCCCGGCTGGGAACACTGGCAGCGATATTCTTCTGACTGGGCCTGCAGCTCAGCTGCCCAAGGCACCCACAGATGCCCGCACCTACGCCATTGCCATCTATCCCTACGTTTGTGAGCGAGATGACGAGTTTGACGTGAGCGTAGGCGACACCTTTGTCGTGCTATCGAAGGCCAAGGGTTGGTGGGTGGTGCAGAGCGACTCGGATGCCACAGGGCAAGGCGATGTGCGGGATGCAGCGCAGGCTGGTCTTCAAGAGATCAAGTCAGGCTGGGTCCCTGCGGGCTGTCTCATTGAGACGTCCAGGCCGCTCGCGCCGGTCTTTGCTGCAGCAGCGGCGGCCGAAGGAGATGGAGGGACCGCGCGAGAGAAGAAGTCGTCTGCGCCTATCCCACCTCACCTCATCACGTCGACATCCACGCCCGGGGTCATGCTCATGGACTACTCGTCGGCGCATACGGCCGCAGCGATCGCATCCGCCTCGGTCAAGGACACAAATGGCAGCTCCGGCGCTACCGCTGGAAGTAGTACGGGGGACTTGCTCACTCCTGGCAGCAGCAGCGCTGAGGGAGGTTCAGCCTCCCCGTCAGCCATGGCGGCTCTGGGAGGCGACGTGGAGCTGAAGCGTGACCACCGACTACGCGTCTTCAAGCGATACAATCACTGGAGCTACGTGGTCAGTTTGGAGACGCAGGCCAGGCTGTGGGTACCCTCGTGGTTCATCTCCAAGCCGCCCTCGTCGAGTAGCAGCGCAAATGCTAGTAGCAGCGCGGGTACGACAGGTGGGAGTGGGAGCAGCGCGTTGAAAGCGAGTGGGCACAGCGGAGAAGGGTCAGGCGGCGGCGTTGGTGGAGGTGAAGGCGCGGGGCCATCGTCAACGAGCGCAAATGCGGGATCTTCAGCTGCGGCGACAGACGAAGGCTACACTTGAAGGTCACTCAACATCCACACTCTTTCCTTTTCCTTGTCATCATCAACTCTGTATGTCTCTATTGCCTTGCGTCGAAATGCGACGGTTTGCATACCCCATCCCATCTCACCTGACGCGCACGCTTAGGCATGTCACGCACCCCTCGAGAGCCTCAAAGTCTGCCACATCGGCCGTGATGACGTTCCAGCCTTGCGCTTCGAGCTGAGCCTTGGTACGCGGCGCAGAAGAGGAGAGGAGCACGTCCTTGCCGCCAAGCTCCACGACTGCCACGCCCTCGTCTTCTGCCACCTCGATCCAAGGCGTCTCGCCTTCTTCCTTGATCCGCAGTGTCTTTGAGTCCGGGCGAGATGCGCCACCTTGCATGGCGGCGAGCAGGAAGTGGGAGCCACAGGGGAGAGCGGTCGTCGCGGACTCTGTAGGGCGCCAAGGCGTGAGAATGTCGTCCAGTAGACTGACATACGTGTGAACTCACTCAGGTGCAGCCAGCCCTTGCCTCCCATGTCGACAGTCACGACCTTCCAACCGCGTTTCATTCCCATCTCTCGCTTGATCACTTCAACGCCCTCCTTGTTAGTCCTTCCCGACAAACCCACGTAGACCGTCTTCTCCTTGGCGACCTTGAGCACATCGCCGCCGTCCATCGTGGCATGTCCCGTTGAGTCTACCTTGTCATCGTAAAAGTCCACAAGCTCGAAGCCGCGCTTCTTGACCAAATGCTCCTCAACCGCGCTCTTCGCCGTCGCGTACTCTTTGCGGCGCTCCTCACTACCAGATCGGACGAGCATGACCACGCCCGGCTCTCCAGGGAAGACGACCACTGCATCCTCGATGAAGACGCCATCAGGGCACTCATCCGCTGCCTCTACTTCAATCACGTCCCATCCCCGCTGCCGAAAGACGTCGACATACGCCTTCCACTGTGCGAGAGAGCGAGCGAGTGTGGGTGGGTCGGCCGTGCGTGGTGAGAGGTGGGTGAGGATCCCCTCGGACAGGCGGGGAGAGGGCTGTCGGACCAGGAGGAGTGGATGCAAAGACATGGCGGCGGGTGTACGATGAGTCAGGGCAATGCGTCGGGCCGAGAGTGAGGCTGATTCAGGTCCCGGCCTTTCCTGCTTGGTGATGAGGGGGATGAAAGCAACACTGGCCCGGGGCGAGTGGAGAGCAACACATGCAGACGGCTGTATATTCAGGCACGCGGCTGCATGTTAATCAAGCGGCTGTATATTAATTGGTAAATTGGCTGCTTTGTCATCACTCCTAGTTGGTCCAGTGGTTAGGATCGCCGCCTCTCATGAGAAATCAAGCGGCAATTGTTCGATTCCCTGAATACGCGGCTGGCCCGGGTTCGATTCCCGGACTGGGAAAATTTTTGAGCCCGCTCTTTGCCACCGTCTAGCTCACTGAGTTCTGCAGTTCTGTCCCTCTTTTTGCCCCTCACTGATGCTGCGTCACACAAAGCTCGTGTACATCCAGTCTGGGCCCAGATTGACCCTGCGATGGCCCCGCAATGCCCGCTCAAAGTCGAGGCGTTTCGCCCGTATTTGGCGCGGTGCCGCTGGGGGCAGGGGCACCCTCCATTCTCACGCTCACGACGTTTTGTGCAACTAGATCTGCGCTCGATTCTCGGTATATTGTATCGTCTGTGACGTCGTCCTCGCTGCAGGCAAACGAACCTCTCACCCCACACGCGCCGCCAGCTCTTCCCTCTCCTTTGCCAGGCGAGCTAACAGCCGGCTTCGCCTGGAGGCAGCATCATCGTTGCTGCTGCGGGCAGCCTCGCACGATCTCGTCGCACTATCGTCTTCGACGTTGCTTGGCGCGACATACTCCCTCCCCACGCGCTCTTCAACGGCTGAAGGGCGCCGCACCCACTTGCCAGCGCTCTCTCCGACCCTTGCGTCCACCCGCTCTCCACCTCGCTCGAGACGCCATGACGACGCCTGCGCCGTAGAGGAGCCTTGCCTTCGTGTCGCCATTCCCCTCATGTCATATCTCACTCTTCGGTCAAATTCAGCGCAACTTCTGGCCCCACTGCGCAACCAGGTGGCCACCTCATGACAGAAATGCTCAGCAAGGCGCTCTGCACCTTCCACGCCAAAGAGATCCGCCAGTAGTCTGACACTCCCCTCGCTCCTCACCTCCAGGCTTTTGAACACCTCTCCGACGTACGTAGCGAGAAAGGGAATGTCCGCCCCCGGGCCCAGTGGTAAAGCTTGGATCTCTCGGCGGAGAAAGGGCAGCAGCTGCGCGACCAGGTGAGGAAAGGAGGCGAGCTCGCCAGCAGTGGGGCAAGGGCGAAAGCCTGTGTGTCGATTGGAGCCAATGTGCAGCGCGTAGAGGCTATGACGGTAGATGTATTTGCGGATAGACAGAGCGCGCGACTGTTCGTGGAGGATGCTGGATGAGGAGGGTGTGCCGGAGAAGGGGGAGCGACGAGCTTCTCTTGCTTGCCGTAGCAGCCTGCGTTGCCGTCGTAGTCGCTCAGTTGCCATGCTCTGTCTCGCGATCATTCCATCCATCTCCCTTGTCTCCTCTGTGCTCTCCACCGCTGCCTTGTGTCCACCGCTCACCGGCCTCAAGTAGTGCCTCTCATAATCCACCTCGCTCCTTACCCTGTGAAGGATGTACGGGCCCACATCGGCATTGCAGAGCGGACAGGTACGCTTTTGTTCGGTCCATTGAAGGATGCAGGGGAAACAGAAGAGGGAGTGCTGGCAGAGCGGGAGGATGGCCCGATCGTCGACGGACGTCGGAGACGAGAGGCAGATGAGGCAGCCGATGGGCGACGAAGGGGTGGAGGGGATGCTGCCGTCTTGATTGTCGTCGTTGTTGGGCGGCGTGGAGTCATGATCGGCTGCTGTGGCGCATGGGACGTCCATTTTATCGTCGATGGGCAAATTGATTGGTGAGCGCTCCCTAGCCGGGAGGTGGCGACATCGGTGCGAATGATGGCGGGAGCGTTCCGCTGCCTTGCTATCGCTAGCCGGTCCTGAGGAAGAGGAGCCACTAGCCTGCTGCTGTCTCCTCACTACCTCGGAAGAGCACAGAGGGCTTGCCACCCCCCTGCTGTCCTCCTCTTGCATGAGAATGTGGTTGGGAGGAAAGCGAAGTCAAAATGACTCCAATCCGCTGCGCATGAGATCGTTGGTCCGAGCGTCGCCTCCGTCCGTCGATCTCGTTCCGTCCCCGCTCCTTTCATTTAATCTTCTGGCTCCTTTGTGCCCGAAAGCAATGGCGGCATCGGCGATCATCGATCGTCAGACTTTTCAGGGGAATGCAGAGGACGAACAGGTGGAAAGACTGCTCGACAACTCAAAGACCCACACCAGCCCGCCAGCAGCCTCGCTCAAAGGTACCAGTCTTTCCCAGCGAGGACGGCATTTCGTCGACGATCAGGGAAGGGTGGTAAGTCTGAGAGGGTTCAATGTGAGCGCAGCGAGTAAGCTGGTAAGTTTGTGCGGGGGATACGGCAGCATCAGAACGTCTAAGCTCACGATCGCCAATAGCCCACAAGCCCAGACGGCCTCACCAAATTGGACTCAGCTACGTGGTTCGACCACCGCAACGTCAGCTTTGTAGGGCGACCATTTCCACTTGACGAGGTGAGGCGTGAACTCTTCGGCGCCATCGCTGTCATTTGCGCAAGCTAATGTTGCTACCCCTCACGACCCTACGCCAGGCTGCCTACCATTTCAGCCGCATACAATCCTGGGGGTATACCTTCATCCGTCTCCTCGTGCCCTGGGAAGCCCTCGCCCACTCCGGCCCATTCACAATCGACCAAGAATATGTGGCCTATGTCCGCTCCCTCCTGATCACTGCTGCCGACGTCGGCATCAAGGTCGTCATCTCCGCGCATCAAGACGTCTGGAGTCGCCTCTGCGGTGGGAGTGGCGCTCCCGGTTGGACGTTTGAGGCTGCTGGGCTGGATGTGAGAGAGTTCATGGAGACCAAGGCGGCTTATGTGCACAATCTCGATGATGACGAAGGAGGCAGCAAAGGAGATCCGCGTGAGATCAGCGGGCCCTTTGTCTGGCCGTCTGGCTACCAGAAACTTGCGGCAGCTACGATGGCGACCCTCTTCTGGGGAGGCGATATCTTTGCGTGGAAGCACCGGGTGTCGATCGACCCCACAGAAGCAGCAGCATCGCAGGACATCCTCAACGGTCATCTCGAGTCGTCTTCCTCCACCACGCCGATCCAAGCTCTCCTCCAATCCTCCTACCTCCACGCGTACGGCAAGCTCGCTGACGCGCTCGCCGGCATTCCCTCTCTACTGGCCTTCGAGGTCCAGAACGAACCGCACCGAGGATTCATAGAGCTGCACAGCTGGGATAGCTGGAAGTACGAGACAGATCTTCACATCGGGCATTATCCTTCGTTACTGCAGGCACTGGCCTTGGGCGAGGGGCACAAGCAGATGGTGCCCTACTACGTCAAGACGTGGCCTTGGCCGACGAGGAGGTCGCATTGGTCTGAGGTAGATCCCAAGGGGAGAAAGTGCTGGCTTGCATCGCGCGACAGCGAGCCAGCAGGCTGCCTTTGGGCGCGACATGGCGCTTGGAAGTGGAATGCTTCTTCGAGACGTGCGGAGGTGCTGCGACGCGACTACTTCACCCATGACCCACGGCCACGCGATATGGCTCCGGACACAGCGGGCCAGCCAGTAGAGTGGTACCGAGACTGCTACGTCCCCTTTGTGCGGCGTTTCGCCGATCGCATGCGTCGCAATCACGGCGACGCCCTTCAGGTCTGGTTCGAGCCCATTCCCAACGAGTACCACCCTCCTTGGCCCCCAGCATCCCTCGCACTCGCCCCCGATTCGGACGCTCAAGCACGCGAAGACCTCGCAGCGATCTCGCGCGCCAGCACAGGGCAGCGCTACGCTTCACAAGTGGACCTGACCTCCTCTCAATTGTCTAGGCCAGAGAATATCGTCTACTCACCGCACTTCTACGACCTTAATGTGCTGTTCGGCAAGGTCTTCAATGGGTGGTTCAGCGTCGACGTCCAGGCACTGAGCAGAGGACCATTGCTGCCTACGGCTCTCTTCCTTGGGCATGGGGGACTAAGACGCAATTATCTCGGGCAGCTGAGCAACGTTGCACGCTTCGCTCGCATGTCATTAGGTGAGGTCCCAGTCATCATTGGTGAGATAGGCATCCCCTTTGACATCAACGGAGGCGTCGAGAGTGATAAAGATGACAAGCAAGAAGACTCACGCTGGCTTCTACACGAAGAGCTCCTCGACTCTCTCGCCAATGCCATGGAAGGTGCCAAAGGCGGGATAGCTGGGTGGGCTTGGTGGAACTACAATCCGGACAATGTGCCTGGGGAGGGCGACTACTGGAATAGGGAGGATTTCAGCTTCGTCTCCTCAAATGTGAGCGGAGGCAGCCACCCACAACGCCGCTCTGCAGCGAGGGGGCGGGCACTTGGTGCTATTGTCAGGCCGTACGCCGTGCGGCTGGCGGGAGTGCCGATGACATCGAGCTGGGATCGAAAAGAGGGACGATACGAGCTGCAGTACGTCAATTGGGCAAAGAGGCCACCTGTCAAGGGTGCGGCGGGTCAGCTCACGACGATGGTCAACGACTCTGCGCCTGCCAGCGAAAACGAAGACGACGCGACAATCATCTACGTCCCTGGCCTGCAATTCGGCCCCGACCAGCCTGATGTCGTCACGACAGACGGGCACATCCGCTGGGACCGAGAGCGACAGCGTCTCCTTTGGTGGGCCTCAGATCGTTCGCCGGGTGCCAAACATTCGTTGAGAATCACGGTACCTGCTGAGCATCAGGCAAAGCGCAAGGAGGCGATGCTGCGGGCCGCAAGAAAGAGGAGAGGGAGGGTGACACGAGCGCTTGTGGGACTAGATTTGGCAGGAACGGACGTGCTTGCGCTACTGGCCGTCTTCGTTGTAATCGTCGGATTGATTGTGGCGACGATCAGCTTCATGGGGAGGGTGCAGGCGCAGCAGCGAGAGGGAAGGAGCGTAGAGTTGTGAGAAGCAGATGATGAGGAGTAGCCTCTCTATCTTGGTACATAGCAGCGGCGCATCGCTTGGGACCGTATCACAATTCGTCATTCGCAGCTGCATTTGTAGAGCAAGTGAAAATGAGATTGCGGAGAAAAGATCACGCCTCGCTACCGCGCGTTCACTTGCCCGTCTCGTCCCTCACCTCATTCGAGCTGAAGCTGAGAATTCCAGCCTCGTCCAGCTTGCCCACCAGTTCCTCCGCTACGTCGACCTGCATCTTGCCCAGCACCTCATTCACTTTTTCCAACTCCTTGGTCTTCAGCGCCTCCTTCATCTCCTCTGGGAAAGCCTGGAAGAGTTCCCATCGCCTGTCAAGGTAGGCGCGCACCTGCTCCACACCGAGCTGCTCAGCCGCCTCGCCTTCGAGCTCTATGTGGTCCGGAGCGGGGCCCTCGGGCACGTCGAAGCCGATGACGGTAGAAGGATCCTCGGCGACGAGCTGGATCTGCTCTTGCCCTGCACCGCCGGATGTTGCGTCTCCAGCAGGCTTCGAGGCCTCCTCCGCCTGAATAGCCTCGCATCGCTTCGAGATCCTGACGTACGTGCTCAAGACGTCGTTGAAGAAGACAGAGACCGCCTTACCGTCTTGTCCCGCCATGCGCCGGAAGAAGAGGTTCACACCATCTGGACCCAACTTGCCCAGATACTGTAGCATCAAACCCTTCTCGACAAACTGCCTTGCCCTCTTCTTTTCGCCGCGCATCTGGCTTTGGAATGCTTCGACGAGCATGGCGTCAGTTGCATTCCCCTGATTGTTGGAGCGGAGTAGTGCTTTGTGGGTGGAAAGGAAGTCAAGAGCTGCGCTGAAGGGTTGGCCGGAAAGGGCCTTGGGCGTGAAGGTGGCGGGGAGAGCCTCTGCGCTGAGAGGGATAGTAGCAGGGATGCAGCTAGGAAGGAGAGCAAAGCCTTTCATCGCCGGCGTGAGGTCCGGAGTCGACTCGTCATCCGACTCTTCTGCGTCCGAGTCTGGGGTTGTTGAGGATGGGCCAGCAGCTGAGGCAGAGGGACCGGGCGCGTTGATCGTCTCGTAGGTCGTAGTTGAGGACGTGGACTTGGCCTTGCCCTTGCTCGCCTTCTCCTTGGTTTTTGCTTCCTCTTCCTCTTTCTCCTCCTCCTCGCGCTTAGCCACGTAGCCGGTGTTGAACCCATCCCTTAGACCATCCGATGTGATCTTTCTCTTGTCCTCCTCCTCCATCGTCTTGATCTCCGCCTCGATCTGTTTGGTTCTCTCATCCAGTTTCACTCGATGCCCTCTGAGTTGAACAGCGAGAGCTTCATCGAGCTCTGCCCCTTGCTTCCCCTTGACAGTGGGATCTTCGTTGATTTGGAGCAAGAGCGAAAGGATCATGTCGTTCGGCGTGGGACCATTCGGGCCATCCTGGTTGCCTCGTGAAGCTCGGTCGGCTGTAAGGCGCGACACTTCACGAGAGAAGAAGGTATGCCCTTCACTCTTGGTTGAATTGATGATCTGCGAGCGAGCAGTAGCGAAGAACGAGTGCCGGTCAGACGCCAATAGATCCTGGGAGAGAGATGCTCTGATCGCTCCTCACGCACCTCATCAATCATAGGGCCCAGCGTACCATTGGTCTCCCTCTCGGCCCTCAGACCGGCAAGCTGCATCTTCCTCTGCTCTCGCTTCTCATGGATATCCCTCTGCTTCCATCGGATGAAGGACTTCTTGTCCACGTTCGGGTGGACCTCGACATCAGAGTCGTCGGACAGCTCGAGATTGTCCCACTTTGCGGTGCCAAGGGGACAGAATGTTAGTCGAGCTGGTCTATGGCGATACTTTCGAGAGCAGAGCTCACCTTGCTGTAGTTGAGCCTGCTCATGATGTCGCAGCTCAAAGGTAAAGTAAGGATGGAAGGGAAGCGGAAGAAAGGCAGCTCGTTCTCGAAAGTCTTGGTCCAACTTCGGCGCGCTCGATGCACGGGCCCGGGCCTCTCGCCCGCTCGCTATCGTCTGGCATCCTTGAATTCACTCGCGTCGCATCACAAGACGTCCAAGTCCACATCGTCATATATTAGATAAGGTAAACGTCTTGAAGGACAAGGATGCTGAGCGTAGCCTGGACTGTAGGGCCAATGATCACGGAGAGATAAGATGGATAGCGGTCGGGAGAAGGAAGCAGCAAAGGAAGGGGCGCGTCATTCAAAGCTGGATCGTAACGTCACGTCGTCAAGAGCGTGATGGTTCGTGGAGGATCGGGCCGGCCGCGGTGGTGACATGTTACAGAATTCCCGCCACGAAAAGCTTCGATGGAACTTGCATGTCCAGACTCACGGTCTCCTCTGCGCTGGGTTAGAGCTGTGGCGCTCATTCGAAGGCGCAGGCTGGTAAGGCTGAGCATAGGGCAGACCGGGTCCAGGCGGCAAGGGATTGCCGCTCGCCCCTCCTCTTACGCTCGGCAAGTACGAAGGGTGAGCATAGCCGCCCTGCGGCTGCTGCTGATGGTGCTGTGCATAGCCCCACCCTTGTGACGGAGGAGGCAGAGATGGCAGGGCTTGCCTGTACGAAGGAGCAAGGGATTGCTTGCTACCACTGCTGGAGCCAGGGGCTGAAGCTGGGCCTTCGTCTCGAGCGCGGATGCGAGGCAGAGCTTGCTGACGAAGTGGCGAGGGCACTGCAGTCGTGGCACTGTCATACGAGGGGCGCATTCCGCCGCTGCTACTGCCACTGCTGGGCTGGCCAGCAGTGTAATAAGGTCGAGTCATGCTTGTCAGAGGGAGAGAGGGCGGCGCACTCTGAGGCGGCACTCCCTCTACTCCTGTCCCTGTTCCGTGGGGATGTTGGTGATGGTAATAAAGATTTCCGGACAGCCTTGCCCCGTCGTATCGCGCCGGCGCCGGAGGGTAGTGGTAGGTCTGAGGCGCCTGGGGAGCGCCCGCGCTCGGGCTCGGTGCCATGCTCGGGTGCATGGGCGCGGTCATGTAGGAGGGAGAAGGGTGGCTTGGTGGTCCGTAGGAAGGATGGTGAGGCGGGGGGTGGGGCTGACACGGCTGCGATGGGGCTGCTGCTGGCGGAAGAGGTTGGGTGCGATGTGGTGCTCCTGACGCTCCTGTTCCCCCGACGGCACTCCGAGGTATAGGTGCGATGGGTCGGTCGGGTCTTGACTGCTGCTGAGAGAGGAAGCTCGACATGGGTGGGAGGGACTTGCCGGTGGATGCGGCTGAGTTGCCGGCACGCGGCTGTACTGTCAGCGGTTTCGGCGCAACAGGTGCGGCAGCTGCAGTGGGAGCTGCAGTGGGAGCTGGCTTCGCAAGAGGCGTCAAGACAGCAGGCAGGCGCTTGAGCTGCTTAGGAGCGAGCGAGTGGTGGCCGAACGAGCTCGCGCCGTACCCATAGCCTGCACCCTTGCTCATGGCGTAAGGGTGGCGAGGGGTAGCGCCCTTCACCGGTCTATTGATCGTCGAGTGGGCTGTGCTGCCGACGATCACCCTTGATGACGACAGGTGAGCGTCCGCAGGCGCCGTCTGCGAGCGCGCTTGACGCTGGGGATGTTGGGGTGCGGCGGGCCGAGGCGGGTAGTACGCAGCCGACCAATGTGATGTGGATGAAGCGCTGCTGGGAGCCGCCCCGCCCAGGAGCCGCCCCGCCGAGGTGGTGGCAGAGGCGTTCGTTGAGCGGTCTGCTTTCGCCGTGGCGAACTCAGCATCGTTGAGCAGGCGAGAGCGAGGAGGCAAGGGCGCGTTCAATTGCGGTGCCGGCGCGGCCATGCAACTGTCACCTTCTCTGTCGATGGTCGAGGTCGCTTGTTGCTGCTGCTTCGAATGTTGAGACTCCTGCTTCTCGAACTCCTCCGTGGCCTGTGAGGCCGCAGCCACAATCTCCGCGTCGAACACAATCCGGCTCCACTTGATGACGCGGCGTGGTCCCTTGGCGTCCTCGACGAGTGCGTCGCCCTCGCTGAGCGGGTTAGAGGACTCCTTGAGCGCAACGAGCGTCGTTTCCCAGATGCCGCCGTTGCTCTTGACCTTGATACGCGATCCCGGGAGCAGGCGCATGGCGCACTCGCGCAGATGACGAGCCTTGCGCAGCTGTTCGGCTTGCTTGGCTGACGGATTGTGACCACGGCAGAGGACCACCATGCGCTCGGGTGCGCTGCTACTGTCTGGCAGTTCAGCAGGTGCGAGCGGTGGCGATGAAGCCTGCGAGTGCTCAGCCGCTTCCGCACCGCCCGCAGGAGGGGAAGAAGCTGGACCACTGGTCTTTTTCTTGGCGCCATTCTTCTTGCTCTTGGCCGTGTACGCTCCTCGCCCTTCAAGCTTGTCCGCCTCGTTGGCGGGGAGCATGTCCATCATCCAACCGCTGACGTCGTGCGCAGCGCAAGTAGGGTGGGCCGCCTTGGTGCAATTGCCAAAGGTGCACTGGATGGAGCAGCCGTACTTGGCAGAGGTCGGCGGGCAGACGGAGCACTTGAGACCCCACCTTGCCTTGGCAATCGTGTAGAAGCCCTTGACCTCATCGTTGCCTGCGCCATCTTCTGCGACCCAGCACTCGGGGACCGAGTTGGCACAGAAACGGTGCGCTGCGAGTGTGGACGGCTGCCCACTCTCTCCAGGAATGGGCACCAGGTCTGACGCGAGCGATGAGGGGCAGAAGACGCACGGCAGGTGTTCCATCGACAAGCCACCACTTTGCTTTGCCTTGGGCTTTGCTGATTGAGGCTTGCGCTCCGAGCCTTCTTCGTCATCACCATCGCCCTCCTCGGCAGCCCTCTGCTCCTTGAGTCTCTTCTTCTCGGCGCGACGAGCCTTCGCTGCTTCTTTGCGCAGATGATCATCACTGGCAAGCTCCTCTCGCTCGCGGCGAGCCCTCTCTCGCTCTTCCTTGCGCCTCTCTGCCTGCTCAAGCTCCTCGCTCTCTTGCAGAAGGGCGTCCACATCCATCTTGACGCTCTGCTGTGCATCCTCGCATTCGCACGCCTTGGCTTTGCGACCGATGTCGAGCCAGCTGTCAAGGGCGAAGTTGACCGACTCTGCGCAGTTGAATCCGAGATTGTAGCCAGAATGATAGCCAAAGGGATACGTGATGACGAACTCTTGAGCATGCTGCACCAGCTTGAGAGGGCGGATGTTGTTGGCGGCAAGGAAAGTGGGTGAGGCAAGGAAAGACTTGTGACGCATAAACTGCGAGCATCGCCTTGCGTCTCCGGGAAAGGCCGATGCGAGAGCTGTTTCGAAGCGCAGACGGTCGCGTTGCGGGATGGCGTACCACTGCTTTGGCGCGCCGAAATGAATGTAGTTGATCGAGTACAGGTCCATGTCCTCGACATGCCAGGCAAACGTTGCTCGCCACATGCCAAAGTAGAGGTACGGATCCGTAACGCCTGCGATCTTTCTTCGCAGCTTGAGGCGGGTGAGAAGATTGTCGAGCGAGTTGACGTTCCACGACTTGGTCGCCGGCGTGAAAAGCGTGCCCTGCGATAGCGGAGCAATGAATGGTCAGCATGAGCTCTCCTATCTCCCAAGCTCACCGTGTCGTACTCACCTTGAGATCTGCACCGTACATCGGCGGCTTCCCAAAGTTGAGGCCACGCCAGTACTCGCCCTCAATCTCACGGCATGCCATTGGTGTCCAATCGCTTGGTTTGAGGCTGTGCTCATGCTTCCCTTCCTCTTCGCCTTTCTTGCCCGGGCTGATCCACTCCTTCAGCCAAGCCAGACGCTGATCAAAATGCGACCACTCCTCGGGCGTCGTCAAATCTGCTGCTTTGACCTTGGGCTGCGACGATGAAGAGGATGTTGCCACCGGCTGCACGCCATCCTCTTCGGCTGGCGCGGCGGCGACACTCGCGCTGCTGCTTTCCTGCGACAGACTGGAGACTGCAGCCTCCTCTTCAGCTGCCGTCGCCGCAGCCTTGTCCGCCTTTTCGATCGTCTTCCGTCGCCTCTTTGTACTCGATGAAGGTCCAGCAGTTGCACTGGGATTGCTGCCGCTCTGCCTGCCGCGCCCACTTCTGGTACGAATGCCATTCTTGTCGTCCTTGGACGACCCAGATTCCATTTCCTTGCGGATCTTGATGTGCTCGTGGATGTCACTCATTGTTGGGCCGCTCATCTCCCTGCATACATCACTCCATTGCTTGACGTTCCAAATCTTGGCTGGTCGGGTGATGTTCGTCTGGCGCCAGAGACCTGGCTTGAATGCTGGGCCAAAGTGTTGGGCGATGGCGGAGCGAATGCGAACTCCCTCGAGAGTCGGAAGCGATCCTTCGGCGGCACCGGTAGCCTTCTCCTGCTGGGCCACATCGGGAGCTCTGATGGAGGGTAGCGAGTCGACCCACTCCTTTGGTGGCACAATCTTGACGATGCCCGTCTTCATGCCCCAGTCGTTGATGGCTTCACAGAACTTGTAGAAGTCGGCAAATTGACTCATCGTAGGCTCAAAGACTGGGATAGCAGACTCGTCGAGATGAGAGTTGGGATCCGAGGGGTCCATGGGGTAGAAGTAGGATGGCTTGATATTGGCGTGCGGGTCATGCTCTTCAGTCTTGGCCTTGCCGCGTTGCCCACCTTCGCATGAGGATGGCGAGGTGGGTGGCGTCTGGCTGCGAGATGACTCTCGATGCTGAGTGGTTGCTGTGCTATCGCCATCGTTGCCGCCGGTGGACACTGAAGGGGAGGCCGGACCGCAGGAGGGCGGGCGAGGAGGCGGCATCGCGGCATTGGCAGGCTGAGAGGCTGACGTTGTGGACGATGAAGAGGAAGAAGACGATGTCGTCATTGTTGAAGCTGAATGAGAGCTTTGGCCAGCGGATTGTTCGCACTTCACCATTGCCTCCGGCACAGACATGGCGACGACGAGCGGCGCTGCAGAGTGCGAGCGAGGCAGGTGCTTGTGCTCGCAGAGGAGGGTGGCGGCGAAGGCGGAAGCTTTTTCCAGACCGTAATGGCGAGTCGATTGCCTGTGTCCTGTGTCAAAAGAGTGGAAGTGGAGAGATGAGGTAGAGCGAGGTGCTAGCTCGATGAATGGCAACGAGGGCCTTTGCTTCGTCGTCGTGTGTCGTATATGATGATGGTGGTGGTGGTGGTGCAAGATGAAGCTAGCGTTGGAGGATCGGGCGGCGGCCAAAAGGCCAAAGGCAAAGTGGGGTCTGGCCTAGCCTAGCGTATTTTGCGGGCACTGGCCCTGAGCCCGGGAGCCCGGGCTGACTGTATGTCGATGTCCCTCCAGTGCTTCGCTCCGCGTGGCCGAGGTTGCGTCGTCGTCGCCGAGGAGCTTAACTGTGTTGCACTGTGCCGTGCCACACCGTCATTCGCGCACTTCACCAGCTCATCGTACATCTGATATCTCGTCGCCGAGCAGCTCGCTCAGAGGGGGAAGGAAAAGTCAAGCAATAGTGAGGAGAACAGGCAGATTGAGCTACACGCTGCCCGCCCTTTGCAACTGACACGCGCAGTATAATGGAGCAGGAGGAGGAGAAATGGTCATCTGCTTTCAATCTGGTATTGTATACATCTAGAGAATGAATAACGCCATTCGGATGTCGCTGACCTGTCAGATGGCCGCGATCTGGAATTCGCGGCTGTGGGCGACAAGATAGACCAGATCTCCGGTCCAGGACGTAGCGGAAGGTCCAGCACGGCTCAAAGGCGTGCACTGGGCACTCATACGAACACGACTCTCGACAACGACGGTACAGTCGAGCCGGGGGTGGGGAGGTAGCCGTGGAAGTCGAGGAGAGGATCGAAGCGTCATCTTGTCCTGCTATGCAGCGTGATTGACATGGGGCCCGTCGAGATCAGGCTGACGAGCAACACAGCCTGCAGCAGTGTCCGTATCGTCACGGCTCCTGGCTCCTGACCTGGATTCGGTCCACACCCGCTCCCTGATTGGGCGCGGGTCGCCAGTCTCAATGTGGTGGGCCGCGCCTGCCCTCAATCGTACGCCATCCTACTTGGTGTACATCATCCCTCAGCCCGGCGTGGCCACGGCCTCTGCTTGCTCCAACCACCTTCTAATCGCCTCTCTCTTCGCCAATTCGACGCAGCCACCCCATTCTGCCCTCACTCGTGACGATATGCCTCCGTGTCGATCGTCGTAAAGGCGGCAAAGCCACGCGCAGGCGGTGCGGACCTCGTCGAGCGTCACGTCGAAGAGGAGCCACCACGGTTGCGGCTGGCGCGGCAGGAGGAGCGGCTTGTGGTGTGGCGAGGGTACTAGGGACACGTAATAAATGGAGCTAACAGCCAAGACGTGAGGAGGCAGAAGAGCTGGGAGTGGCGTCTGCAGCCTGGAGTGCCGGGCAGAAAGAGGGTGAGTAAGATATGAGCATGGTGCGACCATATCGCTCGCCTGCTTACATGTCCGTCACGATAGCCCAGCATCGCTCTACCACTTCCTTGTCTTTGCCCAGCCCAAGGATTTGCAGGTAGTTGACGAGCGTTGAATAAGGCAGCTGCGCCTCCAGCTGGAAGCCAAGCCGCTTGAGAATTTGCATCTCATGCACGACGAGGGAGTCCTTGTAGTCGTGGAAGACGGAGGATTGATACGAGTGTGGCTGCCAATGGAAGTTGGCGTCATGCTGCCTTGTCGGCGTCGACGTAGTATCTTGCTGCCCGTTGCTCGTATCCTTGCTCCTCCCCGACTTTCCCCTTGTTCTCCACGGTAACTCGTCAGAACTTTGCATCCTCCATCGATCATGCTGCAGGGTATAGTCGAAAACATTGATGAGCTTACGGACCGGCACGGGATGCTCCTCGATTTTGGTCGCCAGGTAGAGACAAGCTGCATTGACGTCTGCGACCGAGAACTGGCGCATAGAGGTGACGAACCAGAAGCGCTGGAATATGACCTGCGCAGTAGCCGTCACGCGCTGTGGACTACGACCGACGGAGCGATGGGGAGGCAGCGGATGGTCAGTCATCGGACGCCCGAGCTTTCGGTCGTATCACCGGCCATGACTCACAGCTCTAGATGTGTTCCCAGTCGCTGGATCACAGTAGCTCCCCACGCTCGTAAGTCATCCTCTAGGTCCTGCGGGATGCCGTCGGCTCTCGAAGGCGTGTGTGCCCATTGGGAGGGGGAAGCGAGTGGATTGAGCATCGCCATGGCCTGCAGCGGCAGCGACTGCATTGGCTGCCGTGAGGGACCTGCGAGTGCACCTCCTGAAGCTGGTGCTGTCATTTCGAGGGGCAGCAGCGAGGATCCATTGATCAGCAGGCAGACGTCGCAGTAGACGAGTGGAGAGATGGCCAACGAAAAGGAAGCTAGAAAGAGACGCGGCGCTCCGCCTGAGGCCTCTCAGTCCGCTCTGGATGTAGTCGATGGATGGCTTGAGCGCCGCCGCCTCTTTGATTTTCCAAGCCGATGCCGACAGTGTGCCGTCGTGCGCTGCTAAGCTTCCTATTACTACTCGTACCCCACACTTTCTCATCTCTCGACGACTAACAACCCCGCATTGTCACAAGTTGACCACCAAGCATGGCTCCTCTCATCCCCGCAGGCGCTGGGATCGGTGAAGACCATCCCTCCAAGACGTGGTCCTTTCAGACGCTGTGCGCAACCATCTACGACCCGGACCACCTCGATCAGTATGGCAGCTCATCAACGCCCATATACCAGTGCACCACTTTCAAGGGACTCCCAGGTACAAAGAAGACAGCCTATGACTATTCCAGGTCCTCCAACCCTAGCCGTAGTGTCCTCCAAAACCATCTATCCAAGATCCAAGGGGCCAAGTACTCCTTTGCCGTCTCCACAGGCATGGCTTGTCTGGACATCATCACGAGGTCTGTGAAGCCCAACGAGGTCATCTTGGCGGGTGACGACATCTACGGAGGAACACATCGCTTGCTGGGTATGCTCATGAAGAACAACAACATCAAGGTCGTCCACGTCGACATGAGTGATCAGAAGCTTCTCGCCGAGACGGTGCGACAGCTGGTCGAGGACGGCAAGCAGCCAGGTGCGCCCAAGCTTGGCATGGTGAGTACAAGGACGTCTTCAGCCCGAAGTGTCATTTCCCTCGTGCTAACCATGACGCTGGTTCAACTCAGGTCCTTGTCGAGACGCCTACGAACCCTATGCTCAAGGTCATTGACATCCGCGCTTGCGTCCAATCGGTCCGCAAGTACATCTCAGCCGAAGACGCGCCCATCATCATGGACAACACCATGATGAGCCCTGCCCTCATGCGCCCCCTAGAGCTCGGAGTCGATGCCGTCTATGATTCGGCTACCAAGTACCTTTCAGGCCATCACGACCTCATGGCCGGAATAATCGCGACGAACAACGATGATTTGGCCCAGACCTACCACTTCACCATCAATTCAGTCGGCAATGCCCTCGCGCCGTTTGAGTCTTTCTTGCTCATGCGTGGTCTCAAGACGCTGCACATCCGTCTGGCAGCCCAGCAATTGGGTGCGCAACGCGTCGCAGAGCACCTCCAGGGATTGGGCTTTAAGACGCACTACCCCGGCCTCAAGGGCCACCCAGGGAGGGACATGCACTTCTCCCAGGCAAAGGGAGCAGGAGCCGTCATTTCCTTCGAGACTGACGACCCGCAGCTCAGCCAGATGGTCGTCAACGCCACGCGTCTCTGGGGCGTCAGTGTCTCATTCGGCAGCGTCAACTCCCTCATCAGTATGCCCTGCCTCATGTCGCACGCAGCCATCGACCCCAAAGTTCGAGCGGCGCGTGCCCTTCCTGAGAACCTGCTTAGACTGTGTGTGGGAATCGAGGACCCGGATGACTTGATCGCCGACCTGGACGCCGCCTTCCTTGCTGCGGGAGCACTGCACAAGGACGCCAATGGGCAACTCACGCGTGCTAAGCCTGCCTCGTCGACGGCAGCCAATGGCTCCATGTCAGCTCCTGCGGCAGCAGCAGCCAGCCCTGCCTCTCAGCAATCCATCGTAGTCTCTGCACCGGGCAAGGTCATCCTCTTCGGCGAGCACGCGGTGGTCCACGGCGTCACGGCGCTGGCCGCTTCGGTAGGATTGCGATGCTATGCGCTCGTCCAGCCACGAGGAGACGGTAAAGTGCAATTGGAGCTGCCCGAGCTCAAGGTCAACCATGAGTGGATCATTGCAGACCTTCCCTGGGATGCTGTACCGTCCAAGGTCGGTGGGCTGAACAAGGCCACCGAGACACCAACGGAGCTCGACGCTAGACTGCTCCGCCGTATTGTGCAGACCGTGGAGAGCAAGGCAGCCGCAGCCGAGCGCGACCATGCAAGCTGTGTTGCCTTCCTCTACCTCTTCATGACGCTTGGCGCCAAGTCTCACCAGGGCCAGACGTTCACCTTCCGCTCATTGCTGCCCATCTCTGCTGGCCTCGGATCCTCTGCAGCCTACTCTGCCTGCCTGGCCTCTGCACTCCTCTACACCAACGGCGTCATCTCCATCCCCTCGGCCTCGTCCCCCATCTCAAGCGCGGACGCTGACCTTGTGAACAGCTACGCCTTCCTTTCGGAGCGTGTACTGCACGGCAACCCCTCGGGCGTGGACAACTCGGTCGCAGTCTACGGTGGCTGCCTTACCTTCACGCGTCCCTCTGCCCCGCGCAACCAGCACAAGAGCAATGAGCTCAAGCTCCTACCGAATGTGCACGCCAAGCGTCTTCTGCTGACGGACACGGGTGTCTCACGCGACACAAAGGCTCTCGTCGCGGGAGTGCAGCAGCGCCTCGACCAGGACCCGTCTCAAGTCAACGCCGCCTTCGACACGATCCAAAAGATCGCCGACGAGGCGGCTCAGCTCCTCACTTCGGGCGGCAAGGATGCGGACGTCAAGCTGGGTGAGCTGATGAAGAAGAATCACCAGCTTCTCGCGTCCCCTCTTGGCGTGTCCCACCCTTCTCTCGAGGAGGTGCGCAACGCCCTGAGCACTGTATCGCCCGCTCTCTCCACCAAGCTTACAGGAGCTGGCGGCGGAGGCTGTGCAGTCACGCTCATCCCGTCTGGCACGCCGGACAATGTCGTGTCCGAGGCCCGCGAATCACTGCAGCGCCTGCCTGACTTCTCATCCGTTCACGAGACCGTCGTAGGAGGGAGCGGACTGAGCGTATTGGGTGACGTCAAGGTGCTGCGCAGTGCGAGCGTGGACGTCAATGGCGAGACTGGGGAGCAGACGCATCACTTCGAGGGGGAGAGGTTCGCCAAGGCTGGCCTGGAGGAGTTGGGTGAGTGGCTGGAGGGGACCGAGGGCAAGGCGCGACAGGGCTGGTCAAGGGTGGAGCAGAAGTAATAGTAGATGAGGATCCGCGTAGATTATTTTCATCATCTTCACAAACAAAATTGCAATGGGTTTCTGGGCAAAGAAGGACGAATGTCGTTGCACCGACTGGCAAGAGCGTGGTCGTGTGAGCCGTCACTCTGTTTCAGCGCGCGTCGAGAGGCTCTAGCGGGCGGAGCTGGGGGACCAGTCGGCTGCCACGCGACACATCGTCATCTTGCTTGCTTGGTGCTTGCGCTTCCCTGTCGGGGCGCTCCGCTTTGTCGGTCGCGCTGGGTGGGTGCTGTTGGCTTGGGCCCGCATCGACACAACGCCGCGCCCTCCATCTCATCGTGACCATCTTCTCGATCCTCGACGACAACCAGCATCATCACCATCATCATCTCGCTCGAGCGTTTTCGAACCTGATCCATCGCATTCGTGTACCACGGATCAGCATAGACGGACCGCTCAGCATCGTCGATTGACGCTCTTGAAGACTGTCCATTGCTGCGTTGACGACTAGTCTCGTGGCAGTCAGTCAAGGCCGCAACTTCCTCAACTCGACCTGACGAATCACTCAACGACGACGACGACAACGACAACGACTACGATTTTCGCGCAGCGGCTTGCCTGCAGTCACCTACGTCGGGCTCTTCGACGAAAAGAGCGGCAATGATGCATCAGCAGGGCCAACAGCCCCTTGGCCAAGGCGGCGGCGCAGGACTCAAGTTTGGTCAAATGGGTTCCAACAATAATGGCATCGGACAACAGCAACAGCAGCATGGCGGAGTAGCAGCTAATGGAGGAGGCAGCCAAGATGCGGCTAGCAGCGCCAATCAGGCCCCGGAATATACCCTCGCAGGTGTACTGCATTACCTTCAGTCCGAGTGGAGAAGATACGAAAAGGACAGAAATGAATGGGAGATTGAGAGAGCTGAGATGAGGGTTAGTAGGCGCGACATTCAAGCTCTGCTCCAACCAGCCGACAACTGACGCATTCTTGTCGCTCTTTTCGCCCACTCCCAGGCACGCATCGCCCTTCTCGAAGGCGAGAAGCGCGGCGCAGAGAATCTCAAGACGAACCTCATGCGTCGAGTCAAGATGCTCGAATTCGCCCTCAAGCAAGAGAGATCAAAGTATCTCGCAGGGGCCTCTGGACCTGCAGCAGCGGCAGGAGCAGCTCCTGTAGCAAAGCATCCCGCTGTAGCTAACCTCGAGAAGGAGTCGACCCTCAGCAGCGCTGGCAGCGGACGAAGCTCGCCCATTGACTTTGGCGAGCAGCAACAACACCATGCGCGAGCAGGTACAGCAGCATCTGCAGCTACCATCCCGACCCTCAATGGCTCAATTAGTATGGCACCCTCCCTCCTAAATCGCCAGCTCTCCACCAACACGACATCCTCTGCCACATCCAAGGACTACCGTTCGCGGGAGAGGAGTCGTGAATACCTCAAGCAATGTCTGCAGGAGATCTCATACCTCACCAGCTCGACGACCCTCAACCCACTCCCGGACAGACCCATGAGCGGCGCTGCCAGCTTCGTCGGCGGGCCACCTCGTCCAAAGAAGACGCTCATCGATGAGCCTCCACCACCGCCAGCTGCAGCGACGGAAGACGTAGAGAGCGGCAGCGTTGCCGGCGAGGGACTAGATGCCACAGTCGCCCCGGCTGAAGAGGCAACCGCAGCGCCCAGTGACGAGCCCTCTTCATCAGCCCCTTCCATGTTTAGATCAACAGGCGGTGTCGAAGACTGGGAGAAGCTCAAGCAAGCCGGCCAGGAGGGCAGGCTCAAGCGCGAGAATGAGCGGAAGGCAGCAGCAGCGGCTGCGGCCGGCGCAGGCGTGGGTGCAGCGGCAGTAGAGGCATCAGGTGTTGTCGCTTCATCGTCGGAGGACGATCACACTGGCGCACCCGAGACCCTCTCCTCTGAACGAGCCAAGCGTCTTCTTCGCGAAGCTTCGTCCCTCTCATCTACCTCCTCGACGGGCGGCGGCGATGATTCGCTGGACGACGAAGTGGACGCAGCTAGCAAAGAAAGCCAGCTTTGGCGTATGAAGCGTCATCTGGCGCATCACCGTGGGGCTGTCAAGGCTATCGCGTTCGATCAGGGCGCAGGAGGAGACGAGGCTGTCGTAGTGGTCTCAGCGTCGAGTGACAGGACGATCAAGGTCGCCAGAGTGGAGAGAACTATGATGCATGGAGGAGCCGCTCCGCGAGGTCAACAGCAGAACGCGGGCGTCGTTGCCACTCTGGAGGGTCACAGCAACCTCGTCACTAGCGTGACCGTCTCTTCAGCTCGTCGACGCATCTACAGCGGGTCAATCGACTCGACGCTCAAGGTTTGGGCCATCCCTGATGTTGCTGCTAAGAGTGCCAACGGCAGGAGAGAAGAGGGATCAGAGGACGATTCGACTGAGCAGCAGCAGCCTTTGGTCGTCCAGCCGCTCGCCTCAATCAAAACCGACTCGGAGATCACGGCCCTCACCCTCCTTCCATCAACAGCAGGCGACGACTCATTGCTCGCAACTGCTTCTGCAGATGGCATGGTTCGCCTCTACTCCCTCGATCCTACTGCGGACGACGCCACCACCGACGCCGCCGCTTCCGCCTCCTCGGGACCACACCTGCTCCACACCTGGGATTACTTCGGCCTCTCCCCCTCACCTTCAAGCGCAGCAGATCGCGAGAAGGAAAGCGAAGCCCTCCGCCAAGAATCGGGCGGTCTGCCCGTTCCCACATCAATCGTGCGCGTCCACTCTAAGCTGAGGGAATGCGCCGTCTCTTACTCCAACTGCGTAGTCAAGACTTTCCGACTCTCAGATGGGCAGGAAGTCTCCAAGTTGGGCGGAACGCCCGAAGCAGGGCTCAGTGGAAGTTACGACCAAACTCCCGCGACCCAGATCAACTGCCTTGCTTCGCACCCTACGCTTCCCCTGCTCTTTACAGGGCACGAGGACAAGTGGCTGCGCATCGTTGATGTGTTCACGGGCAGTGTAGTGGGAAGCTGTCATGCGCACAAGGAGGGAGTGACTAGCCTCGACGTAGACCCGAGTGGGCTGAAGTTGCTCAGTGCCGGTCATGACGGTTGGACGAGGTTGTGGGATCTCAGCCGTCTTGGCGGAGAATTGGACGAGAGTGGATCAGAGGCGTCTTCTGATGGTGGGTCAAAGAAGTCAAAGAGGAAAGCAGCAGCTCCTCAGGGGGAGTCGGAGGAGGATTCGAGAGCAGCCGGCGAGGAAGAAGACGATGAGGAGGAGGAGGAAGGCATCGTTCTCACGCAAGAGATTCAGGACCACTCCAAGTCAGAAGGCGAGGGTGTGCTAGCTGTCAAGTTCCACCCGACCCTCCCTTTCTTTGGGAGCGCGGGGGCTGATGGGGTGGTGAGGATTTACGGATAAATGAGAGCCAGAGGAGGGGAGGGAAATGATCAGAGGGAGAGGAGGAGGAAGAGGAGGAGGAAGAGGAGGAGGAAGAGGAGGAGGAGGAAGGGATGGACTCTACCGCTTCAGCCATCAGCTTCGCTTGTTTTCACATCACTTGACGGCCTTGCATGGGCTGCTGGGATGACTTGACCAAATCAGAATCATAGACGAGCAAAGATGATGCGATGCCGACGCTGATGATCACGCTGGACTGACTGCGCCTGACGGTACACCTGTCCTGCCCGCTTACGGTGCATTGGACGGGGTTGCCTCCTCCCTGTCAGATGCCCTCATTTGGCCGCGTCTCTCGCTCTCGAGCAGCCCTGCTCTTTCCTCGCCATCACCCTCGTCCTGTTGATGCGCCCTTCGCTGCTGCTGCTGCCGCTGGTCGCTACCGCCGAAAGCTGCACCCACATCCTCAATCCCTACGCCTCTCAATTCGACCAGCCTTCCCCGAGCAAACGCAGCACATCCCCCTGCCATACCCGCAAACACCACAAATAGCACAGAGGGCCCACCGACGACCTGCACAAGACTGAGGTATGTCGAGCTCCAGATCAGGTTGGTAGTCCAATTACACCCCGATGATATCGCGATGCCTAGCGAGCGCGAGGGGCCGTGGAAGGACTCCGAGGTAACGAGCCAGGGTATGATGCCAAGTCCGAGGGCATAGAGCAGGGTGGTGAGGATCATGAGGAGGAGGGAGAGGATGGGCCAGACCACAGACCCGGTCTGTGGGACTGAAGTAGCCCGTGAGGTGAGAGTGGCGTCCAGTACGGATGAAGGGGCTCGCACTGCGTTGATCGCCGTATCGTTGCCCTTCTGAGGCGTCGACGGTGGCGCGAATACGCTGCTTGGCTTTGGCTCTGGTGTCCCCTTCGTCGGCCCATCTGTCACGTCCCCGGCGTTCGGTATCATCGCAAACGCCCCCGCCAGTCCCAACAGGCACGCCGCCATACCCACTGTCGTCCACATCAACAGCCTTCTTCGGCCCCACTCCGGCCGATCCACGAGCCGCATAGCCGCGACGGTACCCCCGAAGTTGGCTACAGCGATCAGAGTGGCAAACGAGTTTGGGTTTGCGGTGAAGCCTGCGATGCTGAGGAGGCGCGGCGAATAGTACATGAGGGCGTTGAAGCCTGATGCTTGTTGGAAGAATTGGAGGCCGCATGAGAGGATGAGCGCGCGTTTGCTCTGAAGGAGATGCTGCCATTGGGAACGCAGGGAGGGTTTTGCAGCTCGCCGTGATGACCCAGGCTCCGCATCGATGTCGTCGCTCGTCATGGCTGCTCTTGACCCGCCTCTTGCTCCACTTTCCATCCTGTCTACCATTCCCTCCACTTCGGCCTCGGACGCCATTGGGTATATCCTCTTGATGACCCTCCTCGCCTCGACGTATCTGCCCCTGCCCACCAGCCAGCGAGGACTTTCGTCTAGCTTGGCTAGCCCGATGAGCTGGACGACGGCGGGAAGGGCAGAAGCGAGGACCATCCATCGCCATGAGTGAGCAAGAGGGGAGAGAAGGGCGTTGACGAGGTATGCAACTAGTTGGCCCGCCGTTACCAGAAGGGAATTCATGCCTACGATGCGGCCTCGCAGGGAAGTGGGAGCCACTTCTGCTAGGTAGAGGGGTACTCTGCGGACGGGCATGGAGGACTAGAGTTCAGCCGCTTCCTCTCCCCAGAATCTCCTCCTCAGAAGCACTCACACCATCGCGCTTCCCCCAACGGCCACGCCGACGATCCCCCTCCCGAGAACAAGTTGCCGCACATCCTGAGATGCAGCTTGTTCCAGACTCCCCAGCAGGAACAACAGAGCCGCAACCAATATCACCGTCTTGCGGCCGAAACGATCTGCTGCCCTGCCTGCGACTAGGGACCCCAAGATGGCACCTGCAGTCGTCGCGGATACGACTGCCTCTTGCTCTCCTGCAGTTAGCGGCTGGCCATTCAGGTCTGAATGAATCGATACGAGCATGCCAGCCTGCGCAGTATCGCAAATGGTGGGATTGGTAGGAAGAATACGGTCAGTCGCTGTCAGGATGCGAGGCCCAGCATCGAAGGGTGGAAGCGACTCACCGCCAGGCCCGTGTCCCAACCAAAGAGTAGCCCTGAGAAGCCAGCCAGGATGGACGAGGTGATGAGGTAGGGCGTGAGGATACCTTGCGCCGCTTCCGGCAGAACAGCAGTGATAACATCGTCCTCCCCCTCCTCCTCTGCCATGTATGCTGCGCCACTTTCCTCGTGCGAGGTCATCGTCTGCTGCTTGGGTGCTGATGAGTCGTGGCCGTTCATGGGAGCACTCAAGCCATTGGAGTGCTTCCCCATTTGGCTCATACCAGCCTCGCCATGGTCGGGTGGGTTCGAGGGCATGCCCTGACCCTCGTCGTGTCTGCTGTTGTTAATAGCTTGCAAGGGTATCGAATCAAGATCCGAGGGAGATGAGTCCTTCGACGAAGTGAGGCTCATCGAGGGTCCAGCGCAACGACCATGCCAGCGCGGAGAGGTTGCCACGTTTCTGTGGCTGGTAGCTGCAAGTAGATGCTACGCAAAGTGTGGACCGTGAGGGTGTGAGGAGTGAAGGGAAGGAAAGCAAGGATGGGCGGGGGTGGACAACTGCGCCTCGAAGGCAGCTCCCCGCATCCGTGTCAGTTTACGCTCAGGCCACGGCCTTTTCTATTCAGCCGAGACTCTCCTTCTCCCTCCTCTTTACCTCTCTCACGAGGACCATCAGCTTCAGAAGGAGGGGGCAGGATGGCTATGAATTGAGCATGATACCGAAGCGTCTCAGACAGACACGCGAACGATGCGGCTGCGTCCTGGAAGAAGCGCGATGAAACAACATCATGGAGGCCCAGCGCTGAAGGCAGGAGATGATAATCTAACAAGAGGTCGAGAAAGACAACAGAGTGAAAGGAGCGTGTTGGGACCGAAGCGCACGGTATCGTGGCGCGGCGGGGCGTGAACCTACAGGAGTAAGCGTAAATGATGGCGATGGCGATGGCGAAGGCGGCGCGTCGTCATCTTGAGTGCGCCACGCAAGGGATGAGAAGTTTCGAGGCGTGAGGTTGATGATTGGGGGGGGGGGGGGGGAGAAGCGGGCTCACCGGAGTGTACATGTTGGCGAAGGTGATCGTAGAAGAAAGCATCGTCGAACCTTGGCAATCTGGCTATGAAAGGAAAACGCGTGGGCGCGCGAACACCTACTGCCCAGCGAAGAGTTGAGGACTAATGTATCTGCGTCGTCCAATCAGGCGCACGGATTGAGTCGAGTCAGGTTTACATCTTCAAGAGTCGAGACCGCTACCAGCCTCAAGAGTACTCACACCGTGACAGTGAACGTTCCATCAGCCTTGCTGCCCAAAGAGACGTAGTTCTGTCGAAGACGACGGCGCCCTTTGCCTGTCGTCGCACACCCTCCCTCTTTCCCCTGAAATGTAGTCTCGTCCTGCTCGAAGGCCTTGCGCAGGACGTCAGGGTAGCGAATGGAAGTCGATACGCTGACCTTGGCCGTTTCAGCGGCGGCTGTCGTGGGCTGCGCATTATTTCGCTGCTTTGCCTCGTCCAAGAATTGCTGAAGCCCTTCGGCCACGCTTGCATCATCATCAGCCCAGTGGCGTACAGGCAGGTAGATCTTGGAATGTGGGAGGTCCTCGCCGGGCTTGAGGTCGTAGTAGAGTAAAGTGCCCCCAGTGAGGTGTCTCATCGTCGCGTCGGCGGCATCCTTGGTGTCGGCTGTTGAGAGAGGATCGTGGCCGAGGGTGAGCTCCCAAAAACGTCGCAGTGGGGTGATCCAGTCAGTGGTCTTGAGGCGATCCCCCAGAGTGAGGTGGGCAAGGATCTCGTGGAAGTCGACGGTACGGAAGCGTACGTAGAGTCTGGAGAAGGGGGAGTCAAGGTCAGCTGCTTAGCAAACGGACGCCGCAGTTATCCTCCTTACTTGAGCCGAGGGTCATCAGCATGAGCATCAACGCTTAGGATACAAGGCTCCGGCCTGCTCGCCCCCTTGAGGCTGCGCAGATAGCCACAGACTAGTCGCATAGCCGCGCAGCTCGAATGAGGGAGGTCGCCACTCTCCAACGTCTCCAGCAGCAACTCGCCAGCGTCCAACCCGAACTGATGCGCCTTCAACCATGGCATGACATGCGCTTTGACCTTGGCTCGAGGGTGTCTGTCCTTCTCGTTCTCAGCTCGAGGGTCACCGTCCGTAAGATCGAAGCCGAAAAAGATCTGGCTCTTCACTGCACATCCATACATCGCCCTACTTGCAGGCAAGTCGATGGTGAGCAAGCTGACCAGCTTGCGGAAGAGGGTGAAGTCTGCATGCCCTCCAGCTTCGAGCTGATTCATAAGCTGGTAACTGGCTGTGAGGTTGTTACCGCCGGTGGTCTCCAGAATGTGGCTCGGGGAGATGGCTTCAATTGCGAAGCGAGGGCAGGGTTTGTCCGGCTTGGTCCAGGCGATGCCGTACTCGATGGGAGAATAGTCGTCGCACATGTACGAGGGGAAGGTGGGCACGAGAAGACCCGTAGCGCTGCTAATAGTGGGTGGATTGCCCAGCGCGGGAATGATGTAAGAGCGAATAAATTGGGCATGCTGGTCTATGGCATCCTGACTGTATCCGCATAGAGCGAGGAGGTGGTTGGTGCGTGAGCCTACTTCACGCCACCAGAAGTCAGCAGGCTCGACTGGTGAAGCTGCTGAGTCCAGGACAGAGGTAGGCGTGGGACCGCAATAGGACGAGTAAGAGGAGCTGAAGTGGCTCACTTCGTCGCCTGTGAGGGGCGAGGAGGAGAGAGAGGCATCCTTGGTAGAGAGCACCGTAGGCGCTTGGTCCATGCCTTGCAGGACGACCTTCTTGTGGCTCATTACGACGACCAATCGAGAGGGAATGGAGACTGATGCGGACGTGTCGTGGGAAGTAGTGTTGCCCCAGGCAACGCTGCCCATGATTTGAAGTACTGTAGCACCGAGGGAACGGGCGCCTATTTGCCCAGGTCTCGGAGGCAACAGCGGTGCAGGAAGCCTACTTCGTTGGCCGGGACAGCAACGACGCTGTGGCGTGTGACAGAACGAAGCTTGATCAATCAGGGCGGGTGAGTCGGCGACTGGGTATGCCAGATCGAATTGATCCGTGAAAAAGTAGGGCTTAGGGCCTGGGCTTGTAGTGTGGCAAAGGTACAGGGGGGTTGCTAGGGCTGATGGTATAATCACGCCGAGTCTGACAAGTGCCAATGATGAAGAAACGCAGAATGTAGGGAGCCAAGGAACAAAGTCGACGAAGGAAGGAAGAAGAGAAGCAGATCTGGACCTGATGGGCGCGCGTGAGTGAGAATGGTAAGGAGGCAAGATGGGATGGCAACTTCGTCTACAGGGCAGATACGGATTCGCTGACCAACACGGGCTCGCGAGATAAGGGACGAGCTTGGAGCCCCACACGCCCGTGCAGAACCACCGCATCAGCGCCGATGCTTGCTGAGCGACGCCGGCCGACCATCGATTGGTGTATGTCTTCCCGGCCATCCGCGAGGGCAGCAGGCGCGACGGGCCTTGGCGTCACGGTCAGCGCCGTGACGCGCGGCTGGGAATCACGCTGCGATTCGACTCGACCCTCTCATTACTCACGCAGAAAGAGGAACAAAGATGTAGCTTGCTGACATCTGAAAGAAGAGAGAGATGATACACTGAGCGAAAGGGCCTCACGAAGAGGATCGTACGGCCAAGGGAGATCGAGATGGAGCTGGGAGGAGAGATACCAAGAGTAGAAACAGGAATCACGATGAGCAAAGGAAACTTTCGCCACGACCCTCGAGCCTGAACGTGCTCGGCATGCCCACCCGCACGTCCTTTCAGTCGACCACAAGTCTTCTGCGCTTGTTGGTCACCTCCGGCAGGCTCTCAGCAATGCTATCATCCCGCTTACGCCTACGTTCGTCATCAGCTTCCTCGTCCTCCTCTCCGGCGAGATCCTCATCCATTGGAGCAAGCTCCTCTGCCACCTCCTCCTCATCATCAAGGCGATCGGAAAGCTCCGTGAGTGCAGAGTCATCACTACGCTCCCTACTCCTTGAGGCGCTGCCTGCTCCAGGTCCAGGGCGAGGGCGAGGGCGTGAACGAGCTGGGGTACTCTCCACTGGCGCATCTTGCAGCAGGTCGACTCCATTGCCGCCATCTCCCTCCATGTCGTCAACCTCGTCTCCCCTGTTGGCGGAGGCCTTGCCCTTCCTAGGGGTGGGCCCGGCTTTGCCTCCCTTGGTTGCCGCGACGGGCGCCCGCTTGGCCATGAGAGTGACGAGACGCTTCTCGTATTGACGTTGCGGGTCCCAGATCTTCGAGTCAGGGGAAATGTCTACCTTTTCGTCCGCCAGGACCTTCTCCATGGCAGTTTTGCTGTGCGTGACCGAGCGAGGAGGGGAGGGAAGAGCATCGTCAGTGTCCCGCTCCGTCTCGCTTTTCTGTCTCGATCGCTCGCGCTCGTACTCACATGTGGTGCGCATCTCTCGGCCCAGCCGATACCAGCAGATTGCTCAACCCCTTCCAGAAGGCAGGCGCCTTGGCCTTGATACCTTTACTTCCCGCGCGCTCTGCTGCCTTCCACTTTTTGGCCACATACTCTGCCCCGCGACGATGCAAGTCGACGAGGGCGTGCGGGTCGATGGCGCGCAATACGGCCAGGTGAGCACCGCGAATGACGAGAGCAGACGAGATGGAGCGCGAGAGCGTAATGAAACGCGCTTCTGCCTCGACGCTGTCCTCGGTGAGGTAGGCTTCGAATGAGTCTTGCAGAGAGGAGAGGATGACGTTGACGGACTTGGAGGACTCGCGGCCTAGGATGCCTTCCTCGCGCAGAACCTCGATGAGAAGCTTGACCAGCGAGTCGTACATGCGGCCTACCCTGCCAAGCTTACCGATCAGAGGGGCTGTCAGACTTACGTCGATGAGGCCGAGACGAGTAGCTGAGACGAGGGGAGCGACTACTTGGTTGAGGTCGACCTCGGCTTCAAGGCGAGTCTGCGAAGGCACTGCGCCATTCGAGGAGTTGCCCCTCTTCGCTCCCTTACTGTGTCGGCGCTGCTGGCCCTCCTCTTCTTTTTCCTCTCCGTCGCCATCGCTGACATCCGAGGCGGCGAGGTCGTCGGCATCCTCGTTGTCGATGATATGCCTCTGCACCTGCGTCAAGACGACCTGCACACAAGCCTCTTGTGTCAAGGATGAGATGCTAGTATGAAGGCTCTGCGGTAGCTTGGGTTGGTATTGCGAATCCTCGCCATCTCCAGCTCCGTCTTCCATCTGCTGAGCATTGCCATTGTGCCTTGCGTGGGCAGCCGCGGCTGCGGCATCTGCCGATTGAGCAGAATGAAAGGCCATGTGGAGTTGAAGCAGGCGCGAGGCAGCGGCGCTGCTCACGGCGGGTAGCGACGTCGAGCCGGACATAAGGTCTTGCATGACTTCGAACGCATCGTTGCGCTGCACCAGGAGGCTGGCAGCGAGGGCTTGTCGGTCATCTTGCGCTGCCATGGTGGTGCTCATCGAGAGCAGCGTCCGCAGCTTCCAAAGCAGGTGAATCGTCATGACCCGCAGGCACATTGATACCATACGCTCTTCCCCCTCGTATCGCAGGCTGGCCCGCATGGCCACCTCGCGGATGATTTCCCAACCAGAACTGACCTGTCCGTCTTCTGTGTCCTCCATGACCTCGCAGCAGTCGGTAGCAGCACCGATCTCAGCCAGGCGTTCAAGATTGACCTGCAGAGCGAAGCGGGTGTCCTCGTCGAATGCGGTCGAGGAGACGTCTTTGCCCTTGAGCGGTTCGCGAAGGGCGCCGATGAGAGAGTCTTGCAGAGAGGTGAGCTTGCTGCTGGTGAGCTCTGTGAGGCTGGCATGGTTGGACGCGCTGGCAACGAGAGCGCGAATGGCTGTGGCTCCCCTCTTGAGGAGGCTGCTCTCCGAGTGGCGCTGGAATTGCGTCGAGACCTCGTCCCACAAGCTGGAGAAGGTAGACGTCTGCCCAGTAGTGGCATAGAGCTCGAGGTCGAGCATAGGCACGAGCAGTAAGACTTCAGATACTCGCTGCGACTCCGTCCTGTACTTGGCGAAAAGCTTGGGTAGCGCGGGCACTATAGTTCGAGTAAGCTCATCGAGGCGCTCCTTCTCTGGCACTTCGGAAGGCTCTCCCTTATTGGCCAAGGCGGCAGCCGATCTGGCAGAGTCGCTGAGATGCCGCATATGCTTGATAATAGCGACGAGGGCTTCAAGCAAGACGGTCTCCTCAGGAGGGAGCAGGCGATAGGCCTCATTGCCAGGCTGACTGCCGGAGTAACCGACGACCGACGTCGATGAAGCCGCCGCTGCCCCTGCTCCTGCAGTGCGATTCTTTGCCCGGCCGCCTCGCCCAGCTGCGGCTGGCTCTGCATCACCTTGAGCAGCAGAGTGATCATAGAGCAAGGTCTCGAGTAGTGTGGAACAGCTTGACAGCGGAGCCTTGCCTTCATCATCGTCGAAAGACCAGAGCATCTCGATGGCGAGTCCAATACGGCCGGAACCCTCCGCGACGAGCGTCTGCGCTTGCGTAGTCATGGACGATGATGCGACCTGAGCGCCTATATCAGTGAGGTCGTCGATGGCCTTTTCGTACTTGACCAGGTTCTCGGCGAGAATTTTGAATCGCAGTTTGCGCACCTCTGCCTCCCACTTGGTCCTCTGCTCCCTCGATTTGGCGTCCTTGGCCGCCGCCGTGCCCGACACTGGTGCGGAGCCAATTGTGTCGTCCACTTGCTCCTCGACCTGTTCCTCGACAAGGCCCAGCACGAAGCGGCTGACCTCTGCTCGGATGCGCGGTTCAACGTCGAATATGTGCATGCCAATTTCGTCCCTCTGCTCCTCGTCGAGCAGGTCTCTGCGGTCGATGTGGATGAGAATCTCAATCGTCGAGACGCGCACGGTGAGGTCGATGTCGCTGACTGCCATCTGGATAAGCCTGGCAATATTGCGCTCGGTGAAGGCGCGCATGGCCTCGGGAAACGCCGATCGAGAGTAGAGACCATTCAGTGCTCGCACAGCAGCGATCCTGACGGCTGCGTGGGCGTCACTGAGGCACCAGCCAATGTAGCGAAAGAACTCCGTCATGACAAACATGTCCGGGTACGCTTTCATCCATCGCCCAAGCTCGGTAGCGCAGTCGGTGCGGATGAGAGGGTCTGCGTCGCGGTATCGGTGCTGGAAGACGCTATCGATGAGGTCGCGGATGCTATCCCGGAGCGTAGCATCTTCCAATTTCTCTGCTTTCCAGGTCTCGTCAAGATTCTTGAGCCTCTTCTTGTCAGCGCGAGCCTTCTTGCTGCTTTCGGCATTGAGCTGCTTGCGGGTTGTATCGACGCTCTTGCGCTTTTCGGAGGCGAGGGCAGCGAGGCCCTCAACTAGGTTGAGCACAATGAAGGTAGAGGTGTGTCGGAAGGAGCGGAAGGTGGATGACGACAGAGAGGAAAGCCACTCCTTGAGAACATTGAGCAAAGGATTGTCGATGACGTCGTCCGATGACATCTCGGTGGTGGGAGCGACAAGAAGCAGCTCTGACTCTGAGGCCGTGTGAAGGAGGCGTGAAATGAACTCGGAAAGGGAGCGCTTGAACTTCTTGAAAGCAGGAGCGCGCGATACGAGGGGATAGGATGGCATTGGGATATTGCGAAACTCCTCTTGAATCTCGTCGAGTGTGTCGACGATGTTGTCAAGGTCCATTGCACCTTGCTCGTCCGTCGAGCTGTTGCAGCCGCAGCATCGAATGAAGAAGTTGACGAGCTCCGTCAGAGCTGGTCCAGGGTTCTCCTGATAGGCTATGACCCAATCTTCGGCCGTAGTCTGAAGAGCCGTCTCTGAATTCTTGACGGCGTCTGCGTGCGTGGAAGTGGACTGAGGTCAGCGAGTTCTCGAGGCAACAAAAGGGCTGCCGTCGCACTCACTGAACAAGGGCACGTCGTCGCTAATCTCTAGCTCCTCCTTGCTCGCTGCCACTCGAGGTGCTGCCTTGGCCGCACCAGCTTGTCTCTTGCCACCACCGCCAGCTGCCTTGGACTTGGTCGCCTTCGTCCGCGTCGCCGCTGAGCCATTGGTGGTCGTCTTGGCCTTCTTGGCTTTGGGGACGCGAGGACGCTTCAGCTTCTTCGACGCGCCTGGTGCCATGAAGTCGGCCGTGTCGTCCATGTCGATCTCGCTGCCCGAGTCAAAGGAGTCCTCGGAGAGGTCACCATCATCGGACGAGTTTGCGGCGGCGCGTGGCGGGGAAGATTGGCGGAAGCGGTTCGAGGCCGCTCGACGAGGGCGCGAGGCAGCGGCTGCAGCTACTGCTGCTGCTGGAGCCGCCATGATGCGCGTGGTGAGCGACGTGTTCAGCGAGTGCTACGGAGATGAAGCACGCGATGAAAAAGCAGTGGTCTATGTAGAAGAGGTTGATGTGTGGTAGTGAAGATCGTGGTGAGGAGGAGAGGAATGCTGCTCGCTGCTCGAAGACGGAAGGGCGACGCGCTGACGCACCTCGAGACGCGGCTACTCCGCCCGGCAGCCCGAATGAGCGCGTAGCACGCGTGAGCCTCAGAGGGGCCACAGAGCAAGACGAGGCAGGGCGCCAAATGACACCATCACAAGTAGCATCTTTGAGTCGTCAGACACGAGAAATCGCTGTCGTGCGACTCGACCGATGCTCACGACCACCCAATTACTGCTGGCTTCTTCTCAAGAAAGGGAGGGCGCGGCCCCCGCTACCACGCTCTCCATGGCTGCGCGTGTTGGACTGCAGGCAGCTTAGCACAAGTACGTCCTCGGTCCTTTGTCTGCCGCGGGCTGTCGTGCGGGCGGAGAAGCACTGTGCAGCCTTTCAGGGCGTGTCTGCCCCGTGTGCACTGCGCCGTGCGCCAGAGCTTGGACCACCTCTGACGCTCGCAGGCAATCTCATCTGCTCCATAGTCCCAGTCAGCTTCGGCGAAAAGGCTCTTCGATGAGCAATCATCCTCACTCCTTCGCACCAGAACATAGACGACGTCAAGAAGTAGTTGACGACGTCCCAGAGCAAGTCACTCCACCTCAGTACAGCCGGCCCCTACCCAAAGAGGGAAGCAGCGACAGCAACCCGCTCGATTCGTCCTCGTCCTTTGACTTGGCAGACTTCGCCGTGCCCTTGCCTTCTGGTCGACCACCATCTTGGCTGGCCAAGCTTCCACCTGGACCCAAGGAGACGCCAACACAGTCGATCCGCAAGAAGCATCGCAGCGTGCGCTCCCTGACGAAGGAATACGAGTCGTCGGCGCCCTGTGCCTTATCGTCCTCTTCGCCTCTGGGCTCAGCAGCAACGACGCCCTCGCCCCATTCCGGCACTTACGACCCGTTCAATAGTAGGCCAAATACAAAGCGCGCGACGCCTGATAGCAAGGTGGCTTCCTCATCACCCTCGTCTGTCCCCGCCTCCGCTGCGCCCCTCTCACCGCGCAACTCGAACAGCCTCGCTGCTGCATCGACGCAAATGGCAGAGGAGCAACACAAGCATTCTCATCAACATCTGCCGACCTTGGCCGTATCGCTGGACGATGATCAGCCAGGAGCAGCAGCAGGCAGCTCAGGTGGGCTGGGCAGGAGCAAGTCACATGTAGGCCATCATGAGCGAACACCAAGTGGTTCACTAGATACAGACCTTCCCCGCCCACAAGACGAGGAGAACGACTCGCTTGGCGAATTGGGTCGTTCCCAGTCCCTGTCGACTCGCAAGTCCCTCTCGCAGATGTCAGCTGCTGAGCGCAGAGAGCATTCGCGCAAGCACTCCCGCGTTCACTCACGCAACCTGAGCGTCTTCTTCCCTCAACCGGGGACAGAGGCAGAGGTCGAACAGGACAGATACAAGGTTGGGATGAACTTTAGCAACGGTGGCGGACAGCCCGCTGGCGCCCTTCGACCTCCGATCTCAGTAGACACGGCCTTTGGCGGTAGCGGCGACACCCAGCTGCCGAGTGCAGACTCCCTCATGGGCGGCGACAGCTCTTCAGCATTCGCGAGTCCCAGTCCGACGAAGAGCCGTAGAGGTCATCACAGCAAGCACAGCGTTAGCTACCAGCAACACCAATTGCTATCGCCCATCAAGGGCGGCGCTGGCGGTATGACGCGCGACTCCAGCAACGAAAGCCTGGCGTGGTCGGAGGCCTTGTCCAGGAGTGCATCATTGCAGTCCAATGTGACGCCTCATGAACATAGCCCTGCCGCTCATGCCCATTCTCACGATCACCACCACGGCCACCACCATCATGGCCATGAGCATCACTCGCATTCGCATGTCCACAAGCATGAACAAGGCGGCGAGTCAGCAGCAAAGATTTTGGGCTTCTTCCCCCGCCTCCCCCCGCTGCCCCCACAGCTCGCCCCGACTTTCGCGTACTCCCTCGCCCATTTCCTGCTGGGATCCTCGCTCTGGGTATCGGGTCAATCTACCGACCTCCTCTCTGTAACGGGCATGGGATACCTAGTCGTCTTCGACTCGCTTGGCTCCTTCAACGATGTGCTGGCGCAATGGGTGGGCTCGGTGAAGGGGCGGTCACACGGCAAAGACAGACATAGGGTCGCAGAAGCCTACTCGACGCAGAGAGTCGGGACGCTGCTCAACTTTGTGCAGACGATTTACCTGCTTTTCGCGGCAGTGTATGTCTGCAAGGAGTCGATTGAGCATGTGCTTCTTGAGGGCGGGGAGAGTGAGGCAGCTGCGGCTGAAGGGGGGGTCGATGGGGGGAGCTTGAATGTGGCCATGGGTGGCGGTGCGGGTCATCACCACCACGATGGTCTCGTTACCCCCTCGGGCCCTCTGTCAGCCGCGACAAATCCGGGCACGCAGCTGCCGACAGTCCTCCTAGTCCTGGCGACCGTAGCGTGCCTCTTCGCCAACCTCTTCATGGCCAATCATGCAAGCCTCGTAGCCGCCTCTGGCCTGTCGACCTCTTCTTCCCCCTCTTCTCAAGCATCGCGCCGTCGAGCACACGGCCGCTCAGCCTCAGTGCTAGTCTCTACCTCACAAATGGCTGCAGGCCCCTTCCTCTCCCTCCTCTCCAACCCTTTCAGTCTAACTGTCCTCTTCTTCTCTTCCTCCCTCCTCTTCGCTGCGCTCAGCCTCTCTCCCCTCCAAGTGCAGGCGTTAGACAAAGTCTTGGCGGGGCTGGAGAGCGTGGCCATGTGGTACGTTGCTTTGCCGGCCAGCAAAGTGCTGGGGAAGGTGCTGCTACAGACAGCGCCTAATGTCAGCAAGGAGGAGGGCGGCAGAGCCCAGCTGGTGCAGCTGATGAGGGCCACCAAGGCGCTTGAGGTGGAGCCCTTAATTGAGCATATTGCAGCACCCAACGTATGGCAGTTGACGCCTTCCACTTCGGCGTATCAAGGAGGGACGAAGCATGGCAAATCAGGCGGCGCAGGCTCGCTTGGCAGCCTCGCAGCCGCAGCTGCCAGTCTGGGCGTGAGCTCGACCCACTCTACCTCTTCGACACAGAAACGAACAGCGCAGTCGCCTTCGCTCATCGCGTCCATCTCGATCCTCCTCCGCGACGAGGCTCAGGACGACGATGTACTCCGTATCACGAGATGGGCCTACGAGAGGTTAGCGCCTGCCCTTGGGGCTGGGATGGGCGTGCCTGCTGGTCAGGCGTTGAGAGGTAGCTTGGCTGCTGGGGAGCTGGTGGTTGATGTGAGGCGCAAGGGGATTGCGGCTGCTGTTGAGGCTGAGCATGGGCATGCCCATGGGCATCATGATCACTCGCACGGCGGTTGTGGGCATGGGCATGGGCATGGGCATGGGCACGGTCACGATCATCATCACGTTCACGACCATGACCACCACGGGCACGATCACAGTCACGCCCATGACCACACCATCACACCCTCACACTCGCACGACGCCCTCGCCGGTCATCATCAGTCTCATGATCACCACGCTCAAATCCACGCGCATTACGATCACGATCACGGCCACGGTCAGAATCATGACGAGCATCACCACGGGCATTCCCACGATCACCATCACCATCATCACCACCATCATCACTAGACTCTTCTTTCCGGCGATATCGAGCGATGTCGCGAACGCTCTTACTTGATGTTTCTCTCCTTTTCTTCTGTCAGATATAATGAACTCCTTGCTGGATGCGCGACGCTGCCACAGTTGCGCCTGCTGCTCCCGGGTCCTTTCATGCACGCGTACGTTTCTCGTCGAGTGAGGTCTATCTGTATGTCATGGCATTGCTTGGAAGAGCGTCAGGCTCTACTCGTTCATCGAAGCATCTTCACCGTCCTGCTCTGCGGCGTCTGTGCCATCCTGAGCAGCTGCCTCCTCATCGTCATCGTCATCGTCCTCCTCGTCCTCCTCGACCTCCACCAATTCGCCTTCCTCGTCCTCCTTCTCTTGATCCTCACCAGCAGCCGCATCTCGCTTCCTCCTCTCCCTCAAGCCCCTCCCAAACTCCCTCACCCTCTCCCCAAACACGCTCGCGACTCCCTTGGCCTGACCAGCGTCCCACACTTTGACCTTGCCCGACGAGCCCGCAGCAGCGATGACGAGCGGCTCGTCCGGTGAGAAGGAAGCCGCAAAGACTTTGCCCGCGCCCACGTCTCTGCTGGCTACTAGGCTGATCGACTTTGGCTTGGGCCCACCACCAGGGGAAGGCTCGAGATTCCAGAGCTTGACCTGCCTGTCCAACCCCGCGGTCACGAGACAGCCGGGGATATGCGGGCTGATATCCATGCTGGTGCAGGCGGAGGAGTGCGCCGATAGGGTGAAGAGGGAGCGTGCTTGGCTCGCCCCCGTCGCTGCGGCTGATGACGCAACCGCGTCGACATCGTAGCTGTGGACGAGTCCCGAGTCCAAGCTGACCAGCAAGTTGTTACACCTCCAAGGATTCCACCTCACCTTCTCGATTTCCCCGTCGACTTTCACTGAGCAGATGACCACGCCTGGCTGACGGACGTCGAAGATCTTTACTTGCCCGTCGTACCCGCCTGAAGCGAGGACGGAGCGTACAGCGCTGCCCTGTTGCTCGGCAGGGAGCGAAATGCCTGACGTGTTCCACGCAACGGACTGCACCTTGTCGCTGTGCAACCCCTCGAAGGATCGCAACGCCTCCAGTCCGCCATGCTCTTTCGGTGCTGCGTCGAGATCCCAGAGCTTGACGGTCCCATCTGCCGATGAAGAAGCGAGCAGATTGGGCACAAAAGGGTTCCAAGAGAGACACAAGACCGCATCAGTATGATGATGAGGTGAGTTTGGACGAACAGCGAGCTCGCGACGCTTCTTCTTTCCCGTGCCCTTCTTCTTTGCCTGCTTCTCCCACGCCTTTGAGGCTTCCCTGTTGCCCAGCACGGCGGAGGGTACAAGGCCATCAATGATATCCATGTTCCAGATCTCGATCTCTGGGTCCATGGTGGAGACGGCGAGGTAGTTGCCCTGTGATGCGCGGGTAGCGCCATTGGTATTTGTCGAGGATGAGGCGGCTGCTGGCGAGTGGCTGAGCCATTCGAGGCAGAGCGGGAATGAGGGCAGAAGCAGATCGTGATGCACATACAACGACGAGCCTTCAGGCGCCTCTTCGGTGACGGGTGCATATACGTGAGCCTCGATGAGGGAGACGTCATCTTCCGTCTTTGCTGAGATCAACAAGTTGTCCGAAGGCAGCACTTCGAGCGCTTCTCGCTCTTCATCATCGTCGTCTTGGCCATCAATGTCCTTGTCGCCGTCCTTGAGGGTAATGTATGGGTCATCGTCGTTTGACTTGTAGAAGGAGAGGCCCTTGATGTTGGAGAAGGCGCCCATTGCAATTCCTGTAGACTGCTCTTCATCGTACGTGTCGAGCTTGTACTTTGCGAGCTCGTCCTCATCGGCGCCCTTTTCCTCTTCTGCCTTCTCTGTCTTGGTATCTTGGTCCATCGACTCATCTGCGTCTTGATCATCATCGTCGTCATCCTGCCAACCATCGCCGCCATCCATTCCCTCTGCCTCTTTCCTCGCTTCCTCCAACTGCTGCTGCGCGTCTCCGAACTCGAGGTTGGTCAACTTCTGAACACGCTGAAGCTCATCTTCATCGGTGATGTTGAACTTTTGCGGATGCCGGGCTGCCGCCCCCTTTCTGACCCAGGCGAGACTGGAGATCATTGTGAGTGAGGAAGGGTGATAGTGGTGGTAGTGTGGAGTCGAGGTCTCGTCGAGAAGCTCTCAATTTCCAGACGAGGCCCACTTTTTCGACTTTGGCCTGCCAGTCCGCCTTGGAGCCAAACGAGACGTCGGCCTCGCGTGGCGGCTGCCGTCGTCGTGCGGGCTCCGTCGACGATGGGCAAAATTTTGGGCCCAAGGCGGCAGTGGGTTGGCTGCATCGTCGTCCTCACCACCATCCATCATCACGTTGCCCCCACTCGCCCGGCATGCTGTCCATCAAGAAGCCTCGCAATGCCCGCTCCAAGCGAGCATTGGAGAAGCGACAACCCGCCACCAACGAACCTGTAAAGACGGCCCTCTTTGTCAATGCTTCCCACTCAAGCCACACCGTCTCGCAAGCACTGCAACAACTCTCCGCCCTCAAGAAGCCCTACGCAATCTCCTTCTCCAAGAAGAAGTCCAATGATGTCAATCCCTTCGTCGATGCAAGCTCAATCGAGTTCTGGTGCGCAAAGAACGATACCCCACTGATGCTGGTCGGCGACTCGAGGAAGAAGCGCAAGGACAACTTGACGTGGATCAGGCTCTTTGACGGCAAAGTATTGGATATGCTTGAGATGGGCATCGATAGCCTCAAGACCACCGAGGAGTTCAAGCCCCCTACCCTACCTGACTTGGGAACTAGGCCGCTCTTCCACTTTGCCGGGCAGCAATTCGCTACAGAGGCTGCCGGGGAATACCCAGCGCATGCCCACCTGAAGTCGCTCATGCTCGACTTCTATCGTGGAGAGGAGGTCCTTGAGAATGGAATCCCAACAGGAGGAAAGGTGGCGCTGCAGGGTGGGCTGCAGATGGTCATTAGTGTCACAGCGACGAGCGACAATGAAGGCACGAGCAAGGGCAACGGCGCCGCAGGGGCTACCTTGGCCGACCTGTATGCCGCAGGCCAAGCAACGAGCAGCAATGGCGCTCCCTCCTCCTCCGCAACACCAATCGATACTTCAGCATCTGGCAGTCGCATAGGCTTCCGCGTCTACACCATCACCGTACCCCCAAAGACACCGGCACGCGCCATTCCCTCCAACTTCACACTAAACGAGTGCGGTCCTTCCCTCGACCTCACCATCCGACGTCGTCAGCCCGCAGACGCCACCATGCTGCATCAGAGTTTGAAGAGGGCAAAGACGCAAGCAGAGAAGAATAGGCAGGGCAAGAGCGACACGTACAAGAAGAATATCGATACAGATGAGATGGGCGATATGGTTGGTAGGGTGCATGTGGGCAAGCAGGATCTTAGCAAGTTGCAGACGAGGAAGATGAAGGGTTTGAAGGCGGATAAGAATGGGGCTGAGGAGAGTGACGATGAAGACGACGAGGAGGAGCACGACGACGACGACGAGGATGAAGATGAATTCATGGCGCTGGGTAGCGGGGATGAGGACGAGATGGAAGATGACGAGGACGATGATGAGGAGGACGCAGCAGAGATGGCAGATCTCGTTGGCGACTCAGAAGACGACGATGATGAGCCAGCGCCAGCACCCAAGGGGGCGATGTCGAGCAAGAAGCGAGGCAGAAAGGCATAAGAACCGGTCTTACCAAAGCGTGCAATCTCATTTCGCCTCTATCAAGAGGCTCGTTGCCAGACTTCATCGTTGCAGGCTGATGCTGGAGTGCGGATCTGGTGATGTATCGAAGTAAGTGTGACATTGGGGTAGTGGATGAAATGAAGGATATACGGACATGGTGGTGCTGATGACTTCGATGGGCGCGCTGCCCGGTGCTCCCAGGTTCGCTCACTCCTTGGTCGAGGAGGGAAAGAGATGGTTGACGGAGGTCTTGTGCTCCTGGCTGCTCGGATGATGTTGCGATGCTCTAATGTCTCCTCCCTTTGATGGCAAATTTGTCTCGCTTGACGAGTCTGACACCCTGTCTGCTCCTCCTTCTCTTCTTCTTCTTCTTCTTCTTCTTCCTCCTCCTCCTCCCCCCCAGCCGCTGCTACTTGCGCCGGCCCCTTTTCCCCGTCTTCTTGCCAGCTGGAGTCGACTGGCGTTGCGGGTCCGACACGCTCAGAGCCGCCCTCTTGGTAGTGCCCGTGGGCTTGTCTCTGCTGCAAGGAAGAGAGGTGCGGTCGGAATCCATCTGCGCTGCCTGCCGTGATGCTCCTGCTTGCTTCGAGGAGCTCGCCCCCTTTGACGAGCCTGCCTGCTTCGACGGGCCGGCTTCCTTTGACGATACTGCCTGCTGCTTGGATCGACCTGTCTGCTGCTTCTCAGGAGCGGTTGCTTTCTTCTTCCTCGAAAACGATGCCTTGACAGCTTTGGGCGTGGACGCAGGAGTGTATGGCTCGTCCCATGCACTCGGCTCTGGGGCCGCCTCGGAGTCAGATGCTGCTATCCAGACGTCCAGCTCTGGAGGAGGCGTCTCCCAAGGATCGTCCTCGCTCGGGGTTCCCGGTCCATAGCGGTAGCGCTCTTGGTGGTACTCGTCTGCGATCCTCTCATTCTCTGCTTTTTCATCCGAATCCAGATCCTCCGAACGCTCCGTGTCCTGGTCCCAGGCTGCGCTATCTTCCGACTTCTTCCTGCTCGTATCGGGTTTCTTCTTGCCGTCCGGTCGGTAGTCTGCGTCATCGTCCTTCTTTTTCTTTTTCTTCTCTGGTGTCGATGGACGGGTGGGCCAATAGTCATCGTGACCTTCCTCGATCCCAATCCAGGGAGACTCTGTCTTCAAGAGATGTCGGCGGCGTTTGAGCTCCTCCGCATCGTCTGGGGCGATGCCCATCGCATCATCAGCCCAGCTCGCATCCCACAGCAAAACATTCTGGGCGGCGCCGTGAGCCGCGATTGATATCGGTGAAGGAGCATTGATGGCGTCCTGTACCGTAATTTGTTTCAGGTCTGATGCTGACCACCACGAAGGCTTCCCAGAGACCGAGCGCGCGCACTGCCTGTTGGCTTCCATCTCCGTCCATTCGTGGCCTTTGACACAGTTGTCCAAGAGGTGGTGAATGAAGTTTACGAAGAATGCGGGCTCTTGATCAGTCTCCTTGCGGTAGCGCAGGGCAGTACGCTCCACGAGTCGAGCCATGTCGCAGAGCTGCTCCCAGGTCGCGCGTGGACTTAGCTCGACAATGAAGGTAAAGGCTCCGTTGCCCCTTCGCTTTGGACGCTCGACGAGGACGTAATACCAGAATTCCTCCTTCTCTGCGAGCTCATGCCAGCCAATTGGGCGTGTCCATCGAAGCAGATCCGCATCTTCGAGGTTGTGCGTTTCTGTTCCTCCGTTCGCTCCAACGTGAGGTCTCATGGCGTGCAGACGGAGCATCTTGTCTCTTCTGTGGCGGCCGCCCGTGCAGGGATTCCAGTCGACGCTAACAGAAATATGATAGTGTCAGTCACATTGCTGCGATGCTCGTCGAGTATCTGCGCTGCTGCTTACGCGCGTGGAAAGCTGCGCGTGCTCGCGCACCAGTTGTGGTGGACGTAAGAGTTGGGGCAAGCCTCGAAAAGCTGGTCACTGAGGTCCATGCTGCGAAAGATTGCGCCATTCCACTCGATTTCAGCAGGACAAAAAGGATCGCCAGCTGGATATGTATGGAAGAGGCCTTTGACGCTTCGGCCATCGGTGCGTCCCTGGCGGATGCTTTCCAGGGCCCTCACAAATTCCCTGCATTCATGTCTGGTGATATAGATGACCTGCTTGAGGCCAGAGAAAGGGTCTCGTTGCACATGATGAGCGAGGATACGGCAAGTCAGAGCCACCGAAAAAGCACAGTGAGGGTCGATACGGCTGGCCTCGAGTAGAATCTTGAACTTGAGGTCGTACGGCAGCTGAGCGAGGGCCGCTTCGCCTTTGGGCGTGAAGGCTGGCGGTTCTGTAGCTGAGGTACGAGCGAGATGAGGGGGAGCGGGCGGTGGGTAGTCCCACGGATCCTTCGCGTAATGCTCTTGGAGGAAGGAGACTTGAGATCGCCCGTGGCTGAGAGCTCGAAGAGCCGCCTTCGTTAAGGGGATGCCTGAGGTTACCGAGCTGGTCATGGGCGGCCTTCATGCGCTGATGATGGGACAGACTGGCTGAGCGAGTCTACTCTCTCCTGCGATGAGTGAGCTGCCGCTATGTGGTGATGAGGACTTGGAGTCAAAGGTCGAGAGCGATGGAAGAAGACATGAAGAGGAGAGAGGGACGGGACGGCTGACTGTTCGATGTTAGACGCGCCAACTCGACGCCCGCTTGTGCCTGCTCGGGTGTCATCACTCCAAGCATTGGCTGCTCGTCGTGGGTGGGCATCAGCGAGGCGCGCAGCTTTCTCCTGCCCACTCAGGCACCAAAGTGACGGGCTCATCGCGTGCCGTGAGACTGGTATTGGAGTGCACCTGCTTCCTCGATCTTCTCTTGCTCTATCGCGATCTTCTCATTGAGTCTCTCAGGCGTAGCGAATGGGTCTGACTTGGTTGATGATTGACCTGTTGGTGGCTTCGATAGCTTGATAGGAGTCCTCACTTCGCGTTGCGAGCACCTCGAGCTCTAGGTGCCGCTGCACCGCTCCCCGTCCGTGCACTGCTTGGCCTGACGTCACCGGAGCGAGGCTGCATCGCATCTCGTCCGCCTGATCTTGTCTCTTTCCAACCTCACCCATCACCAAAACAACACCAATCATGTCCGCCAACGCCATCAGGAACACCGAAGCACAAGGCAGCGTCCCCCAGACGGACGCTGGAGCCAACATTGGCTCAAATGCGCCCGCCGGGTCGACGACCACCGGATCAGCCACAGCATCTGGAGTTGGCGCCGGGTCCGCAGACAACAAGCACACCCCTGCCATCCCGGGATCGGCGCAGCTTGATCCAGAGATTCCCAGGACGGCCAAGGAGGCTCCGATCTTTGGCGTTGAGGCCTCCAAGGACGTTTCGTTCAAGGTGCGCAGGGCTTGGGAGATCACGGGCAGATGGTGCGCAGCAGCTGACCATCTTTCATTCGCCCCCTCTTTCTTCCCACAGGAGCAAGTGCAAGGCCATGCCAAGTACTTTGCCGGCAAATTCACAGGAAACGACAAGGAGGTACAACAGGGCGCTGCGAGGGCGAGGGGAGAAGAGAACTCGCTGCCGAAAGAGCTTCAGCCTGAGAGGAAGTCGACGCAGTAGAGGCATCACGGACACGAGGCGATGTTGTACATTGCGAGCCGGGGAATTCTATCTGCTACGGATCGTGACCCACTACCACCATTCGTCATCGTCGTCGTCGTCGTCGTCATCCGGCGTAGATGGCCCCTTGAGCTTCTGCACGCTGCGCAAACCCTTGCTCATGTAAACGCCATCCAGCTCGTAGCCCAGCCTGCGGTAGAAGTCCCTCGTCCCCACACCAGAGATGACAGCCAGCTTCGTCGATTGATGCTCTTCCCTGCTGATTCGTTCCGCCTCTTCCATGAGCAACGTTCCAAACCCTTGATGCTGGAACTTGGTTGGGTCCCTCGAGTGAATGCCCACCGCAGTCCCATATGTATGCAGCTCGCGCACCATACTCGCTCCGCCAGGTCCTGCCCCGACGCCAGCCTCTTGTTCTTCTTCGCTACTCCTGACAAGCTCTTCCCTGAACGTCGAGGTATCGTTGCACTTTCTGAGACGGAGCAATGCCACGAGGATATCGCGTTTCGGATCCTCGTAACTCAGGAAGGTTTCCCAACCTCCATTAGCCACGTAGTCCCTGCGCACGAGCTCGACGTCCTCGGGCAGCACCTTGTTATGGATCTCGTGAATCCCCACCTCCCTCGTCCTCACATCACGGCACTCCAGGCCAAAGTCCCGCATACGCTGCAATGCCAGCTCGCGAAGGTTCCCGTTCTCCACGCCCGACGAGACCAGAGGCATAGGGATGTCCCTCTGCACGCGGTAGACTCTCGTCCAGGGTGGAACGAGTGCGAGGATGCGAGCGACAAGGTCGACGAGGAAGGAGGGCGAGTAGTTCTTGTATCTGCCCGTGCGCCAGAGCTCGTACAGGCCTGTACCGCGGATGACGAGTGTCGGGTAGATCTTGAGTCCGTCAGGCCTGAATGCCGGGTTGCTGAACATCTCCACGAATTGCTCCATATCTCGTTCGTAGCCTACGTTGGGCAGATCGGGCATCATATGCGTAACGACCTTGTAGCCTGCCTCCTTTGCTAGCTCGAAAGTTTCACAGGTGGCCTTGACCGTGTGGCCTCGATTGGTATCGCGTGCCACATCCTCGTATACGGATTGCACACCGATCTCCAGGCGGGTACAACCGTATCTCAGTAGTTGAGAGAGGTGCGGTGGCAAGCAGTAGTCCGGGCGAGTCTCGATGGTGATACCGATGCACTTGGTAGGGGAGCGCTCTGAGTATCTGACGGCCTCGTCTACATCCATTCCCGTGTGTCCACTCAAGGCGTTATGCAGCTGAGCAATGAACTTGTTCCGGTACTCCTCACTGAGCGACATGAACGTCCCTCCCATGATGATGTACTCGACCTTGTCTACCGAGTGGCCAAGCTCACGCAGCTGGGCGACTCTGCCTCTGCTCTGCTCGTATGGGTCGTATCGTGCTCTAATGGCTCGCATGGATGTCGGCTCGTAGCCCGTGTAGCTCTGCGTCGAATACTCAAAGTCCGAGTCTGGCCCACCTGGGCAGTAGACGCACACGTTGCCCGTCATGGCTATGTGTGGGCAGCGGTGTGGCTTGCACATCACGGCTACAACTGCGATGCCTGAGGCGGAGCGAATTGGCTTTGCTCGAAGTGCTGGGAGGAGTAAAGGGCGGTATGCTTCAGGGATGGAGGCGATGATGTCTGTGAGGCGTGGGACGCCCTTGTGCTTGTGCTTGCGACATGCCTTCTTTCGCAGCTCAGAGAGGGAGACGGGCGAGTGCGACTCGTGTGCTGAAATGAGGCCAGCGACGACCTCTGCGCAGACTTTGAGGAGCGACTCTGCTGAAGTTGTGCCCGTTGAGGACGAGACCATGCTGGTTGGGCGGACAAGACGAGGGTGAAGACGTGGATTGGAAATGGAGAGACAAAGTGGCGCTCAAGTCCAAAATGTCGAACGGGAGTGGACGCAACCTGCGTCTCTCGTCCAGGCGACGACGGTCCTGCCGCGCAGAGTCGACCAACCAAGACACTCCCGCCTCCGCCTTCTCAACTTCCCATTTCAGCCAGCGCAATCATGGAAGACGACGAGCTGCAAGCCATTCGTCGAGCAAGGATGCAACAGCTCCAGCAGCAGGGTGGCGGCGGTGGAGGAGCAGGCTCTCAAGGGCCCTCTTCCTCGTTCCTCTCTCAGCTGGGCGGTAAGCAAGGCGGCGGAGCAAGGAGAGGTGCGGGTGATGATGACGACGACGGCGGCGAAGGTAGTCAAGACCAGGGGCAACGCATGGCTCAGATGGAGGAGCAGAAGAGGCAGATGCTCAGCACCATTCTCGATTCAGATGCGAGAGAGAGGCGTAAGTAGGCAGGCGTCACGTCATGCGAGCTACGACTACGACTGCCTGCCGCGAAGATTTGCTCACGACGCCCTCCCTCGCCGGCGTGCAGTATCACGCATCTCCCTCGTCAAGCCACAGAAGGCGCAGGGTATCACCAACCTCATCATTCAGATGGCTCAGTCTGGCCAAATCAGGCAGAGGATCAATGAGGCTCAGCTTGTGGACCTCCTCGAGCAGGTCGAGCGCGGAGATGGCAGTGGGGGAGCTGGTCCCAAGATCACAGTGAGTTTGGCCAGACGCCAGAGGGACGCATCTCAGCAGCTGATTACCTCTTTCTTCGCTCACACGTACAATAGTACAATCGCAAAAAGGCAGGCCTCGACGATGATGACGATGACTTTGATCTGTGACAGGTTGGCCTAACAAGGAAGCAATACCAAATCGTGCAATGTTCTCCCGGCTGTTCGCCACATCTGATCACGCTTTGCCATCGCCAGACTCGTCTGCAGCGTGCATTTTGGGATCAAAGAGGGTGTATGATATTCCTGGTTCAAAAACCTCAAGACGAACAGAGTGCCCGACGCAGAGGTCACCCGCGCCCCTCGCTACACTCCTGTCCATCGTCATTGCGCCCTCACTGCGCGTAACTCGAGCTTTAGCCAGCCTACGCCACCACCAGCAGTCGCTGCTATTGTCCCCGCACGATTAGCGGTAGAGGTGGTCGGCCTGCAGGTTAGCGGCGTACTCGGCCTCAGCCTTGTCGCCGTTTGCGAGCAGCTTCTCCTTGTTGTAAAGGAGCTCCTCCCTCCACTCGGTCGAGTAGTCGGTGTTCTGCGTCTCAACAATGGCGTCAACAGGGCAAGCCTCCTGACAGAATCCACAGTAGATGCACTTGGTCATGTCGATGTCGTAGCGCGTCGTGCGGCGAGCTCCGTCCTCGCGGGGCTCCGACTCGATGGTGATGGCCTGAGCGGGGCAGATGGCCTCGCACAGCTTGCAGGCGATGCAGCGCTCCTCTCCTGAGGCGTAACGACGAAGAGCGTGCTCGCCACGGAAGCGGGGAGAGAGCGGTCCCTTCTCGTAGGGGTACATGATGGTGTAGGGAGGGCGGAAGAAGTTTTCAAGGACGATCCACATGCCTGACGAGGGACGCAGGGAGAAGTGCACCGTCAGTGGACGGTGTTCAAATGATGAGTGATGAACCAGAGATGCTTGCGTGTGGCTTTGCTGAGGAATCGCTGCCGTTGCCACCTCTCTCGAGGATGCAGGGCAGCCACCACCTCGCCTCGCCACACGACATTCTGTCGCACTCTCTCGAGCCCTACTACTACTACTCACCCCTCAGAATCTCCGTGAAAAAGAAGAGTTTCGCTGCCTTGTCGATAGCGCTTGGCCCCTTCGAGTAGTCTGGGTATACTGCCTGCCCGTCCGTCTTGGCCCTAAGAGCCTCCGCTGCCTGATGGTCCAGGGTCCCCGTCATTGACGTCTGGTCGGCGTCTGCCGGCTTGCGTGGCGAAATGTGCGTAGGCCCCGTCATCGGTCGCTCTACAGCGCGAGAAAGAGCTGAGGACGAGAAGTGAGAAGCGCCAGCCGCAAAGGGAGGCAGCGATGAGAGGATGCGTGATGAAGAAGACGAGGAGGCGGCAAGCACCCTAGGGGCGACGCTGCTGCTGCTGCCTGCTGCTGATCGCGATGCCAGTGCTGCCGTTCGCAGAATTGACCTGCTGAGCGTTGACGACGACATGATGGCGAGGGTACGAGGAGTGGTGGCGAGACGGAGAAATGAGGTCGAAGTAGTCGTTGGCAATTGGAGTTGTGTCGTTGAGGCGTGGCAGTCAGTCCCACGGCGCCGCCGCCGCCTCGACCCAGGCCAGCTCCTTCTTCCGCGCGCGCCCGACGAGCCAGGTGCCTCGGATTACAAAAGGCGTCGATTGATCAGCCATGGTGCGTGCGATGGCATCGCTGTTGAAGAGACAGCGGTAGGCAGATGATGATGAATGAATGAATTGCGCGATGGTCATCAGAGGGGAGGTAGCGAAGCGTTTCTCACCGACCAAATAGCCTCTTCCATGGCTGAGGCGTGCTCACTCTGACGCCACGGTGAGTGCCTGATGTCGAGGTTTGTCCTGCCTTCTGGCAAGCACTTCAATAAGCAGCGAAGCAGCATCGATATGTGTGAGTGCCTCTTCGAGTAGATTTTCCGATGTCAGGGCGACTTTGACCCATGGACGCATTGCAAGGGCTTTGGCGTGTTCCCTCCTCCTGGTAGTCGCCAGCTTGTGAAGCCACAGCTCGCAGCGAGCAGGGCGAGATTGATTGATCATCGCATCGGCAGTCTCGTGATACTCGCACTCATCTACGTCACACACCGAGACAGGTCTCACCATGCTACCAACTGAGTAGCGTCAACTTCGTCATCACTACAAGCAATCGATCGAGGTGCTGTGGCTGCCTCCCTCCCTGCCTGCCTGCCGCTGTCTCGCGCCTCGCGCCTCGCGCCCGCCTCACTCCTCCACCGCTGTGGGCTTTCGGGCTGAGACCAGAGGCCGTCGACTTTCAGTGAGAGCTGAATGACAGGCTGGCCAAATGCCCGGAGGCACAGGGCAGAACAAGGCAAGCAGCTACAATCACCTCATATTTCTCCCGTCTCCTGCCTCTGGAACCCCTCATCCCTTCTTGCCCCTCTATCTTCCCCACTACATCCACACTCATCATCATGATCGCTGCCCGCACTCCCACGCTTCTCCGCGCCTCGTTGCGCACTGCAAGCCAGGTCACGCCGCGAGTCGGCCAAGCCTCAATTCCTGCTGCCCGCAGCATCACCAACCTTGCCAAGAAGCAGTACACGGCTCACGGCCGAGCAGAGGGCAAAGGTCGTGACGGCCACGCTCTCCTCGTTGGCGACCAGGTCGGCCTTGAGGTCAGCCTTGGCCTGCCCAAGGAGCTGGGAGGCAACGGTGCGGGTAACAACCCAGAGGAGCTCTTCTCCCTGGCGTACTCGTCGTGCTTCCTCTCGGCTCTCCAGCTTGTTGCGAGGAACGCCAAGGAGCAGCTTCCCTCTGACACCTCTGTCGATGCTCTTGTGAGTGGGCGCGAGTGCAGCGGGTCGAAGGGCTTTGTGGCCGTAACTGATCTTCTCTCTGCACCCCTGAACAGGTCCACATCGGACCCCCCGAAGGATCTGAGGGCTTTGCCATTGCCGTAGACCTGACGATCAAATCGAGCCTCTCCGACAAGAACAAGCTGCAGTCTCTTGTCGATCAGGCGCACCAGGTTTGCCCCTACTCGAACGCTACGTGAGTGCGAGACGAGGCCCGACGATCAAGACGCCGCTGCTTCCCGGTGCTGACCATGTCACTTCTCCTCCATCGCCCGCGTGACAGTCGCAACAACGTGCCCGTCAGCATCAATGTTCAGTAGAGACTCTGTAGAGATGTTCGATAATTTGATAGGATTGCAATGCATGCCTCGATCTTGGGCGTTGAGCATGGATCGGCTCGGCGACTTGAAGTGACAGTCAGGCTGGCAGATCCGCCATGCCACCCCGCGTCAACCCTGCGAGCCAATTGCTGAGTCCTTGCATCATTATTGTCAACGTTGTCAACGATGAAGTCGCTGTACATCTCGCTCTCACTGTCCGAACATGAGTCTCTCGCTCGACTGTCTCGCTGATGATCTGGCACTCGATGGCTGGCGCCACGCGCGATGCGAAGATCCCCTCCGGCATTCACGGCTCGACGCCCCCAGACGTGGAGGAATCGAAGCCGCTTTGCCGGTCGGAGAATTGGCAGTCAGGCAGTGTCGAGCAAAGTGGTCGTCCGCTGTGCCTTAGGTGGAAGGACCTCATTGAACATCGCAGACATCCACTCCTTCCTCCTTTCGACAATCTCGACACGGCTCGCGTGAGGTCACGATGTCCCTCGCTGCCGCCTCTGTTGACTACGCCGCTCATGGTGACATAGCCTCTGCACCCAAGGATACACCGGCTAGTCGGGCGGACTTGGCGACTGCTAATGAAGTCTACCAGCGAGCTGAACAACAAGGAGCTGGAGAGGCTTCGCGCGACGCTACTCGAGGTCGATCAGCAGCTGGTAGCTCTCATCTCCATGCTCACCCTCCACCAACTGCCTCCTCATCCAACTCCTCCGTATCACGTCAGCTCCCACCCGTCCCTCACCTCTTTCCCGTCAAAAGCATGACGGCCTCCCAAGTCACCGGTGAATGGCAGCTGGTAGCAAGCTCGGCCGCCTCATGGCGAGCCCGTCGCAATGTCCGCGCCAAATTCACGCCTCGCAGTGAAGGAGGAGGGGAAATGGACGCAGAGTGGGCCTTCTATGAGATTGCCTCGTTCCAAGCCAAGACGCTCCTCCAGCGGGTGCACGAAGATGCCAAAGCGAAGAGGGCTGCGGAAAGACGGAGAAAGGAGGGCGGGACGCCGGAGGATGAGGACCAGCGCTCGGGCGAGAGGAGGGTGGCCGTATCGGGACGAATGTGGGAGGAAAAGGGCGCCAAGTGGTGAGCTGGCCGGGAGCGCTTGAGCACGCAACATGGGTCCTCACGAGCTGACCGCCATCGCCCACTCCTCCATCGCAGCCTCATCTACCGTCCAAATCGCGCTACTGTGCAAAAAGCGCTCGGCAAGGACATTCGCTGGGAAGTAGTCAGCTACGGAACCGCTTCACCGGCCTCACGGCGCGGCAGCAGCAACACGAGCAGCATCGACTGGTTCGTAGCCTACGCTCATCCCCTTCCCTTACTCCATCCCTTCATCTCCGTCTACTTTCGACCAGAGGTGGTCAGAGATGACCCAGATACGGTGACGCTGCTATTTGAAGATATCGTCGATGCGCTGCGTCATGCCACAGACCCGTGGAGCGGGAGCGATGAGGGCGAGGGCGAAGGCGAGGCGGAGGAGGAGATTCAAGGTGAGGCGGACGATGCGGAGGAGAAGGAAAGGCGGCATTCGCAGCGTGACGATCACAGCACGATTAACGGTCGTCGCGGCCGGCGCACACATCGCGGCGGAGACGTTGACGACGACGATTACGTTCCCGTGACGGGTACAGGCCCCTCTGGCGCGCCACTGAAGAGTCTGTCTTCAAACGTGAGCGGCTCAAAGGCGGGCAAAGGGGCCAGCACACCGATGTCGAAGGCCGATAAGAGACGGGAGGACTTGAAGTGGGAGCTCAGAAGATTGGCGAGCGAAGTCAGGCCAGTGAGAGGGATCTGAGCAGCGTTCTAGTATTCTAGCGTGGTATGAATCGATAATTGATAGTAGCGCAGCCTGTCGCAGTCAGTCGGCCTGTCGTGCGACACCCTTGCCTGCCTTGATGCTCCACCCGGCTTCAGCTCCAGCTGCGGACACGGTCACGGTCACGGTCACGATAGCGGCGACCGTTCTCTGTTTTGCGAGGTCAATCAGCGCCATCGTCGCACTTGGCCTTGCACAGCTTTGACGTGGCCTGTAGGATGCGGCTTCCACTCAGAGTGAGTCGCCGTCGTCTCTCCTTCGCGTGCGCGTGCGTGCGTGCTGGTGGTGGCGGACGGGCGGCGGAACTGGCAGCGGAGAAGCCCTCGAAGCTCTTGAAGCGCGAAATTCGGTCGGCTGCATTGCCTGGGGCGTCCGCCAAAGAAGGGCGGTTCAGATGACTTGAGCCTAACTAACCGTGCAGTGCTGCCAAAACGTCGCCCAGGTCCGCCGCGGCTGCCCGCTTTCCCGCTCGCCGCCGAATAGCCGCCTGGCTTTCTGTCTGCTCTGTTTGTTGGCCCTTCTTCGATTCTACCTTTCCTCCTTTTCTCCTTCTTCCTCATCACTACCCTTTCCCCCTTCTCCCTCCCGTCTCTTTAGACTTGCCGCGTATGGACATCCTTACGTCGCATCTGCCCAACTTCGGCAGCTTCGGTGGCGCTGCTGCCAATGGCATGAATGCTACCATGGCTGCTGCCGCGCCCGTTGCTCCTCTCTGGGGTGCTGACCTCTATCAGGGCACGGACGTCGCTGCGCTCAACTTCCTCGAGAAGGCTTGGATGAACTGGTACATCTGGATTGGCAACCCCGTCATTGCAACTGGCTTGATGAGCTTCTTGATGCACGGTGAGTGCTGGCGAGGACGGAAGGAGATACCATGCTGTGGCAACGGCAAGGCTGACACCGTCTTTATTCTGGCCCCACAGAGATCGTCTACTTCGGACGAGCCATTCCTTGGATCATCATCGACTCAATGCCTTCCATGCGCAAGTACAAGATCCAAGAAGACCGTGTTCCCACTCCTGAGCAGCAGTGGAAGTGCACGCGTTACGTGCTCCTCACCCACTTCACCGTCGAGCTCCCTCAGATCTGGTCCTTCCACCCACTTTGCGAGTATCTTGGACTCGCGACACACGAGGTGCCCTTCCCCTCGTGGACCAAAATCCTCATTCAAATCGGTTGCTTCTTCGTCTTCGAGGACATGTTCCACTACTGGGCGCATCGCGCTCTGCACTGGGGCCCCCTCTACAAGCACATCCACAAGAAGCATCACGAGTTCTCAGCCCCCTTCGGTCTGGCTGCAGAGTACGCCCACCCGCTCGAGGTCCTCATTCTCGGCATGGGAACCGTAGGCGGTCCTTTCCTTTACTGCGCAATCACCAAGGACCTGCACATCCTCACCGTCTACATCTGGGTCACGCTCCGTCTCTTCCAGGCAATTGACGCTCACTCGGGCTACGACTTCCCCATCTCGATGCACAACTGGATTCCTTTCTGGGCTGGAGCGGATCACCACGACCACCACCACATGGCATTCGTGGGCTGCTACTCGACGAGCTTCAGGTGGTGGGACCACTTCATGGGCACCGACGCCTCGTACAAGCGCTACAGGGCTAGGCAGGCAGAGGAGAAGAGGAAGGCCAAGGAGGAGGGCCTCGAGTGGCCTACGAAGCCTGCGAGCAAGACGGCTACGGGTGCGCCACTGAGCAAGTCCGCTGTGCACAAGAAGGTGCAGTAGGCGGGCGCTCAATCAACCATTATGGCACTCCATTGGCTCGGTGGCTCTCTCACAGGAACTTTTCGAGTCTTCTCACTCCACGCCACACCGCTACCCCTTCTCTCTTTTCACCTAAACGTAGATACCAACTCACCGCTCCCCACCTCATCTTACAAGGCAGCCTGCTCTACCGAAGCTCTTGCCCCTCACCGGACGTGCATCTAGAGTCTGTGCTGCCTCTTTTGTCAAATTCTCTCTTTACACTCTATACAAATACAAAGCATCTTGCACGCGCTCATGCCAGCATCGAGTCTAAGAAGTCTTGCCCCTCGAGCGTGGCGGGCTGTTTTTCTCCCTTGTCCTCCTTCCTGGCTCCGATTCCTCCTCTTCCTCTGCCAACGTCAGCCCTCTGCTTCAACCCAGCCTCCATCTGACCCCAGCGTCTCAGTCCTGCATCGCCTCGCTCAGCTACTGCCCGATTGGCGGCTAGGGCCTCCTCGTAGCCTGCGGGCGCGGCCGTCACACTGTGCGTTGGGCGTCGCGGGACGTCTTGCTGTCGACGCCGTTCGCGATCGCGGTCGTGGAGGTGCGCGAGAGTCGTATCCACATCATCATCATCGTCGTCTTGATTTGCAGCGGGATGCGAACGGTCCTGCGCGGCAGCATGATCGATTCGTGCCTTTGCGAAGACGGAGCTGAGGTCGACTTCCGGCTCTGTGCGTGCGTCCAAATCTTCAAGTCAGCTCACAGCCGCGCCAAGAGCAGCGCCAACGCAATGGGGATCACTGTACGTACCAGGTTCTTGTTCTTGGTCCTCCTTCTCTTCGTCGCTCGGATGTTCGAAGCGCCAGGCGTTGCTTTCAAGTTTGCGTCGTGCGTACTTTGAGCGGGTAGAAGACGATGAGTCTTCCTTCTTTGTCGCGCTGCTGGCGGCTGCGGACGTGCTTGGTCCTTCTGCTTCGCCTTCTACTTCCTCGACCTCCTCGTCCGCTCCTGCTCCTTCTTCTTCCTCACCCTCGCTCTCTTGATCGTCCTCCTCTGAGCCCTCCCCCCGCTGTTGTCCATGAGTACCGTGCGCACCTCCACGACCTCTGCCCCGACCTCTGCCCCTGCCTCTCCCTCGCTCACCTGCTCCGCTACCGCCCCCACGAGCGGCTTGGTATCGTCTCGAGGCACGCGCTTTGTACTTGTTCTGCAGTACCATCTCGGAGCAGCGCAGTCAAGTGGCTTCGACCAGGCTGACGGAAGTCCAATTGAGTAGGAAGGGATGATGCAACAGAAAGTGGAGCGACGGAAAGGGACATCTTTCCTCGTTTCGATCGTCCCAAAGCTACGCATGACCGCCCGCAACACATGCACCCCGCTCTCGTTGCACCGATGCCTTCTCTGACAGCCACTTGTTCCTGCTGCTCGCAATCGATTGTCACTGGTTAGTGATCGGCCGCCTTCGTCCGTGATATCCAACAATGCAGACGAGGCAGGCGATTGATGGTGAGCTCCGAGGCGGGATGAGCCGCGGCTGATGGGAGCTCGACACCGCTGAGTGATCAGACCGGAGGCTCCGCCATCCTTTGTGAGCATGGTTGACCATCACGACGCTAGAGGCGATGGTCCGAACATTTGCATGAAGCTTGTCACTCGCCCCTTGAAAAGCCACCCGCAGAACAATTGATCGCAGCAGAGCCGACCAGCCATCGCAATACGCCAAGGTACGCCACGCTCGAAGGAATGCGTGGTCGCACGCCTCCCACGCTCAACTCGGAAAGTCGCCGTGGCGAAGGAGTCGAGAATCAGGCAGATCATGAATGGCCTCGGAGCCCAATCGTTGGTCCTTTTGCCCCGCGCTCCTCCGTTACTGCCGTGCGACTGCCGTACCCTAATGTCTATCAATCGCAGCGCCGATCAGTCCAACTGAAGCACGACGCACCACGGCCTGCAATCCGCTGCAGTCCGCGTCTTCCGCCTCCTCCTCTGCCCTGCTTCTCTCTCCAGAAGAAGCGCAAAAAGTCAAGCTCGGCGAGGCCGCCGCCGTGAAATCCAGACTCAATCTCCCCGCGGGGCCCAGGTCGGCAGGCTGCGAAGTGTGTCTGGGGCTCCCACCTCTGACGACAATCCTCTCTGGTTCTCCCACTTCAACAGTCTACCGGGTCAAGGACCGTCAAGATCTCTCCCTGCATCAAGTGCATCGTGGATCATGTCTTGGCTCGGTGTGCCTTGCTAGCTCTGTGCAGTCGTACTTCTTTTTTCGATCCCCTTTGTCGCTGCACCTGACGTATAAAGTGGGAGGTGTGCGCCAGGTACGTTTTCCCTCTTCTTCCTTTCTCACCTACTAGTCCGCCTTCACCCTCTTCCTCATCTATCCGTTCTTGTTCCGCCTGCTCGCCAACGATGGCAGCTCAATTGCGCAAGGTCCTCTCCCTCGACGAGAAGAAGCACGATGGCGACATCCACGAGACGAGCGACGCGCCTCACAACGGCGACCATGCTACCCCTACACTCACTGCGGGCAAGGAGGCCGAGCTTCTTGCCCACAGACGACAAGTCGAGAAAAAGTTGAAGCGTAAGCTTGACTTCATCATGCTGCCAATCGTGTAAGTGTTCCCGATTGTCCCGTTGCCGAAGCGATCGAGTGCGGCGCTCACGCGTCACCGTCTACGGTCCTCCCTGCCCCTCAACATCTCTTTTCATACGACCTTGTCAGCCTGCTTGTCTATGTGCTCAACTACATCGACAGGAACTCGATCAGTCAAGCCCGTCTATCTGGACTTGAGAGGGACCTCAAGCTGACCGACGTCCAATACCAGACGGCGCTTGCCCTCCTCTACCCTCTGTGAGTAAGCTCACGTAGCTGCCGAACCTCGATACGACTTCGAGACTCATAGTGGCCCTCTCTCAGTTACATCGCCATGCAGGTTCCATCCAACTTGATGCTCGCCTACTGCGGACGACCCAGCATTTACCTCGGCACCTTCATCATCCTATGGGGCGTCGTCTCAGGAGCCACTGGCGCAGTCCACTCATTCCACCAATTGGCCGCCATTCGTGTCATTCTGGGTGCCGTGGAAGCACCTTGGTTCCCCGGAGTTCTCTTCCTCCTTTCGAGGTGGTACACTCGTCGCGAGATCACTGTCAGGACGGCCTTGTTCTACGCTGCGAGCATTGCTAGCAACGCCTTCGCAGGTCTCATCGCCGCCGGCATTCTGGGCAACATGGAGGGCGTGAGAGGTATCGCAGCATGGCGCTGGCTGTTCATCATCATGGGGGCCATCACCGTCGGTGTCGGTATCGGCGTCATGTTCCTGCTTCCCGACTTCCCTGAGAACACCAAGGTCTGGTTCACCCAGGAGGAGCTTGCCGTAGCCGTGCAGCGTCTCAAGGAGGACGTCGGAGACACGGGCCACGAGGAGCCTCCTTCTCCTTTCAGTGGCTTCATCCTCGCGGCCAAGGACATCAAGGTCTGGATCCTCACGCTCATGCTCTTTGCGGTAAGTTGGCGTCGGTGTGAAAGGAGACGCGAATAGCTGAGGCTGACAGCGCATCGTCGCCCCTTTTTTCAGGTCACCCTCGGCTGCAGTTTCAATGCCTTCTTCCCTACATTGGTCGGGACTCTTGGTTATGGCAAGATTGAGACGCTGCTCATCACCGTTCCGCCTGTGCGTACAAGCAGTAGGAGAGCCGCTTGATGACGCGCAGAGCCCTGACATTCTCACCTCTCTTCTTCGCATCGCTCGCAGTGGTTTGTGGCCTTCGTCGCTGTCTACCTCAACGCTCTACATGCCGACCGTAAGGGAGAGCGCTTTTGGCACATGGCCGGCCCGCTCGTCGTGGGCATCATTGGCTTCATCATCGCTGCCTCTACCAAGGCCGTTGGTGCTCGCTTCTTTGGTATCTTTGTCATGGCCTCTAGCTACGCAGGGTACGTCATTGTATTGAGCTGGGCGTCGAACACGATTCCACGCCCTGCATACAAGCGCGCTGCTGGACTCGGTATGATCAACGTGAGTCTAGTCGTTACACCTGAAAGCGGTATTGAAGAGCGTAAGCTAACCACTGCTACCCTGCGCCCCCTCCTTAGTGTCTCTCGAACCTGGCCAATCTCACTGGCTCGTACGTGTGGCCCAAGGCTTGGGGACCCACCTACTGGCGCAGCTACACTATTGCAGCCTGCGCCTTCATTGTCTGCATCACCTGCGGTGTCGTCCTCAAGCTCCACCTCCAGCGACTCAACAAGGAGCTCGACAGGACGCAGGGTCCCCCTGTGCCGCTCCCTTCTGCCGATGATGAGGAGAACGCTGAGCCTTTGACGGATGAGCAGCGTGTCGAGCGAGCCAGGCTTCATTTCCGCTACCTCGTGTGATTCGCCTTGATCAGAAATACCATCGTCATCATCATCATCGTCGTCGTAGAGCCTCGAGGGATGGCCGAGTGAACGAGTCGAGTGGCCCGTCCGCAAAGCCGCTCCCGCCCTGAGCCGTCGGCCGCTGCCTTGCCTGTTGCTCTGCTTTGTTGCCTGGAACTCATCTGCATCTCAGCCCGCCTCTGCCGCCCTGCGCGTCGCGATGATGGAGGGTCGAGACGAGGGCAAAGACATCTTGGCTTTGCACCATCATTCATTCCACTACACGACTTGCCCTCCAGCGGGGGCTTTCACTCGCGCTTCCCAGCCACGCACGCCTTGCTTGCACCTCCTGTCGAGAGCAAAACCGTCTCTCCCCGTCTCGATCACCGGCTGCTGTGCTTCCAAGAATCGTTCGTCTCACATCGCCCAGGACGGGCGCAGCAGCCAATGGCATCCACTTGCGACCACCCCATCCAGGCAGGGGGCATGTGCGCCATTTGCGGCATGGTCTTGAGGTGAGTGCCATGTGCAGTATATGCGATGCGCGTGATAGATTCGACTGACCAATGTTGCTCCTTGGCGACTGAACTGCGCAGCGATGACCAGACATCTGGCTCTATATCGATGATGCACGACACCGAGTCAGTCACAGTATCGCGCCAAGAGGCAAGGCGCCTCGATACGGAATCGACGAAGCATCTGTTAGACCAGCGCAAGCTCGCCCTCATCGTCGATCTTGATCAAACGATCATCCACGCTACAGTCGACCCAACGGTTGGAGAATGGCTACGCAACCCCGAGAACCCCAATTACGAGGCGTTGAAGGGCGTCGGGAGCTTTCGATTGGGAATGGACGGCAAAGCCATTCTCGATGCTGGCAAAGATCCGAAGCAGCAAGGCTCCTCGTCTTCTTCAGCGGATGATAATGAGGGCTGCTGGTACTATGTCAAGCCGAGGCCTGGCCTACATGAGTTCCTGCATAAACTATCCGAGAAGTATGAGCTCCACGTCTACACAATGGGCACACGATCGTACGCTGATTGCGTCTGCAAGCTCGTCGACCCGGATGGCGCGCTCTTCGGGACGAGAATCTTGTCGAGAGATGAGAATGGCAGTCTGGTGCAGAAGAGCCTTTCAAGGCTGTTCCCGATGGACACGAGTATGGTAGTCATCATTGATGATCGTGGGGACGTATGGCAATGGAGTCCGAACTTGATCAAAGTCATACCATGTGGGTACGACTGCCGCATGCGAGCGGGGCTTCTCACTTACTCTTCGCCCTCTTTGCCGGCTCCTCCTCTCAGACGACTTCTTCGTGGGCAGCGGCGACATCAATGCCGGCTTTCTGCCCGCTCAGACCGGCCCAGGCACCTCAACACCAGCGACACCAGCAGCAACTCCTCTTGAATCATCATCATCTGCTTCTTCCTCCTCATCCTCAGCGACTCCAGACTCTGCACCCGTCTCAAGCCCTGACGCCGGCTCAGTTGCCTCTTCCTCATCTGATACCACTGCTCCCTCTGAGGCTGCCGATTCGTCGTCGCCGCAGCCACCACCGCCGCCTCCGCCTGCAAAAGATACGCGCTCACCCACGGACAAGCTCAATGATGCGGCAGAGAAGGAAGAGGCTCGTTCAGCTGAGCGCGAAGTCAAGGTCAAGGCGGAGCAGAGCCAAAAGTCGATCGTTAGCGAGCAGCTCGACGCCAGACCACTCGCTCGTATGCAGGAGCAGCTCGACGAGAAGTTTGGCATCACCTCATCCAATCGGTCTACCCCGGCGAGTGAAGGTGTGTCACCCGCCTCGGAGAGCAGCGCAACGCCTGTGAAGGACGAAACGCCCAGCTCAGCTGCAGCGGAGGTCGCGCCAGCCACGAATGGCACAACTCATCAAAATCAATACGAGACATCGCCTCCAGCTCCTCCTCCTCCCGCGCCGAGCGACTCTGATGCACCTCCGCCGCAAGCACCTGCCCACGCTCTCTTGCGAGACACTGATCGCGAGCTGGATCGTGTCAAGGAAATCTTGGACGAGATTCACACGACGTGGTTCTCACGATGGGACGAATACGTTAAGATTTATCCCGGAGCGACCACCAGCTCGCAGCCAAGCGATCCCGACTCCTCCACTGCGTCCTCTTCGACTGGTCCCGTCAAGCCGACGGTCATGGCCATCATTAGCGAGCTCAAGAAGCGCGTCCTCAGCGATTGCGATATCGTCTTCTCTTCGCTAATCCCGCTGAGCGGCCGGCTCGACGACTCGGAGTACTTCTGGATGGCAATTGAGTACGGCGCCACATGTGCGCCCGAGCTCAAGGCGGAGACCACGCATCTGGTCGCGGCGAAGGTGGGCACAGCAAAGGTGCAGGCGGCGCAGAGGCAGCAGGGGACGCAGGTTGTATGGCCGAGCTGGCTGCACGACTCCATTGCGCATTGGCACAAGATGCCCGAGGAGCCCTACGCCTTGCCACCGTGCATCGGAAACGGAGATGACGTCGTTTCGAGCGCTCATCCCACAGATGATGATCTCAGTTCGGACGACCTGGACTTTGCGATGGATGGAGACGATGATACCACAGCCGGGTCGCAGGAGGCGCTGGAGACTGGTGGCGACAAAGGGGTTGGTAGCAGCACAGGGCCCAGCAACGGGCAAGGCGCGCCCTCATCGTCCGCCCCAGCTGGCGGGGGTAACGCTCCCTCCTCTGGTTCGCAAGACTCCTGGGCTCTTGATGCGGTCGGCTGGGCTGAGGCGGACAAGGAGCTGCAGGAGTTCCTTGACGGCAGCGAAGGAGACGATGAGGCTGGGGAGGACGAAGGCGGGTCAGTTTTCTTTGGTGACGACGATGAGGACGACGGTCAGGTGGACGGTACCAATACTCCCTCCGGACGACGCAAGCGGCCGGCAGGAAAACGCAGCCGCCGCTCGACGCCATCAGTCAATGGAGATGGGCTGGGGGAAAGCAGTCAGAGCATTCGCCTCGTGGAAGACCCTCCCTCCTCATCGACGAGCGACGGAGGCAACAAGAGGCGACGCATGGTGGCCACGGCGACGAAGCAGCCTGATGGCACCTACCGAGCTACAGGCGACGTCTCTACACAAGTCGTCGACGGCGCAGGTGAGACATCGTCAGCGAAGGCAAAATCGCCACGCAAGCAGCCGCCGCCACCAGGCCAGTCGCGCTCGCATACCAACAGCGTTGATTCTTCGGCGTCAGATGGCGCCGCCGATGGGGATGACACCCAAGCCTTCATGGAGGACTTGGAGCACGAGCTCGAGGCTGCCATGGACGATGGAGAGGACGACTGAGCATGCGCGCAGAGACTTATCGAAGGTGACTTGCTTCAGGCGCGACAAGACAGCTTTGGACTCATCCCCTTCATTTCAATACCACCCTCCGTCCCCTCCTGCCTGTCCCTCCCCTCCCCTCTCTCTCTTTCGCCCATGCCCTCCTCTCTTCTGTCCCTCACCGCTACCAACTGTCACCTACAGAGCTCGACTCGGCCTCATCCGGATTAGACGCACCCGTCACCCCCGCCTCCTCCCTCGTCAAGCGGGCTTGGCGACGACGAGAAGGACCGAGCTCGCGCGTCTATGACATCTTCTCCACTCTTGTTGTATTCTCAGAATATCTCATATCTCATTCTCATGTCCACGTCTTCGGCTGCGCTCTACTTGCCTGGCTCTCCCTCTGATCACCTCATCAGAAGTGCGCCTTCCTCTCGACCGGCTCAGCGCCATCCAGAATCGGCAGCCCTTCATCTCCCTTCTGCATCGCCTTCCTATAAGCAGGCCTAGCAGCCACCTTCTGCACGTACGCCAGCACCTTTGGGTATCTTGCCAGACTATACGGAATGAAGGTTCTCGCTCCCGCCAACGGCCAGAGGGCCATGAGATCTGCCAAGGTAAACTCCTCGCCCGCCAAGTAAGGGGAAGATGCCAGTCGCTCCTCTAGCATGCCTAGGAACTTTTGCAGCCTGCCTCGGGGGGCTGCCTTGGCAATTGAGTCGGGCTTGTCTGTGAGGTTCTGGTCAAAGTAGGCCATCATGCAGCAAGATTGCGCGGGCTGGACGCTCGTGAGGATGAAGTAGAGCCAGTACAGGTAAGGCGCATAGTTGGGACTGTCCGGTCCTGGCACGAGGGAGGAGGCAACAGCTGCGCTTTGTGGATTTGCAGGTGCGTGCTTGTTGAGGATCCACGTCGCGATCGCCATGCTCTCGCTGAGAGTCAAGTCGCCGTCAACTAGGACGGGAGCAACACCTTGCGATGAGACGGCTTTGAGTGATTCGGGGGCGAGAAGCGGGGCACGCTTGTGAATGACGAGGTGATAGGATAAAGAGAGCTCCTCGAGAAGCCAGAGGATGCGCTCCGACTGGCCGCGCTGCAGGTGATGTACGGTGAGCTGCGGTTGCGATGTGGTCATGATGGGTGAGGTGTTAGGAGAAGAGGGAAGGTGAAACAGTGTATATGGCGCAGACCGGAGCAAGTGGTAGAGAGGGGGCGACAAAAAGGTTCAGGCAGAAGGAAGTCGAGATCCGAGAGCCGAAATTGTGCTATTTCGACTAGCGAGCAAGACCCGGACCTGCCGGAGATCGTGCAGCGGCGAGTGGAGGAAATGATAGATGCGCTGTGACAGCGACGGCCAAACAAGCATGGGGTGCCAATCCGGAGGAGCCAAGAGCCGAAAGTCCTTGAGCCCATCGTTTGACAAGATGGTACGCCTCTGAAGCGCGGCGTGGGGCATCCTTTCGAACAGCAGTCACGTCGTCGCGCTATTCGCGTTTTCTCCAGCCTCGGCCGCAGCGCGACCAGCCCTTCTGCCCCAGACTAGGCCAGCTGTCAACCCGCTTCCACCTGGGTAATTGCCCCAGAACAGCCCTCCAGCCGCCTCTCCCGCTGCGTAGAGACCTACGATGCCTTCTGTCGCGTCCGTGCCTCCTTCTTGGCCTTCCCGACGCCTCTGCACCTGTCCACTTTGCGCATCGATGTGTAATCCGCCAAAGGTGAAAGTGACCCCTGTGCTTACAACTACGGCAAGATAAGGCCCCTTGTCGATAGGTAGAGCCCAATTGGACTTGGGCACCGCAAGAGGCGGCGCAGGAGCAATCAGCCCATCCTTGATCGATGGCTCAAAGCCTTGCGCCACGTCCTTCTGCCCTGCTCTCGCCGCGTAAATTGCCCTGTTGTAGGAACGCACCTCGTCGATGAGCGCCTGAGGATCTCGCAGGGCCCTTCTACTATCCCCAATCTCCACCTTCGCCAGCTTTTCCGCCAGTTCCTCCAATGTCTCTCCACGCACCTTATGTTGGCAGAACTCGTCCGCGTACTCCTCATCTCTCAACATCCCACTCGTTCTCGCGTCCCAGATTTGCACGGCCAATCTATCCGGCCTTTTCAAGATTGCCTGTCCCATCTTCGCATATGTGTAATTGCGCAAATCCTCTCCCTCATCAACGAAGCGTCGGCCCGATGAGTCGACGAAGATGCCTAGCGGGTAGCCTGATTTGGTGAATTGGTTTGTCATGCTTACGTCGCCACGGTCTCGAGGAGCGTGTGCGTCCCAGCAAGTCGAGTGGCAGGCTCCGTCCCCGAATTGGCCCTTGCGGAGAGCAGTGACTTGAGCGCCCAAACGTAGGGCTGTGCCATCGTTGTGTGGTGTGCCTGTGAGCGCAGGAGATGAGGGGTTAGCTGTGGATGGTAGGGCGTGGCCTCACCTTCGAGCACTCACCTCGTACGTATGCTGAAGCCCACTCTGGTCCCATCAATTGGCCTCTGAGCTCCTTTGACGACTCGTACCCTCCACAAGCCAGTACTACGCCACCTCTCGCTACGATTTTCTGACGCTGACCGCCGGCCGTGGTCACGATGAGTCCTTTGACCTCCTTCGCAGTCTTGTCGAGCCACAGCTCTTCGGCCTTTGTCTTCCAGTGTATGTCCACTCCTGCCGTCTTACACGCCTTCAGCTCATCCTCCACCAGCCCCTTCCCTCCACCCATCGTATTGATGTACAGCCCTCCCCAACATCTCCACCTCTTCTTGCTCGGATCATCCGTTCTTGGCTCGACCTCATACGCCTGCCTCTCGAAGGGTAATCTGAATCTTACGCCTACTCTCTTTGCCAGCCACTGGATCCCCTCCCAGCTCTCCTCGACCAGCATTGTTGCCATAGTCTCATCGCACCTTCCGCCCGTTACTTTCGTCAAATCGCCCAGAAAATCCTCCCTTGAATAGGGTGTCATCTCGATTCGCTCCACCATATCCTCCGTGACATTATGTAGTGGTAGCGAGCAGAGGTCTTTCTTAAAGGAGGAGAAGACGGTACGCATTGAGCCCGCTGTGTAGTATGTGTTGCCTCCGGGCTCGGAAGGGGGAGCACAGTCTATCATCAGAACGTGAGTGGCGCCTGCGTCGATTGCGGAGATGGCAGCACAACAGGCCGCGTTCCCTGAGCCGACGACGAGAACGTCGCACGACGTTGGACAGGCGCCCTGTTGCTCTGTGATGGCCATATCGTTGAGCTGTCGATGTGAGTAAAGGAGGCCAAAGAAGAAACGGCTGCCCGTCCCCGCATTTTGAATCAGAGGAGTCCGTGCGCGGGCTCGCACCACACGGCACGAAAGTCGCCGCACGCTAGCGCCGCTACTGCCGGCGGCTCCTGTCCGTAGCCTGGCCTAGCCATAGCCGTATATTGATTCGCTTGAACCTATCGATCTCGCCGTCCTGCCGTCCATTTTCAGCGAGATGGTCGAGACGGAGGGAGAAGATGGCCCGTCTCTCGGGAATCCGAGGTTTTCATTGCTACCATATTGTCCAGCTCGAGACGGCCGGAGGTCGCTCTGGGACTCTCGTTTTTCGCTACCGTTGCGACCGACACGCTCGATGAGCCATGCTTGAGATCGCCACCAGTAGCGCAGGTCTCTGGTCCGCCTTGGCCCTCCTTCTACTGCTTCACCTCCTCACCCAATCACGCGACCCTCTTCATTGGATCTCGTCCGCCCCTTCCCTTCCCATCTTCGGCTCAGCTCCCCTTCTCCCAAGGCAAGGAGGCTGGCTCAGGTGGCAAGCATGGGCTCGCTCTGCTCGAGACGCTAGCAAGGCGCCGCAGGGTCTTCTTCGCCTCGAACTTTTCACACAGCGCTTCGTGCTTGTAACATCGGCTGCGCTGGCTCGCACTCTCCTCAATGGTGGCACGCGTCGCCGGACCCTCTCTGGTCGCCCTCCCCTCGCCATGATACAGGACAGCCAATCGCTCACTGGGCACCGCGCGCACTACTATGCCTTCATGACAATGAATGCAGACTTCAAAAGACATAGATGGGCGGCGATGAATATGTTCAACGAAGCGCGCAGGCAGGGTTACTGGGGTCGAATCGAAACGCAATGTAGTGAAATGTTGAGGGCGATGGTGGGGTTGGACCCCGTGTATGCTAGCCAAACCCGTGCAGAGGCGACAAGTCCACGCTGTCTACTTGAGGCATACAGCTCCTCCACGATTACTTCCCTCGTCTTTGGCGACGCCTCGGCGGCCACATCAGCGCGGCTACGCAACGAGGCAGGGGAATTCCTCAATGTCCTGGCCCCGGCGAGCTACATTGTCAACTTGGTCCCACAGCTGCAATGGTTGCCGAGGACGGTGAATCCGTGGAAGAGGTACGAGGAGGGGAGATGGCAGCGACAATGCGGGTGGTTCAAGACGCTATGGCAGGATTTCGTCAAGCGGCGGTACGGCGAGGTCAAGAGAGAGGAAGCAGACTGCTTCGCTGCTGTCTATCAGGCCTCGAAAGTGATGTGCGACGCAGCAAATGACGCCGATCAGGAGGGCGACCACAGCGGGAGCAACTCTCGTCGCCCCGCCCTCGGCCTCCGCAACGATGATGACGCGACCTGGTGCCTCGGCATGAGTATGCTCCCCGGCGCCTACACCGTTTCTTCCTCCCTCTCTACCATCCTGCGCGCGCTCGTCGCCTTCCCCGAAGTGCAGCGCAATCTCCAAGAAGAGCTCGACGAGTACCTATGCGCCAGGTCTGATGAGCACGCAGGAGCAGCAGACAAGCATCGCATACCCATCGAGCGGGACGCTCTCTCCCTTCCCTACTTACAAGCCTTTCTCCGAGAATGCCAACGATGGCGACCTGTCATTCCTACGGGGATACCGCATCAGGTCATGCAAGACGAGGACATCTGGATCAAAGAAGATGGTGAGGTCTTAACGGACCCTCTCAAGGCTAGACTCACGACGGCGAAGCGCCACCTTCTCCCAGCCGGTACTATCCTCTTCGCTCCCGAGTACCTCTATTCGCGGGATGAAGGCGTCTACATCGATCCCGGTCGCTTCGACCCATCACGCTGGCTGACAAGCGATACGGCTCCCTGGGTGCTCCGTGACCCTGCTTCTGCTCCGCTGGTCAACGCTACGGCATTCGGTTGGGGGGCGCGACGCTGCCCCGGGGCTATTCTGGCACAATACCAGCTGCATGTTGCCACGCTTGGCTTGCTTTGGCTCTTTGACTTCACGCTGCCAGAGAATTTGGAGACGCAAGCGCTATTGAATCAAGGTTTAGCAGAGGGCGAAAGGAGAGGAGGGATGGCCTGGCCGAGGGAGTGGCGAGAGAGTGGAATGATACCTAGGGAGGTCGAGGGACGGTGCCCTGTTGAGCGAGTTCAGGTCAAGGTTAGGAGGAAGGAGAGGTTGCAGATCCTGCTCAGCCAGAACGAGGTGTGAGTGTATGGTTTCTACTGGCTGCCAATCTCGTAGACGCGTCGCAAGGCTACACTTGGGCCACGGTTCTCCTGGTACCAGCCGGCCGCTTCTGTCTTCTTTCTGTCGCGCTCTCCTGTCCACTGACATTCCCGGGCAATTCATCATCTTCATCCTGCTGCCCTCCACTCTCATCTCTCTCCTGAATGCCGGCCTCCCTCTCCCTTTCCCAATGCGCCCTCCCACCAGCCCAAGCCCAGTCGAGCCACACGACTACCCCGCCCAAGCTCCACACGAGCCCAACCGCGTAGAGGAAGTTTGCATTTGCTGATCCGAGGACGAGGAAGAGGTGAGCGAAGGAGGGGATGAGGAGAGTGGAGTAGAGGAAGAGGAGAGCGGGAGGCAGAGGATTGCGCAGGTCTGCGGAGCGTGGACGAAGGGAAAGGGTTTCAGCATCGTGCTCGGCGTGACCGTCACCAGGCACTCCTGGCACTCACAAGCCGCATACTCTGGGAAGACGAAGCCTAAAGACAGCCAGGTCGCTACATCCCCGGCAGTAGGATAAGGCTTAAAGATGCTCTGTACCCCGAGCAGCAAGAAGGTCGCAAAGAGCGGGTCATGCCTGAACCTGAGTGTGACTGGGATGGTCCAAGCAGCGAGATGAGCGTTGAAGACCAGCAGGAAGAAGTGCCTGAAATGCTCGAACATCTCGATGAAGAAGTACCACCACAGGCTCAACCCTGGTGTGAGGGAGGGGAGGGTAAGGAAGGAGCGATGTACGGCGAGAAGGGAGTACCAGTCCTGTGCTGCGACCTCGGGACGACCCTGATGCTCGGCGAGAAAGCCTGCACTGATCCATGCGAAGCCAGCAAGGAAAAGACCTGTCCAGAAGGTGGGGTTCTGCCAGTCTTTTGCACTGTCTTTCTGTCGCTTGCCTACTCTTCGACCGAGGTGGTGACGGAAGTAGCGGGTCTGCCTGCAGCATAGGGCGATCAAGGGCGGAGCAAGGAGGATCGGATGGAGCGAGAGGAGCGAAGAGGTCGCAATGCCTAGACCTGTGATGGCGCTGTACCCTGACGTGGCTGCCCAGAGTGCAAGGAGGAGGGAAGTGGATACGAGTGTCGTGCCGCTTCGGGCTAGGCAGGTGGAGATGCTGAGTGGATTGAAGGCGTAAACTGCTGCGATTGCCAGGGGATGAGGGTCTAGTCGTAGACCTTTGATGCCGAGGGACTGCAGACGATGCCTTGCCTCGAGGCGGTTCTTCCTCTTGTGTTGCGTTGTACGCGTAGGCACAATGGGCGAGCGAAGACGGAGGGCTGCGAGCTGGAAGATGAGCAAGGTGGCCAATGAGTCGGCTAGAGCAAAGAGGATGCTTGCTGCATCTATCGATAGCGTTGCCACATCGATACGCCATGAGGTATGATGCAGCGAAGGCAAGACAGGCGAGAGGATCATGAGGAGCAGCGGTGGAGGCAGAGCTCTTGCGGGCGTAGCGAATGCATCCGTCATTGAGGCTTCGCCGTGTGCTCTGTAAGGGAAGGGTACCTCGATGTTGGCTGGTGGATCGATCGCCCAAAATGTCTTGAGGACATTCTTCCATGCATTGTGAGGGTCATTGAGCTCGAGTCGCGTCTCGAGGAGCGAAGGAAGGGATGTGAGGGTGAAGAGGGCGATGCGCAGCACGAAAGCGGCCGCGAGGATGATCGTCAGTGGCAAGGCATGACGACGTAGTAGTGAGGGCTTCGGCGCCGTTGACGACGACGACGACGACGACGACGACGACGACGCAGCAACCGTCCTTGTCGTTGCCATGGGAGGCTACGATGAGTGAGTGGAGCAACGTCAAGAGTAACCGGGTCGCGTCGCTGTTTCCGTCGTGGCACGCTTATATAATCATGTCCAGTTGAGCTCTGAGCCAGACAAAGCAAAATCTTCTCGGCGAGAAAGTGGCGTCCAAAGTGAGCCCCGCGACGTCGGTTGCGCTTGCCAATCAAGCCTCGCATCCTCGTCTCCCTCTCCTCACAACTCGACTGGCTCACAATGGTTATGCCATTGCTCAGGAGCAGCAGGATGCTTCGTCAGGCTGGCACAGGTGCCGCCTGTGCGAGATTGCTCGCTCAACGCAGCGTGGCGCCTGGCATGGCAAGGGCCATTGTCCCCTCGTTTCCCTCGTCCTCTAGGCTCTCTGGTCCTTCTTCCGTCTCATCTGTCTACTTTAGGCAGTACGCATCAGAGGCGGCTCAGGCTGCTCAAGTCCAACAAGAGCCAGACGCAGTTGTTGCAGATGCCTCCGAGGACGAGGCTCGCCGCTTCGCCTCCCTCGAGGGTCGCCTCAACCACTACATCGTCGATGCCCTGACTGGCGCTCCCTTCAACTACGACAAGATGAGCGAGGTTCAATACCAAGTCACAAATCACCTCGAAGAAATTGTCGCCCCAGTTCAGGGTACCGGCCCCCTTCCCGGCTCCAAGGGAGCAAACGATGAAGAAGCTATTGTACAGCAAGGCCCAACGGACCTCCTCGTCAAAGCCAAGACGGGCACAGGAAAGACGCTCGCCTTCCTCATGCCCGCCATCGAGGCTCGTCTTCGAAATGTTGAGGCTGTCAAGAAGGGTACGGCAATGACACCCGCTTTCCGTCGTCTGCTCACCAAGAATCAGCCCGACTTTGACTTCTCAGCACTCAGCCAAAGTCAACGCAAGTCCTTTGCCCACAAGACGTACACGCGCAACTCAGTCGGCGCCCTCATCATTAGCCCCACACGCGAGCTTGCGGTGCAGATTTCGAATGAAGCAAAGAAGCTGGATCAAGAGATGGGCATGGACTTCAATGTTCACACTTTGATGGGAGGGCAGGAGAAGCGACAACAGCTCAGAGCTTGGTCTTCCCGCTCCCTCGACGTCGTCGTTGCCACCCCTGGTCGCCTCGAAGCCCTACTCCAAGAATCTCCTACCGTTCGCAGCGCCCTGAGCGCTACCGAGACGCTGATTTTCGACGAGGCCGACACCTTGCTCGAGATGGGCTTCCGCGACTCGATCAACAACATCGTCGAGTACCTCCCGCCAAAGAAGGAGCGTCGTACCCTCCTCTTCTCTGCGACCGTTCCCGTCGAGATCAGGCAGGTGGCGCAAGAACTGCTCAGCTCACGTAGACGGTTCATCGACTGTGTCCCCGAGGGGGAGAGCAATGTTCATGCGCACATTGGGCAGACGGCATACATTGTCAAGCCGGAGGAGCAGTTTACTTCGATGATGAGATTGCTCGCGCATGACCAGGTGGTACATGGCGAAAAATCTCGCGTCATCGTATTCTGCCCGACAGCAAAGATGACCCAGCTTGCCAGCATCTTGATCAAGCAGCAGGACTTCCTCGCCGAGTTCCCGCTCAACGTCTTCCCGTCGGAGGAAGATGAGAGCGCGTCCATGAATGGCAGGAGAGGGGACCGTGGAGACCGAGGAAGGGATAGGTACGGTAACCGTCGACCCGTCGATCGTCCGCGAGTGGAGATCCATGAGATGCACTCTCGCCTCACCCAGCAACAACGTGACCGTGTAGCACAGCGATTCCGCAATTCTCGCGCGGCCTCGGTTCTCGTCACCTCTGACCTCTCAGCGCGAGGCGTAGACTACCCCGATGTGACGCGCGTCATCCAGGTGGACCTGCCACGCAACAAGGACCAGTACGTGCATCGCATTGGACGTACCGGACGAGCAGGCAAGGCCGGACGTGCGGACATGATCATCTTGGAGGGATGGCAGGACTCTTGGCCGGAGATCGAGGGGCGCGACCTGCCGGTGAAGGCGGTCAGGAAGGGAGGGGAGGCGATCCGTCAGGAACTGGTAGAGGCCTGGGACCAGAAGGTCGCAGAGAAGGGATGGAAAGCCGGTGAGGCTTCTTCGCCCGCGGAGCGTGTGGGGAAGGAGATTGCATTGCCTGCTTCGCAGAGTCGCTTCTGCGCTTCAGCAGAGAGTGGCGAGTCGCTTGAGCAGAGCGTCCTCGCTTACATGACCAACGAGACCAACTTCGAGCATGTCCGCTTCGACACAAGCAAGGACGGCCAAGGGTCAGGCACGCGTGGTAACGAGACTGGGCGTGGTTCCCGCGTTGGCAAAGGCGATGAGGATGTCCCCTTGTTTGGCGCAGACGGCTCCTCCGGACAGAACCCTTCGGAAGGATCTCCCCTCCGCCACGTATGGATGGCTAGCATGGGCTACTGGATCGGCCTCGTTGGGTCACTACGCATTCAAAAGTCAGACCTGTATCGCGGTGCGCAGGCGTGGGGCCGTGCGGCTTTGGGACTTTCGGACAGGGACTCGTCGCTCAGCAGGAGCATGGCCAGTAAGATGGGTATTTCCCTTGATCAGATGGGTGGAGGATGGGGCGGCAGGCGCGTAGGTGCTGGCGATTCGAGCAGGGGAGGTCGATCAGGGCGAGGAGATTATGGCGGCCGTAGCGGTGGGTACGCTGGCCGCCGTGGCTACCCAGGCGACAGACGCGATGGGATGTATGGTTCGCATACGGGGCGTGATCGTTATGATGGAGGCAAGCAGCCTTGGACGGAGAGGATGGACGGAAAGCGCTCAGCGAGGAGCAGGGGCCAGCTTGATAATGGCAGGTGGGCGTAAGCTGGCGCGGACGGCATACCTGAGTCCTCTTTTCTCTCGCCCTTTACTCTTGTACAATCTTTCTCTCCTTTCTTGTCTACTAGACGCATCGGAATGACTGCACCACTCTTTTCACGCGGCGCACAAGCTGGTCTGATTTGGCTGATATTCCTCGTCGCGCTCAATTGTACTGCGCGTACAAGCTCGTGGAGCTCCACTTGCTCCCCGCTTTGATGACCTTATCCACCGCCTGCAAGAAGTCTTTCTCAGTGCAGAGCTTGCTCCTTCTCCTGATGGCGAACATGCCAGCCTCGGTGGCCACACTGCGCAGTTCGGCACCAGTGGCGTTGGGACAGAGACGAGCAACGAGCTCGTAGCGGATGTCACGCTCGACGGACATGGAGCGGGCGTGAATGCGGAGGATGTGCGCTCGGCCATCGTTGTCAGGGAGGCCGAATTCGACTCGGCGGTCAAGACGACCTGGACGGAGGAGAGCGGGATCGAGGGTGTCGGGACGATTGGTTGCCATCAAGACCTGGAGTAGGGGAGGACACGGAGTTGTGGTCAGCTAACGGACGAAGCTACGATTATGTTGGGCGTGCGGCGCATACTCACCTTGATGTTTCCTCTCGGGTCGAAGCCGTCGAGCTGGTTGATGAGCTCCAACATGGTCCTCTGCACCTCATTATCACCTCCTGCACCATCGTCGAACCTCGCCCCACCAATAGCGTCGACCTCGTCAAAGAAGATGATGCAAGCCTTCTTGGTTCTGGCCATCTCGAACAACTCCCTGACCATTCTTGCTCCCTCTCCCACATACTTTTGAACCAGTTCTGATCCAATGACACGGATGAAGGTTGCGTCCGTGCGATTGGCAACGGCACGAGCACAGAGGGTCTTTCCTGTCCCCGGTGGACCGAAGAGGAGAACACCTTTGGGCGGGTCGATGCCTAGTTGGACGAACTTCTCGGGATTGAGAAGCGGAGTCTCGACCACCTCGCGCAGCTTCTCGATCTGCTCTTTGCATCCTCCGACGTCGCTGTAGGTCACATCGGGCTTCTCTTCGACTTGCATCATGGTAACGGAGGGGTCCTACGCGCCGGGGAGCAGAGGTGGCAAGAAGGGTTTCAGTGGGAATGAGGAGACTATTGGTTGGAGCTCGCTGACGCGGCGCCTACTCACAATCTTTGGCGGGAGAGGGATCTGGATCTGGTAGCGGTTTCGGTCTACTCCAACCCTCATCCCCTCTTCGATGTCGGTTGGCGCCACCCTCTCTCCCAACCCTACGACGAACTTGGCAATCTGCTTGATGTTGATGACGTACTTGTCCTCCTCGTCGGCGCTGAGTCTAGCATCTGGTCCCCGGAAAGGGTTCTCTTGTTGCCCACCAGCACCCAAAGCCCCAGCAACGCCTCCGGTCTCTCCTCTTGCCCTGGCAGCTGCCTCGTCATCCCTCTTGATGATCTTTGTGCACCTGGCCACCTGCAATGTCTTCTCCTCGCTCATTCTCTGCCTATCCGCTGCCAGGTCCCACAAATTGCGCGGTGCGAGCCCCGTGTCTGACTCTTTGATGCCCATCTTGTCATTGATGCGCTGCTGGACGTCTTTGATCTCTGATTCGATCTTCTTGAGCGAGGCCGCGTATGGCCCTTGGCCGTACGTCTTTAGGATCTGAATATCGCCTTCATCGAGGGCAACGATCTTGTCGTCATCCTTGTTGTCCTCGTCTGGTTTGGAGTACTTCTCCCAGTCTGACTTGGGCGGCATGATGGCGCAATGGTCGTTGTGATGGCGAGGACGGCAGCAGCGTCTTTGGTGTTGCTTGTCCGCGTCATCTCGAGTCGAGTGGGTGGAGTCGAGTCGAGGGGGGCGCGGTTCCGTTGGAGTGCAGTGGGCGACGTTGGCCACGCGAGCGACGGAGGTGGACTGGGACTGGCTGCTGGACTGGCCGACCGAGACGGGTGGCTGCTTGGCTCGAGCTCGACGTCGGTCCCACGCTCGCTTACCTCCTATTATACCACGATCCCACCAGAGAGAGGCTTAGCATATAGCCATCATCGAGCAGGCAAGCCATCACAGCGTTGCGACTCAGAAGATCAAGCGTCTGGCTCTCCCTTCATCTCCGCTGCCACAACACCTTGCAGCCGCATCACCTTCGTTGCTGCACCTGCCACACCTCTTGCCGCCTTCCTCCCTCCACCCGACCATTCACCTAGTAGCCCATCATGGCAGGCGCAATGGCCAACGCAAAGAAGGGGCCCAAGGTATGTGCGATTGAATACTGGTGGACCAAAAGCGTAGTGGCTGATCACCATCACTACTCACCCCGGCGCGCTGACAGATTCGCGATGAGGAGAATGAAGCCAACTACGGCTCCATCTTCGGCATCTCCGGCCCCGTCGTCATCGCAGAGAACATGATCGGCGCCAGCATGTACGAGCTGGTTCGTGTTGGACACGACGAGCTCGTCGGAGAGATCATTCGTATCGACGGCGACAAGGTCACGATCCAAGTCTACGAGGAGACGTCGTCCGTCAGTGTGGGAGACCCAGTTCTCGCCACAGGCAAGCCCCTCTCCGTCGAGTTGGGCCCCGGTCTCATGTCCAATATCTACGACGGTATTCAGCGCCCTCTTGAGGCAATCATGAAGAAGAGTGAGGGAATCTACATCCCTCGTGGAATCAGCACCCAGCCTCTTGACCGCGAGATTCAGTGGGACTTCGACCCCGTCAACTTCAAGCAGGGAGACCACATTGCTGGGGGTGACATCTACGGTCACGTCTTCGAGAACTCACTCCTCAAGACGCACAAGATCATGCTGCCCCCTAGAGCCAGGGGTACAATTACGCACCTCGCAGAGAAGGGTTCCTACGGTATTGATGACACTGTCATTGAGGTTGAGTTCGAGGGAAAGAAGTCCAAATATTCGATGTGCCAGTGAGTCAGAATATTCGCCACAGAGAAGACCTCGCGCCCCCTCTGACCATTTCAACCGCATCGTCACCCACTCCAGACTCTGGCCCGTCCGAGCTCCTCGCCCCGTCACTGAAAAGTTGACGGCAGACAACCCCCTCATCACCGGTCAGCGTGTCCTCGACTCCCTCTTCCCCTGCATCCAGGGAGGTACCACTGCCATTCCTGGCGCCTTCGGATGCGGCAAGACGGTTATTTCTCAGGCTCTCTCTAAGTATTCGAACTCGGACATCATCACCTACGTCGGCTGTGGTGAACGAGGTAACGAGATGGCTGAAGTACTCGCCGAGTTCCCCGAGCTCTCCCTCGAGACGGCAGACGGCAAGGAGGAGCCCATCATGAAGCGCACGACTCTGGTAGCCAACACATCTAACATGCCCGTAGCAGCGCGAGAGGCCTCCATCTACACAGGTATCACCCTCTCCGAATACTTCCGTGACCAGGGCTACAACGTCGCAATGATGGCAGACTCTACTTCTCGCTGGGCTGAGGCTTTGCGTGAGATTTCGGGTCGTCTCGCAGAGATGCCTGCCGACTCTGGTTACCCTGCCTACCTGGGTTCAAAGCTGGCTGGATTCTACGAGCGTGCAGGCAAGGTCACTGCGCTGGGATCGCCGGAGCGTCAGGGGTCCGTCTCCATCGTCGGTGCCGTCTCTCCACCTGGTGGAGACTTCTCTGACCCAGTTACTGCTCAGACGCTCGGTATCGTCGGTACCTTCTGGGGTCTGGACAAGAAGCTTGCACAGCGCAAGCACTTCCCCTCCGTCTCTCCTACCGTCTCTTACTCCAAGTATCTTTCCGCGTGCTCCAAGACCTGGGGTGACGAGACGCTCAAGCTGCGTAATGAAGCAATGGACATCATCCAGCAAGAAGTCTCACTCCTCGAAATCGTCCAGCTGGTCGGCAAGTCTGCCCTCGGAGAGAACGACAAGGCCACCCTCGACCTTGCCTCGCTCCTCAAGAACGACTACCTCCAGCAGAATGGTATCTCGGAGTACGACGCCTACTGCCCTTGGTGGAAGACGGTTTGGATGCTCAAGAACATCATCGAGTTCCACCGCGAGACGCAGAAGGCCATCAATGAGAGCAATGGAGAGATGACCTGGGCCAAGATCAAGGAGCACAACAGCGATATCATGTACAGGCTGACACAGATGAAGTTCGAGCTGCCCAAGGATGGCAAGGAGAAGATTGATGAGAAGATGGAGAAGCTCAACAGGGATCTGCATGAGAGCTTCAGGTCGCTGCAGGATTGAGCGGGAAGGGACAACGCAGCGATCTACTGCTTTCTTCCTGACATTGTCTCTCTTCGTTCTTTTCATTACATGTTTTGCCCGCTTCTCTTCTCTTCGCGTTTTCCAGGCTCTGCAGTGAATTACATATGCTTCACATTTCTTCCTTCTCCACTGTAGGATACAGTACACCTACTCTTTCCTTTCCCCTGCGCACCTCGCTCACCATCCCATTCCTACATTCATCGCGCTCAAGTCAACGCTCTTGGCGTAGCCTGAGCTCGACTCGGGTCCACCTCTACTGCCCGGCCGTGATGAGGATGACGAGGGCGAGTCGGCGCCGCCGCCCTTGCGATTGCGCTGGGCGAAGAGCATGCGTCGAAGACTTGCTGTTTCGAGATTATTGCTCGTGGGGCCGCGGCCGTTGCTTGACGACGACACTGTAGCAGGGCCCGTGGATGAGGAGGTCTGCAGTACCTCACTGCCCGCCCAGGGACTGGTGTATGCCACCTCGTCGTCTATCTCATCACCGGCGAGCTCACTGCTTGCTGTTCTTTTGTAGCCAGCACGAGTGCCCACAGTGTCTTTCCAGCCACGCAACCGCTCATCAAGTTGTTCAGTACCATCCTCCTGCTCTCCGCTTCGTGCCCTTCCTGGACCAGGCAGGGCTCGCCCACCTGCCGCATTCCCATCGAGGGCGCTGAGAATGTTTCCCAAGTAGTCCACGTCCGCTTCCAGCTGGCGCCATCCTGACTGAGTCATTCGCGGGATACCTGGCGGTGCCATGTCAGACTTGGAGGGAGGAAGAGGCAGCCGTGGTAGGACTGAACGGAGGAGGTGAGCCTCGATCAGGTGGGTGAGGAGGAGGGACAAGTAGGCCCTCAGCGGGTCGAGGGAGGGAGGTGCTGAGGCGTCTGCGACTGCGTCGCCGGATGAAGCTTGCGCGTCTTCTGGCAGTGCTGCTGCCGCCGAGGTTGAGTTGCGCGTCAAAGGCGGCGAGACCGAGGAAGGCGAAGTCGACAAAGCCAAACCTTCGCTCGGTGACGACGCTTCGCCCACGCCGCCGCTCGCTGAGAGGAAGGAGCTCTGCCTGCGCTGCTTAGTCGGCGAAAGAGAGGGTCCCACCTCCGGCTGAGGTGGCGGCAGCATGGAGCTGCGTCTCCTTTCTGCTTTCGCGTCTTGCGCGCTGCGCTCTTCCATCTGTGCAGCACTACTTGCCTGATTTCCATCCGACGGCCGTGCCCTCTCCACCATCAATTCGACGCCCCACCTGATCCCGTTCTCCCTTTCGTCCTGGTCTGCCTGCATCCACCCTTCTAGCTCCCTGACCAGCCCGAGTAGCCCTTCTCCTACGCTCTGCATCAATTCCGTTGGGCCAAGAGAGAAGGAAGGCATGTCCAGTTGGAATTCGTTGCTGACTTGCCCCGGTAAGGTCTTGGACGTCCAGTGTGGTAAGTCAGAGTAGACTGTAAGCAGTTGCGACAGGAGCGGGGAAAGGGGGAGGAGAAGGAGAGAGTGTAGGAAGGGTGTGAGAAGGAAAGCGATGGATTGGGTAAGGCGAGGAAGAAGAGGGAGGGATGGGAGCACTTGATGGGCGAGTGTTGAAGCTGAGGCGATGGGGCCGAGAGAAGCCGTATTGCTAGGCTCGCTGTTCGAAGGCATCGCCGCGATCTGCTTGCGCGCTTCTCTCTCTCCCGGATCAGAAGTCACCGTCGACTTCTCCATGAGAAGCGCAACCTCACCGGCAGCAGGGGTAGGACCGGTCGCAGCCCGCAGCTTGATCAGGCATTCGATGACGGCTTCCTGTGATTCCGCTGACCCTTCAGCTTTGCTTGCATCCTTAGCCGCCATAGCAAGCGAAGTTTCCTTCAGCCCCGCTACGAGCGAAGCGTGAAGTGCCTGGGCCCTGCGACAGAGCCCTCGCATGCCAGCGAGCACCCTTGCCACCTCTCCAAAAGCGTTCCACTCGCTCCCATCAAAGCGCGCGCTGGCGAGGGTGTACTTCTGCCATGCGCCGCGACAAAGAGCTTCCACGTCCTTGCCTGCCTCTTCGACTACAGCAGCTACCACATCTTCCACTGCGCTCAACAATCCTTTGACAGCCAGACCACGCGTGAGCTCTAAGCATCGCCCAAGGGAGTCCTCACTGAGATCAATGAGGACGGCCATTGACCTCGCAAGGTGCTCGTAAACAGATGAGAGTGTCTGCTCCGCTCCTGCTGTAGGTCGCGAGTACATGACCAGCGTCTGGCTCTCTCTCTGCCACAGAGCGCGAAGAAGAGCCCTCTCGCTGGCGCCGAAGCTGTCCCATGATGAGACGAGGGAAGTGTAGTAGGCCTCGCAAAACCGCCGTTCCGCAGCGATCAGGACGGAGACTGAGGCTGCATCTCCTGGAGAAGCGGCGACTGCTTTGCCGTCTTCGATAATGGATTCGTCGTGGCCTGTCCCCGAGATAGATAGTCGCTTGGAGCTCAGTCGCGAAGAGCGCCGGCGAGAAAGGGAAGCCCTCCTGTCATGCGTCGGACTCGTCGGAGCATCCGAGATTTTTCTTTGCCTAGCTGCTTGCGGCGAGACGGTGCCATCAGTGACTGTTGCTGCTGATTGAGCTTCAAAGCTTGCTGTGGGAGCGCTGCTTGTTACAGCCAGTCTTGTCAAGATGCGGCTGATATCGCGCCCGCCCTCCCGCATGACTCTGACGATCTTGATGACTTCGAGGAGGCCTTCCTCGTTTGACGCTCTTGCAGTCTCAACAAATTGGCCCAAACTAGGCGAAAGGCACTGCAGCGTACCCTCCACGAGCTCTGTGACAGCAGCCAATGTGTTCTCCGGAAACAGGATGGGCGCATATGCCCTCTCGCTTGACAGGAGAGACACCACGCTGAAGAGGAGGGATTGCACTTGAGAAGATGGCGCGACTCCAGCAGGGGCAGATGAACTTCTTTTCCAACTCTCGAGGAGCGCCTCTGCTCTTGTCCGCCGCCAGCATTCTCCAAACACAGCTCCTCTCCCGACGCGCTCGAGGAGATTTGCGAGCATCCGGATCGCTTCGATGTCCTCTGGCGTGGCCGTCGGTGGGGCAGATGATGTAGACTGCTGATGTGGCAGTGCACGAATACGCTGGACGAGCTTGGGCCTCACAGTCGCTTCAAATCCATCAGTGAGATCGAGGAGGAGCTTCGCCTTTTCTTGCGCTTCCTTCGGATCGCCAAAGACATTGAGCGAGTCCTTTGCCTCTGTGAGCCGCATAGAGGCAGAGTTGAGATTAGCGACGAGGTCGGCGAGGGGTATTGAGGGCGAGTTGGCTTCGGTGAGGAGGGAAGAGACGTCGGATGCTAAAGTTGACCACGAGGAGGCGAGACGCAGGAGGGACTGGTAGGAAGCTAATTGGGAGTGAAGGTGATGCAGCTGAGCCAGGTGTGACAGCGCTGAGCTACCTGGGTCCTGGTTGTAGTCAGGAGCCATAGAGGCCAAGTGATCGATCTTTGACTGTAGGGTCGAGACGCTTTTCGTTACCCAAGTCATGTCGTCGGCGAGCTTGGGCACGTCTCGAGATGAGCGGGCGATGGCCTCCCCGATACTGGTCCCTACATCTGAGCGCGCTATAGATGAACTTGTGATTAGAGAAGAGAGGGCGGCATCGATTTCGGGCAAGGAGGCCGATGCAGCTGAGCCTTGTGGGCAAGCATCGTCGAGATGGTCATTGAGCCAGATGACTGGGTCAAAGTCGTCGCCATCCAGTGACGCTAGCAGGTCGTCTTCGCCGGCTGTACCGTCGTCGCTTCCGATAGCTTCAGTCTCCTCGACGATGTCTGCGCTCGAGGCGTGGCGAGGAGGATTGCCATTGAAGAGGAGTGAGGACGAGGATGATGAGGAGCGCGCCACTGGTGGTGGTACGGGCGCTCGAGGCCGCGTCCTAGTTGGCGAGGTGGCCATGGCGAGCGGCAAAGGATGCCTTGACACTCTCACAAGTTCTGGCTATGTTGTGACCATCAGCCTTGGTCGTTACCGTGATGGCCAGCTAGGCTTGAGAAGGTCGCGGGCATTCAGCGACACGCACGGACAGGCGACAAAGTGACACTCACCGCACTGCGTCCAAGCAGCTCATGGCCTCGTCTCGTGGTTGGCTGCGCGCCCCCGTTGGCCCGCTCGCCCGCCCGTCCGCTCGTCCGCTCGTTGTACCCCGGCCCTCGTCGACCTCGTCGTGTGTGTGTTGTTTTCAGACTCTCGTCACTACACAGTCGCAGCAGAGGCAGCGACGCGATCACTTTCACTCTTTCTTCGTCCACCCCACCTCTCTGCTGCCACCATGGATGTTGATCTCATCAAGATCGTCAACAAGCTCCAGGACACCTTCGCTGCCATTGGAGGAGAGACGGTCGATCTCCCGCAATGCGTCGTCGTAGGCGCTCAGAGCTCTGGCAAATCGAGCGTGCTGGAGACGTGAGTGATGTCCATGGTACGCAACGCTATGTGCAGGCATCCCCACTGACTCGTCATCGCTCCTCATATCCCTCCTCCCAGCATCGTCGGCAAGGATTTCCTTCCCAGAGGATCAGGCATCGTCACACGTCGTCCGCTTGTCCTTCAGCTCGTCCACACTCCTCCACCTACCGCCTCATCCAACAACGACCGCAGCTCGTCATCGTCATCTTCATCCTCAAAACCAACAGTGGCCTCATCGCTGCCACCTGGAACAGAGTATGCCGAGTTCCTTCACCTCGACAAGCGCTTCACCGACTTCGCAGATGTCCGCAAGGAGATTGAGAACGAGACATTTCGCGTCGCCGGGCAGAACAAGGGCGTGTCGAAGCTGCCCATCCACCTCAAGATCTACAGCCCCAATGTCCTCAATCTGACCCTCGTCGACCTGCCCGGCCTCACAAAGATCCCAGTCGGCGATCAGCCTTCCGACATCGAGAGGCAGATCTACGGACTCGTCTCGAGTTACATCTCAAAGCCCAATTGTGAGGAGCGACGGCGGCGACGACGACGTTGGACGGCGCGACAAGGAGTATGACGACTGACATTCTACATCTCTTCACCATCGCGACAGGCATCATCATTGCTGTCAGCCCCGCCAACGTCGACCTGGCGAATTCAGACAGCTTGAAGCTGGCTCGCGCCATCGACCCCCAAGGGAGGCGGACAATTGGAGTCTTGACCAAGCTTGACCTCATGGACCAGGGCACTCACGCCCTTGACATTCTCACTGGGCGAGTTTATCCGCTCAAGCTGGGCTTCATTGGCGTTGTCAACCGCTCGCAGCAGGACATCAACGGCAATGTTTCGATGCTCTCAGCGAGGAGGTCAGAGGAAGAGTTCTTCAAGACGCACCCAGCCTATCGCAACATCGCCCATCGCTGCGGAACAAAATACCTGGCAAAGACGCTCAACAGCGTTCTGATGAACCACATTCGTGACAAGCTGCCGGACATGAAGGCTCGTCTCAACACGTTGATGGGGCAGACGCAGCAAGAGCTCGCTGCGTTTGGCGACACGACCTTCCTGGGCGACCAGCACCGCGGGACCCTTATCCTGAAGCTCATGACCCAATTCGCGCGAGACTTTGTCGCCTCCATCGACGGAACTACGTTCGACATCTCAACTAAAGAGCTATGCGGAGGCGCCCGCGTCTACTACATCTTCCATGACGTGTTCGGCCACGCACTGGACAGCATCAATCCGACGCAGAACCTCACCGTTCAGGATATTCGCACCGCAATCCGCAACTCCACCGGCCCGCGACCCAGCCTCTTCGTCCCAGAAGCAGCCTTTGAGTTGCTCGTCAAGCCACAAATCAAGCTCCTCGAGCCGCCGAGCCTGCGTTGCGTTGAGCTCGTCTACGAGGAGCTCATGAAGATCTGCCACAACTGCACCTCCAAGGAGCTCGAGCGCTTCCCTCGCTTGCACGCGCAACTGATAGAGGTAGTCTCTGAGCTGCTGAGAGAGAGGCTTGGCCCTACCTCCGAGTATGTGCAAAGCCTCATCGACATTCAGGCCGCCTACATCAATACCAACCACCCGTCCTTCGTACAGGACTCGGCCAACATCGCTCGCCAGACACGTGAAGGGGACCAGCATGCGCAGAGGCAAATGATTACGCAGCGTCGCAACTCCACGGGGTCGGAGTCGGCGAATGGCGCGGCGATCATGACTGATGATGATGACGAGCCGGGAGACTCATCGGGGCGCAAGGTGAATGGGACGTCTTCCACGAAGGGTCATCGCAGCAGCGGCAAAGGCGGGCGCGGCGAGGGTTCAAGCCGTCATCACCACGACTCAGCGCCGTCCCAGTCACAACGAGGGGACCCGCCCTCCCACATCCTGCGTGGCGCCCCACCGCCCCACCAGTCCCCTGCCCCTCGCGAATCCTTCCTCGATTACTTCTTTGGCGGGGCCTCCGGAGCACCGGGCTCAAGCTCAGCAGGCGCTGTCCCCGGCCTCGGGCCCGCCACCCCTGCACACCGGGGCAACATTCTTGGCGACCTCCACGGGCATGGCTCCTCTCATCACCACTCCAGCCACCACTCTCGCTCGGCGTCGTCGTCGTACAAGACGAACCCTATGGCAGGCCGCGAAGGTAGCTCTGCAGCTTACGATATGAAGTCGCTGGACAAGCACCTTGAAGCCACGCCTAATCACGCGGACGACTTCTCCCTCTCTGAGCGCGAGGTGCTCGAGACTAACCTGATTCGATCACTCATCGCCTCTTACTTCGGTATCGTGAGGCAATGCATCCAGGACCTGGTGCCGAAAGCCGTCATGCATTTGCTCGTCAACTTCTCGCGCGAGTCGGTCCAGAACAGGCTGGTGAGCGCACTGTACAAGGAGACGCTCTTTGGGAGCTTGCTAGAGGAGGACGAGGCGTTGACGAATGAGAGGAAGAGATTGATGGAGCTACTGGGGACCTACAAGGAGGCGATGATGCTGTTGTCGGGCATCTAAGAGCAGGGAGAATCAGGCGCTTCGTGTTCGTGTGGTGCTCACTACTCTGTATTCTGGTTTTGTGTTCGGTATGACATTCGAAGAATCACTGCTGCGTACATCCGAGGGACTTGCGATGAGACGACAGAATGACGAGGTTGGCTGGAGGAAGAATGATGGGGCAGAGGGTGATGATCAGTCGTAGCTCGGGAAGCTCCGGCAGAGAACCGGTCGGCTGAGGGAGCCAGTCCAGAGAGGCTGACGAGATGACAAAGGCTGTGCTTTCCAAACGTGATGATGCCTGCTCACCATCTCGCGACGACGCGAGGCTCGTAATGGTCTGTTGACCTCCATCGTCTGACCAAGTCAGCTCCTCCCCGTACTCCTGATCCCGCGCTTCAGAGTAGTAGGTTCGGCCTCCGGTCTTGATCATCGATCGACAGAAAAGCAAGACGGTGTTCATTGCCTATGCAGCGCGATCACGAGCCGCTGCTCGATCACAAAGACCCTTTGATCGCCAGTCGGTCAGCTCGCCGTCCCGAATATCTCACTCCGCGTCGCCTCATGGCAGCGGTACGGCGTGTCATCGTCTCCTTGCCGGCTGCTCCCACGATCACCAACCAACCCGCGACCCTCGACCCTCGATCTCGGCCTTTCCCACCCCTTCCCGCCCGATTTCTGATCGCCATCGCCGATGCTACCACGTCCCGCTCCGGCATCGTCTTGCACCGCTTCCGGCAACGTCGTTTCGACGATGCTCACGGCATCATTCCTTCTCCTCACGGCTCGGTGTCACTGGGTTCGTCATCGTCGCCGCGCCTCCGTCGCCGTATTGCCTGCACGGAGACTAGACGAGTCGGAGACGGAGAGATGAGATCTCGACAAAACTGAGTTTGACGACTCTCCAGGTGCCACTACTCCTCGCCGAGGTTCGTCTAACGACGAGGTCGGAGAGAGGAAAACGTCGGAGCCAAGCTCAGACCAAAGCCCCGTCCGAGCATCTCCCCCTTCGCGCGCTTCTTCAGCCACCCAAGCGTCAACCAGCCCTGACTCTAATTTTGTACCTTCCAATTCCTTGTGTCGAGCGCTCGATGAACCTTGTTGCTCGCACTGAGAAGAGCTGGGTAGCGAGCCCATCACCATCTAGATGAACGGGAGGGCCGCTTACACAAGCGAAATCGGTCTGGCCTACTTGACTTCAACTTCAGGCGAGATCGAGGATGAGGAGAATGCCGATATCAACACAGGTCCGCACATTTCGCGGAGGTGAATGATGCGACTTCTCATCCCTGAAGAGCGTCACGCATCGCCACGACAGGCCCACTCTGGGCCGTGATGGTGAAGGGCATTGCTCGATCCTATCCTCAGGAGGGCTCCAAGGAATGTAGTAGCTCCCACACTGATTCGCCAAGACGTCCCGTCCCTTGCCCTCGCTCGATTTTGTGGTGGGGGCCCTTCTGGCGTGCACAGAGCTGCTCGCTATCTCGCTCGCTCTTTGCTTCCCCACGATCTCTGCCTTCGCTCAATCAGAAGCGGCAAACTGACGAAAGCAGAGCTAAAGGTTGTGGGTACCGGAGCTCCCTCGCTGCCCTGCAACGCAATCGAGGCCCGCACGCGCATTGACAGGCCGGCTTTTGCCATTCTACTATGCTTGCTTGCTCGCTCCATGGTCCCTCACTCGCCTCACGCTACGCAACGCAACGCAATCAGGACAGCCAAAGCTTGTCAGCAGCTTGCATAGATGAGGTTACCACCGCCCACGAGCATCGCACCCATGTATTGAATTGAGAATCTCTTTGGGCGATAAGAGGATGCCGATTGCAGGACTGACTCTCGTTACAATGGCCCGCAAGCGGATTCTGGGGGCGACACTTACCGACGTTACATTACGATGTTACGATGACGACTTTGCCACGACACTCTGCTCAGCTGGAATGATGATCGCTCAGCGGAATCCGAAAGGATGAGCAAATGCCCTCCGATGCCCACGCTTTGCATACCAGCGCATCAATGGACGACGACGACGATGTGACAACCGACGAACGAAAGGACGCCTCGTTGCGCGGTCTTCTCGCCGCATATGCAGCGTCGTCGTGAGACTAGTGGTTCGCCTCGCCGATTCAAGCACCGCCGTCGGATCTCACCCCCTTTCCTCAGCTTTTCTCGGCCGGAGACGGAGGTGCGACACCAAAGCCACGAAACGCGCCAGACAACACACCGCCACTCCTTCTGAGGTCGCCACAGCTAACCTGGAGCGAGCGGGATGAAGGCGGGACCAGCAGAGGAAGAAGAAGAAGTTGTTGGCTGATGTCGCAGCTGTTGTCGTTCTGACGTGTGTGTCTTGATGCGCCATGCACAGCTTCGCTGCAGTCCAGCAGCCAAGCCGCCGGTGAAATCCAAGAACTCAAATTGAGGTGAGGTGCTGAGGGTGCGGGGAGATGGGCAGGAGAGCGCAGAGCGACGAAAGTTGCAGGCGTGTAGGAGCAAGACTTGCTCATCATCAATCCATCACCAGGAGCGCCGTAGACGTGACGTGTGCAGGTCGTCGGTCGGATCCCCGCCGTCCCCTTCGTCGTCCGCCATGAATAGGCATATGCCACCAGAGCCCGTCAGCATTACTCCAGCATGCTCACAGATCACGCATCGTTATGCATCTCTCGACCAGTCTACCTGCGTCGCTCGCGGCCTGCAGCTCCTCGGACATTTGCGCATATAGTACCTGTCAGCCAGTGCAAGAGATCCGCTCGAATTGGCGGACCAAGAACGGGCTGAGCCAGATGTGGACGCATGCCTGGCAGCTAGTGGAACCTCGGCCTCCAGTCAATCTCTGTCAACAATTCATTGTGAGGCGGGAGGCGCTTCATTGTTGGCTCGTCGCCGATCCCGCCTACCCCTCGCTCATGCCCTTGCCTTCAATCTTGGCACCCTGACGAACAAACGAGCGAGAGGCGAGCGAGCCATCCCCGGTCTTCAAGCGCTCGCCTCTATCCCCTCCTCGCGCCCCATCTCGCATCTCCCACGTCGTCGCCCACAGCCCGACCTCGACGAGGAGCAAGAAGCTCCATCTTTCCGGCGGTGTCCTCGCAGCAGCACAGCAGCACCGACCACCCACTCGCCGCCGGTCTCCTGGCTCTCCTTAGCCCCCCACCCGCCTGTAGCGCCGTCGCCCCTCCTTTGCCTGGCGTTTCGTTTGTCGACGATCTTTCGGGGTCCTGTCGTCGTCTCCTCGCTCGCTCACTAGCCTTGTTGCCCATTCTCACCTCTTTGCTTCTGCACTCCTCCTCTTCTTTGCGCCCTTCATAAAGGCCCCCAACCATTGCGCACTCAGCGTAGCCCACTGTTGCCTCACAACTACCAACTTTCCTCCTTTTCGTCGCGCCACGATCTAATTTCCCTCGCCGCGACTGCGACATCCTTGCTCCTCTCACCTCATCTTCGAGTCTATCCTCGTACGCCCTTTGGCGTCAACAACCAAGCAAGCAAAGCCGAGCAAATCGTCCGCTCAAGCGTCGGGTCGAGACCCACAACAGCGCCACACGCGCCCATTCTCCAACTCAACGAGGATTCATCCTCACTCTTGCGCCTTAGTCGACGTCGTCTCGACCTCGGTATCACCTGAGCTTCTCGAGTGCCGCTCACCACCTGGCCGGTCTCATCCTCTAGCCGTACCTTTGTAGCTTAGCTCGCTCTCTGCTATCGCTGCTGCCGCACTGCGTCGTCATCTTCGCCGCCCGCTCCACGCACTACGGCAGCTTGCACACGCACACTCGCGCACTCGACTGCAACCACACTGCACTGCGTGGCTAAGTCGCGGCTTGCTACAAGTTGCTCTTTCTCAGGTCGCGTCGCATCGTTGCTGCCCCTTCTTAACAAGACAAGAGAGGACAAGGCGAGTAGTCTTATTCGCAAATCGGCCCCACATCCAACGCGGCCGACACGCATAGGAAAGGCGTAGGTAAGGGACTGGCTACCACGTAAGCCCAACGCCCGCATCGCAATTTCCGTACTGGTCATCGCCTACGAGTCTTCACGACCTCCGACATTGACGGTGGTCTACGCTTAGTCGATTCAATCTTCGGGCTCCCCGTTCAGACTCCTCCTAAACACAGACAATTACCGGACCCTGTTCGGCAAGTCTTGTCTTCCGCCCACTCACCCTCATCTCTCTGCCCTGTTTGCCTTGAGGCGAAGGTGTCCATCTCGCAGCCTGCACGGAGCTGCCCGACCCGAACTCCTCCCCGTCTCATCCGACTCAAGTCGGTCGACATCGAGTAGCTGTTCCGCTCGACCCAGCGGCACCGGCCCATTTCAATCCCATCTCTTGCTCCCCAGGCCCCCTTGGTTTCTTCCCACGGAAAGCGGGCGCGCCTCTCCCTTCTCGTTCCTGCCCTTGGTACATATTTGTCCTTCAGTACGTACTCGCCCTTTTTGGGGTCGTACGCGAGCTCTCGCGCCTACTCCCGCTGCGTTGAGCATTCAGGGTCACTAATCGTGCCCCGTTTCCTGTCGTATAGCGCTCAAGGAGCCGTGTGTGGTCATTTCTTGGGACCTCCAGCAGCTCCGTATTCGTCCTCCGCTCTCGATAACTCGCTTCATCACCTCCATCCTTCGGCTCCCTCACGGCTCAACGCGTACCGGACTTTCGACCAGACCGGGAAACAAGCCGGCACCACTAGACGCTCTCGCTCCAGGCCCAGCAGCTGACTAGCTCGTCGCCTCTTGTCGACTGTCAATCTCTCAAGGAGCCGTCAAGCGCACCTCTCTTCTCCATCTCGGTACTTTACACCTTCCTCCTTCAGGTCCTCTGGTCAACACGGCCGACGATACCTCAGCCCTTTGCGACCATCTCTCGCCCACCATTTGGATAAGTTCCTAGCCTTCCTCATCTCTTTACGAATGTGTCTTGCTCGCATCCCCTATCACCACTCCTCCGTCAGCGCCGTAATGCACCCCTTCTCACGGCACCCTGCGGATCAGCATCAAGACGACCAGCAGCAGCATCAGCAGGCGGCTTCTCATCAATCGTACCAAGCTCATCAGTCTACGCATTCAGCATACGGGACCGGCAGCTCAGCTCTCAGTGTTGGCACGGGAGCTGCCTCTACCGCGACATCGATGACATCGCCCATTCCAAGCTACGGCTGGGCGCCGAAAGCAGAGGATGGCGCTGGCAGCAGCTCAGCCATCTCCACGCCTACAATGCCTAGCAGTAACAACAACAGCATGAGGTTCTTCTCTTCATCGCTCTGGCCGCCGCAGAGCACAGCGGGCTCGTCCTCAACATCTTCGTCCAATGCTGGCATCACTGCTATTGGAGGAGGAGCCGTCTCGTCTACGCCTCTTCGACCTCTTCAGCACCAACAGCAGGACCAGCACGACACGACTCCCTCAGCCTCCGCAGCAACATCACTCTCTTTCCACAACGGCTCGCCAGGACAGACTCAATTCGACCCTTCACCCAGCATGTCAACCAATACGCCCCTGCCTATCTCATCGGCATCGTCTTCTCGACCAAACAGTGCGCGTCCAAGCAACGCTGGATCCGCAACTTACGGCGCTCAGTCGTCGACAGCGATGCCGAGCCTTCACTCGACGGCGCTTCTTGGCCAGCAGCAGCAGCAGCAGCACTCTCCTTCGTCTTATGGAATTGCCCGTGCCCTGCCATCAACTTCTCAGCACCAGCCACACGCTCAACCAGCATACAGGCATGGCTCTACCCTGTTCCCGGATTCACGAACGGCCATGGGCCCGCCATCGAACCAACCTAGTTACTACGCAGACTCATCGACGTCTTCATTAGCCTCACTGAATGGAACGATGCAGCCGCCGCCGCAGCAACACATGCAGGACATGTCGCTGAGAGCCGCTCACCAGGATGGTGTGGCAAAGAATCAGCTTTCACCGTGGTCGTCCGCCTCTTCGACGTCCAACAACTCCGGCCAGTATCACTCTCTTCCCTTTGTGGGCCATTCAAGCAGCCACGACCTTACCAATGGCATGATGCAGCCAGTCCACATGAGCGGCAACGGCACCTCTCGTGCATCCGGAGCACCCCTTTATGAATCTTCGACGTCGTATCGAAGCATGCCATTGATGTGGGATGGAGCGGGCCAGAGCGATGTCAATGGCAACAGCACCATACTGGGACTCAACGGAGCAAGCGGCCAGCAGCACTCGACTTGGTTGAGTGGTCACGACTCCCTGAACTCGATGCAGCCAGGGTCAATAACCGCCTTTCCTCCTTCTATGATGACCTCTCTGCCCCCTTCCTCAACCAATGGCGGCGTCGCAGCTCAGGGTTGGCAATATCAAGACGACGAGGCTAAATGGCAAGCAGTGATGAACCGATCTCTGCACGCAGATCGCCACTTCTTGTACGCATCCACGTCCGCTCAAACGTACTGCCGCCCTTCGTGCCACGCCAGCGCAAGCGCTACGAAGCATCGTCAACCTCCTCAGTACCTCAACCAAGGGCATCCGAGAGGCAGTCGCTCCGACTGCATTCGCTTCTTCTCCCAGCCGGACGCAGCGATCAAGGCTGAGGCGATGGGATTCAAGAGCTGCAAGCGTTGCCGCCCTGAGATGGCCTACGGCCCTGGTAGCGCCGTCTCGGGCTCCCCGATGGATGGGCTTGGACTGACGGGCATGGCCAGGTCAGCTGGTGTTGCGGCCGGTGGTGGAGAGCATCAGCATCAGCATCGCACTGTCATCGCGGTCAGGGAGTGCGTGCGAGAGATGATGCTCGTGGCCACGAACTGCATTACAGAGGGGGACGGAGAGCCTAGGAAAAGGACGTTGAAGGACTACGCGGCCAAGGCAGGGCTGAGCACCTTCCACTTCCATCGTGAGTGCAGAGCGAGAGCAGCTTGACGCTGGACTGTAACGCTGACGCTGACGATAACTTCATGGCCGCTCACTTTGCTCCCGCTCCATCGCAGGCTCCCTGACGAAACTCATGTCCCTGACTCCGGGCGATTTCTCCAAAGCAACGCAATCGCTTCACCTGCAAGACATGCTTGGTATGGACAATGCTGCCCCTGGTGCTGCCCGCGTCGACGACCACACCTTCAACGAAGCGCTGCGAGGCTGGTCAGTCAGACGTGCCAAGCGTGCTCTGGGCGGACTCGACCCGGGTATGTACGCTCGTGGCGAGCTGGGCAACCGCACCAAGGTCGTGAGGACGACTATCACCAACACTCCATTCGGTGAGGTTGGCGTGGTGTACACGGCTGCTCCGAACCCGACCGGCATCCAGCATCAGGATATGAAGCAGCGCTACCAGCTCGGGGCATCTCTAGCCGCTAGCGCAGCCTCTGCGGCTTGGTCGACGTCGCTGGCTCCACCTCGCCCAGACTCGCCCCACTCCACTGGCTCGCCAATGATGAGCACCTCGTCGGCGGACAGAGTCATCTACGCACTCGTCCTCTCAGGACACGGCACCAACGTCGACGGGCGTCTCGCTCGCCGTTTCCCCACATCCATGCCAGGCGATACTGCCTCGGCGGCCGAGCTCCGCGACTTGGTGACGGAGGTGATGCGCTCCGGTGTCCGAGAGGGCGATCTGGCTGACGAGACCAAGCAGGCAGTGAGGCGTGCTCGAATCTGGGTTGCCGTCAAGAGGACGCTGAATGGTAGTGGCGGGCGTGGCGGGTCTGGTGGGGCGAATGGCAATGGTGCTGCAGGGTCGGATGAGAGGGATGGGGATGAGATGGATGGGTTTGATTGAGTGGATAGAGAAAGAGGCGACGGCGCCGAAGCGGATAATTGGTGGATGGGACTGGCTAGGGAAGCAAGACAGTAGCGGACAAGGCCGTCAGCGGAGGACTACACCAACAAGCATCGTGACTCCAACATGGTTGTGCTGACTCACGTCCAGCGATCGCCATTCTCAGCACGCGGCCGCCTCGTCATCAGCGTCACGTTGTGCACTAGGCTCAACGTCATCACCTGCAGTACCGCCATAAAGCATAGACCAGAACGCAACACAAGACCAACAGCAGCAAAGGCGCTGGTAGCCCCCCACACCGTTTGTCCAAAGTGTCTCTCAGTACGCATCATCGCATCTCGCATCTCGCATCTCGCATCTAGAACCTATAATTGTGAAACTCTTTCCATACAATCATCTCTCTGCAAGTGCAGGTCCTCGTGATGATGGTGATGATGGTGATGATGGTGATGATGGTGATGATGGTGTTGTTGGTCAAGTCTAGTGGGACAAGTGCGAAGGTGAAGTGCTGTGCTTCTGCTCGTCCGACCTGCTTAGCTCTGCCTCTGCATTGCGCTGTCCAAGCAAGAAAGGCCCGGCGGGCCCTTTCGTCCAACTCAACGCAAGACCTGCTCTTGCTTTTCTCTGCTTACTTGCAACTTCGTCCTCTGCTCGATCCTCGGCGCCAAGTCACGAGCATGCCCTCACCGCAGACCGTCCCTTCCATCTAGCCCCTCCTACTTCTGTCCCTCTCATGAGCCTCAACCGCGCGATGGGGTCCGAGCTTATGCCCACTTGAGTGGCGCCACGATGATTCGTCGACATGCGGCGCCGATGCCCCTTCGACTCCACCATTGCCTCGCTCCAATGAGCCATCTGCTGTGCTTCGGCGCCTGCAGTAGGCAGCATTGACGTCTGCGGTAGTCGAAGAAGAGCGAGCACGGAGCGTAGCGTGATGGACACTCGAAGCAGGTTGGGCCATCTCCACGTCGGGAGTACCGACCATGGATGAGCGACCACGCACACTACCGGGACCCCTACGACGCTGGCCTTGCGAATCCTCAGGCGGCGGGCTCATTCCCGACTCGTAATGTTCTTCCGCAGCCTCATCGTCGTCCTCCCCTTCATCAGCGCTGGCGGCCTCGTGCCTCTCATCTTCCGCCATGGTGGACGTCAATTGTACACCTCGCGCTCCTCGGGCGTCGAGGAAGAACTTGACCGCTGGCACTAGAAGCGTATGGCCCAGCAAACTTGCGAGGACGAGAACGAAGGTGATGGGTCGGATGAGCTCACGTACTCGCTGACCCATTGGGTCGAGGCCGTCTGACACGAGGGGAAACTCGTGAAGGATGATGCTAGCGTACAGGATCGCCCCGGCTCCAATGGGGCCAAAGTAGCCAACGAAGGCCGCCTCGCTGACATCACGGAGTGCGGGAATGGCCTTGTAGAAGAGGAGCATAGGTGGGAGACGTCGAAGTAGGAGGACGAGAACGGCTAGTACGATGAGCCTCCAAGGTGTGATCCCGAGGTCGGGCAGATTGAATGTAGCAAAGGGCACGGCCGCTCCAGCGAATGCAAAGAAGATGCTGTTGAGCAAGAAGTCTAAGACGTTCTGCACCTCGTCTTCCTCCGTCTCCACTCGATACCAGTCGTCGTACGTAAATGCATTGCCCGCCACGAAGGAGACGAGGACATCGTCGAGTCCCATTGCGCCTGCGAGGCCGATGGAGGCGAGACCGAGCATGGGGCCAAAGAGGAGGAACGACTCCTTGTCGATGAAGTCGTGTCGGCAGGAGAAACGCAGAGCCCTGTTGGCCGCCAAACCGATAGCTACACCCATTGCTGCGCCCGCCACGACGGTATAGACTATATCAGTCAGCAGCCAATTGCCGAGTGCCTGCGAGGTTGTGGGCGCCTTGAGGAGGCGGATAGCCAGAAAAAGGAAGGGATAGGCCAAGCCATCGTTACAGCCCGACTCGGCTGAGATGACATTGCGTAGCCTGGCAGGCACGTACTGGTCCGCAAAGCTTCCCTTTACCAATGCGTTGCTCAACACCGGGTCCGTAGGTGTCGCAGAGGCAGCTATGACGAGCGCGACGATCAAGGGCACGTCGGGGATGACCCATGTGATGAGCACCGCGGTGATGAGCCACATGCATGCCATGACCGGTATCAGCATGATGGACAGACTGCGCAGCTCATGAATGAGGTAGTACTTTGGCAGTTGGACGCCCACCAGAGCGACCTGAATGCCAATGACGATTCTGCTCAGACCGAGGGAGATTTGGTCTGCGTACGCTGCATCTTCTCCTTCTCCATCCCATTTTGTGAGCTGCCCTAGTCCATAGGGTCCGATGAGGATGCCGACGAGAAAGGCGAGGGGTGCTTCGGACAGATAGAGGCGCTCTTTGATTTGGTAGCTGAACAGGCCGTAGAGGCAGGCAAAGAGACCGAAGGAGAGGGCGACGGCGTCGAGCTCTTCAATGGCCATGACGGGCTACTGAAGGGAGCGGTCGTGGATTGCCGATGTAGATGTGAGGTCCGTTCGACTTCTACTCTACTCTACTCTAGATTGAATGCGGTGATCGATGAATGAAGACAAGGGCAGCGTCAATTTGGAACCCCCTTTTCCTCCCAGGGCGCCAGGGCAACTTGACTCCACTTTTGGGATCGGTCTTGCCCCCGCCTCCACGCGTCTGAGTTGGCGGCGGACTCTTTCTTTTCTTCCCATCTCCTCAATCCTAACCTCCTCTGGTCTGCGGAATTGACCGCCATGACCTCCCAAACCGGCTCCGCCGACTCATCATGGCTCACAGCCGAGATCAAAGAAGAGGCTGCATCCATGTACCTCGAGCCGTCGTCCCTGGGCTTCGCCCGCCTCCTCGACGACAACGACCCCCTCGCCCGTCTGCGGCAGGAGTACCACCTTCCCCTACGCGAAGCTGCCGCTCACTCAGCATGGCCCTCCGACAAGGCCGCTCCGAAACCTTCATCATCCAAACCGGCCTTGTACCTCTGCGGCAATTCCCTGGGACCAATGGCAAAGCGCACGCACCAGTACGTGAGCGAAGAGCTCGATGCTTGGGCCACGCATTCCGTCTTGGGGCACTTCAACCACCCAAAGGGGTCAGATAGGCAATGGACGCAGATGGAGCAGACGCCACAGCGTATCATGAGCGACATCGTCGGGGCAAAGCCGTCGGAGGTGGCCCTGAACAACACATTGACGTCGAATCTGCACACCCTCTTAGCTACCTTCTATCGTCCGCTGGCTGTGCCACAAGGCGTAGGGAGCAGCGGCAGCGCTAATGGCAAAATGCGCCACAAGATCATTCACGAGCGCAGCCCCTTCCCCTCGGATGGGTACACCCTCACCTCCATCGCTCAGCTCAACAATCTCGACCCAGAGCAGACGCTCGTCCCGCTCTCCCCCCGCACCGGCGAGGACACGCTCCGCACAGAGGACATCCTCTCGACCATGGAGCGCGAAGCGGCAACAGGAGAATGCTGGGGCATCTTACTCGGCTCAGTGCAATACCTCACCGGCCAGGCTTTCGAACTGGGCAAGATAGCAGCAAAGGCTCATGAGCTAGGCATCTTCGTCGCCTATGACTTGGCCCACGCCTTCGCCAATGTACCTCTTGCCCTGCATGACTGGGGCGTAGACTTTGCGGCGTGGTGCACGTATAAGTACGGCTCTTCTGGCCCTGGTGGCATTGGAGGCATGTTCGTTCATGAGAAGTGGCATGACAAGGCGCTGCAGAGGCCAGCGGGTTGGTGGGGCCACAACAAGGCGACGCGATTTGCCATGCCCAAGGAGTTCGACCCGATGCGTGGAGCGGCCGGTTGGCAGCAGAGCAACCCTAGCGCGCTGGATGTTGCGGCGTTGAGGGGTAGCTTGGAGACCTTGGCGCTTAGTCTCGATCTCGCCGGCAATGCTCAAGGAGGCTTTGCGAGCGAGGCATGGCAGAAGGAGCGGGAAGGACAGGACAAAATTGGGTACGGTAGCATCATGCCCCTGCTAAGGGCTAAGTCGCTCAAGCTTACAGGCTATATGGAGCATCTTCTCTTCGAGGTTCCGGAGAACAAGGCCATTTTTGAGAAGGTGGGCATCAAGCTTGTCTCACCGGACGACCCGGAGCAACGTGGCTCTCAGTTGACGATCAGGGTCCCAAACGCTGCGGCGAACGGCTCATCCCAGAGCAACGGCAACACGGACGACTCCCCCGCCGCAGCCCCCGCCGTAGCTGGCCCGACGGCCAAGGGCACGCTCGTCTCCCGGGTGCAGGCGCACGCAGAGGAGCACTTTGGGCTCATTGCAGACATCCGCAATCCAGATGTACTTAGGTTGGCGCCCCTCGCTCAGTACTCGACGTTCGAAGACGTATGGCGGGCAGTGCAGGCGCTGAAGGAAAGCGTTGAGGCAGTGTCAGGGGCGTGATGAGAAGCTGGGGTGCCAAGAGAATGGTATTGATCACTCATAGTAACCCACGTCATTGAATGCGAATGAGTGTCTCATTTCTCAGTTGTGCTTCTTCAATTAGATCTATGACGCTCAAGCGCTCTTTCTCCCGTTCAACATCGGGATTTCTTTCCACGCGGCCCCACGCTAAAGCTGCTCCGCTGCGCCAGGCAGCGCCACCACTCGGCTTTCTCATCCCACGACGAAGATGAAGGCGCTCCCATATGTCTCTCTTACCAAGCACAGCATCACCACCGCTGTGCCTGCCATTATAGAGCAATGTGTGCGCGGGTGATCAGCAGGAACGATCTGCTTCTCGAATTCAGCCGGTGTCACTATGTTCATCGCGGCAGCGTTCTCGTCGTGTGGGTGGCAGTCATCGTCGTTGGAGGTGCGGGGTCGCCGCTGCTTCTCATGCTTCTCGTGTTCATGCGCTTGCTTGCTTGCCTGCCTCACACACTCGTCCTGCCCTGCTATGCTGCTGCCTGCTCTCGCTCCTCTTGTCGGAAGACTCAAAATCAATGCAGGCGCATCTCGTCTGCCGCCCACCCGCCAGTCCGGCTCAGTCCGCCGTGGGTCGGTCGGTCGGTCGTGCGCCATCTCGCTCACTGCCGCTCGCGTTTTGCAAGAGCTTTGATTCTTACAATCTGCTCTCTGATCCTTCTTCTCCATCATCGAGGATAGCATACGGGCAAGGCGGACCATTGACGAGGCGCAGTTGCGTTCGCCCCTCTCACCGTCATCCATCATCCAGCTCATCTCGGCAGGCGCGACGTGGCACGGCTCATCACGGCACGGCTCAGACGGCGGCGGCGGAACACCTCCTTCCATCATCGGCGGGACCAAAGTGATTGCTTTGCAATCTTCATCTTGTTCCTGTCGACGAGCGAAGGAGCGGTCAGAGGCTCATCATCTCCTCGGCCTACATTGTCCGGCGCGCAACGCCCGCACCTCCTCCGCGACTCCAAGCCTCTTTCGTAGCGCCAGAGGACAGGACGTCACATCGCTCCCGACAGCTGCTACCGCCTCTGCCTGGCACATCCGCACGAGGTGAGTGAGAGATCACGACGGCGGTGCTGACGGCACACTGCGGGACGGTACGGGTCGAGAATGGCTTCGTCTGGCGAAAGTCGACGATACGTGGCCGTAGATGGCTGCCACACCCTTCTATCCTGTCAAGGTGGACAAGATCCATCGACCGCGACGGCTCGACTCCTGATCATCCGTACCGTCGTGTCACCGCCGCCATGAAGCCCGAGTGCTCGGCTGTTGTCGAAGATGAGCTGACGGATCTCGCCCTCATCCGCCGCTCAGGCATTCCGGCTGGACAAACGGTTGATCCGGCTGTGCTCTGGCAACAGCGCGGTACCTCGCCATCGATCAGCGCTGCTCTCGAGCATTTTGACTCTTCTTCTATCGCTACATCCATCATCATCACCGATCCACATCCCTCGCATACCCAGCCATCCTCTCTGATGTCGCAGCAAGCTTCAATCTCCTCATCGAACGGCGCAGCAAAGGACGCCAGCGCCGCGGCTATGAGTCCAAGGACTGGCGACGAGCCCTCAAGCTCTCAATCGCCCCCACTCGCGCCAACCTCCGCCAAGACGGAGGGCAGCGGCTCTCCCCCACCCGGACAGCGCAGGAAGCGTACAAGGCCCGTGAGCGCCTGTGAAGCCTGCCGAGCTCACAAGGTCAAGTGTATCCTCAAGCCCGATCAGCCCATCTGCGAGCGTTGCGCTTCGGCGGGCAAGGAATGCCTCTTCCGCATCGATGATCTGCGCCCGGACTTTAGGGCTGAGCGATTTGGTCATTTGGGGCCTCCGGGGGCTGATGCGAGAGAGATTAAGAGCAAGCCCAAGGCGCACAGGAAGGAGTCGACGAGTGGAGGAGCGGCCCACCGCCGCAGTTTGACTGGGCACTCGCGAGAGGAGCCAGAGGAGGGCGAGGAAAGCGCAAAGAAGAGGTCGAGGAAGGATTCGGTCAAGACCGCTGCGCCGGCGCCCACCGCAGTTGAGCATGGTGCACCCATCGTCGTCGATCCTGTGATGCGCGCGCCTCCTTCCCACATGGTAGCACAAGCTTCAAGCAGTTCCTCGCCGCCGCCGCCGCCGCATCCTATGATGCCGCCTCATCATGCTGCGCCATACCCACCTGGTTACGGATTCGGGGCTCATCGTACAAACTTCGCCACTCCTACACCAGCTTTGCCTCATCCGCCCCCACCCCATCCCGCCCAAGTCGGCTACCCGACGGCCACTCCCAACATGTACCATCCACCGCCCGCAGGATACGGTCATGGCTATGACGGCTACAGTCAAGGCTCAGCCAGACCTCCTCCTCCGCCTGTGCCGACCTACTACTCCACGCAGCCGCCTGTCATGTATGGCTCCCCACACTCGGCCGCCTTGCCATACCCAACCCCTCCGCCGGGCCGACCGTCACCCTACTCGCCTCGAGAGAGCGATCGCGACAGGGAGCGGCTACATCGACCACGCGCCCCTTCGGCAGCCGGCTCACCATCAGCCTTGCCACCAATCCGTACCGCCTTTCCTGGCTTAGGCAGCGAGTCGTCATCGAGCGGCGAGAGGCGTTCGAGGTATCCAAGCGAATGGGATCGACCACTGACGGGGGCCTCAGACACTCGGTCAGAACGGCCCTTCTCTCCGCTCACAAAGACGAGGCTGCCGCACTCGCCAGGCAGTGTGCATCGCGAGCTACCGAGCGCCCCTTCACATCAGGAGCGCAGAGACGGTGCATCACAGCAAGGCCATTCTCACTCGACCTCGCAGCATCAGCATCAACAGCAGCAGCAACGAGTAACCTTCCACTCGCCTCCTGCCGACGATCACCCATCCGCTGGCGAGGCTCACACAGCTGGTTCTCAAGGCAGTCGCAGCTCGGCGGCAAAAAAGCCCTCTCTCGTTGTTCCCTTCTTCCGCTGGTTCGGTCTCACGGCCAACACGCCTGGCTACCGTAGGATCAAGGTCGCCGTCAACCCAGATGTGCCTCAAGATGAGGACGACAAGCCACCCTCTGGCACCGAGCAAGAAGATGGCGAAGGAGGCGATGGTGCAACACAGGCGTCTGGAGCTCCCGCTGAGCGAGCCAGCGACGACGACGCCACGGGCAAGACAGCCCTACCGAATGGCAGCCCTACTCAGCCACCTGCAGACCACCCCTCGTCGACCTCTGTTACCCCCTTGACGCCTAGGCTGCACGGGTCTCGTCACCTTTTCGGCGGAATGGAGCAAGACTCCGTCGCCTCGTCAACATCTCGCGACCTGTTCGACCCCTCGCGACCACGCTATCCACGCAAGGACATTCTCCTCCATCTGTCGGAGCTTTTCGTCAAGTACTTCCGCACTCATCTCTGCCCCTGGATTATCGAAGAAGAGCTGCTCAAGAGCGTTCAAGACGGCACAATGCCCTCAATCCTCGCCAACTCCATCTGCGCGATGACTGCCCGCTTCTCCGACTGGGCTGAGCTCAAGCGCAAGCCTCCCAAAAGCGTAGGCGAGTGCTTCAGCGAGATGGCAAAGACACTCATTGTGCCCATGCTCTCCTGGCCGAGCCTCGACGTTATTGAAGCATTGATCATCCTGAGCTATGCGGAATTCGGGGCCGGATCTGATTCAGGGTTGTGGATGTACTCGGGGATGGGCATGCGAATGGCCATGGACCTGGGAATCGAGCACGAATCGACAATTCAGAGTCTGCCGACCAAAGCACAACAGGAGAAGGCCCGCTGGCTGTTCTGGTCGGGATGCTACGCCATCGATCGCATCACCTGTTTCGGCACAGGTCGGCCCGTCACTCTTCTCGACCACGCCATCGACTGTCGCCCTCCTGTCGTTGAGGCTACGGCGGACACCTTCTTCGCGAGCCAGATCATCCAAGTTCTCCTCCGTCGTGGCAGGATGGGTGAGCTCCTCAATCGTCGCGACGACGGAATGCGCCTCAGCGAGAAGAAGGTCCGCCTCACCGAGCTCTGGCAGGAGTGCGCCGCCTACTTCCAGTCCCTGCCCTCCAGCTGCGCATTTGGCGTGCAGAGCTTCAAGCGTGCAGCAAGCAACAATCAAGGGTCGGCCTTCCTTTATTTGCACGTCCTGTTCCAGTCTACGATCAGTCTACTGGAGCGACCCGGCATGATGAGGGCGAGGGACACCGACTTCTCGGCCCCGCCACAGAGCAGTTCGACGGTCATGAGCGCTGCGGGCCACATCTCGGCTTCAGCGTCACGCTCCATCGTGGATATGGTAGCCCTTGCTGCTCATGTGGATCCGAAGAGCTTCCATTCGTCGCCGTACCTTGATCAACTCATCCTGCCTACTGGCCGCCTGTTCGTTGCAGAGAGGGAAAGCATCAACGAGGCGATGAAGCAGTGTGGATACATGCCCGGCCAATCACGCCAGTCCAGCCCTTCAAGGCAATTGCACACCAGCAATAGCGAGAGCACGGCCGGCGGTGGTAGCACGACAACTGCAACGGGAACGACGGCTGCCACAACGGCGGTCACTGATGCTTCCTCGTCAGGGCAGAGTGATCGCATCACCAACTTGATGCGGCACCGCAAGGTGATTACGGACAACCTGACGAAATGCACCGTCTGGCTGCGCACTTTGAGCCACTACTGGGCAGGCGCTTCCTGGCCTGCGAGGGCTCTCGAGCAGGAAGCGGCGGGCGCGTCGGGCAGCGATGTGATACCGGACGCGGATGATGAGGATGCAATGCAGGCACCACTGAGAGACATGGAGCTCCTCAGTGCATGGGCGAAGGATAAGCTTAAGCAAGCCAAAGTCAGGATGGCCTCTAGGAGAGGGAGCGCGGCTACTCTTGCGGGAGCGGCGGGCGGTACTGCGGGCGGTGCTGCTGCTGGAGAGACGTCGTTGACTGCTGTGACGAGTGGCCTGCGGAACTCAATGGGCAGCCCTGGCGCGGCGACAAGTATTGCGAGCTTGCTTGCGGCCGCCAATGCCGCTCAGCAACAGCAGCAGCATCCGCAAGCAGCGCATCATCAACAGCACGAGGGTATTCTGGACTCAGCCTCAGCCTCTGCCTCCGGCTCAAGCGGTGACAATCCTCTAGGTCTCGCTCTCTCCGGCCAGCTTTCCACCTCTGTCGAGATTGACATCCGCGCTCTGGTCGATATGTGGGCTGCGGAGCAAGAGCGCGTGCAGTCCTCCTCTGGACCTGGTGCGAATGGCAATGGCATGGGAGGCGGAGGAGGTCACGGCACCGCGTCGAATGGCGCAAGCACACCGTACGGTAAGATGTGGACTGCTGCTACACCTGGGCCATTCGATGGTTACCAGCAGCAGCAGCACGGCCAGCACGGAGCGCACCAGCAGCACTACGCCGCAACTCCCGGCCACCATCAGTCGTCCTACGGCCAGCATCCCTCCCATCCCTCTATCTCATCATCATCAGCGCACGCGCCTCCGCATCCTCAATCTCACCAAGCTCAACAACACCATGCTCAGCAGGCTGGCCTCAACCCTTCGTCAGGCCATACCGGTCCACCACCCACGATGGACTTCTCCGCCCTCCAGCTCGAGGAGCTCCTCTCTGCCGACCTGTCCACCACTACCATGGGCGGTACGGACGAAAGTGTCTTCCCGCTTCTGCCACTTGATCTCTCAAGCTTGGATGACTTTGTCGGTGGGCTCGGCGCTGGTGGAACAGCGAGCGGGCAAACGCCGAGCAATGCAGCGAGTGGCGGAGACGCGGCTGCGGGGCACGGGCAACATCCAAATCAGCAGGCTCACCAGGGAGGGGCGGGCTTTGGCGCTCCTGGGCATGGGTACATGCCTGTTGACACCAACGGTAGCAACGGCGGCAACGGCTTCCTGCCTCATGGCATCAGTTCGGCCCTCTTTGGCTTCCACTGAAGAGCGAACGCAGACGAGTAGCGCGTCGAGGTTCATAATGTTGAAAGTGCTGTATCATATCGTGCTTGCTTAGCTGCTTGCCCACTTGTCTGCTTGCTTGGCGTCTTTCGATCATTCTTCTTCTCTGATTCTATCTGTCAATATCTCCTGAGCACTCTAATTCAGCAGGCTCGCCTTTCATCACAGCGTGACAAAAAACGAACGACGAGCTCCGTTGCATGGCGGGCTCATTGCCTCTCGGCTGCGGCGCGTCCTCTCATCTCTGGCTGATGGCTGCCCTCAGCCGGCGGTGGCGGTCCAGACTGGGACATCTCGTTCACTCCTGGCTGCTCCTGCTCATCCCTCTCCACCTCTTCATCAGTCAGCTCCTCCTCCTCCGCAATGCCCGCATGCACCCCTCCCAATCCCTTGCGCTTAGGCCAGTGCCAACCATCGCTCCACGTTGTCTCCCTGCGCACTGGAAGCAGGACAGGAAGCCAAGCACGAAGCTTTGCGATCCTCCCTACTCCTGTTGCTGTCGACGGTTCTCCTCCTCCTCGTCGTCTTGCCCCTCCCCTCTCTGTTCGTGGCAGCGCGACGCTCCCCCAATTGCGCCAATTCTCCCACTTGTTGCCCATACTATACACATTCGCAAATTTGACGCCGCGCCTCTTCGCCAGTCCCTCGTACAGACTCGAGCGGTCTGATGCTTCTACATTCGTCTCTCCCTTGCCCAGCATGAGAAGATGCGAGACGCCCATGACGCAGAGCGCAAAACCCATCACGCCGCAGAGGATGTACGTGATGAGGACGAAGCCCCGTGGTACCACGTTCGTCCCTCCAAAGCTGACCAAGAGGCGTGGGGTGGCGTCGTAAGCCCTGAGTAATTTGGCCGCCGCAATGAACTCTCTGGTCCCACAGGCGAGGACGATTGCCATCCCGAGAGTGAGAGAGAAGAGGAACATAAGGAAATGTCGCTCGTTGTAAAGTCCCACGCACTGGTTGAGCCAGGGGCAGTGGTGGTCGTACTTTATCACACAGATCTTGCAGACAGAGCAATGGTGCGTCCGTTCTGGCTTTGGGGGTGGGACGAGCGTGTACGCTTGGGAGGGAGGGAGCCATGTGAGGATAGACCGGCGGAGCGGGAGGAGCAGGCTATCCTCTTCGGCGGCAGTGAGGTGGAGGAAGCGGTTGCGCTTGGTAATAGAGGGAGAGGAGGAAGATGAGGGGATAAGCTTCTCCCGCTCATCCTCTTCTGTATCATCCTCATCGTCTGCGCGTGGAGAAGCGGCCCTCGAGCGTAATGACGAGCCAGCTTCTTCATGCAGCAAACCTGTCATCGCCGCAGACGAAACTGCCTGCTCTCCCTCAACGCCCGCTTTTGTCCTCTTGTTACGTTCCACCTCCCTCAACTCCGGCGGCAGATATGCCAAGGCCTTCCAGAGCGGAATCTGAGAGCATTTGAAGCACATCTTGACTCTCGGCCAATGATCGTCGTCGTTGTCGTCTCCAGCCTCTCCATTTCTACCGTCTCTACCCTCTCTCCGCATTTGTGGTAGCCTCTCCCTCGGAATGGTTCCATCGTCGACCCATTGACTCCTCCGTCTGGCCTCGGCCGCATACTGCCTCCATCTCGCATCAATGGCCGCAATGTCGTCGCCCGCGAGTCGGCAGGACTCGAGCGCGAAGGAGGCGACGAAGCCCGGTGGGGTGCGACAGGCTGTATAGTAGAACCAAGCGATGGTATGCATGATGCTGAGGCACGTGAGGAGGGCCAGAGGGAAGATCAGGAAGCTGAGGGAGAGGGATGGTGAACGAGGTGGGAAGGCCGAGGGGAGGAAGAGGAGGACTGGGGGAAGCGAGAAGGGTCAGGATTAGTTTGGCTATCGTAGTGGGTCAAAGAGGCGCCGAGAAAGCTCACAGAAGGTCCAAGCACCGATGGAGACGAGGACAATGCAGAGCGTGACGAAGATGGGGCCGGCGCTCCCCATCAACCAGTCTGCCGCTCGCTCAACAGCTCGAAAGGAGCGGTTGACCCACTGGTCCAACCTGGGCACTCTCGGGCAGAAGCCAGCGCTGCCATTGCCCTTGGAAAAAGCCCCTTTGACGACGTCTCGACAGTTGACGTCGACGTCGGTAGCCATCCCGACACAGGAGAGAGGGAAAGGGAGCAGAAGGAGATAGAAGAGGATAAGGAAATGAGGAAAGCTGAGAGTCGCGCTCGCAGTCCGCCTTCACAGCCCGACGCACAGGCCAACGGCTCACGCTCGCGCGACACAAAACACATTCAACCCTCATCATTGGCCGAGCTCATTCGAGAGAAATTGCATTGTCCTTCCGACGATAATCAACATACAGTAGATACAGTCCAATGTCCACACAGCCTGTTCACGCGCCGACTAGCTTCTTGAGGGTGTCAAATTGGGGAGTCCCGTACCCAACGGCAGGGTCCCATCCCTCCAAAGCCGGGAAACCGTCTGTACCGCAGCCCGTAGCAGATCCTTGTGTAATATCATTGAAACCTTTGCCCTCCAGGCCATAGATTAGAGGGTTCAAGAAGCCCAGCTGCGGCTTGCCCGCCTTGAACCTCGCGTCGTTCAAGAGGGCAACGATGCTAGCAAAGAGGGGCGTAGAGGCTGAAGTGCCAGAAACGGCGCCGAATTTGCCCTTGACCGCAATCTTGAAGCGCGATCCCTGAGCTGCGATATCGGGGTAAGCACGCCCGGTGTGGTTGTACAGGTTGGCGTGCTTGTTGCCGATCTTGGCAAGGTAGCCTGCAACGGCCTTCTTCTGGTAGTCGGGGCGAGGAAAGTAGTTGGAGAAGCCAGAGCCAGAGATGATGAATGATGCCTCCTTCGTGGTCACGACTTCAGGGTCGAAGCGCATGGTTGCGCCGACCGAGGTGACCCAAGGGCAAGTCGAAGGGAAAGTCGGCAAGAACATCGTCGTGTTCTTACCATCGTTGCTCTTGCACACTGAAGCAGTGTCACCGACACCGTTGTCACCGGAGGCGTACAGCATCGAGACACCACGGGCCGTCAATCCAGCAATATCTGAGCAGATGCGCTTGGCATACTCGAGCGGGACCGTCTGCTCATCGTCTCCATACGAGGTGGAGAGAACGGAGGGCAGCTTCTTGAGGCCAATAAGATAGTTCAGCTCGTCCTCGTAGGGCTCGTTGGTGTTGGTTGGGGTGAACGCGTCGGCCTTGAAAGGAGGACGACCGGCAGTCGAGTAGTAAGTTGAGTTGATAGGGTAAGCAATACCTGCGACCGTCTGGACGTCCAAGCTTGCCTCTCCTCCGGGCTTGCTCTGGTCGTTCAGGCCACCATTGATGGAGACTTCAGAGAACTTGTAGCCTTTGGCATCGGGTCGCTGGTCTGCCTCGTACTGAGCAAGGTCATCGTAGTTGGCGTACTCTTCGAGGAAGCCGCTAATGCCGATGAACTGGCCCTTGCCTGAGGGCTTGTAGTCCGCTGTGCCGTAGAGGTCACGCAGGCATTGCGCCGTGACCAGGTTGAACTGGCAGGACGAGGGCGCAGCGCTGCTAGCCTGGCCATTCTCGGCTGCAAAGGAGGACAAGCGGCTCTCGCCGACCTCGAGGTCATCATCCATGACCATCTTGTACGGGGCACGGAAGGAAGCGCCGCGCGCGAAGTTGGCAAGACCAAAGACGGCGTCAATGTGAGGAGCGACTTCGCGGGGCAGGGAGTAGCTCGTGGCAGTGAAGCGCTCTTCGCCCGAGTCGCGGTGCTGGAAGTAGGCAAAGTCGGCGTCGCCGAGCATGGCGCGCGCCTGAGCTAGAGGGACAGAGAAGCTGATCGAGTTGCCCATATCGCTGCGCTTGGTAACGTGAGACTCTTCGACGCCATGAGCCTGCAGCCATCGCGAGACGATGCTGCGCGTCTCTGCGGAGGGCGAGAAGTACTCGGCGACATCGTCTGCGGAGAGCCACTTGCCGTAGTCCGCGTGGTCAGGGTCTGAGATCTGCTGAAGACGAGCCTCGAGGCCAAGTTGGTCCCTCTTGGCGAGACCGAGGTGAAGGTGGACGACTTCGTTGCCCGTGGCTGGTGCGCGCTTGGCCCAGCCGGCGGGAATGGCGATGCTGTCCTTGCGAATGAAGGATGAGGGAGCGTATGGGCTGCTGCTAGGTGCGGCAAGGGCGAGTGAGGCCAGCAGCAGGGGAAGGAGCGTGACGAGGAGTGGCAATCTCATGATGACGTGAGGCAAAGCAGAGCAGAGCAGTCAGTGAGAGGATGAGAGAGAATAGTGATGAAGGCGAGTAGAAGGTGATCCGACACCGAGGGGTAAGTGGGCGAGAGTGGCGCCGAGGATAGGGGCAAGACGAGGTGAAGGACGCGAGGGTGCGAGGAGAAGTGAAGTGAAGTGAAGGGAGGGAGGGCGTCTGGTGTTAAGTGAAGGAGGGAACGCCAGCGTCGCCTCGTCTCAAAGATGGGTATATGAAGCAAGTGAGTATCTCTGCATCTCTGCGTTGGAGTCGCCTTTGTGCTATCGCAGGTGAGTTGTGCGTGTCATCATTTTGGCCGTTCGTCTGACCGCCCTCACCCAACCTGGCGCCTGCATGCAGAGTCCAGATTCGCTTCTGTCCGACGTGGGGGAGCCGGTGGAGAGTGGAACTTCCTTCATTCGCTTGCTTGAAAGGGGGCGCGGGCGGCGAGCTGACTCTGACTGACCATAGGAGCATTCGCTTCGCCGAGAAGCAAACCTCGGACCGAGCGAGCGAGAGATATCAAGGTACAGAGTAGGCAAGTCGGATGACGACAGCGATACGCTCGCCCTTGATGTGCTGACTCGGCGCTCTCGGCGAAGTCGACGGCAAGCAATGGCTGGCCATTAGCTCAATCTGGGTGTTGGACGGGCATCGACGTCGATGCAGGCAGGCGGTGCGCTGTGCTGTTCCACTGAGACAAGCCCATAGCTGCACGACCACGCGACCGCGAGTCAACTGACACCACGAGAAGAAGTACTCGCGGAAAAGCCGGGCAAGGCAGCCAACGCGGGGTCATTCGCAGCATCGACCCACACCCAGCCTTATCTCTTTACCTCATCCTTCCATTCTTCTGCCACCTCTCTCCTGCCTTGCTTGTTTGCTCGCCTGCCGACTCAAAAGAATGTCTGCATATGGCCGCGTAGCACCGCCGAAGCGCACCTCTGCGACGCCGCTTTCGCCGAGAGTCTACGCCTTGCCCGAGCGAGTAAGGAAGGACCCGTCTGACCCTCGAGAGGCGGTACTGTGCGTGCCCTTTGGGGAAGCCGGGCAAGGCCAGCTGCCGGAGGAGGGCGTCAAGCTGCTGAGGGGTATTTTCAATACGTGAGCTGATAATGCGATATCATAGACTTGCGGAGAACTGACTAGCTGATCGGTTGCGGTCTCGACCTGTCGCTGTGCAGCGAGCTCGAACGCGGTTTGACTTATCCTCAGGAGGAAATTATGTCGGACGATGCCTTTGCGTCGTACTTCCTTGGCTACGGTGCGTGCTGCGCGGTACGGCCGACTGTAAGGCCACCAGCAAGCTAATTGACGAGGAGACTGGCCTTCTTGCCAGACCTCATCGTGGGAATCTTCCTCCCCTCTCTGCCCGCGGGAATCAAGCCCACTGAAGCAGGAACAGATATCTCCCTAAGCGATGCCAATGTGGATGTGACGTCGCTCGACTGGAAGAAGTCATTGGCCTGCTTCTACTACGTCAAGCCAAATTATCCAGGTCGCTCGAGCCACTTGTGCAACGCTGGCTTTGTGGTGCCAGACTGGAATCGCGGGCTTGGTCTGGGTGGACTCGCGGGGAGGAGCTTCACCCACTATGGCGTCAGTAGAGGCCCGGATTCTGCAACCTCGTATCATCGTGGCCTGACCCCAGTTCCGCTCCGCCTTCTCGCTCACAGCCCACGCTAGGCTACGCAGGGTCCGTCTTCAACCTCGTCTACGCCAACAACGTCGCTTCGCTCGCAATCTGGCAACGCCTTGGCTTCACGCAGGTAGGCAAGATCCCCAATGCTGGTCGTCTGAGGATAGCTGGCGCGAAGGAGGGGGAGCCGCAGGAGGCATTCTATGATGCGTGGATGTGAGTAGGCGCGAGAGTGAGACGACCGCCTCACAGACGACCGACTGACCTATTCACGATGCTCCTCGACCCGCAGTATCCATTGCAACTTCGCTGAACGCCAAGCGAAGGAAGAGGCGGCCAAGAAGGAGGTAGCTTAGAGCACAGATGGCTCACCCCAGCATGCCAGCATTGCCTCTCGTTCAGCATCCAGCATTCCTTCTGCACTTGAGACGTGGCGCCATCGTGGCAATTGGTCAGCTGTCAATCTATTCATCGCTCAGCAATGTACATCAAAGAACCGCACAGTGTAAGAGGCCATAGAACTGTCTGCCTCCCCCTTCTCTACGACAGATCAAACCCAGCTCCCGACCTCACAGCAGTCAAGACCTTCTCCCTGCAAAGCTCGAAACTCCCGTACCGCGGCAGCTTCAGCAAGTTGACACAAGTGGAGCTTGTCGGCAGCCTTCCCTCGTCCTCTCCACTCAGCCTGATACAAAACTTCGGGTTGAGTTGCCCGAAGCCTAGTAGCGGCGGAGAAGGACACGAGGTAACGAATTTAAGCAGCGCCGCTCGTTCCTCCTGATCGAAGCTCTCGAGCGTCTGCCAGAAGTACTGGATTGCCAAGTCCTTCTCGTGGTAGTCCGAGTAGACGGTGTGCGCCTTCAAGTCATCCACGTCAATTGGCTCTTCTGAGCCACGAATGAGGCGAGAGAGCTCCTGCTGGTCGAAGATACTGAGCCAGCGCGGGTCGATGAGCTCGCTCAGCCCCGCAAAGAAGGCTGAGCTCTGCGCACGAATTTGCGCGTCGAGACGATAGTTGGCGACGAGGAAGATGTACGAGAGGCGATTCTTGTTGGTGACCGCCATGTTCCCTCCACCCGGCACAAGCTCCGTGACTTTACGTTGCCCGAACTCTTCGTCCGTCACCGTGAAGTTGAGGGATAGATCGGACTCCACGTCGCCTGCATAATTCTTGAGGTAGATCAGACCACGGTAGAGCTCGGAGTCGAAGGAGTCGAGCGAGGCAAGATCGTCCAGGTGGGTCAAGCCGCGTCGAGCTCCCAGCCACTTGCTTAGGAAGAAAGATGCAAAGCGCACGTCGACCAAGATCCCCTCATACAATGCTTTGCCCAGTACTCGACCGAGGAAGGAGTACCACTGCAGCTGCTCCGTCTGCCTGGCGTACGAGGCAGGATTGGGATAAAGCTCTTGCTGTTCAGTTGCGCGCCAGAGCCCGCGGTCCGTATCGAATGCTTCGCGGACGAGGCTGGTCAAAAATTCCTTGAAGACTCCACCACCATCGATGCCCGCCTCTTCCATCCCCCACTGGTCCATGAAGACGATCTCCACGCTCTCCTTCAGCTTCGAACCCAAGCCGTTGAGCTGCGCCATTCCGTCTTCAGCAACATGATCGCGGCGCACTGTAACGCGGCGGCGGTGATGGTGAAAGCTGTTGATGCTGCTTCTGTCGAGTCGAAGACGAACCGCATCCCGGTAAATGAAGGCGCGGAAGATTTGAATGCGCGTAGCAAAGGGGATGACAAAGGGAAGATTGTTGAGGATGCCCAGCCGAGGAGAAATAAAAGCCATCTTGCGGGCTGAGATAAACTTGCGCGAGGAGGCGCGGGCGGTCGTGGAACGCGGCATGGTGGCTTCCAGGGGAGCCATCTCCTCGTCGAAGAGGTCGTCGCCGTCAGCAGACGCGAGCGCAGCATTGGAGCTGCTCTGTGTGTTGGACTCTCTCTCCGCCTGCTCCTCAGCCAGCTTCTCCTCCTCAAGCATCACGCTCTCGATGAAGCTCTCCATGTCCATCTCGTCAGTCATAAGCCAGAAATCCTCCTTAGTGAAACGATGGCGTGCGTCGCGGGCATGAATCTGCTGGAGCAGTCGGGTTGCGAGGTCTCGCAACGCCGCAAAGGAGTAGCGCAGGCCGGGCACGTGCTGCGACGACTCAACGCTGCGTGGACCAACAGCAGCTACGTCTTGATGCCAGTACAGGGTGAAGGCGAGATTGCGGACGAGGGCAATGAGGCTGCTGACCTCGTCCATCGTGAGAGGATTGCGAGCTGCGATTGCCGTTCCCGACGCGGATGCCCCGCCACTGGTGGCTGAGCTGGGCGTTGCAGTGCCTCCTTGCCGTGAAGGGAAGAACTCGTCGTCACCAAGCGTGAGCAGCAAGCGCGAGTAAAGCTCTGCCAACAGCACTAGCGGCGCCCAGCCATCCACTGGTTTGCGGAAGAGGCTAGCATCTGCATTGCTGGCCGAGATGGAACCCAGTCGTCTTGCAAGAGGAGAGCTGCGCGTGTAACCTCGCCAGAGCTCGCGAATCGGGCCTTGTCCTGCCGCAGCAGAGGCAGAAGCTGCGTTGCTACTGGCAGGCGCGGCTGTTGACTCACTTGTTCCATACAAGACCGCATTGAGCGTAGCCGTTTTGATGTCGCTGGGCCAGGCAGCAAGAATTGAGCAGAGGAAGGAGTAGAGTGCTGGTCGCGTGGTCGATGGGAAGCGGTTTGACAGATTCAAGATGGCGGTGAGATGCTTGACCGAGGGCAGAATGGCGAGGCGTTTCTTTGTCTCGGCGTTGATTTCTCCCGTAGCTTCGGGCGCGAACGCTGCGGGGTCGACGTGGTCCTGCAGACCTGTGAGAGCGCCGAGATAGTCGTTGAGGCTCTTGCCCGTCTTCAAGAGGGGGACCCGTTGGCTGCCCAGAGCCAAGAAGTTGGCAAGTGTATGGACTGCTGCGAAAGCGGTCTCCGGCTGCGTCGCGTCCGAAAACGCTACACCTTGTGAGTTGAGACTGGCAGCCATCTCCTCGAGGGGAAAGCTGGCTGCAAGCTTGGCGAAGAGAAGCACGGGGAGGCGATTCGGTAGGGACGGGATGCTGAGAATGCTACGGGTGAAGAGCGAGACGATCGAGCGGCGTGGCTCGTCCGTTGTCGGGCCCGCTGGTATGAGTACAAAGGGAGCGAGAACTAGAGCGACGGCCTGCTCTGCAATGGAGGCGGGGCCTTTGCGGTTGGTCGGCAAGTTCTGAAGGACAGCAGCCAAGACGCGATACGGGTCACTCTCGAGGATTTGCCGTGCCAGAGACTGCTGCGCGGGCATGCTTGAAGGGCTGAGAACTGCACCAAGCAGCCTCAAGTAGGCGGACTGCTCCTCAAAGCCGACATGCTGTGCTTGATGAATAAGACGCTGACCCATCTGCCCGATAATAGTCTTGGCGTGCGTGGCGAACTCGATGGATGAGGCAGCGAGGGTGGTCGAGAAGACGGTCTGCGATGCAGCTTGCGAGGAGGATGTCTGCGCCGGCTGTTCTGACATCTTACTGCACCATTGCTTGACCAGATTTTCGTCCACCGAAGCCCATTTGGAACGCACTCGCGAAGTTGCGAAGCCTTTGCCCAGGACAGCAGAGAGATAGCGACTCGCCACCAACAAGTCGCCTACACTGAGAGCTTCTACAAATGCTTCTCTCCTCTGCTGCCGTACATCTGCTCTGGCCTGGCTACCTCTCCAGTGGCTCTGAATGCGAGTCGCTGACTGTTGGTGTCTGCGCAGGGCATCTCTTGCCTGTCGAGATGATCTAGCTTGAGCAGCAAGCTGCGAAGAGGACGAGGGGCCTGCGAGGGCTCCACCGAGGTTGATGTTCCTCTGTCGGGCTATTGAGCCGCTGAAAAGGGGGTCCATCGCGCCAGAGAGTGGAGCGGCGGCGATGGCGATGTCTCGTAAGATTGAGGATGATGAAGGTTGAGAAGGTTGTAGGTCGAAGGTGTTGAGAAAGGTCAAGCTCAGTCGGTGAGGAGGCCGCATCTGACGCGGCCTCGCATTCAGCCACCAAGGACGAGCCAGTCGATGAGCCAGTTCCGCCCTGGCGCTCAAAAGTGGAGTGCGAGTCGATGCGGGCGGGCCGAGGGGGACAAAGTCGAAAGCCACAGCGGTGGTGGTTGGGGAACTCTACTACCACCAGTCATCCACACCTGCTTCACTTCATTTCATCTCCTCAAGGCCGAAAGGGCCAGATGCGGCCCTGATCTCGCTTCTCCTTCCTTCATCCCATCTCCTTGCCTGCCATGTCATACAAGGCGGCGACTGGCGCAGGTCCTTCGCTCCCCTCTCGAATAATAGACGCCTACTCAACCCACACCTCACTGCACGACTCGATCCGTCCACTCCTCGACGTCGTCCGCCTACAAGAGCAGACGCAAAACGATTTGTACGCGCAAAAAGGCCGGCTGACATCAAAGCGCACAACATGGAATCGCATAGAAGGTCGCTTCGCAGATGGCGAGGCCGCTCGGGATGCGCTTCACCCTGGAGTCGGCACCAGGCTCGGGGCCAAGCTAGTTGCCAAGAGAAGGCGCAAGCTCGAGGCCGCTGCAGCGCTTTGGAGAGAGAGGTATCGGGAAAGGGACGAATTAGAGGCTGAGATCGTGGAGATGGAGAAAGAAGTCAGGCTGACGGAAGAGAGGTTGACGGAGATAGAGAGGGCGAATGAAAGGTTGCTCGTGCTCGAAAAGGAGCTTGATACCCTCGACGAGAGCCTCTTCAGTGGACCGACGGAGGGCTGCTCTGCGGAAGATCAAGGGGAGCACTCTGTCCTCGTAGCAAGGGAGACGCGAAGATTTGTGCGTCCAGCGGTGCACCCTTCGCTTGCCGTCCTCACTTAGCTAACAATGTTTCCCTCTCTTTCCCCCTTCCCTTCTTCACAGCTCTCAGCAGAGAATGAGCGAGAGCGACGCTCACGGGACAAGCTACATGCCTCTCTTCCATCGTTCGAGTCTGTCCTCTCACACCTCCGCCAAGCCCTCGCCGTGACCCTTGAAGCGGGCGTACCCACAAACACCAAATACACTCGTCAACTCTTCGTCAATGGCAGCCCGAACATCGTTGCGCGGCGGGTGAGCACACTGGTGCTTTCGGCCAAGACGGCCAGCGGCAAGGGGACGACATTTTTCGCTGAGGCGAGGGGCAGCCAGTTGCTGGTCAGGCGACTGCCCGTGCTCAAGTTGATGGATCTGAACCGCTTGCCCGTGGGAGGACCCACGGCTACTTCTGTTGCTCCTGCTTCAGTAGCTGCAGTGGAGCCCATGAGCGAGGCGAGCATGCATGGCTCCCTTGAGACCTCGTATGCGCAGGCGCAAGCACAACTGGCGCATGTGAGAAGAGAAATCAGACGGAGCAAGATGAGGAGCGAGTTCTTCCGCGAGAAGATTGAGGCGCTTCAGCTCGAGGAGAGGCGAGCATGGCTTGGCTTGAGGCAGCTGCGTAGGGACATCGTCGTAGGTGTGGCCCGGGAGGGCAAGAGCCTAGAGGAGGCGGCAGTGGCTGCGGCTGCAAGGCAGGGTGGGGCGCTAGGCACTGAAGAGGATTATGATGACGAGGCAACCTTGGCGGGCGATGCAGAGGAGGAGATCAGGAGAGCGACGGCGACGATATACCTCGACGATCCCGTCGACGACGATGCTAGCGGCGGCAGTGACACAACCCCAGCCCGCGAGCAAGATGGCTCGAAGCTCGTCGTCCCTCCGCCATTGGGTCGCACAGATTCTGCCGCCACATCAAATGAAAGCGACGCAGGCGAGGGCTTCTCGTATATCCGCAATCCTCACCTCGGGACTGGCAATATGACAGCAGACGATGGAGCTCTGCAGCTGCTCAACCCGAAGGCAATCACCGCCAAAAGTACCAAAGCGCTGCGTCGCACCTTGCGCGCGTGCGTGCGCGATACCAATCGCAAGGATGGCGCCAATTCGACGGACGACCTGCCCACTTTTTGGGACATGTCGTAGCGCGCGCGCAGCCTCAAATTTATATCCAGTATCACGTTGTTGGACCTGTACATACCGCATCGCAATGCAATGCATTTCATCCATGCCATGTCATTGAGCATCGGTCGATGGGTCGCGTGCCACGGGTGCCACGGCCACAGTTGACCCGAGGTCGGAGTGGAGGAGGCCCGAGCAGAGCGCCGCGTCCTTGTCGTCCTTCTCGCCGTTTCTCCCTCCGTCTGGGCATTGCACACTCGAATCGCGTCTGCGCTCCCTTCCTTCCGCATCAACCACTACCTCCATCGTCACTGAATCCAACGCCAACATTCCGCCCTTCAAGAGAAAAGCATCCTTCTCTTCTTCATCTGGCAAAGCCAACAATACCCGCACCAAGCCCAACAGCAGCAAGGCATCACGAGCATCTGCGAAGATGGGAAAGGACTACTACAAGGTGAGTCTGTCCAGGATGGCAGCATCATGCATTCAGCTCATGGCGAACCCCTCTTGCTGACCTCGCGCTCTATTGCATCCATGCCGCTAGATCCTTGGCGTCAGCAAAGACTGCACAGACGATGACCTCAAGAAGGCCTACAAGAAGGCAGCGCTCAAGCACCATCCCGACAGGAATAAGGACAAGGGCGAGGAAGCGCACAAGAAGTTTCAAGAAGTAGGCGAGGCATTTGAAGTTCTCAGCGACAAGAACAAGCGAGCCGTCTATGACAATTATGGTGAGGAGGGGCTCAAGGGAGGGGCGGGCGGACCGCCACGTGGAGCTGGAGGGATGGGAGGTATGGGCGGGATGCCAGGGATGGGTGGATTCCCTGGTGGCGGGGGAGCGTCATTCAGCTTCAGCCCGTCAGACCCCAACGATATCTTTGCAAGCATCTTTGGCGCCATGGGCGGTGGAGGGGCAGGCGGCAGCCCCTTCGGCAGCATGGGCGGAGGCGGTGGTGACCCCTTCAGCAGTGGAACGCGCACGAGGAGGGGTGGCGGAGGAAGCTCCGGCATGGGAGGAATGCCCGGCATGGGAGGAATGGGAGGAATGGGTGGCATGCCTGGCGGATTTGGTGGTATGGGCGGTAGTAGTCCCTTCGGCGGAGGAGGCATGGACTTCGATATGGGTGGTGGACCCAGCTCTAGCTCGTCAGCCGCTCCAGAGAAGAAAGACTTCGAGCGTCCCCTCCCTGTCTCACTAGAAGACCTGTACAAGGGGGCAAAGAAGAAGCTCAAGATCGGCCGACGCACACTCAGCGGTAGGCAGGAGGAGAACATCCTTGAAGTCGACGTCAAGCCTGGATGGAAGGCAGGGACCAAGGTACGCTACGCGGGCAAGGGCAACGAACTGCCCTCTGGGGCGTCGCAGGATGTTGTCTTCATCATCGAGGAGAAGTCGCATGACCGCTACACAAGGGACGGAGACAATCTGAAGGTCAAAATGCCGCTACCGCTGGCCGATGCGCTCGACCCACCCGCTGCGGGAACCAAACGCCAACTTTCTACACTGGATGGGAGGAGCATCGCCCTCCCCTTGCCGACACCGATGCCGGGTCGCACCACGATTGACAATGGGCGCACGACCCGCGTCGCAGGGGAGGGTATGCCCATCTCGAAGACGCCGGGCAGGAAGGGAGATCTCATTGTTGAGTGGACGGTTGAAGTTCCACAGAGGTTGACCGAGCAGCAGAGGAAGGCAGTCAGGGCCGCGCTCGCCGGTTGAGTGGGAGACGAGATGAGCAGAAGGAAGCAGAGCAATATCACCATGTCCCGAACTCTTGAATTACCAATGTCACCTTCTGAACTCCTAAAAGACTATTCTCACGCTCTTGATGATTGAGAGTATCGATTGAATGCATTGCTGCCTGCCATTGCGCTCAAAGTGGTATCGTGGTTCCTGCGTTCAATCCTCCTCCCCCTCTTCAAACAAGGCCCCCCTCTCTCCCTCGAGCGGTTGACCATAATCATCTACACCCAACCTCTTCTGCCTCGCCTTCCAGCAGAGACACAGCACAAGAAGCGCAGCTTGCAGCACACCCGTACAGACGTACGCTGCCAGTGAGGTCCACTCTATCCCGGGCCGGACAGCGAGGGAGTAGACGAAGAGTGCTGAGCCTGGCACTTGGAGGCACATCCTGGCGAGGGAGAGGTCAAAAAGGGTAGTCAGGTCAGCTGAGCGCGTGTGAGGATATTATCGAGCGAGAAGCTCGTGCTCACATTGGAATAGACAGACTGCCAACGGTCCTCTGCTTGGCCGTGTGCACGATCTGGGGGACGTACTGCGCCGCCGCGAGCAGCGTTCCCGTGATACCCAGGAAGGCTGCCCACCTGGACACGAGGAGCCTCGATGACGACCCAAAGGGAGCCGCGGCCATCTCGTGACCCCACTGCCAGCCATGCGGCGGAGTCGTAGGCGGGGGAAGCGGTATAGTCGGCCCAGGCTCGTCTGGACCCGGAGGCTTGGGAAAGGCAGAGTCCGGGAGTGATGAGACGAGCAACAGGGTGACGAGTGTGATGAAGAGGAAGTGGATGGCAACGATCCATGCCAGAGCGATTGCGAGGGACCATTCGGGGGTTTTGTGCTTGATCTTGCGTACTCGATTGCCTGGCCTGCGCTTCCTGCTGCGGAGAGCTCGAGGCGCCGATGTGAGGAGAGCTGACCTGTCGGAGGGTCGATGTGGTGCTGAGAGGAGGCCTGGGGCGAGGCCGGCTGGCTTGGCTGATGAATGCCCTGCATTGCTTGAGAGCCAGGAGGGCCAGAGAGAGCGTGACGTCGCGGTTGAGGATGCTGCTGCGCTGCTGTCTGCTGGTTTGGATGTGCTGTTCGCTGCGGCGGCAGAGGTGGAAGCTGCGGGATGACCGCTGTTGGTGCTGCCACTACCATTGAACGTCGAATAGTTGGCCGCAATGTGAGAGCCAACCGAATCGATGTCACCGATCGACGAGCCATCATCGCTATCCCCATCCTCGTCGTCTGATCCGTCTTCCTCGTCTCCTGCAGCAACAAGCCCAGCTGCTCTTCCCCTGGCAACAGCGACAACCTTCTCATAGCGAAGCTCCTTCGGGTAATAGATGATGAAGAGGACAAAGCTGCGGCGAGGCGAGCGGAGGAGCGGGTGAGGAGTAGTTGTCAGCCACCAGCATCAGGCCGCTCCGTCTCTCCCATCCTGGTGCTGCCGACTCACATCATGACGAACATAGCCCACTGCAATCCCACCTGTACCACCCCCAGCAAGCCTTCGGCACATTGCCCCGCAGTCAAGACCTTACAGCACCTCACACTGCCCCACTGCAGAGCCACGACGTTCAGGAAGGTACTCGCCGAGCTCGTGGCACCCAGCAGTAGGAACCATGGGCTGAATCCCAGTGACGAGCGTCGCGCGATGATACGGTATAGTTGCGGCAGGTACGAGATGACTAGGCCTAAGCAGAGGAATAGCCCGAGCGAGAGGACCAGAGGATCGTGATGTGGGGTGCAGCTTGTGGGGTCCGGGCCGGACGAGGTGGAGGATAACGAGGGCAGCAGCAGCATCATCATGGTGACGACGTGGTCTCAAGCGGACCGAGCCAGATGTCGTGTGCTGCGAGGATGAGGCTGCTACGATGCTTGTTAGCGTGGGTTCAGAGAAAAGGAGCGGTACAGAGGCGAGGCAAGAAAGGAGCAATGACCAACGATGAGCCGCGCTTCAACCTCAATCTCGATTCTCGATGCACTCCACTGCAGCGCTGACGTCCAAAGAGTCGAGGGCTCAGTCCGCCCGCCGGCTGCGAAGTGTTGCTTTTTCCACTGTTGGGCTCCAGGGCCAGAGGCAAAAGGAAAGGGACGTGCACGCACGGCGAGAGGCGCAGCCTTCACGCACCCCGGACGGCAGTTGCAACGAAGTTGAATTATTCAACGAGATCCAAGCTACTTCCTTTAACGCCTCAGCAGCCCTCAGATGGCTACTCACCGCCTGCTCACCGTCTGCTCATCACCTCGCTCACGCAGCGCTCGCCGGCTGGGCCTGCTGCTGCTGAGTGGCTTCCGCGTTCTCTCCTCCGTCCTCCTCTCCTGGCCAGTCATTCGGGCTCAAGAAGGCACAGATGACCAGTCGCCCACCGAATTGACGGCCAGCAATAGCCTTCAACGCCGACTCGCACTGCGAAGTCTCAGCAAAGCGCACGTACACGCGCCCGACACCCTCGCGCTCCTTGCCTGCCTCCTCTGCCGGTGGGGGAGCGCTCGTGATCGAAGCTTTCCATGCCTGGGCCGATGAACCTGTCGAGCGAGCAGAGGAACAGAAGGGTCAGTCGATGCGCTCAGGGTCCGTTCTCCTCTCTCCTCCCTCTGCTCACCCTTGCTCTGTGCCACAGGCCTCGGAATCCTGACATCTAACACCTCGCCGTACTTCGCGCACTCGTCCCTCACGTCCTCCACGATCTCTCCATACTCTACATCGTCCACCAGCTCCTCCGGCGTTACCATATTCAGCATAGTCATGCAAGCCGTCGGCTCGCCACCACCTTCTCCAGCGGTCGGAAGAGCAAAGGATCGCACACCGAGAGCGCCAGCGTTTGCGCCCGTCATGCCGCCCGTGGACTGGCCGGTGCCTCGTTGACCTGATTGGGCGGGCTGGACGACGAGCTTGCGGTCACCGAGCTCCATATCGTTCAGACCTTGGCAGGCTAGGTCCGTCAGGCTTGGATCGACGTACTCGCAGAAGGCAAAGCCTGCGCACAGAGGGGAGGGGAGTCAGTCGTCAGGTCAGGTTTGGATCTTGGTGCCCTCGTCCGTCCGCTCGTTCTCCACTTACCCTTGGATGGGCCATTGTTTGCCTCTCTGACGAGATTGAAAGCCCTCAATTCTCCGAAGGCCTTCAACAGCTCGATGACCTGATCTTCATTCAGATACGTAGGCAAGCCTCCAACGTAAATCTTGTTTGGTCCATCAGGGACATTAGTGCTGATCACTCCCGGCACATGCAAGCTGGGAGGCGGGCCGACATCCGGCCCTGCGTAGTCCTTTGGCCGGCGGATCTTGAGCGCTTGACCATTATAGATGACTCCGTCGAAGCTCATGGCATTTGTAGCCTCCTCCGGGCAGCGAAACTCGACGAACGCATAGCCCTTTTCGCTATTGACTTGCGTGGATACGCAGGGTTCTCCCTGGTCAGAGAGTTGGAAGTTCATTTGGCGCATACGCTCGTTCCAGAATTGGGCAAAGGAAGCTTCTGTGACGCCGTAGGGGAGGTTCCCTACGTAGAGGCGACGTGATTGACGGTTGGAGCTAGACATGCCCGAGCCTACTTGTGGTACTGAAGATGAGGCGCCGGCTACACCCATGGCGAGTGCTTCTGCCCCACCGAAGCGGATGGGGGGAAGGTCGCCGTGTCCCCCAACCCCGTGCCCGCCAGTGTGCGGGATGTTCGACTGGCCCTGAACGCCTAGCGTCCTCGACTGTCCCGGGATTCCAAACAGCCCAGTGGACTTGGCCTCCATCGCACTGATGTTCTCAAAGCCTTGTGCTGTGATGCCCCACTTGGAGTTCTTGCGCTTGCGCTCGCTGATCGGGCGAGTTCCCTCGGGTGTCGGGCTGCGCATGCGAGCAGGGGAGGGCTCTGCTGCGGTTCGCCAGTCCCCACCACCGCTACCTCGTCCTCTGCTGCCGCCACGCCCTCCATCTCCGTACGCATCGTAGTGACGGCCTCCGTGCCCTGCCCCGTACCCGCCTGCATATCCGCCGTACCCGTTGTACGGATCGTCGTACCGCCTTCGAGAGGCGTAAGGGTCGTCCTGTTCAGGGTAATAGCCACGTCCTGCTCCTCTATGGTAGTAGTCTTCTGCCGCTGGAGGATCGTCTCGCCTGCGCCGCGAGCTCTTGCTGCTACTGTAGTAGTCGTCATCTTCATCATCCCTGGCACGGCGGCGACGGCTGCTGCGATCTCGATCGTCATCGATGCGATGGCGGTCTACATCCGGGTCGTCTCGGTAGGAGCGGCGGGAGCTGCGGTCTAGAGCAGCAAAGTAGGGAGCGGGTGTCAGCGTGGATGCACAGCATGCAGCGAACGGCGGTCTGAGGAGCTCACCTCGATCATAGTCTCGATCCCCGCCGTCACGCCTGGACGAACGGGTCGAGCCTCCTCTTGCGTCCCGCTCGATTGAGCTGAGAAAAGCGTCCGTCTGTCGCTCTGATGATGACATGGCGGCGAAAATTCAGAAAGAGGTGGATGGAATGAAGAGGGAGGTAGGAGGGAGCGAACACAAAACGCGGGCTGCAACAGGAAGGAAGCTGGATCCGACTGACGGGAAGCGGGTGAGCGTCGAGATCGCGACTCCAAATTCGGCACCGACTGACGCCTTGCTTCCTCACTCTCGTCTACACTCACGATGGCACAACGTAAGATAGGCAGAATGCTAGCTGAGATTGAATCAATGAAACAGCGAGGAAAGACGTGAGAACTACGAGACCCACAAGAACAAGATACAAGACCGATGGAGAGGACAGGAGAGTAGAGGAGAAAAGACCGTGAGATGGCAATGGGGAATGACGCGTAGCAGAGGATCAAAGGGGGATATGGATGAGTCGTCAAGAGCAGGGTGAGTCGAGGTGCTGCTCGCCCTCATCCTGAGCACATGAGGCATGCTTCCTTGTTCTCCAGCGAGCACACAAGAGTATCAGCCTCAAGCTGTCTCTGCCTCTGACGCTGAAGAGCAGCCTGGAAGCCGCCGTCTGCCTCCTCGGCGCCGTTTGCCTTGGCAGCCATGTTAGCCGTCTTGCTAGCCTCCTCCTGCGCCTTTGTCTTAGCCTCAGCGATGGCCGCCGCCTCGTCAGCGGTGGAAGGAGAGAGCTTGGCCGCGGGAACAGCATCCTCCGAATCGGTCGAGGCGGTGCTGACCGCCGGGCTGGCGGGGGAAGCACCATTCGACAAGCGGGGAGGTTGAGCCTTCAGGCCTCCAGGGCCATCCTCCGTTACGGTGCCGTCAACACCAAGGCGGCCCACGCCAGCCGTGAGGTCAGCAACTCCATTTGCCGAAGGAGGCTTGGAGCCATTGACGGCTACGGTCGGGACGGCGCCGGAGGGAGTCGAGGCACCGCTGTTGCTGCTGCTGCCGGCACCGGGAGCGACGACGGCCTTCTTCGCGCTGCTGGCTTTGCGGTTGGCCTCCTTGGCGAGAGCCTGCTCCTCGGCTGACACTGTGAACTGAATGGCGTTGGCTGCAGGGCGGGTGCGGAGGTAGTAGGTTCCAGTCTTGAGTCCCTTGCGCCAGCCGTAGAAGTGCATGGAAGTCAATTGACCGAATGAGGGAGCGGACAGGTGAATGTTGAGGGATTGCGACTGGCAGATGAAGGCTCCGCGGTCGGCGGCCATGTCGATGATCGTCTTCTGCGAGATCTCCCAGACGGTCCTGCGAGGGGCAACAAGAGGAAAATGTTGTTAGATACTGTGCATAAACGACGATGATGCGCTCGCAGCCGCAACTCACTTGTACAGTCTCTTGATACGGTCCGGGATACCGGGCACGTTCTGCACCGATCCACCGTGCGCAATGATGCGATTCTTCATCGTCTCGTCCCACAGTCCCTGCTCTACGAGCTCGCGCAGCAGCCAGGGATTGACGACCTGGAACTCTCCCGCGAGAACACGGCGAGTGTAGATGTTGGACGTGTAAGGCTCGAAGCACTCGTTGAAGCCGAGGATCTGCGACGTGGACGCCGTGGGCATCGGGGCGAGGAGAAGAGAGTTGCGAAGACCGTGCTTGGCAATCTTCTCCTTGAGGCCGGCCCAGTCCCAAAGGTCGGAGGGGGTCACGCCCCACAGGTCGTACTGCAGCTCGCCACGAGAGGCGGGAGAGCCCTCATACGTCTCGTAGGGGCCGTCGCGCTCGGCCAGCTCGCAGGAGCGCTCGAGGGCAGCGTGGTAGATGGTCTCAAAGATCTGGATGTTGAGCTTCCTGTGACGCGCGAGTAGGGTTGGGTGGGAAGTTAAGGAGTAGTCAGTAAACATCACCTTCTGCGCTGATGGTCCCCTTCTCCTTCGAACTCACTTGCCCTCAGCGGAGTCGAAGGGGTAGCCCATGATCATGAACGCGTCGGCGAGACCCTGGACACCGATACCAATGGGGCGATGCCTGAAGTTGGACCTCTTGGCCTCGGGCACAGGGTAATAGTTAACATCGATGATCTTGTTCAAGTTCTTGCAGATGACCTTGGCCACCTCGTGCAGCCTCTTGAAGTCGTACGTCTTGGTTTGAGCGTCGATGAAGGCCGGAAGGGCGATCGAAGCAAGGTTGCACACAGCGACCTCGTCAGGTGCGCTGTACTCGATGATCTCAGTGCACAGGTTGGAGCACTTGATGACGCCGAGGTTCTTCTGGTTGCTCTTGCGGTTTGCGGCGTCCTTGTAGAGCATGAAGGGGTTGCCTGTCTCAGTCTGGGCCTCAAGGATGGCGTACCAGAGCTTTTGGGCCTTGATCGTCTTCTTGACGCGTCCCTCTCGCTCGTACTTCTCGTACAGGGCCTCGAATTCCTCGCCGTAGCAGTCGGCAAGGCCAGGGCACTCGGCTGGGCACATGAGGGACCACTCGCCGTTTTGTTCGACGCGCTTCATGAAGAGATCCGGGATCCAGAGGGCGTAGAAGAGCTCGCGGGCGCGGACTTCCTCCTTGCCGTGGTTCTTGCGCAGGTCTAGGAACTCGAATACGTCAGAGTGCCAAGGCTCGACGTAGATGGCAAAGGCTCCAGGACGCTTGTTGCCACCCTGGTCGACGTAGCGTGCTGTGTTGTTGTAGACTCGCAGCATGGGCACAATACCATTTGAGGTACCGTTGGTCCCGGCGATGTAGGAGCCGGTCGCGCGGATGTTGTGAATGTTCAAGCCGATACCGCCAGCAGTCTTTGAGATCATGGCGCAGGTCTTGAGCGTGTCGTAGATGCCCTCGATTGAGTCGTCCTTCATGGTAACGAGGAAGCATGAGGAGAGCTGGGGGTGAGGAGTGCCGGCGTTGAAGAGCGTGGGGCTGCGCGAGAGAGGGAGGGGTCAGATGGTAGTCAGCAACTGTCTCAGTGCTCTGAAGTAGGGATTCCGGCGCTCACCTGGCGTGCGTAAAGGTTTTCTGGGACATGAGGTTGTAGGTCTCGATGGCCGACTCGATGTCGTGGCCGTGGATACCGACAGCAACGCGCATGAGCATGTGCTGCGGGCGCTCAGCGACACGCCCGTTGATGCGGAGAAGGTATGATCGCTCAAGGGTCTTGAAGCCGAAGAAGTTCTGTGATAGGCGGGACGAGGGTCATGATGGTGGCGTGAGCAGGTGAGGCTGAGTCTCAAGGCCACCGCTTTTGCCACGCGCAGCAACTCACGTAGTGGAAGTCGCGCTCGTAGATGATAGCGCCATCAAGAGCCTCCTTGTTCGCCATGACAGCGTCGTACGTGTCCTTTGAGATCATGGGGCTGTGCTTGTTGTTCTTCGGGTTGACGTACTCGAAAAGGTCCTGGACGACGGCGCTGAACGTCTTGCGCGTCTCCTTGTGCAGGTTCGAGATGGCGATACGCGCTGCAAGGACAGCATAGTCGGGGTGGGTAGTCGTCTTGTAGGCTGCCGTCTCTGCGGCGAGGTTGTCGAGCTCGACGGTCGTCACGCCTGCGTAGATGCCGTCGATGACCTAGTGGGCACGGCGGAGGAAGAGGCGGCGTGGGCGGAGGGCGGAAGAATAGTGGTAATGAGCACAAGCCATGATGGGGAGCCGCTATACACGGCGCTGCGGGCTCACCTTCTTGGCCACCTCGTAGTGGTCGACATACTGAGTGAAGTGAAGGTCAAGAGCACAATAGTCAGCATCAAGTCGCGTCGCGTGACCTTGTCCGAGAAGGTTGATTGTGGTGGTGATGATGATGATGGCCTAGGCTCGCGTCTGAGGACTCACGTTGGTGTCAAGACCGTAGCAGAGCTTGCCGATACGGGCTGTGACCTTGTCAAAGCGGATCTGTCAAGGCGTAGAGAGGAGCGAGGGTGGACGTGTGAGCACGACATCACATATGCGCGACTTGCCATTGTCGATTTCGTCGCTGGTGATGATGGGCAACGCGCTGAGTCGCCACCTTGCTGAGCACTCACCGTCTCCTTTCGGCCGTCTCTCTTGTAGACGTACATCGTGTAGCCTATAGTAGAGGGCGATACACGGTGAGAGGAAAAGGAGTAGGGCGTAGGGTGTTGTTGATGAGGGAAAGAGGAAGGGAAGCCGTCGACGACGCGATCTCCTACTTTATGGGCCTTTGCTCTTCGCAGCCACGCAGATCGATCTGCCTCTCTACGCGTTGGACTCGAGACGCGCTTCAATCTCAAGGCCGAGGCGGGCGGACGACGGAGAGCGTCGGAGCAGGAAAATCGAGACGGAACGGCAGGCAAAGGCCAGGCAAGGGGAGGGCAAGCCACAGAGACCAAGGGCGGAGAGAGAAACGAGGCCGACTCAGAGGATGCGAATTCACTTTGAGATTTTGGCCGGACGCAGAGAAGGCGGCTTGGCTTGGCTTGACTTGACTTGACCTATACCATCACCACCAACTCCATCTACTTCGGTGACCATGGGCAAAGACGGCAAGAAGAAGAAGTCAAATGGCGGGAAAGTGGCTGTGCAGGAGGGTAGTACTGCTTCTCTTCCTGTCGCACTCAAGCCCGAGTTCGACCCAGAGCTCGATGCTCTCTTCTCCAAGGCCGTCCAGCCAGCTGCTTCCACATCACAAGCTGTTGCAGCGTCGTCCCAGGCCAAGAAGGCAAAGACAAAAGCTGCAGAGGTCAAGCAGGAAGCTGTCGGTGATGAGAGCAGCTCAGACGACGACGACGACGACGACGACGACGACGACGACGATGATGATGCCTCCTTGGCCATGTCAGACATTGAGCGCGAGATGGAGGAGCAGGGATTGGGTCTTCGTGAGGGCGAAGATGCAGATGACATTGACGACGCCGGCAGCGATGACGACGATGACGATGACGAGGAGGCAGGCGGTCATGACGACGTGGAAAGCTCCAGTGAGCTGGACAGCGATGCTTCTCCACCCCTCCATGAGACCCTCGCGGGCGCTGCCGGCCAAGCAAGGGTCCGTCGTAAGCTGGAAGAGCGAGCGGCCGAGACTCCCCTCATAAGGGACCAGCGCACGATTTTCATCGGTAATCTCCCCATCGACATCGTTCTGCACTCATCCGAACGCCATCTTACCAACCAGCTCAAGAGGCACGTCATCTCTCACTCCCCCTATCCGTCCATCACCCGCATTGAAGCCATCCGCTTCCGCTCAGTCGCCTTCTCCCGCCCAACAATGGACTACGCCGCCGAATCAGGAGCAGACGCAGCCGCCAATGAGAAGCGTCGCAACCGCAGCAGAGCCTTTGCGGATGCAGTGGCGAGGAAGCAAGCAGCGGAGGAGGGAAAGGGGCCGGCGAATGTGTGGCTGAACGCGAAGCAGAAGAGGAAGGTGGCCTACATCAATCAGGAGATCAACGAGAAGGCCAAGAGCGTCAATGCCTACGTGACGCTGTCGTCAGTAAGCGAGAAGGATAGGACAGCGTTGGCCAGTCTGCCCAATGGGTCAAGCGAAGTCAAAGCGAGCAAGGTCACACCGCCCGTACTGGCCGCCCTGCTGGCATCACAGCTGGACGAGACGCTCTTTGAGGGACGTCACCTGCGTGTCGACCTCGTTCAACCACTGCCGCTGGCAGATCTCGTACAATCAGGATTGGAGGGCGTGCTCGCCTCCTCGTCTTCCTGGACTACCACTGAGATGCAGTCCCTTGCTCGCATCCTGGCGGGTGGGAATAATAGACGAGACGACCAGGCGAAGACGCTCTTTGTTGGCAATCTCGACTTCGAGGCAGACGAGGAAGAGCTACGCGCCGCACTTGAAGAGGTCCTGCGACAGGAGCGCGGGGAGCCCCCGTTGGCTGCTTCATTGCTGCAAGGCGCTGGCCATGAGGAGCGCAGTAAGGCTCTTGCCTCTCTCCCGCCGTTTGAACAAGCCGCAGCAGATGGCGACGCTGACGCAAGCTCATCAAGATCTTTCGCTCGCAAGACATGGGTACAATCCGTTCGCCTGATCCGTGATGCAGCCACGCAAATGGGTAAAGGCTTCGGATACGTGCGCTTTCTGGACGAGGCCTGCGTTGATGAGCTGATGGCTGTCTACGAGGCGGACGAGGCCTTTCTTTCTGCTGCTCGCCCCGGCGGAAGTGGTGGTATCAACGACGGCAGGACGGAGAGTGGTGGCAGGGTGGACTTCAAAAGGAGGCTGAAGCTCAACAAGAGAGGGCTGAGGTTGTCGAGATGTAAGGGCAATGCCGGGGGACAGGGACAAAAGGGCAAGAGGAAGGAGAGGACTGCTGATAGTGACAATGATGAGGGGGAGAATGCATCGCGGACCACCGCAACCCCACAGCGCAAAGACACGAAGCGACGTCGCTCAATGGGCGCTCCTACCCCTGGAGGCAGCTCACCGTCAACACAGCGCCGCATTGCCAAGGCCAGTGCAGCCGGGGACGTCAATGGCACACCATCGAAGAAAGCCAAGACCACTACCGCTCCCGGCACCTCCGCCAGTGGCATTATCGCCAACCCTTCACCCGCGCAACCCCGCACGGCAGCTGATCTTGCTCGCCTGGAGCTGAAGCGCAACGATCCCGCCAGGCAGGCCAAGAGGCTTGCGAAGAAGCAAAAGAAGAGGGACGAGATTAAGGGCAAGGCGAGTGGTGCGGCTGCTGCCGTGGATTTGAAGAAGGTGGCGGGGAAGATGAAGAAGAAGGAGAGGAGCAAGGGGGGAAAGTAAGCCGAGTAATAGGGGGTGCGTGTCGTCGAATGTCATTGCTACTGTACAATTGAGCAAGCCGCCTCCGCGTTCCAACCCACTTCTTCAAGGAAAGCTCGCCATCGCTCTCGCTACTTGCCGTAAATGCCCTTCAGCACATTGGCGCTCATCGGTCTCTCCCGTTCCCTCGCCTCCCTCGCCGCCCTAGCCGCAATCGAGGCTGCTGCCGCCTTTGTGGCTGATGACGCAGAAGGCGGTGAAACGGAGCGTCGGGACTGGCTCGCTTCCTCATCGACCTCTTTGCGCTTTCTCTTTGCTCGTGCAGCTTCGTCAACCATCGTCGCTGAGGGAGGCGAAGGACGCTTCTCGCCTTTGGCCTCGCGGTCCTCCGCGCCCGTTGCCGCCTCATCACCGTTCTTCCTCTTGCCATTCTTCTTCTCCTTTTTGCCCGTCGCGGTAGATGCTTGCAGTACCGCTCGCAATATCACCTCCTCCTCCGGTACCGGGTTCAGTGGAATCACGTCGGCGACATTGGATGCTGTGAGCGGAGCGACGGCGCTACTACTTGACGAAGAGGAAGCTGGAGCCTTGAGGGCGATGTACCCTGGCTCGAATGTTGCAGAAGTGATCGGGCAGGTGGCCTTCGCCGACGCGTTCGATGAGGATGAAGACGAGGAGGAGCCCAGCACGGCCTTGAGACCAGACTCACTCATCACTGCGCCGCTCCCTGCCGCGCGAATGAAGACGAAGCGGTGTGAGCCGTTCATAGGTCGACCGGTGAGCGGGCAGGCAAAGGGGGCGGGCAATTGCTCGTCATCCGAGTTTTGGTGGCCATTGCTGCCGTTTTGTCCATTCTTGGGAATGTTTGCCGCTGGATTATCGTGCAGCTTGAGCTCGGTGACATCCTGTCCCAGGCAGGGTTTAAAGCATCAGCTGGCTGAACTACATCACTTGTCGCATGTTTGGTCGCGGCTACTCACCTTGAGCTTCCTAACATGCGACATATTCGCACCTGCCTCATCCTTGACTCCCTTGGCGTCATTGACCTTGCTTTGAATGAGCCAATTGACAAGGGCCTCCTTGTTGTACATCCTGCCCAAGCCATCCGCCACGACTGGCTGCTTGAGGGGCTTCTTGGACAGAGCGCAAGTAGACCATCGCGCTCGCCTCTGTCTGGCAGCCTCCTGAACTGGCTTGCCTACTTTGACCTTGACAAGCTCATCACGACGAGCGATAGACCCTCCGTCATTACCCATGGTGGCGCTGAGTCGGTTTAGGGCGATAGGTAGAAGCAAAAGAAATCGCTACTGAAGCCAGCGACGGACGGACAGAGGTGCAGCTCGCAGATTGCAGGCCCAAGGCGGGGCGGGGCCGCTGCCGAGTGCGTGCGGACTTGACATCCGTTGATTGGCGGGCAGAGACGGACGGCGAGGAGCGAGTCAAGGGTGCCTGCCGCCTGCCAGAGATTCATTTCCTCGTCCCTCTTTCATCATCATCTCTGGCGAAGGGGGCAATACCAGCACCCATTTGCAACTGCACCATCGTCTTGGCATCAATGGCTTCATCAACGTCATCTGAACCAGATGTGAGCATTCGCGGGCTGATCCGCGCAAGGTATCGCACCATACATCACGCTAATCTCATTGAAACATCCTCGTAGCATCGTAATCTCGTCTCGCAGCACAGTGCTCAGACCCAGTCTTCCTCCACCTCTGGAACCAACAGTAGCGTCAACACCACATCATCCTCACTGTCATCACGGCAGCCCGCGGCGCAGTCATCACTACCGCCTGGCCAGCCTGCCATCCGTATGACAGACTCCGCATCGGGTCCTCACGCGCCTTCGTCGCTCAAATTTGCAGCTCTGAGCGTAGACTCGTACCACCTCGACAGCCCACCTTTCACTGGCGTACCTATCGGATCGGGGCCCGCCGACCAAGATAAGCTGGACCAAGCTGGACGACAATTAGCAGAGCAAGGCGCCGGATCATCGCAGAAGGGCTCTAACACAACGAGTCCCCTCGCCCGAGCTCAATACGGTGCAGCCGACGCTGATAGTATGGCGGCTCAGCACAGTCGTCAAGGAAGCAAATCGAGGCAGTCGAATGGCCATGCCCTCCGTGACTTCCCATCGCCTTCTACACCCACGGCATCCTCATCACAGAGCAGCGCTGACAGGCCTTCAGGCGCGCTGGACCGCGATGTCCCCAACTGGGAGCTCGACGGCAGAAGGCGGATGAGCAGCGCCTCGTCGACTCAATTGCAGCGAGATGCCTCGACCTCAACAGCCCCGTCATCTGTGTCTTCCCTGCCGCCAGGTCATTCATTGGGCCGCAGCACCAGCGCTGGCTATTCGGAAGGTCGCCCTCTCCTCACTCAGTTGACGGATGATGTCGATGGCCTCAATCACCAGCACGAACCAGACCAAGAAGTTGACGGTGATGGGCACGGCTACGTTCTTGGCAACCCAAGCGGAGCATCAAGTAGTGAAGCCGACGTCGTGCCGGTGCAGAGCCAGCTCAAGGCAGACTACAGCTTCCCGCGGCATCGCCTTCCTCTCCAGATGCGCGACGAGTCCAAGATCCCCCTCGTCATCGTAGCGTGCGGTTCTTTTTCTCCGCCGACCTATCTGCATCTGCGCATCTTTGAGATGGCCAAAGACCAAGTCATCGAGAGCGGGAAATACGAGCTACTCGCGGGTTATTACTCACCCGTCAGTGACCATTACCGCAAAGCTGGGCTGGCGCAAGCTAAGCATCGCGTCAGAATGTGCGAGCTGGCCGTCGAGAAGACGTCAACATGGCTCATGGTGGATGCGTGGGAGAGTTTGCAGGACGAATATCAGCGCACGGCTGTTGTGCTTGACCACTTTGAGCATGAGATCAATGGACCACTCGCGCCCTCAGCAGGATCAGCTTCGGCAAACGGCTCGCGAGTTACATCCCCAGCGGCATCCACCTCCGCGTCTACCTCGGCACAGCCACGCCATCCAGAGCGGGGCGTCCTCATGTCTGACGGGCGTCGTCGACGTGTCAAGATCATGCTCCTCGCAGGCGGGGATCTCATTCAATCTATGGGCGAGCCGGGCGTATGGGCAGATGCGGACTTGCACCACATTCTCGGACGATACGGCTGCATGATCGTCGAACGCACGGGCGCAGATGTGTGGAGCTTCCTCCTCTCCCACGACTTGCTCTGGCGCTATCGCCGTAATCTGCGCGTGGTCAAGCAGACGATTTACAACGATATCTCGAGCAGTAAAGTCAGATTGTTCGTGAGGAGAGGGCAGAGTATCAAGTACCTGCTGCCCAATTCTGTCATCAAGTACATTGAGACTCATGAGCTGTATAGATTGGATGTCAAGGCGCAACAACTCCAGCTCTATAGAGAGGAGGATGGAGAGCCGTACTTGGCGCCGGAGGACGAGCAGTGGTAGTGAGATGCGAGGACAGGAGAGGGGGAGAGGGATGCAATCGCGTCGGCCGTCGTCTTCATACCGTACCATGCCGTTTCACACAGTGTAGCACAGCAGTCGTTCAAGTTGCACGTCTAATGATCTGATCGATCGAGTCAATATCAAGAGAGCATTGATTGTGGTATCAGTACAACAGAACAAGGTACACAACCTCGCATCCTCCTGCTCCCCTCTCTCACTTATCCTCCCTCGGATCCCTCACATCCTCCTCCTCGAGCCACTTCCCAGCGAGATCTCCCGGAGGCAATTCCTGCATCTGCACACTCGGCGCTCCATGCAAGTAGCGCAACTCCTCCATGATCTTGACTCGTATCTTCTCCAAGCTGGCACGAGTATTTTGATTCTCCACGCGGCCCCCTCCTCCGCCACCAATCCCTCCCCCACCAGCAAAGCCCAGCCCGCCACTCCCTCCAAAAGCGGCCGACGCTCCTCCTCCAGGCATGCCAGGCATGTTCTCGTGCAGGCGCTTCGAGGGGAGGAAGAAGTCGTCGTAAGGCGTGTGTGGGAGGGCGTCGGGTACTGTCGTGCCTGTGAGGACACTAGTCTCGTAAGCCCAGCAACGAGCCACGTTGCGGATTGTGTAGCCACCCCCGCCCAGTACGAGCAGAGGCAGGCCAAAGGACTTGATGAAGCGCACGCATTCGCCATGAGCTGCGATGCTCAGATTGAAGCATCCTAGCCTGTCCAACCCTAGCGAGTCGGCACCGCACTGCAGCACGATTGAGGCTGGGCGGAATGTATCGATCGTCCGTTCCATGACGCTCTTGAACAACCCTACGTACCCGGCATCGTCGATTCCGTCTTGCAGCGGGACATTCAAGCAGAAGTGCTTGCCCAGCCCCATCCCGACTTCACTGAGCGCTCCGGTGCAGGGAAAGAAATCATTGCCGTATTTGTGGAACGACACGGTCATCACTCGATTCGAGTTGTAAAAGGCCTCCTGCACTCCGTCTCCGTGGTGAATATCGATGTCGATGTACAGCACCCGCGCATGATACCTGAGGAGTTGCAGAATTGCCAGCACAATGTCGTTGACGTAGCAAAATCCGCTCGCCTCTCCCTTCTTGGCATGGTGGAGACCCCCACTCCAATTGATGGCTATGTCCGTTGACCCGGAGGCCAGCTTGCGGGCTGCTGCCAAGGAGGCGCCGGCATAGGAGCGACAGAAGTCGTACATGCCGTCGAAAATGGGGCAGTCGTCTGCAAAGTTGAACTTGGTGAAGGAGGCCGTGGGCGGGGTTGAGGGGGTGACCGTGCTGAGGAACTCAATGTACTCTTCGTCGTGGAAGTCTTCTAGCTCTTGACGCGTGGCGGCCGTGGGCGTAAAGCATTGCATGTGATCTTGTAGGCCATACCCTAAGACTAGGCCTGAGAGCGAGGATGGATGAGAAACAGGTGAGCAGAGAGGACTTTCCAGCGCAGTAGGGGCAAGAGCGAGCCAATACTCACGATTGGTCAAGGTAAGTCTAGCCGGCTTCATCGGATGTAGCATGCCATAGTGATATTCTCCGACCCCTTTTGGGAAGTAATAGCTCACCCGCTCTCTCGAGTGAGGCTGGACATGGCTGCTATCCTGAAGAAGGGCTTGCGGGTCGCCCTCCCAGAAGGGCGTGGCAGCGAACGTCCTCGTATCAGGAGATGATGACGAAGACGACGCTGCAGAGTCAAAATTGAGGACGACCATGGACGAGGCGTTGATGGTCGTCCTCCCCACTCTGCGCGGGCGAGTTCGCTGAAGGATGAGTTGTGGTGTGGTAGTGACTCGGGATGGATGAATGGAAACCTTGAATCCGCCTGCGTCTCGCCTCGTCTGCCTCTTCCGGGTCCTTTGACGTCTCGACTCGACTCGGCGGCCATTTCCCCGTCTGTCCGACGTCGTCCTCGTCCTAGACGACGGTGCGTGCGTGCCGTCAACCGGCTAATCATCGCATCACTCCATCAACCTTTCTTGCCCCGGCCGCATTTCTTCTTCTCCTTCTGTCCCAGCATCCTCAACCACCCACCTTGATACGGTCTTACCTATTCTTTTCCCACCGGTCGTCGTGAGCCCTTCAGCCCATCCTCGTCAGAGGTCAGAACACTCCGCTCCGCTCCGCCGGCGACGAATTCCCACTCGCCGCACCATCTACGGCTATAGGTACCCGCCTTACGGCCGACTGCACGCTTTACCTGCTCAGCACCGCTCTGACTGCTCCGCCCTCTCGGCGTCGTCATCGTCACCATCACCACGCAGCTCGGTTGACGACGGGCTCAGTAGTCCGCGCCCGGACTTGGGTGGATATTGCCCATACGTTGCGTCAGCATCCACGGCCATTAGCGTCAGTATAGGCTGTATAGTGGTGTGGGTGGGCAGAGCCGCAATTTGCACAGCCTTCGCGTCAACCAAAGCCAAATAACAACGACGGTGACGCCGACGGCGACGAACAACGACGAGCAACGCGTGACGCCCTCTACCTCCGCCGCCCTCGCCGACATCGCCGCTCTTGCCGCCGACCCTTCACCCGTGGGTCTCGCATCGTCGCACTCCATCTTCCTTTCTCTTCCATCCACGCCCTTTCTCCCACCCATCACCAACAGCATGGACACCCTGATCAGCAACATCCGAATGAGGCATACGCCCGACCAGCAAGACAAGGCGCCGCCTTCGTCCTCATCAACCAGCGTCGCAGGCCGGCTTCTCCTCTCGCTACCCCCCGAGATCCTCGATCTCATCGCCCTCTACACGGGCCTTGCCTCTCAGACCCCCATAAGCTCCTCCCCTACCCCTCCTCAGGCGCTCCTTGACCTCCTCCTCGTCTGCCGCCAGATCCACGCCCACCTAGCGCCAGCCAACAACCCGCGTCTCTACGCCCGCATCTTCCGCTCCAAATTCGACACGGAGGCCATCTGCCGTCGCTTCGGGCGAAAGGCTGTGAGCTCTCGCGTCCTCTGCGACGAGCTTCAGCGTCGCTGCATTATCCTCAAGCGTATTCGTCATGCCACAGAGCTTGGTCGGCTCAGGCCCGAGGGGCCGGGAGAGGCAAGCGATGCCGCTATGCGAGAGAACCTCTGGTTGGCCTACTTGCTGTGTACGGAGAACGATGGCCTTAACGTCGCTGCGCTGCAATGGGCCAACATCAAGGAGTACTTGTCTCTGCACCACACGCAGGAGATGCTCGAGTCGGCGTTGGAGCCTGGATACCCGCCCGAGTCTGAGGACAGGGCGCTCGCCCTGCACATCGGGTACCTGATCAAGGACCCAGCTGAGCTCACGCAAGAGAGCAAGGATGAGGTGGAGGAGAAACTGTTCATTCTCAGGCCCTTTGTTTTTGCGAGCCACAAATTCGAGTGCTTCTATGCGCCTTGGACCCTCAGGTCGCTGCCCATCAGAAGGGCGGAGGAGCCCGGTGAGGCGATGGAGGAGGTGGAGAGAGAGAGGCACGAGGCTGCGGGACAGAGTCGCGCTGGATCTGTCAGAGGCAGCGTCAGCGACAGCTCGGGCGCTGCGCCGATACTCGCAGCGGCTCCCCACGCGAATGGCTCAACGTCTACGGCCACGGCCACGGAGGCGGAGGCATCAACCTCTGCACCTTCTCCACCTCGCGGACCTCCTGGTCTCGCCACGCTGTCCGCACCTACGACACTGCCCGCTCCCACAGGCGCTACCAGCACAACGGCTCCCCAGCCTGCCCAACCGGCCAATCCCTTCCTCGCAGACCTCGCTCCCAAGGTCCGCACAACTGTCCTCTACCACTGCGGGCAGCGTCTGACCCTGCGCCCTCCCGTCCTGGCCCACGCGGCCTACTTCTCCTTCTTCAACCAAGTAGAGTGCGACCCAGCCGTCGTCGGTCTTCAAGCCATCGTGGAGCGCGGCGCCGAGCCTGGAACACGCGATGCCCATGCCCCGGCGAATGGAGCACCGCAACGCCCTCCTATCCAGCTGGGGCTACTCCACCCATCCTTGTCGGCTGGCCGAGTGGGAGAAGAAACCACCGTCCTCGAGCAACCGGGTTACATACCTGGAGGGCCAATTCACTCCCTCTCCTCCGCAGAGCACGATCGCGACCTCGCGCGTCTCGTAGCCTGTCACGACCCTTACCGCTCTCCGGGGCTGAAGCCGTGCTTCTTTGCCGGGCAGCTCGAAGGTGCATGGGAAGGCAGGTTCAGTTTCTTCGACTTTGACTCGTACCGCGAGATGTTGGCAGGGAGGATGCAGAGCCTCTACGAGGGTCCCTTCGGTGAGCAGCCCCAGGTTTGGAAGTTGAAGGAACACTTTGTTCGTGTGGGTGAGGGCTCGGGATACAAGGAAGGGGGCCACGCAGGTGTGATTAGTGCGGGCTTTGGGGCTGAGGACCCAATGGAAGATGTGCTGCGCTTGCCTGGGACGTTGCAGGAGGCGAAGCAGAGGGCCAGAGAGCTAGACGCTAAAGAGGCTGCAGGCTTGCAGGGAGGCAGTAGTGCTGGACTCAGCGCCAAGGCAAAGGGCAAGGGGAAGCGATACGGCGACGACTACGACGAGCAGCCTGCGTCCAGTGGCAGCAAGAAGGTAATCATCGGCGAGCGACCAGCAGACTATGCGCTTTACCCGCGCTTCGCAGAGGAGGAGGGAGGCGACGAAGCCGCCTACGGCTACCTGAACTCAGCTATGGCTCGTGACCTGCGACGCTCTGCTTCCAAGGCCGCTGAGAGCGACTCATCTGAAGAAGACGTCGGCCTCTCGACGGACCGCTACGAGATGCTCATTAGCGGGATAGGCCACTCAGCCTGGGGTCGCTTCGTACTTCGCGGCCGTGTGCGCGCTTGGGATGGTATGGTCATCCTTTCCAAGGAGTATCGACCCGACGGACGAGGACGATGGCTCTATCGTGGGTACGCGCTTGCAGGGGCCGCCCTTGTGGGGAGGTGGAGGGACTCTTTTACTCCTCGCGAGATGTCAGGGTACGAGGGGCCATTCGTGCTGAGGAAGAGGAAGGGGGATGAGTCTGCAGGCACTGCAGCTGCGTAAGGGTTGGGGATAAGAGAAGAAAAGTCACCGTCAGCTGTTCCCTATCCCTGATCGCCCTCTGCTTCTCGCGATACACTGTCACCTCTTTCATCCTCATCATGCTTGATACAGCTCTGCCATATACACGACGTGGCGCATTGTTCGTATTCTCTCCACATCGCTACGGTCGATGGGGCGAAATGAAGCACGAGATTCACTCTTCAACTGATGGTGGTGGTGATGACTGCGGATTAATGTGATTCTCGATGAGTGCTGACTGTGACTATGGCTATGAATGACTGATGCTAAGCGCTGATGGTATATACTTCTCTCCTGCCTTCATGTCGGTCGACGCCTACTTCCTCGCCACACTCCCGCACCTGATGCAGATCCACAAGCTAGCCTGATCGCCCCCCATCCACTGTCGGCACGTCGAGCAGCGCCATCCTGCATCGTTTGCGCTGCTGGCGTTGCGTTTGGTCTGCATGCGTTGCAGGGCGAGTGCTGCTGCGGCTGAGTTTGAGGGACCAGAGGCCGCTGTGGAGGAGGAGGCGGCGACGGTGGTGCCATTCAGGCGAGAGGAGGTTTTGACGACGCCGTCGGCTTTGGCTGTGGACGGTGGCGCTCGCTTCACGCGCTTGACCGAAATTGTCGAGAAGTCGTCTTCGCCTTCTTCGTCGTCGTCGTCGTCGATGACGATGGCTTTGATGCTGCCCATGGATTTGCCCTTCGTTGAGCCGGCACCCTCCTCCTTGACGGCCGTTCCCTTGGCCGGTAAGGCCGGCCCGGCGGTGTCATGTTTGCTGCTACCGATGCCTTTGGCGTCTGGCTCGTTTGTTGTCGAAGGTCCTCGCCCTGGCTTCTCGATGACCTGCACCTCCTCCTCATCATCGCTGTCGTCTTCTATGGTAATCACCTTGATACCATGCAACAGCTCCTCTTCCTCGTGCCACTTGATGGCCTCCTCCCTCCCGGATTGCGTCGACGGGCACACCCCACCACCTCCGCCAGCCTTCTTGTCTACCTCCTGCAAGCGACGGCGTCGTTCAGCAGCCTCCCTCGCAAGGGTAGCCGCGTCCTTATCCACCGTAACCCCCTCTCCGCCACCGAGCCTGCCACCACCCACGCCCAACAATTGCTTGCGCCTCCTCTCCTCGGCCATAGCCGCAGCCTGCCTCCTTGCCTCCGCCGGTGTCTTTGCATTGCTCACTTGCCCCATTCCCAGTCTCAGCCCAGGCGTCAAGAATCCATCACCGGGCATATAGCCTCTCCCTCCCGTACGGCGTTGCTCAAACCATTCCTCCTCCAGGTCCTTGAGTAAGGCGTTGAACTTGTCATCGTGCGGGCCATGGACATTATGCGTGAGCTCGTGAAGCATGGTATAGACTACGTCATCCTCGGAGAGGAAGGAGTCGGACATGGTCGGCTGGCCGTTGGAGGGGTCACGGCTGCTGTACAATGGGTGGCGCAGGCGGAGAAAGATCTTCTGGCCCCGGTTGACATTCATGCCTAAGCGCGAGGGGAAGGGCGAGCACGGTGGTCAACATCAGTCATTTCCTCCAGTGATGCCAGATCATCGCCGCAACTCACCAAGTAGCTCAGGGGGCCTTTTCTGGAACCCCGAAAACTCGACCAAAAGGGGGACATGCCATCCATGCCTGACCATTATTGGCTTGACGATTGCGCCTACGCGCCGGAGCATTGCCAGGGCCTCATCTGCACGTGGCAAGCCCTTGAGGACGCGATACTCGGCGATGCGGGCATTCCCCCTCAGATTGCGGTTGGAGGAGGAGGTGCCGAAGGAGCGAGAGGCCTCGGTTGGCTCGCGATAAGAGGTCGAGGAAGGAGGCACAGACGATGGAAAGGCGCCTCGACCTGGGAGGGGCATCGTGCTGGCAAGGGTGGGACAGGTGATGGAGACCGCGCCTGCTTGTATGGCTGTATCCGTCGTAGTCTATTCCACAGCTCTGCTGTAGTCAGTCTGGCTTGGTGGCGTCCATCGTGTCCGATGGTAGTGCTGCAATGGAAAGAAAGACAAGTGGAAGCAACACTCAAGCTCTCAGTCCGACAAAGCAATCTACGCGAGCATCCGAGGGCGGCGGACTGGGACCGCGTCAGCCACAAGAGGAGATGGCGCAGCGAGCAGAATGACAAGGGGGCCAAGTTCGTGCCAGGCAGGAAGGGACATTTGGCGTCTCGTCATTGTAAGGTAGCTGCGAGACAAGCCTGTGCAATCCAATTCAGGATGATCGAGCCCATGTGGGTTTGAGGCCCGGGGCGATACATGAAGGTGATACGTGTTTCTCCTACCTCTCAATCTCCTCCTCCTCCTTGCAACATTCTTTCTTTTCCCTTGCTAGATGTGACATCAGTCTCAGTGAACTCAACCAACTGACTTCTCTCGTCCCGCCAATCCTCCCCTCTTGTCTCCCTCACGACTTGCCCTGTGCCAACTCCTGCATCGAAGGCAAGAAGTGCAGACTCCAACTACTCAACAGCCTCATCTTCAACCACTGCTGGTTCGTCAATCCCGGCGTACCGTACGTGAACGGGCTCAAGAACCAGAACATGGCTGCCGTGAGCATCATGAGCACCGCGATAGCGAAGATGGCGCCGCGTGGAAGATGCACATCTGAGCGGGTAGTCGGGAGGGAGAGACGGACGCCCGAGGGGGAGCGGGGAGTCTCGTCCTGCGGGTGAGAGGGTGTTGAGGTGTTGGAGGCGAGGAGGGGACCAGGAGCTGAGAGAGGGCCTGCGACCTCCTCTACTACGATGAATTGGAGAACTCCACCCGCTGCGAGGCAGGCGCAAATGTGTGCTGGGAGATAGTGGTGGAGGAAGAGTTGCCTGCGAATGGTTGCCACAAAATGTCAGCTCAGTGTTCGTCTTTTGACTGTTGCGCCGACTCACCTGTTCATGCTGAAGAAAGGCAGGTAGTGGAATGCCCAAGCGCTTACAAAGAAGCCCACGGTGCTCCCCAGCCTCTTCCTTACATTGCGGGCAATAGGTTCGATGCCTCTCCTCTGCGCGAGGGTATCCGCACCCATCACACCTACGAAGACGCTCACGAAGAGCACGCTCACCCACCAAGAGACGAGGTTCCCCATCAAGTAAATCTGCTGCTGCTCAGTATTCTCCGTCCAGAAGCTGATACCCTGCAGCAAGAATGGCCAGTTGATGGGACTCGAAGCGTACGGGTGGCTCTGTGTGAGGCCAGCATTCTGCTGGAGCATCTGCATCTGCAGCTCGACGAATTTGCGCCAGAAGCTCATCTTCGTCACCTTCCTGGGCGGCAGAGGCTTGGACCGCTCCTCAAAGTCCGAAGCCGTAGGATCAGGGTTGAGCTCATCGACGAACCAGAGGGTAGTCTTGTCGTTGACATCCTTGTGGCCATTGACCTCTTGCTGCTTGAAGGCCCACTCCGGCAGAGGCGTCTCGTTGTGCGTCCACATCGCCACTTTGGTGGGTACATGAATCAGACGGAACCAGGCGCTCTTGCTCTTCCACGGAGAGGTGCTCGTTTTGGAGAGCCCATCGACACGAAGTTCAAAGAGGGTGTCATTGTACCTCGAGGTGTCGTTCCAGGGGACGGTGGTAAATTCCTCGTTGGTGGACATGAGTGGAGAAGCGACGTCGTGCGTCAGGAGGTAAGACTGGGTGTTGACGTGCAGCAGGCGGACGACGTGGTTATTGCGCACTGCTCGACCTGAGCCTCCCTCCTCCGGCAGAGGGACGGTGGCGTGCACCTGCCAAAGGTTGTTGGTGTCGTTGAAAGGGTAGCCGGTAACCTGCTGACCCTGAGAGGAGATACGGCCGTCCTCGTATTTCAAAGGGTAGCGGTCTATGTGCGAATGGAGGAAAGCGTTGGTGTGCTTGTGCTTGATGGCAATTGTGTCTCCATAGTGAATGTCGCGCGCCTGTGCCAGCATAGGGTTGCCTTGTAGTGTCTGCTGGAATTCTGAGCTCATGAATGCATCTCCTGTACCGGAGCGGATGAGAATCTTGAAATGGACCCAGAACCAGAACAAGTAGACAAATGCCGGGATGACGATGAGGCCTAGAGCACGGGCAAAGAAGTGCTTCATGACGTGGCGCACGGTGAGACCGCGCTTGACGTCAAGGAGGTTCCAGAGATCGACGGCTACGGCGCACCCGACAGTGAGGAAGGTGAGGAGGCCGACCATCTTGCAGCTCATGGTGAGAGAGAGGTTGACCCCAGTAGCGATCATCCAGGTCCACCATTTGGGGCTGAATTCATTGTAGCGCTGCTTGTAGAATTTGACGTACGAATAGAGGGAGAGTGTCATGAAGAGGCAGAGGGCCGCATCGAGGAGGATGAGGCGATCCTGGGCGATGTGAGCATTGTCCAGGAGGAGGAGCGACGCACTCAGCAGACCAATGAGCTTGGCGTGACCCGTCTCTCGCATGATAAGGTAGACGAGGGGCGACTGAACAGAGCCCATGATGGCTGGTAGGGAGCGCATCTTGATGTGTGGCACGCCTGCCTTTTCGTAGCTGTCTCCGATATTCTCGAAGTCGAAGTTTCCTTTGAATCCGGCGAGGTAGCCAGCGAAGGCATTGAGGATCCTGAAGGGACAAGCAGAAGATGAGCATACACTCGCGCTGTCGAGCTCCGCGTCTCTGCGGCACTTACTTTGCAAAGGGAGGGTGAACATCAAAGTAGTACTCTCGTCGCAGGTAGTACGAGGCGAACTTGCCAAAGTGGACTTCATCGAAGACGACTTGAGCAGGGTGAGCGATCTTCCAGAATCGTACGATGGCCGCTCCGAGGAAAAGGAGTGCGACAATGGCTCCGTCGTTTGCCAATGTCACGCCGTGTGTTGATTCGGGAAGTACGACGGCTGGTCTGCGGCGCTATATGCAGGCAAGGAGGCGCGTTGATGGAGGAGCGCGTGTCAGAGGACTACCTGGCTTCAAGCGGAGCTCGCGCCGTACTCACCTTTGCCTGTTCGAAGCCACGCACATCGTCGCTGCTACCAGCGTACGTCCCATTCTTGAGCGCTGCATTCTTTTGACTCTCCGTCAGGCTTGGGTCGAGAATGGCATCGTGATTGCCGTTGGCCGCGGCCGCCGCCTTTCTTGAGCGCATGCCTGACATGGCAGGCCAATCAGCTGGAAAGGGGGAAGATGAGGACGAGGATGGATTGGGAGAAGGTGTGAGAGTGTCTGGTTATGCGCGCTTGACAATGATTGCCCTGGCAGGTCGACGCGCGACGACAAGGTTCGGGAGGAAGGAATGGCAACAAGGAGCCTTTCGACTCGACTCGTGTCCAACGACGCAATCAGACTCAATCGCTCCATGGCTTGGCCCCTTGCGCACGGGCGGCGGCTGGCTTCGTTCGCGCCGTGGGCCGCGATTGCTGACTAAGCACGCGTCGACGCGGGAAGACGGACGTTGAAGGCGTCGAAGGCAATTTTGACTTTACCTCCATCCAGTCCATCCTTCCCTTTCGGCCCTCGCATCCTTGATCACATGTACCGTATAGCAAGTGGGTCGCGGCTCGCATTGCCACGACCGTCATGCTATGGATGTGGTGCTAGATCGCAACGACTCAGCAGGGGTGGCGCCTCCAGCTCGGCGTTGGCCTCCTCGTCCGCCACATCGCCTGCCTTTTCCACCTCAAGGCTCAGGCTCGATGCATCCTCAGACGAAGCGGCATCAGGAGCGGCAGCACGAGCTCGCGAAGCGCTCACTTCAGATCACAAGACGCTCAAGATGCGTCGTACACAGTGGAACATGGAGAAGGACACGCCCAAACCATTGTGGCGCCTCGACGACTTCCACCTCAGCCCATTATCAGATCGAATCACCTATCCTAGCCACTTCAGTCATCTCCCTCATCCAAACGAATGGGGTCGGTCACCCTTCTATGACAAGCGGCGATCCGACTTCCTCGATCAGTCGCGATACTTTATGCGCGATCGTACTGCTATCAAGAAATTTGTGGACGGCCTCGAGCTGGAGAGCATCGTCGAACAGAATGGCGGCCAGAAGGTCACCATCATCGAGTCCTTCGCTGGCCCGGGTACCATTACAAGTGAGCTCATCTCTCGAAAGGAGGTGGGAAGAGTCATTGCGATGGAGACGTCCCCCAAGTTCACATGGGCGCTCGAGAGTCTCAAAGAGGATCCAACACTAGTAGATGCAGAGGGAAAAGGGCCAAAGGACAAGCTCTTCTTCTATCATCGTGACGAAGGGTATCATTGGTGGGCCTATCAAGAGCTAGAGCAGTACGGCGCCTTCTCGCAGACCAAAACGTGGGCAGAAGACCCGTCCCGTCCGGCGCACCAGCTCGCGCCAGTCGTCTTTGTCTCGCAGCTGCCAAATACCGTGCACGGCGATCAGCTCTACACGCAGCTCATCGCTGCCATGGGCAACGGCGGCTGGATCTTCCCCTACGGGCGCATCAAGCTTGCCTTCGTCATGCCTGAGACTCTAGCGAAGAGAGCGACAGCCAACGCAGGCTCGGCGTGGCGGGCGCGTATTGGCACCCTGGGCGGCATCTACGCATGGCAGCGAATCATACAATCAGCACAAAGTCTCGAACCGCAGACGGACTGCTTTTGGCCTGAGAATCTGCGAGCACAACGTCGGACATTACGTAACGCTGCAAGTATCTCCAACGAGAACATGGCCAGCGGCTCGAGCCAGCTCGCCATGTGCACGCTCACTGCAGTGCCCAAGGTGAGGCAGGTGCAGGCATGGCGTCGTCTTGCTGGCTTGCAGAGTCAGATTCCTGCCTCTGTGCTTGAAGAAGAGAAGGCGCACCTTCAGCAAGAAGCAGAGCAAAAAGCCCAACTTATCCGGGATGAGCGAACGAAATTGGCAAACCAGGAGGCGGAGATGGAGGAGCAGAGGAAGAGAGAGGCCGCCGTCAAGGTTGTTGGCACAAGAGAGAAAGCTATGGAGGAGAAGCTGAGGGGATTCGATGCCAAGATTGCCCAATTGAAGGCAGAGTACAAGGAGTTGAGAGGGGAGGACATTACGGACGAGGATATCGAGGTTGAGTATCAGAAGGTCAAGCTGTTACTGGCGAGGGAAAGGAGGAGACAGCTCGGCGGTTCCAACCGGTCGGAGAGGAGAGCGAGGAAGAAAGGGGTGGCGGTGAGCTCTTCATTGATGGATACTGCGGCGGAGCAGGGCGGGACGGCGGTGGGAGAGACGGATAGTGGAGCCGACGCAGTCTCCGCGGACGGGAGTGAAGGCCTGTCCCCCTCATCGGACGAGCTGGCCAGTGGCACCACCCTCTCCCAACTTCGTCAAGGCACCGGGCCATCACAAACGCCATCAGCGGGGCCGACCTTGGGCAGGCGAGACTTCTCCACCTCTGCCCGCTCACGCTCGAGCGTAGACCCTGCAACCAGCTCGGACGCCCCATCCGCCTCGTCAGGAGCGGCCACGGCCAACGCTGATGCCGATGCCCCATCTGAGCAGGAGACGTTCTCACCAAAGCGTCGACGTGCTTCCGCACCCCGGAAGGCAGGGGGCCGACGCTCTGACTCGACGTCCGCACCGCCCGCTTGGGCTGCCACTCTCGAATCGCTGCGTAAGGTCCATCAAGACAAATTGACGTACCTCCGCCTCATTGACGGGCGACGTACCCGTCTCACCTCTCACTATGAGAACGAGGCAGAGGCACGCCAGCTCAAGCACGAGGAGGCAATCAAGGCGGCAGCAGAAGTGCAAGCTTCAGAGGTCGTCGAGGCTCTTTGCGGGATTGAGGTGGAGAGCCTCGACTATCTGCTTCGAGGAGTGTACGTGTTGAGGTCGAAGAGCATCAGCACCGCGCTCGCTCGAACCTTCCCAGGGGCAGAGAGTGTGCTGAAACGTATTGGGCCAGACGCAGAAGCCGTCTACGAAAAGCAGCTCGAGCTGGCACGACAGCGCGCACAAGCCTCTGGCGACTCGAATGCCCAGACCCTCACCCCGCCTCCCCTCCCGCCCAAATCTCTCCGAATCCACCCCGACACGCCCGTCTGCGACCTGACGGACGAGCAATGGATCCTACTAGCCCGAACGTTCGAGCGATGGCCTTTCCGTCCTGCTCATCTGTTCGATGAGAGTAAGCTGTCGAGTGCGCCTAGGACCAAGAGTACCTCGAAGGACTCGCCTAACGAGAGGGGAGCGACCTGGACCAAGGAGACGATGATGGCGGAGGTCGATTGAGAAAAGGGTCAATAAGGAGGGACAATCACCACTGATGAACGGGAGGAGGGTCCAATTTGTACTCTGTAATGTAACATGGCGTAGCTGCTCTACGACACGAAGACTGCACCGATCGCTCTTCACGACACTGCACAGTGCTGCGGCTGGGGCTCATTCGTCTCATGCATTCTGCGAATGCATACGATGACGACAACAGGATTCGAGTCGCTGCTTTTCAGCGATCTACAATGCCGCACCCGCTAATCCTTCTCTCTGCCATGTTCTTCCCCCTCTTCCTCGATTGGCCCCTTCACATATTCTCACCCATCCATCCACCTAGTGCTGAGGAAGAGCGCTAATCTTCATCTCGCTCCCCTTCCTTCCGTAGGACCGCCTCCAGGTCTTGTCAATCTTCTCCAAGTAGAAGGCTCCCTCCCACACATCCTTGACATCACCCTTGGGCTCAAAGTCAACCTTGTTGTGCGTCTCCTCCCTCATCTTGAGCGCATCCACGTACGTCTGGCACGGCACGACCTCCATGGCGGCCAGGCGCTCTTGGAGCTGCATCTTCTCCTTGATGTGGCTGACGTCTCCGACGACCTTGGCCGAGAAGACGGAGGCGGCACAGCCTGATCCGAAGGCGTAGAAAAGGATGCGCTTGCCCTGCATGTCTGCGGAGGAGACGTTGGAGATGAGGGAGCCAAGACCGCCGTACAGGGAGGCGGTGTACATGTTGCCTACACGGCGGACGGTGTCGTTTGTAGGCTCGAGCTTAGAGGCTTGCATCTGCTTGGTGTGGGCGGCAAAGGCCTTCTCGACTTCCTTGTTCGTGATCGTCGACTGGCGGTCCAGGTCCTTGAACGACTCCGGGATAGAAGCATAAGCAGAGTTGGTAGGGTCGGAGAGGTAGTCGTTGTAGACGAGACGACCGAAGCCCTTCTGGACGAGCTTTCCGTAGGGAGAGTGGAAGATGGTGTAGTCAAAGTCGTCAACCTTGGCGCCAGGGGCAGCAGTGCCGTTGACGCCATTGGCGCCAGCCAGCTTGCCTGCCTTGGCGGCCTTTGCTCGGTAGGCGTCATAGGCGCGGTCGAGAGCACCGAGGTACGTCTGAATCGTCTCGGGTCCGTCGACAGTGGGGTACTCGGAGTTGAGGTCGGGCTTGTAGAAGTCCCAGTTGTTGGCCATGTGAGTGCCGTGGATGGCTGTAGACGCCAGGCAGGGAGAAGGGCGAGGGTAGAGATGAAAGGTCAGCTATGCGGTGTTCAGTAATCACTGAAAGAGCGGGTTCATGCTCACGCTCAAAGGCGATGGGAGCATCGGGGCCAATGAGGAAGGCGACGGCGCCAGCACCACCGACGGGTCTAGCAGACCCCTCAGCGTAGATGGCAATGTCACCCGCGGTAACAATGGCGTCCCTGCCATCCCACGACGAGCTTTCGACCCAATTGATAGCGTTGAAGAGCGCGGCCGTCGATCCGTAGCAAGCGTTCTTAGAGTCGAGTCCCTCAATGTCTGAGTTGCCCGACGCCTTGAAGAGCTCCATGAGGACAGTCTTGACCGACTTGGACTTGTCGATGATCGTCTCGGTTCCCACATCGAGGCGTCCGATGGACTTGGGGTCGACATTGTACTTCTCGATGAGGTTTTGTGTGACGGTCAAGAGGAAGGAGTTGATGTCCTCGCGGTCGTCACAGGTTGCCATGTACTTCTGGCCAAAGCCAATCGTGTACTTGCCCTTGGGCGCTCCGTCGAAGTCCTAGAGGAAGGCAGGTGGTCAGTTTCAGAGCTTGAAGAGGTAGGCATACATTGAGCTCAGTCGACTCACTTCAAGAGCGTCTTGGGAGATGCACTGGGACGCAGGAAAGCGCGGCGGCGAGGCAAGCGGGATGACGATGGTGAGCTCTCTTGACCTTGCCGTGCATCACGGTTACGTTCTCTCAACCACGGCGTTGCGCTCACCCTCTTAGGGAAGTAGATCTCCATGGCCTTGATGCCGACATTCTGAGGACGAGTGGACGACATGGTGGTGATGCGGTGAAGTGATTGAGGGCGGAATCAAAGGAAGAAGAAGAAGAAGAAGCGGTGCGCTGCTAGTACGATGAGAGCGAGATTGAGACGTGGGCTAGTCTAGGCCTTCGATAGCAAGGAGTGTAGAGGCGTAGCGTGTGAAGTCAGAAAGGAGAAGGGAGGGGCGTCTACGATGCGATGCCGACCGATCACGAGAGTGGTAGTAGTGGAAGGAAGGAGAGCGAGAAGCATTCAATGGTCCGACCAAAGAGCAAAAGCCTTCGTCTCCAAGGCGTCAGTCGGCTGCTGCTGCTTTCGCGGCGGAGCAGGAGCAGCAAGCAGCAGGCAGGCAGGCAGGCAGGCGGGCAGGCTTCTTCGACGTCGATGAGGCGGACCAAGCGAGAGGCGCCCGCACGCCCGCACGCACGGCGCTCGAGCTATTGGAAGAACACACCTCGATCCGTCCCCAACGCGACTGGGCCTCTCCTTGGGTGCCGCCGGGAAAACGCGAGGGCCGTGACAGAGAGACGATGAGGGCAGCTGCGAGATGATTGCGATGAGGATGCGTGCCTCGATACGAGTCAATTGAATGAGAGAAACAACGTGATGAGCATGAATAGATGACATGGTTCACACCTCGAGGTAACTGTCTGCGCTACCAGCCAAAGATGGCATCCCCGATCCTCCCCATCACACCACTTTGATTTCCAGGTGTGCCCGGCCCGCTACCCCCAGCCTGCGTCGCTCCACCTCTCGAGGGCGTGCCTGCGTTGCTACCGTTTGGCGCGGCAGTGGCTCCGCCAAACAGACCCGTGACCTTGCTGAAGGGCGAAGAAGTACCCGCACCTCCAGGTCCACCTTGCGTTCGGGCTCGCAAGGCGGCAGCGGGGCTGTCGACCATGGTCACTGGTCGGCCAAAGGAGGGCGTCGAATCGCGCGCCGAACGAGCACCAGCGCCTGTCCCTGCGCCTGAAGATGCCGATCCGGCGCTTGGTCCACCGATGGGCTTGGTGACGGTTGCAGCCGCCAGGGGCGGGGAGGTCGTGTTGCTCCCGATCATAGAGGCAGCGCTGCCATTGGTGAACATGCTCGAGCTCATTCCATTGAGGAGCATCTCCTGGTGAAGCATATCGTCCGCCAGTCTGACGCCCACATATGCCACACCCGCTACCACCTCGCCACTGCGTCGCAAAGCGCGAAGGGCGTGCCACGGCTCAGCGTAGGTGATACGCAAGCACTCCGAGACGACAAAGCCGTCGCTGCTGCTTGAGTCCGGGGCCGGGGCAAGGGAAGTGTGCGAGGTGATCTCGCCGATGCCATTGAAATGCGAGAGGACAGCGTGGCTTAGTGAGGAGGGGAAGCCGTATAGAAGGAGGGTGCATATCGCGGACTCGCGGCCGTTGTCCATGCGAGAGGGTTGAGCCGCAACTTCTTGCCGCCTGAAGTTGGGCGTATTGCGCCCACCATAGGAGGGAGTACCGAAGCCTGCGCTGCTGTTCTGCTGCCTGTTGGGAGGCGATGTGGCCATTGCGTTGACCGAGTCGCCAAAGGAAGCGGCGCCGAACTGCTCGCGTGAGGCGTCGACGTCTGCCAGAGCCTCAAAGGGCGGCGCATCATCATCGTCGACCGTGCTTTGCGCTTGTGGACTTCCGATGCTCGATGCTCGCATATAGCTGGCTGACCTCTCTCGCCCGGGCGTGCCAGCGGCAGAGGCGCTATCCCTGCTCGCCCCTGGCCCTACGCTCTTGCGGTTGCCGCCGCCGCGCAGTCCTCCTACGCCGAAGATGCTGCCCGACCCGTCGAAGGTGGAGCGACTCTGCGCTGCATAGTCGGTGGGTGAAGAGAAGAAGGAGGACTGGAAACCCTGCAGAGGAGAAGAAGGTCCACCAGCTCCATCAAGGGAATTGCGTCGATTGCCATCGCGAGAGCCTCTCGAATTGGGGGTCGCATGCGCATTTGCTGAACCAGAGCTGAGAGCGGCATCATCTTGCTTGGGAGGCGAGTTGGCATTGTCGCTGACCTTGCGACTCGCAGCTGAGTAGGGTCGTTGGCCGCGAATCTTGCTCAGGTAGCCGGGTAGGTAGACTTGCTGCATCGGGGGCTGGTGTGGCTGTTGCTGTTGCTGGCCGTAGAAGCTTTGTTGGCCTTGCGAGAACATCATCCCATGCTGCTGATCGTGACCATTGTATGGCTGCTGCTGCTGCACGCCGGCTGGGCTCCACCCTTGGTTCATGGCACCACCTTGACTCTGAGCGCCCCACGGCTGCTGCTGCTGTTGCTGCTGTTGAGGGGTCTGGAAGGGCTGCCCTTGCTGCTGTTGACCGCCGGGAAAGCCACCCTGCTGTGACTGGCCGAAGGATTGAAAGGGCTGATGTTGCGCAGGCGTCTGCTGCTGCTGCTGGTACGGATTGTAGCCTTGGCTGTGACCCTGAGGCGGCTGCTGCTGTTGCTGACCACCAAAGCCGCTATTGAAAGGCTGTTGAGACTGTTGCTGCTGTCCCCCTTGCTGATAACCGAATGGAGAAGAGGAGGATGAAGATGAATTGCCTCCTAACATGATGGATGAAACGAGAGAAACCTCACGCCGAGATTGAGGGACGAGAGGCGGAGGCAGACAGTCAGGGAGCAATGGGTGTTCCACCACTATTCGTATTTGCAGCCGCCTTCATGTCCTTCGTCCGTCGATCGCTCATACCACGTGGTCGAGAGAGCAACAACACACACCCGCCCAACACATAGGCGCACATGGCAATTGAGCATCTATCGCGGCCTCAGGCACATTGACAAGGAAGCTGCGTAACCTTCGCTACCTCGTGCAAAGCTCCACCAGCTGGCTACGCTAGTACCGTGTCGTGCTCGAGATCCATTGCAGACTTGCATTGCCCTCACTCCTGCTTGTTGTTTCTTGGAGCCTCGACGCGTCGCCGCCTCCGCCCTGGCACTCGACGAGCGGGCTGAGCAACTAGGAGCGGCTGCCCTGCATCTCGTCTCGTCAACTCCTCCTCTTCCGCCCTCTACCATCATCGCACGCCAAATTCCCCCTTCACACCAGTCACCACGGAAGCTTTGGCCCCTTGAGGCATTGCTCATCGCCCACGACATCATCTCATCAAGGCGTCTTGCTACCTAGTCGCGCCTCCAGAGCGCAGGCATACATCCACCAAAACAAGCTTAGCAGCGCTCACTCGACGCAATGGCATCGACGCGCAGGTTCCACGGTCCTGGTGTCGGAGGGAGGACGGGCATGAGGGTGAATGAGGATGTGCGCTCGATCAGCGGCTATCTCGAGGCAGGAAGAAGGGCAATGGATGAGCACGATCAGAGCAGCTACGACGACGGTGGAAGCTACGATGAGACGACCTACTCAACCAGATCAAGAGGGTTCCCACAGGACTCCTCGTCCCTGTATGCTGGCTCATCACCGCGTACAAGCAGGCGGCAAAGCGGCAGAAGAGGCGATGTGGGAAGCAGCAGTATGGCTATGGACCTCGAGAACAGCTACGCTCCGTCACCTCAGAGCAGATCACGCTCATCACGATACCAAGAGGATGTGCGCAGCGAGGGGGAGAGCGGCGACTCCGTGGTCGATTACGGAGAGGCGGCGGAGGGGTATGATGAAGATGGATATGAAGACGATGCTGGTGGACGATCCAGCCATTCCATCGGTCAGAATCGAGGCAGGCCGAGCGGCATGAGCGACCGAGGTCTCGACTCAAGACGCCAATCCCGCTACGACATGTCCGGTTCAGCTGCTCCGTACGACGACGATGACCAAGGTCCAATGGACGTGGCTGGCGGAGACATGCCCAGCTTCAACATCGACGACAGCGAAGGCGAGAGGGACTATGGCGATGGAGGAATCAGCGTACAGGACGAGGAAGAGGACGATCGAGAGCGACTCAGCGAGGATCCAGAGGAGCCGCGACGCTTTGGCGACGACGACGACAATGCCGGCGACTACAGCGATGCGGCTTCGGCGGAAGAGGTTGAAGGCTTGGCTGAAGCCATTGAGGAGGAGGACCAGGACGACCCACAACGCACGCCAACGCAAGCAAAGAGGGGAAAGGGTCGCCCACACAAGGAGGTTAGTGCGCCCTCCTCCGTGGGCAAAGGCAAGCCCGCATCTCTATCTCAGGCGGGCCACTTCGAAAGCGAGCGCGTCGCATCCAGTCGCGGCCGAGCAGGTAGCGTCATCGACGGCGACGTGCGCCGCTCAACGCGCCATCGATATGCTCCCCTCGAGTACTGGCGCGGTGAACGGGCCATCTACGGTCGTCCCTCTCTTCCATCTTCTCGACCACAGCGTCGCCACGACTCAGCCGACGCGGATGAGACCATCGACGAGAATGTCTTCGAAGAAGCGCCGATCAAGACGTATGCGGTACCCGTACTGCGCGAGATCATTCGTTACAGTCGCCCACCAGGAGAAGGCACATTCACCGGTCTACGTCTGCCACGCAAGAAACCCGTCAATCCGGACGGCACCACAAGGCCCGGCGGGCGAGGTCGGTCGCGCTCTGCCAAGCACAAGATGAAGCGCAGCAAGACTGGAAGCGAGGGAGAGAGCGATGATGAAGATGAGGAGCTCGACCCTACCGCAGCGACGCGCAATCCCGAGGATGGATGGGACGACGAAACGGACCCTCACGGCACTGTGTGGGATGCGGATCGTCAATGCGAGGTCGAGCGCCGCATCGCCTGCCCCTACTCCCAGGTGCGGGCAAAACCAGCGACCAACTCGAGCTTCTCGTTCGAAAAGGTCTTTGGCGTCGACGAGTACATGGCCTCTGGCATCCTGGAAATTCCGGTCGGCGGGTCCAAACCTACAAAGCCCACGAAGGACAACAACTACTCCTTCGCCATCTGGCAGGGAGGGCTCGACATCCGCGTCCATCGCACCATGTTCCGACTAGGCCCCGGAGGAATGTTCATGGTGCCGAAGGGCAACACCTACTCGATTGAGAATTGCAGCCAGCGCAAAGCGGTCATCTGGTTTACACAGGCGCGCCATCCCAAGGGACAGCCAACGATCGAGGGGCCCATCATCCAGCGCTACGCCCCTTGGCCACAAACGGCGGGTGCCGCCGCGTTGGGGGATACGACGGCTTCGCCTGCGACGATCAAGAGGGAGAGGGCAGCAAGTGCCAATGGGATAGCGGGGTCGGCTGCTGAGGGCGGGCAAAGAAAGAAGCAAAAGAAACAAAAGCAGGTAAACGGATCGCCAGGGTCGGATGCCTCAGATGCAGAGATCGTGCCTGCCACCTCGTCGTCTGGGGCGGCAGGGAAGAAGAAGAAGACGAAGAATCGCGCTTGACGACGACGCCGGCGAAAGCAGCGTCTTGACAACACTAGCGAAGCAGCCAGTCATACCCCCTCGAGGTCGCACAGCGAACCCTCGCCCCGTCCACCTCTACCACCGACCAAGCTTGTCACCTCGATTACACTTTCCGCATCCGCTTCTATCTCCTCGTCTACCGTTTCGTTTCGTTCCGTGTATTGTCTCATTGGCCTCGATCGTGTAAACAAAAGCAAAAGGTTGATATTCGCAAGGTGCCTGGCTGAGATTGCGGACTTCACGCGGTGCTGGCGAGGCAATGGATGCATGACTACACACGGCGACCCTTCTCCCTCTACACAGCGTTCTCTGGTGGTATACAAGCCCCTGCCCTTTTCCTTTGGCCCTTGATCGCATCACTGTCCGCCACTTGCGGTCCTCCTCGCTCCTCCTCCCCCTTCTGCACCTGCAGCACCCCTTCTCCTCCTCTCAAGCGCAGCCTGAAGCACGCTTGGCGTTGCCACTGTTCTCCTCTTCTTTACATCCGCGGGGGCAGGGGCAGGCGTCGCCTTGACGTCTTCTCCTTCTTCCTGGCGCTGCTGCTGCTGCTGCTGGCGTTGTCGCTGCTGCTGCTTCTTGACTGTGGCTGCGGACACCATCTTCCTGACTGGAGCGGCAGGTGTGGACGACATGGGTGGAGCTGCACTCCCTGCCGCAGGGCGTTGAGCTTTGCCTGTTGTGGTACCCGAGGAAGAAGAAGCTACACGCCTGCCCTTTGCGGCCGGCTCTTCGCTGCTGCTGTTGGGTGCGGAACGATTCGTGAGGATACGCGGTTGCTCTTGTTGCGCTTGCTCGGTCGAGGGAGAAGATGGTGACAGGTCGGAGCGACGTGCCCGCTTCAAGGACGACGCTGAAGCGTCGGTACTTCTTGAGGGCTCTTCCTGCTGCTTCTTCGCTACAGCTTGCTTCACGTCTTCTTGGTCCTCAGCCTCGGACGGGACAGTGAGAGAGAAGGTCGCTTCCTCGGCAGCTTCGAGCGTCTCTACCTCACGCTGTCTCTTGCGTGATGACGAGGCGGACGACGACGATGCAGCCTTTGGTCCGCTCGTTGTGCTTTCCTCGTCCATGTACACATCGTCATCCACAATAGGAGGCGGCAGATCAATATTCTGCCCCCTCCTTGCCCTCGTCTTCACCTTCGTCGCGGAGAGCGGCTCAAGCAAGGCTGAATGCTCCACTGAGTGGCCCATCATAGACGAAGACTCATCCGCGCCAGCCGCAGCCTTAAAAGCTGCTTGAGCTGCCTGTCTTTCCTTCTCTCTAGCCATCTCCTCCACCTCACGCTGTCTCTCCTCTTCCATCTTCCTGGCCTTCTCCTGCGCCGCAGCTGCCTGCGTAAGGGCTCCCTCAGCCTCGCGTAGTGCCTCTTCGAGTCGCTCCTCGACGCGTTGTACTTCTGCATCTTTCTCTGCCAGGCGAGACTTGAGGGCTTGAAGCTGACGTTGTTGCTCTGCCTGAGCTGTTGCGGATGCTGTTGCGGCGGAAGCAGGGATGGAGATGCGAGAAGGGCCCTTACGGGGAGCAGACTCTGCGGCGGCATCGTCATCTGCTTCATCGGTAGAAGCCGCTGCCGCCGCTTGAGATGCTTTCAGCTCTTCCTTGAGAGCCTGACGCTCGTTGTCCCACTCGTGTATGGTAGCTTCGCCAGCTTTGATGGCCTGACTCAATGCGCGGACAGCGGGATGAGCGTTTGCTGAGCTGCTTGCCCTCGAGAGGTCATAGCCCTTGCTTAAAGCCTGACCTTTGGGAAACAGATCAGATTGAAGCGCCCTTGAAGGAACGGACGTCGAGCCAGCAATGCTCGCCGAAAGGTCATTGACGGCGTTGAGTGCCTCGGTGAAAAGTCGACGAAGCGCCGAGTTGGTGGAGAGTAGCGCGCTTCGCTGAGCCTCGAGCTCGGCGGCTTGTTGGGCGTAGAGTGGCTGCGAGGAGGTCGAAGACGATGCAAGAGGCGCATCGAATACGGATGGAACGGTGGCGAGAGTCGCAGCTCCGTTTCTCGTTGCCAGGATGGCAGCATCCACGAACCTCTCCCTCTGTCTCGCGATGGAACGCTCGTTGCTCAATTTTGCCTGCCTTGCTGCGACTTTGATTGCCTGACATTCACGTCTTGCCCTTGTCAGATCCTGCAAGGCGGTCTTCTTGCCTGCCTCTACTGCTTCCATCTGCGCTTGCACGGCAGCGAGGCCTGCCTTTGCCTGATCATGGCCACGCTTGGCCGCATCGACATCCGCAAGTGCCTCATTGTAGTCGCGTTGGCTGCGCTCCAGCTTGGTCTCAAGGATACGATTCTTGGAGTTCAAAGCCATGCGTAGCTCGGCATCCTGGGCTTTCTCTGCCGCGGCTTGGGTGGCAGCATCGCATAGGACGGCGTACGTTATGCCATCGAGACCGGAGAAGTCGAGGGTGTGACGCGTCGATTGCGGTACGAGTTGGAGCAGCGCTGCCAGTGGACTGGCAGGATCGAGGGCGCTCATTGTCGTCGCGCGGATGCGTGGATCTCGCTCTGTCGATTGCGATGGTAATGAGGATGTATGAGGGCTGGGCAAGGACAACTTGTGCGCCTCGTCGAGCGGAGGTGTTGGACTCGCTGCCTCGCTCGCGGCCTGCATAACACTAGGCCGAAGGCAGGACGGGCACGCGGAGCAATGTCACGTGGTTGGCGGAGCGCATCGACGGAAAGCCAAGGTCCGGTCCCAAAGAAGGTCGCAGGGTCGGTCGATGCCAGTTAGAGCTTTCATTGCCAAGTCCCATCAATGGCACCACGCCTACTCAATCAGCCGTCCTAGCATGTCGAGACGGCGAGGAGCTCAGACGGCGCTAGAATACGCCTGTGGGAGTGCTGCTCAGCGCCCGCCTGGCCCATCAATACCTCATACCCACGCATACAGCCTGGCGACAGCAGCACCTCCTTCTACTTCCAAGGTTCGGATTCCAGCATCTCCATCATACGACCTCTTCTACCTCGCTGCCTTGTCGTCTCTCAGCAGGCTCGGAGGTGCTCGAAGATCTCAGTCTACGCGGCGAGTTCAGACTTCCAATCTCGAGCTGCATCCGACTCCCATCGACTATTCCATCTTCGAAGACCCAGGGGAGGACAGCTACACAGCCAAGGCGGCTGAGGTGCAGGACCCTTCTTCATCATCTACGCCGGCTTCTTTAGCAGCGTACGCAGCTCCGTCTCCCTCACAAGTAGTCGAAGGCATCCTGCGCTCAGACGGCTCCTCCTTCATCACCGACGCCAAGCTCACTGAAGCAACAGCTACGCTTCGTCAATTCGAAGCATTACACGGCAGCGACGGCGCATCATCATCATCATCAGGAAGCATGGGCACTCCTTCCCACCTTTACCTCGATGCAGCCTACGTAGCTTTCACCAAGGGCCGGCCAGCTGATGCCCTCCACTGGATCAGATGCGGGCCGCCCTACTCTAACCATGCTCAGGAGCAGGAGCTGACTGATCCGCAACTCAAGTCGTCCCACCAGGCAGTATCCAAGATCCTTCTCCTGCTCAGCGAGCGTGCAACACGCAATCCCGCTCCACTGAGACAGGCTCTTATCGTTCTCGTTGCCAAAGGGTGGCATGCCTCGGCCGACATCGGGAAAAGGATGATATTGGCTCTCAAGGATGCTTTGCACGTTTTGCCTGTTGAGAGAGGCCAGGCGAGGAAACTTTGCACGCAGATGACAGCTGCTGACAACGATCGGCGAGCACAGCTGGACGCAAAGTCTTTGTCGCCCGAGGTGGAGCAGAAGTGCCGTGAGTTCCTCACGCAAGCCCTCAATGCTATCGTGCGACATCTCACCTTGGTCGGCAGGTACGAGGAGGCCATCGAGATGGTGGATGAGTCCATTGCGATTGGCACGGCGCAAAATACGGTCACACCAGACCTTCCAATTCGGGGCTTTACCTACAAGCTCTTCGTCCGCAGGCTCATCGACAGCGGTGTGACGGAGAACGTCTTTGCAGCGTATCGTATTCAAGCGGCTTTACAGCAGCTGGCCGAAGAGCTAGGCAACGCAGGCGATGCTGTGCTGGAGCAACCTCAGGCATCGACACCAGCATCACAGCGACCCACGCGCTGGTCTTCACGCCAAGCCTCTCGTCTCTTCGAAGAAGGCTCTCAGCTTCTCAACGCCGCACCCATGGATCCCACGCAGTTGGCCTCCTCCTTTACTTCTTCGAAGCACGAACAGCTGAAAGGGTATCACAGCGAAGAAGCTATCTTCTCGGATCTGGAAGCAGGCAGGATCGGTAGGGCGAGAAGGCTGATGATGTCGAATCTGCGCAAGGGAAGGAGAACGTACTGGAGAGCGTCTGGTGGACACCAAAGCACCCAGAAGCTCTCAGAGTTTGCTCATCTACCCAGCGCTAGGCTGCTCGCACGATATCAAGAAGCCAGTCTGGCTGCGCAGGCGTCAGCGGCATCTTCCACCTCTTCGGCAAGCGCAGCCGCAGATTCCTCGCCGCCCAGGTCCGCTTGGCTCTGCGAAGACGTCGACTTCGAATCGGCCCTTGATGCCTCACGCGGAGGCAAATGTCTCTGGCAGACTGCCCATCTCTACCGCTTGTACCGCTCACGGCATCTCATCGAAGCGCTGCGCTACTATCGTGCTACGTGTCACCCTACCCCAGACCTGCCCGAGGAGCTCTTCGAGATTGCGCTGCAGAGTCAGCAACCGGACGCAGCCGATGAGCGTCCTCCCGCGCCTGCGGACAGGAAGCTCCTCTGGCCCTCCTGGCACGCTGCAAACTTAACACTGCGCTGCATTGTCGACCTGATCCGCGCGCCTGCTTCGGGAAAAGCCTCTGAGCGGGACCATCCTGAGGAGCGCCGTGTCCTTATCGACGCAACGCTGCAGCGCTTACAGCGGGCGTACGAGACTTGGCGAGAAAGCGTGGCGAGGGAGGCGTTGCAGGCGCAACGAGTCTCCAGGAGGGAGCGAGTGCACGAGATGGTGAGGAAGGGCAGCTGGGAACCGTCGATGTCCGGGAGGCAAGTCGACTCGTACAGCTTCGACCCATGGCTCTCCGCCCTTGCTGCGGAGCGCCACAAATTGGACGGGGTGACCCTCTGGCGCAGTCAGGAGAATAGATCGCACCTCAAAGATGCAGACGCTCCAGTCGCAGAGGACCACTCGCGACCTCCGTGGCCTACGAGGGACGCCGCATCCGAAGTGGGGGCACTGCGCATTTTTGATGGGATGGCAAAGCGACAGATGTTGGTGTCCACGGCCTCCCATCGAGCTTTGAGGGTGCTCGAGGATATGCAGGATCTAGGTGTCGAGCCGAGTATAGCCACGTATACTATCCTGCTCGATACGCTGGGGAGAGACGCTGGTGCAAGCTATGCAGGGGATAGCAATGCGGCATGGCAGCTTGTGCTTCATTTGGCGCAGAAGCTTGGGCTGGCTCCTCCTGCAAAAGGCGGGGCAGCGGAGGCGAGAACGGCAACTGGCCTTCCGTCAGCTACTCTCCCCACATACTCGGCACTGCTTCACTCCCTCCTCTCCAGAGTGCCAGAGCAACGCAGACGCTCTCGCGCGACCGTCAAAGCCGGAGCTGCCGATACTGCTTCTACCCCGCCGCACCTGGAGAAGGCCCTCATTGTACAAGGCTGGCTCGCCGAAGCCGTACAGCGAGCCTCTGAAGCTTTGACCACCGAAGAGCGTGACGCTGGCAATGAGACTGCTACTACTGGCTCGTCGTCGCTGTGCGCGATCCCACAGGCGGATGTGGCTGCCAACCAGCGTGTTATGGCCCTGCTGAGGAGCGTGGCGGAGGCTGTTGAGCAGGCGGAACAACGGGAGGCGCGAGATTACGAGGAGGGCGATGCAGATGTGCTTCTTCAAAGCGATCGCCGGAATGAGGAGGTCGATGTGAACGGTGAATGGGAAGCTCAGGAGCATCGGCGACATCAGGAGCAGGAAGAGTTTGATGAGGGCGCGTACTATCACTGGGATGATGCGAGGTCAGATCACCGCTACGACAGCGAGCGACGCTGGTGAGCGCTAGGGCATCATCCCGGTCAGGCTGGCAGAACATGGAAATGCGTCTCAACATGTACAATTAAGCAAAGCCAAAGAGAGGTGGCGAACGAACGAGCGAGCGAGCGAGCGCAATACAGTAGCTACAGAGGTTTCAGCCGGCTCTTGTCCCCATCTTCTCTGGTATTGTGCTTCTCAATAGATGAGATACCCAATGTTCAGCAAAGGGAAGCCGGCCATTAACCCAATCCAAAAGATCAAGTTCCCCAGCGTCTCATTGTCCCTAATGATCGGCACTTTACTCAGCAGGATCAACGGCAGTTGACTCATCTGCGCCGCAAAGAGATACCCTCTAATCTTGCCACTTACGATGGCCATGACCAGCTCGTGCAAGAAGGCAGAGAGGAGGAAAGTGGTCAACATGGCGAGCGTCTTGCTCATTCCCAGTCCGGCGATGCTAGAGGCATAGACGTGCTTGAGTAAGAAGGAGTGCACAGGCTTGTTCCACTTGCGAGAGAAGACGTCCATACTCGTGGCGTTCCACCAGTCTTGGTAGAACTCCCTGTCGGCGAATCGGGTGAGCTCCGCAAAGCCGTTGCAGACGCATTCGAACATGATGTAGAAGATGAGGAGGTAGTTGACCATCATGGGGAGCGCCAGCTTGAGGAATGTCTGCAGTAGTGGTGTTTCTGGCGAGGGGGAGTGCGGGATGATGAAGTGCTCGGTGATGACGTAGATGACAAAGAAGGTACCGAATGTGGCGAGTGTCTTTTCAAGAACGTAGAGCGGACGAATAGATTTGGTGCGCGGGTACTCGAGCTCGTAGACGAGCGTTGGGACGAGGAGGTAATCCCAGAAATTGGCCAGGGTGACATTGTCGGGCCAGCAGACACGCTTGTCCTTGCCACCGGCTGACTCGGCTTCGGAGGGGGAGAGACCCTCTGGTAGGTGCGGAGGAACGGACATGAGCTCTTCGCGGAGGCATTCGATTTCGCGCGAGAGAGTCGAAATGAGCACGTCTGGATGGGTGGCGAGCGGGTGAGGATCGCGTACCAGCTCTTCTTGCGCCGTCTGGGATGAGGTAGAATCCTTGCGTTGGCGTGCGGCGGAGCCATTCTCTGGCGATTGCAGCGTTGCTGAGGCGTGGTGGGTATGCTGCGGCTGATCTGGATGCAGCGACCTCGTCAAGCTACCACGGAAGGCTCTATGGCGGAAAGCGCCCATGCCACGCTGCTTGTCTACTTGAGCCCATAGCGCCACCTTGTCGCCCTCGAGGAGCGCGTCGGCCCCTTCACGAGCGTTGGCTTCGTCCTTGGACTTGCGAACCGCCCGATCCCACGCTCGGGCGAGCAAGTCATGCTGCATCTGCCGTGCCTCCTCCTTGCTCTCTGGCAGCTTCTCCTCCTTTTCCCCTTGACCAGCCGCCTCACGTTCGACCTCGAGAACTCTCTCCTCGAGCTGCCGTTCCACCCTTCGCATGCGATGATAATGAATGGACATGTTCCCGTTGACGGCCAAGTAGCTGTGAATCTTCATCATCATGGAGAGGGTGTGCAGCACAAAGAAGCCAGACTGCACCCAGGGCCACTCGCGGTAGCGCGCCCACTTGATGACGCATGCGAGCATCAGCGCCTGCCAAGAGTGCTGAATGATGAGGCCTGTAGGGGCATAGCGAAACCAGCGACGCTTAAGACCCTTGGCGTAAGGGACGCATAGGAAGAGGGAGCCAACCAATACGCCGTCGCTGATGGCGAGAACGATGGCGTCTTTGGAGAAGAGAGTCCAGAAGGTCAGGCTGCGCGAGCGTGCCAGAAATCATCAGCCTTAATTCCCTTTCTCCGAGCAGAGACTTTTTCTTCTTTGCTCACCTGATGATCTTCCCCGTGTTAGTGAAGCTCGTATAGAATGTATTGAGCATGATAATGCCCATCCCAATCCAGAACAAGGTATAGAAGCCGCGAAATGGGTCCTTGGCCGCCTCTTCATTGAAGCGATCTAGTCGACTCTGCCTGGGCTTGAAGCTGACGATGGCTCTGATCTTTTTGCCCCTCTTCTTCTGGTGAGCACTCTGCTGAGGCTTCAAGTGAACACCGCCATCCTTGTCGATTTGGTGCTGCAGCTCCTTGGATCCTATATGCGTGACTGTCGTCGTCTGGCCAGCTACCTTGGGTGCAGATGAGGCGGCTTCCTGGTCTTCAGCATCATCACCATCAATGCTGCCCTTTGGTCTTGTGGTGTACTCGGTAATTACGGTGCTCGTTGCAACGACTTCGTCTGCGCCGCTCTCGGAGCCAGGCGTGGTCGAGCCAGAGTCGGTGGTGGTGCTGGGCGTGGCGGCGCCGCTACTCGACTGGCGCGACATTGCGTGGGCAGCTGCTGACGAGGGGCGAGATGTCTGGTTTGCTGCGCTCGCCATGTTGTGACACTGAGGTGTTGAGGGTATCGCTGGGTCGTTAGAGTGACAAAGAGAAGAGGGAGAAGAAGGTTGGAGGCGGTGCAACTTCACAGCGTCCTTTCCTTGAATAGGTCGGATCGAGTGAAGATTTAGAGCGCTGCGATCATGAAGACGTGGTGTTCGGGCCGAAGATGGAGCGCAATTCAGAGAGAGTCGTGACCACGGCTGCTGATTATTGGAGAGAAGAGAGAGTGGGGTGCCAAAGATGGTGAGCGGACCCCTAAATCCGTGAGGCTATGCCGCCCTTGGTCCCTTGGACTGATCACCTGTCACTCTTGTCTCGCCTCTCGGTCCGACTTTTTCGATCGGGCGGGAAGGATGAGCCGTTCACGCCACAGGGCTCAGTCAATTGCTAAGTCCATGGTATGAATGAATGCGAGACAAAATACAGAGCAAGAGCCTGGATACACATCGAGGAGCGACGTACTACGTCATCCTCGTGACCTTGACTGGTCTGGCAAAAGGAAGTGAAAGCGGTCCGATTTCACGCTCCCGCCTACCGCGCTTAAGCCCTAGGCAAAGCAGGCCGTCCTCCTGCTCTTGTTCCTCCTCGTCCTCACCAGCATCCAGCCCTGCGTTCATTTGCACACTCTTGCTGGCTGGACCTATATCCAGGTGCGCCGGCTCGTGTCGGCCGCGCTTGTTCCAGTCGCCAAAGTAGTCCTGGCGTCGTGACCGACGAAAGGCCTCTGGCAACGTTGTACCTGCTGCTGAGCCTGATGCTGATGCTGGTGTCATGCCTTCGCCGAAGGCTGGCCCACCTCGTAGCCTCGTATCCGATCGGCTGATCAGCTCGTCGCTGTTCCCAGGGGGCCGCGGTGCGACGTTCTCTTCGTTCTCATCGTCGTCGTCCTCCTCGCCGTACTCCGGTCCAACGCTAAACGGTCCCGGACAGAGTAGCTCCTCCAGGTACGCAGTCTCTTCCCTCTCGCTCTCATCCCCCTTGTTGTCCTCGCTTTCCGAAGCGGACTGCGAATGAGAAGACGACGGGGTGTCACCGCCTCCTCCAGGTCGGTCAGCCGTAGCCGTGAGATCCAGTTCAGGCCTCTTGCCCGGCGTCGCGATGACTTGTTTCGTATTTGCTGCCGCGGTCTTCAGCCTCCCGACGTGTCCGTGAATATGGTCGAGCTCGTTGACCACGGAGGATGCCGCATGCATCATCGTCTGGCTGTACGAGTAAAGACGCTCCATCTCACCCCGTAGATCGACGAGGTCGCCCTCCAGCGACAAGAGGCGGGTGGACGCGACTTCCCTTGACGTCTGTCGAGCTATGAAGCTGTCCACTCGTCGAGCTGACATGGCGGCGGCACTATCCAGCGTATCGCGGGATGAGGATGCATGAGACTGCTGAACGTCAAGGGCTTGCGATGCATTCCCGTGCAAGCCACGCATGAAGGCAACCGTCTCGAGCTGAAGTTGGGTGAGAGAGGTGGTGGGCTGATGCACCTGCGCGACCACGTTGGCCCACTCTCCCTTGATGTTGTCCATGAGTCGTACAAAGTGGCCAAGAGCCGCTACGGAGGACGACGATATGGCTTCTTGACGCGACCGAGGCGCGTGCGACATGGAAAAGAGAGCGCACTAGGACCCGCTCGCTGCTCGTGACGATGCTAGTAAAAGGAGAGGCAGTATTCAGTAATGGTGGGAAGGACGAAGAAAGGGGTTGGAGCCTGAGGAGGAATAGACGACTACCTCTCTACTTAGTTCTGCACCCGACAATAGAGCTCAGTCTTTCCTCTAGTCTGGAACCCTTTGCGTGGCCGATCACTCTGGAAATGAGCAAGAGATGCCCTTCACCGTCATTGACCGGAGCCAGGCCCCCATCGATTTGTTCTGGTCCGCGTCCGTCTCAATCGCCATCTCAATCCTGTTTTCTCGATCGGCTCGTCGTTGTCCCGAGCCTACATGGGGGGTACACAGGCCTCTTTACGGGTCCAAAGGGGCCCATGACCCGTTCGCGATCTCCACGGCAACCGTACGATCCGCGGCCTGTGATCTTCAACGCTGCGCTCTGGGTTTTCATAGCTCCGCCAATAGGGACAGGACCGCAAGGTCTAGACCGGCTCACGTAGACGTCGAGGCAGCCCGAGAGGAGACTCAATATGTGATAGATCGGCCCACAAAATCCGGAGCAGTTTTCCTGGTGGACACTGCGATGGGCAGGGAAAATGCGTCCCTCTCTGACCTGCGTCGTCAGCGCGATGCCGTCACCATCTCTCCTTCCAGTCGACGTGGACGTACATTGGATGTTTGCTTGTCCTTGCTCTCGCTGTGCTCTTTCCCACCAAGACATGTGACAAGGTTTGGCAGCTAAGGGTCCAGGCTCTAAAGTCTGAGAGACGACGGGACGAGAGAGAATCCGTGCGGATCGCGAGAGCATCCGGCGTAGAGCTTGTGCAGCGCGATCGCCAGCTCCAAAAAGGGTCCAATGAGCTAGCTAGCCGCTCATGAATCATTGATCATCGCGTGGTGTAATATTCCTTGCATGTTTTGCATTTGGCCCGAAGGTCCTGGCCACTGGATGATCAGTGCACGATAGGCAGCGCCTCGCGATCGTCATGAATCGACTGAGGAGGAAGCTCCGTGTGATCAAGAATGAATGGGCCTACAATGTCGCTCCTAATCAATCAGCATTTTTCCACACTCGTGGGCACTACATGTGATCCTCCATTCGACCGCCTGCCGTCGTCGCATGCCACGGACGTGGTGCTAGCCTCAGCAGCACGCACGAAGGATCCGGAAGTCTATTCAGGCCGGTCTCCTCACTTCTTCGCAATGCACTTGCCGTCCCTTGCCCGTGCCATGACAGAGCGCGTGTATCCCACGCTGGCCGATGCTTTCGACGCCATCAACGGTGCGGTCGTGCCTTGATGACCGTTCCCACCCCTGCCAGAGATGGCAAACAAATCTGGCTTGGTAACTAGGTACACGAGAAGATCGCTTCACCACGATATCGCCGACCGTGATCCGGCGGGCCTTACATCTTCGCCCCTTCTTGTTCTTCTTCACTACGATCCTCTTTCTCAGCCTTGCACGCTAACCACGACGTCCCATCGAGCAAAGCGGGGCTTTACGGCGGCGCATTTTCTTGATATCGCCCGTTCCCGGTCCCGCTCTACCCGGTTGTCATCGTCTTTGAAACGGCGAATGATCTAACGAGGTCTTCCGAGGCAGAGCAAGCAAGCATTGACGATACGTGACTACCACGGCGTGAGACTCTGAGGATACCGAAAGAGCAAGGAAGAGCGATGTGTGTGGCTGGCTGGCTGGCTGGCCGTTCACCCCGCGCTGTAGGGCGCGGTGAGAGGATGCAATGCAAGCAGCCCCCGAGCAGGAAGGAGTCGAGATGGAAGCCCCTTGCTTAACGCCGTCGCGTCCACTCCTCGTCTCGTCCCTCGCCAGTCTACAGTCAAACAAGCGGGCACATCTTCCCTCTGCGCTCGTCTGGTGCGAAGCAGATCCAGCAAATGGACTTCGTATGCTGTGCGGACGCCCTGGGTAGCGGCGCACTTGCTTGCGCAGCGTAGCGTGCTTGCCGCTTGTCGAATAAGACTGGGCGTCACCTCCTCGCAGCACATTAGACTGTAGACGAAGGAGATGACGCCAGGGGGTGGGTCTGAGAAGGAGGAGACGGGGAGAATTGAGCCAGTCAAGCCCGCCCACTCAACAATCCCTGGCATGGTACGCCGCCTAGAACACGCCCATTATCGCGCCCTGCAACGTCTCATACAATCGTTCTCTGGTGGCTCCTTGCTTGCCGAGGAAGCAGGAGGTCAAGTAGTGTCCAGGCCAGGACGCATACACGAACAAGACTGAAGACGAGAAAGGCAGGCGATGAGCTCAGGCGACGAGAGCGTGTGGGGGCATGCAGGGACGCCCGCAAGCACTCTCACCCATGCCCACGCTCATGCTGGATGGAGGAGGCCCTCCGTACCACTGACACACGCCAGGGGCTTCAGTCGTCGTTCGAAGAAGTGAGACTGAATGAAGGCAGCTTACGGCGCGATTCAGTATATAGCGGGAGCGACTGAGCTGGGCCGGGACCATCTTCAAGCCCATTGACCTCGTCCATTCACTCTTCATACAAAGCATAGCATCACCTCTTACACGCTACGAAGCAGCATGTCGCAGGCTTCAACGCTTCCCATCTCTGCCGTCCTTCACAGCGAGAGCAACGCCTCGTGGCACAGCAATGCGTCTGCATCAAGCTCCTCCTCACACATCGACGCCTCTCCTTCATCGTCGAAGCCGTCTCCTTCATCGTCGCCCGGTCTCCTCAGCCTCCAGTTCAGCGCAGACAAGAGGAGAAGATCAAGCGGCGCAAGCTCAATCCTGGAGCCATCAGCCCATGTCATCTGCCCTTCAGACGACAATCATAGAGCCTTTGCGAAGCCGTACCCTTCGTCTTCCTCTGGAACGCCCTCCCCGACGGGCACAAAGCGTAGCTCCCCCAGCTCCTCGACACTAGTCAGCCCGAGCAGCGCAAAGCGCCAACGTCTTCCCAGCATTGAGATCGGCTTCGGCCCTGAACCTCCCTCACTCCTCTCCCCCTCCGTCTCCACCACCGCCCCTGCCGGTCCAAAGGAGACCTACCTCCAAGGCCTCCTGAAGGAATTCGCCTCTCGCGGCTACTCGACTATGAACGCTCACGAGCGAGAACGCCTTCTGATGTCGAAGCTCTCATCACAATTTGCAGAGTTCCAATTTCAGCTCGAGGCGAGCGAGAAGCGGGAGAAGACCCTGCGATCGCGAGCTATGGTCGTCCTGGGCCAGAGAGATCATGCGCTGGCGAAGCTGGCGGAGGCGGAGGAGCAGCTCGAGGTACAGAGGAGAGGAGCGTCAGTATCGTCGGGTGTGGGGCCGGCGAGGAATAGACAGCAGCATCAGACTGTGCCTAATCATGTTACGCCGCTCGGGATGGTCACCGCCATGAAGGCTCAGTGGTTGCCCCCGCGGTCCTTGAGCGCTTCATCACTATATGGTCTGCCGTAGATACAGGTCTTGGAGAGGTTGCCTCCCTTTTGTTCAATAGCATCATCAATTATCCCACCTTGAGACTATCTCGTGAAAGAGCTAAGGCGTAGAGGACAGGAAAGCGAGCGGTCTTCTTGGCCACCACCCAGGCCCGAGGCCCGTAGGTGAGAGCGGCCCGCCGCGGCCCGTTTTTCTGCCCCGCACGGACGTCGAGCTGACGTGGAGAGGTGCGAGTGCGAGTCCAAATTGCCATTTCTCCTTCTTCGTGCATCTACCCTCCCCGCACTCGATCAGTCTGAGACTCGATAGCATGGCATCAAGCGCCATGACTTCGATGAGTGGCCGAGTTGTACTACTCGTCGCCGCCGTCATTACCCTCTTCTCTAATGTAGCCTCGGGCGCCCTCTTCTCCAGGGACTCGCCCGTCGTGCAACTTAGCACCTCCAACTTCAAGCGACATGTCCTTGACATCGAGAAACCTACCCTCGTAGCATTCACAGCACCATGGTGCGGTCATTGTCAGCGCCTCGTACCCGAGTTCGAGAGGGCCTCACGCTCGCTGGACGGCATTGTCAAGTTTGCCAATCTAGATTGTGACGAGGAAGCCAACAAGGCGACATGTGCCCGCTATTCGATTCAGGGCTTCCCAACCATCAAGCTCTTCCCTGCCACCACAAAGCGCCTACCTCGCGACTATAGAGGAGAGCGTAATGCCAAGTCACTCGTTGAGTATGCGGTCGATTCGCTGCCACGCAGTGTGACAAAGGTGAACGCAGAGGACATCAAGGGATTCGTCGTGGAGAAGGACCCAGAGACGCCGAAGGTGGTCCTCTTCTCCAACAAGCCCACGAGCTCTCCGCTGTACAAGAGTCTTGCTCTTGACTTTCGCAAGTCGATGGTGTTCGCTATTGCGAGAGGGGATCAACCACCTGTCCAAAATGCGGCTCGTGTACACCTCGGAGTCAACTTCAAGGGTGAGAAGGACCTGCCTGTCCTCGTCGCCTTCGGACCACGAGGAGAGGAAGCGGCATTCGACAAGGGCAGCTTTGAGACCTATGAAGGAAAACTCAAGTATGACGTGCTGAAAAAATGGCTCGATGGACTGAAGGAGAAGTGGGGAGTCAAGGACACCGCCGCTGGAGCCGGAGATGGTAAGAAAGGGCCGGCAAAGAAGACCAAGGCCAAGCCCAAGACTAAGGCGAAGAAGGATCCGTCGAGCGATAGCAGCGATGAAGCCCTTCCAGCTGGCGGATCCTACGAATGGAAGCCTCCCCCGTCCAGGCAACAGGGCGCTGATGCTGGCCCAATGCTATCCAAGGAGCGTGCTTCAAAGCTCGCGGAGGACATCAAGGCCAAGCAAGACTCGCTGCACAAGAAGCAGAAGGGAGAACACGGAGACGCAAAGAAAATGGCCTTCGGCGCTGAAGATGAGGAGGAGGTGGAGGATGGCCCCGGACCGGCAGAGGTGCAGCAAGGGACCGAGACGAAAGTTGTAGGCGGGGAGGGGCGCGAGCACAAAGTGCAGATGGTATTCGGTGAAGAGCAAACGAAGCAAAAGCAGCCTATCAAGGAGACCAAGGTGGATCCCGACGACCCCTATGCCGACCCAGACGCCTTCCCAGACCATGTCAACGAGGGGCCGTACATCTACACCGACGGCCAGCAAGCAGATGTGCACGCCATGAATCGCATCCTCGAAGAGTCCGGCGCGTACGGAGCGGCAGAAGAGGCTTTGAACCGCGTTGGAGATGCAGCAAAAGTTGCTCGGGAAGGGGCAACTGACGCGATGAACAACGTCAAGAAGGCCGCAGAGTCCATTGCTGAGAAGCTCGGAAGCGCAGGTACGGCCTCGAAGGAGTATGAGGGTTCCGGTGAAGGAATGGACCCTGATCGCCAGCCCTTCATTGCGAAGCGCCGCGCCCTCCTATCCACTTTTGAGCGCTGGCTTGCTGGCGAACACCCCGACTGGCAAGAGCAGTACGGTGCCGAGTTCATGCAGGCGACCAAGGATGTTGAGCACCTCCTTGCTACCGACCCGATGAGGGCCGAGGAGCTCGCGTGGGAGAACGAGGAATGGATGCTTGCTGAATTGAAGGCCGACAGGGAGAAGATGGCTGACGTGTTGGGCATGGGCAAGAGGGAGAATCTCGAAGAGATGATCAGCTTGATTGAGGAAAGGCTGAAGGGGCGTGGTGAAGAGGAGGGCAGGAGGAAGAGGGAAGAGGGGATCGAGGCCGCTGTTGAGGCTGTGTTGAGGAGAGAGGAGAGGGAGAGGGGGATGAAGGAAGGCGAAGCCAAGAAGAAGACGGCGGAGCATGATGAGCTTTAGGCTGACCAGACTGCCCGAGCGTCGATGCCTAAATTAAGCTCTTCTCATCACCAATCATCTCCTACGACGCTCGCAGTTGCACCCTCTACCTGCCCCTCGCCCTGCTCCTCCAATCGCTTCTTGACCGCCAACCAGCCCTTCCTCCAGCCCTTGACGCCAAACCACCTCGTGCCCCACGCCTTGACTTCCTCCATCCAAAGCGCCTTAACGCAGCTGTCTCCGCAGCTGGAACCGCAGCATTCCCCCAGGGCGGGAGGGGGAGGAGGCGAGTCGTGTGACCGAGAGGCGGCTGAGAGGAGTTGCTGGCGGCGAAGCGGGGCCAGGCGGGGCGGAAGAGGGAGTGTTGAAAGGGTGAAATGTGGGTCGGGAGGTGAGGTGGACGTAGACAGGATGGGCGGAGAAGGACAAGGTGAGGTGTGTGTGATGGTCAATGAGGGGCAACGAAGGAAGGAAAGAAGGTCAAATGCCGCACGGGCCGAGTCCAGGCGGACCGAGACCGCGAGCGAGCCGTCTTCTCCGTCCAAAATTGAGCTCAAGTCTGTCTGTCCAGCTTCAATCTTGCTTCCCTTTGCAAAACTACCATCGCCCGTCACCACAAAGCTAGCAGCAGCAGAGGGGAAACACACGCCCCCGACTCACTACTGGCGCCATGCCACTCAACACTCCCGCCCTCACCACCCTTCTCGCCTCCCTCACATACCGTCCAGGCCTCGTCGTCCCTCACCTTACCATCCCGAACCTCTCGTACCTCTCTTGGCAGCACGCCCATTCCCTAGGCGTTCGATCCATAGTCGTAGACAAGGACAATTGCCTTACCGCGCCGCGATCCGACTCGTTGCATCCGGACCTGGCGCAGAGCTGGAAGGAGTGTCTCGAAGTCTTCGGTCGAGAGAATGTGCTCATTGTAAGCAACTCGGCAGGTTGTGCTGGGGAGACGGTGGGGGCTCAGGTGGTTAGTAGGGAGCTGGATGGGGCAACCGTGCTCGTACATCAGGAGAGGAAACCGGGCAAAAGGTGCACGAGACAGGTTGTCGAGTATTTTGAGGGAGTGGCTGCGGCGGGAGAATCAAACGCAGAGGCTTCTTCGTCAACCTCAACCCCTTCTCCGCCTGCGACACCACCTGCCGGGCTGCTCAGGAGGTTGCTCAGCGCATCTTCGTCCTCCTCTTCGCCATCACGACCCCTCGCCGGGCATATCCTCGTCATCGGAGATCGCATTACGACAGATACAGTCCTAGCACATCGCATACAGGACGTCTTGCGACGTAGCCAGCCCACAGCATCTTCCGCTTCGGCAATTGGCTCATCAATAGCTCCACAAGCAGTCGCAATTCTCACTACTCATCTCTGGGCCCACGAAGGAGCACGTAATGCTTTCATGCGCCGCCTCGAGCGGTGGTTACGTACAGCCTATGTGAGAAGAGGGATCAAACCGGGCCAGGTGGGCTGGAGGGGCACGGCTGCAGCGACAGTGGAAGAGAGGCAGGGGCAATGGTGGAGGGGCATCACCATGGGACCGCCGGAAGAGTATGAACCTACGGGGGCGCGGTCCGCTCCTATTTCTGCAGAAGGAGCAACAGAGGCAGCAGCAGCGGAGGTGCCACAACGGCCACCGCCTCTGAGGGACCCAACCCTCTCGGTTCTCCTCTCTTCGAGAGTGCGTCGCCTTTCATTCCTCCCTCACGGCGTGCGCTCCATCCTCGCCGGTGTTGTCAGCAGCGATTTGCTCAGCCGTACCGCCGCCTTCTTCCGAGATGGTTGGCTGCTCATCTTGCGAGGCTGTCGGGAGGGGCTTAACAGGCCGGGCTTGGTCTTCGGACAGGAGGAGCAGGTGCAGAGGAGACGGAGGCATACGATGGGTAGAGAGTTCAGCGGGATGGGCGCTCAGACGGGGCAAACGCGCCCACGAGCGGACGAGTGGACTGCGAGCACGCCGTCAGCACGGCGCTCCTACTCGACGAGGCCATCGCCTCCTTCCAATAGCAGCGCAGGGCGTACCATGCCTCGACCCTACCTTTGGGGCACCCTGGCAGCAATGGTCCTCCTTCCCGGAGCCTTCATTTTCGGCACCTCCCTGAGCTCGCGCGAGGATGAGGCTCGTACAGGCGAGGCCGCTGAGGTGGACGCAGCAGTCAAGCGTGACGAGGCCGCAGCCAAGTCACAAGCGGAGGTGACTGGGGAGACAGATAGGACGAAACAGGCAGAGCAGAGGCAGCGTCATTCGAGGTTGGGCGAGTTGGAGAAGCGAAGATATGAGATTGATGAGGGACTGCGGGATGTCGAGACTAAGATTGCTGTGATTCGAGGAAGAATGGAGAGGGAGAGAGCGGGGCGAAGAGAAGATGTGCAGAAGTGAAGTGGAAGGAGGGACCTGCATTGAATCCTAGATGCCATCGCATTGCAGAGAGATGAGGGGTCTTGGTAGCCTCGCGACGCGAGGGTCAGTGCACGGGACCAGCAAGAAATCAGTCGCCGCGTTTGCCGGTTGCCGCTGTGGAGACCGGGACGTCGAGTGCGGGGGAACGTCAAGCGGAGACACGGGAGAATGGCTCGATTGATGGATTGCTTGTCCACTTGCCATCGAGACCAACTCAAAAGGCTAATCGTCGCGTCGTCGTAACCGTATCTCGATAGAGCGGGCACGATGGCTTCCAGCTCCTACATCCCTCCTCCCTCCTCGCAACCACCGGTCTCTCAACCATTTGGCCTGCGCCTCTCTCCCCTCCCTCATCATGCGCACAACCACAGCCCCCTCACTCCCCTCTCATTCTTATTGCGGGCTGCACTGATCCACCCAGACCGGCTCGCTCTTGACCATCCAGAGCGTGGCTGGCAGCTCACCTTCTCGCAGTGGGCGGCGCGTAGCTTGTCATTCGCATTCGCCCTTGCCGGGTGGGAGGGCAAGGGAGCACTTGAGGGATGGAAGGGAAAAGGGACCAGAGTCGCCATCCTATGCCCAAATGCGCCCATGATCCTAGATGCGTACCATGGTGTTCTCGCTGCGGGAGGTGCTGTCGTCCCACTCAACTACCGCAACTCGAAGCAGGAGCTGGGCTACGTACTCGAGCACTCGGGCGCGTCTATCATCTTGGTCGATTGGGAGTTGAAGCACCTAGTTGAAGGATCCAATGGCCAAGGACGTACAATCATAGTCAGCCATGATTCTGGAGGGCAGGACCCTACAGATCCGTACGAACAGTTTCTGTCGCATGGTCGTTCATTGTGGGATGCCGCTCAAGCAGCAGAAGACCGGGAGTTCGGCCCATCAGCTCGGAGGGACTGGGAGCTCCTCACCACAGTAGAAGAGACAGACCCGCTCTCCGTCTGCTATACCAGCGGTACTACCGGTCGACCAAAGGGCGTCGTGTCCACGCATCGCGGCACGTACCTGGCTGCCGTTGCAAACGCCCTCGAGTCCCGGCTCGAAGCTACCTCGCGGTATCTTTGGGTACTCCCTGCTTTCCACGCCTGCGGCTGGACATACCCCTGGTCATGCACTCTCAGCTTTGCTACTCAGCATGTTCTGCGGCGCGTAGATCCGGCGACCATCTGGCAGGCATTGAAGACGAGCGGGGTAACGCACTACTGCGGTGCGCCTACGGTGCATATCTCTCTCGTGCACCACAGCGGGGCGGAGCGCCTCCCACAACCAGTCTACGTAGCTGTGGCAGCTAGTGCGCCCACAGCTGACCTGCTCGCAAGGATGGAGTCGCTCAACCTTGTGCCCGTGCACGTGTACGGGCTGACAGAGACGTATGGGCCGATGACGCGACGCTATGCCGCGGATTCCTGGTCGGGGCTGGACGTTGAGTCGAGGGCAAAGTTAATGGCACGACAAGGCCACGCATTCCTCACCGCAGAGGAAGCTAGAGTGGTACGAGTAGATGCGGCAAAGGGCAACGAGCCCGTACGAGACAGCAGAGGTCGTCTGGTAGACGTGCGCCGCGATGGCACTGAGCTGGGCGAGATTGCCATGCGAGGCAATATAGTCATGCAAGGCTACTACGCGGACCCTGCTGCCACATCCAAGGTAGTGGTAGGCAGCACAATAGCCAAAGGAGGTGGCGATGGGGAATGGTTCCTCTCAGGGGACCTAGCCGTGCGTCATCCTGGCGGCGAAGTAGAGATCCGCGATCGTGCAAAGGATGTGGTCATCTCTGGAGGAGAGAATGTCAGCTCATTGGCCGTGGAGAGCGAATTGGCTACACACCCTCGCGTGAGGGAGAGCTGCGTCGTTGCACGTAAGCATGAGAAGTGGGGAGAAAGGTGTCATGCTTTCGTTGTGCTGAATGATGCAGAGGAGGACAAGGGGAAGGCGATTACGGGGGAGGAGCTCAAGAAGTGGTGTAGAGGCAGGATGAGCGGATTTGCCGTACCTGAGTGGATTGACGTGGTGCAGGAGTTGCCCAAGGTGAGTTGCGGAAGGGCGATGAAGGAGGGGAAGAGGATGAGAAGACGTATGTTTCACTGACTCGATACGCTTTCCCCCTCTGACTCCCTCGCAGACGTCGACGGGCAAGGTGCAGAAGAATATACTCCGCGAGAGGCTTAGCAAGCTGTGAAAAGGGTTGGGAAAAGGTGGTTCGGGCCGAGGAGTGTAATGCTGTCACTTGATCTGTATACGTGAATGATGACTCGAATTCGTGAAGCTCGACTATGAAAAGAGAAGAAGCTTGAGCGCTGGCTGAATACGTGTATGAGCGATGGCGATGATCGCTTCGGCCATGCTTGTCGTGCTCCAGAGCTGATGGATATATGACGTCGTCTCCTGCCTTTCCCGTTTCCCGCGACTCTTCAAATCGTCCAGTGCCCCCTTGACCACCTCACTCCTGCACCTCCTCGATCGTAACCTTCCTCTTCTTCACTTCCTCCTTCTCCTCCCCTTCTCCATTCTTCTTGGTCTCCTTCTTAGGTACATTGATACGAAGCAGTCCATCCTTGAAGCTCGCCGAGATCTTGTCCAGCTCAGCGCTCTCGGGAAGCCAAAGGGAACGAGAGAAATGACCGTAGAGACGCTCCGTTACGTGGCCGTGGATGCGAGGCTGGGCCTGCTTGTCGCTCGAGGTGGAGGAGGAGGTGGCCTCGCTGGCATTGTCCCCGCCCTTGCTGCTGCTTTTCTTGGCGGAGGCGAGGTCGCGGGAGTCGTACTCCTTCCTCATCTCCCCCTCGATACTGATCGTTCGGCCTTCATCGTCCACGTGTACCTTGACAGCGTCGCAAGGCATGCCGGGGAGTTCGGCGCTTAGCTGAAACTTGTTTTCGTCCTCGTGAACGTCAATGCGGGGCGAGAAGGAGGAGAGAGTCGAGTGGGACAAGGTCGGGACCTTGGCTGCTGTGGCGAGGGCAGAATGGTTGGGAAGCAAGGGCCCAGTGAGGAGAGGACCGCCAAAGACGCCGTTGCCGTAGTCGTTGGCATTGAAGAGCGGATGGCTGAAGAAAGGGTGGTATGGCCAAGTGGCAGCGGCCTGACGCTTCTGCTGCTGCTGCTGCTGGGCGAGAGTCTGATGATGACCTGCGTGCTGTCCGCTGCCCTGACCCTTGGCCACGGTCGAGTGTTTGCTTCCCTGTTGCTGCTCGTGCTTCTTGCGCTGCTCCAGCTCGCGATGCTGGTCCCTCCTCTGTTGCTCGATGTGACGATGCTGACGGGCGGCAGCCTCCTCGACGTCGTGAGCGTTGTCGTACACGAAAATGGTGCCGTCGTCACGGTGCGGACCAGAAGGGCCAGAGAGAGGCGACGTGAACATGAGCTCCAGGATGGAGGGGGCGCGGGTGAAGGGAGTGTTGTAGGACATTGTCGACGCTGTGTGTTGCTGGTGAGGTGTCGGCTTCGTGTGTGCTAGCTTGCGGCTTTGGACACAGCAGGTGAGTTTCTGCTCTTTTTTGTACCCTTGCTCGACGTCATCAGGTCGACGGAGCGCGACCATCGAGGTCGGCAGTGCGTGGCTCGTGCACGGGGCGAACGCTCTCGCAACTTCGTGCGCGTCCTCACGGGAGCTCGACATTGCCATCGCAATATCTCGCCGCCGCCGACGGCCGCCGACGAACAACGAGTCAGTCAATGGCGCCCTGCCGCCCGCTGTGAGCTGCAAGCGAAAGCCGCTGATCCCCCAGATCACTGCCTGCCGCAGGAGCGAGGCGGCTCACTCGCTAGGCCGCAGCTAGCTGACAGCAGTCTAGCCAAGCCTCACAGGACGACGAGCTAGGTGATCAAGATTGTGCAAAATACAAAAGACAGAATAGAAGCCCAAGACATTCCTACGTCACAACGGCCGCTCTTGACGCCTCATGGCAACGGCTCGCTGCTGCTGCTCAACCTACTCAAGCTCAGGTAGCAGTCAGCCCCGTATCCCTCCCTGTCAAGCGCGGGAACGAAGGACGAGAGGAGATGGTCAGCTCATAGACTCTACCTGCCTGCCGCCAGCGCGCCCGTACCCACATTGAGATCAACTTCAGATCGCCCCCAAAGTAGCGCGCGTACAGCCTGGCCAAGGGCAGACCATACCCAAACCCAGCCATGGGCGCCTTGAAGTCTGACGCATTGAAGTCCGGGTCTAGATCCTCGCTCTGTGCCGTCGTGTACATGTATGTCCAGACCAGATTCATCTCGCTCCTCGGAATCCCTCCACCCTCATCAGAGATCTTGATCGTGATATCCTCCTTTCCCTCTACCACCACTACCTTGATTGGTGGGAAAGACTCCTCATTCTCCACGCCGTAGCGCTCCACCACAGCACGCAGCGAGTTCTTGAGGAGCTCGAAGAGCATATGGTTGAGGTGGCTCGGCACGTACATGAAGGTGAGATTGCGCGGGCACACCAGCTGGACGGGTGGCCCCTTGAAAAGGCCATAATGCTCCTCGCAGACGAAGCGAGCATTCTCGATCGCCTCATGCGCCATGGCCCCCACGTTGGTGTTGGTGCAGATGATTCCCACGTACTGCTCTTGCTCTGGGTCCTCATGTCCCCCAGTGCCCGCCTTGGCGGTGCCAGGGGAAGAGTCGCCGAGCGGATCTCCGTCGAGGGTCGTGGGTGTTGAGGGGGACGTGCGGGCGAGGGCGATGTGCTGGCCAATGAGGATGCGAATGCCTATGCGGGAAAGGTAGAAGCGGTCCAAGAAACGCTGTACGTCTGCTTGGATGTTTTCGCCTTCACGGGCACGCTTGTATTCGAGGACGCCTTGCGCTACCGTAGTGACGACGGCGTCGTGGCGCTTCCTGGCAGCGATAGAGAGGCAGAGGAGTAGCAGGTCAGCAGCCAGCTTGTCGTACAGCCTTGCTGCCCGCTTTACTCACTTGATCTTCTCGAGACATCGCGTAAATTGCTCATTGTAGTCAATGACCTCCGGAGGCCACTCGATGCCAGACAGGTTGGCGTAGTACCTGTGTGCAGGGTCAGGCGCGAAGAGAGCAGTCAGCGCCATGCCGCTAGCTCCCAGGACACTGCCTGCAGGCTCACCTATTCGCAAGCGGCACCCTCTTCTTGGTCCAGCTTCCATTCCCACCGTTCGCACTGACAGTAGCGCACGACGCACCCCTTCCAGCCACTTCCCCCTCTTCTGCTCCATCCTCCATGCTAGCCATCTCATCAAACACCGGATTCGTCGTCGTCGTCCGATCCATGATCATCTTCCCGTTACTACCACTCCCCTCGCCTCCACCGCTACCGTTGGGATCTGAGGCGCTGGTGGATGGGGCTGATGAAGGATTTGAGGGAAATTTTGCTGCGATAGACTTGGGAAGGCGAGGCTTGGGAAATGTGACGAGCTCTTCGAAGGATTGAGCGTACCAATCTTTCACTCGAACGATTGAGGGCATCTTGTTCAAGCCGTTGGGTAGCTCGTCCAGTTCTTTGACCCTGTGCGCCAGGCGAATGGGAAGCTCCTCTGCGGGCAACAGCGTGGGACAGAATATAGATTGCAGTCAGCGATGGAGTCCAATAGACTGCTGCTGGCTCGACACTGCTCACCAGCTAGAAAGGTGCCAGCTTGAAGAATAGTACCCGGGTTGGGATTCCTGCCAAACTGGACCATCTGGCGCAGGGAGATGCCCGTCTGTGGGAACGAGGCAAAGTGGTGCAGCTGCGACCATGCTTGCGGTGAGATACGGTAGGGCCTAATGAGAGAAGAGGAGGTAGGAGGAGGGCACGTCAGGACTGAAGCATGCTAGGCTGCTCATCGCAGCATACACTCACATGGTCGAAGCGGGTGAGAGGATCGGGAAGGGTGGTGGGAAGTGTGTATCGTCCTATGCCGGACTAGTGGATACTATGAGATCGCCGGTGATGAGGGTAGCATCCAGACTTGATGGTGGCTAGATTCAAACAATTGAGCCGGATGCTGGAGTAGTACAGCCGGTGATTGGGTGACTGTTGGCAGAAGTCAGGCGAGCGAGCAGGGCGGGGTGCTGGAGCGGTCCAGCTTCTTGGGATGGGTTGCTCGATGGGAACGACGCTGGATTAGGGCTGTCCAACAGTGTGGGTGATTTGCTGTCTTGCAAGATGTCCAAAACTGGCTGCGTCGAGGTCGTCGTTGCTTTGATTGGCAATTGAGTCACTCTTGGATGTCGAGGTGGTGGACAAGAGGGCAGCGGACGCGGGAGGCGGGAGGCGGAGGAGCCGCCCAGCGGCAGACGGCCATTTGCGGGGAACAGACACAGTCTCAGCCGACGGCCGGTCCACTCGTCTCGTCTGAGCTCGTCGAGCGTGAGTCGATGCATCCATTGACGCCAACGCCGCCAGATCCGCGGGGGGCTGAGATCACGACGGACAGGATTCTCGAGCTCTCTGAACGCAGACATCGTCGATCACGAGTGCAGCGCACGCTCGGCGACTGAACATTGACGCAAGGTATTTCTTTTGAAAGAGAAGGATGAAGTCCTGAGTGGGTCCGCTATCCAAATTTCGTCCCGACTCCTCCTGTCCGATTAGACGCCCATGCGTTCTGACAGCTCGTCGCTCTTCTTCTCAGCGCCCTTTCCCCGCTCATGATGATGGTGATGCCCACCGGACCCATTCTCACCACCACTATGCGAGAATGAGCTCGACGACCCGCCAGCAAGACCTCCACCACCATTCGCACTGACTCCTGAAGAGAAGCCGGCCCGATTGGCCAGCGCCGTCAGGCTATCAGTGAGGGCCGTCAGCTCAATATTGCCCGCTGCCCTCCTCGAAGTCCGCTGGATATTAGCCCCGATGGGGCCAGCAGTCTGTCTCGCCCAAGCTCTCGCCTTCTGCAACGCACCCAACCATGGGCCAGCCAGCACCTCCTCCCTCAATGGCTCCCCAATCCAAAAGGCGTTGCTCACGCACTCCTGTGCATCCTCAATGATCCAATCGTACCACATTGCCGCTATCGGGACGGTGGCCAGGTGCCACAGGGCGTGAGCGTCGAGGGCGCGGAGCAGAGGCGGGAAGTCGAGGATCTCGAGGCAGGCGGCGAGGGTCAGGAGGAGAACGATGAGGCGAAGCCGCCTGCGTGCCTTCTTCGATGTCGAGGGGAGTTGCACCTTTGACGAGACGGGGGCCGGCGGTGAGCCGCCGTTGGGCGTTGTGAGGCCTGAGCCAGGCTTGTGAGCTCGTAATGCCGCGCGGGTAGCGTAATAGGGGTCCCTCGACCCGTCCGGGAAGAAGCCAGGTACGAGCGAATACGCCAGCCAGAGCAAGTTATGCCCAAGTGCTAGGAGCACGTTGACGGTCATGTTGTACGAGTAGTCGAAGCGCGACGCCAGCGAAAGGTAGAGAATATGGAGCGCCAGTGCTGCTCCGCATACCTTGAGTGAGAGGGAGAAGCGTGGGTCCTGCGGTGCCATACGGAAGAGGCGAGCAATAGTGAAGAAGAAGCCAGAGAGGATGGCCGCCCCTGCTGAGAAGTAGTCCATGCGCTCCGTGAACGATTTGTCCCGCGCGTGGAAGATGGCTGACCAAGTCCAGGCGTTGCAGCTAATGAAGGCGTGGGCGAGGTAGACCTGTGCAAGGGGAGGAAGGGAAGACTTCGTCAGCTCGAGGTCCACGACTCTTCCTTGACTGGCTGCATGGACTGACCAGCTTCAGAGGGAAGACGTCTGGCAGCTTCTTGCTGAGGATCGGGATGTACTTGACATGGACTGCCAAATTCATCAGGCTGAACAGCACGCTAAGCGGCTCCTGCGTGCCGAGAACGCGGATGAAGACCCCTGGCGGTGGACAGGATGTAGATCGTCAATCGAGCTGCTCATCAAGCTGTCGACTTGCACTCTGATATACTCACACTTGCCGTGGTACTGCACCATCTGCTTTTGCACCGGTGTCAAGGTATCAATAGCCGCCTTGATCCTTGCCTGAATCCTCTCATTGATCTCCTTCCTGCTCGCGCCCCTGCCTCCCGACGCAATTGCGCTCTGCACCTCTGCCCAGACACTACTCTTTGCCTCATCCTTGATGTCCTTGACCCTTCCAAACGCATCGTTGGTGACGCGATGCGTGCAGTGGTACGCACAATCGTCTGGACATGTCCAGGCTGTCAAGCGCAGGACGAAGGGTAGCTTACTCGGGACTACTGTGCCATCGCCATCTGGTGCCATGACCTCGTGAGGAAGCGGCCCGCATACGTCTGCCGTACATGAAGAGACGCAGTGCCTGTACTCAGGTGACCGATCTCCTTGTGACGCTTGTGAGAGTGGGAAAAGAGCGCAAAGCACGAGGACAATGAGGGTGGTGACAAGCGTCGTCCGTCTGGAGCGGCGGCGTGGTGTCGCTGCTGCTCTTGCTGAGGAGCGAGGTGTTGATGGGCCTGACTCGTTCATTGTGTCGAGAAGAAAAGAAAGAGAATCGGGTCTTGCTGAGGTGCCCCGAGCCGCTGAGAGAGAGCAATGATAGCTCAGGCACGGCCCGCAGGTTGGAAGAAGACGAACGAGGATGGGCCAATTGACCGCGATGAGCTCAACGGACTGTTGAGCGCCTTGTCCGCAGGGCTGCGTCGAGAAGAAGGTGAGATGATGAAATAGAGGGTGCAGACCTGTTTGCTAATACCGTGTGGCACAAGGCGAACGAGGGCGAGGCAGATTGAATGCTGTGTGGGGAGCTCCGATGTCTTTTAGCAGCGACAGACAAAGCCGTCGACCGTCGACTGGCTCCCTCCGTCCCGTCCGCCAACATCCATCGCGTGGCAGCGGCGCCGCCCGCCGCTCTTTCGTGTCGCGGCCTACGGTGATGGCGACGAAGAGAAGGAAGATCGGTCGAGCGAGAAAGGCCAAGAGGCGATGTCAAGTCGTGTGTACGAAGATTGCGAAAGTCGACTGCCCAAGACATTGAGGGCGGTGAGTGGCGCTGCTCATCGAGACTTCAATTCACGCTCGGACCAGAGTCGCTGTGACATTGCGAACAGGACGCGAAGACCGTGCTTCACGACGAGGTGAAAGGGCAAGCACACACGAGCAAGGAGCCCTAGGATCGAGACAGACGTACGAAATTACGGAGTGCTCTGTCTGCGTCAAAACTGTTGCGCCGAGAAGAACGATCGACCCCTTTCCCACCACCTCCCCTCTTTCATTGCAGATAGGACGAAACTTGCAATGTCGAATGCTTTGCTTCGCTCGGGTCTGACCTGGCCATGCCGTGATGCGAGAGGCTCACGAAAAGATCACTGAGCCTCAAATCCGTAGCTGGATTCGTTGAAAGCAGCCTTCATGGAGCATCGCAGAGGTCAAGCTGTCGATGCGATTCCTTGCCAGGGTCAGATGTCGCCATCTCTACACTGCTCGGCCAGTACACGTTCGGTCAGTAGCGTCGTATTTGAACCCGCAAGCGCAGCGCATGGTCGAGAGAAGCGTGCTGGCCTTGAGAATTTGGCCTGCTCCGGTCCCACGCTTGGAGCTCGACCCTGTTCAACAACCTCCAAGCGGCAAGCGTTGGCGTGGCGTGCGACCTGGTGGACAGACCATAGCCCGTAAGGGCGTCCAGAAGGCAGAGCAATATCTGGGGCCAGAGCGGGGCAGGCACGCACATCTGTAGGGGGCCAGATGGGTGTGACCCGGGAAGCAAGGCGGCGAGCAAATAGACTTCAGCGAGGCAAGGATCTGCGGCCGGCGGTGAGGAGAGGAGCTACGACGAGGACAGCTGCCGGTAACCATAACCTTCTTGGATCTATGAGGCAATTACATTTCAAGCTTGACGCTCGCCTTCATCAGCTTGGGACAGGAAGCGTGGCCGTGCTCTCTCTTTTCCCCCTCTTCCTTCCCTGCCTTAGCGCGATGCGAGTCTTGACCACGAGCAGCAAGGTAAGGCCCTGCTAGCTGCCGGCGTGATCATGGCTTGAAAGGCTCTCATATCGCCAGAAGGCCGGTCATGTGGGCGATTGTGATTTGGCGTTGGGCAACGAGCATTAGCAATGAAGCGCCCCCGCTGGATCTCAAAGCGGGAGAAGGCGAAAGACGAGATTGTACCCGTAGCGAGGCAGCTGCTGGCTGCTGGCCCTGCTCCTCAGCCGGACAAGCCGGATTGACCGGCTGAGCGTGGGCGGCCGGCCGGCCGACTGACAGGGCGGGCTTGGGTGGGCTGAAGACTATCGCTTCAGTCGATGGACCATTCTTCTGCATCTGCTACAGCGCTCCCGCACAGTCATCAGCATCACGCTGAAGAGGCGAGGGCGTTACAGGGGTCGGTGACGAGGCTGAGAGATACGCCCGAATAATGACATGCCGAACGAGATGAAAAATTGTACACGATGGTCCTCGATGGCAATGTCAAGGACCTCATCATTGACGCCGTGAGCACGAGCCTCTTCCCACATTTCCTGGGGGCTCGGCGAAGGTCCAAGCGCGCGACTGTGAGGAGATCATCGGCTGAAGGATCCAAGCTCGCGAGGCGTTACGCGATTAGAGGGGCGATGGCTAGGTCGAGGTTGAGGTCGAGGTTCAATCTGAGGGCGTCTCAGACGGGCTGACTGAGTTGAGTTGGACAATCGGACGCCGCCCGCGAAGTGGCCGCCCGCCGGCGTTCTCCCTGACCTGGACGTGGGAAGAAACGCAGCGCCTGGCTGAGGTGGAAATTCAGCCTCCCCCTTGCTCTCTCCTTGCAGAGTCATCACGCTTTAGAGCTGCTTGCCTGTCTGGCCGACTGCCTACTACGGCTTCCACAGCTCATCAGGCGCGGCAGCGAGGCGCAGATCAGTGAACCTTCAATCTCGTCTGTCTGCTTTTACGGCCCACGGGCCTCCTCGATATCCTCATCCAACGCCGGCTTGCCCCTTTCACCGGTGGCCCCCTCCTTTTGACCTCTTGCAGCTACACCCAGCCGTCAGAGCTGTCGGCACTGTGAGCTGCAGATGAGTGCAGATTGAGCGAGGAGGGAGGGGCGAGAAGGAGGCCCAGCCGCTGCCCCCGCTCAGATGAAGAATTGATCTGCACGCGACTTGCCAAGGGCGAAAGAGGGCGAGAAGAGGACGATCAGCGCGTGATGGGGCCGGCCCAGCTGGACTAGCCTGGCTGCGATTCTGCGTTGGGAGTTCGGTCAGTCGACGCGTTTCATGCGAAGAGATGCCTTGATTGCCTTGCCCCTCAGTCACCCCCGAACGCGATTGCGATGGATCGAGGGCAACAGCGCCGATTGGATTCAGAGCCTATAAGGGGACGCATCGCCGATCTGACACCCCATCCCATTGTCTCGTAGTGTCTCTCCCTCTCTCGTCCCTATCCCGCCTTCGTCTCAAAGTTCGCGCTCGCCGAACCTTGGCATTGGTGACAGCCTTTCAAACAAACGTACCAGCGACTGCCTCGAAGTTTCAGTACGCCACGCATCCGGCCGTCGTTTAACTGGCGCCTATCATCCACGAGTCGCATTCAATCTTGAGCATCCTTCAATAAGGTGCGCCCGCAGCCCATCCTCTTCATCTATCACCGCCCTCCTCCTTTATCTGCTGCTGCCGCCGCCATGTCGACCGTAATGGTGCCGCAGGTGTTCCCGGCCATGGACCTCAGTCTTGGCTGCATGTTCATCGGTCTTATGCTGAACGTCTTCCTCTTCGGCATGTCCATCGTACAAGGTTACATGTACTTTGTCAACTTCCCCAACGACAAGATGTTCATGCGCGTCTACGTCGGCGTACTGCTTATCGCAGACACACTCAACTGTGTTCTAGACTGCGGTTTCATGTATCAATACCTCATCAGCCACTTCGGAAACCTCGAGTACGGTGAGCAATGCCAAGCACCTGTCGTCAAATGGCACCTCGAGCATGTAGCTGATCTCTTTCCCCGCACTCGCGCTCTTGTGCACAGCCTCGAATGCCAACCCACTCTTTGCCGCCGACCCCGTCCTCACCGGCTACATTGCCTTCACCTGCCAATGCTTCTTCGCCTGGCGCGTCTACCGCCTCATGCACTCGTGGTGGTGCCCCGCCCTCATTGTCCTCACGGGCGCCACATCCTTCCTCAGCGCCCTCGGCACGACGATTGGCGTCACAATTGTCAAGACGTTCAGCGAGTTCCAGAAATTCCAGGTCGTTGTCATTCTCTGGCTCGCATGCGCCGCCTTGGCCGACATGATCATCACCGTCGCCCTCGTCTGGACGCTGCGCAAGTCGCGCACCGGGTTCACGGCTACGGACGACGTCATCACTCGTCTCATCCGCGGCACCATCCAGACTGGTGCGGCGACTACTATCTTCGCCTTGGCCGACTTGATCCTCTTCTGCGGCTCCACCACGACGCTCCACTTGGTCTTCAACCTCCCCCTCGCCAAGCTCTACGTCAACTCCCTTCTCTCGACGCTCAACGCTCGCACCTTCCTGAGCAACACCCACGCTCGCCCCGCCGCCAGCTTCGACGTTGTCAACAACGGCACCAACCGCGGGTTCCGTGGCACGGGCCTGGGCAGCGGCCAGGACACGCTCTCTACTGGCTCGCCCACCAAGCCCTCCTTCAAGCGCGCCCTTGGCATGGGCGGCGCGGCTCAGCGCAGGCAAGACAACATCGAGCACGGCATCCAGGTCACCACGGTTGAGGAGCGCTTCGAGGATTCGCCCTATGCCACGAGCGACTTCCACCACCACAGCCACAGCCACAACCAGCACCCCATGCCCCGCCGTCCCCAGAGGGGTCCCGACGTCGGCTTCGCCATGGGCACTGAGCTGCACCAGATGCCTGCTCTGACCCACCAGACGTCCCGACCAGGGTTCAGGACGATGGACTCCAACGACACGCTCGCGCAGGCGCGAAAGGGGTCCTCGTCCGATGACGCTCTGCCTCACGCCCGCTAGACGGGTGTGTGGTAGACTTGCTAGAAGAGCGCAACGGTTGGCAACGAGATTGTTGCTGGGTTTTGACGCATTCAATTGCTCCCCCTTCGTCTCGTTCCCCCTCCGTCCCTACTGCGTACTCAGGTAGACGCCCGTCTATTATACACATATACAATACACACGCGTGCTTCCCTTCTATTCAAAGCGACACCCTATACACTCTCCACAAGCTCTCCCCGGACTACCACTTTTCTGTAACATTATGCTTCCTCCTCATACCTTTGCTGATAGTCATGCCATCTTTGCTACTACTCACAATAACGCTCCTGCGAGCCCGCATCAACTCTGCCGTGATGAGAGTCGGCCGTCTTTCAACTGACCCAGTCAGCGTGATGCTCGCGCACGCTGGTTTATCACATTGCATCGCGATCACGATGACAAGTCGGATGGATGATCACTCATTGCAATCAAGTCCAGTAAATCTGGGTCGTCAGCGAGACGAGACTGTTGACGCCCACCTGATCGATGCTTCCTTTGTTCGTCGCTCTACGCCGCCCGCTCTCATCTCCGATGGATCGCGACTGCCGAGCCTGTGTGATCAATTGACGAGGCAATCCAAACTTGAGACGCGGCCAATACTGGATGATGACGATGGAAGTGATGTATATGCTCAAAGATAGGGAGACAAGTAGGCAGTCAAAGCCTGAGTTCGCTCTGATCGTAATGGGGTCATTGGAGCGGCACGCCTTGCGGTATCTATGTCCATCCCGTCTCTCTACGCTAAACCTGTGTCAATCTGCCCCTCCACTCCTCCCTGACTCTCCAAGGGCTATCCTGTTTCTTCCCCTCTCTCTGCGCCACAACGTCCACCGTCTCTGTGATCTTCTTCTTCGTGACGCCTTTGATGTGCTTAAGGTCGCTGAAGAGTCGATGGACTACTACGGGCTTGGTGTCCTCCATTCCTTCCACGCTGCGGATGACTGAGCAGACAACTTCGTCTGGCAGGGGCAGGGATGCCGGTGTTGAGGCGGTCGGAGTTCCGTTGAGGGGAGCGGCGGACGAAGAGCTGCTGGCGGACGATGATGACGAGGCAGCCTCTCCACTTGACAGAAGCGCGTCGAGCGGTCCCTTGAGCTTGGGCGCTGACGAGGAAGTCAGTGTCGAGCCTGGCGTCTCCGTAGTAGGTGCCGCGGCCGCTGTGCCCTCAGCACCACCGGCCTCCTTGACCTGTGCAGCTACGTCCCCACCAACGAAAGTAAACGGGTCCAGACCCGGGTACGCATCGTTGAGGAACTCCATCTGGTAGCCCGTGAAGGCCGTATGCGCCGGCTCAAATATTTGCTCCTCCCAGCAGGGGCCGATGGTCATGGGAACCAGCTTTGCAGTAAAGCGACGTGAGTTCTTGACGACCTTCTTTTTCTTCTTGTCCTTGCCGCCGCCAGCCTTGAATCCCTTCTTGCCTCCTGTGCCCCCACCTCGACCGGGCAGAGGGATGCGTCGAGGAGCCGCGGCGGGTGTTTTGGAGGACGCGGCTTCGTGGCGTCTGGCGATGGGGGAGAGCGGATTGCCAAGAGGATCCGTCTCGAGGACGTCGCTCATGTTGTCGTCGTCGTCCTCCTCTTCCTCCCCGCCTGCAGCCCCTTCGCCCTCGTCCTCCTCCAAATCATCAACAAGCCAATCATCCATTTCATCGCTTCCGTCTTCACTGACGCTCATGGCGTCCTCACCGTCATCTCCATCCACCTCCTCTCCCTTCTCATCGTCCCCCTCAACCCACTCCGCCTCACTATCGTAATTGTAGTCCAGCGCAACCGGGTCCTGCCGGAGTGGCTGACGACCAGAGATCATGTTGGAGGGGCGGGTCCACGTACCGAACCAGCCTGGGCGCAGGTCGGTAGCAAATTGAAGAAGCTTGATAGGGACCAGCTTGCGGTCTTCGCGCAGAGACTCGAGAGCACGGCGGGCTCGCTGCTCCACCTCGGCATCGTTCGCGATGGCGGCGTTGTCTCGAAGGCTGATGGCGTCGCGAACGCTGAGAGGCGGGCGGATGGAAGCACGCTCACGCTTGCGAGTCTGCTCCGTGGTGGGAATAAGGCTTGCGAAGGCCTCTGAGCGAGACAGCTCGGGCTGCTCTGCTGCCAGAGCACGGTCGAGCGCGTCGAGGTCGACGACCTTGCGGTGACTGAAGCGGTTGATAGGCGCGAGGTGCTTGTACTTGACGGGAATGAAGGCGCGTTGGAAGTCGGTCAAGCCGTCGTCGGGCTTGACAGGCGTAGCTGGCGAGCCGCTCTCCCTAGCAGCGGATGAGACAGAGGTGGAAGGCTTTCCAAAGAAGGCTGAGAACTTGTTGGCAGTCTGCTTTGTGAGCTCTTCCTGCTTGCGCTGCTTTGCTTCCTTTTCTTCCTTGCGTAGCCGCTTCTGCTCTTTCTCCTCCTCTTTGCGCTTCTTCTCAGTTAGCTGCTCGGGAGTCAGGTTGTCCTCCTTCTTTTTGCCGCTCGCTGTGGCCTTTTTCTTCCCATCGGCTTTGCTCTTCTTTGTTGGTGAGGTACTGTTGCTGTTCGACCCGAGACTACCTCTGCGTGAGCCGCCGCCGTCATCATCGCTGTCGTCTTCAATCACTACGACGCCCGAATCGGCTTTTGAGCTGGCCTCGGACGCCGTCTTGACAGGGGAGCCAGTGTGGTCATTGTCGTCGACAGGAGGTACCTGTGGCTTGCTTGATTGCGCTGTTCCAGAGCTGCTCGCTGCTACTTTGGTGTTGGCTGCCAATGGTCCAAACGTCGTCGCTTGTGTTGGTGCTTCTGCGGCAGCGGCCTTGGCGCCCTTGCCTTTCTTGCTATTCAACAACTGCTCACGCTCCTCGTCAGAGAGAGCATGAAAGAGCTCGAGCGCCCTTGCTCTCGCCTGCTTACGTTCTTCACGCCTCTCTATGATGTCGTCTTGTCGCTCAGCAGGCAGCAGCGTTAGGTCGCGCACCTCCCAGCGCCAGATCTGAAGCGCGGCGGGTATCGAAGTGGGAGGGGCAGTAGACGATGAAGCCACGTCGCTGGGGCTGAGACCGTAGTTGACCCTCTCTGCTATCTTGGCGATCGTCTGCTCGAGGACAGACAGCGGGAGCTTGTCGACGGCCTGGCTGGCCTGGCTTTGAGATTCGTCTTCCTCAGCGAGAAGAATCTTGCCTCTGATCGTCTTTGCGAGGGCCGCGGACGTCTGTTCGCTCTCGTGGACGTAGCGGGCGATGAGGGGCAAGCTGGCGCCGTCAATGGACGAGAGAGATTCTTCTGCGTCTTGAATGTACTTGTTGTTGAATTCAAGAACGTCTACATGGCAAAGAGGACGCGAGTGTAAGTGCAATGTTCCCCACTTACGCGTGTTCACTGGGGCGCAAGATCTTACCTGCGAGGTGGGCAGTCGTATTGGCGAACTTGTGTGGCTTTTGCTTGAAGACAAATTTGCCGGCCTTGAGCTGAACTTCTTCTGTGGCGGTGATGGCGATGATAGTCAGCACGCTGACCGCTCCATGTCGCGTCATCCTCTCGAGCTCACCTTGTCCTATCTTTGCTTTCTTGGCGATGGGCTGCTTTGGACGAGGTGGCGTCCGGAACCCGTCGCTTGTCGCAGTGACCTTCTCATCCACTTCTGCTTCGTAACCATCGTCATCTGCCTCCTTTTCAGTGATCTTGTCGCCTGCTTTCCTCTTGGTCGACGCCAGACTAGATGGTGACACGCCAGGGGCATCGCCCATCTGGACGTCTGTTGTATCGCCCTTAAGCCGGTTGACGTCTGCCTCGCTCATGATGGCGGGCCTGTCCTCGTTGATGCTGTGAGACATGCAAAAGCACCTCTCCGGTAGCTCAGCTAGGGGTACCTGATCGTGCTGATGAGGGTGGTGATTGGTGACGGTGATGGAGTGAAAGCTGGGAAGAGTCGAGGGCCCAGGGCGCGCCTCACTCGAACGCTCACGCCGCCAGTCCGAAATGGGCGTCGCGTCGCGAGACGGGAGAGAGCGTCAAGCTCCGCCCAGAGGCAGAGAGAGAGGCGGACAGAGAAGCAGCGGGGGGCGGACGCGGCGGCGAGAAGCTCACTCGATGCTAACCAACTCAACGCTCATTGCCGCTCAGCTTGTTCAGCACCATCGCCCACGATGAGCATGAGCATGTTCGCAAACAAGCCAAAGGCAAAGGCGGCAAAGGATGACCGGCCGCCTGTCGCAAGGCCGTGGGTCGAGAAGTAGTAAGTGGCGCACCGACTCATCCCGCGCTTCCAGCTCGGAGACCCATGCTGACCCAACCTCGTGCTCCCTCCATCGCAGCCGCCCAAAGAGCATCGACGAAGTAGCAGCACAAGAGCACACCGTGAATGTTCTCCGCAAGACACTGCTTTCCAGCAATCTACCCCATATGCTCTTCTACGGCCCACCAGGAACAGGAAAGACGTCAACCATCCTTGCCCTCGCTCGCCAGCTCTTCGGACCTGAGCTCTTCAAGTCGAGAGTCCTGGAGCTCAATGCCTCCGATGAGCGTGGTATCAGCGTCGTGAGAGAGAAGATCAAAAGCTTCGCCAAGCTCGCCGTATCGCACGCCGACAGGTGAGTGGGCTCGATGATGTTGGAAGGCGCGTGATGGAGCTGACTTGAGATGGTTCGTACATGAACAGCGACTTCCCCTGCCCGCCGTATAAGATTATCATCCTCGACGAGGCAGACAGCATGACCCAGGACGCACAGAGTGCGCTGCGTCGCATCATGGAGCAGTACAGTCGCATTACGAGGTTCTGCCTTGTCTGCAACTACGTGACCAGGTGAGTTGCGCCCTCTCTCTCGCCTTTACCCTCTCCTCTGTCCCCGTTGTATGCTCACCACCGTCTCTCACTTTTTCGACCTCGCTCGCAGAATCATTGAGCCTCTAGCGTCACGCTGCAGCAAGTTCCGCTTCCGCACGCTGGACACCACATCCACAAAGGATCGCCTCGAGTACATTGCTAAGGAGGAGAACGTCTCCTTCGAGAACGGGGTTCTCGACACTCTCATCAAAACCTCGGACGGGGACATGCGACGCGCCATCACCTACCTCCAATCAGCCGCCCGTCTCCACAGTAAGGGCGCCGTGGGTGGCGATGGGGAGAAGGCCTCCTCCGCCACGCCGGTCACACCCATCTCCATTGTCGAGATCGCCGGGGTCGTCCCGCACAGCGTAATCGTCTCCCTATGCGACGCCATGGGTCTCGACGCGCCTCCAGACTTCGAAGGGGACGCAGCAATGTCTTCTGGCAACAAGCCTCCCAAGGCCTCATTCGAAGCCGTTCACTCTGCTGTACGACATTTGGCCATTCAGGGCTATTCGGCCTCTCAGCTCTTGACGCAGATCCACGACTATATCATCGAGCATCCAACCCTCGAGGCGCAGAAGAAGGCAAAATGTGCTCTGGCAATGGGAGAGGCGGACAAGGCGCTTGTTGATGGGGGCGATGAGGAGTTGCAGTTGCTGAATTTGTGTTTGAAAATGATGCGGGCGCTGAACTAACGTGAGGGCGAGGAGGGGAGAATATAGAGGAAGGGAGGGCAGCGATGGAGAGCGACCGAGAGCGCTTACTTCGGCCGTCATGTACTTGTACCATCACATCCACGCACACTCGAAGAGAGACAATTGATCACGTGGATCTCATCAGCTTGAGCGCAAAGAGAGCACATCTGATTATTCCACGACGCCAGAGATAGATGGATGATAGTAGCTAGTATACAAGGAGTCGATGAAACGCGTAGACGTAGGGGCAGGAGGCGCGAGGATGCGCCGCTCAGCGCATCTCGAAGCTCGCGCTCGACCTCTGCGGTACATGTGTGAGATCCAAGCGTTGAAAGGGCTCTGAATTGGAATGCCAGTAGAAGGCAGTAATACGCCCACGGGAGGGGCGTGATGCGCCAAGATGATCTGATGATGTAGACGGGGCGAAGGGGGATGCCGACGACGGACGCGAGGATGTCGCGCCAGACGGGCGGGTATCGCGGGGGCGACCACGAGGTGTGGAGCTGACGTTTCCTGATGCTGTTGCTGGTGTCACGTATGCTGCGTCGTCAGGCAGGCGAGTCGGGCATGGCGCTTCCTCCTCTGCAGCGTTGGGGATTCCCCTGCCCTCCCCGTCCATGGCCATGACCATCTCCATTGCTCTTCCATCCTGCTCCTCCCTTCTCCTCAATTCGCGGAGCAGCGCCCGATTCGCGTCATCGACATCGTCTCCCACCACGTCTTCCATGGGGACAGCGACGTCGCCCGTCGAGCTGCTGCCATTCGCAGTCAAGTCATTGGCGCTGCTACCTCGCCTTGACGGGCCGAGATTGCGCCTAAAGAGACGATACTGCATTTCCGTTGGGCCCGAAGGATGGTGGTAGAAAGGCTCGGTCGTGGCCGTGCGCTCGCGCTCGCGCTCCGGCTGCTGCGGCGCTGTTGACGAGGACCGGAGAGTAGGGCTACCATTGGCGAGACGACGTTCGCTGACTGGCGTGCGAGTGCGATTGAGCGAAGCCCCCGCGCCCTCTGGACCGCCATTGTCCGCAGCCAGTGGCGACGAAGGCGATGGCGAGGTCTGCGCCGCAGTTTGACTGCGATTGTTCGTCGCAGCTGCCATCGACGCGGCTGAGAGCAGTCTCCGATGGCTGAGGTGCGTCCTCGCCGGCGAATGGGTCCGGGTGGGAGCTGCAGTGGACGCAGACTCGTAGAGCTGCGAGGTTCTTGGCCCCGGGATCGCCGCTGACGAGGTGACACCCATCATTCTCGCCTCCATCGCCTCGCCCGACTCAGGCTGGTCTTGCTCGCCTCCTCGTCTCATCTCTTCATCATCCTCGTCGTCATACTCTGCATTCCACTCGTCCATGTCCCCAAACTCGACACAGACGTAGTAGAAACCAGCGAAGGAGGCTCCATGGATGTCTCGGACGCGCCAATCGGGGACCAAGAAGCGCTCCTGCGCGCACGAGGAAAGAGTGAAAGGGTCAGCATCGATGCGGACATCAGGCAATGCCCTGATGCTCTCGTTGCTCACCTTCCATCTCATGAACACAAAAGGTTTGTTGAGATGATTGAATCGCGGCCCTTCTTTCTTGAAGGTCTCCTGCAGCTCGAAAGGCATGAATCGGCTCCAATGCTTGACATCATCCGCCTGGCTTGCTCCCCACTTGCCCGTCGTGAAGCGATGCTCTTGCCCGATGATCTCTGCCTCAAAGTAAGTGGTCATCTCTGGCCAATCCTCCGTCAGACCGCGGATATTCAAGTAGCCGTCGAGGTGCGAGTTAGGCATGTCCACATTCAGGATTTCGACTGTGACGTCGTAGCTTAGCCGGCCAGACTTCTGATAGCCTTGGAACTTGGCGCCTGGATAAAGACAGCCACGTCCTCGAGGTGGTTGGCGGATGTGGGTCACGTCTCGCGTGGGGTCGGGGCGGTGCGGTTGGTACCAGTCGACGTGAGGGAAGGGTGGGTGTGAGGAGGAGGACAAGGAGGCGGCTAGCTTGTCGTCCTCTGGTGAGACGGCCGACTTATGCGCGAAAGGGGCGCGCAGCGGATGATTGAGAATGCGCGATGCCGATGGAGACTGAGAGCGATGCGCAGAAGGAGCCAGTGTAGAAAGTCGAGGTCGCGTCATCCTCGAAGGTCCATATCGCTCGTCATCTTCGTCTCCCTCTCCAGATCCATTTCCATTCCCATGTTCATCTGCCACGCCCGCCGTGCTGACATCGACGTCGACGTCCATATCTCCAGCCCTTATCGCGACGGGATTAGCTGCCGGCAATGGCTCCGGGTCACGAGGACTCTCCGTAGACAAGTTGCTGCTTGATTCAATGCCGACGCCTCTTGAAGGGAAGCTGACGACGGGGTTCAGGAGATTGAGGTGTGAATCTCCGGCTGTCCGTCTTGGTGACGTCGTGCGACTTCTTGTGAAGCTTTGTCTGCGAACGAGCGGATCTGAAGCCGTATCGACTGCTGCGGCTGGCTGTAGTGATGCTAGATCGGCCTCACTTGACCTGTCGCCTATCGTGATGGACAAGGGCATGCTCGTGTCGAGACCGGAGGGGGACGTAGGCAATGGCGCATCCTCTGCGAGCGTACCTCGAGGTGCTGCCGCAGCTGCTGTCGCTGATGTTGCCACTGTTGTTGTGGTCGCCTGTGCAGCATGACAAGCCTGACAGATCGGCTGCCCTTGCTCGTCTCGAAACACCTCAGTCACCCTCATGGCATTGCCTGCTCGATCAAAGCCACCATCGCCGCGTTCGCTACCCGCATTGGGAGACAGGATGAAGGTGTGACTGCCCACATTGAGCGTTCGATGTGGTGCGAGGACATCGTCATCTGAGGCCCACTCAAGAGGGCAGCCGCAAGCGTGGCAGCTCTTGGAATCCACGATGCGTTGCGAGCCGGGGACGACTAATGATGACGATGCGGGGCTACCTGCTGACGTTGATGCCTCTCCATTGTTCGACTCAAGGCGATCGGTATGCGGAAGAGGGGATGAAGAAGGGCCAGGGGCCATGATGAAGCAAGCAAGATCTCAGCCTTAGCTGAGTGAGCCAGGAGGAAGGGAGGGAAATGAGATAGCGAGCGAGCCTGTGCTGGACGGGTGGGCCACGATGCGACGTGATGCGCAATAGCCTTGTGACGACGGTGACCCTTGCAATTGTTCAACGAGGTGAGCGTGGTGGCAAGAGAGCAAGAGGCGGCAATGGGGACGAGTCGCCTTCGACGTCGTGGATAGTGTGAGAAAGGGTCTGACGAGGGAGAGGCTGCTGCCTGCCTGGTGCTGCTTCCCCGGCCCGCCGCCATTGACTGGAGGCTCGGGAGGCGGAAGGGGCGTGAGTGAGTCTGACGCATTGCATGAGCGAGCGTCGAGCCAGGAGGACCGTCGTCGACTCGAAGCAGCCGCCAGGCGGGCGCCGCCAACTCTCGACTTCGCACCCAAGCATATGCCGCGCCCGGCGGAGGCAAGACGCAGACGAGTCGGGACGAGGGAGCGGAGAGGAGAGAGGACCAGACGGATGAGAGCGAAGAATTTCAAGCAAGGTCAAACGTAGCATAGCTTCAAGCCTCTTGACCATCCTCTTTCCAAACATCCCAAAAGCATGGCGAGAGGCAACAATCATCGTCGCGGAGGTAGAGGTGGACGAGGGGGCAGAGGTGGCGGGAGAGGCGGGAGAGGAGGCGGCAAAGGATGGGACCATTCGCGAGACAAGGGATACGAGGGACCGGTGCTCTCCAACTACAAGCTGTGAGTGTGGGACCGCACGGCGCGGTCGTAGGTGCTGATGCTGACATGGTCTTGTCCCTTGCAATGCGCAGTGAGGCGTACTACCTCGACCAGGGCATCCTTCCCGCCGAGGAATGGCAGCCATTCCTCGACGCCTTCCGAGCTCCCCTCCCTACGTCCTTCCGCTTTACAGCAGGCAAGTCCACAACTCGCCAGCTCATCAACCAGATGCGCGAGCACTTTGTTCCCGAGCTGAGCAAAATCGACATCTTCGAAGGCGAAAAGATCCCGTCCCCGCAGCCCCTGACGTGGTACCCTGATGGGCTCGCCTGGCAGATTGATGTGCGCAAGAACGTTCTGCGCAAGCAAGAGGCATTCAAGGAGTTCCAGCGCTTCCTTGTGCACGAGACTGAGGTCGGATCCATCTCGAGACAGGAGACAGTCTCAATGATTCCTCCCTTATTCCTCGACGTCCAGCCTGAGCACATCGTGTTGGACATGTGCGCCGCTCCTGGCTCAAAGACGGCTCAGCTCATCGAGGCGCTGCACAGCCCTACGACTTCCTCGCCAGAGGATTACGACCCTACGCCCTCTGGCCTCGTCATCGCAAATGATTCGGATCAAAAGCGCGCCTACATGCTCGTTCATCAGGCCTCGCGCTTGCCCTCACCGAATCTCATCGTCACAAACGTCGACGCCGGCTCATGGCCGCGTATCAGCGTTCCTTGGAAGGCCGCGGACGACGAATCTAGCCAGGTGGTAGCAAAGGACCTCCGTTTCGACCGTGTTCTCGGCGACGTTCCCTGCAGCGGTGATGGCACGCTGAGGAAGAATGCCGGCATTTGGAAGGACTGGACGCCCAACAATGGTCTCGGCCTACACAGCGTACAACTTCGTATCTTGCTTCGTGGGCTGAACAGTCTCAAGCCCGGCGGAAGGATGGTTTACTCGACGTGCAGTCTCAATCCCATCGAGAACGAGGCAGTCGTTGCTGCTGCTCTGCGAGAGTGTGGGGCCAACCCAGCGAAGGGGAAGCAGGGCAGCGTGCGCATCGTGGATGTTTCTGAGCAGGCACCGGAGCTCAAGCGTCGCCCAGGTCTGACGACTTGGAAGGTCGCGCCTGGGCAGGGCAGACATCTGTTTGCAGGCGCGGAAGGAAACTTGGAGCCCAAGCAGCCTGCCAAGGATCGACGGCATAAGAGGGAAGAGTCGCCCGAGGCGATGGCGACGGAAGGTGGTGCAACTGCGGAGGGCAGTCAGCCGGTATCAAATGACGTGAGGCGAGAGAGACAACAGGACACGCCTGAGCCAGCTGATACTCCCGCTGCAGCGGAGACAGCTGAAGCTGCGGAGCCTGCTGCTGAGCCAGCGCCAGGCAGCGCCGAATACAGGGCCAAGCTCCCTGCCATCCCCTGGGTCGAGAGCTGGGAACGCCTCGAAGAGCTGGACAGGGCTCTCGCAGCACGCACGGCGAAGACACTGTGGCCCAAGGGCGATGAGGCTGCCTTGGGACTGGAAAAGTGCATCAGAGTCTATCCTCACCTGCAGAACACCGGCGGCTTCTTCGTCACTGTGCTTGAGAAGCGTGGTGATCCCAAGACGGAGAGCATGTCACAGGGAATGGTTCGAGCGGTCGAGGCTATGGACGCGGGTGCGGAGGCGCCGGACTACGTCGCTGCTGCTGCAAAGGACAAGAGCAAGGGGAAGAGCAAAGATAGGAAGCGGCCCCTCTCTCCTTCGTCCGCTGCGCATGGCGATGAGGATGCCAAGCGCGCTCGTACTGAGGATGAGGATGATGGCGAGGGCGACGATCAAGACGGTGACGCAGAGGCGGAGGAGGACGACGACGCAGAGATCGCCGCTCCATCTACCCACGTCAAGCCAGACAATCATGCCGCCTCGCGCGCCGCAGCTCGTCAACAACAAGGACGCAATCAAACGGAAGAGACGCAGCGTCAAAGTGACGCCGGATTTGGTCTGCCAGGGGGTACGCCCTTCCGTGAAGACCCCTACAACTACGTCAGCACAGCAAACTCCGAGTCTCTCTCCCTGCACAAGTACTTTGGTTTCTCTTCCGACTTCCCCTCGCGCAATCTCCTTGTACGCAACCCGGATGGCAATCCTTTGCGAACCATCTACCTCACGAGCAGCTCAGCGCGCGCGATCCTCATGGCCGGTGGCCAGGGGGTCGCTCCTCACCCGACCCTCAATCCCGTCAAGCTGCGAACGCTCAACTCCGGCGTGAAAACGTTCGCGCGTCAAGACTCGAACAAGACGGGCGACCTCGAATGCAGGTGGCGTCTCGTCTCCGACGGGCTGGCAGCTGTACGCCCCTTCCTCGCGCCGGAGAACATCGTGCCCGCCACACTGAAGGAGCTGGCCTTCCTGCTCAGCGAGTACTACCCATTCGTGGACAGCCTGCCCGAGGGAGATTGCAAGACCCTGCTGCAAGGCCCTAGACTGGGAAGCTTCGTCATGGCTGTTGCGCCGAGTGAGCATGAGGGTGTGCAGCTGAAGGAGGGGATGGACGTGTGTCTATGGAGAGCGGCTACGTCAGTCAACTTGATGATGGACAAGACGGATAGGACAGCGTTGTCTAACCGCATCTTTGGGAAGGACCTCTCCGCCCGAGCGAGGCAGCAGGCTTTGGAGATGAATCAGAAGAAGAAAGAACAGGCTGCTGCTACCGCCAAGGTCAAAGAGGAGGCCGGCGAGACGCTCGACGAGGACGCAGCCGCCAACGGCGATGCGGCTGAAGTGAAGGAGGAGCAGGTTGACGTGCAGGTCAAGGAGGAGCAAGGTGAGACGGCTCAGATCAAAGAAGAATAGAGGGAGTAGAGTGCGAAAGCATTGTAGCAGGACCGATACGTACGAGCGGTGTAGAGAAGGCAATGTCACAGCGTTACGATGACTCTGCGCGAGACTGGCTTGTCAGCTTGCTTTGCGCATGATCGGCCCGCAGCGAGAAAGCGGCGAGAGTGTTGGACTGCACCCTGCCAGTGTTGCTCTCGCTTGCCCCGTTCCCTCTCGCTTGACGTTTGATGGATGTCACTAGACGAGGCTAATCCAGCGCTTCCTTCTTCTGCCCACGTCCTGCCCTACCTGTGATCTCGCTCTGGTCCCCTTGTCCCCTTGCCCAACGTCCGTCATATCATGCTTTGATGGCTCACCTCCTCATCCATCGTCGCCTGCTCGACATTTCGTCCTCATCTTCGTGGGTAACACCGCCTCCGTCGTCGCCGCCGCCGCCGCCGCCGCCGCCGCCGCTTTCGGGCCGCAACTTCATATACGGCCAACCCCTTGCCCCTGCCGCCCCCGCTCGGGCCGTTCGAAGAGGCAATAGCATTGACGTGCCTATTTTGCCAGCTGAGCATACCAGAGCAGTTTTCCTTTCTTTCCCTCACCGCCACGAGACTCCTCAGTCATGACGCTCCCTGCAATGTCGCTCCTGCTGCGACTTCTCATCGTCGTTGCCATCCTGCACCCTCTCTGCGTTCTGGCGCAATGGCCTCATCCGAAGAAGATTTCCGTGGGCAAAGGCACTCGCTCCATCAACGTCAGCAAGCTGAAAGTCACCTCCGACTCGCATCTCCCGAATGATGTCAACGACGCCTTCGAGCGCTTCTTGCATTCTATCAAGGAGAAGCCCTTGGTTGGGATCAACTCGCCTGGAGGTGCAAGTGGCAGCCAGCCTGGACAGGGCATCGCGGAGGTCCATATGTCGCTGCGTGGCGGAGGCAAGTCGAAGCGCGGCCAGCAGCCCTTGACGTTTGATGGCCTTGAGATCGTGCGCCGAGCTCAGAACGACTCCATCTACCGTGAGACTGTCGGGTCCAAGCTCGGTCAATACAGCGAAGCCTATCATCTCAGCATCCCAGCGACCGGTGCTATCCGCATCTCATCCAACTCAAGCCTGGGTCTGCTTCGAGCCCTCTCCACTCTTGAGACGCTCACCGTCGCTGACGGCAGGAACAAGGAGGCCCGCTACATCACTAAGACGCCAATCGAGATCGAAGACGAGCCTGCCTATCCATACCGCGGCTTCCTCCTCGATGTGGCCCGGAACTACCTTCCCATGCCCGCTATCAAGCGACAGGTGGATGCCGCTTCTCTTGTCAAGATGAACCAGATGACGCTCCACATCACTGATAGTCAGAGCTTCCCTCTTCAGCTACCGGGCAAGCTCAAGAAGCTGAGCGAGGCGGGCTCGTACGATGGGCAGGTCTACACGCCCGAGGATATGAAGGGTTTGATTGACTACGCAGCCGCGCGAGGTATCAACGTGAACGTCGAAATCGACATGCCTGGCCACACGTACCAGGGCGTGGTCCAGTACGACCCTTCGCTCATTGAGTGCCCCAACAAGCCAGACTGGAACAATTGGGCGAATGAGCCTCCTAGCGGTCAACTGAGCCTCACCAACCCAAAGGCAAAGCAGTACGCAACAGACGTCATCGAGGCGACGGCAAAGCTGTTTCCCTCGTCTTACTTCTCCACTGGAACGGACGAGGTCAACATCAAGTGCTACGGCGCCAAGGACAAGAAGGACATCGATGACAAGCTCAATGCTTTCCTCAAGAATGCTCACGCTGCTGTCACCAAGGCGGGCAAGACGCCCATGGTCTGGGAAGAGGCCGTGACCGACTTTCCCAAGACGGGCAAGAGCCTTCCGCCTGACACCCTCGTTCAGACTTGGATCTCGTCAGACAGCGTCAAGAAGGTCCTAGCTGCCAATGACAAGGTGCGCGTCATCAACTGTCCACTGGATAGGGTCTACCTCGACCTTGGTCGCGGCGAGTGGCTCCAAGGAGCAATCGGCCAGTCCTACAGCCCTTACTGCACCTGGGGCGCCATCTACACCTTTGACCCCCTCAACGGCACTACGCCCGCAAACGCGCATCGCGTCGTCGGCTCGCAGACCCTGCTCTGGAGTGAGCAGTCAGACGAGACGGTCGTCGACTCCCTACTCTGGCCCCGTACGGCGGCGCTCGCCGAAGTCCTTTGGACGGGCAAGAACAAGGAAGTCAACGGTAAGAGCAGCAAGCTCGACCCGGTCGAGGCTCAGCCGAGGTTGAATGAGCTGAGGAAGCGACTTGTCAAGACCAAGGGAGTCGGAGCCACCCCGTTGCAGCCGCAGTGGTGCGACAATCATAGCTGCCCAAACCCTTTCGGATGAGGTCAGCCAAAGGAGAGCTTTGACGGACAATTGCAACCACTTAATTGAATCTCTCCGCCCTTGTGCGTTCTCTGCCTCTCACCTCTTTCTCACGATCTCACTTTCACGACCTATTGTGTATCTTCAGCGTCCAGACGTTTGCTATCCTGCTGCTTGATGCAGCCGCAATACATCGCCGCCTGAATTCTCTTTGTGCGGTCACTGAGCTTCAGGTGATCTCGTGACCTGTGAGAACCATCACATGGCCAGCAAGGCCAACGTGGTGACATCATGCCTTCCATGCTTTCCTGCGCCTGCACCGTTTCTTCTGTGTGCGACTGCGCCTGCTCAAGCTGGCCTCACGGTGCCTCTACTCACTAGCGTGTCTTGTGGCAGTGACGAGGGGACGGTATTGTCACGGCTTCGGCTGGACTTCCGACAGTGGCGCTACAGCTTTCTCTACAGCCTCGACACGATGTGCACCCACACGATCTACGACTGCACGATTCTCTCCGACGAGACGTTGCTCCTTGCTGCTAGGAGTGCCCGTGATCGTGCGCTAGCTGGTAACCTCTGAGCTTAATCCTGGCTCTTCCAAACGAACGATCATCAACCATGTCTGTATTCCGCGCTGGCCAAACGACGTCTACTCTTACTTGATCAGCCCTGGTGGGGCACGATACCACTCCGCTGCTCCCCACCTTCCACCTCCTACCATCTCATCTGATTGCGCACCGGCTCCAGAGCACCCTGCTCCGTTCTGTTCTGCACGTACGGTCAGGTGCAAATACAACGCTTGCTTCTTGCTTGCCTGCACGCACGCGCGCCTAGACACGCACACGCCCACGCTTTCCCCTATTCGTATCTCGGCGTTGCTCTCTTTCTCCTCTAAGCACCGTCAGCGCAGCCGCAATGCCATGCCATGCCCGGCTATGCTGCTGTGCCGTCCAAGCATTCCGCGGTCATTCGATCGATGGTACCGAGCATGTCGACCCCGGAGAAGAAGATCTGAACAATGAACAATGATGAGTGCGGTTGTGTGTTGGCGTAGCGCTAGAGGATAAGCGCACGAGGCTAGCGTCGGCACAAACTTGGACGTGCGGGCATGTGGGCGTTGCAGACAAGAGCACCGGCAGCATCAGCTAGTCGACGCAGCGCGGCTAGTCGTCGGTTACGACGACTCGCCGGTCGCCGAAGTCGTCGCCTACGATCTGATTGACACGAGCAAGGCTTTGCCCACGCCCATCGCCTCTCATGCCCATCAATGCAACAGGTTCTCCCACATATCCCGGCTCCCAGCGGCTGCGTAGAGCCCTCCGCGCTTCACGAGATACATTGCAATTGCTTGGGCTGCCGGAATCTCCGTCGGCCAAAACGGAAACCCCGTCCAGATGAGCAGGTCTCCGACGTTTTGACGTCTCAGATGAGGCATTGTCGGGCAGCCAATTTACGGATATCTAGGAGAACCCCTTGATCTTCGGCGAACCTTGGCCAATCGGAAACCATGGCGTGACTTACTGCTGGAAAGACGAGGAGGGTGATGACGACGAGGCCATCATCTCTGTCACGTACGACTAGCACTTGCTCACGGCGACGGCGGCGAGCGTTCTTGGATTGCTTAGCAGGGCAAGGGACGACTTGGCGATTCTCGCCGAGCCGCCGGGGTTGAGTTCTTTTTTCGGTCATCGTTGTTCGTGTCGTGTCGTCCTGCAGCAGCGCAAGCAGCATAACGCTAGCGGAATCAATCGTAGGTGGGGGCGTCCGCCTACGCCCTCGCCTGCTTGCCTGCCTCCCACCGGCGCGCCAGCCGATACCAATGTGCTTGATGTGCTTGTGTGACGGGCGAAGAATCGGACTACTGCTACTTTTGGAGCGATGGAGGTAGCTTTCAAGGTTTCGCGGAGAGAGGTTATCGTCTGTTGCCTCATCGTCGTCACCACCCACTTTTTCTCTCGAGCGGTTCTGGGGGTCACGATGAGTGTTAGGCGCCGCCGCCTCGCCGCCCACCCACTGATTGCCATCCGGTCGCGTACAGCCGGGCAGTGAATGGGCAGAAAGTAACGGACCTCGACGCTTCCTGTCCCTCTCTGTACTGTTTCAGGTTGCCTTGCTTCTCGATCACTTGGAAATCAACCGGAAGCCTAGCTTGGCGGGAGAAAACAGACAGAGAGATCGCCTTGCCATGGTGGCAGTGGCGGTGGAGGGGGAGGGGTTCTGCCCTGCTCACTCAGCCCAGCTCTGCCCACACTCAGGTCTGGCTATCTCGGAATCAACCAGGCGAGCCCGCGACGGGCCGACAGAGCAGGCAATGAGCATTAATTGAGCACTTGGTTTGGGCGTAGCGATGCGATGCGTTGCTTGCGTTGCGTTGCTAGCGGCGACGATGGGCGTCGATGGGCAGGGCGGTAATGGCGTCGATGATGGCGGCGGTGGTCGACCCTTGTTCCTCGCTGGTGCTGCCGCTGCTGCCACTCAGCTGAGCTCAGTGTGCGGCGTGAGAAGGCCGGTGTCATCGGTGTCGTATTCGTGTCCTCTCGTCTGTCTCCCTCGTCGTCGGGTCCTGCAGGCTCATTTCCATCGTGCATCCAAATTCCTGCCTGCCTGACCTTGACTTGGAGCCGCTCAGCCGTGGCTTATCCAGCTTTGCGGTACCTCCAGGCGAGATCGGACAGAGAACAAGGTGCAGCCAGGAGACAGACGAGGCGGCGACGACGACGGAGTAAGAGTCGATGCGTGGGTGTAGTAGCATCGAGCCATCAAGCACAACGTCGTCTTTAGGAGGACGGAGGAAAGGAGCCGCCGTCGTCCCGCTCTTGTCTCTCTCTTCCATCTGTTCCTTCCCTCCATTCATCCCATCCCATCTTCTGCTGGCTGGCTGCGACTATTGTTAAAATCAAGCTCGCCCGCCCGCCAGTCCGAGCCCTCAGTCGAGGGCATTGAGGCCTCCATGCCCCACAGGGCGGATAAGACGACGCATACAGCCACGACCATGAATAGTCAGCATCCTCAACTCCACTTCGACGCGGCAACGGCACCACCGCCTGTTCAAGACCCATCATCTGCCGCTGCTCTCATGGAGCCACTCGCCATCAGCCCACGCACAGCGGCATTGAACGGAGGGAGCAGCAGCGGGGACGCCGGCGGGAGTAGCAGCTCCACAGGATGGACTTCGTCGTTGCCCCCGCCGATGCCGCGAGGTGCTGGTAGCAGAGGCCGGCATCAGATGGACGACGAAGAAGATCAGCTCATGCAGCCTGGGGCAACTTCCTCTGCTGCCGCTGTTGGAGGACAGCAGCGGCGCAAGAGGGCTAGACATGGAGTCAAGATCAAGAGGAATAGGAAGATTACCTCGTGTCTAGCATGCCGAGAGCGTAAGCAGAAAGTGAGCCTAGAGTCCTACGACGGTAGCGACCCTGGTCGTGGTAGTCTGCTGAGCTGACACGGGATGGCCCTCCACCTGACAGTGCGACCGTACTCATCCAGTCTGCGAGAAATGCATCGAGGATGGACGACAGTGCATTTACGTTGACAACGAGTCTCCCATCGTCGATGAGGACGGCGAGGAGCCCATAGCAGGACCGTCATCAATACGAGAAGGATGCGACGAGGGGGGGTCAGGGCAATCTGCCTGCCGGAGGACATCGAGCGAAAGCGCAGCAGCCTTTCAGCGCCGCAGAGAAGGCGTACGCAAGTCGTATATGCTCAGTCGATGTCGCGACACGCCATTTCACGATCGAGTCAAAGCAGCTCGAGCCGCAGCCGTCTCAGAGGTGAGCCATGTTCCTCCCACTGAGAGTCGCACAGCTTGCGCTGATATCGCACGCCTCTCGCCCCACAGGTGCTGCTCTTGGGATCGCCCAACAACACGGCCGACTTGCCCTGCAATGTATCTCTTGTGCTGCCTACAAGCCAAGAAGCGCAGCCGCTACTGGACATCTTTAAGACTGATGTCGAGAGCATCTGCAACATCGTCCTGATCGACCTCAATCGAGCTCGTATCGGCTCATTCCTCGACTGGTGGCATGGCAAGCCAGACACGCTGCCTCCCGAGGCCGACTCCCCTTTGGCGCCGCTTGTTCTCGTCATATTAGCCCTCGCTCTCCAGGCACAGAGGGCCAGAATGGCAATGGACAACTTCTCCTCAAACACCAAGACGGCCTACGACCGAACAAAGGCATCTCATCACGTCTCGCTCCATGAATTTGTATCGCCAGAGCGATTCCTCCTCGAGACGGCAGGGAGATGCATCAACGCCTTGCAGATCACCTGTCCTTCCTCGTGGGCGACCACCTACTCGGCGCCCCTTGATGTCATTCGAGCAGAGACACTGCGAGCGCTTTGGCACCTCGGGGAATGCCATCTGCAATTTGCCAACAGCTGCTTCACCGTAGCTCTGCGCCTGGCATACGCAGCTGGTCTTCATCGAGACCCAACACACTTTCAAGGATCTCCGATGAGCGCCTTTGAGATGCAGGCTCGCCGTAGCGCCTGGTGGAACATTGCCACCCTCGAGGTTTTCCACTCCTTCCGCGTTGGCCAGCCGACATCTCTGACTCTCTCGTCGATCGACACGAAGATGCCCACGGACTTCCAGGTCATTGCAGATCAGTACGAGCTTACTCGGACCGAGGGTAGCAAGCCCAACAAAATTGCTCACGATGCTCTCATTGCCAGATTCAGTCTGGCGCGACTGATGATCGAGAAGAGTGCCTCCGTCTTTGGCGTCACAGAGGAGAGCGCGGTTCACAAGCTACGCGACGTCAACGAGATAGCAGAGAGGTGGGTTGCTGGCCTTCCAGCGGACCTCATCAACCACATGAACGCCGTCGACACTACGCCTTCGCTGCAGTGGGTTGACCAAGGGTCCAAGTGGCAGAGCGTCGGCGTCCAGCTCAACCATTTGCAGCTCTGCATGAGCGCTCATCGCCTCGACGAGAACCAGATCAAGGCTGAACTAGCTGGCACGCCCCTCTCGCAACACTCGAGCAAGTTTCACATCTGCCTCGATGCGGCGAGGAGGTCGATCGACATTTGCTTCAAGGCTATTGCTGGGCGACCGGCCGCGCCTTGCCTCGTGCTGAACGTCATTTCCTACTACGCTTTCAATGCGGGCTGCATGCTCGCAATACAGAGCGTCTCCTCGATGCCCCTGCCGGAGATCGTTCTACCCGTTCTGGATCAGACGCTCGCCGTCCTCGACCAGCTGGGAAACAACGATGGTCTCTTCAACATCGCGGAGCAGGCACAGCGATACGCCAAGACGATCCGCGAGCTCAGGAAGAAAAGCCCTCCGCCGCCAGAGGGTCACCCACCTCACTCGCACGGCAGAACTTCTGCTTTCCAAGGGGCCAACCAGCAGCGCTACGAGCTGCCGCCTCCTTCCAGCGGTAGGACTGCGCATACCGAGGCGAAGGCAATCCCGGTGCCAGGCCAAGAGAAGGGCAGTAATGGACATCCTTTACCGATACAGACGCAGGGCCTGCACCCGTCCGTGTCGCCAGACATCCCTCGTTGCACAGCTTCTGGTCCTTCATGGTCGCCGACGGATCCGCCTACGAGCTCGCCACTCGACACTCTGGCTCCAGGCGTGGCCGGCGCCGGCGGTGCACCACAGCACCAGGGTGGCTCACACGCCCATGCGTCGCATCAGCAGCCCATCTCATCCACCGCCTCATCAACGTCCGACAGTCGTCCGCGCTCAAATCCCGGAGTTCAGTCGCCTGCCTCGATGTCCTCCTCATCCTGCTCCTCTTCGACGGCCACTTACCATCGCGATCTCTTCGCACGCCAAACAGACATCAATTCGATGGTGGAGCGAACGATGCCCAACAACAACATCTCGCACCTCTCGTTCCTCACGTCGCTGTTTAGCCCGAATCAGCCAGGAATGCATTCAAGGGCGGCGGATGCGGGAATGGCGCCTCTTCCGCAGGGGGCGTATCCCCCGCCAGCTCATGCGGCCCCGTCTACTTCTTCGAATGGATCGACGTCCTCGCCATTGCAACCGGCAAATAGCAGCACCGGAGATTGGAGCTCGGCTGCCTCCGATGCAGGGCGTCATCATCCATCAAACGGTGGGATGACTGATCGTAAGCCCTTCGATACGGTCGGGCCACACGCTTTCCAACCCATTGGCGGCGCTCATCAAGTCAGCGGAGGGATGCCTCAGCCACACCACCAGCACCATCAGCCGCAAAACCACCATCGCGTTCCCTCTGCTCCACAATACTCCCCACACCACGAGTCTTATCAGCCGCACCCGCACTCAGATCCGACTCATCGTCAGATGTCTTACGGTCATCCCAACCAGCCTCACGGCAACGGGTCAATGCCCCCTCCTTCTCGTCCACACGCCCAGCATGGGATAAGCTCCTCTTGGCCGGGACCAGCCTACACTAATGGGGAGGCTCAAGGTGATCCCAGCTCGTCCTCCTTCGCGGGTCTGCCTGCCTCTACAGGACTTGGAGTCGGCCTCAGCGGCGGCGGCGGGGCAGGGAGCGGTGGTCATTCTTCTGTCGCCTCAGGCGTGCCTCCCCACGGAGCTATCCCTTCCAGCGCTCCGAATGGCGCCATGGTAGACCCCAGGGCTTGGGAGTCGTACATTAATACCATTCTGCAGAGCGCCGAATAGGCGCAACTCGGCTCAGATCTCAGCCCTTACCGACCATTTTTACGACCCTCTAATCGACAGGCCAGCGCAACCCGCTGGCCAGTAGCCAAATATACACATCCATCCTTCGCCAGTCTTCACATTTTAGTCTTTTCGCTCCTCGGCGTCCGTCTCTTCGCCACCAGTCCTATAGTCGCATCTTCCATCTGTATTGTAGTCCTCGCTCGCATAACGTCGCAATGCAAGTAAGCCAGGTTCGTCTCATCAACGATGCGCTACCCGAAGAATGAATGCGTGCGGCTTCGCTGACAGCGTAAGCATGAGTAGTGATTGCCAATCGAGTCTGGATTGTACACAGAGTGCTCCGGAGCACAGTAGCTTGCCGTGTACGTACGCTGACTCTTTGTCGCACTGCCGTTCATCATGAAGAAGACCCGGCCGACCACGCCTTGAACGCTCTCCTTGCCCTCACCTTGACGGCGTCAAAGCTATCAAGCGCGGGCCTCACATCCAGAATAAAGTGAGCCTGTTCATCCTCTTCTTCCTCCTCAATCTTGATCCCTCTCTTGATCGCTTCCTCCCTGGCCATCTTGCGCATCTCATCCCGCCTATCCTGCTCCTCATCTCCGTAGTAGTCGATGACGTATCGAGCCTCAGTCCCATCCGGTCGCCCAACAACCCAGTCGTGCCTGTCGAAGGGCGCTTCCCCACCATACCTACTTGGCCAGACTGAGCCCAACAGGCCGTACCATCTAGCTCTCGGGCTGAGCGTACCCGGTCTTCCCTGGAAACGAACCAACCATCTCTCCAACTCCTCAGTCTCCGCGGGCCCCTTGCCCGCCTCCAGCGGCTTGGCGCTCGAGTAAGAAGCCAGATTAAAGTCCCTCTCCCAATCCAGCACCTGTTTCCATGCCTCTTCATTCAGGAAATTATGTACCGCCACCATTGTTTCCACATGCTCGTCTGGAGCAGCCTTGTTCTTTCGAAGAAGGGCGGCCTGGAATTGCGAAGGGGATGGGTATTCCCACTTGCTCGGGGCAGGGCCTACTTTGCCGTCGTGGGCGACTGGGCAGGAGGAGGGTGGGTTGGGCTTGTCGTAGGGTGAGGCATCGGGTGCGGAAGGAGAGGTGTGACCTCGAGGGATGGAGGAGACGGTACGCTCTGAGGAGAGACGGGTGCTGCTGCTGCTGGAGGAGGAGGAGCTGGATGAAGAAAGGGAGAGGTTGAAGGGGATGTTGTTGACGGGATTGAGGCCTTCCTTGCTTGACGAGGCGATGGAAGAAGCGGCGGCGCCGCCGCCGGGCTGATGCATGGGGCAGCCGGGTGGCGGCGATGAGGAGGAAGCTTTGGCCTCTGCTGCTGCCTCCTTTGCCAACATCTGGGCGTACTTGTAGCGCAACAGGCCAGCGACGGCCGGCTGGCTCGTCTGGGGCGGTGGTTTTGATGAACTTGATGCCTGCGGTGGCGTGGCAATCATGATGGGAGCTGACATTGGTGTCATGGTGGGCGATTGGTTGAGACTGCGATGTAGGTGAGGATCGGATGGCGAGAAAGCTACGAAGCTGTTCCGGCTCGCTCTGTCAGTGAAATCTCGAAAGCCACACTCAACTCAACCTTTTGTCATCGAGTGGCTCGGATGCTCTGTCCGCCCTGCCCGCCCTGTCCGCCCTCGCCGGCCGTTCCGACGGGCTGAAATTTGGCCTTCTTGCCCGAGGCTGCTCGCTCAGTCCGCCTTGGCTCCAAGGGCTCCTCACCATCACCAACAGCATTCAATCAAGCCAGTGATGCCGCCCATCCGTCACGACAAGAAGGCGGCAAAAAGAGCGCAACGCGAGGCGCAGGCCGTGTCTCTTCGTGACCTGAAATGGAAGCCTGTGGAGATTCCGGCTATGGCGCTTGCCTCTGGCTCGATGGGGTCGAGGAGAGGAGCCGCTGCACCCGCTGCTGATGGCGTGGAGGAAGAGGAGCAAGGTGACGAGTGGGACCCATTTGCCAATCTTGATGAAGCTGGAGGGGATTTCATGGGTTTGCAAGAGGTCAAGGGCGTGGGAGTCAAGTACCAGGAGACAGAGAGCGGGGCCAAGAGGGTCGAGTTCTACCAGTTGGACGGGGACAATGAGCAGGACAGCCAAGAGGAGGTCAAGGCCCGACTGCCAGCAAAGGCGGATCGCAAGCAGAAGAAGGCAAAGGCAACCGCAGCTACTGTGCCCGTCGATGTGTCCTTTGAGGCCAGCCAATCCACCTCGACCGCCTCCAAGGGCAAGAAGAGGAAGCTCGACGAGGCAGAGGCTTCAACATCGTCGAAAGATAACGAGAAAGAAGCCGAAAAGAAGGCTACTCAGGCCGCAAAGGCGGCAAAACCAAGCGCAGCCGCCAAGAGCGACCACGACGACGCCGACTCTCTTGCGATCCCCTCCGGCCTCTTCGCCTCATTCACCTCAAACCTCGACTCCGCACAAGATGGCTCCCCTTCGTCCACCCTCTCCTCCATTCGCTTCGAGGACCGGAAGCTCTCTTCGTGGCCGAAGCCCGTTCTGAGCATTCTTCATCCAGCCCTCAAACGTGCTGTATTGGGGCTAGGCTTCACCAAGCCCACCTCCGTGCAGGCAAAAACGCTGCCCCTTTCACTGTTGCCACTCTCGGCGCCAACTTCGGAGGAGGAACGACCTCGCGACCTCATCGCTCTTGCTCAAACCGGTTCGGGAAAGACGCTCGCATACGCCCTTCCCATCCTACAGCGTGTCCTAGCTTCACGATCTTCCTTCTACGACTCCGCCTCCCGCCCTCTGCATGCACTCATCATCCTCCCTACTCGTGAGCTCGCCCTTCAAGTGTACGAGGTCTTTCAAAAGCTGGTGGATGCTTCAGTCGGCGAAGGCGGCAAGAAGTGGGTTCGCATCGCGCCTATTGTGGGTGGGATGAGCGAGGAGAGACAGTGGCGTCTGCTGCGAGGGAGGAAGAACAGGCGTAATGACGAGGACGGTGCTGCTGACGAGGAAGGGGAGGAAGGGTCGCACGATGCCGAAATAGTCATCGGCACAGTCGGCCGACTCTGGGAGCTCTGCAAGTCAGACGACTATCTTCCCACCCGTATACGAGACGCTGGCACGCTCGTACTCGACGAGGCGGACCGTCTTCTTGAGACAGGCAAGTTCCAAGAACTTTCCAGCTTACTTGAGCTTCTCGATCCAGACAATGACGAGAGGCAGACTCTTCTCTTCTCTGCAACATTGGACGCGACGCTGCAGGTGAACCTGGCGAAGAGCAGGGCAAAGGTGGCTAGAATGGTTAAGCAGAGCAAGAAGGGTGGAAAGGATGCCTTGATGGTCAAGTTGGTGGAGCAGGTGGGATTCAGGGATCAGAGAGGGCCTGAGTTGGTGGATCTGACAGTCGAAGCCAAGACTAGTGAGAGCTTGAAAGAGGGCAAGATTGACTGCCTTGATAATGAGAAGGTGAGCGCGCAGCGTATCCGCGTTGGGAACAAGAGAGAACGTCGCTGACTCGTCATGCTGCGCTCGCAGGACCTCTACCTCTACTACCTGCTCCTCCGTTACTCGGGCAGTTACCTCGTCTTCCTCAACTCGATCGATTCGGTCCGTCGACTCCAACCGCTTCTGACAAATCTCAACGTGCAATCATTCCCGCTCCACGGCGAGATGGACCAGCGCTCACGCTTACGCTCCTTGGATGGGTTCAAAAAGACCATCTCTCCCGGCGCGAGCAAGACATCAGTGCTGCTGGCAACAGACGTGGCCGCCCGAGGTCTGGACGTCCCGCTCGTATCTCACGTGGTGCACTTCCACCTTCCCAGATCGGCCGACTCCTACATTCATCGATCAGGTCGTACGGCTCGCGCTGGCCAATCAGGCCTGTCGCTGGTCCTTCTAGCCCCATCAGAAAAGTCTCGCTGGATGAGTCTCCGTAAACAGCTCGCGCCCACCCCTGCCGGATCACTCAAAGAGGAGCTGAAGGACCTGCCCATCCTTCATTCGGTGCTCGGTCGCCTCAAAACCCGCATTCGCCTCGCAAAGGAGCTGGATGAAGCGCGCCATCGCTCCAGGAAGGAGAAGGCTGAGGATGACTGGATGAAGAAGATGGCAGAAGAGGCCGAGATCGCCCTCGACGACGACGACGATATCGACCCTGATGCCCCGCAAGCTCGCAAGGTCGGAGGCGGAGGTGGTAAGAAGGGCAAGGGGAAGAGCAAAGAGGACGCAGCGACTACACGACGATTGGAGGCGGAGCTTGCGGATGAGTTGAGCCAGGACGTCGTGGTACGTGGTGTGCGTCGTAAGTTCCTGACAGGGGGAGCCGCAGGCGTTGGATCTGGGGCGGATGGTGCGTCATCTATGCTGAGGGACCTCGTTGAGGGGACTGGCCATGCTACGTTCGTTGGGCTGGGCAGGAGTACGGCGGAGCAGGATCTGGAGGCAGGGCTGGGCAAGAAGAAGGGAAGAAAGAGCGAGTCAGCCTGAGTGCTGAGCTGAGCCTTTTACGGTTGCGAGTGAGCGGCAGACCTCCTCTCATATCCTTGCAGCAATGCACACGAATCAATGACACACCCGCCTGAGCACCGGCTGGCCACCATCGGCCGCAGGCAATGAGATGGATGGATGATCGAATCGATTTCATGAGCAGAGAGGAGACGGACTAGAGGACAACAACGCTCGAGGGTGATGCCAAGGAATTGGCAATGGCTTCTCTCGCATGTCTGCGCCATTGAACCTCATCGAGAGTGATGATACAAGAGAGTCGAGCTATCTGGTGGCGGATCTGAGAAAACGGGAAGCGGTAAAAGGTCTTGGTCTCGAAGACGGGCTTGCGCGCGATGAGAGGGTGACTTTGCCCTTCCACCTTGCGACTTGGAGCCACGCACGCCATTAGGCGCCGAAACCATAGAGGGTGCGACCCTGACGCTTGAGAGCGTAGACAACGTCGAGGGACGTGACCGTCTTGCGCTTAGCGTGCTCAGTGTAGGTGACAGAGTCGCGGATGACCGACTCGAGGAAGAGCTTGAGGACTCCACGAGTCTCGTCATAGATGAGCCCGGAGATACCTGCGCATGAGCGAGGGAGGACGGATGATATGGGTCAGTAATCTGTTGCTGCGCGTCGTGCTGAGTCGCATCTTCGCCACCACAATCGCCTCTGACGGCTACTCACGCTTGACACCTCCACGACGAGCAAGACGACGAATGGCGGGCTTGGTGATACCCTGGATGTTGTCTCGCAAGATCTTGCGGTGACGCTTAGCGCCACCCTTGCCGAGTCCCTTGCCTCCTTTTCCTCCTGTAGAAGTGTGGGTGCGAGCGAAGACAAGGGGCAGGGGCATGGGTCAGATAAGGATGTCCAGATGCTGAGCACACGATGATGACGTCGTGTTCCATCAGCTGTATGCGTGTGGCGTACTTACGTCCAGTCATATTTGCTTGTGAGTTGTTGGGTGGGTGTTATTGTTGGAGATGCGTGTGGGACAGTCGACTGTGTGTGAAGACGACGGTCGACGATGGAGATTACTTGGTGGTGGTACGAAAGCAAGGTGCGACGCGGTCGGGGCGGCGGCCATCTCGAGCAGCAGCCGTGCATCCATCCGTCGATGCATCAAGCAGGCCCAGTCCCACGTGGCAATTGCCGTGCAGCCATCACCTGCTCTCGAGACTAGTCGCGGGCCGCGTCGAGGGAGCTTGGCGGGAGAACAACACTCGGACTGAGAGCGGCGCAGGGTTGCGAGTCGAGTCGAGGAAAGCTGCGTGACGCCCTTGGAACTCTCGATCCTCATTCAATCCACCGCTCACCGCTCGCCGCTCAGCGCCCGCCATGAACGGCTCGTTCGAGTCACCATCACATCTGGAGCGACGTATCAGAGCAGAGATTGAGGATGCGGAGGAGTCGTCCCTCTCTGCGCCAGGCTTCGGTCGTAGGGCACGATCAGAGTCGCTCAGCTTTCGTACAGACGAAGGGTCGCAGGATGGCGAGCGCACCACATCCTACCACCCATCAACGCATCGCATACTACCTGACCTCTCAGAGCTCAACAACACACCGACTGCAGCAAGGACTCGCACCACTCAGACTCTAGCCGGAGTCCTAGACCGCCAACAACAAAGACGACAGAGCCGCAACGACGTCAGTCAAGAGAACCAGCAGAAGCAGCCTCATGGTCGCTCGCAGGATAGCAATGCGCAATCTCAGCGACCATTCGCCCGCTTTGGCGGCTCTGTGTCAGAGTCGGGCTCCTTTCATGGCCGGGAAAGTCGCGACAGTGGCAACGGTGAGGGAGGCCCTCGCGACTCGCTGCCCCTCACATCGACGCCGCAGAAGACTGGATGCACCCATCGATCACAGACGACCTTCTATTCGCAAAAAAGCAACGAGGCGGGAGGTAGTGGGGGCAACGCTACCGGTCGTCAAGGTGCAGGATCAGCGGCGCTGGCACGGCGAGCAGCAGAATCGGCTGCGCGAGATGCCACTAGACAATCAGCCACCAGGAGCAGTCGCGATGACGAGGGAACCGGCTCGGCTTGGAGCTCCGGGAGAGATAGCAGGACAAGAGACGGTAGCAGACCTCTATCCAATCAAGACGATCTAAGCGTAGGGACCATCGACTCCATTCGTCAAGACAGGCCAGTGACAGCGAGCGCTGCACCCGCCGACGATGCAGAGTCCAGTCGCGAGGATACCACCCGAGTGTCAGAGGCAGAGACGAGCGCACAGCCGACAGAGGGGATGCAACCGCCAATAAGCCATCAGCGCGAAAACGAACCCTCAGGAGCCTTCACAGAGGACAAGTCTCAAGCCACGCCCACAAGACCAGTCGCGACGAGCCTCGCAACACCGCGAGCCAACGCTGCCGTCACAGCGGATCGCATGCAATCGTACGTCCTGAGCGCCTTCAAAGACCCAGTGCGAGAGCTGCGCGTCCAGCAGTCTCTACGTACTCAGCGAGTCAGACCTCAGAGGGTGCCCCTGGCCCCCAGCGAGGAGAGCAGCATAGTCGAGCCAACGCCTGCAACGGACAAAAGAATGAATCGTCTCGGTCGCTCGATGAAGCTGGGAGCGGGCAGGACACCGCTGCCTGCCCGAGTACAGAGCGATGCAGCCTCGCAAGCCTCCGAGCAGTCCTCGACATACGACCTCATGACGCCAGCAAAGGGCTGGGCGAATACCTCCCTGCCAGGTATCGGACTACAAGCCGACAATGCGGCTCAAGCAACGAATCGCATCGACCCAAACAAGCTGTCCCGCCACCTGCACAAGCTCAATGGCGGCCTCGTCGAGGAGAACGCCGAGCTCAAGGCCGCAGCAGCTTCTGCTCAGAGCGAAGTCGAGACGCTCAGGCGGCAGCTCAATGTTGCCCTGCGCGAGAAGGAGAAGGCGCAACGCCAGCTTGCTAATCAGTCGCGCGTAGGAGACAATAGTGACGACCAACGCTCGCCGGCCAACATTCCCCTACCACCAAGCCCCGCGCCGGGTGACTCCGCTGATCACGAGGAGCGAGAGCAAGCCTTGCAGGAAGCTCTGGAAAAGATTGAGGAGCTTGAAGGCCACAAAGAGGAGCTGAACGACATGCTCGACGCACTCGAAAGTGAGCACGAGAATCTGCGCGGCGAGATGGAGCAGCTCAAGCAGCGTCGAGTGGCAACAAGGAACGCAGGCAACGGCGACGAGTCGGCTGACCAAACACAAGGCAGTGCCGCCCTCTCTGAGCGTGACGTCCTTCTCAACGACCTGGAGGCGGATCTCAAGCGCTGTGAAGAGGAGATCCAAGTGCGCGACGAGGAGCTGCAGCAGGCTCACGAGCAGCTCCAGGCCAGCGAAGAGCATCGAGCCAGGCTGCAAGACGAAGTTGAGGAGGCAGCCAACTTTGCTATGCAGGAGACGGGAAGGTTCGAGGAGGAGCGGGACGCTGCTATCAAGGAGGCTGAGGACTACAAGGGCGAGGTGGACCGCTTGACTCAACAGGTTGAGAAGCTAGAGATTGCTGCGCAGGGCTTACGAGCTGAGCGTGCATCGAAGGGCGACGCAGACGACGAGGAAGCGCAACGTCTGCGCGAAGAACTGGACGATGCTCGCGCAATCCACGCCGAGGAAAAGGCCGAGCTTGAAGACCTTCTCAAGGGCCATGAGATGGACCTGCAAGCAATGGAAGACGAGCGCAAAGACCTCGAGGAGCAGATCCGCAAACTGACGGAGGAAGCAGACGAGGTTCGCGATGAGATGGATCGACAACGCATTGCCGTGGACGAGAAGCAGAACGAGATTCTGAAGCTGAATCGACTGCTGTCTGGCTCTGATAGTACGGCCAAGGAGCTTGCGGATGTTCGCGAGCAGCTCAGCAAGGCTAAGGCTGAGGCGAGTGAAACGCGCGCTCAAGCAATGGAGCTCGAACAGCTCAAGAAGCAAAAGGTGGACCTTGAGGCGCGACTGGAGTCGTACAAGCAGCAAGTCCAGGCTCACTCCAGCTTCAGCATCATCGCCGGCGCAGCTGCCGCAGGCAAGCAGGATGGGGCTGCCCACCAGTCTCAGACATCGTCCATGCTGCAAACCCCAGCAAAGCATCGCGCCCTCGCCGCCTTGCAGACGCCAATACGCACCCCTCGTTCACCAGGCCAGCTCAGCCCTGCCTCATGGCTCAATCACGACTCCTCTCTCGGGAACACCAGCGTTGTCGAACACATCAAGCAGCTTGAGGAGCTCCTTGCCGCCGCAAACGCGCAGCTGGACGAGAAGCTGAGCGAGATCGATCGACAAGGTGTCAGTCACCTTACCTTGTCGCGCAAGCTGTTCGAAGCGCTCGATAGGATTGAGGAGCTCGAGGCTGAGCTGCGCCGACGGGGCGTATCACGTCGCGACGAGGATGCGGCAGACTTTACCTTTGCATCGGCGACGACAATGAATCTCGACCGCAAGGCCCGCTCACAGCAGCGTGACCAAGCACTCGCTGAATTTGTGGAGAAAATCCCGCAGCTCACCGCCAGATTGGCAGAGATGGAGGAAGAAAACAAGGTGCTGCGGAACGCGCAGAGCAAGGTGAATAAGGCAGGAGGAGGCGCATTGTCAAAAGGCAAGAGCAAGACCACCCGCAAGGAGCTCCACTCAACCGCGCACGCCGAGCTTGCGCGCGCCCGCGAAGCCATTGCAGACCTGGACGACGAGCTTCACGCTGAGCGTCGTCGCCTCTCTGAGCTGGCCCGGGACTCTAAGGCCTATGGTGAAGTCAGCACAGCAGCTGAGCGCGACCTTGCTCGCACTGAACAGCGTCTACGCAGCATCGAAAACGAGCTCACTCGCAAGGCGTCGGACTATGCTGAGCTGCAGCAGGAGGTTGCTGACAAGTCCTCTGTGGGAGGTGATGAGACCAATGGAGAGATGGCCATTCAACTTCGCGTGCTCGAGTCTCAAGCACGTCAAGCGGCCAAGGAGCTGCAGCATCTGCGAGAAGACCGGGCCGCCGTCCTTGAAACGCGTATCACTCTCCACTCTCAGATTCGTAGCGCGACCGAGCGTCACGCCCTGGTACAAGCCGAGCTCGCCTCTACACGGCAGGCGGCGCAAGAGCACCAGCAGCAGCTCGATGCTCAGACGCGACAGGTGGAACAGTTGCACACTGAGCTCAGGCGCCAGGACAAGGACTTGCGCAAGGTTGCGGGTGATCGGGATAGGCTGCACGAGGAGAGGCGTGATATACTAGAAGACGTCGCTGCGCTGGAGGCTGATCTGAGGCGCGTGCGCGGGGAGAGCGAGAAGTTTGGGATGGACTTGGAGAGGCTCAGGAGGGAGAGGGATGAGCAGCGTCGCCAAGCTGAGAGGGCTGGCAGTGCACCTGGAGCAGGCGCTAGGAACAGCGAGGCGGCGAACATCACAGCCGAAGCGCAGGAGACTATCGCTGCGCTCAAGCGTCGTCTGGACCAAGCGCAACGCATGATACAGGACCTCGAAGTGAGGGAAAGCTTGGCGGCTACTATGGGCCCCACTGCTCATCAAGACACGGCTGCCCTTCGAGCGAAGCACGCCGCCGAGTGTAAGGGTCTTCTTACGCAGATCCGCTACCTCAAAGCCAAGTACATGCGCGAATCAGACCTGCGCGAGGACCTCTGCTTCCAAAAGACGTACCTGCTTCAGATGGTCGGTGGGCTCGAGCTGTCAGAGAGGGAGACGTTGCGCTTCCTTGCTGACCTTGGGCGGTCGCGTGGCATTGAGCAACCTGAGAGGAGTATGGCCAAGGAGGGGCCGAGGATGAAGCTTCGAAAGGCTCTTCTGGTGGTCAAGGCTGCGAGCAGGATGAAGTGCATGGCACAACATTGGCGCCAGACTGTTGCGGTGAAGCAGGCGCTGGTTCAGGCACATCAGAGCGCGAAGAGCAAGAGGAGAGCAGGTGGAGCCAGTAGCAGCAGCGATCGCGAGGGCGATCGCGAGGGCTTCGAAGCCAAGCTTGCTGGTGTTGCGCGATGACCCACATCCCTCTTCTCACATCCCATTGTACAATACACTCTCCCCTTGCTCGCAAAGCGCCCCTGAGTCCGCCTTCCCCATCTATTTCCATCGTCCATCTTTCTCTCGGCGTGCACAATACCACACATCTTGAATCGATCATTGGCACCAGCAACGAGACCGAGACGGGTCTCGAGTGAAGAGGCCAAGGATGGGCAATGGTAGTAGATTACAGAATGCACGATCGGTTAAGGCTGAGAGGCTCAGAGTACGCCCTTTGTACTCGGCACATCGTCGAGGCCCGTCTTGGATACTGCCTCCTTGATGGCGAGGGCGAGGGCCTTGAATGCTGACTCGGATCTGCAAGGGCAAGCAAGCAAAGGCAGTATAGTCAGCGTGCTTGCCCATCTTCTCACTCCACAATCTCGACGCGACGCACCTGTGGTGGTCGTTGTCTCCCCTCAGACAGTCGACGTGCAGCGTCACTCCGGCGGCCATGGCGAAGCTGTGGAACACATGCGGGATCATCTCGCAGCTGAGGTCTCCAATTTTTTCCCTCTTCAAGCCCAGCTCAGCCACACAGTATGGCCTCGATGAGATGTCCAGTACAGCGCGCGAGAGAGCCTCATCCAGCGGTGCGTGTCCGGTCCCGTATCGCTTGATCCCCTTGATAGGGCCCAAAGCAGACTTGAAGGCCTCGCCCAGGGCGAGTGCACAGTCCTCGGCCGTGTGGTGATCGTCGATCCACAAGTCACCGTCGCATGCCAATGTCAAAGACATGCCGCCGTGCTTTGCCAAAGCGTGAAGCATGTGATCGAGGAAGCCGATTCCCGTCTTGACGTTGATGCTTTGCGGGGCCAGCTTCGGGTGCGTATCCAGCGAGAGGGAGCATTGGATTTTGGTCTCGTTGGTGATGCGCTCCACTGTTGCGCTGCGCACCACGAAGCCTGGGTCGGAGGAAGCCATGAATGAGGTGGAGCCGTTGCCTGCCATGCTGAGCGTGCGTCGGTGACAAATAGGTAGGTTGATAGGAAGGAAGCAGCTGCGAGATTTGGAACTGGGCGGTGGGCGGTGGAGTCGAGTCGTGCGTGTGTGCGTGAGCGTGAGACGCCGCGATTCGGATGGGCCGTGGCTCGCGAGTCAAGTCTGAGACGAGCACGCGGGAGCGGGCGACGGTGAAGAAAATGGGCGAGGGCTGCGACGAGCAACTTGCCTCTTCTCTTTGAACAAAAATCCAAGGAGGTGAGTGACCCCAAGCTCGCAGCGTGACGACCACGTTCAAGAAGAGGGTAGCTCACATCGCATATGTACACCTTTCTCACTGATCACAGACACAAAAGTTCGAGCTGGCATATACACAGCGCCTCCGAAGGTCGAGGAGGGCGGCTTCGTGGTGTCCGGCGTCGGGGTTGGTTGGCGATTCGAGGCCTTCGGGACTCATCCCTTCCTTTACGCCCCGCTCGTCATGACCCTGTTGCTCGACCTTCTCCCTTTGTTGGACGTTTTCTCAGTTGCCTACCTCGCGTTCCCGTCTTCGAGAGGAGAAATCTCTGCGCCTTCATTTCATTTGAAGGAGGAGGCATCCCCTGGCCCCTCGTGGACTGTGGGATGGGCACTTCGCTCGCTGAACCTGGTGGGCGCCGCTCTTTGACGGGGCCTGCCTAGGGGCGAGGGCCGATATACCCACCAAGATACCCCAGTGATGGAGCTGCAGAGATGTTGATGGTGAGTACCAAGCTGCCTCGTCTCGATGCTACTGCTGCTGCTGCCGCTGCGCCCGCCGCTGCGGCTTGCTACGATGAGACACAAGTGTCGCCCCTATCCGAAGATTCATGAGCGATCGACCATACCTATAGCCAAACAATGTCAAAAGAATCTGAGCACACAAGTGCGCAGCAGCGGCAGGAGCAGCAGCCAGCGCACATCATCGTAACGAGAAGTAGACGAGCAGAAGCTGACTTCCTCTTGCTTCTTCTCTACTTCGACAGGAAGCTCGCATCATCCTCTCGCATCTCTCGCCTCTGTCGTTCAATGTAAGGTGAGTCTTCCTTCTCTTTCTCAGCGTCGCGGCTCTTGTCTGGCTCTCGCGCAGCCTACCATGTCATCTTGCGGGCGGATCGAGGATGTTGAAACGACAAAGACCATCAAATTCCTATCTGGCCTAACTAGCCATTATGACGTGCGGACTCAATGCGTATCCAACTGCTGTCTGATGATCACTGCGAGGTGCAATGGTGGGCTGCGCCAGAGACAGCGAGATGATTGCTCCCATCTCGACGTCAGAGCAGAGTGAGCTGACGCCCTTGCCTCGTTGTCTCTGGCCGTACGGACAGTGTAATTTGCCCTGTCTCATCTTCGTTGTACACTGTCTGTATTCTATTGCAATGTGAAGTTGCTTGCCTTCATCCCTTGAGCCTTGCGCTCGTTGCCGTATCGTTCTGATCGGTCGAGAACGGCCGACGAGGGTGCCCTCGTCTCGCCCGTCCAAGCGTCGACGGTGGAGGAGGCCCGTGAGCTCGACGGAATTGACGGTGTGAGCTGGTCGGCAGCCGACGCCTCTTCCCTTCTCTCTCTTTCCTCACCATCGATTCTTTTACACCCTTCGAGGTAAGCTTGTAGTCTTACCCACATTTCGTCGCTCGCCACGCCAAGCTAATCTCACCTCGCCCACCGGCATCCTCTGTATGCTATCCTCCCTCCGTGCCTCTTCTTCCTCTTCCTTGTCCGGCATCACCAGAACCAACCTTCTCGCTTCCCACCTCCGCAACCACACCACCACTACCAAGATGTCTCTCTCTCCCTGCTGCCTTCAGATCGGCTCCTTCCACAAGGGCACGCCTGCGGGCAAGATGACCAAGCTCGACGGCAAGGACACCTATGTGACTGGCAACTCTGACTCCTCGTCCGCTATCCTCTTCATCGCCGTGAGTAATACCGTGGAGCCACCGCATACCGCGTACGCAGCGAGCTGATCGTCGTCTTCACGCCTTCTCTCGCCTGTAGGATGTCTTTGGTATCTCTCTCAACAACTCCAAGATCCTCGCCGACAAGTACGCTGAGGGCACCGGCGCTACCGTCTACCTCCCGTGCGCACGCCCTGCTCCACTCTCCTTCCTGTCCTCGTCCCCATGCTGACCCTGATCACCTCCCCATCTCGACCGCAGCGACTACTTTGACGGCAAAGACCTCGTCGCCCAGGGCATGCTGGAGGGCAAGTCAGTCGACATCCCCGCCTTCCTTGCACAGTTTCCCCCTCGCGACCAGGCTTGGAAGCAGTCCGAGACCTTTGTGGCCGAGATCAAGAAGCAGCAGCCCAGCGTCAAGAAAATGGGCGCTGTCGGCTTCTGCTGGGGAGCTACTTCGGTCTTGCACTTGGGCAGCAAGGATGCCGGACAGAATGGGGTCGACGCTGTGGCCTTTGCTCACCCGAGCATCATCGAGGCTTCGGAGTGAGTGATGAGAGGGCGAGATGGTAATAATGCTGTTGTGCAAGAGCAGCGAGCTGACCTTTTTCCTTGCTCCAAATTCTCCCTTCGCTCTCCCACGCAGCTTCGAGAAGCTCGAGAAGCCCGGCTGCTTCATCTGCCCGGAGCACGACGAGCAGTTCCCTTCTACGAAGCGGCAGGCCTCGTGGGAGGTAGCTACCAAGACGCTCGCCCCCAAGAAGGTCTTCACGTCCTTCGTTTTCCTCCCTGGACTCAAGCACGGCTTCGCTACGCGTGGCGACTCGGAGGATGAGTTCACCGCTACGGGCATGCAGCAGTGAGTACGGGGTGACGGCGTGGCGTGTTGATGCTGAGGCCATGCGAGAGCTGACCATAATCTTTCGTGTCGCAGCGCTGCCAACCAGGTCATCGGCCACTTCACCATGTTCCTCAAGTAGACCATCGTCACACGCATCACGAAGCGCAGCGCCTTTGCTTGGATGTAGATTCCCCTCTTCACACAGCCATATGAGTACCGCGCACGAAACAATGATTTCAATGAACGAAACAATGATTTCAATGAGAGAGAGCGTCGTGTGTGTGTGCGCGGTAGTGGATGCTTGATTGTTGTGATGACGCGGTCCACCCAAGCGTAACCTGCTCCCACTTGCTCATCCCTTCCACCTCGATTCTCACGACGAGGGCAGCAGGCTCACAACTCACGCAGCAACACGACGACGACGATGATGATGGAGGACATGCTTTGCTATTCACTGACGCACTCACGAAGCGCTACATGCCCACTCTGGACTCGTCACCCTTTCCCCCATCCCCGTCCCTCGCTGGCTCCCCGTCTTCGTCCAGCGACAGAAGCAAGCGAGAAGCCTTCAAGGTCCAAGGCTGAGGTCCAAGGTGGCTGGCTACAACGACGACGACGACGATGCCTCAACGGCTACCGTATGGTGTGGTAATGGAGAAAAATTGCCTAGACCCGCCTCTCGAAGAGGCTGCAGAAGAGGACGGAAATGGTTTTTAGTTTGCAACCAGCAATAGCAGAGTCTCAGTCGGAACTTCACGGACGTCTGCGATAACCCCTGATGAGCGAAGGGAGCGTGTAAGAGACGAGAGAGCATAGTCAGTAAACGATGATCTCGAGCTCGTTGGTGGCGATAGCTTGGGGGCGCGTTTACTCACATGCACAAGGATAGGGAAAAGAGGAAAGAGAGTCAGCCAGGCGAGTCGCTGTCTTATACTCGAGTTGGGGTGGGCGGCAACGACAACGCTCAGCGCGCACAGCTGGCCGGGCGGGCGGGCTGAGCGGTTGTGCGTCTCGGAAGCGGAAGCTGAGCATCGTCGCCGCTCAGTCGGTTCACCGTGGCGCCCCCCTTGGCGGTAGTGATGACGAGCGATCACGAGGGCCGAGAAGAGAATGAACTTTTGGGCGCTGAGCGAAGCGGAAGGGGGATTCACTGCTCAGCATCTTATGACTTGCTGATGAACGGGTGACTCGATGGCTGGTGCTGCCCATTGGTTGGTGCATGGTCTCTTTACAGAAAGCAGCCTCAGTTCCCTTCTCGTGCTAGACACAGAGAAGCTGGTGGTCTTCCGCCCTCACTACAATCACAGGAAGTATTGGGAGAAGCTCAAGGCGAGAGGCGTCCTGATGACCGCTCATTGCCTCGGAAGAGCAAACGATAGCGGCTTGTGGCAGTGATGCTGTTCGAGATACCATTGCATCATCGCTGGCGTGTAGTCACGGCAGCTGCAGTCAGCTGTCGATGAGAGACAACGAAATACTGCGTCAGCTTTCTCCCAGTGACGCTTGATCGCAAGGTCGCACCACTTATGCCCATCTCCATGACCGGTCGAAGGCGGTGGGTGAGGCGGCGATGGCATGCCCTGCCCCATTGGCCCGACGCGTGGCAGCGAAGTGTGCACTTCTCGAAGGAGGCCCGGGCGCAACCAACTGCAACGCGGGTCAAAGGACGAGGACAGGGACAGGAGGGCATGCGCTGCGTTGTTCCTTTGCTGCCCTTCGTATCATTCACTCTATCTCATCTCCCTTCCTCCTCGTGTATCACGATGCCATCTGGTATGCGCACAGCCCTGAGTGTAGCGGCCGCAACGGGGCTCTTCTCCCTGGCATCGGCCGCCCCACCCTCGTACATCGTCGAGCACTTCAAGAACGAGCATCACATCGACTCGTTCGATCTTGGCGCTTTCTTTGCCATCCACGATCTCAACAGGGACGGCGTGCTGGACCGCAGTGAGATTGAGGCAATCTATGGCGTTCATCACTCCCTCTCTGTCAAGCACTCGCCGACGCACGAGATTCACGACGCCAAGGCGGACGAGATTGTCAAGACGGTGCTTGCGAGGCTTGACAAGAATTCGGATGGACAGATCACCAAGAGGGAGTTCATTGATGGTGGAGAGGATGGGCTGCCTGACTTCCCACAATTCGGCAAGGGGGCGCTTGGTCATCACTACGACGAAGAGTCGGAGTTCTTCATGCATCATGAGGAGTGAGTGCAGCGAGGCATGAGGCATGAGGCATGTTGGGGAACCGTAGCTCACCGTCTTCTCGCTGCGCATTATCAGGATCTATCACAACACCCCGGACACACAGAAGCCAGAGTGAGCAGACGCGATTCCACTGCGACCATCATCGTAGCAATGAGTCTGACTTCTCTCTCCTCCCTCACTGCGCAGAGCCTACACTCACAAGGAAGATCTTGAGCACTTTGCGCACCACGACGCAATCGAGCGCGAAGAGGAGCAGCGAGAACGCAAAGCAGAAGGCATGCCCTCAATTGAAGAAGACGAGCGTCTTCGCAAAGAAGCCGCAGCCCACGGCCACAAGTACGTCTCGCCCTACGAGGCCCAGATTCCCAAGGAGGGCACCGTTGCCCCTCCTCACGAGCCTTGGAACGCGCACGCTGGCGGTCATGCTGCTCATGAAGCCCAAGCGGACACGCAACACCTCTTCCGCGGGCCATCGGGGGAGCACCTAGTCAAGACTGGGGCTGAGCAGGCAATCAATGCTGAGCAGGCGGCCATGGAGCATGATTTGAAGCCGGAGAGGCTCGAGGGTGAGACGGAGGAGGGATACAGAGACCGACTGGAGACGGCGCGCCAGGCGTATGAGTTTAGGCAGAGGGAGAAAGCTGCCGTTGTTGATGCGAAGCGTAGGCCGGGAGAGGGCGAGGAGGAGTACGCGAGGAGACTTGCCAAGGCGAAGTTTGAAGCCGCGAAGGCTAGGCCGGGGATTGCCAGCCCGCAAGATATCGGGAAAAAGGCGGCGCCCAACAAGGTACGTGGAAGCTGCCGAACGACATTGTCAAAGAGGCGATGTGCTGACTTTGCCGCTCCTCCTGACCTTGCGCATAGTACCCTCCCATCGGCGGCAGCAAGAGGAAGAAGGGTTCCTTCTTTGGCGAGTTCTAAAGCGGTGATGCGACCTGTGATCTCTTCATCCATCCCACGATCTGATTGGCGGCAGAGAAAGTGAGAGCCTGGTGCTCCTCGCTCGCCTGTACCTGAGCAACTGCTTGAGACCCCTGTTTGCTACAATCATACGATCTTTCGCTTGAGCACTCGGTGTTTGCGCCCATGCGATGTGATGCGAGCGACGGCTTGAAGAACATTGATGAAGGACCAGCCGATCAATCGGGTCGTCTCAGAAGTGTCGGTGTCGGCGCAGAGGCAGCTGCTGCTGGAGCTCCTCCTCCCGCATGATCAGAGCCAGGCTTAGGCCTGTTCCCCTTTCCCTGCTGCTGTTGCGATCCCTTCTTTCCCCCAGCTGCGCCACCAGCGCCTCCTGCTGCTTCTTCCTGAGTACCCTTCTCTTTATCTTTGCCCTTGGCCTTCCATTTGGCCGCCCTATTCTTTTGCTGCTGCTGCTGCGCTTTCGGCCCCGTAGGAATGGACGTGGTAGAAGCAGAAGAGGAAGGCGGCCCTCCTGCTGCTGTTGAAGAAGTAGGAGGGGTTGAGGTGCCCTTCTTCGCGTGATGTGCCGCCGCAGAGGGCTTGAGTTCTTTGCTCTTGCCCTTCCGATTGGCAGGCCCCGTCGGTGGCTTAGGGCTTGAGGTGTCAGGGGCGGAGGGCGATGCAGGCCCTCCAATGCTAGCCTTCATGTGAGCGCGAACGGCTTCGACTTGCGCGTCCGTCTGCTTGCTGCTCGCCGCACCCTTCTTGCCTGACGTAGCCGCGCCTTTGCCTGCTGGACCTGCCGCTCCTTTTCCCTTCTGCTTTTTCGAAGCCGCCTTTGCCTGTGCAGCGGCTGCAGCGGCTGCGGCCGACTGAGCCTTCTTGGCCTTGAGGTGCTCGAGGAGCGGGGTGAGCTTCTTCTTGTCACCCGCTGCGGAGTCTGCCGTCTCCTTCCCCTTAGCGGAGGTTGCCGCGCTGAGAAACGCCATCACCTCGGCATCGCTCTTCGTGTCCTTTCTCTCCTCACTCGCCTCCTCTTTCCCGCCCTTCTCCAATCTCTCCACAAAGGCGAGGAAATCTGGCTCCTCATGAATCGTCCCCTCCCTCTTATCGGGTCTACGTCGCACCTGTGTCTGCCCTCCTGCGACGGACGCCAGGGGCGGCACCTTCTGATAAGGCGCCCACTCGACGAGAGCGACGCTCTCTCTCCCTTTGGAGTCGCGGAAGACGTGTCCATCAAAGTTCCGGTGGAAGTCCAGGAGGTCCGTCAGGGAGCGGAAGCGCAGATAGGCACGCGAGTGAACGTGCGGGAGAGAGGACTGCGAGGATGAGGAGGCTGCGTTGGGCGGTGTTTTGAATTTGCCCTGGACGTATCGACGCCAGACGAGCTTCTCTTGAGCAGGGACGCCCAGGTGAATGTAAGGGCCTGGCTTTACGATCGGCGGTGCGGCTGACTTTGCTTCTGCCGCGGCGTTTGCTGGATTTGCGGCATCGTCGCTGCTGTCCTTCGTCGCTTCATGCTGCTCCCCATCGTCGGTCTCCTGCCCCACCCGAGTCGGCGCATCCTCGGCAGCTGCAGTCTGCTTAACGAGGATCGGCGCAGGTTTGTCGACGAGCTGCTTGCCAGTCCAGGGCTCGACGCTCTTCCAGAAGATGTCCTCAGGCAGATTAGGCGGCAGTCGCCGCACTACAACCTTGAGTCTCTGCTTTCCAGCATCGTCTTCCTTTCCGCCTGGTCCCCCTGCCCCTCCTGCTGCCCCTGACTTTGACTGCTTCTTCTTTGGCCGCGATCGCACCTTCTTGGCCGGCTGAGCCGGCTGCGCCTGCTGCGCTGCTGTGGGGCCACTCGCTGCTTTGCTGTGCTTCCCTGAATGGTGCCTCGGGCCTTGCGTACCTTTCGATGAGGTAGCGCCGCCCGCAGAGGGCTGCTTAGGCGGCATGACGGTGTATTGGAGTGATGTCGAAGAGGGAGCAAAGTCAAGTCAAGTCTCGGTCCGCTGCGCCCGCATCGACGGAAAGGCGATCGAGTCGAGTTCCAGTCGCAAGTCGTGTGGAGTCAACGCGTCGTCTGGTGCTGCTTCCGCTGCCTCTTTCCTTCTTGACCAACATCACTCAAGATCTTCTCTTGCCCCCGCCGTGGGCATGTCGGCCTCGCCGAACGGCTCAGGCATTGCAAGTGGAGCTCTTGACGCATCGGTATGGCTCTCTCAGCCTCTCTCCTCCTTCGTCAGCCGCGGCACCGCTGGCGAGAGGAGCGCCGCCGACCTGCTTCTCCCTCCCAAAACTCTGGCCTTTGCGAGGCGCAACAATCTCTTCACACTCGGTCAGATTATGCTGCTCAGCCGCACTCAGGTGGCCGATATGCTCAAGATTCCCATATACGAAGTTGATGGGTGGCGCAGAGATGTCATTGAGATGGCGTACAGGGCCAAGGGCACTCAGGGTGCAGCTCATCACGTCGGGGCGAGGAGCTTAGGCACTCAGAAGAGGCAGCGGGGAGAGGTGGCGCAGGCAAGTAGCAAGGGCAAGTCCCGCGCCCGCAACGACGTTGATTGGGTCTGCCTCGGCGACAAGCTCCTCGACGAGGCGATTGGCGGACGTGGGCTACGCAAGGGCATGCTCACCGACGTGGTAGGGGAGAGCTCATCGGGCAAGTCGCAGCTGGTCATGCAGATGGCCGTGCATGCTGCGTTGGGCCTTGACCATGACGATGACGATGAAGACGAAGAAGCGTGGGGCTTCAACCGTGCGAGGGCGAGCAGTGTCGCCTTTCTGCTCTCAGAGGGGGATATCCAGTCTCTCAACTTCAGCGGCAGGATGGTAGAGATGGCCCGAGCCACACTCGCGAGGCGGTGGAACGAAAGGCTAAGACGCACAGGCTTGGTGGTCAAGACGGAGCAAGACGCTGGGGCTCTCGCCGCCTATCTCGACGAAGCTACGGCTCTACTCCTCTCAAACCTGCATATTGCCAAAGTAGTGGACATGGACGCTCTTGAGCATGCGGTAATGTACACTCTCCCCGGATTGGCAGCTCGCCTTGAGCAGCCACCTGCATCGGCGTCAACTTCTCGGCCCGCAGCCCCTCCCTTGGGTCTCGTCATCGTAGACAATATTGCCTCAATCTACCATCCAGTCGAAGCCGGGACGAGCTTCCAAGCCCTCATTGAGCGATCACGTCACAGCGCACTCTTGGCCAACGAACTACGTCGGATCGCCACTACGTGCAGTGGAGGCGCAGGGTGTGCGGTCGTCGTAGTCAATCATGTGCAGGACTGCTTCGAGAGGGAGAACGAGGCAGCGCGGAGAATCGTGGCTCAGCAGCAGCTGGGCAAGAGGGCGAAGAGTGGTGACAGGACGAGGGGACGGCCGACTTCCTCTTCGTCGGCGGCTTCACCAGCGCCGCTGCCTCCCTTGACCTACGCTGCCCAATCGCCCTTCTTCACCGGTCATTTGGCAACCATGCTATCTGCTGCAGTACCTCACGACGCTGACCAGCGAGTCTCCCTCGCACTACTGCCAACACACCGCTACAAGCAAGCAGCGTTGAGCAATACCTGGAACAACTGCATCAATGCACGTCTTGTCCTCTGTCGGTCGCACGTCACTCTCGACGACGAAGGAGGTGGAGGTGGGGAGAGTCGGGCAATTGGAGTCAGTATGGCAGGGGAGGAAGGCATGAAAGACGAGAAGAGCAAACTTGGAGGGGGTGACATCGTCGCTCTACGCACCCTTCACCTCATCTTCTCACCGTGGTGCCCACCCCGGAGCGCACAGTTCCTCGTCACGCAGGCGGGGTGTCAAGGCTGGTCAGGCAGCGATTGGACATTCATGCCGCACGAGCACGCGCATCACGACGAGGAGAAGGAGGAGCAGGAGGAAGAGGAGCGTCTCTACGCGGACGGGGGAAAGAGGAACAGGGACGATTTCGAGCGCGCTCTGGCTGGGCTGGACGAGGTGGGGTTACGATCGGCATCGGGGTCGCAGGCGTATCGTGAATGAGATTCCTTTGGCCGTCGTGCCTGTCTGACGTCGTGAATGCGCTCCTGCTCACTTCCCAATGCCGCAGATGGAGAGGTAGAGCTGCGGCTACGGAGGGAGAAGAGGGCGAAGACGCGTCGACTTTCAGCGAGCACCGCGGGGCCGCCGCCTGTTCGACTTGACCTCAAATTGAATGTACACGAGCTTCGTGTAACGCAGCATCAGTGTGGGGCAAAAAGAGTGACGTAACTGCAGTATTGGATGAGCTGGAAGCAGCGGGGTCAAAAAGTTTCCCAGTCCGGGAATCGAACCCGGGCCAGCCGCGCATCTGGTAATCGAACAACTGCCGCCGTTTTCTCGTGAGAGGCGGCGATCCTAACCACTGGACCAACTAGGAGTGATGGGAGATATTTGAGATCTGCGTTTATATTAAGCCGTTGGCGTACCAATCAGACGCCATCGGAGCGGCTATCTCGACGCCGCTGCGGTGCTGGCTGAGGCCTGCGGGAAGCAGGGAGGGGATGGTCAGGGCGGTGCCTGATCCACTCGCGTCGGGACCAAGGCAAAGGATTGGCTTGCACAGCCGGGCGTCATCGAATGGCCAGGATTGCGTGCGTTCGGGCGGGCAAGAGCGGACGCCTGAGGAGCACAGTGGTAGTACGAGGCGGCCGTCGTTCGCGGCCGCCAGTATCGCAACCAGCTCCTGATCTCACAGAGGTTCATCAATGCGCTGGCAGCAATAGCAGCGAGGTGATGACCGGTCGTCTACGATCTCTCCCACGTACAGAGAGCTGAAGCGCGGCTGGCTGGTGTCCGGTTCTTCAATCTGACCCGCTCTTCGATGTACTCCATGCAAAGACCATCGACCGAATCATCGAGTGCTCGTGGCCAAGGGGGCGTTGAGAAAGGGGCTGGTAGCTGAGAATATGACGGGCTGCTCGGCACCAGCATTGTGCGTCACAAGGAGCTGACCGAGAGAAGTGGATTTGACATAGTAGTTGTGAGGACGAGAAAAGAAGGAGAAATGGAGCAACCCACTTCTCACATCCCTGAACCCCCCGGCTGCGAGTTGTGACGGCAAAGGCGGGACGGGCCGCCCAAGGCGCCGATCATGCAGCTCCACTCGAGGGGATGCAGCGATGCGCTCCCCACATCTTTCATCCGATCCACCTCGCTGCTACCGCTTCACTTGATCGACACAACCAAATTCTCGCCTCGACGCTCGCCTTAACGCTCGTGGGCGTGGATGTGAGCCATGAGACTCGGCAGCTACTTCTTGCCAGTCAGAATATGGCTACTCGCTCTTGTCATCTGCAGCTGGGCGTGCAGCTCCATCTTCGTCGCTGCTGAGCAACACCCCTTTCAGGCTTATGACCCGACGCATCCACTATATGCTACCTCCTCTTCGTCAGATGACCTACCGACAAGCCCTCTCGATGTGCTCACATCGTCACCTGATCATACAACCCTCGTCCGCCTCCTCCAACGCGCACGATTGGTTCCGCTACTCATTCGCCTGGTCCAGTTCGGCGATGATCGTGGTCTGACCATCCTGGCGCCCACGAACGAAGCCTTCCAGCGCAGCGACGACAAGGACAGAGACTCATTCTGGTCGACAGCGCTCATTGAGGCGGAAGACGGCCAGGACAACATTGCCGCCGAACTGCGCCAGCGACTGCTCCACCATGTCCTCAATTACACTCTGCCTTACGACGTAGTGGCCAACCTGAGCGGTAGCGAGAGTGACAGCTCGACGGCATCATCATCTGTCCCTCTGCCACTTGCACGCCCTCATATGCACACCACATTGCATCGCCCCTCACGTAGTCTACTGGAGGAGCCCACTCATCCAGGTCCTATTCCTCAACCGCCCGATGGCCCACGCCACCCCGGCGCCGAGGATCGTGGTGGCCTGCTCGGCGGCGAAGGCCAGAAGGTACGAGCCATTTGGAGATGGCAAGAAGATGAAAGCAAAAAGAAGCCATCTGCTCCTCGTCGCGGCTCCCTCTGGTTCGACGTCGACGCCAAAGGTCAAGGCGGTTTCCCTGCTCTGCGGGAGGTCCGCACACGTAGAGGCCTCGTCGTCGTCCTCAACGACACTTTGGCCCTGCCTCCTTCGCTCACTGACATCGTAAAGTCTCACCCAGCCCTCGCGACCCTCGCCTCCATCATCGATGCGCGATTGCTGCACACCCTCGCACATACCGCCCACTCGACTCTCTTCCTTCCCGCCTCTCCGTCCTTCGACTTCCTTGCCCCGTTGGAGCAGTCGTATCTGCTGCGCAACACGTCACGCGAGGAACAGCGAGACGATGCATGGAAGGTCGTTGGGTGGGACCGCACAAAGGTGCTGGGCTGGCATATCACCGGTCGGGGCCTACGCGGAGACGATGGGCAATGGGGAGTAGTCGGGTATGCCGAGCGGCTGAGAGCTGCGCTGGGCGACAACGACGGTGTGCTCAACATGACCACAGTTCTTGGTGGACCGCTGCACCTCCGCTTGGACAAGACAGGCGATGAGGAAGACTCTGAAGCCTCGGGCGATATCAGGGTCGGCGACTCTGCCCGCATAGTAGAAGAGGACATCCTCTGCGAGAACGGAGTGGTCCACATCGTCGACTCGCTCCTACTTCCTCAGCCTTCTGCTCTCTCCCTCAATGTGGAAAAGACACTCCTCGCGCTCAACGCCTCGCGCTTCGTGGGCATGATGCGCAAGGCTGGGCTCGAGAAGGAGTACCTGCTCGTTGGCGGTAGCAAAGACCAGCGAGATGACGACGACGACGATAGCGACGCCGTTCAAGAGCGCAAGCCCGATCGCCGCAGCCCGCAGTGGACCATCGTTGCACCTACGGATGAGGCACTGCAGCACTGGCTCGCTGCTCACCCGGAGAAGGCACAGTGGTGGCGACGGTTCGAGGAGCAGCCTACACTGAGCGACGACGGCGATGAGGACGACGAAGACGGCTCTGCGCGGTCAAAGCTCGTCGACCTACTTCGCTACCACGTCATCCCGGGCATCGTCCGACCAGAGAACCTCACAGACGGCGGACTAGTGCCGACAGATCTGCGCAGCTGGCGATTGAAGGAGGGCAGACAGCGAATCGTTACGGCAGTGACCTCGACCAAGAGTACAGCGCGAGAGGGCAAGGAGCCAAAGGGCAATGGCGACGTGGCATTTGGTGATGCAAACGTCATTGCTGACCCAGTTGAGGTCATGGGCCACGCCGAGGATGGCCGCGACGACAAAGACGGCGATGACGACAAGCCTCCCTCCGCTCCGCCGGCCGCGCTCATTTACCTCGTCTCTTCTCTGCTCACTCCGCCCGACAACCCAGTTCAGACAGCCGTATCGGCCTCCCTCTCCCTCTCGACCTTCATCGCGGCAGTCTTCTCCGCCGAGTTGGACAAGGCGATCAAGCGTGCGCCGGGCGTCACGTATCTCATCCCAAACAACGAAGCCTTTAGTAATCTCGGGGCAATGGTGATGAAGTACCTGCTGCTCAACGCAAAAGAGTCGCGCGAGGCACTGACGCAGGTAGTGGAGTATCACTCCATCGACCAGGTAGTATACGTGGATGATCTGCTCTCTTCGCAAAACGGGCTCAAGAAGTTCCCGACACTGGAAGGCTCCACCATCTTCGCTGGCCGAGCAAAGGATAGCGACGGTAAAGCCTACATTGAAGTTCGGCGAGACGACGGCAGTGAGCATAGCGGCAATCGCACACTGCTACATCGCCCTCCGATTCGTAATGCCCGCGTCAAGGCCAAAGATCTACTCACGGATACTGGCGTTCTTCACGAGATCGACACAGTAGAGCTTCCCCCTGACCTCGACTTGACGAGCGACAAGCTGCTGCGAGGAGCAAAATGCGACACCTTCCGCGACCTCATTGTGAGGGCAGGGTACGGCTTCGTGCTCAACGGCACTCAACCGCCCGATGAAAGCGACGAAGCCGAGAAGCTATCTTTGCTGCGCAAGACCCCGCGTCAGCGCCACGGGAAAAAGCATTCACGTCGCCATCGCTTCTTCCGGGACCCTGCCCGATCCTACGTCCTCCTCGCCCCAACGGATGAAGCCTTTACGCGTGTGAATCTCAGCTACTACTATGCTGATGCGGAGAAGCTCAAGGAGCTCGTGCAGCTGCACATTGTTCCTTCGCCTGACGCGGAGGATGACGACAATTGGAAGGCTGCAGAGGAGCAGCGCAACGGAGGAGAGGATGACGCGGTGATACCCTCAATGACTAGGTGGGCCTTGCCACTGGGGCTGAGGGATGGGTGGAATGCACCTAGCCTACTGGATAGGGCGACTGGGGGAAAGAGCAGATATGGCAGGGTCGCCTTCAGGTATGTCGGCGCGAGCAAGGCGAAAGGGTGGGGACGAAACGATGACGATGACGATGACAACGACGGCGACGATGACGACGACGACGATGAGGCGCCGCAGATGGGCTGGCAGCTCGGCATCTTGGGCTCACGAGGAGCGCCTGCAACAAAGAGCGGCGCTGGGAAGCACTCGGCACGGATCCTCGACTTTGGTCGCGAGTCAAGACGCCTGTATGCTCCTGACAACGACGACGATGACGACAGCGCACAGGCATCGTTCAAGAAGAAGAAGAGAAGAAGAAAGCCAAGGGAAGGCGACGAGGAAGGAGCTCCGATGCGCGCTTTGGGCGGCGTGCTCCTTCTCAACTCAGTCCTTGTACCCTACGAGCCCAACTGGTTCCACAGATGGGGTTGGATCCTCCTCACTGTCCTGCTGAGCCTGGCAGCCGCTTCGCTGCTCGCGGTGGGTGCATGGCGCAGCTGGGTGACACGGACAGGTGGCAAGGGCAGGAGAAAGGGGAGGAGTGCATCTCGAGGCGCTGAAGGCGGGGAAGAAGGAGAGGCGATGGAAGGGGAGGAGGAGTAGCAGCATATCACGACAAAGCGCTCAGACTTGATAGTTTCCCATCCTCTATATCGATTTGCATTACTGCCAGCACAAGGTGCTGCGTCCCTGTGCGCGCTTACTCGAGGATCTTCTTGTCGAGGACCTTGCCATTCTCGTCAATCTGGTAGACGAGGGGGACACCCGTTGCGAGCTCGAGCTTGAGCGTCTCCTCAGGGGTGAGCCCCTCGAGGTCCTTGACGAGGGCACGGAGGGAGTTGCCGTGAGCGGCAATGATGATCTTCTTGCCCTTGAGGAGCTCAGGCTTGATCTCCTTCTCGAAGTAGGGGAGGACACGCTTGGCAGTGAGCTCGAGGGACTCGCCTCCGGGAGGGGGAACATCGTAAGAGCGACGCCAGATGTGGACCTGGTCCTCGCCGAACTTCTTCCTAGCGTCGTCCTTGTTCAAGCCGGTGAGGTCTCCGTAGTCGCGCTCGTTGAGGGCCTGGTCCTTCTTGGTGGGGATGCCCTCTTGGCCAATCTCCTTGAGTTGGATGGCGAGGGTGTTCTGCGCACGCTGGAGGGCAGAGGTGAAGGCCATGTCAAAGCTGGTGTAGCCATACTTCTTGAGCTCCTTGGCGCCCTTGAGGGCCTCCTCGTGGCCGAGCTCGGTGAGGGCGGGGTCCTTCCAGCCTGCGCGAGGGACAAGAGATACGAGGCGAAAGGGGGTCAGAAGGAGTACCACATCTGAGCTGATTTTGGCGCGCCGCACGCACCAGTGAAAAGGTTGAGCTTGTTCCACTCAGATTGGCCGTGGCGGGTGAGAACGAGGAGTCCTGGCATGATGTGTGTTTTCTGTCTATGGGTGGTGATGGTCGTGGTGAGAACGAGAGGAGAGAAGAAGCCACTGTCTCACGCAGCGGCACCACAACGGGAAGCGCTGGGGCCACGGAGCGAGTCGGCAAGACTGGCTCACGTGGCGTCATCCGATGCAAGCTCCACTCGTTCGCCCTCCTCAACCACAGCTTGGACTCGCATTTCCTTGACATCGATCCTCCAACCCTTATACCCTCTCCTCCTCTCCACCGGATCACAATCAACAAATCGGCGGGGTCAACTCAACAGCGACGGCCGCATCACTTGCCTTATAGTGTACGCCAAATATCCGCTATCGAGCACCCGCCCAACGAGATCTTCGTTACTCACCTCTCGCTCCCCCTTTGTACCCTGCATGTCCCACCGTCAGAACGACCGCTACGCGTCAAAGCGACACTACGATGGCAGGGATGGCAGGCAGCCGCACCATAGTGGCCAAGGCGGCGGTGGCGATGGTAGGCGTCCCGTAAGCAGCAGGCAAGAGCTCACTGGAAGTAGGCATGTCGATTCCTCAGTATATGCACCAGACAAGCGGGCACGAGTCGACGACGACAGCAATTCGGCAGGCCCATCCAAGCCAAAGCCAGCATCTGTCTCTTTCGACTCGTCAGCAGACAAGTGAGTCCTAGAGGGCGTCATCGCTGTGGGAAGGTATGGCTGACCCCACATGGTATCTTCGCCCGCCGCAGGCCATCCGCGCACCAGGACGACTACGATGCCGACCTCACCTTCGAGCTCGAAGATGAAGAGACGGAGCGTAAGCGCATCGCAGAGCAACGTCGTAAGCGCCAGGAGCTCCTTGCCAAGCTCAGTAGCCAAGGTGCAGCCTCAGCCTCAGCCTCAGCCTCGGCATTGCAGACTTCAACCCCAGCCCAAGCTTCTTCAAGCCCGGCCGCCTCTGGCTCTACTCCTCAGCCACCGCCAGCCGCAGCCGCTCGCTCCAGCCCAGGGCAAGACTTTGAGATGACCAAAGCAGAAACCAGTATCGCCGTCCCGCCGCCCGCATCACTCCACGAGGTCTCCGCAGCAGACTATGATCCCAGCGTAGACCGCAAAGTAGATGAAGCTCGCGAGCAGCAGCAGCAGCAACGCGACGCTGCTCCGCCAGCGACAGTCACGACCACAGCCGGCGTAGCACAGGGGATTGGTGAGCCTGCCCCTCCTCCTGAAAAGAACGGTACCGAGACAGAGTACGAGGAGGTAGAGGTAGACGAGGAAGACGATATAGACGACATGTTCTCGCTGGACACCGAGGCGGGCGAGAAGCCAAAAAAGAAGAAGACGATCCGCGTCAAGAAGACGAAGAACGGAGTCGCTCTGCCTGACGCAACTGCTGCTGGCGGTCCCGCGCACGCCGGCCTCACATCCAATTGGGACGATGACGAAGGGTACTATCGCATTGTCCTCGGTGAACGCATAGGCCCGAAAGGTCGATTCCACGTCTTCGCCAACCTCGGCAAGGGAATGTTCAGTGAAGTCGTGCGCGCCAAAGACTTGGGTGAGGACGGCAAGGGGAGCGGGGACAGTACGCCGGACGTGGCAATTAAAATTGTCCGTAGCCAAGAGACGATGTACAAGGCTGGGATCAAGGAGATCGCCCATCTGCAAAAGCTGGCTCGTCTCGACGTGGACGACAAGCGTCATGTTGTCCGTCTCGTCTCGCACTTCACTCATCGCGGCCACCTCTGCATGGTCTTCGAGAATCTGGCCATGAACCTCCGCGAGGTGGTAAAGCGATTCGGCAAGGATGTCGGGCTCAACTTGAAAGCCGTAAAGGCCTACGCGCATCAAATGCTCCTGGGGTTGGCCTTGTTCCGCAAGGCAGGGATAGTCCACGCCGATCTGAAGCCGGATAATGTGCTAGTCAACGAAGCGAAGACCACCCTCAAGATCTGCGATCTCGGCTCAGCAGTCGACGTAAATGAGATGGATCTCACCCCGTACCTCGTCTCCCGCTTCTATCGTGCGCCAGAGGTCATCCTCGGCCTTCCCTGCGACGCCAGCATCGATACGTGGGCCGTGGGTTGCACGCTCTACGAACTCTATACGGGGCGCATCCTCTTTCCTGGCAGGAGCAACAACCAAATGTTGCACCTGATCCAAGAGACAAAGGGCAAAGTCCCGACCAAATTGATCAGGAAGGGGCAATTCGCCCACCTGCACTTCGACGAGACCAACACCTTTCTCGCTCATGCGGCACCCACCGCAGCGAACAGCGCTGTAGCTGCGAGTGATGGGGTGGACGGGTTTGTTGCCCCCGCCAAGCGGGTCGTACTGCCCACGAGCCCCGTGAATGGGCAGGACTTGAAGTCGAGACTGGCCAGCCCGCAGGTACTGAGGGGCTTGGATGAACAGGAGGCGAGGAGGACGCAGGCTTTTGTGGAACTGCTGGGGAGGATGCTGGAGGTTGATCCGGCGAAGAGGATCACGCCGCAAGAGGCACTGAGGCACGCGTTCTTGGCGGCTTGAGAGGGCGAGGTGCGTCAACGAAGCCTCCATTCGAGGCAGGAGAGACGTGTAGATGAAGCAGTGTAATTCTGTCGTGGCTCGTATATCACATTTCGCCCTCTCTCAGCCTCTCGTTCCACGCCCGCTGGCCGTCCTATCTGCGTCCCCCGCATCGACCAAGACTCCAGTCGATGCTGCCTCTCGGGCCGCCGTAGCATCGCTGATAGCCACGGGCGGCGTAGACCCAGGCAGCTCCGCACCAGCAGCTGCCGGCCCCTCTGTTCCCACTCCCAAGGGCTCGCCTCCTTCCCTTGGCCTGAGAAAGGTCGGCGGCCTGACAATCCCGTTGAAGACGAGCGTGCCATACACGAGAAGGGCGAATCCGGTCGCTTGAGCAGGTCCGCTCCTCCAAGTCAGGACCTCCCAGCCGAGGAGCAGGCTCCCGATCCAGATGCCCAACGTCCTGCACGTATCAATCGTGCTCCTCGCTGTAGCACTCAAGGCTCGTGTGACCGCTAAGCCACACCCGTTGAAGAGGGCGATGCTCAGTGAGATGGCGACACTGCTCCAGAGTACGGCGCTGTTGCCTGTCATTTGGCGCCAGCCCGTGACGATGTCAAAGTATCCGCCGCGTCCGGAGGGGGTAGCGCCGTAGAAGTAGTGGAGGAGGGGCATGGCGAGGAGGACTGTGGTGAGGCCGAAGAGACCTTCGTACGAGACGGCAAGGAGGGGGTCGACGTTGTAGCGTGTCATGATCTGCGGGCGGAAGGGTGGAAGGAGTGCAAGGAGAAGAGTCAGCAATTGCGATATCGAGGGAAAAGAGTGGCGTCATCGCACTCACCTTCTCTTCGAGAACAAATTGAGAAGCCGAAAACAGCTGCGCAAAGAGGATGAGAAGCACGCCCAGGAAGGCAGCCAATGCCGGGGGTACCTCTGGCTCCTGATCCGCTTCTCCAGGAATGACAAATCTCCTCAACGGCCTGCCGAGCTCCTGCACGACACTCGCTCCCGGACTTGCCACGCCTTCTGCCTTCTCCCTCGGCTCGTCGCGGAGAATCGTCCCACTGAGTCCTACGACGCTCACACCCAGCATGACGGTACAGAGCGCGGCCCACTGGTAGACGTGCAAGTGCCTGCGGAGGAAAAGGACAGAGAAGACGCCGACCCACAGGACGAGTGCACCTCGAGTCATTTGATAGATGGAGACGGGTGTGAGGATCAGGCCGACGTTCATGAGTGTGGTTCCAGTGAGGTCGCAGATGGCCGGGAGTGCGAAGTAGACGGCGTGCGGGGACCAGAGACTTGCCGCTGTCGCTGCCTCGCCGTTGCTCGTTGACACAGGGTCTGACTCCTCTTCTTGAATGCTGGTAGGCAGCGCCGTATATCTCCCCTTACCCCTCCTTGCACCCCATCTGCTCCTCGCCAGAGCAACCACTGGCGGGATAACGCATAGACACTCTCCCACAAACATCTGCGCCGTCTGCAGCACGGGCTGGCTGAACTCTGTATGCTTGCTTGGGTCAGGGTCGGAGCAATTGGCGACACATTGCTGGTCTTGGTACTTGGTGAAGAGGGAGTTGCAGATGCCTGTGACTAGCATACCTGCTACCAAGAGAGGGATGGCCGCGGACCGATCCACCTGTGAAGAGGGGGAGCTGGCCGAAGGGGGAGACATGTTGGGCGAGTGAGGTGGACCTCAGGCTCTGCCAATGCGTGGTGAAGGCCGACGTGCGATCGGAGACGATGGAGGCTAGTCGTGGTGGTGTTGATGGTAAGAAAGGAGAGATAAGGAGACTCCAGCTGGAGTCGGATCATCAAAGCAGCGCTCGCCCCCTCCGACCCCGCATCCGCGTCCTCGTCCCGCATCGGCAAGACGAGCAAAGCAAGCCCCTCGCAGCTCCAGCCTCCGTCCGTCTCGCCGAGGTGGTGCTCAGGCCACCTGATTTTCCCCTACGTCAGGTCATACCAACTTCTCCCAATGTGATCACACAAAGCAGAGCACAAGTCGGCCAAGGGCGATGGAAGACAATATCGAATGCACGACGCTGGCTCACGACATTGTGCGATGAGCCAACATCGAGATGAGGGCGGGAACAATGTTGAGTCGACGACTATGAGAAGTGAAGAGAAAGTGGCGAAACAAGATGAAGAAGAACCACATCAAGACAAAGGGAGAATACGTGGAAGCGACCTGCTTGCTCACAGCCCCCTGCGAGGCCTCACCGCTCGACGCAGAAGCGTCAAATCTCTTTGCCGCTCCAAGCGACCTCAGTCGAACTCATAAGCCGCCTCACGCCTCATAGCGCGCCTCTTTTTGACCTTCTTCTCGTATTCCTTCTTGCGCTTTGGCCCAGTGGCATCGCTGACGACTTCGGCGACGTCAGAAAGAAAGCCTTCGTTCGTGAGCATGGCAGCATGGCTCCCCTGAGTAGGCGTTTAAAGGAGCTGCGTAAGCTTGATGCTGCTTTTCAGCTGAACTTGCCCGTGACTCACCCATGACCCGGTCTTGAGATTCACCTCAGCAGGTGAGAAGTGCACGTCGCTGACATTATTCTCGCCCGAAACATGGAAAAGTTCGTGGTCTAGGTACTGCACCATCTCGTCGCTTTGACGCTGCGAAAGTTTCTCGTTGTCTGTCGAATGACAGACGTGAACACGAGGGCCTTCCCCATTGTAGTAGAACGTCGCAGATCGGGCGTGCCATGAGGTGGCGGAGGCACGCTTCAATTGGCCGAAGTCAGTGCCGTGCTCGGAGGAGGAGAGGGAAAAGGCTTGAGAAAGGTAGGTGCGATGAACCACAGACTCCTCAAGCAAAGACTGCAGGTCGTAGATCCCGTCCTGCGTGCGATAAAGCGAGCGCAGTGCCACATTCAGCCACAGCATCGCCTGTTGAGACTAGCCGGGTTATACTCACTACAAGGATCCACGCCATTACCTTCTCTACGATCTTTTTGCCTTCCTTATACGTTGTTCCAATGGCGGGGACCACGCTCTCCTTGCCCCACTGCTCCACCCTTGCGTCGAGCAGAACGGCAGCAGCCATCCAAGCGCCAACCTCGTGCCCCATCAGGACCACGCGATGGGGGTCAAAGCCGTACTTTTCTGCGATGGCGAACTTCTCCACATGTTTTGTCCAGGTGATGTAGCCGTCCCTTGCGTGTCCAGGGATGGTCTCGACGGAGGAGTGGAGCAGAAGGAAGCGCAGCGCAAGGAAGAGATCAGACAGAGCCGTGGGGTGTTGATTGTTGCCCGTGGGCTCAACGAGACGGTAGCCCAAAACGCCGACAGTGAGATCGCCGTCGCTCTTGTTGATGAGCTCGCGAGCCATCTTGTTGTGATCCTTGCGCGAGCCGGAGTGCCATTCACCGCTGTGTGGTGGCAGGAGCGAAAGAGAGGGCAGAGTGGAGTCAGCGCAGTAGCGCGTCATGCTGAGCCCGCCTGACGTACCCGTGAACGAAAAGCAGGAGAGGAGGGGCAGGCTCGCTGGTGATGAGTGTGCTGCTCTGGTAGAAATCAATTCGGTGCGCCTCATCCGGTCCGTAGGACACGTCGAGGTGTTCGACGATCGTCGCCGTCTGGTCGTGCTCCATGCTGCTGATGATGGGCGACATTGTGCATCCAGGCCAGAAGGTGGGAGTTGGTAGGGAGAGAAGGGTATCCGACTTTCGCTCTGCGTCGCGGATGTGACGGGAGACGATGCACACCACTTCGCCTCCGGAGGTGCGGATGGTAAGTGATAGGACAATGGAGTGGAAGAAAGGCAAGAGTGATTGGGTGTGCCTGGGACGGGAGAAGCACACGGCGGACTGAGCGACGCGTCAATGTTCAGGCCAGGCTTTCAGAGCAATTGGGTCGGCGAGTTGAAAAGGATATCGCTGATGATGACAAAAGACAGAACAGGGAATCTACTCATACCGCATTACTTTGCTCCTTGATAATTGCTGCTATCCTGCCCAGAAACTCCTCATTTTCAAGCATTGGATCATGTCCGCCCTTTTGCACGCGGCCAGGAGAGAATGAGTGTCAGCTTGCTCGACTACACCGAGCGGTCAAAAGCCGCTCCTACTTACCCAATGGGCGCGCACGTCAAAGACCTGCGCTCTGCTTGGACATGTGCGCTTGAGATATTCAAGTGCCTCGTCGCTCTGCCTTGTGCTCAGCAGCTCATCGTCCAAAGAATGGTAAATCCCAACCTTGATCCTCTCGCTGTGTGCCGCATCCTCACCATCAGGGGCGTACGGCCACGTCTCAACCGAGGCTGACGCAAGTTGTTCTTGCTCCACGCCGTACTGGTCCTCCTCAAGAGGGAAAGCTTGCGCGACAAAGCTGCGATAGTCTGGGTATTCGTCCAGTAGCGAGGGGAGAGAGTAGATCCCGTCCACTAAGAGGTAAGCTTTGATTCTTCTCCTGAGGTCCCTGGCTTGGCCATCGTTCTGACAAAGCCTCGGCCAGACCTGACCACTCCCTTTTCGCGGTGCACGGCAGGGATCGAGAAGAACCGCAGCCGCCATCCATGCGCCAACTGAGTGGCCCATCAGGAATGCATTGCTAGGATCATACCCGAAGCGCTCTGCCGCGGTCTTACCTCCGTTATTCGGCAGGAGGAGGAAGCGCAAAGCTGCGTATACGTCCTCAATATGGGCGGGGTGACGATTTGTGAACTCGACGTGCTCGTTGGACGAGGAGGCCGAGGAGTCTGCTGTGGGGAGGGTCAAGCGATAATCGATTACGGCGACCACGGCTCCCGATTGCGCAGCGAGGCTGCGTGCCATCTTGATGTGGTCTTTGCGCGAGCCAGTACGCCAGGCTCCGCTGCGATCGTGATGAGGAGGATGGTGCATCGCGACGTCAGCTCTAGCACGCCTTTGAGTTGAGCCCATCATGCGCTCACCCATGAATGAAGACGAGCAAAGGCGCTCGACGCGAGTTAGAGCTGCTCTCGGCCCCGTGGTAGAAGTCCATATGATGCGCTTCATCTGACCCGTATGGAACGTCGACATTCTCGATGACGCTGCCTTGCGAATTTCCCATCCTGTTTGATGGTGATGAAGATCAGTGAAGGTGGGTGGACCGGAAGAAAGTGCAAATCTGCGCACGGCCTTTTGTCTCGTCTCGCTCCTGTCCGTCTCGTCTCGCCTCCTCGCGTGTGGAGAGGAGCAGCGCCACGCCCAATGTCACCCCGCATCCTTGCCTCCCTGCAATCCACTTTATCCTCCCGATAGAGCATCATGTCCTACTTCACCCCCTCCTACGATCTCCCGCCCCGAGTTCACCTGCTCAAGAACCCATCCCTCACCACACCACAACCCATCCCCTCGCCAGCCGCCTCTGTCCACCCTCTCCCGCCAGATCTTTCGGCCTACTTTGTCTATCCATTCAGTCTCGAGGCCTTCGTGCTGCAAGGTGGCGGTGATCCCGGCGCGGGCGGGGCAGGTGGTGGCTTTCGTTCAAGCCAACAGATCGAAGAGGAGGGACGTCGCTATGCGCGATATCTGGAGGAGAGGGAGGAAAGCAAGAAGGAGAGGGAGAGGGAGAGGATCAGACGGATCGCCCCCGGATGGAACGTTGGTGGTGAAGGTGCGTTGCAGCCTACAAAGAGGGGGAGTGGGGTGTTGATGCCGCAGAATGGGCAGCAGCATCAACAAAAGGAGGCGGACGGAGAGCAAAACAAAGCAGACCAGGATCCTCTGGACTCGATGGCCCAGCTGGGCGAGTACTTTGATCGCCTCGATGCATCTAAGGAGTCGGCAAAGGGTCCGCAAGGCGACCAGCAGCCGTCTTCGACGTCCTAATCAAGCCAGTGTGATCTCTCTTGATATCAAGTCGGCTGCTCAGTTCAGCAGCAAGATGAAACGACACGAGGTGCGAGGTGCAGCGCATGGCGCAACCTAGGCGCGCCACCACATGACGCTCATCCCCATCATCACCTCAGGCCTTCTTGATCGGCCTTCAAGGCTCCTCCCTCAGACGTAGAACAAAGCATGATCAAGGGCATCTCATTCATCTGGTCATTAATGGCAAAGAGCGAGGCCAACTGGCGGGCTACTCGCTCTTTGCAGGATATCATTCTCGTTACAAGATCGAGGCCAAGGGCCGAGCGGAAAGGCTCGCGCCTTCAGCTGCGGTCGGGATCGTCGCTTGAAGTGAAAGTGGTAGTGAAAGTGACAGGTGAGGTATTGAGATGGAAGATGGTTTGAGAGAAAGGGAGGAGGGAGAGAGGGGGTGATGAGTAAGTGCAAGTGAATGTTCAGAGGTCTCAATCAAGAAGTGATTGTTCGTGTCCCTCCTCCCGCCTTTGATGCCGGTGAGAGTGTCGCATCGGAGGAAGGGTGCCTGCTCATCCTCCTCCGTGCGCCAAGAGCAGCAGCAGCTGCTGCCGCTATATTGGCTGCCATGTTCTTCTCGTCATCGCCATCTGCCTCCTGAGCGATTGAAGGGGCAAAGCTCCCGTTGCTCGTAGAGGGAGTGAGGGTCGAAGACAGCTTGCCTGCCGTGCTCGAGGAGTGCGAAGAGGAGCCATGGGACGTGCTTGTGGCAGCGAGAGTCAAGTTGGAAAAGCCGGAGTCAGCCGATGACTCTCCTTTTCCATTCGTCTTTGCGATCGCCGTCCTCGACGACGGAGGCGTCGCTTCTTGCATGCCATTTAGCTTTGCAAGCGCAGCTTCGGCTTCATCCCTCTGCTTCTCCCTCTTGATCCTGATCCCCTGCAGGACGTCCTTCAGCTCAGTGACTACGCCACCATGCGGCTTCGTCCCCCGCACCACATCTGCCTCTCCAAGGGTATCTGAGGGGAGCTCGAGCGGCAAGCCGAGCTCACGACGTCGCTCCAACTCCTTGCGCTGCTCCTTGACCCTCGCTATCCTCTCCTCACGGCTCGTCTTCTCCACGTCTCCCCCTGTGCCGCTCTTCCCACTCTTTCGCGCCCTTCTCTCGACCTCCCTCTCCTCTTGCAGGCTGACCGCAATCCCCGCAATAGACTCAAAGATCTGCTCAAGGCCATGAGGCATTGCTGCATTGCCGTTGGAGAGACCGCTGTCGTTGCTTTCGCTTCGTCCGCCCGGGAGAGGAGAGGCAGATGCGGAGCGTAATCGTAAGAGGGAGGTGGCGAGATTCTCATCCGATTCGTCTGCATGAGATGCATGACTGTACGATGTCTGATCGTCGGGAAAGTCGCCTCCGGCTTGCTGTTTGTGGGCGTCGCGCTCGTCTTCCTCTGCCTCGAGGGGACTCTCAAGTCGTCCACTAAAGGTACTCGTATCCGCGCTGCCCAGGCTGGGCGAGATTGTCATTGCGCCCGTCGTGCTAGCTGAGTGCTTCGCACGCGCACGATCAGCCTTGAAAACCTTGCAGCCTCCCTCCCACTCCTGCGTGATGGCGAGCAGGTCCTCCCGCACGCTGTCCCAGAGGCGTTCCGCATTCTCCTTACGCTGCGAGACCGAGGCTCCGACGTCGCTTCCACCATTTGCATAAGAGGGGGAACCACCGTGCAGACCGCTGCTTATGGCCGGGGAGTCCATCCGCAACTCCTCATTACATGCGCGGATCTTCACTTGGATGGAGCGGAGGGATGAGATGAGGGCTTCGCTGCGGTCATCGAGCCCAGTAAAGGGTAGGAGACCTTGTGACCCTGGAATAGAGCTAGACGGCTGAGACTCGATGCTGAGGTCTTCGCCGTGAGGGTAGACATTCATCTCCTGATCGAGGACCTTTGCCATTCGTGTTCGGATGCCATCGAGGATGAGCGTCAGGCGGTGCATCGCTTTGCTGACTTGGCGCCAGTATTCCTGCATCGCCGCCTCCTCCCCGAGGTGCTTCTTCGACCCGAAGCGTAGCGCGAGCAACAAGCACAGGGCCCTCCTCCTCACGAGGTGGAAGTGCTCGAAGCTGCCTCTAAGCACGAGAAGCGAGAGCGGATCCACACTCCCGCTGACGGTGGTAGCGTCGACTGAGGGACCTTCAGTCGCGCCGATGCCGGGGGAAGTGAACAATGCCCGCCGTACACCACGCAGACTGCCTGCCCTCCCAATCGTCGTCGAGGCGGCGGAGGGGCTGGACATTGAGGGATTTGCCTGTTGCTGCTGCCAGTGAAAAGGCGAAGAGGGACCCATTGAGGACAAAGAAGCCGAAAGAGGTGGCGAGCCCGGATAATGCTTTGGCGCGGCCATTAGCAGAGTCTGCGCACCGTCAGACCCTTCCACGCCAACCCCACTGGCTGACATGCCTCCAACACTCATCCTACTGCCTGGCCTCGAATCTCCACCAAGGGCGGAAGCGATATGCATGCCATCAAGCCCGGCCTGATGCTGGTAGCTCAACCTCTTCGCCGCTGGGCTCCCATTCGGTCCACTTGAGCTCGAGGCTTCAGAGATATAGGAAAGGCGGGATCCGCTGCGTGATGCGGGCGGATTGGAGGCTGTCGTTGTTCGGCCAGGAGAGGCGAAGTTGTTCGGGTTGGGTGAGTGTGGATTGATAGGCGGGGAGGTGGATCGGATCGCGGCCGCAGCTGCACTCGGGGGATGGCTGTTGGTAGTCGCAGCGCTGGAGCTTGGAGGATCGAAGGAGATGGCATCGCCGTTGCGATTCTTGAGCAGGCTGCCACTCCGAGAAAGACCTGCTGCAGACGAAGACATCTGAGAGGAACTTGCGACAGAGTCATTGCTGTACCGCTTGCCAGAGGCGGAGGCTGAAGAAGAAGAAGAAGCAGAAAGAGGTGCCTCGTCACCCACTGCTGCGCTCTTGGAGGCATGAGCAGGTGAAGCAGCGCCAGCAAGCATCATTGGCGCAAGCGCGATATTGCTCGCCTTGCGCTGGTGCATCGGCCCGGCCATGCTAGTGGTGGAGCCAAAGCTCCGTGGCAGCGTGTTCGTCCAGCTTCCCCTCTTGTTGTTGAGGGGAGAGTTGAAGGAGTCGTCTCCCCACTCTGTGCTGTTTGGCATGCCAGTTGGCTGAGCTGAAGCCCCAGTAAGGAGGGAGAGGTTCCGTTTGTGTGGCCCATGACCTGTCGGCGTCATTGTCGCGAAGCGTGCCGAACTGAGGAGGGGAGGGGAGGCGAGACCAGGCGCTCTTTTGCTCCCCATGACAGAGCCTGCAGTGAGCGACTCGTCCCCTTCGCTTTCATCTTGAACGCGATCTAGCGAATACATATCCCCCAGCAAGGCCAGCTCGTCCTGATCGGTCAATGGCTGCAGAGCAGCGGTGAAGTCTTTACTTGCTTGTTCGGCCTCCTCGAACGCTCTGGCCAGCGCGGTCCGCAGATGGAGCATGCGATGCACTGGCAGCGAGGAACGCTGCTGCTGCTGCCTGTCTTGCTCACTGCCATGCTTGACTCCACTCTCCGCGCTCATCGAGCTGACTGACCTCTTGCCATTGACAGGCGACTGCGCGGACATCAGACCCGGCCGGTAGGATGTTGCAGTAGCGGAAGCAGCTTCGATGCGTGAAATGGGTGGCATAGGCTGTTGCTGATGACCTCCGACCTTGAAGCCGCGTGCCACAAGCTCGATCTCTTGGAGGGCGGCGAGGGAGCGATTAAGCTCGATGTCGGCGCTGCAGGCTGTCTTGACCAGACGCTTGACGCCTGCCTGCAGGTGAGTATGGGCGGTCCTCTCCTGCAGGTATGTCGACAGAGAAGGACTTGGCACACAGTTGCTGGAGGGCTGCACGAGCTCGAAGCGGAGTGGAGTCTTCTTGTCAAAGCTGCTCTTGCCATTGAGTAGTAAGGCGAGCGTCCACGCGCTGCAGGACAGGAGGAGAGTGGTGCGGAACCATTGCTGCGTCGTTGGAGAATAGAGCCAGAGAATGGCAACGGCCCAGACAAAGGAGTTGCGCAGGATGGTCGCGAAAGATTGGCGAGGGGTCGGCCTACTGTGTCTCACTGCGGTCACAGTCGAGCTGCTGACAGGCATGCTGGCTGCGAGCAGACTGCGCTCCTCCTCGGCGGTCGCCTGATCTTCGACTGGATCCTCGCTCCCGTATCTCGAAATGGAGAGGGTCGCGGTGAGAAGGAAGGAAGTGACAACCGTGTACTTGAATCTTTCAGCAAAAGAGCGCTTGGTCTTCCCTATCTCGAGCCTTTCCGAGAGCTGAGCCAGCGAAGGTTGCGCTGTCTTGCCCAAATTGCTGGTAGGTGATGCCGGTATGCCGAGGAAGTCGCTGGAGAAGGGCAATAGGACCTCGTGTACAATTCTTGACCATGTCCGGAGGATATCCTGAAAGAAGGCTACCAGAAGCGCGAGAAGGGATGCTCCATGTGCCCTTGAGGATGGCTGTGAAGCTGGCGCTGTAGGCGTCGTAGGAGTTGCGGGCTTGCTACTTGGGCTCGCGTAAGGATCTGGCAAAGCTTCCCTCGGCGGTGGTCCTCGCGGCGAGCTCGGGGATCGGACAGCCTGCGGCGCAGAGCTTGACGACGGATCAGGCGACATGGCAATGACCAGCCCGATGCTTCTGGTCGAGGCTGTCCTGCTCATCCTCTTTGGTGGACGTGGTGATACCGAGCCAACCCTCGGACCAGCTGCCGTCACATCGGAGCTCCGTCTCCTAGACATTGGCAGCGCATTCGTTGAGGCAGTAGGCGTCGTTGATCCGCTTGCTACGTCGAGATTGCCGCGATCAGACGAAAGCTCGTCGGACAGAGTGCGCAGCATTTGGGAGTTGTGCCGGAGCGAGGAGGACGAGGATGAGGTGGAAACGCGGCTGAGAGAGGAGGAAGAGGATGACGTTGCACGGTGCGAAAGTGCTGGGCGCCGTCTCTCACTGGATGGGCTGGGCAAAGGTGGGCGACGGGGAGTATCTGACAACGCGATGGATGGGAACCAAAAGTGAGCAATTTCATAGCGCTAATTAAAGCTCGATCCTTGAGGGCTCTTTGCCTCCAATATCGCTCTATTCTCACTCACTCTGATGATCGGCCATCCCTTCCATCGACGATGAGGGCGTCATCGATGCGCAATTGCCGTTGCCGTTGCCGTTGCTGTTGCTACTGCTGGTCGATGGTGACGATGCAGGCTTGGGGCCGGCATCAGTGTCGCTGCGATGAATCGAGGAGCTACTTCTGCCACCCGACGCACTCCCGCTTGGGCTGCGATGGCTTTGTATCACCTCTGCCATTGTCTTCGTGGTACCCTGCGCCCTGGATTGGGCGCGCAGTGGGATTACGAATCGCGCGATGAGATCGAAAGTGAGGATAGCGGGCAAAGCTCATGGACGAGGAGGAGCAGGCGCAGCTGCCGCTCGGCGTAGCCGCGGAGTCGAGATCGAAGGCGGCCCTCTGACAGGCAGGCGTGCAGCAGCAAAGAGTGAGAGGAGCAAGACGGCCTGAAACAGAACATAAGGCACTTTGCGACTCAGCCGCGGGCAACAGACAGGGCGGAAGCAGACGACGCGGCGGCCAGGGCGAGGAGCGAGGTGTTGGTTTGAGTTGGGTTGGCTTCGCAACTCTCCTTGACGACTCATCCTCATCATCTCAAGATGACAGCCTTGGCTGCTCCTCCTGCGGGCAGCATAGAGGCGGCATGGCAGCAAGCACTACACGCCTATTCACCTCACGACTTATCCTCATCGCCGTCTGAAGCAGGCCCATCCTCCTTTCTGGCAGTCGCCCGAGCGCGAAAAACGATCCGCGACTTTATCCTTAGCGGCGATGAGGACGAGATGCTACAAAGTGATGTGCCATCCTTCGTCAGCGACGCCGTTCGACTCCTTGCTTTGCGTGGGGTTGATGTCATCAAGTGCATCGAAGAGGCAGTCTTGCTGCGAACCGAGAGAAGTACGGCTAGGGCAGTCGAGGGCCTCAGCAAAGGAGGCGCTGTCATGAGCGTGGTGGCGAGCATGGCAGAGGAAAAGGGCAGGATGGAGCGAATGGTAGACGGCCTAAAGGTACACGCAGGAGAGCTAGACCCTATCGCCAATGTCGTCTCGAGCAGCTTGCGCAGCGAGCTCACGGCGCAGCTGGCCCACCATCCTCGAGCACTAGAGAGCATCAGGGATACTATCACCAACCTCTTCATGCGGCAGGCCCACTCCATCTCCTCCAGCGCAGAGGAACACGCTTTTCACTTCAACTTGCAGCAGATTGCCATAAATGAGCATGTACGACTCATCGTCGATCGGGCAGCCCGCCTAGCCGTCGAAAGAAAGGTCAGAGCAGTTCTTGGCCAAGGCGAGCACGACGATGACGAAGGAGAAGCAGACGCTCTCCCTTTCGATATCCCCGCCCGTCCTCTCCTCCTCACCTACATCTCACAAGACCTGGCCAACGTTACACGTCACTGGTCCCCACAAGACGGCGATCAGGCATGGGTCTCCCGCTTCACTTTCTACATGGATGTGGAGCTCACCAAGGGGCGAGCATTCCAACTCTTTGACCTCATCGCAGACTGGCCAGATTCCACGCCCGCTGTGGGAGACCTCAAGGAGTCTATCTCCCAGACATCCCTTCGGCTGTTCATCTCACAGACGCTCAGCGCCTCCCTCCGCAAACGGCTACTCCATCCAGGGGCGAGGACGAGAGACATATTGCAGCTGTACGTCTCTCTCGTCTATGCAGTGAGGCATATCGACCCTCAGGGCATCGTCCTGAGTCGGGTTGCGGGGCCTATCAGGCGATATTTGCGAGCGAGGCCAGACATTGTGCACGTGATCGTCTCCAGCTTGTTGGGCGGGGGTGATGAGGATGATGCAGGCTTTGAGCAACTCAGGAGCGAGTTGGACGCGGCGGGCGCAGAAGTCGGGACAGGGCCCGCTACTGGCGCGGCAGGGCGCCACGATACCAGTATTGTAGGCGATGTCACCATTGGCGAGGACGGCGGAGTCTCTCAAACAGCCACCGTAGCTGTAACAGCTCGCGCCGTAGCTGCCACTGCAGCGGCCGCGTCGGCCGCAGGCGAATCGCCCACCGACTACCTCGACCCCAACTGGACGCCTCGTCCAATCGATGCAGGACCCTCCTATCGACAGTCACGCAGCGCAGACGTCATCGCGATGCTCGTATCCATCTTTGACGATCGTGCTACGTTCGTCAAGGCGCTCGAGGTCAGCACAGCGCGCGCATTGCTTAAGAGTAGGGGCTACGACGTACAGACAGAGTACCGCAACAATGAGGTCCTGAAGCGCCGCTTCGGAGACGCTGCGCTCGCAAGGTGCGATGTGATGCTGCAGGACGTGGTGGACTCAAGACGGACGGACGCGAGTGTTTGGAGTGTATTAGAGCAGGCCCAGCACGACGCAGGTGCAGCAGCTACGCTGGCAACCGCGGCGTCCCCACCTCTTCCACCCACGGTGAAGGCGAAGCTACCCAAGGATTACACACGGGACGAGCCAACGATGCGAGCTATGAAGCCGCTGATCACCAGTCGACACTTCTGGCCTGACCTAGAGGGTAGTGAAGCCCCTCCTGTCCCTCCTACCAATTCGGCCTCAGGTCCATCAGCCGGCCAGTCCTCAACGCTAGGCTCGGTGGGCCCACCACCTGGCGGACTGGAGATGATCCTTCCTGGTACTCTGGGCAGGGCGCAACAGCACTACAATCGCGCCTTTACTGCTGTGCGCGAGTCGCGACGCTTGAGGTGGCTGAGTGGCTTTGGAAGCGTGCAGGTCAAGGTGGAGATGAAGGACGGACGTGTGTGGAGCGAGAGGGTGGATCCGGTCAAGGCAGCTGTGCTTGTCGCTGCCGCTGGCGAGCAGGAAGGGCAAGGGGAGGAGGAAGCAGGGTTGGCGGCTGCTACGCCGGAAAATCCGCTCTCGAGGCAGCAGTTGGCGGAGCAGATGGGGCTCGCCGGGGATGAGCAGGGTCGGAAGTTGCTCGAGGGGGCATTTGCGTGGTGTGTGAGCAGGCAGGTACTGGTCGAGGTTGAGGGGAGACCTGGATGGTATGTTGAGGCCGAGGCGAGGAGGTAAGCAGTTTACGCTGTGATCGATACCACGTCCAGGCGACTATCTCTTCAACGCTATTCAAACAGTCACACTGCTTCACGCCGCCACGCTATCCCGCTTTTTATGTTGCTTTTTGAACGAGAGATTCCATTGAGGTCTTCGACGGAGGCCCGAGTCCCTCTGATCTACGTCGACGACGGAGGCCGGCCGCACTACAAAGTCCTCAATACGTCAACAATGGTGTCCCACGCGCACCCTCGTACAGGCCGCCTCAAGTACAAGAGCAATCGCAGAATGCCACAGGTAGTAGGCCAATCCCTTGGCGTTTTTGGGTTGGTGCTTAGATGAGGTCAGCGACGTTGAGGGGCATCTCGCTGATCTCGGTGGAGTAGAAGGCCTCAATGTCACGCATCATGCGGACGTCCTCAGACGTGACGAAGTTGATGGCAACACCCTTCCTACCGAAACGTCCACCACGACCGATACGGTGGATGTAGTTCTCGCGGTTGAGGGGCAGGTCATAGTTGATGACCAGCGAGACCTGCTGAACATCGATACCACGGGCGAGCAGGTCGGTGGTGATGAGGACACGCGAAGAGCCCGAACGGAACTCCCTCATGATGACCTCACGCTGCGCTTGGTCCATATCGCCGTGCATGGCCGAGACGGTGAACTCGCGCTCGTGGAGCTTGTCGGTGAGCCAGTCGACCTTGCGGCGGGTGTTGCAGAAGATGACGGCCTGGGTGATGGTGACCGTCTCGTAGAGGTCGCAGAGGGTGTCGAGCTTCCAGTCCTCCTTCTCGACGGCGACGTAGAACTGCTTGATACCTTCAAGCGTCAGCTCGTCGCGCTTGACGAGAATGCGGACGGGGTCACGCATGAACTTCTTGGTCACCTCGAGGACGTCCTGGGGCATCGTGGCCGAGAGGAGGACGACCTGGGTGTCCTGGGGAAGGAGTTGGAAGACCCTGTGAGCGGGAGGAAAAAGACGAGAGACGTCAGCTATGCCGTTCACGTCCGACCACAGTGCTCTTGAGGGGATACGCACTCGTACATCTGGTCCTTGAAACCGCGAGAAAGCATCTCATCGGCCTCGTCGAGGCAGAACATCTTGAGGTGGTCAGTTCGGAAGGCGCGGCGGTTGATCATGTCGTAGACACGGCCGGGGGTACCGACGACGACCTGGCAGCCGTCCTGGAGCTTGGCCATGTCCTCACGGACGTTGGTACCACCAATGCAGGCGTGGCAGTCGATCTTCATGTAGTCACCAAGAGCGATGACGACCTTCTGGATCTGCTGGGCCAACTCGCGGGTAGGGGCGAGAATGAGAGCCTGAACATTCTTGATGGCAGGGTCGATGCGCTGAAGGATGGCAATGGAGAAAGTGGCCGTCTTGCCCGTACCGGACTGAGCCTGAGCAATGACGTCGTGGCCCTTGATGACAGGGACGACGGCTCGCGACTGGATGGCAGAGGGTCGCTCGAAACTGGGAGAGAGGAGACGACGAAGGGGAAGAGGAGTGAGCCCTTCGCCACTTCAAAGTTCTCTTCATTTTGAGAGGTTTCGCCCGAACTCACCCGTAGGCGTAGACACCACGGAGAAGCTCAGGGCGCAGCTCCATGTTGTCGAAGTTGTCAATGACCGTCTCCCAGTTGGACTCGATCTCGCCATCAGCGATGTTGAGGTCCGGGTTTCCCCCGGCGGGAGCGGCAGCGCCAGCGGCGGCCGTAGTCTCTTCGGGCCTGGCGGTAGGGAGAGAGAAGTCGAATAGAATGGTGCTCGTCAGCAGCTGTCTTATTTCTTCAACGCCATCTTGCGGCTCGCAGCCCGCGGATCACCCACTTGCTCATGATTGGATGGACTGTAATCCGGAGTATCCAAGAAGTCGATCTATGCGACTACCTGGAAGGACTGGATTCGATTGATGGGTATCAGAAGCTGCGTGAAAACGGAGCTTCCTGGCCTTTTGATGAGGTGGAAAGGTGTGCTGTGTAATGCGACAAAGAAGGTGCGAAGACCTGGTGAGGAGGAAGAAGAGGAAGGTCTGGCCTGGCCCGTAGTCGTAGTCGTAGTCCGTCGGTGAAGTTTTCGTCTTGCTTGACGGCGAGGCAGGCACAATGGCAGAGGCTCAGCTCCTCGCTCCCTCAACTTCCTAGCCTGCGCGACGCTCAATCAGCGAGCGGCGGCGGGCGGGGCGGAGCGAGCCAGGCGACGACTCGAGAGACGGAGCTCTGAGTGGCGCCTGCGTCTGCGTCGTTGCGTTGAGTTGCGTTCGCGTTGGTGCTGCTGAGTGAGCAAGGGTCGAGAACGAAAGGAAATCTCAATCATACATCACTTCTCGTCCTCATCACTACGCTGCAATAGCCAGCCGATCAACGCTCCGCCCTCATTCACCGCCATGGCATCTGATGGCGACGGTAGGGGAGGCGCACCGCCAACAGGACCGTCAGCAGGAGCAGGAGCTGGATCTAGAGGAAGAGGAAGAGGCGGGCGAGGAGGAAAGGGAAGAGGCGGGGGAGCAGCACACGACAGCAGCTCTAGAGGCAGGGGAGGTGGTAGAGGCGGTAGGAGAGGCAATTTTGGTGGCAGTATCACCAGGGAGGACCAGCATGAGGCATCAGCGCCAGCCGCAGCTCAAGCGGATGACTCCGAGAGCCAGACAAGCTCTGCAGCGACCACCGCCCCGCCGCCGCAGGATAAGGGCAAGCAGGTAGCCGCTGCCGAAGACGAGGAGGACGAGGAGGACCTCTGCTGGATCTGCGCAGAGCCAGCCAAGCTATACAGCGTCGGGCCTTGCAATCATCGCACCTGCCACATCTGCGCAATCCGTCTACGTGCGCTCTACAAAGTACGAGAATGCACCTTCTGCAAAGCCTCTCTGGATCACCTCATCTTCACTACCTCACCCGACAAGAACTTCGGTGACTTCACCCCGGCCGACCTCCCTCACTCAGACAAACGACTGGCTATCAGTTTCGAGACCAATGAAGCGCTGCAAGATACCTTGATCCTGTTGCGCTTCAACTGCCCAGACGAGCGATGCGATGTTGCCTCGACTGGGTGGGACGACCTCAAGATGCACGCCAAGCGCGACCATGATCGTCTACTGTGCGATCTTTGCATTCGACACAAGAAGATTTTTGCGCATGAGCATACCCTCCACACTAGCCAGTCCCTGGCCGCTCACATGAGGCAGGATCATCGCTTTTGCGAGTACTGCCACGCTCACTTCTATAGCGATGACGAGCTCTTCGTCCACATGCGAGACCGCCATGAGCAATGCCACATCTGCGAGGCAAGTGGGAATGAGGCGGATCGATGGAAGTACTTTCGCGACTACCGCATGCTAGAGCAGCATTTTCGGGCAGCGCATTACCTTTGCCCGGTCAAGGACTGCTTGGACAAGAAGTTCGTAGTCTTCGAGAGCGAGATGGATTTCAAGGCGCATCAGGTCGCAGAGCACCAGGCGCAGCTGTCGAGCAAGGAGCTCAAGGAGGCCATGCGCATCGAGCCAAACTTCCACTATGATGAGCCGTCCAGCATGGCAGGCTCGTCGAGCGGCGGACGAGCAGCGGGCGGTGGTGGAGGTCGAAAGGGCCGCAGGGGAGGACGAGAGGCAGACCCAGCACCACCATCAGATCCGCTTGGTCTCTCAATGCTCGCCCTGCGCGCCAACGTACCAGGCGCAGGCCCAGCCAATCACAGCCGTCGCATCAACTTCGGCGGGCATACAACGAGCGAGGCTTCACGCGATCAAGCTGCTCGAGACGCAGCCACCAGAGCATCACAAGCTGCTCAGGGATCCGCAGCTCCCTCCTCTTCATCGGAGGCAGAGCGTCACGCCGCCTTCCTTGCTCGCGTGACGTCGATCATGGGCGGGTCAGACGCCAAAGTTCAGAACTTCCGAAATGCTGTGCGCATCTTCCGAGCAGGCGAGATGTCAGCCAACGACCTGGTGGACACGATCCACTCACTCGTCGGCGACTCTTCTGCCACGCCACTGGACGGGGCAGCCACTGTCGTCAATGGGCTTGTCGACCTCCTTGAAGACGCCGGCAAGCGCAACGATGTCCTGACCGCCTGGAACAAGCTGCGTGTTGAGCGTACACAGTTCCCCTCGCTCGTACCGATGGGCAATGGTGCCGGCTCGTCCACTTCAATTCGCAGCGTCAAAAATCGGGGCACGGCGAACAGCAACCAGATTTGGGCAAACGTTGAGCGCGCAGCAGCAGGAGGGAGCAGCAGTGGAGGACGGTGGGGAGCGGCCGCTGGTGCTTCAGGTTCGACTGGTCGGCTGGTAAATCGTGAGCAGCACTTCCCTGCGCTCGGCTCAGCCAGCAATTTTGGCACGGCGGCAGGGGCAGGGAAGAAGGCGGCCGTGCCTGGATCAGCGGCGCATGCTGCATCCAAGGGCGGCAACACCGCTGGCCCCAGTGGCAAGACGAACATTAGAGCCTTGCACGGCTCCACTCCCTGGAGCTCAGCCTCGACGTCGAGCAGGACGGCACCGCCCTCTGCTCCTTCACCGCCTGTACCCTACTCTACGGGGCATCACCCGGTCTCCTCAGCGAGCAAGCTTGCCAGCACAAATGGCAGCTCCTCCAGCTCAACGCCGCGCACAAGCTCGAAGAGCGCCTTTCCCTCGCTCCCAACAAATGCTAGCGCAGCAGCTCTCGCAGCGCACAAGAAGGCGGTCCTTTCCAGCAGTTCCTCTCGGGCCGCTTCAGGATCTAGCACGCCGATCAATGCGGCACACTGGGCAAGGCAGAATGGGGTGTCGAACGGTGGAGACTCGCGCATCGACTCTTTGCCTAGCCCTTCAGCGTACAGCGGGCTCACATCACCACCGCTCATGTCGAGGGGAGGCAGCGCCAATGGGAGCAACGGGGTGGATGTGGATGATTTGGGTGCCAGGCTCGCCGCAGACGCGGGCCTTGGCGGTAGCGGTGGGCAGCAACAGCAGGGAAAGAAGAAGAAGAACAAAGGGGTGGCAATGATGAGCTTGGGTGGTGTGCACCGTGGTGCTTAAACGGGGCGTAGGGGCGACCTTTCACTCTTTTTGCCTCGTCATCGTCATTCATCTTGCAATCTCTTCATTGTCTCTCAGCATCGCAGTCGCCATCTGTGATACTAAACCCGGCTCCCATGGTCTTGAGTCCCCACGCTGCCACCAGGCTGGCTGTCCCTCGTCTGCCCACTCTCACCCTTGGGCTGTTCCTTATCAGCGAACCCCTCCGGGCCATCATGGTCGGCATCCCCTCTTGCCTGACCGACTTCACCCTGCCCCTCGGCGCCCGCGTTCTTCATGTTCATGGGCTGGCCTGTGTTCGCTTCGAAGTTGCGGGCGTTCTGGGCGTATTTGCTGCGGGAAGGGGAGGTGCGAGGAGGTGCGGTTAGATGAGAGGCTACGCTTGCTGCGCATCGTACCACGGCTTGGTGGACTCACGCCTTGAGGTCAGCGACATGGCCTGAGAGGCCCTCGAGATTGACCGTCCCATCTGCGTTCTTTAGGTTGTGTCCGCGACCTGCCATGATGGTGCGTTTGATGAGGGATGAGAGGATGGTCGTTGAGATTGAGTTGAGAGTTGGGGATGAGAAGCGCGGTAGACAAGACGCTGAGCCCTCCACTCAGGCGGTGCGAGCGGCGTCAAGACCAGACCACGTGGCTCTGTCCGTCATCCAACACGAAGTCGAGAGGTCGAAGCTCGGACGGAGCTTACGGTCAATCAATTCCCTCATCTTGACCACTAGCACCTGACCCGCCTAGACTGCACACTGACACTCTCGCGCTTGACTCGCTCGCTACGGCGCGCGAGCTCAGAGATAGTTCAGCTTGGAGGTCGATCGCTGCACACAGATCGCAATCGTCACCTCCGTGCCTCTACCACAATGGCCGCCTCCAGTGGCACCTCTGGCGCTGCTCCCCCTTCCCCTCACCAGCTCGAAGCAATGGCCTCATCATCGACCAGCATGCCCGTACCCGACTACCTCTCGATGCTTTCGCCTGCGCAGCTGGCTGCCGCTACGCATCCAGCCGTCGGCGCCCTCTCTATCTCTGCCCCGCCTGGCTCGGGCAAGACGCGAGTCCTAACGTCGCGCGTAGCCTGGCTCGTTCGTGAGCAGAAGCTCATGCCCGAGGAGCTAGTGAGCGCACGAGATGTGGAAGAAAGCCGGATTATCTACTGATACCCTTGCTCGCCCATGCAGATTGTCGTAACCTTCACCAACAAGGCCATGAAAGAGATGCGCGCCCGACTGGACAAGCTCATCGGCACCGACCGTACCTCGCGCTTGGTCCTTGGCACCTTCCACGCTGTCTGCACTCTGTTCCTACGCCGCAACGCCGGCCTCATCGGCCTCAACAATGACTTCACCATCACGAATGCAGACGATAGCAAGAAGCTGATCAAAGATATCCTCAAGGACATGAAAGAGCACCTCGAGGCCGAGGGGCTCAAGATCACACCCGATCAGGCCGCATCGACCATCTCGTGGTCAAAGGCGAAGGACGTCTCGCCCAAGGAGTATAGAGCAAACATCAACAAGCCTAGTGGGAAAGGATATCGCGCTGCGCATGAGGAGGTATCGAGTTACAAGTCGGCGCTGGCAACTGTATATGAGGAGTATGAGAAGCGGTTGCACGGGGCGAACGCGCTGGACTTTGATGATCTGATGGTTTACGGTGCGAAGCTTCTCAAAGAGCACCCAGTGAGTACGCGAGTGACCACGTGACGAGGCATTTCATGCTTGTAGCTAATTTGCACGCCTCTCCACTCCGTGCTCAGCGTATCGTTGCTGGTATCCGCCACGTCCTCGTCGATGAGATGCAGGACACGAACACGACGCAATACATGCTCATGTCCTGCTTCAGCAGCGCCACTCGCTGTGTGACCACCGTCGGCGATCCCGACCAAGCCGTCTACGGCTGGCGAGCAGCCGAGGTAGGCAACCTGGATCGCATGAAGGAGGAGTACAACTGCCAGCAAGCTCTGCTCGAGGAGAACTATCGCAGTACAGGCAAGATCCTCGAAGCGGCCTTAGCTGTCATTAAGCAGGACGACAAGCGCGTAGCGAAGGGCCTCTTCACCAGTCACCCTTCAGGCCCTCCCGCCAGTTTACGCCTCAATGCCTCACCACAGCAGGAAGCCTCTTTTGTCGCCTCAGAGATCAAGCGGCTGATCGCTCACTCGGGCGACATGCTCAACTACGGCGACTTTGCCATCCTCCTTCGCTACAATGCCCTCTCGCGCGAGGTCGAACAAGCGCTTCAAGCAGAGAACATCCCCAGCCAAATGCTCGGTGGCCACAAATTCTTCGACCGCGTAGAGGTGCGCGACATTTTGGCCTACCTCACCCTGGCGGTGAACCCGACGTACACGCCCGCCTTCACGCGCGTGGTTAATGTGCCCAAGCGCGGCGTAGGGGACAAATCCGTGGAGGAGTTCCTCAAAATTGCGGAAAAGAAGAAGATGTCTCCCATGGCCTTGGCAGAAGCTGTTGTGGACGAGGAGGCGGCGCCCAAGGGCAAGAAGGGCGCGAAGGCCAAGGGCAACTTCGCCGACGTCAAGCCAACGATGAAGCGTGGTCTCTCCCAGCTAGTGGGCGCTGTGAGGGAGCTCAAGTCCGCAGCGGCGAAGGGCGCGCCGGTTGGGAAGCTCATTACGCTCATCATGGACAATATCGATTACAAGGGTCATCTCCAGAAGTCGCCTCAAGACCTCGACGCTCGTTTGGAGAACATAAAGGAGTTGATCAACTTCTCGACCGTGGTTGAGCAGATGCCGGACTTTGGTGGCGACATAACCGCTGTAGGACGCGCCTTTGAGGAAACGCTCGAGGTGCGCCGCGAGTTGCGAGAAGAGCTGGAGGACGATGCGGAGATGCAACGTGAGCTGCGAGGAGAGCCAGTGAGCGACTCTGAGGAGGGAGCCGCGATTGAGGCCATGGATGAGGTCGAGCCGCGTGACGAGAGGCCAAGCGTTGGCAGCTCGCGCAATGCCCAGAGGGCACCCGCTGTCAAGAAGGAGAAGGGATCGACTGCCGTCAAGCACGAGCCGCAGCGACCAGCACTCAAGCGTAAGGCGAGCTCATCGTCTTCGGCATCCTCTCGCCCCACGAGGAGCACACGCAGCAAGTCAGCCATCACCATCGAGGACAGCGACGATGCTGTATTTGAGGAGGAGGAGGAGGAGGAGGATCTCGATGACGAAGATGGCGTCGACGAAGACGATGACGACTTTGCGCCCAGCAAGGGCAACAAGGCTAAGGTCGAGCGCAAGATCAAGAAGGCAAAGACGCAGCCTACCACGAGCAACGATGACCGCGACGGCTCGGAGGAGCCCTCCCTCACCACACCCCTGCCACAAGGCGTCCCGCTTCGCACCTTTCTCGAAGCCTGCACATTATCCACCGATGCCGTCGCCTCGGAAGACTCTGATGCGTCGTCCAAGAAAGACGGCAAGCCCTCCGGCCCCAAAGTGACAATCTCGACCTGCCACGCTTCCAAAGGCCTCGAGTATCCAGTCGTCTTCGTGCTTGGGGTAGAGGACGGCATTTTCCCCTTTTACAAGTCGGTCAAGCAGGCCGAGGTTGATGAGGAGCGTCGCCTCTTGTACGTCGCTATGACGCGTGCGCAGGCGTTGCTCTACTTGAGTCATTGTAGCGAGAGAATGCTGGCAGGGCAGATGGATGACAAGCAGCTCAGCCAATTCATCACTCCGATCGCATCGAAGGAGAGGGGTGGCACGGCTACCGCGAGGGCGACGTCGAATGCGAGCTCCTCCTCCTCGAAGGGCGCGACCTTGATCGACTTCGCAGATGGCCGTCCCACGATCGACGCAGATGCGCTTCAAGTCATTGGCACCGTCCTGCAACGCCCTGTGCCTGACACCAAGCTGATCGATGAGAAAGTCAAGGCCTTTGAGGGGTCGGTGACGGCTCAGCGCATGCAGCAGCTCGACTTGAGCAGCAGAAGTGGCGGCGGGGGGCGATCTTTTGGAAGCTACGGTGGATATGGGCGTGGCTATGGGCGCGGCTACGGTAATTTCGGCGGTGACTCGGACGACGAGTATGGCCAAGACGACAACTTCGGCAGCATGTACGGAGCCATGGCCGCCATCTTCGGCGGGCGTGGACAAGGGCGTGGAGGATTTCGTGGCGCCAGCAGCTCGCGCAGCATCAGCACTTCAGCTCACGGTGGTGCCAGCAGCAGCAGCAGCCTTGTCAAGCACGAGATCCACACCAAGCCTCAGGCCAAGCCTCCTGCCCCTCACACGGGCTTCTCGTCTGCTCTCTCCGCCCTCGACGTCAAAGACAAGTCGCGCTTCAACGCCCTCGCCCAGCCGGGCGGGAACGCTCTTCATTCCACTGGCGCTTCGTCGCGCATTGCGTCCTCACCTCGTTGGATAGAGGACTATAAACGCGGTGGGGCTGGTCATACGGATGGAGCTGCCCTTGCAGCTGCGGAGGGAGCTGGAGCTGGGCAGGGGAAAAGCAGGGATGATCTGATGAAGTCATTCCAGACGAGCAGCCAGAATAGTATCGATGCACTGAAGGGGTTGCTACCCGGTGGAGGGGAGGGAGGCTTCGAAGCTGGGCACATGGGAGGCAGCAGCGGCAGTGGAAGTAGGAGTGGGAGTGGGAGCGGAATCGGAAACGGGGCTGGGCTGCTCAGGAAGCCGGGCAAGAGCTTGGGCATGAGCAGGCGCACTCCCTCCAATCCGAGCTCATCGGGCTCGTCGTCTGGGCGCGGCAAGAAGTAGGCGGGCGACGCAGCGAGAACCGGTTTCTCTTCATCACTCTAGCCCGCGATCCATTTCAATCAATATATCCACATCCATCACCACCATCATCTCGCGCGTGACATCAGTTGACATAACACGAAATCCTCGGCGGTGATCGCGACCCTTGAATGAGGATGCGTGGCAAAAAGAGAAGCGCTCCCAACGAGGGGCTCGAACCCTCGACATTCAGATTTAATTCTTCCTGTTGCTCAGGAAGACTCTCGTAAATAAGAGTCTGACGCTCTACCAACTGAGCTAGCCGGGATGGAGTCGCTGTTGCTGGCACAGGCAGCCGCAGTGATACAATATAAACAGTTTTCCTGTTCTGGCAGGTCCCCGCCCATCAAACGGGGATGGCCCATGCACCCGCCGACTGTCCCGCCTGTCTCCCTTCCTTGCGCTCCCTGTCCTCCTCGCCAACACAATGCTCTCCTTGCGCGAGGTTGAAGCCCTCTACGAGCGTCTCGCCGAGCTCCCTGTCATCAGCGGTGCGGAGCTACTACGTCATGCCAAGCAGGCGCGCATACACTTGAACGTCGCCGATCATGCGCGCTTGGAGAAGGCCAAACAGGTGCTGCAGGTGCCGCTGAGCCGGGATGGAGATGCAGAAGTGCCGGGGCCTGTTGCCGTCGATGGTGGGGTGAAGCTGGATTGGGCGGTACTAGGCAACAATAAGTACCGGGTGACGCTGAAGGAGGCAAGTGGGGAGGGTGCAAAAGGTGGCAAGGGTCAACGCTTCGTTGAGGTGTGGTGGGGAGCGCAGAGGATCCACTACGTCGACGTTGGGTCAGCCCATGGTTCCTTCGCTGCGGACGGTGAGCGTCCTCACTTCCTTATGTTCACCCTGCTCTGTACTCACTATCACGACCTCTTGATTCCCGCACAGCGACCTTCTCGACCTCATCGGCCAGTCTGGACCCCACCACCGGTAGGCTCTCGATCCTCTATCAAGCAGGGGCCAAGCATCCCCGCGATGAGGACAGCCCCTCAAGCAGCTCTTCAGCCCGCAGCCCGCTTGATCGCTTCAGGTATCAAGCCCCCGTGGGCGAAAAGTATGCAAGGGACTTTCAGCCACGCCTCTTCTTGCTGCGAGTGGGCGGCTCACTCCCCGCACACTTGCAAGAGTTGAGGACGACCAAGCCTGATCGCTTTCTGGCACAGGGCGTGCTTACATCGGATGGGAAGTGGGTTGCGGCGACAGCATACGACGCAATGGCTGATGGACGCAGGTTGGGTCAGGTGTACTGTACGAACAGGCCGAGTAGCATTCGGGCTTTCCCAGTGCCGGGGGATGTCAAAGGGAACGAAAAGGAGTCTCAGCATCTGTCCGCACGAGCAAAGGTCACAGCAGCCACAGTCGTCACGATGCAAGAGTCCAAGATGCGCCAGCTTAGTACCCCGGGCAGAGCAGCTCGTTCACCACGAGCAGTGCCGAGCTCCAAAAGATCTCAGGTGATCTGGCTCGAGACGCCTGAAGGTGGGCCGCACAACTCGTCATCTGCCATCTGCACAGCAATGCTTGCTGACGATAGCGATGGCGAGGTACAAGAGATCATACCGCTCGACTACAAGGACAGCCATGACGCGGACAGCGGGCTGTGGATCGACCAGTTACCTCGTGAGCCCTTCATCACGTCCGACAAGGGCGAAGATGAGATGCTGTTCGGCCTCACGACGATCAGCGGCTCGAAGCGGATCGTTCGCACGTTCTCACTGGACGGTAAGGCACGTTGTGTCTACGGTCTCGACGGGGGACAGTCAGGCATGCACAGCTGGGCATTCTTGGCTGCCAGCGAGGGTGGGTTCCTGCTACTGCGCTCCAGCCTCATCTCCCTGCCTGAAGTCCTCTACATACCTGCGGGCAGTGATGAGCAGCCGCGCCCCCTGTGGCAAGTCACTTTACCCCCTTCCTCACCCGATGTGGAGCAGCTTTCCCAGGCCAATCTTCAGATCCTCCGCATCCCGGGCACAGAGCAGGCACTCCCCTCTGACGGGCCAATCGAGGCAATCCTCCTTCGTCCATCGGGTAGCACCTCCTCACCATCGCCCTGCATCCTACTCCCCCACGGCGGCCCGCACGGTACAACCACCACAGACTTCGCTCCTGGAGCTGCCGCTCTCTGCTTGGCCGGATACAGTATCCTCGCGCCCAACTACCACGGCTCACTAGGCCGCTCGCCGGCGTTCAACTCCTCCCTGATCGGCCGCGCCGGTACGCTTGACATTGAGGACTGCATGGCAACGCTTGAGTACGCCATCACAAAAGGCTACGCGGCAAAGGACTCGATCTATCTCTCAGGTGGGAGCCACGGAGGCTTCATCGCCGGGCATCTAGCTGGCCGCGAGCCCGCATCATGGAAAGCAGTCGCCATGCGCAACCCCGTGACGCACATTGGAGAGCAGTTTGTCGAGACCGACATCAAAGACTGGACTCTTGCAGAGACGGGCCACCCGTTCTCCTTCCAATCTCCACCGCCCTACCTGACGCCAGACTTGTACGCAGCTCTGGACTCTGTCTCTCCCCTTCAGTACCATGGAGCGATCACGGCGCCCACCCTTCTTCTCTTGGGTGACTCGGATCAGCGTGTACCCCCGAGCCAGGGGCTGGCGCTGTATCACGCGATGAAGGGCAAGGGGAAAGAGGTTGGGCTGTGTTGGTTTGAGGGCGCGGACCACGCATTGGATACTGTTGAGGCCGCGAAGGGGGCGTGGCTGGGTGTGTGGGAATGGTTTGAGGGGGCTCGACGGGGTTCAAAGGTGGATTAGATACAATGAAAGGCAGTAAACATGCAATAGGAGCAGGTAGCGATGTCCATAGAGCGAAGACGAGTGCAAAAAGAGCGAAGCGAGCAGCTCCACCCCCGCATGACTTCCAAGCTTGCGCTTCCGTTTCGGACTGCCAAAATCGCTAGACAGTCGAGAAGGGATGGACGACCATTTCCCCTCCCTTCCTTTCCTTCATGTCACTGACATCTCTTGACTCAACGCAAAGCAGCATGACCCACCTCTGAGCCCCAGCCAACTCGATTGCACAATCTGCATCCGCCATGAGCCTGATGGAGGACTGGCTAACCTTCCTGTCCGGCCTCCTAGTCGGGCTATGCGCCGTACCGCTCCTCCCCTTCGTCATGGGCTTGCTCAAGCGATTTGCGGGAGGTCAAGGAGGCAATGAAGCCTATGCAGACCTGGATGTACAGGTGTTGAATACTCTCCCGCCGAAGACGGAATGGATGAACATGGGTTGGTGGACGGGCGACGACGAGGGGGCAGACCCTTTTGACCAGTGCGATAAGGTGAGGCCGCTTGCCGAAACGCGGCCACTCAAGTCACTGCCCGAAGCATGCGAAGCCCTCGCCCTCAAGCTCTACAGTGCCTGCGGCCTCACTGAAGGCGCTGCAATTCTCGACATTGGTCATGGCCCGGGCGAGTCTGTCCTGCTTCTGAAGAGCCGCTTCCAACCACAGAGGCTGGACGGAGCAACTCTTTCACTGCGTGACGCTCAGAGGGCCCAGGGAAAGCTGGCCTCCGCAGCAAAAGGTGGAGAAGGAGGCACAGAAGTTCAGATAAAAGCAGCCGATGGAGCTGCCTTCCTCAAGGAGTGCAATCCGGCAACGTACGACTACATCTTTGCCCTGGATTGTGCGTATCACTTCTCGTCACATTCACGCAAGGACTTTTTCACTGCAGCACATCGTGCTCTCAAGCCAGGAGGGAAGCTCGGACTCTTTGACATGTTCCTGGCGACCCCATATCCGGCTAAGAAGAAGGAGGCCAAGGGGAGTCGGGGCGAGGAGTGGTTCAAGGCGACAAGCGCCGAGCTGCCCTGTCCAACTCGAGCAGCTCTGACATGGCCACAGGAGTTAAAATTGCGGCTGTTCTGCCTCCTCACATCTACACCACGTCGCAACCTTCTCCCTTTCTCTTCCTACTTCTCAACACTCTGCTCAGCGGGCTTCTCCTCGCAGGACATCAGCATCATGGACGTATCCTCGCACGTCTTCCCTGGCTTTGCGCGCTTCCTTCGCGACTTTGCGGAAGGAGATGAATGGAGAGCAGGTGCTGGTGGATGGAATATGAGGAAGGCGCTGGGTAGCTTTGCGGGCTTTGTTGAGGGTTGGGCGAGGGGAGGAGATGAAGGGTTGTTGAGGGGTGGGCTGGTGGTGGTCACGAAAGCGAAACAGCTGTAAGAGGGTACGAGGAGATGATTTTGTCAGGAGAATCAGTAGATACCATTCTGACTGCTCGACTGCTGTCCTTCGCCTTTGCTCATCTCGTTGCCACGCCGTAGAGGAGAGTCGCTGCCTGCCATTTCTTCTTCGGGCCAGCGGCGTGCACGGACGTCTTTCTCTGCATCGAGTCCGAGTCGAGTCGGCTCAAGCCCAATCGATCGGGCGCTCTTCCCCGCACTTGCGCTGCGCCCAATCTCTCCCACCTCCCTCCCTTTGCTTCCCCACCACTTCGCCTCTCTCGCACAATGTCAAGCTTCCGTACTACAGGCCGCAAAATTGTAGCCATCGGCCGCAACTATGCCGAACATGCCAAAGAGCTCAACAATGCTGTCCCCACGGAGCCCTTCTTCTTCCTCAAGCCCACGAGCAGCTATGTGGACAACGGCGGCGTCATCGAGATCCCCAAGGGTGTAGTGGCCCACTTTGAGGTCGAGCTGGGCGCGGTCATCGGGCGAAGGGCAAAGGATGTGCGCAGGGAGGAGGCGATGAAGTACGTGGCTGGGTATGCGCTGGGCGTTGATATGACGGCGAGGAATGTGCAGGTGGGTGCAGTATTGCGCGTCTCAACGAGCGTCTCGAACGTGCTGCTTGCTGACAATATCGAGCCCTCTCTCACTTCAATCTCGCTCGCAGGACAAGGTGAAGAAGGCCGGCCTCCCCTGGTCCACAGCGAAAGGCTTCGACAGCTTCACCCCCATCTCGTCGTTCATCCCGGCCTCTTCCATTCCGGATCCCTCCAACGTCAACCTTTGGCTCAAGACCAATGGTAACACCAGGCAAAACGGTAATACAAAGGATATGATCTTCGGCATCCCTCAGCTCATCGAGCACGTGAGCAGCATCATGACGCTCGAAGAGGGGGATCTACTCTTGACCGGCACGCCGAGTGGGGTCGGGCAGACACAGGATGGGGACGTGATGGAGGCCGGATTGCAACTGCCGGGTGAAAGCAGGATATTAGCTGAGTTGAAGATGAAGGTCAAGGAGAGGCAGGGGGGCTACGTCTTCAAGCTTTGAGAGCGGATCAGATGTGGGAGAGCTCTCGATGCGACGCCGAGGCTGGTGCTGCAATGCCTTCTGTGCGGTGTAGTGATGGTGATGTGTCGTCGCGGGAAAGTCTAAATGTACAATCATTGAGAGCGCAAGCGCAGAAGACGCGCATGCGTTGCGTACGGTAGCGTACTAGCAGGTCATCGAGATGCCTGCCCTTCATCTCGGTCTCGCTCATCTCGACCTCTCCGTCTCCCCATCGCCCTGCCCTGCTCCTCCTCCTCCTCCGCCATGATCATCTCCCCCTCCTCTGTGCGGCTGCGTCAAATGTCCCATCATGACCTCATATGTCAAGATAGTCAAAGCGCTACTGGGGACGGTCCGTACGAGATTAACGCCCATGCCGTTGTAGAAACCGCGCACGCCTTCCTCGACAAAGATGGTCTTGACAGTTCGAATGACGCCAGAGTACTTGAGGCCATGTGGCTCTGAAGCGGCTGTGCGGGAGGATGTGAAGAGGTGCCGTGCCGGTTGGTGATGGAGTGAGGGAGGACGACGTATTGACGTTGCTGATGAGAATGACGTGGTGCTGGTGGAATAGCCTCGCCGTGAGTCTACGCTTCCCTGCAATGAATGTGTCGAGCTCGGCCCAGCCGTTGCTGCTGCTGATGCTGCTTGCCCACCTTGCTCAACCTTTACCGCCTTCCCTCTGGGCTGCATCTGCAATCTCGTCCTTACGACCTCATGCGGGTACGTCAAGACGCTCGCAATCATCTTTGCCGTGCTGGAGCACAGCAGAATGACTTGCGCAGGCAACTCCCTCTCTCCTGGCTCGCCGCCCACCACACTTGCTGCGAGGGGAGAGTCACGCGCCCAGCCTTTGAGTGATTCGTAGAGCGGAAATTGGACTGCTACGTGGGATACGCCGAGGAGGGAGGGGAGGAGCCCCCGATAGAAGCCTCGAGGCCCTTCTGTCTGCATGATTCTAACGAAGGCGTCGAGAGTGTGCTTGTAGGGGGGTGGGTCTGTTGGAGAGCGGGACTTGGTTGATTGGAGCTGCGCGAGCGCGATGAGGAAAGAGGGTGAATAAGTACCAGCCAAGCCCAGTCCCGTCCATCGCTGGCAACTCACCATGAACCTCGTCTTGACGACCCACAACGGGCTCGTACAAACGGTACTCGCTGCTCCCGCAGTCATAGCGCTGATAATGTGATCGAAGAACTGGTCCCCTCCTCCTCGTTGACCTATCCCGCCTCTTCGTGCTAGAAACTCCTTGCTGCCATCGTAGACTGTAAAGTAGATGGCCCAGGTCGGGAGATATCCAAATATGGTTGGGCCGAGACCACGATAGAAGCCGCGAATTCCATCGTCTCGATAGATGCGGCGCAGCGTGCCTGCGGATGCGATTGGGGACAGGGACGCGGTTCAAGAGGGATCAGACTGTATGCTCCTGAAGTATGCATTCATGCACATCAGCGCCTTGCTTGTACGCACCTACGAGACCCTTGTAGAGCTGCTCCTCCTCTCCACCCTTGATGGCGCTACTCGCCGTCTTTGACGCTGATGACAGTGACGATGAGGAAGGCCCCGCTGCTGCGCCCGCACCCCCTCTCGGTGGTGGAGTAGGCTGCGGAGGTCTCGGAAGCTGCGAGGTGCTTGCTGTTGCTGTTGCTGATGAGGATGATGAGGATGAGGAAGCTGCGCGACTGGTCGACGTCTGAGCCTGTAGCTTTGTCTTGACCACATCGAGTGGGCAAGTGACAATGGACGATACGAGGCCGGCACAGGCGCCTGCAATGGCCGAGGGCCCGAGAGCGGGCATCACGTCGGCGAAGGAGGCGAGATGGGAAGAAGAGGGAGAGCGCGACGGCGGTCGGGGGGGAAAGGGGGTACCCACCCTGCTCACTAGAGTGCACTGCTCTAGTCTCTCCTTTTGCGAGGCAGACGGTAGTCGTAGCGCAGATTCGTGGTGGTGATAAGGAGGCAGCACTCGGAAGGAAAGGCCGACCATCTGTCAGTCTCAAGGCCGTCGCCCGTCGCCGTCGCCGTCGCCGTCTCATGTGCCACTCAGTCGCGGACGCACAGACGTCGATGGGTGCGTGCCGCTCCGCTCCGACTCACCTCGCGTGAGTACCGACAACGTGGCGCGGCGCGCCAGCACCAGATCCCATCATCCCATCTTGCTCTCAATCGAGATCGTCGAGAACCGACTCAGGTTGCTGTCTTGTCGGACGTATCAGTCCGATTCCGAAGGCTAGCTACCATAGGTCCATTCGATGCCCGTGGATCTGGTAGCAGCTTCTTGGCAGCGGCCGAGGGCGTCAAATCAAGGCGGTGCTGTGCGTGGCGGTCGCACGCCTTTGGGCGTCGTCTCCGGTCATGCATAGCCAGGGCAGACGGACACAGAGGCAATTGGCCAGTGGAGGCGGGGAGTGGATGTGTGTGAGAGAGGAGAGAGAAAGGGCAGGTGGCTGTGCCTGGGCCTATCTTGACTTTGTGACCCACACTCATTACTTCAAATAGCCAGCTATCCTTGCTACGTCGAGATCACTTCAACGACAGCTTCACAACACTCAAACTCGCAATGGCATACCCCAACTACGGACACGGAGCCCCCAATTACCCTCCTCCTCAGCAAGGCGGCTACGGCTACGGAGCTCCCCCTCCTCAGCAGCACGGCTATGGTGCTCCACCTCCTCAGCACGGCGGTGGCTTCTTTGGCGGACACGGCGGGCATGCTCCTCCTGCCGGCCCTCCTCCGCCTCAGCAGCACTACGGTGCTCCCCCTCCGCAGGCACACTACGGCGCACCTCCCCCGCAGCAAAGCGGGAATCTCGTCTACCTAGGCGTACCAGTCCCTGCCCCTCCTCCTGCCCAACCTTCGCCGCCGCCGCCCGGATTCAACGCCAATGCGGCCGTCGAAAGCATCCGCAAAGCGACACAGGGCATGGGCACAGACGAGAAGCGCCTCATTGAGACCCTGGCGCCCCTCGACGCTTGGCAGATGAACGCCGTCTTTCATACCTTCAAGGCCACCACAGGTAAGGACCTCCTCTCCGAGCTCGAGTCTGAGACCAGCGGCTGGTTCGAGGCTATCCTTCGAGCAAAGGTTCTTGGGCCTGTAGGATACGACGTCTGGCTTGTGCACCGCGCTTGTGACGGAGCGGGGACGCATGAGGACATCCTCAATGAGGTACTGCTCTGCAGGACCAATGCCGAGATGTGGTCCTTGAAGCAGGCCTACAGAGCGATGTACGGCAAGGATATGGAGCGGATCGTCGAGGGAGACTTGAGCTTGAAGACGAAGAGGCTGTTCACCATGGCCCTTCAATGTCAGAGGACAGAGGACTGGGCGCCCGTTGATCAGGGCTTGGTGCAGCACGACGTCAAGGAGCTCAAGTCCGCTGCACGAGGTGCTGGTACAGACGAGATCAAGGTGAGTCCGAAGGAAGCGTAAAGCTCCCATTGGGCCCATGACTGACCTTCCTCCTCCTCTCCGGCGCTCACGAAGATTTGCTCCATCCTCACGCAACGCTCCACCCCTCACCTGCGTGCAGTCGCCCACGCCTACGGGCACAAGACGCACGCACTCCGTGATATGGTCCGCTCGGAGTTTTCCGGCCACATGGAGGACGCCTTGCTCTACATCGTAGCCACCGTCGAGGGTCAAGGTCCCTACGGCGTGGAGCGCGATGCCAATCTCATCGAGGCGTCCATGGCTGGAATGGGCACCAAAGATGAGCGTCTCGTCTACAGGTTGGCTAGGGCTCACTGGGATCGAGCGAGGTTCGAGGAGATCAAGAGGTACTATGGTGCCACGATCCATAAGAAGGGATTGGCACATCGGGTCAATGGGGAGACGAGCGGTGACTATAAGAGAATGCTACTGGCGATCGTGGGGAACTAAGCGCCGGTCCGCGCGCACGATGAGGAGCTCCTGTTGTCTTGATTGTAGTCGTTGTTTCATATCCGTGCGCTCTCTTGTGTCGAATACCAAAGATGACCATATCTCGCTGCGCGCGTGTCTGTCATCATGATCTCAGGCCAAGGGCATACTCGAGGCGGCTTGCGGCGAACAGAGATGACAATAGCAACAACAATGAGGTCGCCCCGTGCTACGAAAGCGACGGCGGCGATGTGGAGTAGAGTCAAAGCGTCTCTGAGAGTGTAGTATCGGCTCAGCGTGCAGGTAGGTTTCTTCATATATCACGAATGCCTCCAGAGTCTCACAGATGTCGTAACAGTCGCGCCATCCTCCCCTGCTACATTACCCGCTTCCCCTTCTTACCCTACGTGCCGCTCCTACTTCTTCCTCGCCTCCTCCGCGTGCTGCATCTCCGCGTCAGTGCCCTCGGTCGAAGGCCTCGTGTCAACGCCGACGAGGTCGCTGCCTGACTTTGACGAAGCAGAAGAAGCACCCTTGGCCGCCTCGGGGGATGACTCGTTGACGCCGCGTGCTGCTACGGAGGCAAAGTCCGCGCTGCCTGCACCAGAGGGAGCGCCAGCTCCTACCCCACCAGCGCTGCTCCCGCCCTGCTCTGGCGACTCGACAATTTCAGGCTGGTGCGTAAGGTTGGGCCTGTTCGCCTCGCTGAGGGCATGGGGCTTGACGCTGCTGTTTCCTTCGTCGTGCTGGGTGATCTTGGCCGAGCCGCCTTGCGCGTCGTCCTCGTCGTCCTCATCGTCTTGCGAGTCGTCATCCTCGTCGACGACGTGAGCCTCGTAGGTCGACTCGCCCTTCTCGTCTGGCTCGCCAGGTCGCAGAACAATGCGACCCCCGCCGAGCGCTGCGGCCAGCCCGCCAGGGTTGATACGGAAGCCGCGCATGCCGCCTTGCCCACCTTGTCCGCCTGCGCCACCCTCCTCGCCCTCGGCCCCAGCTCCAGCCAGACCACCGAGACCGCCAACACCACCGGGCAGGAGGTGCTGAATAAGGCCCTGTGGGTTCATCCTTCCCTGCTGCCCATTCCCAGCCTCTCCAGCCGGTCTAGGCTGAAAGACGGGCGCAATCTCCTCGGGCGTGTCCCATCCAATCTTCTTCTCCACTCGCTCCTTGACCCAACTGTACCACTGCTCCTTGGTCCTCCCGCCAAGCATAGCCACAACGCTGAATGTCATGTTGTCGCAGCCGACGCCGCCAATTTCGCTGTCGGGCGCAAGGCAGTGCGTCATGATCTCCTCGCAGATTGTCGTGAGCTCCTTGCCCTGTGCGATGCCGCGGCGGACAAAGTCGACGACCTGCTGATTGGAGAGACAGTCCCAGATTCCGTCGCAGGCGAGGACGAGGAACTCCTCTTCGCCCGTGACGTCGTGCACGATGATCTCTGGGTCGGCGGTGACGATTTGCGTCTCAGCAGAGAGGGAGGAGTTGCGCTTGAACTCGGCGTCTCCAATGGCACGAGAGAGGGCCAGGTTACCATTGACGCGGCCAAACTCGACGAAACCTCCTGCGGCAACGATGCGGGCGTTTTCGTCCTTGTTGCCCGGCTTGTGGTCGAAGGACATTGGCTTGGCTTCGCCCTTGAGGCCGAGGACGGAGCGCGAGTCTCCAGCATTGGCTACGTAAATTTGCTTGGGAGCCTTCTCCTTCGAGGCGTCCTTGGGTGCAGGACCGTTGACGAGCAGAGCGGCGACGGCTGTGCAGCCAGACGGGTCACCGTCAACTTCGGTGAAGAAGTCGGTGTCCGTCTTGAGGAAGGCATCCTTGAGGGCTTGGCGGTAGTCACCAGCCTTGTAGCTATCGAGGCCGGCGAGGGCGAGGTGGAGACGCTTTGCTGCGAATTTGGCTGCTTCAGAACCTGGTGAGCGGGTACGCGGGGGCAAGGAACGATGGTGAGCAGATATGACTTCGTGGGGCGCATCGCGCTTGCTGCGCCGTCTCACCTCCGTGGCCATCGAATACTGCGAAGAGGGCAGTCTTCTCATCACTCTTTGAGTTGCCTTCGAGATCCAGGATCATTTGATGTGCGTCCTCCATCGAGATACGCCTGTGTAGCGAGCGAAGACACATGAGACCAGTCAGCTTCTGCGTCCGACGTCCGTCTACGTTCACAATGCGCGAGCGCTCACCATCCTTGCATGTTGCTCACGGCCCATGCCAAGGCCTCATCCTCGCCGGCGGCCGTGTCCTGTGTGCACCGGTAAGCGTAGCAGGGTCGAGGTGGTCAGCAATCAACATCAAACGGCGCCGGCGTATATGCGGACTAGCCGCGGAGGCAGACTGACTTTGGTTGTCACGGGCTCTGACAGCGTTTGACCCATGATGAAGAAGAGGTGAAGAGGGAGAGTAGTGAAGAGGGGAGAAACAGGGAAGTCGAGATGCTGTTATGCTGCTGCTGTTGTTGCTGCTACTGCTAGGATGATGGATGAGAGATTGGTGGAGAAAGAGGGAGAGAGAGGAGGGGGAGGGGTATCACTGGATGCCTCCTAGTTTCAATAGAACCCGTCTTGTCGTCTCTGTATCTTCAGCGTGGTACGCAATGTTCTCTGCTCTTGTTGACGATGACGACGAAAGAGAATGCTCTCGATGCAGTGAACCAAGAGTGTGGAGAGGGAGAGGGAGTTTTATCGGATGAGGAGGTAAGGTGGTAGCCTCGAGGCTGCGAGGTGATGCGTCATTGAGGGCCGTCAGGACGGACCGGCCACGGCAGCGCGGCGCGGACGAGGCCAGTCGAGCGAGCCAAAGAGGCTGCTGCTTCTGCCTCTGTTGCCCTAAGCGCTCCGCTCAAGCCAAGTGCGACTTGACTCCGAGCCGCTCCACCGTCTGCTTCTGCTTCTAAGCCCTGTCCATTTTTTGTTGCAGGGCGGTCTCGGCCTCATTCGCTGCAGACACGCCGCTCGACAGGTCGCCCAAGCAAGGCTGCGCAAGCAAGCTTCAGCCCGCTGCCAGGGCGACGCAAACGCCCTCACGCGATCAATATGATGGAGCAGCCAGCCGCCTTTCGCGATATGACGATGAGCAGACTATCAGCCTAGCGAGCAGGTAGGCATTGAATCATTTGTGGTCATCACATCATGTCCATGGATCCTGATATTGTTGCACTCGAGAGCGAGAACGGGGAATGAGAACGTGAGAGCGAGAAAGCGAGAGAGCGTGAGAGCGAGAGCGAAGGTGAGGGTAGATGTTGACGAAGCTACATGGCTACCGAGCCAGGGTGGATACCACTACGACCCCATTCTACATTAGGCTAGCACCGGTTTACCGCCCTCTGTCGAATAAGTCCCATCAACCCCCTTCTGCGTACGCGCGCGCAGCCTACATTACGGCCGGGCTCACCCAGCTGAACTGCGCGAACTCCTGCTGATCCGCCGGGCTCAGCACGCTATTCACAGGGGAAAGCGCAGGCTTCTCCTGCGTGAACTCCTGATCGAAGAAGCTGACGTCCAAAGCGTGCTTGAGCACCGGCCTGAACGGCGGCGGCACCCTCTTGTGGTACATGTCGTCCCAGTTGGTATCGCGGAAGAAGGGGTGTGCCTTGATCTCCTCGGCGTCCGTCTCACCTGATCCCAATCGCTTCGACGGGTCGCGAGTGAGCAGACGGTGCAAGATGGATACGGAGTCCGCCGGCATATGGATGGGGTACAGCGGCTCGTCCTCGAGGATAGCATCGAAGATTTCGTCCTCGTCGTCTCCACGGAAGGGCGCTTGGCCGAGAAGCATCTCGTAGATAAGGATACCAAAGGCCCACCAGTCCACCGAGCGGTCGTACGCTCGCTCCATCAAGATCTCGGGTGCCATGAACTCGGGCGTACCACAGAAGGTATTCGTTGTCGAGCCATACCACATGCCCTCTTTGCAAAGCCCGTAGTCTGCGACCTTGACGTGGCCGTCGAGCGTGAGCAAGATGTTGTCCAGCTTCAAGTCGCGGTAGATGATGCCCTGCTTGTGGAAGTACTCGAGCGCCAGAAGCACCTCTGCGGCGTAGAATTTGGCACGCTTGGGCGAAAATTGCTCGCGCTGGATGTGCAGCATCAAGTCACCGCCGCTCACGTACTCCATGACGAAGTAAACGCGCGTCTCCGTCTGGAAGCAGGAGTGCAAGCCCAACAAGAACGGGTGGCGCTCACGAGCCGCAGCGAGGAAGACGCGCTTCTCCGACTTGGTGCTCTCGACTTCGTCGTTCTCAATAATGAACTCCTTCTTGAGAACCTTGATCGCGTACAGGTTGGCGGACCGCTTCTCTTCAGCGAGCATGACTTTACCAAAGTTACCCTTGCCGAGAACGGCAAGGAAGTTGAAGTCGTTGAGCCCGACTTTGCGGCGTGAGGAGACGACTTCGCGACCTGGCTGCGGTCGCTGCTGCTGCTGCTGCTGCTGCGAAGCGGCGGCAGGCGGGGCGACGTTGCCGGCCACTTGGCCTGCAGATATGGAGGTAGGGAGTGAGGGGGCAGAAACAGGCGCGGGAGACTGCTGACTCTGCTGTTGCTGCTGCTGCTGAGAATAGCCCAAAGGAGGTAGCTGCGGTGCACTGGCTGGCGGGGGGCGGGCTTGCTGCTGCTGCTGTTGCTGGGGAGGATGCTGGGGCAGAGGGCGAGGTGGTTTCTGCCCATCCGCAGCTCCTGGTCGTGCGCCGTAGTCTTGACCGTCGCTGCTTCCGTACGATGCACTATCAGGTCGCTGCGGTGGCTGAGGTCGCCCTGGGTACGGTCCTCGGCCATCATTAAGACTCATCTGACTCGCCTGCGAGTCGAGAGCGCTCATTCCGCCATCGTATCTGCCGGCATCGTTGCGCCCCTGCTGCTGCTGTGGCTGCTGGAAGCCTGGTAGAGGAAGCTGAGGCGGCATCTGCTGCTGACGAGGAGGCAGCATAGCCTGCTGCTGCTGCTGCTGCTGCTGAGACGGGGCCTGCTGCTGGAAGGCTTGCTGCTGCTTGGCCGAATGCTTGACGCGGTTGATCGTCTCGATGTCACTAAGCAGTTGGTTGGCCATCTCCATACTCATGCCGCAGAAGTCTGGCACAAGATGAGCGCAATCCGAGTGGCAGGTAATGTCGCACTCCGAGCACTTCCTCGCATTCTTGCGGCCAAGCGGCAAGATGAAGCCGCAGTGGCAGCACCAGTTGGCCCCAATGTTCGTGATGGGCTCGAAGCGGTGAGGGATTCGGTGGTTGATCTTGACCTCGTCACGATCTGCCTCGGCATTGCTCTTGCTGATGCACTTTGTGACGACCTTCTGAGCGCACTTCTTGTGACAGGTGTAACGACAGTCCTCGCACTGGCTGCCCGCAGCATTGAGTAGCAGCTCGCCGCAGAGGGCGCAACGGATGATCTGGTAGAACTGGCGCGAGACGAACTTGTGTCCATTGATCTCGGCAACGTCCTCCTTTTTCTTTCGGAAGGCGCCTTGACGGCCGAGACGAGCGTCGTACGGGCGCTTGCGGACATTCTGCTTGACGAAATTGACGCGGAGGAAGACGGCGCCTGCTGGCTCGACAGCAAACCACGCCTCGACTCCGTCCGTCGTGGGGCCATTCGGGACAGGAGTCCCAGCAGGCTGGTTGAGAGAGTAGTCTGCCGCGCTTGAGCTAGGGTAGCCACCAGATCCGCCTTGACCTGCCTGCACATCGTCTGCCGTCACCCACCCCGACGGAGCCACTGATCCTGCCTCACTCGGCCCACCACCCGTCTGACCAAATTTCTTTTTTCGCAATTCCTCGACAATGTCTGAGATGCGGATCCAGAGCATACCGATGGGCACCGGGTAGCCGCTGCCAACCTTGTCGTAGACGGTCACCTCGATCTCATTGGCGTTGTCGACTGCCAGCTCAAAGTCCTCCTGCCAGCGATCCGTGCGTGAGGGGTGTGTTCGAGCTCGAGGCGTGTCCTCGACTTTGATGACAACAGTGGACTCGCGCGTGTTGCCTCGGCCGTATCGCTGCGTGGGAGCATGCTCCAGATCTCGAGTCGCCTTGACCGAGACTTGGAGCGTACCCGAAAGGGGCTTACGCAGGTTCTGGCGTCGCTCGTCGGCGGTCGAGCCTTGCTGGTCGTCTTCGCCATCGTCATCCATGACGTGAAGCTGCTTGTAGCGCTTCAAAGCGTTCTGGAGTAGCATGATCTTGGCCTCAGACTCGACGCGTTTGCTCTCTGCGTCCTTCTTGCTCTTGCGGTCGCCCTCCGCCTGGTAGAGAGCGGCCATCTTGTCGATGCCCATTTTGTATTGTCGTTCGATCTGGAGCTTGAACTCGAGCTGATGAAGCATGCGTGAAATCTTTGCGGTAGTGAGAGGAGTCTCGTACTTGATGAGATCTGAGTAGCGGGGTTGAGATGAAACATGTCAGTCCGCCTTCGCGGAGATTGCTCATCCTGTCATCCCGCACACTCACCAAGATTGGTAAAGTTTCTCCTCGCTGATGTTCCTGCCCTTGCCACTGGCGCAGGCATCCATTGCCCTCCTCCGTCTTGCTGTTGTGGTGGACGCTGCGGATATCCAGCTGGCGCTGCTCCCCCTGGTGAGTAGGACATGCGTCCACCACCGTATCCATCTGACCCTGCCGACCCAGGTGCGGGCGGCAGTGGCCGATCCTGAGGCCCACCACCGCGATATGCTGATGAGGCATCGAGCGGATAGCCCGGTCGCATGCCAGCCGACGAGGGTCCTGATGCAGTGCTACCCCTTTCGCTGCCCGGTGTCGAGGGGCCAAATGATGTTGTTGAGCCGGTATGGCTCTGTGACGCCAAGCTGCCAGTCGGGGTATCGTAGCCGCCTCTGGATGATGAAGATGGTATACCTCCTTGGCCTGCGCCTGCTCCTACTCCTCCGCCGACGCCACCACCACCACTTCCTCTACCCCCACGATCCATCAAGGCCTGCAGGCTCTCCTCGAGGTACGAGACATTGCGCTGAGCGTCTCGTATATTGGACTCTGCTTGTCTCTGCACCTCTGGGTTAGCCGATGCTGAGCGCATGGCTTGAAAGCCCTTAATCATCTGGCGCTGCTTCTGGATGCGCGTCTGGATGTCGGCCATCATGGCCTGGGAGTCCTGCGCAGGCCAGGGGGGGTCAGGGAGGTGTTGGGTGTCAGCTGCATGATCGGCACCATGTTGGGCCTGTTGGGTACTTACCGCCATGATGACGAGGCCGACGAGAGATGGGAAAGTGAAGGAAAAGCGGAAGACCTTCGACTCACTCAGGAAGAGATGATGTTACGTTGAATCGAATGAGTGAGTGAAGGAGGGGAGCGAGCGAGCGAGGGAGCGAGCCAGCCTCGTCGTCTCGTGTCGTCTCGCGTGCCGTTGCGTTGACTGATGCCTCTTGCCTGTTGCCGCCCGCCTTGTGTCCGCCTGTGCCACCCGACTCGACTCGTCTCGTCGACTTCACTCGGGGTTCCGGCGCTCGAGGCTAAGGGCCGCCGGGCCCGTGCTCGCTATTCCCTCGGCCACTTCTCTTTTGGCCACCTGCTCATCGATACCACGCCCTGCGCTCCTCATGTCGTCGCTGTCATCGGAAGATGGCGGGCCAAGCATCTCTTGCGTCAGCGGAAACCATCTCCTTAGCATTCGAGCTCATCATTACCAGCAGCAGCAGCAAGACTCTGCGCCAAGCAATGCACCCAACACCCTCGTCTGCTTGCCCGTCACCGTGGCTGTATGCACCCTCAATGGCATCGTAGCCATGTCTGCGCCCGTACTCAGGCAAAGCAGCCTTCTGTCTGCCATTGCGGCTTTCTTTGATCTGGTTTGTGGGCGAGCTTAGCCTTGAGAAGCATTACGAGCTGATTCGGTCGTGCAGAACAAAGATTCACTGCTGTTTGACGCGGTACAGATGATCACCGAAGATCGTGGCGATGGCAGCTCGATGACCGGCAGTGAGGTAGCATATACGCGCCCAGTCACCGCACAATCCTTACACGCGATCGTTGCATGCCCGCAGTCCAGCTTCAATTGCCCTCTCAAGCAAGCAGCCACCTCCACAGTATCGATCTTCATCTCACCTGGTCGAAGCGCGTTCCAGCGAGTGAGCATTGGCCGCAGATACAGGAGCTTAGACGCCTGCTGAGCCTTCATGTTGCGTGCAGATGGCCTCGTCGATGTACTGTCAGCCCCTGGCAGCCTCGCCGCTCCTCTGCGCAATCTACTGGACGATGGATTAAGCAAATTCGTTCAGCAGCATCTCTTGGACCGATATGGCTCCCTATTCAACAGCATCTACAGTGGCGTGGGCAAGATCAGCGGCTCTGACACTGTCTTATTGCTCGATATACTGAAAGACACCGGTCGGCTATTCTCCTTCACACGTCTATACACAGCGTCAAGCAAGCCTCTCGATCTCTCTTTCGTCGATGAGCCACTCCCTCGCCACTATCGCAAACATGGTGCCGGGCAGGCGCAGGGAGAGCCCAGAGGCCATTTTGCATCTGCTAAAGGCAGTCGACGAAGCTGCATATCCTACCTCTCGACTCAAGGTGAGCATATCGTTGACACGATCTATTGTGCCCGAGAACCCTTGACACCAACCTCTGAACCCTTGCTCTCAGCCTCAGATCCGTACAAGCGGTCCAACGGAGGGAGCGAAAGAGGAAGAGGACACTGATGAAGAGCTGCTCGCGAGCAACGGCATGGCACGCACAACGACGACAGCGGCGATCATTAGCGGCAGCGACACGAAGATAGCAGAGCTTCTCTTGTCTTTCGATGATGACGACGACGACGCCCAAGGTGAAGCGATAGGGTTGCGCCCCGCAGAAGCGGGCGACACGAGCGCTCGACTGTAGTAGGCGAAGCGGCGAAGCGGAGACGTCACGACGCGGCATGTCACAATTGACGCCCCCTTTGCTCACTCGCTCAAGAGCCGCGGTACCTGACTGAGTGAAGACGGGCAATGCCACACCTCTCTTTTGCACCTTGACTCCTTTCCAACACCTCCTTTCGCTCACTCATTTGTCTCCCCTTTTCTCCTCTCCCCTTGTCGGTGCTATCATCACCATGCCGGCCTTGACGGCTGAGCGTGTGGAGCCTACGAGACCGACGGCTCAGGTCGCAGAGGAGCTCGGCCACCGCGTGATCACGGCTCAGCCTACGCCACTTCCTCTGCTACCCAACATGACCGCTGTGCGACTTCCGGCAGCAGCCATTAACCAACTCAAGCAAGAGGGCAGTGCCGTCTTTGGGCCCTACATCGTAGCAGAAAATGAGCAACACCACTTCCACCAAGAGCGCAGTCACCATGAGCGAGCAGACAAGGTGCCGCACGACTGCTACACGGGCTACGGACACTTTTCGTGCTACCCTACCAAGAAGACGAAAGTCGTACAGGGACAATGGAGCAAGGTGAGTGGGCTATCTCATCCCCACAGCACCGCATCTGCTCACTGACCTGCTTCTCACGCCCCCACCACACGCGCAGTTCATTTGGAACACAAGTGAGCCCTCATTGACTAGCAATGGCGGCTATGTCGACGTATACCTCTTCCGCCAGGACTCAAACAAGGTCGTCACCTCCTTCACGCACATCCCAAATGAGCAGGGCCGCGTTGCATTCATGCCTCAAGACTCTTGGTGGCAGGAGGACCCCGCTGCTCACCAGCTTCCAGAGGGACGCAACAAGACGTGGCCATTCTACTTTGCCATCACGCCGGCTGAGCAAGGACTAGAAGGCAAGGAAGGGAGCGCTATCAGCAGGCTGGCAACTTGGCATGCGGTTCAGACAGCTAGGCCTGCGCTTCTCGCCGCTCTCCCTTCCACCGCCACCTCCTTTCCCCCAAGCGACGCCATCATGCCCTCCTCCATCCTCATTACTCGTCCCACCGCCTACCCTCCCAGCCCTACCACATCCAACAGCGTCAACGGCACTCTCAACACCCCCACCTCCGCAACTGAAAGGCACCACATGCCTCACTGGGCCATCGGTCTCGTGACGTTCTTTGCCTTGCTGCTCCTCGGTCTCACCATTATGCGAGGCTATTACTTAGCTCAAGTCCGCCGTCGACAGCATGAACGTAAGCTAGCAGCGTCGCACAAGCGTCGTGCTATGCGCGCATCCTTCGCCACCGCCTCTGCCTTGGTAGGTATCCCTGTCGTAGGCGGAGCGGCCGCCGCTCAGCGCTCGAGCAGCACCACCAGCGATGGCGAGAGATATGGCCGCCCTTCTACACGCAACACGGCCGTTGTTCGTAGTCGCGAAGCCAGTCCTGCGTACCGCAACTTCATCAACAGCGGCCACGGTGACCCCAGCACGACTCTGCTGCCCGATCAGGCAGCACTGGTGGCCCAGGCGTACCGAAGCACGCTCCGCCAGCCACCGATCGCTGCGGGACGATTCAACGTCAAGCAGGCTTCTTCATCCCCTGCTCCTTCGCCTTCGCGCTCAGCAAGCCACAGGGTGGCAGTGCCCGCACGTTCGGCTTCCCTGACCGCCATAGTGGAGAGCTCAGCGAAGACGATCGACAAGAAAAGCACAGGCGTCGAGGAGATGACTGAGATCAGCAAGAGGAGCGCATCCTTGGACGCAGGCCAGGCTCTCTTGAAGGGAGAGCTGGCTACGGAGGGAACGAGTCTACAGAATGTGGGAGGCGTGAGGACGGCTGAAGTTGTGAAGGACGGTCGCGCTGAGAGTGAGAGCGCCACTGGCGCTGACGGCGTTGAGGAGAGCGGCAAGAGCAGGGACGAGAATGAGGAAGATGAGATGGCCACGACTGGGCACGATGGCCAGGTGGCGGAGGTCATTCGCTGGGACGAACTTGTCAACAAGACGAAGGACGAGGACAAAGGCAAAGACAAAGAAGCTGGCACATCCTGACCGCCTCACACGAGCATCCAGCAAGACGGAGTTACCCCAGCGAGATATCGAGACCCTCACCGAGATCATTAAGATACGTACAGCTCCATTTATACCTTATCATCACCACCTATACCGCGGCGAGCGACACCCCCTTCCCTCTCCTCTTTCTGACTTCAACCCACTCGCTGCAAAGCGGGCCTTGCTCGATATGAGGCGATGGAATTTCGCTCCTAGTTGTAATACGATCTTCTCTCATCTTGTGAATGGCTAGTGACTCGTTGATTGCAGGGCCTGATCATACAGGGACGTGGGTTTGGTCCTTCTCGATCCTCTGTAGTCTCTCCTCCATCTGCCCAAGCACTACCTCGATCAAGTCGCTCTGCCGTGCCTCACTTTGTCCCTCTGTTCTCAACCCCTTCCCTGTCGCAAGAAGCTCCATCCTTTCCCGCAGCGGTCGCACGAGATTAGCTTGTAGCGCGGCAATGTCCACGACGGCCCGGGCAGCTTTTGCCTCCTCGCTGGCACTGCCACTGCGCAACAGCAAATAGTACGCAACATTCAGAGCCTCAAGAAGCCATGGAGCTTGGCTGTCGATGTATGCCGCGAGGACGGGCATTTGTTGCGCCTTTTGCTCCTCATCACTGTCTTCGGAGACCTTCGGGCCGCTCCCTTCGGGCAACACAAAGATACACTGGGTAAAGAGCGCCCTCCAGTTGCTCACTATCCCACTCTTCTTCCCATCACGCGGCATCCCGAGCCTCAATCTCTCGGCGAAGAGCTCCCTGCCAAGCCCTACCGAAGCGGCTCGCAGTTGGGCAAATGGACTCTCTGTGAGGAGATCGCGGAGGAGGTCTAATACGGTCTCTTCGTCGTCTTGCCCTTGTGAGTCCATCAACTCCTTGAGCTCTTCCTTGAGCATTGTCCAACCTATCTGTCTATGCACGGGAAAGGGGCATAAGGCTGCGTGTGTTGACAGAAGGCGAGTGAGCGGGAGTAGAGTGGTGTGGTAGGGGAGGGGATGCTTGGAGCGGCTAGGGGAATCTCGTTTGGAGAGACGGCGGAACGAGTCGAGGAGGAGCTGTAGGAAGAGGAGGGCGTGATCTGCCATGAAGAAGGAGGGGTCTACTGCAGAGACGGCGTCGTTCCCGTCATTCTGTGGCGAGTCTGATGAGGGTTGAAGCGCACTCTGCTGCAGCGCGACCAAAAGAAACGGCATGGACCTGCGCAGTAGAGCAAGAACCTCGTCTCCTGTATCCTCCACGACGTTGCCGGGTTTGCACGGATCAACATAGTCGAGCACAGTGAGGAGCCAAGCTCCTACTCTTGACGCTGTACGCAGAGCGACGGCATCTTCGTCGTCATCATCGTCTTCGTCATCGTCGCCTTTGCGTTTGGGCACTTCCGCGGTTCCAAGAGCAATGTCCTTGAACGACAAGCCTAAAGGCAACACATTCCTCGACAACACCTCTCGGAGCCAGGCATGACCTGGTCTTGCTTGCCTCGCTCTCAGCTGCGAGGGCGATATGGTAGACGGATTGCGACGGTAGGCTGGTCTCTGATCCAGGAAGTGCCCCTCTGCGGGTGTTTCCTCCCCCGCCATGCTGTCCGCCGCAGCCGTTGTACGCGGTCCCAGCTCAGCGAAGGAGGCGAGAAAGAGAGCAATGACGAGATCCTTGCCTTCTTCTGCAGGAGTCACTGGCGCAGCATAGTGCAGCCGCGACATCCAATTTTCTGCCTTCTCGCCTAGTAAAGCGACAGCCTCAAGAAGCTCATCGGACGCGGCGGCCGTGCAACCTCTCGTTGCCCGCAAGCTTTGAGTGGCGGTGTAGACCAGGGGCCGGAAGAAAGCAGCGGGTCTCTTGGCTTGGACATCGAGAAGTACTTCCGAGAGCAGCGTGAGAAGGGTAGTTGCAGCCATGGCAGCATCCCTACCGGGGCGGATGGCAGGTGATTGGCGGCACAGTTCCTCCTCTTCTTCCTGGTCTTGATCGCACTTGCCTAATCTATCCAGCTGCTCCTGGATAGCCATGGTCATTTCCCTCGGGCTAGCCTTCCTTCTGAGCGTCTGTAAGCATGAGATGGCCGTGGAGCGGATCTTGTCGTGCGATGAAGGGAGAAATGGCGCGAGGGCAGCAAAAAGATGGAAGAAGTGCTCGTCGAGTGCGACCTCTACATGGATGCTAGCGCCTTCTCCATCGCATGATAGGATGTCGCGGATGCATCTCAAGGTGGGAAGTACAGCGGATGAAGAGGAGACTACTGTTACCTCCTGCTGTAGAATGGCAATCGAGCGTGCTAAAGAGGCTTGGAGCTCTGCACCCTTGAGGTTGCCGCTCATGGTGCAAAATGATGCGGTGAACGCTGGAAGCTGGGGAGCTGCGCTTGCCCTCCGAAGCTATTTCCAGTAACAAGGCGATCCGAAGAAAGCAGCAACACGCAGTGCTCACGATACTACCGTCGTTGTGGTAAGAGAACGAGATTGGTAGGCTGCATCACAATCGATGAGGCGCTGAGGAATGCTGAAGGTGATCGTGATATGGACAGCCGTTTGGCACGGAAGCAAGACAATCAAGGGCGGAAGCGCATCGAGTGGAGGCGAGCGGAGAGAGCGGAGAGCAGAATGCACGGCATCAAAAGAAGTACAGAATTCGAGACAAGAACAACCGCGGTCGCGTCCCCATCGCGGCCCTCAGCATGCCAACGTCTCCTCCGTCTGGCCCTTGGCATCAGTGTAGGCAAGATTGGGACTCGTCATACCCCTCGTCATGCCACGCCCGCGCTGTTGCTCATCGTCGACGCGCTCCCTGTTGGCATCACTGCCGCCTCGATCAAGGCTACTGCCGTCGCGACTCACCCGCTGCTCCTCCCCAGCAGCAGGCGCACTCCCTTCCCTCCTCGGCCCACGCTCAGAGACCTCGCTCATTTGCTCCCCCATACTCGCGAGACTATTGCGTTTCGCCTCCAACACAGCCGCTGCAGCACTCGCTCCCTTCGCCCCACCTCCCAATGCGGAGGCCCTTGGCCCGAAGTAACTCTGTGACCTAGCCGCCCTCGGCGGTTTGCCGGCCGCGCTCCCTACGCTTGAGTACTTGCGCGCGTCCCCGAACGAGGGACCGAGGGGCTCCTCGTCTTCAACGACGGCGGGCGTTGCGTGACCTGAGGACGATGAGTTGACTCCGCTGCCGGAGCCAGAGCCAGAGCCAGACCCGGATGCGGTGCCGAACATCGAGTACGATCTGTGAGCCAGCGGCGGGGGAGCCGACCTGGTCTCCACTTCGAGCGTGTCCGACGTACCACCGACGGAGAGGGCCTGCCTAAGCATGGGGAGAGCACGGGGGTCGCTCACTTCTAGGAGGATCTTATTTGGAGGGCTCGACTTGCTCGCAGCGCGTTGGTGTGATGTGCTAGTGGCACCGCCGGCCGATGACGCATGTGCTGCCCTGCTCGGCTTGCGCGCACGGGTCGGAGTGCTTCCCGTGGGAGTGGTAGTGCTCGTGGTACGAAAGGCCTCGGGACGGGCGGTCGTGTCGATCGAGAGGCCCGCGTTACCCGCGGCGGGTATGGTCATCGTGGTGGATTGGGACTGTCGCTTGACGAAGGTGGGCGTTGGTGTTGAAGAGGTGGCAACGGACGCCTTGCTCTGCCCACCGCCCGATGCTTCCGTTTGGCTTGTCCCTCTCTGAGCCTCAGAAGGCAACGGCGGTGGCGGCATGGAGCTGTCAGGCGAGGCAACGATGGGGGTGAGAGCCGGCGCTGCACCTTCTGCGACCGCCGTAGAAGTCGAGGTCGTCCGGTTCAGCTCTTCCCCGCCTGCGAACAGCGAAGCAGCTGAGCTAGCTCTTGTCCTGCTCTTGCTCTGCTGTTGCAACGTGCTCGCTCGCGACAGGTTCGGGCGCGATGAAGCTCGCGAGACTTTGGAGAAGCGTACAATGAGGTGAAACGTGAGTGCCTTGACGCTACCACCGCCACTTGACGCGCTTGACGACGTAGAGCTCGAGCCTGTAGGAGTGGCGGTGCCATTCGTAGCTGTCCCGTTCGCACCTGCCACCTTGCCGCTGGCCGCGAGACCCGGTTGCGAAGAGGAGCGCTTGAGCTGGGGTGCTGCTGTAGTCGAAGTCTTTCGCCCAAAAGCAGCCATAATGCTCTGTACTAAGCCGCGCCCACCCGTTGCCCATGCCTCTCCGCCATTCTTACCTTCCTCCGCAGCCACTGGCTCTCGATACTCAATCACACACTGAAACAGGTGCACATGCGCCCAACCGTCTTGCCTGTCCTCGAGCGTTGGGATGGGAAATGGAGTCATAGGGGGCGAAGCAAGTCCATCTGCGGGCGCTTGGTATGAGGAACGAGGGGAGAGCGTGCTCGCCCATGTCTCCTGTGCGGCTGTGGCCGCGTCTGGCCAGCAGTGGTAAAGGATACCGGAACAGCGTAGGCAGTATTTGATGAAGGAGAGGACGCGCTGCGGAGGTTGATTCCAGGGATTGAGCATGATGAGGCGAGGAGCCCGCGGACGCGATTCTGGATGCGCTGGCTCCTTGGCGGCAGCCTCATCTACAGATGCTCGTCGATCATTGGGAGGAGTCGGGCTCGGCGCCCGCGAACTGGTGGGCGTGGTGCGGCGGCTGGTCGGTGCAGGGAAATACCCATTTACCCCAGGCACTGACTGCTCGCGCTGCTGCTGCGGGAACACGACCTTCTCTGCCGCTGTCTCGCTGAGCAGCGGAAGATCCATCTTATGGCTAGGCTCAGTCGGCACAAACGTCGTGCTCTTGAAGCTCTTGACACCTCGTTCGGGCTGTTCCTGCCGATCCCTCTCGACTGCCATCTCCTCAAAGTGCTTCATGCGTTTGACGGCATCCATCTCGAGCAGCTTGCCCACCATGTCGCGCATCTTGGCCCCCAGCCCCTCCTCGGCGCTCGCAGTCTCGTCCGAGAGCGGAATCTGCGCCACGGCTCTCTGCGCTCGTATGGCCATACTGCGTAGCGATGTATGGTTGCTTCCGAGCGGGTATCGCACCCCCGTCAAGACGCGCAGCATCGTCACGCCGCAGGTCCAGGCGTCTACCTCTGGGCCCCAATAGCTTGATGTACCCGGAGTGCTCGCCAGTGCTCTCACGATTTCGGGGCAGTGAAAGGCAGGAGAGCCGCAGCAGGTGGTGAGCTTGGGCTCACTCTTGCTGTAGTGCGTTGCGAGGCCAAAGTCGAGGAGCTTGAGCTGCAACGTCTCGGGATGGACGAGGATGTTCTCTGGCTTGATGTCCCGATGGCAAATTTGCAGCGGGTGATGGATTGCACGAACGGCTGAGAGGAGCTGCGAGAGGATGGTATTGGCCGGCGCGAGGGGCAATACTTCCTTTGAGCCGCGAGCCTTGGCGAATCTAGGCAGAAGCGCTTCAAGGGTAACATAGCCGCCGAGGTATTCCTCAACGAGGTAGAAGTGGCCCGGAGTGCGAATGGTCTCCTTGACCTCGACGAGATTGGGGTGGGGAGGTAACTCGGCAAGAAGCGTGGGCTCACGAAGCAGTCGAGTCGAGATGAGCTGATGGTGAGGGAAGAGGGCAGTGTGTTTGATGGCGGACAATTGTCCGTACCTCGACGCAATGAAAACGGTGGAGAACTTGCCTCGGCCTAGCACCTTGGGAAGGATGGTGTAGTCTGAGATACCTCGTGAGAGGAGCAAGTCCAGTGACGGCACATCGACGAGGTCGCCTGCGCCTGCAGCTAGCTTGCCCTCGATGTCTGCTAGTGCAGGCAGGACATCAGCCTCGGTTAAGGACGCCGGGCTTTTGCTAGCTGCGACGTGCTGGTGAAGATGAAGGACTGAGCTGCCAGCTCCTCTTGTCCTCTGCCAATTTTCCTTTTCAGCCTGACGAGCTGCAGCTGCGGCTCGTTCCCTTTCCCTCTCCCTATCCTTTGACTCAGATCGCAAAGACGATGGCTGACCCGAACGCTGCTGCCGTGGTATCTGGCGAGTGGAAGAGCTCGCTGCGGCAGGTGAAGCAGGCACAGTGGCTGTACGAGTCGACGTCATTGGGAGAGAAGGGCCCGGAGATGAGGATGGTCCGGGACCAAGAAAGGTGGCAGGAGCGTGTGGCACGGGCGAAGGAGCTCGCGCCTCGGGTCCAACAGCTGCGACTTTCTGCTGTGGCTTGGGCGTCACCTCTTGCAGCAAGTTTGTGAGCTTTTCGCTAGCTCGGATGGACGAGCTCGAAGGTGAAAAGGTAGTCGGACGGAGCTTCAGATCCGCGCTCTCCTGGACAACCCTTGGCGATGTAGGCGGTGATCGAGGTTGCTCTGGCACTGTGCCGACGGAGATGGACGGGAAAGCGATACGTCGCGGTGGCGAGGCCAAGGATGATGATGATGATGCTGATGATGATGAAGAGGAGACAAGAGGAGCAGATGACCCTGTCGCCGAGGCCGTCATCGCGGCCGCCGGTCGTGCCGCTGCCGCCTCTTTGACTCCGTCATCTGCGGCCATGACGAGCGAGAGTCGCAAATGCGAGCTAGGCGCCTATCACGGCGTCTGAGTGCAATCGACTAGCTCCAAGAACGGAGCAGTCTGCAACAGGCTGCTCCTGTGCACTTGTGAGCGCCGTCGTCGTTGCCCTCGTTTGTCGCTCGTCGTCGAATCAGAGTAGGGAAAGAGTGAAAGATTAGGAAGCCAAAACGAAACGCTCCGCGGATTTCGAAGATGAACTTGCCTTTCCCGCCCTGGCGAAGGAGCGAGCGATCGATCGAGTCGACCCCGCGACGCCCTCTGCCTTTTTGTCTGGGCTCTGCTGCTCCCTGCTGCTGGACCCGTCTCGGGCTGCAGCAAGCAAGCGTCACAGTCGAGATAAGAGATGGTGGTGTGCAGCGAGGAGCGAGCGTAGAAGAGGAAAGCTGGATACGCGGAGCTAGCGAAAGATGAAGCAGCTGCTTCGCGCAGGTCAACAACCAACGTGAATCGATTGCGCTTCGAATGTACTGGTCGACGAATCTCCCCTCCCCCGTCACACGACCACGCCGCCTTCTTGCTTCTCGACTTCGGCCTTCCGGACAACGAACATCGACGGGTGCTGAGTGCGACGGGCCGCAGACTCATCGCAGAGTGGTCGCCCGCGTAAGCCGACTTGCTCCAATTGCGCTTAACAGACGATTGCCATGCTCTGAGCACGGATGCTCAGTCGGCTGAGGTGTGGCTCACGTCTCCGAGATCCTGGATGAAGGGGGGGCCGCGGGGCGTGCGTGGCGGCTTCCTTTCGAGTTGGTCGAGGGCCACGCGTCTCGGTGGAGGAGGAGCGGAGAGCGGCGGAAAGGACATCGATATGTCCTTTGGCTGTTTCGCGCTTGTGCAGCCTTTCTCTTCATTACTTCTCCCTCGTACCTGAACGAGGGCGAGTCACAGCACAGCACAGCACAGCACAGCACGATATGAGTGACATCGACGATGATTATGCCGACTCCGTCGACGAGGAATGGCTCGAAATTGGTAAGGAGGCAGCGTCACGCTTCTTGCTTTCCTTCATCACGAGCAACACTCGCTGACCTTTCACTTGCGCCGCCACTTATGTGGTCACCCTGCCTAGACTCGCCCATCGAGCCCAAAGTGGACATGCCAGACGATGATGAGGAGTTTCAAGAAGGCGGCAATATGCTGGGCCCCTCTACGGCGCCCGCTGCCGCCGCTGCTCAATTGTCGGCGCCGACGCCTTCGAAAGTCAAGGTCCGCAAGCTGGAGGATCGCACAAAGATGATGGAGTATCCAAACTCTCTGCCGTACGAGTGCGAGAGTATCGAGGAGTTCGACGAGAGGCTAGCATACATTCATCAGCGACTTATTGAGTGCATCAAGACAAAAGAGTGAGTCAACACCTTGCCGCCGCACTCCGCTCAGCGTCACCAGGCGTCGACTCATCTGGCATTCTTCGCTCGTCCGTCACCCCTCGCAGTTATGACATCGGACTTGTGCAATGGAATCACAAGCTACAGTGTCTGATCAGCCTCAAGTATCCCATCCTTCGCGCCACACGAGCGACCCTCGCAAGCCTCTATTACGAGATGGTCTTCATCCCAGGCCTAGACGTTCGCCTCATCGAGCTCTGCGCCAACATGGCCATCACTCTCCTCGAGCCAAGGCGAAAGATCTCCATAAAAGACCTGACCCTTCCATGGCGTCCACTTTACGACCTGCTCTCGCATCACCTCTTCCCTAAGGCGAGAGCTACGGGTCTGACCGGCCTTTCCAATACTCTCATGGACCTCGCCGGCATTGCTCAACGCTTCTTTCCTCCATCGGACGCGGACGACATGCTCGAGGAGATGCTGCCTCAACTCGATGGGTATGCTATCAACTCTATTCTCGCTACGCAGGCCTACCTCGTCCACTTCTTGCCACTGTCCAAGCCTCAACGATGGCTGCCTGCAATGTTCAAGCTCTGGGACTGCTTTGAGAGCGGCCTTTTCGACGACCAGATGCTCGACTTGCTCGCTCGACTGGCCATCTTGCACGCCAACCCAGAGATCTCGCAAAGCGAAGATAGCGGAACAGTCTCGCCGCAGCGAGGTCTGTGGAAGGAGGTCGGCTTGCTGACAAAGGAGCAGTTTGCGATGATCATGACAAAGGCGTTGCGATCAGCGGGCTTGCCAGTTGGAGCCACAAAGGTGAGCGCGAGCCAGACAGACGTCTTCTGGCGGGCGTTGTACTATATGCTGACATTCGCTTCCCCCACGGCTCTTGCACCAGGATGCCAACTCTGCACTGATGGCCCAGTCTGCCATTATGATGAAGACAGGGTCCGACGCCGAAGTCTCGCAGACCATCCTCTCGATGAAGAAACCGTCAAGCCGCATCCAGAGCTTCGCCACCATCATCGTCTACAGCATGATGCTCGATGGACCAGAGATTCCCTCGTCAGGAGAAGCGACCCCAGTCAATGCTGCAGCTGGTCCAGGCCTCGCAGGTACCCCAGCCACAACGACGAATGAGCAGATGAACTTCCTTGCTGGCTCTCGCGCCCTCGATGCGCTGCACCGCTTCATACAAGCCACCGAGACCTACTTCCACCCCTCCAATTGGGGACCTTGGCAGTACGTGCTGAGTGGCTTCGTTGCCGAGCTCTCGAGCTTCTTCGTCAATCGCTGGCTCGACGAGCACAGAAATGACTGCAAGACGCCCAAAGAACGCCGCCTCACCCCAACGATGAAGCGCGAGTTCGTGCAATCGCTGCGCAACGTCTGCCTCTTGACCATGTTCAGCAAGGACATGTTTGCCGTCGTCAGCTGCCAGAAGGCCCTTAAGCGAATGGCATACCTTGAACCGGATCTCATCCTGCCGGCTGTCCTCGAGCGAGCCTATCCCGGCCTACAAGAGCTCGAGATGACGCACCGCACCACGGCCATCATTGCATCGCTCTCTACACTGGCCATTCCTCTTGTGTCGCGTCAGAACTTTGCAGCCGGAGGGAAGCATCTTGTACCCCTCCTGCAGTTGTGTTTACCCGCCATCGATCCGACCGACTTCGCCAAGACAATGGGCGGATGCGCCTTCATTTTCAACGCTATGATGACGGTACGCATCGACGATCTTACTCGTCCAGAGCTGGGCAACGACGACGGCGACGCAGAAATGGCGGTCGACGACGATGCTGCAGCCGCACGTCGAGAAGAGGACGAGGCTCTGCGCTTGAGCACAGCAGGCGCTGAGGAATGGGTCATCGAATTCTTCCGCCGCATTTTTGCCGTATTCGACTCACTACCTGAAGAGGGGGTTAAGGGCAAAGTGGGCGGCAAGCAGGAGGAGCATGTAAGCGGATCACTCCTCTCCAGCGTCGACGCCGTGACGGCAAGCATGAGCCCTCACTTGGCTCGCCTCGCATGGGACGTCGTCTACCGCCACTGCTCAGAGACGGTTTCGGCGAGCTCGAGCAGGCTTGTTGGTAGCGTCATCCTAAGCTTTGCTCGCATACATCCGGAGATGGTCTTGGGCAAGATGATTCCTCTCGCCACTCAACGTCTTCGATCCGAAATCATGCACGGAGCCAGCTCGACGCGTACCACGTCAACGCACACCCCAGCACCTGGCGATGCCACCTTCCATTGGCACTTGTCGTGCCTCCTCGGCGCAGTCTCTGGTGTCGGTCCAGCTCTCCTCAAGCACAGGATCGAGCTGCTCGAGCTCCTGTCGCTCCTTGTCGACCGTACCCGCTCGGAGCGAGGCTACTCACTTGTCGCACGACTTGTACAGCGCGTCATCGCTACTCTCGTGGGCCTGTATCCTATCGAGTGGCGACCGTACAATGCTGAGGAGTGGGATGACCCCGAGGTACAGAAGAAGGCGCACATGCACTGGGGTAAGCTTTACGAGGCTAAGGATGTCAGCCTGAAGTGGCATCAGCCGTCCCAAGAGGAGATCGCCTTTGCCCTTGAGATCGTCTCCACGTTTGTCCAACCTTCGCTCGAGGAGCTCAACAGCCTGCAAGACGTGCCGCAAGAGCGACGAGACAAGGTATGGTCGAATGACTTCTGCCGCAAGATGATGCTGGTCAAGCAGACGTTCTCGGCACTGAACGCCGTGGTGCAGGATGATGAGGTGAATGCACCTTCTGGAGAAGTTGTCTCTGATGCCGGCGACGAGTGCATGGCCTTCATTCAGCCCCCTCCACGCTTCAAGTCCGGCTTTATTCTCACCGACGAGACATCGCCCGATTTCGTTGCTGTGCGGTCTTTCCGTGCTCGAGTTGGCGAAGTCCTACACCGATGCGCGACGTCGAGCAAGGCTAGCGAAGCAGAGGACAAGCAAGACTGCATCAAGCTGCTACTGCGCTCGATTCGCACCTACCTCACCGAGTACGCCTACAACTACGAGGAGTACATGGCGCACTCGCGCTCCCTCAACTACTACCGCACGGTATTCCGCATCTACGCAAGGCAGAAGCAGCAGCCTCGCGTGCTGTGGGTGAGACGAGCGGCCTTCTATCACGGCTGCCGCGGTAGGATGAATTCCTTCCACCGCAAACGTACACCGCTGGTCGACAGCCTGATCAAGGACGTCGTGCTGGCCTATTGCATGAGCACTTACGTCGGCATCCGCAAGACGGCGCAGAATAGTCTCGATTCGATTGCCAGTCTCTACGATGGAGCGCGGCAGCTCTGCGTGCATACGCTCATCTCAAAGGTCCAACCTGGCGTCGATGACGACCAGATGAAGGGCGCACTCTACGTTCTGGGCAGCAAGGGCTTCAGCAGCGCAGCCATCACCGACGCTCGAATCACGGCCGAGTACCTGCTCTGCCTCCTCAATGCACAGCACCACCCTAAACCTTCGCTGCAGAAGCTGGTCCGCGGCCTCCTCAGTGACTTTGCTTCCCGCTTCGTCGAGCCTTCCACCCTGAAGTTCCATCTCGACACGCCAGCACCCCTCATCAAGGCCGTTGACGAATTCACTACCTCTTTGCCTCCAATCGACGCGAGTATCCTTCAAGAGGTGCGCGACCGTCGTCAAGCCCGTATCGCCCGCATTGACAGCACTGTCGCTCGCCTCGGCCCAGAGATCATGTCTATCGCCACCAACCACGCAACGCACTGGTCATTTACTCTATACTCTGCGCGCCTTCTCCGCGCCATGATTCGCAGAGACCAGCCCCTGGCGCCGGACGTCGCCGGCTACTTTGCAGGGCAGCTGCTTTCGGAAAACCCGAATATGCGCAAGTACGCCACGGGCGCCATCACCAAGATCCTGTATTTTGTCAAATTGCGAACCCTCAAGGCTAGCGATGAGGATCTCGTCAATGGGAAGACGACGAACCCGCTTAAGCGCAAGGAGGTCGTGCAGACGCCTGCGTCGGCAGAATACCAGAAGGAAGCCCTCGGCGCCTTCCTTGGCTCCAACATGGGGCCCGATAGCGTACTAGTTGACAAGACGTCGCTGGGATGGCTCGTCTGGGGCGGCAAGCAGACGGTCTATGATGCGCCACCGGTCGATACGGAACCATGGCAGTGGGAGGCGGCCTCGCAGCCTGCCTTGGATGCAATCTGGTCGCACATGCAAAAGGCCGAGTTCTGGGAGAAGCACCTCGGGCTCTGGTCGCAAGAGAAGCAGCGCGAGATTACCGCCACCGAGAATGTCCTCCTCATGAAGTCCATTGCGCAGGTCTTTGGCGCGCGCTTGATCCCCGTCTTGGGACCGATTATCGAGAAGTTGATAGGGGAGCGCGACCGTCACAAGCACCGTGCGGCTGCCGAGGTCATGGTCGGTGTCGGGCGCGGTTCCAAGCATTGGCCTCTAAACGATCAAGCGAAGTTATGGGAGTGGCTCACACCCCTGATGCCCAACATCTTCACTCAAGCAACGCAAGACTCCCAACTGGTATTCGAAGATTGGATTGTCAGCACGATCGACGGGCGCGATCCACGCCGACACAAACCCCTCATCGACTTCGCCATTGACAGGGCCAAGCGCAGCATAAATGGAGAGGAGGATGGCAGTCCTCAGCTGCAGGCAAGAGGGCACGCTTTCTTCCGCTGTGTGCTCTCGACGCACGATCGTAAGATGACGCCGAGGATGCAGGAGTTCATTGACGACTATGCGGGGGCGTTCGACACAGCCTATTCAGAGATCAGGGCGGTAGTGAGCGAGAATTTGGCGCAGTTGGAGCTCTTCGAGGTTGCGCCGTCATACGCCTCCATGAGCCATTTCCTGGCTGGAGAGGCCTCCAGCAGCACTCTGCGGATTAGCTCGCCTCAGTACGAGCGTCGCTTCGCTAAGCTGCGCACCGACCTTGCGCAATGGAGGACGGAGCGCATCCCAACCTCTCAAGGCAGCTCACGCTACGACTGCGCGGCGATGACAACCCTCTTCTGGATGTCTATGGCTCTCGCCGATCACCGGCGCTCATCGATGGGGTCGTACGCCATCGATTTCCTGCCCATGATATTCGAGATGCTGGAGCTCAAGGACAACACAGACCTCTCCCGTCTCGCACGCGCTGCACTGACCAAGATCTCGACCCATCATTACGGCCCTGGTCCGCTCTCGGGCAAACTTGTCCGCACGCTGCTCAACGTGATCACGCAGAGCCGCGACTCGTGGAAGGTGAGGCTCGATGGCTTGACCGTACTGCAGGTGGCCTTCTTCCAAAATCTGTACTACCTTGGACCGGCGGATGTAAGGAGCATCGTGGACGTGCTATTGGCCCTGTTGAGGGACGTCCACCCAGAGGTGAGGGAGATGGCTTCCACTACTCTCTCCGGCATCGTCCGCTGCTCTGAGCGCAAGCTCATTAGCGACCTCAAGAAGCGATTCACGGCTACGGTCCTTGAAGCCTCTGCAGCCCTGATGCCCCTTTCTCGTGGCGACCCAGGCTTCCACGAGCACCTCACTGCTCTCCATTCCGGTATCCTGGGCGCTGTAGCCCTCCTCTCGGCTTTCCCCTATGAAGTGCCCCCTTGGATGCCTTCCCTACTCATCGAGACGGTCACGCAGCATGGCGAATCGCCGCAGCCTGTTAGCAACACGGTGAAGAAGTACGCAAAGGAGTTCAAGAGGACGCATCAGGATAATTGGGGCGAGGTCGAGGCGGCTTTGAATAGTGATGAGCTGAATGAGGTCAATCAGTGGGTGTTGGGAAGGAGCGACTACTACGCATGAGGGAGGCGTGAGGCAGGGAGAGGTTGCGTTTCGACGAGAGCGGACGAATAAACGCGAGCACATTGTAGACTTCATCATCAGTCGATATCAACGAATGCGATTTGCCATTCACTCCATTTGCGACTTGCCTTCCACGGATTTTCCTACTCCTTGTCCTCCGCCCACCCACGGCTACGCTCCACAGCCCTCCACCACTGCCTGAGGAGATGTTCCCTCTTCTTGGCATCCAACTGCGGCTTGAAGACATCACGACCCGACACATTGACCTTGCTCAAAGTCTCTGGCTTGGTGATGTCCCACCCAAAGAGCCCCTTTGCCTGCCCCGCGAGCAACGCCGATCCCAGCGCCGTCGTCTCGCGCATTGCAGGGCGGGAGACCTCCAGACCGAGAATGTCCGCCTGGATTTGGCAGAAGACGTCCGAATTGGTCATCCCACCGTCCACGTTGAGGCTGGTGAGAGGCACGCCCGAGTCCTTTTCGCATGCATCGAGGACCGCCTTGCTCTGGAAAGAAGCAGCTTCAAGTACCGAGCGGCAGATGTGGCGCTTGTCGTGGAACCCGCTCAACCCGATCAAGGTACCAGAGGCGGACGAATCCCAGACGGGGGCGAGAAGACCAGAGAATGCAGTCACGAAGACGCATTCTGATGCTTCAACGTCGGCGGCGCAGTCTACGTCGGAGGCCTCCTTGATCAGGCCGAGGGAGTCGCGGAGCCACTTGATCGCTGAGCCGGCTACCGCAATGGAGCCCTCGAGAGCGTAATGCGGGGCAGCCTTGGGTCCAGGCTGGTAGGCAATGGTGCTGAGGAGCCCATTCTTGGAGTCTACGACCTTCTCACCCGTGTTGTAGAGCAAGAAGGCGCCAGTCCCATACGTGTTCTTTGCCTCTCCAGGGCTCAAGCACTTCTGCCCTACAAGAGCAGCCTGCTGATCACCGACAATCCCCGCAATCTCGATGCCCTTCAGTGGTCCTTCGTGAATCGTTCCATACACCTCTGAGGAGCTCCTGATCTCGGGCAGGATGTCCATGTTGACGCCAAAGAATTCGCACAGCTTAGGATCCCAAGCTTGGGAGCGCAGGTTCATGAACATTGTACGAGATGCGTTCGAGGCATCCGTAATGTGAACTGCGCGATTGGTGAGGTTGTAGATGATCCACGAGTCGACGGTACCGAACTTCATGTTACCAGAGTCGTGGGCCTTGCGGACTTCGGGAAGCTCGTCGAGCATCCAGCGCAGCTTGCCCGCGGCAAAGTAGGTCGAAAGGGGGAGGCCAGTCTCCCTACGCGAGTCGAGGACGAAACAATGTCAGCTTTTCGCTAGGACGAAGAGCGCTGTGGGGACCCCTTTTCTGCCCCACACTCACTTCTTGAGCGCGTTGATCCCCTCTTCGCTCTTGCCCGCCAGCTTAGAGATGGTCTGCCCATTGCGGTTATCCGGCCAAGCAATGCAGCGCGTGAGGGCCTTGCCCGTATTCTTGTCCCATACGACCGTCGTCTCCCTCTGATTGGTGACCCCAATCACCTTGATATCGCTCGCCTTGTACTCTCCACCGGCCTCGAGCTGCTTGACCGACTCGACGATGTTGGTATTGATCTTGTCAATGATCTCGTGCGGGTCTTGCTCTTGCCAACCAGGGTGAGTGAAGAATTGCGTGAACTCGGTTTGGTGAGAGGCAACGACTCGGGCCGATGAGTCGAAGATCATGAAGCGGGTCGAGGTGGTGCCTGAACGAGGGAGATGGAGGTGTCGTCAATCGGCAGCACGAGACATGGCTGTATGCTCCTCGTCCAGCGCAGACTCACCCGCATCAATGCTAGCAACGAGGTCTTTGCTGCCCATTTTGTCGTGTCAGATCGATTAGCGGTGAGCTACGAGTAAGGGTGTCTAAGGTTGTCTGAACGGGTAGTGATAAAGGTGGGGAAGAAGGAGCTTCCTCCTCCTCGTCGTCATCTCGTCCGGCTTTGTGTCCTTTCTTTCTGCCTTGGATGACGGCCCGACCTCGCCTCGGTCCTCTCCCCCGCGCCCTGCTTGATGTCGCATTTTGCTTGCTCCCTTGGCGTGGCACCCTTCGGCGACTTCGTCATTCTTGGGTCGTGCAGATGTCGTGCAGGCCTCTGCTCTTGGGCCTCTTCCGGCCGCATCGAGCCGCCTGCTCGGTGGAAAAGATTGCCGTTGAGGAAGAGGTGGGGGGCTCCACTCCACGCCGTGGTCCCGCCAGTCTCGCAGGTTCGACGACAGGTCAGGATCAGTCGTACGGACGAGTGGCAGCAGTGGAGCGACAAAGAAAGAGCAGCTTGGCGTGCGAGACGATGTTCCTTGTCCTGAAAGTTCATTTCCACTGCGGGGCCCAGCGCTTTCTCAGCGTTGCGGGGGCCCACGCTCAGGCTCAAGCGGTCATCTGATCGGTGGCTCAACATGGATTGATGGTATGTGCTCAGGAGTGGTGACTACGGTATGCTCTATACAATATGCGATGTCCCTGCAGCTCCGACTCAAGCGGAGGGCTGCGGCGCCATCCCCGGGTCTACGACCTTCCAATCCCCATCCTCAACAGCGTCATCCTCCTCTAGGTCTCTCTCCATCTCCCTCCCCGCCTCCGCAGCAGCAGCCGACGATGACGAAGCTGCCTCACTCCCCGTCACGCCAGCCTCGTGAGGAAATCTGATCTCTAGCCCTTCGCCCTTGGCATCAAGGCTGATTGGCACCACGTCCCCTGCCTTGACACTCCCCTGGATCAAGCCCTTAGCAAGCGGGTTGAGAACCTCCCTCCTCACGACGCGGTTGAGCGGACGCGCACCATACGCCTTATCGTAGCCGCGCTCCGCCAGCCACGCCTTCGCCTTGTCATCTACATCGATACGCACGCGCTGAGTGGCGAGGCGCTGCTCCACCTCGCGGAGGCGGAGGTCCACGATGCCCTGTAGGTCTGACTTGCGGAGCAGATTGAAGACGAGCTGGTCATCGAACCTGTTGATCAGTTCGGGAGGAAGCGAACGTTGTACCGAACGAAGCACCGCCTGCTTGGCTGCGGGCAGAACCTTGCCATCTGCATCCGTCGCCTCGGGCTTGAAGAGCTGTTCTGCCCCAAGATTGCTCGTCGCCAGAATGATGCAGTTCCTGAAGTCGATATTCTGCCCTTGAGCGCTGCGGATCGACCCTTCCTCGAGGATTTGCAACAGACTCATCTGCACCGCACGACAGGCCTTCTCCACTTCGTCAAACAGCACGATGACATGGCGCTGCTTGCGTACCTTGTCCAGCTCTCCGGACTCGCCGTATCCCACGTAGCCTGGCGGAGAGCCCAGGAGACGGGAAATGGTGTGCGGCTCAGAGTACTCGCTCATGTTGAGCTGAATGAGCGAAGACTCGTCGTCGAAGAGGAAGCTGCTGAGTGCGCGAGCTAGCTCCGTCTTGCCTACGCCAGTGCTGCCCAGCATGAGGAAGGAGGCGAGTGGGCGCTTGTCGTTTTGCAGTTGGGCACGGCTGAGACGCACGGCCTCAGAGATGGCTGAGATGGCTTCGTCTTGACCCTGAACTCGGGATCGGAGCGCGTCTTCCATAGTGAGAAGGCGCTGTCGTTCGCCCTTGAGAAGGTTGCGAACAGGAATGCCGGTCTGCCTAGACACCACTACCGCGATGTCCTCTGCGGTCACGCGATCGTTTGAGATGACCCCTGCGGTGGCCTCGTCCTCATCGAGCTCGCTACGATGCTGGCTGCGTCCGCGAATTGCATCCTCGATCTCCTGCTGACGCTGCTGCAGCTTGGGCAGCTCACCGTAGCGCAGCTGAGCCACTAGCGCAAAGTTGCGCTCCCTCTCTGCCTCCTCGAGGCGATGTACCAGGTCCTCAACGTCCTTCTTGATGGCCACCACTTGATCAAGTCTCTCCCTTTCGTCCTGCCAGATTTTGTTGAGTTTGTCGTAGGTAGCTTGCGTCTCGGCGATCTTGGCCTCAACAGCCTTGCGTCGCTCGACGGAGAAGTCATCCGTCTCGTGTCTAAGAGATTCGAGCTCAATGTGCGCCGTCATGAGGTCGCGTTCCATGCTTTCCAATCTCTCAGGCTTTGACTCCTGCTGAAGGCGCAAGGAAGCCATCGACTCGTCCATGAGGTCAATCGCCGCGTCCGGTAGCCTGCGTTCTGACCCAAGGCAGCGCGTGGCAAAGTTGACGCAGGCCACGAGCGCAGAGTCTGCGATGGAGACGCCGTGGTGTGTCTCGTAGCGACTGCGTAGTCCGCGAAGAATGGCTATTGCTTCCTCTGCTGAGGGCTCGTTGAGATTGACAGGCTGGAAGCGACGGGCGAGAGCAGCATCCTTTTCAAGGGAGGTGCGCCATTCGGAGAAGGTGGTGGCCGCAATGAGCTGAAGTGTTCCTCGCGCCAGCATTGGCTTGAGGAGGTTGGCCATATCCAACGATCCCTCTGCTTTGACCAGGAGATGAGCCTCATCGACGAAAAGGAGCACATCTCCGGCCTGCTCTACGTCTTCAAGCAATGCCTTTACCCTCGATTCGAACTCGCCCTTGATCCCGGTCCCCTGCATAACAGCTCCCAAGTCCAGCGACATGACCCTCTTTGCCTGAAGACTCTCGGGCACCTCCTTTCGCACTATTCGTTGGGCGAGCCCCTCTGCCACTGCCGTCTTGCCCACACCGGCTTCTCCGAGGAGCACAGGGTTGTTCTTGCGGCGACGAGAGAGGATCTGTATGACCCTGCGGATTTCGTCTGCTCGACCGATGACGGGGTCGAGAGCGCCGTCTTTGGCTAGCTTGGTGAGATCTTGCGTGAATTGGGCGAGAGACTCGCCTGGCTTGCGTTGCTGTTGTCCTGGCATGCCCATGCCTCCTCCGCCTGGCATAGAGATGCGCGAAGTTGGCGTGGCGTGGAGCCATCGGCGGGTGGCGGTGCCAGTGAGTGAGGCGAGGGAGTTGGTGCTAGAAGCTGCGGTGGCGACTGCCAGTCTAGCCGATCCCACAGGAGCTCGACGACTGGCCAGCCTCAATGATTGAGCTGATCGTGTGCGTAGCATGATGATGGTGAATAGTGGTGATACTGGCTTCGCAGCATCGACGGCGACGGATCTTTTGGATGCGGAGGAATATCAAGGCAGCCAGGCGCTGACGTCGACCCCCCGCGACGTCCGTCCTACTTCCGTCGCATCCTTGGCGCGAACAGACTCGAACGAGCCCGATTGACTTGAGACAACGGACTGAGCGCCATGGGGATCCGCGGCTCAACTCCGGGCGCTCGACTTGGCCCTGACCTGAATTTCGACGTGTGCTGCAGCAAAGCCTCTGTCCGCCATCCGTTCACTCGTCCCTCGTCCCTCGTCCCTCGTCCGCCACCACCAATACCACGACAATGGCAGAGGCGTCGACATCTGCGGCAGCGGGCGCAAGTCAACAGCACAAGTCGCATCGCAAAGGTCACAAGACTCGTGCTGACAAAGATCGCAATCGCCACGCCAATGGGGGCAACTACAATCCTCGCGCCTTCATCTCCTCGAGCTCAGGCGCAGCACTCAAAGCTGGTCTTCGAAAAGCAGAGCTCGATCAGAAGAGGCTACACGTACCACAGATCAACAGAACAAACGACGATGAAGCCCCGCCGGTCATCATTGCGATTGCCGGGCCCCAAGGGGTGGGCAAGACGACCCTCATGCGTTCTTTGATCCGACGTTTCACAAAGCATACATTACGCGATATTCGAGGACCCGTCACCCTCGTCTCGGGCAAGAAGCGCCGCCTCACCTTCATCGAGTGCGGCAACGACCTCAATTCTATGATCGACGTGGGCAAGATAGCAGATCTCGTTCTGCTCATGATCGACGGCTCTTTCGGCTTCGAGATGGAGACGATGGAGTTCCTCAACGTCCTCCAGGCGCACGGCTTCCCAAAGGTACTTGGTGTACTCACCCACTTGGACCTCATCAAGAAGTCGGCCACGCTCAGGGCGACTAAGAAGCGTTTGAAGAATCGCTTCTGGACAGAGGTGTACGCAGGAGCGAAGCTGTTCTACCTCAGTGGGATCATCAATGGAAGATACCCGGATAATGAGATCCTCAACCTGAGCAGATTCATCTCGGTCATGAAGTATCGCCCACTCACTTTTCGTAACGCACATCCGTACGTCCTCGCCGATCGCGTTGAGGACTTGACACCCAAGGAGGATATCCGCAGGGCGCCCAAGGCTGAGCGACGTATCACCGTCTATGGGTACCTGCGCGGCACCAACCTGAGAGCGAATCAGCGCGTCCACATCCCCGGTGTTGGAGACCTCAGCATTGCCAGCATCGAAGCTTTGCCGGATCCATGCCCATTGCCTACCACCGAGTCAGAGAAGAGGCGCAGATTGGACGATAAACACAAGCTTCTTCATGCACCCATGTCCGACGTCGGCGGCGTCATGTTCGACAAGGATGCGGTGTACATCAACGTCCCCGGCAATTTCTCGCGTCAGCAGGACGGTGAGGGTGACGGAAAGCCGGTGGGCGAGGGAGAGGACATGGTCATGCAGCTGCAAGATGCGCAAAAGCTGCTGGGTGGAGATGGTGGCGAGATGAGGTTGTTCGACGATGCAGACCAGCCTTTGAGCGCGGCAGATGTGGGGAGAAAGACGAGGAGGGAGAGAAAAGCTGCTTTCGGCGAAGATGTGGAGGAGGCAGAGGATGACGACGATGAGGGCGAAGACGATGACGATGATGAGAACGACAACGATGAAGACGAAGACGAACCCGGTCCATCACGCCGACGCTTAGAGGATCTCGACCAGGATGACGACATCGACGCTCGCGATGTTGCCTTTGCGGACAGCGATTCGGAGATGTTCTTGAGCGAGGGAGAAGAGGATCAAGACGATGAGGCTAGTGAGGCTGCCCCATGGAAGCGCGGGCTGGCAGCGCGCGCACACGCTACCATTCAGGCCAACCAGTCGCGACGCAAGACCGACCTCATGAAGCTCATCTACGACTCCGATCTCACAGCACGCGAGGTAGCAGCAGGCAAGACGGAGAGCAACGTCGCGTCATCGTCGAAGATCCAGCTCGCGGCTGATGATGAAGGAGACGACGACTTCTTCCAGCTTGCGCAGCAGGATACTGGAGGGGCTGCTGCAGACGACGTGGATGACGACGACGATGTCGTGCCGGATCAGAGCGCTGGAAGGTGGTCACAAGAGAACCTCGATCAGTGGAGTGATGAACGTGCGCTCGATTCTCTGCGCTACCTCTTCATAACCGGAACTGAAGAGGGCGAAGATGGCGAGCAGCCCAAAGCCGCTGCAGAGAATGGTGATGAGGACGATGAAGACGCAGGCGAGGCGGTAGACCCGGCTGACGCCGAGGAGGAAGAGGACGCCGCAGCCGCTCGCGAGAAGGCTCTCGCTGCCAAAAAGGCCGCACTGAAGGCCAAATTTGACGCGCAGTACGACGACGACGACGGCGAGGCAGGTGGGCAAGACTGGTACGACACCCAAAAAGCCGAGCTGGCCCGCCAGGCCGCAGCGAATCGCGCCGAATTCGAATCGAGCGACGAGGCCACCCGTCAGGCTATCGAGGGACATCGCCCTGGCAGCTACCTCCGTGTCGAGTTCAGTGCCGTCCCCTCTGAGCTCATCGAGCACTTCGACCCTCGCTACCCTCTGCTGGTTGGCGGGCTTCTCCCCTCCGAGGAGACCTTTGGCTTCGTACAAGCCCGAATCAAGCGTCATCGCTGGCATCATAAGATCCTCAAGACAAATGACCCACTCGTCCTCTCCGTCGGCTGGCGTCGCTTCCAATCCATCCCCATCTACTCGCTCGACGATGGTACGCGGAACAGGATGCTCAAGTATACTCCAGAGCACATGCACTGCCTCGCCACCTTCTGGGCTCCGGCTGCCCGCCCTAATACTGGGTTCTGTGCTTTCAACACGCTGCGCTCGACCGTCTCCTCATTCCGCGTCTCGGCGACGGGCACGATTCTCGATGTAGACTCCGGCTCCGGGGCGCATCGCATCGTCAAGAAGCTCAAGCTTACCGGCTTCCCCGCAAAGGTATTCAAGAACACGGCCTTTGTCAAGGAGATGTTCTCGAGCTCGTTGGAGGTGGCCAAGTTCGAGGGAGCGCACATCAAGACTGTCTCTGGTATTCGAGGTCAAGTGAAGAAGGCCCTCGCCAAGCCCGAAGGATGGTATCGTGCCACGTTCGAGGACAAGGTCCTCATGAGCGACATCATCTTCCTTAGAGCGTGGTATAGCGTCCATCCACGACGCTACTACAATGCGGTCACTTCGCTGCTTTCACCAGTGGACCCGACGAGCACTACGGGTGATCGAGCCTGGCAGGGTATGCGTCTTACGGGCAAAGTACGCTACGATGAAGGGATCAAGACGCCTCGGCCCGTTAACTCCATCTACAAGCCCATCGACGAATCCGTCCGTCCTGCCGAACGCAAGTTCAACAAGCTGCACATCCCTCGCAAGCTGCAGGCATCTCTCCCTTACGCCTCAAAGCCGAAACAGCTCAAGGCGCAGTCTCGCCCCACTTACCTCACCCAACGCGCGGTTGTGATGGAGAAGCCAGAGCGCAATGCCATGAGTCTGCTGCAGCAGATGCAGGCGGTGCAAAAGGAGCGAAGCAGGAAGCGCGAGGTCAAGAGGGGAGAGAAGAAGGAGGAGAGGAGGAAGAAGTTGGCTGTGGAAGAGGGGAAGAAGGACCTGAAGAGAAAGGCGGAGAGGAAGGAGCATTTCGCCAAAGAGGGAAGGAAGGAGGCCAAGAGGGCGAAAGGTGGCGCGTGAGTGAGTGCGAGCGGGGCGTTGGGCGGCAAAGCCAGGCCGGCAGGCGGCGGCCTGGCAGGCTGAGCGGCGTGTTGGTTCGCACGGGCCCTGGTTTGGGCCAGCGAGCGGGCTGGGCAGACGAGCTAGCGCGCGGCAGTCTGGAGGTGCAGGTGATGATGCGCCTTGTGTCCCGCCTTCGCCTCCTCTTCTCTCTCTCTACCAATTTCTCACAGCACATTCTCTCATCGCATCATATACACATAGCAGTAGTCGTCTTGAAGTACGCCCGCCATGACGACAACGTCTCAGGCCCCCCTCTCCCTCCCGCCTACCTTCTCCACCAGCTTTTGGCCCTCGTATCCCTCCTTTGCCTCGTACCGAGCAGCCGTTTCGCACCTCTACTCGCTCCTCCAACACGGCATAGACGAGGATACTGCCCTCCTCGCTCTCGTTGATGAGATTGCCAACTCGCACTGGAACTACGTCGATGCTCTCAAGGAGGGCACCGCTGCTCAGGGAAGGATAGCAAACAAGGTCAAAGGCAATAAGCCCATCTTCAAGGGGGCGAGGGCGAATGCACCCTCGTCTTCGCTGGTAGCCGCGCTTCACACTGCTACCATCGATCCATTGGCTGCCAGTCATGTGAGGACGGCAAATGCGTTGACGAGGACCATCCTCGAGCCGTTTGGACAGTGGAGCCAGAGGCACGCTGAGCAGGTGACGCAGAGTTGGAAGACGGTCGAGGAATGGCTGGATGCTTTGGAGGAGGGTCAGGATGAGGTGAGTTCGTGGCGAGCGGGCAAATTTCATGAGAATGCAAAGCTCATCACCGCTCTCTCCCGCTCCCCGACTCGCAGATCGATCGAATCAAGTCTACTTACGAGGCCAAGTGCAGACAAGCAGACGAGGCAGAGGACGATGCCCGATTCTCTGGCCTCGACGTAGCAGCCTTTGACGAGGAGCATGCCGCCTCTCAAGCTCGCGAAGAATCCAGCAGCAGCGCTGTCCTCGATGCGCCATTCACAGAGAAGATATCACTCCCACCACCGCCATCAGAGTCGGCCGACGAGACGGCTGCACCCAGCAGCGACGACCCAGTCAAGCTGGAGCGAAGGCAGACGCTTCGCAAGCAGTTTGGATTCTCGCCGCGCATCTCATCTGGTGGCGCTCGCTCAGATGCGGTCGCATCCCCGGAAGAAGCTACAAGGCCAAGCATCTCCCCATCCTCATCACGAGCAGCTGGCCTTTCAGCCCTCGCACCCGCATTCCAGGGTATCAAGGAGCGCATCGCCTCAGCCGCAGGCGCAGGCGGTATCGGGGAGAGGTACAAGCGCCTGCGTCGAGAAGCAGATCGCCACGAGGCAGAGTATCTGTCCAAGTCTCGCAAGCTGGACACGCTGCGCTGTCGTCTCGAGGACGCTCTCTCAGAGCAGCTTATCCTGGTGCAAAAGTACGAGGTAGAGAGACTCAATGCAGTCAAGACTATGCTCTCTGCCTACTCAGCGGCAATGGGCAGCTTGCATCCCTCTTTGGCTGCTCGCACGCAAACGCTCGTCTCAGCGCATGGCGACCCTGCTGCCCTCGTGGGCCGCCTTGTCGCATCTGCTCGCACTGGGTTCTACCGCCCCCTGGTCGAAGTCTTCGTCCCCTTCTACCACGACGAGCCATCCATGTACGCTTCAGGCTGGGCGGGCTTCGGTACCAACTTGAATGCACGATGGCGCCATGAGCTTCTCTCGAAGAGCAGTGCAGAAGGCAGCGTCGATGCATCTAGCGGCTCAGCAAGCTCGCCAGCTCCCGCGGCCCTTCCCGTCGTCTTCTCCCACCTCATCGCCTCTCTAGAGCGCTCCTACACAGAGACTGACCGCTGGCCCACGACATCCCCTGCGGACGCCGCCCTCGAGAAGCGCAAGACGTGGATCTACGATGTGCCCCTCTCCAAGTCGCACGCCTGTCGCCAAGCAATCATCGACCACGTCCTCGACTCAGCCCATCCAGGCGCCGAGCTAGGCGCAGGCCTCCCTGCCGTGCTGGATCGCTTTGATCCTCCGACAAGGGCGAGCACGTTGAAATTGTGGTTGGCCGAACTGCAGGAGTGCCTGGTCGGCGAGGAAAACTGGCACTTAGTCACGAGCCTGTACAAGGCGGCAGATAGCGTTGAAGAGAAGTGGCGGCAGGAACGTGAAGTCAAGCGCGAAGGGAAGAAGAGCGCCGACGGCGCCAGGAGTGCAGATGCGAGCCCGGCCGCAGCTGGTGGGACGCCCAAGACGGATGCGTCAACATCATCGCCGGTCGAGCTGGACGACGACATTCGCGCAACGATCACACGCGGTGTACTGGACGACGTGAGCGTGGTCCTTTCGAAGCTCAGCACCATCCACCTCGTAGTACTGGACAGTCTCATCTCGCACCTGCGCAGCCTCAAGGCTTCGACGACGGATGCCAACGACGTCGAGTCCGAGCAGATCTACACGAACAAGCTGGCCCTCTCACTCGGTCGATATCTGCTACGCCCAGCAAAAGTGACTACGTCCACGCTTGCCAGCAAAGCGCCTACCCTGCTGCTCATGGATCTAATACAGCATTATGAGCCCCTCGTACCTGCTGCGCTGACTAGGAAGAACAAGAAGGAAGAAGAGGCTGCGGTGCTTAAGCGTAGAACCCCGCTGAGGAAGAGGACGAAGCCTGTTGATCAGAGGATCAGGCGAAGTCAAATGGGTGGTGCAGATCACCCTCCTATGCCCATCGTGACGGCCGGACCGGCATCGACTGCGGCGGCCGGGACGGCAGGGCAATTTGAGCGACTCCAATTGAAGGACGACGTTCCGCCCGTGCCTTCAAAGCTGGACACTATCTTGGCGACCAGGAAGAGCGACGAGGCAAATCTGACTGATGAGCCCGAGGCGGTTACTCCGATTGCGGATCGCGTGCTCGCTTCGTCGGCTTCTACAACGACGGCAACTTCATCGACTCTCGCTCCGCCCGCAAGCGCGGCGGATGAGGACGCTGGTTCAGCTACTGCTTCGTCGAACCCCGGCTCAGACTACGGCACGCCGAAGGAGGAGGTCACGAGGACCCTTTCCCCCGGAACCGTGAGCGAGCAGCCTGCTCCTCTTGCTGCTGCTGCTGCTGCTGCTGCCGCCAAGTCATCGACGTCGAACTCCTCCCGCCCATCCTCTCCGGTCAAGGCAGTCGGAACAGGAGCGGCTGCCGCATCCGACGATGGTATGCCGCTGAGTAATGTCGCCAGGCTGAGCAGACAATTCAATACGAGCAATGGCAGCGCCGGCTCCAACAGTGGGCTTTCTAGGAGTGGGAGCAATACCAGTCAGACCACCGGAGGCACGGTTGTACGAGGTCCGAGGCCGGTCAGCTCGATTGGAGGACCAAGGGCGTTGCCCGGAGGCGCCAAGAAGTGATGACCCATCAGGGGCTGTAGCCTGTCCCCCCCATCCCCCTTCCCTTCTCCATCAACTGCCTTGTATGCCTCCATGTGGGGCGCATTCAATCGTGTCAAGAATACGAAATACCTCTCGCTTTGTCTCTCGTTTGCTTTTGGTGATCACTCGCGTACTCGATAGTTCGGCGAACAACAAGGATGGTATTCCACGACTGACAAAACAAATACAACACGATCTAAGGATAGTCCCGCCTGGACAGCTATACACCTCTCAGAACACCGCCGTCATGTACTGATTAGCCAGGGGCGTCAGCGTCTTGTTCTGCCAGTAGAAGCTCATGTTCCCATTCAGGTATCCATCCCACCCGCTTCCCCTTGCAAACACGGCGCTCAGAGCCCATGCCAGGATAGCGTCGCTGTTGTCGAGGAAATTGCCCACCTTCTGAACAAAGTCGGCAATCTGCTCGTCCGTGCCTCCCCCAGCGCTGGTAAGACCAATCTCGGAGAGGACGATCTTCTTGCCATAGAGCTTGTAGAGGTAGTTGACCCTCTTCTTGACCTCGGCAACTGCAGCGTCCGTATTGTTGTTGAGTCCCAGGTAGATGTGGTAACCCATTGCATCAATGCGGCCACCCAGACCCTGGTAGGCGGACATGAAGGCCGGCAGCCATGTGTACACATCCCATGCCACGGCCGGTGAGATCATATTTGCGCCCTTTGAGCCGTACGGAACGTAGATGGCGTCGTAGTACAATTGGGCGGCGGCTGCGGGTGACATGTTCGCTTGAGAGGTCACATCGGGCTCGTTGAAGCCTGCAATGGCCGCCGGGATCGAGTTGCCAAACTGTGCCGTGACGCTCTGCCAGTAGTCGCTCTTCGTGCTGCCCCAGTAGGTGGGAATGTAGGCATTCTTTGCTGGCATTTGAGTGACAACACCGAGCTCCCAGTGGTGGTACGAGGAGATCTTGGCGCCCGAGCCGATTCCTGAGGCATAGCGGTCGTCGAATCCCCAGGCGAGCATGCGCTTTGCGGCTGGGTTGAAGATGTCGGTCAATGCGGTCGTTGCTTTGGTGGTTTGTGGGACAAAGGTTGAGGTGGTGGAGGTGGTGGAGGTAGAGATCGTGCGCGTTGATGTTGAAGAGGTGGGAGCGGCCGAAGCGGACGAGGTGGTAGATCGGCTTGTTGTCGTGCTCGAGCGAGTGGAAGTCGCGGAGGTGGTCGAGCGCGTCGAGGTAGACGACGAGCGCGTAGAGGTTGACGAAGAGCGAGTCGAGGTCGAGGTCGAAGTGCTCTTCGTTGACGTGCTCGACGCTGTCGTCTTGGTCGACGTGCTCGACGCCGTCTTCTTGGTCGACGTGCTTGATGCGGTCATCTTGCTTGACGTCTTGGACATCGACGTTGGCTGAGAGCTCGTCGTGGTCGACTTTCTGGTGCACATCGAAGCCTTGGAGGACGATGTCGTCTTGGCCGCGCTCGTCGTGGAGGTGACCACGGTAGCGGACCCTGGCCCTAGGATGCGTTGATTGTTGCTCGCCGTGTTGCAGGTGTAGAGTTGAATCTTGAGGCCCGAGGCAAAGCCGGAGCTGACACCCTTGGGCATGTTGAGGCAATAGTCGGACCCGTTCCAGCGGATCACATTACCGTCCCTTGCGAAGAATTGGTTGGTGCTGCCCTTGGAGCACGTCCAGACTTGGACGTCCTTGTTATTGGCCGCTACACCATCAGGCACGTCAAGGCAGAGATTGTTGGTGGTGCGCAGGAGCGTCTTACCCGCCACCGTTCCCGAGATGAATTGCCATGTCTGCGAGGCAGAGGAGGTTGCTGAGCAGGTGTTGAGCTGCACTTGGGCACCATTGCCAGGCGCGGTGCCAACGACTTCGAGACACTTCTGATTGGCCGAGGTCGTGCCCGCGGTGAGTTGTCCAGTCGCGGCCAGCGCGACGGAGGTGTAGGCGAGTGCGAGGACGAGGGCTACGAGGATCCTGCTGATCATGGTGGCGACTGCGACGAGGGCTACGGACTACGACTAACGACGAGGCAAAGCTCCCATCCCCCCTCCCTCTTCGTTGCTCTATTTGAATGCTCGGCGTCCATTCATCTTCGACGGCCGCCTCTTCGTCATCTCACACCCACGCCCAGCACTGCTGCTTTCGAACAGCGCACGGCATCGGGATGCCCAAGAAGTGTTACCAACATCTGGCTTCGAAAAATCATCTGAGGATAGGTCCAAGGTCGAGGTCCAACTGGTGTGGGATATCGACTGAAAGAAGCTAAAGCATCCGTCTGTCAAGCCACAATCAATTGGCCCCGTGCCTGCATGCGGAAGCTGTGCCGTTGTGCCGCTGCCCGGCTGCCGGCTGTTCCGCTTGAGCTCAGCAGCGGCAGCGGGATGGGTAATTCGCGGCATTTGACCGCGGGCCAAGATCTTGGTGTCGCGCCCCTCCTCCCCCTCTCGGGACGATGTAAAGCGACCGGAGCAACCCTCTAGCTCTCTTTTCGACAATCTGGAAGCTTAAGCTCAGAAACATCGCGATCACTAGCTGGCCTGGGCCAGGATGTGTCAGGTGTCAAGAGAGTTGCTTAATGAGTCTCAAAGCCCTTGGTGGCGCCGCGCGACGCGTTGCCACCGGCTCAAAGGCCACGCTGCTCATCAGATCTAGAGACTTGCTGCTGACAGTCTCAATAGAGAGACTTGGAGTTATTCTTGTGCCGAGACCATTAGCACCATGGCACAACTTTGATTTCGAGCGGAATGGGTGGGTCTCCTTCCACGCGCCTTGGCTCGTGCGCTTGTGGATGTCGCCATCCGTCGTCTCAACCGAGGGCGGAGAGGAACCGGTGTCTTCACTCTCGATCATCACGACCAAAGGCCGCGATGCAGCATGTGAGCCATGAACGTTCGCATTGAGGAGACAATCGAGCTCGACGACGGTCAGACACCGAGGCAGGACGAAAGGCAAGAACGTCTCAATCTGGACCGCATCGCCCTCATCTGCCTCGCCGTTCAGCATGCCTCCTCCTCGTGGGGATATCGATGCGCGGAATTTGCGTTTCCACTCTACTTTGTCGCCCTCTTTCCAGCGACACTTCTGCCCGCATCCATCTATGGCCTGCTCTTGCTCCTCGCTAGCCTGTTTCTGTCGCCCCTCCTCGGCTCATGGATCGACGCTACGAAGCACCGACGCCTGACCGTCGTTCGCACGTTGATCGTGGCGCAGAAGACAACAGTCGCAATCAGCTACGCCGGATTCATCTCCCTGCTCATGACCGGATCAGACTCGATTGTCTCTCACACTCGATGGGGCAGCTTCGCAGCGCTCACGGCATGCGGCGCTCTTGTCGTGCTCAGCAACACCGGTCTGACTGTAGCAATTGAGCGTGACTGGGTATCAACGATTGCCGAAGGCCATCCACCGCACCTGACGCGCTTGAATACGATCATTCGACGCATCGACCTACTGAGCAAGCTGTTAGCGCCGCTCTTCGTCTCTCTATTGACATCTACGGCGGGCGATGGCATCTCTGCGGTCGTGCTCCTGGCCACAAATGGGATGACTCTCGTTTTCGAGCTCATTTGGATCGGTGTCGTGTATCAGCGCTTCGCAGAGCGACTAAGCTACCCAGCCCCAGACGCCAATGGCAATCACATGCGCTTTGGTGGTCGCACTCCTCTTGCCTCTTTGCGCCAATGCTGGCCAAGCTTCAAGAACAAAACACGCACCTTCCTCGCCCTCCCTACGCTCCCAACCACAATTGCCCTCGCTCTGCTGTACACGAGCGTGCTCAGCTTCGACAGCACCTTCTTGACGTACCTCAAGCAGCCTCATGCCGCAGCGAGCGGGATCGTGGCCAAGACCAATGGGATTATCATTGCGCATTCCGGCGGCTCCACCATATCGTACACTGACGCCTTCATTTCTGGCATGAGAGGCCTCTGCGTTGTCATGGGGCTAGCTGGCACCTTCATCATGCCATGCCTAGAGCGTCGCATCGGCCTGATCCGCACGGGCTCGTGGTCGCTGGCGCAAGAGACCCTTTCCCTTGTCCCGACTGTAACTTGTCTCTACATCGGCGTTGGCCTTGGATGGAATACAGCGCTACTCTTCACTGGACTCGCCCTGTCCCGCATCGGCTTATGGTCGTACGACCTCACGCAGCTGTCCATCCTTCAAAACTCGCTCTATGGCAATGCAAATGCCAACTTCCACTTTGCCATGCAGCAGAGTCTGATCAATCTCTTCGACTTGAGTCACTTTGTCCTCACACTCGTATGGAGCAAGCCTGACGACTTCAGGAAGCCGGCAACCGTATCGCTCGGGCTGCTGGGAGCTGCTTGGTTTGTCTACATTCTTGGATATGCACGCAAGCAGCGCGGTCATCTACTGCACCTCGAGGGGTGGCAGAGATTACTGCCGGGAAAGGAGAGACGCACGCGCGAGGGCAGGTAGCTCGATCACATTCAAGAACGGTCGCAATGATAGAGATTGATCTCTGCCGCTCCTCATGGGCAGAAGACGACAGTGTAGTCGGGCGCAGTGCCCTCGCGCCTGCAAGTCTTGAGACACCCGGAGCCCTCGTCGTAGGCATATGCATAAGCATCGGGGCAATTCCTCTTGAAGACCTCGTAGCTCGGGTTGCCCTTGGGCGAGCAAGTGTCCGGCGTACTATGTGCGCCCGTGCAGCAGAACTCGTGACTGCTCGTGGCGAGGCACGATGATTTGCACGCAACGACGACCCCGTTGGAGCCTTGAATGTCTAGATCGGCGGGGCAATCAGCGTTGATGTCCTTGCTACAGACAGGAGCAGGGCAGCCGACCGCCGAAGGCTGGATAGCTAAGGGAAGATTGAAACCATCAACAAGGCTGAGGTCGTAGTTGTCTTGTCCACCCGGGACGAGCGTGAATTCGGCCAAAGTGACGGGCTCCAGTCCAGGCTGGGTGCATGCCAAGCCACCAATGCACGACCCGGTGTTGCATGCTTCCAGGGCCGGCTTGGAGAAGTCACACCCTGTGCGTCCCCAGATACGGCCGGCGGACCAGTTGTCTGGCACTGGAAAGCTCTTGCTGACGCCGGCAGGGAGCTCATAGCCGCCCTGCCCGCCAAGGTCCATGGCTTTGGCTTCGCCGCCAGAGAAGATACCTGGCGCGATAGTGAGGCATGCACGTAGGCGAGTCAGCAAAAGACAAGCAGGTCGATGAAGCGATGCTCACCCGGCCAGACGGTGAAGTTGCACTTGTTTTTGGTCGTGATGACCGTGCCGTTGGCTTGTGAGACGGCGAAGCTGGCCGTGACAACGGCGACGAAGAGGCTGAGTCGGAGCATCGCAGTGTCAAAATGGATGGTCTGGAGGAGATGGATCTCACAATGCCTGCCTCCAAAGGCGGCATTTATCTTGGCCGCACTCGACCATCACACTTCCTTGCCATCGCGGTGAAGTCCCGCTGAGCTGTTCAGTTTTGCAGACTCGCCGTTGTATTTGCTGCGCGGATTGTTACACGCGTCCGTCAAGCTGGAGGATCTCACTCGCCGAAGAGACCGCCAAAGCATTGGCTCCGGTGCTCGGTATTCCTCAAAATATCACGGTCGTCAGGAAGTGAGCAGTTTGGCTTTTGAAAAGTCAGCTTGCTTGCGTTCACGGTGGGCAAATCTCATGGCGACATCGCCGCGACGGTCGGGCCCAGTTCAAGCAGTTCCATGGTTGGACAGGGTGACGACGAGATTCACTAAACGCTCGCGACCATCATGAGAAGCCGCGAAGGCGAAGACGCCGACCAAAGCCGGCCGGAGATGGGCTGTCACGGCGCCACAATTTCGCCGGTGAGCAGGTATTATGGCAGCTCTTTACGCATTACGATGACAGCTCGGCAGGAGCCAAAAGGACGGCGACGACGACGACGATTGCTATTCCGTAAACGATGTACACTACAGTACTTGGAGAGATTGGGGTGGTGCGTGACTCCAGATGCTAAAATGAGGGTCAAAGAGAAAAGTAATCGAGCCTTGCGCCGCTCACTGCGACCAGAACGAAACGGCATTGAGATCGAAGTACGCCTCCCTGAAGGCGCCGGGATTGTTGGCAACGTAATCGACGCAACTTCCATACTTCGAGCATCCGTCCTGCTGCCAGAAGGCGTCAACGAAGCCTCCGCAGAAGTCGATGTTCATCGTGATCCAGTGAGCATCAAAGTACTGGCCGACATCGCACGAGGTAGACGGGAAGCTGGCGTGAGGCGTACCCCACGACGCTGGATCGATGTGGGCGTTGGGAGAGCGAGGATCAAAGGGTGCACTGTTGCCTTGCCAGAACCAGACGTAGATGCCGCCGGACTCGCGCTGCATAGCGTAGGTGCCTCCGCCATTGTTGTTGAGCGGCTCGCCGAATGAGTTGGGGTCGCTGAACAAGTTGACACCACAGCCCGCGTTGCCGTTTGCGCCGTTGAGGACATTGCAGTCATTGAGGGTGGCGGTGCCAGTCATAGAACGACCCTCCGGCATCGTGCAGCCAGGCGAGGTGTGCAACGTGCTGGAGTCAGGGCGGCCAACGCCATTGACTTGCTCCATGACGTCGATCTCGCCACCGTGGGGCCAATTGCCGCCGGCCGTCGTGGTCCAGAGCGCCGGCCAGGTGCCGCAGCCCGATGGGCCATGAGAAACGTCGAAAATGTAGATACCGTTGCCGTAGGTGCCCTTTGACTGGAGGCGTACCGACTTGCGTGTGCCCGTCTGACTCGAGTCGGCGCCGAACTGTGAGTGCAAGGCGGAAAGGTCAGCATCGCGGCGAGGGACGAATCGACAGCGCGTTCAGACCCACTCGGAAGCCACCGTTGCGACCAGCGCCATACAAGCCGAGGTTGGCAGCCGTCTGTTGGTTGACGTACTGGACGGTGCCGCCAGATGGGTCAGGGGAGTCATCAAAGTCGAAGGCCTCGAGAAAGTCGCTGCATGAGAACGAGGGATGCCAAGGATGAGCGGGGCCATTACGGCAGCTTAGCCACTGGCGCTTCTCACTTTGTCGTCCTCCAAAACTTGCGGTTAGTATAGGCGCCACGGACCGCAGTGAGGGAAAGCAAGGCAACACCGAAAGGGAGGATCATGGTGGACAAGAGGGGAGTGAAGAGCACGGTGACGAGAGCGAATGAAGAAACTGATGGTGTAAAGTAGTGAAGCCGCTGTGTTCATCGCCCTTTTAAAGCATCCGCACACCCCTCAGCAGTGAGGACCTACCCATTCCGCTCGAGGTGGTCCCTCACTCCGACAGTATCTCTCCCGCTCGAGCTTGCTTGCAAGGTGAGGTCGTCGCCCCAACGTGCTCATCGCTCAGTCAGGCCACCCCTTGAGCCAGGGTGTGGCCCTCGGCCTACTCGATGATCCTCTCAGTCCCAAATTTTGCCTCGCGTTGCCCTTTGCTTCACGCTAATCGCACCTGGCTTTGTTCAAATTCAGAGCTTCCACCTCCTGAGCGCGACACTCTACCGACCCAGAAGAAATCGTTGATTAGCGGAGGAGCGGACCTACACGCCTCCCATCGCAAGCGAGGATTAAAAAGGAGCCACCAACACCCGCGGCGACAGCGCCGTTAGCGGAGAGTGAAAAGCGGGCGTAGGGTTGGGTGAAGCCTTGTTCAATGAAGGCTTCACGCATGCCGCGATGAGCGAACGGTGACCAGATGAGGGCCCGCCTGTGCCTCTTGCCTGCGCCCATCGACCTCTCGGGACCTCGCGTTGACCTCGAATATCGGACGCGCACATTCATTGACGCGCACGAATGCTTGCTTCATTGTGTCTTTGCATGAGCAACGCGAGGTGCGAGGTTAGCTCGACTGAAAGAAGGTTTGAAGGGCCGGCCGGCAACCTCGCGGCGGCGCTGTGCATTCGGGACGTCCGAGAGGTTCCTGCGTCTTGTGCATTACAATTATTGGCGTGCGTCGCAAGGACACGAGACTATCAGAAGCGGAAGGAGGTCCCTCTTCGGAACAACACCGCATCACCGCGGGGAAAGGCTCGTGGTACCGGCTAGCTGACAGGGGGGCCCGTGGGAAGGAGGACAATGCACGGTCAGCTAGCGTCAGAATCTTTGCAATACTACTCTGAGCGTATGTGGTCACGAATGCCCTTAAAGCACGGTCATGGGAAGCTTTCATGGACCTGCGGCGCCCCTCTTTGCATTGCAATGCGGGTACTACCCAGGTATACGGCGATTCTCGCCGATTCTTCGGACAGGCGGTCACGTTGCTGGCCGACTGGTCGTTCACCGATGCCATTTTTCGGGCACAGATCTTTCTCATCGGCAGCTCTAGCCTGGGATTGATGAGCTGCAGATCGAAGTGGGGACGCCGTCGAGGCTTGTATTCACATGAGCTTGTTGCGGGTCGAAGCAGGGCGCAGAAGCAGGAATGCGACACGGCGTGCAGGACCTTGTCCGAGAGACTGATGAGGCCGACTAGCCTGCACTATTAGCGAAGGGAAAGACGTCCTGCACTCTCTGCGATTTTGGCAGTGGAAGGAGAGAAGCTTCATGCGCTCACCCTGGCCAACCCCGTGCGAGGGTTGGGTCACGAGATCAATGTATTGCTCAGCTTGGTAGTAGATGACAATGCTAGGTGAAAGAGGACTTGGCCACTCGTAGGCGAGGTACACTGTGGAAGTGGCGCTCTTTGCAAATCTAATGTCGCGCTTGCCCCGCTCTCTTGATCTGCTACAGCTTGACATCCACCACCTTCATGAGCTCGTCACGGTGACAACCTTGGGAATGGCGGACAGCATTGATGAGAAGGGCGACGAACCACGCTGGTACGCCCATCGCAGCAGGACGGAAGTCCCTCCACGAATTAATGGACCCGCGATTCTCTCGAGAGACGAGGGCGTAGCGGAGCGTCTCGAAGTAGCCGTTTGAGCCCTTCGCCGCGCAGAGAATGAGATCTTGAGGCGAGGCCAGATTGGCTGAGATGTTGAGTACAACCGGGATGGTCTTATTGACGGGCCGAGGCGGCCTCCCGCCAACTTCGAGAATGCGTGACTCTGTAGTCGAGCCGTAAGGCAGAAAGAGCTCGCTCATGCCATTAGCTGTTGCTCTCAGAGGGAAGCGTGAGTCACCCTCGCGCAGTCGAACGGCGATGCCGCTAAGGTAGCGCGCTGATGCACTTTCAGCTGGCGCAGGAGCTGCGTGTAGCAAACTCTCGCTCGTGTCCACAGTGATCATGTCGGCAAGTGCCGCGAAGAGGCTGGGCCACTGACTGTGGGCGACGTACGCTCCAGAGGGCTCGTATCGGTATCGGTGAAGCGTTCCGTCGAGGCGACATTGTTCGATCGAGACTTCGTACTTGTTAAGGATGTAGCTCGACGCTGGGGTGGTCCCTGTGGGCTGGCAGACCGTTCCGCCATTGCGAGTCAGCTTGAGAGAGGTCCATTTGGCGTGACCCGTGCTGTTGGGCACCGGCGAAGGCGTGATGTTCGTTTGACTGAGGGTGAAGGAAAGATTACAGGGCGGGGTCTCGATGATCTTGCCGCCGATCGTCATTGTAATATATCCATTGATGACATCGCAGGACAGGCCGATTGCATTGGGCCCCAGTAGCAGGTCTTTGATCTTGCGGCGTCGAGACTGCGTGTAGGATGAGCGCTCGCTGGTGCTGCCAGGTCCATGAACGCTGCTACTGATATTGTACGCTAATGCTGATGCCCGGCCACGACTGCGGCAATTGAGGGGATGACGATCTGTGTTGAAAGGCCGATCCCGATGGGGTACTGGAAGTTCGAAGTCGCTGACCTCTACTAGTTCGAGGCGGTCCTTCAGCACTGGGGAGCAACCGCCGAACGAAGCTGACGTGCAGCAGGAGCAGCCACGAGCGTGGTGAGCAGCAGCATACATCGAGGGGAGGAGGGTGGGGGTGAGAAGCAATCAACCAGCCAGGTACTCACAGGTAGAGGTCGAGGGACGCTTGCGCTTCTGACCCGTAGGCATCCTGCCAAGCCCTGCTGCCGGGTAAGATGCGAAATTTGTCGGTAGTGCGAGACAATGGCGACGAGTGGTGGTTCGGGTGAGGAAGGAAGATGAGATGGCCGCCGCGGCAAGCGACTGGACAACCTGCCGTGTCCTACGAGGGCGGAAGTGGCGGCACGGCCGACGCGTTCCGGGCTGGCCGGCTTCAGCCTCAGGCCTGCGCGGCATCACCACGACCAGCTCGGGTGCCGACAAAGCTGCAAGGCCTACGCATGGATAGGGCATGTATTGAGCAGGACGTCGTAAAGTAGATGTTTTCCCGGTGCCCCCTTTGGCTCTTCACGCCCGTCATACCAGCTTCGCCCCCTGAGCCTCCAGGTATCGCCATGCCTCCTTCTGTCTTGCGCTTGCTGTCTGCCCATCTTGCCCTGCCCCGCCCTTCACAACACTCCTCACCAATTCCAGCATCAGCACGACGCACTCCCTTCTCGTCTGAAGCGCCAGTCTGAGGCAGCGTACAGCAGCCGGACGCCTCAGCCTCTTGCGGCCAGTAAAAGACTGCCCGCCCGTGCTGGCCAGCGCGGCTGATGCGGAATGGCCATGATCGCCATTGTTACTGGCGAGAAGGTCCGCCGCGTCTGCTGGGCCGCGACCACCTTTGCTGCTAGATCCGCCCTTGCCCTTACGATGAGGATTGAAAGCCCTGGTGATCGTGTACTGCACTGGCTGAGCCTCCTGCACCGCTGCTAGCATAACTGCCAGCTCTGGCTCATGGCCCTTCATTTGGCCTGCGCCACCTGAGCCCTGGATGGCGAAGAGGCGGGAGTAGGCGACAAGCAACTTCATGTGCCGGTAGGCATCGTCGAGTACGAAGCGCTCAGTGAGGACGCGCATTGCGACTGAGAGGGCCGCAGCGAGGATGAGGCCGGGTGGGGTGAAGAGGAAGAGGGAGGAGACAAGAAGGAAGAAGATGGCGTGTAGGACAAAGGCGACGGGGAAGCCGCTGTGTGAATGAGAAGGAAGGCAAGTATCAATGTCAGCGCGCAGGCAGCAAGGCAGGCCCGCACCGTGGGTCTCGCAACTCACGTCAGTGTCTTGACGCTCGCCATGCTCTCCTCCTCGTGTCTTGCGTAGTTCGAGCTCATGTACCACCCGCAAAAGTAGGCCGGTGAATAAAAGGCCAACAGAGGACCATAGAGGGGTGCCTTGACGATGCAGAGGGCGGCATTGTAGGCGAGGTTGCCAACGATGCGAGGCAGCGAGGGGACGGCGTAGTTGGTCCTCGTGACCGAGGGTGCAATGGCGTTCAGCGTCGGAATATCAGTTCGAGAGGCGAGCTGGAGCATCTGCAGGCGCACGAGTGCGTCTTGGGCCAGGACCGACTGGCGCAGAGGCAGAGCTCGGTCGTCGTCGATGAAGAGGGTAATGAGAGCGTTGCTGATGGGCACAAGGAGCTTCACGTCAAGATTGTCGCCGAAGAGGAGGTCTCGCGCCATCTTCATAGCATGCCAAACCCGCCAATCGGGCGCATTGATGGTGATCGTCGTGAGCTCGTTGGAGATACGATCGGTGAGCTTCTGTACAGCGCCCTTTGCTCCTCGGTCGCCACGCCTGGTGACGCCGTGCGCCGACGAGCCGATGCTCTTCAAAGCATCGCGCACGGCTGCCTCTTGTCCATCTGTCAAGCTGGCTGCTGAGGTGACCGACGCAGCAGAGAGGTAGCCGCCTTCATTGTCACTGCCACCCTGCCCAGGCCCAGGAGTAGGAGGAGCAGAGAGGTACATGCTAGGATCGGCGCCGAGTTTCGTTGCGTCCTGCGCTGTCGGCCCATCCGTCGACGTGGAGGAGGCGGAGAGGAACTCTTGAGTGTACTCGTCGACCGAAAATGCCTCGCCGATGTGGAAAACAGCCTTGCTGCGGAATCGCGACTTTTCGGTGTAGTTGATCGAGGCTGGGACGATGCGGACGTCCGTCTTGATGTCGGCCTTGATGTTGCCCTCGTCATCCAGGGCGAGGAACTTTGCGTACTCGAGAGCAGCCCAAGCCGCGCCTGCTTTGACCGTGTGCAGCTTTGGCTCCGTATACGATCCGCCTGCGACCGCGATGATGATGATGACATTGAGGACGACGGGTCAGCTCCCGAGACGGAATGCTTGTCGACTCGCAACGACTCACCCTCTGGGAAGAGACCGATGGCCTCTCCAGCTTGCATAGCATCGAACGTCCCCTTGAAGAGATCCTGGTTGCTCTTGTTCTGCCTGTCGACCTGAATGTTTCCCGAGTCGTTCAAGATCCAGGCAAAGAGCTTGCCTCTATAAAGCCCCTTCTTTGCCCAGTAATGAATGGGTCTATTGTGCGGCAAGTGCGCTGAGATAATGGCCACATCCATGATGGTACTGAAGTGGGTGCAGACGAGGAGAAAGGGCCCGTCCTTTGGTATCGAGCTACCACCAATAACTTCTACGGATGAGAAGAAGTGGGAAGAGCATCGCCTCCCAATCCAGCGCATCACAGAGTACCAAGGGCCAAAGCCTCGCCCGCGCGAGACAGTGATGGCTTTGCTATCCCAGGAGTCGTCGGCCATGCTGTCAATGCGTGGGAGCGTAGCTTTGGATTGAAAGGGTATCAAGGGTAAGGATGATGGAATGGATGGGGGCAATAATGGAAGAAGGGTGCATGCAGCCCGGTGCGGAACGTTGAGCACAAGGCTCTCTCGCGCCCTCGTCTCTGGCTTCATCTGCGGGCCTCCACGCTCGTCTCAACACTTCACCCGCCGCGGCATGACGTCCGCCGCGGTGAAAGCCGACATCGCCCCTCTGTTTTTGGTCTCCTCGCTCGCTGCTCGCTCTTTCCCTCACACGCAGCACGCCGTGAAACTGCAAACAAACATAGTATAGTCAAGTGTTCGTGTCGAGTTGATGTGCATGGGTACTGATCGATCGCTAAGCTACGCAAAAACGGTAAGAGGCTGAATAACATCGAGCGGGAAAAGGAAGTTGCGCAGACGATCCTCCGTCTCAAGAAAGCGCGTGGGGAAGATGACGAGGTTACCCACCGTCTCGTCAAGGAGGGCCTCCATCTGCTGAAGTTCACGTTCAGAGAAGCCGCCGTCATTTGCTGGCTCTCCAGGTGAAGGCGCAGAGGCGGCCGGGTTATGGCTGTGGTCCTTGCTGGTCGTCTTCTTGTGGCTGCCGCTCTTGTCGCCCTTCTCGCTGCCCTCTTCATGGGCACTAGCGCTCCCCCCACCGCTAGCGGTCCCACCGCCCATCTGAGCTCTAGCCTCGGGCGGGATGTCCTGCCTAGCCTGTTGGTCTTCCTTCTTCGAGAAATGCCCGCTCTTGGCCAGACGGTCACCCCAAGCTTGGAAAGCCTTATACTCGCTCCAAGTCGTGACCGTATCGTCCGGCACGCAGCGGAAGACTTTGCGATAGATCTGCGTGTTGTGGATCGCGGCAGCCAGCCACATGTCCTTGTAGAATGAGTCGGATACAGGGTCCTCGAAGCGGTCCTCGTCGATTGTCGGGACACCGAGGGGCGGCGCCCATGGGTTCGCAGACATGTGAGCTTCGATGCGACGCCTGGCGTCGTCGCGGTTGAGGATAGGGGCGCTCGCCGACTCGTCCATACGGTGACGACGGTCCGCAGGTGGGCGATGTTTAGTAGGCGGATCTTCTGGATTCTCACTCTTGGCTCGCTCATGGCGATTCGTGTGCGCCTCAGCCAGGTGCCGCTCCTCGACCGTCGTCGAAAGCTGATGGTCATCCTCGCGTTCTTCGCGTGCTTCGAGCTCTTCGTGCTTCTTTTGCTCACTGGCGTGACCCACGGTCTCGCCATCATCATCGTCTGTCTTGACGCCAGCGCCTGCAGAGAGCTCAGGTCGCTGGGCCAGGCCCTCACCTTTGTCGGCATCTCGTAGCAAGTCGTCAATCTTGCGTGAGCGCTCCGCGTCATTAGCATGGACGTCGTTGCCCGTCTGCTTCATCTCATTCTGACCCTCCCCAGTCCCCTTTCCTGACATGTAGTCCATCGCCTCTGCCTTTGCACCCTTGGCAGCATCGGTGATGGTCATGCCAGCCTGCGTGCTGAGGTTTTGAGCACGATGTCGGCCAGACACCTTGGTAATTTTGGCCGTCCTATCATCGCTGCCCCTTTGCTGCTCTCTGTCCGGGTCCCACATGTCGTCCTCATCTGTCCTGTCTTGCTTTCGCACCTCTTGCGCATCATTGGCCGCCTCGCGCTGCTCGATAGCGTCCACGTCGACACCCAAATGCTCTCGCATCAGCCTGATACGCATCGTGTGCGCAAAGCGGCCGACCTTGTATGGCTTGCCAGCCATCGTCGAGTCGAGCATGTCTGTGTCGCGGATAATGCAGGCCAGCTCTGAGTCGCGGTCACCTCGCTGAGAGCGCTCGTTGATGTTGGCTGAGCCAATGATGGCGATGCGGTCGTCGAAGACGGCGCACTTGCCGTGGATGTAGACTTGCTCTGTTGTGAGTTGGCCTCCCTTGAGCTTGCCCCAATTGCGCAGCGAGAAGAAGGAGATGTAGTCATCGGCGTCGATGCCCTCTCGCCTCAGCTTGCCGTAGATGGAGTGTTCACCTCGACAGATGGAGCGGAATTGACAGTCGCAGATGATGCGCACCGATGAAGCATCTGGCTCCGAGATGGGCATCGGGAAGCCCGGGATTAAGGGGATGACGACGACCGCTCGCCACTTCGTCCCCTCGCGATGAGCGCGAATGATTCTCGACACCAAAGCGTTACCAATGTTGTTCTCAATCATCGTCCCCTCGACTTGCGTGCTTGTCACAAAGAACTGATTTTCAATGTAGACAAAGTGCTCGCTCATCTGGATGCACTTGAGGTACGCGTTTTGAATGGAATGCTCGACCGTCTTGTTCGTTCCCAAGCTCCAGGGCCCAGCGCTACGGCAGATCTGCACCTCGCATGTCCCCGTAAGTTGAAACTTGTCGAGCTCCTGTGGAGTGAAGTCCGGAGCAGGGACCAGGAAGGGGAATTTACGCTTGTGATTCTTGTTGCGCAGCAGGAAGTTCCAGCGTTGCGTGAAGTGGCGACATAGGTCACGTGCTGGTTGGCCAATGAGCTGGAGACCTGTGTCGTGCCAGGGCATGCGAGGGAAGCGGGTGCGGTCAAAGAGATCTTGGGCCGGCTTGGTGAGGTCACTCCATTCGGCGACACGCTCATTGGCGTAGTCTTGTCCAGGCCAAATGTGTGCTTCACGGCCGTCCTCGGTAGCGGGGCCTAGCAGATGCTCTGACTTGACACCCGCATCATCATTGTAATCCGCGTCAACGTCATCGACGAGGACGTGTGCGGGCGTGTCGTATCGCCCAAAGCACAAGTCGAAGCCACCCATGAAAGCGATTGTCTCGTCGATGGCACACATCTTCTCGTGATGAGCCCAGTAGAATGTCCCCGTTTGGAAGTGACTAGGTGAGCGTTGCACGTAGATGTTCGGGTGGAGAGCTGTGAGCCTCGATTTGCTATAGCCAGAGTCAGTCGGCGTGAAGTTGTTGGACACCTCGTTGTAGAGAATGACAAAGACCTTGACTCCCTCCCTCGCCTTCTTCTGGAGAATGTTGTCCAAGCGCCACTTGGGTTGACCAGGTCGACGCAAATAGAGCTCCGGACTGAGCCACCAGTCGTGGATCATAATACGGTCCTTCGCCAGGAGCAGCGCTCGTGAAACCTCCCAGTAATAGTCTCGTCCATCGATGAGCCACTGAGCATTGACGTTGAGTCGGATCGGTGCGAACGAGCCAAAGCGGTTTGACCTCGAAAAGGGGCTGTGGAGGGCCACGCGCTCGATGGAGGCGACGAATTGTTCGAGAATGCGGTACGACTTGGCGCTGAGCTTGAGCTTGCGCTCTGCATTCATTATGTAGAAAGTGTGAGACGAGACGTCCGTGTTGGCGCCGTTGCGCTGCGAGACGCTTTGCTCGCTCCATTGCCCTTCCGTGAGGAGAGCCGTCTTGTTGCTGTCCACGCCTTGTTCGCCCTTCTTGCCGTCATCGTCGCTGCCCGTCTTGGTATCCTCGCTCGACTTGCCCTTCTCACTATCATCGCCGCGTCCCCCAACGGCAAGCGATGCCGCCTGCTTGTATATACGCTTGGGGCGCTCGATGCGGAATTCGCCATCGATGAGGAAGACGTCGTGGATCTCGTGCGTCTCCGGCCCGGGACAGATGGCAATATAGCTTTCTCGTACGATGAACCACTTGGGCTCTTGCGCGTGGATCCAGTGCATCGGCGAAAGAAGACTGCTCTGTTCCTTCTTCCTGCCTCCCTTTGAGAGGACGCGTAGGAAGCCCTGCTTTCCAGAGAACCCACCTCGAGTAGCTAGGGAGATGCCGAGTGCGCTTAACTCAAAGAATTTGCAGAGACGATTGGCCTCAGGACGGAACATGACCCGCTTGACTAGCTCGATGATGTAGTCCTCGAGGGCATCGCGCTGGAACTTGGCAAACATACGGCGACCTTCCTCGCCACGCATCCTTCCCTGTGATTGGAGCTGGCGGAGGTACGGAAGTGAGGTCTTGGGGAAGCGCGGCAAGCCGACATCGCCATCTGCCGTCCCGCTGTCACCTCCAACGGCCTTGCCGACGTAGCCTCGGAGAGCAGCGGCACGGTAGTGGGTGTGCAATGTGAGAAAGTCGCCCAAAGAGCGGTAGATGACCCACTTGAGGACGTCATCCGCGTAGCTGAGCTCGATGCGGAAAATGGCCTGCGAGTTGTGCAGAGGATTGACCGAGTCGGTGACCTTGAGTCGCAGATGGTTGAGCAGGACGGGTACACGGCGATGACCGCCCTCGTCTCTCTCCAGAGCCATCTTGAGTAGGATGACGGGCAGCACACCCGACTGCAGCTCGGCCGTCATGTCGAGACCACCAGTGACTCGTCTGCGTTGGTCCTGCCTTGACTTCTCGGCCCGGCGTTTAGCGACGGCGCCTGTAGCTTGCACTCTCTGTTTCAGAATAGCCCACTTATCATCTTTCGAAAGGCTTGCAGAGCCGTTGAGCTCCTTGCCTTCGCCATCCCGGCCAAGCATGACGCCAGAGATCTTCTTCATCTTGTCGTCGCCGCCCGATGAGGACTGAGGGGCAACGCCGTCGCCGGCTTTGCTATCGTTCGCCTTATCGTTCTGATTGCCGCCCTCTTCCTCGCCTTGTGCTTGATCTTCTTCCTGCTCGCTCGCGCCTGCTCCAAACGCTCCTCGCAGGCCGCGACGAGCATGCTCTTCGTCGTCGTCGTTGGACGCTGCAGTACGCGGAGCTTTGCTGAAGAAGATGTCTCGAAATCGTGATGAGCCAGCTGTGGTAGTGCGGTCTGCTTGGGGGCGTGTGGCCGTTGTGTCGTGTGAATCATCATTGCCCTCTCCCTCGTCGACCTGACTACCGTCTTCCTCCTTGCGAGCCCGCCTGCGCTCCTCCTTGTGCGCCTGTTTGCGCTTCTGTTTCATCTCTTTGATCTTCTGTCGCTGAGCGTCATCTGGCCTGCTAGCCCACATCGGACCGCGATGCGCTGGATGCTCCTCATGTTGTGGCTGCTCGGGGTATGCCTCTGGGTGCTTGCCTCGATACTCTGCATCGTTGCGCTCAGACTGGACAGCCTCATCGACTGGGTTTGCAGATGAGAGTGTAACGTCTTGATTCTCCTGGCAGTCGACAGACTTTGGATCCACCTTCCGATGCTCTTCGTCGTCTTCATCGTCGCGATGGCCTTGAGGCTGAGGGCGATGGTGGAGAGCTCGTGCTAGAGCATCGTCCTTGCGACCTGCAGCAGCGACATTGCTCTTCTGTCCTCCATTGATTGGCTTGCCCTTCTCCTCTTCGCCGCGAGAGTCGTTGCCTACGCTGTCGTGGTAGTATGCATCGTTGGCGGCATTGGCGGGGTCGTTGGCATGGTTTCCCAGGCCAGGTAGCAGCGAACCAAACCATGTCTTGCCTGACGTCCCAGCGGGATTGCCATCTTCGTCTTTGGCTTCGTCAATCTTTGGCTTGTCATCGTCACTGTCGTGGTCGTCGTCGTCGCCGTCTTGAGGAGCCTGGGCACCGCCGTCACCTCCTTTTGGGTCTTCGTTGCCTGAGAGGCCTAGCGCCCATGCTGCAGCGTCCGACACCTGGTGAAGGGCGTCAGGAAGACTCGAGCCAGCAGCCGTCATTGCGGCGAGGCTGTGGAGCTACACACGAGTTCGTCCAGCGTGATGGCGAGATAAGACGAGACTGGCTGATGGCGTGCCGATGAGTTCTGTTTCCGAGGAGAAAAATGTGGAGATCGTGATCAGGTCAAGTCAAGAAGAAAGAAAGCTTGCTTGCTTGCCTCCTCGATGACGCTTGCCGGCGGTCGATTTTGCCCGCCCACAGCCCTATGTCTGTCGTCCGCCTCCGCTTCGTCCTCGTCGATCTCGAGGTCAACTCGCGCCCTCGGCACACGGCTGCCTGCTGCTCCTGCTGCCGGGCGCCGCTTCGCATCTCGTCGACGGGAAAAGTGACGTCGTGTCGGAGCCAGAACGGGGTCTTCTCCCCCGCACGGGGCACGCAGATTTCAGAAAGAGCAACCAGGGGCTAGCAAAGAAAGGGAGCAGATGCTCTCTCATATCATTCGGCCTCGTAGCAAGACACCGGCAAACTCGTCAATGCCTATCGCAGTGTCGTCGACACCGCTTGCATCGCCATTACCCTGCTTTTTCTTCTTCTTCAATCTTCGAGCTGCCTGAACTGATTCACGAGTAGCGTACTTGGACGAGGCGGGGGCGAAGGAAGAGCGAGCAAGTCCTAGCATCTCCTCGACCTGTGTGCAAATGCGTGGTAATGGTCAGCAGCTGCAGTTTCTCGCCGATTAACCCCATTGCTTTCTCCCCCATACTCACATCCTTGTCGTTGAGCTTCTCCCCGACGCTGATGGCTAGACGATGCAGCTCTTTCTTTCCGATGCTCTGTCCATCCCAATCAGGGTATATCTCCTCTAATTTGTCTGCAAGCAGCTGCCAAGCACCTTGAGCGATGTCTCTTTGCTCTTGTGTAATGGCCGTTTCTGCAAGGGCACTCTTACTGTCATCTCTGCCCTCCTCGTCCTCACTATCAGCTGCACGCTTTCGTCTACGCCGTGAGCTACTCGCTTTGGTTGCCGGCGCCTCTTCCTCTTCGTCATCATCGTCGTCTCCCTCATCCTCATCTTCACTGCCGTGATAGGCATCCTCTGAGTCGCTGCTGATACTTTCTGCCTCCATCTGGTCTTGTACAGCTCTACGCTGCTTTGCGGCTGCTAGTCTGCTTGGCCTGCCTGTGGGGCGGCGTCTTCTGCGGTCGTCTGCTCGCTCTTCCTCCTCGTCCTCCCCGCCCTTTGTGTCTTCCAGTAACACTTCGCAGACTCGCAAGAAGTCCTCTCGACTGATGACCTTGGTCAGAGGCTCTCCCCCGGGCCTTCTCCTTGGCGCACTGGGATCATTGATGGCTGCTGATCGAAAGACGGACAGTATCCCGTCATCATCGGTAGGCAGTGAGAGGATGGAGAGGGCATGTGGAACCTCTGCGAGTGGTAGGAAGCCTGGCACCGGCCCGTTCTCATCATCGTCTTGATCGTCTTCTCCCTCATCGCTGCTATCCGGAAGGAAACCGCCGGCGTCTGCACCGGTCGCTGCATTGCTGCCTCGGCCACCGCCGGTCGTCTTTCTACGCTTCAATGGGGGTGGCAGTGTCGAAGGATCATCGCCTTGCTCAATGCGATGAGATCGGTATGCCTCTGTGAAGGCATCATCGGCGTCGTTGGCGTCGCGTGGCATCGTAGTCTACGATCGTCGTGGTATGGCGTCGATGCGATGCGTCCGCGATGATGATGAAGCAGGCTTAGAAGCGACTGAGCACCGACGTCGCGCTCCGTGTTCTCACTCCGAGCGAGGCGAGGGCAAGGGAGTCTCTCCACCTCGACTTTGGCTCGCTCCGCCCTCGTGAGAGGGGGTGAGGTCCAAGCGCGGCGGGCGGAGAAAGGAAAGGCCAAGCAAAGACGACGGGTGCAGTGCTCAACCTCGGCCCGTCGACTCGACTCGATTAGCCATCATCGCTCAAAGGCTCAACCCCACATCGTCATCGTCGCTTGCATCTGCGCCTGGCCGCCCGACCGCCCTCGCCTCCCGTCTCCCTCGCCTTTCAAAAGTCCGGCCTCGCTGCTGCATCATCATCGCCCCTCGTCCTCCTTACCATCATAGCGACATCGAGCTCGCCCTCCCCAAATTCTACCAACTTCAACCTTTCGCACGCGCACCCAATGGCACCTCCAAAGTCTGCCTCCGTCGAGGTCGGTGATGCTCCTCCCAAGGTGAGTGAGAGGTAGCGGCAGCGTGGAAGGTGACAATTCGCAGGATAGAGCACTCAGCATTGCACCCCATCATCGTGACAGGGAGAGGGCAGGATCAGACGATCGTACAAGGCCCCTGACAATCTCATTGCCAAGTGAGTAGAGCGAGAGGCAGACTTGCATGTAAGCCGAGCGGTCAGCTCACCGCACATCACATTGCCCCTCTCTCCCACAGCCCCGGCAATGGCATCGAGACGATGGTCGACGTCTTCAACTTTGCCCTGAAGAGTAAGTGCGGCGTGAGAGATTGAATTCCAGACCTGATACCTCGACTCACCCACTCTCTTGGTGCTCGCCCGCAGAGTTCACCAACAAGCCCGTCCTCGGATGGCGTGACCTCGTCAAGATGCACGAGGAGGAAAAGGAGGTGACAAAGAAGGTCGATGGCAAGGAGAAGAAGGAGATGAAGAAGTGGCAGTACTTCGAGCTCAGCGACTACAAGGTGGGTGACGAGCATGCCCTTACCGAAGCAAATTCTCGCCTTGCTACTGGCGCTGACACAGCCATACTCCTCACTTTTGTCTTTACACGCTTGCAGTACCTTACCTACGCCGAGCTCGACGAGAAGATTGCCCACGTCTCGAGCGGCTTGTCCAACCTTGGCCTCAGCAAGGAGACCCGCTTCAACATTTACTCTGCTACCAGCCTGAACTGGCAGCTCCTCGCCCATTCGTGCTTCCGTCAGAATATCCCATTCTGCACAGCCTACGAGACGCTTGGTGAGGAGGGCCTCTCTCATTCGCTCAACGAGCCCGAGGTCGTAGGTGTTTTTACCAACGAGAACCTCATCGACACACTCGCCAATGTCCTTCCCGAGACCAAGACGTGAGTTGGAGCCGACGCTTCTCTCTTCCTCTGCTCATACTGATACTGCACCGCTCTTCTACCCGCTCACGCAGTGTGAAGTACGTCATCTACGACGGCAAGCCATCTGACGAGAAGATCAAGAAGCTCGAAAAGGGTCTCGAGGGTCGCGAGGGCACCAAGGTTATCTCACTCCACAACCTCCTCGAGGAGGGCAAGAAGAACAAGGCCGAGGCCCACCCTCCCAAGAGCGAGGATGTAGCCTGCATCATGTACACCTCTGGCTCGACTGGCGCTCCCAAGGGTGTCATCCTCACCCACGCAAACCTCGTTTCATCTGTCGGCGGTGTCGTCGAGCTCCTCGGCGAGCATCTTTTGGCCACTGACACCTTCCTCGCCTACCTTCCCCTGGCCCACATTCTCGAATTTGTCGTCGAGTGCTCCCTCATCTTCGTCGGTGTTACCATGGGCTACGGCTCAGTCAAGACGTTGACAGACCAGTCGGTACGCAACTGCCAGGGTGACCTGGTCGCATTCAAGCCCTCGGTCATGGTCGGTGTGCCCGCGGTCTGGGAGCAGATTCGCAAGGGCATCAATGCCAAGCTCTCGGCAGCTCCCACCATCGCTCGCGGAATGTTCAACGCCGGTCTCACCGTGAAGCGTAATAAGATTCCCGGCCTCTCTGGCTTCTTTGACGCTGTCGTCTTCAAGAAGGTTGCTGCAGCCACGGGTGGTCGCCTGCGCCTCGCCCTCAGCGGAGGTGCTGCCATCTCTCGCGAGACGCAGGAGTTCCTGGATCTGGCCCTTGTTCAACTGCTGCAGGGGTACGGCATGACCGAATCCTCGGCGATGTGTGCCATTGTCACTCCTCAATTCCACAAGGATTACGGAACAGTCGGTGTTCCCGTCCCTTCGATCGAGATCAAGCTCAAGGACGTCCCAGACGCTGGCTACTTCTCTACCAACAACCCGCCACAGGGAGAGGTCCTCATCCGCGGACCTGCGGTCACCAAGGGCTACTTCAAGCGCGAGGAGACGACAAAGGAGACCATCGATGACCAGGGATGGCTCATGACGGGTGACGTTGGGCAGTGGAACAAGGATGGCACGCTGAGCATCATTGACCGTAAGAAGAACTTGGTCAAGCTGGCCGGTGGAGAGTACATTGCCATCGAGAAGATCGAGAGCGCTCTCAAGTCGAGCTCGGTGGTGCAGAACATGGCACTTGTTGCCTCTTCGGACGCTAAGCAACCTATGGCTGTCGTATTCCCTCGTGAGGGTGACCTACAGAAGCTGGCGGGCAACTCGGAAGACCTCTCTACGCTGATCAAGGACAAGCAGCTGGCCAACAAGGTCAAGGACGAGCTCGTTTCGGTCGGCAAGAAGAATGGCCACAAGGGAATGGAGCTGGTGCAGTGCGTCCTCCTTGTCGGCGAAGAGCTGCCCATGACTGCCGCACAGAAGCTGCAGCGCAAGCAAGTCGAGGACAAGTACAAGGACTCGATCAAGGAGATCTACCCATGAGAGGCCTCGAAAGACGAAGGCAGCTGGTATACCCCCCTGTTTCAGCTGCCCTGTTCTGCTCGTAGCTGTGACCCTTGCGCATCATCTGTCGACATTGTCTATGTCTATGTCCTTGTCTCTGGTTGATCAGCCGATGTCTACACCACTTTTTCTCTAGCGATTCCTTTCTGACTCTCGTGAGCTGGGAAATGAGAAACACCATTGCCATCGAAACCTCGTGCGCAGGGGTGGGTGATTTGAGTGTCGGTGGCCCGTGCGATGCTGCGTCGTTGTTCAAGTCGAGGTCGGGCAGGGCTCAAGTGGAGCCGCCTCGCCCGACCAGTCTCGAAGGGCAGGACACCCGCTCTTTTCTCTCCTCCCCTCTCTCGTATCCCACTTGGGTCTAATCTCAAGCATGGTCATCCGCCGCGCTACTCATGCCGGCTCGTGGTACACGTCCGACCCAGTCCAGCTCAATGAGGACCTCACGCGCTGGCTGGCAGCCGTCGATGGGAGCCAATTCCCTCCTTCTGCGCACGTCGCTGATGAGGGCGAGGTCAAGCCTGATCCCGTCCAACTGCCCGTCAAGGACGCCAGGGCTCTCATCGGACCGTGAGCCGTATGGTCGCAGCATTCCGGATTCGCTCCACCTATTGACGCCCATCCCCTTTCTACCCTTAGTCACGCAGGCTACTCTTACTCTGGCCCGCCAGCCGCATATGCCTATCGTGCTATTCCCTCAAATAATCCCAACATCAAGCGCATCTTCATGCTGGGCCCCTCTCATCACTTCTACCTAGACGGCTGTGCCCTCTCGCGCTGCGAAGAGTACGAGACACCCATAGGTAATCTGCCCGTGGACACTGAGGTAACGCAGGAGCTGTATGAGACGGGCGAGTTTGAGTGGATGAGCAGGCGGGTTGATGAGGACGAACATAGCATGGAAATGCATGCGCCGTATGTCAGGAAGGTCTTTGAGAGGTGAGTGCGCCTACAGAATAGCAGCAATGCACAGCATGTACTCACTCTGCCAAATCCTCGCCCTCAGCCGCAACGACATCACGATCGTGCCCATCCTTGTCGGCGCAATCTCAGCGACCAAGGAGGATCACTTTGGCCGCCTACTCGCGCCTTATCTCGCGGACGCCTCCAACTTCTTCGTCGTCAGTTCAGACTTCTGTCATTGGTGCGCATCTCGCAGCACCTCTCCCCCTTGCCCTACTCCCTCGCCCCGTTGACACAGACTCTCTTCGCTCCAACGCAGGGGGTCCCGCTTCTCCTATACCTTCTACCGTCCCTCACCCGGTGGCTCTCCTCTCAAGCTAGGCTCTGGTACACGTCCGGACGAGGCTATGCCAATCCACCGCTCCATCCGACAACTCGATGACGAAGGCATGCAAGCCATCGCCGTATCACCGGCCAGTAAGAAGACGGCAAAGGAGGCTCAAGCTGCCTTTACCAGCTATCTCAGAGCTACAAAGAACACGATTTGCGGGAGACACCCCATTGCCGTGCTTCTCGGGGCTCTGGCTTGTTTGGAGGAGCAGGGCAAGGTTGGTGAAGGAGGGAAAGAAGGGCTGGAAGTGCGATTTACGAGGTACGAGGTGAGCAAGAGAAGCCAGACACAACGTTGCTCCCGTCAGCCATGGCGCTGACGCCTCTCCCACCTCCTCCCCGTATCAGCAATCGAGCCCCTGCCAAACAGCTCGCGACTCGTCGGTCTCGTACGCCTCAGCGTTCGTGCGATTCTAGACTTGATTTTTGCTGGAGTGCAATAGAAGTAAGAGTCACAAGGGCAAGGTCCATGGCGTGGCGTGGGTATATCTACATGTGGTCGTCATCGTCGCGCTGCTTCTTGCGCTGTTGCAAAGTCCGTCGTGTCGTCGTCATCTGAGCTCCTCTGGCCACTCTCTCCTCGTCCTCCACTGGCCGTACTCTCCATGCCTCGGATTCACTGGGTAGTCTCGACCGTCACTTGCGCTATGACCGAGTGGCAACACCCATTGCCAAGGCTGTTGCCCCATCATGAAGCGCCAATTCAGCAGCCCGTCCTTGAATCGGGTAGTCTGCTTCTTGTAGCGCTCGCCACCTTTAGCTCCCAAAGGAGCCTCCTGCTCTACCTTCCACAAGTTGGCTTCATAGCGCAGATGTCCCCATTCGCCCTCCCACTCCTTCTGAATCCTCTTCTTACCCCTCAACGCCTCGAAGCTCCATGGTCCCTTCCCCTTTGTCTCCTCTTCAAAGCCCACTCCTCCTTTGCTGAAGTAGCTCTGTAAGCTCAGCTCCTCGCGTCGATTGATACGCGCAACCTCCAGATGCTCGATGGTCGTCTGATTGATGGAGAGCAGCCAAGAGTGCGTGACGAGCAAGGGAGAAGTGAAGAGGATGAAGAGCCCACAGATGGGGAAGAGGGAGATGACGAAGCCGTCCACCGTCCAAGCGGAATACTGGCCGCGATCTCCGCCATTGACGCCGCGCGTGAAGAGGATAGCGGCACTGATGAGGGTGAAGAGTTCGAGGATCGTGACCCAAAGTAGAAAGTGCCAAAAGAATTTGTGGTTTCGCGCACCCACGCATCCCCCTACCCAGGGGCAATGGTGATCCATTCGCATGACGCATCGCCCGCAGTGCCTGCAGTGGTGCGCTCGAGGTGTCTTGACGTGGCGGCAGCGGTGGCAGTATCGATTGGAGCGGGCAAGGGGAGCGTAGTCTGGATAAGGCGGGGAACGGACGGGTTTGGGAGTGAGGCCTTGCCACACGGGGGGTGGAGCGTTGCTTCGTTGTTGCTGATGGGAAGGAACCGGAAGGGCAGGAGCTGCCGTAGAGGAGGGCTTGAGAGCTGCGGGTGGTGGTGGTTGGATAGTCTGCGTTTGTGAGGACGATTCGTCGAAGGTAGCAGGGGTAGACTGATAGTGTTGGCGCTGCCGTTGCTGCCGATGCTCGTCATCTTCAGCCGACGCCGCAAGCATGCCAGCTCCAATGGGCCCAACAAGAGCAGGCATACTGGGATCGACCGGATGGCCGTCATTGTCGTGCGGACCAGCTGGTGATTCTGTAGCTTCGCCGCTACCACTAGCTTGCGGCGCCTGCTCCTGCTGCTGCTGCGAATGAGGAATTGGCTGCGTTTGCTCCTCACCAAGGTATGGTCCCCCAACATTGTCCCTCATCCACTCGCTCTGTATCGGCGACGGCATGCTCTCCTTGTCGAAGTAGTCGTTGACGTATCCCGGAGGCGTGAGGATGACGCGCAAATAGCACCATAGCGTCATCAGCCAGAGGATGTTGAAGGCCACAAGGAGGCCAATGCCCGTTGGTCTGGATGCCAGGCGGACAGGATGTGATGAAGGAGAGTCTTGCTGTCGGATGGCGGGTGAACACAAGCGCCATACGTAGACTGCCATTGGCGTGAGAGGCACAAGAACATGTAAGAAGAGGGCTGTCCTGAAGGCTGTCGCGCGACTCGACTCACCAAGGTAGACCCAAGCCAGGACGATGAAGACGAGAGGCACGATGCCCTTTCGCTTCCAGATTGGATCCGGTATTGACCCTCGCTCATCGCGCTTCCTCCTGGCCTCTTCGTTGCGCTGCAATTGCCTACGATCCATGCCATCTGTGCACTCGGCCACCGAGTCGGTGCATGCTTCAATGGACGAGAGGCATGATGCTACGCAACGAGGGTGGTCTGGGCGGACACGAGATGGTCCTCTGCCACGCCGACCGTCATCGTTGGAAGCAGCTTCCTTGTCAGCTTCCGACGACGACGAAGGGGCAGCCATAGAGGCGTGCGAATGCGATCAAGTGAGGTGTGAGAGGAGCAAAGACAGCCTGCTAGATTTGTATGAGAGTTCACGTCCCAAGTCGAAAGCGGCAGTCCGGCAAGCTGCAAGCGTGTGCGACCTCCGGACCTCGTCTTGTCTCGTCTTGACGCCCACAGGCACCTCAACTTTGGGCGGGAGCGAAAGTGACACCGCTTTATTCAACGTGCCAAATAGAATGACGAGGGTAAATGAGATGGTGTGTCATGAGATTGAGAAACGAGCTGAAGCGGGGTCTGAGCAGCTTGACTCCACCATTCTACCTCGAGGTGGCAGACACCACCATGGGCACCAACGTCAGGCACCGCGACCTCTCTTTTGACTACTCATCACCAGCCGCCTCCAATCTTCTCTCGTCTTTATCTTACCAGCTAGCGTCGTCCCCTCTTTCTGAGGGCTGGGCAAACAATGAAACGCAGGATGCATCTGACGAGACCATCGTAGCCCTCACTCGACCGACCACGCCTGGTCAGCCGCCTCAGCAGACGGATGTCAATGGAGGGGGCAACACCTTCTTTGAGGATGAGAGGCGCCGCCTTACGTGGGACATTGCTGATGTGAGTGCGAGCGACGGAGTGTGAAATCATCAGAACCCAGACGCTGATGTCTGTATCGTCAACAGTCCCTTGAAGCCGTCCTGACTCAAGTCAATGCCATCAACCGCAACCTCGAGGACTGGATCCGCGTCAGGCCCTTGATAGACGACAGTTCGGAGCTCTACAATCAATTCGTCGCTCTTCTACGCCGCCTGCGACTCGATGGCTTCGACGGCGAGGAGCATGAAGGACAGCAAGTGGAGCTTACACACTCTCGGAACGACCTCGAGAAGCAGCATCAACAGGAGCCTCGCACAGCCACCTCCCTCGCCACGGATCGTGAGCAAACGATGACTGAAATCGTTGCTCCAGGCGGAGGCAGCTGGAATCCCCGTACTTCGACGAGGACGGATGCCACCGTGGCAGTACGCAGCCGTGGCCCTTGAAAGCAGCCTCGAGGCCTCCCTTTGCTGTAATCTTTCGCCTGTTTCTCGAATTACATCTTTCCAATCCTTGCTCATGGCTCTGATTCGTCTCTCACAGCCACAGCCACGCCTCGCTCGTTGCTCGCCTTCCGAGCCGCCGGCCTTTGTTGGACCAGGCGGGACATGCAGGCGGGCGCTCGTCTCGCTCCATCTCTCCATCCAATCGATCCTTTGACTCCTCGAACCGCCGAAGCATCGTGCTCTCTCTCTCCCTCTCTTCCTCATCCTTTCCCATCGCACAAGGCGCACATGTCACAGCCGCAGACGGTACCCTGCGCCTACAAGACGGGCCGCACCTTGGGTCAAGGCACTTACGCCGTCGTCAAGGAGGCCGTCCATATCAAGACTGGCAAGTACTATGCATGCAAGGTCATCAGTAAGAAGTTGATGGAGGGGAGGGAACACATGGTACGCAATGAGATTGCAGCATTGAAGAGGGTGTCGCAGGGTCACAGGTCCATCGTCACTCTCGTCGACTACTTTGAGACGATGAACAACTTGTATCTCGTGACGGATCTGTGCGTCGGTGGAGAGCTCTTTGATCGCATCTGCGAGAGGGGCAGCTACTACGAGCAGTGAGTGCGAGCGAGGCAAGAGATCGGAAGAGGGGATACCATGCTCAGACGCTCTCCTCGAATTGTCGCCGCCGCCAGGGACGCCGCGCACATCGTCAAGACAGTCACAGAAGCAGTCAAGTACCTCCACGACCAGAGCATCGTCCATCGCGACCTCAAGCCGGAGAACCTCCTCTTCAGAGACAAGACGGAGGATTCGGACTTGCTGATCGCAGACTTTGGGCTCAGTAGAGTCGTTGACGAGGACAAGATCACCGTCCTCTCGACTACGTGCGGTACACCAGGCTACATGGCGCCAGAGATCTTTAAGAAGAGTGGGCATGGCAAGCCGGTCGATATGTGGGCAATTGTGAGTGATGGGTGGAGACATCCGCCTGTGTTCCTTGACAGACACTGACATCGCTCTCCTCCGTCTTTGCGCGCATCGCAGGGCGTCATCTCTTACTTCCTCCTCGCCGGCTACACCCCCTTCGACCGGGACTCCACCGCTGAAGAGATGCAAGCAATCGTCGCAGGCGATTATGCCTTTGAGCCCGAAGTCTACTGGGCCGGCGTGTCAGATGCGGCCCGCGACTTCATCAATCGTCTTCTGACCGTCGAGCCCTCAAAACGCATGACAGCCAGCCAGGCCCTTGAGCACCCTTGGTTGGCAACGGATGCTGCGAGAAAGGAGGGCGAGCAGCGCGACTTGCTGCCGGACATCAAGAGCGCTTTCAATGCCAAGCGTACCTTCCGCAAGGCTGTCAATGGTATCCGACTCATCAATCGACTGCGATCCGAAACGGCTGACAGCAATTCGACAAAGCAAGAGGTCGAGGCGCTGCGCAAGCGAATCGTCGAGTCGGAGGAGAGGGAGAACGTCGACGAGGTGCTGGATGTGCCCGAGCAGTCTCATCCGCCGTCGTCCTCCAACGAGCAGGTGCGCGTGTAAAGGTGGTGGAGCACGACGGAGGGATCCGAGGTAGCGCTGGTCTGCACTCTTGTCTTCTGCTTTCTCTCTCGTCGTCATCCCTCTCCCGCGTCCGGCTACGGTGGTGTCGCTACGATCTCCTTCTGTCCTCGACTGTCTTTAATATCTTGATTGCTCTCGACTCCAATGCCTGCGCTGGACATCTCTGCGTCCGTCGCCATCGTAAGAGGGGAAAACGAAGGCAGTATCGCTTCGTCGTTACCACTTTTCGCGGTGCATAAAAAAAAGGGCGTCCCCGGGAGTCGAACCCGGCGCCTCTTCCATGAATTGGCGAATTAAAGTCGGCTATGACCCTAAGAAAGCATGCAACCGATACACCAGGACACCTAATGCTGAGTCAGCGACTCAATGTACGTAAATAAACAGCATTCTGAAGGGTGCCAACCTCGCCTGCGATGCGGGGTCAATGCGGGGAGGAGGAGCTTAGACAACATCACTCTCTCTGCCTCCATACCACTCGCATTCCACTCGCTCCCGACGCCACGCAGCCATGTCAGAGTACGTGCCCGCCTCACGCCCACGTATCGTTCGTATCCTCTGCCTGCACGGTCGCGGCCAGTCAGCAGCGTCCTTTCGTGCGCTTCTGGCCCCACTGATCCCGCGCCTCCCCAAGAATTACGAGTTCCACTTTCTCGACGCACCCTTCGTCGTGCTCGATGAGGATGTCGGGTCGTCGCGTAGTGGACAAGAACTGGAGATGCTGAGAGCCATAGAGGGATGCTCGAGGCTAGAGGCGGCACAGGGGAGGGACAGGGCGATGCGTGCAAAGTTGGAGATGGAGACACCAAGGTCAAGAAGGGGAGACAAGGTGCAGCCCCAGGTGCCGTCCTCTTCGCCCGACATCGAGGCTTTGCGCTCCTCCATCTCCAGCTCCTCCCGCATCGGCGCAGAGGTCCTTGAGTCATTCGATCGCGCAGGTATAGACGAATGCGAAATGCTCCTTGGCAGACAAGGCTACATTGCTCCAGATCGAGACTGGGTCCTTGCGTCCAGCAGCGAAGGCGGCGACGACGTCGGCAGCGGTCTTGACACGTCCCTTGGTCGCCTGAGCGATTACCTCCGCATGCAAGGCCCCTTTCATGGTGCGATGGCTGGAGGGTCAGGCAGCAGCTGGCTCATCGTCCGCTTGCTCTCTTCCCTCCTCGACCCTTCGCATCATCCGCAGTCGGCCCTAGCGTATCCGACAATGTTCCCTCTGCTGCCCCTCGATGCTCCTGCCCCACGCATGGGAGGATGGGAGGTGCTGCCCAGCGTACCTTTGCCTAGCGGGAGGAGGACGGCCGTCAGCCAGGGACCCCTAGGTTTCATGATCTCGGTGGGCAGCAGCGGCGGTGGTAGTCAGGAAAAGGCGCTCGCGAGTGAGGCGCATCCATGGGCAACGAAAGCATCTCAGGAACAAGAGCTCCTGTCCGTCCTGCCAGCCAAGACGCAACGGTTTCGCCCGCCGATGGGATGCGACCGAGCCATTGCCGCGACAGAGCAAGATGCCGCCCTCCTTGCGTGAGTCGACCAAGAGTGAGGCAGGCTTCCTGAGACACTGACTGACACTTTACCTCATCTGCTCTTTCGCTCACAGCCCGCCTGTGTGCGACTACCTCACGCCTTGGATCAGGGCAGCCTCCATCAGCGCCGAAGAAGTTGCCGGCCTGGATCCCGCGGACGTCAAGGCTCGAGATGCAGGCCAACTTCAGCGTGAGAGCTGGCATAGCGAGTATCGTAGAGTAGACGACGTGCCTCTATCACAAGGTGTAGAATACGTGAAGCTAGACAATAGCAAGCTGTAGAAGTAGCGCCGCCGATGCCCCTCTAATGTCGAAGCATGCTGCATTTCGAAGCTCCACTCCACTCCCACCTGAATCGAGGGCCCGTGCGCTTTGAGAAGGACGCGTGAAATCCAAATGCCGCCCGCTCTTGATTTCCCTCCCAGAGAAGCCAACCCCCACAACGCACCAAGATGAGCAACACCACGCCGCCCTGATCGGCCGCTTTCCCCATGTCCCGAGGCTCTGCGCAAGGGCGGCCACCCCATCGTGCTGCTCAAAATCCCTTCCACTCGACATGGGTCCGCCTCCTTCGGTATCGCTCTCCTCTCTACCTGCACCTCAAGCTCTATGTCCTGACCTCGCTCGTGTCCCTCGTCGTTGCGAGGCCCGTCTCTCGGACAGTTGAAGCTGCGGCAGAGGAAGTGGCAGAGCAGATACGATGGCAAAAGGGTGCAAAAGAGAGGCCGAGACGGGTCGTGGAAGCCTCCGTAGTGAGGGCATCGACCGACCCGCCGAGCACTCTGAGAAGGTGGCGTCACCGAATGAAGGATCTAGCCGGCGTGCGCGGTCTCGTCGCTCGATCTGGTACAGACACGCTGAGGTATCCAGAGATTGGCAAAGAGGCGATGGTCAGGTGTGTATCTCGAGCGTTGAGGGCGACAGGCCTTGGCTGATCCGCGTGACCCTCTCTACAACCTAGGACTTCAGGCTTTGACGCTTCACCAGAAGCTACCTTCTTGGCTGCTCGACTAAGTCAGGTCGCGCCGGCTCTTTCATCATACCTTCAAGCGTCACCAGAGTCTATCAGCGCCTCATCCACGCCAGTCATCGCCGTAGGAGGCTCGGGCGGCGGCTTTCGAGCAATGGTCTCCTACGCAGCCTTCCTGCACCACCTGCAGGGCGCCTCGCTCCACTCTCTCTGGCCACTAATCAGCTATACCTCAGGCGTCTCAGGCTCATGCTGGACACTGGCCTCTCTCTATACTCACGCAAACCTTTCGACATCTGAGCTGCTCCGACATTACGTGGCGCTGGCGTCGGAGGAGACACACCCGATGTCGCTGCAGGCCTTCGATAGGGTCGCACGGTCGAGGAGGGGCAGCTACTTTCTCCTTGGACCGCTACTGCGCAAGATGGCCGAGGGAGCGCGAGGTGGGGGCGTCATGGACCTTTATGCTACGCTCACGACGAGTTTCCTTCTGCTGCCTAGAGGCAACGAGATGGGCAACGCGCCTCCTAATGAGGAAGGAGTCACGCCGCAGTCTATGGTCGGACTGAGCCGAGAGTCTATGGCCTGGTCAAAGCTGTATCAGCGTTACGGTATGGCAGAAGGCAGGGCTCCTCTACCTGTCTTGACCGCAGCCAGCGTAGCAAAAGGTGTAGAGGAGGAGATGGCGGTGCTGCCTGTCAGTCCTCGCAGCTCCACATCGCTCCCGATCTCGAGCAAAGTGATCAAAAGCAAGGTGCATTGGTGGGAGGCGACACCGCTCGAGATAGGCTCCAGCGACGTACACCGCCGACTGCCCGGCGATGAATCGGGCGATGCAGGCAGAGGCGCATTCATCCCAACCTGGTCATTTGGCCGTCCGTTCAACGCGGGCCGCTCCCTAGCCTCGACAGGAGAGCCATCACTCAGCTTGCTCGTAGGACACTGCACATCAGCGCCGGCCGGCCCTCTGACAGGGTACATCACCGCTCTGCTGGGCACTTTGCCCTCCCATACGTTGGCTAGCTGGGCGTTGCGCAAGCTGAATGATTTTCTGCTCATGCGTCGATGGCGCCGTAGGTGGGGCAACCCGATACGGAGCAGCGCTGAGTGGAATCCATTCTACGGGATGCATCGCTGCACAGGCAACGAGACCCACTCTTCCCTTGTCGACCAGCCAGACGTGACCCGCAAGCTCAAGCTCATGGATGCAGGCATCTCCAACAATTTGCCAGCCCACGTCTTCTACCAGCAGCAAGGCTCGTCATGTCGCTCAGTCGACATATTCATCGGCTTTGATGCTTCGAGCGATGTCGGATCGTGGAAGAGCTTGCAGCGCGTCCAAGACTTTGCGCAAGATCGAGGTCTGCGCTTCTTCATGGGACCCGAAGAGGAGCAAGGGGGGAGTACAGGGCTTGCCAGATGGTTTCGCGCGAAGACGGGGAGCGACGAAAGGCACGACGCCGGAGCGTCTGACCACGAGAGTGAAGGTGTCGAGCTGAGCTACTTCCTCGACACAATGCGGCACATTGAGGCCCAGGCCAGCAAGCAGGCGTCAGCTCTTGATCAATGGCCGGCAAATACGCCCTGCGTCGTTCTCGACGGCTACGCGAATCACACCTCCCCGTCGTCGCCCGCCTTGCCACCTCGTCTCATTTACATCTACGTCCCTCTCCTGCTCCCGCCTTCACGCGGTAAAGACGAGGATTGGAGCTTCGCCACGGTGTATAATCTCGTTTGGACGCGCAAGGAGACTCGACGCGTCATTGAAGCTGTTCATCGCCAGCTGACGAGCAAGTCAGGGGGTGACTCGCAGCAGAGCAAGCTCAGTGACTTTGATGCAAAAGTCAAGCAGGTGGTCGCGCGTGTGACGGCAGTCAAGGGACGTTCAGATATCCATACTTGCACCAGGACAGTGCAAAGACGTGCGTCCCGAATGATGATTGAGTGAATTCGATGCTTTCTAGAAATGGACCGGGTGTCGCAACCGCTTCTCGCCACCTCTGCCTTGCGGCGCTCTCAAATTTCTCCCCTCGTTCGGTCGCCATCCTCATAATCTTCATCATCATCCCCACCAACATTGCTCGCACTAGCACTAGGCCCCAAGCTGCTACTCCCATCACTGCTCCTGCTCCGCCCGTCATCCGTATCTGCGTCCGCCACTTCCTCCTCATCTTCTCCATCTGCAATCCCAATATCACTCTTGCCCCCTCCGACGCCCTCGCTGCGATTCGTCGTCGTACTCGCGCTATTCACGCTGCCTGCGCTGTGTCTGCGTAGACGGCGTGTTGCGCCAGTGTTCTGGGTCATGTCGGCTACGGCAGCTGCAAAGGACGAGGGAGTCGTGGGGCGAGCGGCACTGCTGTAGGTGCTGCGTGGGGTTGAGACGCCGCAGACGCTTTGCTGCTGCTGGTGATCGAAGGGTGTCGCGAGGGGAGATGAGGAGGAGGCCTCTCCTACATCCGCTCGCTGAGGAGCTGCAATCGAGGTGGAAGCTCGTTGCGTTGCGATTGCTTGCTGCGAAGGCGGCATCACCCAGTCTGGCCTCGGCGGGAGACCTGCCATGATGGGGGCCGGCTTTGGCTGACTGCTCGATGCGGTAGCACTCGCTCCCGCTGCTGACGCCGAGCCGGCAGGGACCATCGCCCCGAGCCTCATTGTGGGCGCCGTGGCCGTGGCGTGCACGTCACGTAGACGTCCTGAAGCTCGCACGGTCCCGCTCTCGTGCGGGGCAAGGCCAATGGAGCCGGACATCGCCGGCGATGAGGATGACGACGCGGCGCCTGCGCGAGGATCGAAGAGCGTGCGTTCACCCACATTGAGCCTGCCCGAAGACGAAGATGCCAGGTTTCGCCTCGCACTGCCGTTTGCACCATTCGAACCTGCTGCTCCGCGCCCAGACTCGGAACGCGCTGAAAGCGACGAAATGGGGCTCGATGATGCCGAGCGAGCAAGCGGGTCGTACGGTGCTGCTCCCGCAAAAGGTGGCATGAAGGCGGATGGAGGCGGCGGAGGGACGCCTCGATGCGCCATCGGGTAGTCGGCTGCACCTACGTTCAAAGAAGCCCCATCTCCAGCCCCGGCATAAGCGCCATTATGCTGCTGTTGCTGTTGACGCTGCCATGCTGTGGCTCTTCTGGTCCCCTCGCCATCGCGCGATGATGCGCTGGCCGATGTCGAGCTGACTACGCTCGGCGCCGGGCTGGGAAGGCCTACGCTTCCGGTACCACTGCTGGACAAGTTGGACGGCGTCGGTGGGAAGGGGGAGAAGGCGTCAAGATTGTACGCTGATAGAGCACTGCTACCTGACACGGACGCAGGCGTTGGGTACGAAGGCCCGGCTGTCGTGGGGGATGGTGCAGTCGTCGTGTACTGCCAGGGATAGAAGGGCGGCGGCATCAAGTGCGGCGGATAGCCAAAGGGTGGGGGTGGTGCGACAGCTGGCCACATTGCTTGTTGCGAGAGGTAGGCGTACGGTTGAGCTGCTGCGAGCTGTTGTTGCTGCTGAAGCTGTTGTTGCTGGAACCACCAATGATACCAAGCCGCTTGCTGCTGCTGCTGCTCGAGAGACATGCCTGGCGGCGCAGTGGCCCACTGCTGAGGGGCACCCGGAGTCGTGTATGGTTCGTAGCCAACTGGCCTGACAGCGCTCCTAGGATCATCAAGAGGGTCCACATCCGGCTTCGAGACGCTCGCTGCCGTGACGCTACTTGGCGTCTGTGCCTTGTTATTCGCAGGGCCAGCAGCAGAGGTCTCTGCGTTCTCCGAGGCAGCACCAAAGATGCGCTCACGAGCTTCTCGGTAAGCCACCTCTCTTTCCTCGATTGTCATGTCCTTCCTACTCTTCTTGCCGACTGCGCTGGAGTTCGAAGATGATGGAGAGTCGGCGGCATTGGCAGCCAGGGCAGACGAGGATCCGAGGGAGGGATCTCGCCTCATAATGCGAAAGCCAGCGGGAGGAGCCGGCGTGGCTGCTGGCGCAGTAGCAGCAGGCGCTTCTTTGACAGTCGGAATGGCAGCTGTTGCTTTGGCGGCCAGAGGCGATGCTCGTGAGCTCGAGGCAGCTGTATCTGGCCTCGTTGACAAAAGGGCAAACGGCGAGATATCGGCTGGACGCAAGGTATTATTGATCGAGTTGAAAACTTGGATCATGCGACGCCTTGGAAGCCTCGTCTCTGGCACTCTGACGAGCTTGACTGCTTTCGTCTCCAAGTCGATGTGGTGAGCCAGACGGAAATGATCGGCGCAGCGATGAACGAGGAGCCGTTGATATGAATTCATCAGAGGCAAGAGCATCTCCGACCTGCTCGTGTCTGCCACGAAGTCGTTGATGTCCTGCTCTTGGCGTAGAATAAAGAGACGATCTCGTGATGACCTGAGCGCATCGATGAGGGTCTCATCGAGTGTCTCGTCGCTGTCACTATTGCCAATGCCGTTGCCGTTTTGAGGAGGAAGGGAAGGGGACGAAGTGGACGCTAGGTTCAGTGACTCGAGGCCGCCCTCGAGTGATGGCAGCGCCGCATCCTGTTTGCCTCCTCGTGCCGGTGACGATGACGACGACGACGTCGACGTCGATGTCGACGATACCATCGCTGGCAGCGTCATGTTGATGTGTGGGTTGATGAAGAGTCTAGGAGGAACAAGTCGTTGATTGGGACCGGCCAAGATGCGAAAAGTCGTCGATACGGGGGGCGCGGCTCAAGGTGTCATTGTCGTTCTCAGATGTCGATGCCAGGCGGGTAGCGAGGAAGACAGGTAGCGATGAAGCACCTCTGATGCTTCATGGGCGATGTCTAGGGTGCGGTGATGGTGACAAGATGAGTTGCCTCGTCTCGTTGCGTTGCCCCTGGTGGTGCCTTGTCGTCGTCGTCCGTGGCCCTTGCGTCCGAGCCAAGTGGAAATGCGATCTTGGAGAAATGCCGGAATGGCCAGACGACGATGTGAGGCTGCGCGCGAGGCGGACTGGCGGGCCCTCGTCGACTGACTGGACCGGCACCACCGACGTCAGGCGACGATGGCAGGCAGACACGACCAAATTCAAGTCAAGTCGATCCTTTTGGTTTGCTCCTCCCTCTTGCTCATCAATCAAAATCGTACGACGACCAACGTCGACGGCGCACAACCATTCAGCGCACTTGATCGTCATCATCTTTCACATTGACCTGTAGCTAGGCACCTCAGAACGCAAGTCTTGATCGTATTCCACGCTATCACTCAGCAATTTGCCGCATCATGGCATCGCCGAATGATGACGGTCCATCAGCATATGCTTCGTCCTCTCGTCACCATCCCGTCACAATACCACACTCAGCACCACGACTAGCAGCTCAAGTCTCTCTCACGCCTCAAAGGCCTCTTCATACCGTAGACGACGATGATCAAGAAGGTGGAGCTGGCTTCACATTTGAACCCATTGCCACCTCATCTTCATCTCTCCATCGTACAAGAAGACCTCCCTCGTCATCACCATCGTCACATTCGTCGATCTCAGCTGGGCGAAGACGTAGCACGCCAAGAACAGAAAGTTTGTCGTCTCGTCAGTCCCCTCATCTGGTGCCCGTAGCCAACATGCTGGACGTACACCTCGTCGTCGCTCCTTCACCACCTCCACCAGCGACGGTGCCCGCCGTCACATTGTCTCATCGTTCAAGTCCAGACCTCAAAGTCATCTATCTCGAACACTCGCATTGGAAGTCATGCGAACAGGCAAGACGGCGGAGGACAAGGGTCACGACTGCGCCGCCCGCATCATTATCATCATCAGCACGAATCGATGGCTCGTACTCTCCTTCCACATCAATGTCATCCCTCACGCCGTCTTCCATTGCCACCAATACACCAGCAACTACCCTCTCACAATCTCAGACACCCCTCTCACCCTCTCTCAAATCGGACAGCTCGCTATCAGCGTCCGCTGCGGCCCCTGACGCCACCACGCCCACAGCTCAGACGGCTACTCCAACGGCCACAGCCGCTCAAAAGAAGCCTACTGTTCCCGCCTGGTCGCAGCCTCGCTCTTGGACAGGTATTGCCAATAAGGATGCTACCAGCTTCACAACAGCGTCTTACGTACCCTCAACGCCAGGAGCTACGACAGCGCCAGCTTCTGAGGCCAGCGTAGCATCTTCCAGCGCTACCAGCCCAATCAAGCCAGCACAGGCAACCGTAGCCCCACGCCCTTCCCCTTGGGCATCAAAGCATCGTCCAAGCCTCGAGGCAATCCTCTCCGACTCGCACAAGCGTTTCGCTGCGCCTCTTACTACGCCGCGTGGCCTCATAAACACGGGAAACTTCTGCTTTGCCAACGCCATTCTGCAAGTCCTCGTGTTTTGCGCGCCCTTCTACAACCTTTTCAGCACTGTAGGGGCAGAGCTCAGCGCCGACTTTGCCAATACGACCCCGCTCATGGAGAGCGTCGTCCAATTCTTGCGCGAGTTTCATCTGGCCAATGGAGGTAATGGCAGCAGCAGTCGCTCTCATCACGAGACCGGCGCACCCAACGGCTTTACTCCCACTGCCGCACACTCTGAGCCATTCGTGCCCGAGTTCGTCTATGAGGCAATGAGGCTCAACAAGCGCTTCGATCTCATGCGCCGTGGCCACCAGGAGGACGCCGAAGAGTTTCTCGGCTTCTTTCTCGACACGCTCCACGAAGAGCTTCTCGCCGCCATTCGCAAGAGCAACGCTCGTTTGGCGTCGACCAAGGCGAGCTCCAGCAAGCAAGTGCGTGGACAAAACGGTACAGCACCCTCTGGTGGAACTGCTGATGGCAGCGTCGACGGCGAAGGAGAGGCGGGTGATGCCGAGGAGGAGAGTCGCGAGGTGGCACGGCCGATGAGTCCTTCGGAGGAGGGATGGCTCGAGGTGGGGCAGAAGGGCAAGACGGCGTTCACTCGTACTGCCTCGACGGCAGGGGAGAGCTCGCCCATCACTCGCATCTTTGGCGGAAAGCTGCGTTCGGTGCTCCGCACGCCCGGCGCAAAAGACAGCGTGACTCTCGAGCCCTACCAGCCACTGCAGCTCGACATCCAGCCGTCTTCAGTACAGACGGTGGAAGATGCCCTTCTCAACCTGACAGTCCCTGAGACGATTCCTGGCGTTTTCTCGCCAGCGCGCGGTGGCCCAGTCGATGCGACGAAGCAGGTCTTCATCGAGCACCTCCCGCCCGTCCTTGTGCTGCACCTCAAGCGCTTCTTCTATGATGAGGCGGCTGGCGGTGTGCAGAAGAACTGTAAAGAGGTCGGATACAGCGACGTGCTGAAGGTGGGTGGCGAGATGGTTAGCCCGGTGAAGCGTGCAGAGGGCGCAGTCACGTACCGCCTCTTCGGCGTTGTCTACCATCACGGTCGCTATGCTACCGGAGGGCATTACACTGTCGATGTGCTCAGACAAGACGGCAGCAGCTGGGTGCACTTTGATGATACGATCTTCCACACTGTGGCGCCAGAGCATGTGGGCCGGAGGGCAGGGCAGAACCTCTCGAGCTTCGTTGGTCACGACGGTCTCGCCTACCTCCTCTTCTACCAGAGAGAGGACGCGCTTCCCAAGCCGCAGAACGTCAAGGCGGCTGGAACATCTCAGCAGCAGCAGCAGCAGCAGCAGCAGAACAGGCGAGTGCCAGCGGGTGGTGCCAATGGTCGCAGTCACAGTCGCTCGGCCTCCTCCTCGGCCCGTGACCTCAATGCCTCTGCCCCGCGAGTCAACGGCAGCTCTTTCTCGTCACCCAAGCCATCGAAGAAAGAGCGCCAAGCTGAGGCACCGGCATCGCCCCCGCCCGTCGTTGCTCGTCAGATTCCTGGCGCCGCTCCTGGTAAGACGAGGAAAGTAGCATGGGGAGGAGGCGCGTCTGCGTCTGCGACTGCGAACGGCGAAGGCGCAGCGGCGGGCGCAGCACCGAGTGGGGGAGGGGCCGAGCGTAACAGGCATTGATGTCGGTTCCTTGCCGATCCAGCAGGAGGCGGACGGATTGGCATCTTCTTGTGTTTCCAGCATCCTCGAGCTTGCCGCATCATGTGCGCCGATTTCGAGCTCGATCTTCTCGTCTCGTCTCGTCTCGTCTCGATTGTTCTCAATCTCCATCTCAATACACACGCGAATCGATATCATCACAGCGAGTAGCGAGCGCAAGGAGTGACGTTGCAACCGTGTGATTTGGGCCCTGCGACCCCGCTCATGAAGGCATGCCTGCCTGTCCCTGAGTCCCTGTCGCAGCTGCTGGTGCTCCCCCTCCCCCTCCTCCCGCACTGTCATTTAATGCGCAACAGACGACGGCCTTGTTATGCCCATTGTAGCTTCTGACCGTCTCCCCACTGCTGAGCTCCCACAGTCGCGCGACATGATCTGAGCTCGCCGTTACCAGGTAGGCCGAGTCTGCGCTGAATGCTGCATCCCATACCCAGCGTTGGTGGCCAAGGAGCGTCTTGGAGAGGGAGAAGCTATACCGCGACGTGCTCCAGATCTTGACCGTCGAGTCAGCTGAAGTGGTTGCTAGGTGTCGAACGTCGGGGGAGAGGATGCCTAGCGGAGAGAGAGAGGAAGGCGGAGTAAGCTTGATGAGCTCTGGAGAAGAGGGAAAGGAGGCAGCGAGCTCACATCGAATCAGGTACTTGTCGTGAGCACGAAACTTCGTCACCGGCTGCAAGTCCGTAAAGTCACCTCCACCGCCATTAGCCACAGCAGCTGCCCTCTCCCTCGCCGACGCGTCGACATTATCATCGTCCTGACCATCTCCCTCTTCACCTGCTTGTCTGCGCTGCTGCTGTTGCTGTTGCTTTGCCGCCAGATCTTGTCCGTTGCCCTTGCCTGCTGCGCTCGTCTCGCTCTGACTCGGATACATGCCGCTCTGTATCCTCCACACGTAGACGTTACCCCTGTTGTTGCCTGCTACTAGACATGAGCCGTCGCTTGCTACGCTGACGCTGCGGATGCCGACTTCCTCTTCTGGTACGAGCTCATGGCTGCAGCCATTCTCGCCCAGATCCCAGACTTTGACTGATCCGGCTTGATCGCAGCTGACGAGCTCGCCTTGATTCGGGTGTACGACGACGTCATTGACGGGCGAGCGATGGTCGTACAGGCGTTGAGGACGAGGGAAGCCTAGAAGTGGGAGGGAAGGGGCATCAAGGGAAGGTCAATTGAAGCGCATACAGCCAGACCCTCCCCTTGCCTACTCACGAGTGTCCCAGATCCGCAGAGTACCGTCTTCTCCGCCGGACACGAGCCATTTGGACTCGCAATGCCAAGCTACGCAAGTGACATTGCCATTATGTCCCTCGAATGTTGCGACTGGCTGAGTCACGCCAGGGGCTCCCGATCCTTGGCCTGCCGGCCCACCTGCCGCTCCCTGCCCTCCTCCTTGGCCGCCCGCCTGAATGCTCGCGGCCTGATTACCAGCCAGCGCACTTCTGCAATCGTATAGTCTGACGACTCCCACCCCACATGATGCGAGCCATCTCTTATCTGGACTGATGGCGAGACGGTTTACTTGTGAATCGGGATGTTGAATGGTTCGCGAGCAGATGCCGGACCACGCTTCCCAGAATCGGATGGTATGATCATAGCCTGCCGTCACGAGGAGCACGGACAGGTCATCTGGTACTGCTGCTGGTGCGTGTGTTGATGTCGAGGCAGCAGCAGAGGGCGCCATTAGCAGCGGAGGATGCGGTGGAAGGAAGGATGCTGGAGGTACCAAGGTGGTCCAAGCGGCCCTACTTGGCGACCAGGTACGCCACGTGGTTCGTTGTCCAACGCGAGACAGTCGCTGCGAGACGGCCCGACTTTTCTCGTTCGAGTGAGTGAGAGGCAGAAGACAGACAGAAGACGACGTCGTCACCATCACCATTACCATCACCTATCAATCATGACGACCCGGGCGGCGACGATGATCACCTCACGCAGAGGTACAGTCATACCATTGTCGCGACTGTCGCTTTGTCGCATGGCGTCAAGCTCCGCAGCATCATCAGCATCAGCATCTTCCTCGTCTTCCTTTGCCGCCGCCGCCGAGGCCAATCGACCAGCAGCTGCGTTGCCTCCAATCGCACGAAGCCACCCAGTCCTCTACGCCTCTCTCCTCTCTCCGCCATCATCGCAGCTTCATGCCATCGTCGCTCGATTGGGCCTGCCGGCGAACGACGCGCAGGTGCTCAAGCAGCTCGCCATTGCCCTGACTCACCCTTCGTGGACGGCTCAGCGCGATGAAGCTCTGCGACGTCCAAAGGGAGAGCTCGGCTTCTCGCTGCACGCACGTCTTCAGGCCAGCAGAGATCAACAAGAGGCCGGTCAGCCACAGACACAGGCCGAGCTGGCCACGTTGGGCAACTCGTTGCTGGGCATCCTCGCCTCAGAAAACCTGCACCTCAGCTATCCAAATCTGCCCAATCGCGTACTCAAGGCAGCACTCAGCGCCCTCGTGGGACCCCAGACACTGGCCGATGTAGCTGCAGAGATGGGATTGGGAGCCAAGGGGGTGGTGAGGTGGGATCGCGAGGCAATGGTAGAGTCAAAGGTGGCTGGTGTCAGGCCAAGAAAGATTCACAGTCGAGAAGTCCTTGCCAATGCAATGAGGGCAGTCGTGGCTATCATTTTCCAGGTCAAGGTGAGCTCCAAGTGACAAGCAGAGTCTGGAGCTTGCGAGCGCAAGCTGACACGCCTCTCTATCCTTTGCTCTCTTCGCAGGGCATGGCTGCGGTACGATCCTTTGTGTCGGCCCACCTCCTCAGCCGCATCCCTCTTCCCCCGCCCAATGCCCCGCCCGCGACGTCCCTTTCACCAAGCCCGGCAGCTTCGTCGTCCCTACTCGCCCCTCTGCTCAAGTTCTCCAACCCAAAGCGCTCCCTCTCGCTCCTTTGCGCAAAGCATGGCCTGCCGACGCCCACGAGTAGACTCATCGCCGAGACGGGCCGATTGAGCAATGCAGCCGTCTTTGGCGTGGGTGTATACGTGGGGACGAGGCGTGTGGGAGAAGGATGGGGCAGTCAGATTCGTATGGCCGAATTCCGTGCAGCAGAAGACGCCATGAGGAGGGTCATGCTCGCCAACCCGGCCAAAGCAGCAGCGGCAGCAGCATCATCAGCATCATCTTCAGCAGAGGCGCAAGCGACAACGACGGGGCTTTCACGGGAGGAGCTGCCAAGCGCCACGTTGGATCACATCTTTGGTGGGTCATTGGCGGCCGAGGGAGCAGCAGAAGAAGGCGTGGGGACAAGGGATATCTGGTCGATTGGAGAAGACCGTAGGGCGACTACATCGCTGACACCGATCCAGTACAGACCGAGGCCGGTGGGAGAAAGCGAGGTCGTCTTTGGCAGCAAGGCGTAGCGGGCTGAGGCTGTCCAGCCACGATGGCAAATCAATGTATATTGCAGCAAATGACGTGCGCGTGACGGGGCGGTATCTCTTCTTCACGACTGAGCCTCAGCGTCCACTTGTGGTCTCAAACGATCCCTGACATCCTGTAACGCGCCAGTGGTTCCACCAGCCAAGGTGCCGAGGGCCAGAAGCCTCGCAGGAGGAAGCCTGTGAACGATGCTGGCCACGACTGCTGTCCCTTGTCCTGCCACGATGCCATCTGTCCACCTGCCGAGCGAACTTGCAAAGCGTGATGAACCCTCTGCTGACGCCTGCAAATTGACTGGTCCACTTCCTTCTTGTTGCACGACGTTACGCAGCGCTGCGCTTCCTCCATCGAGGAGTACGAAAAGCGTCGTCCATGCAGCGAGGCGAGTGCCCAGGGCAAAGCCGCCCTTGAGGCCTGCGAGGAGGACACGGTAGTTCTGCGTTCGGAGTCAAGGCCATTTCGACATGATGAGCACATCGATGGCAGTCTCCCTGAAAGACGATGACCTTGAAACTCACCTTTGTCTTGTTGTAGAAATACCATCCCTGAACCGTATCTGGCCTACGATGAGCATTCTCTGCCATAAAGACGAGGCCTGCTCGATTGGACTGTGTGATGAGACCCGAGAAGAAGCCGAGTGAGAAGGAAGCAAAGGGAATTGTGGGTGAGAGGGTGGCAAGGAAAGAGGCTGTGGTGGTGGCGCTGAATGGTGATGCTTGCATGACAGAAGATGGGAGAGGATCATCTGATGGCGAAGTTGGTGGTTTGGCGAGTGTTGAGCTGGCCTGATTTGGTTGCTCTTGACTGGCCTTTGATGTCGATGCTTGACCGTCGCCTCCCCATGGATTCCACCTGACCATGATGCCGGTCAGTCAGTTGATTGGACGTCGTGAAGTTGCCTGTGCCTGCTCCATGGCCAGTCCGCCGCCTGATTAATTCATTCCTAATCCCGTCGTCGTCGTTGAGTTGGTCAAGGCGGCGCCTCGCCGTTCCGCCTAACAACGAACGGCCAGCCCGCCCGTTCCGGTGGAGCGACGCCTCGCCTCAGTCGCGGCCATTTGGAGAGACGCGTTGAGGCCAAGAAAGGCAGAGAGAGCGAATCTGTGCCGGTCCCAACCTGGCAAGTCAACCACATCATCCAAAGGCCAAGAGAAGGAGGTGTATGCTGCCTTGCCTATCCCCATTCATTCTTCACGCACATCATCGCTACTCTGAGCAGCATCTCGACCGGAAAGGCCTGACGCTGAGCGCCAAGCTCCTTCCTCATCACCATCATTTGATCCCGCACGCCCGCATGATCACGCGACCAACCATTGCAGCATAAACCAACAAGCGCACCTCGACAATGGCTTACTCCGAGTCATTCGCAAAGCGCGCTCACGAGTCCGTCACTGTCTCTCGACACATCGACTCGCCTCCGGCTCTCTACCGCTATTGCGGACCGCCTCCTACGCAGCCTCCTCACGCCGACTTCCCGATGAGCAGTCATCCTCAGCCTTACCCGCCTTCGACAAGTCATGCTGTTGACCCATACGATTCACACCGCCAGCAATTACAGCCCCCGGAGCCTACTCCACCTGATTCTGGACGGAGCAAGCACTTTCACGAGTACGACATCAACCGGCTGGTCGCGCGAGACGCACTAACAGGACTCGATGTAGACGAAAGCGAGCAGGAAAGCAGCGACGGAAGCAGCAGCCAGGCACAACGTAGCTGCGCATCGCAGAGCAATGTAAATGCTCCAATTCTGAGGCGAAGAGCAGCTACACGCCGCCTAGATGAAGACTATCTTCAGGCAGAAGAGGAACATAGACGTGGTCAACAGCGAGCCAGCGAATGGCTCAGCTCGGACGATGAGAGCGACCAGGAGCAGCATCGTCCCTCGTCAACGCACCGTCGTCGGGCTCATTCGAGTCGCAAGCGCAATCTCTCCTCATCAGCATCCCCGTCAGCCTCGCCTTCATCCTCGTCCTCAGCATCACCAGGCGTCGTCTGGAACCGGGTCCCCATTCGGGACACGCCCAACAATCCTTTCCTCGGAGGAGACCATGGCCCACGCTCGCGCAATCAAGCAGGCTTCGTCGGGCGTGCAGGCGATGGCACTCGAGGTGAAGACGCAGCAAGGGCACACCGTAGGGGGCTCATCACCTACGTCTTTCGAGGACAGCGCATCGTGTACGCCGACGCCCCTTCAGACCTCGAAGAAGATGATGACGACCTCCGTCGACGAGATGGATCCTCACGAGCACCCTATCGCTTTGAGCCCAAGTTGCTCTTCCCTGAAGCTCACGCTGCCGAGGAGAGGAGAAGGAGGCAGAGGGCCAGGGCTCAACAGCAGCGAGAGGCTGAGGCGCGTGACGCCGCTGAGCAGAGGCGGCAACAGGCAGCAATTGAGCTGCGACAGCGCCAACACGCTCATAATCGCAGCTCGTCTTCACTCGCGCGTTTCGGTGGCAACCTCTTCGCTGCCGAGCTTCAACGACGTCAGGACCAACGTGCTGCGACAGGCATGTTGGCTTCTCAGTCGATGACGCTCAAGCGCACTCGCTCTGCGGCCATGGGAGGCTACGAGGCCGAAGGAGATGATGAGGACGATGGGCAGTACGGAGGCGGAGCTCGTGGTCTGCCTCGACCGCGTCTTGAGCAAGGAGACGGCCAGCAGAACCATCGTCTTCTTGCACAACTTGACCGTGTCGGTTGGAGCGACGACGATGAAGACGATGAAGGTCACTGCTATGACCGTCACGAGCCCGATGACGATGATGAGCGTCTCTACGGAGGCGCAGCCGGGACGCAAGTACGCTGCGTACACCCACGAACCGTCAACGTCGACGAAGACTACGACAGCAACGAGGAGGAGGGGGAGCAGCAGCAGCAGCAGCAGCGTCCTTTGACGAATCCCTTCGACCTAGCTCACCACTTTCAGAGGTGACAGCCTTTAGCCTATTACGCTTCAGCATCGCATCATTCAGCATCTCGCGTCCTTACACCCACTTTATCCAGCCAGTTCATCCATCCAGCGCCACACCAGCATCTACATTCGCGACTGCCTTGTTTCTCTCTGCACACTTTCACACACCCTTTTCGAAATGCATTTTTTCTCCATTGGCGCGAACAACAGACTGACTGTTCAGGCCGCAAGCTCGCGACGCAACACGTCCTGCACCGCCTGCCTCACCTCGTCACTGGTATCGAGCGAGCACATGATGTACAGTATGTCGCCGAGGGGTCGAGCGTGCACATTGAAGGACAGGACCGAATCGTCCTTGCCGGGATCGCTCTTTGGCTGGCTGGGATGGCCCATCTGCCTCGCAAGACCGGTGCGCAGTCGCTTCACGACGTCTTGCGCTGCGGTACTACCATAGCCGCCCTCGCCCTCTGCATTGCGCAACTTGACGACGAGGACTGAGCCTAGCGTCATTGTGTGCTCGACACGAGGCGATGAGCGTGAAAGGTCGGCGACGTACTGAGGCGACCACAGGGACCAGATGGATGGGGAAGACTGGCTCTCAGGGCGTCCGGGCGAGAAGACGCTGGCGTCATTGGCCCACTGCGCCTTGCTCTGTCGCCAAATCGACGCAGCTGAGCCGCCGCCCTGTCCTCGCTGACTTTCTTGTTCCACGCTTCCCAAGATACGCAAAGTCTCCCGCGCCACCTCGCAACCAATCGCGTGAGCCGTGTAGCTGTGGCCGTGCAGAAGGGCTTCTTCCTTCTTGCCACGGGCAGAGAGGAAGGTCTCATAGATGGAGCGAGATGCGAGCGTCACTGCCATGGGTACGAGACCGCCCGTGAGGATCTTGGCTAGGCAAGAGATGTCCGGCTTGACGCCGAGGACTGAGAGCGAAGGGGACAAGGGCCCGAGTCGGTAGAGTCCAGCAAATACCCTGAGGGAGGGAAGGGTGTTAATATCGTTTGCGCAAGGGAGCTCAGTCTCAATGACACTTACTCATCGAAGACGACGGGCAGGCCTTTCCATTCACCGTCACCACGCGGAGCACTCGTCGCGGCCGTCGCATCGCGCAGAGGGGCATCCGATAGGGCGAAAAGCGACTCGCTCTCCCTGACGACGTCCACGAGGACACGTTGGAAGAGCGGGTCGACGAAGATCATGCCTGCAGCGCCCAAGACGAGTGGCTCCATCAGTAGGGCTCCGAAGCGATTTCCCTCGAGTCGAACGACGCGGTCGAGCCATGCTGAGATCGTGGCACGGTACGTCTTGGCCAGAGGGTCGGACGAGAGGCGCGATGGCACGTCGTAGACGGCTTGTAGCGATGAGTATGAGTGACTGCCATCCGCCTTGTCCCACTCGAGCCCAGCATCTCCGCCAGGCACCTTGACCGTCGGGACACCATTCACGACGGAGACTTGCGGTGGCTCGATCCACTCTCCTCGTCCGCGGTACCAATGCACCATGTTGGAGTAGACGCTCGGTTCGCTGGCGTCCATGGCTCCGATTGTGTCGCCATGGTAGCTGCCCTTGAGACCAAGCACCTTCCACTCTCTCTCTGGTCGACCCGCTATGCTGCCAGCTTCTCGCCCTGCTGCTGCTCGCTGCGTAGAGGCAGGTGTGAGCGCGGCTGGCGCGTACCTCGTGCGTGCTGCTGCCATTGCCATCTTCAGCGCGACCTCCATGCCTGTCGAGCCGTCGTCTGAGTAGAAAACTCGGTCCGCCCAGCCAAAGCCTGGCGAGGGGAATGCTGCGTGTGTTTCCCCCGCTGGTTGCTGCTGTTCTGGCAGGCGACCAAGCAAGCCCTCTGCGAGCTTGAGAGCAGGCTCATTGGCTGCCATGGGAAAGAGGACGTGCCCGTATCTGCCCGCTGCTTGAGCTGCAACTTGAGCTAGGCGCGGATGTGAGTGGCCAAGGCATTGAGTCCACCACGATGCAGAGCCGTCAAGCATCGGGGCGAGAAGTGAGGTGCTCGCTGCGTCGTCGCCCTGTTGCTGCTTAAATGTCGAGAAGAAGTCGCCATGCGCCGAATCTATGACCGTCACATCTGCTTCTGACTTGGCGAGTGAATGCTGTGTTGTGGGCCACCAGCAGCTGTCCATTGTCCTTCTGGCGAATGTGCCCAGCTCCGTGATGCGTGACTGGTGGCGGCTGCGAAGGTCCTTGACAACGTCTACGACGCCCGATGATGGCTCTGCGCCTCCCTCCGTCAACCTGCCCTTGCCGTAGACGAGGTGGCGGTAGAAGTTGCGCATGTTTTGCTCTTCTTCCTGCTGGGACCGAGCCCACGCCGGCGGACCTGCTTGTGAAGCGCCTCGAAGTCCCCAAACGGGCACACCAACCTCCTCTCCCCACTGCGAGAGGTAGTCTGCATTTCCCCACTTGTCCTCTGCGCCCTGAGAGAAGAGAAGAATGGCCTCGACATCGTATCCGGCAGCGACGAGGCTCTCGTACGCTGACCTCGTCGTTGAGATGCCTCCCAGTTGTGAATCGCCCACCAAGATGGTCGGTAAGCGTAGTGGACGTAACAAATGGACCTGTGACTTGCCTGAGGGGCTGGGAGAGTGCGGTCCGCCCGCCGTCTCGATGTATGCGACGCCGCGCGATGATGAGGTTGAGGCTTTTGAATCGATCCAGTGGCCGATGGAGCGGACGAGCTCGGCATCGGTGGGCAGACGTGAGAGATCCGCGAGTGGCGAAGCTGATGGAGGGCCAAGTCGTGCGGCCAGGTGAGGAGACACTGCGTTGGAGAAGCGCAGCAGCGTATGCTGCGAGGAAGGATTGGCGTAGCGGGCAATGTGTCTGCGCGCGAGGCCATGTCAAAGTGAGAAGGGAAGACTCACTCAGCGCTCGCACCCACTCACCCGTCGTCTGAATCGGTCATTGGGCCTGTGGAGACTGGCTTGAGGTAGTGGACGCTCTCGCCGCGAGAGCTGCCAGCGATGGCAGACCGCACATCGTCATCGTGTGAAGAGGAGGTCGAGGGCAACGGCAAGACAGAGCTGGCTAAGCAAAGCGCCGTCGTGAAGATCGTCTTGCCCACATCCGTGTTAGCGCCAAAGACTTGGTGAATGCGCAGGTGAGGGTATAGGTGCGACATGGCGGCGCCCACACTTCAAGAACAGGCGGTGTGCGGCGTGATGGTGGTAAGGACGAGAAGAGAAGAACCGGCTTCGGGCCGAGCGCGAGTCGCTCACTCGCCCTTTCCGTGGGGCATCGACGGAAAGAGGAGCGGACGGTGCGCCGACTCGTGAGGGACGAAAGTAAAGCCCTGCACCGTCGACGAGGCGTGCCTGAGCAACCGCTCTTGAATGGCTTACCAGGACGGCGAAAGATAGCGGCCAGAGCTTCGTCATGCAGCTCGTCTCCTTCCAACCATGTGTCCTTCTTATCCCTCTCTTCCCTTCGCTCTTGCCTCACCAACACTCTCAACGCCGCGAGAGTCCCCTTTGCCATCGTGATTCCACCGCGAGCCAGTCTGTCACCGTCCCATCGTTGCCGCCTTCGACACGCCGTAGCGCGAATGCCGCAGAGCTCACAAGCCAGCGCATACAGTCATTGAAGCATGCACGTCAGAGCAGACAGCTGTGAGTAGTTGCAGGCTAGCTGCCGTAGGTACGGCGCCGGCGTGCCTCTCCTTCAGCCGTCAGCAGAGCGCGCTCGATCACTCATCGCTGCGCTTGCCGCTTACGGCTTCTTGGGGTGACTCGCATCATCGCCTGCGAGGAGGCGGCCATAGCATGACATTGACCACACTATCTGGAGCCCTTTGGCTTTTCGCACCCCCGATGGCAGGAATGCAAGAGACTATTGTCCCCTCTTTAGAGCGTCTGTCATCCTCGCTCATTGCACCACAGCACTATTAGGCTCAAGTCAGGCGGCATTCGTCGTGGCTCGAGCGCAACAGCCAGGCCACACGCTGCGCAGAGCCAATCACAGCACTCGACAGTACAGCTACTTTGGGCACTCCTATCGCATGACGCCCGTACGGCAACGTCACGTCCGAAGGTGTCAGTGCATGCACAGCACACACTTCTCAGCATTGATGTCCCATTCGCACCGCAGCTCGTCAGCGCAGGCTTGCTTGAGCCACTGATACGCTCGAAAGCAGGTCGCAGCCGATCTGCGCGCCAGCAGAAATAGATGAGCGCTGCGTAGCCATGGGCCTCTCTGCCGCCGGCGTCATCAACACCTCATTACCGCTCCGCGGCGCACTTACTTCACGTACGAGGGCAACTCGTGTCTGGCTGCTGGTAGTCACTCGATATCATCACCATTGTCACTCGACGCCTGCAGCCACCATCATCGCAATCAGACTCTTTCGTCTACTTCATGCTGTGCTTGAATAGACCCGCATGACCAGAGGTGGTCACCCCTCGTCACGACAGCGTTTCGTAGACGCAGTCTCAGCTCAATTGGAGCACTTTTGTCGCGCTTTGACACCCTTGTTGCCCGGCGTAAAGTTTACAAGCACCTGACGCGGCAATCTGCGGCTGCAGCTGGCGAGACTGGGCTAGACTGGACGTCGTGCGTGCAGTGCGTTCTCATTGAGACATTGGCATCGCCATTACAATCTCCGCAAAAAGCTCCGCAGGGAGAGTGGGCTCTGATGCGACGATGAAGCATCAACTTGACCTGGGGCTTGCACAGCGACAAAGAAACAGCTTTTGCGGCTTTCTCGTGGAATTGAGGAGCATGTTGCGGTGTTTGTGGGGAGTTTTGAGCCTCGCGATCCGCGTCTTGACACGCGCATTTGGTCGACGCAGGCGTCGCGCGGCGCGGCTTGCCTTGATGGGCGCTGCGAGATGGCTGCGCAGGAAGCCTTTGTCGTCGGTCAGCTGCAAACGCGGAAATGCTCACTCACTCGCGTGGTCATGCCATGGGGAATGGCCGCAGCGCCGAGCGCCTGTGAGGATGAGGAGCGAGGGGGAAATACATGCTCGCTCGCCCATCAGTCAATTGCTTGCACGCAAGCGCTTCCGCCGCGTCGCCTTCCAGGGCGGCGCGGGCTTCCTCTCCGTCGTCAGCTCTTTCTCAAATCACTCGCGCAGGGGCAGTCTGAAGTTTGAGGAGCGCGGTGTGTATTACAGAGACTGGGATATGAGAGGTGCAATAGAAGGGCAAAGCGTGTGGGTGTAGATACAGTCGAGATCAGCTTGCTGCAGCGGCTCCGTCAGCCGAGCGCGAGGCCAACGCTAGTGGCAGTGGTAGCGAGGGGCTCAGGCGCGGGTCCGCTGCTGTCGCTGAGCAGCGCATCCCAGTCATTCTCGTGTAGGAAGAGCCAAGCGAAATCGCTGGACGCGCCCGCGTCGTTGCCGTTGCTCAAGACCGCGAAGGGGCCGTCACCATGACCCTCGACCTTGAGAGCGCGGCGCGGGATCTGAATGGGTGGCAGCATGGCGTCATGATTGGCGCGGTGGGACGGGGGTCCGGATGATGACGAGGTCCAGAGAAGCTGTGCGTTAGTTGCAGGCCAAGAGGTCGCGGTCTTGGTCTGCGACGTCAATGTCACGGGAGGTAGCTCGGCTCGCGGCGACAATGCTGCTTGTGGTGATGGGTATGCATGGCGGGGCGGCCAGTTGGGGCAGGCCTTGCTGGCGGGCGGTGCCCCTGGAGGGCTCATAGAGCGCACCTGTAGAGCGGATGGGACTTCGGACAATGCCGAGGCGGAATGCTGTTCGCGCGGCGACGGAAAGGCGGTCGTATGCGCGTTTGGGCGAGCGGGGTGCCTGCCTGCAGCACTCTTCCCGTGGCGTAGCGGCTGCTGTGTGGTCTCGGTGGCCCCTGACATGGAGCTGAGTCCGTTGGTGTGGTTGCCTCGCTGCTCTGCGACTGCCCTCTGACGGGCCGAGTCGAGTCGCTTCATCGTCGCTCGCAGGCTCTCCTTGGATTCGCAGAGGTGCGAAAGGATGCGCTCCGAGACGCGAGCCGTCTCGCTCCGTGCACCGAGGTGTCGAAGTGTAAAGATGATCTCCGAGACGTTCTTGGCGAACCAGGTCAGCTCCTGCTCGCCCGAAGATGGAGCTGCAGTTGTCTTCTGGCGCACCGTCGTGGCGCTCTCCTCGCGTTTCAAGAGGATGTAGGCAAAAGCTGTGGCAGCGTGAAAGAGATGCTCGGAGCAGAGGCTGGAATCAAAGGAGATGAAGCTGCTGTCGCAGAGATCCACAATGACGGGTATGGCCTCCATGATGCCGCGAGCGTAGATGAGAGCCCTGTTGCGCAGGTCGTCGGGAGCTTTTGTGTCGCCAAGGAAGCCTGCGTGTGCGCGCGCGGGGGAGAGGCAGGAACGAGCATGAGTAAGTACATCTCTGCGTGCGGCGCGGTCTCGCGCACGTTGACGCACACTTGTGAAGGAGGCAGCGCAGATAACCCGCAGACGTGTGGTTGATAAGAGTCTGGGCCGCCTTGCGATGAGCGCCCGCCTCTGACGTGCGAAGCCCCTGTCGGGCCTCCTCAAGCGGGACCTGGCACCCAGTCGTCCATGCGTCGAATCGCGCATCGATGCTGCGCGCTCGTTGCACACGGGCCTCGATGCTCATATCGTGAAGACTGTTCGTAAAGTCGCGAACGGCGGGCACCAGTTGCGTGAGGTGGATCTTGGAGATAAACTCGTCAGCCACCAGAACCGTCTTGAACGTTTGTGCGGCTTGCGGAGGTATGTAGTCGCCCGTCTTGGGGTCAAAGTACTCGTCACGTAGGTAGCTTGGCAGCGGCAGGTTGACGTAGTTGGTGGGCAAGTCGGGCGGTCGACGCCAGCAGAGGCCGTGCCACCAATCGAGGATGACGAGATCCCAAGCGAGCCTTTGCTTCATCTCGAGCTCCAGGAAAGAGGGAGACGACTTTGTCGGCGCATTGGGGAGGAACGACGCAAAGTGATCCATCTGAGAGTGCCTAGGAGGAGAAGGATACTTTGGATTCGACATCTCCTCGATACTCTGCTGCTCCGCCGCTGTCAGAAGCTCGAAGCGAGCTGATGACGGCGTGCTCCATTGTCGGTTGCGACTGTCAAATAGGCCAATCTGTTTGGCCCGGCGCAAGGCTGAGCCAAGCTTGTGGTAAGCAGCCTGGAGGCGGCCGCTGTACATCATATAGTAGGTCATGATCATTCTGGCACGGGTGAGGCGTAGCGAAGTGAGCGAGGTCAATCGCTCGCACCAGTGGCATTCGTCTGGCACGCGCGTACTTACTCGCTCTGAATCAAGGGCAGCGTAGGCGAACGGTGGTTATACGACTTCCACCCGTCTTGCAGTCGCTCGTCGCAATTGACGAGGTACATGGCGTGGTCGATGAGGAGATCTCGGTCCACAACGAGGTCGCTGGCTCGCGGATGATTGGGAGGGACGAGGATGGCGGCCATGGCGAGCATAGCACATAGAAGGGCTCCTTGAGCGCAGGTGATGGCTTTGCCCGCCTTGAGTCCTCCTTCCCAGACAGAAGACCTGAACCAGGGCTGGTAGATGCCGACGATGAACCAGTCGAGCTTTGATGGGGGAGAGGATGAGGCCGATCAGACTTTGGCATCCCTCACTTGCCTCCGCGCTTACTCACCTCGATAAAAAAGACGTCGAGCAGTAGCTCGCACTTGTCCTCGGACGGTAGAACAGATCGCAGCGCAGCTAGCGTGACCTCCGCAGGCGTCTGCTGCTGGTATGGTCGAGCTGATGCCGCAGTCGGGGCTCCTTGATGCTCCGACAAGCGCCCAATGGCGGCTTCAAGCTGACTCTCGGCCTCTTCATGCCTCTGCCTGCTCTCGGCCACAATGTTCTTGAGGCCGCTGAGGACATCCCCAAGACTGTCAACCTCGCAGCGAGAGCGCTTCACCGGGCGATCCGGAGGGCCGTAGGTGGCAATGTGGGTTGCATCGGGCGATCTCTTGGTTATTGCGGCGTGGGGAGAGCGAGAAATCGATGCTGTGGAAGACGACGACGACGAGGCAATGGCAGGCTGAGGCTGCGCGTGACGTCGGCTCGCCGCGTTATCCATCGCATTGTTTGCTGTCGTCCAACCGGCCAGCGCATCGTACGATGATGATGACGACGCAGTATCAGATGGCTGTAGAGGCTCTTGGCCAGAGTAGCATTCCTGACACGTCTCGCGCATCACGCATTGAGAGCATGGCTGCGTGGCGCAAGGATGCCAGCCACGGTCAGCCACAACGCCGCAATCTCTTGTCCACTCGACGCGCTGAGGCCACTCACAAAGACCCTGTCGCACTTGGACTTTCTCTTGCGGCATGGCAGGCAGTTGTGCTTGTAGCGCGGACGGATCGCGCTAGAGGAAGACGAGGCAGTGGCACCAGCCCCCGTTGCCGGCTGACCGCTTGACGACTCTCCCTGGCCGCCGCCGTTGCCGCTGATGCTGAAGCCAGCCCCGCCATTGTACGTCGGTGAGGCCATGTTAGCTCTCCAAGAGAGCCGTCGTCGGTTGACTGCTTCTCGGAGGGGCAGGAGGTGTCCAACGATGACAGAAGTGGGACGTGGGTGAAACGGAAAGAGGGCAAAGCTAGCGATCGACGAGCAGCGGGCGCCCTCGCATTGCACTTGGACTGCAACCTTGCTTGGCCTGCACCCTGGCTAGCGCAAGTCGAGTCGAGTCCAATCGTCAGACAAAGCGGAAGCAGCGGCGGTCCTGCAGCAAGCAACGTCCGCCCGCACAGAGTGGCCGGGTCTTGCTCCGCACTACCAAGCCGCCGCCGCCGCCGCCGCCCGCAATGTGGACGGGCCAGGCCCGGCCTGACCGCGGCCTCCAGTTCAGGCACCGCGCCGTCATGATCATCCTCAGGCACCTTGTCTTCCTCACGTCGTGTTCATCGCCTTGCCTTGACGCCTCCGCTGTCTTTGCACTTGTACGACACATGCGCGTGCGCGCACTATCGTAGTAAAGGCATCGAACCTTATCGTCGTCGACTGCCTTGACACAGGGCGCTCGTGGCAGCATTGTCATGTGCGCCATGTATGTAGTCGCGTCGACATCGTCCAGAAGCAAGAGGCGTGCTGACCTCGGACACATCCGTTCAAAGCGCGCCTTGGTCAGCTGAGTGTTGCCTTCAGCAACGGCTGCTTGCGTCAGGCTGTGACTCAAGGCTCAACCTGCGTCCCTCGTGGACGTTGCCTCCTGCACCGTCATGAGCAGCGACTGCTGCGAAAATCGAAGGCTCTGCATCGCGGACGTAGCGGTCAGCCGTCCAGAGCAGGTAGTGGGGGCGGATCTGCTACGGCTAGAGTCGTTGCATCGTCTCGATGCCATTCCGACCGACCTTCGCCCTCTGCTGTCAAAGACCTTTGTGGCTTGCATCAGTGATCTTGACGCGCCCTTTGGCCATCTTCTGTGTGCTGCGCTCTGCTCGTCACTGTCATCTCATTGTCTCAACGAAGAGAGTTTGCCACCAGTCAATTCATACCCAAAGCTCATGACGCCTTCGCCGCTACCGCCGCCGGTCGCAAGGACTCAGCTACACGTCTCTTGCATGGTCTACCGCCGTCTCACGCTGCGTTCATGGTCGTAGAATTGCACTAGACCTGCCACGCCCCTCTCTCGCTGAGCCCTCTGGCAATTCGCTACTCATGGTGCTCGCCTTCTGTCATGCGCTTCGCTCAAATCGTCCCCGCCGCCAACTGCTCCTCCAGGGCGAGCTTGTCCAAGACGGACCATACCTCCACGATACGCTGGCCCTCCCAGCGGTAGAAGACATTCTCCGAGAAGACCACCCGTCGCCCGTTGATAGCCAGGCCAAGAAAGGTTCCTGCTGGTGAGCAATCAAAGTTGATCCGGGCAGCCAGAAGCGGAGGTGTGGCGGCCACCAGCACTACATCGAAGCGCAGGTCCGGGATCCGCTCGCAGTCCTCGACGAGCATGGCGCGGTAGCCAGCCACGCCTAGAGGTCGGCCATTGTGCTTGACGTCGTCCGAGACGAAGCGGGCAAGCTCGCCCCATCGTCGATGGTTGAGGCAGTCGATGTAGTCGCGGTAGAGGGCTTCCAGAGACATCGTGACCGCAAGGAGCAAAGACAAGCCCAGATCGCTCAGACGGAGGGCGGATGCCGTGCAATTGACTCGGCAAGCCGTCGTCAGGAACGCGCTCGCTACCCTCTTGGGCGTCAGGATGGCTTGTCCGCAGTCCATGAAATCGTCGATGAGGACGGCTCGTAGGCTATCAACCACCTGTTTGACCATCAACCTCTCTCTCCATGATGCAGGACAGAGACGTCGAGCTCGACAAAGCTCGACACGAGCTCAAAGCGCACATCATCATGGACGATGGTAACGAGGAGCGGTCGAAGCGTCTCTGCCGCAAGATGGATCTACACATCTTGCCAGTCGTAGCCCTTCTCTACCTCTTCTGCTTCCTCGATCGCGCCAATATTGGCAATGCCCGCTTGGCTGGCATGGAGAAGTCGCTACACATGGAAGGTTTGGACTTCAACCTCCTGCTCTCGGTCTTCTATATGGCATACATCGTCTTTGCTCTCCCCTCGACGATGCTTTGCAAGGTTGTCGGGCCCCGCTTCTGGCTGCCCTCGATTGCCATTGGCTTTGGCATCTCTTCGCTGGCTACGGCTTTTGTGCACACCCTGCGAGCGGCCTGGGCCACCCGCTTTTTCCTTGGCGCCTCCGAAGCTGGCGCCCTCCCATCCATTTCGTTCTACCTCTCGCGCTGGTATCGACGCGACGAGTTGGCCTTTCGACTGTCTTTGTACATCGTCTCGGCACCTCTTGCAGGCGCTTGGGGTGGTCTGCTAGCATCAGCGATTCTCAAGATTGACCACATCGGCTGGCTGAGGGACTGGAGACTAATCTATTTCTGTGAGGGCATCGCCACAGTCGGTGTTGGAGCCGTCGCCTTCTTCCTCCTCAGCGACAGCCCGCAGACAGCCGGATGGCTCACGCCAGAGGAGAAGATGTTGGCAGTAACTCGCATGCTGCAGGATGTGAAGGGGACGGCTTCTCAGACTACTGACCACAGAATTCGGCTCCCTCAAGTCAAAAGGGGAATCTTCTGCGTCACGACACTCTCCCTGTGCTTTGCATTCATGATGAACAACATCATTGTTCAAGGGCTTGCCTTCTTCCTGCCAACGATCATTCGTACCCTCTATCCAGGTCGTACCATCATCCAGCAACAGCTGCTGACTGTGCCGCCCTGGATCGCTGGCAGTATTTCCACCCTCGTGGTGCCCTACCTGTCGATGAAGACTCGACACAGAAGTGGCTGGATTATCATGTCTGCCCTCTTTGCGGTAATCGGCTTCGCGGTCTACACTGGTACACATGCTCGCGACGCCAAGGCTCGCTACACTGCCTCATTCTTTGTTTGCATCGGGTCATTCCTCATTGGGCCCATCTTACAAGGCTGGGCCTCTGGCAACCAGACGGAAGACTCCAGTCGAGCAGCCGCCATTGGGACTACCGTCACCGCCGGCAATATCGGCGGCTTCATTGCCTGCTGGACGTTCCTCCTACGAGACGCCCCTGATTATCACTCTGGCAATGCCATCAACCTGGCTTGCGCTTGTGGGATCGTGGTGAGCGTCGCCTGCCTTGGCGCTTACCTCTGGCGGGAGAACGGGCGGCGCGACGCGGGCGATCGCGACGAGCTCCTCGTCGGCCTATCGGAGGAGGATAAGGAGAATCTCGGGCACCTCCATCCTGCTTTCCGGTACTGTCTGTGAGGGCGCGAGTGTCTTGTCTGTACATAACATGCTGGATCTGATCGAATTACATTGCGATGGGAGAGACAGGGTATGATGAAGAGTGCAGTGTCCAGGAAGCGTATCGTGGTGTGTCAGCGTGAGGAAAAGGCCGTAGTCAATCGAGAAGCTGGATCATTTCGCAGCTGCAGCCGTCGTAGTTGCAGAAGCTGTGCGCTCGTTCGCCTTAGCCTCTCGCCATTTGGGTACTACTACCCATTGAATGATGAAGCCAGCGAAGGCCAGCACTTGTACGCCCGTGGCGATTGAGAAAGCTGGGCCAACACCGACGGCATTGATCAGAGGGCTGACCAAGCTGGTGGCTCCGGCAGCCAGGAGGCAGCGAGCCAGGTTGAGACTGGCGCTTGCTGCAGCACTCTGGTCTGGGTATACGTCGACGAGGTAGGTCATGACGCCAGACTGCATTCCGATTGCAGTAGCGCCAACGAAGAAGGTGGCGATGATGGGGATGGCGATCGGAACCTTGTGTGGGTAGGCGATGGTCCAGCCGAAGAGAAGGATGGCGAGACACTGGATGGCCGAAAAGATGGGAACGAGGAGGAGGCGAGCCTTCTCAATAGGCAGATCCTCCTCTGGCCCTTGGTGCTTGCGCTTGACTCGTTGATAATTGCGGTCCAGCAGCTTGCCTGTGAAGAGGGTGCCAAGAATGCAACCCACGCCGTTCGCGATGAAGCTGAGGCCGATCTGCAGTTCAGAGAGACCGTATTGCGTCTTGAAGAGCGTCGACATGGCGGTGATGGTCATCTGCCAAACGGCATAGTAGATTGCCATGAAGAAGATGATAGGGGCCGTATATTTGCTCAAGAGGGAGCGAAAGGGTGCCAGGAAGTCAATACGCTTGGGAGGTGGCACCTCATTTGCCGAAGGCTGGCCCACCTTCCATCCACTCTTTGTCGTTCGCTGATACAAGGAGAGTGGGAAGGCGATGAGAAGCTTCCTCGACTCTGGTATATGACTACCATCGGCAACGAGGGATCGTAGCGTCTCTGGCAGAAAGGCGACGATGACGAAGAAGTAGCAGCCACCATAAATGACGAGGAACCAGAAGACGCTGCGCCATCCCAGAGAATCGGCCAGAGCACCTCCAATGATGGGACCGATGGCAACGGGAGCTAGAAGTCCAGCTTGAAAGATGCCCATGAATCCTGCCCTCTCTGCGCGGGTAGTGATGTCACCGATGACTCCTGACCCCAAGGCAATGGTGCTTGCGCTACCTGTACTCTGTAGGCATCTGAGTACGAGGAGGGTGGCGTAGTTCTGGGAGCAGGCGAGTCCAATGCAGGCGCCGAGGAAAACAAGAAAAGTGCCCAGAAGTGCGACTCTGCGGCCATGGACATCGGAGACGGGGCCCCAGAGACTCGGAGCGAGGCCCTGGAAAATCAAGTAGGTGGTGACTGTGAGGTTGATGAGCTCGATCGAGACGCCAAGGTCATCGGCGATGGTAGACAATGCAGGAAAGTATATGTTTGAGGCGGCACCGCTAACTGCAATTTGATGATTGTATATTAGTGCCAAGCTAGACTGTATTGTTCTACGCTCTCTTATGCTCACATGTCGCTGCTATGGAGACGATGGCGACCAGCAGTGCCTTCTGCCTGCGGTCGAAGATGGAGAATTCGGTCCACTTTGAGGTGGACAACGATGTTGACGAGTCCCTATGAGTCGCAGAGGCTTGCTCGATGTCATCATTTGGTTGTTGAGGGTGTTTCGGGTTGTCGTGATCTGCCATGCTGGATGAAAAATGAGTTGCGTATGAAGGTGGTGGAGTGAAAGCGAGAAGTCGAAATTTGAGCTCTTCGAGTCAAGGAGAGCGGGTCGATGCTCAGCCGGCCGGCGGTCCAAGCATCCCGTGGCCAATTTCATCCGGCTGATTTATCCGCCTATCCATCGGCAGCTGCTACGATCTCCAGCTAATAGGATTCCTCCGTGCCGCACTGCATGCCTGCCCAACCATTGCCAGCGGTATCATGGCGATGATGATGATGATGATGATGATGGAAAGGTGCAAGCTGCGAAAGCTGGCCATTGATGGTCCAGCGCGATCGCTCTCCACGAAATTGTTGCCCCGCCTTGACGGCGATAGTCCCGACGAACAACGTGCCCATTTACCTTTCATCTATGCCGTGGAGAGTGAAGCGAGGACGAGGTTGGTAGGCGACTCGCTGAGCCTGCTGGGGCTCTGTTGTTGCTCCCCCCACCGCTCTGTCAACAACGCTGACGGACACTCCGAGCCTGAAGCAATCACACGTCTCGTCTGCTCTCACGTTCCCTACACCTTCGCAGCGGCCCTTCTCTCGATGACTCCAAGGCAATTGCGACTACAAAAGGGGCCACAGCAATGGTCGGTCACCTCTCAGCCACGGATTTGACCTCACAATTGCTTCAAAGATGCACTTCTCTCTACCCCTCGTTCTGGTCGCCCTCGCAAGCGCAGCCACATCGACGCTAGCCGCTACCCTCTCGTGGGACGGTACCAAGATCCCTAACATCTGCTCCAACGACCTCTATGCGATCCAGTGCTTGGGTCTGCCCTCCTCGCTCCACCGCGACAGCAGCGATGCGACCAGCCACCGCTCCATGAATGCTTGTCGTAGTCCCAATCGATGTGCGGGCAGCCAAGACTACGGTAGCTGTGACGAGTAGTGAGTAGCGCAACTGCGCCCGAGGGTTGCCAAACTGACTCTAACTCGCACCTCTGACTCGCGCTTGTGCAGCCCCTACGCTTCGAGCGCTGAAGGCGGTGCCCAGGCTGTGACTCGCTGCGTGCCCGCTCACGAGAACAGTGTCCAGGTGAGTGGGCGAAGGCGAGATGGACCAATAGAGGGTGAGCCTGACCCTTCGCTGACTCGACTCGATTGCTCTACAGGGCGGCACTTTGAGCTCCTTCTACACGCGCAATGACATCGAGCAAGGCGATCAATACAACGTCGCATTCTACAAGTGAGTCGCGCGTCCCGGCTGGTCTGGAGAGGTCTGGCGAGAGTAGGCATAGATTGACGCTGGTTCGCCAACCCTCCGCAGCACGCGTGGACTCGAGTACGCGGATGGATCCTGCGACAACAGCGGTGACGAGGTCCGTCGACGCCAGCTCCATCCTCGTGATCTCCTGCGCATGAACACCGCGGCCTACTCGAGGCGAGTCTTCAATACCGCCGAAGGCCACGAGCTCGTCATGTTTGAGCCCTTGAGCCAGCCCAAGGCTCTCGACCGTGTACTTGGCACCGATGCCTACCTGGCAACGGAAGCAAGGTGGGTTCCCATTGTCAATGCTACGATGTGAGGTAGCGCTTGATCAAAAGGCATTTGTTTGTTCTTTGAGAAGGCAAGCTGTACCACTACCTTGCTTCGAATTCAAACGTCATGTCTTGTGGTCGCCTTCATTCTCGCTGCGTGTGGCCCGTGCAGGGCTGTGCGGGCCAAACATCTACTCCCGCCGACCGCGACATATCAACTTTCACCATCGTCACCGCCCACTCGCCCGCTCGACTTTCCTGATGCAGCGAGTCGAGCGAGGCCATGGGCACGGTTTGCGCTGCGAAGCGTCCCTTCTGTCTTCTTTACCTCCATCCGCCATCTCCATCTCCTCTTCTCACCTTCTCTTTCTCCCATATTCTTGCCCTGGTTTGGCAAGGACCTCTCGACCTGGTCGTCGACGTCGTCATCCTCACAATCCCTCCCTCTCATTTCTTTCTGCCTCTGGTAGGCATCATCAATCCACCACTCGTTTGCATCTCCGACATGTCTTCCCCCCTCATTCAGCAAGCGGCATCGCCGTCTTCCCTCCCTTCCACGTCGTCTTTGGCTCCTTCTCCGCCCCCGCGAAGTCCTTACCTTGATGCAGCCAAGTCGCGCATCACCCGCCGCCATCCGCCGCCTCCTCAAAGACTGCTGCTCCTTCAGCCTGATGGCCTCGCCCATCGTCTGAGCAGCGACCGACTCGTGCAAGAGATTGCCGAGGCTCGCCGCATCTCACGTAACATCAGCTCCCTTTCGCTCAAGGCAGGCTTGCATGGAGGCCATCACATCGAGGCCAAGCAAGGTCCACTGGGAGGTTACGATACCCGCAGCGCTCAAATGGCTCGCCGACGACGCGCAGCAAGTCAGTCAGCTGCTCTCTCTCCATCTCGCCGCCCTGCTCTTTTCCGCCGTCAGCATCAACGCACCTCTTCGTCGAGCTCAGCAGCGACAGAGACGTACCTCGTCGACTACTATGACGATTCGAGCCCGGAGTTCACGCCCCTCTTTACTCCTCCCGCCGAGAGAAGAGCGCCATCAAAGAAGAGGAACTCCCGTCGCTCCCAGTCAGCGTCTGCTACCAGCTACCCGTTCCCTCTTCCCCCTCACAGCAGCGATGATGGCCACAGCGAGCAAGAGGGTGTCCACTTCGGCGGGCTTGGTCTCGATCTTGGTCCCAATTGGAACGAGCTCATCGACCGACCAGATGCCATCGAGTCGCCATGCCCGGCTCAAGCCTGCTACGATTCGGATGGTCTCACGGGCTCTCAAGGATGGTCACCGGACACGACCGCCTTCGACACCGGAAGTAACATGGCTTCGCCTTTCGTAGATGACATCTCCCTCGGCGGTTTCGCGGGCCACGTCCAGCCTCTGAGCATCCGCAAAGCGAGTACAATGCGGCGCGCCAGCTCAGACGATGAGACGTATCTCGAGCCGTTCAGCATCGACGCAGAGGCCGCCGATGAGACGGAGAAGCTTGCTCGACTGTCCAACAGCCTCTCGCTCCTCAGCATGGACGCTGAAACCGAGCACGAGGAGGCGACTGCCTTTATTCAAGAGGCAGAGGCCGGCAGCGCCATGTCGCCCTCTGTAGTGCGTGCCATCTACTCGCCCGAGCGCGCTGCACCATCCTTGGCAGAGCAGCTGGCATTCGCCTGCGGTAATGGCTACCAATACCGCGGAAGCACGCCTGCAGTCGGCATGGCGAGAGTGGTCAGCTCCAGCGCTGAAGGCTACTTGCCTCGTCAGTCAAATGGCTCGTCACCGGCCATGAGCCTCTGCCTCGACCCCCTCAGCGGGCTCAGGGCTGAAGTCGGAGACAGCTGGAGCGATGCTCACGGTCATGGCAGCGACAGGCAGTCGCGCTGCTGGGACGAGGACGACCGCGAGGAGGACAGCTTCTGGGTCAGGAGGGAGTCCATCGCCGAGGAGGGGAGTAACGACGCCAGCGTTGTCATCGACGACGACGACGACGACGTGGCCTCGATGGGAATGCGATCCGCCCCTGCCAAGTCTCGCCAGGTCAGCCTCTTCCTGCCTTCTCCCACGATGGTGTCCTCGCCCATCCTGTCTGGCGTGCTCTCTAGCACACCTCCGAACAATTCTGCCCCTACGGATTTCCAAGCCCTTGCCGCCGCTCACAAGGAGATTCGCGTCGAGCAGCTCTTCCGTCAGCCTTTCGCAGAGTCAGACACCTCACCCGAGTCGCCATCTATTGAGGAAGTTCCTTCAAGGCAGGAACGCGCTGCGTCCCCTACGGTCAACGAGCTCCAGCAGCTGCCGACTGCGTCGCCGGACATGCACTTCTTTGGTCAAGAATTCGGCAGCTATCTAAGTCTGATGGATGCTGGCTCCCCGAAAAGTGATGACATCAATGAGGCCCGCACAAATGGATGCAGGCGCAGCCCACGACCGCCTCCAATCACGCTGCCCAAGTCCACTTTGTCTCCCACGATGGACGCCGAGGCTTCCTTTGACCTGAGCTCGTTCAAGACGCCCGAGCCTCTCAGCGACTTACCGTCTCCTACCGCCACTGACGGAGAGCGACCTTTTCCTTTTGCGGGCGTAAGGCCATCAATTGACATTGTCGACAGCCGCACTGCCCTGCCAGCGTCATTCTCCATGATGAACACACCCGCACACCCGCATCAGTCCATCTGCTCGGCCGTGAGCATGGCCGTGACGCAAAGTCGCGCCACTGAGATGACGGCAAGCACATCGACGTCGTCTGTTCTCGATCGGGGTCGCCCGATCCCGGCGAGCGCCTCGTGCGGCTTCCTCGGTCGCAATCGTGATGAGAATATTCGGTTGGCAAGGGCTCAGGCAGCTGCGACGCTCGAGGGTACACCGGCTACGGCAGGGCCAAAGTCGCGGGTGACCGGTCCGTTGACCGAAGAGGCCATTGCCAAGTCTCAAATGCCTCGCATTCCCAAGAGAAGCACATCGATGGGCCGCCTGCGAATAGAGAGCCAGTCTGAGGTGTCTCCATCAAAGGACGCTGCTGCACTCCCGACACCTCCTCTCCCGCACTCCAGTGAAGCCGAGGCGATCCGCCGCGTGTGGTGGCAGCAACAGATGGAGCAGCGAGAGGCCTCGCCGACATCCATTCGCCCCGTGCTAGCTCCGTCAGCATCAATGCCTGCCTCGTTGATTCCAGGCCACCCTCACAGCTCGGATGCCCCGAAACGCCCATCCATCAGCTCATCGGCCACCACGTCTTCGTCCTTTATCGAGCGAAGCAGGTCTCCTCGTCCGCGTGCACTGAGCCGAGGGGCCAGCGAAGCGCTCAAGAAGGAGTTGGCAGCGAGCACAAGGCCTCGCGGGCTTCCAGCTTCGCAGAGCATGGTCTGTCTGCCCACAACGCGCGCACCTCATACGCCAGCCAAGAAGGTGGCATCGATGCCTCCGATCCAGAAGGAGACCGCACCTTTGCCCCTGCCCACCCTCTTCATCGCCCGCACACACTCGCAGCGCCTTCGGGGCGACACGGGCATCGCTGAGACGAACCCTCGCCTGATTGCCAAGGCGACGCGTGCCCGCCGCGAGGTTAGCAACGGCATTCTGCTGCACTCGACGATGCGAGCTGCTCCTACCGCATCTCCCGTACCTGCTCAGCGTATCCGGTGGGCCAGTGTCGAGGCAGCTGGACGAGGAAGCATGGACAGCCAAAGCTCAAAGATGCAGACGCCCAGTGGTGTGATCTTGGTTGTGGAAGAGAAGTCGGTGACCATTGCATGAGCGTGGTGTGTCTTGGCGTAACAGTCCTTTCATCTAATGCATGGCTTTTATACAATGACTTCGTCATTCGACGTGCCGCGTCAAGTGGGTATCGATTGGTTGCGTTATCCACATTGCTGCGTACAGACTCGGCTCGACCTACTGCGCAGTCCGTGCATCCCAGTCGAGATGATGAAGAAAGGTTCTCATAGTCTCTTGTCGGCGCTCAGCCTCGACCTTTGCCTTGTTCATGAAGAGGCGATCGCCCCAAATGAGCAGCAGCTTCGAATGGATGTGATCAACAGCGCTATCAACGCACGCAACCGACGAGAGGAGTTGACGTCCTGACACGCCCGAGTAGGCTGCGCATCGCATAACCCCGACGGCGCCAATGGCATCGAGGCGATCCGCATCGGAGATGGCGCGGAACTCTGGCCAGCAGTAGACGCCCTCCTTGTACAGCTCGTCGTATACCACATGACTCTCGTCCGGAGGTTTGCGCCCGTGAGCTTGATCTGCCTTCACCAAGCGCTCGTACGCTTGCTTGCGCCGCTTCTGATCCTTGCTCCAGCCGATGTTGATAATGATTTCGATGATGCGATCCTTCTGCTCTACGTCCAGCATCCAAGCATGGCCCTGTTTGGAATCGTCCCAAAAGGGACCGAGTACCGCTCTTGCCAAATCTCTTGGTTCAGCTTGCGAACGAACTGCGTCGGGAGGCAGGAGTTTGGGGTCGACGAGGTCATGGAAGAGGGCCGCGAGCTCGAGGACGAGATAGTCGCAGCGTAGCGTGGGCTCATTTTGGTCATCTGCGACTTTCTTGTTCTGCAAATCCAACCAGTCTTGATCCCTATCAAAGCTGCCGACTGCTCCGAGGTAACTGAGAGACCGGGCGCCTCTGAGCCAAAAGGCGAGATCCCTGACGCGTTGAACGTGAGGCCAATCGTGCGAAGGATCTCCGATGCGTTCGAAGTGAGATTTGGCAAATTGCTCAGCCTCTTGTACGATGAGATAGATGAGTGGGCGCGGCAAGACACTGGAAGAGATCTGTTGTCCGCACGATGGTCCTGATGAATCCATTTCAATTACCCTCTTGCTGTTGTTGCGTGGTAATGAAGGCTGCCGTTAGTCTACGCGTCTTGACTGATTGAAGCAGCGTGCGTCTCTGGACTGCCTCCCTCGTGGCCGCTTCCGACGAATGGAATGAAATTTGGTTGCGACTGGAGAAGGGTCGACTCAGAGCTCAGACCTTGTCAATCCACTTCCGCTTTCTTACCATCTTCCACTGAAATGCCTCAGAAGTTCAGACAAAGAGGCAAAAAGAAATCAAAAAAGGCGAAGGAGGAGCAGCAAACTGCTGCGGTGGAAGAGCCTGCATGGACCATTGACCGCGGTCATGGCGAGGAGCAGGCAGTGGAGGAGGAGCGAGAAGGATTCGACGGTGGAGATGAAGACGGAGCAGCTGCGCCGGGAGAGCATATCCCCATTCAAGAGTCAGATCTCGCTGGCGGGCGCAACAATGTAGACGATGTTGCTCCTTTTGGCTTCGTCTCGCCAGAGCTCAAGGGTTATCTCAAGGATGCGCTGGCCAGTCTTCATCAGATGCAGACTAAGCGCAGTGAGGATTGGGAAGCAGAGGAAGACGATGATGGGCAAGAGCAATCAGAGCAAGCAAGCCTTCTGAGGTTGGCCATGCTCAGGGAGATGAATGGACAGGAGCTCGCATGCGCAACGGATGGTGAGGCTAGCATTGCACTTGAGGCTATCATTGATGGGCTTGATGGAAGGAGATTGAGGATTCTAGCAGATCGCATGTCAGGCAGGTGAGTGGCAGCGCATGCGAAGCTCACCGCTTGCTTGTATGCTGACGTCTCCCCCGCTGTTCCCAGCTGCTATCCACTCGCTGGACACCGGTTTGGCTCGCACGTCTTGCAAGCCATTCTTCGACATCTCCAGCGCGACCTCTCCGGCAAAGGCAAAGAACGTCACATCGACGACGATGCAGCAGAGACGTCGGCAGGCGTGCTGCGTAGCTCGCAGCAGCTCATTTTCGACCTCGTCGACGAACTCACACCTCATACACAAGAGCTCCTCCAGAGTACCTTTGGCACGCATGTCGTACGATCGATGCTCCAGCTCCTGGCTGGGCAAGACCTACATGCGATGCAGCGCTCAAAGAAGTCAAAGGCATTCAGAGTGAAGGTACAGCAGCAGGACGGCGCTGTCGAGGGAGCTGCTAGCTTGACGCCCTTCCCCGACAAGCTCAAGGAAGTACGCCACGCCTGTCTACCCAAGGATATCACCGGCAGGAATGAGGCGAGAGCTCTCCTCGTCTCACCATCCGCCTCGCCAACGTTTGCCCTTCTTCTCTCCCTCGAGGCTCAGGCAGGCGAGGCAACGCAGCCAGATTCTTTAGCAGACGTTGTTCTCGAAGGCCTTATCGCCGCCGACGTGGAGGGCAACGATGCGCACGAAAGCCAATATGGCGTCGAAACGCTACTTCGCCACCCATCTGGATCTCATGCCCTCGAGGGACTCCTTTCACAGCTGCCTCAACGCATCGCCTCGCGCTTTTGGTCCACCTACGTGCGCGGCAAGGTCACGCGCCTGGCTTGCCATCCTGTAGCAAACTTCGTGTGCGCGGCAGCGGCCAAGCGCCTCGACGCAGGCTCCGTGCGAGAAGCGCTCGAGGAGATCAAGGAGAAGCAGGGTGGCAAGATGATCAAGGAAAGCAAGACAGCCGTCCTCCTTGCGCTCATGGCCAGAGCAGCCTGGTGGGAAACACAAGGCGAAGGAGGGCTCGAGGCGTTGGCCCTTGCTGCGACGATGAGCGCCTTTGGATTTGATGCACCAGAGGATGCAAATTCCGAGTCTGACGGCTTGATGGTTCGGGCTATCCTGGCGCTCAAGACCAAGGACGGCTGGCACAAGATGATGAGGCGCCGCAAGGAGAAGGAGGCTGCGCAGGCAAAGGAAGCAGAAGAGAAGGCCAAGCAGGCAGTGGACACGGTCGAGGAGCTCGACGCTGGTGGCATGATTACTCGCGGCTCTCAGAAGAGAAAGCGAGGCAACGAGGAAGGTGCCACCAATGGAGACGATGCTGCTTCGCTCAGGCCCGAAGAGGCAACAGTGCAAGGTAGCGTAATGCTGCAGGCTCTCGTCCGTCTCTCAGAGCCACACAACCACACACTCTACGAAAGCTTGCTCAGCCTGCGCACACCTGTGCCCTACCTCACCAATCCAATCACCTCCCACGCCTACCTGGGTGCCCTCTCCTCCCCCACCCGCCCCTACACGTACATCCGTCGCTGGCTTCTCTCCCAACTCTCCCCCTTGCTCCTCTCAACCCTCGCAGACGACAAGTACGGTTCGCGCGTGGCCGACGCAGCATGGTTGCGCATGGACCTGTTTACGCGGGAGAAGTTCATGAAGACGCATTTCGCCTCGCCTGGTGGTTCGGAAGAGCGAAGGTTGCAGGGTGCATTCTACGGTCGTCATTTCCTCACCAAGAGACTGAGAGTCGCTGAGTGGCATCGCGACCATTTCAAGTGGAAGGACGGGCAGGCTGAGATGAGGGCCAGGGAGGAGGAGGCCGAGAAGGAGAGGACGAGGACCTTGGCCAGTGAGGCGGCGGATGATGTGACGCAGAGCGAGGACGGCGAAACGAAGGACGGCGAGAATGGTGAGCGTGGGGATACGGGGGCGACGACGAAGAAGAGGAGGAAGGAAAGGAAGGAAAAGACCAAGAATGAGACCGAGCTCGACGCCATCTTTGCCGGTGTTTGAGCATTTTGCATCTGCAATACACAATCTTGTCAGACTGGAATCAACCAAAATTGACATCGATCGATTAGATCATGTGACACCTCTGATGGTATCGAGTGGGAGGAGAGGGAGAGATGAACGATGCGGGACGGATGATATTGAGAAGTACATATGGGTGATGCCGTATACGCGGAAACCATGACTTTGAAGTTGGGTCTCCTCCCACTGCGCTTCATGCATCCTCTACCTGGTCGAATGCTGGTAGCGAGACGGAGGAGGACGGGAGAAGAACAATCAGCTTGATGTTTGACCAACCGTCGAGCCACAGCGCTTACTCACCGCTGTCGCTAAGCTCGTCGAACTCTTGATCTGCACTCTGCTCCCCTGATGTGCTATCCACGCTACTGTTACCTGCCCCTGCCTCCGGTCTAGCCCGCCTCGGCCCCCGCACAGGCTCATCATCATCTTCGTCTTCTTCATCGTCTTGCTCGTCATAGTTGACCGGCGCACCAGAGCGACGTGGCTGGCGGCGTTGTGCAGAGGGAGGCGGGGAGGGCGAGACTGAAGGCAGAGGGGTTGAAACACGCGAGGCATCAGCAGTCGCGCTCCCTGTGCTAGTGCTGGCTCCGTTGACCACGGGGGCGGGAGAGCTCTCCTCCGGCCGTTGAGCTTCGGTCGAGTCGGTCCGACGGAGTCGCTTGCTTGCTGGGGCCAAGGTGCTGGCATCCTCTTCGGCATCGTCCTCTGTGTCTCGAGCGCGCACGGCCGAGGAGGACGCTGGTACGCCATTGCGGGTCTCGAGCGTCGCAGAGGACGAATTTGGGCTAGAGGCGTGGTTGCTACTGCTGGTGGCGCTGCTACTGATGCTGGTGTTCGTCGCCGCCGGCGGTGGTGGCCACAGCGGGGCGGTCGGCTCTTGCGAACCGTTCGCCTGCCTGAATCGGGCAAGGCGTGCCCCGAAGCTCGACGTCTCGGCAGGAGCAGGCGGCGCAGTGGCGGTTGCGACCGACGTCGAGGACGACGATGATGACGCCAGTGGCGCGCCATTGATCGGCGCTCGTTGATCTTGCGACCGGGATGGAGGCCAGCCTGCTTGGCCAGGGAAGGGGCGAGCATAAGCGTCCGCCGCAGTCATGCCGGCTGAGAAAGAGGACTGCTGAGGCAGGGAGGGTCGGCTCGTCGAGGGAACGTTGGAGGAGTTGGCCCATTGACTAAATCCATGGCTGGTCACGGGAGAGGCAGTCGCTGGACGCAAGTCGTTGTGCGGTGAGTGATGCAGTACGCCATTGGCGGGCAGCCCGTGAGCCATGGCCGAGCGCACCTCTGGTGGCGGCATGCCGAAAGCACGAGATAGGTTGCTGCCGCTGCTGCTGCTGCCTCCACCACTCAAGGCCTGTCCTGCTCTGATCGCAGCTGTAGACGGCTGCGTAGGAGGGCGCCGAGTTGGAGGAGGAGGGGATGGGGGCTCATCGTCGCTGTCGCTGAGAGTAAGGTCAATGGCTTCATGTGCGGACTGCCCGCGAGAGGAGAGGGCTGTGGAGCGAGATGGGCCCGCAGCAGATGGCGCAGAGAGGCCAGTCGGCGTGCCCAATTCGACAGGAGCGTGGGACGATGAGCCGGATGCGCCATTGGCAGACTCTGAATGGGACGTTGTGAGCCGAGCAGAGGCCGGCGGCGGCGTGGGCGAGTCTTCGAGAGTGACGATCTCTGCCGAGGGAGAAATGCCATTTTGCGGAGCTACAGGGGGGGTCGGGGTAGCCGGCGGCAAGTCGCTGACACTTGGGTCTCGCTCTTGCTTCGTGACTAGCTGAGGCGAGGGAACTTCGGCCTTGGTAGCGCCTGCTACGCCAGTCGTGTCTGCTAAGCTGGCCTTGGCAGCAGGCGGGATAGCCTTGCTCGACGAGGTGACCTTGCCATCGCGAGTATGCCAACTGCCGTCAGGGTCCACCTCGACGTTGTCTTCGTCCTCTGGCACTCTCTTGAGAATGTCGTCGAAGTAGCCATCGATGAAGAGATCTTCGGGCCGCAGCGTCTTGGAGCAGTGCGGGCACGTCCAAGTCGGGCTCTGCTCGTTGCTCATAAAGTAGAAGGAGGCGTCGAAACACTGTGTGTGAGAACAGTGGACTGATCGGCATGGCGCTTGAATGCGTGTGTAGCTGAGAGGATCGCGCAGACTGAGCGTCGACGTGCCGACTTCGATGTCGTCCTCGGCCGCAGCCTTCTTCATTGTCCCCACGATCTCCTCTCGTGTCTTGTACTTGTCCTGCCGAAGCTTGGAGACGATTGTGTCAACGCTCGTATAGGAGCAGAGGGCGACGGCCATGACGTGCTTTTGGCTGACGTTGGCATATACGAGCTCAATCTTATTGACCATTCCGTCCCTGGTCATCAAGGTCTTGTCCTTGGCCAAATTAGGAGGCGGTACTCGACCTGGCATCTTTTTGCTGCCCTTGAGGCTCGAGCTGTAGAGGTTGCCATTTATTCGAAGCTCGCAGGACATGGGGAAGTCTATGTGGGCAGAGTGGTTGGGGGAGCGTTCCGCTATCTCGGCCGCAGCCTTTGTGGTGCAGAAGAGCCTGACTTGATAGCTTGAGTTGGGCATCTTGATGAGGCTGTTGTGTTGAGGATTGAGGCGTAGATCGATGTTGCCAGTTCTGCGATTCTGAGCTGCTGCTTCTGCGAGAACGATGATGGGACTGACGAATTCTTGAATCTTCCAAAAGGGCGATGGCTTGAAGTTGAGCCGTGATGGAGTGTGGGCTGTGGACGGGCAGAGCGGATGAGAGAGTCAGACCGGGGGGGGGGGGGGGGGCTCATTGCTCGATCATAGTGCGAGACATCTACTGACCTGCTGTGCGAAGTGCGCTTGATGATCCAGGCTGTCCCACGTAGCCCATCGATGGACCCGGGCGAGCAGCAGGCAGTTTGTTAGAGGGCACTCCTCCAATCGTCGATGGCATCCTCCCCTGTCCCGCCGCTCCTCCTGCACCTACCATGGAACGGTTATAGCCTGGCAGCGAAGAGGTATTCTGTCGGACTCCGTTGCTTCCCGGTCCGTAGCTGCTTGCCATGGTGTTTGCCCACGCTGAAGCAGCTGCCGCTGAGCTTGAGCCTGATGCTGAACCGGCGCTGCCAGCCCCGTTGGAGCCTGAGGTAGCAAGCAGGCTGCCTTTGGAATCTCGCGGAGCGCTGATCAGACGTATCGCCTCTCGTAGCTCGTACCATCGCATGCTGTGCATCCAGGACGTGAGCTGATCGCCGATACGATTGATCAGGGCCATCTTGGTTCCAGAGACGGCCACTCGAGCGCCGCAATGAGAGGCGAAATCTCGAAGCGTGCCTTTGAGCTCAACGACGGTCATGGAAGCGAGCGAGGAGCGAGCTCGCTGTGCGTGCAGTCAAAAGGGGATCTCCATCTCGTCAGACGACTGCTCCTGCTGATCAATGTTGAGGTCGAGAGCGTTACTCACCTGGACTTCCGACTCGCTCACAGTGCCACTACCACTGGCAGCCGTCGACGCCATGGTGGCAATATGGCAGCGGCGATGCCGTTGCGATTTGGACAGACGAGTTCAAAGGGCCGATACTGGAGTGTAGTGATTAAGGATGACGATGTGGGGTCGTCGAAGTAGTGATGAGGTGTGGAGCTAACGCTTTTCGCCCCCGCCCACAACGCCTCCGAAAATGAGGCGGCGCAGGTAGTTTACTTGATGGCTATCCTGGCACTTCGAGGTGATGGGAGAGTAGTATGAGTCTAACAGGCGCCGTCGCTGACTGGCTCAGGAAGGGACAAGTGGCGAGCGTAGAAGGGAAAGCAGCGGCAATCGTCTCGTCGCAAGACTGATCCTGAGCAAATGGGCGAGGCGCATCTTCGAGCCGCGCTTCCGTTCAAAGCTCGAGTGTGGACGACGCGGGCGCCGCCTCAGGGCAAGCAAAGCAAGCCAAGACGCAACCCAGGGCCAGGCGCAAGGCGCTAGCAGCGAGCGATTACAAGCCGGTCAAGCCAGTCAGCAAAACGGCATACAACACAGGAAAGACAAAGGAACTATCGAATTGACTGACGAGACGAGAGCGCGAGAGCGAAGAATGGGGGGAGATGGTCGATGCGCTCTGCGCAGACGGAAGGCTATTTTCAAGTAGCTGAGATGGGGGGTTGAGGGGTGGCAAGGGAGTGGCACCAGCCATGCTCCACGCTAAAGAGAAGATACGGGTGACGGGGAATGGCCGATCAAAGCGGATTGCCTGTCAACGGGATTGGTAAGAAAGTGGGGTGCTGTAGTAGGGGACGGTTCTGTTACGATCGAGGAAGGTAGTGGGGCGAACGAGGCGCGAAGGAGAAGGGAGAAGGAAGCGAAGCAGCACAAGGACCAACCGCCTACGAGGTGCTGCTCATCGAAGAGCGCTCAGCGTTACGAGGGTTGGCCACCGTGTGCGTGCGTTATTTTCGAGATGACGACGTGAAGGATGGGTATGATCTGCGGTCGTGCGTACTTGGGCGCAGCTGCGTTCGCTAATTGGTGTGAGGCTTGGGCGCGTCGGCTCATTTGTCGCTGTCTCCCATGGTGAAGCTGACATCGAAGCCAGATTGGCGGGCAACGCTCAGATGATAAGCTTGAGCGTCGTCTGAGGCCCTGCCAGCATTCTCTCGTGGTACTGTGAGCTGCTCGATGGGCGAAGGCGCGCGAGCATCAGCCACCGACTGAATAGGAATCGAAGTCGAGGCTTCCATCGAGATCCTGTGCTCATCGGTGTCGGGCACGAGCTCAATGGCGTGCTCATTGCCAAACGGACCCTCGCCATCGCCTGCGACCTTGGAGTCGCTGCTGCTGGTCCCAGCCACCGAGATCCTGGGCACAGGCTTGCGCCTGACGCCGAAGGAGCTGCCACTTGAGTCTGATCGTTGGACGGATGGCTTGCTAACAGACGACTCGACCGTCTTGTTGCCCTCTTGGTGCTGGGTGAGAGCCTGAGCAAGGTCTTCGGGGGCAGGCGCAGGCGGGTCTGCAAAGGGCGAGATCGAGTGCGCCGAGGACGAGGGGACTGAATGCTTGTGAGAAGGTGGCTGTGGCAGAGCAGCAATGAGGTCGCGACCGATGCTAACACCACTGGCGGCGCTGGCTCGTCGGGGGTCGTTGCCAAAAGTCGAGATGGAGCCGCTACTCGACGGACACTGAGACGACTCGGGGCGTAAAGGGACGTTGCGTCCCTGACCGTATAGTCCAGCTGGCTTGCCGCTGTTGTCATAGGGTGTGAGGCGGCCCGAGTCTCTGGCAGATTCGGCGATGACAGCGGCGCTCAAGGGCTGAGCCCCGCGAACATCATTGTCTGAGAAGTTAATCCAGTGCTCCGGTCGGTCGTCAAGGTCTTGCATGTCAGGAGAGTAGGGAACGTTGGGAGGAGGAACAGCTCGCAAAGCCATCTCGTCCTTCTCCTTGCGCAGCTCGACGGGCACCATGCCAGCGACGGCGGCAAGACCGGCAGGCGTCGCCAAGCCAGGTCCCGATATCTCGCGGCGATGACCGGAGGATTGAGAGGGCGAAACCTGTCGCTGGATAGACCCGCTGCTGCTACCTCCGCCAAAGAACTTCTCGGCCCAGGCTGGGCGGCTGGACACGCTGTCGGCTTGCTCGCTCTTTTGCTTCTTCCAAAGTCGCCAAGCGTAAGCAAGGACGGCAATCAAGAGGAGAGGGATGGCAACCCCAGCTGCGATAGCGGCCTTGTTGCTGTGGTGGTCTGACGAAGATGCAGAGGCTTGAGATGGTGACGAGGAAGGAGAGGAGGAAGAGTCCGTCGCGGCCGGAGCAGTGATGCTGCTGGCAGATGGCTCGGCATCAGATGAAGAGGCGGCGGGCTCCGCATTGCTGGAACTGGAAGATGTAGCCAATGGGCTAGCTGCCGAGGAGCTGGCTGCAGTAGGCGAGCTTGAAAAGCAAGCCGTCGAACCTCTCCCGACGGGAAAGGGATCCGAGACGACGGACTCGCCAGACGAGAGGATAGTCAGAAGTAGGCGGTACGAGCCCGGCTGAATCTTGACGGGCGACCAGCTGTAGCTGACTTCGTTGAAGGGTATCGATGCTGCGCCAGGAAGCACGGTGCCTCGGACGGACGCTGCCCTCTTCTTGATCATGGTGCCATGGCGTGCAGAGGCGAACCTGCGTCGACTACCAGGCGTCGCGACGGCGCCAAGAGTGCTGGCATCGATGATGCTAACAGCGATGGGGTCGGAGGGAGGCGTGCCATTCATGTCCCACTCCCACGTAATGTCGACCGAGTCACAGGTGACGGCGTTCTTGGGCGCATTGAGGGTCACGTCGACGAGGTCGAGGAGCGTTGAGCTCGTGACAGAGGCATTGCTGGTCGCTGCGAGCGTCTGGCCGCCTCGGAGATCGGCGTAATGGGGCAGATTCGAGGCTGCAGATGACAGCGAAGGGGAGATGGCGAGCAGCAGGGCTACCGCTGCAAGGCTTCGCTGAGGAATGACCATTGCGGCAGTGCTGCAGAGGAGTGGTCGAGGTAGAGAGGAGGAAGGTGATTGGGGGGTTGATCAGCTGGCGCTGATAGGGTACAAGGGTGGGGTGGCCTTGAGTCGAGATTGTGGGGAAGGCTGGGCGACTCTAGGATCAACCTTTCTTCACCAAGCCAGGGCGAAATCGAGACGTCGAGACGGTGAGATGAGGTGATAGGCCAATGGGAGCCGGTCGTGGAAAGGTGGAAGCAAAATGATAATGGTGCGGCTTTGCGCTACCAAAGCAGCTCAATGAGGGCCCAGGGCCAAGGGCCAAGCAGGGAAAAAAGGAGGAGGGCGAAAGGGGAGGGGAGGTAATCTTGAGCCGCTTTGCGGCAGGCGCAATGGTGGTCGCTGGTCGTATCAAACGAAGGTGGTAGGTCTTGTGCTAGCAAGTGTGATATCGTGGTGATGCCAACCAGTGGCTCGTAGCAGTAGCAGCAGTGAGGAGGTCGAAGGGGGCAAGGTCAGGGCAGGGAAGGAGGGAGGGAGGAGCGATCGGCGATGAGATGGGACAAGATTCAGGAGGAGGACGTGGTTGACGACTCCTCGCGAGCTTTCTCCTTGGCGGGCGGCGTGACGGACCAAAAGCAGGGCAGCAGCTGGACAGAAAGGGCCGCGCCCGCCGACGATGCCGCTTCTGCGCCTGTCTGACGCCTGTCTGACTGCCTGCCCGCCTGCCCGCTCGCTCGCCATGCCTGCCCCCTCTTTCTCGTGCGTGCGCCGTCCTTGCAGTGTGGCTGGCCCCCTTGGGCGTCGTCGTGCGGCGAGCAGCGCCAACGGCATCGTTCGGCATGACGGCTCTTCAGTTCGACGAAGCTCATCACAGAGCGAGCAAGGATGGTTGAGACAAGGGTGCAAGATTCATGGCTTGAGGGACACTGAGACGTCTCGAAATATCGTCAATCAAGTTGCTGTTCCGCAACAGGGGATGCTGGCGCAGGCCAGGATCTCCAGAATGTGTCGACAGGGGCATCGTCGCCATCGAAGATTACCCAGCTAGGCATTAACACACGCGCGCGCGCCTGACGCGAATCCGGAGCTTGACGATGAGCCAGAAGGAGGCTTCGTCACAGCTGATCCGCACGAGAAAGCTACGTGCGATGCGCATCAAGAGCAGGAGCTAGTGTCAATAGTGAGTATTCTCAACCTCGGAGCCACATTCAAGGACCGCAACGTGGCCGGGTTGTGGACGCGAAGCGGCCTCGACGGGCCGTCATGCTCATCCGCAACCGCAGTCCTTTATTCCCACTCGTCTTCCTGGAAAATGGATGACCAGACCGAGCTCATCATCCGCCCTGAATATGTACTCGCAACTCCGTGCCCGCCTCGTTCGCATCTTTCGCCGGCCGTGATGCTCCTCTCGGGGCATCCCGCCGCAATCGCACGCCCCGAGCCGGCCCTATCACGGCCCGCGGCGGATACGTCTCTTCAGTCGTTGATGCCACTGATCACCAGAATCGCAGGACAAAGCAGGGTCCTGCTCGGCGTCGTCGCGGCAGCGCAGCAGTGTTGAGATGAGCGAGCAAAGGGTGCGGTGCGGGACGTCGTCCTCGAGGGGGGCGGATGGTGAGGTGGCGGGCGTCCTAGTCGGCGATGATGCCGCGGCGGCGCAGACTGCCAGATGGCAACGGAGCAGTAGTCGCAAGCTCTTCATCGTCATTGACCTCGTCGTCGGTAATCTGTCTGCCTCTGTCTCCCAATCTTTGATCCGCACCACGACCACCACCATCCGCCCTCCCCGCATCAAAGTCAAGAGTGACCGTGACGGCGCGTGCGTACGATCAAGGTTGACCTCGTCTCCGCCTCGTGCTTTCTACGAAGGCATGTCTGCTGGACAGCTGCATGCTTCGACCTATCCCAACTTATCCTACGCGCCTACCGCATCCTTTGACATGGCTCGCAGTCGAGTAACGCTCAGTAGCGCAGGGCCCGCCGCAGCATCTGCCAGACCAAACGGCTTGCGGGTCCTCCCTCTTCGCCGCGCCGTCGACGCTGAGCAGACATGGCACAGCCATAGTCATCATGCCCACTCATCGGGCCCGGCATCCGACAGCGCCGACCTGCTACCCGTAGCCTCTTCCTTTCGGACAAAGCAGCGTCGTCAGCCAGTTGCCTGCGAGCCCTGTCGAGCATCGAAGCGCAAATGTTCTGGCGGCGTGCCCTGTGACTCGTGCTCTCGCCGCAGCAACAAGAATATCGTCTGTCGCTACGACTTTGGAGCAAAGATGCGCAATGCCGATCGTGAAAGGGTCAAGCAGCTCAACATGAAGTCCAACAGGGCGCCCGCGGTGGGACCGCTTCGATCGGCTCGTCGTACGAAAAGGGCAAGTGAGAAGGAGGGCGAGATGGACTGGAGCGCAAGGATCACCCCTTTTCCTGCGGTCATGACGGACGTAGTCAATACAGAGACAGGCAAGCGCCCGCTCGCTGACGATGACACGATGGATTTGTCACGCAGTCAGTCGGGAGGCCATCGCTACACCACGAGGTCTTCCGTGCGTGCTAGCATGACTGGCACGGCAGCGGCGGATAGCGGGGTCACTGAATTGCAGTTTTGTGGCGAAGATGGTAGTGAGATGCTGGCAGAGGGAGATCAGGCGGTCTACGACAAGGCCGAGAGTACCAGCGATACAACGTCCTGCAGCGAGGTGAGAGGCGCAGTGAGTCTCGTTTCCCGCAGTTACGGCACTGACCAGCTGTTCCGCAATTCCATAGTCATCAAGCACCGACGAGAGCGATTCGACCGGCGAGTCTGGCTTAGATATCCTATGGGCGGCTATGCAACATGAAAGCCAATCAACGTCTCCCGAGATGCCACAGAAGACGACTCTGCCATCGGTCAGTCCGAGAGAGGCGCGCGATCGCAGCACCGACATTGCTGACCGTCAGCCCATCTCTGTTCACTCAGATTGGCTCACTTGGCCTGCCTCAGCCAATGCGCTTTGGCCACAAGCAAGGGCCTGTAGCGCCAAGCTCACCTGCCCACTACCACCTCATCTCCTCATCCTCTCAGGCTCTCTCATCCTCGCAGTCCGGCTCTGACCGCTCGACAGTGTTTTCGATGCCGGGTCCTCATGAGCAGCGTTGCCACGCAAGCCCCCCTCGGCTCTCCTTATCCGTCGCCATCAATCGAGCAACATCTGCGAGACGCAGCGACCTGCCCAGAGTTGCTACAATAGGCTCGCGACCCGAGCTCTTCAACTCTTCACCTCACCGATCACGTCCACTTCGTCGTCATCCCACCTTCTTCCCATCGCCGTCTACTACTTTGTCCGGGTCAGGCATCTCCTTTTCTTCTTGATCCAAATCTTCGCCTCGACTCGCGCTCTTCTCTTCTCGCTTTTCGATCGTGTTTTCCTTGTCATTAGTCCTGTGACTGTATACTCTTTGTCACTCATTCACGCCTTCCGCTCTTGCCTTACCGTCGAAATCGATGATGATGCCCTTGTCCACAGGCCTTGGCCAACTGAGCCGGCGGTTGCATGGTGAACGTGAGCGTACGGCAAGCGCGAAGCGATGTCAAGCGAGTCGAGTGTTGGTTGGTCTCGTCTCCCCGCGGCGGGCGGCGGGCGGCGGGCGGCGATTGAGTCGCTTTGGCTTTCACTCCTTTCTACCGACTGGCTTGCTACCTTTCTTCAACACCTTCATCACTACCCTATTGATCTTCATCATCTTACTCTAGCTCCACAAATGATACCAAGGAGATAATCAGACTTGGATCCTCCTCCTCTACTCAAAGGACCACCCCACGCAGCGCGGCCGCCAAGCCGCCATGCCTGCCTTTGCAGGGCTTGGGCCATCGCATTCTCGACGTCGTCTCGACCACGACGAGGCTGCTTCACCGCCAGAGCAGGCTCAGCCAGTACAGCAAGTGAGCAACGATGATAGCTTCAAGACAGCGGCAATCAGCGTCGATGCTCCCCATCTCAGCGTCGCATCATCCCTCCCTCAGCGCCCTCGCACGGCGGATCCCATACCTGTCCAACCTCCTCATCCTCCAGCGATCACCTCATCTGGCGAATCAATAGCATCCACAGAGTCATGGACAAGACCAGAGGACGGCGAAGGCGATTTTGTCCGTCGCACATATCTGCACTTTGATCGTACAGGTATCGAGGGCGACGGGACCGTGCAGGGCGAGGAGTGGACGAGGAATCGCAGCGTCGGAGCAGCGTCTGGTAGCTCGCTCGCTCCTTGGCAGGCTGCAAATGGCAAAAGGCATCGTCCGAGACAGCGGCGTACGAATAGCGCGCCAGACAGGCGTCACTTGCACCCAGGAGATGAGCCTCTGCGGCCGCTTGCTGGTAGGAAGACGGACGAGCCGGCAGTCAAGTCTTCGCCCCTTGCCTCTTCTGAGCCTATCACGGCTGCGACAACTGCCGCCGAGAGCGCAGTGTTTGAAGATCAAGAGATGGGCGACGCCGGAGGCGAGGGCGCATCATCGATAGCATCAGAAACGGCTTGGCCCGATCTAGACCGGTACGGCTTCTTTGGCGGCCGAGACTGGGACTCGCACTCAGCCACTGGGCGCATCGTGGTTCTACCTGCAGCATGCTACGCCTTTGTGCCCTCTCCGTCGACATCCGCCTCATCATCAAAGGGCAAAGTCAAGGTGCGATCAGCGGCAAAGAAGGCGAAAAAGAGTCTCAAAAGGACAGGCGTGTCAGAGCAGAACTGGACTGGTTTGCCTGCGAGCGCCTCGGATGAAGGGTGGGGTTCGTCCATGGCTGGAGCGTCGACGGCCAGTGGACCATCTGATCAGGCATCTCCTCAACCCAATGGCGATGCCAAGCATGCGACGAAAGCAGAGGAGCCGCCGGAGGACGTCATCACCTCTCTGCGCCTCCCCTCTGAATCCCTTGGCCGCTCAAAGGAGCAAGCGCGCATTGATAAGTGGGCTGCTATGCTTGCGCCGGTCGCAAAGGAGGGGGGCAACACGACATCGTACCGTCTGACGGTTGAAGGGTTGAGGGACCGCGACAGGCTGGAAAGGAGGATCTACAAAGGCATTCCGGATCGATGGAGAGCAGCTGCTTGGTGGGCATTGCTGCAGCGAGAAAGCGGCAGCGCAGGGGAGTCGTCGTCAGCGAGCTTCGCACCTTCTCACAGCACTTCACAGCAGCCAGTCGATGCGAGCAATGGCGCAGGCGCAGCTTCTTCATCAGCTCAATCATTCCCCTCGCACGGCCATGTCAACCCCAGTCCAACACCTAGCATCAATGGCGCTGCGATGTCGCAATACTCGCGCCTCCTCACTCTCCCGTCCCCATATACGGTGCAGATAGACCTCGACGTGCCTCGTACTATCAGCAACCACGTTCTCTTCCGCACTCGCTATGGGTGGGGGCAGGTACGACTCTTCAAGCTTCTCCACGCTTACAGCCTTGGCTGTTCGGAGTGTGGATACTGCCAAGGGATGGGCGGAATAGCGGTGGTCATGGTGAGCCTCTTTCCGGAAGAAGAGAAAAGTTGGGCTGTCCTTCGACGGCTGCACGATGGGCCAACCCCAGACGCAAGCCTTGCCCCCTCGTCAGCACTGCATCGTCTCTTCTCCCCTGGCTTTCCCTTGCTCCTCGAACTCTTCCACGTCCAATCAGCGCTTCTGCGCACTCTCTTCCCATCCTTTGCGCGCATCCTCGAGGATGCCGGCGTAGAGGCGAGCAGCTATGCGACGCGCTGGTACATGACGTGCTTCTACGGCGTCTTACCATGGGAGACTTGCTTGCGAGTGTGGGATGTATTGATGTGGGAAGAGGGCGGCCACGGCGGCGCAAAGGAGGAGAGAGGGTTGGAGTGGGTGTTGCCCCTCGTGGGGTTGTCCATCCTCTGGGCGGTGGGACATCGCGTGGTCACGTCTGGCCCGTCGGCTGCAGCGTGGGACTTTGAGAGCCTCCTCTCCCTCTTATCCTCGTCGAACCTCTTCGTGCCGCAGGACGACGATGCCCTCCTCTTGTGGGTGAGGGGGCTGCGCAACGATGCGCGCGTGAGACGAGTGATGGCGCAGGCGGTCGAGGAGTGGCGTGCTATGCAGTCATGACGTGATTAATGAGGATGAATGTATTGACATGAAATTCACGAATGATGGTCGTCGTCGTCGTGAAGGATAGAGAGGAAAAGAGCGTCGACGTCGTCGTATCTAGCTCGCAATCTAATGCCAGCCAAACATACCCACCCCATCCCTCACTTTGGCTACATCGCTCGCACTGAGGTGAGGTTTCTGGCTCTGGAAGAAATCCTCCCACAACCTGATCAGCTCTGCTTCTCCCCTCACCTGATCCCTCCCTCCCGTAGAAGCTGCAGCTCCACCACCAGGGCTAGCGAGCGGGCTACCAGCCATCGTGGCTTCCCCACCCAGGGCGGGCGAGGCAGGAGTGATAAGCTGCGACTCGAGCCAAGCGCGCAACCCTTCCCAGAAGTCGACGCTGCCAATCTTGGAGTGATGCAAGCGGGTGATACCTGTGGAGACCGGGTTGGCCGAAGAGGGACTGGAGTGGTAGTCGACCTCATTGAAGGGCGCCTTTGATGTGGTGCCTCCCGGCTGATCGCGGGGGGTCAAGGGACGCGGGGCGCCTGAAGCTGCTCGGCCAGAGAGGGTGTCATCGTCCGTTGTGAGAGTGAGCTCGGGGATAGAGACGCCCGAGGCGGTGCGATTGTGCGAGGCCTGGCGTTGTGTCGTCTTGGGAGGTGGGGTCATGGGGGCTGCGAGGCTGCCACCTGCGCCGGCGCCTGCGGGGGCGGCCATTGCGGCTGCGACGGGGGCTGAGGAAGGGGATGCGGAGGATGAAGACGAGGCAGCGGCTGCTACTGCTGCTGGGGCGGCTGTCTTGCCTGAGAGGGCTTCATATTGCTGCGGGGGAAGGGCAACAAGATGTGAATTAGTGAGGGCCAAAGGAGGGGTGGACATGATGCCTTTGCCCGCACACTCACAGCCGGCGTGTATGTCTTTTGCGAGAAGGCGTGAAGCTGCGCGATCTGATCCTTGAGCCTTTCGTTGACTGTGGAGAAGACGTGAGACATGAGCGAGTGGATTACCTGGAAGGCGTCGCTGGCATTTACTCACCAAGCCTGTGCCTCTTAAGCGTAGGGAGTCTGAGGTGCGCGATGGTATCATCATCAGCTCATGAGTTTACACATGGAAGCTCGCCGGCTGCTCACCCTTCGAATACTGGGCTGACGATGATCACATCGAACGCCTGATGTTATGGACGGCGAAGACAAGGTGTGAGGAGTCGTGGACGAGGATGGGAGGGTCGATGTCGCAATGTCGCACTCACCTGTCCACAACCACCCGAAACGTCTGATACGATGAGCGTCTGAACACCTTCGATGTTGGCCCTGATGACCTGCTCGAGCTCTGGTCCCTGCATGATTTCACGGGTCGATATCAACTAAGGGAGAGAGTGACGCGAGGGATGAGGGAAAGTGTTGGTTGGACTGTTGGCAAGGACACGACGTCGCGAGGGCGGAGGGCGGAATGTGGGTGCTGCTGCCGGTGCTGCTGCTGCTGCTGCCTTTGCCGCTTGATGATGAATAGGGCCATCGCGTGGCCGCCTTTCTTGTCTGCCTTGGCTCTCCTCGTCTCATCTGCCGCTCGCACCCTTTGATTTTTGGCCCGTGCGGCCCTCTGGACCAAAGCGGGCCGGCGTAGCGAGCGAGAGGTGCTGAGCAGGGCCAGAGACAAGGGATCAGAGACATTTTGACTCCTTTGAATCGCCGACCTCGTTATCATCACCATCACCAACTAACCCACCTTCGACATTGCCCGCCATTATGGCGTCCATCCTCTCGCTCCCCTTTCTCCTTGCACACCACATCGTCACATACCTCTACCCGCTCTACGCCTCGTACAAGGCCATTGCACCCGTACAAGAAAAGACGACTCGGCCAGTCAGGCCGCCCTTTGGCAGCGGCAATGAACGCACAGAGATGGCCGATCTCGAGACGTGGCTCATGTACTGGAGCGTCGTGGGAACAATGACGCTCATTGAAGCCTGGGCAGAATGGTCTTGGAGCTGGCTGCCCTTCTATGGCGTCTTCAAGCTGGCATTTACACTATGGCTTGTGCTGCCTCAGACGCAGGTGAGTGCGCAATACAGAGCCAGAGGCGCTCACGAGAAAGATGATGCTAATGAACAGATCGCCCGATTGCCGCACACACGTGTCAGGGAGCTACGATCCTCTACTCTCGCTACTTGGGCCCTTTCCTCCAATCCCACGAAGACGACATAGACGTTGCCCTCTCATCAGCCAAAGTCCAAGCGACCCGCGCAGCAGCAAACGGCTTCGCCTCCCTCTGGCAACGGCTCCGCGGCGCCATCCTCGGAGCGGCATACACCGTCGACCCCACAACGACGGCGAGCGAGTACGACGGCAGGCCGGCACCTCCTGCCCCGCTACACAACATGCCCGCCGCCCCGCCCACGATGCATGATCCTGTCTCCGGCCCAGCTAATCACTTCGTCGGAATGCTCAAGCACTACGGGCCCCTCGCTGCTGCAGGACTGGTCGGCGTCATGGACCGGGCTGCTGCTGCTGCTGCGGAGGCGAGTGAGAAGGCAAAGGCAGAAAGTAGCGGGACCACGAGAGGTCAAAGTGACGAGGATGATAGCGATGGGTCTACCGGAGATCAGCACGTGGCGAGCGGAGACTCTGCAGTCAGGAAGCGCAGGAGGGCAGAGCTGGAGCGACAGCTTGATGAGATGGGAGCGGGTAGCAGCGGCGGTCGTAGCAGCGTCAGGACGAGATCCGCAGCAGCAAAAGGGGCGGCGACTACGGCTACGTCCTCTCGGCTACGCGTCAACAAGCCGGCCAACAGTAGCGATCTCTCATCTGACGAAGGGAGCGGCAAGGGGAGTAGAGATCTGAGCGGGAGCTACCAACTTGTGGATCAGGATGACGAACAGGCCAACGATACCGCCGTGCCAGCCACGCCTAGCAGTGGTGGAGGTTGGACGTCCTGGATGTCGAGGCGATAAGCTCGTGTCCACGTACCCTCGATGTGACCCTACCGCCCCCGTGACCCCGATACCTCGCGCGCCTCTCGTTCCGACTTGTGTTCCGTGGCCCACCACCACATTCCTTGTATCTAGCCGCCTTCTCACACACGCCCACCTGTATCACCACTTGACCTTTCTTTCCACGGCCCACAATGATGGATCCTGTTCTTCACTGCTCAGTAAACGAGTCTGAGATTGGTATAGATTGTGATGTTGAGATGTAGAAGGAGGAGTAGATATGAGACGACGGCGACGAGGACACAAAGCAATGGCGCCTCTCCATACGAGGATGTGAAGCGAAAAGTCAAAAGGTCAAGCAAACATCTCCCAACCGACCCACTCCCTGCCCCTTTCCTCGGGACGGACATAGCCTCCCAGTCCTCGCTCTCCCTCTCGCTCTCCCTCACTCCCACCCTCCTCCTCCTCGCTCTCGTTCCCTTGCTTCTCCTCCTCCACCCCTTCCTGTGCCCGCTTGGCAGCAGCAGCAGGAGGCAACAACTCCCTCACAAAGATATGTCGCGTCTCCCCCACGGTCAAGATGCGTTTCCCATCAAAGGCCACGCCGAACAATCGACAGGGCACCCTCGGTGTGCCACCGGTCGAGGCACGCCAGGTCGTTGCCGTGGCAACATTCCCGCCTCCACCACCAGTGGCACCGGCAGCGCCTCCATTGGTTTGTTGGGCTTGACCGGCTGTGATGCCCTGCGCATTGACGGCGCCGGCCGCGCCCGCATTCGTACCTGCGCGATTGGTGTTGGAGCGCGAAGAGGTGTGGAAATTGAAGTCGCGGGAGGTGTAGATTGGTTTGGGCTTGTACACGGCCGAAGGGCCGGTGGTGGCAACCGGCTGCGATGTTTCTGCACTACTGTCACCTTGTTGGCTCTCGGAGACCGATGTAGTACGGGCGCGAGTGAGCTCGGCCCAATCGCCCCTTGCATTCCACCCCAATGCATGCTGACCTCTCCTCTCCTCAACCCAGAAGAGGCGCCCCACGTCCCACATGTTGACAATTCCGTCGTATCCTACGCTAATGAGCAGCCCCTTCTCCTCGTCCAAATGCAGGGAGCGAGGCATTGCCTGATGCCCCTCCAGCACCGCGAGGAGGTCACCCGAGTAGGGCGAGTAGCAGTAGATGGACAAGTCCGTCGATCCGCAGATAATCACCGACCCCTTCAGTACCTCCTCGCTGATGGGCTCAACAGCTCCTCCTACCTTGAGCGCAGGTCCCGGCATTCCAAACTCCATGCAAGCCACCCCTCTCAACTGCGGGATACGCTTACGCTCCCCCTGCCCCTCATCAGGCGGGTAAAGCACGCGACCGGTAGGAATGTCGACGACCTCCAGATGGCCATTGGCGTACCCGCAGGCGAGGAGCCGCCCGCGAATCTTGAGGTCATTGATTGAGCAATTGTAGTGCTGATGCACCGAGGCTCGCTCGAAAAGGGTTGGCGGGCCAGGTGGCGTGTGATTCTCCGTCGATGTACTCGCTGCTGCATCTGACGTTGGTGGTACGACGTCGAGGGGTGAAAAGGCGGACGTGACACTCGTGTCTTCCTCTTCTTCCTCCTCTGCTCGCTTGCTCGCCTGAGCATTCCCGCCAAGCAGATCGAGACGACGATAGCAGCGTACCATGCCCTGCCTCAGCCCGAAGCAGAGCCATTCCTCGCTCAACCTCACGTCCATCACCGTCGTGTAGCAGTTCCACCTGTCGATAAGGCGGGGTTTCCACTGTCGCCCTTCCCTTGCGGCCTGCACAGCCTCATCGCAGCCGAACCAGTTCCAGATGCCCAGCTTGGAGTCGGAAGAGGCGGAGACCATAATCATGCCCTTGGGGCAGACGTCTAGTGCTACGATGCTGCGGGTGTGGCCTCCCCGGAGGATGTGTGTGCATCGCCCTATGCGAGGGGCTATGGTGGAGAGCAGAGCCTCCTGACCGTTCGAAATCGTGGAGCTGGAGGTGGACGTCGAGGGTGGGGAGGAGAGGGACCACACGCGAATTGTGGCATCGCGCGACCCGGTGACGATGTAGCCTACGGTGGGTGCAAAGTGTTTGGGTGGGAGAAAGCTTTTGATGCAGTAGATGTTGTCCTCGTGGGAGCCGATGGTACGCAAGTCCGGAGCAAAGGTGCGATTTCTGCGAGAGTGGTGCTGAGCATTATGGCGGGTGCGCTTGGATGTTGACGAGGGGAAGAGGCGAGCTTGGAGGGTGGCGGCGCGTGATTCGGATTCGACACGACGACGGTATGAGGCTTCGTCCGTTTCGTCCTCGCTATTCTCGCTGATGGCGTTAGAGTCTGCGTCGTCGTCCCCTTCGTCTTGGCTCTCTTCGTTGCTGGAGATGGATCGATCATCGTCAGAGAAGTCCTCGTCCCACGAAGGGTGCTTAACCTGCTTATCCTTGACGCATCCCCATCGCGAGTGGACTTGCCCAACTCGACTAGCCAGGTAGAAGCGCAGAGAGTAGATGTAGCGCCAGTTGAGTCGGTCGATGTTGCGTTGCCGATTGCCGTGAACGCGGAGTGACCAAGATGAGGGCAAGATGCGCGAAGACGACGAATCCGGATCGCCGATCTGGAGGTCTGTCATGTCATAAGTCGATTCATCGCCAACGCCCTTTTCCTCAGGTAGGAGCACCCCTTCTCGACCCTCGAGATCATCCAACAATCCCTCCACCCACTCCTCATCCTCTCTAAGGGTCCAACCGGGATTGCGAAAGAAGAGTTCCCGCCACAAGAGAGGGTCATTTGCGAGGGAGCGGTGGTAGCGGGAGACGGCTGAAAGGCTTACGAGGGACTGGTGGGTAGGTAGGTATAGCAGGATGAGGAGAGAAATCTCGTGCGGGAGACGACGGAGGAGGTCTGGTCGAGCGCGATCGTAGAGGTGAGGTGTCAGCTTCTCAGTATCCTCAATCAACGTAGCCGGCCTCGCCGTTGCTCACCTAGCCTGACGACCCCGTCCTCGCCATCCGGAAGGAGTTCGACGCCCTCGTCAGAATGAGCATCGCTGCTCAGCCTGCCGCTGCCGCCGGCCTCCTCCTCTTGATCCTCGGTGAGCATTCTCCCCTTTCCCTTTCGCTTGCTAGCGCGAATTGGCGAGCTGCTGGTGGCGACGGAACTTTGCGGCACATCGCCAAAGAAGGAAGCAGGTACAGGGCTTGGCCTGTCCCTCTTCATGCTTCGTCGTCCACTCCTGCTTCGAGGCGTAGCAGGGCGAGGAGAGGATGTGAGAGGTGGGAGGCCGGTGCTCGTCGATGAAGTAGACGTCGAGGTTGACGTCGATGCTGATGCTGATGCTGAGTCGCCCGCTTCGGTAGCGAAGACTTTAAAGGGTGAGAGCGAAAGGAGGTAGGAAGCCATGCTTGTCTCTTGCGCCGTCCTCACGATGGACAGGCAAGAGAGAGAGGAGGGAAGGATGGAGGGAGAGGAGAAGGAAAAGTAGGAATGCAAGTGCAAGTCGAGGCCAGGCGGACAGGCCGACGCACCAGGTGTTGATTGCGGAGTGGCGGAAGAGCGCCTCGAAGCGCGGAGAGCAACACCAAAAAGCGAAAGCTCACGAGCACGCCACGGCATCGCCAATTCATTGCATTTGCATGGGGTATCAAGATCAAGCCTGCTCTAGCATTCATCACTCCTCCTCCTCCTTCTTCGACACACGCGCAACTGGCAGTCCCAACGCCCCTCTACCTCCCCAAGCTCGCCCTTGATTGCGCTTCTCCTCCCACTCCTCTAGCAGGTCCACATCGACGACTCGCGATCCCATCTCAAAGATGCGCTGACACGACCCTGGTCCGATACCAGACGCCGAGGCAAGCTTGGCACCATTCGATGGCGTCGCCTCTTCGCCATCTCCGCCATCTCCAGCTTCCTCCACCTCAGCCCTTTGCGGCGGCGGCGGGCTCACCAATCGCTTCCACTCCCCCCTCTCCCTCATCCCCGCCAGCGGGCTGGGAAGATACTCCTGAAAGACAGGATGCGCGAATCTGGGCTCGTAGCGATATTCCTGCCCATACCCAATCTCCTTCATCAGTCTCGTCGGAGCATTTCGAATGTGATACGGGACCTCGTGACTACGCTCCGCTTCAACCAAGGCAGCAGCCCTCTGCCAAGCCTTGTACGCTCTCGTACTCTTTGGACACTCGGCGAGGTAGACGACGCATTGCGCCATGCACTCGGCGCACTCTGGCAGTCCAACGAGCTGGCAGCTCTGATACGTTGCGACCGCTAGCTGGCTGGCAGCAGGCGTATCGCTACAATCCTCTGCTGCAGCGATGATCAGCCTGCGCGCGATGAAGAGCGGGTCTTCCCCTCCCTTGACCATCCGCGCCAGCCAGTACATGGCCGCGTCAGAGTCGCTCCCACGAATGGATTTGTGCAGCGCAGATATGAGATCGTAGTGCTGATCCCCGGCTCGGTCGTACAAGAGTGCTTGCCGTTTAAGGGCTGAGCGGAGGTTGTCCAAGTTCGTTTCCTCGTCGACTTCGCCATCGTAGCAGGCTAGAGCCACCTCAAAAGCGCCCAAAGCGGAGCGGGCATCACCGTCGCAGGAGTGGGATAGGTATGTGAGGAGAGTATCGGGTACATGAGGTGGGTGCGTCGTAGTCTCGTCCTCGTCCATGCTCGCCACTCGATCGCGTGCTGCTTGCAGGATCTTGAAGCAGCTCTCTGTGCTCAGCCTGTCCAGTACGAATACCCTCATTCGACTGAGCAGGGCGCCTTGTAAGCGAAAAGAAGGATTCTCGGTAGTAGCCCCGACGAGCACCAACGTTCCGCGCTCAACAACGGGTAGGAAGAGGTCTTGCACCGCCTTGTTGAATCTCTGCACCTCGTCACAGAAAAGGACGGTGACCTGACCTGTGAGTTTCAGTCGGGAGAGGGACTCGTCAAAGTGCCTCTTCAGATCCCCAGTGGCGGTCGAGGTGGCCGATACCTCCACGAAGCGATAAGGCGGCATCGTTGCCCCATTGGAGCTCGCAGAATTACGCGCGCGATTCCTCTCCCAATTCTCATTCGCCTCCTTCACTACCAGTCGGGCCAGTGTAGTCTTTCCAGTCCCCGGCGGACCCCATAGGACCATGCTGGGTACCTTTCCCTGCTTGAGAAGGGCGGCCAGCGGCCCCTTGCGGACGATGTGGTCCTGTCCTACGTATTCGCTCAGTGATCGCGGTCGAAGACGCTCGGCGAGAGGGGCGGCGGAGTCCAGGCGAGTGCGCGAGGAGGAGGCAGCGACGGCGGTAGCATGTGTAGGTGCCGCTGTAGCTGGCTGAGTTGCTTCGACAGGCGTCGATTTGGAAGGCAAGACGACGGCCGCTTCATGATGGCTGGGCAGCGCGTTGCCCTCGTCCGCCTCATCCTCGCCAGCCTTGCGCTTCCTCGATCCCATCATGGCTCCGAAGACACCACGGCTGGGAGAAGCGACAGACGCTGCATTGCCCGTTCCCTCCCCCTCTGTCTTCGCTGAGCTCGCCTTCTCCTGACCACCGGACAGGCATCGATCCAGATGCGAGTTGAGCAGCGCGATGCGCACCGGCTGCTCGCATGAGGGGCAAGGGACGCTCTCGTTGGGATGGTGGGATCGCTGCTGCATGGGCGTTTGGGACTTTGAAGACGAGCCAGGCCGTGAGCCACTTCCCTTGGCGGCGGCGGCGTTGTTGAACATCATGACGCGGGCATGGCGTTGGCGTTGAGTCGGTGGAGCGAAGCCAAGGGTGAGGGAGGCCATGGGACGGAGAGCGGGGAACAATGTGAGCACGATGCGAGCGCGTAAGATAGAGCGCATTAAATTATGTAATGTTATTTTGCTACGTCTGGTCAGCGGTCGCATAGCTCAGTTGGAAGAGTGCTACCTTAACATCTTACTGGTGGAGGTCGGTAATGGTCGACGGTTCGAACCCGCCTGCGATCACTTGTTTTTTCTTTTTGCTTCCTGCTCCCCTGCACGGGCCGCCGTCTGTGCGTGCGTTGTCTTCTAGCTCTTTTTGACTTTCTCCCTCTTCATTACCACGACAGCGATGCGCAGCAAGGCCAGGACGCAGGGCAATGCGGCAACGTCAGGGTCAGCGTCCCCTCTTGCCCGCACCGGCGCCCTCTCACTGCTCCAGGAGATCCTCCTCACGCAACGCTACTTCGTCCCGCTAGCCATCCTCGTCCTCCTCTTCGATGCGGCCCTCACAGCCCTCGTCGTGCTGCGCATCCCCTACACGGAGATCGACTACTCGACGTACATGCAGCAGGCTGCCTTGTTCCTCAAGGGCGAGCGGGACTACAAGAACATCACGGGAGACACGGGGCCGTGCGTATATCCTGCGGGGCACCTCTACGTGTATGCTCTGTTGCACAAGCTCACCAGAGCGGGGAAGGACCTAAGGCTAGGACAGTGGCTCTTTGCGGGGCTATACCTCACGTGTCAGGCGGCAGTGGTAGAGGTCTATCGCAAAGCTGGGGCCCCTTCCCTACTGCTGGCCTTCCTGCCCCTCTCGAAGCGACTCCACTCCATCTTCGTGCTGCGCCTCTTCAACGACGGCGTCGCTATGACCGTCATGTGGGTCGCGATTGCACTCGTTGCACACAAGAGGTATAGCGCCGCGTGCGTCGTCGCGTCATTAGCGCTGAGCATCAAGATGAATATATTGCTGTTCGTGCCAGGACTGGCCGTGGTGGTGTACAGGGCGAAGGGAGGGGCGAGGGCGATCGTGGATGGACTCTTGATCGTCGTTGTTCAGGTGAGGACGTGACATTTCACCACTGCATATTGTCCCAAATAGCTGACACAGACATCACTTGCAGGCCCTAGTCTCGATACCCTTCCTCACGTCCCCGCACCCCGGCGCTTACTTGCGGCAAGCCTTTGACCTCTCACGCCAATTCCTCTACAAATGGACGGTCAACCTGCGCTTCCTACCGGAGGACATTTTCCTCTCTCGTACCACGGGTCTGATCCTTCTGGCAGCACATGCGCTTCTTCTCTTGGTCTTTGCTCTGAATCGATGGACAGGCATCGGAGCGCAAGGACTCGACTGGATTGCGAGAACGTGGACGAGAGGAGAAGAGATGGACGCGCGAAGCGCCATCGTCACGCTTCTCACCTCGAACCTCATAGGCATCCTTTGCGCTCGCTCGCTACACTATCAGTTCTTCGCGTGGTATGCGCAGAGCCTGCCATTGCTCGTTTGGCAGAGCCACATGCCCTGGTCAGCAAAGTGAGTGCACGGCGCCCGCACGCTAATGATCAAAGCTTAGCTGACCCGTCAATCTTTTGATAATAGGCTCCTCGTACCCCTCTCCATCGAGATAGCATGGAACATGTACCCCTCAACGATATCCTCTTCAGCGAGCCTCTGCGCAAGCAACGCCTTGCTGCTGCTAGGCCTGTACAGGAGCGGTGCAGCGCAGCTTTCGACATCACAGTCGCGGCGTACGAAGACCCAGTAATGCTAGTGATGACGCTAATATTCAATTCCAATCGCTCTCCTCATACCCTCACATCAATCTCATTGAGCGCTTGCCTCCTCTCCCCATCCACAACCCCTCTAACCGCCCCCCACACCATCTCCCAAACTTCCTCCACCCCGCCCCTCCCAGCATCCAATTCCCTCCAATTTGCCCCACTCCCACTCACAACCCTCGCCACCTCGCCGAAGCTCTTGCGCACCCGACGCTGCATCCCCGATTCCTCATAACGCTCCTCACCATACCCGCCGCGCTGTGCTGCTACCGCTGGGTCAAGCGATAAGAAAAGAGTGAGGTCGGGGAGGGGCAGACCAAGCTCTGGGGAGAAGAGCCAGGAGAGGGGCAGACCCTGCGCGGGGAGAAGAAAGAGTCAGCGCTCTGGCAAACTCCCCTTCTGAAAGTCAGGACTCGCCCGTACCTTCGCCCGACTATAAGCCACCCCACTCCAAGCGTACCGATCCGCAAGGACGATCCTCCCCTCCTGCTCCACCTCCCTCCTTATCCTCGCCGCTACCTCCCACCTATTCGCAGCAAAGAGGAGATGCACCGCTCGATCGTCCAGCTGCTCTTGCGGGCTCGTCAAGTAGGAGTGGAGGAGCTTCCCGATGGGAGTGGTACGATCGGGGAACTTGAGGAGGGTGGTGCGGGAGGGCCCGCCAAGCTGGTCGTGGAGGCGCGCAATCTGCGTTGATTTGCCGGCGCGATCCAGACCTTCGAGGGCGATGAAGAGGCCGCGGCGTGGGGGTTGAGGGGTGGATACGAGGGGTGCTTGAGGTAGTTGAGACGATGAGCTAGCTGCGGGACTGTGAGAGGTTCTGCGAAGCGGGGCCGGAGAAACCGTCAGCCGACCCTTGATAGCTGTCGCATCATACGCAACGACTCACACAGATGTAGGTGAAGCACGTTTCGATTTGTATGGTATCAATGTGAAGCGAAGCCATGGCGTGACATGAGGGAAGGAGCAGTGGGGAAACGTCATGAGCTCTGTACCTTCTCACTCCAGCGCACATATCTGCGCTCGAGCCCTCTTCTTTGTCACCTCAGCTCTGGCTCGCTCACCTCCTCCTCCTCTCCTGATAGTCGTCATTCTCGTCTCCCCCTCCGAACAGGCCAGCAATCTGCTCGCTACCACCTCCAATAGCCTCACGAACGCGTCGCGTAGGACGGAAGGCGTTGCCCTCTGCGTCGGTCACATTCTTGGAGGCGGTGAAGCTGGACGAGGACGTGCGAGAGGAGTGGGACTGAGATGCTGGTGCTTGGCTGTCGTTGTTGGAAGAGCGAGAGTTCAGGGGAGGCGATGCTGCTGAGGCGTGAGTGGGAAAGGGTGCAGGCGCAGGGGCAGGAGCAGCTTCCTCGCTGCCGAAGAGGGAGGCAATTTGTGCTGACCCGCCGCCGATGGGTTCTGGTGACGGGCGAGAGAAGCATGAGTATTGTGTAGGCATCAATTCTGACTCGACCATGCTCACCTCGGACTCGGCGCGTAGGCCTGAAGGCCTGACCCTCAGCGTCACGTACTCCGCGGTTGGGCTCGAACTCTGCCGCTGCGGGAGGAGACTGAGCTGACTGGCTGTCGGCAGACGCAAAGCCTTCTACAGCGCTGGTAGTAGCGAGTCCTGCGGCGGGCTGAGCAGGGACCTCCTTGCTCTCGACGAGGGTGCCGAAGGTGGCATACCTGTGCAAGAAGGTTAGCGCTGCTCCTCATCACAGTGCATATACGCGCCTTTTCCTCACCTGGGCAAGCGGCTGAACTCCGAGAAGTTGGGACCGACCTCGACTCCCTGCGTCTTGAGAAAGGCGACAAGAGTTGCCTTGGTGAAGACGATGGAGTCGTCCTGAGCGAGCGTGCCTGCGCGTACGAGGGAAGAATGTTGAGTCGCGTTGAGGTGATCGGTTTCGCGCCTTTCACTGCTCACCTAGCAGGTAAGGCACATCCTTATGGCTCGTCTGAGGTGTGATCTGCGTGTTTTGCACGAACGTGGTCGGCATGGCGAGCGATGATGGCGGCGAGGAGGAGGTGAAGGAGGGAAGACAAAGTTGGTTCGGTGGTGCAGCTCGAGCGAGTCCAACCTCGAAAGGGAGCCAAGCGCGAGATCAACACAAGCCCAGGCCACACAGGCAGCGAGCCACGTGGTGCCGAGCTGAGGTCGGAAATGGAGGCATCGGGCGGAGACGAACGAGAAAGAGAAATGCAGCTTTGTGGCGGCTGAACAAGTGGGAGTCATTGATAGGCAATCTTCTCATCAATCTCGACACCGCCACTACCAAGAACGGCTTCTGCCTCTTCGCTGCCCTTCTCACGACCTCTTGAGAGCTCCTTTGTGCCCCGCGAGCTTCTCAGCACTTTCCCAATTCTTTGACCAGCATATATCCCTCTTCCCTCGCCGTCGCGCCACCCGAGTGTCGCACGACTCCAATGGCAGACTCAGGACCCTCAACATCGACTGCGCCACAACCATCGACTCTCTCTGCCTCAGCATCAGCCTTCAATCCAGCATCCTCCTCTCAGTCTCAGCAGTCGTCGCGCTCCAACAATGCCACTCGAGGAGGCAGGCCGCCCAAGAGAGGTGGCCGCAATGGCGCTCAAGTAAGCAACACTCAGCCAAATGGCGCTGAGGCGTCTTCATCATCATCTACACCGTCTCGAGCTAGAGGCGGCGGGGGGCGCGGGGGACGAGGCCGAGGAGGACGAGGCGGCAGGCGGCCTCAGGCAGACAGGTCAGCCAATGCCTCGGCGGAGAACAGCGATGCTGCCAATTCGGGCGAGGCTAGCGATCGTCCCCTTCCATCTGGCCCATCAGCTCAGCGCAAGCAGGCACAGCTTCCACCTCGCCGCAAGCAGAACTTTGGCGGCAAGCTCACCAATGGCAGTTCAGGCCACGATTGCCCATCTGCCGATCTTGCCGATGCGGAGTGGGGCAAGCCGATCGACTACGCCGACTTGCGATCTCGCCTGGTAGCTGAGCTGCGAGCGGGCAAGTACGATTGCTCCATCTGCTACTCAACGGTGGGCAACAAGGCTCCCATCTGGTCATGTTCTCAATGTCACACCGTCCTGCACCTCAACTGCATCAAGCAATGGGCCTCATCGAGCGTCAAAGCAGCAGAGGAGCAGAATGCTATGCAGGAGGATGTGAGGATACGACAGCGCAAGGGTACATGGCGATGCCCGGGCTGTCAATTCGCGCGTGAGGAGGTGCCCACAGTCTACTTCTGCTGGGACGGCCAAGTACGCTCGCCCTCAGCGTCGAGCAACATCAAAATTCCTCCTCACTCGTGCGGCAAAACCTGCAGCAAAGCCAAGTGCATACACGGCTGCTCTGCGGGAGTCTGCCATCCCGGACCATGCCCGCCATGCCCGGTCACTCTTCATCACCGCTGCTTTTGCGGGGGCAAGGAGGTAGCAGTGCGTTGTTCGCAGCTTGCAAAGAGTCAGACAGCTGCGCCAACGCCCTCTACAGACGACTCGCGCCATGGTATCTCTTGCGGCGAGGCTTGCAACAAGCTCCTCTCTTGCGGACGACATCGCTGCACTGCTGTATGCCACCAGGGCAAGTGCCAGCCGTGCGAGCAACGAGTCGAAGAGCGCTGCTACTGCGGCCGCAACGCTCAGGCAATGCTTTGCGGGCAGGGCGAGCGCAAGCTTTGCTCGGGCTCAGAGGAGGAAGAGTGGGAGGGAGCATGGCAGTGCCAAGACTACTGTGACCGAACGTTTGCCTGTGGCGAGCACCGCTGCTCAAAGCCATGCCATCCTCCCTCTGCGGCACCGCCTCAATGTCCCTTTGACCCTGCGCTCGTCAAGACGTGCCCCTGCGGCGCCGAGTCGCTCTCTGACCGCAAGTCATGCCTGGACCCCATCAAGACGTGTGGCCGACCCTGCAACAAGCTTCTTGCCTGCGGTCACACCTGCCAAAAGGACTGCCATCTCGGTGACTGCCCGCCATGCAAGATCCCTGTCAGTGCTCCATGCCGTTGCGGCGAGTCGCGACCGACTCTGCCCTGCCACGAGCGCGTCGAGGACAATCCTTCGGCAGACTCGACACCAGATGCTGTGCTTTGCAAGCAAGTCTGCCGCGCTCTACGCCACTGTGGTCGCCACGAGTGCAAGCGTCAATGCTGTCCATTGGCGTTCCAGGCAAAAAGTCGAGCAAGCAAGCCCGTCGGGTCGCGCAACCGTCCGCCTACCCAGATGGAGCTGGACGAGCAAGACCCAGCGAGGCTCCACGAATGTATACTACCCTGCGGCAAGCCCCTCTCCTGCGGCCAAGCAGACCACACCTGCCCACTCAACTGTCATCGGGGCCCCTGCCCACCCTGCCTGCGCTCATGTTTCGAAGAGGTCTCATGCCACTGCGGGCGCACGATCCTCGAGCCACCCGTACCCTGCGGCCAGCGCCCAGTCTGTCGCTTCCCCTGTGCTCGCCCAGCACCAGCCTGCGGCCACCCCAAGCTCCCGCACGACTGCCACGAGGAAGGGCCCTGCCCGCCATGTGTCTACCTCACCCGGAAGCGCTGCAACTGCGGGCGCAACGATGTGGACAACATCCCCTGCCATCGCACGCACGTCTCCTGCGGCCAAACGTGCGGGTCGCTCATGCCCTGTGGCTTCCACCGCTGCACCGCCACCTGCCACTCAGGCGCCCCCCAGGCCTGCGGAGACTGTACGGCCACCTGTGGAAAGCCTAAGCGACTGTGTGGGCATCCTTGCAAGGCGAAGTGTCACGCACCGGCGCGATGCGACGAATCCACGCCTTGCGCAGAAGTGATCACCGTCACCTGCCCATGTGGGCATCTAAGGCAAAAGACGCGCTGCGGTGCCAGCACCACAACAAGCGCTGATGGGCAGACGGTGGGCGAGCAAAGGCTAAAATGCAGCGACGCCTGCCTCGTAGCGCAGCGCAATGCCAAGCTTGCCGAGGCGCTGGGCTTGGATGTCGAAGACAGGAAAGTCGTGGCAGCCACATCCTCTGCAGTGCCTTACGACGCGGAGATGCTGGCCTTCTACGGAATGGACCACCGCTTCGCCACTGAGCTCGAGGGGACCCTCACCGACTTTATCCGCTCACCGCGCCATTCTGTCATCCTCCCGTCTTCATCGCGTGCGCAACGCAAGTTCACGCATGAATTGGCGGCCGCGTTCGGGTTGGCTACGGAGAGTCTGGATCCTGAGCCGAAGAGGAGCGTGCAGGTTAGGAGGACGGGCGAGGCGAGGGTGCCTCGGATACTGCCGAGTGAGATGTGGGCAAAGGCCAAGAAAGAGCATGAGCAGGGCTTGACTGCGGGTGGGTCTACGGGGTCCTCCTCTGGCCTGCGATTGACTTCACTGCGTAGTGGAGGCGCTGCTACGACCTCGCCGCTCAATGCCCTGCTCCTCGAGCATGTCTTCGGCGTCGATGAGGGCAGCCTGCGTGAGCTGCTCACGACGGCCGTTCCATCACCCATGGCCGCTTCGGTTGTCAGTACGGCACCGCTGCGTCTTGTGCCCTTCACGCTCAAGTGGGCAGGTGAAGAGAGCGTCTTTGTTCTCCCTGCAGACCCAACTCCCTCTACGGCACAGCGTCTCCTGGCAAGCAAGCACGATGTCCTGCGCACCGTCAGGATGCATCGCGTCGCTGAGAGCTGTGTAGCTTGCAGCGTGGACACCGCGGTAGGGAGTGCCCCGAAGCTACTCAGGAGAGAAGACAGACCAAGCGCACTGGCCAGTGGGAGTGGCAGCGGTGGGCGATCCACGCCAGTCAACGCCTGGTCGACTCGTGCCGCAGGTGCCGCCTCACCTGGTGGGGCTAGACTGGGTGGGTGGGCTGCCGTGGCTAGTGGAGCATCATCTGCCAGATCGTCCCAGCCAATGACGCCTACACAGTCTGGCGAGGGGAGGCCGAGGATCGCGCCTGCAGTAGTGGGTCGGCAGATGGCGGCCACGACGGAGGTTCGAGCTCGCGAGGCTACACCGGAAGCGTGGGATCAGTCCGAGTCCGCCTGAACCACAGGCTCTGTTAGCATTTTGCATCTTCTCATCATCATTGCATATCTGTCTGCTCTAATGCTCATCATCATGACCATCGCCACCTCTACCCGTTTGCTTGTCGCTCGACTGGTCCTGCATCGCTGAATGCATTGCCCATCGCGTGGCCCGGTTGTTCTGCGCGCTGCCCCGATTGCTAGGCAGAGAAAAAGTCGTCGAGGGAGCGGGCGGGCGGGCGTGATCCCGCGGAACGAGGCGCAGAGAGGTCGAGATGCGAGCAGGCCAGGCGGAGAGAGGGCAAAAGGCGCAAGCGGCGGCAAAGGGCGGCAAGAGTCGAGCGTTGAGAGCGAGCAGACTTGGTTGGAGATTGAAGGCCGGCCCGCTTTCAGGTCAAAGGCAAAACCGCTTGTCACGCTGCTCACTCACTACCACATAGATCGAAATATCCGACGTCAACCTCCTTCATCACTGCGGCGTCGATCAGTGGCAGCTTTTGCGTCCTCTGCAGCTGTCCTTTGCTCTGTCTTCCTCGTCTTAATCTAGCGAGCAGCTGCTCGCAAGGAGGAGGCAGAAGGAGCAGCCGCTCCCTGGTGCTGCCTAGCCATCCATCTGCAACGCTCTGCGTCTCATCGAACTAGGCGTGGGCCTCTGACTGCTCAACATGAGCACCAACAGCAGCTCAGATACGTCGTCGCAGCGTCAAGACGCAGACCCTTCAGCTGCATCAGGCAGCAGTAGTGGCTCCAAAGCTGCGAATGGCGATGCTGAGCGGCGTAACGGTGAAGACAGTGAGCGAGCATCAAAGCGACACTCAATAGCCACCACTCCAGCTTCACCCAGCCTCACCATCAGCACCTTTGACGACGATGAAAAGCGCAGCGGCGGCAGCAGCAACGATCTGGCCTCGAGCTCGTCGCAGCTGCGACAGCCTGCGCCCATTCGACCTGGTGATACGCTGTCACCCTCAGCGTCACCCTCATATGCGCCACACAAGCATCATCATCAACGATCAAGATCGGTCAATCTGAGCCCAGTCATGCGCGTGGGCTCCTTTGTCCCACCGCCCTCTTCGCCCAAAAATGCTCCTGGCGGCGTCAATCTCAATCTAGCATGGGAGAACAACTTTGCGAGTGGTAGCGGCGGAGGGGCCAGTACTGGTAGTAGCAGCAATGCCGGCAGCAGCAAGTCGCCCAGTGCAGCCTTCATTGCCAATGGGATGGACCCTCGCCATCGATCTGCGTCGCCTCTCAACCTTGGAGGCCCGCTGAAGGTGCCTGCTACAAGGCCAGCGAGTTCCGGCGGTGATGCCAATCACTCCTTTCCTCCTCACATTGAGCGTCAGCTGCACTCTCGCTCTCCAGAACTGTCGACAAGACGTGGAGCTCACGGCTCTTCGTCATCTGCGCATCGCAATGCCTCTCCAGCTCGCCTGTATGCGATGCCTGTCTCACCTCGCCTCAAGGCTTTCGGATCAGATCGAATGCGTCGATCCTCGAGCTCCTCGAGCAGCGGCAGCAGCGGCAGCGACAAAGGGGCACATCATACCGGCTCTTCCCCCCCCAATCGCCCAGCATCTCCAGTCCCGGGCCCCATCAATCCGGATCCAGAGCATGCGTTCGACTCAATATGGCCCTCAGACGCAGCGGTGGCTTCTACTTCCCCCTCATCACCACAGCGGCATCGTGGCGAGCTGCTACATAATTGGATGATGGATCGCAGGAGGTCAGAGTCTCGCTCGCCCTCTCACGCCGATGCGCAGCGAGCATCATTAGCGCGATCTGCCTTTTCCTCATCGCCGGGTAGCGCAGGTTCGGGCTCTGCGTCATCGCCCATCATTATCAAAGGTGGTGGACCATTCGGCCACAGGAAGTCACTATCGGCTTCGAGTAGCAACTCGAGCGCCTCGCCCACGATCTCGATTTCAATGCTGGAGCCGTCGAGAGGTGGCTCGCCAGCGCCCAGTAGTACGCCGCCACCTGGTAGCGCTGGCCTACATCGCTCGGCCAGCAATCCAGGACTGCAGATTGTTTCGCCGCCTCCTGCCAGAGGCAGCCCTGTCTCGCGTTTCATCAGCCCGACGACGTCGAGCGTCAAGGTCGATGCTCAGAGCGTCTTGGCAGAGGTGACGCCAAGCGGGGAATCACCGCCGGCCTCGCCAAAGTCGCCGACGTCTTCTTCGCGATATCTGAGCAGCGGCAGCGAGGGGCAGGTGCAGAGACGAAATAGTCTCAATACAGCGCGACGACGGTCTCTTGCTCTGGGCGATGGCAGTCCCACTTCTCCCAGCACTCTAGGCTCGCCGTCCTTTCCTCCACGCAGCGGCAGTACGTCGCCCTTTGCCAACAGGTCAGGCGCAAGTCTCGCACGCTCCCCTACACCAACCGCCCCTGGTACATCGGAATCGCCTCCCAAGACTCGCTCTTTCATCGGCATGCCACCGCGCTCAGGCTATGAGCTGTCAGACGATCCAGACGACGTTGGCTCAGAAGACGGGACGAGCAGCAGTGTCTCTAGCGGAGGTCAGGACGATTCAAAGAGCCAAACGACGGACGATGATGATGAGGAGCGACGCCGTGTGCGCGAGGAGGATGACGACGACGAAGAAGACGCCGATGAACGGGAGGAGAGGGAGACAGGGGCCTTCGAGGCTGATGAAGAGGACGCGCTTGCCAATGAGCGGCGCACGGAGAATGCGAGGCAGCTGCGGGATCAAAGTCCGTCACCGACGCCCGCAGGGGAGGAGACAGAATCGTCGTCGACGCCTATGCGACCTGCGTTGCCAAAGCGGCCCAGCCTCACGCGCTCGTCAGCCGTCCCCTCGATGCCGCCAAGTGCGCCCTCGCAGCCCGCTCCTTCGTCCTTCAACCCCTTGCGACACTTTGATGTCGGGGCAGGAGCCTCTGACCCATCGATGTGGCACGATCCTGCAACCAACGCCGACAATGCCCCGCCTGCAGACGGCAATGACTCGCTGCTCGAAGGCATCACGATCCCTCCACCTGATCCAGCGGACAATCACCCATCGTCCGAGTCACAGCCTATCGCAAGCGCCGTGCTGGCCGCGATGGAGGATGACGACCAAATAGGGCACGATGAGGAGCACGACCTCGAGAGCGGAGGTGCGGGCGAAGAGGGTGAGGGCGAAGACTCTCACAGCCAGGACACCTCAGGCGGGGAGGAGTCCCTCTCGACGCTGGAGCGCATCTTCCTCTTCGCCAAGAGCGAGATGACGTATCATCGTATCATCGTCTCCCGCTCTCTCCCTCACTGGATTCGCGAGGTCGAGCTGAGCGAGGCCGTCGAGTACGTCATTGCCCTGCTCAATGGCTTGGCAACGGATGACGCCGATGTCTGTACGGCATTCGCCGGAGAGTTGGATCAGATCATGTGGTTCTTCTTCTTGAACTGCCCACTGGCAGAGAATGATAGCGAGGAGGGAGAGGATGGTGAAGGAGATGCTGGAGATGAGAGCAAAGCGACGAGACCGCGCCTGCCAGTGGGCGTCTTTACGCCGCTGATATGCGCGCTGCTCCTCAACCAGAATGCAACTGTCGCACAGACGGCTCAGACTTCACTGGTGCAATTCTTTCAGCGACTCAACCGCGGTGAGGAGGATGAGCAGGATAGGGATGGGTTGGTCTTGCACGCTGCTGGGAGAGAGGGCGAGCTCGTCGACTACGAGGCGTACAAGCTGGATGCGAAGGCGAAGCAGATTGTTGCGAACGAGCTGCTCGAGCATGTTGCCTTCTCGATGGGCAGGCACAGCCAGCAGGGCCAAAATCATGAGGAGCACAGTGGCAACGATCTGGGCGAGGTCGAGAAGGCGCAGGAGAACGGCGTTAGCGGGGACAAGGCTGTCGACGAGCCGCTCGGTCAAGCGCAGCCGTCAGAGAGCGACGAAGACTCGTCGTGGGATGCAGAAATGCGCGAGGACGGGGACATTGACATTGGCGGGCTGGCCGCCGACGACTGGCGCAAGATCTCTTCTCCATTCGGCAGCTCCTCGCCCATCTTCGATGCTTACGACCGCGCAGACATCGACGAGGAGGCTGCGGTGGGGCGAATGGCTGCCGTGAGCCTGATTGGGGCCTTGAGCTTGGAAGCTGGCGCCGTATCCCCCAGCACCGTCTCGGATCGCTTCCTTCCCGAAATTCTCTCCCTGCGCGATGACGCTGCCTTTTACGTGCGCAAGGAAGTGGCTATGGCCCTCGGCGCTCTCAGCAAGCATCTCGACGCCGAGCAGGTGCAGGAGCGCGTTCTGCCTGCCTTCGAGCAGCTCTGCGCTGACAAGATCTGGCACGTCCGCCAAGCCGCCACGACTTCGCTTCCGGCCATCTTTGGGCGCGTTAAGGGCCAGGTCAAACGCGAGACGGTCGTCAAGCTCATGCGGGCTTTTGCCGGTGATGTGTCGCGCAATGTCAGGACAACGGCGCTCGAGATCATCGGCGAGGCTATTTACCTCTTTCATGAGGATGAAGGCGGGGTGCCGCAAGAGCTGGTGCGCTTCTTCCTTGGCGAGCCGTTCGACGAAGAGCAGGAGAGCAGCAGTGCGGGCGAGGGGCTCAGCAACGACAAGCAGGATGGCAGCGAGGGCAGCTTCCTCTTTGCCGACTTTGACTTTGGCTCGGCGATGAATGGCGGCGCGAACAAGCGATCTACGATGTTGGCGGCGTCAGGCAGCGAGTCTGGCGTGCCGCCCACGCCGCTGTGGGAGCGTCCCGACTACAATGCTGGCTTCGATGATGCGGACCGACGACTGGTCATGGCCTACAACTTTCCCGCTGTCGTCCTCACCCTCGGCGGCGATGCGGCATGGCCTCGCCTGCGTCAGGCGCACGCTCGTCTCATCTCCTCGGACTCGCCCAAGGTGCGCCAATCGCTCTCTGCCTCTCTACACGAGATCGCCAAGCTTGTCAGCACTGAAACGGTGCGCGATGAGTTGCTGCCAACATTTGAGCGGCTGCTCTCGACCAACGACGAGGAGAGTGATGTCAAGGCCGCGCTGCTGGAGAACGCGAATGTGCTCCTCTCACGCGCACCCAAAGATGCAGCGCTACGCCAGCTCGGTCTACTGCGCGACCTCTGGTCAACAAGCTTCGCCAACGACTGGCGATTACGCGAGGCCCTCGCTTTGCAAGTCCCGCTCCTCGCCGACTCGTTCGTAGGAGACGACGATGAGGGCTGCTTGATGAGCATCATGCAGGCGGCTTTGTGCGACGCCATCTCGTCTGTGCGCGATGCGGGTGTCAAAGCAGTGCCAGCGCTGTACCGCAACTTTGTGCTGCAGCACGACCAGACAATTGCGGACGGTGTGCTAGGGATGTTGAGCGACATGGGAGAGGCAAAGAGCTACCGTGTGCGCGTTGGTTTTCTCCGCGCTGTTGAGGCTTTGGTGCGGGAAGAGGGCGGCGAGGCGGAGAATGAGCAGAGCAAGGAAGGTCATGGTCGCCTCAACGCTGCTTCGTTCAGGCTTGTGGTGCTGCCCCGCCTCATGGAGCTGGCCAGCGATCTCGTGATCGACGTGCGTCTGGCCCTCTCCAGCCTGGTCACCACCATCTGCCACCGACATCAGCAAAGCGACAAGAGCACAGAGGATGGCGAGGGTGGCTTCTCCCGCTCGTCACGCATGATCGACCTACTTCGCCACCTCTCTCGCGACTGGAGTTCGGAAGTGCGCGACCCAGTCCTCGCCGTGCTTGCTGTCATGTTCGGCCAGGAAGACCCCATCTGCCAGCTCGAAGAGGGGCAAGCGCACGAGCGTCGAGCCCGAAGGCGTAGCGAGCTGGTACTGGGCCCAGCTGACGGGGGACCACATCGTCCGCCGCCGAGCGAGAATGGCGACTACCAGAACAATGGCGGCACATTGACGACGATGATGGACTTTGACCAAGACGGCGAGGACGAGGATGACGAGGGGCAACAGGGGATTGGAGAGCCCTTCCAGATGGACGAGGATGATCAGCCCTACAACTCGCTGCATCAGCGACAGAGGCGGAATCGACATCGCTCGCACCAGATGAATGGGCATCGCGGGTACGATGACGACGAGGAGGATGACGATGAGGGCATGGAGGACATGCTCGACTCGGACCTCGAGATGGTCAATCTGGACGACGCCGCGGAGGCGAATGGCGATGCAGACGCTACGATGACGGACGACAAGCAGGGCGCCAACGTGCTTGGCCTCGAGAATCACCCCTCGACAGCATCGGCAGACGAGTCGTTCGAGAGCTTCACTTCGAGCGACAGCGGAGATGCCGGCAACACAGGCGAGATCATGTACCTCACCTCGCCGGAGCGACCTTGCGATGTCTGGAGCGGCCAGCAGTCCTTCTTCAGCGCGTCCCACGACGATGCCCCGCCGCAGGGAAAGGAGGAGCCGCCGGCCAAGGGCGAGGCGGGCGAGGAGCAAGATGATGGCGGCAGCGAAGAGGGGAGCGACGATGAGGGCCAAGCAGAGGCCAAGACTTCGTCTGCAGATCCCTTCTTGAGTTTCGTCAGCTTCAACCTGGGCGCAGCGGGCAAGAAGAGTAGGAGGAGGAAGAAGAAGCAGGCGCCTGAGGCCACGTCACCAGATGCGGAGGCGGGGTCGTAGAAGGGGAAACTTTCATTTGTACCGATTTGTAGCCCGTTTCGTTGTCATTGCTACGATTCGATCAATCCGCACTTTTGCAAGCACAAGCGCGTGGCGTGAGCTCGCGTTGAATCGTCAACTACCGGCCCTTGAGCTGCGTACTCCCGCCGCGACCTCGGCCACCCGCACCACCACCACCGCCACTGGTAGCGCTCCAGCTGCCGAACTTGGCCCTGCTCCCCTGCGTCCCCTCCTGCTCCCACTGCTCCCTCGCCATCACCTTGCCCTGCACGAACTTCGCCGGGCACCACCTCGCCCCTTCGATCGCAGCGCCCTCCGCCTCCTCGAGCGTCCTGACCCGCACCAAGCACTCCGTTGGCGCGATGGCCCGCAAGTCGGCTTCAACGCGACGTCGCAATCCGGGCATGGAGGCGAGCCCGCCTGTAAGGGTGATGTTGCACAGGAGCAGGCCCAGTAGGGCGTCGTCTCCTTCTGCGGCCGATTGGGCGGCAGACAGTATGAGCGAAGGGAGCGGCAAGGTCGAGGTGAGGCCCACTTGTTCGGGCCGGAAGAGGATTTCTGGTATCTGCCAGCGTTCATGGCTGAGTAGGAGGCGTTGCTCATCGTCGTCGGGGTCTTGTGTGGCTGAGCCCTTCTTCTTCGCGGGAGCGACAGATGCAGGTTTGGGCGCAGGCTTGGGCGCTGACGTCTCATCGTCGTCTTCGCTGCCTGACTCGCGATAGTCGCCGTCGTCTTCCTCGTCCTCGTCATCCTCGCTGGCCGAGCCTTGACGCTGAGCCTCTTGTGCACTCTGCAGCGCACTCAAGTCGGCGATGCAGGCGTCCTCTCTCGCAGCCTCGTCATCATCGGGCCCGTCCACGCTCGCCAATCCGGGGCCCCTCAGCATATGCCCGTACCTTTTCTCCACATCCCGCGCCAGCCCCTTATTCCCCGTATAGTCAGGCAACACCCACTCCTGCTCGATCGCTCCGCTCCTCTGCAGAAGCATCTTCGGAGTCCAGCTACTCGGCCTCTCATCCAGCGGCTCCTCGTACTCGCTCGCCGCCACAAAGAAGGCGCGCTCCTTGAGTCGGGCCATGAGCCACGACTCGTCCGTCATGTCCCACTGCTTGAAGGAGATTTGCTCTTTCAATAGGTTGGTCATGACTTTCCCTCCTAGCTCGAGGCGTTTAACGCCCCGCCAGATGGGCTCATTGTGCAGGACAGGGACGGCGTGGATTGCGCTGTTGCCTAGGTCGACGATGAGAGTGGCTTCGGGGCGACGCGGCTGGCGGGGGCCGGAGAACGCTGAGCTTTTCGAGCGCTTCGACACGTCGCTTTCTGAGCTTGCGGGCGGGGGCGAGGTCGGTGAGGAGGCTGCTGCGGAGCGTCGAGGTCGCTTGGCTGGCGGAGGCTGAGGGCTGGACGCAGGGTCCTTGGAGGGAGACGAGGACAGCGGAGACGAAGCTGGCGGCGGGGGCTTGAGCGCTTCTTCTCCTTGTGAGTGTACCTGCTGGGTTTCCTGGCCTTTCGCCTTGGCCTTCACCTGCGCCTCGACTCCAATCGGCGCAAAGGAAGCCAACTGCGCCGCCGTGGTCCTCCAGATGCCGCGCACCCCGTACTCCTCAAAGAGCATCGTCTCCAGCCCAACTTCGAGCTCTGGTAGATTGAAATACGCCTCTGTAATTATCAAGTTCCAACCCTCGAGCAACTTGCCCCCGCCGGCATGGCCTCTCACTTGGCGCAGCGCCTTTGCAATCTCGACATCCCAGATCGCCTTTTGCGCTACCCAATCCGTAATGAGTCCGCGCTCGATGGGCAGACGCAGAACGAGCCCCGAATAGTCATTGCATCGCTCCTCGATCGCCGAGCCGATGTAGACCTGCTTCGATGGCGGGCGAGTGCGGGCAATTGCGTTTGGGCAGCGGTGCACCTTGGACGAGGTGAGCGCCGCAGAAGGCGCAGCGGGTGCAGAGGGCTGGAGGCAGAGTCGTAATGAGTCCGAGCCGACGTCGATGATGGCGAGAGGGTACAGAGATGCCGACGCTGGTAGCGTAGAGGAGGAAGAGGGAGTCGCTGATGGCATATTGCCAGTCGACTCCAAGTGGGAGCGAGTGGAAGGGAAACAAGGAAGAGTTGACGCGCGAGGAGCGGGAAGAGAGGGGCGGAAAGCGCGCCAGGCACGGATCATGCGAAGGCCACGTGGTCCCAAAAAGCGCTAAATCAATGAGACGCGTCTATTTAATCTTTTGCACTAGACGAAACAATCAGATAGAGGCTGTTGACCTGTTGGAGGTGTTGTGAATTGCATGATGCTACATAGTGACTGAGTCTGTCTGTCGGTTGAGAGTTGGATCTGCGTTTGTTGGGGTATCATCGTTTGCTGCTGCGTTGCTTTGCGCGCTTGACTCATTGTCCGTTTCCTTGCTCTCCTAAATCTGCCTACGAGCTGACAGCTTCAACTTTCCTCTTCTCCCAAGCAGTCACCACATTGCCGTCACTGAGCGTCCTCTCAACGGGCTCGAGCACATAGCCTCCCTTCTTGGGCAGAGCCCACCATCTCACGACCCACCAGAGGGCTCCAAGGCCCAACAAGCCCAGGGCAATGACGGGGGCTAGTGCGTACCACAAGTGGGCGTAGACGGCGTCCTGCCGCCTCTCTGGCGGAATGAAAGGCCCGACGCAGAGGAAGATGGAAATGAGGCTAAAAAAGAGGGTCACCGGAAGGGAGGCGCGATATGGACTCGCCCAATCGCGCGCCCACTCCGGGCGCCAGGAGCGGGGCACGTACGTAGCCAGCAACGCCAGACCAACTGCGGCGTTAACAACGTTGAGAGGATAGCTCGACAAGGCTAAGACCAATTGATAAGTGTCTCCAGGAGGAGGCGCCAAGAGGATGATGAGCGTCATGGCTACGTGCCATGCCAGGCCGGCCATAGGGGTGTTGAACGGGCGGGAAGATGCGAAGAATTTGCCAAAGGGGATGAGTCCGTCGCGTCCGAGAGCTTGATTGACACGGCCCTGTGAGAAGACGACGCTGAATACGTTGGCTACAGCGCTGAGAGCTACGAAGACCGAAAGAGCTTGACGAGAGCGGCCGCCGAACATGTTATTGAAGTAGTCGGCGGCAATGATCTGCTCGCTGGCGGCGACTCCTTCCAGTGGGATGGCGGCGAAATAGGCGACTTGAACGAGCACATAGAGGGCTGCGATCACCAGAAGTGCCAATGGCCCTGCCCTGCGCATGAGGCGTGCGGGGTTCTGGACCTCACCAAGACTGTAAAAACAGTTGGAATAGCCTTGATACGACCAGATGGCGTTGTAGAGACAGTTTGAGATTGAGAAAACGTCACCCCTTGTGCCGACAAAGGCGTTCTTGAAGTTTGCAGTCCCCGCCGTACCCGCAACAGAGCGGCCAGCTAGGGCTGCAAAGCCCGAAAAGGCGATAAGCGTCAGGATGATGAGCTTAAAGGTGCCGAGGGCATTCTGAAAGCGCAATCCCCACTTGAGTGCCGTAGAATGCATGATGAGCGCCGCAAAGAGGACACCGACACCGATCGCCCGCGCTGGCCATTCAGAGGCATTGCCCCTTCCATTGGAAGCTCCAGCTTTGAGAAAGTATTGCCCAGCTGAATAAGCGTTGCCTGCTGCCTGTCCAAGGAGGAAAGCCTGAGCCGCATACATGACAGCGGCAAGGCCCCGCGGCTTGCGGTAGGCGTGTTGGAGATAATTGAGCTCGCCACCGTTTTTGGGCATCATCGTGGCGAATTCCGAGTATACACTGAAACCAGCAAAGGCCACGATTGCACCGATGACCCAGTACCTGTGAGCCCGAGGCAGGTTCAGATGCCGATCAGCATTGCGTTTGATACGCGTTCCTCCGCATCACTCTCGCCCACTCACAGAAGGCTCATGCCAACGCTTCCACTCTGTGTGAGGATGGTGCTCGTCGTGGAGAACACACCGGTCCCCACGATACGGTTGACGATCAAGAAAGTCGCGCTCAAAGTACCCACTTGGCGTCCCTGTGCAAGCTCTCCCTGCGACTGAGGCTTGTTCGCCTCGGTATCGTCGCTAAGCTGGCTGAGAGCGCCAGCACCAGGTGCGCCGTCCTCGCCGGCAAGATCTTTCTTCTTGAGCTCGTCATCGCTCGAACTTGCGTTGCCGCCGAGCTGTCGCGTGCCATCTTCGTTGGCGTCTGGACTCTCCTGCTCCACCGTCACCTCGGTATCGCGGCGGTTGAGCGTCGGTTGGTGCAGAGAGGCCGTCATGATTGGCCGCGCTTCGAGGTGATGCTTGAATGAAGCGAATGGGAGGGAGATCAGATGCGATGCTCAATCTGTCGAAGATGAAGTCGTACGAAGCCAAGCAATCTCTCGTCCCTCGCGCCTCCCAACGTGCTCTCACCTCATCCAAGGTCACACGACGACATCGCCCATCGCCAACGGCGGCCCGTGCGACAAATGGCGTGCCTCGCTCGTAAGTACGAACCCCAATTGCGTGCTCGTGACCCAAGTGTTCATGCAGGGTTGGACCACAGCCCATATGCAATGCAATGCTTCCCACCTATCGAAGGATCGACGCTCTGGGGAGGTTTGGGCTCTTCTTTGCTCTCCCAAAAAACGCGTGACGCTGCTGCTGCAGAGCTTGGCGTCGGAGATCGGCCGGAAGTTTTCCCCTTCACCCGCTTCCGTTCTCGTTTTCGGGTTCATTGCCGAGGCAGAGATGTGGGACCTGGCACGAGAACGAAATCAGGCAGAGGACGAGGATGAGGAGTGGGAGAGCTCAGGAGTGAGGTAGCAGATTGGAGTCGAGGCGTGTATCGACAAAGAGGCTGTATTGATCAGAGAAGGCGTTGGCACGGTTGAAGGTGGGCAGAGAAGCTTCGCAGGATAGGCCAGGCACGAGGAGGGACAGGCGAGTGAGATGGCGAAGGACACAAGTAGACTTCTTCCCACATCGCCGTCTTACGGGTCGTCGATGGCATCGCGTCATGGAAAGAGAAGGCTCGGTCCCGGCCTTTTCTTCAGATGATGCCACGTCCTCGTTATCACGCCAACGTCAGCCGCAATTCTGACACAGTAAGGGATATGTAATGACATTCGAGGTGACGAGGCGAAGAAACCCAGCGGTGCACAGTGGACTCGCTCAAGCCAGTGTGCGGCGGGGAACTCGGCACCCTCTGGGCCGGTAGGCTTGATTAGCATTATAATGAGATATGCATTGAAGTCTACATTGACGACTTTGCGCGTATGTCTCTCTTGTGCATCACTTGCACGAAGAGCTGCCGCGACAGCAGGGTAGGAGTTGATGAGAGGTTCTTTGCGAATATCCGGTTGGGCCGCCAGATGGCAGCCGTGACCTTCGGTAGCTGCTCGTCGTTCACCCAGAGCTTCTCGACAATCTTTGTCGCATACCTCCTCTGCCTTTTGCAATATGGTCGATCAGCCTGGGAATGTGTGCCGATGTTTCCGTCGAGCGAGTAGGCAACCTGTTCTGTGCGAGGTAATCCTGAAAGGACCAAAACGTCCCGGTGATCGTGATGACGGCGAGGGGCGCCGTGCCAGCCTCAGGAGGCCTCAGAGTCTTCGTTGCGGCAGCGTCCTCATCCTCGTCCTCATCCGTCGATTCTGCTTCGCTCCTCGCGAGGCGGGCGTTGGGCAGACTAGCGTGCGATGCGTGGCTAATCCTTCCAGTGCCCGAAAGAGCGTCACCTCGGCGCATGAGGTGGCCAGCATGAGGGTGAGCGTAGAGCAGCCACACCAGAGGAGTGTGGAGCGAGGGAGGAAGGAGAGTGAAGAGTGGAAGGAGGCGCTGGGATGAGGCAACGGAGAGAAGAGGAGATGATTAGAGGGGAACCCAAAGCGAGCAGCGGAGCAGACAAACGCGTACGGACTCGGACTGCTCTGCCGAAATTAGGTAGCAACACGTCACTTGCCCACCTCTCATCAGTACATCACGGCCGTTCAAGTTGCGTGCCTGACTCGATGTTGGTTTTGAGCGGACCTGAGCGGGCCAGTTGATGCTTGCTTTGGATGTCGCTTCGGTAATCGCCTACACTTGGACGCCTGCTCTGAATATGCTCTGGCTATGAGCTTCGGGAGCAGCGTGGAGCTGGTCTCGTGTGATTGGTGGTGGCCGTGACGTGCTACACGCCTCGGCGCTCACTCACTAGGGGCTGGCAAAATCACCGCCAGCTGGGCGTGATGAATAGAGCAGCCCCGTACTGAGAGGATAAGCTGGGCCAAGGGGCGAAGCGTGAAAGGCTCACTCTCCCAGCATACAAGGGCGCAGCATGTAAAGTAGTCGTCCTTGAGGTGTGCGTAGCCAAAGGATAAGGCCATCGATCCTGCTGCGCTGAGAAAAAGCCTCGCAGCGCTCCTCCTCGCCTCTCCGACCTTCACGCTCGCTCATGGTACTCTTTGCGTCTCACACTATGCCTTCTGCTGCAGTTTTCATCTCTGTGACATTCCATCATCTCCCACCCGCCGCAGCCCGCGCTCCCCCCGCCCCTCCCGGCCCAGCTACAGCGTTGGGTGGCGCGTATTTCTGCTGAAACTCGTTAAGCTGCCCCTCTTTCACCTTGTATTGCTCGACGAGCTGTTCGAGGAGTTGAGTGAGCTGTGCGAGCGCGTGATGGCGATGGCGATATGCGGGAAAAAGCGAGCATCAGCATCCGGCTTCCATGACGGAGAAGACGACCAGGGCCGAGGCAAGAGGAGCAGTAGTTGCTACCGCTGCCCCTCTGTTGCTCGCTCGCTCGCTCGTTACTCACACCAGCCTCCCCCTCCTTAACGGCTCCCTCTGTCTCCCTAACATTCTTCTCTACCAAAACCCCACCCATCAAGCGAAAGGCTTTGCGATCCGGTTCTGCCTTGACGATGGGCTCTAAAGTGGACAAGACCAGGCTACGAGCGAACGAGCGAGCAAAGGGGGGTTTAGGGTCAGGGTCAGTAAGACCTTGTGGGGAGTCGTCGTGCACGGGGGACAACGTTGCAGCAATCGCTGACGCACCGATGCTCATCCCTATCTGCCTCCACTTCCCCAATTTTGGTCGCGAGGGCTTGAAGCTCTTGACGGCGTGACTGGTACTCTTGTGCCAATGCCGCCGGATTTCTCTGCTGTTGCTGCTGTTGCTGTTGAGAGGAGGTGCTCATTGTGGTGACGTGCGAGATGTGTGGAAGGGACGGGGAACGGAAGGGCGAGGCGACAACGACGACATTGAGCGGAGGTGGGAGGCGGACTGGCGAAGGGGTGGGGCCACGTGGCTATTGGGGGAGGTCACGCAGGGCTCGAGTAACAACAGCCAGGGGTGAGGATGCCTGTCTCATAGCCCACACGATAAGGCAGATCCTCTCAAATCAAACAAAGGAGTAGATTGCATGCTGGCTATGAAGCACACAACGCGCGCGCGACGATGATGATGTGCACGCCTCTTCTGCACTCATGTCACCTCTGCTGTGGCTCTACGACGGCTCACTTGCCTCGTGAAGACTGTCTGCGACGATGCAGAGAAAGGAAGTCAGCCTTGGAGCTCAGGCAGCTGAAAGCGCGCGCTGCACTCACCGCACTGCCATCACTTGCGGTACCAGAGGGTCGACTTCCTCGTCCTCTTGATCTTGCGCATGAGCTGGAGCATCCCGTACAGCAGCGCCTCGGCCGTCGGCGGGCACCCCGGCACGTACAGATCGACGGGTACGATCCTGTCGCAGCCACGGACAACGCTGTATGAGTAGTGGTAGTAGCCGCCTGTCGATTTGGGAGCCAAGACGGAAAATGGAGAGCCGAGACGGCGGCGAGCGAGCGTAGGAGCGATTTGGAAAGCCAAGACGGCGGTGGGCGGGCGAGCGGGCGTGGGAAGAAGTCAGAACTGCAGCCAATGATGCTCCGTCTTGAGGTGACGGCGGCGACTCACCTCCGTTGGCGCAGCTACCCATGCTGATGACCCATCGAGGCTCAGGCATCTGATCGTAAACCTTGCGAAGAGCAGGAGCCATCTTGTTGGTAAGGGTACCAGCCACAATCATGACGTCGGATTGCCTGGAGGGCGAGTGGGCGAGTAGAGGGCGCCGCGGCATGGCATCAGCGACTGCTTCGACATGATCGTATAGGCGTCGTGTTCAGAGCATACGTACCTGGGACTTGCTCTGAAAACGACACCGAGGCGATCTGAATAGCGAAGATGGAGGAGGAGGAGGATGCTCGTCAGCTATGGCTCCCATTTCGCCCCCAGGTGCTCACCGCACCGCAGCCTTACCTTGGTCGTAACGAGCGGTAGCGACATGCATCATCTCGACGGCACAACACGCAAGGCCAAAAGTCATAGGCCAGAGAGAGCCTTGGCGCGCCCAGTTGACGATCTTGTCCATTGTGGAGAGGACGTACTCTGTACGCGAGCGAGGCAGAAGAAGGATGATGATAATGTCAATGATCCGCAACATCGGCTTGGCGTGCTTTTCTGCCCCACGTCACGCAAACGCACCTCCGTTACCCTTGGGCGTCTCGAGGCTCATCTGGTTGGAGTTGCGGTTCATGATGGAGCGCATCTCTGCGGGCTCGGCGAGCTGGAGTGCCGTCGAGGTGGCAAAAGTGCGGGCGGGCAGCAGCGACGTGCTCGACGATGATGATGAGGAAGCGACGGGAGACTGGTCTGCCTTGGTAAGACGAGGGGCGTAGGCCGTCGACGAGGTGGCGATGCCCCTCGACAGCGTCGATGTCGATGCGCGGAACGCTGCGTGCGAGAAGAGAAGAGAGTAGGGGTGCGGTCAGATGGCGAGCAGACTTCAGTACCACGACGTCGAGCCTACGTACCCGGCATGGTAGCCTTTGCAATGGACGACGAGAGTGATGCGACCATGGCGGCGGCGACGAATGGTGGAATGCGGGGTGGTGGTAACAGGATGAGAGTTGATGTGGTCCATGATGCGTCGGCGGGTCGCCACGCCCACGCCTCTCTGATTCATCAGCCTACGCCACGTGCGCGACGAACTCGAGCCGGCTCAAATGAAATCCGCCTTGCACCCGTTCCGTCTCGAGTCTCGCCCCGCCCCGCCTCGCCTTTGCCCTCGCACGGACATTCGAGGTCGAGCGTCGAGCGTCGAGGATGTCGAGGTGGAGAAAGGTTGCAATTTCACTCCTCCCTCCTTCTTAACCCAAGAACCGTCACCGACAATGGCTCTACCCCCCGGCCTCCAAGCTCTCGCCATCGGCCCCAGTAATGCGGCTGCAACAGTCGAGTTCGGCATCGACTACCTATGTCCCTTCTCCGCCAAGCTAGTCATCGGCGTACAGCATCATCTCCTCCCCCTCATCTTCGGCAGCTCTGCCCCATGGGAGGGTAAAGTCCGCATCGTCCTTCGCCCCTACCCTCAACCATGGCACGCCTCCTCGACCCTCGTCAACGAAGCCGCCATAGCCGCCGCCAAGATTTCGCGCATTTCCGAGCCCGAGGTCATCCAAGATCCAAAGACGAATGCATTCTGGATCTTCTCCCAATCCCTCATGGCAAAGCAGGACGCCTACTTCGACGGACCCTCACGAAATCGCAATCCGGATCAACTGCGCGCAGATCTTGCAAATTTGGCAGTAGCCGTCTTGGGCGAAGCGCCAAAGAAGAGCAAGTCGACGCCCATTGTCAGCTTGCCCTCTGGTCAGCCTTTGGGTCAAACTGTGAGGAATTTGTTGAAAGTAGGGGAGGGGAATGAGGGGAGCAAAGTTGTGCCCGATCTGAAGTATTGTGTCAAGTATGGGAGACAGAACGGTATTCATGTGACACCTACCGCTAGTGAGTAGTGTGCGCGGGGATGCCTCCTTTGAGAGACACTCGGCCATGCGTTTGCTGCTTGACTGACATCCAGAATCCTCTTTCTCTTTCTCGCTGCGCATCCAGTCTGGAACGGTCTCATCGAACCGTCCATCTCGAGCTCGTTTGGGGAAAAGGAGTGGCGCGACTTCCTTGAGAAGAATGTGGGGCCTCCAGGTGGGCAGAAAGTCGATGGTGAGGGGGAGAGCGCTGTAGAGTAGAGGTGAGGTGGTGGTGCAATGGAATAGACTTGATATTGTGCCAGGCCTCTTGACTTCATGCTGTTTCTTCGGTGTTGTTCCGACCGTATCGTGACGTCGTGGTCTTGCCGCGGTCCACACGCCTTGCCTTCTTCTCACGCTCAGCTCATCCGACCGTCTCGCTTCTTCCTTCCCTGCCGCAACGCTTCAAGTTTCCACGGTGGCGCTTCTCCATCGACTGCGCGGTCTTCTTGGCGCTACCAGGACCCCATCAAGCATACCATCCACCGTCACGAGCCTCGCCATGTCCACTTCCCAAGCACCCTCCACACCTCATGGTCGCGCCGGCCTCATGCGCATCGCCGTAGTTCAGATGACGCCGCACCACTCCAATCCCTCTGCCTCACGTCAGCGTTTGCTAGACCTGACGGCTCACCTGAGCAAGTCAGATGGGATTCACCTACTCATCGCACCGGAGATGGCTTTGACTGGGTACGTGTTCGAGGGGGAAGCAGGCAAGGCAAAGATCAGGGGGATGGCCGAACGTTTTGGCAGCCGCGAGGCCTTTGCTGGGGAATCGACGGCGCACAGCGTTGCGCGTGAGATATCTCAACGCTTGGGATGTCACACCCTCATCGGGTACCCGGAGGTCGTACTTCCTGGCGATGGCGAGGCAGCCGTGGCTGCAAAGCCGGTGGATCGTCGGCCCACCCTTGCAGGCGAGCGTACAGACGTCGCTGACTCGAGGTCATCATCATCATCGTCGCCCTACTACTACAATTCTGCCCTGCTTACTTCACCCCAGGGCGAGGCCCTGCATACCTTCCGCAAGCACTTCCTCTTCGACGCCGACGTCCTCTGGTGCGACGAGGGGCCCGGGTTCCAATGCATCGACCTGACCCTAGACGATCAGGAGGGCCATCGACGATCCGTCAGGGTGGGCGTGGCCATCTGCATGGATATCAACCCCTACCGTTTCCAGACGCCCTTCGATACATTCGAGCTCACGCGATGGGCGCACGAGCGGAAGGTCGACGTGTTGGCGATGCCCATGGCGTGGTTGACGGATTACGGCGATGAGCATGTGGCACAGCATGCGGAAGAGACGAATCTGGATTCGGTCAATTATTGGGCGGCGAGGTGTGAACCCTTCTGGAGGAAGACAGGCGATGGGCATGATACGGAGAAGCACACCATCTTGGTCACGGCGAATCGAACGGGCAAGGAGGGAGGTGAGTGTATCCTGAGGAGTGCAAGCGTGGCGTACCACACGGGCAAAGCCGACGGCGCTCCCTCTGATCCGCCTCGCACATGCCAGACTCCATCTTCGCAGGCTCTTCGTCGGTCCTCTCCTTCAAGCCGGGAGACAGGCCTACACTGATGGTCTCCCTCGGCCAAGCGCAAGAGGCCACCTTCGTCTACGAGCACCATCTGGGCGTGTCTACATAGAATGCTGTACATTTACTCGAATACAATCCCGCGCTGCTATCTCAGCGCTTCGGGCCTCCTCGCCGCTACCATCCCCAGACTCGCCGCCGCCCCCGCTGCGAAGCCCAAAAGTCCCGCCGACCAGGGTGAGATGTACCCCACAACTGGACATGTAGCAAAGAAGCGCTTGGCCAGTGAATGCCATGTAGGGGCGTACGCTTTCGTGACGCCCTTGACCTCAACGTAGCTGGGTGCCTTGCCCTTCTCCCAGCCGGCCAAGATGAGTTCCATGTCGCGGTCTGTCATTTCTGCTAGTTGATCCCCTGCAAACGAGCATCGAGGAGCGAAGCAAAGTGTCAGCATCACCGCACCTGCCTATTCCCCACCTCTCGCGCCGCGCGCACTCACAGCTCCACCGCTCACAAACATCGATCATCCACCTCATCCTCCTCCCACTCTCCTTCTGCTCCGGAACCCTCTCCCTCAACTTGCCCCTCAACACCCCAACCCTACTGATGGCCTCCCCCACATTTTCCGGCAAGCTGCGCTCCACTAACGTCCTAACCTGATTAGCAATCTTGGGTCCCTTGCCCCCAGTGGACACCATAACCTGCAACGGTCCACGACGGATGAGGGATCCAAAGTAGAAGTCACATTCGGGTGGCACATCAGCCACATTGACCGGTATGCGCAACTTGCGCGCCATGACGCAGATGGATCGGGAAAGGTCCGAGTCATCGATAGCTGTGAGGACCATATCGTACAACTTTCCCTCGGCGTCATACAAGTCCTCCTCCCCACCAAAGGACCGATCGTGGTACACGTCCACGACCTTTTCCGTATCTATGCGATGCTTCATCTCCCCTGAAAGGCCCGAACGAGGGGAAATGACAGTCAAGTGGGCATCGGCATCCTTGACGTTTACTAGGCGGCCGGCAGCGACCATTCCTCCTCCTACGAGGAGGACTTTCTTGCCTTTTAGCTGCCAGGCGAGGATTAGGCCGCCGCCGGGTACGATGGTGGGGTATTTGGAGGAGGAGGAGGAGGTGGTGGAGGGGCCGGCTGAGGTTGACATTGTGACGAGGAATAAAGGAAGAGAGAGGGGTAGGGGGGGAATTTGAGAAGAAGAGAAAAGAAAAGGGCGCGAGAGGGCGACGTGAGAGAGCCGGGATTGATAAGAGGGCGAGGGCGAGCGGCGGGCGAAAGCTGCGAGTCCGAGTGAATTGCGTCAGGCGGACAGAGACGAGACGAGCGGCGGACGGGCCAATTGAAAGTCTTGATGCCACACTTCCAATTCCCTTTCCGCCCAGCCGCGTCGTCGTGCCTTTCTTGCCGTCCTAACCAACACCAACACCCACACGAAGACGACGGCGAGGACTTCTCTTTGCTCTCACGTCGTAGCAGCTCAGGCGCGCCTCAGCGGCCATGGCGCCCGCTCGCTCGAACAAGGCCTCGTCCATGCGAGCTTCGAGCTCAGGCTCTGCATCTAGCTCGTCGAGGAGTGGGTCAACGCAATCCACCGCCCCATCATCGTCGACTGGTGGGCTTCGTCTATCCAAGGCGCCTGCGCGTCCGCCTCCGCCTCAGCAGCCACGCCTCGCCTTTACTCGACAGCCCGGACCAGTACTTCCAGCCCCGCCGCCGCCGCAGAAGAGGGTCAAGATACAATCGCCTGAAAGAGCTACCAGTCGACCCACCCCCTCGAATGGCTTCCCCAAGGGCAAAGAGCCCTTGCGCGGATCGCCAGACCTCCCCGTCGCCGCCGCTCTTTGGAGCTCACGCTATCGCCCCACGAAACGCTCCGAACTCGCCGTCCATCTCCGCAAGACAGTCGACGTCGAGACCTGGTTGCGCGAAGCCTTCTCTCCCTCGGCGCGCGTGAGGAAGCATCGTCGGATTCTCATCCTGCGCGGTCCGGCCGGAGCGGGGAAGACGGAGACAATTCGCCAGCTAGGAGCGCCAGGAGAGTTGGACTATGAGGTGCTCGAATGGAAGAACGAGGTGGAGAGCGCCGCGACGAGTATGGATGATTGGCGTGCTGGCGGGGCGATAGAGGGGATCATGGAGCGCTTTTGCGACTTCATCTCTCAGTCGGCAAAGTTTCCTACGCTGGCCTTGACGACAGAGCGTGGAGTTACAGCATCCTCGTCTTCATCGTCGAGCAGCGCCTCAACATCGTCGCCTACATTACGCCGACAGCTCATTCTACTCGAGGACCTCCCCACCCTCTCGCACTACGCGACGCTCCAGTCCTTCCAACAAGTAATGGCAACCTTCCTCTCCCGGCCCCTCGCGCAAGATCCCAACAGTAATGTGCCCATCGTCCTCATCCTCTCCAATACCGCCTCGGGCTCAGGAGGCGGTGTGGCTGGCGATTCTGGCGACCCAGGCGCGCAGGAGGATGGCGCGGGCAGTTCGAGCAGCTGGATGACGACGCGCAAGCTCCTAGGCGCAGAGGCAGAGGGCAGTGACGGCTGGTACGAGATCAAATTCAACCCGGTAGCGGTCACCATCCTCTCGCGCGTCCTCAAGGAGACGTACGAGCGCGCCGTGGGCTGTCCGCTCCCTCCTGGGATCAAGTCCAAGGGAAAGTCCGCAAGCCTCTCCCGCCGTGTAATGCCGGTGGAAGTAGTCGAAGCCTTGGCGGAGAGCACGCTGGGGGATGTGCGATCGGCTATCGACTTGTTGCAGCAGGTCCACTCACGCTTTATTAAGCAGCCACGCCGTTTTGAGCGGGTGGCCCAGTCTCGTACCAAGACCAAAGCGAAAGAGGAGGCGAGGAAAGTTATGGTCGAGCTGGGCTTGATGAGCAGGGAGTCGGCGCTGGATATCTTCCATGCGTTGGGGAAAGTGTTGTTCAATAAGAGAGTGGGAGATCCGGAGTTGAAGAGGGGAAGGGAGGAGATGGAGGTTGCGTCGGATGATGAGGTCGAGGAGGGAGGAGAGAAGGAGAGGGATAAAGAGAAGCCTCTGCTCTTACCCGCGCACTTGAGCCACTTGTGGCGACGCAAGAGCAAGGTCAACATCGAGGTGAGCTTTCCACTTCGCCCCGCGATCAAGTCTTCGATGGGCGTATTCGCTGATCCTCTCCTCCCCTCTCTTTCGCTTCGCATCGCACACACCAGTCACTCTCCTCCTCCTCAACAGGCGTAGACTCCTCCCTCCTCTCCCTCTGGGTAGCGCACAACTACCCGCCCTTCACAACAGACATAGAGCAATGCGCCCTCATCTCCGACTCCTTCAGCTTTGTCGAGTCCTCCCTCAATCCCTCCTACGGTGAGGATCTCCGTGCCCTGGCGTCCAATAATGCTCAGCACCCCCTACTGCTCAGCCACTATGCCGGGCTGATCACGTTTGGGAGCACACTCCTGCATCTACCAAGCCCGGTACCGAGAAAAGGACAGAAGATGACGAGACCCAGTCTCTGGGAGGTCAACGAGCGCAGCAAGGCTTTGCGCGGGGATGTGGAAGCCTTACAAGACGATTATAGGTCGCGTCGCCGTGCGCAGGGAAGCAGTTGTGATGTCGGGATACGCACGGCCACGCCTCGTCAAGTCGCGGAAGAGTGGGGGCCGTCCCTCGCGAAAATGGCGGCGGCGGCGGCCGCGACGGGGGATGCGCGTGGTGGGTGGAGCGCCAAGCAGAAGGAATTACTGGCCCGGGTGGGTGGGATGGATTGGAGGGGAGCCTTTTCGCAGGGAGGAGGGACAGGGGTGGCTGCTGCTGCTGCTGCTCAGAGTAGGGACATGGACGCAGACGATGCGGGTGATCTTGGAGAGCTTGTCGAGGAGGACCAGGGTGGGGCTGTTAAGCTTTCGGGGCAGTCCCAGGCCCAGACTCAGGGCCAGGTTCAAGGCAAAATTGAGCCAGAGGGTAGGGAGACGAGGGCCCTCGATAGGGGAGGGGGAGTGGATCAGAGTGAGGAGAGGGGCGCCGCTGATGACGAGGAAGGAGGGGACATCTCTGATGATCCCATTGAGGACTGATAGTCAGGTCCAGTCTGAGCAATACCTCTGTTTGGTTCACCTTAACGCACGCACGATCCACCCTCTCGATAATTCGTAGCCGCCACATACCACCAACTATCCCCCGAACGGTGTGTTGGTTCGGCATGCTCGGTCTCTTGATCACCGCCGCGGCTGTCGTCGACTCCCAAGAGCGGACTGGCGGCACGTTCGGAAGAATCCCGAGGACGAGGAAGCGGGAGTGAACTGTTGTTGCTTCCTTGACTCCTTTGATCCTCAAAGACATCACAACTAGACGTTCCCGAGACGAAGGGCTAGTCGAGTCAAGATGCCTACTGAGACCATCGAGGTGGATACGGTGTTGTTTGATATGGATGGGTGAGGCACCATTCACGCGAAAAAGAGCGACACGGATCCATGGACCCTGCTGACCTCGCCCTCCTCCTC